CACCCTAACACCCTAACACCCTAACACCCTAACACCCTAACACCCTAACACCCTAACACCCTAACACCCTAACACCCTAACACCCTAACACCCTAACACCCTAACACCCTAACACCCTAACACCCTAACACCCTAACACCCTAACACCCTAACACCCTAACACCCTAACACCCTAACACCCTAACACCCTAACACCCTAACACCCTAACACCCTAACACCCTAACACCCTAACACCCTAACACCCTAACACCCTAACACCCTAACACCCTAACACCCTAACACCCTAACACCCTAACACCCTAACACCCTAACACCCTAACACCCTAACACCCTAACACCCTAACACCCTAACACCCTAACACCCTAACACCCTAACACCCTAACACCCTAACACCCTAACACCCTAACACCCTAACACCCTAACACCCTAACACCCTAACACCCTAACACCCTAACACCCTAACACCCTAACACCCTAACACCCTAACACCCTAACACCCTAACACCCTAACACCCTAACACCCTAACACCCTAACACCCTAACACCCTAACACCCTAACACCCTAACACCCTAACACCCTAACACCCTAACACCCTAACACCCTAACACCCTAACACCCTAACACCCTAACACCCTAACACCCTAACACCCTAACACCCTATTTTTTCATCAAATATTTTTAAATTAATTTTTGTAATAAAATCAATTTTTTCTCATAATTCTTCCTGAAGGTTTGCTAATTCTTTTAATTCAGATACATCACTTATGAGTCATAGATATGGTGTGGTTCTTTCGTAATTTACTCCAATAATATCTCTTAAATGATTGATAAAATCTCTTCTTTCATTCTTGTATTTTATACATATATTTATGCTGTGTTTCTCTGTTTCTTTCGTTTTACATAAATTACACATATCATTTTGATTAATATTTTGATTTTTCTTTGAGTGTCTTAGGGCTGTTAGAGTTTGTGCAGGTCCTGCTGCGTATCTTCATGCTGCTTTAATTCTCGCTTCACTTACCAAGTTTTTATTTAGATTTCAAAATTGCAGTTGACATTTAGAGTTAAGGTTAATCTCTCTTAAGAATTTGTACGTTTTTAGTGTAATCTTTTTATCAATTTCTTTTTCATGTATTTTTTGCCAGTATCTTTTAACTTTTAATTTGACGTCTTTCTTTCAGTCTTTGTTAATTCAATTTACTTCACTGTCAGAGTACCGATATGGTAAATTTAATTCATACTTGCTCAATAAATTTGCATATAAATCTTGAGTTGGTGTTATTCTGTCCTTTAAATTTTTAAGAAAATGTAATGAAATTTCAGAATATGAGTTCATTTCATATATCTTTTGTAGAAATATCAATGATTTTTGATCAATATATTGTTCGACTGTAGGAATATTTAAATCAAGTAATATAGGCTCTATTGGTGTTTTGCTGTATACGTGGCAACATTCTCTAATAATTTTATTGAACATTCTTTGGATAAAAATAATTGCAGTTTTACTTCTTTTTCTTGAGCAAATTTCCAATCCATATGTGCATCTCGGAAGAAATATTGCTTTATAGCAGTTAATTAATGTTGTAGTTGGGATATTTAGCATTTTTCTAATTGCTGGTATAAATGAACTACATGTACTTATTGCTTTATTTTTTAAATAAGCATATTGTGATTGATCTAAACCTGTTGATTTTAAATTTCCTTTAAAAACAATTCCTAACTCCCCCCCCCCCCTCCGTGAGCGAACAAAAAAATTTTTGTTCGCTCACGGAGGGGGGGTTAATTTTTTTTTTTAAAAAAAATTTATATATAAAATTTTATAAAAAAATATTTTTTTCGAAATTTAAAAAAATCCTAATTTGCAAAAATTGGGAAGCAAATATTAATTTAATTTGCAAAATTTATGTTTTAAAACGCAATTTGTTTAAAATTAAACAGAATTAGCTCTAGATTTCATTATACTAATTATCACTTATATATCAAAATTTTTTTCCATTAAAATTTTTTCTATTAAAAAAATTTTTGTTCACTCACGGAGGGTGGGTTTTTGGTCAAAAAATGGCGATTTTTCTAATGGTTTTTGTTCGCTCACGGGGGGGGGGGGGGGAGTATTTATATTTATCAACTATTGGAATTTCAGTTCTTTTAAAATGTAGTTTGGGTAATTTTTGGAGGGTATTTTTTCTGTTTCTATTAATAATTGTCATCAATGCCGTTTTTTCAGGTCCTATATTTAAATCCATACCATTTTCTTCTGTTCATTTTTTAAGATTATTAAGAATTGACTGTAGATCCTCACATTTTCCTGTAATAAAAGCTGTATCATCTGCATATTGAAAATTTATTTTTGAGTATAAATTCTCGTTTTTAATTAATTCTAGGCTAATATCTTTTGTTACATTTTCAATATCATCGATATAGATATTAAATAATAATGGAGAAATCGCACTTCCTTGTCTAACCCCTTTAGTAATATCGATTTTAAATGTTTCATTTCCGTTGATTATTAAGGTAGTCTTTTCTCCTTTAATCATCTGGGAGATTGATTTTCAACTATCATCTGTGACTCTCTTACTTTTTATCTTTTCCATGAGTTTAGTTCTATCCACAGAATCATATGCTTTCGAAAAATCTATAAAAAGTATATATGAATCACTCTTTTTCCCTTTATTATAATATTTTCGATATTCTAAGGTATTTTTCAGTAAGAAACTTTGTGTTATGCATGATTTTCCTTTTCTAAACCCATGTTGTCTATCTGAGATCTTAACGTTGTTTTCAATTTTTCTTAGTTCAGCCTTGTCAAGAATCTTCATAAAACTGTTCATTAATGTTATAGGTCTGTGATTCTTCAATTCTTTATGATTTCCTTTACCTTTATATATAAGAATAGTCTTAGCTTCATTTGCAACATCCGGTATACCATAAATTCTGCAAGTATTTAAAAAATGTGTTATTGCTTCTACCATTATATCTCCTCCTTTTTTTATTATTTCATTCGTTATATTATCTGGTCCAGGAGCTTTTCTGTTAGGCAAAGATTTAATAATATTCTCAATCTTTTTTGAGTTTCAAAGTTCATCTTCTAGACAACCTGCTTGTGGAATAAAAGATATCGTACTCCTAAATTGATCTTCAAATTCTTTTGTTCAAGATTGAATCTCAAATGCATTCATTGGTAAGACCAGTTTGTTTTTATTCAATAATCTTTTTATTTTGTTTCAAGCTCCATAGGGATCATTTATGCATTGTTTTAATCTATTTTCACTTATTATTTCATATCTATCTAGTCTTTTTAACTGATCAATGCATATTTTCTTTACTTTCCGTATTCTTTCAATAAATTCATTATTTTTCTGAGAATAGCAAAATTTGATTCATTCTTTGAGTTTGTTAATTCTTTTCCTTAAAATTTTCATTTCTGGAGTTTTAAAATGATCAGGCTGTAATTTAGTTTTTAGAATAATTGATTCTTCATCTAAGATAGTCTTTATTTCGGTATAGATTTGAGAAGGGTTATTTGTTATGAAAATACCTTTTTCTTTGAATTTAAGGAAGAGTCTGCTTTTAAAGGCTTCATGTTCATCTCCTTCTAGTTTATATCATGGAATAATTGTTTTTTGAGTTCCTAATGATATAATTATCGAAATGCGTGATAGGAGTAAAATATGGTTAGTATTTAATTGAGGGACTTCTATATAAATAATTTCTGATGTTGAGTTTGAGAGAATGTAATCAATAATTGTGTGTGTATTATGACCTCTAAAAGTTGATATTTGCATATCATTGAGAATGTATAGATGAGAATCTTTTATAAATTTAGAAAATATCTCTCCTGTTAGATCATCGATTTCAGATAAATATCCTTTTAGATGTGCATTAAAATCACCCAATAGTACTATTTGACGTCTATCCTTTTGATTCTTTTGAATAATTTCTTGAACTTCTATGATAAAGTTAATATAGTCATCAATTGATTTCTTACTTTGGTGATTTGCTACTACTGGGGCATAAGCTACTATTATTAAGTAATCTTCAATTAATGTTGCTGTTATTCTATGATTGTTAGTTTCAATTGATGTTATTAGATTTGCAAATGTTTCATGTATTAGTAACCCAGTTCCGCCTGATCCTCTGTTGCCAGCAATTGGCCCATTATTTCCAATTCAGATAAATCCTTGAATATATAAGGAAGTTTTCAGTCATGTTTCAGCAATTCCAAGAATAGAAATATCATTAGTAATCATTAAATTTCTTAATTCTCTTCTAAACAATTCGTCTTTCCCTATTCCAGATATATTTAAATAATGCAAAATTTTTCACTATACTTACTATTGGAGGGAGAATTTGAATGCTTGTTACTTAATGGAGAACTAAGAAGAACAGAACATCCTACTGGCATGGATCTTTGAACATCTGTATATTCTCTTGTAATTCTATCCAACCTTGACATTTTTAAAATATAAACCTTCTACATTTTTTCCATAAATTCATAAATAGAAGCTAAATCGAGTGTTTATACAAATGTTTGCCAGTTAATTATATTTTAAGTATAGATTATCTTAGAAGATTATCAAAATTAGTCATTTACACTTATTTTAATAAAAATTGATATTAAATACATTAAAATGCTATTATTATTAATTAGGCAAGTCATGCTTAGGAGTAGTCATTTAAATAATAAAATGATTTTTTCCCCAAATTTTTGATTAAAATATTTTACAATTTCAATATTTTTTATCCATTTCTATTTTAACTTTTAATGTATAAGAAGGAAACTAAGATGGTTGCTCCAGCCTTATAAAGCACTTATTGTTCAATAATAGGCCTTGTTATTCGTTTAAATTTGCAGGGAATTGAAAAAGAATAGTGTGGGCCTTTGGAATATTATTTTCAGAAGCAGGAATTATGCTATATATTGGCAAAGCACACAGATGATTTCTTTTTAAAAAATCATCGAACTTTATCTTCTGCCCCTAAAAAAAATTGTCTCACGAATATTTGGAAAAGGGAGGGCTCCAATATATCAATTTACTTTTTCTATCTACTTATTTATTTTTCTTCAAAAATTTACAATATTTATTGGCCGCATCACTAACTCCCCCCCCCCCCCTCCGTGAGTGAACAAAAAAATTTTGTTCACTCACGGGGGGGGGGTTTAATTTTTTTTTTTTTTAAAAAATTTTATATATAAATTTTATAAAAATTTTTTTTTTTTTCGGAATTTAAAAAAATCCTAATTCGCAAAAATTGGAAAGCAAAATATTAATTTAATTTATAAAATTTATGTTTTAAAAACGCAATTTGTTTAAAATTAAACAGAATTAGCTCTAGATTTCATTATGCTAATTATCACTTATATATCAAAATTTTTTCCCATAAAAAATTTTTTCTATTAAAAAAATTTTTGTTCACTCACGGAGGGTGGGTTTTGGGCAAAAAATGGCGATTTTTCTAATGGTTTTGTTCACTCACGGAGGGGGGGGAGTAAGATCATTTGTCTAAAGCAATACATTTCATTGAGCTTCACCCAATCTTAAATCAGAAATGCAATTTAATAAAATAACGTCAGATATATAATGAGTGAATTTTAAGATAGCAAAATAAACAATATCTTGCTAGAATTTTAAAATGGTTTTAATAAAAATAGCTCCTGTGCATTTGATATGCTTACACATCGTTATGGCAGTGAATTCAGGGTTCTAATTAAATTGAGACAAATTAAGAAATTTTTTATGACTTTAAGATTTTAAATTATAAATCTGATAGAGTTTTTATGCTGATTTAATAAAAGCAAACTTTGTTATCCAATTTTCTTCTAACACAACCCAAACACATTAGAAAAATCCCTAATTTTTAAAAAATAATTCTCCTTAATCGAATAAAAGTTTTATGCATAATAAAAAAATATTTTAATATATAAAATTATTGTATTAAAATTTTAAACGACTTCGTTAAATTTTACAAATTAATTTTAAACTGAGATTTTTTTAATTTCAAAAAAAATTTACTATAAAATTTAAAAATAAGCGTTATAAAAATAGCCCCTCTGTGAGCAAGCAATTTTTTTTTTTCCGCTTACGGAGGAGGAAATTAAGCAAATTTATTGATATGCTTTAATAATGAAAAAGCTCTTATTATATTTAGGCGCAGGAACTCTTGTAGCATTTTCATATGACCCAATTTACTATGCTTATGGACCTATAAAGAGCCTATAGATCTCAAAAAGAATTATGGAAGTTGCAGCTATGCTCTAATTACAGGTGCAAGTGATGGAATCGGAAAAGCCTTTAGTTGAGCAATTGCAGCACAAGGACTTAACGTAATCCTTGTAGGGAGAAATTCAGAAAAGCTCAAAACAGTCCAAGCAGAAATCGAGCAAGAATTTAACGTAAAAGTGGTGACCATGACTGCAGATTTAGAAGAAATTCATGAAAATCTTCAAAAATATAGAGAAATCCAAAGTCAGCTTCAACAATATGACATCTCAATTTTGGTAAATAACGTTGGGCAGCTTGTCAGAAAATCTATCGGAGCTATGAATCCTGAAGAAATCAACAGATTAAACGAGTAAACTGTTATCCAATGGCCCATTTCACGAACATTCTTCTAAACCAGTTCGCTCATAGAGGAACTAGGAGTGCAGTTATAAATGTTTCCAGTAAGTATCCTTTGTGTGGGGCAACTGTTTATAGTGCTACGAAATGTTATAATTATGGATTTTCAATGGCTATGGCGCATGAGTATAAAGATATTGCAGATGTATTAACATTGTGTCCTGGGAGGGTCAAGACTAATATGAATATTAATGAGAAAATTGGCTTTTTTTGCCCTCTTCCTGATAAAGTAGCTGAAGGCGCACTTAGGGATTTAGGCACAAGAAAATTATCATATGGGGCTCCAGGTCATGAGCTAATTGGATGAGGTCTTGGGTTTTTGCCAGAGAACTTAAGAATAGACCTTTCAGGGTTTTTGATTAAAAAAGGTGTTTTTCATCAATAATAAATTTCCAAAAAAATTATCTAAAAATGAATTATTATGACTTTTCAAAAATAAATTATTAACAATTAGGCTTGATTCTCTTCATTCCTCAATCATCTATAGCTGGCTTCCTCTTTAATTCAACTGATTCGAAATCGACAGCTTCTAGGTCTATTTCAAACTCATATCGCTGCTCAATCCCATTTATTTTTTTGAAATGCTTGATTTCTTGACTAATTTCAGCTGGGTAGTTTCCACAGTTTTCTGGCAGATCTCTACATAGCCGGTCTAAGCTTTGCTATAATTTCATCTGGTCTGACTCCTTGCTGCTTGGAAAGTCTCTTCAAAGTCATAGTAAGCCAGCTTTTACTTTCCTCAAATGCTTCTTTTTGCTGGCATTTCCTTATTTTCTGCTTTCTTCTTCATTATTTCCTGGCATTGTAATTTCTTCAGTTTTATTTTCAATTTTTACATCATTTTTCATATTTAGCTAGTTTAAACCTTTGATTTCTACAGAAAGTGCTATTTTAATTTGATTTCTCCTTAATTTAAGCACATTAGGTCCGATTTCAATATAAGCAAAAGTCCCAGTATATGCAGATGAGACCCTTTTTCTTGGAGATCGCCCTGTAAAAGCATTTTTTTAAAATTTTAGGATTTTGTTTCTGCAGCAGCCCAAAATGTTCCATCAAGCTATGATTATTCGTTTTTTCTTTTTTTCCCTAGCAGAAAATTTGTAAGCTGTATAAGTGTGTTTATCCCATTTCTCAGTCTTTCTAGTACTTCAATAATTTTCTTTGCTTCTTCTGTGAAGTCTTTTTCTTCATACCATTATTGGCTTTTATATTTGATGAATAAGTGCTTGGGATTTTAACTATATTTGCCAAATATTCTTTGTCTAAAAATTCTTTGGAGTAGATATTGAGATTTTCTTTATCATCATACTGAGTTTCGTTTTCTAGAACGCTGATTTGACTGTTGATTTTGAAGTATGAGCATTCATTTATAAGCTGAGTCTTTCTACAGCGCTAGGATCGGCCTTAAAAATACAAAGCAATAATCAAAGCCAAAACAGCTTTTTTATATTGCAATGCCATATCATTAATTTTAAATTAGAGAGCCTAATAGTGATTTAATAATTATTAGCAATATATTTTAATGCGATCCAGCTATTGGCTGCTATTTATTGGGCTTTCTATTCATTTCTTAAGCAAAACTATTGGAAATATCCCTATTTTTTGCTAGAAAACCTACCCTCTTAAGCAAAAATATAATTTAATAAATTTTTAATAAAATTAATATTTACTTTAAAATTTTTTTCGTTATTTTCAAAATTTTTTGTTGTCTCATGGAGAGGGGAGTAAGCAATTTTCTCAAGAGGCTATTCAGTTTATGACGAAACAATACCAACTTTAAGAGACTGTCCTGCTTTAGATGCAAACAAACATATTGAGATTATGAGGGCTAGTATTTACTATAAAAGTAGGCAAAAAACAGATATATTCATGAAATTGGTTTTTGATTCTAGCTCCCCTCTTCTTAAGAAACAAAACCATTGGAAAATCCCTAATTTTTACCCAAAAACCTCCGCGAGCGAACAAAAAATTTTTTGATATATAAGCGATAATTATAATGAAATCTTTACCTAATTCTGACTAATTTTAAACAGCTTGCATTTTAAATCATAAATTTCGAAAATTAAATAAATATTTATTTCAAATTTTTTGAGAATTGGGATTTTTTTTAAATTTCGAAAATAACATTTATATAAATTTTTTTAAAACAAAAATTAAACCCCTCCTTGAGCCAAAAAATTTTTTTTATTCCCTTACGGAGAGGGTGTAATTATATTTATACACTCCTTACACCCTATATAATCCCTGAAGAAATAAAAAAACTCAAGAACAGCCCAGACGAGATCCGAGTATTTTACCCTTCTGCTATATGACTTGAAGAAAGAAATGTTTTTCTTGCCGTTGTTCAAGTAAATCTTTGAGACACTTATAGTTTCCTCTACTCTACTTTTTTTGATTCAGAATGAAATGAAATTCGCGACGAAGATTACATTGGCAATACCAAGGTTCCTGGAATCATGGAAATCGAAAAAATATGGTTGCTGTATTTGTCAGGGCCCGAAGATCCCAGGATCTTCCGAGGTCCTAAAGGAGAGCTGTATTTTATCTTTAATAAGCTGACAAAAGATTTTAAAAGGACAATAAATATTTATAGCTATTCTACTGGGACTTCAAGGCAGCTCGTCTTAGAGGAACATCTATGCAGCCAACATATCCTGGAGAAAGATTGGACCCCTTTAATTGTAGATGATGAGCATATGTATTTCATCTATAACTATAAAAATTTGCAAATTATTGACTGCACTGAGGAAAACGAAACATGCAAAAAGGTTAAGGGGATATATGATCCTGTTCTCAACTCTATAAGGGGAGGTTCTCCATACGCAAGGTATGCTGACACAAACTATTTTATCTCCTTTATATACACTAATGTAAGTCAAGACGCTCCTGAAATCAAAATGAAGCCTTACAGGCCAGCGTTATCCATAATAGAGTACATTGAAGGAGTCAGGCCAGACTTCAAGCTAATTTATGCAAGTGAGCCCATTGATTTTGGAAATAGAGTGTTTTTGTCTCCAGTGTCACAATATAAATCTATAAAGCAAACTTTTGATAGCGCTATGTCAAGGATTCTGATGGTTCACTCTATATCAAGATGAAATTACAAAGAAGATATTGTGGATTTAACTCTCACAGTTAATGAGTCTTTTGCTATCGCTATTAGGGTAAAAGGCATAACTGACCTTGTTCAATTCATAATCAATATGTATGAATATGGGAGAATTGAAGAAAAAGAAGACTGTGCGATACTCCTGGCCTTCAATTATCACAGGCAATTATGGCCAAGGCATCTTTTCAACACTATTAAATTCAGCTAAATTGGGCAAATGAGGGGGGGATCCTTATATTGCCTTAATCTAAAAATAAATTTTTTATTTAAGATGCCTTTTAAATTAAAAGTCGTGAGTATCTTATATGTCTATTCCTGTTTTCAATAGAATATAGGTTCGATAAAGCAAATAAAATTAAATTCTAAGTGATTAACCACTATAAAAAGTAGAGATTTTTTAGAATAAAATTATTGACTCCCTTTAAATACGAAAAAAAATTTGTTCCAAATAAACGAAAGTGGATTAAAGTTTATTATATTTCTTTTAAAGATATTTGCTTTGAAAACTTATATTATGACCCTTGCTATAAATTAATAGAAAAAGCATTAATGTTTTTAAGAAAAGGTTAATTACCCTTAAAGAGACTAGGCTTAGACTTGAGTAAAATCGAAGTTAATCGTAATTGGGAGATCGCTTTCTTGAACATTAGGAGCATTAACTATGCATTGTTTCAAGCCTGCTGTGCAGCCAGTGATAGTCCATGTACTTGCATCGATACTTGAACCTGAGTTTGATGTAGCTGTAAATGAACTTTTCGACAGCCCAGTTTTAAGTGCGTGAGCAAAGTCAATCACGATATTCTGCCCATCGAAGCTGACCTCGAATCCAATAGAATCGGCTCTGCAAGTAGTTCCTATTTGAGTTATTGCTTCAGCACAAGCATAGCAGTTGGGACCTGGGTGGCAAGATGTGCAGGAGTCGATACAAGCTAAGTAAAATCTTACAAAGACAAGATGTTGAAGTGGCGCTATCGTCATTAAGGAAGTATCCAGTCGCACAAAAATCGCATTTAGTGCTTTTTGTTGAGCATTCAGCACATTTGTTGGCTGTGGCGCAACCTAAGTAGAAATTACAGCGATAATTTTTAAGTTCATATGCAGCGCCATCACAATTTTGGCACCAACCTCCAGAATTTCTAGCTGAATCAGGATCACAAGCAGTGCATCCAGTAGCATCACAATTGGTGCAATAATCCTTTGATGATACGCATCATTGGCTTCCCATATTATCGTTCTGGCATACACTATCAATGCAAGTTTCAGGAGTGCAAGGCAAAGCTAAATCAGATGTAGTTGAGCCATCATTTAATGTTATTGTATCAAAGGAAGAATTTATGGTAGCACTTTTTGTAGCTACAACCTGATGAAACTTTCCCTTGATTCCTTTTCCGAATAAAAAGTTCCCACCAGGCATAGAATAATTAACTCTTGTGTTGGAGATTTTTTCTATGCCAGGCAACATAACCTCTAAAGTAATGCCTAAGCCATCCATAAAGTGAAACACAATAAAGAAATATTTGTCTGTATAGGAATTACTTAAAGGGACAGTGAAGGAAAAGTCATCAGCTGAATTAGTGGTTGTCGCGTCTGAAAAATAGGAAACTTTTAAGGAACCATTCACAGTTGATGAGACCTTATAATGTGGTCCACTGTCAATTCCGAATTGAAAAACTTTGTCGCTAATAGTTGATTCGAAGTTTACCCAAAATCCAAATGCGTATTCTATAGTTGCGATTATGCTGGTTACGTCTGCTGTTAAACTAAAGCCTGCATTATTCAGGCTTATTGAGTTGCAGCTAAGAAATGGGTTTATTTGAGTGCTATCATCTGAATTTATAGCAGGCTCACCTGAATTTTCTCAATTGTTAATGCTTTGGGTTATAGTATCTTCTGTTAATTTGACAAAACGCCAATCACCTAATAGTAAAAATCCTTTGGCAAATGATAAGAGGACGAGGACGACGAGAATATTTAGTGGCTTTGAATAAACCATTTTATTTATAAACCATTTTATTTTACTTTTATAAATGTTTATTAAGGAAATTTTAATAGTAAACTTTTTCAAGAAATTCTTTGATCGTTTTTCAAATTTATAAATTGATGACTAGAATAGAAATGCAGGTTCAGCCTTGCTTTAAAATCCCAATTAAAATATCGGTAATATTGCCTATCTTTGAAACTGCCAAGTTGGCCTATATTTAAAACTAATTTTGTGCTTAAATATAGAGGTAAAGGATTTTGGATATTCAAAATCACTGGTGCCTTTTGAACGAATATAACCCTTAATTACAGTCCACGTCAGCCATAATTTTACCTAATAAAGAAATAGTTTTTTATGCAAATATTTAATCCTAAGTGATAGTTATAAATTTTAAGCTAATATGCTTTTGATAAGGATAACTTTCTATAAGAAAGAAGCTATGAAGACAGGTTTATTTTGTTCACCAGTTATAAATTCTTAGTTTTATAATAACTCAGCCTAATGGCAAAAAAATCAGCTTCTGTCTATCCTAATTAAAGAGAAAACTTATTAGATTTAAGAACATCTAATTCTACTAGCTATAGGACATATAAGCTTGCCGCTTTTTAGATTAAAAGATGTTTTAATCTTCAGCTTTGAATAGAAGAAATAACCCTAAATTTAATAGTCAAAAGAAATTGGCTTTAAATTCATCTAAAATTAAAAATTTTTATCAACACTTTTCAAAGCCTTAATCTGACTAAATTGCTGAATTTTTATTACGAGTTCTACCATTATAAAATTAGAATAAGTATATGCAAAATGGTGCAAGAAACGCTTTAATAGTTAAATGAGGATAAATGATTCGCCAAAAATAAATTCAACTCATAAATTTCGTTTTATGAACCAAACTCAAGTAGAAATCTGCGAGTGAAAGTTAACTTCAAGATAAGCACTTAGAATATCATATCAAACTCACTTCTAGAATATAATAAAATAACAAAGAAAAGAATTGCCCTAAGAAAGCTGAATTAGCACTTAATTATGGGCAGATATTTGGGAATGAAGTTGAAGAACTAAAGTCTATAAGCTTGAACTCATCAAAACTAAAGAAAATTAAATGTGATAGGCCTAGGAAAGTTTAATAATCTTTCTAATGAACTTATTAAGGCTGGAGTCTTCTTATAATAAATCGCTTCCACCATTTTATCTATGATTAAATATTGAGATAATAAGTTTTTCTAAAATACCTTACTAACTCCCCCCTATATATCTTGATCTCTTAATTATTTTCAACAGTGGCTTCGTCTATTGCCCATGCCAATCAAATTTCTTGTTCAAAGAAATTGGCGGGTTAATTCAAAGCCTAAAAGGCTCGGTTTTTATTTCTTTGTGAGGAATTTCTTTTTCTTCGTCAGTAACTGTGATTTTTCCTTTGTCATTGCTTCAGTTTGCTATGTTTAAAATAAGCATGGCTGGTAAGTCTGAGTTTTTGATGCTTTGGGAGATATAGGAGCTGGAATTTTCGTTTTTATGGACCGAACCATGCTGAGGAAGTCTTTTTCACACTTTCAAATTTAGAACTGGTATATGGATTAAAAGGTATATAGTGCCTTGCCTAAATTTTGGGAAGCCTCTAGCATTAGCATTAGCATTAGCATTAACTTTATTACTGAGAGGCTGCAGTATTGCTCAGACGTATTTTAAATTAAGACAAATCTAATTTTATAAAAGTATTTTCATCATAAATTTTCGTACTGAAAGGAATTTTTATTCCAATTTTAAACTATTAAAAATAGCAATTTACCTATATTTTGGAAATAAGGTAGCTTAAATTTGAATTTTTATTAAATAATTTTTGTTTAAAATCTCTTTACTCTAGTTAATAGTTTACATAATGTATTTTTTATCAGTTTAGTCATGAAAAATAGAAGTCCAGCAACTAAAGGGAAAAAGGGTCTATCAATTACAATATCTCCATCTTCTCAAGGAAGCTCTTCTAATGTTTCTTTGAAAGAGCCTCAGCAAAATAAAAATACTATTCAGAAAAAGACTATAAATCATCAGCGAAGCAAAACTCCAGTCATCATAATGCCAAAAGACGAGCTTTCCCCAGCAAAAACGACTGACTCAGTTCCAAGCCCTACAAAGAATGAATTCCTTTTTGAAAGAGCTTTGAGCGAGCTTTTATCAGAGATAGAGAATCTTCTAGTGCAGCATAAAGAATGGAGACTTTCTAAAATCAGCAAAATCGAATTATTTAAACAAGAATATGAAATTTCAGATGCTGAATTGAGCAGTTGTACACTTGGGAATAAAATAATTGACATAAGAAAAAAGTTTGATGAATTAAAAGAGGTCATAAAAATAATGCAAGGGGATATTGAAAGTCTAAGCAATATATCAGCATGAGAGCAAGTTCAGAAGAAAAAAGCAAAAGAAATAAAAGTAGATAATGAGCTTCTTGGAATAATAAGAGAAGCAAAGTCAAATCTCCAATTGCTTAAGCAAGCTTCAATGGAGAGTGAAGTGAGCATTCCAAACGATAATCTCATGATCAAGAATTTGCAGCTTCAGCTTCAACAAAGTAAAAGGGATAGGAGAAACTTGGAAATTCAATTAAAATGCCCAGAAAAATTGAATGAAGAAATGATTTCTCAAACAGTTGATCAAATGCTACAAGATGGGCCATCTTAATATAATTTTACTTGAATATCACCAAATATAGATGCTGGAAATTTCTCACATAAATAATTGGATAATTAAATTAAGTATTAATTCAGTTAATTCTTATTCGATTGCAATTAATCAAAGTGTTTAAGGTGTTTAATGCATCACTCCCACTTACGGGCCTAAGCCAAGGTGGTGAAGTAACGAGCATTTCTGATTCAAGAGGTCAGACCATCCCAAATAAACTGTTTACCATTCTGGTCAGCGTCTCTCACCTGGTGCGATAATGTGACCCTTCCCTGACTATCTCACAGACGTGGTCCGCTTAAGGGTCATCTTCCTCGGATGTGCTGAGAGGTTAACCCCTGAACCTCTTGAATGCCTTGAAGCAGCGCCCTATGCGACCAGAAATTCAATGCTCTTATTGTGCAGAAGTTTCTTGGTAAAAAAGCCCCATAAATAAAGAAACCAAATACCATTTTATTTATAATTAATTCTGATTCAGTTAGATATATACAGTTAAAAACTTGAAAAAATGCATTAGCTAACTAAAGAGAGCTCACTAGAAATGATGCGAACTCAATTTCAAATAATAGTAAGAATTAAGGTGAGAGTTATACTGCGCGAAAATTTATTGATAAGATATATATACGTTATATAATTCTGGCATGAGCTTATCTATATTTTATAAGCAATTTACAAAAAAATCCAGCTTTAATTTTTATTAGAGCCTTTCTTGTTGAATAAAATTAAATAAATCTACCCATATTTGTCGAAATATTCTGAGAAACTTTAAGTTTGTGTGATAATAAAATGAAGGTCATTTGTATTCTTCTTGGCATCCTTTGTGCTGTTTCTGCAGAAGATTACCCCGATGCAAAAAGGAACTTCACAGAAGTTTGCACAGCCCATGGTTGGAGAGTCGAAACTCACAACGTAACAACCGCAGATAACTATATTTTAACCCTTTTCCGCATCCCAGGGGCCGCAAACCAGCCACTAAACCCTAATAAAAAAGTCGTTTTCCTTCAGCACGGTCTTTTGGACTGCGCAGATACTTGGATCATGGATCTTCCAGATTCCCCAGGTTTCCAATTTGCACAAGCTGGATATGATGTATGGTTTGGCAACTCAAGAGGCAATTACCACAGTCTTGGCCATGTAACTTTGAATGCGTGGAAAGACTTACATCGTTTCCTCCAATAGAACATTTTAAACTATTGATTTAAAACAATAATTTATTAAATAAGCATTTGCTAATGGATACAAGTTAGCTTACTGGAACTTCACCTGGCAGGATATGGCAGATTATGACCTACCAGCTGTAATTCCTTACGTCCTCCAAACTACTGGACAAAAGAAACTCACCTATATTGGCCACTCTCAAGGAACCCTTCAAATGTTTGCCCATCTTTCAAGCAACCAAACCTTCATCAACAATATCAACATCTTCATTGCTTTAGCTCCAGTAGGAACAGTCAGGCATATCAAAATTGACTTCTTCTTCCTCATCAAAAAGTTCCCACTTTTTGATATGATGAACGATCTCGGGATTGGCTGCTTCTTACCATATGATAATGCTCCAGGACTAAATTACGATTTCTGTGAGCTTTTCAGTGTTGTTTGTGACTGGGTTGACTATGCTTTGGCTGATATGATTACCGGAAACGATAACGATAAGATGCTTCCTACCATTTTTGCCCATGAAGCAGGAGGAACCAGCGTCCGCAATATGCAGCACTGGCAGCAAATGACTAATTTATGACACCTAATTACTACTTACATAACTTTTAAGGTGTCTAGTGCCCACACCCCTTAATTAAAAAGCGTCAAAGCGAGACTAGTGACGTCACCCAGCCATCTCTAATATGTGGTCAGCCCACACCTAAGCCTTCTATAAAGCTTCGTCGCCAGACAATCGCTGCACGTCTCACCCGGCGCGTTGCCGTCGCTCTCCCTGACTCACCTCCTGCTCATGTTCCGCCTAAGGGTCATCCTCCCGTGGGGATGTGCTGAGAGGTAAAACTCTGAGCCTCTTGAATGCACTGAGGAGCCGTACCTTTGGTTATCCCCAAAGCTAAACCGCTATTGCTGTGCAGAAGTTCTCGAGAGAAAACCTAACCCATAAATAAAATTCCATGAGGGAGAGAAAATTCGCAGAGCATTTTATCTCGGACCGAATGCCATTTTATTTACAACTATGACACCTATAGAGTCCAAAAATATGACTATGGCGATCATGACAATGAAAAGATATATGGGCAAAAGAAGCCTCCAGTGTACAACTTTGCTAAAATCCCTGGACCAATTGCACTTTTCTTTGGAAAAGATGATAGACTAGCTGATCCTACTGATGGTGCTTGGCTTAGAGGAGTTATACCTGCAAAATCAATTGTCTACCAGGAAGAGACCTACAACTTTGGGCATATGACATTCGTTTGGGGAAAGAACATGACTTGGTTTAGCAACGTCATTGCTCTTGCGAATAATTATAGCTCAAATGCTCAAGAGGAAAATTCGAGCCCTGTTTTACTTTCGTCTTAAGTAATCTAATCGAGGATTAATTTTATATCATCTCTAAGTAATAATTACAAAACTGTTCGTCGAGACTATTGATCAAATTTATGTTTCTCATTCTTGTAAGAAAAAAGCCGTTGCCCCATGGGCACAGCAAAGGGAATGATGCCTTATCCAGTAATTGAATGAATTTCAAGATAGCTGGAGCTATTTTTTGCTTGTTATATAATCCTAACTCCCCCTTTAAAAGAGAAAGCAAATTTTTTACTTAATTTTTTTTAATTTTATATGTCTAATTCCAATAAATAAAAACATTTATACTGATTAGCCGTTATCCTATTTTATATAAAAACAGGATAAAGGTAGTCAGAAGGTATCTTTATAATTAGGGTATATAATTATATGTAAAACAAAATTTCCCAGATGCTTAAAAATCAAAGCTTGGAAATATTTGAAAAGTAAAATTTAATTCAATTCATAAAATGATTTTTAAAAAACGTGTAAAATTTTAATAGAATTAACTAGAGAATATGTTATTCCGCAGGCTTTGTTTACTCTTAAAGGGTAGGGGAGTAAGTATATCCAACAATCCTCCATTTTGGACACATCTTAATTTACGTCATATTTTTAAATTTAAATTTTTATCTGACCTTTTTGTTTAAGGGAGTGTATAAATTAATTATTTTCTTATCAGGGGCTCTGCTTGCATTAAGCATAATTGTAAAACTAAAGATAAAATTTTGTTTAAATTATTAAGTCTTTTTATAAATTTTTGTTATATAGCCTGATAAAATCCTAATATTATTTAGATAGTGAATCGAGTTCTCTAAATTATTTTAAAATTGGATTCAAATATTTTAATAAAATTGAAAAATAATTGCCTAACTATTGTCATATGATTTTCAAATAAATCAATCTTGGCAGGCTTTCAACTAAGAGTTCGTTTATAATATGAAATCATAGAATAATGAGATAAAAGAGCTATTGTCCTAAAGACATAGCAAGTTTGTTCCAGTATGAATAATTTCTAAAGGCAGCTGGAGCTGCCTTCAGCAGGCTTAGATAATGGACATCTATGATGAACCAGCTATTATATGCATTGTTTGCTAAATTTTATAATTTTTTGGGGCATTTTATTTATGGGACAAATGACTAATATTCTAAAATTGGTAAATAGTTAAAATTTTTTTTTGTAACAAAAATTTACCTATAAATAGTATCATATATAGAATATGGAATAAAATATATAAAAAGAGCCTTTAGCCTCTTCGGCTTTAGCTATTCCAGTATAACGAATTTTTAAGACAGCTGGAGCTGCCAGTTGGGGGAGCCATTTGATGAGTCAAAAAAAGTGTCTTCATACGACGACTATTTTTTTGGGCCTTTTTTTTAGCCTATTTTTTCACCTATTTCTTTTAGCCTATTTTTTTGGTCTATTTTTTTTAGCCTATTTTGTTTAGCCTAATTTTGTTTAGCCAATGTTTTTTTGGCCTATTTATTTTTGGCCTATAAGATAGATTTTTTAAATTATTTTTCTAATTTTTGAGGTTTATTGGAATGATTTTAATACTTTATAAACATTTTTGATAACTTTGGATTTTTTTTTTTAATTTTGAGAGCCTTGCATTTTGGCCAGATTTTTGAGAATCAATTTTTCCTCCCAATTGGCCCATTTGACGCTTATATGCGTCAATTAGCTAAAGCCCCTCTTCTTTAAATTAAAATAATTTCCAGAAGTTTTATTTATGGGACATAATTGTACTATACCTTATAAATATAAAGTTTAATTTAATGAATTAAAGAAAATTATAAAAATTAGACGCTTTTAATTATACTTTTAATGGTTTTAAACTGATTGATGTTAAATAAGAGCTTAAGCTGATTATAGTGTATTTTTTATTTATTGGACATCAGATTTTAAAAATTAAATGTATTATAGATATGGAGACACTGATTTTTGGAGTGCAGTAGTCAACGATTTTCATGAAAAAATCCGCTCAGACCCACTCTTAAGACGATATTTTTGTAGGCTCCATGCCAAACGACAAATTATTTTTGATAGTGTCCATTTCATTGAAGCACATTTGGTTGAAATTTAACGTTTTTTTTTTCGGTAGAATGTCTCACAATCAAAAAGATACAACCAATTTTCGACCAAATGTACTTCGGAGAAATGCGCACTATTAAAAGTGCACGATCATTGGATATGCACCCATTTTTGCAGAAGGTCTCAAGCTGAAGTTCAAATGATAAACTTTGCAATATTGAAAGCAGGACTTGGGCTTGTTGATTCTGGCTATGAAGATGTTGTAAAGTACGCTCATCAAAGTAGAGGTATCCGTAAAGAGCACTTGGACAGATTTTTTATATGTTTGAAATCTGCTTTAGACCAAGCCAATGTCCTACCGGAAGACGCTGAAACTATTATTGCCAACCTGTCCAATTATTCTAGCTTGCTAATTGATGAAACAAGTAGTGAAGGAGTTGAGGAAGACGAAGAAAGCTAATCAATCTTAAATGCTTAAAATTCTTACAATTTGTGATGTTTAATTAATTACTATAAATTTCAGCATTAGTTTAAGTAGAACTCATTTTACAGGTTAATTATAATTTTTGAAGTATCTTTTGGTTTAATGAAAATTTGTTTCTTATGAGCTTTCTTCCCGGGAAATTTTTATTTATAAGTGGAGTTGGATGAGCATTTTTATTGCTTCCTTCGAATCGATTCAAATATTGTGCTAAATTTAGGTCCAGAAAGGTAGGTGTGTTATTGGCATATCTTGGTGTTGCGATCCCACTTGGAATTAACCTATGCGGAGTTGCTAAATTCAATAAATTCGTCTCATAAAAAATAGGCGTTATTGCAAACGGTGACTGATTAAGCTGAAACTCTATCTCTGATAAGTCCGGGCTGTAATTTTTGCGCTTAATTAATTTATTTTTCCTTTTCGCTTTGAAATCTACTTTGCTCTTTCTTCATACTAAGCTCTCTGGAGAGTGCTCATTAGCAGTTTTCTGAGCAAATACATTCTTTGGAGTATTCCATTCAAATGGTTTTGCACTCATATAGAGTTCATCATCAGATCTAATTGACGGACTAAGAGTATTTCTATATACGCTTCTAATTTCATGACTAGGGCTTGTAAAATTAGTCTTTTTCATAAAAGATTGTCTTGATGCTAATGATTTATGTGACTTATGAGTGTCTTCCAACTCAATTTCTTTTTTTGCTGTGCCCCTAATTTCGTCAATGTATTTTTGTGATTCTCTCAAAAATTCCAAAGTATCTTTAGGCCGTGAAGTTTGTGAAATGTGGAGGAAGTAGGAGTTTCCTTTTAAATCTTTTCATCTTTGCGGAATGGAAGATGCCCAAACGTAGCTTGAACTTTTGGAAATTTTGTTGTTAAACGCTTTCCTTCTTGGCTTGGATTGAGCGTCCTCGTCTATGCTATCAATTGTGCTGGGTAAGATTAAGTAGGCTTTCTTGTTTAAATCTCAATCAAGACAATCTTCCAAGAAGGCTTATTCAGTTTCTGGCAAGATTCGAATTCTGCCAGAAATAGCTTTGCATCAGCTTTCGGCCTGGCTCTTGGTTCTGTCTTGGAACGCTCGAGTGCACAGTTTAGAAACCTAACGATTTTATGTAAGTGGCTGAGTTTCAGCTAGGGATAAACTATCTTGCTAGCATCGAAACCAGCTATGCCTTTGTACCAGCATTAGAAGCCTCCAGGGCCAAAAACCCTTATTTCCCAAATGCATATCGAGAAGAAAAAAGGTCTTAAGCCTAACTGTAAGACAAAGAAATAGTATGTTGACGTCAACAGAAGATGGACTTCGATACACAATCACTATGGAGTAGGTAAGGCCCGTGCTGATAAGGTTGAAAATAGTGCCTCTGTCACTTTTTAAGTTTGGGGGATGCTTACCGAAGAGGGATGCTTTGTTTCTTCCCGAAGATTTCCCTATTCCTGCCACAGGTTTTGCCTCCTATTAATCTTTGCTTATCGGGACTCCGCAAGAGGTGGCTCTAACCTAGAGAGCTAATCCTTAGGTTCGGTGGGTTTACACTAGTAAGGGAGGCTAGTGTTGGATTGGTGCCGCCATTTTATTTGTGCCGTCAACTGTGCTGGGTGCTGAAGAAAAATAGGGAACTGAGACTCGTTTGACTTCCATATTTAATCAATTTTATATATCTTGAAAACACTGGAATCTATTGATAAATTTATTAATGCATCTTGTGAAGTAGATTTACTAACTTCTAATGTTGAAAAAAACTATCTGAATAATTTTATAAGTAATAACTAAAATTTCACTTCAAGAGACTTTTGCACTTGATTAAAGCTTTGGATTTTCATATTAAAATTACTAATTATGCTTTATCGTTACGGAAACAGGGAATTCTGGGACCATGTCGTAAGTTTGTTTCATGAAAAGCTCACTCCCCCATCTAAGAACGAACAAACATAATAAATATTCTATGTTTTGAAAATTAACCCTTACTTGAGAAGTATTCTGTATATTATTTTTATATTTATCTTTTAAGATATTTTAAAACTTAAAAGCAATAAATTGTCACAAAAACAAAAATGGCCAATAGGATATATATTTTCCGTCTTCTACCCACTCCTGAAGGAAAAATATCTACAATTTTCGGATATGAGAGTCAGGGAAGATCGGATTTTAAGATCTTATTTTGAGCGCCGAAGACCAGCAGAAGTGCAAATGATTAATTTTGCAATTTTAAAAGCAGGCTTAGGATATGCAGATGCTGAATACGAAGAGTTAATAAAATATGCTCATATCGGTAAAAGCATAAGCACAGAAGACATGCATCGGTTTCTCAACTGTTTAAGGCTGGTTCTCGACGATGTAGGTGTCGCCCCAGAAGACATTGAAATAATAGTTGGACGAATAGAAGGGTATTCGAACCTTATAGTAGAAGAAGACGAGGTATAATCTAATTAACCACTAAAAGAGTGTTAGCATTACATGAAGTCGTCATCCCACTCTTCATCAAGCTCTTCTTCTCCTGCATTCAAGTGAGCCATATCCACCTGGTATCTCAAAAATGCGCCGAGTCCTCCGAATCCTCTTACAAACTGGGCTCCTTCTTGGCTTCTGTCAGTAATGAATTCCAGCCCAGCCCCAAACTTCATATAGTTATCCACAATCCACTCAGGCAGTGGACCTTTTTCTAGCGCTTCTAGCTCTTCACCGTTTTCCATAAAATTGCCATGGTCTTCTTCCTGTTCAGGGGTCAGGTAAAGCGTCTTTTCGACCCCAGTTGTCGGGTTTTTCAGCACATACCTCGTGAAATTCAAGTTTTCGAACAAAAGAATGACCTCAACAGCTCCCATGATTAAGGACTTCATTGTGTCTTCGACTCCGTAGCAGTATTTCTTGGTGTCTTGTGCGACTTCTTCGAAGAACTTGCTCATAACCTTCTTCTCCCTGATAAATTTGATGTTGCTTAAGGTGTCTGCTGAGAGCTCAATAGCTTGAGTGAACCCATTTTCTCCTCCATACGCCACATCCACTATTTTCAGCACCTTGGCAGCCAGTCTCTGGTCAAACAAGTCGCTTTGCACAAGCACGTTTTTGAACTCAGCTGAACCAGCCACAATAAGTCCTGCTACGTTAACTTTATCTGATGAAATAAATTGCACTACGGCTTGCTCAGCGACCTTTCTGAGGTAGTTGTTCCTGGACTCCATACGAAGCCTGGCAAAACGAAGCGCTGACTGACCTCCTCTTCTATGCTTTTTTGGAAGATCAACTGAGAACTTGTGTAAGACTTCTCTTGTGTTACCTTGGAGAGTACCAAAAAGGGCTCCATTACCATCAATAATGATAAAGCCGAACTTGTCGTCCATGACCAAGAGGTCTTTGAGTGGCTGTGTGTGGAATTTATTATCGCAAATATAAAGAGTGGTATTGATGGCTCGGTATGGCTGGAAGTCAATCGTATACTTTTTCTCGCAGACTCCTTCTTCGTTGATAACTTCGCCACAATACAGAATTAGACCGTTTGCTGGGAGCCTGTTATTATAAAGTTTGAGACGCTCTTTTGTGGAGGTGAGAGCACTTTGAACGGCCTGTCTGACGATTCTTGATTTGATGTTAGATGACTTTCCATATTCTTCAGTGATCATTTTGTTGATGATGGGCAACTGCTCTCGAGGAGGGATGATCAGTGAGATCAGGGATGTCCCATTTCCACGGGCTTTGTCCAGATTATCAATCAGTCGCTTTATTTTCCACTGCTCGATATTCTGTGTGAGCTCGTCTCCTTCCATTTATTATAGGGCCAATCCTCGAGCCATAACATTGGAACAAAATAGGATAAAAGATAATACAAGATTAAAATTTAATTTTTATTGTATATCAATTAAGAACAAAATGGAAACTGATAAAAAAGTAGGTGCAGTTATACAGAAACTGCATTCTTAGAGTGATTACACTTTTTATCTGGAAATTAACTAATTTCTTTTCTTAATTTAATTCGGTAATTTAAATTATTGTATTGCAAATTATTTTATTTAGAGATTTATTTAGAATTTATAGCTGAAAATAAATCTATGATAGCTTAAAGCAAAATAACTTAAAAATAAAATTAAAAATTAATCAAACAAAATCTCTAAGCTTACGAGATTTGCTTTTGAAATAGAAAGATCAATAAATAACTGATTTTACAAATAATGAGATATAAAGATTTACTACTTTAAATCTAATTACTTCAAGAAGTTTTTGATCAAAAAAGAATTAAATTTGGGAAAAATTTAGATAGGGATTATGATGATAAAGGATATAGTTAAAATAATAGATATCAAGCTTCTTAATGCAAAATCTGGCTAATTGATTTTTATTATGAAAGAAGATGGCCACAATGCTTTTATTTTAAAATAAAAACGCTAGTGAAAATATCAATCAGAAAACGCAATAAAATAACTAAAAAATTTAAAAATGCAGTAAAAAGAAACAGAAAATATCACTAGTAAAGAATTTAATAATGAATAAATTATTCAAAAATTTTTATTTATTTGGATCATCATTCACTTAGAGTAAAAAGTTTATTGAGCTTACTGCACATAATATAAAGCAATTTGAAAATTTGATGATCAAACTGCTATATCATTTATTGAAAGTGATAAGAAAGCTAAAAAAAGGCTCTAAGCAGACCGAAAAAATGCAGCAAAAATCAGTCAATAAACTGCGAAACTCCCTAATTTCCTATTTTCCACAAACCACCATATATATTATGATCCTCAGACCCTATATATAAAATATTTTCCCCAACACTAAAACATTCTCAAATAGTAAATTTAGCTATATAAAATAATTTACTGCCACTTGTTTCAGCTTACTTACACTCTAATTAAAAGAATATTAATGGTATAGCTAAATTTTATTTTTGCCGCTTTCTTAAAACTCTGAAAAATAAATTCTAGAATTCCATTTGTCATTCCGCAAAAAATAACTTTATATCTTCTTAATGATATTTATCGAAACCATAAATTTTAATGAACAAAGACCAAAGTACCTTATACGCGAAAGAAACTCTAAAGTTTCTTATCGAAAAGGTGAATCTTACGTAGAACTACCCAAACTTGAGTTCTTATTTTTCTTCTCCCCAAACTGGAAAATTCACCCAAAAGGACCGTGAAACAGTCATAGAGTGGCTGATGGAAATAAACGATCATTTAGGTGGGTCTTCCACCACAATTCAGCATGGTATAAGATATTTTGACTCTTTCCTATCAGTTAAGCCCGTTTCTCATGTGAGAATTTTGCAACTTGTAGGAATTGTGGCCCTCGGGGTGGCTTTGAAATATGAATTTGGGCGGGAACTCAGCCCAAGACGAATTTACGACTTGTGCAGTGGGAATTTCCCAATCGAAGCAATCGTGACCACTGAGGTTTACATGCTGAATGCTCTGGGCTGGCAGCTTGATGTGCCCACAGCCTCAGAAATTTCAAGATGTCTCCTCTCCTGGACTTGCGGGGCTTTTGATTTCTCAACCCTTGCAAAGTACTCAGACTCGTATGCAGCAATTTGCTATCTTGATAGCACCTTATTTTATGAGCCGCCGCTTTTAATTGCGATGGCTTCAATTTGCTGTGCGCTTGATAAATTCAAGTATCAGGACTTCAAAAAAGATTGGCTACAAATGGTGGAACAGGACTATCCTTACGATGTAAAGGCTTTGGACTCGATATTAGAAAGAATACAAATAAAGATTGTTGATATCTCGGCTAGTAATGAAGATCAAAGCACTAGGTCTGGCTCTCCTCTGTAAAGATGGAAATTTTTGTTTAATTATTCGGTAGCCTAATTTTTTAGACCTAAAATTGTATTGGGTGGGATCTTTAAGCCTCTTGGGAAAGTTTGCGGTAAAAATGACTTACTCATCATTTAGAAATATTTAAAATATTTTCAAATTTTGAATTTTTTCAGCTTATATATAGAATTTTCAATATTTATTTTTTTTTATTTTTTAATGGGGGAATTAGAATTTAAAATTCATTTGGCCTCCTTACTATAGGTGGCAATAATTTTAAGTTGAGATGGCTAGAGATAATTTTCTATGAGTTAAAAAGTCTTTATCTTGAATTCTTAGCCCTGAATAAGTTATTTTACTTCTGCTTGTCATTAATAAAATGTGTGATTGCTTTAAAAATTGTTCAGTAAAAAGTATGGCACTAACAGAAAATTATTTTAAGATAATTTAAATACCTAATCTTTTCTATTCTATAAATGAAATGAATCATGATGTTTTATTCACTTTAGCTCTATAAATAAATGTATTAGCAAAATGCTTTGAATTTAATTTCTGGCTCGTATCCATTATCCAATGAATCATTAGCACTCAATATATTAAAAACTATACTTCCGATGATAGCTGTAGCAAGAACTAGGATTAATAAGACAATCAAAACTCACATTCTATTATGCCTTTGTGCTGGCTTCTGAAATATAAAGACCCCAATAAAAGTTCCTACAAAGGCACATAAAATACTCATTGTCCCGTAGTCATGCAGCACAACCCCTGCAACCAAGTGCTGGAAAGTCGAGACTGAAAAAGAGAAATAGGCTACACAAGATGATATCACACCGGCACCTTCTGGCCTAATTCCTAGACTAATGAGAGTAGGGTTAACTACAATCGCTCCTCCTATTCCAAGATACCCTGCATCAAAGCCTGCGATATAAGTGGCAAAACTCGCTATAAACGCAGTCTTTGGCTTCCATCTGATGTCCATATCATCAAAATCGTATCCAACCCTCAGCTTTCTCTTGATGATATGGAGCAAAAAGAGGCCGGCAATTAGATTTAGACATAATAGGAAGACCTCAAAAAGAATCACATAGACCCAATTCCATACCGAACAGACTTCGTAACCAAGAGGGGATTTCAGCTCATTACCTCCCCGGATAATTTGAGCGACATTTGTGATGACGTATAATGATAGAATAAATAAGACTTCTCTATAAGGAACTATTTTCCTTTGCTTATTTAAAATGTAGTCAAGGTGCTTTTGGTCTTCGGTATTTGGTTTGTCTTCAGACTCTTCATTTTCTTTAGCTTCTTCTGATGCTGGGCACACTTGGGCATCCTCTGAAAAATTGCCTTTGAGTGACCCATTCTCTCCGCCAAAGTTTTCTTCAGAAATTTCGATTGAGTTTGTGTTATTCTTTTTACTTGGAGAACCCTCTTGGTCAGACACCTCTATTGCTGTTCTGGCTGTTTCTCTTCTTCTCTGTGTTCTCCTTTGTTTATGCAAGGCCATAAATTTTTGAATTGCAGTTCAAAGAGTATAAGTGAGTACCAGCGTTATAGCCAAGCACGATTTTTGTTCAGGATTCTCCATCTTTGCCAAGTATAAAGGAGAATTGGCTTAACCACATATGATGGCCAACCAAAATTTAGGTTTCTGCCATCGAGGGAATTTATTTGGAAGCATAAGTTTAAATCCAAATCCACTGTTTCCTACTGAAGATAATAAAACTCCAAGCCAAAATCATGCTATAGCTATAAACTGGCAATAATCAGCCACTGGGGAAAGCCTCTGCTGCATATAAACCCAATGGTAGCTCCGAAACACATGGGCTCGACCAAAAGCATGACAACTTCAAAATCAATCTTATCTTAAATTACTTTTCATAGCATACTGGTTAAGCATTCACTGGACTCTTGAGTTTTCATTCACTTTGCGGCATTCCCTGTCGGACACTTGGATGGATAGATTACTTGGATGGCAATTTGCCTCGGGCACCATCTTGCTCCTTCTCCGATCCTTATGCCATGCTCATCCGAAGTGCCATGTTCTGAGAACGTCTCCTTCTGCCTGCTCTTGTATTGAGGGGAGAATATGGATTTCTGTGGCTATACATCAGGCTATTGCAAGTAGCTTGATTCAGGGAGAAAACCTGGGAGACTAACTAATGCTGGATGCCTAATCTTCGCAGCTACAGGAATAGCATTAATCCCTGGATCCAGGCCGCAACTTGGTATCACGGTGAGATCCTCGAGGGCGTTGCCAAGTTATCTCTTTCCAAGCACATAAACTAAGAAAAACCTACCGGAAATACATAAAAAATATCTGACCGGAATTTCGCTGGTTTCTCGTCTATAGGGTTGAAAATTGCCTCAAGAGGTTGAAGCGCTTAGGTCGCTATATTATGATTTAAATCAAAATCAATCAAAGGGCGGTCCTTAATTGGATGTCTTTCTGGAATGTTGATAAGGACATGAGCAAATGCCCCACCCATGACAATTGCTTGGTTCAAGCTGATGGATGTGTGGACGTCAAAGTTGAAAAAAATCATAAACGTTAGCAGATGAACTCCTCCCAAGCCGGCAAACCCAGATGCGTAGGTTAAGGCTCCTACCAGGATAATTAAAATCATTCCTGCAAGCTCTATACCTTCTACTGGCAAGAAGTCCTTGTGTTTGCATGCACCGTTAACGCAGTTAAATAGGTAGGCACAGTCACCGTTTGTAGAGCACGACTCGGAACTGGCTAGGGCAAGGATCATTAGCAATAAAAGTCCTTTCATATATGCTGCTCTGATTTAATGCAATGGCGTTAAATATAAGATATCATTGATGTCATTTCAAGGAATTATCTATAACTAATTTTTAAGTCTATGGTGTTTTCTGTTTTCAGAGACATTTAAATTACTAATAATAGTTATAATTATTTATTTAGTTTTCGACCAAAATAAGTTAACTTAAAAAAATGATTTATTACACGACTTTAAAATTGAATAGAGAAATAAAATTATCTTTATATGATTATTTACCTAATTAGGATGAGTAAAGAAATAAATAAATTGAGTGAGAATTTTTATGATTATAATTATGAAATCTAAGGTGCTAGCTTAGAGATATCACTGTTCTAGGATTGATTTCATTGAATTTTCAATTATTTTGCCTTAAAAATACAATAATTCAGTCTAAAATTAATTCAAAATGGCTTTTAGCTTAATATTAAAATTAATCATGATTTACCACTTAAATCTCATGCTATTTCCACACAAAACTTAATTCATTGCTATAATTAAACAGACCCCATTTAATCTAAAAATGTAAATAGAAAAATAGGAAATGTCGAGCCTACCCTATTTGGATCCAAATGCCCCTTTTACACTTAACTCGGTTCAGACCCTAGACACACTCATCAATTGCATGAAAAGCATCAATCCCCAAGAGCGAGACTACGCCGTAAAAGTGCTGAACGACATCAAAGAAAAAGGCAACCTGTGAATCCATGTCGACACAATCATTGGAAATACCTCGAACACAGACACCAAATTTTTCGCACTTTCTTTGCTAGAGCACGTAATTGTCACTGCATGAAATGCAGTCCCAGAAGACCAGCGAAGTGGCATCAAGAACTTCATCGTAAAGCAGGTCATAGATAACTCGAGCTCTGGCGCTTCTCACTTCCTGAACAAACTTAACCTCATTTTGGTACAAATTGTAAAGAGAGAGTGGACAACGACCTGGAGGGACTTCATCCCAGAGATCTGCAGCGCTTCGAAAAGCAGCCAGGCTTTGTGTGAAAACACAATGAATGTACTGAAGCTGCTTAGTGAGGAAATCTTTGAAAATACAAGGACACCGCTGAGCACTGCGAAGAGGAACGAACTGAAGCAAGCCATGAACTTGGAGTTCTCGAAGATTTACGAGCTCTGCAACTGGGTTCTGAGGACTGCTGCGATGCACCCAGGAGCGGTACAGAATTCACTAATTAAAAGCTGCCTAAGCACTTTGGCTGCATTCTTGGATTGGGTGCCGCCTGTACACATTTTTTCTGGAGACTTGGTGACCTTCTTGCTTGAAAGCTACTTAGACAACCAGCTTTTCCGAACAGCCACGTTAGAATGTCTAACAGAAGTGGCCGGAGTCACCATGGAAATCAACCCAAACGATCCTTCTTTTGCGCTCTACCAAACTGCAGTCATAAACTTGCTCTCACTGTCAATGAATAAGCTCGCCCAATCTTTTCCTCCAAAAACCACGAGCTTCGCTACGATTTTCATGGAAACAGATCCAAACATGCAACTTCACATGAAGCTCTTCGCACAGAAGCTTTCTCTCTTTCTACTAGCTTTTGCCCAAAACCACCTAACTTTATGTGAAAGCTCAGCTCTGCAATCTCAAGGGACAGAAACAGAAAGTGTGATCATTATCAGTCTTGATGCCCTGCTTTCTTATATGGTCTCGCTGACAGAGTTTCCTGACGATGAGGTCTTCAAGATCTGCTGTGAGTTCTGGCATACCGTTTCAAAGCACCTTTATGAACAAAGAGTAGCAGGCTGGCTTGAAAATAAAATATGAAGCATGGCATATCGAGCAAATTTAAGCAAAGCGAGGATGCTTTTGATTCCAAGGACAGCTAAACCAACAGAAGTCCTGATATCAGTAGACGAGCAAGGCAATGTCGTGAGGGAAAAGCTACAAGACACTGAAAATATCGCTCTTTATGACTTGATGAGAGAAACCTTGGTCTACCTCACACATCTTGACCCTGAAGACACTGAACATATCATCATGCTGAAAATGGCGAAACAGATGGACGGCAGCGAATGGTCCTGGACAAGGATTTCTTCTCTTGCCTATGCCATTGGGTCTATATCTGGGTCAATGGATGAGGAGCACGAAAAAAGGTTCTTGATCCATGTCATCAAAGACTTGCTAGCACTTTGTGAAGGCAAGCGTGGAAAGGAAAACAAAGCAATTGTGGCAACCAATATTATGTATGTCGTTATGCAATACCCAAGATTTCTGTCGAATCATTGGAACTTCTTAAAGACTGTTGTCAAGAAGCTGTTTGAGTTTATGCATGAGCTCCATCCAGGAATCCAGGACATGAGTGTTGACACCTTTTTGCGAATTGCCCAGAACTGCGGCGCTGATTTTGTTGTTCCTCACGACATCCAAGACCAAAGAGAGCCATTCATTTATGAAGTGATTAGAATCATGTCAGCCACGATTTCAGAACTGCAAAACCATCAGAAGCTTGTATACTACCAAGCTATTGGCCACATTCTTTCAAATATCAAGACTTATGAAGAAATGGACTATCACTTGACAGGAGCTCTTGCTTTGGTCCAAGCCCAATGGACTCAGCTGCTGTCTTTGATTTCTCAAAACTTGGCAGTCATTCAAGATCCCGAAGTCACTCGCTCACTTGCGTTTTGTATCAAAGTCAACGAGAGTCTTTGTCAATCCCTCGGCCACTTCTATTACATCCAGCTAGGGAAGATCTATAATGACATGATCCAGCTTTACACAACCACAGTCCAATTCTTGAACTCAGAGGTTGCAGCAAAAGGTCCAATAGTTGTCGGACACACACATATAGTAAGTGCAAGAGCTCTTTGTAAGAGGATCTTGAACTTAATTTCGACGTACATAAAAATCTGTCAAACTCCTCAGCTGCTTGTTGAGCACTTTATTCAGCCAGTTTTCGAAATCGTGGTCAGAGACTTTGTAAATTCGCCTATTGAGCTGAGGGATGCTGAAGTAATTACACTGGTAGCTGATATTATAAATAAGCTAGGCAGGGAAGCTACTGGGTACATGCAGGTAGTGTTAGGTGTATTTTTAGACTCAGTGCTAAATATGCTGGTGTCTGACTATACAAATTATCCAGAGCAGAGATCAAGCTTCTTTGAGTTATTGAAAGCTGTCGCTTCTCAATGCTTTGAATCACTTTTGCAGCTACCAATAGAAAGGTTTAAAGTTGCAATTGATACCATTCTCTGGGCCTCCAAGCACCAAAGCACACAGCATGCCGAGCTTGGCTTGGTCACACTCAAGCAAATTTTACAAAGCCTAGAAAGCTCAGGTGTGGTCGCGAACTATTTCTATCAGCATTTCTATGTCTACGTTTTAACCGAAATTTTCGCAATAATGACTGATGGGCTTCATATAGCTAACTTCAAGCACCATTCTCAAATACTGAGATACCTATTCTACATTGTAGACTCAGGGCTTATCACTGCTCCTTTAACTGAAGGAATCGCAGCTGATGCTAATAAGGCATTTGTGATTTCTCATCTGACTCAAATTCTGGCAACAAACTTCACCAATATGAACAGGGTTCAGATCGAGACGCTGATTTTGAGCATGTTCAACCGCTGCAATGACCAAGTGAGTTTCAAGAATGTGCTGATTCCCCCCCTTTAAATCGGCAAAAATACCCCTTAAATTGTAAAAAAAAAATTTTTTCAATTGGAAAATTTTATCAATGAAAGCATTAATTTTTATAAAATTATTTTTGACCTATTTAATAGACAAAATGCAAGTAGAATGCTATTTAAATATTTTTTACACTTAATTGATGAATTTTTTTATTTTATCTTGATAAAAAATAAAAAAAAATTAAAAAAATTTGAAAAAATGTTTTAAAAAAAAAATAATGATAGAAAAAACTAATTTCTATAAAATTAATTTTGACCTAATTTAATGTACAAAACACAATAAAATGCTATTTTAAACAACTTTTGCAACGAATTGATTGAGTTTTTAGCAAAATTTCTTCATAAAATATATTAAAAATTCTGACTATTGTGCACAATTTATATATTTCTCAAAAAATAATAAAATATTTTTTTAAAAAAATATTTTATAGGGAAAAATGTAAATATAATTTATTTAAAAAAAAATTAACCCCTTTTAAATTGGAACAGAATGTTTTGCTCCAATTTAAAGGGAAGGGAGTGAGAGACTTTTTGGTAACCACCAAAGAAATTGCTGTAGATAATGAGTCGTTTTATGCAGAAGAAAGGGAAAAAGAAATTGAAGAGGCGAGGAGGCTGATCCAAGAGAAAAAAGCTCTGGTGCCTGGGTTGCTGCCACAATTCACAAATGAAAGAAGTTCTTAAATAACTTTTCAATAATAATTCTTACTACGCCTGACATATTAAAATATGAGAAATCAGATGCCTGGTTTCCGGAAAACCTTTCTATTGCACTAAATTTGTTGTATAAATATTACAAATGGAAAGACTTTTCCTTATTTTTATCCTCCCTTTCACAACTCAGGCCATTCATCAATACATAGTCGGAGGCAAAGTCGAGGATACTGTGCGGAACGAGTGCGAAATTTTTCAGTATAAGGCCAACTACAAGCCTCTTTCAATTGAATTCGAGTCTGGTTCTCCTCTTTACTATTATATCATTTCCACAATCCCAAGTGAGACTTGTCCAAAAGACTGCGACCCAAGTGATTTATACTGCAATAAATCCAGAGCCAAGAAATTTAAAGAAATAGTTTCAGTCTGCACAGAATCTGTTTACCTTTACTTTGTTCCAAATATGGACAAAAATGTAGTAAGGCCTGTGAACTACACGATAAAGACTGACTATTTGCAAAATTCCCCATGTGAAGGGTTTGACAGAACTCCTGCGAATTTCTGCAAGATGCTGCCAGCAGACGAATGCTTGAATAATTGCGATAAAGGATGTGGCCTGCTGCATTGCTACTATAAGAAAAATATGAAATGGGAAGAAGCTTTTAATATGTGCTTGCCTGACACAGTTAACTCAGCAGAAAAAAAGATGAGGTGTGAGGCTTATGATAAAGCAATTCACCATACGTGGGAAGGATGCGGGACTGAGGAATCTGGAAGTGCTTGGCTATTTTGGCTCATTTTCTTCGTGATTTTAGGAAGTATTGCCCTTTTTTTAGGAGTCACAGTGTTTTATTACAGATATATGCTGAAGAAAACTGGTAGGGCACCATTCACAGTTCCAACTTTTTGTCCTCAGCTCTTTTTCCCCAGGCCAAAGTTCGATGAAGGGCAAGCTTTAAGAATAATTCAATAATCATTTATATATAGCTTTCGAGCGCATTAACGTCCTATATAGAGAGGGTTTACACCAGAGTTGACAGGCTGAAATATCAAAAAAATGGGTTAACTAACCTTGCAAGTGAATGAACTTATAGCCCCTTTTTTATCTTCAAAAAGGAAACAAGATTAAAACTTAAAGGGGTGAAAGCATCTATAGGGTGCTAAAAGAGCTCCAAAGCTATAGCGGTTGAAGAAATTAATAAGAATATAAATGTTGGCTTTTATATTTGGAATACTCGCAATTGGCAGTTCAGCGATAAAAGTCTCTGAGGAACCTGAATCTGCAGTTCCTAATGGCTACAAACTCTTTACTTTTCCAGCCTTCATCGATAATTGGAGCTACAATGGAGCTTTTTTCAATTTAAGATACTATATCAACACTAACTATTGGAATGCCACCCTTCCTGGGCCCATTTTCTTCTACTGCGGAGGAAACGGAGCAATTGAAGCTTACATGAGCAACACAGGCTACATTGACTCTCTAGCACAGCAGATGCAGGCAATAGTGGTTTATGCAGAACATAGGTATTTTGGCTCATCTCTGCCATTTGGCAATATAAGTTTCACACCTGCAGGACATGCCAAGTACTTGTCGCCTCACCAAGCCATTGCTGACTTTGCTTATCTGATCACATCTCTTGAAGCTGCTTATGATCAAGCACCAGTCATCGTGTGGGGAGGTGGTTATGGAGGAATGTTGGCTGCCTGGATGAGACTGACATATTCGAATCTGGTCAGAGGAGCAATTGCTTCGTCAGCGCCTGTGCTTGCTTTTAATGGAACTGTTGATCCTAATGCTTTCAACGCATTCGTGACAAGTGTATATGCAAGTCAAGTCCCAGAGTGCCCAGCAATTATAGCTGTAGCATTTGATAATCTTAGGTCTCTGTATGGAAATGAAACCGCATATGAGCGGCTTACTGAGATATTCCAGCCTTGCAGTCCAATTCAATCTATTCAAGACGTCGTAAATCTTTCAATTTGGCTGCAAAACGCTTTTGTAGCTCTCTCCATTTTTAACTACCCTTACCCAACTTCTGTTATATACCCAATACCATCAAATCCAGTCGCCCAAGCTTGTGAGATGGTAAAGTATGCAAATGCTGACGATTTCTGGGAAACTATAGAGGTTGCAGCAAGTGTTGGGGTGCTTTATTATAATATGACTGGTTTGAATGTATGTGCAAATTTAAACAATTTATATGCTAATAGTAATTTCGGGATTGAGAGCGGATGGAGTTATATTACTTGCAGCACGCTAAATATGCCGATGGGAAGCAGTAAGGCAACTTCGATGTTTGGAGATTTACCTTGGGATCAGGTAGATATAAATAATGCGTGCCTGACTGCTTGGAATACGACGCCAGAAATTAATTATGCAAGCCAATGGTATGGAGCTAGCAACAATCCAGGCCAGACTTGGCAGTATGCAAGTAATATTGTGTTTAGTAATGGAGGATTGGATCCATGGCAGGTAGGGTCAGTCACAAAAACGTTTGGAGATGCTACAGTTGCTGCTTTTGTGGTTGACGGCGCAGCATCCATGATGGATCTGATGTCTCCAAACCCAAATGATCCTCCCCAACTTTCGGCAGCAAGAGCAACTGAAAAAATTGCAATCCAGTACTGGCTTTATGGGCTTGGAAAAATCAATAGTAGTTTAAATTAATTGAGGAAAGGTATTGGTGATAAATTTATGAAATAAAATTAAAACGATCGAAGCCCGGTATAATTAATAATGTTTTATTCAAAGTTGGTTTCACTCCTCTTGGCTAGCACGTAAGTTCATTAGAAACATTCTTATTTAGGAGAAAATTGATGACTTTTTTCGCGAGGAAATCTATTTTAATATAAAACATTTTATACAAATAATAATTTAGCATATTGTTAAAGATGACCATGATGAAATTTTTAGCTAATTATAAATTACATTCGCAAGCATAATTTTTAAATTAAATGCACCTTTCAAAAAATTACAAATTTTGATCTTTAGAATCTTGACAAAAAAAATTATGATTTAAAAAAAGTAAACCCCTTGGCTTGTGATCAAGATGCTTTCCTTGCTAAATAAGTAGGAGTTCAAGGAAATTTTTAAGAGATATTTTATTATCAAAATAATTTAAATGCTAATCGATATGCTATTAAAATATTAATTCTCAATTTTTCTTATATAGCCTAACCACTTAAAAACCCTTTAATAAAAAAATGCAGCCATATAGAAAAAAACCATCCAATATCAATTTTTCTGATGATTTCAATCTCGATAAAAAAGCTTTGACCCCGAATCCAAGAATCAATCAATTTGACGAGTTTCCTTCAGCTCTTAACTTAAAACCCAATTTAGGATCAGAGTCTTCCAGTAAATTTTTGGATGTCCCTAACTCCCCCATTTAAGCTTGTATCTTTTTAAACTTGAAATTAAATTTATTTCGCTGAATTTTAAATAAAAAATATTTTAAAAGTAAAATTATAAGATCCCGCAGCAAGCAAAAACAATTAATAGCTAGCCAGCGGGTGGAATAACGACTTAGCAGCTCTAAGACGGCAAAGTTTGGATCCCAGCTCTTTCCTATCTTCTCCACTTCTAGAAGGAAAAGCAAAAGATGACGGAAATACGCTTAAGCTCCCTTCAAATCTAAATATGTCACGCCGTGGCAGCATAGACCCCAGAGCGTTACTAAATCTTGGAGCCTGGAATCGACCAACTGAGAAAAAATCAGACATCGAGATGATTCTAGAATCTCGCAGTTCCAAGAGAGAAATTAATGCTGAAAAAGCCAAAGATCCAACCCCTGACCAGAGTCCTCAGAATCAGAATCCTCCAATTGATTCTCCAGAGCCTGACTATCCCTATAAAAAATCTCTCTCCGCTTTCGGTTGGGGTGGAGTTGGCAAGAGCATAATGAATCAAACAGCTGATACCAGATTAGGCTACATTTTTGATCAAATGGCTTTCAGTGCCAAAGTAAAAAAATTTCAGCAGCAACAAGAGCTGAAAACAGTCAACGAAATTGATGGTCTGGGTCTTAAGAAAAACACTTTTGAGTTAAAGATTCCAGCTGATAACCCTAAAAGGGGATTTGGCAAGCAAGATGAGCATCAAGAAACTTTCAAGAGGTCAAACTCCTATAAAAACGGCAAGCCCTTCAGGAAGATCCACGTTGACAGTAACGACGTGCTTAGATTTGACAAAGACGAATACAAGAAATACACTCAGGGCGAACTATCGGACACTTCCCATTTCGCAAAGAGAATTATGATAATGATTAAGAAGAACTAAATAACCGCTGTACATATGTTTATAATATTAGCAGCATAGAAAATAAGCATTCCTTGTGATACTAAGAAATAAAATGATGACGTTGACATAAATAGGGCACCTCCTGATGATGGCGTGGACTGGAGTGATGGGTGGCGAAATTAAGCTTATAGTGAGCTAAGTAGGCCATCTCAATGGCAAAGCCTGCTGAAACAGGATGCTTTGTTTGTCCCATTCTCTGCCAGACGGGCTAGACAGATTTTATCTCCCTAATGATCTTCTCTCATCGGAACCATTGAGGCACTCTACAGACGGTAGCTCTGCCCAAAAAGCTAATTCTCTTGGCAGTTGTTTAAGGTCAGAAATATAAAAGGCGGCCTTTTGGACCAAATTGAGTGATGGCTAGTGGTTGATCGCTTATGGCAAGCATAATTGTTTAATTGAAGTTCTGATACTAATAAATTAATTGAATATTTCACCTGGTGAAATATCTCCAGATAAATGTGGAGCTTTATTCTCAACTTCTTACTCCCTAGCCCTCTTTAAACTGGAACGAATATTTATAGCGTCTTCCTATAGATGGCGCGGAATGCGCCATCACCAGGCCATGTCGGGAGAGGGTTCTCCACGAGGAATGGTTCCCGTGTGGAACCCTCTTTTTGGCTCGTGGAAAAAGAGGGTTCCACACGTGGAACCATTCCTCGTGGAGAACCCTCTCCCGACATGGCCTGGTGATGGCGCATTCCGCGCCGTCGAAGACGTGGACATTTGCCCTAGAAGCACCTTGGTGATCGAAGCAAGTTTGTCTCCAGCAGACTGGTGGGCCCGATGCGACGAAAGGCGAGTGATAAACTGGAGTTGTAACCCCGTAGTGGACGTTAAGCGATATAAATTCTAATGTAATGTAATGATGGCGCATTCCGCACCATCTATAGGAAGACGCTATAATATTTTATAGGAACATTTTATAAATGAAAATACTAATTTTTATAAAATTAGTTTCGACCGAATTCATTGGAAAAAGTAGAATACTATTAAACACTGTATCCATTAATTATTCTTCGTAAAAATAAATTATAATTCAAAAATATAGAAATTGCCCGAAAATAGCGCCATCCTCGGGCAATTTCTATATTCTTTAAAGTCCCACTTCTTGAGCACCATGCGTCCTACAGAGGAGCTGCCACATGCAAAACTTTCAAAGTTCAGGCGATATCCCTGGCTCCTCAATAGTGCATACCCTTTTGATCAGTCGCAGAAATTTCAGGTCAATACATTCCCAGCTCCGAAGCCACTGCTAGCTCACGCTGCTTAGATTAGGCCAGATCGCCCCTTTTAGAATCCTCTTAAGCTGGAGAGACTAGAAATTTAAGTCTTATCTAAGCCTATCTTCCCCTTTTCCTACTGACTAGCTCCGAAAGAAAACGAAACATATTTGGGATAGGCCATGAAGCAGCTTATATCAGACATCTGTTCTGGGCCTAGGTGGTGCTGGCAAAACAGATAAAAAACTGCTCGGCCAAACCATTAATCTGAGGAAGTAGTGCTGGGCCTCTCACTTCGAGGATAACCCAACTAGCTTTTTGACACATCCAGATATGCAATCCATAGTGCAAATTTCTTTTTGATTTCATAAGGGAATCATTTTTCAAATGCCAAAAATATGTATCATGTCATGGACTCAATTATATAATAATGGTACGTCAAAATTTTTTTTGACATTTTGAAATTAATTTACCATAGAGAAGCAAAATGAAAATTTACCAATAGATATACATAAAGATAAAAGCCAAGGGGGAAAGGACGGGTGGCCATTTTATGTATAATTAAAATTTTTATCAATTTTTTTTGACTTTGAAAGGACTTTTGTTCTAATTAAAAAAGGGGGTGAGTTAGTAGCAAGCTCTTTGGGGCTAGAGGTTTCTCCAGAGGAGGCTTCAGCTGTAGGTGCAGTTCCTCCTGGGTATGCGCAATTTACCTTTGCAGCTTACATTGACAACTGGGATTACAGTTATTATCAATATCCTCTTACTCAAATTAGTTATACATTTAAAATGGTGCAGAGAGCCAACCGTTATTCTTAACACCTGTAGCTGGGGAGATCCAGGGACCTGTGAAAGAGAGGATAGCGCTCAGTGATGAATATCCGGCCAATTTTACTTGCTTTTGTTTGAGCGCAACGTTGGATTTGGCGACCGCAGTTCATAACCGGATTAGAGTTCGGTGTTGGAAAGAGCAAACCTAGAAAAGTCTAAGTGGTCAATCGGGCAACTTCCTAGTGCGATACCAGGCGTTGCGTCCTGGGTGACGAGTTCCATCTTGGTCGGCAGCTTTAGCAGAGAATTCATTTTTTAAATTTTCTTAAAGGGGGTCCCAAGACTGACATACGGCCCACTTCACTCGGCGCTCGACGCAAGCCTCAGGCGACGATGAGCTTACCCCTAGAGGTAGCAGTAAGCACCCAACAACGGATCAAGGTAGAGAATCGCACCCTGCGGGTGCTACAGAAGCTTTTCAATATAAGTTAACTAAATAACTACTCAAACTAGTTTGAAAAACACATTTTTTCCAAAAATTATTTATGGCCATCAAAAGCTTATTAGCCTACTAAAATTTTAAAAAATATCATTTTTATGCTCGATTTATTTGAAGAGCTAGATACTATATCAATACATATTATTGGAATGCCAACCAACCTGGCCCAATTTTCTTCTTTTGCGGAGGAAGCGCCCCAATAGAGACTTTCATCAGCACAACTGGCTACATTGACTACTTAGCTCAGCAGATGCAAGCAATTGTTGTATACGCAGAGCACAGATATTTCGGTGGATCCTTGCCATTTGGCAACAAGACATACGCTCCATATAACATGAAGTACTTATCTCCACACCAAGCTTTGGCAGACTGGGCCTATTTGATTACGAATCTTAAAGCCATCTATCAAAATGTTCCAGTTATTGCGTGGGGAGGTGGGTATGGAGGAATGCTTTCAGCTTGGATGAGAATGACTTATTCGAACCTTATTGATGGCGCTATAGCTTCGTCAGCCCCTGTCTTATATTTCAATGGGACTGTAGATCCAAATGCTTTCAATGCTTTTGTTACTAGCCAATATGCCTCAGTCGCACCTGAATGTCCAGCTTACATTGCATCAGCTTTTGATTATCTTGAATCATTTTACTTGAATACCACTGAATACACTCGTCTCCAAGACACTTTTGAGACATGCAACCCAGTTGCAGAGCCAGAAGATGTCGGACTTATTGTGAATTGGCTTCAAAACTCATTCACAGATATGACTTTATATAATTACCCTTATCCTTCAAACACTATTTTCCCACTCCCAGCAAACCCTCTAACTGTAGCTTGCAGCTATTTCAATGGAGTTGACATTACTAATGTTTGGGAAGTCTTGACTGCAGTCAGAAACGCTGCGAATGTCTACTATAACTATACAGGCCTGAATTCTTGCAGCAACACTTATAATCCACTGAGCAACGGGAACTTTGGGAACCAGCAAGGATGGAGCTATCTGCTCTGCAGCTCATTGAATTTCCCATTCGGAAGCATCAAAACGACCTCTATGTTTGGAGATGAGCCATTTGACCAAGTGGCTATCAATAACGACTGCTTTACCCTTTGGGGAAGAACTCCACAAATTAATTACGCAAGCCAATGGTATGGAGCCAGCAATAACCCAGCACAGACTTGGCAGTACGCAAGCAATATAGTGTTCAGCAATGGAGGTTTGGACCCTTGGCAGGTCGGGTGTATCACAAAGTCATTTGGCACTTCAGTTGTTGCTTTCGTTGCCAAAGGTGCTGCTTTTATGATGGACTTAAGACTGCCTAACGCTGCTGACCCATCTGACTTAGCAGCTGCAAGAGCGACTGAAAAGACAGCTATCCAATATTGGTTGAACGGTTAACTTAACATCATTTATTAAAACTTGTTATATCAATCTAGCAAAATAATAAAATAACATCGTCGGAATATGCTCTCTGAGAACTTTCCTTCTTTGACAATTTTATTATGGGGCTCTGCTTCCTGTGCACATTAACTCAGCTAGATCAGCGAGGCTGGAGCGCGGATATTGAGCTTAGTGTGCATAGGATTTCATGCTAGAAACATCTGAGGAAGAAGACTCTGATAAATCACACTCAGGAGCCAAGTTACAAGCGAGGCAGCACGTCGTGAGGTTTCAGTCGGCAGTTGAAGTTTCACGTTGCCTCCACAGATAAAATGTTAGCATAGGAATCTTTGCTATGTCACTGGTTCTGAGCTACAAGGGTCTGTCTGCATGCCTAAATCACTCCACTGAAGAAGATACAGCTTTAAACACTGATTAATTAATATAAAAACGATATAATCTAGTTCCATGTCTTCTGAAGTCTTGACTTCTTCATCTGCTTTGACTTCTTTTTCATCAGCTGGCTTTGGCTCATCTTTCTTTGGAGGTGCTGGCTTGGGCTTATTCATAATTTGTGCAGTGATTTCTCGGATCTGAATAGTTCTTTTCACAAACTCTTCAGTAGAAATTTCAGGGTCTTGATATTTCAAATAGCCTGCAATCTGTGTGAGTGCTGCTTGCAGCCAGTTGGTGATTTCTGCATGTTTCACAAGGATCCGTTCTCTTTCCTCCTGAGGGATATGTGAATGGAACTCAGAAGTTGACTGCGCTTGTTCTTTGCTCCACTGCAAGGCTTCTTGGAGGTCAGCTGTTAGCTGAGGATACGAGCTATACATATTATATCTTCTTATAATAGGCTCTATGCGTTCTTTCAGTTTTTCAAGTCTATCAAGATACAAGTTTTTTGTAGCACTTGACCCTTCATTGTACACCCAGCTTTGATATATAAAAATGGTACCTAGCGCGTCTGACCTCTTAATGCAATTTTCTCAACCTCATGGCCATGGGAATTGAGCGAGAAGCCAAGCCAATTAAGAAACAGTGTATAAGGGCTTGCATATCGGTTAGGTTTTGGCTTAATTTCTATGTTGGAAGAGGTAATCTGGCAATGTCCTTCGGGAGCCGAAGGATGACCTCATCGGCAAAGCCAATGGGCTACAGAGGATGAATCTTTTCCTGAAATACTGAGGGCTGGCACAGGGCACCCATTAGACTCTAGGCTTTTCTTGGATCAATCTCCTCACAAGGCTTCCGATGCAGGGTCGCAGAAGTCCATAGTCCGTCAACTCAATGTTGGACCTACTAATCAAGGTGGAGACAACCTTGTTTACACTCGTTTCTGCATGTGTCAGAACTCTCAGCCCAGTGAATTATCACTTCAATTAATCATACCGACGTGTGGGCGTGACAAATCGGATAAAACTCCTTGGAGGTTCTTGCTGACTGCTTAGCCAATACAGCTCCCCTCTGCTGTAATTTAAGATTATAAGTAAAAGTACACCCAGCTTTCAGTTTCTTCTAAAAATGATAAGATCGGCTGCAACTGGTCTGGGGTCACATAGTCCCTGAGTGAAGAGCTCAATTTTGACCTTGCTTCATATACATAAGCCTCCACTTCATTTCTTTTCTCAGAAGTCTCTTGAGCAATCCTATCTTCACCTGCCATCCTTTGCTCCTCACTTATATAAGTTTTCAGCTCTTCCGCTTGAAGTCCTTTTAAAAATCTTGTGACTTGGAGCTCAGTCCTTTTGTACTTCTTTTTCTTTGCCTCTTCTTTATTTTCTTCTGAATTTTCTGCTTTCTTTTCTTCTTCAACGATTTCTTCAATTAATTCTGCCTTTTCCAGATTGATGACCCCATGCCCATTCATTTTGATATAGACTTTTATATCTTTTTCGCTGCCGCTGGGGCAAAGGATGCCAAATTCAGCTACGTCGCAACCAAGGCCTTCAAGCGGAGGCTGGGAATAAAAGAGGCTCATTTTGAACGGTTGGTTCTTTTGCAGTTTTAATATTTTAGTTGTAGGGAACACGTTTTTCTCTGGGAAAAGCAGTTGTGGCTCTACTTCGACTTCCATATCAATAGAGGTAGTTTTTATACTGATTGGGACTGTGACAATGTCTTGGATCGAGAATTCTTTGACTTTAAAGAGAGGAGAAAGCATCGCAGATTGGACAGCGCAGCCTCTTGCAATGGCTTCTTCTGGGTTTAAGGTCTTGCTCACTGACTCAACATTGAAGGCTTTAGCAATCGCTCTTTGCACACATGGCATTCTGGTTCCTCCTCCTAATATTTCCACTGAATGCACATTTGCCACTCCAGCTTTTTCCAAAGCTTGCCTACAGAGATTTTCAATTCTTTGCAAGTATTCTTCAACCAAACTTTCGAACTCTTCTCTCTTCATGATTCCATTAAGGTCCAAATCCTCAGCAATGTATTCCAAGTTCAGCACAGCTTCAGGCCCTGCTGATAGCATTTTCCTGACTCCCCCTCTGTGAGCGAATAAAACCATTTGAAAAAATTTTATTTTTGGGTAAAAAACTATTTCTGTGAATGAAAAAATAATTTTAATATAAAAATTTTTTATGAAAAAATATTTTGAATATAAGTGATAATTATTAAACGAAATCTCTAGCAAATTCTTTTTTATTGTGGACAGCTTGTATTTAGAACATAAATTTTACAATTAACTTAATATTTGAATTGATTTTTTTAAATTTTTAAAAAACAATTAACCCCTCAGTGGGCGAAACAAATTTTTTTTTCATTGAAGGGTGGGAGTTAGCTTTTCTACTGCAACAGCTATTTTACACTTTGCCTTCTGATTATTTAAAAGATTGATACCGTGCTTTTTTTCGAACCCATTGGCAAAGAATTCCATGATTTTCCAGTCAAAATCTCTCCCACCAAGATTTTTATCAGATATATGTGCAAGGACCTGAAGCTTGTCCTTGGTAAATTGTACAATTGAGACTGTAAACTTTGAATGCCCCATATCTGTTAGTGCTACAGTTCTTGGTTCTTCTGTGAACTCTGAGCTACGAAATAGCCCGTAGCTGAGTGCTGAAGCGGTGTTGTCATTCATAATTTTTGCACAAGTCAAGCCAGATATAGAAACAGCATCGAGTAAAGCCCGCCTTTCAGTTTCTGTAAAGTAGCAAGGGACTGAAATGACTACATCATTAGCATTAAGCCCCGCCCTTTGGCACAGAGATTTCATTCCTGAGAGGAGCATAGCGACCACTCTTTCACTTGTAAAAGTCATGTTTTCACCTAAATATCTCACTTCGTGGGCGATTTTTCCTTCTTCCAAAGTGACTAGTTTATTTGTAAGCCATTTGGATTCATTATGAAGATTTTGACAGGACGAGTTTAACCCTAAAAAACGGGTAGGAAAGAGGACTGTGTTGCGAAAGTTTGTCATAAGCTTGCTGAGTCCTGACTCCCCAATGAACCTTTGATTATCGCCAAAGCCTACAACTGCAGGAGTGGAACGATTTGATAAATCGTTTGTGAGGATTTCTACACCGCCACCTTTGACGATGGAGATGACAACGTTGTGACTGCCAAGATCGATTCCAATTGCTGCTGCTGACATTTAATTATATAAGGATTCCTCACTGTCCTATTTGGGAGATATGGAAATTTCTAGATTTTTAAAGGAATGTCTGACATTGCTTAACGTAAGTCTTTTAGGAAAAGAATAAGTTAAGAAATATATAGAGAGCAATTTGGAAGATTTAGAGAATTTCAAGGAATATTAGAAAGAATCTCAATTGAGAAATTAGGAAGGTATTTCAGGTTGTTAACTCTCTATTTAAAGAGCGAGTAAGCAGTTATTTTTTTAAAATAATTTATAAATATTAATTTTAAAATGAGAGCCCTCTCTAAAATTTAATATAATTAGCTAGATATATCGCAATAAGAATTATTATATTTTAAAAATATTTTATACTAAAAAATAATATTAGAAATATATTTTATAGTTGTCCAAAATATGAATTTTTCCGACAGCTTTTACTCACTTTTAAAGTGTAGTAAGGAAGACATAAATCTTTATCATAATAATATTCAGATTTCTTGATTCTTGAGAGGTAAATTCTGTAGCCTCAATTACACAGATTTGATATAAGGCTAACCATTAAATAATTTTTATTATCCTAGGTAGTGAAAAATTGGCATTGCATAAATCTTGGTTCTTCTATTAATAATATTCATATTATGGCTTATGTCGCGATGCAAGCTCTCCTGCACAGCTAAAAAATCCGAGTTTCTAAACTAAGCTACTTTCATACTTCGCAAGATAAGAGAAAGCTAGTATAAGACTATCTGACCTATGCTAGACTATTACTAATAGCAAGAGAGAAAAACATGATGGCCTAAGCTAAATTTTCATAAGTCAGAAATATTAATTAGGCTATAAATATCAAAATAAGGAATAGAAAGCACTTTTTTGCTACCGAATCTCGAGAATATTTATTATTATCCAATACTTACATATTAGTTTTATATAAATAAAAAAAAACTAATGACGCAATGCGAAACTAAAAGATTTAAATCCAATTATCCCAGTCTTTTTATTTATTTTTTGTCATTTTATTTATTTTAGATCATTCAGTTATACGATCTATTTACATTATCTTTAAGCTATGAAATAAAGAGAGAATAATAAGATCCTTAGTCAATATCAATTATTTATAAATGGAACGATATAGGAAACTTTGGTGGACCGAAGAAATTGACCACTTATACAAGCTCCTCTTATACTTTAGTTATATATTTGGATTTATTTCAATCTTTTCCAGAGCAATGATTTTTTTATGAACTCAGAATGTTGCTGTAAAAGAAACTCTAATTTTCCCATCATTTCACATCGCTATGATAATATTCCTTAAGTTTTCTGAAAGATGAGGCGCGGTAGGCATTCATTCTTTCACTAAATTATTATAGAGAAGCTCGACCAGCACAGTAATTGATTTCATGTAACTTAGTTCGCAGCCCCCCTTGCTCACCAGTCTGATTACACAGCTTAAGACTTGTATGGCTCCCTCTGACGAGGGCCTGCACTTGCTATCTGGAGGTAAAGACGTTGGGTCACTGTACAGTACGTCGATTGCTACCCTTCTCGAAAATTTAAAAGCGAGTTTTCTGGTCAGACTTTCGACCAAGATGAAACTTGTAGCCCAGGCTGCAACTCTAGGAAAATGCTCGATTGGTCAAGCGAACGCCCTCCAACCTTTTTGGGCTATCTCTTTCTAGCTTCCAAGTCCCGTCATCCCTCAGGGTAAAACCTTGCCCTGGAATTGAGTCTGCGGTAGGCCAGTCATTGCTCTCCATCAGACCAAGTAAAACTAGGAGGACGCTGCTATCCCTACCATAAGATCCCCATACCCTCATTTGGCTACAGGTGTTAAGAGAGTAGGCTAGCTCTCCACGCCATTTTTATGTGTGAACGTGGTAGGCAAGAATACAGCAGCAATGATATCTACTGAAATTTACAATATAGTTTGTTTAATTTCTAAATTCTTTATGGCAAGTCAAATGGCCACTGTTTTTCAATCTTTTTCATTCGTCCTGATGACTCATTTACAACTTCCTATGATCAGAAACAAGTATCTGCTGAACTTCATTCTTTTCAAGTATATTTACACCTGATTCATACACGATATGATTTTTAACTCAGCAGAGATGACGGTTTTCCAGTTCAATACTATTCTTGCAATTATAGTCCTTATCAATGTCGGGATATATTATAACTCTCCCCCCCCCCCTCCGTGAGCGAACAAAAAATTTTGTTCGCTCACGGAGGGGGGTTAATTTTTTTTTTTAAAAAAAAATTTTATATATAAATTTTATAAAAAAATATTTTTTTCGAAATTTAAAAAAATCCTAATTTGCAAAAATTGGGAAGCAAATATTAATTTAATTTGCAAAATTTATGTTTTAAAACGCAATTTGTTTAAAATTAAACAGAATTAGCTCTAGATTTCATTATAATAATTATCACTTATATATCAAAATTTTTTTCCATTAAAATTTTTTCTATTAAAAAAATTTTTGTTCACTCACGGAGGGTGAGTTTTTGGTCAAAAAATGGCGATTTTTCTAATGGTTTTGTTCGCTCACGGAGGGGGGGGGGGGAGTAAAGCAGAAACTCGCCTGTGAGAGATCCATTTATTTGCACGAGATCGAAGATTCTAAAGACCGGTTTAAGATCATTTCCCAAGCGTTTTCTGATGGGATTGTGGTAATCTCATCAAGCTATGAAATCGAGTTCATTAACGATAACATCCTAAAGCTGTTAAATTGCAGTCAAGAAGAAATTTATTCAGAACTGTCAAGTTTTAAATTCTGCCCTGATAGAAAAGTATCAGAATTTGAAATTTCTGATTTTCTGATTGACCACATTAATTACGCATTTAATCATCTGGATTCTTCAGAAATTACTTTAGGAATCACTCGGCTAAATAATGTATATCTTCAATGAAAAGTGAGAAGAATTGTATGAGAAAATCACAACTCTCTATTTTTGACAGTGAGAAATGTAAACCGAATAATTGAGCTTGAAAAACGAATAGCTGACGATAACATGAAGACTGTTCTGCTAAGATCGGTTTCTCATGAACTGAGAACACCTCTTAACGCAATATGCTTTTTTGTTAATGACCTCCTAAATAAGCCACATATAACCAAAGACAGTGACGAGTACAATAACCTCAAAATCGTTTCTATTTCTTCAAAACTCATGCTCTCTCTTATTGACGATTTATTGGACTACTCAAAAATGCTGGCTGGGGCTTTTTCTATAAAAAAAATCCATTGCGACTTTCGGCAAATTGTGTCGAATGCTTTTGAATTGATCAGCTTGCAGGCTAAAAAGAAAAAAATAAGCTTAATATGCAGGATTGATCCATTAATACCTGAAAGAATTTATACAGATCCTTTGAGGCTGAGCCAGGTCTTATTGAATCTATTAAGCAACGCGCTAAAATTTACATTGTCCGGGTCAATAGAAATTTGCTGTGTGCTTGGCTGCAAAAACCAGCTGAAAATTTATGTAGAAGATACTGGTATTGGAATGACTGAAGAGGTGAAGCAAAAACTGTTCACTGAGTTTAGTACTAATAATATCCCTAATATTAACCCTCAAGGATGTGGGCTGGGACTCTGCATTTCTAATATCTTGTCAAAAGCGCTAGGAAGCGGCCCTATTAAAGTAAAGTCAACCCAAAGCCAAGGCTCCACCTTTAAATTTTCTATTGACATTTTTGAAGAACATCTGGCATTTTCAAGGTGAGAAAAAATAGCGGAAATTGAGGAAGAAAGCATTAGCCATTTTGACGTGATTCCTTATATAACTGCTACACTAAGAGAACCTATTGATGTTTTGATAGTGGACGACAATGAGTTTAATAGAGCTGTTTTAGGATCAATTTTATCACAGCTTAATATCTCATATCAAGAGTCCTGCGATGGAAAAGAAGCGATCGACAAGATTTTAGCCTACGACCAGACTTCGAAAATGTACAAGGTCGTAATTATGGACTGCTGCATGCCTGATATCAATGGTTATGAAGCTACAAAAATTCTTGTAAATTTGTATAAGGATAAGATTCTAAAGAAGCTGCCGATAATAGTTGGATATTCTGCTTATAGCTCTGACGAAGATCGAAATGCCTGCTTTGAATGCGGCATGGTAGACTGTATGCCAAAGCCTTGTCCCCCTGGCACTTTGGCAAATATTAAGGTTAAGATTAAGTTGTGGTGGGTATTTATAGTCCTCACTTCCTGAAGTACAGTGCATTCTGAGGCGAACACCTGAAAGTGTGCTCTTTCAAGACAGGTTGGCTGGGCTGAGGTCCCGGTTTCTCAATAGAGGCATTTTCCCTCCTGATCTGGCTTAAACCAGATTTTGCCGAGAAACCTCCATTTCCAACCGAAGTGCAAAGATTGCCCAATACAGTGTATAGAGGTTTCCTCTATATAGCGCTAAAAGCGCAGACATTTTCCCAGGAGCTTTCCAAGTTCGTCGAACCAAATCGCTTTTTGGTCCGACCAAGGCATTGATTTGGTGCAACCTACCGATAAATTCCGATCAGAATTTATCGGCCTTACAGCGCCAAACATAGGAAACTTCTATAGCTTAGGCCGGATCGTCCCCATTGAGGGAACCTTTTAGACTAGAGAGATTAACCCTGAAATCTTCGTCTGGCCTGTCTTTCCTTTTTTCTCCAGATTATCTATCTCTGAGGAAAAAAAATCAATGCGCTTGCAGAGATTCGGGACATCCACAAAAGCAGCTTAGGCAGGTAAGTCGCACTGCCTCAATCCGACACCAGTTTAGGGCTTGGGAGCTTCTGGCAAAAAAATTTGCAAAAACTGCCGCTTGAGCTAGGCCACTAATTAGCGGAAATAGTACTCAGCCTATCGCTTTGAGGATAACCTACCCTGGGCAGCTATTTGTACCAAAAACCAGTCTGGATATGTATAATGGCACCTACCACAGGGAGGGAAAAGTCACTCGTCACAGGCCATTTTATGGCAAATATAATAAAGAAATATTTGTAAACATATTTTATTAATTCTTGATAAATTTTCTTAAGATCAAATAATGGAAAACTCAGAATCAAAAAAGCCCCAAAAGCGCAAGCGTATAGCGTTTGATGCATATAGTGTGCTCTTGCGCTAGCTTTTTCCCTGCAATTGGTGATTGAGTAAAGTCACCTAAAGGTGGTAAGTCAATTCCAAGTTAACAAATACTGAAGAAAAGGCCAAACTGGGGTTGAATTGTCACCTTTAGAGGACTTGTCAGACTCATCAGTTGCAAGGAAAGAGCTAGCGTGAGAGCGCACTATCTGCATGCAAGAGCTATAGAATCATTCGAAAGCGAAAGGTGTCAATTAAGCCCTCATTCCTAAATTCTAATTCCCCGATCCTTTATCGGACCACTATCTTTTAATCAAGAACGAGATTAAGCCATGCCAAATGACCATATGCTTTTATATTAAGCATTTTCTGGGGAAATTTGGTCTTAATATTTTGATAATGATACATTTGATCGAAAAAGCCTTTAAATTTCGGCACAATTTAAAAATTTTCGTCTAAATTTTCATCGATGAAATGCTAACTATCAAAAATGCATGATCATCGGACTTACCAAAAACCTTGCTATACATTTTTTATTAGCTCATTATGTATTAGCGACAAGAGATAAATTATGTAATATACTAACAAATATGCTAGAACTCGTATCAGAATTTCTTATTAGCAATTATAATGCAACGTCTCTAATAATCATTATATAGTTAGTGACACTGACTATATCAAAGATATGGAGTTAAATTCAGGTGGCGGAGTGGGTATCATTCTTGACCACATAAAAACTGCTCGATCTAATTGTTCAAATTTTTTGGGAATTGGTTAATTAAGGATGGGAGTAAACTAAAAGAAGAATACTCTTCCAATAATTTCAATAACTTGCTACAAAGCATGTACTTTTAATGCAGAATAAAATCGCCAAAGCCAAAAGAAGATTGAATGGAAGCTTTTTTCGGTTCCTTTTCTAAAGGCTCCAGGTCTCTTACTCAAGGAACTCGCAGTCAGAGCAACCTTTCAACAAAAGCAATCGAGAAACCCAGGCCTAAGCTTGAAACTGACTCTTTAGCCTTAGCAGTGAGCAGAAAATTTTTATTCACAAACCAATTTGAGATAATTTTATTCTTTCGGAAGGTTAAATTAAATTTTTATATGAGGATTTTTGGGAAAAAAATTATTTAATTTATAAAATTAATGGGTAAGGATGTAAAAATGCTTAAAATTTAATAAAATTACTGGAGATCTAATTATTATAATCTCTAATTATATGTCAAATTAATACCTAATGTAAATTTTTTTAACTAAAACATTTTTTGCTAGTAAATAAGGGGTTAATTTTCCCTAAAATAGGATTGATTAATGATATTGCTCGCTGCCCAAGGTAGGAGTGAGAAAAATGTGCTACCAGACATTTTGCGTTCTAAATCTTCAATAAGATCTACCTCAAAGCACATCATAGAAAACAACCGACTGACAAGGATAAAATCAGGGAGCTCATCAAGGATCAAAAGAGATATCTCTCAAAAAATAATCCAAAAAGAGCCTTCTTTATTAGAGCCTGGAGAATTGATTGTCAAAGGAAACTCCAGGCCAAGCACTCCCGTAAACAAGACTTCACAATATTTATTGGCAAATGATAACCCCTACGATTCTTCAATGAATTTGAATACGAGCGATTCAAGAAGAGACTTGAAATCCTCGAAAAGAAACCCTCTGAGTTCTTCAAACCTGGCTCAGATAAATCTTGCACCTGAACTTCCTGATAGGAATGATAAGAAAATGAGCATGGAAGATGTGTTAAGCTATATATCATATATATACTAGAAAGAGCTAGGCATGATTATAAAATAATTAATTGCAAATAATAATTAAATAAATATATAGACGTCTTAGTCATAAAATATTGATGACAGCTTGAACAGCATAAATAAAAAGCATTTTAGATAAGTGGATATACTAAAATGGATGAGTTAGTCTACCAAAAACTCCAAGAAAACGAAAGTAAAGCGTAAATAGGGAGAATGAAGCTATATGGACCTCATCTAGCTGGCTTGATTAACGCCTCCATCAATTTATGTGTCTACCCTTTCCTTCAGATTTCTACTCAATTGCAATTATCTCCTATTCCATCAAGCCACAATTATATTGGGAAGTCTTACGCAGAAAAAGTCTCCTCCTTTATTTGGAACCCTCATCCAGCTAACAGACCTTACAAAGCACCATTATTTAAAAATGCAAATTCAGCAATCATCTGGAATTCCTTGCAAGGCTACCTAGGATTTTACCGAGGCTTTTTTATGGGGATTTCTCATTTTTACTTTGGCATACTTGCAAGAACTGCTGGCACATATCTCACTTTTGCTTGCTTTGGAGAAAACTACATCAAGTCTTCACAAGAAAGAATCATTACAGGTAAGCCTTATTTAGTATAGAAACTTTATTAAGTTCGATGTGTGAAGCCATAATTCAGCCTATTTTTGTTGCCCAAACACGATTTATCCAGCAAAACCGGCGAGCCAATTTCAGGACTTACGATGATTTTTTCCATATGTGGAAGATCTCAGGCTTCAGAAGCATGTACCAAGGCTGGGGAGCAATTTTGCCAAAGCAAGCAATTATAAATGTATGAGTAAACCATGCACCTATGATTGATGACATGACTGATGAAATTTTAGGCCTAAAGCGGAACAACAAATATAATGTCTTTAGCAAAGAAATTTTACTTGGGCTTGCCCCGTATTTTATAGCCTACCCATTTTTGACAGCTCAGAGAAGAGTAGCGTGCCAGGAATCACACATAGGCATGCCAGAAAGGAAATACAAAGGAGTGCTTCACTGCATGTGGAAAGTGGCTACACAAGAAGGAATTGATGTGCTGTTTAGAGGAAGCTTGTTTTATAGCATTGCCATTGCTGCCTGGGTCTTTGCAATGCCTACCCTGACTCAAACAGTTTGGCAGAAATATGAAGACTCTGCTAAAGAAGATATTTCTAGGCTCCTTCGTTTAGACTAATCATCTATTAACTTCTATAAATCTATTTTCTTAGGTATTTCTTCTACTTCTGGGGGCTTCTCTGGGTTTTCAAAGTTCCTTATGAAATTGTCGTACTCTTCCCATTCAGAAATGATCCTTTTCGCTGCGTGGATTTTGGGTTCTTTTGTGAGTGGGTTATTGCAGAGGTCAATAGTCTTTGCTTTGGATTTAGTTTCTTCTGAGCACCAAGTAGCACACCAAAGCCATTCGCTAGGCAAAGACTTGATAGGGACCTGATACTGGGCAAAGTTAGGCAAATCTTGGTCTAAGTTAGACAAGGAGTCAGGGTTAGGTGCCATTGTTTCGTAAAAATACCTTAAAATATCTCCAGCACCCATACTTCTGAACTTAAATAGGTCAATTACATATAAAGCACTTATATGGTAAGGCAGATCTTTGAGATGGTCTCTCCAATACCCCTGCTTCCAAAATCTGAAGCCTTCAGTGTCAGGGTTAGAGTCACAGAATGGTGTATACCCGTATGGAGCTCCTTCTAAGTCCATGTCCCACAGCTCTTTTATGTCTGCCCTCACTACTTGATCAGCATCAATATAAATGATTTTTTTGACATTTAATGGAAACATCACATCTAGGAACAGTATTTTATAAGCCCATATAATCCTCTGTTTCTCTCTTTGTGCAAAAAGCCAGCTCGGCCACTTGTAGCTGACAAACTCATACTGAAAACCGACTTTTTTAGAAAACGCTTCTAATGAATTTTTGAAATTTTGTGTGAAAAAGTCCTCAAAAAGCCAAAACTTTACCTTGGAATTTGTGTTTCTCATGACTGAAAGCATCATGATTTTCATTAATCTCTCATATAGCTTGCCACTGGCTAACGAAAAAATGTGGATTACGTCTCCTAGATCTTCAATTGACTCAGAGTTCAGGAGGACCTCATTTTCATACCCTGGCCTTTTAGAGACACTTAACCTCTGTGTGGTTCCTGATAGGTCTTTGGCTATAATTTCTGGAGAATTCATAATAGTAAATAACTCTTCGCTTCTTCCTGGAAATAGGGAAATGTTGTAAATGCCAGGATTTGCTTTGAATTGATAGTAGCCGAGATTTTTCATCACTATTGTATCTGAAATCATATGTGTGCTGTTTATCAAGGCAAGCTGTAAGCCACTAGGAGGCTCAGTTTCGTAGCCTTGGACATATTCTGTGCATTGGCCAGTCGCCAAAAGATTTTTAAGCTCATAACTTACACTTATAGGCTCGTTTAGCATTAAATTGTCGAGGTCATCTGATGAAGTTGTCCTGACGACCCAGGATTCAGGAACGTCAAGTCCTAGGGTAAAAGTCTTGCCGCTTGTTTCGCCTCGCGTCTTAATAGGATGAGATTTCATCATGATTTTTTTTGGTCTATTTTTTTTACCTATTTTTTTTCACCTAGATTTTTGACCTAGTTTTTTGACTATTTCGAGATGATTTTCAATCAATTTTAGTCTATTGTTTTCGGCATAAGTTATATTATAAATTTTTAGCATTAAAACAATAGGTCAAAAAAATAATCTTTATGAAATAGCCGTCATAAGGAACCGTTTCGCCTAGCTTCATGAAATCATCGAAATTCGATTTTATATTGATTTTATGGAATCTATTAATAGGAAGGATTTTTTTCTTAGGGTCAAGATCTGGGTTTAATGTTGCATTAACTGAGGAGCCTAAGGATAAGAGCCATTTTCCGAGAGATGCAAGAATCTGACCTTTTTCACTTACATTCCTTATAAATGAAAAAAAATGAATTTATTTTAAAAAAATTTGTAGTGACAATAGAAATCATTTTTTATGAATAATTTGAATATTTAAAGGAAATATTTATCTATATATATATAATAATTTGCTTGAGATGTAATCGTTATAAGCATTAATTATATATCAAAATATAGTCTGTACCAAACTTTTATATTAAAAATTTTTGCTGGTATCAACAGCGTTAATTTCCTCAAAAAGTAGACATTTTTCTTATTGTTTTGCTCGATAACCAAGAAGCAGGAGAATTAATGGGTTCAGCAGCATATCAACTCTAAAGTTAATTTCACTGTCAGACGCTACAAATTTTGTTATGGAAGGTTTTCGCATATTTTGCGGAATTGGATGAGATGAGTATTGGGCAAAATATGGCAAAAATTTTACATGATTCAGCAATATTAAAGAAATATTTTCAATAATATTTGATTGTTCGCTCGGTGGAACTATACTAGAAATTCCTTCCAAAATTTCATCTACTCCAACTCTAGAAGATTCTGTCTCATGGGCAATCATTATGTCTCTAAAAGACTTTATGAACTTCTTCTGGATAATTCTTCCATTGACAATCACAACAGATTTCAAATTTCCTTTGTATCCTCCAAAATCCTTCTTAATTTCATCTTCTTTGTATTCGCATTGAAATTCTCCAAAATCAACATTTCCAATTCTCTTTTTTTCCTTCAAATTTTTCAAAAAGCACAATATTTTATACCATTCCTGGCTAATTTCTGAGGACTTAAAAATATATCTAATTCTTAGCCCTAAATGAGAAAATCTCTTAAAAATTTCCAATGTATGCATAACTAAATCTTTATCTGTATCTTCTGCAATAACCGTAATAGTCGCCACTTTAGGCAAATCATTAAGTTCCACTATAAACCCTTTTTCTATGTGTTTAATTAAATCAATTTCTGTAGAAGTTTTATGAGTAATTTCTAAGTTCAGCCTTTCTACTGGCTTTCCATGCTTCACATTTTCAAAAAATGATTCCAGTGGCGGATCAATCATCCCATACATTATCAGCATTGCAATTTGGCGTTTTTCTTTGAGCAGCTCAAGCAGGATTTTATTTTCAGATTCTTCTTCTTCCTCTGGATTGATTGAGACATCTAAAACTCTCCCATTCAAAATCCAAGTAGCAGGCCCACAAATTCCTGACTCTTCACAGAAGTTATTAGCTCTAGTAACAGTATGGCTTAGCTCTTCATCAAATTCACAATCTGTGCAATAGGCATTAAATGCATTTATCGCGTCATCTATAGTTGTATCTTTATTCATACTCATCAGAAATTCAAAAATTTCTGTTTCTTTATTTTTCAGCTGTTTAAGCCCTTGTGTAATTACATTTACAACAGGGTCATTTCCTATTAAAATAAATCCTATTCTGACAGGCCAATTTTCTAGATACATTTTTAAGGCAAATTGAACGGAGTTTCACGCTGCCTCAGTCCTGATATCTAGAACTGCAATAATATTAAAAAAATTCCTGGCAACTTCTTCAAGCTCGTTTCCATAAGACATCAAGAACGCTTGGTAATTTTTCGTCCACGAGGAGTATTTTTTGTCATTTTCTAAGTCATTTATGTAGACTCGTCCTGTTTGAGGTCCTGTTTTTATAAGCCCACCTTGTCCCTTGTATTGATGCAGTTTCAAGTTAGAATTTTCAAGGATTTTAAGAGCATTTTTGTGTGGTATCCCTAGAGCTTTAATTTCTTCTAAAGCATGGATTTCTGCTCTTAATGTGCCTATTATTGTGTAGAAATCAGGTGATAAATAATGGTTGTTTATTAGCAACATGTTTTCTCCAATAAGCTAATTAGCTTACTTACTTATTTACTTAGGTGTTTAAAGTGTCTTCCCTCTTCCGCAGGGTGATTTAGGCATGCATAGCCCACCCTTTTAAATCCCAACTAGTGACGTCAGCAGCGATCCTCCCTATATGTAGGCATTCCAGAAGACTTCACTTGTCAGGCCAGAAGGTCCGCACTGGCAGCGTTGGCCTCGCCCGAACTTGACTCCTGCGCGTGTTCCGCCTAAGGGTCACCCTCCTCGGGTGTGTCAAGCAGCAAAACCAGGTGCTCCTAGTATCCTGGACCAAAGAAATACCCTATGCGGTATTCCATATTGGTGTTGCAGATAAAGGTCCACGTGGAAAACTGAACCCTATAATAATAAAAGCGAAGGAAGGAATAGTTCTCGGAGAGAACTAATTCCGCACTGAGCCATTTTTTATTATTATAATAAGCTAATTAGCAAATACCTGTGCATTAGTGTAAGCACTCATCATTATTTCGCTTTTTAGCGCTTTTGTATAGTTTGCAGCTGAGAAATCTGCAAGGTGTAATGGAATAGTTTCTAAAATAGCAGCCATTTTATCCCAGTCAGGCAAAACTGACAGTAGCTTTACTAATGCTTTAAATGGTAAATCTATATGGAAATTACCTTCTAAATTCCAATTTTCGTTGCCATGACTTTCTACCTTATTTGCATCTTCAACAGGCTTATACTCCATATTTTTCACAAGCAGTTCTGCGCCATATCCACCTAAATAGTCAACGCTGTCACTTCTGAGGTCAATATGTCTGACTCCCCCCCCTTTAAATTGGAACTAAAAATTTTGTTACAATTTAAAGGGGGGTTAAGAAAATTTTTTTAAAACAAAATATCAATATAAAAATTTTTTTTATAAAAAAAAAATTTATATAAAATTTAAAAAAAAAAGATTCAAAACTTATCGAATTAGATCAATAAAATTTGTTTAATAAAATGATATTTACTCCTTATCCTTTAAAACAAAGCAAGATATAACTAAATTTTCATTATTAGTTAATACGCCACTATTAATTGGCATCAAAATTATTTACACAAAAAATATTTATTTTTTATTGATAAAAAAAATTAAAAAAAAAATTTTAGAAAATTTATCGATCAAAGTGCTAATTTTGTTTAAATAAGATGTTATTTATACTCTATTCTTTAAAATATAGCAATAAATAAGTAAATTTTGAAATTTTATAAAGAATTCCTATTGAATTTATATCAAAACTATCCAAATAAAAAATATCATTTTTATCAACAAAAAAAAAATTTTTTTGAAAATTTTTTTTTTTTTTAAAATTTAGCAATAAAGGATAATAAATTTTTTTTAAATAAGATGCTCTTTATACTTTCTTCTTTAAACAAGAGCAAATTTTTAATTTTAGTTAAGAAGAAACATTTTAACTTATATCAAAACTTTTTAGATAAAAATTATATATAATTTTTTATTATAAAATTAAATTTTGTTCCAATTTAAAGGAGGGGGAGTGAGGATATAAGTTGAGTTATTATCAATACAGAACTGTTTGATTTCTTGGTGAGTTTTTTGGAATTGAGGATCTGTGATATCGACATATGCAGTGACTGAGTTTAGATTTTCATAAATAGTGTGATCAAAGCTGTATTGTGTCCTTGGCGGAGTACTAAATAAAGCTTGATCGAGTTTGCAAGATGGTGCTGAGTTTATCATGTAAAAGACTCTGCAATCTTCTGTTAAGGATTTTCGATCATGAATTTCTAATTTTGAATAGAACTCCATTCTTGCAGAAAACTCTCTGTTGTATAAAGAAGATAGCAAGACTTTTTTTTCAATGTCACTTCTTGACACTTTCTCGGCCAGTTTTTCAAAATTTAGTTCATTCTCAATCAAAATTTTATCCAAAAATTCCCAGAAAATACCGATTTCAGCAAAATACTCACTAGGTGATAGTTACCTCATTTCTTGAATCAAGCTTTTTTCGCTTGGGCCTTTCCATTGTGTGGAGAGCTTGACTTCTACTTGAGCATAGGCTATACACAGCAAAAATGCAATCCACATTTATATTGCGTGTAGCTTTTATAAAGAGAGATAATTTTTTAATTATATAGTGATGATTATAACCCGGGGCCTGATTTGGATCGCCTTGGGCTACACGTTGCCGCTGGTTGAAAAGTGAAAAATAAACTGACACTTGTTAATTCGTGGGGTTGACTTGGCAACTGATGTTGCCCGAGTTGACCCCACAGGCTGAGGCGGCAACGTGTAGCCCTTGGCGATCCAAAGTAGGCTCTGGGCTGTATATTGTTAAAGCAAAATATATAAATTAATGCTGTATCAAGTATTATAGTTCAAAAGCGAGATTTAAGTATAATTTAAGGCTATAAATTATAAGATTTTATATTAAAGTGGCCATATCTCATATTGTTCTTAATAAGAACGCACAGGACTTTTACTGATTTTTTTTATGCTTTCCATTGATAATTATTTCAATTTCCTTTATTTTGCACAAAGTATATATTTAATGGGAAACTCAAAGTCCAAAGATTATAGCAAAGACACATTTTTTAATACAACACAACTTAAACTCCTCTCCGGACACTTTAATTTGCTGTTTACGAAAGGTACCATTGACCATTCCTTAACTCAGAAATTGTTTGAAGTTGCAAACGATCCTGAGATTCACCCATCTATTGAAAATTACTTATCAAGCAAGGTAAAAGGCAAAAAAGACTTTGAAGGCTTTTTAAAGGCTTTAGAAATTCTCATTTTCGGGAAAAATAAAACAGGAGGGATAAGCTATGACGTTAAAGGGCCAGTCGAGAGGTTTTCAAATTTATTAAACATATCAGAAGACACTCAAAATTTCAATGAAATTTTACTTCAGCACTTATTAGCAATAATCCAAGGAGATTTCTCTATAATTGCTTCAGTTAATCCTCACTCCAAGTCCATCCGTGATTTCCAAGCTTATATTCAGGTACAATTCCCAGTCCTTGCCAACTGCTTCCCTAACTTTTTAATTTCCAGACTCTTAGACAAGCCTCCTTCTCTTCCTCCAACTCTTAATGAAAATACCCATTCTATCAATGAAGCTTTATCATTTTTATATCTGAGCTGTCCAGCTCTATGTGGAATTGAGCTGCTTAGGCTCTATTTATCAAAAGAAGACGGACTAAGCTTCAATAGACTGGCAGCTGGACTTAACGGATATCAAGGCCCAATGATTTTGACTATAAAACTGTCTGACTCAATCTTATTAGGAGCTTTTATAGGAGATGGTCTAAGAGATAACGCTAAATATTCAGGATCGATGGATACATTTTTATTTACTTTTTATAATGGATACCGCACATTTAGGCCTGAAGAAGGTGAAGGAGGCGGAAATTTCATTTATTTTAACTCAAGGATTGCAGGGACGACTAAATTTCCGAAAGGGCTTGGGTTTGGAGGAAATGTCCCACAGCCTGCAAGAGTTTGGCTTGATGACGATATTGATATGAACTCTTATGCAATTTCTCATTGTAGCACTTATCCACCTGGAGATCTATTTAGTGGGGCTGAGACTGATGGGAAAATGCATATCGTGTCAATTGAGGTATGGGGATGTGGAGGGGAAAAGGCAGCACAGGCACAGCAAGAGTATAGAGATAGTGAGGCACAAAGGATACAAAAAAATAGACAAGTAGATAAGGCACAATTTTTGGATAATCAGTTTGATAAAGATATGCTGCTGGGAGGTACTTTTAAGAATGCAGAGTATAGAGAAAAAGCTGAGGCTGAGTAATAATTAAGTTTGCTTAAATTTACTAGATGGAGAGTTACTAATTCTATATTTAGCTTATAAATCGGTTCTATATGCTGCAATCCCTTTACTTTCTGTAAACTTAACCTCTCTTCCTTCTGTAAGCTAACAAAAATATTTTGAATTTTTTTAAAAATTTATACATATAAATTTTATAATAATTTTTTTTCGAAATTTAACAAAAATCTCAATTCACAAAACAGCAAAAATTTAATTAGCATAAAATTCAAGCTGCTTAAATTCAACAGATTTGGCTAGAGATTTCATTATATACTTATCACTTATAAAATATTTTTTCATAAAAAGAATTTATGGTTTTTTACCCAAAAAATAGGGATATTTTCCAATGATTTTCTTCGCTGACGGAAGGGAGTTATCTAGCTTTTCTACGATTTCATTATATTTTTTCCATAATGGGATCACTCTTTTAGCAATGTCTAGCTTTGGTTCTTTTGTTAATGGGTTATTGCACAAATCAATGATTTTCGCTTTATCTTTTTCTTCATGCGCGCACCACGTATCGCATCACAACCATTCACTTGGCAGCTGCGTAATTGGGACTTTATTTTGTATAATCCCTTGCATAAATTTCGTTTTGCTTATTTATTGTAAATTGATTTTAAAATGCTAAAAAAATTTTAACATACCATAGACTCAGTTTTTATATATAATGACATGTCAAAATGTTTTTGACATTTTAAAATCAATTTACCATAAATAAGCAAAATAAAATATTACCAATACATTATATAAAATTTACCAAGTCTTGATCTAAATTTTGTAAAGAATTTGAGCTTGATATAAAATACTCATAATAAAATCTTAAAATATCTCCAACTCCTATACTTCTATATTTACCTAAATCTGTAATAGAAAGAGCATATATGAAATAAGGCTTTCCTTTCAGCTGTTTCTGCCAATATCCATCTTTTCAAAACCGAAATCCAAAAGTGGCATTATTTGACTCGCAGAATGGAACAAAGCCATACGGGATAGTCCTGAAAATACCATTTGACAGAATTTTCATGATTTTTTCACACAACATAATTTATAAATTTCAGTTATTTTAATAGAAAAAAACCCATAAAAATATCATTATATGGTAAATTCCTGATTGTCCGCCATAAGCGTTTCCTTGAAGATCTGTATTTCATAACTCAGAAATGTCTTCTCGAACGACTTGGTCAGCGTCCATTGATATTATTTTAGTCACATTTGAAGGAAAAAACAAGTCAAATAAAAGAGCTCGATAAGCAAAAATTCGATTGGATATTGTCTTTTGAGTTGGAAGCCAGCTTGGTCATTTATATGAAACAAATTCGTATTGGAATTTCATCTTTTCAGACAGAATTTCAATTGAATTTTTGAAGTTAGTGGAAAGAAAATCGCCATAGAGCCAAAATTTGATTTCTGATTTGGTGTGACTCATGACCGAAAGGATCATTATTTCCATAAATCTTTCATATGTTTTGCCTTCTGCAATAGAAAAAATGTTAATGACTTGATTTTCAATTTTTTTTGGATTATTTTCACTATCGGCTGTTTTGTTTTCTAGAGGGATTTTATATAAATTGAATCTCAAAGGCTTTTGCCTGTAATCTTTTACAATAATTGGCTCCAAATTAGGCAAATTTCATTCATCTTTGCAGCTGCCACTAAGTGAAATATTAAAAATTCCAGGATTCGCATAAAACTGAAAATAGCCAAGATTCTTCATAATAAATGTGCTTGCAATTTCCTTCTCAGTCTCAAATAATTTTATTCCAATCCCACTCTGCATTTTAACTTCGAAATTGTTTTGAATTGCTTTCGAGTTTCCTGTAATCAGAATATGCTTTAATGAAAATTTAAGGTTCGGTTCTTTATTTAATTGTAAATCATCCAGATAAATAGGTGTATTATACTGTAAGACTCACGATTCTGGTATATTTAAAGTTAATGAGACTGATTTATTGATTATTTTGCTCACCAAAAACTCTTGATTCAAGTCTTTTTTCAAATAATTTATTTGAATCTTATCAGTAGAACGTGAGGTGCTTGAAACAACAAAAGTAGCACCCAAAGATGAGCCAAGATCTATCAGCCAAAAGCACAAAGATGACAGATGCCTTCCCTTTTCGTTTAAAGGATTGATCAATACATCAATGTTGAAGTAAATATTATTTGTATTTACAACTCTTTTGGTAAAATCCTTGGAAAAAACAATAGGATGCGAAGCATATGATGCAAAATAGGAAATATGAGACAATTGCCGAAGAAGAATATATGAAGCTTTTTCCATTGCATTATCAAGCTTATTTTCTTTTATGGAAGTTTGAAGAAGTTTTTGGACATTGTTCAAACCAGACCTTTCAATTTCTAGATCATATATTTTTTTCAAGTCCAAATACGAACTTATTTCATTTTTATAGTCTGAGAATCTTTTTGGCTTGGGCTTTCCGATCTTTCCTGACAGGAAAAATGGAGTTGGTTTAACCAAATAATGCTGGCTTGGCCAACTCCCCAAATGGTAGAAATTCAGCATATGTGGTTCTGTCACATAAGAGTTAGTGAAGCCAAATCTCATCTTTCCCATCAGTAAAGATCAGGAAGCCAAAGCCAAAAAGATGCTTGGACTATAGATATCATTTTCCCATTAATTAATACACCTGATATAAGCTCAGGTATTTTTTTCATAAAAGATGCTTTAATATACTCAAGAGAATATTCACATTGAAATTCTTCAAAATCTGTAACACTCCCAGTATAATTTAATTTTTTATTTTCGTCGTGAATAAACTTTATATAGCACAAAATCTTATATCACTCATCATCCATTTCATTAGAGTTAAAAATGTATCTTATTCTGATCTTTAAATAAGAAGCCTCCTTGAATAATTTAAGAGTATGGAATATTAAAGCTTGGTCATTTATTCCTGCAAATACTACATAAGTCATTAATTTTGAATTCCCATTAAAATCAAAATTATACCCAAAGCTTGGTATTCCATAATAAATTTCTTCATTTAGAATCCCATCTAAGAGATTTAAATGGTTTCTCTCAATTGGGAATTCACTTGTTAAATTTTCAAAATAGCTAGTGAGAGGGGATCTCAAGATTCCTTTTACTTTAGCATTCATTATATTTCTCTTTTCTTTTCTGAGTTCGCCAATAATGGTTTTATCGAAATGCTTATCAAAATTTATCTCAAGGACTTGCCCATTTAAAATTCAATGAACTGGCCCACATAATCTAAAATTATCGCAAATAATGGTAGGAAGTCTCTTCTTGGAATTTATTATTGCTTCAAATTCAGCAGTTTCGCAATAGTTTTTGGCTAATGAATGGACTTCTAATGCTGTCATATTGTACTCTAATTTTCCAAAAAAATCAGTAATAGAAGTCTCATTGCTTTCCAAGCATTTGCATGCTTGATGCATGACGAAAGCCAAATCAGGATTTCCAAGAAATACAAATCCAAGCCTAACAGGGTAATTCTTTGTATATAAATATATGACCGCTTTTATTCCCTTTCACCCAATTTCTTTATCTAAATCCACAATAGCTATCAGATTATAAAAATTTTTTGCGACCTTTGCCAAGTCAACATCATAAGTACTCAAAAAATCAGACGTTTTTTTCTGCCATTCAGAATATTTTAAGTCTTTTTCTAAATCATTTATGTAGATTCTTCCTATGCTAGAACCAGTTTTCAAATGTTTACTCACTGATATATCCGTGTGGACTCTTAAATTGAAATTGCCTAGCATTATCAGTGCTGTACTTTGAGGGATTCCTATCATTTTGAGCTCTTCAATAGCATTATATTCTGCTCTGAGGACTGATAAAACAGTAAATAATTCTGCTGGCACATAATGGTTATTTATCAAGATCACTCCTTCATCTTTAAACTGCTTAAAATTTACCTTAGCATTCAGCTCTGTTACTGAGAGTGAGTCCTTTTTGAATGATTCTGAAAACTTGGTTGAATTTAGATCTGGTATATTCTCAGGAAAATTTTCTAGTAACTTTAAGATTCTTTTTCAATTAGGTAGCATTGATACCAATTTTTTCAGGGCTTTAAATTTGAAATCTGATTAGTATTTACTGTTATCTTTGGCTATTAATTGGCTTTCATAGTGATTTTTTAATTGCAGCTCAACTCCATAGCCTCCTAAATGATCAGCTTCGTTTATTCTTGTATCTCTATGCCTTAGAACATAAGTCGCATTATTTTTGATACAAAAATCTCTGATTTTTAAAGAAATCTCAGAAAAATGGATATCAGAAATATCCAAATAAGCAATGACTGAATTTTTGCCTTTAAACATGGTATGATCGAAATGATAGATATCTATTTCTTTAGTGGCAAAGAGGCTTTTATCTAATAAACATGAAGCTGCAGAGTTAATAATATAAAAGTCTCGGCAATTTTCCTTTAGCGCTGCTCTGTCTTTTTCTTCCAATTTTGAATAAAATTCCATTCTAGCTGAAAATTCTCTATTGCTTAAAGAACAATTTATCAGCTTTTTCTCAATCTCACTTCTCGATATTTTGCTTATTATAGCATCTATATTGAGCCTATCCCCAACAATTTCTTCAATTTTACCAATGAAATATCAAAATTTCCCGATTTCTGCGAAGTATTCACTTTATAGTTTTTACCTCATTTCTTGTAATAATGTTCTCTGACTTGGTCCTTTCCAATTTGTTTCAACTTCAATTTTTGTTTGTGCAAACCCTAAACCAATAATTAAGAAAAATCACATAGAAAAATAATTAAAAATGGTTTCGATTTTACCAGCAATGAGATTAATTAATGGCTTTAAGATTTAAATGTAAAATAAAATGTAGAAAGCCTTTGAAAGTAAGGTGATTCCTTGCTCAATAGTAAAAGAATTTAAATTGAGATCAGGAAAAATACTAGATTATTCATTGCAATAGAATAAGAACTGCTAAAAGACTAGAAGAGTTTGGAGGATTATTTTCAGTCAACCCAAAGTACGCAAAAGAGTTGCTATACTGCATAGGCCCTTCCATAATGCAGATTCAGGGCTCGATTTTACAAATAAGATAATAGAGGAATATGGAAACAGTATTGTTGCTTATCTTATGTTAGCTGGATCTACAGGAGGTTTAGTATTATTGGCCGGCACAAATTATCAGAACTTATCTAAAAGACAATGGACAAATAAATAAAATTCCAAACAAAGATTTAAATTTCATATTAATTGTCACACTCAAACTTTAACTCTAAATATTTCATATTAATGGGGTTTATCTCAGCTTTTCTATGCGTGTTTGTCCCATTAGTCTCATTTTCCACCTACATCACATTTAGACAAGGCAACAAGCTTCCCCAAATAACCCGCCAAACAGGAAGATCTATAGGTATGGGCTACAACTACTTGCGTATCGTAATCAAGCACATGACTCCAAAATCCAACGAAAGCATCGAAGTTATTAGAAAAATGCGACAAGTCGGCCAGCAAGCCTTTGCGTTTAGCAATGAAGTTAAATGGAATTTATTGGAAACCAAGCCACTCATAAAAGAAGCTTTTCCCAATCTCACTGAAGATCCTTTTAATAAATTCGGCCTAAGAGGTGAAATTAAAGGCGAAGAAGAGAAAAAGCCAAATCCAGCAGCATCTACGTCAAATTTAATTGCAGAAACCTTTAACCAGCGCTCTCAGCTAATTAAAAAGAAAAAGCAAAAAGCGCTTGAAGAAGAAACCTCGAACAGAATTTAATTGTAATGATTTAACTATAATTTTGGCTCAATAAAGTTAGGCTGCACCATTGATTTGAAGTTCTTTAACGCCTTTTCTGTATTAAAAGTAGATTTTTCAGCCCAGTTTTGTAGAGTCTCTAATCCGTCTTTGTCTCCTGCAAATGCTGAGTTAAGCGCATTATCTGTATACCCAAATGCATCAGTTAGTCCAATTACCGCATATCTTAGCTCACTCAGCAGGACTTCTATTTTTTCATCTAAAATTTCTTCAGGTTTCCCATTAGTAAAAAACCCGCATTCATAATATTCAGCTATTCCTTCTTTAATATAAATAGCTGCATATAGCTCGCATAATTTCAATAGCACTTTTTTGGTTTTTCCTTTTTGGGTCATCGCTGCATCTTTAAACTGCAAAAACACAAAAAGCACTAAATGGGCCTTAGCCATCTCAATTAGGTCTGATTGAGCTCTTTCGTAGAAAATTTCAATAAATGGGAACCCTTCATCCATTTCTCTTGCAAACCTTTCTGAAGTCCTTTTCGCGACGTAGCAAGATCTGACCCTCAAAAATTCTTCAAATGATAGCACATTGGCGAGGTCTCTTAATGATTTTACTTTGCAGGTATGTTTCATATAAATGTCTATGTAGTTTAAATACTGCAAAGAATCACGCAATTTTTGGCCTGCTTTTAAGCCTTTTATAGCTTTTAGTAAAAATGAAGCACACTGGAGCATTAAGACTGTATTGTCGCCTTCATACGTGACTGATGGAGAAAAATCGAGATAAATGGTAGGAAGTCCTGATAGTAATGAATACCCATGCATCCCTAAAGCTTCTCTGCATTTTTCTATATCTTTAAGCGTCTGTGAAGTAAATAATGATTTCAGCCCAGACGCTATGCTATGCATTTCTTTGACGTAGCTTAGATCTCCTGCTCTGAGCTTTAGCAACATATTAATGTTCATTTGTTTTACCTTATGACTCGTCAAATAAATTGCATAACAATTCGCGATTGCAGGAATTAAAGAATATTGATACCCTTGATAGTCAATTATTTTCATAGGTTTGCCATCTGAATCTAGATTTTCTGTGTTATTAAAACAATACCTTGCAGCTATTATAAGTGCTTTGGCTAGGTGTCTTGAGCAGTCTCTTATAATCCCAACTCTGATCTCCATCATAACAAAAAACCTCATATTTGCAAACGGCGGGGAATAATAAGTCCCATCCCTTCTAATTCTTCCATATTTTGATAGCAAATTTTCCATAGGGACTCTTACAGAGTGAAGCTGCAAAAATCCATTATCAACTCTTCCCCAGCCTAATTTCGGCCCAATATCGCCTAAAGTGATGCCTTTTAATGGGTGGTGTGACTCCATTGACCTTATTTGGACTATAAAAGGATGGACTCCATAATTATTCCCATCACTAATCAGCTTTGCAAAGACCACACAATGGTTCGCTGTCAGTCCTAACGATCCAATCCAAAATTTCGACGCTGATACTGTAGGCGAATTTATTATAAACTCTTGTGTCGATTTATCATAAACAGCTGTCGTTTCTATATTCCTCACATCAGACCCATGCCCTATTTCAGTTTGTGCATAACACCCTATGACTTTATTTTCTTTAATTAATTTCAGCCACTTGTAGCGCTGCTTAGGACTTCCTAATGCTTGAATTGCAAGCCGAAACATCGTGAAATGAGTATCAAATGGTGTAGGGCCTATGTGTTTAAACATGTCCCATATGATTTCTTCATGTTTTTCATCATAGACTTTTCACTTGTCCAATACAAATTTCACTTTTTGGTAGGCTTTATTTAATGATTGTTTCCTTGAAAGCCAATAAAGGTCAGGCGTGTTCTTGGTGACTGGGTCATTTGCCAGAATATTCCACCTTTCTATGATTTTTGGTATATTAGGGCCGTATATCAGGTTTGTAAGGTCTTTTACGCTGAAATCAATCCCTTTACGCTCTTGGGCTAAATTTTCCATATAAAAATATGACGGAACTTTATTTTGCACTGGGCTGCACGTCAATGTGCGCCTCATTGGTGACTGCAAGCTATGGGTATAGGGGTTTTCCCTATATGGCCCGATAAGGGCCGCGGATTCTCCGTGGAATCCCTCTGTTTGTCAAACCAACTCAATGCGTTGGTTTTGGTTCAATTCCACGGAGAATCCACGGCCCTTATCGGGCCATATAGGGAAAACACCTATATCATGGAGGTATGAACTATGAGCAAAAAAAGAAATGGGAGAAGGCTGTGAGATATCAACAATTGGGAAGCATTCCGCTACTCTTTGTAGGGAATAAAAAAAATAAGCACATTCCTGGAGCACTTTCAGCAGCTGGGGTGAGCTTGTTTTGTTTACCACTTTATTATTATGCGAAGACTGAAGACTCTAAATTTAACTTTGCAATGCCTTGGGGAGGAGTCCTTATGATGGCAAGCTGGCTGACTTTAGGATTCTTACTCCCCATTCCAAGTCAGTAGCCTTTTTCTACTCAAGGACATTATTTTTTTTCAAAATAATTTATAATATTTATGTTTTATAATAGACTTCGTTGAGATTTACTATAATAATTATTAAATATATATAAATCAAGGATTCCAAAAAAAAAATTGTGCTTTCTCACAGAAAGTTTATTTTTCTCTAAAATCGGATTTTTCCAATGATTTTGCTCGCTAAAAGAGAGGGGTTAGCTTAATCTAGCTAAAATAATCGACTTAATTTATAGAAGACTGTTGGGATTTAAGTGCAGTTATTTCTTTATAGGAAAGTCAAAAAATCAGAGTTTAATTAGATTAAAATGGAAACAGGAACATGGATTATTATCTCATTATCTTGACTTTTATTATTAGGCCTTGCCTACATGTTTGTTCATTATTGGCTTTTACACAACTTCGAAATCCAAAATCCCTTTGTTGAACTGCTTTTCAGCGCCACTTTTGCGGCATCTGGAGCTCTTTTAGAACTTTTCCTATTGGAGCTGACGTCGATTGAAGTGAATCCTGGGATTTGAAAAATAATTTTTGGCTGTTTTAGTACTTTGATGCTTTATATTGTCCCAATTTATTTTATTTATTCTTTTGTATTTGCATTCAGACTCAAGTGACTGCTTTGAATTATTTTTGTAGTAATTTATTTATGAGAGTTAAGCTACTATTGGTATTTGACTATTGGGACATCAGAAAATTTAGAGTTCCTGCATTATTCTATTATAGAGCAGATTAAGTTGTTAGGGGTTAACGGAGTATTGATAAGTGCTTGCTTGTCAGGATTCGGAGCAGTGAATTGTGCTTACAATTATTTTAATTTTTTTAATGTGGCATCTACCCAGGCTGATTTAAAAGAGTTTTGCAGACTATCCAAGAGAAATATCGTAAACCTTGTGAAAATAAAGCAAAAAAGGTTGTTTTTGCCTTTGGAAAAGAAAAATTTGGGATGAGCCAAATCTCTGGTAGGCATATTCAATGGATCTTTTAATTCAGATCCAAAAATGGAAGCTTTGGATGCAGAGTTGCAAGCAGCTGAGGCAATTCATCAGCAGTACTTGCAGACAGTGTCAGAGATAGTCGAAAATAGAGAAAAAGAAAAATTGTCAAAGACTTTTAAAGGGAGAATATATTCATTATTTGCAAAATTCCTTGTTATTTATAAGAAATAAAATGCGTGACATTGAGGAACTTAGACTCCGAGGCGCACTCCCTATAGAGCAGGTAGGATTCATCCTGATGCTCTGAAAGTAGGGCCTCTGTTCCGGTGGAAGTAGGCCTTCAGGCTTGGGGATGCTTTGCAAAAAAGGGAAGTTTTATTTCTCACCCGAAGATTTTTACTGTCCCTGCCAGATGGGCTAGACAGGTTTTGCCTACCATATGGTCTTTCCTCATCGGGACCATCGGGGCGCTATCTAAAAGCGGCTCTGTTCAGGGCGAGCTAATCCCTTGGACAGGTGGTTCAGGACGGAAATTCAAAATGGCGTCCTCGGATGCCATTTTGGAGCTGAGACGGGGCAGATGGTCAGCGCCTGCGGGAGCGCTTATGGCCGGATACATAATAACTTAACTTTAAACTTGTTATTTATGGCATTTACAAAGTAGTTTTTTCGATATATAATGTTGCTTTACAAAAGAAATATTCAATAGACCCTGTTACCCGAGGCTTACATATTTTTTGCTATATTTTTGGACTTGATGAGTCATTTTTGAATTTTGTCATTGAACACTCAAGTTTTGCGTTTATTGGGATTTTAATTTTCACAAATATCCGAAGCTTTGCCAATATTTTGGTTTCCATTGTAAACCAATGTGGGAAACTGCTTTCCTCTGGGCTTTCGTCTGAATCCTTGTTATTAATGCTTACTCCCCCACCCTCCCTGAGCGCAAAAAACCATTGGAAAATCCCTAATTTTTGGGTAAAAAACTCATCATCCATTACCGAACAAAAAATGTTCTCAATATTATTTTTTTTTTATGAAAAAAAAATTATATGCAAATGATAATTATTATAATGAAATCTCGAGCAAATTATGTAGAATTTTAAACAGCTTGCATTTTTAAATATAAATTTTGCAAACTAAATTAATTTTAGCTTTCCAGTTATCTCAAATTGGGAGTTTTAAAAATTTTGAAAAAATTATTTGCTATGAATTTTTTACAAAATAATATTAGCCCCCATCTATGAGCTAACAAAATTTTTTTGCTCGCTCAAGGAGCTAGTGAAGTTATGGGAGCTTATTTCATGGCAACCGTTATAATGATGAGAGCTAATTTGCCTGAAAAGAAAAGAGAAGCTATGACTAATGCTTTAAGTGGTGTAGATTTTTTCAGCTTCCATCATTTATTTGATGGAGCTTTCGCAATATCATCAGTTATTACAGCCGTGATCTTATATTTGAAATATATTTTTCAAATTAAAAAGAAAACGATGTAGTTAGTGTCACAAAATAATTAAATAAAACTGTGAAGCAAATAACTAAAATAGGCATAAGAGAAAATAATATTAATTTTATCTATGTTTTAATCTATAAGGATTAAGAAAAATTGTTTTGTTTGATTTTAGGACAGAAACTATTAGTATGGTATATATAATTCTCTAATATTAAAAATTGCTGAGAAAACTTCAGATCAGTGAAAACTTGAAAATATTTATTACTCCTATACTTACAGTTTTAAGAATTATATTAGAACCTACACTATTCTATTTGTTTTCTCCACAAAGGGAGCAACAGTTTCTAAAAGAATATTGAATTTTTTTCCAATGTTTATTATACGCAACTGAGTTTCTCAATCTTTTTGATAGATTCAGCAACAAATTTGTGAACTTCAGCATAACTGCACAATTTCCATTCCTTTTAAGTATATACATTCTATTCTGGACTATTTTTTATCAAATTCTGAGAATTCTAATTGAAAATGAAAATGTTTTGGTGCTCAGTGCTACTTTGCCTATATATATACTAATTTGGGCATATTTAAACTTTGTGCTTTCATTCGTAGGCTGCTTTTTGAAGGAACTCTTCTCAACAGAAACGTTTTCATTTCATGTTTATGCCTTATTATTGTTCGTGCTCATTGTGAAAGAAGTTTTTCTAAAATCATGGTTGTCTCTTTACATAATTATTTATTTTTTATTTTGGATTGGCATATGGGCTAGTATTATTACAGGCGCTATCGGCACCGGAGCTCGATTTATTAAAATATTTTATTCACAATTTTCAAGTACCCATGATTTTATAAAAGCTTCTAAAGAGTTTATCGATAACTGGCTGGCATCTGAAACCAAAAATCTTGCAAAATGTTTCAAATGATTATTTGGAGATCTTACAAAAGCGATTGGATTGTTCGTTTCGAATGTTAACAAAACAGAATTTTTTTATACTCCCCCTTCCATGAGTGAAACTATTGGGAAAATCCTTATTTTTTGCCAAAAACCCACCCAGTGTGAGTGAATGAAAAAAAAATTGATATACAAGTGATAATTATTATAATGGCATATCTAGCTAACTCTGTTTAATTTTAAACAGATTGTACTTTAAACATAAACTTTGCAAATTAATTAATTTTTGCTCTCCGATTTTTTTTTATTGGACTTTTTCATATTTTAAAAAAAAATTATTGTAAAATTTATATATGATGATAACTCCCTCTATGAGCAAACAAATTTTGAAGGGGTGAGTTAGTAATATTTATCTTATAGAACTATATTTAGATATACTTGCTCTTCCACTTGCTCTTCCACTTGCTCTTCCACTTGCATTGGTTTTGCTTATAAGAAACGGATATTCGGATAGTTCTAGGAGACACTTTTGACTAAATACTTTTGCAATAGTATTTATGTCAGAAATGATTTGGCATTGCTTACCCCCCTCCGTGAGCGAACAAAAATGTTTTATAAAAAAAGATTTATGTATATAATTGATAATTATCATAACAAAGTCTCTAGCTAATTCTGTTTTAATTTTAAACAGCCTACATTTTAAAATATAAATTTTGCAAAATAAATTAATTTTTTCTTCTCAAATTGGGGAATTTTTTTACATTTTTTAAAAAAAAAATTAATCGCGAACCACGGAGGTGGGGAGTTAGCATTAATTTTAGGATCATAATTAACAATATTAGCATTATAGAAAACTTAGATTTGTTAATTTTAATTGATATTTTTAGTGCTATTTGTAGTAAATTTCTTAGCAGCTAATCATAAATGATATAATAAATGAATTCCTATAAGTAAAAATAAATTATAAGATTTAATTTTAATTTGAATATATAAAAATAATTTTTCCCCTTCATTTAGTTCCAATATGCAAAGAATAAAATAGTGTGAAACAAATATAAATTGGCATAAGAGAAATAAATAATAATTTTATGAATATCCCAAAAACTATATCTAACAATTTTGTTATTTAGAAATGATATTCCATACTTCGGTCTAAAAAGATTCTAAATTGTCTATTGCAGTAAATTTTTTGAATTTAAAAATAGAATTTATTAGTGCCTAATTTTGATAAAATATAAATGAATACACTTGCCAAACTTCAGATCAGTGAAGACTTGAAAATCGTTATAACTCCCATCATTACAGTTTTAAGAATTATATTAGAGCCTGCACTATTTTATCTGTTTTCTTCACAAATGCAGCAACAGTCTCTAATAGAGTATCAATTTATTTTCCAATGTTTATTGTATGCAACTGAATTTCTCAATCTTTTTGATAGATACAGTCTCAAATTCGCGAACTTCAATATAACTGGAAAATTTCCATTCCTTTTAAGTATATACATCCTGTTTTGAACTATTTTTTATAAAATTCTAATTGAAAATGTGTTGGTGTTTGATGCCACTTTGCCAATATACATACTGGTTTGAGCATATACAATCTTTTTACTTTCACTAGCAGGTTACTTTTTAAAAGAACTCTTCAAAACAGAAAAGTTTTCATTTCATGTTTATGCTTTATTTGTACTCATCCTCATTATGAAAGAAGTTTATCATAATTCATGACATATACTTAGCACTATTATATATTTATTATTTTTGCTTGGTGCATACTCTACTGTCATCACAGGTGCTATCGGTACAGGAGCTCAATTTGTAAAAATATTTTATGCACAATTTTCAAGTAATCATGATTTTATAAAAACTTCAAAATTGTTTATTAATGATTGGTTGGCATCTGACACAAAAGGTCTTGCAGAATGCTATACAAAAACATTTGAAATTATGTTTAAATATAATGCAATTATCCAAATAAATCTTGAAAAAGCAGTTTTTTTTAAAAATACTTATCTTATAGAATTTTATTTAGATTTTATTGCTTTTTGATTTGCCTTTCTATTGCCTCTAAGAGATGGATTTTTGCATAGTAGACGCTATGAATATGTTTTATTAAATGCTTTTTCAATGGTGTTTATGGCAGAGATGATTTATCATTGCTTAGCATTAATTATAGGGTTTTAAATTGTAATTTAATATTCAAATTATAGAAAACGATTATTTCCTTTGCTATAGCTGATATAATTGCTGCTATTTGCACTAAATTTATTGCACCCCCTCCGTGAACGACTAAAAAGCTTTGTTCGTTCCCAATTTGCAAAAATTGGAACGCTAATATTTATTTAGTATCTCTTTAGCTAATTATCACTAATTTCTTTGAATCTCATTGATTTTAGCTTTGCCATTTTAATAAGTAAACAAATTCTCATGCAACTAAATTAATGATATTTCATGTATAATTTTAGGATTATAATGAATAATTTAACTATATTATATCCCAAAAACTATATCCAACAATTTTACTATTTAAAAATGATATTCCATACTTTAGCCTAATAAAAATTCTAAAAATTGTCTATTGCTGTAATATTTTTGAATATTAAATTAGAAATTATTAGTGCCTCATTTTAATAAAATATAAATGAATACACTTGCCAAACTTCAGATCAGTGAAGACTCGAAAATCGTTATTACTCCCATCATTATAATTTTAAGAATTATATTAGAGCCTACACTATTATATCTGCTTTCTTCACAAAGGCAGCAACAGTTTCTAATAGAATATTGAATATTTTTTCAATGTTTATTATACGCAACTGAGTTTCTCAATCTTTTTGATAGATACAGTCACAAATTCGCAAACTTCAATATAACTGGAAAATTTCCATTCCTTCTAAGCATATACATCCTGTTTTGAACTATTTTTTATAAAGTTCTAATTGAAGATGTTTTGTTGCTTGATGCCGCTCTTCCTATATACATACTGTTTTGAACATATACAACCTTTTTACTTTCATTAGTAGGGTACTTTTTAAAAGAACTCTTCGAAACAGCAAAGTTTTCATTTCATGCTTATGCTTTATTTGTACTCATGCTCGCTATTAAAGAAGTTTCTCTGTATTCATGGTATATAATTAACGGCTTTATTTATTTTTTATTTAGGCTTTGCATATTTACTACTATCATCACAGGTGTTATCGGCGCAGGAGCTCAATTTTTAAAAATATTTTATGCACAATTTTCAAGTACTCATGATTTTATAAAAGCTTCGAAAGTGTTTATTAATGATTGGTTGGCATCTGACACAAAAGGTCTTGCAAAATGCTATACAAAAACATTTGAAATGCTTTTTAAAATGAATGGAATTATCCAAATAAAATTTGACAAAGCATTTTTTCTTAAAAATACTTATCTTATAGAATGATATTTAAATTTGGCTATTTTTTGACTTGCCTTTCTATTGCCTCTAAGAGATGGATTTTCGCATTGTAGACGTAATGAATACATTTGACTAAATGCTTTTGCAATGTTATTTATGGCAGAGATGATTTATCATTGCTTAGCACTAATTTTAGGATTATAATTAATAATTTAACTATATTATATCCCAAAAACTATATCTAACAATTTTATTGTTTAGCTTAATAAAAATTCTAAAAAATTATCTATTTGTAAATTTGTTGAATTTTAAATTAGAAATTATTAGATAAAACATAAATGAATAGGCTTGCCAAACTTCAGATCAGTGAAGACTCGAAAATCGTTATTACTCCCATCATTACAATTTTAAGAATTATATTAGAGCCTACACTATTCTATCTGTTTTCTTCACAAAGGCAGCAACAGTTTCTAATAGAGTATCAATTTGCTTTCCAATGTTTATTATACGCAACTGAGTTTCTCAATCTTTTTGATCGATACAGTCACAAATTTGCGAACTTCAATATAACTGGAAAATTTCCATTCCTTCTAAGCATATACATCCTATTTTGAACTATTTTTTATAAAGCTCTAATTGAAGATGTTTTGTTGCTTGGTGCCACTTTGCCTATATACATATTGGTTTTAGCATATGCAGTCTTTTTACTTTCTTTAGTAGGGTTCTTTTTAAAAGAACTCTTCGAAACAGAAAAGTTTTCATTTCATGTTTATGCTTTATTTGTACTCATCCTCATTATGAAAGAAGTTTATCATAATTCATGGCTTATACTTAGCGCTATTTTTTATTTTTCATTTTGGCTTGGTACATACGCTACTGTCATCACAGGTGCTATTGGCGCAGGAGCTCAATTTTTAAAAATATTTTATGCACAATTTTCAAGTACTCATGATTTTATAAAAGCTTCAAAAGTGTTTATTGATGATTGGTTGGCATCTGACACAAAAGGTCTTGCAAAATGTTATATAAAAACATTTGAAATGCTTTTAAAAATGAATGGAGTTATTCAAATAAATTTTGACAAGGATATTTTTCTTAAAAATACTTATCTTATAGAATTATATTTAGATTTGGCTGCTTTGTTGCTTCCCTTTATATTGGTTCTAAGAGATGGATTTTCGGATTGCAGACGTAATCAATACATTGTACTAAATTCTTTTTCAATGGTATTTATGGCAGAGATGATTTATAATTGCTTAGCATTAATATTAGAGTTTTAAATTATAATTTAATATTCAATTATAGAAAATGATTATTTCCTTTAGTCTAGTTGATATAATTATTGCGATTTGCACCAAATTTCTTAGCATTGCCATGTGGGCTTACATGCCAAAGTTGATTGTTATAGTAAATAGTTGGGGTTACCGTATCCATAAATTGAAGAATCCTTTTTCCTTGATAATTTTGGAAAGAGCGCTAGCTCTAGCATTAGTGAAGTGTCTTCTTTGTGCTTCTGGGAGAGTTTAATCGCTTTGCATTCTAATTAAAACTAATCTGGAGAGCTGCGAAGTATCCTGCAAATAGAGAATAATCACCGTTCTGCCATGCCGGTATTTCGTTTATTAATTTCAGCACCAAAGTCCATTAAAGACATATAAGTGTCCGTCTTGTAATTGTATAAGTGATGTGTCTTGGCAACGCAGAATCTAAGCCAGTGTGGAGTCTCCTTCCTCCAAAATCTCTAATGGCTTACTTCAAATGGTGAAAGGATTTTGATGCACCTTTAATAAATTCTCAGCTAAATATCTATGCTAGAAGTCAGATATAGTAATCATGCCTGCTACCCTCGATTATGTAGCTTTTTATGATACCTGACTTCTTGCCTTCTTACATTTATTAGGATTGCAGGCATTTTGGATATTTGATCATATAAGAATTAAAGCAGAAAAGCCCATATGACTAATGAATTGTGTGATATAAAATTAGAAAGAAATATTTCAAATGTTGAGTAATAGCTTAGTTAGCTTTATCCTCAAACTATTTATTCTTCTGGGGTAATTTCTTCATCCTCCCCACCTTCTTCAGCTGCAGCTTCTCTTTCGAGGTACTTCTTTTTGAGTCCTTCCCAGTCATGATAAAGTTCATCGTTGTTTACATATTTGATTGCGTTCATTTCAATATCCATGTTATAATGCCCAAAGAAAGTCCCAGTATATGGAACTTCAAGCCAAATGAAGTAGAGAAAAGCGCTGGAAACCCAAAATCCTGCAAAAATCCAAAAATATCGGTAGTGAGATGGTCTCTGATGCAAAACAGTCATACCGTGGTCTTCGTAATCGTAGGATTCTGAAGCATAGTCAAAACCATGGTCAACTTTTTTTTCCATTGAGATTACTTCAACTGGAGGAATGCCGAATGGATACCTAATAAAGTCGGTTTGGAACTCTGGCTTTTCGTGGACTTTTAATCTTAAGAATGGAGCACGAGCTATTGATCGCAAGCTCTTGGTAAACATTTTATTATTGATAAACTATAAAAAAGGCTATTTGCAATCATGATAAGACTTGAATCCAGGTATAAAAATATTATTGTTGAAAGTGTGGAAGAATATGGATTGGGGTTAGATATTTCATTACCAATAAGACAAGAAATAATTGATATTGGCTATTTTCTTCAATAATTATGGCAGCAAAAGCTTATTTTATAAATAAAATTTATAGTTAATAATGATATTTAAATTTGCATTATATGATTCATTGAAAATATATATTTAATGACAGATTTAATTTCATCGTATTTAAATAGAGAATTCCTTCTAATGTATCTAGATATGTTTTGATAAATATTTGTATTATATATATTTGCTTGTTTTTTTCTAATTCATTTGGAAGTGAATTCCTATGGAAATACCATCTTTATAGCAAATTCTTTATTTATTGAAGTAAGTCTCTCGGGCAAATAATAAAATTTTATTCTTGTAAAAATTTAAATAATTCTCATCCAAAAATATAATGATTCATTAACATTTGAAATAGCAGCTCTAAAACAAATATTTTTAACCTTCATTAACATTTCTTCCATCAAGGCTAGAATATTTAATAAAAAATAAATCCAGATCAAAAAATTTTATTTATATTATTTTATATTTCTTTCATTATGATTTAATTATAGCCATGGACCGATTATGGATCATTCTGGATGAATTAATTCCTGTAAGCTATTGAATTGGATAATCTTAAACTTAACTTAAATTAACAGATGGGCTAGCCTAGTTGTAAAGCAGTCACCGAGGATCTCCAAGGAGATTCAAACCGCTTTGGGGCCATGCCTTTAATTAGGGATACAATGTCTCCTTCTTGCCTTCCAGCCTCAGTGTTGAGTTAGAAGTCTTCGAATTCTGCGGCAATGCTTGAAGCTGAGGGGTGCAAGCTTGTACACACAAAAAAAAAACAAAAAAAATGGGTTTTCTAGTCCACTATCGGCAAAAAGAAACCTCTAGCCCAGGGAGAAACCCCTGGTTTCGTGCTGGAGAATTTGCCCGATTGGTCAAGGCATTGCCTGCAGATTTGGCTGGGCGTTCCTTTCCAACTTGCGAGTCCCTCTCTACTTTGAAGTAAAATCCAACCCTGGAATTGACTAGAGCTAGCTCCACACAGTACTAGAATTGCTTACCTAGCATGGCTGTCCTTTCCCGAGCTGGCAAAACTTTGCAGGATAAAATTTAAATATATGCTCGAGGGATAGTCGGCATAGCCAACCACGAAGCTCTGAGACATCATATATAAATTCGAATTGGCTAATCAGCCTTTGCGAGGTGAGATAATCAAGGTTGGCAAAAATTGTCAACTAGGAATACACATATAGCAGTTGCCCGATGATGGCGCATTGAGCGCCATCATCGGGCAACTGCTATAATTGATCATAGGTTATTTTAGATGGAGTAATATGGAGTTCAAGGAATAAACCACTAATTATTAATGCTGCATTCATTGTAAAATATATAGGTGCGGCAATTGCTATATTATAAATATAATAGCCTGCATTGCATAGTTAGATTTTAAAGTGTTTCCTCCTTTCAGACGGATGTCGCGACCCTTCACTAGTCCTGCTTGATCTCGTCTTCCTCCTAAGAGTCACCCTCCTCGGGATTCCAAGCAAAGCAGAAAAAGCCATATATCTGATTCTTTCCCTAGGCCACCAAATCAACATATATAACATTATAGGTAAAGGTTCACGTGGAAAACTGAACCCAATAATAAATATCACAGAGGAGGAATTATCCTCTGAGAAACTAATTCCGTATTTTATTATAATGATCTGCATTACAATCAAATGCTCGCTCTCTGCCAAGGTTTTAATTAAGAAGAGCTTAAATTTTGCATATGCTGTAAAATTTCTCTAACTCCCCCCCCCCCCTCCGTGAGCGAACAAAAAAATTTGTTCGCTCACGGAGGGGGGTTAATTTTTTTTTTTAAAAAAAAATTTATATATAAATTTTTATAAAAAATATATTTTTTTTCGAAATTTAAAAAAATCCTAATTTGCAAAAATTGGGAAGCAAATATTAATTTAATTTGCAAAATTTATGTTTTAAAACGCAATTTGTTTAAAATTAAACAGAATTAGCTCTAGATTTCATTATACTAATTATCACTTATATATCAAAATTTTTTTTCCATTAAAAATTTTTTCTATTAAAAAAATTTTTGTTCACTCACGGAGGGTGGGTTTTTGGTCAAAAAATGGCGATTTTTCTAATGGTTTTGTTCGCTCACGGAAGGGGGGGGGGAGTAAGCTCTAGTGGTATTCACATTCAATTTCAAAAAAATATTTCTCACAACTTTAAGCATAATGGTAAAAAATAATTAAAATAATGCAGCAAAACACTAGCAAATTACTAAAATTTGCATAAGAGAAATAATTATTAATTTGTCTAATGATATAAATTAGAATAAATGAATTTTAATAAAAAATTCTAAATGAACATACTTATGATCAGTGAAGATTCGAAAATGATTGTTAGCCCTGTACTTATGATCTTAAGAATTCTACTGGAGCCTACACTTCTTTACTTATTTTCTTCACAAAATCAGCATCAAATTCCTATAGAGTTTCAATTTACTTTCCGATCTTTATTGTATGCAACTGAATTTCTCAATATTTTTGATAGATTTAGCCACAAAGCTGTGAATTTCAATATAACTCAAAAATGCCCACTCCTTCTTAGCATATACATTCTGATTTGGGTTATTTTTTATCAAATCCTGATTAAAGAAATCTTCATTTGCAACACACTTCTACCTTTTCATTTACTACTTTGACTTTACATAATCTTTTTGCTTTCAATAGTAAGTTACTTTCTAAAAGCAGTTTTTGAGACCGAAAAATTTTCCTTTCATCTTTATGCTATTCTTTTGCTGATACTCATTATAACTGAAGTTTATTCCATTGCGTGTTGGATTTTTCATGGTTTTATTTCACTTATATTTTTATATGGAATTTGAAGTGTAATTATTACAGGCGCTGGAGGTATTGGAGCAAATATTGCAAAAATATTTTTGGCTCAAGTTTCAAGTGTCCATGATTTTATATGCATATTTTCGAAAAATAACCCATTAATGAGCGTTTTTTTTTTTTTGCTAGTTAAAGAGATGGCTTGCGGTTAGCCTAACGATGCTTCTTAGTGGGCTATTTATTAAAACTAGCATAAAATTTTCAAAAAATTTTCTTGATGACTGACTGGCTTCTGATATAAAAGGTCTTGCAAAATTATTAGGTCGATCATTTCTATTTTTAGCTAAATTTTATTGAACATGTTTGGGATTTTATGACAAATCACTTTTGAAGAATAATCCACCCTTTATAGAATTTGGCTTGGATATGCTTTCCTTTCCGCTGGGCTACTTATTGCTGGTAAGAAGTGGATTTTCGCACAGTAAATATAACGATTATGTGGGCCTGAATATTTTTGCTATGTTTTTTATGTCTGAGATGATTTTTCATGTATTATTATAAATTAAGCCTATTTTGGCAGCCCCATCTCAGACTTTTATTTAATTGTATGATAATATACTTGCTGAGCCTACAGAATTAATAAATAAGTATATTTTTAAACTTATGTATTAAATTAACTGAAACTTACATCAAATTAAATGATTTGATAAATAAATTCCCATTTTATAAAAATGATAAAGCTTCTTTTGCTAACTCTCACAACACTCTGCCTCAGCCAAGAAATCTCCTCACTAATTTCTCAGCACACTGAGCTTGAAAAGAAACTCCATGAAATCGAGGACATTCTTCACAAAGTTAATGAGCTTACTTCAGAAACCTATCTAAAATCACTTAATATACAAGTAAACAAGCTTAAAGACGACATGCTAAGAACAGACCAATCCTTAAGTGTTTTAGAAAAAACCACAGAAGAAATGACAAAAGGTCATAAAGAGTTTAATAAAACCTATGCAAATGAAATGATGCTTTCTTTAGGAAAACTTGAAGAAAGAATTGAAAAAGTTGACAATAGGATTAAAACTCTGGATTTTCAGAAAATCATTGAAAAAATTGAAATTGGGCTGAACGGGCTTGCAACACAGGACAATCAAGTGAAAAACTCAATCCTTAAGGTAAAAGAGCAGACTGAATATTTAGAAGTGATTTTAGCAAGGGAGTCAAATTTTATATGGGTTTACATATTAATGGGATTTATTAGCCTTATTTCAATTTTAAGCTGGTTTTTGATACATAAAGCTGAAGAAAAAGAAATTTAATAAATTATCGTTTGAATATAAATTTATGAGTTTATATCATGACTCAATAATATATTTTTTGAATTTATTTGACTTCCAGCACTCTCATCATATACTTCATAAGCATGAGAGTGCTTTTTAATGACCTCTTCTAGCATTACTTGCTTTGTCAATGCAAATTTAAAGAGAGTGTTAATATTAACCCCCTTTGGAGAATAAAGCAAGCTTGGGTATTTTTTGTGTTGGATAACCCAAGCAATAGCTATAAGAATTATCCACCCACCAAATTGCATTGATATCCAAAAAGAAAAATTATGATAAGTGACTGCATAATAGATTGATGATAGCATTAAGCTTCATGCTAAACAAAGCAAAGAAATTCTTGTCCATAGGTTGCATCTATGGTAATTATAAGGTTTGTAAAAAATTGTATAAGCAATAAAAACCAATGTGACAACAAAATAAACTAGGCCCTCTAAAGATTGATTATAGTGCTTTAGAGTCTTATTCAAAGCGACTGAAAATATTTGAAAAATACTTTTCGATATCAAGAACTGAGGACTTAAATAAATATTTGCATTGGAGTTAATGCTTTGCCAAATAGGTCTTCACATTATAGATAATGGTAAATAAATAAGCAGAGTCAATGATGATAAAATCGCGAAAAAAATGTGCTCATCTTTATAGCAAAATACAGAGCAGTCATGATTCATAAAACTTTCGTCTATCTTATTTCCAATTCCTTTTTCGCATTGAAAAATTGTTAAAAGAATATGGGTTATAGGTATTAAGCCTATGTTTCCTATTATTGGTGTTATAAATTTCCCAAAAACTCCTATACTATCTAGTAAATATCAGGCCCCATTGCTAAATATTGCAAAAAATCAATAAAAATCATAGACATGGCTAAATAGTCGTTGGCTTTTACTTCGCATCGTTCCGTTATCATAAAAATCTGTGATTTTCAGTAAATTTTAACTAAAATTACAGCCGATAAAAATACAACTATTATTGTGATACCAAATACAAGTCCATAATATAAACCAGAGCCAGCATCTGAATCTCTTATTAACCGGAGATTAAATGGGCAATTATCAGGATTCAGTCTTTTCTCGCCTGGAACATTTGTGGTATTATCTGGCCAAATGATGTTTCTTGTGAATGAAAATGGCGGATTGCTTCCTATGCTATAAGTGCCTACTGGATAATTTACATAATATCCAAGAGTTTCATTGTAAATTTCATTCATAATACTTATTATAGCTGTGCTTTTTTCATTAGAATTGCTTGAGATTTGCACAGTCCCTGAACACCCAATAAATTTCACTTTTCTTATTCCTTCATTCAATAGTTCTGGATCTTCATAATCGCCTCCAGCATCAATTAAATATTTTATTCCATGAATTCCGAGCATCATAGCATCAAAAGATGGGCATGTTCCATAATATAAATAAAACCCATAAAATTTATTACCTAAAGCTATCAGTGATGCCCCATAACTTCCTAGCCATTCTGATTGCCACAACACCAATGACCCAAATAAAAGCTCTTTTACCTTTGTTTTTGTGTCAGCAGTAATTGCTTGAGAATTTTCAAAATATCCTGCAATAGGGAGATATTATGTTTTGGCGTTATTTCTGATCGGCTCCCACGAGCCAAAAATGGGTTTCCACGTGGAATTTCTGGATTTTCACGTGTGAAATCTATCTTTGGCTCATGGGAGCCGATCAGAAATTCAAGCGAGGGACTATATAGCAAAAAAATCATATCGTTTCTTCTGATCCCTTCATCATATAGCTGCCCAAAAAGGTTGAACATCGGGGTAGGCTCTAGTAAAGGAACCACAATTTTGCATTGGGTGGCAATAGCATTTTTCATATAATTTGAATAATTTCCATAAAGCTGTGGACTATATAAAGGATTAAGCATTCTTTTGTCCTCATCATTAACTATTTTTATTCCTAGAGTTTTAGCGACATTGTAAAAGTTCTTATACATATCCAGCCCAAAAGTTGAATTTTCATAAAAGACTACTGCGCATTTTCAGCTAAAAATACTCATAAGATAAGCAAGCATATTTGAATGAAATGCAAAACTTTTCATAATCCTAACGAATTCAGGATATGCTGTTTTATTTGTAAATAGTTCGCTAGTGCATTCATCTGAAATTAAAGGGATTTTTATCCCCAGGTCTCTAAAATCTTTTATAGTCCCATAACAAACGTTATCATTATAAGATGGCAAAAAAGCAACACCCAAGCTGTCTTTGTGGCTTAATAAACAGTTATATGAAAATGGACGATAGTAAAAATCAGCACTGCAGTCTGTTGGATACAATTTTAAGCTGAAATTTTCTAAAATGTGTATGTATTCGGCGTATTTTAGAGCAAATGAAGAGCCAAGCTTTAGATGACTATTAGAGCCGAGCTTGAGACCATTGAAATTTGAATCCCCTGAGGCAACTGATATAATGATTGGTGGTTTTTGAGAACTTGGAGCAATTGTTGTGTTTCCAGGGTATATAATAGTATCAGAAATATTCACTATATTATTTTCTATATATCCTACTATTTTTTTTGAGCTTCCTTGTACGTTTACTATTGAAAATAGATTTAAAGGCTGATGATTAATTGTCGACTTTTGAAAAAGAGCTTTTACAGCATAAATTGATTCAGACTCAAAATCAATGTCACGCAAAAAATTAATAATGCTTAAGGAATGGTAATTATTCAAATTTTTAGCGTATTCTAGATCTTTTTCAACTATAAATATCAGCCCATCTCTATTTGAGGCCCATGCAGATTTACTTCCAAGAATCAGCCCAAAACCCTCTTTATACATATTTTTTGATATAAAGCTGCTTACTCTCCCTTCCGTAAGATAGCACACAAAATTTTGCTTATTTTTTAATATTTTTATAAAAACATTTTATTCATTTTTTTCCCAAAACATAGAGTGATTTTTCTTGCTCAAGGAGAGAAGAGTTATCAATTTTTCAGCTCCTTTACCTTCATTAGCAATTATAATATGGTTTAGCCCTTTTACTTTTATTTCTCGAGAAATTAATTCATCAGTTACACCTTGACTAGATAATCAAAATATGGCGACATTCAAATATTCTGCCCCAGCCAAAAATTCTTCTTATGCAGATTTTTACTATGAGTTTGCTTTACCAATGAATTTATCCGTATATGACACGAAACAAAATTTCACGATATGCAAATCTAGGGATATCGAAGTTTCTAAAAGTATGGCACCAACTCAGGCTAGAAGCCTCAGCCTTCAATGAACTCTCTTCTAACGAATATTTATGGGTCAAAAACTTGAAGAAATAAACCGAAATCTGAAAGACCAAGGCCAAGAAGACCATCATTCAGCCTTGATACCAAGATTGTTCCGAGATTTTTAGTAAAGCAGGGTTTTTCGAAGCAGATGCAGAAGCCCTTGCAGCCGATGTGGTATTGGGTATTAAGCATGTATTAAGTTAAGTCAGTTACACCTTGACTCAGCCAATTCCCAAAAATCCTAGAAAAGAAATTTGCACCATAAAAAGTCAACTCTTTTTCAAAATAGCTTCTAAATCTAATATTATCAGTGGAATCACTATAAATAATTCCAATTTTGTTTCACCCTAAAAATAGCAGCACGCTAATAAAACTTTTTGTGTATTTGCTAGTTGAAATATGTGAAAAATACTCCCATTCCTCATAACTTTCGGTAGGCTCATCAATTTTTATAGAGATAAAATGATTCATCCTAGCAGCCTCTTTTATTTTTTGGTTCAATAGCAAATTTTGGGTTAAGTCAATTGCAATAGCAGGAGATGAGAAATTTCTTCCTATTTGTGATTTTTCATCAATGAGCTCTTGAAATAGATTTATGCTATTATATGTTGAACTTAGATCATAAGACATTTGATTAATCAATCCTCAGTCTGTTTCCTGGCTATATAAAATTCATATTGAGAGCTTTGATGAAGCAAGAGAAAATAAAACCTCAAGTATCAAAATTGAGATAGCCATAATTTAAATGTAAAGATATAAAACCCATAAATGCATTTTTGAGTCATAATTATTTTAGATAGAAATATGCAGTTTTATCCATGCGAAAATATTTTAAAACATTCTTTTTTATTTATGGGTTTCTGAAATAAAAAGTATTATAAGAGTATTTAATTGGTGAAATTAATTTTTTGAGTGATTATTAGATTAAGAAGAGAGATAAATACTTAATAAGCTTACTCAATAGGATATAACTAGATGTTTTATGGCGTAGCATTTGAGGATAATTTTGCGTTTTTAAACTAATTTTTGTTTTTCAACTGTATGGCTATTATAAAGAAAGCATATTCATCAAAACATTTTATTTCCTTTAATGAAAAATTCTATTAAAATTTTATTTTGCAATATTTTATTTATGTAAAATTGTATAGCCCGATCCAAAGCAGGGATCGGGCTATATTCATTTAGATTTTGGAATTTAATTTTTATGATTAGATGTTCTAGGAATTATAATATGTAATCAATTAAAAATTTAGGCTTATTTTTGGGAAAATTTTAATTAATATATCTTTCCAAAATATTATTTAGAAAATTTCAAAAAGATGTAGGATGCAAAATATATCGAAATTTAATATTAATTGGTTTTAAAATCTACTTATATTTATTTAAACTAAAATAATGACCTGCTATCTATTAGCCCAAATTTTGAATCTACTTCATTGTCAGCTTTTAGAGCTGGATCACTAATCTCATATGCCGTTGCTCTTTTTTTGATATCCCCAATCTCAATTTGCTTTGTTAATGCAAATTTAAAAAGAATATTTATATCTGCTCCCTTTGGTGAGAAAAATAGACTTGGATATTTTTCATGCTGAATGATCAAAGTAGTAAGTAAAATTACAAATCATCCAGCAAATTGAAGAATAATCCAAAATGGGATATAGGAATAAGATAGTGCATAATAAAATGAGGAGACAATTAAGCTTCATGCTAAGGCTACTAAAGATGCCGTCGTTCAGAGACTGCATCTTTGATAATTGTAAGGCTTATAATATAGTGTATAGTAAATAAAAGCCAAAGTAAATATTAAATAAACTAACCCCTCTAATCATTGATTATGGTGTTTTAGAGTCTTATTCAAAGCGACTGAAATTATTTGAAAAATACTTTTCGATACCAAGAACTGTGGACTTAAATAAATATTTGTATTAGAATTAATGCTTTGCCATATTGGTCTTCACATTATAGATAATGGTAAATAGATCAGCAGAGTTAAAAAAGATAAAATCGCAAAAAATATGTGCTGGTCTTTATAACAAAAAACAGAGCAGTCATGATCCATAAAGCTCTCATCTATTTTATTTCCAATTCCTTTTTCACACTCAAAAACTGTTAGGAGAATATGAGTTATAGGGATTAATCCTAAATTTCCAATTATAGGAGTTATAAATCTTCCAAAAATCCCTATGCTGTCTAATATATCAATATTTTTATATTCATCAATTCTAAAATATACAAACATAGATAAAAATACCCATAAAACGCAAATAGAAAAGGTTATAATAATTGCAATCCAATAAGCGTCACCTTTAAATTCAATCAGAACTGATAAATTAATTGATGCATAGTCATATAAAAATGAACTAATTTCATCATAAACGCTGAGGTCAGGTCCCATCGCTAAATACTGCAAAAAATCAATAAAAATCATAGCCATCGCGACATAATCATTAGCTTTTACTTCACATCTTTGTATTATAATTGGCAGGTATGAATGCCAATATAATTTTATTAAAATTATAGTGGATAATATTGTAACAATAAATGTGATTCCAAATACAAAACCATAATATAAACCATGTCCTGCATCTGAATCCTGGATTAGATGAAGATTAAAGGGGCAATTATCAGGATTCTGCCTTTTCTCGTTTGGAGTATTTGTGGTATTATCAGGTCAGGTAATATTTTTTGTAATTAAAAACGGAGGATTACTTCCTACTGTGTAGCTTCCAACTTCGATATTTACATAATGCCCAAGAGTTTTATTATAAACAGAATTCATTATGCTTATGATAGCTGTATTTTTTTCATTGGAATTACTTGAAATCTGCACAGTTCCTGAGCATCCTGTAAATTTTACTTTTCTTATTCCTTCATTTAACAATTCTGGATTTTCGTAATCATTTCCTTCATTAATTGTATATTTTAAGCCATGAAGAACTAGTGTCATAGCATCAAATGAAGGGCAATTTCCTCCATATCAAGAAGGGTCATAAAACGTGTCACCTAATGCTTTGAGCGAGGCCCCATAACTTCCTACTCATTCAGATTGCCATAGTCCTAATGAGCCATAGGCAAGCTTAATCACTTTTTGTTTAGTCTCATCTGTAATTGAAGGTGAATACTCAAAATATCCAGCCATAGGAAAATATACTAACTTCCCCCTCCGTGAGTGAACAAAAAAATTTTGTTCACTCTCGGAGGGGGAGGGGGGTTAAATTTTGTAGAAATTTTTTTTTTTTCGAATTTTTAAAAAAATCCTAATTTGCAAAAATTGAAAAGCAAATATTAATTTAATTTGTAAAATTTTATGTTTTAAAACGTAACTTGTTTAAAATTAAACAGAATTAGCTCGAGATTTCATTATACTAATAATCACTTATATATCAATTTTTTTTTTCTAAAATTTTTTCTATTAAAAAATTTTTGTTCATTCCTGGAGGGTGGATTTTTGTGCAAAAAATAGGGATTTTTCTAATGGTTTTGTTCACACACGGACGGGGGGAGTAAGTAAATAAAATCGCCTAGCCTTATACCTTTATCATATAATTGCCCAAAAAGATTAAATACCGCAGTTGACTGTAACAAAGGAACTATAATTCGGCATTTAGTATTTATAGCATTGTTAATAAAATCAGAATAATTTTCATACATTTCTGGGTTGTAGAAAGGGTCAAGCATCCGCTTATTTTCATCATTAACGATTTTTATCCCTAGGCTGCTAGCTATTTCAATGAAATGATTATACATGACTAATCCAAAAGTTGAATTTTCATAGAAGACAACAGCGCATTTTCAGCTAAAAATACTCATAAGGTATGCTAATGTGTTTGAATGAAAAGCATAGCTTTTCATAATTCTAATGAATTCTGGATATGCTGTTTTATTAGTAAAAATATCACTTGTGCATTGATCTGAAATTAATGGTACTTTTATTCCAAGAGATCTAAAATCATTGACTGTTCCATAGCACACATCATCACTATAAGAAGGCAAAAAGGCAACTCCAATGTTTGATTTTTCATTTGATAAGCAGCTATATGAAAAATTATAGTCATAAAAATCAGCACTGCAGTCTGTGGAATGTAAAACTATGTTGAAATCTTCAAGATAATGATTTATTTTTGAATATTTTAAAGCAAAGTCAGCACCTATTTTGAAAAAACCATTTTGACCAAGAATAAGGCCATTATAATTTGTATCTCCTGATGCCTCTGATATAGCGATTTTTTGTTTTTCTGAATTTGGGATTTCTGAGGTGCTTCCGGGAAAAATGATTGTATTAGCAAGTGATAATGAAAAATTGTCTATGCAGCCAACAATTTTTCTAATGCTGTTTTGGATGTTTACAATTGAAAAAATGTTTAGAGGTTCATGATTTTCGGTGTAGTTATCAAGCTGCTCTTTTATGGAATATATTGAATCTGAGTTAATAATATTGTTTATAAGTTTGATAATACTGAGTGAATGATAATGATTCGTACTTTCCGAAAATTCTAACTCCTCCTTTGTTTACAAACGTTTTCTTCTTTAATAACGGTTGAGCTTCATTGTAAAAGATTTTATATACCTAATTGAACCATTACTATTAGCACTGTTATCGAATTTTAAAATATTTAAAGGAATTCAAGTTGTAAATATCTGAAAGCATAGATTTAATTTAATTTATCAAATTTATGTTTGATGATATTTGCTATCTAACATTAAAGATAATTGATTAAGCTGTCTAATATTAAGTATAGTTAGCTGGATATCTTATCATATAATAGTCATTAATTATATATAAAAATATTGCTAAAACGAAAAAAATCTTTAAAAAAAATAATTTGCTTAAAGTAGGAAACTAATTTTACTAAAAAGAAAGATTTTCATTGATTCTGCAGTATTGCAAAAAAGGGATTAAATCTTTTTCAACTATAAATACTAGCCCATCCTCATTCGGACCTCATATAGCTTGACTCCCTAGTATTACTCCAAATCCCTTCTTATACACATTTTTACCGATAAAACTTTTTATAAGTTTTATTGAGCCTTCACCTTCATTCGCAATTATAATATTATTAAATCCTTTAGCCTTAATTTCGCGCGCTATTAAATTATCAGCTATATCCTGGTCTAGCCGATTTCCAAAATTTATTGATAAAGCATTTTCAATATTATAAAAAAATGATTTTTCTTTAAGATGGTTTCAAAATTTTATATTTCCATAAGAATCACTATAAATAAGTCCAATTCTGCTCCAGCCTAAATATGAAAGCATTCTCATCATTGCTATCGCATGGTTGCTGGTAGAAATATGAGTGCTGTATATTCATTTATCGTTGTTTTTTAGCCGTTCAGTAACTTCTAAGACGATAAAATCATAAATTCTTGAGAAATCTTTTAGCTTTTGCTTCAACAATAAATTTTTGGTTAAATCAATTACTATGGTTGGGTGCGCATAGCTTCAGCCTATAAGCGGTTCCATATCAGCATGATTTTGATATAGCTCAATATTTTCTCTGTAAGTTGTGTTTAAATCATTAAAAATCTGATCTGTAAGTCCTCATTCAGTTTCATCGCTGTAAAGAATTCGTATAGAGAGTTTTGATGAAACAAAACAAAAATAAAACAATCACTTCAGCTTTGAAAATTTCATGATGCTTATATAAGGCTAAAAAAATCCTAGTTTATTTAATTCAATAAAAATAATTCTGTAAGAGAAATTATTATTGATTTCAAAAAGATACTAACTCCCCCCCATCCTTGATCGAACGATTGACTGTAAAAATTCCTAAAAATTGGGGAAACTAACCCCCATCCTTGATCGAACGATTTTCATATCATGCAAATTTTTATATATATATAAAAATATAATAGTTATCAAAAGCTTGGGAAGATGTACCTAATGAAGTTGTTTTCAGAGACTTTGAGAAGATAGAAAGCTTCGGAATCAACTATTCAAAGTAATTTTAGTCATCAACATAGGCTTAAAAACTCAATAATCTAATAATAAAATAGAGATTTTTTAAAATTTTTTAAAAAACAAATTTTAATTTAATAAGTAAAAATTAAAATTTATACAGTTTAAAGGGGTAACTAATAAATTAAAATATAAAAAAATGGTATTTTTATGAAATTAATTCAATTTTTTGCTGTAAAAATAATTATTAAATACTCTTAACCATCTTATTTAAAAGTAAATAAAACAAATTTATATATAAAATTTTATTTTATATATAAAATTTTTTTCCCAAAAAAAATTTTTTTTTAAACCCCCATCCTTGATCGAACGATGGCGAGTCGTTCGATCAAGGATGGGGGGGGGGGAGTAAGTCATAAAAATTTTTATTAATACATATTTAGGTAGTTTTATTGGAATACTTAACTCCCCCCCCCTCCGTGAGTGAACAAAACCATTAGAAAAATCCCTATTTTGCCCAAAAACCCACCCTCCGTGAACAAAAATTTTTTTAATAGAAAAATTTTTTATTGAAAACAATTTAGATATATAAATGATAATTATTATAATGAAATCTAGATTGAATTTTAAACGAATTGCTTTTTAAACATAAATTTTATAAATTAAATTAATATTTACTTTCCAATTTTGCGAATTAGGATTTTTTTAAATTTCGAAAAAAAAATTTTTTATAAAATTATATATAAATTTTTTAAAAAAAAATTAACCCCCCTCCGTGAGTGAACAAAATTTTTTTGTTCACTCACGGAGGGGAGTAAGCAAAATGCGCTAAATTATAAATCTAGTAACCAATTTTTTAATCATGCATAAATTTAATATTTCTTGTAGAGACTCTACTGATTTTTGATTCAAATTCATAGTTAGTAAAATCTGTTATTATAATATTAAATTTATAACTCTCAAAAGCATCTAATATAAAATTATTTCAAAATTATGATTTTTAAACACTTAAAACGAATTGACTATCAATGAACTCATTTTTCGAATTCATGTTGCTTGAATTTTTTTGCTGGTCTGCATCATAAACCTCATAAGCCCTAAATTGCTTCTTCATAACTTGCTCAAGCATGACTTGCTTTGTGAATGCAAATTTAAAGAAAATGCTAATTTCAAGCCCTTTAACTGAATAAAGTAAGCTTGGGTACATTTTCCTTTGAATTAATATGCCAGTTACAACAATTATTATCCATCCTCCAAATTGCATTGCCATCCAAACTTTATAGTCTGAGTAATCAACTGAATAATAAATCGAAGACAAAATTAGGCTCCACGCCAACGCTATTAATGATATTGTTGTCCATAGATTGCATCTATTGTAATTATATGGCTTTTTATATGTCACAAAGAATATAAAAAATACGACAAATATAAAATAAATCCCTCCATCTAAAGATTGGCTGTAATGTTTCAGTGTTTTGTTTAAAGCGACCGTAATAATTTGAAAAATACTTTTGGCAACTAAAAATGAAGGGTTTGAGTACACATTTGCATTAATATTTATGCTTTGCCAGCATGGTCTACATACAATTGATAAAGGCAAATAAATCAAAAGAGTAATCATTGATAAAATTACAAAGAAAATATGTTCATCTTCATAGCAAAAAACTGAGCAGTCATGATTCATAAAGCTCTCAGTTAGTCTGCTTCCTATTCCTTTTTCGCATTGAAAAATTGTCAGGAGAATATGGGTTATTGGGATGAATCCTAAGTTCCCTATAATCGGAGTTATAAATTTAGCAAAAATCCCAATATTATTAAATAAATCAATATTTTTTCATTCATGAAGATTAAAATAAATAAACAAAGATAGAAATAGCCATAAATAGCAAACAGAGAATGTCACTGCAATAGCAATTCAATAAGGATTTCCCTTAAAATTAATGAGAACTGATAAGTTGACTGCTGCATAGTCATATAAGAAAGAAGTAACTTGATCAAATGCGCTAATATCAGGACCCATGGCTAAATACTGTAAAAAATCAATAAGAATCATTGCCATTATAATGTAATCGTGGGCTGTTATTTCACTTCTAACAGTGATCATTGGTAGCTGAGTATTTCAATATAATTTCACTAATATAATAATGGATAAAGCAGCGACGATAAAAGCTGTTCCAAAAACAAATCCATAATATAAGCCGTAACCAAAATCTGAATCTTGGATTAAATGCAAGTTAAATGGACAGTTATCAGGGTTCAGTCTTTTTTCTCCTGGGATATTTTGGGTGTTATACTATCGAGCACGATCATTTTTTTATTATAAATATTATCTTAATTAATGAGAAAAAAAAAATAATTAGATAAAATAGGATATCTGGCCAAATAATATTTTTTGTAAATACAAAAGGCGGATTACTCCCAATGCTGTAAGTTCCGACTTCTACATTTAAATAATACCCAAGCGTTTCATTGTAAATTTCATTCATTATGCTGATTATCGCTGAGCTCCTTTCATTAGAGTTACTTGAAATTTGCACAGTCCCTGAACATCCCATGAATTTTACCTTTCGTAATCCAGCATTTAATAAGTCAGGATCTTCATAGTCTTCTCCAGCATCAATCAGGTATTTTATTCCATTAATTGTCAGCATAAATGCATCAAAAGCAGGGCACGTCCCACCATACATAAAATATCCATAAAATTTGTTTCCTAACGCAATTAATGATTTTCCATAGCTCCCAACCCATTCAGATTGCCAAAGCCCGAACGAGCCATATGCTAATTCTTTAACATTTGCTCTTGTCTTATTTGTGATTCCTTGTGAGTGTTCAAAAAATCCTGCTATAGGATAATATAATAAATAAATAAAATCTCCTAGCCTTATCCCTTCATCATGCAGTTGCCCAAATAAGTTAAAAATAACGTTTCCTTCTAATAAAGGGACAATTATTTTACATTGAGTTTTTATAGCATTTTTCATGTACTCAGTATAATTTTGATACAAATCTGGGCCATATAGCGGATCCAGCATTCTTTTATCCTCATCATTTACTATTTTTATCCCTAAACTGTTTGCGATACTTGAAAAAGATTTATACATATTCAAGCCAAAAGTAGAATTTTCATAAAAAACAACTGCACAATCCCAATTAAAAATACTCATAAGATATGCTAAGGTGTTCGAATGAAATGCAAAACTTTTCATAATCCTCATGAATTCTGGATAAGCTGTTTTATTGGTAAAAATTTCACTTGTGCATTGGTCTGAAACTAGTGGGATTTTTATCCCAAGAGCCCTAAAATCGCTGATAGTCCCATAGCAAACATTATCATTATAAGAAGGTAAAAAAGCAACACCTAAATTTGATTTTTGCCTTGATAAACAATTATATGAAAAAGGGCGGAGGTAAAAATCAGCACTGCAGTCTGTGGAATACAAATTTAAATTAAAATCATCCAAAAAGTGAATGTATTTTGCGTACATCAAGGCAAAAAAGGAACCAATTTTAAAATAGCTATTCGAGCCGAGAACAACCCCATTAAAATTTGTGTCTCCAGATGCAATTGATATCACAATTGGTGGCTTTGCTGATTTTGGGGTATTTTTACTGTTTCCAGGGAATATTATTTGCTCAGTAAGGCTGACTGTATTATTTTGTATATAACCAACAATCTTTTTGGTTTTCTCTTGAATATTCACTATAGAAAATGAATTTAAAGGGTGCTGATTAGCTGTGGAATTTCAAAGCTTTTCTTTTACAATGTAAATTGAATCCGAGTTTATATTAATATTGCTCAATAAATTAATAATGCTTAAGGAATGGTAATGATTCAAATTTTCAGCACTTTCTAAGCCTTTTTCAACAATAAATACCAGGCCATCATTATTTGGGCCTCATATAGCTAAGCTTCCAAGTATTACCCCAAATCCCTCTTTATACATATTTTTTAACTCAAAACTCTGCATCAACTTTCGAGCTCCTTCACCTTCATTAGATATTATAATAGTATTTAACCCTTTTGCTTTGATTTCTTTTGAAATTAAATTATCAGATAAATCTTGGCTTAGCCAGTTCCCAAATCCTCTTGATATGTAACTAATATCATTATTAAAAATCAATTCTTCTTCTAATGCATTACGAAATTCAATATTTTGAAAGGAATTGCTGTATAAAAACCCAATTTTATTTCAATCTAAAAATGAAAGCATGCTTGACATAGCCTGAGCATGATTAGAAATCGATATATGAGAAAAATACTCTCACTGATCAAAACTTTCATATTGTCCAAAAATTGTTATATTGTTTGACTTAAATGGTATTAAGAAATTGAATCGAATTGAATAATAGAAAATCAAGGAAAATATTATATGTGGACAAAATTAAATATTCTCGCTGACTCTTTGATTTTTTGTTTAATTAATAATATTTTCGTTATGTCAATTACAATTGTGGGATTTGTATAAGTTTGGCCTATTTCTGAACTTTCACCAACGAAATCTTGAAATAGATCAATTTGGTCTAGATACAATGTATTTAAATCATTAAAGACCTGGACCAGTAATTCTTGATCGGTCTCTTCATCGTGAAGAATATGCAAAGAAAGCTTTGACGAAGCCAGGATAAGAGAAGCCATGAGCACCAACGCCAAAAAAATCATATTTTTATATTAAGCACTAAAATTAAACTACTACTATTAATTACATCTGGTAAAATTATAATTATTGATTTAAGTATAACTTAAGACTTATATTTTTTTTTATGTGCTAATTTCTTTAGGTGTATTTGTAAAATTAATATTGAAAATATACTGGGCTTAGGCACTAATAAATCATAAAGGTAAGTATTAGAAATATTAAATCTAAAATAGCATTTTATCGATGCTCAAATTTTTAGTAATTTTGCTGTGAGTAACTTATATAATACTTTGCTCAGGTGAGCTATTTTCCACGTCTCTTTATTTAATATCAATACAAAATGGAAAAGAAAAAAAAACCCTTAATTTTTAACGCGCTCGACGATAAGTTATAAATAAAGAAGATGAAATGAATATTATTGCAGGAGACTAATTAAATATTATTTTACCGCGCATATTTTTGTAATAATGCAAAATTTCCTATGATCAAAATAGCATTTACTGTTTTTCTAATTTTTAAATATAGCCCATAAAATTTATCTGATAATAGCCTTTTAAATTGAAATTTATAATATAAAATATCAAAGAAACACTTTTCTTTAAAATTAGGATAGTTAATTAAATTTTCATAATTTCAATTAAATTAAAAAATGAAATCATAATCTAATTTTATATAACTTAAAAATGCAATAAAACGAGCAATAACTGCTTTTAAAAGTAATAATAGTCCATAAAGATTGTAAATTCAACAATATCAAATTTTTATGTTTCTAACTCCCTCCCCCATTCCTTGATCGAACGATTGACTGTAAAAATTCCTAAAAATTGGGAAAAATAACCCCCATCCTTGATGAACGATTTTCATATCATGCAAATTTTTATATATAAAAATATATTAGTTATCAAAAGCTTGGGAAGATGTGCCTAATGAAGTTGTTGTCAGAGGCTTTGAGACGACAGGAAGCTATGGAATCAACCATCCGAAGTGCTTTAGTCATCAGCCTTGGCTTAAAAACTCAATAATCTAAAAAATAGAGATTCTTTAAAATTTAAAATTTTTTTATTTAATAAGAAGCAAATTAAAATTTATACAGTTTAAAGGGGTAGCCAAAAAAATCAAAATATTAAAAATTGGTATTTTATGAAATTAATTCAATTGTTTACTGTAAAAATAATTATTAAATCTCTTAACCCTCTTATTTAAAAGTATATAAAAAATAATATATTTTTTCCCCAAATTTTTTTTTTTAACCCCATCCTTGATCGAACAATGGCGAGCCGTTCGATCAAGGACGGGGGTTGAAGATGATTTTTATAAAATTCCTCCTTTTTCTATCTTCTTTATATAATAGGATAGTCCACTAAATTTTTATAAATTATTTATTTAATTACTCATCTCAATTCTGCAGCCTATAAGCTCGTTTTTGGAATCAATATCGAATGAGAATTTTTCATCTTCTGCTTCATAATTACTCGATCGCTTCTTCTTTATAACTTCACCAAGCTCAACTCGATTCGTTAATGCAAATTTGAAGAAAACGCTGATTTCAACACCTTTTAAAGAATAAAGCAGACTAGGGTATTTTTTTCATTGTATTATGCAGCCAATTATTATTAATGCTAACCATCCTCCAAATTGCAATATAATTCAAAGCTTATAGTCTGCAGGAATACCAACTAAGTAATAAATTGAGCTTAAAATTAAGCTTCATGATAGTGACACCAATGAAATGGCTGTCCATAAGTTGCATCTATGGTAATTATATGGTTTTCTATATTTTGTGTAAAAAATAAAAATCATCACAAATATTGCATATGTGAACCCAGCTAAAGATTGACTATATCTCTTTAGTGTTTTATTTATTACAACTGCAATAATCTGAAAAATGCTTTTAGCAACTAAAAATGGGGGATTTGAATATATATTTGTATTGGAATTTAAATTTTGCCATAAAGGTCTACATAATATAGATAAAGGTAAATAAATTAAAAGCGTTATCACTGATAAAGTCACAAAGAAAATATGTGAATTTTTATAGCAAAATATCGAGCAATCATGATTCATAAAGCTCTCGCTTAGGCTGTTTCCTATTCCTTTTTCGCATTGAAAAATTGTTAGGAGAATATGTGCTATAGGAATAAACCCTAAATTCCCTACGATGGGAGTTATAATTCTTGCAAAATCGCCAACGTTGTTGAATATTTCAAACTTTTTTCATTTATCAATTTTTAAGTAAATAAATAATGTCAAAAATAGCCATAAGTAGCAAATTGAGAAAGTGGTGATCATAGCAATCCAATATGGATTGCCTTTGAAATTAATCAGAACTGACAAGTTAACTGATGCATAATTATATAAAAATGAAATTATGCTGTTAAATTCGCTAATGTCAGGACCCATAGCCAAATATTGGAAAAAATCTACAAGAATCATTGCCATTATAATATAATCATGGACTGTTATTTGGCTTTTTTCTACCAGCATTGGCAGCTGCTCTTTCCAATAAACTTTAATTAGAATAATAGAAGATAAAACAATCACTATAAATGCAGCTGCAAAAATAAATCCATAATATAAACTGAAGCCTGCATCTGAATCTTGTATTAAATGAAGGTTAAATGGACAATTATCAGGGTTTAACCTTTTATCACCTGGAGTTTTGTGTGTTTTATCAGGCCATGTAATATTTTTAATAAATGAAAAAGGTGGGTTCCCTCCTACAACATGCCTTCCTACAACGATCCTATCAAAATATCCAAGAGTTTCATTAAAAATCTGATTTCATATGCTGATAGATGCCGTGGTTTTTTCATTAGAATTACTTGAAATTTGCACAGTCCCTGAACACCCTGTAAATTTTACCTTTCTTATTCCATCATTTAATAGCTGAGGATCCTCATAGTCTGCTCCAGCATCAATTAAATATTTTATTCCATGCAGCCCAAGCATCACTGCATCAAAAGAGGGGCAAGTTCCTCCAGGGATACGCTTTCCATACAAACCTATGCTAATATCAACAAGAGAATTTCCATAACTTCCGACTCATTCTGATTGCCAGAGTGCTATTGACCCATTTACGAGATCTTTAATGTTGGATTTAGTTTTATCAGAAATTGCTAGGGAGTATTCATAAAATCCTACAATAGGTAAATATAATAAATAAATTAAGTCACCAATTCTTATTCCTTCGTCATGTAATTGCCCAAAAAGATTGAAGATAGCAGTTGGCTGCATCAGTGGGACAATTATTTTGCATTGGGTATTTATAGCATTTTTAGGGGTAAAGATAAAAATTAATTTATGGTTATTAGACCTAAATTCTGGCTTTTTAAGTGCCTCTTCTGGTTCCTCAATAAACTCCTCCCCAATTAGCGACGGATTTCCAATAAAAATTTTAAGTTAAAAGTTATGCTGACCATAATCGGCTAAGCCCATTAGCCGTCGCCCATAATGTTTCCAAGAGGCCGCCCTTTTGGATTTACGACATAAGCCATCCTGTCTAAGGGATTAGTTCCCTAAACAGAGCACGTCTGGAAGGTGACCTTATGGCCTCGAGGAGGAGGAGGAGAAACTATGTGATAGGCAAAGCCTATCTAGCCTTAGCGAGGGATAGGAAAACTTTCAGGGAGAAATAAAACTTCGCTCTTCGGCAGGTCTCTACATGATCAATAAAGAGTGCATCTCGGAGCCCAATTTCCATCAACTTCACCATTTTATTTCTTTTAGGTGTAAGGAATTTATATATATTTTGTTTAAATTTAAAGAATTATAAAAATAGCACTAATCTATCATAAATATTTCGCAATTTTTTTTCTTGGAGCCTGATAATTAGATAATATTTAAATTTTTTTAATATTATTACTGGTTATTTAATATGATCAATATTTTAATTAATTTCAAATTATTAAACTCCCCCCTTCCGTGAGCGAACAAAACCATTAGAAAAATCCCTTTTTTTTGCCCAAAAACCCACCTCCGTGAGTGAACAAAAAATGTTTTTAATATAAAATTTGTTATGAAAAAAAATTGATATAGAAATGATAATTATTATAACGAGATTTCTAGCTAATTCTGATGAATTTAAACAGCTTGCGTTTTAAAATATAAATTTCGCAAATTAAATTAATTTTTGTATCTCAATTTTTACAAATTGTAATTTTTTTAAATTTTGAAAATAAAAAATATATATAATTTTTTTTAAAAAAAAAAATTATAGAAATTTCTCATAGATGGCGCTGTTTGCCCTTGATTTGCCCATGAGAAAATTTTTTTGGTTTGACCAAACCATATGGGACTGGTCAAACCAAAAGATTTTTCTCATGGGCAAATCAAGGGCAAACAGCGCCATCTATGGGAAATTTCTATAGTTCGCTCAAAGGGAGCAAGAGTAAATTATTTTGCCCATTTTTAATATAATAAGAATAATTTTCGTATAAAATTGGAGCATATAAAGGATCTAACATTCTTTTTTCCTCATCATTGACTATGTCAATTCCTAAACTTTTTGCAATGCTTGAAAACGACGTATACATATCTAACCCAAATGTTGAATTTTCATAGAAAACAATTGCGCATTTTCAGTTAAAAATCCTTATGAGATATCCTAACTCCTTCCATAACCGAGCGAACAAAAAATTTTGAATATACAAGTAATAATTAGTATAATGAAATATCCAGCTAATTCTCTTAAATTTTAAACAACTTTCATTTTAATATAAATTTTTAAAAAACAATTTTTTTTTATGGTGGGGTTAAGGTGTTTGAATGAAAAGCGTAACTTTTCATGATTCTTACAAATTCTGGGTATTCACTTTTATTGGTAAAGATTTCACTAGTGCATTGATCCGAAATTAGTGGGATTTTTAGTCCAAGTTTCCTAAAATCATTTATAGTCCCATAGCAAACATTATCATTATATCCCCTAGGTAATGATTTAGCCTGACTTAGGGAAGGAGCCGAACAAAAAATTTTTTGATATATAAGTAATAATTATTATAATGAAACCTTTAGCTAATTCTTCTTAAAATTTTGCATTTTAAACATAAATTTTACAAATTAAATTAATTTTTGTTTTCCAATTTTGCGATTGGTTTTTTTTAAATTTTGAAAAAATATCTTAACCCCCTCCTTGAACGAACAAAAAAATTTTAGGAAGGGGGGTGAGATTAAGCTAAACTCTTGCCTAGGGTATACGTAGGCAGAAATACAACACCTAAACTTGATTTTTGTTTTAATAAACAATTATATGAAAAATCATGATCATAATAATCAGAACTGCAGTCTGTTTTATATAAACTTAAATCAAAATTGTCTAAAAAGTGAACATATTTTGCATAATCCATAGCAAAAAATGAGCCAGCTTTGTAATAGCTATTATAATAAAGATAATGGCCATTAAAATTTGTGTTTCCAGAGGCAATCGATATAGTAATAGAAGGCTTTTTGGATTGCGGTATGCTTGAACTATTTCCTGGAAACAAAATACGGTCCTTAAAAGTAACTGTATTATTTTCTATATAGCCAATAATTTTTTTTATTTTATCCTGAATATTCACAATAGAAAATCGATTTACTGTCGAATAATTAAGCTTCTCCTTTATTGTATAAATTGATTCAGAATCTATATCAATATTATGCAATAAGTTTAAAATGCTTAAGGAGTGATAATGGTTTATGCTTTTAGCATGTTCAGTCCCCTTCTCAGAAATAAATATTAATCCATCATTATTTGGGCCCCATATAGCTTTTCCGTCAAGTATTGCCCCAAAGCCTTCTTTATACATATTTTTCGACAAAAAACTCTGCATGATTTTTTCAGCCCCTTCATTTTCATTCAAAACTAAAATATTATTCAATCCTTTTGATTTTATTTCTCTCGATATTAAATTCTCAGCTAAATCTCGGCTTAACCAATTTCCAAACTCTATTGAGAAAAATTCAATATTTCCCTCTAGTAGCAATTCTTCTTGAAAATAATTTCGAAAATTAAAATTATATAAAGAATCACTATAAATAACCCCAATTTTATTTCACTTTAAAAATGATAGCAAAGCTATCATAGATTTAGCATGGTTGCTTAGAGATATGTGAGAAAAAACCTCTCACTCACAAAATCCTCCAGTTTGTCCATCAATTGATATAATAACAAAATTAAAAATTCTGGCTGAATTTTTAAGTTTTTGCTTTATTAATAAATTTTTTGTAACGTCAATCACAATTGAAGGATTATTATAATTAGCACCTATTTCTGAGGTTTCATCAATATAATTTTGAAATAGGTCAATTTTTTTGTGATAAAAATCTGTAAAATCGGTAGAAATTTGGGTTATTAGCTCCTGGTCAGTTTCTAGGCTGTGAAGAATGTATACTGAGAGCTTTGATAAAGCAATTACCAGTAAATTAAACAGTATTGATAAAAAAATTCGCATGTTATTAATATAAAAGACTTGTAAATTAATCCATTTATGCATATTTTTAAATAAATCTGATCGGAATGTTCTTATAGTAAATTAGTTGGTTAAAAATGTATTTTTATTTTACCAATATTTAGAGTTATGCATTAAATACGAAGACCATAGCATAAAGCCTTTATTTACTAATTATAATTTTTATTTGAGTAATATTATAAGAAACTGAAAGATTTGCTATTTAAAAGATAATAATTTAAAATGTATGTATTATGAATTGCTGTCTATTAATTCATTTTTCGAGCTTACTTCATTCATAATTCTGCTTTCATCTATACAAATTTCATATGCCTTTGAGCGCTCTTTTATGACTTCTTCCAGCATTATTTGTTTTGATAACGCAAATTTAAAGAGAGAGAGAAATCTTTATTACTTAAAGGCCTTTATTTCAGGGCCATGTCCCGATTAAAAATTTTTTAACTTTCTTCTTTTCCTAAAATCTTTGGATAAAATTTTAGTAAAATTTTCTGAACCCACGTAATCCGCGATTTTTTCGATTTCTGAGTCTGATATGAATTTTCTATTTCTGATGAAATTTGAATCTGATCTAAATTTTATTTTCCTGATAATGTTTGATTCTGATATCAATTTTATTTTTCTGATAAAATTTGAATCTGATCTAATTTTTATTTTTCTGTGTTCAGGATTTTCTTATCGATTGTCTTCTTATCATCAATGATCACCTCAGTCTTCCTATATTTGAAGGTTTCCTGAATAGGATCTATTTCATCTAGTATTTTTCCATCTAAACGACTTAAAAACTCCAATATTTTGTCATCTGTATCAACATTTTCTGCATCACTATCATTTCATTCATACTCTGATTCAGAATTATCAAGTAATCCTGTATCAATAAGTTCATTTAATAGTAAAAGTTCGAAAAATTCATCCTGTAAAGCTCCGTTTTCTTCACAAAAAGAAGAAGAATAGGAAACATTACTTTCCGAATCTTCCATTAAAATAAAAGTAATTTAAAGAAGATGCTGATTTCAACCCCTTTTGCTGAGAAAAGCAAACTTGGGAGCTTTTTATGTTGGAAATATAAGGCAAATAGAATTATTATCAGCCACCCTCCAAACTGAAGGATTATTCAAAATTTATAGTCCAAATAAGGAACTATATAATATAATGATGACAAAATTAAGCTTCAGGACAGCGCTATTAATGAGATAACTGCCCAGAGATTATATCTTTCGTAATTGTAAGGTTTATGATATATCATAAAAATAATTAAAAAAATCGAAAATATCAAGTATATCAGTCCTTCTAGAGACTGACTATAGCGTTTCAGTGTTTTATTTAAGGCGACTGCAATTATTTGAAAAATACTTTTGGCTACTAAATATGAAGGGTTTGAGTAAACATTTGCATTGAAGCTTATACTATGCCATAATGGTCTGCATAATATAGATAATGGTAAATAAATCAAAAGAGTTATTGCTGATAAGATGATGAAGAAAATGTGTGGGCTTTTGTAGCAATAAACTGAGCAGTCATGACTCATATAAGTATCGCTTAATTTATTACCTATTCCATTTTCGCATTGGAAAATTGTTAATCCCTTAACAGACTGCATTCTCATTAGGGAACCTTTTTATGGGAAAATTCACTCCCTTTAAAATAAATATTTTTATATAGAATATTTTTATTTGTAGTTAGCTAATGATTTATATAATTGCTGTTTTTAAATATATTTCAAAAAATAATATTTATGCAGAATTTTAATATAAATTGTTGACCCTAACAGAAAAATCTTTCTCAAAAAGAGCTAGGAGAATATGAGCAATTGGGATTAACCCTAAATTCCCAATTATTGGAGTTATAAATTTTGCTAGCACCCCTATGTTGTCAAATAACTCAATATTTTTTCATTCAAAAATTCTCAAATAAAGAAAACCCGACAAAAGTAGCCATAAATAGCAAACTGAAAAAGTAAAAATAATTGCGAGCCAGTAGGCTCCATTTTTAAAATGAATAATCTCTGATAAATTGACAGCTGCATAATCATACAAAATAGAGCTGATTTTATCATAAGCCCTAATGTCAGGGCCCATAGCTAAATATTGTAAAAAATCAATAAAAATCATTACAATGGTAATATAATCATTTACTGTTATTTCACATTTTTTTCTAAGTATTGGAAATCGGGTTCTCCAATAAAATTTAATCAAAAAAATCCCAGACAAAACCGCCACTATTATTGCAATCCCCCACACAAATACATAATAAAGTGTTTTCCCAACATTTGAGCTTCTTATTAAATGAAGATTAAATGGACAATCATCAGGGTTCAATCGCTTTTGGCCTGGTATATTTGCAGAATTATCTGGCCACGTAATAGCTGCAGTAAACGCAAAAGCTGGATTTCTCCCTATACTGTAGCTCCCTACCTCAACATTTGTCAATCTTTTTTGAGTCTCATTATACACCTCATTCCAAATGCTAATTAAGGCTGTGCTTTTTTCATTAGAATTACTTGAAATCTGTACAGTTCCTGAGCAGCCTGTAAACCTGACCTTTCTTATTCCTGCATTTAACAGCTCTGGGTCTTCGTAATCTTCTCCAGTATCAATTAAATATTTTATTCCATTAAGCCCAAGCATGACTGCGTCAAAAGGGGTACAGGTTCCTCCATATAGAAAACTCCCATAAAATTTATTTCCAATCTCAATTAATGATGCCCCATAGCTACCTATCCATTCAGACTGCCACAATGTTATAGCTCCTGCTGCAAGCTCTTTAACGTTTTCTCTGGTTTTATTTGTAATTACTTGAGAATACTCAAAATACCCCACGATGGGAAAATACAGTAAATAAATAAAATCGCCTTTTCTCATACCTTCATCATATAGCTGCCCAAAAAGGTTAAATAAAGGTGTAGGCTGCAACAATGGGACTATTATTTTGCAGTCAGTTTTTATAGCATTTCGCATATAATCAGAATAATTTTTATATAAATCAGGAGCATATAGAGGGTCAAGCATTCTTTTGTCTTCATCGTTAACTATTTTAATCCCTAAACTATTAGCGACACTGGAAAACGATTTATACATGTCTAAGCCAAAAGTGGAATTTTCATAAAAAACAATTGCACAGTTTCAGTTGAAAATTTTCATAAGATATGCTAAGGTGTTAGAATGGAACGCAAAACTCTTTGTAATCCGAACGAATTCAGGGTAAGCTGTTTTATTGGTAAAAATTTCGCTTGTGCATTGGTCTGAAATTAATGGGATTTTTATTCCAAGAGCTCTGAAATCACTTATTGTCCCATAGCAGACATTATCGTTATAAGAAGGAAAAAAAGCAAGCCCTAAATTTGATTTTTGCTTTAATAGGCAGCTATATGAAAAAGGTTTGAAATAAAAATCAGCACTGCAGTCTGTTGGGTGCAAACTTAAATTAAAATCATCTAAAAAATGGATGTATTTTGCATATATCATAGCAAAAAATGCGCCGATTTTTATATAGCTGTTTGAGCCAAGCACAACTCCGTTGAAATTGGAATTTCCAGATGCAATTGATAGCACAACTGGCGGCTTTATTGACTGTGGCACAGTTGTTGTATTTCCTGGGAAATATAATTCACTATTAAGTATTATTTTGTTATTTTGTATTTCCCCGACTATTTTTTTAGACCCAGCTTGAATATTTACTATAGAAAAATAATTCTCTGGGCTTTGGTTAACTGTGATATTCCTCAGTTTTTCATTTATAAAATAAATTGACTCAGAGCTTATATCAATGCTGCTTAAAAGCTTTATAATGCTGAGAGAATGGTAATGATTTAAGCTTTTAGCAGATTCCAAGCCTTTTTCTACTAGAAATATTAATCCGTCATTATTTGGGCCTCATATAGCTTTACTTCCTAATATTACCCCAAAATTATTTTTATACATATTTCCTGATATTAAGCTACTTCCTATTTTTTGTGCTCCTTCTCCTTCATTAATAATTATAAGATTGAGCAATCCTTTACCTTTTATTTCACGCAAGGCAAATTTATCAGATAAATCTTGGCTTATTTCGTTTCCTAAGTTTAATGATGAAGCAATAATGCCACTTTTAAAAAATAATTTTTCCTTGAAATAGTTGTAAAAATTTATATTATAAGAAGAATCGCTATAAGTGATGCCAAAGCGAGTTCAGTTTAAATAAGAAAGCATGCTTATCAGAGCTTCTGCATGATTATTAACTGAAATATGAGAACAATATTCCCATTCTGTGCAGTCTTTAGTATGGTCATCAAGTGATATAACAATAAATTCATAAATACTTGAAGATTCTTTAATTATTTGTTTTATTATATCTAATTATGGAGAATTAAAACTTCTGCATTGCTCAGCATTTCCCTATTTTCTCGTGGCAAACAATAATGTGCAAAAGGAGTTTAATTTCTGTTACAGTATAACAAATTTTTGGTAATATCAATAATAATAGTAGGATGCATATAGTTTGCTCCTATAAGTGATGCTTCACTGGCACTCTCTTGATAAATATCGATTTTACCATCAAAAAAAACGTTCAAGTCATTGAAAATCTGAGATGAAAGCTCAGGGTCTGCTTCTTGGCTATATATAATATATATTGAAAGCCTTGATGAGGCAACTGCTATAAAAATCAGTAATCTAAAGATCATAAATTCCATTGCTATTAAGTTATATTATAGGAAGATAAATTATACGTAAGATATCTTCTTTATTGCAAGTCTATAACCTAATTTTTGTGGAAAATTATCCATTGTATCAAATTTATATTTAAAAAAATGGATATAAAGTATAATTAAGATAGCCTGATTTGATAATTAAGGAAACTATATGAAATTTATAAAGATTTTTTTAAATAAATAGCCAAAACGTAATAAAATAATTCTGTTTTTCAAGATAAATTCGAAAAGTCAGGAATATTACCAAAAATGACTAAAATAAAAAATAAAAAATAAGCTAATAGCAACGGTTTAATATTTGGGAGTATGTATCAATTAAAATAGGCTCTCAGCATAGAATATGTAGTTCAAGCATAGAGCCCTAAATCAATTCTGAGAATTTTTTTTAATAAAATATTGTGGGATTATAAATTCCATCATTTAGCTTTTCCTATCCAAATTTTGGTTTCAAAAATATTTTAAAGTATTATAAAATTCTATTTACTCCCCCCCTGTGAGAGAACAAAATCATGAAAAAATTCCCTATTTTTTGACTAAAAAGACATCCTCCATGAGCAAACGAAAAATTTTTTATGAAAATAATTTTGATATATAAGTGATAATTAGTATATGAAATCTTGCTAATTCTGTTTAATTTTAAACAAATTAAAGCATAAATTTTACAAATTAAATAAATATTTGGTATCCAATTTTTACGAATATGGATTTTTTTAAATTTTGAAAAAAATAGCCCCCTCTGAGAGCGAACAAATTTTATTTTCGCTCACGAAGGGGAAGTTAAAACAAAATTATTTTTTGAGACTTATAAAAAAAATTCTAGAGCATAAATCTGCTATTAAGCTACAAGAATTGAAATTTTTGCGTTTAAAAAAAGAGAAAAAGAGCTAAAATTCATATCAAAATTTTTGAGTGAGACTGCAGCTATGAAGCGCCTGCAGATTGCTTATAGAGAGAAAAATCGATTTTTATTAATGTGGGAGAGAGAAGATCCCTTTTAAGAAAGGACAAAACCTCTTTAGAGGATTTTTGCCACATTTAATGGCTAGGGGTCAGAATTTGATTACTTCTTGATATACACTTTTGATATATTAAATCAGGTCAAAAATAATTTTATAAAAACTTTTTTAAAATTTAAAAAAATATAAATTGAGGATAAATTGAGGATAAATTGAATTTTAATTTATTTTTATGAAGAAGTTAATAAAAATATTGATTCAGTGTGAGAATAAATAGCATTCTACTTACATTTTGTATATTAAATTAATTCTATAAAAATTAGTACTTTCATTAATAAAATTTCCTATTGAAAACAAATTTTGTTCCCAATGAAATAACGAAAAAAATGCAAATTTTCCTATGTCTCGTTCCAATTTAAAAAGGGGAGTAAGATAAGACATAATTTAAGAGACCAATTCTCTTATCTCAAAGTATCTGAATACAATGAGTCTTTATATGAGCTTTAAGCCAAAGATAAAGAAAAATATTTTAGCAGTTTTTAAATGATTAAGGACTCCAAATGGTCTAAAACAGCATATATTTAGATATGAAAATTTTACCATTTTTGAAATTTTACTTATTAATAGATTTTATCTTAAAAAATTTGAAAATCGAAAAGCTGGATAATTCCCATAAAACAGGGAAGCTAGAATGAAAATATTTTCACAAGGAAAATTATGTCTCTAGAACATTCACACTTCCTGGCAGCGTACTTAAATATGAATTTATTATTGTGCATAATCCAACTGGATGCCCATCCAGGTGGCAATTATTGGAATTATTCAGAAAATTTATCAGAGTAGATTAAGAGTGATGGCGTTTTAAAGTGACTTACTGTAAAGAAGTATTATGATTAAAGCCTATTGGATATGAGAATAGAGAGGCATAGTGTTATTATATAGGATCTCATGGTTTTATCTATACTATGCAAATACTGAAGACTGCATACTTATTTATCAGACAAAAAAGCGTTCTATGGCGCCAATTTCATTTGGTATAAAGCTTTCTTTATTAATCACAAAAATTATTCTGTTTTATATCTATAAAAATCAAGACAATACTAAAATATACAAATTTGATTATATAGCCCAATCCAAAGCACTGCTTGGGCTATAGTTGAAAGATAAAGCTAATAGATTTGACAAATAAGCTTTACTTAATATGGCAACAAAAATTTTCAACACTAGTAGACAAATTAAAACTAAATTTCGATTCAATAAGCATCTAGCAAAAAAATACTCTGCCAATACAGAAGAAACAAACCTTTTAATAAAAGTTATTTTTACATTCCTTTTGCGTTTCATCTATTTTCTTCAACATCTAAAATCCAGCTAAATCCTCATAAAAATAAAATAAATATATATCAATTCACTCTTCAATAATCTTTTTAACCTTTCGTAAACATATTCCTTTTAATCTTTTCTGTTTATTTCATTTTCCACACTTCTATTTTCGCTAGTCTCCCACGAATGGATAATAAATAACGATGACCCCCCCTTCAATCTTCATGTCTATTGCAACAAAAATTTTTCGAAAAAATTTTCATGCACTGTAACACAACATTTTTATAAAAAAATTAATGCATTTTTCTCTAGGTGAGTTTCTCAAAAAAAACCATAAAACAGCAGCTGCTGTAGGCGTGTCAATGACCTTCTCATCGAGATTCGGACGGCCATTGTCATCGCTCGCCATTTTATTATACTTATCTAGCTAAAAAGTACGGAAAAATTTAAGATGCGCATCGAAAATTTGTTTCAAGAGCATTAAGATTATTAAAGACAGGCGCTAGCCATATTGGTGACGCAGTCACCAAAGACCTCCCGTACGGTAGGTTCTACCACTTTTCGACTCCAGTCCAGAGGGTCTATCCCTCTCGCGAGTGCCCTTCCGGTACCTTCTGTCTCCTCCTTGTCTTGCGGCTTCAGTCTTGAGTGGGCAGCTTATGGATTTCTGCGGTCCTACTACGAACGATAGGAGTAGTTTGATTCCAAGGATCAGCTCCTTGGAGTCTATCGGGTGTAGTGCCTTCCTTCGACAGCTACAAGAAAAAGACTGCTCCCCTGTGGCCTGAGCCGAAACTCCCAGTTTCTCGGTAGAAGAATGCCCATGGGTCCTCGGAACCAAAGGACGTTGTTGAGCGCATCTATTTCCAACCACAGGAAAGCAGCCAAAACCTACCCGAATACATACTTCTTGAGCCTGCGTCTGATTCTGGGCTCGGAGACCGTTCCAGTTCGCCGTATCCATAAGGTCTGGACTGCTGCGCCAAGAGGAGGGCAGGTTGACACGTGTCACTATTTTAATGTATATAATTTGTTGCAAGAGACATGAAAATTATTATTTTTTTATATAAAATTTTATATTAAAAAATTGGATTTTTGTAGCAATAGACATGAAGATTGAAGGGGGGTCATCGTTATGTCGTGGCAGTCTTACATTGACACTCAACTCGTCAACAAGCTTAACTCTCAAAACCAATGGGAAATAACAGGCTGCGTTGAACATGCAGCAATTTTTGGCGCTGCAGACTTATCAATATGGGCTTCAACCCCTGGTTTCGCATTAGGCCAATACAACATTAATGTCCCTACAGATGATGGAGTTAACGAAGAGTCATGCCATGTCAATGAAGTCGACATTTTCCGTTCAGTTGTGACTACCAGATCAGCTGGTTCCAAAGCAGGAATCAGAATTTGCAATGAAAAATACTTTTTGGTCAACTACGACGAAGAAAGACACACCATCTACTTATCCCATTGGTTAGTTTCAACAGTTTTTTTATCTACATATTACTTTTTTTGTTGTTAAAATAATTATATAAATAAAAATAATCTAAATCTATGTTTGAAAATAAGAAATTTAATAAATTTATTATAAATAATTGAGCTAATTTATATAATTAACTGAAGATTATAGTCCAATAAATATTAATTTTTCTAAAAAAAGGGATTGGTTTTGAGCTAGTCAAGGAAGAGTTAAAGAAAAACGGAGGTGGTGCTTGCATTGTCAAGACCTTACAGACATATATTTTTGCTAGCTGGAACGGAGCACTTGAACATGGAGGAGTCCATCCTGGAAACCAGAATCCTGGACTTTGCAACGAGAGATGCGAGAGCTTGGCTGCCTATTTAGCAGGCGAAGGATTCTAATTAGACTAACTTTAACTTCTAACCCAAGAATTTATATAAATTAAGGAATAAAAGTAAAGAGAAGGATACTTAGAGGGGTTTCTAACGTGGAGAATTAAAAGAAATTTAAAAGAAGACCTAACACTCCGATTCCTGATAGAAAAATTCACTGTTGTTCAGATAAGGATAGGAGTTTGAAAAAATCTGTCGTGGACTGGATTGAAAAAAAATATATAGTAAAATTTTTGAAAGAAAAATCGCAAGATGCTGACTCCCCCCCCCCCTCCGTGAGCGAACAAAACCATTAGAAAAATCGCCATTTTTTGACCAAAAACCCACCTCCGTGAGTGAACAAAAATTTTTTTAATAGAAAAAATTTTAATGGAAAAAAATTTTGATATATAAGTGATAATTAGTATAATGAAATCTAGAGCTAATTCTGTTTAATTTTAAACAAATTGCGTTTTAAAAACATAAATTTTGCAAATTAAATTAATATTTGCTTCCCAATTTTTGCAAATTAGGATTTTTTTAAATTTCGAAAAAAATATTTTTTATAAAATTTATATATAAATTTTTTTTAAAAAAAAAATTAACCCCCCTCCGTGAGCGAACAAAATTTTTTTGTTCGCTCACGGAGGGGGGGGGGGGAGTGAGGGATTTAGCATTAAAATCGTATAAAATTAAAAAAACCTGGCAAAAATGGTAAATTTTAAAGATTTTTCTAGATGGGAGATAGGCATTTAATTTATCAGCAAGCACTCTAGTATTCGCATTGGAATTGCATAGAAGCGATTATAATCTTATAATTTAATATTAATTACAATCAATAACAGTTAGTTAGATTTATTTAAGCAATCTAAATAAAAATCGTTCGATCAAATATAGGGGCTAATATTTTTAATTTATAAAATATTTTCAATAGAACTTTCTCAATTAATATCGGTGAGTAAGTATTTATGTTTTACTTTAAATAATTAAATGCAGGCACATAAGTAACAAAAGAAAAGAATTGAAAATTGAGAAATTTTGATTTGATACTTAATGTGAGTTTCGATAAAATAGGATTGAAAATAATGGATTGCTCAAAGAGGAATTAAATATAACTATATAAATTATTAAGAGTAGAATAATTTGAAGTTTTTGGAAAAGCCAAAGAAAAATTATAATAAATCAAGTGCTAGATTGGTTATAATTTTTGCTATATAAAGCCCGAAGCTATACAAGGATTCTAAAATTCTGAAATTGCTGGATTTATAATAGCCCCAAAGTGATTTTCTATACTGTATACATTAATTTCATCAAAAAATTCAAAAATGAGATATTAATTTCTTATAAAAATGTAACACATTAATAAAAATTTATTAAATTCTCTTACACAGTCCAATTATGCCTTATTCGAAAAAGCTACCCTTAGTCCCTGCAACCCAAGCTAAACTTTTTCTATAACCTAGAGCTTGGTCTAGATCACTTTGGGCTGCAAAATACCTTGCGAATTGGTGGATGGCTAGGGCTACAATTTTGTAAGTCAACGAGCTGATATGTAAAAAACTATAATTTCAGATGCTAACCGTGTATTTGACTTAGCAAAGTTGCAGCCTTAGGCAACTCCACAATTAGGTTGGTCATTTTGCAGCCCAAAGCGATCCAAACGAGGCCCTGGGCAATATCTATATACTAATAAGCTATTCATATTGGCTATTTCTTGTATCAGATTAATTAGAAAACTATTAATATCCCAACTACATATTTCCTACTTTCTTTTTCTTCCTAAGATCAGGCTCTTTCTTGTGCTTTTTGTGGCGCTTTTGAGGGAAGTCTTTGACTTTCTCTTGGTGGGGCGTTTTCAAGCAGCTCAAAATTTCTTCAATTCCTGAATGCTTAAGTTTTTTGGCTAAGGCTAGAGCATGTTCAGATTCAGATATGGTTAATCCATTTTTACGGGCTTCAATATAATTCTTATTAATTTTTTTTCAAAATAAATGCTAATAATAGCAGACTTGCATTAATTTTTAGAATTTTTTTATAAAAATTCCCTTCAATATAGTCTGGTTTTGTAAAGCAGCTCGACGGGAGCTCTTTATATAATTTATTAATAATCCTAGCTCTAGTTGTATCTGGGCTCCCTTCTCGTGCAATCTCTTTCAATGAATTTCAAAGTCTTTCTTCCATTTATTTGAACTATATTAAATTAATCTATATCTTTTAATTATTTATATTTTATTAAATGTGAAAATTAAGTTTTTAGTGACTTATGCTAGTATATCTACTGAGATAAATCTTTATTGAGTGTAAGCTTCAGTCTCAACCCATTATTTCTTAATGGACTTGAACTTTTTCTCAACGATTTCCTCCGTTTTGGCTTAGAAAACATAGAAAGGCTTCTTGGCCGCAGATTGTCGTCAATTTCGTCATCACTGATTTCTAAGCTGGATTGAACTTCTTGGATATTCCTCATATTTTTATCTGAGTCTGTCTGATTAAGATTTTTTAGCATTTCTTCACTAGGCTTAACAGGAGCTTTTTTATTAAAAAAAGCTGTTATTCGAGCTGATTTTTTTAAAACACGTTCAAATTCATTTGAGGATTGTTGAGAAACTGGAAATTCTATCATAGTTTGGTTTAATTTATGATTTTTTGAAATGTTCTGGTTTTATTTATATTAAAATTATATATTTGCCTTTAAAATAATAAAATTGATTATTAAAATATAAATAAAAAAGAATATAATTATTTTTGATTGACTTTTTGGAGGCTGAATTTCACAATAATAAGCAGGTTCGTGCACTTTTTTAGGTGATAATGAATGTCGAGAATTGTGACTTGTAGAGATTAAAGGCTTATAATTTAGGTATTCTTTTGGTTTTGGGAAAACTTTATTATAAAAATAATCAGGTGTTGATGGTCTTATATTTAGCGGCTTTTCTGGTACAAAAATTGGGGATTTTTTCTTTTTGCTAGGTCTTTTAGTAAATTTTGGAGTTCCTGCAGGGATAAGGATCTGTGGCCGAATAGAGTAAATTACAGGATGATTTTGGGCTTCCTGATAAGCTTTTGGCAGTATCGAATGTCTTAAACTCCTTGATAGGGAAGGTAACCTCATAAGCTTTGGGTGCTCAGGAAATACTTCAATGCTAACTAATTTAGGTTCCGTTTAATAAATATGGACTTTGGCAAAGGGATAACAAATAAAACTGCTACAGAGTATTTAAACGAAGAACTGCTTCCAGCCTTAAATTTTGCTTTTACTGATCTACTAGAGCATGTAATAAAAGTTCACGAAATCGATAAATGAAAAGAAATGAAAGAAGAAGAGTATCACAAATATCGCAGGGAAGCTAGAAAAAGAGAAAAAGAAAACGCAGGCGAAAGTGTCACAGAAAGCGAAGAATGGGTAGACAGTGAATTAAGCTCAACTGAAGAAAAAGAAGTCCCGCCGCCTCCGTTTAATCCTCTTTTATTTGTAGCTGATAAATTGATGGAATGGAAGAAAATTCAAGCAGAAAAAAATAGTTAAAATAATTATTATCATTTTTTATTATTAATTTATTTATATATTTTTTATATAAAATTAATAGAAAAATTCAATATAATTCAGTATAAAGAAAATTATCATTGATTATCTAGGGCCAGGAGTTGCTGATCTATCAGATAGCTTTGGAAGAATTACAGGCTCAGGAGTAATAGCTTCGTATTCTGTAGCATATCCAAGAGGGGAAATAGATCTTACATGGTCCAATCTTAATGTTTTGGCGCCTTCATTCGGCAATGTTGATAGCATTCTTGAAAATCCAGGCCCTACCCTTGCAATTCTGTCAGCTGCATCTCTTAAGGGCAGCTTATTCCATGGGTGGAATGGGCCTATTTTTCCAGTCAAGTTTTCTAGAGCTTTTTCACAAGATGCGCAAGACCATCCGCCTAAAGGTTTTCTTGCAAACATTGCATCTTCTCCTTCTCTTTTTTCTATGACTTCATCCTGCTTTTGAGACCTTATAATGGTTTCTATATATTTTAGGGCTTTTCTTGTGTCATTTTTATCGGCAAATTTCCCCATGAGGTTGTCTATAGCTTCTTGCAGCGCTTTAAAGAATTTTTCTTCTAATGCTTTTAATGCGGTGCATGACACTTTCTTCTGCGCTTTTTTCTCCCAGACAATTACTCATGAAAATTGACGAGCTTTTTTTTCCTTAAAAATTTATAGAATTTTCCTATGGATGGCGCTGTTTGCCCTTGATTTTTCCCACTGGGAAAATTTTTTGGTTTGACCAAACCATATGATACTGGTCGAACCAAAAAATTTTCCCAGTGGAAAATCAAGGCTAACAGCGCCATCCATAGGAAAATTCTATATCTGCGTTTGCCAGGCAAATGTCTAACTATGAAAATTTGCCCCTGGATATGTGTGTTTTTTTTTTGTCAAAATGAATAAAATACCCCTTTTAATGCATTTTCATCAATTTTTTTATCAACTTTTTTTTCAAGATTGTCTAATTTTTCTTGCATATTCGTAGATATTTTTTGCAGTAAATTTTGAAGGTCCTTGATAGCATCCCAAATCTTTTTAATATCGTTCCAAAGCTGGAATAAATCAACACCAGTCGGCAATTGGAAGCGCTTAACTGTTTCTTCTAAAATAAGAAGTTTTCTGTTTAACGCATTTAAGGCAGAAGTGTCTGTAGTTTTAGTTTTTTGTGGCGGCTCTGGTGCTGCATCTTTTGATTCATATTTTTGGAATAAAATATTTATGCTTCCAAACTCATTAGACAATTCTTCTAATTTTTTAGCTAAATCGTCAATTTCGGTTTTGTCGATTTTTTGGTTGAGCTTTTGTTCAAGCCTTCTTAGCTTGATTAAAATTTCTTCGATAGCTTCTGGGGAAAGGTGAGAAAAATTGGAAAGAATTAGGTCAATGTCACCGACTTTTCTTTCTAAGTTTTTTATAGCGTTTACATCAATTTGTGGAGCGTTTGTGTTTTTGTTGTAGATTATTGTTGTGGCTGGGTTTGGTATTACAGTAATTGGAGAAGTTTGGTTTTTATTTTGCTGGGAGTTTTCATGGGAGTATTCTTGGTCTTCTGATATCCCTTGTGAAAGATTTCTGATTTGTGAATTTTGACGATTGTCACCTTTATATTGGCTTCTATCTTGAGAATTTTGTCGATTATCGCCTTTATATTGGCTTCTATCTTGAGAATAGTCTCTTGCATTTTCTCTTTGACTTCTGTCAGCTTCACCTTCATTTTTCTTTCTATAATTTCCTGCATTGCTGCTATTTTCTTTTTTTTTTGCATTACTCTTTCCTTGGCTTTCTTCTCTATTTTTATTGCCTCCTTGTCTATTATAGCTATCAGGCTGATTTTTGTTATAAGCAGTACGCCTATCACTGTCTTTTTCATTCAGATTTTTTATATTTTTATTGAATTTTCTGTTGTCTTTTCCAGCTCCTTCTACCCCTTCTACCCCTTCTTCATCTTCCTCTAAATCATACTCTGTTTTCTCTAAATTTCCATTAATAAAATCCCTATTTTTTTCCTAAAATTTTAAACAAATTCATAGACTTCAGCATATTTTTCTTCAGAGTCCCCAGAAATATTTTTAGTATTAAAATAAGGCGTCTCATCTGCATATTTCGCTTGTCTGGCTCTATGCCTTGGAGATGGACTGTTATCCCCTATCATTCTTTCTGTTCTTGCACCTTGGTATTTAGGAATATTGTTTCCTCTATTACCTTGTGCAGTATTTTTCGCAGAATTTTTTCCTGCTTGATAAGCATTTTCTCTGTTTTTATCAGAAGTGTCTCTTGAGTCTTTTTTGCTTGAAAGGTCTCGTTTGTTTTCTTCTAGGCTTTTTAAGTTGGATTTTTTATTGGCTTCTGGGCCTTTTGCTATATTTTTAAGAGCTGTGCTTCCTTGGTTTTTCCTATTAGGATATGCAGCTTTTTCTAGAGATGACCCTTCGTTGATTCCTTCATATGAAGCTCCTTCTTGATCTGACAAGTCACCTTGCTGCTTTTTCCCGTCTTCTTGGCCTTTTAATTTTAGTTTTAAAGGTCTTCTGATGTCTTCAGGGTATTTTCTGTCTGTTTCTGAGGCTTCGCCATATTCTTCATTTCCTCTATCAGTTTGTGATCCTTGATAGTCAGGGTTTGTGTATTTTTGACTATTTTTGTCTTGGTTTCTTCTATTATAATCTGCATTTCTTCTTCCAGTTTCTCTATGCCCTTCTTCTCCTGACAAATCTTCATTTCCTTCATAATTTTCTTGTGGATTTTTATAATTTTTTTTATTTCTTTCAGTGTTTTCTGCTTCTCCTTCAGAAAGATCTTCTTCATTACCTTGACTTTGGCCGTATTTTCTGTCATTTGGATCTTGAGATGGATTTTTTATACTTAAATGAAGGTTTTCTTCAGGATTTCTAGCTTGTCTAGCCATTCTTTCAGTTCTTGACCCACGCTGATTAGGGTTTCCATACCCTCTTTCAGTTTCTGCATTTAAATCTCCTGAATTTTCTTGAGAGTCTTGGTCTCTTTTAAAAGTGACTTCTTTATTAGGCCGTCTTGGCTTTTTCGCATTTCCACTGTGTGAAAATTCTTCTTGAGGATCTTCTTGGTAGTTTTGAGGGTTTTCTTGTGAGAAATCTCCTTCCAAGTTTTCTTGGCCTCTTCTATGCCTCCTTGCTGGCTCTCCAGAGTAATCTTCGGGGTTGTCTTGGCCTCTTCTATAGTTTCTTGCTGGCTCTCCAGAGTAATCTTCGGGGCTGTCTTGGCCTACCTTATAATTTCTTGCAGGCTCTCCTGAGAAGTTTTCTGGATTGTCTTGGCCCCTCCTATAGTTTTTTGCTGGCTCTTCTGAGAAATTTTCTGGATTTTCTTGGCCTCTTCCATACTTTGCTGCTCCAGAGTAGTCTTCTGGGTATTCCTGGCCTCTCCTATAATTTCTTGATGGCTCTCCTGAAAATTCTTCTGGGTTATCTTCACTTCTTCCATATTTTCTTGGTCTGCCTTGTGAAGCATCTTCCTCTGTGCTATCTTGACCCTTTCTCAAGCCCCTTGCACCACTTGAAAGGTCTTCTGGGTTTTCTTGATCTCTCCTTGATTTTCTTTCTGATTCGTCTTCTGGATACGCTTGGTCTCTTCTGGATTTTCTTAACATTTCTCCTTGCAAGTCTGCTTGATTTCTGATATTTCTATCAGAAAATTCTTCTCCTTCAGGGTTTTCTAGGTCTCTTGCGTTTTTCTTGTAATTTCTTACAAAATCTTGAGGATTATCTCCAACAAATTCATCAGGATTTCTCTGGCTTCTATTGTCTGGCCTATAATTATTAGTGAACTCCCCTTGGTTTTGATCAGAATTTCCTTGTCTATCAGGAGAAGGGCCAACTGCTTGGCTTCTTGGATCTTTATTCCGCTGCGATTGAGAATTTTCATCAGCTGGGTTTTCTTCTCCACTATAAACTGCTCTTTTATAAGGCCTATTTTGTCTTCTCTCATTTTCAGTATTTCTTGAATAGCTTGAGCCATCTTCAGGGTCTTCTTGATAATTTTCGCCTTCTCTATTATATTTCCTGCCTTGATTTTTAGAAGGTCTTGAATGGTTTTCGAATTCTGATGGATTTTCTTGATCTCCGTATGAATCTTCTTCATGGCCTGTATAAGGATTCTCTTGTTGGTTTCTATAAGCATTTTGTCTGCCTGAGGGTCTTTCACTTATATGCTATTTTTGATTAAAATTTGTGTATATTTATATGGGAAAAAATGGTGTTGATAAAATAATATTTTTTAAGGCATTTTTATTTATTTTATATTAGTGATAGTCTTACTCAATTCAAACTAATTAAGGATATTTCTTAATGATTGCCTTTCTGATGGTATATTTTCACTTTGATTTCTGTATAAATTGTCCTCATCTCTATCCAAACCTTCTCTATTTAAATCAGCATCTCTCCTAAAGCCTTTGTTAGGATTTTTTGTGTTTCTTTTGTAGCTTGGCTCTGATCCTTCTTGAGAAATATTAATTCCTTCGTCTTTATTTTTATCAATTTCAGGCTTATTTGTATTTTTTCCTTGTTTTCCTCTGTATACAATATTACTAACTCCCCCCCTCCGTGAGTGAACAAAACCATTAGAAAAATCGCTACTTTTTACCCAAAAAAACCCACCTTCCGTGAGTGAACAAAAATTTTTTTAATAGCAAAATTTTTTTATAGAAAAAAATTTTGATATATAAGTGATAATTAGCATAATGAAATCTAGATCTAATTCTGCTTAATTTTAAACAAATTGCGTTTTAAAACATAAATTTTATAAATTGAATTAATATTTGCTTTCAAATTTTTGCGAATTAGGATTTTTTTAAATTTTGAAAAAAAAATATTTTTTATAAAATTTATATATAAATTTTTTTAAAAAAAAAAACTAACCCCCCTCCGTGAGTGAACAAAATTTTTTTGTTCACTCACGGAGGGGGGGGAGTAAGAATTCATCCATTTTATATATAAATCTAATATATTATTTTAAATTTTTTTTATATTTTATAATATAATAAACTTCAGTTTATATTGGCAACGATTCTTGGCTTTCAGGATTTTCATCAGTTACTTCATCAGAAATCCCAGTTGAAGAGTATATATTTCTATTTTCTTTTTCTGGATTTTTTTTCGGATTTTTCTTTACATATTTAATCTCTTTTGAAGAAGCTACTTCTGGATCTTCTTGGCCTCTAGCAGGTTTTTTCATATCTTTTTCTCCTTCAGACTCTTCTCCTTGATTTCTTCTTCCTTTTCTTTTTGTTTCGCCATGCAAAAGTCCATCTTCTGGGTCAGCAATTTCTCTGCTTGAATCTCCTTCTCCTTTACCCTTATAAAATCTAATATTTCTATTATTTCCAGTATCTCCTTCTTCACTGTTTTTAGACAATTCTCTCGCCTTTCTTCTAGGCTGCCTACTCCCTTTTTCTTCATATGATTCATCTTCTGGCTCTTCTCTGTTTTTTTGTCCAGCATACTGCTTTTTATCTGTGCCTTGTGGGAGGTCTTCAAAAGTAATACCTTCTGGGTTTTCTGACTGTCTTAAATTTATACGTTGCTGAGGTCTGCCATTTTCACTTAAAAGTTCGGTATCAGGGTATCCATGAGGATCTGATGAAGCATTTTGAGCATAATAAGGAGCATTTTCAGAATTTGGGTATTGAGAATCAATATTTGCCCTTGGAAGATTTCCTTTGGATAAGCCTGATTGAGCGTTTTCACCAAGGTTGTCCTCATCTTCAAGCTTTTTTCTGCCTTGATTATTTTCTGGTAAAAATTCTCCTTTCCTGTTTAGGTCTTGACTAGGATCATTGCTTTTATTGCCTGATATTCTATCTGAATCTTGTGCGGCCCCTCTGGCATCTGCATAAGGATTTTCATTAAGATTTCTTCCTTTGGTAGAAATATCTTGATGCTGTTTATTCCCTTTTTGGTTTCCTCTATTATTTTTTGGGTTTTGATTTTTTTTAATTGGATAATTTTGTGCTGAAACAGAGCCTTTTCCTCCTTCGCTTTTATTTTGCCCATTTCCCAAATTTCCAAATAAATCATCGATATCTCTTTCTAACTCTTTAACTCTTTTTGCAAGATTTTCAGCCTGATTTTCTATATCTCTGACATCATTGTTTATCCCTTTCAGGTATTTGTCTTGATTTTGTATTGCTTTTTCTTGATTTTCTATTTTATTTACAAGCGCTTTGGTTTCAACAGCTGGCTCTTTCAGTTGTTTATTAATTCCATCGAGAGCTTCTTTGAGTTTATTTTCTAAATCATTTTGCTGTTTATTTAATTTCTCTTCAAATTTTATCATCTAATCTTAATTAACAGATAGGCTTGGCTGTAGTATTTGCGAGGCGAAAAGGACCCTTGAGGGTTTATCTGCTTTTCAACACTCCTATCAGATACTTGGATGATGACTCACTGGCAAGTTGCCTCTAAACCATCTTGATCCTTCTTCGGACCCTGATACCATGGACATCTGAAGTAATGTGCGCTGGGAATACCTCCTTCATGCCTTCTCGGCTCTAGTTTGAGTGAGCGGACGACTATAAAGTGGCATGATACTGGGAGAGAAAAACCTAGAGTCTAAAGGGTGCTAGGTGCCTGATCTTAGCAGCTACAGGAAAAAGTCTTAATCCCTAGGCCCAGGGTCAACCCTGGCATCACGATGAGCTCCTCCTTCGGCTCCGAAGTTATCTCTTTCAAGCAGGAAATAATGCAAAACTTATTCGGATATACATAATTGCATATTAGACCTGAATCTCAACTATTTTCTTGCCCAGTAGCCTTGGCCATAAAGTTTGAGAAAAATTGCATCAAGAGGCTGGATTTGTTTAGGTCACCATTTATCTATTTCCAATTTATCATCAATTTTAATGAATTTTAATTAAAATATTATGCTGAAACTATGTAAATGGAATTTCTTGATTTTAAAATTCAAATAATTGCATAATATTTTCAGCGGAATTTAATTTTGCTTCTAAATCGTCTTGCTTTGCTTTGAGATTTAGAATTGTGGTGTTAAAATTTATCATCCTACATAGTAGTTACGCTTGGTCTTTGTCCATCAGAAATTTGAGGCCATTCTCATGCCGCTTGAGAGCTTCAATAATGAAGTGTAAAACTGACTGTAACTTGTCATAGCTGAGGGAAAAACTTAAAATTCCTTCAATGACCTCTGGAAAATTTAATTCGACACTGTAAGTAAAGGGGTCAGCCATATATAGTTAATAAGTTGTTAAGTTTTTGGGTGTTTAATTGAAAAATTAAGAAATGTGCTTAATATAAAAGATTAAGAATTTTAAGACTGGAGAAATAATCATTATTTTAAAATAAGCATTTTCTTACTTTAAATAGACTTATTATTGTATTATTTTTAAGAAATTTTATTTAAATCATGCTTATATTAACTAGAGATTTTTATTTAATATAAGAATAATTATAATAATTTAATTTTTACTTCAATACAACTTCCATCATGATTAACTGATAAGCAAATATGACTCAAAATTAGTTGCTTATATTTATAATTATGAAAAATCTTGAAGTCAAATTTGAAAATTTCCACTTAAGCCGCCTCGGCACCAAAAATTATGATCAAAATGACATCACAATTAGAAAAAGAAACTTTACACCAGATCTAAGCAACTCAATATTTGAACAAAAGAAATACCAAGATTTAATTGAAAAAATTACTTTTTCTTCAGAGACTTATATCTGTGAGAAATAAAATGGTAATATTGACGGAAGATGGACTCCGAGACATATATCCTATGGAGTAGGTAGGACCTGTCCTGACAAAACTGAATAGTGCCTCAATCACTTTTTGAAGTAAGCCTTTAGGTTTAGGGATGCTTGCCGAAGAGGGAAATCAGACTTCTCTCTTAAGGTTCCTGACAGATGGGATAGGCAGGTTTTGCCATTTAGTCTTTGCTTATCAGGACTAACGGGGTATCCAAAAGAAATCGCCCTAGCCTAGGCGCTAATCCTTAGGCTAGTTGGGTTTACGCCTGATAGGCAGGCTAGTTGTCTATCCACTTATAGCCTTATAACATTATATTACTTTATATCTATGACTATAATTTTGCTCCTGGAATACAATTTTATAAATTTCTTACCAATTATCCTGAATCTCAAAATATTTTAAAAGAACTCAAAATATGGGTCCCTGATACAGTTATTTTTAATGACTTAACCCTTTAATTTTTTCAAAATATATATTATTTTTAATAATAATTATTTTTCATTTTTTGAATATAAGGTTTAGATAATCCTAATATTTGAATTTTTACTAATCACATAGGCAATATTCAATATATTAAAGGATTCAGCGACTATGACGTTATCAATAAAATTGGGGTCGGAGATAACGAAAAAGAGCTGTGTGCTGTTTTGAAAAGGCCTCAAATAAATCAGAAATTGCATAAGATTTCTGGCTTGAAAACCACAATTCTAAACACAATTGACCTTAAAAAACAAATAAAAGGCAAATCTGTATCAGGCCCATTCGCAATACAAAAATACGTCAAAAGCAAAGGCCCACTCGCATTTCACTGCAGAACTGTATACAAAAGATCGCAAAAGCATTTTTTATGAGTAATTTCCAATAAAAAAACCTACCAAAACGAAAAAATCAAAGAGGAATTAAGATGTATCACAAATATCACTGTCCAAGACTCCTTTACAATAAGGCAATTTAAATCAGGAATATTTTTAGACGAAACCATCCCCTATATAGAAACCATTGTAAAATCCCTTGAAAACAAACTAGACATAGAAATTGAAGAATTTGCTGCTGATTTCATAAAAGACGAAAACCAAAGATGGTGGTTTATCGGCTGCAAAGCATTTTTAATCAAGGAGCATGACATTTCGGGATTATTACTAAATGAATCAGAAATATTAAAGCCTTTTCCAAAAGAAAAAATAAAAACCTGCAGGATTTGTCAAGTTCCTTACTACCCATTTAAAATGAACCATAGTTTGACTATAAAAATGATAACAGAAACAGACCAAATTTTAAGGGTAAAATAAATACAGGAAAGAGGGATCAATTTGAAGTGACTTGATCGGTCAGTTTACAGACAAGTAGATATAGCCACAGTATATCAAGATTGTACTGTATGCGAATATTGGTAAATTTTATTTAGTTATGAATTGTATAGCCTGAATCAAGAAGTAAAAAATCTGACCAACAAAATTTCTAGAAAATTTGGGATCCCATATTCAGACGTTTTAACCCAAAATTTTGTAATGGTAGGGAAATCAGAAAATCCCCAAACAAAAGAATTGAAAATAGGACGAATTTTGGTCGTTTTAAACGAAGTATGCGATATTGTGGTGCCACTAAAAAAGGAATCTGAATATTGCATAAAATACGAAATTTTAGGGTACAAGCAAGAAATTTATTTACAAGTTAAAGAATATGCAGAAAGAAATTTGAAATTTATTCCAATTAATGATATAAAGATTTTCCATTTTTTTATGAAAAGCAGGGATAAGTGAAAAAAGTTCATAAACACAATGGGGGTAATTATTATTTAGAAGTTCAATATAAAGCTATATAAAGACGATATAGTAATTGGGGAATGTAATTCTGATCTTTCCAGCTTTTTTTCACCTATTGTAATTACAAAAAATTATTATGATTTGATTTTAAGTAATAAAGGAGAAGAAATAGGGTTTTTGAAATTTTCTATAGGATTTGATGAGAGTAAGAAGTATGAAGTTCCTTTAGAGAATGTTAAATATCTTGATGGATTGTATATATAGCCCCTGAAATATTTTAGATCATTATTGGCCATCCATTTTAATTTCCAAAATTATTTGTACTTGTCAGCTTTTTTGAAAAATAAAACGAAAATGACAAATCTCCGTTTATGGTTTTAAGATGCCTAATCAGACTTATACTGTATAAGCAGGTGCCCTTTACCATATTTTTCTGGTCGGTATTCTGCTGGGGCATAGAGATCTATTAAGGTGCATGAGCTATACCGCCTGAAGGGTATTCTTTTTCACACCCTTTTCATGAAGAATGGATTGATATTATTCCGAATGTTTCAGACTATAATAGGCAGATTTTCCAAGACTACGGAATCACAGTAAAACCCTATGTTAAAGCTGAGGAAAGACGTTATAGTATTCCACCAAGGCTTTCTCAGCGGCGTGATGACAAAAGCCCTTCTAAAAGGCAGCCTAAAAGGTCATCGACCCCAAAAGCGGTTTCATCTAAAACAATTTTAAAAGCACTCAAAACCTTACAGCCACTTCTGGACACAGCAGAGCGTTCATTCTTAAACTCCTCTATGAGAACATCATTAACTCCAACCCTCAGCACCTATTCCACATCGCTTGTAAGTTTTTCCCGATCTTCTACCCCAAGATATACAGTTTCAAATTTTAAAGTAAAATTGTTCAGTTAATTCCTATGGACTCTATTCAGATCTTCTAAGGCCAAAATGAGTTAAACCTTGCATATATTTTATTTCTCATTAAATTATTTACTCTTAATTATTAGTATTATGACATAAATTAATTATTTATTATTAAATAAAAATGATTAAAAAATTAAATATAAATTTTAATTGTATTGTTTTTAAACTAAAAAATCCCAATTCGAAAAAATTAAAGGAAAATTAATTTAATTTGTCAATTTTACGCTTTTAAAATGCAAGCTATTAAGAATTCAGCAGGTATCAGCTAGAAATTTCATATAATAATTATCACTTTATATATTTTTTATAGAAAACTTTATATTAACTCCCCCCCCCCCTCCGTGAGTGAACAAAAAAATTTTGTTCACTCACGGAGGGGGGGTTTAATTTTTTTTTTTAAAAAAATTATATATAAATTTTATAAAAAATATTTTTTTTCAAAATTTAAAAAAATCCTAATTCGCAAAAATTGGAAAGCAAATATTAATTTAATTTATAAAATTTATGTTTTTAAAAAGCAATTCGTTTTAAAATTAAATAGAATTAGCTCTAGATTTCATTATACTAATTATCATTTATATATTAAAAATTTTTTTCCATAAAAAATTTTTCTATTAAAACAATTTTTGTTCACTCACGGAGGGTGGGTTTTTGGTCAAAAAATGGCGATTTTTCTAATGGTTTTGTTCACTCACGGAGGGGGGGGAGTAAGAAAATTTTTTTACTCACTTTTACCTAAAAAATAGGGATTTTCAATGGTTTGTTTGCTCAGTGTTGGGGAGTTAGGACTTTAATAGATTTTCTTAACCCCAAGCTTTCTATCACATTTTATGAAGTGATGATGGATATTCATCATTGATGGCATCAATGCAGGCAATCAAGAAAGAAATGCGACAATATATCTGCTGTGTTTTATCCTAGCTTAGTGTTATTAATTTATAGAAATAAGATAATGAAATTCCTTTAGAGAATGTTAAGAATATTGATGGATTGTATACTCCAGAATGCTATTCATTTTTCCACCCTTTTCATGAAAAAGGGATTTAAATTAAGCCTAATGTATCTGATTATAATAAGCAGATTCTTCAAGACTATGAAATCACAGTAAAATTATATGAAAAAACTCAGGAAAGTCGATGTAGGTGCTAATTTCATTAATTGTCTGCAATATATAATTGAATTTATATTGCTATGAGAATCATTAACATTTTCTACATCTCAAATATTCTAATTGCATATCAATTTAACCCATATACTTCTCAAGACTATCTTACTCCCCCCCCCCCCCTCCGTGAGCGAACAAAAAAATTTTGTTCGCTCACGGAGGGGGGTTAATTTTTTTTTTTTTAAAAAAATTTATATATAAAATTTTATAAAAAATATTTTTTTCGAAATTTAAAAAAAATCCTAATTTGCAAAAATTGGGAAGCAAATATTAATTTAATTTGCAAAATTTATGTTTTAAAACGCAATTTGTTTAAAATTAAACAGAATTAGCTCTAGATTTCATTATACTAATTATCACTTATATATCAAAATTTTTTTTCCATTAAAATTTTTTTCTATTAAAAAAATTTTTGTTCACTCACGGAGGGTGGGTTTTTGGTCAAAAAATGGCGATTTTTCTAATGGTTTTGTTCGCTCACGGAGGGGGGGGGGGGGGGAGTTAGCATAATGATGACAAAGTCCTTCTAAAAATGCTGCAAAAAGGTCTTTCACCCCAAAAGCGGTTTCATCGAAACAATTTTGTATAAACTAAAAGCCTTTGCAACCACTTCCGGACTCCTAAGTATGCTCATTCCTAAACTTCTCTATAAAAAATTCGTTATTTCCAACCCTCAGTACCTATTCCACATCAAATATACATTAAATTGAAGTAGGAGCCTGTTCACTTAATACCTGCAGTCGGGCAACCTGGAAACATTATCGAACGGAGAAAGCGTTGGGAAATATGTATAACTGGTCTAGTGGAACGCATTGCCAGACTAACTGACGCATGCTCATATCCGGATCAAGGTTTTAGCCACTTCTAGACGCCACAGAGCGCTCATTTTTAAACTCCTCTATGATAATATCATTAACTCCAACCCTCAGCACCTATTTCACATCAATCAGAATTTTCCCGATCTCTACCCTAATATATACGGTTTCATATTTTAAAAGTAAAATACTCTTTTAAATTCTAATGGATTCTATTCATATCTTATAATGCCAGAATAAGTCAAATCTTCAATATATTTTATTCAATTCCCCAGAATATTTCACTTTTAATTATTATTGCTATGATATTATTTTATATAAATTAATTATGGTATTCTTTAAGATGAAAACATTATTAATTGAAAAAGAATATTAAAACAATAGAAATTTATAAGAACTTCTTTAGGATTTAATAGATTTTTCTGACTCCAAGTCTTCTATCGCATTTTATGCAGTGATGATGGATATCCATCATTGATGGCATCAATACAGGCAAACACGAAAGAAATGGGATAGTATGTCTGTTGTTATTTATTGTAATTGATAAGCATTGAATTTGTGTTATTAATTTATAGAAATAGAATAAAGATTTGTATGTATGCCATTTTTGAGCTTAGCTTGCTAAAGTATAAATAATAATACCACACAGAGAATCCAAGGCACTCTTCCTGGACGCTTTTTTATTACAGTTCTACCTTCGTAACCACAATAAGGGCATGTAACATCTACACGCCAGTTTCCAAAGTTGTATTTACTAACTCCCCCCTCCGTGAGAGAACAAAAAATATGTGAGGTCAATATATAAAGTTTATAGAAAAAGGTTTTTTTCGAAATTTAAAAAAATCCCACTTCGCAAAAATTGGAAAGCATAATCAGTAACCATATTTACAAGGGCCAGAAAAATTGACCCTTGAGAATCGCCCTTATGGGCGAATTTTTAAAAAATTGGAAGCAAATATTAATTTAATTTGGAAAATTTATGTCTCAAACGCAATTTTGTTTAAAATTAGCTCGATTTCATAATTATATATCAAATTTTTTTCCATCAAAAAAAATTTTATGGGTTTTTGGGGAAAAAAATAGGGATTTTTCTAATGGTTTTGTTCGCTCACAGAGGAAGGGAGTAAGCGCCTCTTCTTCAGGTGACTTTATTTCTATATCAGGTGCATTGTTATCTGCAGCGGATGAAACGGGCTTCTTTTGACTCGCCATTTAATTTTATAAGTTACGTTTTTAATTAGTTTTATTGTTTTAATATATTCCAAAATCGCAAAGTTTCATCTAAACCTGCAGTTGCTATATACAATTTCTTATGATTTTTTGTGATAATTTTTTAAGGGTTTTCCTATTTTTTGCATAAAATTATGCCTTTAATCTAAAAAATGATAATATTTTTATATATATTTATAGTGAATAAAAATTTCTCGAATAATCTGATTTATCTATTTACTATAAAAAATAGAATATCTTATATTTGCACAAAATTTATCATTTATATTGATAGAGATATATATAAATAGATATCTTGGTTTGAGTTTTTAGATAAAAAATAAATTTCATCTGCATGGGCTTCAAATGAGCAGCATTTTCTCAATTTTGTGTCATAAACCTTTATGCTTTTTTCCTTGTATTGCTTAATACACCAATATATTACTGACAAGATAAACTAATAAAGACTATTGTATAGAAGTTTCCCTTGTGCACAAACGATAGAATTTCCTTCAGAATTCCAGCAAATTCCTCCTATTTTTTCGTAGTATGCATTTTGGTTGCAATTTTTTCCTGACAGCGCCACTTATCCAAAGGTTTTTTTTTTTTTAGGCATTTTTCTAAAAACATTAATTTTTCGATCAAAATTAGAAAAATAATCTTGACCTGATTTTACCCATATAGCGGCTATAAGAGAAAAAATGTCCTTGAAGAAAAGAATGGGCCTATTTTTCTTCTAAAAGGTCTTTTGTGTTTTCTATACTTTCTTCAGAATAATTTATAATGGAAAGATTATTTCCCCCACAAGCTAAAATGTCTTTCCTTATAGGATTCCAAGAAATTGATTTTCCTGGGCTTCCAATATTGTAGCTGGCAATAGGGTCTTGGGCTCTTATTTCCCATATATTTACTTTGTGATCTAAACCTATAGTTGCAAGGTTTGACGAAATTGACCAATCTTGCCCTGAAATTGCTGCACTGTGGGCTCCTTTTTTGAGGAATCTGCATTTAGGAGACCTTATATCAGTGTGTATTAAAGATCCATTCTCAAGCCCACATGTGATTAAATTATTTTCAGCAGTAATAGAGCAGCACTTCGCCAAAGGTAAATTTATTGTCATTGTGTTTTTAAGCCTTTCAATATCATAAATTCTTATTTTTCCTGGCGTATTTGAAAAAATCAAAGAATTTGCATTTTTTTGCCATGATAAAGAATTTATACAATTTTCTGGATTTTCCAATAGGGTTGTAATATTTCCCGTTTCTGAGTCCAAAATGTATATTTGATTGCATAACCCCATGGCTAAATAATTTTTTGAGTCATATGATAGAATATTTGATGAAAAATCGTGGGTAATGTCTGGAGCATCCAGTATTGAGTCACAAGAGGTATCGTATCGGTGGTTGTAAGCCAAGAAATCACAGTCAAACATAAAATCTGTGGTTTCTGGAGCTACCTCAAAGTATTTTATAATATCTTTTTGGATATTTGTTAACTCCCCCATCCTTGATCGAACGATTGACTGTAAAAAATCCTAAAAATTGGGGAAATTAGCCAATATCCTTGATTGAACGATTTTCATATCATGCAATTTTTTTATATATATAAAAATATATTAGTTATTAAAAGCTTGGGAAGATGTGCCTAATAAAGTTGTTGTCAGAGGCTTTGAGACGACAAAAAGCTACGAGATCAACCATCGAAGTGATTTAATCATCAACCTGGGCTTAAAAACTCAATCATCTAAAAAATAGAGATTCTTTAAAATTTAAAAATTTTAATTCAATAAGGAACAAATTAAAATTTATACAGTGTAAAGGCGTAATCAAAAAATCAAAATATTAAAAGTTGGTATTCTATGAAATTAATTCAATTTTTTGCTGTAAAAATAATTATTAAATACTCTTAACCCTCTTATTTAAAAATATAAAACAAAAATTTTATATATAATAATTTTTTTTTAATCCCTATCCTTGATCGAACGATGGCGAGCCGTTCGATCAAGGATGGGGGGAGTAAGTATTTTGATGGCTTTCTAGTTTCTATGTATCTAGAGCTCATATTATCTTGAGTTCTTTGGAAAACTCCTCGACGTTTCGACAAAGGAAGACCTTTTGTTTTCATTCTCTGCAAATAAAAATTAGCGCGTAACTTCCCGCTCTCTGGGTTTCCCGGATTCCTACTTTCCTCTAAATTCCGCCATTTCTTATTTTAAATTTTATTAATTAAATTTATCAAAAATTCACAAAAACCCAAAAACCCAAAATATATCTAGAGCCAAAAATGGATCTTTTATAATTATGTCGAGCTGTATACTATTCTTATTATTTATAATTAAATCACCATCTATTTTAAATTTTATTATAATTTGCAATAGAAATAGGCATTTACTACAGAAATTTTAATTAGTTTTAAATCAATATAAAATATTTTAATAAAATAATTAATTTATTTTGAATAGAATTCAGGTTTATTTTTTAAATGAATATAGTATAATAAATTTTCTCACTTAGTTGCAGAGCCTTTGGACCCTATAAATCTTGTGATTATCAATTTCGCTAAAAATACAGACCCGAAGAAAGTAATGCTTGGTGTTGGGGCTTATAGAAATGAAGAGTTGCAGCCTCATATTTTCAATGCTGTAAAAGAAGCTGAAAAACGGTTAATAGAAGATGAAAATGCGACATATGAAGAATTGCCTCCTGAAGGACATGCAGAGTTTAATGAACTAGTAACAGAACTGCTGCTAGGGAAAAATAATCCTGCTATCTTAGAAAATAGAGTTGCATCTGTTCAATGTTTAGGGGGAACTGGAAGTTTAAGGGTCGGTGCTGAATTTATACTGTTTTGTAGCAATTTTGGCAAGGAAAATGCTCTGCTTTAAATATAAAATGGTCTTATAATCAATTAAATTAAATAAGAATATCAAAGAAAATATAAAATCTGAATTTATTTATTTCCCAGATCCTACATGGCCAAATCATTATAATGTTTTTGGGTTTTCAGGTGCAGAAATTAAGCATTATCATTATTGAAACTCTGAGTTAAAAGGGCTGGATCTTGAAGGATTTTTGAGGGACTTAAATGAGATGCCTACTGGATCAATTGTGCTGCTTCATGCTTGTGCTCATAATCCAACAGGTGTAGATCCTACTCAAGAAGACTGGGAAAGAATCATTGATGTAATTTGCCAAAGGGACTTAATGCCATATTTTGATGCTCCTTATATAGGTTTTGCATCAGGCGACTTTGATAGAGATATATCTATATGCATTTTTATTTTTTTAAAATAAAAGAAAAAATAATTAGCCATTTTATTAAAAATAATGATGGAAAAATCTGGGATACAGTCTACATATGCAATTAAACGATGTATAGAACGAGGACTCCAATTCCTCATTTCTTTAAGTTTTGGCAAAAATTTTGGCCTATACGGAGATCGTATAGGCTCAATCCATGCAATTTGCCAAGATCAAGAAACTAAAGAAAAAGTCCAATGTGCTTTAGGAAGCATAACGAAGTCAATGTTTGGCAGTGGATCAGCGCATGGTGCAAGAATAGTAGCAACAATCCTTAAGGATCCTGAACTTAGAGAAAACTGGCTAAATGAACTTATTAGTGTCTCACAAAGAATGCAAAATATGAGGAAGTTGTTATATGACGAATTAGTATTATATAAATATATGAAAATTCATTGTAAATAATACATATATATTATTGAGAGAAATTATATATAAAGGTATAAGATTAGAAGCTCCAGGAAACTGACTACATATTAAAACTCAGATTGGAATGTTTTGCTATACAGGTTTGACTCCACAGCAGTGTGAAAATATGATAGAAAAGTGGCATTGCTTTATGCTTAAAAATGGGAGAATGGCAATCTGCGGGTTAAATACAAAAAATGTTGGTTATGTGGCCCAAGCATTTAGAGACTCACTGAATTTTTAATAAAATTCAATTAATTGATTCATAAGTTCTAATCTGCTGATATACTCTGCAAGCAGCTATGACTTTACCTTGATCCTCTCCTCCCTAAGGGTTTCATTATAAATGAAACAGGAAAAAGAAAATAGGCAAGTACTTCATTATGAATTTACTGAGACATATTAATTTTCCTGCTTTATCTAAATAAAATAGTCAGAGTGAAGAGACAGTCAAGTTCAATCAATAGCTGTTCTCGTACTATATTAACTAATAATTTATCGATTAGCTATAAAATCTCTCTTAGCTTTTTAAACTCTGTAGAATCCCTAGCAGAGGTCAGAGTAGCAGGCTCTTATGATTCAAGCTCCTCAAGTTTTATTATTACTCATTTATTTTCTTCATAATTATAAACTGCTAGTAATAATATTTCTAAATATAAAATGTTTAGAATTAATCAGATTTGCTTGAAGTTTTTTCTACTTTTAGTTTATTTTCAGACTGCAGAGTCTAGAGCAGGAGGCGGAGATGATAGCAGCAGTGATTATTCTTCAGATGACTCAAGTTCTTACGATTCCAGTGATAGCTCTGATTCTAAAGGCGAATGAACTACTACCGATTCTTATTTCTTCCTTGGTTGTACCTTTATTTTCATTATTTTGATTGCTACCGCAAGTATCTTTTCTATTGACCGAAAAGTTGATAAAAAACACAAACAGATTTCGAAAAAACTAAAAAATGCTGGCGACTTTATATGAGATGAAAATTTAATAATTTCAAGTGTAAAGGAATCGTTTATTGCATTACAAAAAGCATGATCTAAACAAGATTTGGATTTTATTGAAAGAAAATTAACGAAAAAACTGTTTATTAAGTGAAGAAATTTATTAATGGAAATGAGAAATAGGGATGAAAGAAACGTAGTCAGTGATATTGTATAATATTTAGCATTATTGTAGGAAATGTCCTGACGTTAAAAGACCCTCTCACTATAATTCCAAAGCATTATAGTAAATAAAATAAAATTTGTAAAACTTCAAGAAAATGAAAAGAGGTTTACAGTTTTTATTGATGCAAAAGTAAAAGATGTGACTGTAAATATTCATTCTGGAAAAGTTTTGAAAGACCAAACTGGTAATTTTAGAGAGTTTTGGACTTATGTGTGGGGTGTTGATTCATGGTTGCTTAGAAAAATTAACCAAGAAAGTGAAAACACAAAATTCCTTTAAGAGAGATGTTAATATTTTTATTAATTATTTATAAATGTGATTAATAATTTTTTTTATATATTAATTAAATAATTTTTTCACATCATCCATTAGCCGAATCTGATTATCATTCGGTTATCATCTATTACTTTAATTTCTTAATGGTTCTAACGACCCAAGACGCAATCTCGCGTGAAAGTTAGGATTTTCGCTCGTTAAATCCCTTTTCAGCTTATTAATAAATTAATCAATTAAGCAAAAACACTAAGAGAAAAACTGACTAAATGAACTTTATTAGTGTCTCACAAAGAATGCAAAATATGAGGAAGTTGTTGTAAGATTAGAAGCTCCAGGAAACTGACTACATATTAAAACTCAGATTGGAATGTTTTGCTATGCAGGTTTGACTCCACAGCAGTGTGAAAATATGATAGAAAAGTGGCATTGCTTTATGCTTAAAAATGGGAGAATGGCAATCTGCGGGCTAAATACAAAGAATGTTGGGTATGCGGCCCAAGCATTTAGAGACTCACTGAATTTTTAATAAAATTCAATTAATTGATTCATGCTGATATACTTCGCAAGTAACTATGGGTCTACCTTGATTCTCCCTTTTCCTCGCCACCCCTTAAGGGGTTTCATTATAAATGAAACAGGAAAAAGAAAATAGGCAAGTATATCATTATGAATTTAATGAGACATATTGATTTTTCCTGCTTAAATAGTCAGAGGGGAAGAGAGAGTCAAACTCGATCAATAGCTGTGCTCCCGCTATATTAACTAATAATTTATCGAATGAGCTATTTTTGTTTAAAATCTTTTTTGCTCTTGGCTTTTTACAATCTGTAGAATCCCGAGCAGGAGTCAAAATAACAGCTGCAGCTATTATTCTTATGATTCAAGCTCCTCAAGTTTTTACTATTACTCATTTATTTTATTCATAAATCTTAACTACTAGCATTAATATTTCTAAATATAAAATGTCTAGAATTAATCAGATTTACTTGAAGTTTTTTCTACTTTTAGTTTATTTACAGACTACAGAATCTAGAGCAGGAGGTGGAGGTGGAGATGATAGCAGCAGTGATTATTTTTCAGACGACTCAAGTTCTTACGATTCTAATGATGACGATGCTATGATCGAGATTTATACCTTCATTGGCGGTATCTTTATTTTCATTATTTTGGATTGCACCACAAATTACTTTATTTACCAAAAAATTGATAAAAAACACAAAAAAATGACGAAAAGACTAAAAAATGCTAGCGATTTTATATGAGATGAAAACGAAATAATTTGAAACATAAAACAATCATTTATTGCACTACAAGAAGCATGATCTGACCAAGATTTGGATTTTATTGAAAGAAGATTAACGAAAAAACTGTTTATTAAGTGAAGAAATTTATTAATGGAGATGAGAAAAAAGAAAGAAAAAAATTTAGTCAGCGATATTGTATAATCCTTTGCATAAATTTCATTTTGCTTATTTATGGTAAATTGATTTTAAAATGTCAAAAAAAATTTTAGCATACCATAGACTCAGTTTTATATGTAATGACATGTCAAAATTTTTTGGACATTTTTAAAATCAATTTACCATAAATAAGCAAAATAAAATATTACCAATACATTATATAATTTTTAGCATTATTCTAGGAAATGTCCTGACGTGTGAAGACCCTCCCTCTATAATGCCAAAGCATTATAGTAAATAAAATAAGATTTGTAAAAATTGAAGAGAAAAAAAAGAGGTTTACAGTTTTTATTGATGCAAAAGTAAAAGATGTGACTGTAAATATTCATTCTGGAAAAGTTTTGAAAGATCAATCTGGTAATTTTCGAGAGTTTTGGACTTATGTATGGGGTGCTGATGCATGGCTGCTTACTCCCCCCCCTCCGTGAGTGAACAAAAAAATTTTGTTCACTCACGGAGGGGGTTAATTTTTTTTTTTTTAAAAAAAATTATATATAAATTTTATAAAAAAATATTGTTTTTCGAAATTTAAAAAAATTCTAATTCGCAAAAATTGGAAAGCAAATATTAATTTAATTTATAAAATTTATGTTTTTAAAAAGCAATTCGTTTAAAATTAAATAGAATTAGCTCTAGATTTCATTATACTAATTATCATTTATATATTAATTTTTTTTTCCATAAAAAATTTTTCTATTAAAACAATTTTTGTTCACTCACGGAGGGTGGGGTTTTTGGGCAAAAAATAGGGATTTTTCTTATGATTTTGTTCACTCACGGAGGGGAGGGGGGAGTTAGAGAAATTAACCAATTTAGTGAAAACAAAAAATTCATTTCAGAGTAGATGTTGATATTTTTATTAATTATTTGTAAATGTGATTAATAATTTTTTTCCTATATTAATTAAATAAATTTTTTCACATTATCTATCCATTAGCTGAATCTGATTATTCATTCGGTTATCGTCTATTACTTTAATTTCTTAATGGTTCTAACGACCCAAGACGCAATCTCGCGTGAAAGTTAGGATTTTCGCTCGTTAAATCCCTTTTCAGCTCATTAATAAATTAATGCAAAGCATCATATCATTTAATTTCTCAAAAAATTATCAATTTAAGCAAAAACACTAAGCTTAGCTTCTGATTGATTAACTTAAAAGGTGGATTTAATCATGAACTTATAAAATGCGTCCACATCGACTTTCCCATTAGGACATTCATAATAGTCAGTAATAATTTCTTCAAGCTCCTCATCTGGAATATGCTCTCCGATTTCCCTTGCAATGGAATGGAATCTTGCTTTGTCAAGGTATTTTTTATCCTCAACATCAAGTAATTCGAACATTCTTGTAAGCCCTTCCCCAGTTTCGCCATCACCAAGGGAGTATTGAATATACTCAACAAATTCTTTAAATGAAATGCCTTTAGGGAACTGGTTTTGCAGTCTTTCAATCAGGGTATAAACAGTTGGGTATTTTTCGTTGACTTTTAAGCTTTCAAGATATCCAATCATGTCAAAGAGATTTATTGTACCTTTGCCTGTATGGTCAAAAATATCGAAGGCTTCTTTGATTTCTGCGACATCCTGGGCACTGAAGTCAGGGCATTTTGAGAGGTCTGGCTCATTTTTAGGAGTTTTAGGTGCTGGTGCTTGTCTACGGGCCATTTATTATATATTCGTTATAGAGAGTCATAAAGGGTAGGGTTATGAATTTTTAAATATAAATTTAAGGATTGTTGCTTGAAAAATTGGGTCAAGAGTTTTATATGATTTTAAGATTATATTAAAAATTAAACAGATTATTTTGAATTGTAGAGATCTTGGGGGAATCTATTTTATAGAGACTTTTCTTCTCATATATTGTATGTATATTTATTAAAGCGTAAATTTATTTGAGTTTCGGATTATGAAAGCTTTGATATCATCAAAGAAAAGTTATTGAACACTGAATGAAGCTATCTAAAAAGTTTGTAAACTCCCCCCTCCATGATCGAACAAAAATATTTTCTTCACTCATTGAGGGGTTCAATTTTGTTATTAAAAAATTGACGACTGGAATTGGAGAGAGCATATATATTATATGGAGTATTTGCAAAATTCTATATAGCCTACATTTAGGATCAATTGCGCGATCTATTGGAGCTTCGAAATATACATGATTTTATTTTGGGGATTTTATTTTTAATTTATAAATAAGATAAATGCTGTATTACCAGTGATAAAATAGTTTCAAGTTAAATTATCTAGTAAAGACAAAACTAAGCGCCTTTTCGTGTGCATTAGTAACTTCTTTTTAATGATCTTGAAAGAACTCAAGACTATTTTCATAATAATCAAAGACATCATATATAAAAAACCAACTATTTTGAATAAATAAAAGAAAATTATGAGCTTCATAAAGTTGAACATTCCATATTTAAATAATAAGAATGAACGATTCTTTGGAATCAAAAAGATATCAAGCTATTGCATCATTTGATAGCTGCCAAGAGTGTACACCAACATTACAAGAAGATTCAAGATTTTCTTTACTCCACCTTCGTGAGCGAACAAACCATTAAAAAATCCCTACCTAACAAATTTTTATGAAAACTAATTTGATATATACAGGTGATAGTTAATATAATAAAATATCTACCTAATTCTGTTGAATTTGAAAAAGCTCCTATTTTAAAACATAAATTTTACAAATTAAATAATAGTTGCTTCTAAATTATTTCAAAAATAAAAAAAATTTACTATGGAATTAAAAAAATTACCCACTGATCGAAAAAAAATTTTTGTTGTTGACTAAAGTGAGTTAGTAAATTATGGACAAATAAGCAGAAGTGCCAGCTTCAGGATTGAAGATAAATTACTTCAAAAACAAATTGGGGCTCAAAAACGGCTTGATGATCTGCGTAAGAAAAGAGAGCAAGAACTGCTACAAGAACTACAAGAAAAGCCCAAAATTTCAAATAAATCCAAAGAGCTTGCCAAAAAGGCTGATTTAAGATATCATGAGCTACTAGCTGATTTTTTAAAAGAAAAAGACACAAAGCACGAAAGCATTGAAAATTTTGAAGCAAAAGATCAAAAACCTCAAAGAAAAGCAGCTAATATCAGCAAAGCAATTAGTAGAGCAAAATCATCAGTGGAATTTAAAGATAAAATAAAGTCTGAAATATTGAGAAAATCCGTTGTAACTGCTGAAAAAGAGCAGAAAATTAATGTAAGATTAAAGCCAAAAGAAGAATTTATAGTAAAATTTGATATAAAAGACCAAGAAAATGAAAAAAAATTATTAAACACAGAAGCAACCGTTGGGCATGAAAGTCCTGAGCTTTCTCCTATTAAATATGAAATGAAAAGAGGAAAAGATAAAAAACGACGAAAAAGTTTATTGGATTTATCTGCAGCTGAACGTAGCAAGCTATGAGAAGACCAAAAAAGAAAAAAAATTGAAGCAAAAGTAAAAGCAAAAGAAGAAAACTCCATGGTTGAGTGTACCTTTAAGCCAATTATTCACCAAGCTCCAAAACCTGCTAAATCATTATGCTATGCAAAGGAGAATATAAAATATTCTCAGAGTAGCAAACCTCAAAGCTCTGATTCTTCCTTTTTAAGCTTTGAAATTTTTCCACACAAGCGAGGGGGTTTTCTGATAATAAAATAAATAAAAATCACCTTATACCTTCCTCCCCCAATAATAAAGTACATTTTCACCAAGAGGTTTTAGTACAAAAAATTAAAATAGTAAATCATATATGAGTAGACAAAACATTTGCTTATTAGGGTAATTATCAAAATTTAAATGTAGAATTTTTTGGCATTTATCCTCAATAATAAGCGAATTTCGACCCTCCTTACAAATTCTAAAATAATCTAAATATGAATTCATATGAAATTTTAAATAGGAATTTTATTTTTACCGTTTTCTGATTTAAAGTATGATCCAAATCAATTTTTTTCGCGTAATAACATCTCCAGCTCCCAAATAAACGTCTCATTTAAATCTGGATGTAACTTAGACGAGCTCATCTCAAGGTCAAAAAATTTATAAATAATAAAAATCTTTTAAAATGGCAGCTAGACGAAGACAACAGCAGCAGCATAAACAGCCCAGCCCACCCCCAGAGCCTGAAATAAAAGAGCCAGAAAAGCCTAAAATTCCTCCAGGGCTCTACCGAAGAATTGTTATAATTTTACCATACCATTGTCCAGACCATGTACAGCATATTCAACAAGTCCAAGAATCTTTATCATGCCATCGACTCGGTTTGGAGCCGATTTCTCGATCTTCTCTAGCTTCACGGACACTAAGACCTGACGAAATAAATGACCCTTATTTTGATTTAATAACTGGATTTGTGATTATTGACATGGATTGTCGGTTATATGTACTTGAAGGACTTGGAGGTGGCTGCATTGATAAAATGGCTGAAGAACTCGCAAGGACACAAGCGAATACAGATACTTTAAAATACCTTATGAATTCTGAAGTATTCTGTGCTGAATTATTTATTTTTTTTAAATTATGATTTTTTTTTTAAAAATTAATTTAATTTAAAATAGTATAAAATTTGACGAAAGACTTTATATAAATTTCGGCCCAGACTTAAAAAGAATAAAACTCAGAGAAAATTTGGCAAAAACTTTACTAAACCCTGACATTTATATTAAATCCAAAGTCAGCGAAGAGCTTATGGATACTCTCAATAAAATCATGAATATCAGAAGATGTGACAGATTAAAATTTGTAAGAGATTTTCATTTATGCCCTGCATTAGAAAACTTGAATTTATTAGAAAGAAAATATGGAGACGCCTTGACTGATGAAGATATATATGGTCTCCCACCTAAACGAAAAGTAAGAATGCAAGAATTAACCCAACAAATGCAAAACACTACTTTTGAGAATACAATTAACATCATATTACATTATTATCTATATCGTTTAACGCCCACTACGGGATCACCTTTGTCCAGGGCTGCCACCATATTTATCCACGTGTCGGGCCGATTGACCTCTGGATCGATCCACTTTATTTTCCAGGACGCAGGACAAATACGATGCTCCGGCTTCGACAGGAGAATACAATTAACACTACAGGCAAAAGCCCAAATGAGTCAAAATCCAGGATGAAGTCTCCTAAAAGGACAAAAACCAAGCTAAAAGCCCCATTAGATATGACTAATCAGCAGTTTGAAGAACTGATGCATAAGAGAGAAGAAGATGGGCCGAAAAATTTCAGCCAAGTGAATAAGGAAAAAATTAAAGAACAAAGCGACGTAAATGGATTCAATAGACCACAAGAGTACATAAAAATGGACAAAGAAGATGGGGAAGTCTTCGTATATAGTGGCCAAAAATTAAATTATACTGAACAGATGAAGTGGAAAATCGCTGAACAGATGGTCAATGACCCAAAGCATTTTTATGCACAAAGTCCTGAATATTTAAGATTGTCATGGCCAATTGTAGATGAAGAAAAAGAGCAAGCCAAAGAAATGGAGAAATTTGCAAATACAAGGCTGAGGTATAAATAAATTATTTAAGTAGAGATAATAAATAATCTGGTTTTTGGTCGTTTTTTAAGGAATCCCATTTGAAATGTGGAATATTTATAACTCTGTATCCTAGTTTTTCTAAAAGCTGGTTTTTTATGACTGTTTTTCCACATAGCTCGAAATTAGGCTTGATGTAATGATAAGGTCCTTGGATTTCAATAACAGTATTTGGAGGGTATTTTATTATCTTTATATTAGCCATATATAGAAATTATTATGAAATTCTGGTAAAATAAAGGGAAAAAATATATAATAAATCGACATCTAATGTATATGGATACTCAGTCTGATACTCAGGCATCAATTTTATTTTCAATTTTTTGAAAGTGCTGAATATATCCTTATGAAGTCTTGACTGCAATCATAAAGTACAATACCCTTTCATATTCCTGTAGTCTTTTTTGTATTTTTCTCTGAAAACTCGATCCCAAGCTTCTTGTGTTTTTTTCTTCATGTTTTTGTATTTGCCTGAGTTATAAAGCTTAGTTTCTTTAAAAAATGGATGTAGCAGCTCAAGGATTATTAGTGTGTGATGGATTTCTGACAATTTTCAGGTTGTTAGCGTCCTATGATTTATTTTTAAAAGTTCTTTAAAAATCGTATTTGTTCATAAATTTTCGTCTGCGATCCCATTAAGTGCTAAAGAATGGGCAACTGAGGCCTTAAGATTGTGCGAATAGAGAGAGAATTTTGATGCTAAAATTTCACTGATTATCGGGTATACATTTGTAGGGTCAACTCTTAGTTTTCCATAGGTACTTAGAAGAGTGCCTACGAAATTTCCAGTTATTTTTCCATCTGAAGATTCAGGTGATTTTAACAAATTTTCAATAAAGTTAATAATTTTTGGATCATTATAATTAGTCGTATTCATACAGTCCAAGATTCTTGTAAGGATAGCTATGGACACTTTTTCTGCATTGCCATCAATAATTTTATCTACCAATTTTTGCCTCAAAAAATCTATTGTTTCATTATTTTCACCTATAAAAATAGCTCCTTTTCAAACATTAACCCTATCTTTTAAATCAAGAGTATCAATAAAGCCTCTTTCTCAGATTTTCCCTGTGATTTGTTCTTTCCAAATATAATCCCTATATCCAAACTTCCTATAAATGTCTCCTATTTTATCAGCTAAATGGGCAAATTCATCAGGTTTTATGTCATTTACGTTAATTTGTTCGCATAAACTTCTGCATCAATTTATGGTTATTGGTCATGACCTTCTGTGATTAAGAAATTCAGATATATACTATTATAAGTAAAAATAAATAATTCCAATATAGAATTTCTATAATAAATAAGGCTATTTCTTTTTTTTAAAAAAATAATAGCTTTATATTTGAGTATAGCTGATTTCATTATAATAATATGGAGAGCCAGAGCAAAAAACTCTTTAAGTTTTATAGAGATCAGCAGAATAAAGAGCTATCAAGTAAAAGACTGTTTTTCTATAGATTAAACAGATGGAGATTTGACCCTCATGATACACCAAGAATGTTTAAGAACAATAAAAGAGGACAATATACTTTGTTGGGAGGAAGATGGATACTTGCAGCTTACCTAACCTATAGAGTCACTCTTCACTACATTCTACCAGCAAATCCTCATTAAATTAAGGATGATTACTTACTCTTCCCCTTAAATTGGACAAAATATCGTTAAAAGTCCATTTTAACCCCTTTTGAATTGAAAATTTTTATAATTTTTTCGAAAAAAATTTACTATATATTTTTCTCTAAAACATTAACAGGAACAAGATTTTGTGTTCCAATTCAAAGGTAGGGGATTTAGATAAACTTGTGTATTTATAAATTAATTTATTTCCAAAAAATTTTGTATTAATCTTTTCTGCTAAATTTTCATTATCACTTGATTTTAATTTTCCTTGGAAAATAATGAAATTTATTAGATAATTAAACTAGAATTTCAATGCTAGCATTTTTAAATATATGAAATAATTGGAATTTCTATGGAATTACTCTGTTAAAAATACAGATATTATTAGACGCTGTACCAATTATAGCTCATGAATCATGATTGATTGTCATCATTAAAAACTATACTGCTATAATTTACTTGATGTCTTCTACATCCTAGACTAGAATCATCATCATTTAGATAAACATTCGAGTTAAACAAAATTTCTTAAGTTTCACGCTATTTTATTCTAAATTTTATATGATTTACAATTAAATGATTCTTCTCTTTCTTTATATGAAAAGTAGCGATTTTGCATTAAAATGGCTTAAGTCCAATTTTGGAGATCCAAAGCAACACGTCAAAAATGGTTGACAAGTGTAAAATAGGTTGACAAATCAGCCAGACAATTTTTAAAAAGCTTTATTTTAAAATTAATTTTAAATTAGTTTAGCTGATGCATAAATTCTTAAAGTCTTATATTTATTGGCTATACTAAAATTAAAAATGGTTATTCAATTAAATTCAAAACTATTGTTCTCTATTGTGTGTTTTAGCAGCCAGGTTAAATTTTTAGAGAAAGTAATATGAAATTAAATTTTATTAATTGGATCTTCTATGGAAAATCTGGAGCTCTGGAGAGTAACTCTACATGAAGTTCTAAAAGTCTTATAATATGTGATTCTAGCAAAATGTATTTTTGAAAGATATTTTTAATAATTTATTTAAAAATTGGCTCGTGATTTGCCAACCTATTTTACACTTGCGACCATTTTTAGTATTTTTCTTTGGATTCCCAAATTGGGTATTTTACAGCAAAATCGCTACTTTTCGTATAGAGGAAGAGATGAATAATTAAATTATAAACAATATAAAATTCGATAAAATCACTTGAAATTTTATTTAACTCTGAATGCTGTCTAAACGATTACGATTCTATTCTAAGATGCAGAAGTTATCAAGTCAATTATAGCAGCTAATTTTTCAATAATAACGATCCACAACAGTACATGAACTATATTGCACCGTTTAGCAATGCTTCTGCATAAGTATGCCCTATATTTTGGCATATTCCATTACATTTAGATTCAATTATCACTTTATCACCTATTTTTGGGTTCCCGATAAAGTTTACATTTAGTGTAGCTGCAAGCATAAGTTTGGCTTCTTCAAGCTTCATTCATAAACTCATTCCAGTTGCTGCATCCAATACAGTTGTTAAAGCCCCTGCATGGAGAAACCCATTGTAGTCACAAATTTCTTGTGAAACTTGTAGGGAAAAAAATAAATTTCCCTGTGGGGATACTTTAACATAATCAAAATGTTTCAAGTACATTTGATCAAATGATGGCTTTCCAGTAGCTAGCCTCAAATATCTTTGAAAAACTTCTAAAGCTTTTCTCTCCATGTTATTTATAATAACTTTTTTGTGTTTTATTTTTAAAATAAGCACAGAGATTGTGTGAGAAAAAAGAATGCATTGATTTTATTATTAAAATAAATAATAAACGAGTCATTAGCTAAAAATTTATTTTGATAATAAACACAGCATTAGGTTGATAAAAAATTAATTTCTTTTAATCATAACAAGAGCTGATATTTTTATTATAGTAAAATTATCAGGGACCTAATGCATTAATTCTTAAAATTGTGTTATTTTATTATATATATAAAAATAGATAAAAAATTAGTTTTCTACTAATTATTAAAGCATAATAATTCAAAATTATTTATAAATATAAACAGTTTAAGTACAGTCAAGGGAATTTCTGACTTAAAAAAAAAATTAAATCCTTAAATTAAAAGTGCTAATAAAAATATTTGTTTTTTTATAATACAATATACTTAAAATCTCTTAAACAGAGCCTTATCACTTTATTTTTACTATCAAAATATATAATCACGATTCATTTTTTTATCCATATTTCATACATTTAAATTAGATGAGCTCACGAACCCATCGAGTCTCTCACTCTCCCCCCCCTTTAAATCGGAACAAAATATCGGTAAAATTTCCACTTTTTTGGTAAATTAACCCCCCTTTAAATTGGAACAAAATTTAATTTTATAATAAAAAAATATATATATAATTTTTATGTAAAAAGTTTTGATATAAGTTAAATGTTTCTTCTTAACTAAAATTAAAAATTGAGTTATATCTTGCTCTTTTTTAAAGAAAAAAGTATAAAGAGCATCTTATTTAAATAAATTTATTATCCTTAATTGGTAAATTTTAAAAAAAAATCTAAATTTTTTTTTTTAAAAATTTTTCAAAAAAATTTTTGTTTTTTTTTAATAAAAATGATATTTTTTATTTGGATAGTTTTGATATAAATTCAATAGGAATTCTTTATAAAATTTCAAAATTTACTTATTTCTTGCTTTATTTTAAAGAATAGAGTATAAATAGCATCTTATTTAAACAAAATTAGCACTTTGATCGATAAGTTTTCTAAAATTTGTTTTTTTAATTTTTTTTATCAATAAAAGTAATAATTTTTGTGTAAATAATTTTAATACCAATTAATAGTGGCGTATTTAACTAATAATGAAAATTTAGTTATATCTTGCTTTGTTTTAAAGGATAAAGAGTAAATAGCATTTTATTGAACAAATTTATTGATCTAATTCGATATGTTTTTGAATTTTTTTTTTATAAAATATTTTATATTAATATTTTTTTTTTTAAAAAAAAAAATTAACCCCCTTTTAAATTGGAACAAAATTTTTTAGTTCCAATTTAAAGGGGGGGGGAGTCAGGAATCCCAAGAAAATCAAATTATCGAAGAACGTATTGTCAAAGTAAACGGAGACATTGCCATAAAATCATACACCAAAGGCCGATTCCTTGGAAAAGGGGGGTTTGCTAAGGTTTACGAGTTTTTATCACTCGACACCAAACAAGTTTTCGCAGCCAAAGTCATTCCTAAAGCTTCCCTTTCAAAAGCTCGTGCAAGGCAAAAATTGATGAGCGAGATAAAAATCCATCGCTCCCTCCATCACACCAATATAGTCCGATTTGAGCATTTTTTTGAAGACGACGAAAACGTTTATTCCTATTTATAATAAATAAAAATTTTTTTATATTAAAAAAGCAAATTTATTTTATTTTTGCATACATCCTACTTGAGCTTTGCTCAAACCAAACTCTTAATGAACTTCTGCGCCGTCGTAAACGCCTTACAGAAATCGAAGCTCAGTGTTATTTATCCCAAACAATTGCAGCTTTAAAATACCTCCATGAACATAGAGTCATTCATCGTGATATAAAGCTTGGGAATTTGTTTTTAACTGACAAAATGGAGCTAAAACTAGGAGATTATGGATTGGCGACCAAACTGGAGTTTGATGGAGAAAGAAAAAGAACTATCTGTGGGACTCCGAATTATATTGCGCCAGAGGTTTTGGATGGAAAGCAAGGCCACAGCTATGAAGTAGATGTGTGGAGCTTAGGAGTCCTTGCTTATACTTTATTAGTGGGGAAGCCACCTTTTGAGACTTCTGATGTAAAAAGTACGTATAGAAGAATTAAAATGAACGCTTATACTTTTCCTGATCATGTTCCTGTCTCTGACTCTTCCCGTCGCCTAGCGAGAAAATATCAGAAAAATCCCATTTTTAGGAAAATTAGCTATTCGTTAGAAATCAAAAATTTTATACAAATAATAATTTGGAAATATAATTAGTGGTTATTATGATGAAATCTCCAGCTTATTTTATTAATTTTAGCAGCTAACAATAAAAATTTATAAATTAAATTCGATTTTCCCTTTCAAATATTACTACTTTTGAGATTAAACTTGATCACCTCAGAGTTCTACTATTTTACTCCAGAAAAGAAATTCTATTTTTAAAATTCAATATAAAATTTTAAAAAAGCTCAACCTCCAATTAGAGCACAATAAGTCTTATGCCCTAAACAAAGGGGAGTGAGGAAGCAAAGTCTTTAATATCAACTATGCTTACTAATGATCCCTCTATGAGACCTACACTAGATCAGGTCCTTCAACAGTCATTTTTTACCAAAAATGTGATACCAAAATTAATGCAGGCTGGGACATTGGCTGTCCCACCTTCATCAAGCTATATAAAACAATATGAGTTACCGACCCAAACTACAAGAGGAAGACCAGAAGCTGGAAAAAATCAACCGAAAACAGCCAGAGCTTCATCATTAACTCCTACAGATACCGAAAATGGTAGATCAACTACAAGAGAAGGAGTCGTAACCGCTAGAGGCGGCTCAAGAGGAAGCTCTCGAGAAAGAGCACCAGACTTAGGTGCATCTGGAAATACTTCAAAAAAAGCTGCGTGTTATTCTTCATATGTGCCACCTGATAATGGAGAAGGCCCACAAGTTTGGGTCAAAAGCTGGGTTGATTATTCAAGTAAATACGGTCTTGGGTACTTATTTTCGAACTCTTGTGTAGGGGTGTTTTTCAATGATTCTACTAAAATTATAGCAGATCCTGCTGGATCATTTTTCCAATATATACATAGGACTGGACACTCAAGGGATGAGGAAATGTCGATGTATAGGATTGAGCAATATCCTGATGAGCTGAAAAAAAAAGTTACTTTATTGCAGCATTTTAGGAAGCATTTATCAAAAGATGAGCCAAATAAAAGACTAGACGCAGCTCAGCCTTTGATTTATGTTAAAAAATGACTTAATACTCCTCATGCTATTTTATTCAGATTAAGCAATAAAGTCGTCCAAGTGAATTTCCAAGATAAAACAGAACTGATACTTTGCAGTGAAAGTAAAATTGTTTCTTATATGAATAAACTTGGGGAAAGAAGTGTGTATCCTTTAAATACAGCTATGGAAAGTGGTAATAATGAAATGACTAAAAGATTAAGGTACACAAAAGAAGTGCTGACAAATATGCTGCAGCCTCAGCAAAGTGCTGGAACAGGAGAGTATCGGCCTGGTATGACTGACCGTGAGATTATATAATAAATAATAGAAAAATTAGTAAATAATTGAAATTTTTTATAAAAATTCTTTTTATTAGGTGCATAAAAAATAAATTAAGAAATTCCAATAATTTTTAAATTAATGCTATAAAATGATAAGAATAGCTACAATATTATCTCGAAATTAAGCTAACTAGTCTATTTTATAGCAAAATAAGGCACTTTGGAAAATAAGAAGAGACAGAATAGAGTATTATAAATTTAAATTAATTAAGGATAATTGACAGCATATATAAAATAATTTTAAACAGAAAACAAGTTCAAAATCACTTCTAATATCAATTTATACCACTTTATAATATTCATAATAATTATGAGTAAAGACGCAATTCATGAAATAGATGGAATTATCAGGAGGACTAATAAGATCTATTTAGGCTATCTTTTTTTCAACTTAAGCAGTTTTTATCTATTAGGTTCGTTTTGAAAGACTGGCCTGCTTAAAAAGTCCTTAGTTTTGGTCCCTACTTCTCTATTCTTCTCACTCCCTACCTTTAAATTGGATAAAATTTCCACTTTTTGGTAAATAAACCACCTTTAAATTGGAACAAAATTTAATTTTATTATAAAAAAATTTATATATAAAAATCATAATTTTTATGTAAAAAGTTTTGATATAAGTTTAAATGTTTATTCTTAACTCAAATTAAAAATTGAGTTATATCTTGCTCTTGTTTAAAGAATAGAGTATAAAGAGCATCTTATTTAAGTAAATTTATTAGCCTTAATTGCTAAATTTAAAGAAATTTAAAATTTTTTTTATTTAAATTTTTCAAAACAATTTTATTTGTTTTGATAAAAATGATATTTTTTAGTTAAATAATTTTGATATAAATTCAATGCGAATTCTTTACAAAAAGTGAAAATTTACTTATTTCTTGCTTTATTTTAAAGAATAGAGTATAAATAATATTGTATTTAAACAAAATTAGCACTTTGATTGATAAATTTTCTAATTTTATTTTTTAATTTCTTTTTTATCAATAAAAATAATAATTTTTGTGAAAATAGTTTTAATACCAATTAATCTTGCTTTGTTTTAAAGCATAAAGAGTAAATAGAATTTTATTAAACAAATTTATTAATCTAATTCAAAAAATTTTTTTTTAAATTTTTATAGAAAAAAAATTTATATTAATATTGTTTTTTAAAAAAATTTTCTTAAGCCCCTTTAAATGGAACAAAATTTTTTGTTCCAATCTAAAGGGGGGGTCAGGCATATTCACATGGATCCACATCGAAAAAACTTACAAAAAAGAAGAAAAAGTCTTCCTTTTAGTAGGACTAGACGAAAAATACGATAAGATTAAAAAAGATAATAGTTAATTATAAAATGCTTTACGATATCGATAATGGTGAATATCAGAGCGGAACTTTTCAAAGTTTTGGCTTTAATACATTCCAAACCATCACAAGAGACACCAAAATCATAAGAAGATATAAAAGCCAGGACCTTAAAAACAGGACACTAAAGGAAAAATTCGAGGATGAGATAGACAAGTTGCATGATTTTACTGATTTTCCTTTCTCGCCAAGCCTTTGTCAAAAAAGCCTCAAAATTCCTACTGCCAGAACTGAAACGGTTGAAAGATTTATGGAAAAAGGACATAAGCCTAAGAAACAGTTCAAGGTAAAGAGCTGGGTATTTAGACCAACTATTGGGATATATAGACTAAGGCAGTTTTTGATGTCCCAAAAAAAAGGCCCTATGTATGTCCATGTAAAAGTGGCAGAAAATGGCCTGATTAAGGCCAATTCTGAGCTGAAATCAGGAAAAACCAAAAGTTTTTCTATGGATCAAGCTGCAGCAATAAAGGATGATGATTGGCTGAGCAGAAGTATGGATGAGAAAAATGAAGAAATTGGGAAAATAGAGATAGAAGGGATTGTGGATGAGAAAATGTTTTTGCAAGGCTTAGAGGAAATTCAAGAAAAAAGAGTTACTGATAGAGAGGATATAGACAAGCTGATAGAAACCAAGGAAAATGAAATTGAAGAGGTAAAGCATGAAGAAAAAATGCAAGAAAATAAGGAGAAAATTGAAGGAATTAAAGAAGAACATATTGGAGAGCATATAGAAACTAAAGAAGAAACAAAAGAAGAGATAAAAGAAGAAAAAAAAGAAGAGGTAAAAGAAGAAAGAAAAGAAAGTGACATTGCTAGAGAGCTTAAAAAAAGCCTCACTTCTGTAAAAGAGAAAAAATCAAATGTTTTGACGAAATCAAAAACATTAAAAAAGACTTGAACTAAAGCTAAAAAGGAAGCAAAAGAAGAAACTGACAGAAAAATGTCACCAAAGCCAGAAGCAAAAGATCATCATGAAATTCATGTCAAAGAGACAGAAGATGCCTCAAAACTTCACAAGATAGAAGAAGAGATCTCTGCTGAAGTGGCTGTAGAGACATCAAAAAGTGAAGAATTGACTAACAATCAGCAGCCAAAAGAAGAAATAGAAGAGCTGAAAGAAGACTTTAAGAACGAAGAGCCTACAGAAGAAGAAACTCCAGAAGAAGCCAAACTTTCAGTAAGAGGGGGAAAGAAGAGCGCCACAGGTTCACCTGCAAAAAAATCTCTATCTTTTTAGATAAAAAAATTTTTTTTGATTTAAAAATTATTATTGCTTTTAAACTAATAAAATAATTATGAATTTAAATAGGGTAAGGAAAATAGTAAAAGCAAAAACCTTCATATCAAGAATATCAAAAAAAATTGAAAAAGAAGGCAAAAGCGCAGAAAATACACCCAAAAATGATAATTTAGATCTAAAGGCTGGCTTTCAGACATTGGCAGAAAAAGAGCCAGAAATTGAAATAAAAGTAGAAAAAGAAATAATCCCGACAGAAAATGCTGAAGCTATTCAAGAAACTCCTCAGACAATAGTTGAGCCTCCAATAATCAAAGAATTTTTTATTGAAAACAAAATAGGAGCAACTCCTGAATTTGTTGATGAAACTATAGATATCCATGAGGTTCAATCCAAGCCAGAAAGTATAATAGAAATTATTGAAGAGCCAGCCAAGCCTGAAACTTTTCCTCCAATAGAAAATCTTGATAATAAACAAGAAAATCTTGCTGAGTCTCCACAAAAACAAGCTTTGAATGCCCCAGAAGAAAATAAAAGCAAGAGAAGACACAAATCTATGACTCATAGCCCTGAAAAAGAGCCAGAAAGTCTTCACAAGTCAAAGACTATCTCAAAAGATGAGCAAATTTCTCTTAAAAAAAGCCATTCTGTAGGTAAAGCAGAAGTGACGCGGAAAAAATCAGAAGAGGTGCATGAAATTAAAGAAAAGCAGGAATCGGAAGAAAATGAAAAAAATGAGCAGGAAAGTGGCCATGCGCCATGGAATGCTGCTGTTGAAGCTTTAGAAAAAGGAGAAACAATTACCGATGCAAAGCATGAAGGAAAAGCTAAACTTAGCTTGCCTGAAACAGCGATATCTGAAGAGAAAGCTATAGTTAAATCTCCTAATTCCCTCTTGGCTAGCAAATAAAATTACTGGAACAGTCCCTATTTTTAAGAATTAATTCCATTATTTTCAAATAATTTGATGATGTTTTTGACTATAGTATAAATCTGATAAATTAAAGAGATTTTTTCTATAAAAAGCTTACAATTTTTTTTTTAAAATAAATTAAATTAAATTGCGACGTTTTAAATTCGTTTGAGGATTTACACCTCTGCAAGTTCATCAGCTCTATAAAGGGCTACATGCTGACACTGACTACTTCGCCCATGCCTGACTTTCTCCAGGGCGTATGAGCCTAACTCCCAGTTTTGCGCTGGGCACCTATTGTCTTCAGGGTCACTAAGTCAAGAAGGAATGGGACCTAATCTCGGGGCAATGACCAATTGTGCTCTTTTCAGAGGAAAATCCCATGCAGGTATCGCACCCTATAGCACAAGAAAAACCTCTGCCCGAATACATTAATGATGCTGTACCTGCTTCTCAACTTGGTTCGTACTCATGGTGATTGCCTGCAGGTGTTGAGGGAATTGTGTCAAGAGCATATGATTTTTTAAAACAAAATATTTTATATATAATCCTATATAAAATATTTTAAAATTAAAATTTAATACGAAGCTAAAAAACTTGCTTGCTGCCCAAGGGAAAAGTAAGCATGCCAGGTCACCCAGAGGTAAATCAAAAGTTGGAGCTTCTCCAAAGAATAAAGAAATGGCTCCAATAAAAATGCCAGACCCAGAGCCAGCTGCTCAAGAAGAAATAAAGTTAGAATTTTCTCCAAAGAATAAAGAAATACAACAATCTCCTTTTATTGAAGAAGTCTTAAAGGTAGAATCTCCAAAGCATAAAGCAATAATAGAGCATCCTATTACTGAAGAAGCCATAAAGGTAGAATCTCCAAAGCATAAAGAAAAAATTGAGAATCCCATTACTGAAGAAACCCTAAATGCTGAGTCTCCAAGACATAAGATAATAATAGAGCATCCTATTGCTGATGAGACCATAAAAGCAGAGTCTCCAAAGCATAAAGAGCAACCTATTACTGAAGAAGTCTTAAAAGCAGAGTCTCCAAAGCATAAAGAGCATCCTATTACTGAAGAAGTCTTAAAAGCGGAGTCTCCAAAGCATAAAGCTCATCCTATTGCTGAAGAAGTCTTAAAAGCAGAGTCTCCAAAGCATAAAGAAATAATAGAGCATCCTATAGCTGGAGAAGCTTTACATCAAGAAGAATTCACAATACACATAGAAGAGCCTATTGAAGAAGCGCCTAAAGAAGAAACTTTACCAAAACACAAAGAAAAAGCTTCGCCAAAAATAACTAAAAAATCTCCAGTTAAAGAAGAACAGAAAAAAGAAGTGGCTGCAAAGCACAAAAAATCGCTTTCAAAGGAAGAAAATAAAAAAGAAGAGACAAAACATATAAGAAGAAAGACTCCACAAGCACATGAAATAACTGCTCACAGAGAAGAAAGCAAAAAAAATGAGTTAGAAGCCTCTAATGCATCAGAATTCAAAGAAAATGAACTAAAAGTCCCTCAGGAATTAGATACTAAAGAGGAGGAAGAAGAAACTACCAAAAATGAGCTACAAGTGGCTGATTGAAAAGAAGAAAATATAGAAAACCAATTGCAAGCCCCAGAGACGTCTGATCTTAAAGAGGAACATAAAAAAGAAGCAACAAAGGCTAAAAGAAAAGTCGAGCCTAAGACATCTGACGAGAAAAAAGAAGAAGTCAAACAGAAAAAAAAAGTTGACTCTAAATCAGCTGATGCTAAAGAAGAAAAAAAAGAAGTGGCAAAACATACAAGAAAAAAGACTCCACAAGCGCCTGAAGTCAAAGAAGAAAACGAATTACCTGAAACTTCTGATGCAAAAGAAGAAAATAAAAAAGAAGCGCCAAAACATATGAGGAAAAAAACACCTCAAGCTCCTGATAGTAAAGAAGAAACAAATGAGCCTGAGGCATCTGATGTAAAAGAAGAAAATAAAAAAGAAGCTCCTAAAAGTGCAAGAAAAAAAGATGAAAAATCTGAAGTCAAAGAAGAAAATAAAAAAAAAGCTACGAAGCTGAAAAAGAAAGAAGAGCCACAAGCACATGAGGTAGCTCATATAACAGAAGATTCTTCATCCCAAATTTTAGAAACACATCCTAAGGATGAGCAGAAAATAGAAGCTTCATCGTCTGAAATTAATCCTGTGAAAAATCAAGAGGCAGCTGTAGAGGAGCCTATCAAAAAAATTATTGATGAAGAAAAATCTATACAGGCTGAAATTATTAAAGAAGAGCATAATATTGAACCAGGGGTTACTAGTGAAGAGCTTAAAGCTGAAGCACCAGTTATTAAAGAAGAGCCTAGAGTTGAAACACCAGCTGAAGAGAAAAAAACCAAGGCTAAAGCCCCAATTAAAAAAGCAAAGGCTAAAGTTGAAGTAAAAGCTAATGAGGATGGTCCTAAAGCTGAAGCAGAAATTATTGAGCCAAAAGCTGAAGAATCAGCTACTAAGGAAGAGCCTAAAAACAAAGCACAAACTGAAGAGAAAAAGACTAAGGCGAAAGCACCAGTTAAAAAAACAAAGGCCAAAGTTGAAGCAAAAGTCACTGAGGATAGTCCTAAAGTTGAAGCTGGGATAATTAGCGAAGAGCCTAAAGTTGAAGCACCGATTAAGGAAGAGCCTAAAACTGAAGTGCCAATTGAAGAGAAAAAAACTAAAGCAAAAGCACCAGTTAAAAAGGCAAAAGCTAAAGTTGAAACAAAAGTTGTTGAAGACCCCAATGCTGAAGCAGACATTATTAATGAAGCACCAATTAAAGAAGATCCTAAAGTAGAAGCACAAAAGGCTGAGACAAAAACTAAAGCTAAAGCGCCAGTTAAAAAGGCAAAGGCTAAAGTTGAAACAAAAGCTGTTGAAGAAAGCCCTAAAGTTGAAGCAGAAACTATCAGTGAGGAAATTAAAACTGAACTGCCAGCTATAAAGGAAGAGCCTAAAGTTGAGGTACCAGTCACAGAAAAAAAGACTAAGCCTAAAGTAGCAGTTAAAAAAGCGAAAGTTAAAGTGGAAGAAACACCAGCTGTTAAGAAAAACCCAAATGTTGAAGCAGAAATTATTAGTGAAGAGCTTAAGGCTGAAGCACCAGCTATCAAAGAAGAGCCTAGAGTTGAAACACCAGCTGAGGAGAAAAAAACTAAGGCTAAAGCACCGGTTAGAAAAACGAAGGCTAAAGTTGAAGTAAAAGCTACTGAAGATGCTCCTAAAGCTGAAGCAGAAATTATTGAGCCAAAAGCAATTATTAGTGAAGAGCTTAAAGCTGAAGCACCAGCTATTAAAGAAGAACCTAAAATTGAAGCACCAGCTGAAGAGAAAAAAACCAAAGTTAAAGCACCAATTAAAAAAGCAAAGGCTAAAGCTGAAGTAAAAGCTACTGAGGATGGTCCTAAAGCTAAAGCAGAAATTATTGAGCCAAAAGCTGAGGAATCAGCTATTAAGGAAGAGCCTACAAATAAAGCACAAACTGAAGAGAAAAAGACTAAGGCAAAAGCACCAGTTAAAAAGACAAAGGTCAAAATTGAAGCAAAAGCCACTGAGCATGTTCCTAAAGCTGAAGCAGGAATAATAAGCGAAGAACCCAAAGCTGAAGCTCCGATTAAGGAAGAGCCTAAAACTGAAGCGCCAATTGAAGAGAAAAAAACTAAAGCAAAAGCACCAGTTAAAAAGACAAAAGCCAAAGTTGAAGCTAAATCTTCTGAAGAAGTTCCTACAATCGCTGCAGAAACTATTAATGAAGAGCTTAAATCTGAACCACTTATTAAAGAAGAGCCTAAAGTTGAAGCATCTACTACAGATAAAAAGACCAAAGCGAAAGCACCAGTTAAAAAGACAAAGGCCAAAGCTGAAGCAAAAGCTAATGAAGAAAATTCGCAAAAAGAGGCTTCTGAGAATCCTAAAATTGAAAATGCTCTTAATAAAAATCAAACAGAAATAATAATTGAAAGCTTAGGAGAGCCCAGCAGTGCTCCAAACGTTGAGGAAAACAAAATAAATGAAGAAACTAACATAAATACTCCTGAAAATGCCAGCAAGACAGAAGAAGTTAAAACAAATAAGCAAGCCCCTACTAAAAAAAATGCTGCAAAAGCTTCAAGTAAAGCAGGTACAAAGCTTACTGTCAAAGCACAAATAAAGCCTGGGGTTACTAAAATTCTTAACTTTACCAGCACTGATAATGCTGAAGAAATAGTTTCAGAATTTTCAGAAAAAAACGAACTTAGCAAAAAAGATAGAGATAATCTTCTCAAAGAAGTTTCTCAGCAAATAAAAAAAGCTAAATAATTTAAATTTGAAAATTATATTTCACCATAATTTCATGGAAAATTCATGATTGTCTAGATATCTCATATATATTCTCTTTCTTCTTTTTGAAATAGTGATCATGAACATAGATCATATTAATTTAATCAAATTTCTTTTTAATATTCTTATAGTGATCCTTATGATCTACGCATTTAAATAAGCTTTATGCTTTATAGCTTTCATTTTACTTCTTTTCTTCTCCCATTTATTATCATCTTGAGCATTCTTGATTCCTGACAATTTTATTATGAAATAAAACAGCACGAAAGAGCCAAAGCAGCATGGTTTGATTTTATAGCAAAAATTAACCCTTAAAACTTATAATTTTAATTGATATTTTAACTTTTCATTTATTTTCTGCTGATTTGCCTAAATTGCGCATCTGCGTAATGAAAATTAATAAAAAATATCAATAAAATGATAAGAGGATCAAGAAATATTTTAGGACTAGCAAGAAGATGGTTTGCAACAAGCCTAGAAGAGATCGAAGCTACAATTTTTGAAGTTTTAAAGCAGCATGAGAAAGTAAATCCTGTTCTGCTATCAAGGACATCTGCTTTTAGAGATCTAAACCTTGATAGTTTAGATACAATTGAGGTTGTTGTGAATCTTGAAGAAAAATTTAGGATTGACTTAACAGAGGATGATGCCTTAAAAATACATAGTGTTATGGATGCTATTAATATATTCCAAAAGTATAAAAAATAGACAAGTTTATATCATAGATAACTAGGAATTTAAGCTATTTTCAGTGATTTTAATAAAATTTTTGATAAAAATTGCATGTATTCCATTTGCAATATTTATCTTACGAATGCTGACTTAAGGTGTTTACCTAAAAAAACTATAAACAAACGTTTGGTCTCCTTATTCTATATCTTAAATTATTATTGATCACTTATTACCTCTTCTTTCCATAAATGTCCACCATTCTTATAATTAACAGTTATACCCATGCTAAGGGATCAAGAGCAAAAGGTATTTTGGAAACCCTTCAAACAAGGAGGAATGGCTCCTCAACCAAGATCAGGTCACAGTTTCACTCAAGTCGGCTCATCCTACGTCCTTTTTGGTGGTGTCTCAACAGAGCAGAAAGATCGAGCTTGTCCTAACAATGACGTTTATACTCTCAGAGTTCTTGTCAACGATGGTGTATGGTCCAAAGAAAAGCCAAGAGGCGATATCCCTCTACCTCGTACGCATCATGCTGCATGCGAGTTACCAGGTGATCGCCTTTTGATTTTTGGCGGCCTTTATACATCTAGCAAAAGATTCAATGATACTTACATATTGCATGTACCGTCTATAACCTGGAGTCAGCCTCCTAATCAAAAATCAGGAAGAGAGCCTGATATCATGAATATATATGAATAGAAAAATTACTTGAAAATTTAACACCTTAACACCCTAACACCCTGGCCTCAAAAAATTATTAACTCACCCTCCTAAATCCCTATTTTTTTGGGTTAAAACCCACCCTCCATGAGAGAAAAAAAAAATTATATTAATGAAATCTCTAGCTAATTCTGTTTAATTTTAAACAGCTTGCGTTTAAACATAAATTTTTGCAATCAAATTAATATTTGCTCTCCAATTTGTGCGATAATGAATTTTTTTAAATTTCAAAAAAAATTTACTATAAAATTAATTTTTTAAAAAAAAAATTATCCTCTAAAAGCAAACAAACTTTTTTTTTTATCTGCTCACAGATGGAGTATAATATATAGTTCAAGAGAATAATTCTCCTAGCCAAATTGGAGCGCCAGAACCAAGAGCATTCTGCACTGCAAGTTTGATTGACAAAAAAGTTTACATCTTCGGAGGCTATGGAGGAGTTTACTACCAAAGCAAAGCTTTTAACGATATTTACATGCTTAACATCGAAAACTGGGAATGGAGCAAAATCGAAGCAACTGGTCAAGTCCCAGAACCTAGAACAGGACATGCAGCATGCGTAATCGGATCAAAATTACTGATATTTGGAGGATGCTCAAATAATACCCAATTCAATTCATGCCACTTATTTGATCCAAACACTAGAGAATGAAGCGATATAGAGCTTACTTATGGAATCCCCAGATGGAATATGTCAGCTATTTTCGTCGAAGCCATCCCATCAAACAAATTTTTCATTTTCGGAGGATCCGTAGGAGATTTTGATGAAGGCTCACAAAGAAATATCGGAAAATTATCCAATGATGTATTTGTGCTAGACATAAATACAATGAGATTTGACAGGGACTCAGACAAAGTCCAAGAAGAATTATTATCAATCCCTGAAGAAGAAAAATTTTTACCTAGGCCAAGAGAGTATGGAAGTATGGTATTCGACAGATCAGAAAGCAGAATTCTAGTATTTGGAGGCTGGAATGGAAACTGGCTAGGAGACTTAAGCACTTTAAGTGTTGCAAAAATTGTAGGGCCACCTTATGCAGTTGAAGAATGCCACCCATCCTTAGGACCACTTACAGGAAAAACAAAAATCACTATAAGAGGTGTAGGATTCCAAGACACATCACAAATTTCAGTGCGTTTTGTTTGCCACAAGCAAGTGATCAACGTCAATGCAACTTATGTCAGTGAAACTGAAATTACTTGTGAAAGCCCAAGCTTTGAAGCAATTGGTCCAAAAGAAGCAGAAGTCCGTGTCTCGTTTAAAGGTGGAGCTTATACCATTACTCATACCACATTTAAATACTTTATGAACACTAGAGCGCTTAAATCACTTGCATATGGGCCAGGTCTCTTAAAAGATGGAGCAGCAGGAGTCCCCACAGTTTTCTTCATTCAAGCCCGTAATGACCTTGGAGAAAACAGAAAATCAGGTGCTGATAACTTCATAGTAAAAATTACAGCTGCGGACCTTGAAATTCCTTTTACAATTGTAGATCGTGATGATGGCTCTTATGAAGTTATACTAGTCTAGAAGAATATTTTTACTATATAACAGCTAAAACCATTTTTTTTAAAGAAAAATACGCTTATTAAACAGTATTTTTAAATCAAAATAATCTGATTAAGCATACTTTTACCCCACCGGAAAATGAATTAAACGTTGAAGTCCTATTCGAAGACGAAAAACAGCAAATCACTCACATCCGTGGCTCACCATTCCACCCTTACTTCAAAAGTGGGGTGTCTAATAAAAACAACGATCCATTAGGTCCAGCTATGAATAACTTCATCCATGGTACTCTTTCAGAGCTAGAAGAATTCATAAACCTGACTCAAGATGGTATCAATATTAAGCACAAGCATTTAGGCGATGATGTAAAGCAACTGCTTAAAGTGAAAAAACATATTGAAGACGTTGAAGAAAGAGGTGATGAAGTAATCTTGAAAATGGACGAACTTGATGAAGCTCTACAGATGTTCGAAAAAAATGACCATCCCAAAGACAGTGAATCTAAAAAACTCAAAAAACTGACTGAAAATTGGGTTGGACTACAGAAAAAAGCTAAAGAAGTGAAAAAAGATATAGCACCAATGGTAGCTACAGAAGCTGATAAATGCAAGCAGCAAATTAAAAATTTTGAAGAAGAACTTAAGGTGTACTTTAATAATGTAAAGAAAAAAGATTTCCAAAAATACGAAACAGGAGTCTACAACGCTCTTAAAAGTTTAACTGAAGAAGAATCGAAACTTGGAAATGACCAAAATGCATTAGATGAGCTAGAACATCTTGCTATTTATTTTGGGTTCCCAGAAGCAGTCACTGGATGTCTTAAACAGCTAGAACAAAACCAATTTGATGTGAAAACTATGAGACAGCTATGGAACCATATAGAAAAAGTCTTAGCTATGTATGACAAGTATTTAGGCTCAACCTGGTCAGAAATCCAATCGAGTGAATGGGAAGAAGACAATAAAAAGCTGATGGGTAATCTGAGAGAAATGAAAGCTGACAAAAAGTCAAGCGCTTTCCAAGGTATTAACGCCACTATGAAAACCTGGGCTACTTTCTTACCTTTAGTATAGCATTACATTAATTATAGATTAGAGTTCTTCCTCCTTTTACGTCTCACTCAAGACATATCTTCGTAGAAGACTCGTTCAGCTGCTAGTGAACCTGCCTGGGTATGTCAGCATTTCCACCAAAGCTCTCCTCAGACTTTCGGCCTGGCTCATAATGCTGTCTCTGAATCTTGGAGTATACAGGTTTGGGACTTGACGGCTGCTGCTTGAGTAACTAGAGTTTCAGCTAGGGATAAACCCACGAGCTAGTATTGGTACCAACTATACCTTCGTAGTTGGCACTAGTGGTGTCTAGGGGTAAAAAGCTTTTTTCCCAAATGTCTATCGGGAAGACACAAAGTCTTCATTGCCATACTAGGGAGGCGAAATCCAACCTGAACACAAATGCCAAGTACCCGTAGTAGACTCCACGTCCTGCTCGGTTTGGCTTCAGGCCGCAGCAAGGTCCCCAAACTCGAAATAGGTCCGGGAGAGACGGGTTGGTGACGCTACCATTTTATTTGTGTTTCTTACCACTAGTAACTCAGCTAAAAGAAGACTGTATGATGGACCGCCACTGGTCTCTCCTCAAAAAAGTCCTCAGCCACGAATTCACCATTAACGAGCATTTTACCTTACAAAGACTCTATGACATGCACCTTCATAAATATTCAGAACAGGTCGAAGAAATCGTTGACCAAGCCAGAAATGAAGCCAAAATGGAAAAAACATTACAAAAAATCAAAGAAACCTGGGACGTCGTCACTTTTGAAAGGCAGCAGCACAAGAATACCGATGTGCAGCTCCTAAGAGTCTCTGAAGAAAACTTTGAGGTTCTCGAAGAGCACATGGTGAGTGTCCAGAACATGTTTGCTAGCAGATATTTGGCATATTTTGAAGAACTTGTGGTATATTGGCAAAGAGCTTTAAGCAATATTTCTGATAACACCCAGCTATTAGCAGAAGTCCAAAGATCGTGGTCTTTCTTAGAAAATCTTTTCATACATTCAGCAGAAGTCAAAAAGGAGCTTCCACAGGAGTCAGAAAAATTCATTGATATTGATAAAGAAGTCAAAGAAATCATGAAACAAGGAGACTCACTAGATATCGTCAAAAACTTCTGTATGCTTGAAGGCATTGGAAAAAGGCTTGAAAAAGTCCAAGAAGAGCTTGCTATGTGTGAGCGCGCACTTAATGAGTTCTTGGACCGCAAAAGAGAAGCTTTCCCTAGATTTTATTTCGTGTCCACTATGGATCTATTAGATATTCTATCTAATGGTAATAATCCTAAAAGAATCATGCGCCACATGTCAAAAGTATTTTTAGCTATCCAAGAGCTTATTCTTGAAGAAGGCGGCGAAAGGCCATTTGCAACTGATATTATTTCCTGTGTAGGCACCGAACAGGTTAAATTTTACAGAAAGCAAGAGCTGAAAGGCAAAGTTGAGTCTTATTTGTCAGATTTAATTGACTGTATGAGACAAACATTGAGAGAAATTGTTGAAAAATCAATTGTGGAGTTCGGGAGAAAACCAAGAGAACAGTGGCTGAAAGAAGATCCAAGTCAGGTCAGTTTGTTAGTCAATTTAATGGACTGGGTTAATAAGACAGAAGATGCTTTTAGAGCGCTAGGACACGATAAAGAAGCATTGGCAAAATATCATAAATATGTAATTGGTGCCTTGACAAGCCTAATTAAGATGGTCCAAGGAGACTTAGACAGACCTTAATCTTAATCTTAATTATCTATAACGCTTTACGTCCACTACGGGGTAGCCAACTCCAGAGCTGCCACCATATTTATCCACGTGTCGGGCCCAGAAATCGCTGGATCGATCCCTTTTGATCGCCAGGGCACGGATAAATAAGGCGTTCCGGCTTCAACGAGCTTCGCTGCCGCCACGCTTTATTTCGACTCAGCTCCTGCACGTGTTCCGCCTGAGGGTTCACCTTCCTTCGGGTGTGCTGATGGGTAAAAAACTCCAGATCTTGAGTGCACTGAGGAGCAGTTCCTCTGGTTATCCCCAAAGTTAAACCGCTGTTGCTGTGCAGAAGTTCTTGAGGTAAAAACCCAACCCCATAAATAAAATTGCTTTGAGCGAGAGAAAGTTAGCAGAGCTAACCTCGCTTGAGCGAAAGCCATTTTATTTATGACTTAGACAGACCAGTCAGAGTAAAAGTTATGGGTTCCTTCACACGAGATCTACTCCATAAAGACTATTTTTTTTTGGCCTATTTTTTTTTTGGCCTAATTTTTTTTTTGGCCTATTTTTTTTTGGCCTATTTTTTTTGGCCTATTTCATGACGACTATTTTTTTTTGGCCTAATTTTATTTCGCCTATTTTTTTTTGGCCTTTTTTTTTTGGCCTATTTTTTTTTGCCTATTTTTTTTTGGCCTAATTTTTTTTGGCCTATTTTTTTTTTAGCCTATTTTTTTTTGGCCTATTTTTTTTTGGCCTATTTTATTTTGACATCTTTTTTTGGACTTTTTTTTGGCCATTTTTTAGCTATTTTTTACTAATATTTGGGCCTAATTTCATACTAATGCTTTTAATATGATTTTTAGTGTATTTTAAACCATTTTATCAACATAAAATACACCTTTAACAGATCTCTTACTCCAATAATGCTAATTCATTGCTTTTTCAATTTCTAGAATTTTAAATTTAATTAGGATTTTTCCACTTAATTTACTCAATGTTAATCGTGTAAGGAAATACATCCGTTACCCAATAATTATTTAGTTCTCTCAGCAGCTTCATGAATTATCCTCGACAGAAAAAATAGACCTAAAAAAAATAGGCCAAAAAAAATAGGCCAAAAAAAAAATAGGCCAAAAAAAATAGGCCAAAAAATATAGGCCAAAAAAAATAGGCCAAAAAAAAAATAGGCCAAAAAAAAATATGCCAAAAAAATAGGCCAAAAAAAATAGGCCAAAAAAAATAGGCAAAAAAAAATAGGCCAAAAAAAAATAGGTGAAAAAAAATAGGCCAAAAAAAATAGGCCAAAAAAAATAGGCCAAAAAAAAATAGGCCAAAAAAAAAAGGCCAAAAAAAAAATAGCCAAAAAAAAAAAGGCCAAAAAAAAATAGGCCAAAAAAGAATAGGCCAAAAAAAAATAGGTGAAAAAAAAATAGGCCAAAAAAAATAGGCCAAAAAAAATAGGCCCAAAAAAAAAATAGGCCAAAAAAAAAAGGCCAAAAAAAATAGGCCAAAAAAAAAAGGCCAAAAAAAAATAGGGCCAAAAAAGAATAGGCCAAAAAAAAATAGGCCAAAAAAAAAAATAGGCCAAAAAAAAATAGGCCAAAAAAAAATAGTCGTTATTGAGTAGACCTCGTGTGAAGACACGAAAGTTATGTGTATGATTACTATGGATACTCACTCGAGAGATATCTTAGAAAAGCTTTGCGGAGAAGGTGTAACCAGAGATGATGAATTCCAATGGCAGTCTCAGCTTAAAGCTTATTGGACTGCTGATACCAAATCTACAGTCCTCAGAGTCTGCGATGCCCAGATCCAATATGGCTATGAATATCTCGGAAACGGTGCAAGACTTGTCGTCACCCCTCTTACTGACAGAATTTATGTGACAGCCACACAAGCTTTGCATCTAAAAATGGGCTGCGCCCCTGCAGGCCCTGCTGGTACAGGCAAAACTGAGACCACCAAAGATTTAGCATCTGCTAGTGGGAAAGCTTGTTACGTCTTTAACTGTTCAGACCAAATGGATTATCAGTCAATGGGAAACATCTTTAAAGGTTTGGCTGCTTCAGGCTCATGGGGTTGTTTTGATGAGTTCAATAGACTTGTCCCTGAAGTGCTGTCTGTGTGTTCTGTCCAATTCAGAGCAGTCACTAACGCAATTAAAGCTGGTCGTCAAAGATTTGAGCTAGAAGGCTCTGAGGTCGCCTTAGACCCTACTTGTGGTGTTTTTATCACTATGAACCCTGGCTATCTTGGTCGTTCTGAACTTCCTGAAGGTCTAAAAGCCTTATTTAGGCCAATCACAGTCGTCGTGCCTGATCTTGAGCTTATTTGTGAAAACATGCTTATGGCTGAAGGCTTTATTGACGCTAAAATTTTGGCAAGAAAATTCACAGTGCTGTATGCACTTTGCAAAGATTTGTTGTCGAAACAGCTTCACTATGATTGGGGTCTTAGAGCCATTAAGTCTGTGCTGGTCGTCGCTGGTGGGTTTAAACGTGCAGAACCACAGCTTGCAGAAGAAGCGCTGCTTATGAGAGCACTTAGAGATTTCAACCTTCCTAAGATTGTAGAAGAAGATTTGTCTATTTTCCATGGGCTGCTTGTTGATCTTTTCCCTGGAGTCAAAGTAATCTTTTTTTTTTGCTTTTTTTTTCTGCAAATTAATAGTAAATTTTTTTTTTTAATTGTATAGAAAATAAGAATTTTTTTTATAAGAGATATTTATTGTTAATTGATATTAAGATAAATCCTAAGGTGGATTTAGACTTTGAAGCTGTAATTCAAGGCTGCTTAGAAGATGCCAAGCTTTATCCTGAAAGAGAATGCATCAAAAGAGTAGTCCAGCTTCAAGAACTGTTAGAAATCAGACATTGTGTCTTTATTATGGGCCCACCTGGATCTGGGAAGTCTACAACCTGGAAAATGCTTGTAAAAGCAAATGACAAATGTGGCAGAAAAACTACTGCAGTTGATATCAGCCCGAAATCCATATCTACCAATGAACTGTACGGGCATGTCCTCATGGCCACTCGTGAGTGGAAAGATGGAATTCTCAGCAAAACTATGAGATCCCTCGGAGATATAACTGATACACTACCTAAATGGATCATTTTAGATGGAGATTTGGATGCAAACTGGATCGAAAGTATGAACTCAGTCATGGACGATAACAAAATCCTTACCTTAGCTTCGTAATTAATATGGTGACAACTAAATATGTCCTCGACGATTACAAATTTCTCGCAAAAAACGTTTTATAGCCTGTACCAAGGCTCAAACCCTTTGAATCTAGCCCTTAGCGTACTTCGAGCTGCTGAATGGGATAGGTAAGCCTTGTGAGTCAGCTGGTAAGGACTCTTTAACCAAATATTAGTTATCCTCAGGTTCTTTCAGCAAGCTAATGCGCTATTTAAAGCGCGCGGTGGAAAGACAAATATGGAGAAGACTTTAAAATCCTATTAATTTAATTTACCTTAGCTTCAAATGAGCGTATCCCTCTTAAGCCTCACATGAGAATGCTTTTCGAAATTCGTGATTTACGCTTTGCCTCTCCTGCCACTGTGTCTCGTGCTGGTATTCTGTACATATCAGACACCTCAGGCTACCAATGGCGAGCTTTCTATAAAGCCTGGATCGCCAGAATGACCTATGACGACGCTACCAAAGAAAACCTAAACAAGCTTTTCGAAAGATATGTCCAGAAAACCCTAAATTACCTCAAAAAATCAGTCCAATTTGTAGTGCCAGTCGTCGATATCAACCTAGTATCATCACTTTGCTCTATGCTTGAAAGCTTACTTGTAGGCGAAATCAAGGCTTTGGAGTACTGGTTTGTCTTCTGCACAGTATGGGCTATAGGTGGCTGCTTAAGCGAAAAAGATGGAAATGACTATAAAAAGAATTTCTCAAACTGGTGGAAACAGAAGTGGAAGACTATTAAATTCCCTGGAAAAGGGACCATTTTTGACTATTTCGTCAATTATGAGTCGTCGAAATTTGAAGAGTGGGGAGAACAGGTCAAGCCTTATGAGTTCGACTCCTCGACACAGAAAATGAACAATGTGACAGTCCCGACTACTGAGACCGTATCAAACTCGTACTTCATACAGGCGTTTATTAATATAGGAAAACCAGTTTTATTGATAGGAAACGCTGGGTGTGGGAAAACACAACTGAGCAAAGGTGTGCTAAGAAGCTTGAACCCTGAACAATTTTGCTTTGTAGTTATCAACTTTAACTTCTACACTGACGCTTTGCTACTGCAAAACATTATGGAGCAGCCTCCAATTGAAAAGAAGACAGGTAAGCAATTCGGTCCTCCAGGCAAGCTTAAGCTGATTTTCTTTGTAGATGACTTAAATATGCCACAGCTTGATGTCTATGATACACAAACTTCTATAGAGCTGCTAAGACAGCATGCTGACTATGTTCATTGGTATGACAGATCTAAGCTTACCATAAAAGAAATCATTAACACCCAAACCATCGCAGCCATGAACCCTACAGCAGGCTCATTTTACGTAAACCCAAGATACCAGCGCCATTTCTGGCATTTGACTATACAGTTCCCTGAAGCTTCCAGCTTGTTTACGATTTATAACACCTTTGCGTTGGGACACTTCGGAAAAGGGTTTAAAGCGTCAGTACAAGAAATTGTGTCTCCTATTATAAAAGCAGCTATTTCTTTGCATCCTTCTATGGTTGAGAAATTCAGAAAGACAGCTATTAATTTCCATTATGAGTTTAGCATTAGACATTTAGCTAATATTTTCCAAGGACTATTGGTAGCCCAGCCTGCCCAATTCCCTGAGCCAGAAAAAATTATAAAGCTATGGATCCACGAATCAGAAAGAATTTATGGAGATCGCCTTGTTTCAAAAGCCCATTTAGATGCATACAGAGGTATTATGGGTGAACTCATCAAGAAAACTTTTGCAAAGTTCCCAAGTCTCAGCAGATATTTCCAGTCAAATCCTGAGCCTCTGGTGTTTTCTCATTTTGCAGGTGGACTTGTTGAAAGAGTTTATGACCAGGTACCTTCAATAGACTCTCTTTTCAAAGTCCTTGATGAAGCTTTAAAGGAGTATAATGATATCAATGCAGCTATGGACCTTGTCCTTTTCGAAGACGCCATGAAGCACGTCTGCAGAATTTCTAGAATTGTTATGAACCCTGCTGGACATGCCTTACTTATCGGAGTTGGTGGCAGTGGTAAGCAATCCTTATCAAGATTGGCTTCGTTTATATGTGGCTATACCACCACCCAAATCACTATTTCCCAAGCTTACTCTATAAATGACCTTAAAACAGACTTGCAATCTATGTATAACAAAGCAGGAATTAAAAATGAAGGCGTCCTTTTCTTATTCACAGAAGGCCAGATCACTAATGAAAGGTTTTTGGTCTACATTAACGATTTATTAAGCAGTGGAGAAGTCGCTGATCTTTACCAAACTGAAGATAAAGACAATATCGTCAATGCTATAAGAGCAGCTGTCAAAGGAGCGGGGATAATAGATAACAGAGACAACTGTTGGAACTTCTTTATTGACAGGGTCCGCACCAACTTGCATATGGCGCTTTGTTTTTCGCCTGTCGGAGATTCATTTACTCCCCCCTTCCATGAGCAAACAAAAATTTTTTTGTTTGCTAACGGAGAGGGGTTAATTTTTTTTTAAAAAATATTTTATATAAAAAATTTTATAGAAAATTATTTTTCTTCGAAATTTAAAAAAATCATAATTCGCAAAATTGGAAAGCAAATATTAATTTAATTTGTAAAATTTATGTTTTAAAACGCGGTTTGTTTGAAACTGGGCAGAATTAGCTTGAGATTTCATTATACTAATTATCACTTATATATCAAAATTTTTTTCCATAAAAATTTTTGCTCGCTTTCGGAGGGTGGGTTTTTGGGCAAAAAAATACGGATTTTTCTAATGGTTTTGTTCGCTCACGGAGGGGGGGAGTTAGAAACAGGTCAAGAAAGTTCCCAGCCATAGTAAACTGCACAGTCATTGATTGGTTCCACGACTGGCCTAAGGATGCACTTTTGTCAGTCGCTGACCGTTTTCTAGCAGCAATGGACTTAGGCGTTGAAGAGGTCAGAAATGGGGTCGTCGAGTTTATGCCGTTTTCGTTCAACGCAGTTAACCAGCTGTCAGTGAAATTTAAAGAACAAGAAAAAAGATTCTGCTATACCACTCCTAAATCTTTCTTAGAGCTGATTAAGCTGTTCACTCTGATGCTTTCTAACTCCCACCTCTTTAAATTGGAACAAAATATAGGTAAAATTTCCACTTTTTTGGTAAATTAACCCCCCTTTAAATTGGAACAAAGTTTAATTTTAATAATAAAAAATTTTATATATAAAAATCATAATTTTTATGTAAAAGGCTTTGATATAAGTTAAATGTTTCTTCTTAGCTAAAATTAAAAATTTAGTTATACCTTGCTCTTGTTTAAAGAAGAGAGTATAAAAAGCTTCTTATTTAAATAAATTTATTATCCTTAATTGCTAAATTTTTTTTTAAATAATTTTGATATAAATTACATACGAATTCTTTACAAAAAATTTATTTTAAAGATTAGACTATAAATAATATCTTATTTAAACAAAATTAGCACTTTGATCGATAAATTTCTAAAATTTTTTTTTTTAATATTTTTTCTATTCAACAAAAATAATAATTTTGTGTAAATAGTTTTGATACCAATTAATAGTGGCGTATTAACTAATAATAAAAATTTAGTAATATCTTGCTTTTTTTTAAAGGATAAAAAGTAAATAGCATTTTATTAAACAAATTTATTAACCTAATTCGATAATTTTTGAAATATTGTTTTTTATAAAAAAAATTTCTTTTCCCCCCCTTTAAATTGGAACAAAATTTTTTGTTCCAATTTAAAGGGGGGGAGCAAGAAGAGAAATGAAATTATTACGAGCAAAGAAAGACTGGAAAGTGGGCTGATTAAGCTGATAGAAACACAGGAAAACGTGTCCAAGCTTGAAATTGACTTAAAAGAAAAGCAGGTAGAAGTCGAGGTGAAAAAGACATCGGCTGATGAATTTGCTGCAAAAGTTGGACAAGAAAAAACAGTCGTGACCCAAGAAACTGAAAATGCTAACAAGGAAGCTGCAGAGTGTGAAAGAATCCAAGCAGAAGTTGAAGAAAAGAAAGCGTCTTGCGAAAAAGATTTAGAAAAAGCTTTGCCACTTTTAGCAAGAGCTCAAGAAGCCTTACTCCCCCCTTTGTAAGTGACCAAAAGCATTTTGTTCACTCACGGAGGGGGTTTAAAAAATTTAGATATAAATTTTATAGAATTTTTTTCCAAAAAATCCCACTTCTCGAAAATTGGAAGGCAAATATTAATTTTAAATTTGTAAAATTTATGTTTTAAAAACGCAATTTGTTTAAAATTAAACAGAATTAGCTAAATTTCTATTTAAAAAATTTTTGTTCACTCACGGAGGGTGGTTTTTGGGCAAAAAATAGGGATTTTTCCAATGGTTTTGCTCACTCACAGAGTGAGGGAGTTAGCTACCTTGCAGAAAAAGGATTTCACAGATATGAAATCTTTCGCCAAGCCTCCTCCAGGAGTCGACGATGTCACTGCAGCCGTCATGGTCCTTACCGCTACTTTAGATCCCAACGTCCCTGTCGATAGGCAAGGTAACGTCACTGACAAGTCTTGGAAAGCCTCTATCAAGCTTATGGCTAACCCTGAAGCTTTCAAAACTTTCCTGACTAACTTCAAAACTCACATTGACAACCAAGATGTCCCAGACAAGAACTTTAAAGCAGTCCGTCAATATCTCAGTCTTGATCACTTTAATGGAGAAGCTATGAAAACCAAGTCATTAGCTGCCAAGGGGCTTTGTGAGTGGGCTATCAACATTACTGCATACTATGACTGCGTCAGAGAAGTCGAGCCTAAGCGTGAAGCTTTAAGACAAGCCAGTATCCAATTAAATCAAGCCAACGAAAAATTGACCCTCACTAAAGAAAGAGTCGCTGAACTAGAAGCCAAGCTAAAAGATTTGGTCGAACAATATGATGCAGCTATTGCTGAAAAAGAAGCTGTAGAAAAGGAAGCTGAAAGATGTGCAAGAAGACTGAACTTGGCTAACAGACTTGTGAATGCCTTGGCAAGTGAAAAAGACAGATGGAGCGAAAGTATTGAAAACTACGGAAAAGGGCTTGAAGTCCTTGTAGGAGACGTCCTCATTTCTAGTGCTTTTATCAGCTATGTAGGACCATTTACCAAGAAATATAGAGATATTCTTATAAGAGACCAGTTTTTGACTTTCTTCGTCCAGAAGAAAATCCCAATGTCTCCTAATGCAAATCCATTGACTTTGCTTACAGATGAAGCGACCATCGCTAAATGGAACAACCAGTTCTTGCCAGCTGATCAGGTGTCTATAGAAAACGGTACTATTTTGGCCAACACTGAGCGCTGGCCACTTATTATTGATCCTCAGTTGCAAGGCATTACTTGGCTTCGTGAAAAAGAAAAAACCAATAACTTGCAGATAGTCAGGCTTAACACAAAGGCACTTACCCGTACTATGGAAACTTCTATTGACCTTGGATATAGTGTCATTATTGAAAATATTGAAGAATCCATTGATGCTGTGCTGTCTCCTGTAGTAGCTCGTAACTATATCAAAAGAGGTGCTAAAAAATACCTGAAGCTAGGAGATAAAGAAATCTGTTGGACTCCTTCATTTAAACTTTTCTTACACACAAAGCTGTCTAACCCTCATTACCCTCCTGAAATCCAAGCAGAAACAGCACTTATTAACTTTACTGTTACACAAGATGGTTTAGAAGATCAACTGCTTAACCTTGTCGTCAAAAAAGAGCGTCCAGATCTTGCCAGAATGCGTGAAGAGCTGATTCAGCAGCAAAACTCTTTTAAAATCAAGCTAAAAGAATTAGAAGAAGACTTGTTGTTCAAATTAACCAATGCTAAAGGTGATATTTTAGAAGACATCGAGCTCATTGAAAACTTGGAAACCTCCAAACGAATTGCAGGCGAAGTCAAAGAAAAAATGGAAATCGCCAAAGTGACTGAAGTAAAAATCCTCCGTGCTTCTGAAGAATACCGCCCTGCAGCTAGCAGAGGTGCTTTAGTCTTTTTCATGATGAACGAACTTCACAAGGTCCATACCTTCTACATGTTTTCACTAGAAGCCTACTTATTAGTCGTCATGCGCGCTATTGACATTGTAGCTGAAAAATACCGAGCCCCAAGCGCTACCAAGTCTAAACGTGGAAAAACTCCTGAGGTCACCGAAATCGTGAAGCCTGAAAACGTCAGCATGGAAAACCCATCAGGCCAAGCCCAAGAAGGCGAAGAAAAGAAAGACGAGTCTTTCCAATCCCAAGCACCAAAAGAAGAAGAAAAGAAAGAAGAAGAGAAAAAAGAAGAGCCAGAAGCAAATGAAGCAGAAATGGAAGAAGAGGAAGAAGTCCAGCAGGAATTAAGCCCAAGGTCACTGAGAAAAAGAGTGTCTGAGCTGACTGAGTCAATTACATATCAATCACATATATACGTCAGAAGAGGCTTATTTGAGCAGCATAAATTATTGGTGGCGACTATGCTTTGTTTTAGGGTCATGATTAAGGATGGAAAAATTGATGAGCAGGAGTATGCATTTTTAATTAATGGAAAACCTATGGTAGATGCAGGACATCAATCAGAAAATTTGAATTGGTTTAGTGAGTATCAGTGGGGGATGATTAAAGCGCTAGATCAATTAGGCCCGTTCCAAGGGCTAGCAAGCAATGTAGATAGTGATTATTTGCAGTGGAAAAAGTGGTATATGGAAGAAAAGGCAGAAATTTCAGACCTGCCGCGTAATTTCAAAGAAATTTCTTATTTCCACAAACTTTTATTAATAAGAGCGCTCAGACCAGACAGAATTACTAGCGCTTTAAGCATTTTTGTTAGAGAACAATTAGGTAACCACTACATCGAGCAGACTCCTTTTAATATGTTTGAAACTTATAAAGAAACCTCTAAAACGGTCCCTGTGTTCTTTGTCTTGTTCCCTGGTGCTGATCCTACCCCAGAAGTCGAAGAAGTTGCAGAAACCTTAGGGATCACTGCCCTTAACAATAAATTCAGAAATATATCTATGGGTCAAGGCCAAGAGAAAAACGCTGAGCAAGCTATGGAGCAGCTTTCACAAAATGGTGGCTGGGTCATGCTTCAAAACGTCCATCTCATGCAAAGCTGGCTCAAAGTACTCGAAAACATGCTTGAAAAATTCTCCAAAAAAGCCCACGAAAACTTCCGATGCTTCATTTCTTCAGAGCCTCCAGCGCTGCCTGATATGAAAATCATCCCTGAGACTATTTTGCAAAACTGTGTTAAGGTAGCTAATGAAGCTCCACAAGCTCTTAAAGATAACTTAAGGCGTGCTTATAGCCATTTCTCTCAAAAAGATTTAGATTCGTCTGGCCAAGTACAGATTCCAGCCATCCATCCCCACCCCAGTCCAACCCCAACCCTGTGATCATAGATTCCACCCCACCCACTTCACCCCCATATAACGATGACCCCTCCCCTCAATCTTCATGTCTATTGCAACAAAAAATTTTTGGAAAAAATTTTCATGCCTACTGCAACACAACATTTTTATAAAAAAAATTAATGCATTTTTCTCTAGGTGAGTTTCTCAAAAAAACTATAAACAGCGCTGCTGTAGGCATGTCAATGGCCTTCTCATCGAGATTTAGACGGCTATTGTCATCGCTCGCCATTTTATTAAACTTATCTAGCTAAAAAGTACGGAAAAAATTTAAGATGCGCATCGAAAATTTGTTGCAAGAGGGTTAGGATTATTACAGACAGGCGCTAGCCATATTGGTGACGCAGTCATTAAAGACCTCCCGTACGGAAGGTTCTACCACTTTTCGACTCCAGCCCAGAGGGTCTATCCCTCTTACGAGTGCCCTTCCGGTACCTTCTGTCTCATCCTTGCCCTGTGGCTTCAGTCTTGAGAGGGCGGCTTATGGATTTCTACGGGCGATAGGAGTAGCTTGACTCCAAGGATCAGTTCCTTAGAGTCTATCGGGTGTCAAAGTGCCTTCCTTCGACAGCTACAGGAAAAAGACTGCTCCCCTGTGGCTTGGGCCGAAGCCCCCAGTTTCTCGGTAGAGGAATGCCCATGTGTCCTCGGATCCAAAGGACGCTGTTGAGCGCATCTATTTCCAATAACAGGAAAGCAGCTAAAACCTACCCGGATACACACTTCTTGAGCCTGCGTCTGATTCTCGGCTCGGAGTTCATCCCAGTCCGCCGTAGCCATAAGGTCTGGACTGCTGCGCTAAGAGGGCAGGTTGATACGTGTCGCTATTTTAATTATCATTTATATATCAAAATTTTTTTCCATAAAAATTTTTCTATTAAAAAAAAATTTTTGTTCACTAGGGATTTTTCTAATGGTTTTGTTCACTCACGGAGGGGGGGGGAGTAAGCGAAATAAAATATTTTTATACAAAAAAAAATTGATATATTAGCTATTATTAATATAATGAAATCTTAATTTTGAAAAAATAGCTTTTTAAGCATAAATTTTATAAATTTAAATTAATATTCGGTATCCAAATTTTACGAAAATTTTAAATTTCGAAAAAAAATTGCATATGAATGGTCACACAAGAGGCAAGAGAAAATACTCTCCAGCTTATGAGGGAAGAAAAAATTTAAGGGTAATCATAAAAAAGAGTGTACTTATTTCATTTTTTAACAATCAAATTTTACGCATTTAAAATTTACTTACCTTTAGATTACTCATTTAAAAGTATCTTATGCATTTTTAGTATAATTATATAGATTTTAATTTGATTTTTGAATGCATAATTTGTTAAAAGGACATATATTCCTTTTCTTAAAGCACATCTTTATTTGTCGATAATATATAACTTGATCTCTCAATGCAAATGTTGAGCAATAAAATACTTACTCCCCCCCCCCTCCGTGAGCGAACAAAACCATTAGAAAAATCGCTATTTTTTGACCAAAAACCCACCCTCCGTGAGTGAACAAAATTTTTTTTAATAGAAAAAATTTTAATGGAAAAAAATTTTGATATATAAGTGATAATTAGTATAATGAAATCTAGAGCTAATTCTGTTTAATTTTAAACAAATTGCGTTTTAAAACATAAATTTTGCAAATTAAATTAATATTTGCTTCCCAATTTTTGCAAATTAGGATTGTTTTAAATTTCGAAAAAAAATATTTTTTTATAAAATTTATATATAAATTGTTTTTTAAAAAAAAATTAACCCCCCTCCGTGAGCGAACAAAATTTTTTTGTTCGCTCACGGAGGGGGGGGGGGGAGTTAGTGGCTAATATCAGCTCGTTAAGATTAAGTCGAATATTGAATTGAGAAGATTATTAGAGATAAAGCAATAACTCTAATTAAATCCTTTTAATTTTATATTAATTCTTCATCTGTAGGCTGCTGTGGCATAGCCCATAGCAATTCGATTCTTATTTGATTTCCGAGCCTTCAATTTTTACGATCTTGAAAAAATCGGCAGCTTTATAGCTGTAAAACAATTTCTTGAGCTAGAGAGGCAATTGATAGGCATCTATTATAAAACTAGCTTTTTAAAATATTAAGGAATCATTGTGCAACCATTTCAACCTACATTAATGCAGCCATTTCAACCTATTAATGCAACTGCTTAAACTGATAAATTGTTTTTCATTTAAGCACGGCAAAACATGAGCAGCTCGATACGAAATTCACAATCAGCCCACTTCTATTAGCTTCAGCATTATGCCTGAACGAAAAAAAAAGAATCAACCCCTAAATTTACTTTTTGGACTTGATATCCTTCATAAATATAGTATAATAGGTAATTAATAGCATTTTAGCTTACTCCCCCATCCATGAGCTAACAAACAAAATTTTGTTCTTAACAAAGGGGCTAATTTTTTTTGAAAATCCCAATTCGTAAAAATTGGAAAGTATATATTAATTTGTTTTATATAATTTATTTTTTGAAATAAGCTGTTTAAAATTTAACAGAATTAACTCGAGATTTCTATCATACTAATTATCATATATCATACATTTTTTTCCATTAAAATTCTTTTTGTTCCTCACGGAGGGTGGGCTTAAGCAAAAAAAATAGAGATTTTTCTAATGGTTTTGTTCGATCACGGAGGGGGGAGTTAGGCCTGTTTGCTAATAAATATCTTAGTTATTATATGCATGCTTTAGCATCTTTCGAAATTATCAGTTAAGTTTAATATTATGTCTAACTAAATTTTTATCGGAAATATTTTGTATAAACTCTATTTCCAATTAAAACTTATATCTTCTTTAATTTTATGATACGCTAGATAAAATAAAAAGATTAGATTTATAATCTCTTATGTTCATCTGGCTCTAATAAAAGCTATAAATAACACTGTCTTTCAGCTATTCATTTTTTAATATCTTTTTCAATATATTGTTATAATAAAATTCATCAATGAATCCAAAATTATTATTTTAATCGCATTCAATATATTATGGGGATGGGGCAGGATCTATGATTACAAGGGGGTGGGAGTGGAGTTGGACAGGGGTGGGGGTGAGCGGTTGGAATCTGTGCTAAACAATCGTCTCGGAAGTCAAATGAATTTAAAGCTATGCTTTTCGCTCTTTGTATGTTCCATTCATTAGTCCTTGGAAGACGAAAATTCGGGTCTCAAGGCTGGAGTAAGCATTATTCATTTAATGATGGTGATTTGACTATTTGTTCTGATATTTTGAACAATTATTTAGCGAAATATGATGAAGTCCCATATGCAGATTTACGATATCTGTATGGAGAAATTATGTATGGAGGCCATATCACTGATAACTGGGATAGACGTACTTGTAACACTTATTTACAAGTGTTAATCAGGCCTGAGCTGATGTCTGGCATGAACTTGGCTCCTCAATTCAAATCTCCAGACCCAGCAAGATTTGACTATGAAGCTTATTCTAAATATATTGAAGAAAAACTGCCTATAGAATCCCCACAGATGTTCGGCATGCATCCAAACGCTGAAATTAACTATTTAACAGCTACAGGAGATAAACTATTCACCACAATCTTAGACGTGTCAGGTGTTTCTGGTGCTGGTGAAGCTGTAAAGAAAAAAGAAGACGTTGTAATAGACCTAATAAATGCATTTTTAGCTAAACTCCCACAGGAGTTCAAGATGTTTGAAATTACAGCGAAAACCAAGGAAAGGCCTCCAGATGTAGTTGTCTGTTTGCAGGAGTGTGAAAGAATGAATATTCTTTTAGGAACGATTAGAAGGTCTTTAATAGAACTTCAGATGGGGCTAAGCGGAGCCTTGAATATTACGGATAGAATGGAAGCACTGTCAAATTCTTTGTCTGTTAACAGAGTGCCTAAAGGATGGGAAGATGTCGCTTATTTCTCTAAAAAAGTGCTTGGAATTTGGTTTTTAGATATGTTGGAAAGAGTAAAACAGCTTGAAGAGTGGTCGAAAGAGCTAGTTTTGCCTAAATCTTTGTGGATTGCAGGGCTGTTTAACCCTATGTCGTTTTTGACTTCTGTCATGCAAACTACAGCAAGATCGAAAAATCTGCCACTTGATAATATGACTTTGCAGACCACTGTGACAAATTTCTTAATCTTTTTATAATTTTTTTTTCAAATGTAAAAAAATAATTTTATATAATTTATATAAAATAAATAGTGAGAATGAGAGATAGAACCTGATGAAATCCACAATTACCCAGAAAATGGAGCATATGTGCATGGGTTCTTTTTAGAAGGAGCTGCATGGGAATTAGGAAGAAGCCCAACTGAAGAAGGGTACTTAACAGACTCTACATTGAAAGATCTATATCCTAAGCTGCCTGTAGTCAATGTTTTAGCGGTGCCAATTGAAGAAAAAGCTACCTTAGGAATTTATGACTGTCCTTGCTACGTCACCTCACAGAGAGGACCAACTTATACCTAATTACAATAAATAAAAACATTCATACGTATTATGAAAGGGGTTGACAGTTGGTATGCTTTTATTCATTATAATTTAGTTATATGTATTTACTGCTGGCTTGAAGATGGAAAGTGAAGAAAGCGATCCAAAGAAATGGGTACTGGCTGGTGTCGCTTTACTTATGGCTGAAGGATAACCTAATTTAATCTCATTTACTGAATAGTATCTTTCTCTATATATTATTTTGAAATAATTATAAGCATAATTTAGATTTCCAAAAATAGTTTAAAAATTAGCAACAGTCGCAATACTCCATTTATCTCCCAGGCCATTAAAAATAAAAAACCTCTTTAAAAACAGCTTCCTATAGCATTTCCTTATATCATCCTCACTAATCCCAGAAGTTTTTCTCAAATCTTCAGGATACAGATTCTCTTTGCCGCTCATCCAGCTGACCATTAAAGAAATGGCGCAGGCCAGGGCCATTTCTTCTTCATTTACCATTAAATTACAGTCTTTAATTTTCTTCATTGCTTGTGCACATTTCGTAACCATTTCATTAGAAAAATCAAAATTAATAGCAAGCTTAGCGAATAAAGAAAAATCTTCTCTGTTTATTGCAGCTTCAGGAGCATGGATTTTTACAGTGTTATAGCATCTGACTATTTCATTTTTTGTAATTTTGTTAATATTTAAGATTTCTTTTAGCGGGATTTTATTTCCATATTTTCTGCACAAACAGTATATAATTGCTGATAAAATTCCTATATGAGATTTTCCTTTGGTGACTTTTTTTAAAAATAAAACCCTGAATATTTTTTTGGCTTCCTCAGAAATACTATCACTTAAACATAAAATGTGGCAAAAATCATCAATTTCACTGAAAGTCATGGAGAGAGTTTTATCTTGAGAAGAACTCATACTTCTTTGGGCTCATCTGGCAAGTCCATAATGAGTCTCATGTTTTGAAATCACTGTGCATAAGCCTTTATCTGAGAGAAGTTCATTATTAGGGGCTCCAATTCTACAAGGATCTTGGTCTCTTGATCCATCTTCTTCTGTTAGATTTCTTCATTCAGGGCCATCATCTATAAGTTTATCAATTTGTATCCTTCCGCATTTTTTACAAACAACTGTGCCTTCTCTTTCGTCAACCACTAAGGAATGTAAAGCTTTACATTCAATGCATTGGAAGATTGACATTATTTAATTTTGCAATTTATTATAATTTAAGCTGGGGGCTTATAGCTATTTAATACTTGCCTAGTTATTTCTTAATGTTATTTATAATTGAAAATAATTTATTAACTATTAAATCCAATCTTGATTATTTAGCATATAATCTTTAAAAGCTTCTAAAGCCCTAAATCTGTGTGAGATTGAATTTTTTAAATTTGGATCCATTTCTGCAAATGTTTGCTCATATCCTGAAGGCTGAAATATAGGATTCCATTGAAAACCATTATTGCCTCTTGGCATTACAATAGTCCCTTCGCATTTTCCATAAAATATTTGAGGCTCACCTCCAGGCTTGCAATATCCAATTCTGCATTCTGTTCATGCTTTTTTATTATCAAACCCAGCTAATAGCCTGAAAAGTCCTTCATCTTCTAATGCTTTTCAAAATCATTTTCTATATAAATTTTACATATAAGGCCCTGGGAGACCTCCTAGGGCTTCAAAGCATAAGCAAGTGTCCTCACAAATCACAGGAGCATTTATCTGGTTGCATGCTATTTTTAGCTTATCTGAAATAATTTCATCTGGAGTTCCTTGATATTCTTTTAAATCGAGATTAAATATTTCTAAATTCACATTAGAAGCTTCTAATGGAGTTTTATAGGTTAGGCATCTTTATGAATCAGGTCTACCCATGCGACATAACGATTATGAATATTTAAAAATCTAATAAATCAAATATTTTTAGGGACTTGCCAATTAATATTTTTTCAAACCGCCAAGAAATTGGCGATAAGGAGAAGGGATTAATAGCAAGCAGCTGTGGTGGAAAGCTATAAGAATTTCTTTTATTTCTCTAGCCTTCCCAGCCTAGCATAACTTTTACATTTCCTGTTATGAGATATCCCATTTTCCAATTTTTTATAATTAGTTTACTAAAAAATCAAAAAAAGTATATAAATTCTACAAAAGGTATATAAAATTTTGGTCATTAATTTTAATAATATTTTAATAAATAATCCAAAATTTCTAAAAATTATTTTTACAATTATCATCCTCCATCTAGCAGCATATCTTCCACTTCATATATTTTTGCTTGTATCCCATGCCCTAAATTAACACAAACAATCGGCAAGTACAGCGGATCACTCATAACATTAACAATTTCCCCAGTATACTCTGTTGACTCAAATCATAAATCTTGATGCCAAATCGACTGTTCAATTATATACAGCATTGGAAAATTTTCACTTAAATTTTCTCCACATATCGTGTAATGCACAAATTTCCCATCTTCATCCTTTGGATACACTTTTACACTATCATTTACAGCCAGCTTCAAAATTGTGTTTTTTCTGTTCCCTCATCGTGCTCTCCTGAAGTATTCTTCCATTTTTTTCATTAAATTGCTGATCCAGTTTTCCATTTTTATTTGCAAAATTAAAGAAATTTTTTTCCTCATCCTTGTGTTTTCGCCTAGCATAGTGGCTATCGGGCATTTATAAATATCGCTTCAGGATAGAGATTCTGTTAAATAATTCAAATATTTGGCGTTTGTGCATTTAATAACTTCTGCATGGTATCTTAAGCTGTCTAGCTCATGCAGTTTGTCATAAATGCTTTTATATTCTTTTTGGACTTCTTCGTATTCTCCTTTTCCAGGGAAGTTACCATATTTATATTGCATAAATGCAGATTGGACTGATATTTTGTTTATGTCAGCGAGATAAAAAATGACGGCGGATCTTGCTCGGACTGGCTTAAACCAGCCGCAATTTTTGCAGTCAAGGGTGCTAATGGATTTTAGTAGGTCAGGTAAAAATTCTTGGTTATTAAGGATGATTTCGGGGATATATTTTCGTAGCCTATCTTTTTCTTCTTCGAGTTCTGTTGAAGATAAATTAGCCATTCAGAGCTGGAAATTCGATCAATGGGTTGCGATTAAGCTGATTCTGTTTCCTCATTTTATTTGGCGGTAGGAGTCGCCTTCTCATTTTTGATATAAAGATAAAGCTCTGTCGTTTATATCTGGGGTCAGATCAAGCTTTTTATTGGAGTAGGCGAATTTGCCATTGAGTCGTAAAACAAAGCTTCTAACTTTTTGTTCATTTTTGCGAATTGCACTATATCATGAGGATTTCAGCTCAGATTCTGAGGTTCATAAGTCATCAATGCTTAGGATCAGCCCATAAGGGAGTTTAAATGACATTATTATAGGGGGATCAAATTTTAATTCTAAAAGATATTTTTATAACTTTTTTTAAAATATACTTTACTAAAGAGATTAGGCTTTAAATCTTTCTGAAAATCATCCTTTATTGCTTATTTAAAAATTATATTAAATTTATTAATTATATTTTTCTTATTTTACACAAATTTTTTTTTAAAAAATTATGGAAATAATGATGCTTATTTATTATTTGAGGATTATGATTTAAATATTGCTTAAGGATCAATTCAATAAAAAAATATTACTAACTTATAGAAATTTATTCTTCTAAATCCAATTTTGATTAGTTATCATAAAATTCTTGAATGCTTCTAATGATCTAAATCTGTGTGAAATTGAATTTTTAATATGCATGTCCATCTCTGCAAACGTTTGATCATACCCAATAGGCTGGAAAATAGGATCCCATCCAAAGCCATTATGAATTTTAAATTAAATATAAGTTTTATTTTTTTCCAAAATATGAATCCATAAAATACATTAAATACACAAAAATACATAATAAAGCTTATCCCCTCTTGGCATTACAATAGTCCCTTCACAGCTTCCACAAAATACCTGAGGCTCATCTCCAGGCTTACAATACCCGACTCTGCATTCAGCTCTTGCATTTTTATTATCAAATCCCACCAATAGATTAAAAAGTCCACGAGTTCCGATTGCTTCTCTGAACCATTTACTACATGAATTTTACATATAAGGGCCAGGCAATCCTCCAAGTGCTTCAAAGCACAAGCAAGTATCTTCACAAATCACTGGTGCATTTACTTGATTGCAAGCAATTTTTAGTTTTTCTGAAATAATTTCATCTGGAGTTCCTTGGATTTCTTTTAAGTCAAGAGTAAGAATTTCTATGCTTACTTATAGAGAATATAACATTTTAATGGTCTCCGTCATATAAATAACCAGTAGAATTGTGTTAATTCATTGAAATAGGTATAAATTCACATTAGAAGCTTCTAATGGAGCCCTGAGGATTTCTTTCATTTCTCTAACTTTGCCAGCCTATGGTAAAATTTACGTTTCCTGTGATGAGATAGAGGATTTTGCTCATGAAATTTATGACATTTTCAGATGATAATAGGTTACAAAAAGACTTGATTATTTAATATATAATTATATTTATAGAAATATGTTGCTTTTTCTTGCTTTTAATATATTTTGCTTCACCTGCAATTTGTGAAAATTCGGTAATCCTTTTAAGCATTTTATTGCACTAGAAAATTCTTTTTCCCAGCCGCTTTCAGTAAATTCTTCATCGAATTCATCATCTTCTTCTCTGACACATAAAATTTTTCTAGGCTGATCTAAAGTTTCCTTAGATTTCTGAATCAAATCATTTACTAAGTTTTGATTGTGCATCAAAACTTTGACATTATATTTTATGATGGCTTATGCTGCTTTCCTAAAAAAGATAATTTTATATTTATGAAAAAATAGGGATTTTAACATAATTTGTTTAGAATACATTTAGGTCGAGAGAGTCCATCTTCAGAATCTCGATGACTCTTGCATAATTTTTATGCTGTTTTATATAAACATGATTTACTTCTGGCATTTCGTTAAAAAGTTCTTTTGCTTCCTTTATGAAAGAAAAGTAGTTCATTACTTTATTTTGTTCGTCAGGCGTGTATTGATAGTCCCCAGGCAATTGATAGTGGCCTAATTTTCTATTGTAATTTGGTTCAACAATTTGTTGGGTTGTAGTCTTACCATAGCCTTTTTTGAAGTGAAGGGTCCTTATTCAAGTTTACTTATAAAAGGTTTGGCTGAGGCCATATTGTTAATGCAGTCAACAAGGATCCTCTAGAGGATTGACCCGATTTGTGGCGTCGCTAGGAAGAGCTTGTTTGAGTTAGGATGATAAATTCGCTCGAAAAGTTGGCTCAAGCACTATGTTGCTCTTCTTCATCTCCTGATCCCATGGTACCTATGAATTTGGGTTATATGACTTAGCCTCCTCCTTACCTTGTAGGCTCAAGTTTTTGGATGGACTACTGCTGCATACTGCTCATACAAAAATCCCATAAAATGGAAATTCTACATTTTCTGGGTTAACAAAATCTTGCCGAATACAATTAAATAATTAAATATGTGCTTGAGACTGCATAGCCTCCCTACATACGCCATATATAATTATGAAGGGTTCTTACCTCAGTTTTTATAATTTTGGACATTTTTTATAAAATACCTTACAATGAAGCGTAAAGGGTATTTTATAATAATTTAACCCTATTTTAAAGTTATATGTTATAAACCTTGATATAGAAATTGCCCGAGGATGGCGCTATTTTGCGCCATCCTCGGGCAATTTCTATATTCATTTATTGGCATTTTATTTACACTAAAGAAATTCATAGATTACATTTAAGAAATTAAATTTAATACGAATGTGCCTAATAATAATTAATCATTCTCATATCAATAGATAAAGACTATCTATTGAAAATTATTATGGAAAAACTAATATAAAACTACTTTTAAATTTTTGTCTCATTTAACTAGCTCTCCCATTATATTAAATTAAATAAACTGTCCTTTCGATTAATAAAAAATTGGAAAAAATATTGTTTCAATGAAATTTTGAAGTAATGCTAAGAAGTCGTAAGTATTAAAATTTTTAATCTGCAATTCAATCTTAAGCAAAATGACTAAGATACGGCTGTAAACTCTATTAAGTTGCTCATGTGAAATTAATTTCCTGAAGCGATAATTAATATTGGTTAATATCAAACTTAGTAATATATGAATATTTTTAATCGAATATGGGAGTAAGTAAATTATTTAATAATAAAAATAGAACTAAATTACTAGAGCTTAGGATTAAGTTTTATATAAATAGTTCTGAATTTGCTAAGATATACTTGAAGTTTATAGTTACTCACGCGGTTCAATTTAACAAATATCTAACTCCCCCCTCTGTGAGCGAACAAAAATTTTTTATGAAAAAAAATTGATATATAAATGATAATTATTAAAATGAAATCTCGAGCTAATTCAGTTTAATTTATTAATTAATTTTACTTTTCAATTTTCACAGATTTTTTTATAAAATTTTTAAATACACTTTTTTTTAAACAAAAATTAACGCCTGTTCTGAGCAGAGAGCAAAATTTTTTTGTTCCCTCACGGAGTAAGAGTAATGATAGAAAAACGCTAGATAGTTATTTCAAAGCAATCAAATTAGCTTTTTTTAGCTGATTAAATTTAAGTTAGTTAGCTAGTTAGTTATCTATTAAGACTTATCGAGAAGCTCGCTGCAAATTATGTAAGGACTATCTCCATTCGCAACGCTTCCTTCGCCTGCTTACACAATCTTACAAAAATTGTTCATGCTGGATGAGGGCGTAAACTCACAACCCGCTAGTTGAGTGAGTGCGTCTCCGTGCCTTAAATCAGCAGGGTGGTCTGCCATTAAACATTCAAAAAGGTTGAATTTTCTGGCAACTCTCGGTGAAGATTGAAATCCATGGCTGGGAGTGTAAATCCCGGTTCGCGCCGAGGAATAGTCCCGATTAGTTAGGACGAACGCCACTTACTTTGCTGGAAACCCCTTTCCAACTTCTGTGCCCATTTCCCACTGAGTCAAAAAAATTTGGCTTTGAATAAAGCTGCGATCGGCTAATCTGACATTGCGCTTAACCAAACCAAGAAAAATCCGGCCGGATGAAATTTCAGTACCACCCTTTGGAAGCCAGATGCAGGAGGAGCTAAGAGGGTGGGTTTGGTTTGCCATGCCATTTTTATTTATATATGATTAAATTTAAGCATCTCCAAATATTTCATTATTATTGCTTAAGCCTTGAGTGCTAACTTGAAGTGGTGTTCTAGAATATTCCAATTCGAAACCAAAAACTTTTGATTTTTTTCAATAATTTTTGTTAGCCAGCAAAGTTGTATCTTTTATTAATTCTCGAATAGTTTCCTATTTTTTAAATCTAACATCAGTTTCTCCCTAAAATTCATTGCCTAGGAAAATATAAATCTTAATCCCCTATCCTCAATTAAACGATTTCGGTTATTGACCAAATAAATTTTAAGAGACAGAGCTATTTCATTAAGTTTTTCTATTTGAAATATATCTCTAATATTCATCATTAAGAAAAATATAGCTGGCTAAATTCCGAAATGGACAGAATTGTGCTTCATGCTTGACGATATGAAAATCAAGGATGGGGAGTTAGGAAAATTTCACTAAAAATACTTGATTTTGTGACTTCTAAGCCTAACATATCACTAGTTTGGTAAGACTTCCTCTTAAATCATATGCAGCTTACAATTTATTACCATAGACCCACATCGCTGGCAACTATGGCAAAAATGGTGCGAAATGATTTTGCTTCTTGAAAAAAAAATTCCGACCTGCTAGTTTTTTACGCTACTTTTTTTTTCTTGAAATCTATCACATCTCATGTTTTTTACTGCAATTATCTCTTTGAATATCCCTTTTCATATTCAAAAAATACCTTTATTTAGCTAAAATTTATTAACTTATAAGCAAGACTTAAGGTGTATGAAATATTGATATTTGTTGTATATAACTTTCATACAACGCTCGCATGTTACCTTGCGCATATTGTCATGGACCTGGTTTGAGTGAAACTTCAATGCATATTTGCTGACAAATTTTCTATCGCATTTGAGGCACTTGAAATTTCTTCTTTTTGTTCTATGTATTTTTCCTTGGTGCTGTTTGTATCCTTTATATGTGTCGAAAGTTCTGTTGCAGGGTTTGCAAAAGTACTGGGGTATAGATATCCCTTTTTCTATTTAAATATATAATGATTTTTTATGATCAAAATTCTCATTTCGCCTCTTTATTAGTGAAAAATCCATCTTTTAGGTAATTAATCCGGATAAATTTTATGAATTTTTTTCAATTAATAATTTATATGAGATCTTCAGCTAAATTTTAAACAGCTTGCTATTTTCCATACATAAATTTTATAAATTAAATTAAATTTTTTAATATAATATTTACAGATTATTAATAGCCAAAAATATTCTTTTTCAAAAATAACTCCTTTTGGTTAACGACCAGATAAATTTTACTCACCAATCAAGAGACAGAGTCAGCAATCTCAGCATATACATTCAAATAGAGTATATGTCTAGATTGTTCTCTAGAGGGATCATATCTGCTGAAGTTGATATATTTGTTGTGAAAAAATCATTATCATTTGAGTCTTGATTTTGATATATTTGTTGTGACTGAATTTCAATAGATAGATTTGAGTGAAGTATTTTTTCTTCTGAGCTTCGAAAATTCAGACCGCAATGCTCACATGTGTTTGCTAGAGCTATATTACTGGATAAATCATCAGATATATTGATCATAATTGGGGATGGTAGGTTTATTTTTGTGTCTAAGTTCAGGAACATTTATTTTTCTAATTACACTAAATTTAATATTATAAGATTATTTATAAACTTTATATTATAAAAAAAATTATTATATAGCTTCTATTTAATTTAAAGCTAATTATATTTTTAAAAATATGTCTACTACTGTACTGTCTACTTAAATATGTCAATATGATTGCGAATATGCAATTTATGCGATAACAGAATTAAGTTTATATTTCTGATAATCGAAAAATATGGCTCCTAAACTCAGAAAAGTTACACTTCAGAAATTATTATAAAAATAAAAAATTAGATTACAATTTGAAGCAAAAATGGAATACAGGACTTCTCATGCTAAATTATCTAATTTTATAATTGAGTTATTCATTTTTAATCCTATATTAAATTAATTTATCAATTTGAAACACTTTTTCGAACTACAACAAATTAATCATTGCTATATTTTTGCAATATTTAATATAAATAAATAATTTATATTTTAAATTTCGTATTTGCACATAAAAATTAATCTCCAAAATGCTTTTTTCTTATAATATTTTTATAAAGGAATATTAATTTAATCATCTGAATAGACTATGGCAATTATCATGCATTTATTTTAAATTGCCTCTTTATTTATCTTTATTAGCGCAGAAAAGTTATTCTTTATCAAATTCTATATAGCTTGGCAATTCTTCATGAACTGATTCAATTTGCTGCTTTAAAAAGACTTTTGGCCTCACACAATCTCTCTTTTTCAGTATGAAATCTAATGCCTCTCTATAATTCCAACCTTTTGCAGCCATGTAATACGCAATTACAATAGACACACTCCGATTCCTTCCAAATTTACAATGGACAAGCACCTTTTCTCCTTTTGATACAACTTTATGGATAAACCTCAAAGATTCCTGCATTGCAGGCAAAATTGAATAATTTTTGCCTCTAGGGACTATAGTTGTACAATATGTAAAAGCCGCTCGAAATTCCGTTGGAGTCGGGACGGCAAAAAGCTCCACTATATGAGTGATCCTATGTTGCTTGAGGGTTTGGTAATCCTCGGCGCTTGTATAATCCCCAATACAGATATGTTCGTCGATTTCATGCATACTTGGGAATCCAGTGACTGATTTCAGAGGATCAGAATGATGCAATTGCATATTTACATAGGATTTGATATTGAATTATTTAATCGAGACAGACATCTTGCTTGATGAAATTAATGGATTAGAGCGCCAGAAGAATAAATAGAATTTATACCAGAAAAGATAATTTTTTTTTGGTATTTGAAATCCTTCGTCGTGATAAATTATAAATGGCGAAGATAATAATAATAATTTTACGTTTTATCACGCCCAAGGCGTCTTAATTTTTTGCTTTTCGTAATTATCTTGATAAATTCCTTAGCATGAGCATCAATTTCGTCAACCTGACTTCTTGTCAATTCCAGCTTGTTCTTTTTTTCTTCATATCTTCAAGAATCCAGCACAACATCCATCAAATTCAAATCTTCATCAATATCTATGTATGTCTTCAAATTCATTAGTAATTTCGTTCTTTCGTTATTAAACCTTGGACAATCTTCTATTAAATGTTTTTCATCCTGTATTTGTCAGTCGCAATGTTCACATATCGTATTTTTCGTCTGATGCCTTATAAATTGGCACAAGTTCGTGCAGTTAAAACCTGCTCTTAACCTGAAAAGTTCCCTTGCGCCGTTCACATCTTTAGGATTTAGCTTTGTGTATTCAGCCATTTTTCAGGTAACAGCATTCATATCGCAAAATAGTGTCGTGGTTTTTCAGGTTTCTTCTCGCATCCTTTGAATGCACCATTCCCATAAATGGCGAAGATAAGTGCTTATAACATTATTTGAATTATGACAATGGTAAAAAGCTATAATGGAGACTTGGACTGGAATTTTAAAAATTTAAAAATTAGACCGAAATTTGATAGCTTTGGGAAATTAATATGAAATTAAAAATTTCAATAATTTTTAATTTAAATTGTTATATTAAAAATATAAAAAGAAAAAGATCACTTAAAACAATGAAATATATAAGAGAAAATAGGATTAGAAAACATGAAAAATTAAATGCAAAATTATTGTTTTCTTAAATTCTAATCAAAAGAGAGATAAAAATTAAAAAGTTAAATTTGGAATTAAATATCTAAAAATGGAACAGGTGACTGAATAAGAGGATGAAAAAAAAAGAAGCTACCTTACCTGCATCATAATTACTTGACTAAATCTAAAAAGAATTTTGAAATTCAAATACTAGTCCAATAAATATTTGAATCACAATGAGAAATAAAAAACAAGTGATTTTTTTTAAATTTGCCTTAAAAATTCGGACGACATAATTTCGAAGAAACCTAAAATAAATAAAGGGTTTAATTCTAGAAGCCATCACTCATATCTCCCTTTATCAAAGATATAATTTTTTTTTATTCCAACTAAATTTCAAGAAATGATGAAGAAGTAAGAAATAAAATTTCGGAATAAGTGAGCAATATATTTAATTCTAGCCAAAGCAATAATTTTCGTATTTATAGTTATTTTTTATAATCCTTTTTTAGTTAACCCTGTTAACTCAATGTTAAGAAAATGGCCACTCGTAATTGATGACAGTGACACCAAAAAATTATTTTAACTAATAAAGAACATAAATTAAAAAATAAATATATAAAAATAAATTATCTTACTCCCCTTTATTGGATTAAATCATTGAAAAAATGCTATACTTCTTTGCTATAATTTCTTATAGCCTTCCACGTGTAGGTTTCTGTTCCACACGTTGAAAAATCTTTTGCATGTGGAAGCAAGCCAATAAGCAGGAGGTTTTATCATAAATTTTTGGTATAACTATTATTATCAAAATGAGATCTTCAGCTATTTATATTAAATAGAGTACGTACCAAAAAAAAAATATTATACATTTTTTATTAATTTATATATTCACAAATTTAACTCTATAAATCCAAAAAAATTAGTTAAAAAATTTACTCCCTAACCATGTGGGAAGCTAGTGATCTTTTTCGAGGTGAGCTTTTAAGTGATATTTATTATAAAGGAACTTACCACATTTCTCGCAGGCAACTTGGGTCGATTTTTCATGCACTTGCATAAGATGCATTTTAAGTGCATACTTATTTTTAAATCTTTTCAAGCACGCTTCACATTTTGATGCTCGTCTTCCAACGCGGTGAATTTTTCCTTGATGTTGCTTAAATCCTTTATAAGTTGAAAATCACTTGTTACAGGCTGAACAGAAGTTAGCCTTACTTTCTTTTATAGTTTCTGTGGAAATTTGACCAGAAATTTCTACTTGAAGGTTGCTAACATTAGAAATTGTTTCTTCGGTTTGCCAAAATGCTGATCCTGATAGTGAGACCGCATTTTCATCACGAGCGCATTCCAATGAGTTGGCTCCATGTCAGATTTTGATGATGTACATAATACATTTGGTCAAAATTTTTTAAAATATTATGACATTTGATCGAAATTCCATAATTTTTTTCAATCAAATGTCTCATTATCAAAAAGTTTCAAACAATTTTTGACCAAAAGACTTCAGTGAAATGCACTATAATTGGACCTGCACTCCAATGAGTCTAATGAAAACTTTTCATGAAGTATCATATCGACGAATTTTATGAAATTCATACCGCAAAGCTGGCATGAATAAGTTGGATTTACTTGCAGGTTGCTTGAATGAACTAATTCCAATACAATTGGTGATGGTAGTTTTTTTTGGGTAACTCTCGACGCTTCCATTTTCTTTTATTCTTAATGGCGAAGTATTATTTTTTGAGAAAAGTATTCTTAAAGCATTTTTGAATTATTTATTGCTTAAAAATAAAAATTATTGTGGTATTGGAATTATAATAAGCTCACTGATATTTAAAAAAAACATTTATTTTTGAAATTGCATTGATTATAAAATATTTGTTTTAACAATTTTGCTATTAATGTGTATTAGAAATGTCACTGAATATATGCTTAAATTTAAAAGCTATAATCTATTGAGGCTCAAAATAAATAAAATTTATATAAATTAACAATAGAAATTTAATTAATATAAGCAATCAGAAATTTCGAAAATTAATTGATTTTTTTATTTTATTAGGAATTTAAATTATTATTATTATTTTAAAATCCTTAATCCAAGACCTGCTTATAGATTTAAGATAAAGAACGTGAAACATTTATAAGCAAGTTAGTTTTAGAATTAACTATAATTGTTAAGTTAAAATTATGCATTGGATGAAAATATAAATGCCTTATATTTTACTTTTTGGCTAGGAAGAATTCTCATCTAAATAGATAAGCGATTATATTTTATAATCAATATTTTACAATCAATATTTTACATTTCTGCTAGATAAAATACATGAGGCGTTGATAAAAAATATTATTCTCAATTGAATATACAAAATATATCTAACTCCCCCCCCCCCTCCGTGAGCGAACAAAAAAATTTTGTTCGCTCACGGAGGGGGGTTAATTTTTTTTTTAAAAAAAATTTATATATATAAAATTTTATAAAAAATATTTTTTTCGAAATTTAAAAAAATCCTAATTTGCAAAAATTGGGAAGCAAATATTAATTTAATTTGCAAAATTTATGTTTTAAAACGCAATTTGTTTAAAATTAAAACAGAATTAGCTCTAGATTTCATTATACTAATTATCACTTATATATCAAAATTTTTTTCCATTAAAATTTTTTCTATTAAAAAAATTTTTGTTCACTCACGGAGGGGGTGGGTTTTGGTCAAAAAATGGCGATTTTTCTAATGGTTTTGTTCGCTCACGGAGGGGGGGGGGGGAGTAAATATTATAATTCAAAGACATACAAGTACTTATTAAATATAATTAATCAATATTTATAGCAATCCATCAAATAAATAATTAGGAAATTTCGCATAAAATTCGTTTTTTAATTCTAATTAATCTTATTTGTGGCATTATAAAACCCATTCTAAAGATCAGTTTGGTGTTATAAAATAAAATTAATGAAATTGACAAATAAAATTTCGCGATCACTTAGTGCCTGGCTTCATTAATTAAAGCTTCATTCTTAATAAATTAATTATTATTTTAGAGTTTATCTATAGTCGAACCTCATCTTGAAAAGGAATTTCATTTTGACTTGAGCGACATCGTACACAATAAACTCATTATAAAGTAACGATCCTTGAGTATTAGTAGGCTGTCCTGCTCCGGCTGGCACTTTGCATCCTTCTAGGTCTACATAACTTGTCTCAGGAGGTGCAGTTTTGCCACATCCTTTAGTACTGTGGCACCCTGCAGGCAAATTAGCTGCATTATAATCAGCAAAAAACTTTTCTGAAGGTGTTCCTATTGCTACTTGGCACAACAGCATACAGCCGATATTATTATCTCTACTCGTAAAGCAATAGTTCGCAGACTTACTTACCATATCAGCGAAATAAACCCCTTTTCCAAACATATATCCAGTTGCTGGAGCCTCTGGTGGAGCAATTCTCAGTCCTTGTGACAAAATTCCTACCCAATTAGTCAGTCTGCTACCATGCCACAATAGCATATCATTCCCAATTTTTGTGTTAAATCTTTCGTCTTCCCCATCTTTTGACAATCTGAAAATGTCCAAAACTGTTAGTCCATAGTTATTATGGGTTTGGGCATGGGTATTCTGAACATATTGGCTTAAAAGTTGGAATACTGGGTCAGTTCTTTCTATTGGCTGAATTGCACATTTTAGCTTGGCATAGTGCTCGTCTACTGGGTTTCCTACACTTTTAGTTTCTAAAATATTTGTGGCGATTTTCATGTCAGTCAAAGACTCAATCATTGCAATTTTTTGCTGTAATTTTTCTTTGTTATTGATAGTGAAATTTGACATGTGCTGGAAACCGAAATCGTGAGGGATTAATGAGAAAAATTGGCTTGATAGTTGCTCTAGGCTGCCTTTTTCTTTTTTTTCTAGTACGCTTTCGATTTTTTTCAAAACTTCTAAGCCTTGTTTTAGGTTGTTTGTGGAGAGCTTACCAAGTGGCATTTTTTTGGCATCGTAGCCGATTTCAGCTAGTACGAGGTTGATTTGTTTTAAGTCAAAAATGACGTTGATTAAGTCTTTTTGCATAAAATGCCATCGCTCGAATTAGTTCTATGTGAAACTATTCTATCCTCAAAAAATTTTTATATTATGGGTTCATTTTTTCCAGTCAATCTTTGGCAAGATTTGCTAGAAAGGTTAAATGCGTAGGTGAGAGGCTTTGGCTCTTGGATTTTAGCAAGCATAGGGTTTTGCTGCTTGACACACACGAGGAGGCAGAACATATGGAGAAGTCAAGCACAGAGCTTAGTAATGAATCCTATGAATGCCCATGAATTAGAGGTTTGGATTTAAAAGGCTCTCTATGAAAATTGTATAACGTTCTGTTATGGAATCAAAAAAACACGTTAAACACTGAATAAGTAATAAACAAGTAAGATTAAGTCTTTTACACGTCTGTCAAGCTTGCTTTCTGTTTTTACTTCTTCTTGACTATCTTTTAAAGCTTTTTTGGCTGGCTTTTCTTCTTCCTTTGTTTCTTCTTCATCATCGTATACAATTTCTAGCTCAATATAACCTCCTCTTGTTTTGTCTCTTAATTTACTTAAATATTCATTTTTTGCTCTCTCTAGGTCTCCCATAGGACCTTTTAATGCATTTTGTCCTGGGTAGCCCACTCTTCCCCATCTATTCCATACATAATATTGGTTTTGTGCAGTATCAGACTGAAGGAGCTGAATAATATAATATTTATTTGCATTGTTTTTTATAGGAAATTATAGAAAATCTTTTAAAAAATCATAAAAAATATACCAATTATAATAAATAATAAAATCCCTAAATAAATAAAAAAACAAGCTACAGCGAAGCAGTAGCCAACTATAAATGGCATATAGAATTTTTAGATAAAAATTTATTTTTATATCAGTTTGATTCAAAGTTGCTGACCAAATTTTAGTTGGCTCTTCAAAGACATGGCAATCTTTGGCCTTTGGGCAAATATTATCAACCGCACATCTTCCTTTGCGAATAGTTTTTACCATAGTTGAGTCATCCTGCTTAGCTGGAGCTGGATCTGGTTTGTCTGCTTTCTTAGGAGATGGTGGAGGACTAGGAGAAGGGGATTTAGCAGCTTTTCTACCTCTTTTTGCAGGGAGATCTTTGGTAGTTGCTGAATCTTTTTTGGCTGGAGGTGGTGAAGGTGATTTTTTTGCAGGGACTTTTTTAGCTGGCTTTGGTGGAGGCGTTTTCTTTCCTTTTGCAGCTGGGGCGGCTTTAGGAGGAGGTGATTGATCCGAATCTGAGGAAGATGACTGGACAACTGGCTTGGCTTTTGTGGCTTTTTTCTTTTCTTCATCTTCTTTAGCAGCCTTAGCTTTAGTAGTCACTTTAGATTTTTTGTCATCTATTTTTGCCTTTTTAGTAGGAGGTGGAGGAGTTTTATCTTTTGCTTTCCTTGTTTGGACCATTTTTATTATACTGAAATGTCGGAAATGAACCAAATTCAGACTTATATCGCTTTAAATGATGCAAAGTGCTTTTTTAATCAATATCAAGAAAATTAATGAACAGATTTCTAGCTCTGCCAAAAATATTTTCTTAAAAAAGCTGAATTATTAGCATTTTACTAAATATTTTTCCGAAATCATTCCTATTTCAGACTTAAATAACACAAATATTAAGGATTTCTGGGCATATTTTACGAATGATTCCAAGCACACTGGTAATTTATCTGAAATCTTTCTAAATTTATTAATTGGTGAACAAAATTGAAAGAAAATTACTGAAAACGAATAAAGGGAGAAAGTTAGCTAAAAACATGAGAAAAATTTATATACCGAATTACAATGAATAAAAGAATACCTACTGATAATTTCTATATTCTTTCAATATATAAAATAAGTTAGGCTAGCCAGCATTAATGTAATTAGATATAATTCAAATTTCTTATTTTAGCTTTCTAAACCTTGCTTCTAATGAATCAAAATCATCAGGCACCGGATTTTGAGGTGGAGGAATTTGGGCTTCTGAAGGAGGTGGAGGCTTGTATGGATTCTGTGAAGGTGGAGGAGGCTGATATGGATTTTGAGGGGCTGGAGTCGATTTATAAGGATTTGGAGGAGAAGGAGGGGAAGGAGGAGCTTGCTCATTCTGTGGAGGTGGAGGAGGGGTTTGATAGTTCGCTGGTGGCTGTGAAGGCGGTGGTGGAGGTGGAGGATATTGGGCTTGATATCCTTCTGGAGGAGGTGGATATCCTTGATAACCTTGTGGTGGTGGATATTGTCCAGGCCCAGGATATCCTTGTGGAGGTGGTGGGGGATACTGAGCTGGTGGATAATTTGGCATGCCAGGATACCCAGCTGGCTGGGGATTGTACTGTGGGGTATACCCAGTAGGTGGTACAATATTTTGAATATTCTAAATAACTCTTACGTGTCTCACATCATTCTTCGGTACATAATCTACTCTTTTCTCGCTCGCAATTTCTTGTAGCTTTACTGTCTTCTCTTCTTCAGTAGGGACGACAGCAACTAATTTTGCCAAAACACTTTTATTGACGAACCCATCTCTATCGTCATTTGCATGCTTGCAGAAATCGATCCCATATTTGCCTGCGAATTGTGCACGGACTTCTATTAATTCAGGGCATTCACAATCTAGTCAAGAAAACTTGCTTTTTATATGAATTTTTCTATAAATAATTATTTTTAATAAAAATATTTCAAATAAAGCGGTTTTCTTTCACAAAAATATGGTCCATTCACAACGGCTTGCAGACCATATTAAAGTTTCTATCGCTGCACGGAGGTCTGGAGGCACTGAACGTGATTCGGAGATTTGGCGGATTCTTTCAATGCATTGGGCACATATAATGCTAATTACTTCAAGAGCGGCGATGTGGTTTTCTGTATTGATGTATCCCTCTACCTTTATCATAGCCATCTCTTCTTGGCCATTTCTTAGGTAGCCGGCGATCTCATCTTTCAGACTATAGTTACGAGCCATTTTCTTGTTTTTGAGGATTCCTATGCGTGTCACTCCCATTTGGAGATTTGTACGTAATCTCTCTGCACTGTAGTTAGGAGCATTTCCCATTTTTTATATTCGCCTTATTAAAATCAGAAGGAAATGGCCTGAATTCATAAGAAAAACATTAAAAAATATTCAGAATTGCAGGAAACTCATATTATAATGCAATAAGAAAAATTCAGAAATATAATCAATAATATTCTTTAATTAAATTTTATAAATTTTATTTTTGAAAGACTAGATATTTTGAAACCGATTTATTCCAGAGAATATAGAACAATTAGATTTTTAAGGTAATTATTTCTTTTCTAACGAATTACAAGTTTTTTGATAATTTTTATCTTTAATAAATTTATTTTGTTATAAAAAATAGCTTTTAAATAAAAAATCCAGCGATTTTGAATGCTTAATCTTTATATCTTGGGGTGGATAATTTAAATTTCTCATACACTTTACAAACACGACATAATAAAGATGGTCCTTAAAATTTTAATTACTACCTGTTAAGTGACGATAAATAAACTTTGCAATATTTAAATGTGTAGCTGCTCGGCTTTGCAATAGTCTCTCGTACTCAGGCCCTAAAAACTCGACTTCTCTAATAAAAGACGCTAATCCTAATACCCCATCTAAATTTTTTGGCAGCGATCTGATCTTGATTTTCTTAGGCTTAGAATGATTTTTCTTTGAGTGAAACCTTCTTATTCTAAGTGCGACAGGCCCTAAAATTTCGAAAAGATCTCTTAAAATGTCATGTGAACAAAACTTGAGTCGATCAGATTTACGAATAATGGAGAGTGGGCTTTTCATGCTTGTAAAAATTATTTTTGGGCTGTAAAATTGTGTTAAAATGATGTCTGATACATAAGAAAAAGAGATTTTACTATGGTTTAATTATTATCTCTATCAGATTTTTATTTTGATTAAAATGGTAGACAATTACTATCATATCTCTCTTATTATTTTATAATAATTAAAATTAGAAATACGTCTAATAAGTGGACTTTAGTAGGGAAACTTGATGAATATTTTTGCTATTAAATACGACATTTAATATCCTAATTAAGAAAGAGATATCTTTTTATAATGGTAAACATGCCATAATTTATGTAAAATATTAGCCTTAGTCTTATATAGATATACCTAAGCCTAGATTTGGTTCGGGTTGTACCGATATCTCCTGACGCCACCTAGGGAGTTCACAAACTAACATTTTTGGTAAAATCAACTCCTGGGTGACCTCAGAAGCCCAAGCCAAAACAAAGCTCTAACTATAATGATATAAAATCTTTTTAAATAATGCAATGCAAGATGGCTTAGATTATTAACACCGCCTAAATCTAATAAATAAATAATGGGTAGAGGACAATTTTATTCTCAAAGACTTACTCCTTATCAAGGCCAAAAACGATGCTATGGCTTCTTTGAGTGTGATAACTGTGAAAGATACTGGGAAAGTGCCTACAGCTGAGCTAACATGGGACAGCAATGCAGGAGTTGTCTAAGTAATGTATATCCATGGTCCCAAAAAAGCTTAGAGGTGATTGGGGTGTTTAGATGTGGAGAAAGATCACATGAAAAAGAGCTCTGTGAAATGTGCAGCTTCCTAGGATACAGCTGTGTAGACTATGATCTTGAAAGCAATAGTGACTATGATGAGCCAGATTACTCAGAAGAGGACTCTGAGGACTCTGATTATTGTTATTACTATTAGCTGAAGGGTGATTGCTATTAAGTTTTAATAATTAATATTGTAATAAATATAGTTTTATAATATGGAAGATATCTCAAGCATTTATTCAATTATTAGAAGCAAGAAGAACTTACCTAGCAATTTAGCCAATTACATTAAAGAATTAGCTAAAGTATTGCTGAGATTAAAGAGAACAAGAGAGTGAAATTCTAGTATAGAGAAAGAGTGGTATGAGGAGCAAATAATCACATTCAGAGGGTTATGCATGTCTAGTAATCCAAATTTTGCAACTATTACGAGTGTTCTTACTCCATCCCCTCAGTGAGCGAACAAAAACATTGGGGAAATCCCTATTTTTTGCCCAAAAACCCACCCTCCGTGAGCGAACACAAAAAATTTTGATATATAAATGATAATTAGTATAATGAAATATGTAGCTAATTCTGTTTAATTTTAAACAAATTGCGTTTTAAAACATAAATTTTATAAATTAAATTAATATTTGCTTTCCAATTTTTATGAATTGGGATTTTTTTAAATTTTGAAAAAATATAACATAAAATTTATATATACATTTTTTTAAAAATAAATTAACCCCCTCCGTGAGCAGGCAAAATTGTTCTGTTCGCTCACGGGGGGAAGTTAGAGAAATTGAGGCAAAATTTTTTGAAATTTATGCGAACCCTTTCATTGAAGCTGGAGATAATATATCTGATTTTATTGAGGATGAAGACAATTTTGACTTAAAATTGTTAAAGATAATGGAGAAAGTCATCAAAAAAGCAATATTTCATGACGGCCAACTGCAAGATTTAAAGAAAACAATAAGCTTTCTACTCGAGAAATTAGAAAGCTATTATCTACCTCGAAGCATTTACATTGAATCCCTATTAAGAAATCTTTTAGTCTCAGAAAACAACGAGCAAGCTAATTCAGACTACATATGAGATTTATGCCATACGCTATTTTACGGGTGAGGTAAAAAAGTACACTGTACTTTTTTTCAACCCCTCCGAAAACCTATAAAAATCACTGTAATTTCCAAAAAATGGAATTTTGGGGTGAAAAAGTGATACTTTTTAATTTTTCTAAACAGGGGGGCGAAAAAAGTGCACGATGATACAGTCATTTTTATAGTTTTTTCGGAATGGGTTGAAAAATAACAGTGTGCTTTTTACCTCACTTTTATTTTACGATACCCAAGCCTACCTCGACCATCAACGCTTAAATATAATCTGCCACAATTTCCAATATTCCCCTGAAACCCGAACTCTTTTTACCCCAGAACTATTTCCTAAAAAATTGGTATTAAAAGTAACAAGTCCTCTAACAAAATACAACCCAAAATACGAAAAAATTGGAGAAGACCAAATATTTTTGCCGCAAGGCAAAGAAATCACTATTTCTGGTCTCGGATTTGAAGAATCGCCTAGGTTTTGCAAAGACAGACTTGTAATAGGCGGGAGATTATTAAACGATATATCAGAGCTTGATATTTTGATGGAGCCTGACGATAAAACGCTAAACCATTACCAATTTTTAATTATCTGCGCATCTGATGGGTACTATTTAATAGATACCTCAAGCTCTCCGAATTCAGCAAGTATTGGGTTAAGCATCAGTTCTACAGTCTTGGTTGAAGGAATGCTGCTAAAATTAGGAAAATTTAAGATAATTAATGTTCACAAAATCGAACCAAGAGGAGATGAAAAAGTTTTTCACTATCAGAGTCTTACTGGAGTCCCTCTAAATGTAATTCCTAAAGCAGTTATAACAACAGAAAAGCCTTGGGAGTATAAGAGAGGAGACAATATCAATCGTATTGAACTAAGTGTAAGCAGAAGCCAAATTAAGTTATAGAAAATTCACTTTGATATAGCCCTATCAGTGGGAGAATTGCCCGCTGAGTTCACAATTTGGTCCGACAAAAGCTAATAATTTTGGCGGACCAAATTGTAATTATAACGGGCAATTCACCGACTGATAGGGTTCTCTATTGACGTATAAATTTTATGCTGCCATAGCTGGGATCGCCTACTAGCTGGACTAACTTGGCTCCAGGAAAGGTGCTATACGCTAACTCCCCCCCTCCGTGAGCGAACAAAATTTTTTATGGGAAAAAATTTTGATATATAAGTGATCACTATTATCATGAAATCGAGCTAATTCTGATTAATTTAAAAATAAATTACGTTTTAAAACATAAATATTACAAATTAAATTAATATTTGCCTTTCAATTTTCGAGAAGTGGAAATTCCGAAATAAATTTTTTAAAAAAAAAAAAAAAATTAACCCCAATCCATGAGGAACAAGTTTTTGTTTGTTCGCTCACGGACCTGAGTGCAAATGGGTGTGTGGCCCAACCAAAATTCCACCTTCTTGAATTTCCTTGGCACTCACTTGATCTAAAGATCAGCTTGCTAGGTTAGAACCACCCACTGTAGGGTGCCCCAATAGTCCCAATAGATGAAAATTATATAAGAGGCAAAACCTGTGTATCCTATCGAGGGACAGAAAACCTTTGGGGGAAAATAAAGCTTCCCTCTATGGCTAAGAATCCCCAAGCCTGAAGGCCTACTTCAAAAGGGACAGAGTCCCTACTTTCAGCTTCATCAGAATAGGCCCAACCAGCTCCATAGTGAATGAATTTCCGTCAACATCACCATTTTATTTCTGCTTAAGCCAAGGAGAATTTATCAATGATGGCATGCATTTAGTTTATAATCATAAAAATGAAAATACACTTAGCTGGCGCCTATTAAAGACTTATGATGAGTATACTAAAGGGCTTCCATCTAAAGCTGTGAAACTTGAATGCGAAACCGGGATTATTTGTGTTTATTCTTGTTTCCTGTTTTACGAAATTAATTAATTTTACTATTAAATTGGCTCCATTTTAAACTGAAAATCTTACTGATCTTCCTCAATAGGGACTGAGCAAAGATATCAGCCTTAAGAAATTTATCCTTTTAAGCTAGTTTTTTTCTGTCTTTTAAATAATTGGATCCCCCATGATATTTTATTTTTAATGCTTAAAATAAGCCCCCTTAGTATACAATTATAAATGCTTACTTCAAGATTCAGAATCAAGACTTCAAGCTCTATAAAGACCGGCAACCTTTTTAGCCCTTTAGCAAGCTTCATAAAGTCTCTAAACTCAAATGAGCCCAAATCTAGCAAGAATTCATCTACCAAGTCTCCTAAAACGCCGAGCAAATCCAACACTCCGACTAAAAATAAGGGTCATAAGAGCCAAAACTCAAACGCTTCAGAAAAGCTCACAAAGCTGACCCCATATCAAGGAAAAATGAGGGCTTATGGGTTTTTTAAATGCCAGGAATGCAACAGACAATGGTCAAGTGGCTACAGCTGGGCTAATAAAGGCCAGCAGTGCTTGACTTGTGAAATCAATGTATATCCCTATAGACAAAGAAAATTGGAACCAAAAAAATTTAAAAGAGGAGAAATAAGGAAGCCTCACCAGATAAAGCTCTGTGAAAAATGTCAGGATTTGGGCTATCCCTGCACAGAATATCGCCCTAGCAAGTCTGAAATGGTGATATATAGAGAAAGAAAAACTCGTTTGGATTTTAACTAATTCATACTTTTCTATATTTCCAATCCTGCCTGTCTAATTTTATAGCTTGCTCTAGAGTTGAATTAAATAAACTGCATGCTAGTATTGCCAAATAAATAGATTTTTCTTTCATTCCTAAAGGAGATCACAATACAATAATCCATATAAAATATTTGTGCCTTTATTAAATCCACATCAAAATACCTATTCATAAAGCCTTGATTGTTTTCTATTTTCCTAATTTCTATTAATGCTAGAATCGACCATATTTCCTTTATAAATGGAGCCTTGCACCCATTACGACAGAGGCTGTGACCTATTAGCGCCTTGCTGTAATGAATTTTACCCCTGTAGATTCTGCCACGACAAAGTGAAATACGAAGAGGAAAAAGACATAAAAAAATCCCACAAGCTTGTAAGAAATGAGGTCCAAAGTGTAAGATGTAGGTCATGCCAAAATGTACAAACTGCTATACAGAACTGTGAAAGCTGCGGAGCTTGTTTAGGGGCTTATTTCTGCTCAACATGCAAGCTCTACGACAATAACTTAGAAAAACACATATATCACTGCGAAAAATGCGGAATCTGCAGGATAGGCCCACAAGAGTCTTTCTGGCACTGTGACAACTGTGAAGCTTGTTTAGCAATCGCCACAAGAGAAAGCCATAGGTGCAGACAAGGCGTCCTAAAGGCAAATTGTGCTATTTGCCAAGAAGACATGTTTACAAGCAGGACTCCAGCCACTGAGCTTAGGTGTGGCCATTGGATTCATAATAAATGTATGAAAGAAATGTATAAGCATGGCCATTTCGCATGTCCTATCTGCAATAAATCAACACAGGATCTAACTGAGTATTATCAAGAAATTGATAAACAAATAGAAGCGACTCCTATGCCGGAAGAATACAAAAATATTGAGTGCAATATATTGTGTAATGACTGTCTTGAGAAATCTACTATTCTTTTCCATTTTTATGGGCTGAAATGTAAGGAATGCGGATCATATAATACGTCAAGGATTTAGCTTTAATTAACCTTTATATTTTGCCAAAAGATTTTAAATTTTTATAGCCTTGCATATTTTTTCATAGATTTTACTTGCAAAAATAAATTTTAAAGATTAATTTGTATTATTTTGAAGTAAAAATATCTTTTATATTAAAATAATATATTTATTAATAGAAATTTAAGCCTTTAAGACTCTGCTTTCCAATGCATTTTTGCTTCTTTTATTTCTCTTCCACTTCTCATGCCTCTGATATATCCAAACTATTACAAATCTTTCATATACAAACGCTACAACGCTATAGGCAAGCCAGATCCCAAGCAAAGCAAGTCTCATATATAGCTTATGCACTGTACTGATCGTCATCATTGAAAATTTAACTGCTATAATTGGCTTGATGTCTTCTACATCTTAGATTAGAGTAGAATTAGATGATTCTTCTCTATGAATATTAGTGATTTTGCGGACTAAAGCACACTTTTAGGAATCAAAATTGGCATGCGAAAAATGGTTGACTAGTGTAGAGTGGCTGACAAATCCCAAGCCAATTTTTAAAATCGCATTATTATAAAAATTAATTATAAATTAGGATGCTCTATTAGTTTGGCATGATGCATGAAGTTCTTAAAGCCTCAATTTTATATGGATATAATAAAATCTGATGAACTTCCAATAATATTTTTACTACTGTGAGTTTAAACATTCAGTTAAATTTTTAAGAAAGCAATATTAAATTAATCTGATTAATTGAACTTGTATATAGTAGGTCTGGAGCTCTGGAGAATAACTCTACATGAAGTTTAAAGTCTCATATTAATTGGCTACATAAAATGTATTTTTGAAAGATATTTTTTAATAATTTAAAATTAATTTTATAATAATGCCATTTTAAAAACTGGCTTGGGATTTGTCAGCAATTTTACAGATGTCAACCATTTTTCGCATGCCAATTTTAATCTCTAAAATTGGGCTCTAGCTATTTTGTCGCAAAATCGCTACTTTCCATAGAGAAAAATCATTTAATTGTGAATAATATAAAATTGAATAAAATAGCTTGTGACTTAAGAAATTTATTTAACTCTGAATGCTATCTAACGATGATGACTCTAGTCTAAGATGTAGAAGAAACCAATTCAATTATAGCAGTCAACTTTTTAATGATGACGATCAATCACAGTGCATGAGCTATACATTGGAAACCAATCAATCTAAATATTTCTTACATTATAAAGATCCATCAGCCACTGTGGCGGCCACAACACCAAATACACATGCAGCATTCCAATTAAAGAAATATAAACCATAAACCATACATTTTTATAAGCTGGCTTTTTCCATGGTCTTCCTTCATTAAACGCAATACATACTGAAATAAGCTCAAGCAGCGCCATCAAATAAACAATAGTATTTGCATCATTCAGGTAATCATCACTAGCATCATCCACAGGTGTAAAATAAGGCATGCTCAAAGCCACTTCATATACAACGACCATTCCTATAGTTTGCAATATTGAGTGTCCTATAACAGATCCTATTACAGCTACTGACATCAATGACGAAATTGGCTGTTTTTTGCTTAATTTGTGATAAGGCCCTGCACTACCCATAGCCATAGCTAATGGTAGCACAGTTATCAAGTCTTGGGATAAAAATTCGTTATTGGTAAGTCCACTTCCAAGAACATAGAGGATCTGGACATTGGTAAACTGAATCATGGAGTAAACGGCCATGTATTTAAAACATTGAACTGAGGTCGTTAAAGCACATCTGCCGTTCTGTAAAACGATTGGAACGCAGGAGATGTCAGGGATACTTGAAGTAAAAGGAGCCGCTATTGATGTTTCAGCTTCTGTGAGGGAAATACCGATATCGGCAGTTTTTAAGGCTCCACAGTCATTGGCGCCATCTCCGCACATGCCGACCATGATTCCAATTTCTTGGAATCGGCTGATTAGAAGGGTTTTGTGCTCTGGGGACATTCTGGCGAAAATTCTGCATTTTTTTAGTAAAATGTTTATGGATTGTGCTGCAGTAGTGTCGTTTAATTTTGCGAGGGCGTCATATGCATTGAGGACTGCACCAGTTACTGCAAGAGTGTAGTCTCCATTATTATCAGCATTTAGCCAAGGTGGTTCATTAAGAATATTCTTATTTAGCATAATTAATATTTACTATTACACAGAAAATAATTGTTTTATAATGTTAAAAACATTCTAAATTTAAAAATTAATATCTCCTAACGGTATATTTTCCTTTGGCACATCATCTGCTTCATTAGTAAACTTTTCCCACACAATTTCATTATCCACCATTTCTGCCAAAAACACTGTAGCATCTTTCTTTATTATATGGCACTCCTTCGCCACAGAAATCGCCGTCAAAACAGCATCCCCAGTCGACATAACAGTCTCAATCTCCGCTTTCTGTAGAATTTTAATAGTAGGAATTGTTTGTGCCTTAAGCTTGTTTTGCAGCACAAGCAATCCTAAAAAGCTCATTTCTTGTTCTAAGTTTTCCAGTTTCTGTGCCTTCATTTCTTCAGCAGGAATTGTATTGAGTGAATTCATAGCACAAGCCAAAACTCTATACCCAGACCTTGTATAATTATCTAAAACATGCTCAATATCATCAGGAATCGACGATTTTCTGCATCTTTCCAGCACAATTTCTGGGGCGCCTTTCATATAAAACTCAAAATTGTCATTTTGTAAGTTTTTTACAATGACTCCCATTCGTTTCCTTTTAGAAGTGAAGTAAAAAATGTGCAATATAGCTGTATCATAATTTTCTTCATTTTTATTGTCACTATCAGAATTTAAAGATGCGTAAGCTTTTACTTCAGACCCTTCATCTTTTGGCAAGCTATATTTAAATCCTGAAAATTTAAAAATTTCTAAGTCTTGAGGATCCCCTACAAGCTTGTCATTTACATAGGTTAGTGAATGGCAGGTCGCCAAACAGGTCAAAAATCTTCTTTTATTTTTCTCAATTTGTTCAGCTGACTTATGAAGCTCACTCATTTTTCCTTTTCTTGACACGTTGACACCTAACAGATTCATCCCATCTTCTGTCAAAGTCCCTGTTTTATCAAAACAAAAAACATCAATTCTTCCTGCTGCATTTATCCTAGGATACGAAATACAAAAAATCCCTTGCTTTTTGAGCCTATGCAAAGCAAAGCCAGTTCCTATATTCATACATGCAGGAAGTGCTGGAGGGATCGCAATTGTAATTAAATCGAGAGCTCCAATGACAGCTTCGTCAGTTGCTACGTCTGTAGAAATAAATAAATAAATGCTTACTGCAAACCCAGATAGCGCTACAAGGGCTAGACAGCCTATAAATCGTAGCGAGTCTCTGGTGAATTTAAACTTGTTTGGCTTTGGGAATAAAATTGACCTGACCATTTTGCCTTTCATTGTAGAAAACCCAGTCCTTACTACAAGTCCTATGACCTGCTTTTCACCATGGTTTCTAGTTTGGAGAACTTTGGTGCCTTCGTATAAGCTGAAATGTCTGTCTATTTCTACGCTGTAAACTTTGTCATTAAGATAAGGCAAAGCGTCCTTTATGACTGGGACTGATTCTCCAGTCAGTGATGATTCTTCAACTACAGCTCCTCCTGATATTAAAATTGCGTCACAAGGCATTTCTGTGCCCCTTGGAATTTCTATTAAATCACCAGGTACAAGTTCTTCACTATTTATGGTCGTCCATTCTCCACCTCTTTTTACCTTAATGGTGACGTATCTCAAAGCTAAATCGTGGAGATCATGCATGCTTTTTCAGGACTGATAAGTTGAAGAAAGCAATGAGATAAGCGTTATAACGAATACACAGACTGCGTAGACGTAGTACAGTTCTAAGAACCATAATATAACACTGAAAAGCTGGAAAAGGTAGAATGGGTGCTTTATTTCTTCAAAAGTAAGAGACAAAAATGATTGCAATTGGATTAAAATTTCGCCCGGCAAGGTTTTACCAATCCAGAAATGGACGGCAATGCTAGGTAAGCAATTCTGGTAATGCACAGAGCCTAGCCCTTAGTCTAAATTTCAAGATTGGGTTTTACCTCAAGGGAAAGGAGGATTTGGATTTGGAAAGGGCAAGCCCAGCAAAGTCTGCAGGTAATCCCCAGACCATTCGGGCAACTGCCTAGCGTGAAACCGGGCGTTACGTCCCGGGATTCAGATTTTCCTTTTCCGAAAGGTCGAACAGAAATTCCATTTTTTGGGATTTTTGAATGGCCAACCTTGTTACACATGCAGCAGCCGCAGAAGTCCATAGTCCGCCCACTCAACACTGGACCGAAAGGGAGGAGGAGACGTCCAAGCAGAGTCTCACTTCAGAAAGTGCCATGGCATCAGGCGCTGAAGGAGAAGAAAGGTAGTGTCAGAGCTGAACACTTGCCCAGCGAATCATTGCCCCAATTCGAGCAAGGCGAAGCTGAAGACGGCGCAAAGCGGATGAACTGCCCGTACGGGAGAGTCCTTGGTGACTGCGTAACCAATATGGCAGACGCCTACCTATAAGTTTAAGTTTAAGTTTAAGTTTAAGGATTAAAATTTCGCATTTACCAAACAAGTTCCGCTTTTCTGTAACCTCTTCATCATAATTGTAACCGCCGATTAAATTGTCAATAATTTCGCTATAAGTGATAGTGGAGTTGAAATAAAGAGGCTGGACACATTTTCCATCATAATAATAACGTAAATTGTGATGGGTAAATGATAAAACGGTTCCGAGTCCTTTTGAGGAGATTTGTCTTGTCGGGATCAAGTCAACAAAATACATAGTTTTGATTACGAGCATTGTGGCTTCTGATGTAGGGACTCTTTTGTAGCGCAGGAATAAATGAAGGCAGAGGAAATTAGTTTATCTTAGGTATTTATTTTATTTAACGTCCACTACCAGGTAGCCTATACTATAATTACCTCAAGTCATTTAAGTCATTTTCTCCAGTCAAAGTGTGGCAGCCTTTAATATAAGTCGCAAATTTAACTTAGACAGAAGGCAAAGGAATCAGTAGTCTATCAAATAGTAAAGTCCTCCCGACAGAATTACAAAAATTCAAAATAAAATTTCCCCAGCCAAAAAGGTTTTATAAGGCTCGACTGATTTTATCGATGATTCTTCAGTAGCATCCATGTGGGGCATACACGGGACATTGTATTGAGATGACGCATTTGTTTCAGGGCTTGAATCTGAATTATCAAATGAAACTTTATTCATTATTAGAAACCAAAATGGTTCAAATGAAATCAACACAAATAACTGCAAAATTAATCAGAATTGATCATCCTTTATTTTTGTATATAAACGATCACTATGACGTAATTAGATAATTAATGCAATTAAAGCTATTTATAATTGAAAAGAAGAAAGGAAACTATTCAAAATTTTGCTTGAGATTTTAAATATGACCAATAAAAATGAAACGGATTTAAATATGTAAAAATAGAAGCAGTTTAGTTGGAGTTTTTAGAGCGAGAAGGTGTGAGGAATGGATTGGAAATTTTTTCTTACTCCCCCCCCATCCTTGATCGAACGATTTTCATATCATGACAATTTTTATATACATAAAAATATATTAGTTATCAAAAGTTGGGAAGATGTGCATAATTAAGTTGTTTTAGAGACTTTAGACGACAGAAAGCTTCGAAATCAATCATTCGAAGTGATTTAGTCATCAGTCTAGGCTTAAAACTCAATAATCTAATAAAATAGAGATTCTTTAAAATTTTTAAAAAAAAAAAAAATTAGTTTAATAAGGAACAAATTAAAATTTATACAGTTTAAAAGGGTGACTAATAAATCAAAATATTAAAAATTGGTATTTTTATAAAATTAACTTATTTTTTGCTGTAAAAATAACTATTAAATACTCTTAACCCTCTTATTTAAAAGTAAAAAAAAATATTTATTTTATATATATAAAATTTTTTTCCCAAAAAATTTTTTTTTAACCCCCATCCTTGATCGAACGATGGCGGGTCGTTCGATCAAGGATGGGGGGGGGGAGTTAGAAAAATAATTAGCGGCTAAAAGCAAGAAAATTAATATTTTGAATTTTCTTTGGGATAGCAGAAATCGATCAGTGAAAATTTAAATGGAGGAGTTAGGAAATTCCTTAGAACTATAATTCAAATTTTATGTAAAAATTTTGCAGGCAAGTAGTCTATATCTAATAATAAGCTTATTTTTCAAGTTTCTTAAATATTTTTGGATTTCTAAAATATTTTACCATAATATCTTGTTTTAGAATATTACTATATTCTGCTTAGGGCATGAGAAAAATATTTTAATAATTTCATAGAAGGAGTTTTTAATTCAAATCTTGCTAACTCCCCCCCCCCCCCCTCCGTGAGCGAACAAAACCATTAGAAAAATCACCATTTTTTGACCAAAAACCCACCCTCCTGAGCGAACAAAAATTTTTTTAATAGAAAAAATTTTAATGGAAAAAAATTTTGATATATAAGTGATAATTAGTATAATGAAATCTAGAGCTAATTCTGTTTAATTTTAAACAAATTGCGTTTTAAAACATAAATTTTGCAAATTAAATTAATATTTGCTTCCCAATTTTTGCAAATTAGGATTTTTTTAAATTTCGAAAAAAATATTTTTTATAAAATTTATATATAAATTTTTTTTAAAAAAAAAAATTAACCCCCCTCCGTGAGTGAACAAAATTTTTTTGTTCGCTCACGGAGGGGGGGGGGGGAGTAAGCATTTGGCAATTTAATGTTTTTGGTGAAAATTTCTATTGTCTATTTATAATTTTCCGAAATATTGTAATCTTACAACAAAAATTTTCTAAATAAAGCTTTTCTTAAGGCAAATCATTACACTTTTAAGTTTTGTTGCGATAAATGAGCTTTAATTTCTTGATAAATCCTTTTGCACAGATTTATTAATTACTCTCCAAAAAAATGTCATATAAAATATCGATTTTATTGCCTAAATAATTAACTGCCATAGCATTAGATTAATAGTATTTCTATTTTAATTTTAATGCAAAAAGTATAGTTTTAATTTATAACTATAAGAGTATTTCTTTCTAGTACTTTAAAAAGTTCTTCTGATATCGCTTACTGTCCCCATCAAATTATTAGAAAAAAATATATGTTCTAAGTTAAAGGGGTTTTGAAAATAAAATTTTTTGAAATAAATTGATAGTCAAAATATTTTTAAAAAAAAATTAATTTAAAGCACAACAAAATAAAATAATAATATTTTATTTCGGCCCTAATAATAATTATAATTTATAAATTCATAATAAATCGGTTATCAAAGTGATTCAATAGAAGGCAAAAATTAAATTTATTCTTATTTAAATGATTGTAATTTTCTCAAAAATTAAAAATCTTTCACAGACTTTGTCCCATTTAAAAGATTGGAGTTAGATATTTATATTAAAATACACTAATTTTTATTTAAAATCTTAAATAAAACTAATATTCTGGTTTAATGGGACGCATATAATCTAAATAATAAAATGCATTTAATTCCTAAAAATAAAGTCCCCAAAATAACCCTTAATAACTAAACATTTCACTTTTCATCTTCAAATTAATTAGTTAAATCGTTTAAATTTTTACTTATTTCGTTAATTTTCCTTTTCCCAACTTATATTTATATTTCATTATCTCTCCACTTTACCTCCACTAATCCCTTATCAGATCTGACCAGGAAATTCCCTTATAATCCCTTCATATTTCCGACAATAATAAATATTTCTGTTCAACGACTAATGAGTCTGAACAACACTTTGAGTTTGAAAATAGTGCGTGGAGAGGAGATCCGAAAGTTACATCGTCTCCCTCAATCATGGTCTGACATGCAGGAAGTCCTGCGGGCCCTTTATGGTAACACTCAGTTCCAAGTCACCTATCAAGACGAAGAAGGCGACTTAATTACAATTTCCAATGATGAAGAACTCCATGAAGCTTATGAAAGGTCAGCTGGCAAGCCAAGTCTCAAGCTTGTACTAAGAGGCTTTGAGCTTAGCGAAAGCAAGAACATTCAGATGATAGAAAAGCTGGACTCTTTGAGAGAAAGTCTTAGATCAGATACTTCATCAGTAAAATTGCCAGAAACCTCTCAAAGCCCAATGGATTTAGAAATCTCAAATGAAAACAAGCCGGAAGAGCCAGTCAAAGTGGAGGAAAAGCCTGAGGAAACTAAAAGAGAAGTAAGATTTGATATCCCGAATGAGCCGAAAAAGAGACCTAGAGAGAAAAAGGAAAGAAAGGAAAAGAAAGAAAAGAGAGAAAAAAAAGAAAAGAAAGAAAAGAGAAAGAAATTCGGCCTCAATGACTTGATTAAGTTCTTATCAGGACAAGCTCCTCAACAAGCAGAAGAACCTCAAAATGAAGGCCCAGCAATTCACAACAGAATCACCTGTGACGGCTGCCAAACTACTCCAATTCAAGGAATCAGATACAAATGTTCAGTCTGCCCTGACTTCGACTTCTGTGAAAAATGTGAAGCCACTGCTGCTCACCCCCATCCATTTTTGAAGCTCAAAACCCCTCAAGGCTGCCCATGGAGAAGATTTGGCTGTGGCAGATTTGGCCGCTGGGGTGGCTTCAATGGCCAAGATGCCCCACAAATTCCTCCTCCAATTGCCAACATTTTGACCTTAGTCCTCAAAGAAATCCGCAGAGGTCTAAAGCAGAAGCCTAAGAAGTACAAGCTTAAGGTCATTGACCACTTATACACTAAAAACCAAGAAGTCCCTGCTGGAGGCCTTGTCAAAGTTGGCTGGAGAATTAAGAATATCGGTAAAAAAGATTGGCCAGAAGGAACCAAGCTCGTCTATACTAAAGGCAGCTTAGAAGGGATCCAAGAAATTGATATCCCTGCACTTCCAGCTGGAAAAAAGGCAAATATTGAGGTGGAATTCAAAGCTCCATTGACAGAAGGCAAGCATAAAGGAATCTGGAAAGTCCAAATCAAGAACAAGAAGCTAGGCAAGCTGGCCAGCAAAATCAATGTGGTCAAGGTCCAACCTGACGACTTAGAAGGCTTAACCACTCTTATGAAGATGGGCTTTACCCTTGATCAAGCCAAGATCGGGTTAGAAGCTTCTAGAGGAGACGTCAACATGGCTGTTTCCCAGATCTTCAAGAGAGCTTAAATAAGCATTTCTTTCTAATTTTGTGTAAATTTAAATGGGAAAATAATTATTCTGAATTGGTTAGAGTTATCTTCTACCTCTGGCTCTTTCGAATTTTCTACCCTCACTGCGGACGTAAGGGCGTGCTTTAGAGCCTTTGCAGCCAGGAGCAGGGCCGAAATGTTTGTAGGATTCTCTTGCTGTTTTCTTTCCTCTTAAAAGCACAGTGCTAGTGCCAGTTGGGTTTTGGGACGCAAATTGGTCGAAAGTGAGCACTTTTCCGCCTGCAGCTTCAACTCTAGCTCTTGCAGTCTCGCTGATTCTTATGTTATTATAAATTTTATGAGAAAAAAAAAGATTTTAAGCATTTTTTTTTTTATTTTTTTTAAAAGGCAAAAATAAATAGACCATTCTTAAAGTCACGATTTGAAGACCTTGTGGGATCTCAAGGAATCTTGGGTCATCAAGAACTGAGCCTACAATCACACAAGTTTTGCTTGTCTTATCTTTCATGTATTTTGCAATGTGCTTAAGGGAAAGAGGTGGTCTATTATGTCTAGACATGGCCAATCTTTTTGCAATTACTTTATTGAAGCCGGACTCTGTTCTGCGAGCTAGGAACTTATAAAGCTTGAGAAGAAGGCGAAGATAAAGATTTGTAGTTGTAACCTTTCTTCTGTTGAGATTTGGCTTCTTACCACCTGCTACTAAATCAACGCCCTATATAAACCATACCATTTCTTTAAGATTGCAAATGAAAATTGATGAGTATCCATGAAAAAGCCAAAATACATAAACAAAATCATATAAAATTGGGATTTAAAAAAATTCTGTAATTATATGACAGTTATTTTATAATATAGGCTAAGGCTGATAATCAAATTGTTTATTCCTGCAATTTATAGAACTGGAAATCGTTATTAAAATATATGTTTAATATTTCAAAAAATAAAATAATAGATAGAAAAAATTATTGAGAACTAATTGATTGACATTAATTGAAATAAATGGGAAATTATAATTGTGCAAAGTGTTGTGAAGGAGGCGAAAACAGGCATGAAATAGATTTAAAAAAATCCGTAAAGGTTATATAGACTATAATTCAAGCTTACCAAAGCCTAAGAGATAGTTTCAGTCAAGAGTTTCTGAGCTTTAACAAAGAAAGTTTGACTTCATCTGCAAAAGAAATAAAGGCAGCAATCAAAATCCAAAAAGCTTGATTTATTTATCAGATCAGAAAGCAATATATTGCTCTCAAAAAAAGATTCAAGCCGAATGATACTTATTTTCCATCCAAGGATATAATATTTATAGCAGTTTAATCATTTTATATTTATAATAATTGTAATTTTGCTTTAAAAATAAGCCAATTGTTACTTAATAATGAACTACATATATTATATAAATGAAATATTAAAGAAGCATTGTCTCCTGTCTATCATTCAAAAGTCAGAAAAGAAAAGCCCTTATATACATATAAATCAGGCGCCACTTACAAAGGAAGCTGGCTTGGAGGGTTTAGAGACGGCCCTGGTGTAATGATATGGCCTGATGGGTGCTCATATGAAGGAGAATGAAGCTATGGCTACCCATTTGGTAGAGGAAAATTCATACATATTGATAAAGAAGCTTATGACGGAGATTGGAAAAATCCTTATAACTCACTCCCCCCCTTTAAATTGGAACAAAATATAGGTAAAATTTTTACTTATTTGGTAAATTAGCCCCCTTTAAATTGGAACAAAATTTAATTTCATAATAAAAAATTATATATAATTTTTTTATCTAAAAAATTTTGATATAAGTTAAATGTTTTTTCTAAACTAAAATTAAAAATTTAGTTATATCTTACTCTTGTTAAAAGAATAGAGTATAAAGAACATCTTATGTAAATAAATTTTATTATCCTAATTGCTAAATTTCTAAAACATTTAAATTTTTTTTTTATTTAAATAATTTTGATATAAATTCAATGCGAATTCTTTACAAAATTTCAAAATTTACTTATTTCTCGCTTTATTTAAAGAATAGAGTATAAATAACAACTTATATTTAAACAAAATTAACACTTTGATTGATAAATTTTCTAAATTGTTTTTTTTTAATTTGTTTTACCAATTAAAACAATAATTTTTGTGTAAATAGTTTTGATAAAAATTAATAGTGACGTAATGAAAATTTAGTAACATCTTGCTTTGTTTTAAAGGATAAAGAGTAAATAGCATTTTATTAAACAAATTTATTAATCTAATTCAACAAATTTTTGAAATATTTTAAAAAAATTTTCTAAACCCCCCTTTTAATTGGAACAAAAATTTTGTTCCGATTTAAAGGGGTGGGAGTCAGGAAAAAATACTCTTTCTAATGAAAGTAGGTCAGTTCTCACTCCCCCTGTGAGCGAGCAAAACCTTCGAAAAAACATCTAAAACCAACCCTCCATGAGCGAGCAAAGCAATTGAAAAAAATTCTAAAAAGCCACCATAGCTAATCTGTTTAATTTTAAACAGATTTCATTTTAAAACATAAATTTTGCAATCAAACTAATTTTTACTTACTTTAAAAATTTATATATAAATTTTAAAAAAAAATAATAACCCCTGCTTGAGCGAATTTTTTTTTGATCTTTCACAGAGGGGGAGTCAGAGATATTATTGAAGGAAAAAGAGATGGGTATAGTAATTAATAACTAGTGTGGCTTCACTACAAAGATGAAAGGCTTCATGGAAATAAAGGAAATCCCAATAAAGCCAGATTTTCTATTGATCATTGTCACCAAGTCGGAGAACTGAAGGAAAAATTTGATGAAATTGTTAGAGAAATTAAGGTTCCAAAAAGAGAGCTGAATCAAGAATTTATAGAGCATAATATTGTATTTTATGTAAAAATTAATTTTAATAATAAAATATACAAGATTTTTATATATAAAATACATTGGTGCGAATTAAAATAAAACAGAATAATTCAGAATTCAGTAATAATTGGCAAGAAATTTCTTATGAAAATCAAATAAGATATCTCGGAGAAATCAAACATGGAAAGCGAGTAGGAAAAGGCAGAAATATTTGGCCTAATGGAGACATATATGAAGGGTATTGAGCAAATGATATGCAAAACGGATGGGGCAGAAATATATGGTCTGATGGGTCTTCTTATATAGGAACTTATAAAGATAACGAAAAAGAAGGTATTGGGGAATACATTTGGGAAGACGGGACAACTTATATAGGGCAATGGAAAGACAATTTGATTAATGGTGTTGGAAAATATAACTGGCCGGACGGGAGAGAATATTTAGGGGAATGAATTAATGGAATTATGCATGGATTTGGAATTTTTTCATGGAAAGGAGGGAAAAGATATGAAGGATCTTGGCATCAAGGCAAAAAGCATGGCTGCGGGTACTCTATTACCGCCAACAACAAAATCACAAAAGGATTTTGGTCGAATGGTAAAACTGTAAGTTAAATTTTATAAAATACGAATTATAAATTATGCATAAAAAATAACTTAATTTTATATGTCTTCATAATAATGGAAAGTGCTCGAAATCAAAAGTAATGATAAAACAGACTTGTTCGATTATTTACTTCACAAAATGAAAAATTAAGCGAAGAATATCGGCAGCTTAAACATAGATATGACGATATTATAAGAAGCAAAAGCACTGGGAGAAGTTCTGCCACCCCACAAATAAGTTTGAAAAGCCAAAGTGGAAGTAGACTAAAGTGTGCAAAATCATTATTAAAAGTATTGAAAAATGACAAAGTTTATCTAGAGCACAGGAGATCTATATCTCCGCAGCAAGATGATTATGCGTATAATCTTCAGCTACAAATACAAGATCAATTAAGAACTATCCTGATCAGTCTTAATCTAATATATTTAATTTATAATATTGGCCTATTTTATATAAATAAATTATAAATAATTTTTATCGAAATTTATTGAATTCAGCTTATACTTAAGCTTGAAAAAGAAAACAAAAAATTAAATAAAGAAAAATGTGTTTCAGCCAGCACTGATACTATCTATTTAAACCCTGATGGAGGATTAATCAGAGAAATTGCAAGATACCGAAAAATGATTGAAAAAATAGAAGAGGAAGAAATTAATAACAAAAATAAGTTAAAAGAATATCAAATAAGAAGCCATAGGCTTGAAGAAGAACTGAATGATTTGCATGAAAGTGGGTATAATATAACTGAAGAAACTGACAGGGGAGAAAATAATGAAGATACTTATCGAATACTAATGAAAAAATTGAAATTGATAGAGAAAATATGAAGATCTAATATGACAAAGTTCCAACAGAGGATAAAAGATTTAGAAAAAGAGCAAAAAGAGCTTCAAGATGAAGCGATGGCTTTGCAAAGCAAAACTTTCAAAAAAATGTCACAGCAGCGGCTTCTTAAGGTGACGTTTGATGACTATAAAAATCTGAATAAAGAGCGGTATTTCAGCAAAGACAATGATTTTTACCACCCTGATATAAATTTTCTCTATAAGCCTTCTATTAATTCACTGTACAGTTAATTTTCCTAATGTTTTTTAAATAACAGAATTCAATTAGATTAGTGTTTGGGCTATTTATTTTTCCTAAATCCTAGTAGATTTTTATGCTGCCTTTCTGTTTGGGTTCTACAAGTGAAGAAATTGCTCCTTGTGCGGAACTATGAAAATTTCCAGTATGAATGTCTCCATATATGGTACCCAATCAGAAATTAATGTAACGCGCTATATAATATTTCGATAACTGCCACTATATCATTTTATGAAATATTTCTTTTTACTCTATGCATCCTTTATCGAACGATTCTATTGAAAATTTCCAAAAAATCATGGTTTCACATAGTCAGCATGAATTTATTCATCCTCAATTTGCCTACCTATCTTTGATAAAATAATCTTAGATATGATGCCATAGAATGTATCCAAAGCAATTATAATGCTATTTCTAATATATTTATTAATATATTGAAACCCTATCTCTTGTGGCTAGAACATAAAATATTTTATGCCAAATATAAAAAGTTAAGGTTTAAAAATTTTTTTAAACCCATCCTTGACTAATGATTGCGATCGGTTCGATCAAGGAAGAGAGGGAGTTATTACGAAAATGCTAATTTAATAACTTAAAATATTTATAATTTACTCAAGTTCATCAGCTATATACCTTACAGCTCCTTCCAAATTTATGATAATTCTCTTCTCCATAATCATAAAATGGCGAAATTCATAAGGTGCTGATTTGCAGATCGCTACCTCTCATTCATAATTTTATGATTATGAGGCTTAGTTTTATTTTGAGTTAAATTTACGCTCCAACAACAGAAGAGATTTGAATCTTTGTAAAACTTTTTAAGCTATGTAGAAGTAATTTAGATCAAGCTTTAAATTTACTGGTGGGGTAAATGATGGAGTTTTTGAATATGGTGAAATGGAGGAGTTCGAAACAGGATCTAACAAAGAACAGATATGAGCAAGATTCTCAAATTGAGCGTTAGGGCAGAATGAGAAGATATTGTATGAGCCAGAGTTTGCTCAATGCTAATGAGTGTTAAATTATATGACGAAGAAATAATTAAGGAAAAATAGTTAATTATGAAGATGAAACAGATGATAACAAAGAAATAAAAGCTGCAGATGATGTTGAGAAAAGTGGTGATAATGCCAAAATTTATGTTAGAAGGTGGCCAAAAGTATTGAGGTATGTCCGCGAAAATAAGGGAAAGTCCAAGAGATGAAAAAACAAATGTTGTAAAGTCTTAAAAGTGCTATAGCGTCTGCACCGCTAGAGATTTCCTTGGTGAGGGTTCTCCACAGCAATTTGGAGCTCTGAAGAGCCACCTAAAGGTGACAAGTCAACTCCATGTTGGCAAATCCTTGCAAAAGGGCACGCTTTTGTCAATTTGAGTTGACTTGTCACAACTCCAAGTTGGTGTGGAGAATCCTGTGCAAGGCACGCTATAGCGATGCAGACACTATAGTGGTGGCGAAGACCTGAATTAGAAGAAATATTGGCAAAATGTATAAAAAAAAAGGAAAATTGTGAAAGATTACAAATTTTGAGAAAGGAAAAGAAAAATGAAGGAGTAAAGGATGAGCATGGGAATTCTGATGGAGTATCTTGGAGATGTCTGTGCTGTGAAGATTTTGTCTTTTATGCTTTGATGTCGTTGAGTTTTTTGCGTTTGAATTTTCTAGAATAAAACGAGAGAAACGCTGATATCAATCAGCGGTAAAGTCTAATTATTATCATTATGATTGTTTTACATGGGAATTTTATCCCCAGCAAAGACAAGCAAGCAGCTTGAAGGAGAGGCACATGCCCTTTGACCTGTCCAAGAGAATCTGAAAGGCCTGAGCCTTTCGTCCCTTCCTTTGAGTCTTCGAAGCCGGCAGACCTTTTTCAAGCGTGCCCTAACGAATCGAAGAGGTTGGCCAAGCGGCCTGTGGGCCCAACAACTGTAAAGATGGTGGATTTTCTGATACGACCCCGTAGTTGACGTTAAGCTAGATATCTGTGCCTAAATTATTTTAACTTAAGATAATCCTCTTCTCATTTTCAAACTTTGTCGCTACATAATCGCTTATTAAAGCTAATTCAGCAGAAATAAACTGAGTTTGGCTTTTTATGACTATATACATCAAAACTGGCAGCTCGTCGTCCATTGAATTCAATTCATCTTTTCCTTTCGAATAATCCAGAACACACGTTTTCATCGCCCCCACCATGGTTAGTAGACAATTAAGCTTTTCAACCGGCACACAAGTTTGTTCTAGCTTTTTCAAAGCTTCAATAGCTTCAGCATAAGGCTGAGGAATCCCAATCAGCCTATATTTTTCATTAATTTGCAATTTTTCCAAAATTTCTTGATTGTCTAATTCTAAAATTTTTGTCCTTTTTTCCAAAAATTTATGTTCAAGTGCATTTGATTTTGCTTTGTAAATATCAAATAAATTATTAAACAGCTTCCCATACACATATTTCTCTACTGCAGGCCTACAAAAATGCATCATTGATTCAGTGTTTGACCTGCCAAAGTTATAATGACTAAATAATGCTTCAACTGAGTCTTCCACTATAACTTTAATTGATTCAATTGGCTGTGGTAGCAATAAAACTGATTCCTCAGGATTTCTATATTGGCTCGCAAATGAAGTTAAAAAATCAGCTATCGTTTTCCCTAATGTATAAGATTCTGATGACAAAATCTTATGAAATTGGTAATAAGAGGAACTTTCGTGTTTACAAGTCATGATGGTTTCTTCGTCAACTTCTTTTGACACGTTCATGTATAATTCTCGGTCTTCGTGAGGCTGCTCTAAAGCTGTTCCGATTTTATTTTTGAAATCTTCGACTACTGGACAAATAGTGTGTGGGAGACCATAAATCCCTTTAAGTATGATGGTTCTGGTGCAGTTTCGTTCATTTATAGAAATTGATAGTCTAACTGCAGACATAATCCCTTTTTGGCGTTCTTCGGCTGGAAGGCAGCAGAGTAAGATATCTTTTAAGCCATACCCTTCCTTATGAACTGCAGTTGCTATATTTGAGGTTTTTTCAATTATTCTTATTTATAGGAAAATTATAGTTCTGTTATTAATATATAAAAAATAATTTTAGGTAAAATTGGTATGGGTGGTAATAAAAATTATTATTAATATAAAAAATGCTATACCTGGAAGCGCTTTCTTGAGGCAACTTTGGTAAAAACATCAAGAATTGTACTTGAACTCACTGAAAAAGGCATATCAATTTTGAATGAAGGCATATATGGATCTAAAGGATCTGAGCCTAATTCAGTATTGAGGATAAAGGAGTTTCTATTTGTGTGTTCTTGAGAAATATCAACGGATTTTATTATTTTGGTTTCTTCTGACTGTAAGTTGAGATGAGAATTTGGGATACTTTCAATTTCGTTGTTTAGCTGGTTAAATTTCATTTTTATATATTAAAGTCCGATTTTTTTTAATAAGGAATAGCACACTTGACCAATTTAAAATAATCTCTAAAGTATAAAATCTTAAATTTTCCAAGGGTTCTATTGAATTAACAAATTTTTGGTAACTAATTTTCTTAAATTAAAATAACTATAATTGGGCATTTTGACAATTTTAATCTGTATACTGTATTAATTAATCAATTAATTAAGATTTACCAAATAAGTTATATGAATAACTGAAACTTCCAGTTAATTTTTATAAGTTTCAGATAACCAAAAAGCCACCAATATAGCATTTAAGTAGTTATTTTTGTTTGCTTCTATAGAAATTGCTTTTATACACATTAACTTAAACTTTATGAGTGCTTCATAAAAAATTATTATTATTTAATATTGGCTCGATATTTATTAAGTTAAAATCATTATGGCTTCTTAAAAAGGTCGATTACAGAATTCAATAATTTAACTAAAAAACGAATTCCCTAACACTTTATTTATAGCTTTTTAAAATGACAATAAATCAAAGCTACACCTCTGCATAATAATAGTTTATCATTCTGCCAAGATTGAATATATATTCATATGCTTAGAATAATATAAGATAATAGATAAATTATTATCCAAAAGATATTATTTTTATATAATAAAATAATTGCATTATTCTATTCCATTTAAGATGCTCTAATAAGGAAGATGAGATTAACAAATGCTATATTTCAAAATATAATGCTTCCCACCTTCGCTCCTTATATATGCCTTACTCCTTTCGTGAATAGGGTAAAAAAATTCCCTAAAAGGTTGCAGTCTGATAAAAATGATAAATGAGCTATGTATATATATTTTTTTATTTTATTGGCAAAAACATTAATTTAAAAATATATGAAATTAAGCTTGAAAATTAATAGAATTAGATAGAGGTTTATTTATAATGATCATTATTTATTTTATACATTTTTTAAAGCTCACGACAATTTTGCCATGGATTATTTGCTCATGTAGGGGATTTAGAACTTTTTAGTATGCAAGCTCATAAACGTTTTTATTATCAACACTTTAGCGGTTTCACTCTACCTAAAAATCACAAAAATTAACAAAAATTTTGCACTCCTAAGTGGAAATTCTCCTATTTCTTTCCTTTTAAATGCAACTCTCAGCATTTTTAAGCTTTAATTGTCAATAACTTTGATCTAAAATCTCTAAACGTAGAACAGTTATAAAAAATTATGGTTGAACTACTAAACAGAAAAGCCTTAGCTAAAGTGTCACCAAACTCAGGATAAATAAAATGACATTCGGCTAGAGAAATTAGCTTATTAATTTTCTTTCCCTCATGAAATTTATTTTATTTATAGGTTTTGTTTTCCTAGAGAATTTCTCCACACAACATCACTTTTGACTTAGGTGCATATATGGCTAGAGAAACTGCTCCAAGGTCAAGAAGAGGTTTAAAGTTTCCCTTATGCAGAATACGCCAGTAGTGAGTGCAGGTAAGGCAGCTAATTCGGCTGATGCATAGGCTATTTTTGTCGGGACTGAAAATCATTAGCTAGACCAAAAGGACATTTTAGCTCTAAGACTAGTCGGAGACTTCAAATATTAATCTAATTTTAATCTTCACCAAACTCAGAAGTCCCTGTTCTCGAGTCACAAGAAGAAGGCGATACTATGGACGGAGTCCCTCTTATGGACCCGCAAAACCAATGAGCGGGACAATTAAGCCAAAAAGCAATAGCAACAGGTCTTAATAACTACCGCCAGCAATGAATCCGACGTACCTTTAGATTAATGTGCCTATCTACCTGACTCTTTATTATAGGCCTTGCTTTCTATCTTTATGTATATCTTACATATTTAAACAAAACAGTCCTTCTATCAGGCGATTCTTTAACTGTGTATGTAAGGGACTGCAAAGTTACAATAGAGTATTCCAGTGGCTTTGCTGATATTCTTTTATAGCTATTTTTTATTAATTTGTCTCCTTTTTATCCATTAAAATTCGTTTTCCATTAATTTATAAGCTAAATATAGCTTCAAATTCCTATCCTTAAAAATAAAAAAGCTATTTTTCTATAATACTATTCAAGCACATATAAAAGCATATAACTCAAATGATACAGTTACCCACACACATGATACTATCCAAGTCTTAAACCCATTTACCGATGTAGAAGCTTGCCAAGTCCACGTCAAAGGAAACATGGCATCAAGCGCCATGCTTTTTGTATGCCAGCACAACTGCTGAATTGAACAAAAAGGCGACAATCTTGCTATGCAAAGTCTTCAAGTCGCCTCAATCGCTGACGATTCTGGATTTATTGAACAAGGAAGACTTAAGCTAAAATCCATTTCTGCAGACAAAATTTTGGTAGAATTTGTAGGGACAGTAACTATAAGAGAGCTAGAAACTACTGAAGGAGGCGCTTTTAATGTAACTTATGGAGACTTGTGAGTCCAAACCAAAAATGATGCCTCAGTGGCTTTTGCGACTTATGAGTCTGGAGCATATTGTTTTGCAAGCACAGCGGTAGGGACCTCAGTTGCAGCTGTTTGCGATTGGTCTACTTTATATGTGACTAATACTACTTCTTTTAGTGTAGAAAATTGTGTTGGAAAATACAATCTTTGCAAAAACTCAGGGTGCTACCCAAGTATAGAATACTCAGCTATTGTTACTGATGGAGGCGTTTATTTTAATTTAGTAGGGGAAGATGGGTATTTAATAGATACTCCACAAAGTGTAAACGGTGGGCAAACGCTTCAAGTGAATATAAGAAGCCAGATTACTATAGACGAAATTGTTAATAGTACATTTGGGCTTGATGTTAATAAAGATAAAATTATCATTATGGATCAGCCTGGGATTTTTGAAGACCATGGCAGATGAATGTTTACTACTGTAGCATGTCTTTTGGTCGTGCAGGCTTTTTCGACCATTTCGTCTTAAATCAGAAATTTACTTGGCAAAAATCAGTGTCTTTAGACAATTCTTAACCAAAAATTTTCGACAAATAGTGCTGAGAAAATGCCTACAAGGGAGAATGCCTATAAAAAAATTATTATTTGTTTACTACAAATATCGCATATGCCCAACTGACTGCATGGTGGCTATCATTGATATCATTTAATTTATTAGTCCCTGAAACTAAAAACTTCAATATAAGAATAGTTCCAAACATATGCCCAATGCAAGATAAGACTTGGCATGACACCCAAGTAGGCTTAACATGGGACGCTATCAATACACAATATGGCAACCAGGAAAATGCAGAAACCATATGAATGGAAAAAAGTGATTCCAAAGACACATGGTATAAATATAAAAAAGGCACTGATTTACAGTATAAAAAATCTACAATCAAAATTTTGGATAATCCTTTTCTGTTTTCCGCTCTAATGATATCATTATTTTTAGGGTTTTCTGCAGGATTGGCAGCTATGGTAGGCATTTATTTCTGCTTGAGATCATTTTCAGTCAAGTTTTGGAAAAAATTAGAACACCAGCGCAGGTATAATCGATGCAAAAAAACAGTTGAGGAAATGAAAAATGAAAATATGACAGTTATGGAAGAAAATGATAATGAAAATGATGACGAAAACGATGAAAATGACGATAACGAAGAAGAGCAAGAAGAAGGAGAAGAAGAGTCAGATGAGCCTACTCCAGGTGAAGGCTTATTGCCGCCTCCTTATGCAGTTCCTGATTTAGTGATTGCTCAAAGCAGAAATTCAAGCCTGAACTCTTTAGAAAGTTTCCTTAAAAACGCTGTAGATATGGTCCTCCCTAACGCAGAAGTTCCAATGCAAGTTATTCGTCTAACAGAAATCAAAGAAAATATGATTAGATTAGATTAATTAATTTCTAGCGGGTCATGGAGGTTTATTTCAGCCTCTACCCAGCGCTGCCAGCTTCAGGCTTGCGCCCTAAGCACCGGCTCTGTAGCTCACTCCATTTTCTGTCGACGTCACCAAAAAATGGTGACGTCGCCATCTGACAGGGAGACTCACCCAGGTACTCCAATGATCAGGGTCTAGTGACCCGGCGCCGTCCTTTCTGGGGAGGGGGAAAAGTAGCCTTCCGGAGTCTTCTTCAGGTCCCCAAGCTCCACTACAAGCTTCCTCACTTCCTTCTAGTCCTGAAGTGTGACTCCTGATTCTGCGGCTCTGGTCTTCTCGTCTTTAAGAGAGGTAAAAAACCTTGTCGTGGTGTCCCGACCAAGGTAAAAAACCCACCCTGGCCACAATATCCAGGCCCCGTTTACTTCTTAAAACCCGTAATCCCTGAGGGTACAGGAGAAGGACGGGTCGGATGGATCGCCATTTTAATTGTGTAAGAAAAATATGAAGCTTTTTGTTTTCTGAATGGTTATCAAGAAATGAGCATCAAAGAGCATAAAAGCCTTTTCCTTTCAAAAGACATGGAATTTTTGACAATTAATGATACTACTACAGAAGTATTCAGAAAAATCAGGTTTAAGAACAAAAAAGAAATAGTCGATCAAGGGAGGGTAACTCAGATGCCAGACGAAAATTCATTAGCTTTCTTTGTAAGATGTAGGACTGTGGTTACACCTTTTAATAAAGATATGATTTATATGAAAGATTTTCAGTTGGAGTACGAAAAGTTTTGCAGGGCTGAAAAAGTAGCTGCCCCTGTGCCTATAACGAAAAGAGGTATGGAGTCTATGGGAAGTATTTTTGAAAGGCTTCAAATAACTGCTTTAAAGCTGAATGGAAGATTTAGGATAAACTGGGCCAAAATAGACGATTTGTTAGAAAACCCAATGGATGTCCCATTAACCCCTGGATGGTGCTGCTCTGATTTCTGTTCAGTTACTTTGCATGTGTTTTTTGCTGCGTGGATAATATTGCCTTTGGCTTTGCCTCCTTTGTTGATTACTGCAAAGCACGCAATGTTTTCTGCAAGAGATATTGATTATATTCTTACATATACAGATTTAAATTATGCTTGGTGGGAAATCATACACAAACTTCGATATATGCCTGCCTATTTTGCGGTTCTTTTAATTCTGGCTTGCCTTCTTGAATTTCTGGCTCTTTTTGAGCTGGTAACTTATTACCTTTATCAAATATTCCCATTTAAATCTGAAAATGTACTCAGGAATATGCATGGGGTTAGGTGGATTTCTCAAACTCTTTATTATGTGGTATTTTTATTTTTAATCGGCTGGATTTGCTTTTTATTTATAGTTGCAATCTGCTGATTTATTCTAGGTGCTGTTTTGAATCCTGATCTGTATTTATCTTATTGCTCAGGAGCTGCAACTTTAGGCTCCATGCCAAATGACTGCGGATTTTTGATAGTGCAACGTATACTAGGGGAAAATTTATTTGAATAATTTTTGATAGTGAGACATTTGACCGAAAAAACCGTTAAATTTTGGGCAAGTGGGTACACTATTTAAAAATTTTCAACCAAAAGTACTTCGGTGAAATGCATACTATCAAAAATGCACTATCATTGGACCTGCACCCGCAACTTTAGTATCATTTTGCATGGGTCAGTTAGCAAGCCTTAATTTCTTAAGAACTGAAATATTTAAAAGAGTAAAAGAAGGAGTCTGGGATCGGCTAACTCCTATTAATAATCACAAAACCATAAATAAATTTATTAAAAATAATAATTAAAAATTAAGATTTTTATTTAATTGTAGAGTAAGAGGAATGTTGATGTTAACATTAGGAGCTGTCACCGTTGGACTTGCTGCAAGCAGTGCAAGCTCTCGTGTGATTTCTAGAGAAAATAAAACCTTACAAGTGTTTGCAAAAACTTCATTAGGAGATGTAGCAGAAAATTTAGAGATCGATCACAAGCTAGCAGCTGCACTAGCACATGGTGATGATGAAGCAATACCAATTTTAGCCCAAAAATTCGGAGCCAATCCTCTAATTATTGCAGCGATTCTTGCAGTGGTTTTTAAAGATAACGAAAAACTAATGAGGGTTGTTGAAGATCTAGCACAGGTGCCTGCTATTAATATTCCTCCGGATCTTGCCAAAATGATTGTAAATATTCTGTTCTACATAAATAGGTAATATCTATTTAAAAATTATATAATTTTATTAAAATAATATATCTCCCTCAAGCAAAAAGATGCAAATATCAGAAGCACAGTAAAAATGGCCACAATACAGTTTGTGAAAATGAAAAAAGAAATGGGCGCTGACCCTACTATGTACTCAATTGACCCAAGAGCTATTGAAGCTCTAGTCGCTATGTCTAGAGGTTTTGTGGATAGATTCATCACGACAATTTCAAATTCTGATACCCACATTTCTATTATCAAAATATTATTCTTAATCAAAGGACTTATTGAGCAAAAAATGTTTGAGGCTACAGACAACTTAACCAATTTATTGATAGAGTATTGCGATGTCCCTGAAGATGTCGCCAAAAGTGTAGCCAGCCTATGTGATGAAACTTATAGCGCTAAATTCCAAAATGATTTCAGTGGGTGGAACTCTATGATAGACACCCTATGTGATAAGCTTGGAATACAAGATGGCTTATTGATGCAGCTTATAGTTCATATTACTAGAAATAATATGGGAGCAATGCTATCTCCAGTTTTTCAAAAGGTTTTTGCTTGCTCATGGTTTTTTTGAAATTTTGTGTGCGGATCATTTATATTTTTCCGAAATTCATAAATAAAATTAATTTATATGCAAACTATCTAAAATTCAATAAACTAGTCAAGTTTTCATTCTAGCAATTATAATCAAAAACAATTTCCATGCTCATAATTTTCGCACAAAGAGGATTTTTTCCAATATTATGCTAAATCATAGAAGGTGGATTAAGAATTATGAACAACTTAACTGAAGTCCTAAATGGAAAGCATAAATGGAATTTAGATAGTGGGATCATTTCATCATTACTTCTATTAGTCAATGGATCGCTCATGGATCTCGATAAATTTGCTGCAAAATATGAGCTTTCTAATGACTTAGTCAATAGCTTGTCTCCATTATTTTCTGAAAAACGATTTACAGAAATTCAGACTATTATTCCAGAAGAAATGCTACCAGAAAGAAGAGCGTCAGTAGGCGAAGAAGAAATAATAGCTCGCCAAAGTGAATCAAATAGGCCGATCCCTGAAAATATTCCACCTTTTATTAAAGCTCTAGCTGAAAATCTACAGCCTACAGGAGAAAGTATGGAGTGGATGGCAAAATTTTTTAAGTTAACTGGAGACCAGCTGCTAGGGCTTTATTCAATACTAAGAGGGGCTAATAAAAGCCAAAAATCTGCACTTAAAGCTATAACTCAAGAAGTCTTAAGAAGGATGAGGGTTGATGAAGAATTCACTAATTATATGACTGCTGCTACAATTTGGGCTACATCTTATGATGCAGACTCAATCAGAGAAGCCCAAGCAACCTTGAAAATGGGCTTCCGAGACCTTACATATGTAGCCAAACGTATGCTAGACCCTAAAGAGCTTCCTATAGGAATTTTCACAAAAATAGGTATCAGAAGAGATGACCCTGTAGTAAAACGAAGAAGAGCACTAAGCTGGAAAAGTGATCCTGACCTCTGCAAAGATTGGTGCAGGGCTACAGCTATGAAAATCGCAGAAGCTAAAGGCATAAAGCGCAAGCGAAAAAATTCCACAAGGAGCCAATTAATGCTTGCTTTTCAATATCCTCAAGTTTATATGAAACAAATTTTTGAGAAAAAAATTCAATGCGATGATGAAAGCCAGCGGAAATATAAAACCCTTATAACTACCTCATTTTTAAAACAAATGCAAGGAAATAGGCGAAAGGACCAAATTATTAATTTAGCAAGACTTTTTGAAATGGACAGCGAAACTATGGAAATTTGGGTCGAAATGGTTTTACTCCCCCCCCCCGTGAGGGGGGGTTATTTTTTTTTAAAAAAATTTATATATATAAATTTTTTATATAAATTTTTTTTTCGAAATTTAAAAAAATCTCACTTCTATAAATACTGGGAGAAATATTAATTTAATTTGTAAAATTTATGTTTTAAAAGCAATTTGTTTAAAATTAAACAGAATTAGCTTAAGATTTCATTATACTAATTATCACTTATATAACAAAAATTTTTTTCCATAAAAAATTTTTATTCATTTTGTTCACTCACGGAGGGGGGTGAGTTAGAGGACAATTTGGAAATAAAAATAGACTACATGAAAAAATGGATACAAAAAATTGGGTTGGATTGTGCTGATAATGCAGAAAAGTTTTTATTAGATTATGCAAATCAAAATCAGCTTTATTTTGAATCAACACTTGGGTTTGGAAAGCTTGCCAAAGAGCTTGGGTTTCCATTTAACTTTACCTGCTCTCTATCTAATGGTATCATTGATACTTTGGAAAGCTACCCAGAATATTTTAACCAGTTTATAAAAGATTTTTGTGGAGAAATGGGAATAGAAAATAAAAATATCCAGGACTCAATTGTGTGTTATGTAAATCAAGAATCTTCAGGTCTTGAGCCGTTCGGTAAAGCTTTAGGGTTTAAACCAAATTCAATATCAATGCTGGTATCTTTGTTTGGGAGTATGCAAAATGGGCTATTGACACCTATAATGATTGTAGAGAAATTTGGAGAACTTCTTGAGTCTATCGGAGTTAATGATACAATTTATAATGGTGGAAAAGCTGTATTAGCGATATGCTTAAAATTAAGACAACAGTTTAAAATCAGAAATTTCAAGGGACTTAGTAATAAGGCTTCGGCCTCAGAAATAATTGAGGAATTAGCAGGAATTCCTAACTCTCCTCTCTATGAGTTTAGAAATTAGCCTTTCTGGTAAATTTTTTTTATCTGAATTATTTCTTATATAAAATTTAATTAATATAATATTATTGTAAAAAAAATTCAGCATATTTCTTTTAATTTATTATTATAAAACATAATTCCTTTTAAAATTATATCCCAAGATAGAGGAGCTTGCTCTAGGGCTGGAATAAGGTAATTTTAGATGGGATGATGTCAGCTGCAGATACTTCAGACCGTCTTCAAGCTGACTCTTTAATTGAAATGTCAAGGTCTCACGTCCCCGGATTTCGGCTTGAAGAAAGCCACTGCAGAGGAATCATTTCAATGGCATATGGACAAGTCGCAAATGTCGAAGACATTTGCCAAGCTATTAATTTTGATGCAGACATCGCAGAAGTTCTAGTTACTATATCAGAAAATAACGATTTAAGCCACACTTTATTAAAGGCATCCTCCCATTTTCAGAAATTTATGCTAAAACTCGGCTTAGACCATGAAAAAATGGCAGCTCTTATAGCATTGACATGTGAAGATTTAGAACACTGTGACGAAATTGCAGAAGATTTAGACGAAGGAAGATCGATTAAATCTGAGTTTTTAAGATGCCTTATCGCTATTTATATGTTTTTTGACCTCGAAAATGAATGGGACGAAGACTACAAGCCAATGAGCAAAATTAAAAAATTAAAAAAATTCCTCCCATGGCTATGCAAAGCTATAGGTGTTGCAAACAGTCAAGGAGCTTTATTAATGCTAAGACTTGCTCAAGGAGATGCAAGCGCCATAGTCGGAATCCAAAGCAAAATGGGCTGGAACGGCACTGACCTCAGCTATTATGCAAGTTTAGCTTGCCTAGTAAGTCCACTTCCATTTAAATCTGAATATAATAGCAAAGGGAAATATGACTGAATGTCATTTAAACATCTAGAAACCATCACAGGCAACCTTTCAGACCTATTAAAACTCAACGAAAAAATGCTTACCATCTTAATCCAAGCAGCAAGATCTGAGTCTTCTGCTTTAAATTGGATCAGGAAAAAGCTTAACTTCCCTACAATTCGAGATGTCCAGAGATTTATCAGCTCTTTAATATATTCTGAAGAGCCAAGTGACAGTGACGAATATTCTTCAGATGAAGAAAACACCAGTATGGCTGATTCCAGTTCTCAAGGCTCCTCATCTAATTATTCTTCCAATGCTAGCAACTTACCAGACGATGCTTCTGTGGACAGTCTTAAAGGAAATCTTGTAGAAAGAGTTGACCCTCAGGTCAGAATTCTCCAGCTAAGCCAATTAGTGACTGCCTTAAATTCCAGACAAAACCCTAAAGAAAAAAGCTTCACTCAAGAGACTGTAAAACTGCTGCTCAGCCTGTCTTCAGGAAGTCTAGAAAATATTCATTTACTTGAAGAAATTTTAAACTCTGTATATGAAAATGAGCCGCCTATTAGTTTTGTATCAGCAAGAGAAATTATGGCAGTTTCTACAGGGAATATCACAGAAATTGCAGGCTTAACTTCAAGATATGAAGACTTATATATGCCTTCAAAAGATGCAGAAGAAGAGGACAAGAAAGGCTCTGCAGACAGCATGATGAATATGTTTAATTTGCTGCCAAGCTCAGTTGAGCTGCAATTTTTAGTTAGATTGGCAAGAGGAGACCATAATTGTTGGGAAATGAAGACTGACACAGATGCATATATAGGACAAAGAGTACATAATGACCCACGCTTATTGCAGGCATTTACAGCACTGATTTCAGAAAACCATTATGGGGTTATTGAAACTATTGACACTTTGGCAGAATTCACTGAACTTGATAGAGATATGCTGCTGTCATTGGTGCTGATATCAGAAAATGCTATAGAGCTGCTGCCAGCTGGGATTACTCCGCTTACACAAAGACTTGAAGTAGACTCATTGGTAGCTGGGGCGTTTATTCCAAGTTGCTATAAGACCACAGAAATGCTAGAACAAGCTTTCCAAAGCTGCTGTGAAAAAATGTCAACACCTCCAGTTAATGCAGCGTTAGTTGCTGCTGTTTATAAAGGAGCAAAAGGGGATATTGGTGCGTGGGTACAGTTAGGGATGTTTTATATGAATTTGTATAAAAATACAGACCGAGAAAACTTGGACCAAGTTTTGATCCTCACTCCCTCCTCAGTGAGTAAACAAAAATTTTTTTGTTGGGTTTTTTTTTTTTTAAAAAAAATTTATATATAAAATTTTATAGAAAAAATTTTTTTTTCGAAATTTTAAAAAAATTCTAATTTGCAAAAATTGGAAAGCAAATATTAATTTTATTTGCAAAATTTATTTTTAAAACGCAATTTTGTTTAAAATTAAACAGAATTAGCTCGAGATTTCATTATACTAATTATCACTTATCTGTCAATTTTTTTTTCATAAAAAGTTTTTTTTTATTAAAACAATTTTTGTTCACCCACGGAGGGTGGATTTTTGGGCAAAAAACATGGATTTTTCCAACGGTTTTGTTCACTCACCGAGGGGGGGAGTCAGAGCTTTTGAAAGCATTTTGACTGATAAATACCAAACTGAGATCAAGGATTCTATGTTTGTGTCCAATATTATTGAAGAGCCAGAAATTTTGCTTTCACCTGGCAAATTTGGCCCACCAATTCTTGAGGATGAAGATGGGATAGAGCTTGTCCCTCTAGCTTCTCCAACGCCAGAATCCATAAACAGATCTAAAGACGCTTTAGTGAGATGCATAGGATTTCACAGATTCCGCAGATCCTCAATTGTAAAAAGAATGCTGGAAAATGAATTTAGGTCTTCCAGTGGACAAATAATGGTTGATTTAATAGTAGGGATTGCCGATAATGATTTAGAAATGGCACCAATTGTTATGAGAATGCTACATGAAGACCCATCTCGACATGAACTGGTAAAAGCTTTTCTTTCTCTTTATAATGACAGCACTGAAGTACTAAACGCTACAGAATTAATAGAAGATTACATAAGCAAAAACCCTACCCAGCTTCCTCCAGGATCTATACAAACAATTATAGGTGCAAGAAAAGGGTTTTCTGCAGTCGCCGGCAAAGGTATAGAAAAAGCTGCCAAGAATCCTGTTTTGCTATGGAACGAAAACTATACCACAGGAATTTCTAAAGTAATTGTGTCCACCGTACAAGCCAAACTTAATGATAACTGGGACAGATACGCTGACATTATAACAGAATTCGCTAAAAAAATCACTGGAATTGACGATATTACTCATGAAAATAAAACTTTCCAAATGATTATCCAAATGCTTATGGGAAAAATCAAGGCTTTTATTAAGCTTGGAGCTCAAGAATTTGACCTTAAAAATAAAGATTTAAAAGAACTCTTTATTTTATGTGTCCCCAAAAATCCATGAAGCCAAGCTGGTTTCCCATGCACAACTACAAATTTGAAGAAATTAATACCAAAAATGCCAGAAGAGGTAATAGAATGCTGGCTGAAATTGATAGGCAGAGAAGTAGAAGACTTGGATTATGGAAGAAAAGGAATGGGAGAGGTGCTATATCCATTTATTAAATTTATTTTGGAGAGCTTACCAAAAGAAGCAAGATTTAAAAAGAAAAAAGGGGCTTCAGATGAGCAGCTGCCTGAAATTAAGATTTTTGATGCTTTCTTTTTAGCGTGCACAGACCCTTATAAATATACAAAACCTATTGCTGACGCAATGCCAGATCTTGGAAGAGCTTTAATGAATGAAATAAAAGATGATATTATCACACTTTTAACGGGGTTAGTGTCTCTGTTTCAGTCAGATCGTAATCAAGTTATACGCCACCGTGCGATTACTGATCTTTCTAATGCATTTATGATAGACTACAACATTGTCAAAGGCTTTGTATCCTTACTCTACAGAGTTTTTGGATTAAATTATATTAAATTTACTATAAAATAATAATTTTTCTATAGGAGAAGCTAGCAAAATCAGATTGGGAAGGTCTCTCAGATATGGCAGGCCGATTCTGTGAATTCGACCCACATAAAGTAGCCCAGCTCGTAATGCTTGTAAAACGCTTAAAACTAATCGGAGATGAAGAATACAACGAAAAAGACCAAAACGAGTATGCAAGGCTAAAAGAAAAATTAGACGAAGGAGGAGATATAGATAACATTTTCCATATGCTCGACAAAGATGGGTCAGGCGAGCTTGATTTTCAAGAATTCACACAAGTTATGAAATTTTTTGATCTAGAAATGACTAACCAAAGGCTTCTGCAAATATTTTCGAAATTTGACGCTGATGGAAGTGGAAATATGAGCTTGCAAGAGTTTGAAGCGGCTTTTGACTACCTAAAAAGTGAGGTTTCAAGAGGGGCAATGGAAGGCTTAGGTCTTGCGAAGAAAAAATTAGCTTTGATCTTTTTAGGGTCACTTATGATATTGCTTTTGGTGTTTGCTTTTCTATTTCTTGGAATTATTGGGTTTATCACTGTGAGCAGGTTTGGGTCAGCTGTAAACTCTATGCTCCCGATGAGCTCTGGGGTTGTAATTTCTAAGCTAAGAGGCTCAGGAGGAAATCTGCAGACTAAAATTGACGAAATTGGAGGGAAAATCACAAACTCGTTGAATATAATGACAGTTGAAGAAAATAATGGATAAATTTATAGTAAAAATATTTTAAAAATCCATTATTAAAAATTTTAAATTATGGAACATAGTAAAATTGATAGTGATATTGAAGCTCTTGTAAGAAAATACAACTTAGACTCAGACCCGTTTACTTCATTCAGCTTTAAAACAAGCCCTCAAAAAGAAATACCTATCCCTGAACAAGATGAAAGCTTTAAACTTTCAAGAGGCAGCGCACTATCGTCATCTCAATATGAATCTCCGCAATTATCATTCAGCAGACCTCCTATATTATCTACTTCTCCAAAAGACTCAGCAAGCTCCCAAGCAATTGCGTCTGCTATGAAAGCACTTCAAGAGAAATTAAAAATAACTGAGAATGCTAACTCTCCCCCCTTTAAATTGGAACAAAGCATCGGTTAAACTTGTATTTTTTGGGTACTTTCCCCCTTTAAATTGGAACAAAATTTATTTTTCTATAGGAAAATTTTATCAATGAAAATACTAATTTAAAAGACAAAATGCAAGTAGAATGCTATTTAAACAATTTTCACACTGAATCGATTAATTATTTTAATTAATTCCTCATAAAAATAAATTATAATTCAAAGTATTGTGTTTAATATATATTGTTTTAAAAAAAAATTAAAAGTGAAAAACTAATTTTTATAAAATAAGTTTTGACCTAATTTAATGAAAAAAGTGCAAGTCGAATGCTATTTAAATGGTTTCCACACTATTCGATTTATTATTTAATTATTTCTTCATAAAAATAATTTAAATTCAAAAATATTGTGCTTAATTTATATTTTTTAAAAATTTTAAAAAAGTTTATTTATAGAGAAAGTTTAATATATTATTTTTTTTTTAAAAAATACCCCCCTTTAAATTGGAAACAGATTTTTGTTCCATTTAAAAGGGAAAGTAAAGAACAGCTTCAATCTGATATAGACGTGCTAGAAAAAAGAAGTTATGAAGAAAAACAAAGAATGAACACAGAGTTGAGCAAAGCTATTTATAGCGTAAAAGATTTAGAAAAAAAATGCTATGAGCTAGATCAAGCTTTGCAAACAAAAAATAATTTAATTGGAAAGCTAGAAGACCAAATTGGATTTTTAAATACTCAATGTGGCTTTGCAGAGGGGGAAAATAAACGATTTCAAGAGCAGTATGCTATTGACAAAGAAAATTGGTCTTTACAGGTATAATTTCCTACCTTAAATTGTCTATAAGCTAATTTACTAATGAAAACCTTACAAATTTAAATAAAATTGCTATAGAGCATTTCAAAAAAATGCTTGCTACTAAGAATGACTCTGAAGAGTCTTCTTTAGAAGCATTAAGAGCAGAGCAAGCCAAAAATAGAAATTTAGAAGAAAAAATCCTCGAAAAAGATGAAGTAATAGAAGCTTTAAATGAAGAAATTTATCAGCTCAGACAAAACTTAGACTCAGAAAGAGATATAGCGCTTTCCCGAGGATGGCGCGGAATGGCGCCATCCTCGGGAAAGCCGGGAAGGCATCCACACGGGAACTGGGAGTTCCACGTGTGGATGCCATTTTGACATGTGGAAGTTTGGATCCCACATGTCAAAAATGGCATCCACACGTGGAACTCCCAGTTCCCGTGTGGATGCTTAGTTGACTTTCCCGAGGATGGCGCCATTCCGCGCCATCCTCGGGAAAGCGCTATATACATCAGAAAAATCTTGAAGTTTTAGAAGACGAATTAAGAAGGACCAAACTTGATTTAAACGATAAAACAATCAGATTAGACGATTTGAATAAAAGCTATCAAGACACATTATCTAAACAACACAATATGCATAAAATAGCTAGAGATTTCCTCTCTTGGCTAGGGTAATTGTGCATACCTGGCGTGGTTTTGAGATTCAATTATATCCCAGCAATGTTTAGTAGCCTCAAAGCAGACTTGAGACTTTTTTCCGCTGAATCAATCTCTGGATCTTAGGACAGTTAATTGCATCTTTTTTCTAACAGTTTCCAGCTCAGTGGGAGTTCGCTATGGAGCAGAAAGACAGGAAGACGTAACTACTCAGCTGCTTTGATGATTACCCCCCAAATGGAGATAGCATTTGAACTTTTTCTTTGTGTCACTAGGGGGAAAAGGGGAGGCAAATTAGACAGTTTGCTTGCATCAGCAAGTGAGTCTATCCAGTCGAAAGTGGATCTCACAACGAGAGCATCTGGCCTTTGAACATTCCAGGATTAGCATCAAAACAGGTGACGTCCTTTAGTTGGAAAAGGTCATGCCCAGCAATTCCTTTGGACCCTTGGTGAAATCACAACCAAGCAACCGAAGGCTTCGGCCTGGGTTACAGAAGACGGTAGAACTCTGCAACCCCGCAGCACACCACTGCGAAAGAGCGATCAGCAAATAAGAGACTTTAAATGCCTTCCGAATTAATCTAATCTAATATAAACAAAGCACAGAAATAGAAGAACTAAAGCTTCACATCGCTGAGCTAAATAAAATTAATTTTTTATCAGAAGAAGCAAGAAATGCGCTTAAACATGAACACATGGAGACTCAGCATTTTGTAAAAGACATTGTTTCAGTAAACGAGCAACTTGTAGATTCTCTTAAACGAGAGTCACAAGCTAAACTTTTGCTTGAAAACGCTAGCAGAGAGAGATCATTGTCAAATAAACCTATCAAAAAACACAAGAAAAAGTTTTCTGCAAGCTTGAAAAAATCAATAGTAAATAAAACCCAAAAATCGAACGCACACAAGCGAGAATATTCAAGGGAATCAAGCATAGAAAGAAGTTCTAGAGGTTTTACACCGAAAAGGCATGTGAAATCTCCTTCATATTTAAAAAATAACAAAAATGAAGAAAAAGAGCTGGAATATGAAATTAAAGAACTGGATAAAGAAATTTCAAAATACAATGGGATGTATAAACAGCTGTTGCTAATGTCAAATGATGGATCTAGAGATTTAGGAGCCTTAAAAGCAGAATTAGACGATATTTCAGCCAAAATGGAAGAAAAAAGCAAAATGTTATATTCACTGAAGAGAAAACATCAAGCGATTTTGAGAGAAAAAATGCTTACTTTTAACTAATTTAAATAAAATTTATAAATATTTTGATTTAACTATAAAAATAATATGACAACACTTCACTATTTTGACTTTTATGGGCGCGCTGAAGTAATAAGGTTTGCTTTGCATGCATTTAATGAACCTTTTATAGATCACTGTATTACACCTGAAGAGTTTTTAAAAACCAAAAGAAAAAACGAGTTTGGTCTGCTTCCTTGTCTTGAAATCGACGGAATGGTCTTAGTCCAATCGAAATCTATCCTTCGCTACCTTTGTCAAAAACATAATGCTTACCCTCTAGAAATGTATCGAATTTACCAAACAGAATCAATTATCGACGCCTTTGGAGATATCAAAGACGCAATTGCTAAAGAAAGAATGGGAAAAAATGAAGAAGAATCATTGAGGTGGATTAATGAAAATATGCCAAGATGGTTTGGAATTTTAGAGAAAAGGCTAGTTGAAAATGATAACGGGGGAAGCTTTTATGTAGGAGATACCCCTACGATGTCTGATTTTGTTTCAGCTAATTTCATATAGTTTTTGCAGAAGTAATGGAATTTTTGGAAACTTTGGGGAAAAAATATAATTTACTATAACAGGAGATATATGACTTTTTTATGAGGCCTGGGAAAGAGGACCAAAGGAGTCTGTTGGAAACTCATGGGCAGCTACTGAAAGCTCACACAGAAAGATTAATTGATTTTTATCCTTCATTGAAAGCTTATCTTGCATCACGGCAACAAAAGGAATTTTAAAGGTATTAATAAATTTAATGCTGTTTGAATTTATATTCCCTCTCCTAAAATAGTTTACTAATAATCAAATTTACTTTTACAACTAAAGCCTTTATTAGCATGAAAAATTCTATTTTAGTCTAATTTGATATTCAAAAAGGATTATATCATCAATATCATTATTTTCCATTTTTAGATTATAAATCTATAATGCTAGCATTTTTGCCTGCATTATGAATTGCTCATTTGGGATTAGCCAATGATGAAATAACTTCAATGATAATCCAAGAAACTTAGGAGATGTTAACTAGACGGTAAAATTAATGCTATTGGCTTTGGTCATGATGGAGTTTATGTCCCTTTATCAAACAGAAATCGCTTTGGTCCTCCTAAAAAATGAATAGGTAATTATGGGAGTTATATTGGAGGCTGGACAAATTACAACCTATTTCCAATATTTTAGATGATTTAAATGGAGATGGAAAAGCTGATATTGTTGGTTTGCCGCTTTAGTGTTTATGTGTCACTCAAGAGTATATCCAGCTAGCTCAGGATGATCTAGCTTTAATTATGCACCTAACTCCCCCCTCCGTTAGCGAACAAAACCATTAGAAAAATCCCTATTTTTTTGCCCAAAACCCCTTCGGTGAGTGAACAAAAGCATTAGAAAATTCCTACTTTTGCCCAAAAATCCCCTCCGTGAACAAAAATTTTTTGTGAAAAAAAAAATTGATATATAAATGATAATTATTATAACGAAATCTCTAGCTAATTCTGGCTAACTGGAGTAAAAGTTTCTCTATTTAATGGATCTACATTCTTAGTTCAAAATTTAGCTAAACTCGTTTGGAAATTCAGAAGCTGGATAAGCTTCGATGAATTTCCAAGATTTGTGAAGGTGAACAATAATGGTGGAAAGCTGATATTGTTGGTTTTGGCTTGCTGGGATATGTATAGAAGCTTTGGCAATCCTATTTTGATCATGAGCCAATTTGGAAAATCCTCTGTCTTTGGCAGCTGGAAATCGTTTAATTTGCTTTCAAGATTAGTAGGAGATGTGGCAGGTGATGGAATTATGAACGTTGTTGGGTTTTGAGCTGATGGAATGTGTATAGCTGTGTTATTAAGTGGCATAAGCTCTTATCCCTACCAATTTGAAGTAAGTTAAAGTTAATACTTCAGCATGCGAAATAATATGCTTTAATTATGCAATGGTTATGAGGAAGATCTCTGCTCCTTAGAGAAATGAGCATTTAATTCATGTAAAAATTAATAAAACTTGATACTAAGGAATCTGAAGGAAAGACTTTATTATCTAGATGTGGATTTTTTTTATTTGCAATTCTTGGTGCTGTTATTTCAATTTGCCTTAAAGGTGCAAGAAAGTCAGGGAAAAGCCTTTTGCCCCATTTTAGAGTGGTTTTAAAGACTCCATATATTAAGGCTACTCCTTATTTACATCGGTTAAAAATCTTTAACTTTTAGATAAGCTATTGAGCCTTTTTAAAATCCATATAACTTAATAATTAATTTTAAGACAAAAATAATAAAATAGATGCAATGACATCTCCATGATGGTGAAACTTGATTCTATGCGTCTTTATAATTGAGAAAATAGCAAAACGTAAAAATTAGATATTATCTTATATTGAGACTAATTACGTTTTTTATTAGCTAATGTAAGCCATATTATTGCCAGCTTTGGCGTAAAATATATATAGGGTTATGTATATATTTAGTTAGTTGATACTGATGACCTTGTGCATCTCCGACTCATAGATAGACCTTGGGGTTTACTTTCTTTCCCTTTACTTTGTTTTAATTTCTAAATAAATATTACATTGTTGAGAATCTTATGATTCACTGCAATCGAGATCAAAAGATCTTCCTTGCTTTCACCTTTGAATTCATATTTCTCTGTCTTTTTTTGTTTATTAAATTGTTTATTAATTCTTGCTTTGAATGTGTCTTTATTCTCAATTGTTTTTTCAACTGATGGTCTTTCTGCACAGCAGCCCATATCCTATTTATAGTTATTTATATATGGATATTAAATATGCTTAAATAAATTTAAAAAAAATAAATTTTCACATTGTAAAAGATAATATAGAATTTATAATTATTATGGACATTTTATATGAAACTTTTACATTTTTTTTTAAGAGCACAATTAATTTTTTGCTCAGTTTGGAGCTCATAGTATTTTGATAGATCATTAATTGTTCAACTTTCAAATTCTTCACTTAAGCAACAACTAAAATGCTAAAATTGGCAGCTGGAGATTGTTTTATCGCCTAATAAGTGACGAAAAATCTAAAATCAATAAGTTATTTTGGATAAGATAAAATTTTAAAGCTTCAGAAGCTTCTAGAAGAATTAACATATTTTTTAAATATGATAAACTTAATAAATCAAACCAAATTTTTTTATTTAATCGTTGCTAAGCTTGATTATCTTCCGATTGCATTAAAAAGATATCATCTTTAAAATAAAAAAATAATAGAATTGAAAAATGCTGATTTAAAAATAACGAAAAATCTTATAAGAAAAAATATTTAAAGATTTATTATAATTCTATTAATATCTGGCATCTCTTTATTAAATATTTTATTTAATATCAATCAAGCATCAATTAAAACTGATGTTTTTGCATTGCAATTAAAATCGTTTACAGTGAGCTTCTTGACGAAATCCTAGCATGTCCTCTAGTTTGTCCTCTAGTTTTGTCTGAAAGTGATCCTGAATTAGCATTAAATTTATAAAATCTTTCAATCGTGATATCTCTTAATTTTTCCAAGGTTAGCTTATATTTGCAATTTTTAGGGCTTTCATTAGATGGAGATGCTATAATGTGAGTGCTGGAATTTCTATTAAGCGTTTGAGTAATTAATTTTTGGGCTCTCTGGCTTGCAAGTGGGAAGTTATTGGTACTTTTTCCTAATCGAGTCTTTGTCTGTGCGGTTGCTCGCTCATTAACATTATTTCTGCTTATAAATTTAGCTCTGCTCAGACCAACAAGCTTGAACATGATCTCTTCAGGAATTAAAGGTAATAGATCAGCTCTTTTGGCTTTATAAAATTTAACTGTGTCTGTTCACACAGAAGCAGTAAATTCTGCTCTTTTCCCTAATAATACACATTCATCGGCTATACTACATCCTCTTCCGACAGTCATAATATTTCTCTTTTTTGGTGGCACTCCTTTGCTTAATACGCATTCTCCTTCTACGATGTAATATAGAGCTTCGCTAAATGAGCCTTCTTCCACTATACTTTTATATGTAAATTTCAGTATTGAAAAAACATAATATATTTTTATGTAAATTCTGCATAATATCAGTTTAAGGAATACAATATAGCCTGAGCCTCCTTTGGCTTGGGCTATACTGGCGTCTTCCGACGCCAAAATGGGGTTGGCTTTATCAGCATTTATTGGTAAAAACAACTCTCAGATGACAGATCCATTTTTTGGTAGATTTGCCATCTTTGGTTTTACCAATAAATGCTGGCAAAACCAGCTCCCTTTTCTACATTGGAAGATCAGTCCAGCCTGATCCAAAAGGAGGCTCAGTCAATATCTTTTTTATGCACCTCGATGAATTCAAAAGCATAAGCAATTTTTTCTCTTATGCTATTTGAATAAATCTTGAAATCCGGTATATAAGTATTGAAAAAGCTTACTTTTTCATTTAACTCTGCTGAAATGTTGTTCATCATCAGAGACTTGAATTTGTCTCCGTTTAAAGCTAGAAGCACAACATAATCTTTAGCGACAGCTGATAACTGGCGTGGTTGATCCCTTATTAATCCTCTTTCTCCTATCATTTTTCCTTTTGGAAGAGTTGCAATTAATTTTTCAGTGCCATCAGAACTTCTATCTATCATACTTAGGTGGCCTCTTAGGACTATGTACAATTTATAGTGTTTTCTCTTGAATTGCTAATTTATTGTTTAAGCCATTTGTTTATGGTGAACTTAAAGGGAAAAGGATATCACTTTTGGCTCCTTTTTGGAAAACTTCTTGTCCGGCCTCGTATTCTTCAATATAAAAATTGGCTGCCAGCTGGCTGAGGGAACGCTTTGATAGCTCAGCTGTATAATTCGCTAGGTCTTCAATAGTCTTAAAATATTCTAAGAGCCTTTCGATGTCTGTGGTAGATCTATCAGACCTTTGGAGGATTTCAAATACATTTTGAGGAATATTTTTACGAGTCTTTTGTGTTAAAAGAGACATAATTCTAATTTGTTGGAAACAGTGAAGAGGAAAAATATGAAAATTTTCGGATATTATTATTTCATATTTCTATGAGGAATTTTTGAAAATAATTTAATGAGGAATGAGACCTAATCACTCAAAAAAATTGCAAAATGAAACAAAAGAGGTTAAAACGAAGTTTGGCTGTTTTGGAATAGAAAAATCTTGCTTGAAAATTCAAAATCAAGGATTTTTCTATCATTCTTAACTAAATAATTCAATTTTTTTTAATAAGTTTGTTTTAATTTATGAAGCTAAATTTAAAATAAATTTATGGGTTATTAATTTGATGCTTTCTTGGCTTTACGATTCTTCTCACATCTGCAGTAGCTAGCGAAAATCCAGTAAGCTGCACTTTTTTGCACTGGAGTACATTTGTCAATTCTTCTACTTGAATCTTTGACAATTTTTCCAACATGGACTTCAACCCTAGAGGCGAATATAATATGATGGTGGCTATAAAATATGTCTTTGCCCACGACGCACCACTTTGGGCGCAAAACAGGGCTTTATAGCCTAATCTAAGGTTTAGGCTCTTTGATTCTAACTCTAAGCTTACTGTATGGCAGCCGTATGGGGTGGATAACTTTGGGAGTCAGCTGTGTGGTCATTCCAGTTCAGGTATTGATTATCCGGATAGTTTTTTGGTTATGGGTTTCTTTCCCTACCAGCTCCGGAGAGCTGCGATTCTTTTTTCCTAGGTGTTACAATTCCTCAAGGTAGCCGGTAGGAGACATCGGGCTAGCCTTTACCTCTATAGATCCTGAAAGATGTTCAGCACAGAGGGGCCTTCTAGCCCATCGAAACTCAGGGATGCAGTGCAAGCTCTTAGTCCTGGGGAGAAGACTGTTGCTGATAGGGCACAGGCAACCGATGCTTCCCCTGGCAAGCAAGGGCCCAGTTGTCGAAAGCGTGCGGTGGTATAAAATCTGGAACATCAATCCGATTTAATTTAAATTTAATTCAGGCGAATTTTGTGCAAAATTTTTAATTAAGCCTCTGAAATTTTCATACTCATCAATTGCTAGCACAGGACTAATATAAGTAGTAAGTGCCAAAAGAGCTTCCATTTCTTCAGTACCAATATCTGAAAATATTTTATTTCTAATATTTGAATCTAAATCATCATCAGAGCTATCTCCTGATTTTCCATCTTCCACCATCATATCATCTTTTTTCTGTACAAAAGGTGATTTCTTTTGGCTTAGGCTCAATATCTCAATAAGAGCTTTAAAAATTTCAGATATTTTCTTATTAATTTCTTGAGGCAAAACTTCTTGTGTTATAATCGTTGACAAGCCTAAAGCTGCAATTTTTCTGTCATATTGATGCGAAAATATTTCTGGCTTAAGCAGAATTTGTGTGATAATGTAATCTAGATTGGTTTCCCCAGCTGTGTTTGCTGATGACGTTAGGATTTGAAAAGTCAGTTGACAGTTGTAAGTAAATGATGATAAAATAACTCCTAATAGCCTAGCCTTAAAGAAGCTGTGATTCACATCACTATTAAGCCTTACAAGTGTGGTAGAAATTATATCAAAAAGATAAGAATCTACCATTCCAGGGTACATCTGCAAGACTTGCTGAATTAATAGAGCTCCTTCTGCATTAGTCGCTTCATTTATTTTGCCTTTGTATGAAGAAAACATGCAAACCTTGCACATATCAATGACTTTTTTTATCAGCTGAGGGTTCTCTGCAAAGTGCTCTCTCCCGTAAAATAAATAGCAATTTAGGATAGGAAAGAGCTGAATAAAGGTGCCTTCGTATTTTTCTTGGACTAAATTCAGCTGGTTTAATAAAACCCAGCCAACTTGGCTGACTGCTTGGCATTTTCTTATTAAAGACACCTCAAATAAAATGATATCATCTTCAAAGTCAATATCAGCAGGATTTTGCATATAGTTAAAAAGCGGTAAGAGGGCATACTCTAATTCCATTACGTTTTCTACACTCATTTCTTTGGCTTCTGCAATTATCCTTATAATATTCCAACATTTTACTACTATGATTGAACTTTTTTTCTTTTTTTTAGATTCGCTTTTGTGCTGCATCTCTGATTGAATTTTGCAGACTAACGCCGGGATTAATCGATCTAAGTGAGGGAAAACTGCATCAGTGTTTCCTGTAATTATTTCTTGCATTGCTTCAAAAAATCCTTTATTTTGTTGTAATGGTATAAGATATATAAAAGTTGTAATAATATTAGGAATTAACGCTTCAAGTCTAATTAGAATAGACTCCTCTTGAAGCATATAACTCAGCGTCTCTGAAGCTTGTAAAGTGACCGCTTTAGGTGATGTATTAGGATTGCAGAATTTAAGTAAAATTGTAACAAGTCCATTATAGCTTTCTGGGCTGGAATAAAAAATGACTTCAGCAAAATAATGCACTAGCATACAAAAACGATTTTGAATCAACCCTTCAGTTGCTAAGCTAAACACAAGAAAATGTGACCCAATTACAAGCTCGATAGCTTTTAATAAATCATGACGCTTACTAATTCCATATGAAAGTACACAAAATGCATATAAACTTGTCTCAATTCTAGCTTCTTCGCTTGCTTTTAAAAAATATGTATGCTGAAAATCAGATAAATATATGTCAGAATCAGGATTTGACCTTGTTATAGTCATATCGATCAAATGTGATAAAAAATTAACAGTAAAGCTGAGGGTCCCGTCAACTTTTTCTGCTAGTTTTTCAAGAAATATTGCGGCTGATGCTTTATACATATCAGACTCTTGGGTTTCACAGATATCTCGAGAAAAACTGACAAATTCTTCAGGGGTATTTTCAAATTTGTCAATGTCACTTGAGCTCGACATTAATAGTGGAAGTAAAATTTCTATAATAATTCCTTTGTAATTCATTAAGAAAAAGTTTGAGAATCTCTGATCATGGGCGACTTTGCTTAGAACTAACAAAACTTCGTTCACAATATCTGAGATATACTCTGTTTGTAGCAAGCTGTCGTATTTAGGATGCGAAACGATCATATGTAGAGAGCGGACTAGAGGCTCTATTATGCTAAAAATCATATGTAGAAACGGGGAGTCTGGCGCTTCAGCTCCAACTAAGCTCATAACTTTTTCAATCCCTTTATCTTCCATATGCTTCTTTTTGCTCTCTAACAAAAATTGTAAAAATTATACTGTATTTGATAGATTTTAACTTAATTTATTATTGGCTTAATACGTATTAATTATATTTAAAATTTTATCTCATAAGTTTAAATTAACACTTTGCAAAATTAGTGATTTCGTCTGATTAAGCTTGCAATGCACAATCTGTGTAGCCACACATATCAATGAAGGCTGAGCTAAATTACTATCAGGTAGCACAAAATTCAAAATATTCCCAAAACGCTCAGCAAGAATCGTCAAATCTTTTATTTCTGCCATACTTGGCCTCGAGGTAATTTCAAAATGCTCCAGAACCGCTGTAATAGTTGAAGCCCATTCATGTAAAATTTCACATGATTCTAAACTGTTTTGTTCATTACTTGTTTCTACTGAAACTTTTAAAGCTTCTAAAGCTTTATATCCAACAGTAAGTAATGGGTCTAAAAGCTGTTTAAAAATCGGCAAAAGGATAGGATTTTCTGTAAAAACACTATAAATAGCTTTGACTGATTTCAATGCTCCATATATAGAAGCCACATTATTTTCGTTTAAAGAAAGCCCAATAGACGGCAATAAGCTTGCCAATGTGCTTGACTCAGGATCAGAAATATCAGACCCAAAAATAGGGACTAATGCATAGCCTAAAGAACTCCTTATGGATGGATCAATTCCTGGTGCTGTAATTGTGTTATAAATTGATCTGGCCAAGGATTCTCGCATTGCTGGAGTGATAGCTTTTCCTTCAATTATTTGTCGAACGAATTTTTTGAGATTTATACTTGCTGAGTTCTTGATTTTGTCAGTGAGATAGGGATGAGAGGTAGTGATTATGTATAATAAGGCCTGCAAGTAGTCTTGCTGGTTCTGGCTTAAGTTGTTGAGTTCAGCTTCAGCGAGCTTTATTTCTTCACTATTTTTGGAGGAAAAAGTGGTTTGAAGGAGTGCTACTATTTTGGAAGATAAATCTGATTCCATGATATTTATATAAAATTAGATAATATTGATTTAATAATAATTGGAATTGTAAATGCATTTGAAAAAGAAACAGAATTTCTGAGGCAGAGTTTAAATATCAATAAAATAAGGAGAGTATAATATTAATTTTTAGAAGTAATACTTGAGAAAAGGCAATTAAACCGTGAAATAATAAGTGGTAAATCAGAAATGATTGGAGTTGCATTATTTAATCTTTATTAAGGTGCTATTAATTTATTTAATACCAAAATTAGCCCCATAAATATTAACTTTATGTAGTAAATTTTAATTGATATATTTTTGCTTTAATATTTTCAAGCATAATTTTATAGAGACTTAATATTAAGATATTAAATTTTTAAAGAGTGGCTGTATAATCAAACAGCTTATAGAAATTAATGAAATTTTAATGTGGAGTTTTGCATGTCCTATATCCAATTTAATAAACATATTTTCCTTTCAATCAAAATAATATCAATACTCTCCCTCTCTCTAAACCAGCAATCAATTCTTAGGCCACCACTTAATATCTTAATACTTATCTACTATTTACTATGCAAATTTCTTAGGATCAATATGTTTTCTAATATACTTCCTAAGTTCTCCTAACGATTTCACCTGTGCTGCCAATATGCACTCTTTAAGCTTCTCTTTTTGACTTTCTTCATCATGCACCTTCATACACTCTCCTATTTCTGTTACCAATCTCTTATGAATTGGATTAAAACATCTCATGAACTCTTCATGTTTAGTATGGCATCTATCTTCACACTTCAAGACAAACCTTTCTCCGTACTTGAAAAATAAATTCATTTCCGAACAGTGCATTGAGCATGAAGATAAATAAGAAAACCTTGCAAATTTTACTTCAGGATCTAAGATGACTGCATTTATATACTTGTCCATGTATTTTATCTAAATGAATACTAAAAATAGTTTATAGGGATATAGCTGATTGTAATAAATAAGGGTTTTTTTATATAAATAGTAATATATTTAAAAAAATTGGGATAATTCAAAAAGTTTAATTATTAGAGCAAGAGTGATGGCAATTTGTGTGTAAGCTTGAGTAGGCCACCTGCGAGAAACATTATTCCGTAGCTGAGTATTTGTAGGATTGCGTCGTGCTCTGTATTTTGGAGTATTAAGCACATTGTGAGGACGAATAATAGAGCAATAAGATAAAGCACGTCGCCTGAGTTGTGGATAGTTTTGAGCTTCATTTAACGATATTTAAGTATAGTGCCATTTTATATGGTGAAGTAAAGAAGCTGAAAATTAAAAATCACTTCAGTTTATAAGAGACTGGTCGTTGGATTCTATTCTAAATCCTTAGGAATATGTGAAATATTAAAATCATCAAATATATGATCAGTTTTTTTTCTTTATCCTTAGAGCGGGCTTAATATAATATTTATAAATTTTAACTTATCAAAACAAATATTTTTATATCATAAAAATCAAATATACGGCATTAAATAGGAAAGTTTATTAGAAAGGGAGCACTAGCTAATCAGATTTTTTAAATCTAATTATATCTTAGTATATTGAAATTCATTAGCTAAATGAATGATAAAAATCATAAGTCTTAATTTCAGTAAGAAACAGATCCTGAAAAGCCTTTATTTATATCAAATTTATATTGAATTAAGTATAAAGATTTCTTAAAAATAAGCAACTCCCATTTCCTTTACTTAACTAGAAAACTTATAATAAATAATAAATGTCTTCAATAAGGTGGGTCACTTCAGGTCCTCAGTTCTGGGTCACTATCTCCTCATCCGTGAGTGAACAAAAAATTTTGTTCGCTCGTGGAGTAGGTTTAATTTGTTTTTAAAAATCTATATATAAGTTTTATATTAAATTCGAAATTTAAAAAAATCTTAATTCGGAAAGCAAAAATTAAGCAGAGTTAGCTTGAGATTGCATTATATTAATTATCACTATATCAAAATATTTTTCATAAAGCCTTTTGTTTGCTAACGGAGGGTTGGCTTTTGAATTTTTTTTAATTGCATTGTTCGCTCACGGATGGGGTAGAGTAAGCTACTGCAAAAGCAAGGGATTGGCATGAGTACTAATGGAATATGAAAAGCAGCAGAAGAAGAGAAAATCCAAGACTTAATTCCATCAAAGAACTTTTTAAAAAGAAAAGTTATAGCCAGAATGTATGGAGCCGGCTGCATTTATAGTGTTTTCTTATGGATGGCGCTGTTTGGCCTTAATTTTCCCACTGGCAAAATTTTTGGTTTGACCAAACCATATGGTACTGGTCGAACCAAAACATTTTTCCAGTGGGAAAATCAAGGCCAAACAGCGCCATCCACAGGAAATTGCAATACAAAGCAAAAGCTGAAGACCTCCAGGCAAAAAGATTAACAAGAGACGGATGGAAGCTAAATCCAGTAAAAGCATTTAAGTTCATTCATCCAGATCTTCGTGGGGATATCAAGCTTGAATAGATAATATGGATTTTAATATAAGTTCAAGCTAAAATTTCAATCAAATTTTATAAGAACATGAAATTTTAAGTTTGTAAAAACTAAGCGTCGTATTGAATAATTTATGTCCAATTAATAAGAATAACAATTTAAAGCACTCTCTTATTTTCTTATAATAATAGTAGGATTAGACGAAGTTTTAATATAAAAAGGTATAATGTTAGAAAGTAAATTCTTCTTTTGTAGGCAATCTCAAGTTATAATCTGATTCTTTTTTAATTTCATATTCTAGAACTAATAATTCTCAGATTAAATTCAATTAAAATTAGTTAACTTATAAAGTAATTAACTCCCTCCTCAGTGCACAGAGGGGGATTTATTTTTTTTTCCCTAAAAATTTTATATAAAATTTATATTTTTTTTTTAAATTTGTAAATATTGAGAAGTAAAAATTATTGTAAAAATTTATATTTTAAAATGCAAGCTTTTTATAATTAACCAAGAATTAGATAGAGATTTCATTATACTAATTATCACTTTTTTATTTATATAATATTTTCTATTAAAAAAATTTTTGTTCGCTCATGGAGGGGTGGATACTTGGGCAAAAAGTAGGGATTATTCCAATGGTTTTGCTCGCTCACAGAGGGGGTGAGTAAGCAATTAGATTAAATTTTCTCTTCAATGTTTTTATATATAAGCTATATAAACCATTTCTAGAGTGGTATTACGAAATTTGGTGAAATAATGGCACATTCGCAAATAATGACAGCAGAACTCATAAATTAATAATTTTTCATAATGGATTACAACAGGATGAACCACAGTGAAACTTACAACAAGAAAATTATATGGAAGATGGGTCTGAATGCAAGTCTGGGCTCATTAATCTTTGGATATAATTTTGGTGTATTTAATACTTCTCAAGAGAATGTATCTGCAGCACTAGGATGAAATGATAATAAAGATCTTTATATATCCATAATGACAGCTTTATTCTCTGCAGGAGGATTATTTGGAGCAACTTCAGCAGGTTTAATCACAAACAAAATAGGTAGAAGAAGAGCCTTGATGCTAATGGATATTCTTCATATGGTTTCCTGTGCGCTTTTTGCTATAATTTATACTCCATTTTTTGCAGCTGGGAGGTTTTTAACTGGTTATGTCTGTGGAGTCTATTCTACTTTGGTCCCTTTATACCTTACTCCCCACTCAGTGAGCGAACAAACAGAATTGGCTAGAGATTTTATTATACTAATAATCACTTATATATTAAAATTTATTTTTCATAAAAAATTTTTTGTTTGCTTACAGAGGGCAGATTTTTGGGCAAAAAATAGGGATTTTTTTCCAATGGCTTTGTTAGCTTATGGAGTGGGGAGTTAGTGAAATTGCACCAGCAGACATCATGGGGAAAATAGGTGACTTATCACAATTGATAATTGCATTTGGAGTCTTCCTGTCATATGTAGTTGGACTTCCTTTGCCAATTGATGATAACAATTCAAGCCAGTTAAAATATTATTGGATACTTATGTTTACTGTGCAAATTCTTTTTTCAATAACACAATTCTTTATATTGTATAAAGTATATAAATATGATACTCCTGTATGATATTTATCTAACTCTCCCTGTGTGAGCGAATAAAAAAATTTGTTCGTCAATTTTTTTAAAATTTATATATAAATATAGTAAATGTTGTTTTCGAAATTTAAAAATTCCAATTTGCAAAAATCGGAAAACAAATATTAATTTAATTTGTAAAATTTATTTTCGAAATTTAATTTGCTTACAATTAAACCGATTAGTTAGAGATTTAACTAGCCATCACTTATATATCAAAAATTATTTGTTCGCTTACGAAGGGATTTTCCAATGGTTTTGTTCACTCACGGAGGGGGGGAATAAGCACCAAAATGAAAAGGCTTTATACTGTCTTTTGCAGTGATACAACGAAACTGGAGCTTACGATGTTTTAAAGAAATTCGGCTCATCAGTTATCGGAATTCTCGAAGAAGACCACGACAACAGTGGGTTTTCTCAATCAGAACTCACAGTAGAAATCTGTGAAAAAGCTTCTCTCGAAATAAGAGACGAAATAGATTTTAGTTATAAGGATTTATTACTATTCAGAAAGAAGACAGGAAAAATGATGAGGCTTGGCTTCCTAATGAACACTTTTCAAAGCACTACAGGCGTTGCAGCTTTGACAGCCTACACTACAAAGATTTTTATGTCCTTAGGAATGGGCACTTTTGAAGCAAGAATTTTTACAGTTGGCCTAGGGATATTAAATTTCCTCTCAACTTTATCTGTGATTCCAATCATTGATAAATTCAATAGAAAAACTCTCCTGATGACAGGAGTTTCTTGTATGTGCTTGTCTATGTTTTCCCTTGGATTTATAGCAGAAAATGACCTTACTTCTTCATTTTTGGTATTTACATTTATCATTACTTTTATATTTGGGTACGGTACTGGTATAGGGACTATATGCTGGGTGTATTCAGGGGAAATTTTAACGTCAAGAGCAATGGCTATTTGTATAGGAGCGAATTGATTTTGGGCGACGGTTGATACTTTCACGTTCCCAAATGTTGTGAATATTTTTTCTATAGGAGTGGCGTTTTGAATCTATTCAGTTATTTGTTTGATCACAATTGCATATTTTCTGGTTGATTTTGTGGAAACAAGAGGTTTAAACAAATTCCAAATCAGAAAAGCTTTTGAAAAGTTTAGTTAAATTTAGAATATTGTCTAAAAATGTCTTTAATTTAATTGAGCAGTAGTCAAAAAGGGGTTTAAAATACTAAATAGGATGAGTTTGATAGTCTATATAATCAATCTGCTAAACAATTCCTATTCCTTACAAATTATTTTTAGCCTTATAATATTTTTTTACTTAATATCAGATTTATTCCATCATAAATAATCAAAATTACTAATAAAACAAGGATCTCTTTTAATTGCCTTACAATTAATTTAGCTGATTATCACACAAAAATTGCAAAATATCTTATTTAAAATAATTATAAATCACTTTAATAATGATATTTAATCATTTTGAGATGTTTTCATTAAAATACAATAAGAATGAGTTTCTAATATTTAAATGGAAGAAGATCTTGATAGTATTTTATGTCTTATTGACGAACTCAAATCTGAAGACTACACAGTCAGACTTCACGCTATCAGCAACCTCGAACAAATTGCAACTGCTATTGGTGACGAAAGAACTAGAGAAGAATTAGTTCCATATTTGACTGAGTTATTAGAAGATGACAATCAAGAAGTCCTTCTTGCAATTGCTGTAAGACTAGGTGATCTCTCCAAACATGTTGGCGGCGCAGAACATATGGCTTGTCTGCTCTCGCCTCTTCACAATTTGGCAAGCAATGAAGAATCTACTATCCAAGAAAAAGCCATTGAAAGTTTAAACCGAATTTCTAGCCAACTACCACCTCCTATTTTAGAAGAAAGCTATGTCCCACTTATACAGTCACTAGCGACCAGTGACTGGTATTCTGCAAGGATTGCGTCTTGTTCTTTATTTCACATTGCATTACCCCGCCTTTCTAGTGCGAAACAGAACGAATTATCGCAGCTGTTTGTAGAACTAGCTAAAGATGATACTCCTATGGTAAGAAGATCGGCTGCAAGCAATTTAGGAAAAATATGCCAAACCTGGGACAGTTCTGAGCTTACTAACTCCCCCTTTGAAGATAAATTTTATTTTGGAATCTAAAAATCCTAATTCGTAAATTTGGAATAAAAATTAATATACTTATAATTTATGTTAAAAATGCAAGCTATTTGAGATTACTAAAATTAGTAAGAGATTCCTTATAATAATTATCACTTATACATCAAAAGTGTTTAAAAAACAATTTTTTGGTGAGGTTTTCTTAAAAATATTTTTTTTTAATCTACTCACTTACTGAGGATGAAGTAAGCTTTTTGACGTTTTAAGCTTTGACGATCATGATAGTGTAAAGCAAATGACTTTGGAAAGTGTTTTGAAGATTTTGCCTAAGCATCGAGAATTGATTAGTATTCTTAAAAAGTATTCACGAGACAAAAGCTGGAGAATCCGATATGCTGTTTTAGAAAATTTAAATATAATTATTGAAGCTTTAGGGACTGCTCAAGATTTATTAAACGAAATTACTTCTCTACTGAGCGACTCAGAACCCGAAGTAAAATGCATTGCTTTACTTAAGCTAGAAATTATATTACCTAAAGTAAACGTCGCCACAATAGAAACCCAAATTCTTCCTGCTGTCGAAAAGCTCACAAAAGACACGTCTCTCTACGTAAAATTATCCTTAATGCAGGCCATTTGCAAGTTTTCCACCTATCTTGGTGACGAAAAGTCTATAATAAGGCTGCTGCCAGTTGTTGCCCAACTGGTAAAAGATGACAGCTACGAGGTCCGCATGTCCTTTGCTGAAAATATACAAAATTTCAATGCAGCGATTGGCCAGGATAAAATTTTGCTTTTTTCTGTACCATTATTAATGCAATTGATGAATGACCAACAGTGGAGGGTCCGAATGAAGGTTATAGAGTGCCTACCACAATTAGCAGGACTTCTTGGAGTAGATAAATTTTCTGAACAAATTGCAGTGCCTATGATGAAATGGGTGGAGGACACTGCCTATTCTGTTAGAGAAGCGGTGTTAGAAGCAATTAGTCAGATAACTGGGATTTTTGGCAGCGAATGGACGAAAATTAGGCTTGCACCAGTTGTGATGCAGCTGTCGACGAGCCCGGTTTTTAATAAAAGGATGACAGCTATAAGAGCGGTGAGGAAGTTTACAAAAGTGATTGGGCTGGATGAGTCATTTGAGTGCTTAAAAAGCATAATACACTAAAATGGATAATAAACCAATCCAGCCTCTTAATACTTGTAGCTGGAACTTGTGGAAGGGAAGATTCTACTTGGTAGTGTGTATTCATCAAGTTTTAATTTGTATGTTGAGCACATATCGAATTAGGCCAACCGCAATTCACATCCAAGACAAGGTTTACCCTATGGAAGATGCAGTCTCAGAATTGGAAAGGGGAGCTCTAGCATAGCATGGCATTTGTGTGACAAATCGGGCAGTTTTCCCATCATTACGTCCTTGGCTGCGAGCCAATTGGGTTGACAACCTGATAAGAAAATTAATTTTGCGAATTTTCTGAAAGGGCAACCTTGCTGCATGCTAACTCAGCCCAATACACTCTCTAACTGGTGAGACCCCAGGAGAGAGAATTGTTACTCAGAACAGACACTGCTAGGACAAATACAGAGAAAATAGCTAAACCGAGATTTTATCAATAATCTTAATTAAGTTTTCGTTAAAGTGAGCTTAAAAAGCCTTGCAAATGATAAAGTTCCTAATGTCAGGTTCAATGTAGCGAAAACCCTTATTCCCACCCTCCGTGTGTTAGCAAAACCATTGGAAAAATCCCTATTTTTGTGTAAAAACCCACCTTCCTCAACAAAAAAATTTTATGAAAAAATATTTTTGATATATAAGTGAAATTTGTTATAATGAAATCTCTAGCTGATTTTGCTGATTTTAAATAACTTGCATTTTTAAATATGAATTTTGCAAATTAAAATAAATTTTGCTTTCCAATTTTTTCAATTTGAAGAACCCCTTAGTGAGCGAACAAAAGCTTTGTTTGCTCACGGAGGGGGAGTTAAAGATTTGGCAGGGATTTTTGAAAATAAAAATGATATAAGGAAACTGTTGGGAGGAATGAAAAATGATCCAGATGCAGATGTCAGGTTTTTCGCTGAAGATACTTTAAGATCGTTATAAACTATTATCTTTTAAAACTTTACTCCTTAGATTCACATGTTAGAAAAATATTATGAGGAAGCAGAAGCTTCTATCTGTAAAAAATTTCTTAATTCGGATACATTTGAATAATTTGCTTTAAAAAACAATAAGAATTAATTAAAATCGAGAATTAAAGTAATTCTAATTAAAACCATTTATATAAGGAATTAAAAAGAAAAGCAGTTTCAAATGAATATAATTTAAATTTATAAGCTCTTTATCTAACTGAAAATTTAAAAAATTGCATCTTCAATAGCCCTATTCATAATTTTGCAACTCTATCCTGCCTATATCCTATTTCTGCCTCTCTCTTTAATAAATATAGCATAAATGTCGAGCTTAGAGAATTACATTATTCTCGGACCATTAAATTAAAGAGTTTTAAAGTCTTCTCCGTAATTATTTTTATCTCAGCACACTTTATCCAGAGCCACCTACGTGCTGAACGGAAATCAGCCACTATTTGGAGCAGCGGTCTACTCTATAGATATAGCTTGCGCAATGACACCAAGAGTCTCGATAGGCTAAAAGGGCTCCTCCATCAGATTAATATCGGCGCTATGGATGTAAAGGTTAGCCTGATACCTCATGATTTTTGCAGTGATGAATCGCCATCAAGGACATATTAGTCTCCGCCACAATATTAATTATTCAGACCATTAGGAAGAGGGACATTTGGCCAAGTCAAGCGTAAGCCCTAAACAGTTGCTGAGCACATATTGACCAATGTCAGAGTGGCTATAAAGGTCTTAAAACGCAAAGTTCTAGCAGAAAAGCACATGATCAATAAAGTAAAACGTGAAATCCGAGTCCTCAAATCTTTCCATCACCCTCACATAATTCGGCTTTATGACGTCATATCAACTCCCACCTGTATTTTTCTCGTCATGGAATGTCTCCCAGGTGGCGAACTCTATAATCTTCTCGATCGAAATGGCAGACTGCCAGAAGATCAAGCCCGGCTTTATTTCCAACAAATAATATCAGGTCTTGATTATTGCCATACCCACAGAGTCGTCCATCGAGATATTAAGCCTGAAAATATTTTACTTGACCAGTTTGGGAATATAAAAATCGCTGATTTCGGGCTGTCGAATTTGATGCCAGATGGAGATTATTTGAAGACTTCATGTGGGTCGCCTAATTATGCAGCTCCAGAGGTGATATCAGGAACCCGTTATTGTGGCCCAGAGGTAGATATTTGAAGTGCTGGGGTCGTGCTATTTGCTTTATTGGCAGGCCATTTGCCATTTGATGACAGTAGCATCCCTTCTCTTTTTGCAAAAATTAAGGCATCTAGTTTTAGCATGCCTTATCATTTTTCAGACCCTGTTAAAGACTTAATAGCAAGAATGCTGAAACCTGACCCGATAGCGAGAATGACTATAAACCAAATAAAGAAACACCCATGGGTACAAATGAATTATGATTCAAGGCTGCTAGCTATGAATAGAATTACTTCAAAAAGCTATAGAATAATTGATGAAGAAATCTTGATGAAGTGTCTTGATTTACCTTCAACAAAGTATTTAACAATAGAAGAGTTCAGAGAAAAAATTGTGAATAGGAAAAATGAAAGCTCAGTGGTCTGCTATGAGCTGCTACTTGATAAGAAGCTGAATGAGATGAGGATTAGAAATGGGGATAGGGTGAGCAATGTGACACCGATATTTAAATCAAAAAATACTGATATGTCAAATCTTGAAATTTCAACAAGAGCTTCTTCTTCACAAGGAGAAAATATTGACATTTTATTTGATAAAGATGGAGCACCTGATAACTGGGTGTATGGGTTTCGTACTGATTTAGAGGCTTATCCATTTATGATGACTTTATTCGCTACCTTAAAAGATGCAAATCTTGAGTGGAAGCTTGTTACAAATTTTAAGTTGAGAGTGAGGAGCATTGATTCCCCTTATACACTAAAAATGCAGATCGATATTTATAAGTATCAAAGATCATTTGTCGTTGATATAAAACTACTTGAAGGCACAACTATGGTATTCTTAGAAACACTCCATAGACTGTATACAATCTTATATGATAGAACTTATTCATAGAGTATTATAAACAAAATTATCTTAACCCTGCTCTTAAATGTCTACAAGTAAATGTCTCATCTACATTATCGTTCACAAATAAGCTTTTATAGACTTCATTTTCCATATTCTTTAAATGTGCAGTCATAATAGGGTCTTCTTCTGCTAATTTAGCCTTTTTAATAGGCTGGCCGGCATCTTTGGAATTATTTTTTGATTTTACGAGAGACTTTCTTTTACTTCGTTGCTCTTCTTCGGATTGATTAAGGCTGATAGTTTCTGCAATAGGTTCTCCACATACTAACTCCCCCCCCTCCGTGAGTGAACAAAACCATTAGAAAAATCGCTATTTTTTGCCCAAAAAACCCACCTTCCGTGAGTAAACAAAAATTTTTTTTAATAGAAAAATTTTTTTATGGAAAAAATTTTTATATATAAATGATAATTAGTATAATGAAATCTAGAGCTAATTCTGTTTAATTTTAAACGAATTGCTTTTTAAAACATAAATTTTTATAAATTAAATTAATATTTGCTTTCAAAATTTTGCGAATTAGGATTTTTTTAAAATTTCGAAAACAAAAATTTTTTATAAAATTTATATATAAATTTTTTTAAAAAAAAAAAAATTAACCCCCCTCCGTGAGTGAACAAAAATTTTTTTGTTCACTCACGGAGGGGGGGGATTAAGCAATTTTTGCTTGGTATTTCTTTTAAAGATGCTTCAGACATGACGCAGCCACAATTCCAGTTAATTATGAAGCGATTTGACCCATTAAGTTCTAGACCACTGATAGGACAGATAAAACGATCTGAATCTGGAGCTTGGGCTATATTAGCATCTTTTATATCTTTTAGTTTTGATATGTGCTGAAGAGATTTTGGGAGGGATTTTTGAGATAGAGCAATAAGAAGATTTGGCTTATTGAATAAAAATAGGTGGTTAAATAAAACACTATGTTCCTTTTTAACTTCCCAAAACCTATAAAAATGACTTTAATTTTCATAATTAAATACGGCGTCTTCGTCTGGACATGGCCTCCCGGCCATGCAGCCTCGACTCATATTTAATTATATCCGGCAAGGTTTTAACATTCTAGAGATGGACGGCAATACTAGGCAATTCTGGTGGAGCTCAGAGCCTAGTCCTAGTCTAATCTCAGGGGTGGATTTTTCCTCGTGGGGAAGGAGGGCACGGAGTTGGAAAGGGGAAGCTCAGCAGAGTCCGTTAGGACCAATCGGGCAACTCCCTAGCATGAAACTGGGCGTTACGTCCCAAGCTACGTGCTTTTCCTTTTTTGTATAGCTGACCAGAAAAATCCATTTTTTGGGTTTTTCGGAAAAGCAACCCATGTATCAAGCAAGTAGCTCATCCATGAGCCGTCGAAGCCGGAACACTTTTCCAACGAGCATTTGGAGATCGAAGCAGGGCCATCCCCAGCGACCTGTGGGCCCGATGCGACGAAGGCGAAGTGATAGTACCTGGGGTTGTGACCCCGTAGTGTGGACGTTAAACGTTCTAAATTCTATAAGATAAGATAAGACTTAATTTTCAAAAATTTTTTTTGGCATGAAAAAAGTGCAAACGGCATTGTTTTTGTTATTTTTAGTATGCAATATATACTGTTTATTATAAAATTCAATTATGAGCTTTCTCTACTTAAACTTGCTTAGTCTTGATCGAATAGAGATTTTATATGTACTTTTTTCTTCTATTTTTGCTGTCCTAAAGCACTGTTTTCTGTTTTTCACTTGGAAAAATTCAAAAAACACCGTTTGTACTTTTTTCATGCCAAAAAAAATTTTGAAAAATGCAGTCATTTTTATAGGTTTTGGAGGATTGAAAAAAGCATAGTGCACTTTATTTAACCTCACCCAATCAAAATCCTAATTTGCATGCGACGATAGGAGGTGCAAGAGGTTCTTGAGTTAATGCGCAGAGGCGAGCTCTTGCTGCACGAAGAGCTGCTTTGTCGATTTTAAGAGGTCTTTTCTTGTCTTTTGCTAAATCACTTCGTTTAGCTATAGATCCGCCATCATTTCCCATTTATAAAAGAAAGAAAGAAAGTGGTAAATGCTTTTACTATATAATTTTTTGCTAATAATTTACTTACTCCCCCTGAGTGTGCGAACAAAAAATTTTGTTCGCTCATGGAGGAGGATTAAAAAATTATAAATAAATTTTATAGTAATTTTTTTTTATTCGAAATTTTAAAAAAATTCCAATTCGTAAATACGAGCAGTAAAAATTAATTTAATTTGCAAAATTTATGTTTTAAAATGCAAGCTGCTCAAAATTAAACAGAATTAGCTAGAGATTTCATTATAACAATTATCGCTTATATATCAAGATATTTTTAGTAAAAAATTTTTATTTTTGTTTGCTCATGGAGTGTTTTTTTTGGCAAAAAATAGGATTTTCCTATAGCTTTGTTCGCTCACAGAGATGGGGAGTTAGTTTTCTTTTAATGAAAAGTCGTATTATAATTTTCTTTATAAAAAGGCTGAATCGAACTTCTCGCTATTTTATTTTTTAATATAAGTTAAGCGCAGCTTGATGTCAGCAAGTATGCAAAACTCTCAAGCAGCAATAATTTATGATTGTTTCTTGCTTAATTTGATTACTCAACACTGAAATTTGACTGCTTCGTTATTCTGTAGCTTCTACTTAATTCAGGAGATTTATTATCTTAATTATTTCTTACTCCCCCTTAAAATTTAAATAAAAAGTCCTGTTTCAATTTAAAGAGGGGAGCTTGTATTAAAATTTTTCTTTATAAAAACATTTAATAAATTAATTGAGCTAAATGTTTATGAATTTTAATTTATTTTTATAAAGATTTATTCAAAAAATAACGATTCAGTGCTAAAATTGCTTTAAATAATATTCTACTTGCACTTTATACATAAAATTAGGTCAAAACTATATTTTTTAAAAATTAGTATTTTACCTATAAAATTTTCCTATTGAAAAAAAAATTGTTCCAATTTAAAGAACAAAAAATAGAAATTTTACCAAGATTTTTATTCCAGTCTAAATGGCAGAAATTAGAAATATTATGGCAGAAGAAACATATGCCTTAAACATTTTTGCCTGGGTTTTTTATTTACTGTTTGTAAAAGCACTTTATATATTCTTTGGACTCTACTTTTATCGAAAAAACAAATTCAGACATTTATTCGAGCAATCATCTCAAATACTCACGATCTCCTTAATCACAAATTTAATTAATTCTCAAGTAGCAATTTGTTTATCCTTTGTGACGATATTTGATATGTTTTATATACCTCAAACTATAATTCCGATTTATATTCTTTATGGTTTAACTCATCACATATATTATATTGTGAACTTATTGAGGATGTATCGATTAGGACTTCTTGATAGAGTTAAATCAGGAGAAATAAAAAACTATGAACACTATTTAAAACTAAGAAAAAGAATCGAAAACAAATGAAATTTCAAGATTATCACTGTTTACTCACTAATTATTGTATCAATTAGCTGCTCAATGTTCATTCCTAGCATTATATATCATTCAGAACATTTTATTGATAGCATTTTTGAAGGGACTTATTTTATATGGTGGTGCTTTGTTGTTGTGATGGAAGAAATTGGATATATGATCTATATTTATAAAATCCGCAAAGTTCACAGAAGATACCACATAAAGCTGGAGTTATATTTATTTTTAGCTATATGGGCAATAGGCTTAATTGCTCCTTTTGCCAATTTTGTATCATTTTATTTATATACAGTCCCAATCAGGAACTTATTAATGTTCGTAACCTCTCATATCTGCTTATATGAGGAATCCAAAAAATTAAAATCAGAAGTTCCTCTGCCAAATTTAAATGATTCTAGACTGATTGCAGAAAGTGCAGTTGTCTATAATCATTTCAGTAGGTATATATCGAGAAGCAAAAACAAGAAATGACAGTTTTATTTGGAGCTGCTAATGCTGATCAATATATATAAACTGCATCCAAACACTCGAGAAGGACTAAATATATATGAGGAATATCTAAAAGAAAATGAGCTCATAAGTGAAAGCTTAGCACGGAAGGTCAGAAAAATAATTTAGTTTAGTTTAAAAAATTTCTTTAGCACTACAGAACCTATAAGTCTTCTTTCCTTGAGGTCCAGCTACGATAAAAGCCTCAGCACAGACCTCTTCACTTCAAGCCGAGACTCTCAAGAAGCTTAGACTTCTCTCGCAAATCTCAGATTGTAGGGTAGCCTGATGAACAGGACTAGGACCCTACCCCTAGCTGCCATTTTAAATATTGTGTAAAAAATAATAAAACTCTGATCCGTATTTTCAAAAAGAAGATACAGCTTTATTTGATTGTGTTGAACTTTTTTTGACTCATTTTTTTAATAATGAGGTATTCCCGGAGTTTCATAAGTCGAATGACTTTAAGAAGTTGCAGGAAGAAACAGATTACAATAATCAAATGATAGGCCTTTATTAGTATGTTTTATATCAAAAATTGTAGAATAACTATTTGTTCTTAACATAATTATAAATGCTATATTTAGCATTGGTTCATAAAATCAAATATCAATTTTTTCCCAAGCATTTTATTGGCAGGATTTATAATGTTATATTAGTTAATTTATCTAAATTAATGCGCAATCATTTGATTTATCCACTGAGCATCGACAACTTCTGCTTTTGATTCAAAGCGAATTCTCTGTCCTAGGTTTAAAATATGTGTTACATCTTTTGTTAAACCATTTCTGACTTCTCCTCCATGAGCCTCTATTTTCAGCTGATACAGCTCAACCCACAGATCTCTGCCGTTAAAAAGAGGATCAGGCAGATCAGATTTATAAATAAAAAAAACTTTGCTTAAAAACTTATAAGCAGGAATCCTAAAAACATTTGCTTTAATTTCCTCACTCCCCTCCTCCTATGAGCGAACAAATTTTGTTTTTAACAATTTGAATTAAATTTTATAATAATTTTTTCTTACTCCCCCCCCTCCGTGAGTGAACAAAACCATTAGAAAAATCCCTATTTTTTGCCCAAAAACCCACCCACCCTCCGTGAGTGAACAAATTTTTTTAATAGAAAAATTTTTTATGGAAAAAAAATTTAATATATAAATGATAATTAGTATAATGAAATCTAGAGCTAATTCTGTTTAATTTTAACGAATTGCTTTTTAAAACATAAATTTTATAAATTAAATTAATATTTGCTTTCCAATTTTTGCGAATTAGGATTTTTTAAATTTCGAAAAAAAAATATTTTTTATAAAATTTATATATAAATTTTTTTAAAAAAAAAATTTAACCCCCCTCCGTGAGTGAACAAAATTTTTTTGTTCACTCACGGAGGGGGGGGAGTTAAAATTTAAAAATTCTAAATCCCATACCGCAAAAATCGGAAAGTGGTAATTAATTTAATTTTTATACATTAAATATTTTTCATAATATAAAAAAATTATTTGCGCTCACAGAGAATGGATTATTTTCAAATTTTTTTTCGCTTTTCGGAGGAGGGCGAGTCAGGAATTCGATTTCATCAATTGCTCTCAATCGTTTTTTTAACCTGATTAAGCTCCCTTTCAGGGAAATTTTTAGCAATTTCTAATAGCTCATCAACTGATCTATAAGGAATACTTAAAGAGTCTCCATACTTTGTAAATTCTTTTTCAAAATAATTCCTTGTCTCGTCGCTCGCATGGAGCACATATTTCGGTCTTAATTCCATTTTTTCTTGATATTTAACACAATCCACCAGCCAATCTGGAGAAAGAATATCCAAGCCATATTTTTCTATTAAATTTCTGACTTTCATTGACGAAGAATCAGACGCTATTATATGTGTAACAGTCGGCAAATAATTCTGGACCTTTCTGCCTCCATTTTCTACGATTTTTATTTCCAAATCACTCTTATCATATCCTCTACAAGAAACAATAAAAAACTCACACCCATCAAAAATAGCCGATGTAGGTATAATTTCTGATGTATCAGTGTCCATAAATTGTGGCATTACTTGTCCTTTTGGGATGGTTTTAATCTCTCTTTTCCTTTTTCTGGTAGGCTCATCTTCTATTTGGACAGCATCAATTCTTGCTGTTGGCTCAGTTATTCCTCGCTTGAAGCTGTCAATAATAGTTTGGACTTCAGTCATACTTGTGGCTTGGTCCCAATTTTTGTCATATCTGATTCTCGCAACTTTTGGAAATCTCAATGTGTTGTTTGATGGGAATTTTTCAGATGGAACGATCTCGGCTGCTTTTACTTCAAGGATAACTGATTTTGAAGGGTCGTTTATGAAGTAATCAGGCCTCTCGCCAGGTCCTGGGACTCATTTAGGCCAATATGGAGGTGACTGTCGGAAAGGTTTCCATTGGTCTCTTAGTCTTCTTCTAAGTTCGCCTAGTTCAGGTATAGAATACCCTGTTCCAACTTTTGTGATAGGGACAAATTTGCTTTTAAGTGGATCTTTTAAGTCGATTTTGCTTGGTGATGCCAGTAAAAATACAGTGATATGGTCAAATTCATCACCATCCCCAGTCCTATGACCACTTCCATAATAGCCTCCAACTATTAGAAAATCTAAAGAGTCACTTAGCCCATCAAAATAGTCACTTTTCATTTTTAGCCACAAAGAGCTTCTATCATCAGGAATATAAGGAGAATCCACTCTTTTTATAATAAGCCCTTCTTCATTTCTTTCAATAGCTACATTAAATTGGTCAAAAACCATTTTCGAACCTTTTACTTGTGAAAATTTCACTTTTTCAAGTCTTTTAGGGACATCAGTTAATGTCTTGTCTAAAATCTGCTTTCTGTCACTTAAAGGCTTTGGCATAAGATCATGCTTTGTGCCATCTGCTGTTTCTATATATAAAATGTCAAAAACCATATAGCAAAGACATTTTCCTGGAGTGTTTTCATTAGCAACAGTTTTATTTTGTCCAAAAGAGGCAGGAGCGTCAAGACCTAGATCCCAGACTATGAGCTCTCCGTCTAGAATGCAAGCATTAACTCCGTGGACATTTTCTAGAATTAATTCTCTTACTCCCCCTTTGTGAGAGAATAAAACTATAGGAAAAATCCCTATCTTTTTGGGTCAAAACCCTCTCTCCATGAGCTAGCAAAAATTTTTTTAATATATAATTTTCTTATGAAAAAAATATTTTTTGATATATAAGTGATTAAATCTCTAGCTAATTCGGTTGAATTTTAAACAGCTTGCATTTTAAAAACATAAATTTTTTTTAAATTAAATTAACTTTTACTTCTCAATTTTTTCTAATTGCATTTTTTTAATTTCAAAAAAAAAATTTGCATAATAAATTTAAAAAAAAACCTCCATGAGCGAACAAATTTGTTTGTTCGCTTATGGAGGAGGGAGATAGACTTCTCCCATACATCATTGTATAATCAACTGCATTTCTACTGAAAAATTTAATATTGCCATCAGAGCAATAATGGCATTGGATTCTTTCTCCATCAAATTTTGTTTCAACATAAACTTCTTGGTTTATTAGTAATTTTTTTAGTTCCTGGAATGGCTTTCTCCCAGCAAGCATTGGTCTTATTGGCTGGCCCCATGTAAAAAGTTGAACTCCAAGCTCAATGTTTTTATCTTTTATACTATATTCAGTTAATTTTTACACAATTTTCTATAAGAATTCTATTTTCTATATAAATTATGGCACCTTAACATTTTCTTTTATATTTTCAAGGAGAATAATTTTGTAAAGACTTCTCTTAAATTGTTTGTATTATAATAAATTTCAAGCGCTTTATCATGAAAAGAACTTAAAAGCTTCTCGTGTGTCCCTAGTTTCATATCTTTCAGAATGATCTTCACAAGTCATTTCTGCTCAATAGCGCTCATTCTTCTAACTAACTCAGATAAAATTTTTTTCTTTGCTGGCTTATCAAGCGCATTGGCCAGGTCGTCGAGATAAGCATTGATTTCTTCTACTGTAAGATTTTGAGAGTCTCCTACACGATTTCTTATTATGAACTCTAAGACCTCCACAAATCCTCCAGCTGGACAGCCGGGTAATTGCTTTTTTGGGTCTTTGAAATGGATTAAAGCTTCTTTTTCTCGATTTGGGAGGCTGAGAAGCTCAGCGTAATATTTCGCTAAGGTGACTTCCTTAAGCCATGTGATTGAATGATGTCGGGAACAACCCACCCTCTTAACTCCTGTAGCTGGCACCCGATAGGGTGAGCAGGGATCTTCAGGAAAGGAGCATGACGTCCAGGAATGTGTATCCAACAAGATTTTCCTGGTTTGGTGAAGAACGTCAGGCAAGCCAATCGTAAGTTTCTTCCAGGTCCAGATTTTTGCCCCTGAGGAAATGAGTTGGAAAAGAGATCACAACAGAATCTGTGGTATGTTTCCTAGCCAATCGAGACTATTCCCCAGCGCGAAGTTGGGAGTAATACCCCAGTCATCGAATTTCAATTTTTGGCCGAGATTCAACTAGAAAATTCACTGTTTTGAATTTTCATGATGGGCAACCTTTGTTGACGTATGGGGCAGTGGTGTGACTCATCCACAAGTGCAGCCTTGTCTGCAGGAGTTTCTCTTTTGCAAGCCGTGCACTAACTGGCCAGCAGGACAAGGAGCGTTTTAAGGGGTGAAGACAGTCCTTCTGGAATTACAGAGGGCTTACCAATAAGTAAGATAATGATATAGTAAATTGCCCGAGGATGGCGCAAGAGTCATCCTCGGGCAATTACAATAAACTTTCTTTAAGCCCGTATTGGCCTCTTTCCATATCAAAATTCGGAATCATTAGTCTGACAATTGGAAAGAAATTCGTGACTTTTGAGTGCTCAAAAAATTCTTTTAAAGCTTGAGTTTTTCTTTTCCCTTTGATGCCTGAAAGCTTTTCCATAAAATCGCAAATACGGATAAAAGGAACGCTGCATTTGTTGTCTGCTTCCCCCATTTTAATTATTTTAATACAGAAATGTACAGTATTGAATTTACTTTAAGTAGATTTTAAAATTGTAGGGTCAAAGAAGTTAAAAAATTTAATTTGCTAACTCCCCCCCCCCCCTCCGTGAGCGAACAAAACCATTAGAAAAATCGCCATTTTTTGACCAAAAACCCACCCTCCGTGAGTGAACAAAAATTTTTTTAATAGAAAAAATTTTAATGGAAAAAATTTTGATATATAAGTGATAATTAGTATAATGAAATCTAGAGCTAATTCTGTTTTTAATTTTAAACAAATTGCGTTTTTTAAAACATAAATTTTGCAAATTAAATTAATATTTGCTTCCCAATTTTTGCAAATTAGGATTTTTTAAATTTCGAAAAAAATATTTTTTATAAAAATTTATATATAAATTTTTTTTTAAAAAAAAAAAAATTAACCCCCCTCCGTGAGCGAACAAAATTTTTTTGTTCGCTCACGGAGGGGGGGGGGGGAGTAAGGAAAAGCATTGGAAAGCTAAACTTTTTGAAATTAATATTGATTATAAATTTTATTCAAAAATGTGATCCATGGCCAAAAAATAGCCTTATAGGGCTATTTTCAGAGAAAACCCATAATATAAACTGGATACAATGTATTTGAATTTTATTTATTTTATGAAGAATTAAATCGAAAAAATTCGTTAATCAATGTGTAACTTGTTTAAATATTATTCCCTTTATTAAATTAGATCAAAGCTATATATATAATAATTATTAATATCACCTATAAAAAATTTCCATTAAAAAACTAAAATTTTGTTCTCAATTATAAGTAGGGTTTAATTTATCCAAAAAATAGAAAATTTTACAGATATTTGTTCATATTTAAAGAGGGAAGTAAAGAATAAGTTTTGCATGCAAAACGATAAGTGGTCGCATTAATTTGGTTTTGAATTCTACAAGCCAAGTGGATTTTAACATATTAAGATTTGAAATTGCCAGGTCTTCGTGCATTTCTTCGTTTTGGCAATCTATACCCCAAAGCGAAATTAACATTACATATATAAAATATCCGATTTATATATTTAGAAAAATAAATACGAATGCTAGATTTAATTTGCTTGCTCTCCCTCTCCCTCTCCGTAGCTACAAAATATTTTTATGAATAAAATAGAGATATAAACTATAATAATTAAAATTTCCAATAGTGGTTAGCATACATAATAAAATTTGATGCACAAATAATCAGTTGAATTCATATTTTTTGATTCTTAAAGGATTCTGTTAGCGTACAAAATAAATGCTAAATTTTTATCTTAACGTATTTAACAAATCCTTAATACTCAGAAAATGGTAAAAAATTTTTACAATCCTATCTCAATATCAAATTTTTTATTATAGAGTAGTTTCTTTAGAAATCCAAAAAACCAGTGCTTTTAATGGACTGGTAGTTTTCATTGATGGACGCAGGAAAATGTCATAAATAATAAAATGGGTACATGCACTTCTAAAGAAGACCAGGCCGCTACTAATAAGCCAGTTCACATCAGAGTTCCAGATTTTGACTATCTCAACCGTGCCAAAAAATTGATCTGTCACGTGACGCCAGAATCGGTCGAAAAGCACCAGTTTAAGTCAAAAATCAAAATCCGAGCTGACTCTACCGTTGGCTATCTTTCAAACGACAGAATGATGGTTGTTGGAGGCAGCGACAGTTCTGGATACTCTACAAACAATGCTTGCATCATTGATAACAAAAATAAAAGCGCGACTATAATTGCTCGGCTTCCAATTTCTGCTAAGGAAGGAGCTCTATTGGAATATAATGAGTGGGTATTTTATGTTGGAGCTGTCATAGAAGATGAAGAATCCATATTATACTTAGTTATCAAGAATAGTCCATTAAGGAACATTTTTTGGTTGGCCAGGCAATAAGCTGGCTTGCCAAATTCGTAGGCGCCATATTTTCTGGCTAGCCAAATTTAAGAATGGCGAACCAAAAAATGCTCCTTAGTGGGATATTCTTGGCAAAAAGGTATAGGAGTTTCTGGAGCTCCAGTTATGAGATATAATCTAAATGAAAATTACTGGGAAGTATTTATCCATGAAGAAAAAAAGAAAAAATCTAGGCACCATGAAGACGAGCCCAACCCCAATATAAAAGAATTCAGGCTCAAAGATTTATTGTATCCTGGGTGCTTTATTATTCACTCAAAAATCTATTTTGTTGGTGGACAAAGAATCAACTCAAAAGGGAAGCTTAGGTCAAGCAAAAAGATGTTTTCGCTAGACTGTAAAAACCTTAAAGTGAAAAAAGAAGATATTAGATTGCCTATAAAAGTTATTAAGCCAGTTTGTGCATCAGGATCTGGGCATGCTATTATCGCAGGAGGAGAAAATCCTAAAACTAAAAAACATAGCCAGTACTGCTATCTGTTTTCTCTTGATCCTCAGCCAGATTTCAAACTTATGGAAGTCATTGGCTTTTCACTCACAGAAGAATATCCAGCTATTTATATCCCAGGTAGAGGGCCAATATTTATTAACTACCCAGGAGCTGCGTTTAAAGACAAACACGCTGCTAATTGGCATCGTTTAGATATCGCCAAAATTGCCAATGATGACGATAACCAAATCATTAGCCACCACAAATATACAGTAGAAAAAGCGACTTCAAGTGAAGACCCTCACGAAACTTATATGAAAATGTCTGTAGAAGTCGAAAAATCAGAAAAAAAGCAGAAAAAAGTAGAAACAAAACAAATTGACACAAAAATCGAGGTCGGGAAAGAAAATGGTAAAAAAGGTGCATTGGAGGAGCCTGAAGCTGAAGCAGAGGTAAATGCTGGGAAAAAAGGTGGAAAAATGAAGGTCCAGTTTGAAGAAAACTCAGAGGTAAAGGTGAGCAAAAGGAAAAAGAAGATAGAGGTAGAAGTTGAACAAGAAATAATCGAAAATAATGAAGAAGAGGAAAGAGTGGAAAAGAAAAAAAAGAAGAGAAAGCATCATTCGAAAGGAAGCTCTGATGAAAATAATGCAGCAGTTGAAGTAGATGCTGAAATTCCAGGCCTAAAAGCAGGCAAAGCTCCTGTATTTAAAGCTGAGGTCAAGGTATCGAAGAAGAAAAAACATTCTGAAGACTAGCTAAGAGCTAAATATTAAACAAATTTATATAAATTCTTGCAAGTCTCCTAAAATCGATTATTTTTGTATCATGGACAATTTCAATAAAATCTGTTAAATTAAATAAAACGTATTAATTATAAAACCAAGATGAACCAAAATAATCCGTATTTTTTATGTAGCGATTACGTATTTAAGCTTGTTATTATTGGCGACTCAGGAGTTGGAAAATCATGCCTTCTCATTCGATATGCCGAAAACACTTTTGCAGAGACTCACGTAGCTACAATTGGGGTCGATTTTTTGCTGACTCACCCCTCCGCGAATAAAAAAAAAACTATTCGTAAGGAGAGTTAATTTTATTTTTTAAAAAAAATTATATGTAAATTTAGAGTAAAACTTTTTTTGGAAGCAAAATTAATTTAATTTATTTTTTTATAAAAAAATGATGTTTAAATTTAACAGAATTAGTTAAAGGTTTCATTATAATAATTATCACTTATATATCACAATATATAAAAGATTTTTACATTAAAAAATTTTTGTTCACTCGTGGAGTTTTTTTTTTACCTAAAAATATGATTTTTCCAATCGTTTTATTATTCGCTCACGGAGGGGGAGTGAGAAATCTTTCAATTGATGGCGAATCAGTGAGGCTACAAATAGTATTTTTAACATAGTGAGATACAGCTGGCCAAGAACGCTTCCGAACAATAATAACAGGTTATTATAGGAATGCTGACGGAGTTATTTTTGTTTTTGATAAAACTAAAAGAGATAGTTTTGATCATATTGAAGATTGGCTTAAAGAGGTAGAACGATACTCCAGCGCAAAAGTTGTGAAAGTTTTAGTAGGCAATAAAGCTGACCTGCAGCCTCATGCAGTTACAACTGAAGAAGCCAAATTAAAAGCAGACCAATTAAATCTTGAATATATAGAAGCAAGCGCAAAGAGCGCATTTCAGGTCGATTTGATTTTTGACTCAGTTGCAAGAAAAATCATACAAAAAACTCATGAAGCAGGAATTGTGCCTTTGCCAGAGCCAAAAAACAAATTAAGCTCAAGTGCCTCAAAACAAACTCAAGGTTGTTGTTGGTAAGACTAAGTTTAATATTAAATATGAAACTCATAAAGCTACTAATAAAATGACTTCAGTAAAGAACGAAAGCAAAACCCTCTATAAAGAAAAAGAGCAGCGATCACGTACTTTAAGTAAAAAAAATAATTTGCCAGTAGTATCTCGCATAATTCAAACTAGGAAATTTAAATTCTTCGAAGAAGGAAAAAACCCATCAAGTTCTGCGCCGAATTTTTTAGCTAAAAAAGAAAATAATTTTTTTGAAATTTCTAAGCCATTTGAAAGAAAAATTCAATTGCCATTGCTGAAAAGCACAAAAATCCAGAATAAAGGAAAGTTTGGCTCGATGTCGAAAACTGTTCCTTTTGGGGAACGGCTTTTTATAGCAGATAGTGATTACCCTGATGTAATTTCATGTTTGAAATCAAGAGGATGAAGAGAATGCCAGGAATTGAATAAAGATAGATGCATTTTAAAATTTCTGAAAAATCCGAAACTCCCTGAATCTATTAAACCTAATCAAATTATTAACCATTTGTCAAGAATTGACGAGGTCTCCACAAAAGTAAAAATCTGCAGAAATTTGAAAAAATTCCCTATAAGCTATGATTTTTTTCCCGAATGTTATATTATTAGCCCAAAAGATTCAGCGGATGAGTTTATAGAGGCTTTTAAGAGAAACCAAGCAGAGTCTATATTAAAGCTTTATAAAGAAAACGAAAGCCAAGTAACTCATGATGATTTAATCAAATCGCTAAATATTATACAAAGAAAAATAGAAGAAAAACCAATAAAAAAAGGTATAGAAAATTATAATAGCCTGGTAGAAAATTTTTTAAAAGTCCTGGAAAATGATAAACAGTATAAAATTAGAGGAACAAAAAACATATGAATTGTAAAACCAGGGTTTAAATCAAGAGGAAGAGATATAATGCTATATAGGTCACTTGAAGAAATTTTGGAGTACACTAAAAACAATTCTTGGGTTATCCAAAAATATATAGAAAACCCTCTGATTATAAACAAATATAAATTTGATATCCGCCAATGGGTATTGGTCACTTGTTTCTCTAATTTTGAAATATTTTTCTATAAGCAATGCTATTTGCGTTTTTCAGCTAAAGAATACGATTTATCTGAAATTAATGACCTATATATTCATTTAACAAATAACTCTATAGCAAAATATAGCCCTCTGTTTAGCCAGAATGAAAGTATGTGGCATATTGATCAATTTCGCCAATGACTAATAGAAAAAAATAATGATGATATATGAGATAAATCTATACTACCTAAAGTCAAAAACATTGTATTAAATACAATTAAGTCAGCTAAAGAAAAAATTTCTGCGAAAAGAAATACTTTTGAGCTCCTTGGGTTTGATTTTATGATTGATTCGGATTTCAAGCCTTGGCTAATAGAAGTGAATACTAGTCCTGCCATGGATTATAGCACAGTAAGATATATTTAGAACATAACTAAAGAACTTGTCCAGCAAGTACTTCCAGACACTCTAAAAGTGATATAGCATCTGAAATATTTTAGATCATTATTGACCATACATTTTAATTTTTCAAAATTAATTTATATTTGCCAGCTTTTTTGAAAAGTAAAAAGGAAAACGAAAAATCCGGTTTATGGTTTTAAGATGCCTAATCAGACTTAGACTGCATAAGGCAGGTGCCCCTGAACCATATTTTTCTTATCGGTATTCTGTTGGGGCATAGCAATCTATTATGGTGCATAAACTATACTTGATTATGACTTTGGCTTCATCCAGTGAATTTATCTCAGCAAAGATGGAGGAGTATTCAAACTCAGCCATCCTTAACGCTTGATTTCCATCAGGGGAAATATCATTTCTGGAATCCAGCGACCAACCCAAAGTTGTGGAGTCTGATCTTTGTGAATGCTTGACAGACTAAGTTGGTAAGCACGAAAGCTGGAAGAAAGCCTCTAATTATTAGAAAATAAGCTTGAGCTAGTGAAACAAGTAAGTGATCAGTAGCTCCACAAGTAACTTTTTCGTGAAAGCCCTAACGTAAGTAACATAAAACAAAGGCGTTAAACTTTAAATTAATTAAATTGATACTTGATTATTCTTCTGACCCAACTGCATCAATTGGAGGCTTCGAAAAGTTATCACAAAGTTTATAATAAATTAAATTAATAAGATTTCGAATATTTTTTTACCCAAATATAAAATGCTGAAATATTTGTAAGAAAAGGTATGACGTATACTAATAAGATGCTTGCCCAATGCTTTATTCTTCTTTCCCATATGGATTGATAGCAGAAATAAGGGGTATTTGGATGAGAGAAAAGGTCGCTGATTTTTAAGGAGTGATGCAACTGAATGCTGCCAAAGGAATCTCTGAGATCAATATTAATGCTATCATTTGATATTTCAATAGAGGCAAAACTTCTATCGTAAATTCTACTACCAATGTTGTATGTGAAGGGGTAACAGGCTTCAAGATATAAACTTGTGAGGAAGCCATATTGGGTATTAACAGAGTGAGTTAACCCACTTGAGACTATTTCATAGATAGGGTAGCTATAACAGTCAATTTTTATATTGCTGTATATTGAATTTCGCATAATTAATTATAAAAAATTAAATCTATTATTAATGCAAAATAAAGTAAAATTTCAGAATGATGAACGTCTCCAGTTACCAAAATAACTCCAGGTTTGCTATCAAGAATATCTAGCATTCTTTTTCTGCCTTTTTCGAACCACTTTTCAGTCACTGTAATTCTGTCTTCAACATTGATTTGCAGCCCATTCATAACTAAATATAAATCAGCTTTATCGTCAAGCTCATTTTTAAGCCACTCCCATTGTATTTCTCCTAGGTTATCAGAATCTGGTCCTGGGGGATCTAAATAAGTCCTATCATCCAGCAAAATAACTTTTATTTTCTTCCCATTTTCAATAAAATCATAAGAATCATAAATTCCTTCTCTTTGGTATCTGATGCTGTTTTTAGGCTCATCAATAAAATCAAGAAAAAGTTCTTTAGACAAGCTTTTATAAGGATAGTATTTATTTTCATTATTTTTTCCGTAATCGTGGTCATCTCATACACCTAATATCCTTATAGATTCTCGCAGCTCCTTGTAGCCTTCAGCATTTTTTAGAGTTGCATATTTCTTTTTTCATTCTTCTTCAGTTGCAGACCGGAAAACAAGTGGCAAAATCATTTGATCAGCATAAATTGCATCTCCAAGTCATATAAATGCGTCAGGATTAAGAGCCTTTATTGATTTTCAGATGTCTGGGTTTGATGCACCAAAAAGTCCTGCACATGAACCAACAGTTAATAGCAAAGCTGTTGCTTTATAGATTGTAAAAATAAGCCAAAGTAGTAATGCCATTTTAAGTTTGCAAAGATAAGATTTTCCAGTTGTTTAATAAATAATGTTTAATTAATTGAATTATTTATCTTATTGATAGCAACGCAAGCTTTACATTTATGAATATATTTTTTAATTTCTATTAATAAGATAGATTTATATTATATATAATAAGCAAATAGTATTAGGGGTATCATATTTTTAGTTCAAAATTATTTAAACTACACTGGAGTAGTGTGGGAAACTTAATTAACTGTAAGAATTATCTTTTTAGTACGTCGTCTAAGAATTTATTTTAATTATGCATTATTCAGCCTAATGTAACTTGGAACTCTTTAATTTTAACTGAAAAAGGAATTACATGATTATTTTAATCTGAGAGTTTATTAAATCATTACAAATAACCCGGTTGCAGAAATAAACTACAGAGAAAGATGGCAGAGCTCTTCAAAGGCTACGAAAATGATTTCTCGAAATACATTGCAAGTGCCAACAAAAAGATAGCGCTACTCCCTTCAGCCCCAAAACCAGACGCAATCCTGGCAGAGGCTAGGCACGATATTCAAGATGCAGAGCATTGGCTCCGACAAATGGAAAGTGAAATTCTAACGATGCCAGCTCAGTTATCATCCCAATATCAGCCTCGTCTTAAAAGACATCAAGAAAATTTATTCTTTTTTGTATAAATCCACTATTAAAATCTTATTTTTTCCTATAAAATCTTTTTTTCTTTTTTATTCCTTAATTAGCACTAATCCTATATTGCAACTTAAAAAATCCCTAAGCTCTGAACAAACTCGCAAGAACAAAGTTGATTTAATGGGGAAAACAGGCCCTGATTCAAGAGAAAAGCTTCTCAATTCAAATGAAATTCTCCAAGAAAGCGGCGACACACTTGAAAGAACTTACAGGCTCGGACTTGAAAGCGAACAAATAGCTAGCGACGCTCTTGGAAATTTAAAAGGCCAAAGAGTTCAAATACAGAAAATAAATGAAAAAGTGAATGATGTCGGAAGCAACGTGAACAAGGCTAATAGGGTTATTGGGTCTATGAATCGAAGAAGAATATGAATGAAAATTATAATGCTCATAATTATTGTACTTTTGATGGTTGCGTGTGCGGTGGCTCTATACATCAAAGTTGGATAGCTTATAATTAACTTTATAATAAGTTTAACATAAATATAAATAATTACTCTCCGGAAGGGGGTTCAGCAGATGTTATTCGGCTGCCTATGAATTTTGGCCTTTTAACCTTTTTTAGGCAAGCTTTTCCAGGGTTTCCAGCTTTTCTTTTGATAGGAGGCTGCAAATCAAGTTCTTGCAAGGGCGCATCTTTTATTTCTTTGTCTTTCATCACCATATTCATAAGTTCAAACGTCCCTTTTAGCGACATAGAGCATACTGCCACATAAGTTAATTTCTGAGGATTAATTTTTTCTACAAAGGTTTGCATTTCATAGTAATTCGAATGCAAAGAATAAGGAACTTTCTAAATGAATTTTACATAGAAATATTTTCCATCCTTGCTGTAATACTTATACCACCCAGATAGGAAAATCCCTATAGTTGAAGATCCTTCTTTATTCCTTGGGATGATATTTTTCATTTCTGCTTTTGATACTACGTGGATCCAGCCATCCTCTTCATTAGTGCTGAATAAGTCAGGCCTGACATTTAAAAGCTGGATTCTGTTGAACATTGATTGGTTAACTACAATTCGTGTATTGAAATGGAGTGAAAGGTCAATTAATAGATGCTCTCTTCCAAAATTCTCAATAGCAAGCCATATGTCAGATTCTGGGTTTTCATCAATTGCATCAATTATCATTTGAGTGCATACTTCTCTTGGAGGGAAATTATATTCTGGGCTACAAAATGTATTGTCCAGAAACAAATGATTTATGGTAATTGCCTGTCCTGAACTGTCAAGCAAAGCAGGGTGCTCAAGCATCGACGGAATATACCTAAAATCCCCAGTATGAAGAACAGTCCCCATTTCGCCTTGAAACAAAATCATAACAGCTCCTATACAGTGGTTTGCATCAATAAACGTCACATTGACTCCTTTGCTTTTTTGCGTGTTCAGAGGAACCCAATGCGTTTCTCCAATTTCTAATGCAAAAATATTTGGAATATCCGGGAATCTGTCATGCAGCATAAGTGCAGTTGGCGGGGAACAATAAATAGGCCCACGATTTCAAGAAGGTGAAAGTCCTTGATAATGATCAGAATGCATATGCGTTAAAAAGAATACGTAGAAAGGATTTTCCAATTCTGCTGAGTGTTTAAACCCATCTACTACAATATTTGTATTTGGAATCAGTACCATTTCTTTATATTCTTTTATATATAAATTTTTATTTTTCAAAAAGACTTGAGTTTTAAGCCAATTTTTTTTAAAAAGTTTTATCTGGCAATATTAATTTTTAAATCAAAGGGTTCTTATAAGCCTAAATAATTAAAGTTTTGGAGATTTAGGGAGAATGTCAGGAGTGAACTTGCTAGCCTTTGCCATGTTTCCTTTAATTTTCATCTTTCCTTGCATAAAAGCGACTTGTGGGTTGAGCTTGCCTTGTGCGACAGCAATTAAATCGTCATCGGTCATGGTGAAGGTGGCATCTGCGGTTCCAACTCTTCCTTTAGCGAATGACCCTGATCCGTTCTTAAGATCAATTGTAAAAACAACTGGCTCAGCACCAGGTGCAGGGAGAATTTCAAAGTGATAGACTGCTCCAATCTTCTTGACAAGATCTGCGCCGTTTGTTTGGAGAATTGGTGCCATCTCGCTGAAAAGCTTTTCGGATTTAAGAGCCATAATTTTTTATCGCCATGTTTTTGTGTGATGACGGCACTAGCTCTATGAATAAAAAAGTATAAATTGATTTACAGATATTTATTTAACTCCCCCCCCCCCTCCGTGAGCGAACAAAACCATTAGAAAAATCGCCATTTTTTGACCAAAAACCCACCCTCCGTGAGTGAACAAAAATTTTTTTAATAGAAAAAATTTTAATGGGAAAAAAATTTTGATATATAAGTGATAATTAGTATAATGAAATCTAGAGCTAATTCTGTTTAATTTTAAACAAATTGCGTTTTAAAACATAAATTTTGCAAATTAAATTAATATTTGCTTCCCAATTTTTGCAAATTAGGATTTTTTTAAATTTCGAAAAAAAAAATTTTTTTTATAAAATTTATATATAAATTTTTTTTAAAAAAAAAAAATTACCCCCCTCCGTGAGCGAACAAAATTTTTTTGTTCGCTCACGGAGGGGGGGGGGGAGTAAGGAATAATGGAAAATTAAATCATTAAAATTTTTCATTTTTAAAAAATTATTTTATTACAAATATGAATTTATAGAAAAAATGCTTATGCCAAGATGGAGGAAAATATTATGTTAATCTTAATACCGTTCATCCTGACAGGACTGGGATTCGCACCATTAAGTACTCTATGTCCTCAACGGGACCCCAGTAGAAACCCTCCTCGACACCGTATGCTAGAGATTCGCACATACTGTCTTGACTCCCCATCGCCTGGGTCGAAACTCCCAGTTTCTCGTTAGGTAGATGTCATCCTCTCGAGGCTTTACTGGTCTTGCTCTTTCAAAATTATAGTATCGGAGGCAAAATCCCAAGTCCTAAGAATTAGCTTCCTAAAGCTCGAGCAAAGCCTAGCCCGACATATATAAAAGATTATTATTTCTTTTTACTTTTTCACTCCATATTGAGTTATTGCCTACTAGTGTTAAAGAAAAAGGGTAAGGAGTTTAGGTGTTTTGTAGTCACCCATTTTTATGTATATGGAGTAGAATATTATAAATTTTTTTTTATAATTATTAGTTAATTTTATCCCTTAAATTATATATGCTCATTAACAGAATGGAGAATAAGAACAAAATGAGACCTTTTTTGGGCTAATATTTTGATATTTGCTATTTCCTTAATTCAAGCAGGAATAATGCAATGTTTTTATCAGCAGATAAATGTGATGAATCATTCACTTCTATTAATATAACTCCTCCCCCCCCCCCCTCCGTGAGCGAACAAAAAAATTTTGTTCGCTCACGGAGGGGGGTTAAATTTTTTTTTTTAAAAAAAATTTATATATAAATTTTATAAAAAATATTTTTTTCGAAAATTTAAAAAAATCCTAATTTGCAAAAATTGGGAAGCAAATATTAATTTAATTGCAAAATTTATGTTTTAAAACGCAATTTGTTTAAAATTAAACAGAATTAGCTCTAGATTTCATTATACTAATTATCACTTATATATCAAAATTTTTTTCCATTAAAATTTTTTCTATTAAAAAAATTTTTGTTCACTCACGGAGGGTGGGTTTTTGGTCAAAAAAATGGCGATTTTTCTAATGGTTTTGTTCGCTCGCTCACGGGGGGGGGGGGGGAGTAAGTGTAAAATGATTTTATCAATTATCCTAATAGAGAATTTATTGCTAGCCAATGCTTCATGGTGCTATTATCAGCTTAAGAAATTCTTATACTCAATAAAGCTTGTTAAAACTGGACATAAAATGTGAACATTAAAAAATTGAAAATTTTTTAAAATTAATATTAACATATTAAATTTTGCAATGAAACGAAATTCATTCCTGAACAAAAGATAAATAAATATATTATTAAAAATTTCTTCTTAAAGCTAATTTTGTCTAAATTGTAAATAAATCTTTAAGTTAAATATTATGAAAAATCCTCAGATATTTATAATCATAAATATTATTCTCATTTAACTATACAAAAGGCCGCATTTAATTAATCATATAGAAATTCACTGTAAATATCAATAAAATGAAGAATTATAATTTGCATTTGCTGACCTAATTTAACTTATTTATATATATATCACAATATAAGCAAAACATTAGCGTCTAAACTTTAAAGAATTATATTTGCATTACATAAAATCTAAATGGCAAACGGCTTAGACCTTCACAAATTTACTGAATTAGGAAACATAAGCGAAGTCAAACGCTTGACAGAAAAATATACATTTGACCCTCCAACAATATCAAAAGCCTTATGAACAGCCCTTGACTATGGATCTCCCACCCATGTAGAAATTGCAAAAATTTTACTACCTCGTGCATCTCCAAGCTACAAAGATGCAGGCGGAATAACTTTTTTAATGAAAGCAGCCAAAATAGGTGACTTTGAACTTGTAAGACAATTAATTGGATTGAAGTGCAGCACAGTAGCTTGTGACAGGGAGAAAAAAAGCGTTCTGATGCATGCATTAGAAAAGCATGGCGATGATCCTATAAGAATTGTATCCTATCTTCTTTCAAATGGAGCCAATGCAAATACTACTGATTTAGAAGGATTCTCACCCCTCCATTATGCTGCACAAAATGGTTACGTTGACTCTGTAAATGAGCTAATTGAATATCGAGCTGAAGTTAATGTGAAAAACATCAACAGTGATACCCCTTTACATCTTGCTGTAAGAAGTAATAATAGACATTGTGCACAATTATTGATAGAAAGAGGTGCCAACCCAAGGATCCAAAACAACATCGGAAAATCTCCAATTAACGAATGCTCTGGAAATTGGTTTAATGGCTCCCATAAAGAAGAAAACAAAAAAGACAACAGAAACAAAGGAAAAGGAAGAGTGAAAAACTACAAAAAGAAAGAAATCAATGAAAAAAACATTGAAGAAGCTACAAATGGCTCTATAATACAAGCTTGTTTTAAATGTAAGAAAAACCATGAATTGTACTGCATTCCTTGTGCCAAAGAATTATTATCACACTCGTCAGAAGAAGAATACAAAATTTTGCTTCCTGAAAAAGGGTCAATTGAAGACGAAAATCGGAAGCTGAAAAATGACCTTGACAGGGAAAGAAAACACAAAAAAAAATTAATTGAGAAATTAAAACTACTAGAAAAAGCCAATTCTTTATCTCCTACAACTAGTGAAGAAACTCAAGCTGATGATTTAATGTATTCGATAAAGCTAGCAAATCAAATGAATCAAGCATTATTCATGAGGCCACTTACAATGCAGACTAGAGAAGCTATATTTGAAAATCTTCAGCAAGAAGTAAAAAAGTTTTTAAATGACCTGAATAATTGGGCGAAAAAATCAGATGGGCCGTATAGGGAAGTTGTAGAGATTATATCGATAGGTATAAAAGAAGAATTTCCAGAAAGTGATGTGAAAATTTATGGGTCTTTTGAAACGAACTTGCTTCTTCCCCATTCTGATATATATTCTTGTGTTATAAGTAGGATTTAATTAATATATTAAATATTTTAGTGCTTAAGTTAGTTAAAAAGAATAGATCTTGTTATCACTAATTTAAACCAATCTCCAGCCCAAGTCTTACAAGCCCTTATATCGAAACTAAAATCGCTTTCTATTGTAACAAGCATAGATGACATTCTAACTGCCTCAATTCCACTCCTAAAAGTAAAAACTTCTTACAACTCAAGAATAATTCAAGTAGATATTTCAGTCCAAGATCCTAGACATAGTGGCCTCGCTTGCTCCTCTTTTGTAAAAACCTTACTAAAGCAACACTCGACACTTCGCCAGGTCACTTTACTATTTAAACAGCTTATTTATTTCTCAAACTTCCATGAGCCATTTAAAAGAGGATTAAGCTCTTATGGACTTTTGCTAATGATTGCTTGGTTTTATCAAGAGCAAACCCCTGAATGGATTGCTGAATACGCAAATGATACTCATAAGCTGTCAGAAATTTTTTTAAAGATTTTATACTACTATGGGTGGGAATTTGACTACTCAAGAAAAATAATTGTAAACAATCCAGATCTTCCCAACTTCAGAGAAATTTGGCCGAATAAAGTAATAATAAAATAGTTATCAGGAATTTTGTGTATTTGTGATCCCTTGAACCCTCAGAACTATATTGCTTCAGCTACTGATCTAGACCGTTTAGTGGTACTCCCTATTTAGAGCATTTTCCAGGTAGCGTATTGTAATGCTTGGAAACCTTCAGTTTGCCCATGTCAGGAAGGCCAAAAAATATATGAAAGGATTTTATATGAAGCCAAGGTTGCCACGGTACTTTAGAGTAGGTTGTTAGGACTAGCTATATAAAATAAATATAAAATATAAATATACATAAAAAATTAGTTACGACTGTTTATAATAAAATCTCTGATCTTCTGCACTGCTTGTTCGAATTGTTGAATCGTTGCAGTCATCTCTAAATTCTGTTCCAGTACAGAAGCCAAATACGCATTATTTGCTTCAATGATACCTAGGAGAGTATCATATGATAGATTTCCGTTTAACATTAAGATATTCAACGCATTTCTATTGCTAGAAGCATAAGCTAAATAGCTTGAATAAATGTCCTGAGTATGACACATTATTTATTAAATGGACATCAATTGCTTAAATTATAAGATCACACCTAATTAATATTCTTAAGTAATAACTCATAGGAGCATCCCGAAAAAATTATCCAACAATTGATTTTCAATTGCAAGAAATTTAATCTTTTGAATTTTCACGTCATCAATATTTTGGGTTGAATGGAAATCTTATCATTTTTAATAATCCTTCAATATAAAACTCGTCTGAGATATTTTTGCTCAGTAAGTTTAAAGGCAGGATGATTAATTCCTTTAAAATAATTTGAGAATGCTTGCAGCCACTAGTGCATAAAGGCTCAACAGGCTATATTTTATTTATGATGGGGATAAAAATCATGTAAGAAGATTTTTAAGGATTTGTAAAAGCTACCATAATCAATTCTTAGTGCTTAACAAATTAATTTTAGTTACTTGCATAAAAAGATTTTAATTGTTTTTATTAAAAACTATTTTAATTATTTTTTCTGATCTATAACAAATTTCTGATCGAGAAGAGTCAACAGTTACTTTGAAGGCTTTGCTTTTAAACGAGTAAAATCTTGGAAATATCAACAGACTAAATGATTTTTTCTCTTGAATTTCTCCATTTTCTTTTGCTTATATTAAAATATCTTATTCTAACTCTATTCGTTCATAATCTTAATTATTTATATTTAGATTCATATTATAATTTTTATTTCGCAATTCTCAATATCTAATCTTTAAGAATTCACACTAATCCTTATTAATTTTAAAATAATTAAAATATGCCAAAAAATTAAAACCCTACTTGTGATCTAGCAATAAAAAATCAAAACGAAGCTAAATTCATTCATTATAATAAACTCCTCTATGAGTTATCATTTTTATATTTCTTGAAGCGTATCAAGCCATACTTTGCATTCTTCAATTGCTTCTTTAAATGCTGAATATGGTCCATATGCTTCTAAAATATCTGCTGTTACACAATTATGGCCTCTAATTAATGGATCGCACCCAGTGAATTCAAAATTTTCTGCCTTCTTAAGCCACTTTTCAAAGCTTTCCAATGTTTTTTCTTTTTTTATCGCAAAATGTTTTCTGACTATATCAGCAAACTCAACCGGTGGGTTTTGAATCATTCCAGTTATAGCATATTTGATATTAGCGTATTCTACAATCATCGAGTATTCCATATTAGCTTTACTACCAATTTCATAATGCTCATGGCATGGCTCCATTTGTATAACTTCTTGAGTCATAACCAATGACTGGATTGATACAAAAACCTGCAAAAGGGTGCTATAGCTTGGCTTCCACATTTCTTCAGGCTCACAATCCCAAGTATTTATTATTGATAAACATACATTTCATGTATGATATAAATTTGGGTTACCTGACTGTCCCATTTACTGTTGTTTTTATTGTTATTGAAGGAGGGTTGTTTGGATCTTCTTGAGGTAATTTTATATCAAATAAAAATAGCCCATGCTCATATGGGGTATCTTCAGTCTCTGAAATTAATACTTTCAATCTACTTAAATTTGAGCTGTCTATACTGATAAAGACAGAACCTTAAGGTTCACATGGTAAACTCCGGGATAATGATTTAAGTTCTTTAGTAATTCTAGTAAGGCCTTGTGTGCTGAGTCCTTTATCATCATAACAATATGTTGAGATATTTTCTTCAATCCAATCAAAGGCATTACATCTAAGACTGCCTAAGTGTCGAAAATATAGATGAGTTGGTTCTGGAGCTTCAAGATCTGAATCTGATGGTTCTCTTATTAAAAATATAGGAGCAGGATCTTCTTCTTCATTGCCTGATTTTAATATTTCTTCTCCAGCAGAATCCATCTTATTTGTTGCATGAAGTGATAAAATGAAAATGCTGTATTTTTGATAAAATAATTTTAAACAATATAACAATATACAACAAGACTCTTGGCAATAATATAGATAGAAATTATTTAATTTTATTATAATTAAAATCCAAGATTTTATTATCGACTTTTCTAAAATTAATTTAAGCCTTTATTAATTGGAAAATTAAAATGGATACGTTGAGGGAATAGGACTCAACGACGCACTTTTTGGTGGAGAGGTGGACTGATACAGTGTGTGGCAAAGCATTCTATGTAACTCGAGGAAAAATTTTTTCTTCCTTCTTCAAAAGAGATATTTGAATCAATTTTAATAGATTGTGGATTTCTCTGCGCAATTTTGTCTTCTAACTCTTCTTTTTCGATTGCTTCTTTGTTTTCTATATCTAGTCGATCTTTTGATTCTTCTTTTTGTGAAAAATTTCAATTAAATTTCAGAGCCAGCTCATTTTTTGGGTCATTTTCATCTAAATATTCCGAGGAAATTTGGACCAGAAGAAATTAATTTAATTTCTATTAAAAGTAAGCATATTTATATTTTATATGTTTTTTTCTCTACTTTTTTAGCTGTATATTCTCTAACACCAATTGGCAGTAAAAGCGCAAACGATATAAACCCAGCAATCAGCATAAAAATAAAAGAATACATCCAATCAAAAGATGCCAAATATCCAATTAATATCTGCCCAAATGCAGCTCCCAAGCTTCCAGTTCCATCAATAATCCCAGCAACAGTCGACAATGCTTTTTCACACGATTTATCGCTATCATGTCTTCCAATATCAACCGAGACAGCTCCAGGAATCAATTGTCCTGCAGCCCCAGCCAAAATTCCTATCATAAATGACAAAAAGTAAAAAATCCACCAACTATTAACAGGAACTGCTTCAAATCCCCAAATAACGGGCAAGGTTGAAAACATGATCACACAAAGCGTTGGTCCTCGAGATCCTAGCTTATCAGTCACCCATCCAAATATAAAAACTCCAACCAAGCTTGCAACATCATATAAATTTGCCATAATTCCAATACTGTTGCTATCGATTTTGTAATCGTCGTGCAAATAGTAAGGAAGCCACATTAATATGGCGTAGTTTAAGGTTTTTACACTTGCGAAGCTCAATGAGTAGTTTATAACGCCTGGCAAGAGCCAAGCTTGCCAGAAAGTTAACTTCTTTTTAGGCTCCTTTTTTATTTCTAAGTTTGTGTCGGCTAGAAGAGGGGTAGATGCTTCTAAAGAATATTCTGGCTTATCTTTGCCGAAAATCCACAGCAATATAGCAACAAAAATCATAAAATAAGCACAAAAACTAATGATGAGCTTCCAGCTAACTTTATTATACATCAAAAATGCAGACAGCTGAGCTCCAATTAAGTGGCCTGCTGCTGCATTTGAGCTCCAAAATCCTATTATTTTCCCTGTGTTTGCTTTTGGGAACCAATTTCCCATAATTGATACGCTTGATGGCCAAGCTGCAGACTGAAATATTCCTTCAAAAGCAAATAAAATAGAAAATACCAATGGATTATTTATCTTTAAACTTCCAAGTAAAACACAAATTAAGTAAATAATCCCTCCTAACCCGACACCAATCGAGGCTACTTTTGAAGGAGATATTTTGTCACTTAAGGTTCCACTTATAAAATTTCCAAATGCATAGCAGAATAAAAAGGTAAAATCTAATGTTCCAAGTAAAGTCGAGTCCATGCTCAAATCATCACCAATTTCTGGCTTCACCATTGCTCAGCTTTGTATTGATATATGCCTAGCTGCTATAGTAAAATATGTGATAAAGAAAATTCAAATTTGGTTCTTCAGTAAATCTCTTCTGCTCATTTTTTTTAAAATTGTGTGTTATATATGGGAACAGAAATATGAGTTTTTAATTTAGATAAATCAGAAATTGAAGTAATTCAAAATTAAAGCAAATTAATATGAAATTAAAAAAAGCAAATGTTTTTTTTTGTGTTTTAAATAGGTTTACATTATAACTTGACAGCAGATTCTTGACTAAAATCGGCAAACTTGGCTATTTGATTTGTAGGCGCTGGCGAGATATTAAAAGATGGGTTTGCAGAATGCTCTAATGCGGAGGGTTCTTCTTTCACTGAAAATAAAGATATTTTGCGATTTGCTAATTCACTAAACTGAATTTTTGTATCTTTGATCCCTGACCCTTTTCTAGTCAAAATGATTGCCTTTGGTGAAGTATTATCACCAGTTTCGATAATAGTTGGCTTTTTTATTTTGGCTTTTCCTAATACAGGAGTGCATCCCATGTTATTTTATCATTTAATACTTATATTCTTAATTAATCTATTAATTAAAATACTTTATACCATCTGAGCTTCTGAAATAATGATTTATTAGCAAATATTTTGATGTGTTTGATTTTTCTCTTTATTAATGCTTTTGGTCATATACAAGAAATAATTAATATAAAATTTGTCAAAATTCATTACATATTTAGAAGGAGAGCTCTTTGTCGAAAATAAATTGGCAGCTTTGTCTTTATGAAAATTCGTAGGATAGGCTATTTATAAAGGATCAATTCATATTAAAGTTATTACTATGTAAAAATAAAAAAATGGTATACATTATTTTTATTAACTCCCCCCCCCCCCCTCTCGTGAGCGAACAAAAAAAATTTTGTTCACTCACGGAGGGGGGTTAATTTTTTTTTTTTAAAAACAATTTATATATATAAATTTATAAAAAATATTTTTTTCGAAATTTAAAAAAAATCCTAATTTGCAAAAATTGGGAAGCAAATACTAATTTAATTTGCAAAATTTATGTTTTAAAACGCAATTTGTTTAAAATTAAACAGAATTAGCTCTAGATTTCATTATACTAATTATCACTTATATATCAAAATTTTTTTCTATTAAAATTTTTTCTATTAAAAATATTTTTGTTCACTCACGGAGGGTGGGTTTTTGGTCAAAAAATGGCGATTTTTCTAATGGTTTTGTTCGCTCACGGAGGGGGGGGGGGGGGAGTAAGAATTTATTGAACTTTTACAATGAAATTAGAAAATCAGCATATAGTGAGCAGTGATCTGAAGGCCAATCAAATTCATTTTCAGCATATCCACACAGTTCACAAAGCAGCGGATCTTCTGTATTTCTATATAAAATCCTATCCATTCTCTCTTTAGGATTTCAGCTTGGGTATGTATTCCCATCATTTTCTCCTTCCAAAGTGATCCAAGCATCCTTAAGATTCTTATCTCCTTTGTTTTTTCCTTCTAAAGTTCCTGTGCCCCTTTTAAAATTCATGTCGCCCATCAATATTTGTAGGGTTTCTCCATCGTCTTCTGAGTCAATAAATCTTATTATATCACATAATTGTTTAGCTTGGCCTTTATCATCATAGGTTAATTGGGTATTATACACATTTATTTTCTTGTTTGGGTGGCTAATAGCAGCTCTTAAGCATGCTCTAATATTTTTATCTTCTTTTGTTTTTGATAATTTTTTAGATTTTATATCAATAATAGGGAATCTCGAAATAATGCCAATTCCATCAATAATTCCATTACTAAAATGCATTACTTCTAGTCAGTGCGAATAAGGATATTCTGGAAGTTTAGCTAATAAATCTTTCATCATATCTTTTCCTCCATTTTTCTCACAGCTAATATTATCAATAAATCTATTTAAGCACCGATTAAAGGTACAAAGCCCATAATAGGGATCATATCTAGCTTCTTGAATTCCGATAATATCAGGATTTGCTATTTTTATTTGCTTTGCAAGCATTTCGACTCTTTTTTCTCATTTTTTGTCTTTATTAAAAGATGATAAGTTATACGTTTGCAGCCTAACTATCGTTGGTGTACCTAAATAAAAAATACTAGGATATGTAACATAAATTATAGGTTTTTTAGTATATTTTAAATAATCCTGCAAGCTGCAATCGTCGTTAATAATGATCCAATCTTTAAGATATGGACCTGCAAGCTGGTATGTAGGCTCGTGATCTTCCAGTAGCTCAGAAATATTGCTAATTAAAAAAATACTAATATAGCATTGTATAGGTAAAATTTTTAGGGCAGAAAATATCATATGTTCTGGACTCAAGTATGACCTTAAGGCATATTTTAGTTTCCATTTATTTTTATTCATATTTAAAATAAACAGGTGTCAGAAACATTTATATGCCGTTTGACATTTTTTTAGGTTGAAGAAATAATTAGGATGATATTTAACAAATTAAAATAATTGAATTAGAGTTAAAATTCCCAAGTAGTCTCTGCATACATCGCCCAAATAAATTTCGCTCTCAGAGTCTTTGCAAATACTTTTTCAATTGGCACTTCATTCTTTTTGCACCATGCAACAGTGATTCTCGGATCCATATAATTAATTTTTGAAGTCTGAAGCGCTATTGTTTTGTTATCATCCTTCATTTTTAGCTTAATTTCCATATTTTTCACAGCTGTTTTAGCTTTAGCTAGTGCTTTCTTTGTATTTTCTTCAGTGCAAGGTAATTTTCTTTCTGTATCTACTGAATTTCTCCCAGTTTTAATAAATTTCATATGGTCTTCAAGTATCCTGATATCCTCAAGCTTTTCTTTTAATTTTTCTTGAAGTTTTTCTATCATGCCTTCAAAATTTTTTGGCGTCGATTTTTGATGGTTACATAATATAGCAACTTCTCTATTTGCATCAGTATAAAATTGGACTTTTTCTTCAACAGACTGATTTTTTGCTTTAAATTTTGCTAGTTGCTGCTGTAAAGAAATTGATGCATTATAAGTTCTAAACATTTTAGCAGAGAGTCCATGCATAAAACTCCTTAAATAGCCATTAAGGGTGTGGGCGGTAATTAAATCAAATAAATCGTTTTCTTTTTCTTTACCTTTACAAAATTCTTTTAAATTGTTATAGACTTCAGGGACAATTTGAACTGTATTAAAATATCTCATAGAATCTTTACCAAGAAAGTCTAAAGTAATTTGATGATTTTTTTCGAATTTTATATGTTCAACTCTTAAAGAACAGCAGCCAACGGTATCAGCTTCGTCTTCAGTTTTTTCATTTCCAACACGTAATGCAAGTTTGTCAATTAAATATAAAGCTGACCCTAATTGCTTATTAACAGAACTATCTGATAAAATTTTTTTGTTATAATCTGCTCTGATTTCATCAATCATTTCTTTTAATTTTTTGGCTTTTTCATATTTTAGCTTATCGCTGAGCCCTTTAAATTTGGAAGCTGCAGATAAATAGACATATTTCTTGCTTGAAAAACTTAGTTCAGGGTCTTCATAAAATGCAAGTCAGGTAGTTGTATTGTTGTGTGTAATAAATTTCCAAGAATGTCCTGGCAATGGGCATATAGGAACTTTATTTCTTTTCCCTATATTTATTGTAATATCTTCAGGAGCTAGTCTTCCCTTTATGTTTCCTCCTTTAGGGTGTTGGCCTCTTCCTCTAAACAGCCCAGGAGGCTCAACTATTATATTAGAAATTTTTTCTCTTGTATTGTCCACGATTGCATAGCCCATTTCTTCAATAATTTTTTGTTTGGCTTCTCTTTCAGTTTTTTTTTCTTCTGAAGGCCGGAGTTTTTTTAATTCTCTTTGAGACTCAATATGCATACTTATTCCTTTAAAATCGCAGCCATTTAAGGATTTAATTTTATGGTTTTCGCCAAGAATTTTTAAGAAACTGCTTTCGAAATTTTTTCGGAAAATTTCTTTTGTTTCCCATTCAGTTCCTACGACAGAGGCCCACATTGTAGCGATTTCTTCTTGCTCAGGGGTTAAATAAATTGGCTCGCCATTATAGACAAGTGGGACTCCGTGAGGCTGATATAATGGAGGAAAAAATAAGCCATGGTGCTCAAGGGACATTCATTTGATTGAAGATTGATCTTCTTGATCTCCTTCCCACCAATGGCTGCTTTCTTTTTTCCTCTTCTTTGGCAAGTCCTCAGTTTCCATAGATTTATATTAAGATCCCCTTGCTTTAAATTTTAATTTTTATCTAATTAAAAGGAGTAATTTTTTACAAAATTATTGAACATAAAAAAATCATTTGCTTATTTAGCTTTTTATTTTCATAGAAATGACTCAAAAATTATGTTTAACTCCTCTCCTTGAGCGAAAAAAGCCATTAAAAAAATCCCTAATTTTTTTGTGCAAAAACCCACCTCTGTGAGCAAGATTGTTTTAATATAAAAAATTTTTGGTATATAATGATAATTAGTATAATGAAATCTGTAGCTAATTCTGTTTAATTTAATTTAAAACATAAATTAAATAAATATTTGCTCTCATTTTTGCGAATTGGGATTTTTTTTTAAATTTCGAAAAAAATACTATATAAAATTTATATATAAACTTTTAAAAAAAAATTAAACCACCTACATAAGTGAACAAAAAAAAAAACTTTTTCACACACAAGAGGGGAGTAGAATCTCATTTTGATTATACGATTTAAATAAAGAAATCTTTCATTTCAGTTTTTGCTTTATTTTAAAAAAATCATCTGTAATTTTTTTGAAATTGGAAATATAAGGTCTATCTTGTTATGGTATCTCCATGATTACGACTCCCTTAGTTCCGATGCCTCCTGAGAAGACCGGGTATTGATTTTTTATGCTAGCAACCCTTAAATCGATAAATTCACCTGATAATGAATGCTTTCATCAAGATAAGTTGATAAAAGCACCCACAATCGCCTCGTGAGATACCAGGACGAAAGTAGTCCATAGGTGTGGAGACGGTATAGTAGCCATTTCAATTATTTATGCTTCAAACGATATGATTATATGTTTAATTTGATAAGTATAATAAAAGCATTAAATAATTTTTATTAAATCAGAATTTTCTATTATAAATAATAATTCAAGTAATTGCCAGAAAAATCATCAAAAACTTACTAATAAAAAATAAAGAATTTTTAAAAGCTTAGATAGCCTTATTAAATTAAATTGTTTATTATTTTCCTCAAGCAGCAAAAATGCATTTTGCTACCTTTAAAAGAGTTTTTTAAAAATTTGATTGTAATTTTGGTAAAGTACAAGAAGAGCACTCTAAATGATGAAATAAGGAACAAATATTCAGAAGTTTTAAAATTTCCATATTAAAATTTGCATTTAATTATCTTAACTTAATAAAAAAAAAAACACAATAATTGTAACTATAAATGTGTTTTAGCAGCTTTATTTTATGAAGATTTATCCTTCACTTCAACATAAATTATTATCGTATTATCTCAGCATCCATTTTATCTTATTGTATTACAATTTCGGTTATAAATCTAATTTGATCTTTTACTACTTAAATATAAATTTGTAAAATAAACTGAAAATACCGAATGATTCAAAAAAAAATATACTCACCAACTCTCAAATTTAATCTTACTCCCCCCTCATTAAACGAACAAAACTATTGGAAAATCCATATTTTTTTTGACCAAAAATCCACCATCTGTGAGCGAACAAAATTTATTCAATACAAAGAGTTTTATGAAAAAAAAGTTGATGTATAAGTGATAATTATTATAATAAAATCTCTAGCTAACTCTGGTCAATTTTAATCATAAATTTTGCAAATTAAATTAAATTTACTTCTCAATTTTCACAAAATGAAATTTTTTTTCAAATTTTAAAAAAAAAAATTCTATAAATTTATATATATAATTTTAAAAAACAAAAATTAACCCCTCCCGTGAGCGAACAAAATTTTTTTGTTCGCTCACGGAGAGAGGGGATTAATTTCTTAAGGTTTTTTTGTAAATTTGAGAGGACATATTTTAGCATCAGTAATAACAAATATGTGCCTTATATTATGTAAGCCTGTCGTGTGTGATCATCCCTTCTGTGTCTCCTTCTATACAAAAATGGGAGGTATGCGAGTCACACTTCTTAATAATGACGAAGATCATTATCTCTCCGTCATAAACTATCAAAATGCCGTTCTCACCGATCTTGTCGAGTACAACAAAAAAAGTTTCGAAGCATTTGATAATCTTCTCGCTGAGGCGAAATCTCTTGGACGTTTTCTTGCAAACACAAGACACGCAGATTTAGTCATGGAAACAAGTATTACTGATGAACAGATTTTCAGTTCAAGCACGAAAGAAGACTCTTATAAATATGAATTGAAATTAGTGGCTATGATAAATCATTAAGCATATTTTTAATAAATGAAATATTTGATTTTTTATTTAGATAAGCATAGGTTGATTGGTTTATTTGCAATATTAATTCAAATAATAATAATTGAGAAATTTCCGGAAGCTTTATGAAAAGAACGCGGGTTTTCAATAAGAGCATTTGTCCAGGATAAGTCAAGAGAGTCAGTTTATCTCCATAAATTTCCACGGTTTCGTGTTTTTCTCTATACAATGGATGAAAAGCCTAAACTCTTAAATTTAAACGTAGCTGGCAAAAAAGTACTACGAGGAACCATAGAGGCGGAGATGAAGGAGGATAGCACAATCTACTTTAAAAGTTTAGGAGAGATAAAATGGGTCTCGATTCGGGTATTGCCGAGAAGCAATACCCGGGTTGAAACGCCATTTTCATTATATCCGGAAGGTTTTTTCCAACCCAGAATGGACGTTAATGCTAGTTAAGCAATTCTGGTAATGTACAGAGCCTAGCCCTAGGATTGGATTTTACCTCGAAGGAAAAGATGGGTTCAGAGCTAGAAAGGGAAAGCCAGCAGCTTCTGCAGGCAACGCTTAGACCATTTGGAAAACTGGGATTTACTCCCCAAGCTTTATTTTTCTTTTTTGCCGATAGTTTTTTGCCAGAAATTGCATTTTTTGGGATTTTTGTGCGCACAATCTTCTTTCAACCTAAGCAGTGTACCGCATAGCCTTCTCATTCAACACTTGAGCCTACAAGGCAAGGGTAATGGAAACAAAGAATCCTACTTCACAGGTGCCATGGCCTAAGGTGGTGAAGAAGAGGAAAGATGGACATGACCCTATTCTCCCCAGGCTATTACCCAAATAGAGTGAATCTTTCTGGAGATGCTTGATTACTGCAGTATATATAGGAGATTAAGCCAAGACCTAATTTAAGTTTAACCTTTAAAAATTTAGTGATAAATGAAGTCAGCTCCCATTATACAAATGATGCCTTTCAAATAGTTGTAGCTAACCTCAATTCATCAGCAGTTAAGCCTCTTATATTGAGCGGAATTCATGTACGAGCAAGGAGATTGGTAAAAAAATAAATAATTTTATTATTTGATAAGCCTAATGAGTGATGTGACATTTTATCAGTAATTTGTGTTTTTTGAAATTTATGATAAAATTTTAAGAACCAGATTCTAAATTAGTCCCGACAAGGTATTGACTATAAAGGCGGTTCAATCGTGAAAATAAAAGAAGAAAAGTTGAATTTTTTATTTATAAAAAAGCACCTCCAGAAAAGTAAGTTTATCAAAAAAAATAAAAGAAATCTGATACTATTTCATCATTGATACCTCCTTGAATCTCCTTATGGACTAACAGTAAGATTTTAGCCTTTTGTAAATTATCAATTATTCAAAGAGATAAATGACAATTTCTAAAGGCAGGCCATATTTTTTGCCTAGTATAATTAACTCAATTTCCGAGAATAGTTTTTGTGGGGCCGGACTTGAGAATTTTGCTGTTACGTCACAAATGCTTGTATTTCGCAGCTTTTTCGCAAAATTTATGCTAACTCCCCCCCCCCCCCCCCCCTCCGTGAGCGAACAAAACCATTAGAAAAATCGCCATTTTTTGACCAAAAACCCACCCTCCGTGAGTGAACAAAAATTTTTTTAATAGAAAAAATTTTAATGGAAAAAAATTTTGATATATAAGTGATTAATTAGTATAATGAAATCTAGAGCTAATTCTGTTTAATTTTAAACAAATTGCGTTTTAAAACATAAATTTTGCAAATTAAATTAATATTTGCTTTCCAATTTTTGCAAATTAGGATTTTTTTTAAATTTCGAAAAAAATATTTTTTATAAAAATTTATATATAAATTTTTTTTAAAAAAAAAAATTAACCCCCCTCCGTGAGCGAACAAAATTTTTTTGTTCGCTCACGGAGGGGGGGGGGGAGTAAGTGCAAGAAAAAATACATTTATTTATAAAATCATCAAAAAAAGTCCTAATATCAAAATTGGGTATCATTATTAATAGGCTTTCCAGAAAAATTTCCAATTAAATCAAGAAAAATACAGGAATTAATCCTCAACGACTGTCGGGAAAGGTGAAATGTTTTTAGACTTTCCGGATAATCTGCAGGTTATATAAAATAATGATCAGAATCGAAAAAAGGGAAATGGACTAAACTTGATTTTATACAAAAAAATATATTTCAAAAATGCATTATGAATGGAGTTTTTTATAGCTTCAATGCTTTAAAAAAAGGAAATAGGTAAAATATTCTAAAATCAGCTTGAGATATTCTTTTAAGATACCAAAGTAGCTTCATATAGCATGATTAATTTTGATTTTTATCAGTTCATCAGAGATAAGAAGTCTTTATTGCTAAATCTCCTTTGTGAGTGAACAGAACAATTGGAAGACTTTGCTATTTTAAAGTAACCCTCTTTACAATAAAAAAAAATATTTTGATATAAATCCTAATTATTCTAAAAAAATTCTAGTTTAATATTTAATTTAAACTGAAAAACTAACTTTATAATTAAATGTATTTTTACTTTAATTCCGCATATTGGCATTTTAAATTTCGGGGCAAAGATTAAAAAAAACTACAAATAAAAATTTCCCTCTTTCAGGGAGAGGAGAGTAGTTGTAAACAAGACAAACTGAAATTTAAAATTTATTTGCCAGTCTATTAAGCATTAGCTTGGGACTAAACAGTAACTAATTAATATATAAAATCCTTATACTTTAGAAATAAAATGGTGATGCTGACGGAAATTGGTCTCCGAAGCGCTCCTATGGAGCAGGTAGGACCCATCCTGATGAAGCTGAAAGCAGGTATCTGTCCCTTTTGATGCAGGCCTTCAGGCTTGGGGATGCCTAGCCGAGGGAAGTTTTGTTTCTCCCTTGAAGGTTTTCCTTTCTCTGTCAGATGGGCTAGACAGGCTTTTACTTCTCATATAGTCTTTGTCCTATCGGAAGACCTACAGAGGATGACTCTAGCTTAGGAGTTAATCCTAGTTTCGGTGAGTTTCGCCAGAAAATTCAAGAGGGTGAATTTTTGTTAGGCTTTACACCATTTACACTATACATATGCATACATGGCGAAGACACTTTTCCTGGAGTTAATGCAGTCTGGCTAATGAGAACCCGCTTACGGCAGTATAAAAACTTAATCTTATACTTTTTACTAACTAAAGATTTATTTAATTCTATTCCAGCAACCACCTAATAGTAAAAAAATTCGTAATAAAAAGGACATTAGCATGAAAATTACAATTAATAAATTTTTTATGAGCACATCGAAATTTGCCTATGAATGACTAAATGCTCAAATATTGACTTTTGACTTTTGGATGTTTAACCAACAAATTTGGATCTGCCTATATAAATTTACTATTTGCAATTTTCCCTTGTTAAAGACTAAAAATTTTGCTTATTACCAGGGAGAGTCAGGATAAAACAGCCAAGAGATCATGATTTTAAAAAATCCCTCAAAACTAAAAGAATCGGCCTATAGTCTCATATGAGTATTTTCTGTATTGCAATTCTTACACATCACAGTTATTATAAAAAGATAGATAAAATCAGAGATAGATAAAAGTTCCAATCTCAGCATTAATTAGAGAAGGAAAAATGTTTTAATATATAAACATGTAGAAGCAGTAAAAGGCCTTTCAATAAGAATAGCTAAAGTATCAGATGTCAATTCCCCTTTTTACATTAATGATATGTGCAATTATTTACTCAAGTAAATTATACCAAAGATCTCTTTTATACTTATTTCATTATTTAGTGAAGTTTTAAAATAAACTCAAAAACAAAACTTGAAACATAATAAAAAGCGACGTAAAAATAAAAAAGAGAAGCAATAGTCTAATGGACAGCTAATGCCTTCATAAAATTAGCCAAAATCCAGATTATGATGTCATAATAAAACCATAATAATTCAAAGTAAAAGAACTGCACAGATTAAATCAATCGATACGATTTAATAACTGAATAATTCGCCTTAGCAAGTAAATAAGGAAAGAGATCAGAAAATTAGCAAAAACATATATGATGAGAGGCTGGAGCTTTAAGAACACTCAATCAAATTTGAATTGCTTCTGGAGTGTTATCTATTGCTTTTCAAGCATTGCAATGCAGAATACAAAAAGCAGAAGCTATCACAATATATGAGATTTTCTACTCCTCAATCCAAAAGAAGTAACAATCCTAACTCCCCCCCCTCCGTGTGAGTGAACAAAACCATTAGAAAAATCGCTATTTTTTTGCCCAAAAACCCATCCTTCGTGAGTGAACAAAAATATTTTTAATAGAAAAATTTTTTATGGAAAAAAATTTTGATATATAAATGATAATTAGTATAATGAAATCTAGAGCTAATTCTGTTTAATTTTGAACGAATTGCTTTTTAAAACATAAATTTTATAAATTAAATTAATTTTTTGCTTTCCAATTTTTGCGAATTAGGATTTTTTTAAATTTCGAAAAAAAATATTTTTTATAAAATTTATATATAAATTTTTTAAAAAAAAAAAAAAAATTAACCCCCCTCCGTGAGTGAACAAAATTTTTTTGTTCACTCACGGAGGGGGGGGGAGTAAGTAGCTCAAATATAGATATAATTCTCTGGCTTACAGTCTAACTAATTCTCAATAGCATTTATTAATAATTCATACCAAATATCTAGGTCTGGGCTGATTAGGTCTCTATTGTCAATTTTATTTTGCCACGTGGAGAGTCCGAAGTAATAATTCCAAATCATAATAATACAAAATTCCTAAACAGTTTTAATTTTGATAGCTACTAGCATAAAGATTAAAAAGGAATGGAGGGTTTTGATGAAGAAGTTGATTTAGGCAGCCAAAATGCACAAACTGACGGGCTGATGAATTTTGAATTTTCTGCAGGCCAAACCCAAGATCAAGACATCTTCAATGGTTACTCAGACCGGCCTAATCCTTTTGAAAGTGAGCAATCCCACGATATATTTGTCGATGAATCAAAAGATCCTTTTTACGACCAGCCTGAACCAATTAAAATAGATCCAAATGGGAGACCAGGAGTAATCCAAGACGCTCCTTTATCAGTAGAAGATGCTGAAGAAATAGAACGTAACAGATTAAGAGACCAAGAAAACCAAGCCCGAATGGCAAAACTCTACGCAAAAGATGAAAAAGAAAGATCAGCCAAGGATGCCAAAAGAGCACAAGCCAAACAGGAACTTAAGAAATGGTATGAAGATAGAAATAAAATGACAGAAATGAAGAGAGATATGAACAGAGAAGAAGAAACGATGAAAGCGCAACAGAAAAAGGAGTATACAGATGCGACAAGCTGGAAAAAGGTAGCGTCAATGATTGATTTCAAAGAGGATAGGAAAGATGTGCAGAGAATGAAATCGGTGCTTTTAAGTAAAAAAAATGAGGGTTAATACGGATAAGAATATATGGTTTTTCTTGTTTGAGAAAGTTAAGGATTAAGATTAAGAAAAGCGTTCGCGCATTGCAGGGCTGGGGATTTCCACGCCTAGCTCATCGCTCCTGAGGAACCCTGGCGAACACCCTCCTTGTTGCCGCAAACAAGGGATTTGCATGACCAGTTTTGATTTCCATGGCTTCTGGAGCCTAAAGGCCAAACCACCTGGGTCGAAACTCTAAGTTTCTCGTTAGACAAATGCCATCTATTGAATCCTATTCGAGGAAGTTAGCCTCCTCTCGGGACTGCCACCGATCTAGTTCTTTACAATGGTTGTTTAGACGTAAAAGCCCGAGTTGTACGGATTAGCTCCATAGGGCACTAGTAAAACCTAGTCCGACATGCATAAAAGATTTCCGGCCTATTTCACCATCACTGGGCTGTTGCCTACAGTGCTGAGGAAATAGGGTCGAGAGATCGGGTGGCACGTCTTTGCCATTTTTATGTATATGAGAAAGATAAGGAATTTAAAAATAGATTTAGATGCAAGCTATAGTTATTTATAATAATAAGCATATACGTTTATATGGAATTATAAATATTAGACGTAATTAATCATCGATATCCATACCTAATGATAGTCTTAGCTCAGCAGAAACTTCATATTCTTTTTCAATTTTCATTAAGAAGTCTATCCCAGTTTTCCCTTCTTGTGTAGCGTTTCTAACCTCCCTTACATAATCTGTTATATCTTCAATCTTCAAAATTGCTGGACCATAAATCCCTTGTGCATACGCTTGAGAAGCTTCCTTTCTAAGCCCAATTTGTATTGCGCGCCTTGTAGTTTTGCTGCCGTTGGGTCTATGATCTGGATCCCACTGCACAACAACGTTTGAGCTTTTACATTTTTTTGCTGTTTGGTTAGTAAGAACTGCTTGTGGCTATCAAGTTTTTTTTTCTTTTTTTATGCAAAGCTAATAAGTTTTTGTCAAATAAATTAATCAAATAAGAGAGTAAATCATTAAAATTTCCTGAGGGAAAAATCATGCAGCTGCTTGTGAAAGAATAGATTCAAACCACTCTCTCCTTAAATAGACTGCTAAAATATGCTCTTGGTTTGGCTTAGTGGCTCAGCCTGATCTGTACATCATTCACAAAAAGTTTGGCTTAATTCATGTCATCCTTAAAGGCTGAAATGAAGGGTTTTGGGTAGTGAAATCTTGATGGAGAGCAGCTGGATTTGCAATGGTAGAAGAGTAGGCTTGATAAACGATAATAAAATTCTCGTTGTAGTGGCTGATTATGTGTTTTCCTCGTTCTGGCCAGTCATGAGTTTTTTGTTCTTCATAAGATTTTAGAGTTAACGGATCACAATAGGAAACAATACCATTAGATGCTTCCATATAAATTATCCTATATTATTCAATATAATATCTGAAAATTTACTTGCATTGAAGAATCCCTTTCTTATTAGAAATTAGAAGGCGTCTGCCATTTTGATTACGCAGTCACCAAAGACCCCAATGCGGGGTTCACCTGCTTCGCGCCGTCTTCGGATTCACCTTGTTCGAGTTGGGACAATGATTCGCTGGCCAACCTCAGCTCTGACACTGCCTTTCCTCTTCTTCAGCTCCTGATGGCATGGTATTCTGAAGTGAGATTTCACCTGGACGTCTACTCCTCCCCTTGCGGCTTGAGTATTGAGTGGGCGGGCTATGGACTTCTGCGGCTGCTGCTTGGGTGTACGAAGTTGACTATCCAAAAATCCCAAAAAATGGAATTTCTGGTGACCTTTCGGCAAAAAAGAAAAATCCAAGCCCTGGGGCGTAACTCCCAGTTTCACGCTAGGCAGTTGCCCGATTGGTCTAGGTGTTCCCTGTAGACTTTGCTGGGCTTTCCCTTTCCAAACTTGAACCCCTCCTCCCCTTCGAGGTAAACCTAATCCTGAATTTGGACTGAGGGCTAGGCTCTGAACGCTGCCAGAATTGCTTACCTAGCATTGCTGTCCATTTCTGGGCTAGTAAAACCTTGCCGATATAATTAAAATATGTGCTCGGAAGTTGCGTGGCCGGAGGCCATGCTAGGTGGAGACGCCATATTTTAATTATGCATTGAAGAATCCCACAATAATAGTTTTAACATATGGACAAGCAATACATTAGCATAAAATATCCCGCAAAAGTAAAAATTAATAATATCTAAGATACAAAATTATATATAAGCCTGAATTTACAATGATTTGTAGATTTAAGGTTATTTTAAATGTTTAGTTTTGAATATCCCCAGCAGAAATGCTAACTCCCCTCTCCGTGAGTGAACAAAAATTTTTTTATGAAAAAAAAATTGATATATAAGTGATAATTAGTATAATGAAATCTCGAGCTAAATCTGTTTAATTTTAAACAAACTGCATTTTATAACATAAATTTTATAAATTAAATTAATATTCTTCCCAATTTTTGCAAATTAGGATTTTTTTAAAATTTCGAAAAAAAATTTATATATAAATTTTTTAAAAAAAAAAAATAAGCCCCCTCCGTGAGTGAACAAAATTTTTTTTGTTCACTCACGGGGGGAGAGTAAGATTTTTCTTAACAACTTCACGATTTTTTCTCTCATCAATGAGTTCTTCAATCGTGACATTCGAGTTTTCGAGACTGGACAGCTCTTGTTTCTTTACATTTATAAGACTTTTCAATCTGTTTTTAATACTATTCTCAGTCCTGGTTTTGAGAATTTGCGAAATCTTGCTTCATTTGTTGCCATAGGCTTTGTACAACTCCAATAGCTGTAAGTCCTCTTCATTACTCCAAGGACCTTTATTTACATTAGGATCGAGATGATTATTCCACCTTTCTTTACACTGCTTTCCAGTCCTCACCTTCAGCCCTTTATGTACTCTTAAGTTTATCTCTTTCGCTATAAAACCCCATTTTTTATTTTTCCTTACACTTTCGTTGATGATTTCATCCTCTGGTGCGGACCAGGCACCAGGCCGAAGTGTTCCTGTGGCTATAATTTCGCGTAATTTACTCAAGCAGTGGGCTGGGGAGCGATTGAGCTGGGTAGCTATGTGGTAGAGATCAGTTTCTTTCTTATACTTAATTAATATTCCCCCACGGGGTAGGTATTCCGGAGCCAATCGCCACCTCTTAACTCGTAGGGACATATTCACAGCACTCCCTAGCGTGAAACTGGGATTTACGTCCCAGGCCACATGTTCTCCTTTTTTGCGAAGAGTCGGTCAGAAAATCCATTTTTTTAAATTTTTTTGGCAGGCAACTTACGTATTCAAGAGAGTCGCCTGGAGCAGCGTGGGCCGCACTGAAAAGTTGCCTGAATGGTCGTAAGAACTTTGCTGGGCTTCCCCTTTCCCACCGCAGCGCCTTCCTTTCCACGAGGTAAAATCCATCCCGGTGGTTGATTGGGCCAGGCTCTGCCCTTCAGAATTGCTTACCTGGCATTGTTGCCCATTTCCAGAATGGCAACCTTGCCTGCTATAATTAAAATATGTGCTCGAAGCTGCATGGCCGGAGGCCATGCCGGGGCTAAAACGCCATATTTTGATTATGATCAGTTTCTTTCAAATCCTCTATAGCTTTATGTGAATTCTGAGAGAATTCATGGGAAAGCTGATAAAGAAGTTCTATGTGTCGTTTATCCCAAGTTCTTTGGTATTTCTTTTTATTCTCCTCCACCGGAGGAAATGGTGCTTGTGTCACTGGAACAACCAAACTTTGAAAAAAGGTTGGAAAGTATATGTAATTGCAAGGAACCGGGGATATTAAGCTTTCTTCAGGGTTATTTTCTCCTTCCATTCTAAGATTTAAAGTTCTTTTTATAACCAAACTTAAAATGGGAGATATGCATATTCAAGTAAATTAAAGGTAAGGAGATCATTGAATTGCATTTAAAAATGTTCCATAGATAAAAATTTTTAATAATAAGTGAAGATTATAAGTTTACTGGCATGCTGTATCTAATTTGAAATTGGAGAGTAAAATAAATGTCCTCCATTGTTTTGAGAAAAAGGCTCGCGAAACTATTTATGAAGCTAAATAATAAATAATCGTAGTCCTACCTATAAGTAAAACTTATATTTCGATAAAGATATTTTAAGTTATAAACATTAAAAAAACAGCAGCTTAATTAATCACAGAATATTTAAGAGAGGAAATTTAGCTATCGATTTCACTAACTCCCCCCCCCCTCCGTGAGTGAACAAAAAAATTTTGTTCACTCACGGAGGGGGGTTAATTTTTTTTTTGTTAAAATTTATATATAAATTTTTATAAAAAATATTTTTTTTCGAAATTTAAAAAAATCTAATTTGCAAAAATTGGAAAGCAAATATTAATTTAATTTGTAAAATTTATGTTTTAAAAAGCAATTCGTTTAAAATTAAACAGAATTAGCTCTAGATTTCATTATGCTAATTATCATTTATATATCAATTTTTTTTTCCATAAAAATTTTTTGTATTAAAAAAATTTTTGTTCACTCACTGAGGGTGGGTTTTTGGGCAAAAAATAGCGATTTTTCTAATGGTTTTGTTCACTCACGGAGGGGTGGGGAGTAAAGGAGATTAAAATTAATATTAATATTATCTAAAATAGAACTAATTATTTAATATAAAAAGATAAGATAAGGGATGATATCATTTTTAATACAATAAATTAAATTTCTTTGTTCAAGAAATTTAATTCAGCTGAGAGAATATTTTTAAATGCAAAAAAAATATGAATCCTGAACCCAGAAGATAAGATATTATCGTTTTACAAGTAAATATGGTAAAATCTTAATCATTAAATTAATTACTCAGATATTTAAAGTGTCTTCCCTTTTCAGCAGGATGATTTAGGCATGCATAAGCCATTCCTTTTAACTCCAAACTGGTGAAGTCAGCGGCCATCTTGTCTAGCAAGGATTACAGGAGACGCTTCTGTAAGGCCAGAAGGTCCGCACTGGTCGCGTTGACCTCGCCCATACTTGACTTCTGCGCGTGTTCCACCTAAAGGTTACTCTCCTCGGGTGAGTCAAGCAGAAAAACCATATATCTCTTAATATCCTGGCCAAACAAATGCCCTAGCAGTATTCCATATTGGTGTTGCGGATAAAAGTCCACGTGGAAAACTGAGCCCCATAATAATATCTTGGAGAGAACTAATTCTGCACTGAGCCATTTTATTATTATGGTAAAATCTTAATCATTTTGGGATTTTATATTTCTATTTTATAATTAAATTGATAAAGTAAATTTTTAACCCAATTATCTAACCAAAAAATGCTTCAGAAGCTTTTTGGTAAGACGGATCAGGTAAATCTGATTTTACGTTTGCTTTAGAAACGCTTGGGGTTATATTTGAAAATGGCTTCGATTTTTTCAATGCATTTGATATCATTTCTGAGTGGTCTTTGCCTTTGAAAATATTAGGTCTTTGGATTTTATAGTCTACAAAGTTTTCTCGTATATAACTTGATTGAGAATTTATGCTGGCATCGCTATAATTCACTCCAATGATGGGGTCAACCGCTCTTAGCCTTGGCTTGTTCTTATAAAATCTCGGGGAGTTTATCGGAAAATTATATTTTCCAGGACTAAGTGACTGAGAATTATTAATTCGAAGCAGCCCACTTCTAGCAAGAGGGCTTCTAGGGTAATTTGCTGGAATTCCTTGTTCAGGAATTGGCTCTTTTGTTGATCTTGGCATAAACTTTTCCATATATGATGAGCTTCTTTTGCTTATTGATGGTGGAATTTCAATCGAAGCATTTGGAGATGAGTAGAAAGGAGAGTGGGTTATTGGATTGTAGTCATGAATTTTGGGACTGGACTTTGTGTATACTGCGTTCATGTATAATATTTATTAAGCTTTAATGATTAAAAGCAGGAAATTAGAGCTCAATGTAGCGTTTTCATTACACTTTATAAAAGACATTGAAGTACATCGTAAGTGCGATTTTTTTATATACTTTGATAAAACATATCAAGAATAAATATTTAGAATTAGGAATGAAGACTAAACGATACTTATAATTAAATATCTATTTGTTTGTAGGTAATCTAATCTTATAAGCTACCTTAATGCAAATATATTTTAGGAAAGTTACTATTAAGTAATGGCTGAGTTAAAGAAACCTGGATCAAAATCAAGCCTATCAAGAGCAATTGAATCAGTTTACTCCCATAAAGGCTTGACCAACGTAAATAGTGCTTTTATTGAATCCAAGATCAATGAAATGCATAAAATAAAAAAATTTATCCGAAAAGAGTTTTTCTCTGATGCATTACAAGTAGGCAGCTACTTTTCCAAGCCAGAAAAATCAAAAAAGCCAAAGAAAAAAGATCATTTTATTCCTATAACTTCATTTGCTTCAACAGGCGTTGGCGCTTATCATTTATACTCGGCACGAGCTTTGCCTTCTCAATTTTTAAAAACTCCTGTAAGAGTTATAAATAAGCTCACCAAAAAAATTTATGAAGAGCCCAAAATAGTGCCTTTTCCATTAAATTTGCCAATTAAAGGTAAGCAAAAGCACCATGCAAATCCGTTTTCATTAACTAAAAACCAAGATGCTTGCCCAATTTTAACAGTAGAAAACTATAATGCCGGAAGAGTCTGCACAACAGAGCCAAGCCCAAGGCCAAAAATAAGCTTTGGAGAAACTATGAGTTCAGAAAATATTCTCTTTGATAATTTCCAGTATTTTTCCTATCCCTTTTTAGCCTAATCCTATTAATAATCCTTTTATCTTATTTAGCATAATAATTTTGCTGCGACATTCCACTCATCAATTAAGCCACAAACTAGTTCTGGCATCAGGTCACCAGAGTCCATATGTATGGAAATCTCAGAATCCTGCAATGATTTACTACAGCTTAACAAGCAAAGCAAGAAAATGATTGCAAGAAAAACAAGAATGCTAAAGCGAGGCATGAATCGATGTAAAAGCTACACAAAAATGATTACTCAGAGCAACAAAAGAGCAAGCTACTACCTTTTGCATCAGCAATACACAAGCTCTGAAAGGCCAAATTAATACCAAAATAATTAATTATGTGAATATTTAGGCAACTTTGTAGATCTCAATATTGAATATAGAGAACTCACTGTTTTTAAATAATTGCTTGGAATTAAATGCTGTAGATTCGTTAGATATACCTGTAATCATACCTGGGCATATTTGGAAAATAATGTTTCTATATAAAAATTACCCTTCTTGTGATAAAACTGAAAAACCGATTTTCATGTTGGCTCTGATTCTAATCGCTTCGTCTTCTTTATGACTATACGCGACTTTTTCAGGTCTTATACTGAACAGTTTGCATTCGGAGCTACACATTTCCATATCATTTTCTATAGTCCTATCTAAAAATATCCCTATCGCATAGTTTTTTTTGGTTTCGACTAAAATTATTATTGGGGAATCGCTATTAATAATGCTACTCATAAACTTTGCCGAATCCAATCCATTTGAAGTTATAGAGTACATTAAGCTCATTCTGTGCTTTAAAAATAATTTTGGAATCAGCGTGCAAAGATTATGGATCTATATAGAAATTACGTCTTCTTGAGTTTTCATTATTGCAGAAGCTCCATCGAAGTAAGGGACATAATTAAAAACATCGCTGTCCGTCGCGACAGATGAAGTTTCAGTGGCATCAGGCTTGCCAAAATTGATTTTAAAGGCTTTCTATATGTATACAGTTTATATTGATTTTAATAGAAAAATAATAATTGATACTATAGAAAATTGAATAAAATGTCAAGCCGAATACAACTCATTAGTCATAAATTACTTTGAGGATTTTAAAAATTGCGATTTGAGTTCTGGCATAAGATTTCCAATCCGGAATTGTTTTATTTCCATCCCTAAGCTCTTCACATCTTTTTAGTGCCAAATATACGATTGCAGTTGTGAACTTCATGACTGACCCAATTCCATCAGCTAGAAAATTCATCAAAATCAATGGATAAAAGGAAGGCGATATATACCCAATTAGCATGTTAAACGCAATATCTTTAATAACTTCTTCGATTTTCTTATCAGCGATTTCAACGTCTTTTAGCATTTCTTTGACTTTTCTCAAAATATTCTTAACGATCCTTTTATGCTTTATAACTGTTAACGGGAAATGAAATGTGAATTTTGGACAATTTTCTCTGTATCGTGACTCTGCAATTAATCTTAGTCTTAGTTAAATTTATAGAGTAGCTCCCGGCCAGGACCGAAGGTCCTTTTCTTCCGTCTTTTGGACGCCTCGCTTGCTTTCCTTGCCCTGCTCCCAGTGTGCACCTAAGTGCCACAGGCTACCACTCAGCTCCTTCCGGTCATGGGGCTTGGTCATGCTATCCCGGAAGTAGGCGAACTGAGTCACCGTGCTTTCACGTCGCCAGACTAGGGTTAGAGCTAAGGATTAACTCCTTAGCTCTTGTCGGCTCCTGCCATGCCCTCCAAATTGGCACTAGCGGTCCCTAGAGGGAAAAACCCTTTTTGCCCCGTGTCCTATCGGGACGACCCTAGAATCGTCGTTGCTGGACTGGGAGGGAAACCTAGCCGGACACAAACTACCAGTACCCATTCCAGACTTTTCCCTGAGCGGATTGGCTTCAGGCCGCAGCAAGGTCCCCAATCTCGCCTCAGTTCCGGGAGAGGACGGGTCGGTGTCGTCGCCATTTTATTTGTGTGACTCTGCAATTAAAACTTGGATAATTTGATAAGTTTCGTGCTCCTTCATAAACCAGAGCAAAGCCTGAACAACCCTAGGCAATATTAAGCAGGCTTCTATATCAGTCGATTTTTTATGAATTACATATAAAATCGTTTTACAAACGGTAGCCCCTTGAAATGTTAAGAAACAATTCATCAAATCTTTTCTCCCAAACAAAGGCTCAGCACTTGGAGGAAGCTCAGAGAAGTTTAATTCGGGATCCAAGTTGTTTGTGTAGTCATAATATTCTGTTTTAGCAATCTCGTTGTCAAATGTAATTAATTTGCTTACTCCCCCCCTCCGTGAGTGAACAAAACCATTAGAAAAATCGCTATTTTTTGCCCAAAAACCCACCCTCCGTGAGCGAAAAAAAAATTAAGGGAAAAAAATTTTGATATATAAGTGATAACTATTATAATGAAATCTAGAGCTAATTCTGTTAGATTTTTAAACGAATTGCTTTTTAAAACATAAATTTTATAAATTAAATTAATTTTTGCTTTCCAATTTTTGCGAATTAAGGTTTTTTTAAATTTCGAAAAAAAATATTTTCTATATTTTATATATAAATTTTTTTTAAAAAAAAAAATTAACCCCCTCCGTGAGTGAACAAAATTTTTTTGTTCACTCACGGAGGGGGGGAAGTTATAACATTTCGAATTAAATAGTTTGGCACTCCTTTTCTGATATCTAGGCAGAGCTGCATGTACGCGGAGTTGTTAAATTGAGGGGTGGTTGATGATCCTTCTAAGAAATTCTGATTAAGATTAATATCTTTCCATCCTTGGTACAGGGCTTTCTGAAAGAAGGTATAATTTTCATATTCGATGTTACGATGATAGCTAGCCCAATCAAAGTAATCATTCCCAATAAACCATTCTTCAGTCACAATTGCGGCTAAGTTTTCCTGAATGTCACTGTATTGATTTTTTGTACAGCAGTTTCCCATATATTTTAATGACCGTTATTTTGAACTAACATTATCAGATCCTTAAATAAATAATTATAGAAATTTTATCCAAAAAAATTTGGCTTCATGTAATTTTTGATAGCGCGACGTCTCTAGGGGAAAATTGTTAGAATAATTATTATGAGACATTTGATCGAAAAAGCCGTTAAATTTCGGCTATGTGTACTCTATTGAAAATTTTCGATCAAATTTTCTTCGATGAAAATACACAATCATTAGACCTTCACCCAAAAAATTTAAATTTTTTTTATATTGGTTGAAATTCTTGAGCTTTTAAGTTCATTTTTATTTACTATGTCATTATCTCAAGCATTTTTATCCTGATCTATTTCAAGATTCATATAATATATATAAATAGACATATTCATATGAACTCGACCGGAATGTATTGTTTATGCAGTGTCATCATGAAGTCTTTGACGTGGTCAAGAGATTCTCATGGCCTCTTTGACTATGAGTCAAGAAATATCCTCAAAAGAAACCTAAAAGCATACGGGCCATGCGAAGTTTTAAGAAAAGGAAACGAAGTGACTCTTTGCACTTCCCAGAGCGGCATTTCACAGTTTACAGCTGAATCTCTCCCACTTGCTTCACTACTTCAGACAGAGACAGGCTTGTTTTATGTGAAACCAGCAGAAAATGAGCAGCTTTGACTAGTGGTGAGATCATATAAACAACCCGGCTTAGAAAATGGTTTTCAGCTCTCAGAAGGTGACGTTGTGAAATTTGGACGTGTAAGATTTCGAATAAGATCCCTTAAAACCAATCCTTCAATAGACACTGACTCTTTCGATGAAGAAGCCTTAATAATAGACTCAAGCCTAGAAAGCGAAAACAAAATTTGCCGAATTTGCCTTTCAGATGGCAGTGAGCCTGACAACCCTATGATTTCTCCTTGCAAATGCTCAGGATCAGTCAAGCATATACACCTCTTGTGCCTTGTCAGATGGATTACTTCAAGACTGGCAATAAAAGCTGATGACAACTTGCACTCTTATTATTGGAAATCGGTGGACTGTGAAATATGCAAGCATGCCTTTCCAATGACTATTAATCACCAAGGGAGGATGAATGAGCTTTTTCCAATTGAAAAACCTTCAGAACCTTATGTGATTTTAGAAGAAATCAGTAAGGAAAGGAGCAGCAAGTCTATTCATGTGATACATTTAAAAAATAAAGACTCAGTTAGGCTTGGAAGAGGGCATGAGAGCGAGGTTAGAGTTTCGGATATTTCAGTATCTAGATGCCATGCTGTTATTTCCTATAGAAATGGGAACTTTTATTTAGAAGACAATAAGTCCAAATTTGGAACACTTGTGGAAGTCTCAGAAGGGTATGCTTTGGAGCAAAATTCGCAAATCGCTATGCAGGTTGGGATACATTAAAATGGTGTGGTGAATCAATACCCTCTTAACTCTTGTAGCCGATATCCCACAGTGTGCAGGGACCTTGAGGGAGGGAGGGAGGATAATGCTCAGAATGTGCATACGCGATTTTAATTGATTTGGTGAAGCGCAATGTCGGGCTGACGACCGCAAGCTTTATTCCAATGCTAGTTTTTGCCTCAGTGAGAAATGGGTCCGGAAGTTGAAATGGGTCTCCCAGAAGTGCCAATGGCGTTCATATTGTGGGACTATTCCCCAGTGTGAAGCCAGAAGCCACGCCCTGGGCTACAGATTTCCATTTTGGCAGAGAGTCAACCAGAAAATTCAACCCTTTATATTTCAATGGTGGGCAACTATACTAACGTGCGGCACGGTGATGCAACTCACTCAAATAACGGGTAGCGAGTGCAACCCTCGTCCTAAATAAGCAACTTTTGTAAGGTCATGCATGAACTGGCTAGAAAGCGAAAGAAGTGCTAAGAGCAGAGGTAGTACTTCGGGAATTACAGTGAGCTTCTCTACTATGCAGGTTGGGAGGACTGTTATTTCATTTTCAATTAAAGGTGAAGGTCAAAGTCATGTAAACGAGTTGGAGTCTTTGAACATGTCGCTGGATGAAACTGTTGCGGATCCAGATTTTGAAGAAGATTAATTAAGTTTGTTTTCTTTGGTGAATAAATCAGGCTTCAGCTGATTTTTTTAAATAAGAAATTATTTATGCAATATAATCAAGAAAATATTTAAGCACAAGTATGTGCTTTGCATATAATAGTTTTTATTACCTCAGTTCAATTCAAAAAATACATTTGGATTCACCTATATTGTCTCAATTATATACTAAGCATGCCTTAAAAATTTTGAATAATTAATCTACACTGATAAAGACAAAAAAACAGAATAATGATATTTTTATTAGCCTTTTGCCAATAATTACTAACACTCAATTCTTATTTTTCTTTTCGACATTCCTATAATATTTACAACTATAAAAACTTTTATCTAAAAAATCCAAAATATATTAACAAATACCTATTTCTCATTTTCATCAATCTTAAAATTCAATTTATTATCAAATGATACTGCACCATTAAAAGCGCGAATTTCATACACATTATCTACTAATTTGAAAACTTCTTAAAACAAAAAATGAGCCAAAGAAAGAATTTGAATGATGATCTTGAATCAGGCTACAAATCCCCTCTGTCACCTATTTCAGCAACAGAGAGTCCTCGGCAATTTCAATATATCGATGAGCCAATCCCATTAGTCCACAATTCCCCAGATGGAAATTCCTTTGAAATCAATCCAGATGCAATAGCGTTCTTATCTTCACTGTCATCTCCAATCGCTATTATAGGCGTTGCAGGCATGTACAGAACTGGGAAGTCATACCTCCTGAATCGAGTTTTATTAGACCGAAAAGGCGGCTTTGGTGTAGGACCATCAATTAATCCTTGTACTAAAGGAATTTGGCTGTGGGGAAGACCTATTCCAGGCACGACTGAGGATGGCAAACCCTGTTCAATCGTGGTCTTGGACTCAGAAGGTATTGGAGCTCTTGATGAAGACTCAGATCATGATACGAGGATTTTTTCACTGGCCTTATTGGTTAGCTCATGCTTTGTTTACAACTCAGTTGGGGCTATTGATGAAAGTGCGCTTCAAAACTTGTCACTGGTGGTGAATTTGACAAAACATATTCATATTAAGACCAGGCAGTCTGAGGAGACAGATAGTGAAGAATATGCAGCCTATATGCCAAGCTTTATATGGATTTTAAGAGATTTTGCACTTCAGCTGGTTGACGCAGAAGGAGAAAGCATGACGTCTAAAGAGTATCTTGAAAAAGCTTTGCAGCCTCAAAAAGGGTTTTCTGACTCTATTGAAGATAAAAACAGAATCCGAAGACTCCTTAAAGAATTCTTTAAGGACCGAGATTGTTTTACCCTTGTTCGCCCTACAATCCACGAAGGAGATCTCCAAAATCTAGAAGAAAAACCATTAGAAAGCTTAAGGGCAGAATTCCAAGAACAAGTTATTCAGCTAAGAAAAAGAGTAATCGGAAGAATAAAGCCTAAAACAGTCAACAACAAATGCTTGAATGGAGAAATGCTCGCAAACTTAGTGAAAAACTATATAGAAGCCATCAATATTGGAGTCGTTCCTAATATAGAAAGCGCTTGGAATTATATTTGTAAAACTGAATGTACCAAAGCTGTCGAAGACGCCCACGACATTTATGAAAAAATTTTAATGAGTAGTGTTTCCCATAGATTCCCTATAAATGAAGAAGACTTAAAGCTATTGCATAAAGAAGCTAAAGAAGCAGCAATGGAGCATTTCAATAAAATTGCTGTAGGAACTGATAGAGAAGTGTATTTAAAACAGCTGAAAGAAACCCTTGCACAGAAATATGACGGCCTTAAAGCTGATAATGAATTAGAAGCTCAAAGAAAATGCGAAAAATTCTTAACAGATAATTATCAAATTATTGACCAAAAATTGAAAAATGGAGAGCTCAAAAGCTTCTTGGATTTTGAAGCAAATTTAAGAAAGCTGCAACAGTATTTTATAGAGCGTGGACCTGATGGGCCTTTTAGAAATGAAATTTTATTAGAATTTTGTTTAGCAAAATATTCAGCTGCCAGCGACTTTTTCTTGAAAAACCTTACAAATGAGCTTAATTTGAAGGATCAGCTTACAAATGATCAAATTTTGAGGCTTGAAACTGAAGTAAGAGAGGCTAAAGAAGATCTTATGAGAGAAAAAGATGAATGGCATCGAAAATTCACTGCTGCAATCAGTGAAAAGGCTGAACTTGCTGCAAAAGAGCAAAATCTAAAAGAGCAGCTTCAAAATTTCAAGCAAGAACGAGAACAAGTTGAAAAAGAGCTTCGTGCTAGCTTGAAAAATGCTAAAAGTGAGCTTATCCAACAAGTAGAAGTCGCCAATAACAAAACTTGGGAATCCGAAGAAAAAGTGAAAGACGCTGAGCGACTTGTTAACCATAAAGAGGCTGAATTCCAAGAAGCCAAAGCTTTGCTTGACCAGAAAATCAAATATTTAGAATCAAGCTTAGAAGAGTCCAGAAAAAGAGAAAAAGAATATATGAATGACTTAAAGTCGCAGAAAAAAGACCACACGTCTTCTGTAAAAGATATTCATTCAAGGTTTGAAAATCAGGTGAAAAATTATCAATCCAGGCTAGAAGCTGAAACTGAAAAAATTTCAGAATTAGAAAGAGAGCTTGAAGAAAAAGAAAATTTATATGAAAGATCAAAATCTAATTGGGAAGAAACTGAAATTAGACTTAAAGCGGCAAATGATGATTATTTGCAGCAGCTAGAATCTTTAAAAACTAAGCTTGATAGAAAAGAAAATGACACAAAGAAAAAAATAGCTGAGCTGGTAAAAGAGCATGAAGCTGCAATGAATAAGCTACAGACAAAATATGATGAAGTTGATCAAAAATTCAAGCAAACTGATGAAACTCTTAAAACCCAACAAGTTCAATGGCAAAAAGAAAACGCTATTTTGGCCCAAAAATTAGAATTTTCTGAGCAGCATTATGAAGAAACAAAATCTCAGCTTGAAGAAGAAAGAAGACAGCACGCAAACATGCTAAGGTCAATACAAGCCAGCTCAAGTGAAAATGCTCGTGAAGAAGTGGAAACTCAGCTACAAAAATTACGTCAAAAATATCTTGAAGACATGAAAGCACAAGAAATAGAAATTGAAAGCACAAAAAGAAAATTCACAGCCCAAGTTGAAGATTTAATGAAAAAAAATGCAGAGCTGGAGTTCCAGATCAAAGTTGATACAAATGAGTGGAAAAATAAAGAAAAAAATATCCAGGAGGAGCTAATGACTGTGACTGATGATAAAAATAAATTACAAGAGCAATGCAATGAACTTCAAAAAAGAATGCAACAGTTCTCAGAAGAAGCTGAAGCAAAATTAAAGAAAAGAATAAAATCATTAGAGTCACAGCTAGACGAGCTAAGAACCAAAACTAATGATGAACTGCAAGCTGCAAATGCAAGAGCTGAAAGTTCTTATCAGCAGCTAAAAGAGTTTTATGAAGAAGAAAAGAAAAGAATGGAAGGAAAAGTGCAAGAAGAAAAAGAAAGAGCTGATAAGAAATATAACTCTGTATGTGAAGAGTATGAAGACAGACTTAGACAAGAAGCTGACGCATATGAAGATGATTTAGCAGCCAAAGAAGATGAACTAAGAGACTTAGAAGCTTATTATAATGATGAAATAACTCAGCTAAAACACCAAGCAGGACTTGATACTCAGAAAATTGAGACTTTAGAGAAATATTTGAGAGATAATAAAGAACAAATTGAAGGGATGCAAAAATCTCATAACTTGTCTATGGAGCAGCTTCAAGAAAGGATGAACCAAGAAAGAGCAAGCCTGGTTGAAAAAGTCGAAAAAATGGCCAGTGAGCTTGCAGCGAAAGAAAGAGAACTAAGCACTGCTTCTTATAAAAAAGAACAGCTAGAGTCACAATTAGCGAATAAAGAAGCAGAACTTTCTGATGTAAAAGAACAATATGAGCGTGAAAAACAAACTTTGGCTGAAAAATTCGAGCTAGCCAAGCAGTCTTATCAAAAAATCAATGATGAATACACACAGAAGAAAAGCGATTTTAAGAGAGAAATGGCTTTATCACAGCAGGAAAATGAATTTAAAGCAAAACGCATTAGCGATTTAGAAAAATCTTTACAAGAAGCTGAAGAAAAATACAATGAAACGTTAAAGAGTCTTAAAGACGAATCAGGTGAAGAACTTTCCACCACAATCCAAAAATTAACTAACTCCCCACTCCGTTAGCGAACAAAAAAAGTTTTATTGCTCACGGAATGGGATTAATTTTGTTTTTTTCAAAAATTTATTTAAATTTTATAGAATTTTTTTTTTTTTCAAATTTTAAAAAAATTCCAATTTGTGAAGCAAAAATTAATTTAATTGCGAAATTTATATTTTAAAACATAAGCTGTTTAAATTAGTCTTGAGATTTCGATATAATAATTATCATTTATATATCAATTTTTTTTTCATAAATAATTTTTGTTCGCTCACGGAGAGTGGATTTTTGGTCAAAAAATAGGGATTTTTCTAATGGTTTTGTTCGCTTACGGAGGGGGGCAGTAAGGAAAAAGAAAGCCTTGAAGAAAAATTAAACCAAAAGAAAAAATCACTAAAAGAATTAGCTACAAATTCATCAAAAAATATCAGCAGTTTAGAAAAAGAAAAAGCAGTCCTCGCAGAAAAGCTTGCTAATTTAGAAGCCAAAAAGCAAGACATGGAAAACAGACTAAGAGCTGATATAGAGCATTTACAAGTCCAGCTTAAAGAAAAAAAGGACTCAGAAAGCACTGACAAAATGTCAGTTCATTTAGAAAATGAAAGACTTAAGACAATGATGCAAGAAATGGAAAAAGATATATCAGAAAGAAATTCAGCATTCGAAAGAGAACGCATATTATGGGAAAATAAATTTAATTTCCTAACCCAGCAGCGAGACTCCGCAAAATCAGATTTATTAGAATCCCAACGAAAATTCGATATTACAGTTGAAAACCTTCAAAAGCGCAGCGCAGCAGAAAAAGAAAAACAAGAATCAGCCACCAATTTATTGATTTCCTCAATAGAAACACGATTCAACACCCAAATTAAAGACATGCAAGAAGCTCATGCTGCATCATTCACTGAAACTGCAGAAAAAAATAAAATTCTCGAAAGAGATTTAAGAGCTGCTAAAGAAGAGCTTGAGCTTGTAAAAAGAGGAAAATCCTCCGAATCAGGGTCACTTGAAAAAAGAATAAAAGATTTATCAGAAAATGAGCAAAGATTATTAGCTGAAATTGATGCTCTTAAAAAAGATAGAGAAAGAAGAATAGATGAACTTACAGAGTCAGCAAATTATGAAAGAGAACAGCTCAAAACGAAGCTTGCAGACTATGAAAAGAGAGCGAAAGAAGCTGAGCATCAAAAAGGACAACTGTTCTTAGATCTGGAAAAGGAAAGAGCTAAGTGGCATATGGATAAAGACCATTTAATGTCTCAAAAAAATGAAGCATTGGATAATCTAGAAAGGTCAGAAAAAAAGAGAGAACTATTAGTAAGAGAAAATGAGAAGTTAAGGGCTGAAAAAGGGAGAAGGAACGCTGGATTATTTGCTGGAGCAAATCCAGGGGATGATAAATTTAGAAGAGGAGTTGGAGGCTTCCTAGGGAAAACTGCAGGAGTATCTTTTGAAGAATATTCTAAAGAGAAAGAAAGCCAAGATACAAGCGGAAATTCAAGTCCGAGGAGTTCAAATCAAGGGACAGCCAGCCCACTTCCTCCACCTATTAGAGCGAGAAGTCCAATATCATCAAGAAGTCATAGATCAAGCTCAGGGTTTGATTTTAACAGGGTAGAAAAGAAGCCGGATCCGCAGTAAGACTATAATTTAAGTAATAGCCAAATTATATTTACTTAAGAAATAATAGCAAAAATAAGGTGAAAGCAAAATAAACCTGATTGCTTTTGATTAAAAGCTTAATTTTATTAAGCATCTCTGTGCTTTTTCATGATTTCCATAAATTCATCTAACTCAATAACACCATTGTGATTGACGTCAGCTTCTTCTATCATTTCTCTGATTTCTTGAGTACTTGAATTGTCTCCTGACACTTGCTGCATTACTGTTTCAAGTTCTAGCCTTTCAATGAGCCCATTATGATTTCTGTCAAATAATCTAAAAAGATCTGGCAGTTTAGAGTTGTCGGAGTGCATATAAAAATCTTGCATAAGGCTTGCAAATCTGTTTAGCTCTGCCTGTGAGAGCTCAAGCTTTATACCAGCCATAGTTTTTATAATACTTTATAACGAATATTTTTTCCTTTTAAATTATCATCAATAATTTTTAATCAAGGATATGAAGAAATAAATTTCAGTTGAAAAGGAAAACTAAGTGGAAAAAAAGATTCCAGGACTTTAAAATTAAGAAGAAAAATGCTAGATATTGGGCTTTAATAAGCGATAATTGTCTAGTTAAATTAAGTTTTTAAATAGGGTGATTTAAATAAAATTTAGCAAAGTGTATTTAGCTGCAATTATTCTGAACTTAAGAATGATTTTATCCTTTAATATTAAACAGTTATTTATAATTATATATACATTAAAGTTAAGAATTATGGAAAATATTAGATTTAATTATAAATTATTCTTTTACTTTATACGTGCTATATCCAATATCGCTAAAAAGATTAATTTTAAAATGATACTTTATTCAGTTTTCAATTGTTCCATAACATACTTTTCCTTAAAATAAGAATTTCCAGGCAACAACAAATATCATAACACAAACTCCTACAACATAAATCGCCACCCTTGTTTCGCTTTGGGCCATAAATATAAAATGACATTCAGTTCGAGCGGAATTGCTCCGCAAATTTTCTCTCCCTCATGGAATTTTATTTATGGGGTTGAGTTTCTTCTGAGAACTTCTGCACAGGAACAGCAATTTAACTCTGGCAGATAAGCCGAGGCTGCTCCAAGTACTTCAAGAGGCTCGAAGTTTTACATCTCAGCACACCCGAGGAAGGTGACCCTCGGTGGAACACGCGCAGGAGCTGAGTCGAAGCCGGAACGTCTTATTTGCCCGTGCCTTGGCGCAACGAAGTTGATCGATCCAGAGGTCCATGGGCCCGGTACGTGGACAAATATGGTGGCAGCTCTGGAAATGGCTACCCCATAGCGGACATTTAACGATATAAATCTCATGTTAATGCTAATGTTTCACTTTGGGCCAGCAGCTGATCTAATGCTTGATTTGTCCTTTGTAGCAGCCCACCTGAATGCTCATAGGCGATTGCAATTTTCTTAACCCTCTGTTTATCCATTTCAAGATCATCCTTCAATAAAATGCTATAGCTCTTTATTTCTCCCACAGCACTCCTCAGGACTTCCTTCTTTTCTAACAAGTCATTCTCAATAGTCCTCATATTTAATAAATTTTATTACAATTAATAATCTCTTTTTGTTAGAAGTTTCTGGTTTATAGTTAGATTTATTAGAAGACTAATTACTGCGCAATTTTAAGCGTTAATTTATTTATGCCTTCTTGTAGGTGAGCCGCCAACTTCTCCAGCCCATGCCTTTTGGGTAGGCTGAGGATCAGTATTCCATGCATTCTTCATCATGAGATCAAAGTACCTGTCATCATCAATAGAAGCAGAAACGTGGTTGTAGTACTCAGTGAACTCTTCTAATGTAATTCTATGATCTCTTGTATCTTCTTTAAATGAAGCGTGATGGGCTTCAAAGGTGTCTAAAAATTCACACAAAATGTCATCTTCTGTCTTCTTGCCAGACCTTACGTCAGGGTGGTTAGTTGCATTGTAAACACCTCTGATATCGTCAATTTCGACAATGCCATTGCCGTTTTTATCAAGCTTGTTGAAGCACTGAGTGACAATGTGCTTTCTAAAGTTATTCATTTCTCCTCTGACTCTATGGACGAATTCTTCATAATCAATAGATCCGCTTCTATCAGCATCAAAGAAAGTGAATAATCTTCTTGAATCATCGTCAGAGAAGCCAGTTCTGAAATCTTTCATTGCTTTGGTGAACTCTTCTAAGCTTAAATTTCCTGACCCATCATCGTCCATTATCTTGAAAAGTTTAGCAATTCCTACAAACCCTCTGGCTCCGCCACGGGCATTTAGTTTTACTCTTAGCTGCTCAATCAGTCCGTCAACAGTTTGGTTGGCTGTATTTCTGATTGAAGATCTGCTGCCATAATCAATTGCTTGTTCTGTTGTACCGAATGGGCTTTGAGCTTGTTGGTATTTTCTTCTGGAGCCATAGCTGAAGTCTTGTGAAGCCCAGGCTTCTTTTTTGTCAGGTTCTCCTTGAAGTTTCCAAGCATTGTTCATCATAAGCTCAAAGTATTGGTCATTGTCAATGCTTGCTGAGACATTGGCGTAATATTCTTCGAACTCTTGTTTGGTTACTCTTTGGTCTCTTTGAGAAAGGTCACTGATATTGTGGTGGGTTTCAAAGGTTTCTAAGAATTCACCTAAAACTTGGTCTTCAGTCTTTTTTCCGCTTTTTACGTCTGGGTGGCCTCTGGCGTCATAAACACCTCTGAGGTCAGTGATATCAACTACTCCGCTTCCATCTCTGTCTAGCTTAGTCCAGGCTTGATTGACGATGTTCTTTCTGAAATCGTTTAATGGCCCTCTGATTGCACGGATTAATTCGTCGAAATCTACAGTCCCACTTCTGTCTCTGTCAATTCCATTGAAAAGTATAGTGATTTCTTCATCAGAAATGCTGACTCTGAAGTCATGAATGCCCTTACTCCCCCCCCCCTCCGTGAGTGTGAACAAAACCATTAGAAAAATCACTATTTTTTGCCAAAAAAATTTTTTTAATAGAAAAATTTTTTATGGAAAAAAAATTTGATATATAAATGATAATTATTATAATGAAATCTAGAGCTAATTCTGTTTAATTTTAAACGAATTGCTTTTTAAATCATAAATGTTATAAATTAAATTAATATTTGCTTTCCAATTTTTACGAATTAGGATTTTTTTAAATTTCGAAAAAAAATATTTTTTTATAAAATTATATATAAAATTTTTTTAAAAAAAAAAATTAACCCCCCTCCGTGAGTGAACAAAATTTTTTTGTTCACTCACGGAGGGGAGTTAGTGAATTCTGCTCTTGACAGTGTTTTGCTATTATCGTCATCAATGATTTTGAAGGTTCTTTGGATACCGATGATTCCTCTTGTGCCTCTGGCTGCAAGTTTAGCTCTAAAAGCTTCAAAAATTGCAGCAGATTCTCTAGTTGGTCCTTGGTAGCGAGCTTCTCCTTTGGTCTCCTCCTTTCTTTCTTCTCTTGGGGCAGCTGTTTCGTTAAGTTTCCATGTGTTTGTCATCATCAATTCAAAGTACTGGTCATTGTCAATTGACATAGAAATGTTGTTATAGTACTCTTGGAACTCTTCTCTGGTGATTTTCTGGTCATTTTGTCCACCACCGATATTATGATGCATTTCAAAGGTCTCCAAGAATTCCCCTAAGACTTGATCTTCTGACTTCTTGCCTGCTTTCACGTCTGGGTGGTTTCTTGCACTGTAGGTCCCTCTGATATCATTAATATCAAGTACTCCTGAATGATCAGTGTCAATTTTACTAAAAGCTCTGGTCACCAGTGCAGTCCTAAACTCGTTCATTGGTCCTCTGACAGCTCTTAAAAACTCGTCATAATCGATATTTCCTGATCTATTTCTATCGATATACCCAAACAGTGACTGGATTTCAGCATCGCTCAAATCAACTGCAAAATCCTTCATAGCTTTGGTGAATTCTTGGAAGTCTAGGTTCTTCGAATTGTCGTCATCCATAATCTTGAACTGACGCTGGAGGCCAATGATTCCTCTTCCTCCTCTTTCTGCAAGCTTATTTCTGAGCTTGATGATAGCTCTTTCACCTTGTTCGAGCTGAGCTGGGGTAAGTCCTTGAGGAGCTGCTGCTTTTTGTCTAAGCTTTTGTTCACCAAATAAAACTGCACTGAATTCTTTGTAGTCAAGGGTGCCATTGCTATCAACGTCGTAAATATTGAAAAGTTCTTGGAGACGTTTTGGGTCTTGATAAGTCATCCCAACTTTTTCTAAAGCTTTAGTCCATTCTTCGAAGCTTAAAGTTCCGGAGTTGTCCATGTCGAAGTATTTGAAGGATTTCAACAAAATACTTTCCTCGGTGAGACGACCTGTTACACGTTGAGAGAGCTTTTGTTTCAGTTCACGCTCGAAAGGACCACGATTTTCTGCCATTACTTTTTATCAAAATGGATTGCTTATTATTTCAGATGAATTTTTACAAGTCATTAGAAAAAAACTTTGGGAATGTTTATAATTTTGAAAAGAGAAGAAAAGAAAAAATTAAATTAAATGAAAAATGTTTTTTTGCTTTTTTAAGGAGGACTTTTTTATAGAGAGATCAAAAAGGCAATAAAACTCTGTCTATTTTTTTTTGATTTTAGTAATAAAATTACTTGTTTGAGTTTGTTTATAAATCATTGATTAAAAATTAATTTATGAGTAAAATTGGCTACTTGGTTAATTTTACAAGCAAAATAGAAATAATTATTTAGATGCTCAATTTTAAAACTGAAATAAATTAAATGTATAATTATATATGTGGCTTAATTGCTGATAAAGTATGGCATTTTAAATAGCTCTTGATTTATCTTTATTAAGAACTAAGGGCCTCAGCTTATGGCGCTAGGTAAGATGCATTCCGGATTTAATTTTAGCAATATTTTCAAATCCGTCTTTTCATCTATTTAAATTTTATGATGCAATCACTTGATTTATACTCATATTCAATATGCTATCTCATAGCTATTTCTATAAACTCTTCTATAACATTAAATATAATTAGCACATCAAAACATCAACTCATTTATTTACATTAAGCCAAAATAACCAATCTTTATAGAAGAATTCACATCAGTTATCATTTAACTCACAATTTAGAAGAATATTTTCAAAAATCCAAAATATTTTGCATGATGATTTTATTTTTGAATATTTATTTATTTCTTACAAAGTATATTGGGTGTAAACAGTCTAAATATTGATTTAATTAGGGAAGTCTGTATGTGGCTCTTGAAGTTTAGCTAATCTCTCTAATTGCCTTACAAATGTTTTTTGGAAAGATTCTTGGTAGCGATCTTGACACATAGCCAGACATTGCTTTTCATTTGAGGTGAGATCATCAGAAGGCTTTGCAATGCATTTGTCAAAACACCCTTTCAGAAGTCCTTGGAGCATCAAAGCAAGCATATGGTTTTGCATTTGGGCCTGAAGCTGATCTTCCATATTTTATTATAAGCTGATTTCCACAGGATTTTAATTATAAAATTGTGTGCTATTACATTTTATAAATTATCTTGGTCGATATCTTTATTGCTGGATTCCATTACTTGTAGAAATAAATGGTGGCATCGACGGAAGATGGACTTCAAGACAGGAGCAGGTAGAATCCGTCCTGATTAAGCTGAAAATAGTGCCTCACTTTTTGAAGTAGGCTTAGGGTTTGGGGATGCCTGCCGATGATGTAAGTTTTCGTTTCTCCGAAGGATTTTCCCTGTCCCTCCAGATGGGCAAGTCAGGTTTTGCCTCCCACCTTGTCTTTGCTCATCAGGACTAAAGGGGCATCTACAAGAAGTGGCTCTAACCTAAGGAGCTAATCCTTAGGCTAGGCGGGGTTTACTTCAGATATGCAAACTAGTGGTCTATCCGCTTATGGCCTTATAACACTTAACCTAACTTATTACTTTTGAATTATCCGATATTTTTTTAAATTGATCTATCAAAGTTTCTTGAAAAGTAAGAAAATTAGGCTTTAAGAATTTATTTTAGCTAAAAATTAGCTCATAATCTCAATGGCTATAGCATTCATTATTTTTAGCAACTTCTACTTGCATAAAGATTTTATTATATGTGCTTTAATAGCTTATTATACTCAAATTACACTAAAATTTGTCATTATTTTAATTAGACTCGGTTCATCATGGCTAAGAATTCCATATAATCGATTCTTCCATCCCCATTTTTATCAGTTTCCCTCATAATTTCTTGAATATCATCATCACTTATTAATACAGACAAATCTCCTCCTGTCAGCACCTCTCTAAGCTCATCATTGGTAATAAACCCACTTCTATCATGGTCAAAATGCTGAAAAGCAGTCTTAAGAAGTCCTTGATCCAAGTAAGTTTGGTTATATAAGCAAGCTGCCAAGAACTCTGTATAGTCTATTTTCCCATTTCGATTTGAATCCAAAACTGAAAAAGTCGTTTCTAGTGTATCGCTATCTATATTTATCCCGCCCATTCTCATACCTTGATGCAGTTCTACCCTTGTAATAGTCCCATCTCCACTTGTATTGATTGATTTAAAAATCTTTTTTAGGTTTTCTATATCTTTTTCAGAAAGTTTTGATGCAATAAACATCAAAGTGACCCTTTTTAATTTTTGAGCATGAGAAAACGACTGTATCCCATCAAAAACTTCAGGTACTAATGGACATTGTGGTGTTGGTGCTAGCCCTTGAATTCATGGATGATGATATGCTTGTTTTGCATTCCATCTAATATCTGGGTCTTTTACAAGCAATCTTGCAATTAAATCTTTAGCGTGATCTGAGACAGTCGCAAAAGGCTTTGGTCTGAATGACCAATAGCCATTAAACACGCTCATCATAATTTCATTATTGTCTTTCCCATTAAATGGCGGTGTCCCTCCTAGCATTATGTATAAAATCACCCCAAGTGACCAGCAATCTACTTGCTTTGTGTAGGACCCTGTTAGAATTTCTGGAGCCATGTAGTAAGGAGTTCCGTCTACTGCGTGCATAAGTTCAGCTTCATTAAGGACTTTGGAAAGCCCAAAATCGATTAACTTTAATTCGCTGTCTGAACTAGTGTCGACGAACAGACAATTTTCAGGCTTTATGTCTCTGTGGCAGACGTGATTCTGATGGCAATACATAGTTGCCGAAAACAAGTTTTTCATTATTTGAGCTGCTTGAGGGTTCATATTTTTGATATTGGATAAATCCCCTCATAGAAACTTATATTATTTTCCAAATTAAATCCAGAAATAATTCATAAATTAGTATATCAATAAGGTAAATTATAGAAATCTTTTTGTCTTTAAAATAAATAGCTTAAATCGCTGCTTGAGGCTCACTAAGAGTTCTTTGAGAAGTAATTCTCTGGAACAGTTCTCCACCTTGGCAGTGTTCCAGAACCAAAAAGCACAATCGATCAGTTTCGAAAGTTTCAATTACATTGACTATATTCGGATGATCCAGGGCCTTTAAAATGGTTATTTCGTTGCAGAAAGTTCCGTAGTCTCGGACACGGTTTTTTTGCACAACTTTCACAGCCCTTAATATACCACTAGTATTATCCCTTGCCTGGAAAACTTTCCCATACGCCCCGCTTCCTATTTCTTTTTCAAAAGTATAGCAAGTGGTTATGTCTACTGTACGTGAAGACACCAACCACTGTTTTTTGATAACAAGTTCAGCCATTTGATAGATGCTTTTTAAAATTTATAACATTTTATTTAGCAAGCTAATGCTATGCTTCGAAAAAGCATTTTTTATCATGGAGTAGTAAATCAGCTATTGGGCTTAATTGACATATTTGTAACTTCTCTTCTTTAAATAGGTTTTTTGGCAGAGCAGTAAAAATTTCGTTAAAAATATTAATTTTGAAATTTTAAATTAAAAATAGGGCAATAATAATCTTGCATTTTATGGAAAATAATATATAAATGACTATTTAAGCATTATTTATAATAGTTTTTTATAAATCGATTGCTTGCTTATTCTTTGATTTATATTGTGGGATAAGAATTATTTTTCAAGATCAGGATTTAATTATTCATCCTATATTTTTTTTTGAATTTTTAACTAACTCTTCTTATAAATGATGAGCACAGCCTTGAAAATTAATTTTTAGTTTATAAAATATATATTTATCGAGTCGTAGGGGAATTCTTTTTTTAATTGTTGTTAAAAAAGTATTTCATATATTAGTAATTTTTAAGATTTTTCTTAATGAGTATTTCTTATTTTTATATAAAATTCTCAATTTGGAAGGCATTTATGCTAGATTCGATTATAAGAAGAGAGCATAATTCCAATAAAAGAAACTTTCAGTGGAAATTAGGAGTAAATAAAATATGAAAGTAAATAACTAAAATTCAATAAGCTAAATACTCTAATAACTAATCAATTCTTTAATAATTATTAGTCAAAATTTGCAAAATCTTGTTTAAAAAACTCTTTTGCAATAAATAGATTTTAAACTGTTTGCGTCACATTAATCATTTACCTTTTTACGAAAAATACCAATAATTAGATAATCAATTTACTAATTTCTAAATTATAAATATCATTGGCCTTCTAGATATTCTTTAAATATTATGTCAAATATGATGAATCTATATATAATTTAACTTTACTGTTTAAAATTGTTAACTCCTCAATCCAGGAATATCAATGGGAATGTCCTAATTTTTGAGAAAATTAACCAATCCTCTTTAAGATTAAATATTTTTATAAATAAATAATTTTATTATAGATAGGAGTTTAGCTATTTTTTATAATCATATTAAAATAAACTAAAACATAGATTTATAAATAGATTAGCTGAGATTTTTAAGATTCTAAAAATATTAATATAAATTTAATATTGAGCGTGAAAAATAATTGTGGTCGCTTTTAAAGGTTGGTAAATTATCCTGCTTTGCATAATTTCTATAAGGTTAGAGAAGCAAATTTAATTAAATTAAAAAGTTATCACTGCAATTCACAATAATTTCAAGTTAAAATTGGAGACTTATAATAATCGTTGAATTTAATGGACACCTGGAGAAAATGGATTGGAGAAGCACATGGAACAACTAGTTAAAAGCTATTAACTTATCGAGATGCTCGCTATAATTCCGAAAGGACTAGCTCTACTCGTAATGCGTTTTTGTCTGCTTGCCAGTTCTTATACGACCTTACAAAGACTGCTATTGCCGGATGAGTTTTTGCACTTACACCCTGTAGTTAATCGACTCGCGTCACATGCTGTGCATCAAATGGATTGATCACCATTGAAAATTCAAAAGGTTGAATTTTCTGTTAACTCTCAGCCAAGATGGAAATCCTTAGCCCAGGGCATAATTCCTGGTTTCACACTGGGGAACAGTTCCGATTGGTCAAGGCGATTACCCATGAGACCGTTGGGAAACCCTTTTCCAGCATCAGACCCATCTCCCGCTGAGGCAAGAACTTGGAATTTGTCTACAGCATGCGGTCGGTCAATCCGACATTGCACTTCACAATCAAGAGAAGCCTGCCGAATGCATATATCGAACGCCAGCCTCCCTTCCTCTAGGTCCTTGGCACCCTTTCGAATGTTGACTACAGGAGCTAAGAGTGTGGATTGATTCGCCACACCATTTTAATGTATATACGCATAAAACAGCGCTCCTAACTTTCATATATGTAGTTACCAAAGGAGATCCAGCAGCTGTTGGTCTTGGCTACTGAATCATTGTTATTGGATGTGGGTTTATTGGCTCAGCTCATTTTAATCCTATAATAACTTTATCGGTTTTTGCTAACTTCCATTTTTAAATTCAAAAAATATCAATAAATGTATTTGTGAGTAAAATTGACCATATATAAATTTTAATTTTTATAGAGAAAATAATAATTTATATGTAAATAGCTTTGATACCTAATTTAATGTCAGAAAAATCGAAGATTTGCTTATAAATTTTTTGCAATTAAAAGAAATTACACTTGAACAAAGTTAGCAATTTTGAATCCATAAGTTTGTATAAATTAATTTTATTAAAATTTATTAAAATTTGTTAAATTTTTTCAAGCGCTCTCTTTAAATTGGAACAGATTTCTGGCTTCAATTTAAAAGGAGGGATTAACAAGATTTATTTCCGGACTTTAAGCAATGAAGAATCACATGAATTTATAGGAAATTTATTTTTACAAGTAATTGGGTCCGTAATCGGCGGTGTTCTTGGAACACTTATAACTGGCAGCGACCACTACCACATTAAAATCAGCGAAAACGCATCATACTTTGAAGCGATTTTAGCAGAAGCATTTTTTACTAGCCAAATAATCCTTGTTTTCTTGATTATTCAACAAAGAACTGAAATGAAAATTCTTTCCAGCTCTGCAGTTGCAATGACATTGTTTGCATCAGCTATGGCTTGCAAACAAATTTCTGGGAGTTGCTTTAACCCTACTCTTTGTATGGCAGTTGATTTAGTAAAAACAGTCCACTTCTGGGATATCCATATGATTAAGCACATATGGGTTTATGTCTTAGGGCCTGCAATCGGTGGTCTAATCGGCGTCTTTTTCAGTTGTATTTTTTTGGGCGATAAGCAATATAAGCCTAGCCCCAGCATCTTAAAAGAAAATAACTCAAGTATATAGTTTGGGAATGCATATATTATCCCATTTAAGTCAAAAATTTTCTTATTTTTATGAATATTAAAAATAGACTAATTTAGCTTAATAGATACACTAAAAGTGTACCCAAAGTATATGGAAAAATTCTGAGCATTCAGTCTCGAATTCGAAAGGATAAATTAATTATTAACTTCTGCCTCATCCTTGATGAAACCATTCCAATTAAAATTTCATTTCATTCATCAAACAATTTTCATATCCTCAAGAATTAAGCTGACTTCAAATCTAGTTAAGTGTATTTGATAAAAATCAATATTCGAAATAATATTATATAATAGCAATTATAGTGATTTATAGCATATTTCAGTTATACTTCATATCTATCTGTCATCATTAACCCAAGATTTTCTATATTAAAAAATAAAATATTTTTCCCTCAATAATTTATTCTTACTTCTCATTCTTTATCGAACCAACAAGGATGGGGAGTAAGAATAATCCTTGAAATTTTCACACTTCAAAAATATTCTTGAATATTTTTACTATTTGAACGAACGTCTTCCAAAAGAATTTCTTGAATTTATTGGGCTTTTAACTTCTTCTACTTGTTCAGAGAAAATTGGAAATGTTTCTCTTCGGATAGACTGTAAAAATGGATGATTAAGACATTGAGCTGCACTTGATCTTTTTGAAGGATCCCAACAAAGAATTCTTGATAGAAAAGAGATAGCTTCCAATGGGGCAGAAGGCATGATGTCCTGCAGAGGGGCTGGAGCTCTGCGTGGAAAAGTAATCCCGAGTCTTCTTGATAGTTGAGGAAATTCAGGTCAGTTGTCAGCTGTAGGAGTCCCAAGTATTTCACAAATTTTCATTAATTGGTCTTGCTCATTTGTCCCTGGGAATATTGGTCTTTTCAGAAATATTTCTGCTAAAACACATCCAGCAGCAAAAACATCTGCAGGCCATGAATATCTTTGGCTTTTTAATAGCTGCTCAGGAGCTCTATACCATCTTGTGCTTACATAATCTGTAAATGGCTGCCCATTTCTTAGGTCTTTTGCAATACCAAAATCGCCTATTTTGCAAGAATTCTGTGAAACTAAAATATTTTCAGGCTTGATATCTCTATGAATAATCCCACTTTTATGAATATAAGCAAGTCCTTCAAAGACTTGCCTCATTATGTTTTTTATAAAAGTTAAGTCCATTTGTGCATCTCTTGTTATTAATCCTAACAAATTTTGCTCCATATAGTCCATAACCAGATATAAATCATCAGCTTCTCGTATTATTTCTCTCAGTTTTATTATATTAGGATGGCAAATTTTCCTTAAAATTGAGATTTCACGTAACTCATTACATTCCTCTCATGAGCCAAATGTACGCTTCAGTTTTTTAATAGCAACAACTTCTTTTGAGCCTTTAACAGTAGCCATAGTCACACTTCCAAAAGTCCCATCCCCAAGAGTTCTGATTGTCCTGTACTTGTCCATTTAATTTTATTGTTTTTTATATTAAATAATTTGAGATTAAAATAAGTCTTCTTCAGACGAAAGATTTTCCATGTTTTTGTCTAATTCGTCATAATTGTATTGGTGGCGGTCTTCATAATATCCTTCTTCTAAATCTTCTTCTCCTTCTTCCCCTTCTTCCCCTTCTTCATCATTTCTGGGGCTGTAAAGGTCCATGTCGTCAATAAATTTATTATAATGTTGCAAATCTGAAGGTCCATCCTTCATTTTCGGTTTAAATCCTTCCATTTTTCCAAAACGAAGCTGGTTTGATTTCGATTGTTTGCTTTTCAGGGTGTCTAATAATCTACTGATTTGAGTTGGTTTGATTCTTTCAAAATATTCAGGATGAGTGTTTAGTAAAGCTTCTACTAAAGTTTGAGTGCTTTCTTGAAGATCTTCTAAGGCAAATTGAAACTCTCTGATGTATGAATTTTTGTTGCGCTTGTAGACTATAGCAATTTTAGGAGGGTTGAATTTCACCGCGATTTCTTGAGGAATTATTTCAGTCATTTTTTTGTAATTTTCAAATATGGTTTGATTTGAAAGACTACAAAATTATCTCTGCGATGGAATAAAAATATGTCAATAAGAATTATTAAAGAAATTGCCTTATGTAAAAAAGAATTTACTGAATTAGGAATCAGTTTTTGACGAATGAGAGAGAGAGATTATTTTACTAATGATATTTCTATTCTTGGAATTGCTGAAAGATGACTGAAAACTTCCTTATATATTCAAGGATTTATCTGAATTGGAAATAATGGGGCCAATTGCTGGCAACAGAGGATCAGGCGGAACTGGGTTACTAATACATGAAACATTTGCAAATCTAATAACATCAATTGAAACTAACAATCATAGAATAACAGCAACATTAATTGAAGATTACTTAATAATAGTAGCCTATGCCCCAGTAGTAGCAAATCACCAAAGTAAGAAATTAATAGATGACTATATTGACTTTATCATAGAAGTTCAAGAAATTATTCAAAAAAATCAAAAGGATAGACGTCAAATAGTACTATTGGGTGATTTTAATGCACATCTAAAAGGATATTTATCTGAAATCGATGATCTAACAGGAGAGATATTTTCTAAAATTTATAAAAGATTCTCATCTATACATTCTCAATGATATGCAAATATCAACTTTTTAGAGGTCATAATACACACACAATTATTGATTACATTTCTCTCAAACTCAACATCAGAAATTATTTATATAGAAGTCCCTCAATTAAATACTAACCATATTTTACTCCTATCACGCATTTCGATAATTATATCATTAGGAACTCAAAAAACATTATTCCATGATATAAAACTAGAAGGAGATGAACATGAAGCCTTTAAAAGCAGACTCTTCCTTAAATTCAAAGAAAAAGGTATTTTTCATAACAAATAACCCTTCTCAAATCTATACCGAAATAAAGACTATCTTAGATGAAGAATCAATTATTCTAAAAAACTAAATTACAGCCTGATCATTTTAAAACTCCAGAAATGAAAATTTTAAGGAAAAGAATTAACAAACTCAAAGAATGAATCAAATTTTGCTATTCTCAGAAAAATAATGAATTTATTGAAAGAATAACGGAAAGTAAAGAAAATATGTATTGATCAGTTAAAAAGACTAGATAGATATGAAATAATAAGTGAAAATAGATTAAAACAATGCATAAATGATCCCTATGGAGCTTGAAACAAAATAAAAAGATTATTGAATAAAAACAAACTGGTCTTACCAATGAATGCATTTGAGATTCAATCTTGAACAAAAGAATTTGAAGATCAATTTAGGAGTACGATATCTTTTATTCCACAAGCAGGTTGTCTAGAAGATGAACTTTGAAACTCAAAAAAGATTGAGAATATTATTAAATCTTTGCCTAACAGAAAAGCTCCTGGACCAGATAATATAACGAATGAAATAATAAAAAAAGGAGGAGATATAATGGTAGAAGCAATAACACATTTTTTAAATACTTGCAGAAATTTATGGTATACCGGATGTTGCAAATGAAGCTAAGACTATTCTTATATATAAAGGTAAAGGAAATCATAAAGAATTGAAGAATCACAGACCTATAACATTAATGAACAGTTTTATGAAGATTCTTGACAAGGCTGAACTAAGAAAAATTGAAAACAACGTTAAGATCTCAGATAGACAACATGGGTTTAGAAAAGGAAAAATCATGCATAGCACAAAGTTTCTTACTGAAAAATACCTTAGAATATCGAAAATATTATAATAAAGGGAAAAAGAGTGATTCATATATACTTTTTATAGATTTTTCGAAAGCATATGATTCTGTGGATAGAACTAAACTCATGGAAAAGATAAAAAGTAAGAGAGTCACAGATGATAGTTGAAAATCAATCTCTCCCAGATGATTAAAGGAGAAAAGACTACCTTAATAATCAACGGAAATGAAACATTTAAAATCGATATTACTAAAGGGTTAGACAAGGAAGTGCGATTTCTCCATTATTATTTAATATCTATATCGATGATATTGAAAATGTAACAAAAGATATTAGCCTAGAATTAATTGAAAACGAGAATTTATACTCAAAAATAAATTTTCAATATGCAGATGATACAGCTTTTATTACAGGAAAATGTGAGGATCTACAGTCAATTCTTAATAATCTTAAAAAATGAACAGAAGAAAATGGTATGGATTTAAATATAGGACCTGAAAAAAACGCATTGATGACAATTATTAATAGAAAAACAGAAAAAATACCCTCCAAAAATTACCCAAACTACATTTTAAAAGAACTGAAATTCCAATAGTTGATAAATATAAATACTTAGGAATTGTTTTTTAAAGGAAATTTTAAAAATCAACAGGTTTAGATCAATCACAATATGCTTATTTAAAAAATAAAGCAATAAGTACATGTAGTTCATTTATACCAGCAACTAGAAAAATGCTAAATATCCCAACTACAACATTAATTAACTGCTATAAAGCAATATTTCTTCCGAGATGCACATATGGATTGGAAATTTGCTCAAGAAAAAGAAGTAAAACTGCAATTATTTTTATCCAAAGAATGTTCAATAAAATTATTAGAGAATGTTGCCACGTATACAGCAAAACACCAATAGAGCCTATATTACTTGATTTTAAATATTCCTACAGTCGAACAATATATTGATCAAAAATCATTGATATTTCTACAAAAGATATATGAAATGAACTCATATTCTGAAATTTCATTACATTTTCTTAAAAATTTAAAGGACAGAATAACACCAACTCAAGATTTATATGCAAATTTATTGAGCAAGTATGAATTAAATTTACCATATCGGTACTCTGACAATGAAGTAAATTGAATTAACAAAGACTGAAAGAAAGACGTCAAATTAAAAGTTAAAAGATACTGGCAAAAAATACATGAAAAAGAAATTGATAAAAAGATTACACTAAAAACGTACAAATTCTTAAGAGAGATTAACCTTAACTCTAAATGTCAACTGCGATTTTGAAATCTAATTAAAAACTTGGTAAGTGAAGCGAGAATTAAAGCAGCATGAAGATACGCAGCAGGACCTGCACAAACTCTAACAGCCCTAAGACACTCAAAGAAAAATCAAAATATTAATCAAAATGATATGTGTAATTTATGTAAAACGAAAGAAACAGAGAAACACAGCATAAATATATGTATAAAATACAAGAATGAAAGAAGAGATTTTATCAATCATTTAAGAGATATTATTGGAGTAAATTACGAAAGAACCACACCATAATCTATGACTCATAAGTGATGTATCTCAATTAAAAGAATTAGCAAACCTTCAGGAAGAAATTATGAGAAAAAATTTGACCGAATGAAGAAAATGATTTTCGTAACTGCACAGGAGTTATTTTGGGCCCAGAAAATTCACCTTATGAAGGAGGAATGTTTTTTATTAAAATTGTATTTCCAGAAGGCTATCCTATGGTTGCTCCAAAAATCACTTTTATGACAAAAATCTATAATCCATGCATTGATTCTCATGGTCAAGTTGATCTTTGTGTTCTACATGATCACTGGTCACCTGCTTTAACAACAGGGAAAACTCTGCTTTCTATTATGTCTTTATTGACGGATTTTAGCGCAGATGACCCTTTAGTGCCTGATATTGCTCATATATATAAAAGTGATAGGCAAAGGTATGAATCTATAGCAAGAGAGTGGACAAGATTATACGCATTATAAATTTTTAGGCTAATTTGCAATTTTCGTAAGCTTGGATAAAGGCCAGCCCTAAATCATTCTTAGGCTACTTAATCAATAAATAAATCTCTGCGATGAATTAATAAATAATCCCAATTTCCCTTACTCCCCCTCACCTCTTTAAATTGGAACAAAATATCAGTAAAATTCCTATTTTTGGGGCATATTAACCCTCTAATAAAATTTTAATTTTTCAATGGAAAATATTATAGGTGAAAATGGTACTTTGTATATAAATAGCTTTAACCTTATTTAATAGAGAGGGATTTCAATTAGAATGCTATATAAACAGTTTTTCGCATTAAATCGGTTAATTTTTTGAATTAATTCTTTATAAAAATCAATTAAAATGCAAAAATATTAACTCCCCCCCCCCTCCGTGAGCGAACAAAAAAATTTTGTTCGCTCACGGAGGGGGGTTAATTTTTTTTTTTAAAAAAAATTTATATATAAATTTTATAAAAAATATTTTTTCGAAATTTAAAAAAATCCTAATTTGCAAAAATTGGGAAGCAAATATTAATTTAATTTGCAAAATTTATGTTTTAAAACGCAATTTGTTTAAAAATTAAACAGAATTAGCTCTAGATTTCATTATACTAATTATCACTTATATATCAAAATTTTTTTCCATTAAAAATTTTTTCTATTAAAAAAATTTTTGTTCACTCACGGAGGGTGGGTTTTTGGTCAAAAAATGGCGATTTTTTCTAATGGTTTTGTTCGCTCACGGAGGGGGGGGGGGGGAGTAAGTTTTTTATTTTTATATTTAATTATTTTACGAAAAATAATTAACCCCTTTAAATTGGAACAGAATTTTTTTGTTCCAATTAAAGGGGGGAGGAGGTGTTAGCAAAGAATTATTTCCCTATTAATTTCTAATATTAGCACTATTTAATAATAATATCAATTTTTATTTTAAAGATTATTAAGCGCTCTATCATCTTTAATAGCTTCTCTCCTGCTTAATATAAAATATATCTTATATTATAAAGTTATGCACAAATTATAAATGGATCAGAGAAGCAAAAGATATTTTATTATAGTTTTAGCATTACTTTCAATTTGGTCTTTTTCTGTGCTCATAGCAGTCTCAACTCTTCCAAGTGAATCTTCTCCCTCATTCAGAGTCGAAGCTATCCCATTCCATGGCGAGAACTCATTCTCTTACCCTCATCCCGAGCCAAACTCTTATTGTGACGACTGAAAGCTTTCATCTCAAAAAACAGTTTGGGTAGATCGCAGAAATGCCTATTCTGCTACCAAAATAGAAAGTTTTGGCTGGGACATGCTTCAATCCAAGAAATCTGGGAATGCTTTGCAATTTGCTTCAATTAGCAAGCCAGAATATCATAATACCAGATGGGCCAAAATTTTTTTACAATCAGACCAAGAAAACAATGAAGCACTATTTTTAATCCCAAAAAATGCAAATTTCATATTCACAAGGATGTACCACTATAAAAATGCTTTATCTGATAATATACAGACAGCAAGATTAGGAGTAGATTATGCTTGTCCAGGACAAATCCTCAACCATATTCCTGGTGCAAGTGCATTTTGCAGGAAAGATTTTTTGCAGAGATATTTGCTGGACTACAATAAAAGGCTTCAAAAAGAAGGGTTATCACATTGTTTTAGAGGGTATTTAACACCAAAATCATATATTTTGGGAGAGCCAGATCATTGTAATGCATTTATTGATGAGCTAGAAGCTCAGCTAAACAATTATAATAGCTCAAACATGCCTATTGAGTGGATAACAAAAAGCTCATTAAGGCACAAAGGCTATGGAATCGAACTTATAGATTACAAGAGGGCTCAATATTACTATAACTTATATAGGAAAAACGAAGAAGAAGATTTAAACTGCAATAGGGTGCTAGATGCTCATAAATCATTAATCGCACAAAAGTATATTTCTAATCCTGCACTTGTAAGCTCTATATAGATTGAAGGACGAAAATTTGATTTTAGGGTATTTGCAATGGTCATTAATTCTGATCCATTAGTCGCCCTATGGGCGCCTGAAAATGGCCACACAAGACTATCAGATCAAGAGTTTGATAAGCTTTCCACAAACTTCACAACACATATTACAGCTAATGTTGCAAACCAAAATCCAGACTCAGTGGATTTTCTCAAGAAATATCGCTTCAATTTAAGAGAAATTGCAAATTATTATAAAGATCAGTTAAAAGACCACGAAAAATGGCTCACAGATGTCGCATTTCCCCAAGTTAAGCAAATCTTGATACATATGCTCAGAGCAACTCAACAAAATTTTTTGATAAAAAGAATTGGATTTTTGGAATTTTATGGGATTGATTTTATATTAGACGACACACTACAAAATATTTATTTATTGGAATCAAATAGAAGACCTGACGTCCAAGAAAAAAACCCAGATTTACAGTATAGGGAAGATATGCTTTTACAAGATTTTTCTGCAGTTGCGGAATATTTTTTGAAAACTGGAGTAAGTTCGATAAATACTGAAGAAATATATAAAAAATTAAAAGCATTCAAGCCTTTAGTTGATGAAACCAGATTTGATCCATATTTTGGGCTGCTATCTGAAGAATGCAGGGTAACTTTTAAAGAGTTTAATGAAGACTTACCTATAGATCCCATGATAGAGCCGCTGAAGTATTATGTTGGAAATTTTAATGCTAAGGCTAAAGTATAATTTATTATTATAAACAGTATTAAAAAATTCGCATATATCAAGATTCGTTGTTAATAATTACTGAATTCTTCTATTTACTACCTTATTGCAAAGCGAGCAATAAATAGTAGCTTCTTGGAAATTAGAATCACATATAGGAAGTAAGCATAAGCCAAACCAGCAGCCTACTAACCCCACAAGCAACAAAAAAAAAAATTTTATAAATTAAATAAATTTTACATTTAAAATTTAATACCTTCACTGAGCAAGCAAAAAAATTGGCCTGATCACAAAAGTAGTAAACAAATACTTCCACACATATTTCAAGTTATGCAGTTAGGCTGGTATATTTTATTTGGAATATTTTCTTTTAAACAGTAAGGGCAGCGAATTATATCAGATGTTCCATATATGTAGTTTGGGAATCTAGAATGTGAAGGGGTGCTCATTACACTGTTTTCACTAAATCCATGTGATAGGTCCTCGTGAGAGTCTGAAAGCAGGCCTGATCTTAAATCTCCCATTTGATCAGGATTTGGAGATATCATCTTAAATATAATAAATATTAATTTTGCTCGACAAATATGTTTTGATAATTTTATTTTTATTCAAATAAAATAGTTCATTTTTTCTCCTTTAAATAAGATATTTAATACATCAGGGTTAAAAACTTATTAAAACATTGTTACTTTATTGGTATTTTTGCGTAATCGCATTTATTTTTTGCCATGCATCTGAAATTTCCACCTTCTTGATTTCAAAATCAGCTATTTCTTTTTCCAGCTCTTGTTTTTTAATACTAATAGCCTCATTTTCTGCTTTTAAAGCCTGGAAAGCTTCTTCAACTACTTTTTTGTCTTTTTCAAGCTTGCTAATAGTATTTTTAATATAATCATCTTGCTTTTCATTCATTCCCGACTGCTCTCTGACTTTTCTATTAATCATTCTTTCCTTCAATTTAATGCTATATTCAATTTTCTTTACATTTTCTTCCCTTTGCTCGATTTTTTCTTTTTCTTCGTCTATTTTAGCCCTCTCTTTTATTAATTGCCCTTTTTGCTCATCAATTTCTCTTTCTTTTTTAGCGATTTCAAGCATTTTTTCTTTTAGAATCTTTTCTTCTTGCTGTTTAATTTCGATGATTTTTTTAGCAGCTTCTTCTTGTGCTCTAAGGCTGTCAATTTTTTCATCAAAATGAGTTTCCTCTTTAATGCGTCTTAATTCTTCTTCGAGAAAAGATTTTTGCTCCCACACTCTGTCGCATTCTCTTTTTAAATAACTTTTTTCTTCTGTTGACCAGTAATCTTGGCTTTTTTGTTGATAGATTGAAGCTATACTTTTAAAAGAAAGATTTGAAGGCTCAGGTAAAGGAGATAAAGAGGAAGATGGGCTCATTGATGATATTTGAGACTTTGCTCATCGAATTTGAGACTGATCAGGCTTTGGAGTTTTTGATCGTTGATCTTGAATTTTTTTCTTCTCTTCGTTTATGATCCATTCCTTTTCGATTTTATTTACTCCTCTCTGTGAGCAAGCAAAACCATTGGAAAAATCCCTATTTGCTGCCCAAAAACCCACCATCTGTAAACGAACAAAAATTTTTTATGAAAAAATTTTTGATAATTAGTATAAATGAAATCTCTAGCTAGTTCAGTTTAATTTGAAATAAATTGCGCTTTAAAACATAAATTTTACAAATTAAATTAATATTTGCTTTCCAATTTTTGCGAATTGGGATTTTTTTAAATTTCAAAAAAAAAATCTATTAAAAAAAATTAAACCCAGTCCTTGAGCGAACAAATTTTCGCTCACGGATGGGGGGTGAATTAGTGATTTATTTAATCTTTGGGCAGATTTTGAGTTGTCTGAAACCAATTTTTCTGTTTTTAGCTTAGAGATTTGAGTTCGTATGCTTAATATTGATCTCGTTATTTGGGCTGATAATCTTGTATTATCGCATCTCTCCAGCTCTTTTTCTTTTTTCTTTAGCTCTAAAACCAAAGCATCTATTTTTTGATCTTCCGAAGTTTTATCTTTCAGAGATATTGGCTTGCACAGTATATTTTCTCCATTTGCATTTTCTTTCCCAGATTGCATTTTACCTTTCATTACCCTATTGATATATTTTAAGTTCTCTTTCAAGTCACAATATTTAAAATGGCAGTTAGGGATGGGTCCCTAGTCCTGATCCATCAGGTCGGACCCATAAACCGAGCTCAGTGAGAGAATTCTAACTTCTTGAGAGCTTTGGCTTGAAGAGAAGTGGTCTGTGCTGAGCCTGGGACAGACTAGAGAAGTCTGAAAGGCTTCATAACTTTAACGGTTCTAGGTTAGGCTAGTCACCTACCGTTGCTCAGAGCTGTCATTATAGCTGAATCTCAAGAATGAAGACTTAGAAGGCATTCAATATTCAAGAGAAATTCAATAAACTTAAACTTAAACTTAATTTTTCAAGTCTTCATTTTCTTTCATCAAAATTTTATTTTCATTTTTACATGTATTATATTTTTTATTCAAAATATACTGTGAGTTTGTTAACTCCCCCTCTCCGTGAGCGAACAAAACCATTGGAAAAATCGCTATTTTTTGCCCAAAACCCACCCTCCATGAGTGAACGAAAATTTTTATGGCAAAAAAATTTCATATATAAGTGATAACTATTATCATGAAATCTCTAGCTAATTCTGTTTAATTTTAAACAAATGGCGTTTTTTAAAACACAAATTTTACAAATTAAATTAATATTTGCTTTCCAATTTTTGGAGAAGTGGGATTTTTTAAATTTTGAAAAACATTTTCTCAAATATATATATAAATTTATTTTAACAAAAATTAACCCCCTCCAAGAGCGAGCAAGGTTTTTTTTTTGTTCGTTCACGGAGGGGGGAGTAAGTATTCTTTTTCATGTACAAAACTTTTTTCTTTTTCTCGATAAATTTTGATTGTTTCTTGGAGTTCAGCAATTAATGGATTTTCTAAATATGCAGCGACTTTGCTTACGTTTGATGAATAGGAATCAGCGTCTTTTGAAAGCTGCTCAGTGATTGATTCGTAGCGATCAAAAAATTCTTTAAATGGCTCAACTCTGTCAGGGCTATATTCATCAGAGTCAGAAACGTCAGATTTAGATTGGTTTTCATAAATCCCATTAAATTCAATTTCATTCATTGATCCTCCAAAGGAGTTTATAACTACAGTATCATTTAAATTTTTATTATTCCACTCTTCTTGATCTCTTTCTAATGAAAAGTATATAAGATATGACCCTATTTGTATATTGTGAGTTTTAGGAGAGCTTTCATATGATTCTTTAACTATGCTTTTTAGCTGAGAAATAATTGATTTTAAATCAGTAACAGTCAGATGGGTCGAATTTTCTTCAGCCAGCTTCAATTTCTTTGCTTTTGCTCTAGATTTTTTCGCAGTTTCCCCCACAATTTTTCTTACCTGAAGCCATAATTTAGATAAACTATTTTCTGAGCCATTTCCTATTTCTGGAAGTTCGCATCCTAATAAGTTTTCAATATCAGTCCTTATCAAAAATAAATAAGTTTTAAATAAATTTTCTGAGCTATTTCCATTCACTCTTTTCTGTTCCTCTGCCAGCTCAGCCTTTACTTGCCCTAAATGTTTTTCAAGCTCTTTAATTTTTTCCTCTTCATTGATTTTTTTCATTTCAAGATAATCCAATTCAGCTTGCAAATTGATACATCTACTGCAAGTGCTTTTTTCTTCTCCATCAGAATAATTAAGCAGGTCTTGCAAATCAATTTCTTGATTTTTTAAATTTTTATGAAAAAAATCTTTTAAAATATAGCTTCTTAAATCTTCGTTTTCCATTTTCAATAACGAAATTGTTTGAGTCTCAAATTCAGTTTTTTCTTCTTTTAAAAGGATTTTTAATTTTAAAACGTCATTAGATATCCTTTTAATTGATTCCTCATCAATTTTTCTGTTATACGTCTGTCGTTTGACGAATAAATCTAAATCTTTACACAAAGTTTTTATTGACTCTTTATCATCAGTTATAGGCTCAACTTCAATAATTTTGTCTTGGGGAGATGGGCTTGCCTTAGGGCTGATGTCCAAAATGCTGAAATTATGAGCCCTTACCTTCTGAAAAATTGGGGTGCTAGGCGTATTCATCATTTCAATTCTTAAAAAACTTTATTAATTTATGCCATCATTGGAATAAATATTTAAAAATTTTTGAAACAAGAATGAGAGTATAGCTTCTTAAATCGTTGTTTTCCATTTTCAATAACTAAATTGTTTTAATCTCAAATCCTGCTATTTCTTCTTCTAAAAAGAGATGAAAGATCGGCTCCATGTCAAATGACTGCGCATTTTTGATAGCTCGACATTTTCCTAGGGATAATTTGTTCGAAACATTTTTAATAGTTAAAAAAAAAAAAGTTAAATTTTAGCCAAATTATAAATTATTTAAAAATTACGATCAAATTTTCTTCGATAAAATGCACACTATTAAAAGTGCCGATCTTTGTACCTGCACCCAAGAGATCATTCCAAATTAAAGCATAAACGTTCAAGCCTCTATTGTAAGTGCTTGATGTTTAAAAAACAACCATAAATTTCAAAACAGGATGGCTTAGGGAGTTAATGCGAGAGATTGAGGAAAGTTAATCAATAGCATGTCTCCAATGAAGAGCAAGCTTACTACATAATCGAAATGGCGAATTAATTAATTATTAAATGTGATCTATTGAAGTGCAATCACCTCATTAAGTGATATTTTAAAACTCAATATGGTTATCTAATAAATTTAATAGAAATTGCTAATTATATTGAATTTATTCGGCTCCATATTATAATGCAAAAATCTAAGAAATCTAAAAGCTGTGGCTGTTTCAGGATTTTATTTAAGTCACAAAAGAAAAAGAATGCAGAAGAATATATAGAGGTTTCCTCTATATAGCGCTAAAAGCGCAGACATTTTCCCAGGAGCTTTCCAAGTTCGTCGGACTAAATCGCTTTTTGGTCCGACCAAGGCATTTGATTTGGTGCAACCTACCGATAAATTCCGATCAGAATTTATCGGCCTTACAGCGCCAAACATAGGAAACTTCTATAGCTCAAATAAGAGAAAATCCCCAATTCAGCCACCTACTAATAACCTTCAAAATTCTTCAAGTCATCCTTCAGACTTACCTGCAGATCGAAAAATTAAAACCGATACAAATTTTTACCAACCCCAAAAGCACATACCTAATGAAAAAAATTATCCTTTATATCAAACATATTATAAATCAACCATAGTATCAAATCATTCATACGGAAATACATCTTTCCAAAGAGCTCAATCAATTCCTGCAAGCAATAAACCTCCTAGTCTTAACTATGAATCTAGGCCAGATTCTCAAGACTTAAATCTACAAGTAAATACGTGAAAACAGTCAATTCCACCTTTTCATGATATAAGTGGAATTGGCTTCAACAATTTTCAACAGATTTCTCCAAGGCCCTACAGCCAAAATAGTGTACCTAATCTTTTTGACACTCAAAAACTAAAAAAGAAGCCTTTAGGGTCTCTACCACCTTTAGTTCCTGCAATGCCTTGGAGATTTAAAAGGAATAATGGACTTCCTTCTGCAAGAGAGAATAATAAATTTGATAATATATTAGAAGACTTAAAGAAAGAAATTGAAGAAGAACCCAGAGTTTTAATTGATTAAAAGAAATGTAAGGATTATAAGCTGAATTAATTTGAATTTATATTTTTGCTAAAACCTTTATTACTCAAATCTGCCTCTACTTGGATGTCCAATCAATTTAAAATAATATAATTAATGTAAAGTACTAATATTTAATAGCAAATTTTGTTCTAGCCTTTTATTGGTTTTAATTATTGAATTGCACAGTTACATGGATTGCTTGTCATTGCTTCATTTTTCTTTTTCTCTTTTTTTTCAGCCATTCTTTCAGTTTCATGTTTTAATCTCAAATAATTAGACTTCAACTGTAAAATTTCATATGTTTGGTTTTTCAGCTGCTCTATAATATGGCTCGATTCCAAAGACTTATATCCTTTTTTATCCTCTAAAAATTCAATAATTTTTTCCAATATCCCAATATTTTCTTGTTTCAAAATTTCTCCATCTCTGCTTTCCATCAGCCTTCGATAAAATTGGCTAATCTCTTCTTTCTTTTCATCAATTTTTTCTCTTATCCTGCTTAATTTTAGAGCTAACTCCATTTCATTTGAATTTTTCAGCTCTATTTGTATGTCTTTACTGTTAGCCTTTCCTTCTTCTACTCTTTTGACTTCTTCAGCAATTTTATCGTTTTCAGATTTTTGATCATTTATAGTCTGCTTTAAGCTTTCAGCTTGTTCTTGATTTTTGCCTATTTGGATTTGGATTTCTTCACTCTGCTCTTTAACTGCTGTAATTAGTAAATCTTTGTTTTTTGATTCTTCTATCATTCTTTCAATCTTTTTTTCCATTTGAGTTGACTGTAAATCTAGTTTAATGTTATTTTGCTTAAAATTTTCCATAGCATTTTTTATCTCCATTTCTTCTCGTGTTGTATCTTCAAGCTGCTTTTTGTAGTGTTCTTTTACTTGACGCTTTAGATCTGACTCAATTTTGGTTTCCTCGGTCGCAATGCTTAGTTTTTGCGAAAGAGCATCGACTTCTTCTCTAAGAATTATAAGTTGACTATTAAATTGCTCATTTACTTGTGCTTGAAGATTTTTACTGCAGCAATTGTTGCAAACCCTTACTAATTCACTGCTTTCTTCTGACGATTTTTGCTGCACAGAGCATTTACCACATACACCTCTGAAACAAACTTGGCAAGTAAGTTTTTGATTAAGACCATATAAAAATAATTGACCGCAGATTGAGCAAAATTTATCTTTTTTGTAGGCATTTTGATCGGCAAGCTGATCAGTGCTAAAAGCAGCGCTGCTAGGTCTTGATTCTTTTTGAAATAATTCTGTGTTAATTGCGAACTCTGAATGTCTCCTATCCGTTGTCATCTTTGAAATATTTATTACTGTCAATGTTAAATAACTTGATTATATAATATTTTATTAGGATTTATTTAAATAACTAATAATAAAAATTTGCATAATAATAAAAATTTAGTAAAGTTAGGAAAATTGACAACACAATAAATACTCAAGATTTTATATTATTTTAAACAAAAAGCTAATTGTCAATTTGAATATCTTGGTTTTCAAAATTCAGCTTTTTTTGAGGAGTGTCTGAATTTGCTGATAATGATATGATGTTTTCATCAAGCTCGCTATAATCTTTAAATCGCAGCCTATGAAAAATATCTTTAAAAAGTGTTTTAGGAGGCCTTGTCGCCAAGCTCTGTAGTCTTTTGCTTAATGCTTTTCTGTGGTTTATATATTCCTCAGCTGCATTAATTCCCATGGTTTAAATATTACATAACAGCCGAAAAACATTTAAAAGGATCTAAGGAGCAACTGAAAGGTTGCCATAATAAAATATAGCGCTTTGCTATAATTTTGGGAGGCTTCTGGCATGTGGAGAAATTCCCCACATGCCAGAAATACTTCCACATGGAAAACTGAGAGATATACTAACTTCACACGTGGAAGTATTTCTCGCATGTGGAGAATTTCTCCACATGCCAGAAGCCTCCCACAATAATAGCAAGGCATAATAAATGGAAATCAGAATTTCCGCTGCAAAACAATTGTCAGATGAAAAAGGCAAACCCTACACTGCTTATTCTCTTATAGTTATATATAACGGATGGGAAAATACAGTTGATCACAGATATTCTGAGTTTTTAGAGCTTCACAGAGTCATGAAACTCATGAGGAGAGTGTTTAATAGTCCACTCCCTCATTTTCCTGGCCAAAAGTTGCTAAAAGCGATTTTCCATAACTTATCACAAGAAGATATTGAAAATCGGAGGAGAAAGCTGGAGGATTATATGAATGAATTAATTATGACTGATTGTGCCCATCATAGCCAATATTTTACTGAGTTTTTGGGAATGCCTCAAAGTGTAAAAGAACAATGGATGTCAGAATAAAACATGATAAAATCAAGATTCAAGTAAAATTTCTTGAAGCGGGCTTTTAAGACAAATTTAGATTAAATATTCGATTTTTCTATATAATCGCTTAAATAATATAGCTCATAAGGATTCCTAGACTAGTGAAATAACTGTCGACAAGTTATAAACGCCTTATTTATAGAAACTTCCAAAATTTTATCTCTAACCGTTATAAAATGTTAATATTAATTTAATTTGGCCAAGTTAATTCAATTCGTTCATGAAACTCTTCCAAGCAAAATCTCGCAACTTTGTATCTCAATTTTTTAAATCAAACCCAAGATCTTTGATAAACATGGAACACCCTTTGAAATTGCCTTAATTTTTCTAATAAATTCCCAAGGTCCGCAAAAGGAATTAATGTATTGCTTTTAAAGGCTTGGAAGTTTTCACTGAATTCTTCTGAAGCCTCTAAATCCTTTATTTCTTTATATAATTGTTTCCATTTTGCGAGTAAATCTCTAAGCTCATCAGCTTTTATGATTGAAATGCTTTCAAATCCAGATTTATACGGTTCTTTCTTTCTGAGCTCCCCAATTAATCCTCTCTGGCTTTGTAGATGTAATAAAGCTTGAATCAAATCATCAGTATTGCACAAGTCAGGCAACAAATGAGAGAAAAAATCTTGCTTCACAAGAATATTGGCATAGCTCAATAAATCTCTGCAGTCTTCTTTACCTTCTTCCCTCAAAAATTTTTTTCCTTTATTTTTTATCATATGGCTCATTTTTATAGCTGGGTCTAAATAAGCTTCTAAATCTTTTTCTACTTCGCTAAATGACAGTGCAAGTTCTCCCATTTTTTTCAAGCTTTTATGCTCTTCGTCTTTTGGAAACCTTAATCCCCCCTCCGAGAGTGAACAAAGCCATTGGAAAAATCCCTATTTTTTGCCCAAAAAAACTCACCCTCCGATAGTGAACCAAAATTTTTTATGGAAAAAAAAATTGAGATATAAGTGATAATTATTATGATGGAATCTCTAGCTAATTTTGTTTAATATTAAACAGCTTGCATTTTAAAACATAAATTTGTAAATTAAATTAATCTTTACTTCTCAATTTTTACGAACTGAAATTTTTTTGAATTTCGAAAAAAAAATTTACTATAAATTTATATATAATTTTTTTTAAAAAAAATAAATTAACCCCCTCTGTTAGCGAGCCAAATTTTTTTGTTCGCTCACTGAGGGGTTATTAGTACTTGCATTTTCAGCATTAAAAATTCATTTTTTGTTTTCTCAAATTCTTTTAATTGGCTTATTTCGTTAATCAATAAATTCACAGGGTCTTTGAAATACTAATTGCAGATTACCTTTAAAGATTGCTCTATGTGCTTTAATAAAGGTAGCGCTAACTCAGCTCGATTTTGAAGCTCAATAATAAAATTTGGAGCTTTTTGTAAAGCCGAGCTTATCATTCTGCATTTTGCTTCAATAGCTGAATTTATTGAAACTTCTTGGACAGAAATGTGTGTTAGAGGATGAAAATTGGCGTAAATTAATTCTAGTCTCTCTTGGATAGTTGAGATAAAATTTTCACAATATTCAAAGTCAAGGACTTTTGGATATTCAAGTATTATTTCATTCAATATATGTCTGAGTTATCCTTACAAGATATTATCTAAAAATTGCTTTTTGGCGAGAAGGTCTGGGCTTTTTTGGAAAATTTCATTGATTTCTATTGTGTAATTGAGAATAATTCGAAGCAGGGAAAATATGCCAATAAATCTTTTTTGCATACCTTCGAGAGCATCAGAGTATTTTTGTGACAGTTTTTCCTCAAGCCATGGTATGAAACTTGATAGCGGAATGCCAGTGTAGTTGGCCATCATATTAAAAAGATTTTATTAAAAGTTTAAGTGAAATCTATTTGTAATTATTGAAATAATATGCCATTTATATAAGTAATAAGTTTTTTTTTTTGTTGATATCTTATAATTTAATTTGAAATATAGGTTTATCTTATTTTTGAATAAGGTTTAAATATGATAAACAGTTTAAATATCATTATTAACTAAAATTATATCCAAAAAATATTTTAGCTTACTCTCTTCTTTAAATTGGAAGAAAAATATCTTTTTCAAATTAATAGGGTTAACTTTAGTTTGCAACAAAAAAAAATTACTCCCCCCTTTAAATTGGAACATAAAATCCTGTTCCAATTTAAAGGGGGTTAATTTGTTTTTAAAAATAACTATATTTAAATTTTTATCTATAACAATTTTTAAAATCTTAAAAAATATAAATTGAGCACAATACTTTGAATTTTAATTTAGTTTTATGAAGAATTGAATAAAAAAATAATTGATTTAGTTTAAAAACTGTTTTAAATAGAATTCTTCATGCACTTTTTCTATTAAATTATGTCAAACTGATTTTATAAAAATTAGGATTTCATCTTTAATTTTTTTTTTTAAAATTTTAAAAAAAATATATATTGAGTGCAAACTTTAATTTTAATTTATTTTTATTAATAATTAAATAAAAATTAATCAATTCAATGTAAAATTTGTTTAAATAGCATTCTAATCGCATTTTGTCAATTAAATTAGATTAAAACTAATTTTATAAAAATTATATTTTCATCGATAAAATTTTCCAAATTTTTGTTCCAATTTATAGGGAAATTAAGGGCAAATTTTACCAATCATTTGTTCCAATTTAAAGGGAGGGTTAATAAAAAAAATTTATATCAGTTCAAAGTTCGAACTTTGGATAATAGTATTAGATTTGTGCTCTCCATTTAATATAAAATAAATTATAGATAAATTTTGATTTTGAAGATATTAGCATGGGTATCAAAAAAATTTAAAATATAAATATCTTTAACAATACTATGCGTTTGCATAAGAAAAATTTTGCTCAAATTTAAAGAAGGCTGATTAATCCAAAAAATGCACATTGACTATTATTTGTTTATATTTAAGGGGGAATTAGCTTTCCTCTCCTTCAGATTGCCAAAGCTGCAAGTTGTCTTTTATAAGCTGCAAGATAGAGGTTGAATCCTTATACTCCTTTTCATCCGTCAAGCTGTCTAAGTCTCTGATTGCTTCATCAAATGCTTTTGAAGTCATCGCACATGCTTCCTGTGGCCTTTGAAGAATTTCATAATGGAAAACTGAATAATTCAAAATAAGCCCCAATCTTGTAGAATTCGTCGGCGGCAAATGCTCTTCCGCAGCCTTTAACGCTTGCTCATAGCTTTCTGATGCCCCTTTTGCGCTTTCATCTCTAGCTTGTCCAGTAGTAAATTCACAAATATATCTATAATAATCCCCTTTCATTTTCAAGTAAAAGACTCTAGACTCATCATCCCCGCTTGTCGGAAGTAAATCTGTATCAATAAGTCTCAAAATTTCCCCACAAAAGCTCCTGAGTTCATTTTCCACCCTGATTTTATACTCACAAGCTCTTTGTTTATTTTCTTCATTATTCCTTCTTCCTTCTTTTTCTTCGATTGAATGTAAAACCCTCCACGAAGTCCTTCTATTTCCGACAAGACTTTTATAAGCTGCTGACAATAAATTTCTCTCTTCCAGTGAAAGCGCAGTTTTTTCTTTTTTGACGAACTCCCGCATAAAGCTTACCATTTCTTCGTATCTTTCTGCATGCTCTGCTAATTTTGCGAGATGCATTAGTTCAGTTCTTGAGAGATTGGAAATGTCATCAATTTTTCCCATTATTTAAATATAAGAAAATAATTAAATGGAGGAAAAAGAGGAGAAAATTAAACAAAATGTTCAAATTTTCCGATTTGAAGAAGACCCGGTAACTAACTACCGCCGCAAGCGAACAAAATCATTGGAAAAATCCCCTATCCTTGGTGAGTGAATAAAAAAATTTTTTAATATATATATATAAATGATTATTAGTATAATGAAATCTTTAGTTAATTTTAAACAAATATGAATTTTACAATAAAAATTAATTGCTTTTCAATTTTTGCGAATTGGGGATTTTTATATAATTTTTTTAAAAAAAAAATTAAACGTAGAGTAAGTTGATTTTGGAGACTTTGAAAGTAAAACCTGTGAATTCTGAGTATTATGCAGTTTTAAAAAGAGTAAAACCAGGCGAAAAATTCAGCAAGAAAAATAAAATTATGACACAAGAAGATTTGGAAACTGCTGGAGAAAGATCGAAGAATTATTTAAGCGAAGTAGGATTTTTATATGGAAGACTGCATACGAGAGATGGAAGTAAAGAGCCACTAAAAGAAAAAACACGAATCAGAGCACCTGGACCTGTAATTGATAATTCATTAACTGAAATTCCATTAGTTACATTTAAAGACAGATATGTGCCTAAGCCACCAGATGGCTTCCAAAAAGTAAATACATCACGTGCCAAAACCACTCACCAAACCCACAGGACCCTCACAACTCGTCCACAGACCAAAGAGTCTCACAGCCAAATCCAAGCAAAAGAATACCTGCAGTATTTAACTGCTGTAAACCCAGGCGAAAAAGATTACATTAAATCTGTAATTTCCAGCCAAATGAAATCATATAAGCAAGAGCTCTTTGGACAAATTTCTAACGAAATCCAAAGACTCGACAGCCGAGGAATTTTATCAAGAGAAATGAACCAAGCCAGAGTGCTCACCATGATCAATGTAAAGCTTAGAAATAAAATGAAAACAAGCCTAAAGCCAATTGTAAGAAAAGCCAAAACCAATTTGGCAACTGAAAAAGTCAGAGATTGAAATAACTCACCTAATAAAGAAGATAATGATGAAGATGAAGAACAAGACGAAATGAGAAAGGCGAAGTCTTTACAAAAGATTGAATCAGTAGTCGCAAAAAGAATTGTGAGGAATAACCGAAGGGAAGCAATTTTAAGAGAAAAAGAAGAAGATAAAGAAAACCCGTTTTGGATTGAAGATTTAAACAAAAGTGTAGCAACTGCTATGGATAAGTGCAGGCCGGATGCAAGAATTACCGATCTGCCTGTTTTTAAACTTAGTAAGTCGTTTTTATAAAATGGAAGATTTGAGCGATAGCAGGATTGAAAAAGAAATCGAAAAAATCAAGGCTGCGCTAAAAGAAATAAATCCGAATAGTTTTATGGATTTAGGGATGACTGATTCTTTGAACTGCATAGGTGATATGACAGAAATGCACAAAACGGGGTCAAATTTCAATTCCACTGCAAAAATTTCTGAATTTCAGAGAACAAGTGATCAATGGGACTTAAATCTGCTTCTTGAAGCTGAGAGGGAAAAAGTCTCGATTCTTGAACAAAAATTAGCAAACAAAGAGAAATTATTAGAAGGCTTAGAATCTTTGCATAGTGACCTGTACTTGACAATTGAAGAATTGCAAGAAAAAGAAGTAAAACATTTAAAAGAAGCCAAACAGTTCAAATTAAAATATGAAGCTGCAGAATTTGAATTGATTAAGTCTAAAGAAACAATAAAAATCAGAAACAGCCAAATTTCAAAATTAAAGGAAATCATTGATCAAAAAATTTGGGAATTTAAAGAAAAAAAGTGTGAGAAGTGTCTAGGTGGAGATAAAAAACAAAAAATGCTTTTGAAAATTCAAGAAAAAGAAGAAATTATCCAAGCTTTTGTAATTGATAATTAGGATATCCAAAATTTAGAAATGAAGCAAGAAAATATAGAACTAAAAAATGATCTCAAAATATATCAAGAAAAATGCAATAAATTGCAAGAAGAGCTTGATAAGGCTAATGCTAAAATTATCGAAATTTCAGATCAAATAGGTTCGCAATTTCACTCCAAGAAAAATAGCTTAAAAACTGATTATGAATTGGAGTCAAGTCCAGAAATAAAAGAACTCCGAGATCACGTAAAAAGTCTTGAGGAGAAAATTAATTTTTCAGAGACACAGAAAATTGATACGCCTATTTAAATGATTACACGTTTTATGCTATAATTGGAATACTGTTTTACAATAATATTTATTATTAAATTATCAAATTAAGAATTATCAATAGCTTGAATAAGTTTATTTATGAAAACCAAGAGCTTTATGCAATTTTAGGGGTTTGCAATGAAAAAGCTGCAATAAAAAGAGTTTTGTATTTAAAACATCATTATGAAAAGAGTAAAAAGTATTGCAAATTTTATAAGAAAATCGTCGACATTTTGCGAAAATATCCGGAAATAAAAACGCATAAAGAGATATCGTGTAAATCTGCATGAACATTATTAGAGAGGATAATAGAGGAATTTGTGATTCTAAAAGCAAGCAGAGATTCAGATATCATGAGCAAGCTTTGTGAAATTTTTAATTTAAAATCGGCAGCATTTTTAATAGATTATGCAGAGAAAATCAAATTCCAACTGGAGCGTCAAAATAAACAATTTTAATTAAATTGATTTAAAATATTCTTAATTCAACAATAAATTTATGCTTATTATAAATGCTTATCATACTTAAAGAATTATTCTTGCTTATAATTAAAAAATTATGAGAATCTGAACATTTCTGAAAACCCTCTATAATTAAATTTATTATTTATCCTATAAAAGGCTTAAAGCCATGGTTTTCTTTATTTATTAATTTTAATCTTTAGCATTGTAAAACAGCATTCCTTTATTGACCTCATGATTTTCTGACCTAGATATTCCTTAATCAATTTTGAATTGATAATTTAGATAATTGAAATTATTTCATATTTAATAAAGCGGGAAATGGACGTAGCTTCTATGCAATCAAGATTTGAAGAAAGGATCTTTGGATTCCAACAAGTTGCAGGTGCAGAATTACTCAAGAAAAAACAAGAAAATTATGCAGTTGAGCTAAGAAAGAAAATTCGGTCCCAAAACACTACAAAGCGAAGGGCGGTAGTAAGTGGGCATTCATTTCTTCTGCACTATAGCGAAAAAGAAAATGTATCAGTGGGCAACCTTCCTTTTCATCTGATAAAAATGAATCCAGAGCTTGCCTCTCCAGATGTTAACCCAATTGAGAAGCTCAGAATTATCCGAGAAATTATGGTAGAAGATACTGATCGAAATGTTTTGGACCAAGGCTTAGAAGTCTTAGCAGGAGTATTAAAAATTGAAGTAGACACCCCTTTCAGTACAATCGTGTACCTAGGATTTATCCCAATTCTTCAAAGACTAATGGACTATAAATACCCTACTCCAATAGTACTCAATGCAACAATGTGTTTAGCAAACATATGCAATGGCCCTCATGAATATGCATCCCACGTGTTTAAATTAGACGGAATTCACAGTTTCCTGCGAATAATATCGTCTCGAAACATCCAACCTACAATTATGGCTATTAGAGGATTAGCTAATCTCTGTGGAGACTGCTATGAATTCTCAACAGCCATAATTGAATCAAATTTAATTAATCAGCTTTCTCAATTGCTTGAGAACTGTAGAGATGACAATTTAGAGTTGATGGCAGTCATTTCCCATCTCGCTAGGAATATTACACAAAATGCTGACGACATCTCAATTGAGCAGATTGATAAAATAGTGCAATGAATTGGGAAATTAATTATTTTTCAAGACCCTGAAATTAAAGACGACTGCTTAAAAGCCTTAAGAAATATTTCAAAATGTGAGGATAATAAAAAAATTGAACTGATTTTAGAGAACAATTTAGGAGAATTTTGTGTGCAAAGCTTAGGAAATTATGAAGAAAATTTATTAAAAAATGCTAGCAAAATTATAGCGAACTTTTTCGCTTTAGATATAGAGATTACTCAGCAGCTTTTAGATTGTGGAGTTCTAGATAAGTTATTGCAGCTAATAAACCATCCTAGCTCTGAAATAAGAAGATCGGTTTATTTAGCGCTTTCTAATATATTATGTGGAACAAATTATCAGAAAACTAAATACTTAGACCATGAAATTGCAGCTTTTTCAATGAGGGGCTTAGAAGATGCAGATGCAAATGTTAAGCTTGAGTGTTCAACGATGTTAAAGAACTTTATAAATACTTCAGAATATGGGCTTACACTAAAATTGATTGAGCTTCGAATATTCGACTACTTGAAAAATGCTTTGGATAATGATATTGAGCCAGATTTTTTAAATAATATTTTATCAATCTGCGATGGCTTATTGGAAGCTGGAAAACAAGAACAATACAGAATTCGAGATGTGTCTAATCAGATAGCTTTAATGTTTGAAGAATCTGGCTGTCTTGATGTACTTGAAAATATTATTGGGAACATGGAAGTTGGAGATATTTTCCAATATGCTCAACAAATTCATGAAGAATACTTTGGGCAATCATTTGATTCTACAGATACAAAAATTTATGAAGTCCCGGCAATATTTGAATTTAGTTAATTCGTTAAGTGTTATTAAAATTTAAAATAATTTGCTGTGTATTTCCTCTATTATATACTATGATTCATTGGCTTTTAATATTAATAAACATTGGTCGTAGATGATAAATAGATTCTTATAGATTGTCAAATATTTATATATTTATTAATCTTTTCTATCTAATTTAGCAATAAACAAGATAATAAGCAGCAATCCATATACATCCAAAAATAACTCAATGGAACTATCACAAAAATCACTAACGAGATGACCATCTGGAAATTTTGCGGAATATTATTTTTTTAAAGTTATTGTTCGTATAGACTTATAGCTGAAGCTGCTCTGCTATTCTGAAAGTCTATTCTAATTCAGCAGTAAACTTGAAAAATACTAAAAGCAATGAAATAGATTGGAGATTGAGGGATTAATCATTGACAAGCCGAAAATTCACAGCGAAAAGTTTTCCTAAGGGAGCCTAGGCTACTCTTATAAATATTACCCACCAAGAACACTAGGGCTTTTCCAACTAATAAATCCAAACTTATTTCTATCTGCTCTTCCACATCTTTGGTCACCCCTCAGCTTTTAATTATTTTCCGCTTAAAATGCAATTCTCGAAACCCTTTTCGCCATTTATAATGTTTAGTGAGACAGTCAAGTCCAAGATCAAAAAGTTCGATGTCTATCGAAAGCTTCCTCAAGATCTAACTGAGCCTACTTTATCAGGAGCTTTTGTATCAATTATAGCCTGCGCCTTTATGACCTTACTTTTCTTAACTGAGCTCGCTGAATATCTCAAAGTTAGCACTAACACAGAAATGTTCGTTGATATTAACCGAGGTGGCGAAAAATTGGTCATAAACATAAATATAGCATTCCCAAGGTATCCTTGTGGCCTTATTTCTTTGGATGCTCAGGATATTATGGGTTCACATGTAGTTGATGTAGGAGGATCGATGAAAAAAATTAGGCTAAGCTCGGATGGGAAATTTATTGAGGAAGAGGATTTGTTTGAAAAAGAACACAAAGAAGAATCAGGGGTGAATTTACAAGAAATTAAAAAGCAGCTAGATAATAAGGAAGGGTGCCAATTAATAGGACACATTTTGGTGAATAAAGTACCTGGAAATTTCCACGTGTCAAGTCATGCTTTTCATAATCAAATGCATTCAATTATTATCGGCGACAATTCAAAATTGGATTTATATTTTTTTTAAATTTTTTTTTTATCTAAAATAAATAATTATTTATAGTTAGTATTCTGCCAAGATTGGATTTATCACATGTTATTAACCATTTATCATTTGGAAGCAATAAAGATCTTGAGTTTATTAAAACCCATTTTGAAGAAGGAGTTTTAAACCCTCTTGATGAGCTAAAAAGAATAAGACCAGATGGAGTCAGAGATGCGTTGTCATATGAATATTACATTAAAGTCGTACCAACCACTTATCAGACCTTAGAAGGCGAAGAGTTCTTCGTACATCAATTTACTGCTAATACCAATGAATATTCCGCTCAAGGAATGCCAGCTGTCTTTTTCAGGTACGATTTAAGTCCAGTTACAGTAAAATTCTCTCAAACCAAAGAAAGCTTTTTCCATTTCATTGTTCAAGTCTGTGCCATAGTTGGAGGCGTATTCACTGTTGCTGGACTTATTGATAATTTACTCCACACTTCAATATCAAAAATTCTTAGAAAAAGAGATGCAGGCAAACTAGGATAATCTAAATTTAATATTGAATTATGAAATAAATTATATCTTAACCTGAAAAGCTCATATCAAGTCTATTAAATGACTTTTTTGATGGTGCTTTACTATTTCCCATATTTCGCTCGTTTTGCTCTGTATTCACAACACACGACAAAAATTTGCTTGGCTGGGTCCAATGCATCATATTCGTAATTTTTCCCATCCAAGTTTTTCCGTTATCTAAAATTAAACTCGGGTTTTCTGCTGCTTCATGGACATCCATTACAATTTTATTTAAATCTTTTTCAAACGTAGAAAATGATTCAGCTGCGATTTGGTATTTTATTACATTAGTGACCGTATCCCTTACGCTCTGAGATTCCATCATTAGCGTCATAAGGGATTTATACAGTATATCCATTTGATATTTGAGCAAATTTAATACACGATTTTCTTCTGACATTTGAGAAAGCCCTTTTCAATCTATAGGAGCAGCTGGATTAGATCTTCCAGATAAATTTGGCTGCTTAGACTCTACAGAAGCTTGTTCAAGCTTTTGGTTTAGCCTTAGAACTTCTGCTCTTGCAAGCTGTCTTTTTTTTTGAGCTTCTTCTAAGGTTTCATTAAGCTGATTTATTGTAATTTGGTTTTCTTTTAATGTCGCATTTAATTGAGATTGTGCATTTAACAGTTGAGACTTTTCAGATTCAAGCTCAGACACTTTTAGTTTATAGTCGTCCAATTCTTTCTGAAGATGTGCTGTACTTTGAGAGACTTCGAGTTGGATTTCTGATAGTATTTTAGTTTCAAGCTGCATTATTTTGGCATTTTTTTCTTTAATTTCTTTTTCGAAGTTTTCTTTCAGCGTGTTAAATTCTTTTTGTAAAGCATCGTATACGGATACTTTATCGCTGATTGAAGCTGATGAGTTTTTTAATCCTTCTTCAAGTTCTTGAATTCTTTGCTGCTTTCCTTTAACTTGAGCTTCTAAATCTTTTATTTTCTGAACATTTTCTCTATCACTTTGTCTTAAGGTTTTTGATTTCTTTTTGCTTTTATCATACTCTTCTTGTACTTTTTTTAGCGATAATTCCGCTTCTCCTTTTTTCTTGTTAGAAGTTTCTAATAATTCTAATACCAAATTGTAATCTTCTTCAAGTTTCTTTTTACATTTATTTAGTATTTCAACATCTTCTTGAAGTTTTGAATTTTTCTCTTCAGAAAGTCTTAGCTTGTTTTGAGTTTCTTCTAGGACTTGAAGTGTTTTGCTCGCTTCTTCGAAAGCTTTGGACTGTTTTTCAAGTTCATTGTTTCTTTCTCTGAAGTATTTAATTTCTTGTGCACGGCTCTCCAGTAAGGTTTTAAAATCTTCAGCTTCTCCTGATAGCTTCTTAGCGAGGTTTTGAAGCTCTTCGCAATGGGTTTTATATAATTTAAGCTCTTCTTCGATTCTTGAACAATCGCGCTTAGCCTGTTTTTTGCTTTCGTCAAGACTTTCAACTTCTCGAAGCTTTTCTTTTAATTCTGTATCTAATTTTATTACTATTTGAATCAGGTCAGACTGTGGAACTCCTGATAGGGCATGAGCATCAAGGACGTCTCCTTCTTCTTTCTTTTTGAAAAATTTTTCAATAGACTTTTTCATCATCATTTAGATTATTAATGTAATTTGAAGTTCTACTTGGAAAATTAAATAAACGTAAGAATTATATAATTTTATTTACATAATGGCATATATTAAATTACATGATTTTTTTAAATCTATATCTCAACTTTTTCATATTAAGGATTCCTCATATTAAATTTAGCTGGCAATGCCACATAAGTTCAGCAATAATTTAGAGTGGAGTATTATCTTACACAATTATGTAAAAAAGAACCCATATAATAAAATTGTAATATGGGATGGTTTAAGGACCAATATAATCGCCAAAAAAAACATTTATTATCATGATGTTTTAAAATCAAAAGGACATTACCATTATTCCTTTACTCATATTTCTGAATAATTTCTATTTATTATGAAAGCGAAAAAGACTTAATTTTATTGTGAAATTTATAAATTTTAATTTTAAAACAATTACTAGTCTACTGTGTGTAGGAGCCATTTTAACTTAGTTATTGCAAATATTTTGCTTAAATAAAAAAAAATTCTAATTTAATTAAATATGTTACGTCAGCATCAATTTCACTTTGGTGTTGACATTAATTATAAAAAACTTATAATGAATAAAATCATAGCCATTGCAGCGCCTCTCATTTTGTCAGTTCTTCTTCACATATACATTTTAAACCAAGAATTAATTCCAGAAGCCTATTATAACATTGAAGATTTGATAACATCTAAGGGCTATAATTTCACATATCACTATGTAATTACTGATGATGGGTATATACTAAAAGCATTTCGTATATTTAAAAGCTCTCCAAACGGAAAACCAATTCTTTTCATGCATGGATTAGCTGGTAATGCTGATTGCTTTTTAATAAATATCAACTCAAAAGCGCCTGCGTTTCGACTGGTAGATGAAGGTTTTGATGTTTGGGTACTTAATAGTAGAGGAAATAATTATAGTAGAAATCATACAATTTATGATGTCGAATCAAAGGAATTTTGGGCATATACAGCTTCTGATATCACATTTTATGACATTCCAACTTATATAAAATATATCAAAGGTATAACTGGATATGATAAGCTTTCTTATATAGGCCATTCGCATGGAGCATCCCTTATGATTGCTTATCTTGCTCTGAATTCCGATTTTTCAGAGGATATATCTGTGGTCATATCAATAGCTGGAAATGGTCCTCAAGTTAATCTAAGGTCGTATATGGTTAAACTAGCTTTATCTAATTTTTTTTTGGACTTTGCAGATTGAATTGGAATTAAAGTGGTTATGGATTCTCCGTCATATTGGGTTGCTAAGCTTATTCAAGTATTTCCTATGGGCGCTTATTATCTTAGTAGAGATATTTATGATTACACAATTCATAAAGACAAGCCTGAAGGAATAGCTTATTATGCCTTAAAATTTCAAGGTGGGGTGGGCATAAATTCTCTAAGATATTGCAAATCGCTTATAGAGAGCCATGGGTTGATCCAGCTATACGATCATGGGCCAATTAAGAATATGGAATTATATGGAAGTATTGAGCCTCCTATAGCAGATTACTCTAAAGTCAAAAGTAAAATTGCAATTATTGGAGGAAAGTATGACAAGTTAATACATCCTGATGATACTTTTTCTCTATATAAATCTTTGCCCAAAGAAATTGTTATTCACTATAAAATTTATGAGCATGACCATGGAACTTTTTTGTTATCCAAAAATATGGACTATCTAGAAGATGTTATTAGGATTCTTAACTCAAATAAATAAATATTATTACAAAATTTAATTAAATATACTAATTTAGTTTATGAAATTTGTTAAATTAGCTAAATTTCGCATTGCTGTGGACATTAATTATAAGAAGATTAAGATGAATTTAATCATAATTATTGGAGTTCCTGTGATTTTATCTCTTCTCCTTCATATCTATATATCAAGCCAAGAATTAATCCCAGAAGCCTATTATACCATTGAAGAACTTATTAAATCTAAGGGCTACAATCGCACAGATCACTATGTAATTACGGAAGATGGATATATACTAAAAGCATTTCGTATATTCAAAAGCTCTCCAATTGGAGCACCAATCCTCCTTATGCATGGATTAGGTGGGAATTCTGATTGCTTTTTAATAAATATCAATGCAAAAGCACCTGCATTTCGACTTGTGGATGAAGGCTTTGATGTCTGGGTTCTTAATAGCAGAGGAAATACTTATAGTAGAAATCATACGAGCCTTGAAATTGATTCAAAGGAATTCTGAGCATGAACTGCTTCTGATATTGCAACTTATGATATTCCAACCTATATAAAATATATCAAAGGCATAACCGGATATAATAAACTGGCTTATTTAGGTCACTCTCAGGGAGCAGCACTTATGATTGCATATCTTGCTTTGAATTCTGATTTTTCGAAGGATATATAGCTGGAGAATGCAGCTTGACTCTTAAAATATAATTTAACCCTTTCAAATTGGATCAACAAAGTAGCCTTTTTGACTCCTAAACACTTATAGCATAATTTTCGGATTTTATTAAAAAGCAAATTCTCATATAGCGAGTTATAAGGATTCTAGACCTATATCTGTAGTTATATCTATTGCTGGGAATGGTCCTAAAGTTACTCCAAGATCGTATATGATTAAGCTCCTTTTATCTGATTGTTTTTTAAATTTTGCAGATTGAATTGAAATGAAAGTAATAATGGATACTCCATCATATTGATTTGCTAACACTCTTTGGTGAAAGAGCAAAATCATTATTAGAAAAATAATTGCTGTTGAAATTAATCTATGAACGAGGAAAGATATTTAGCGATGAATTTGTTCTATAAAATATTTTGATATATAAATAATGATTATTATAATGAATTCTCGAGCTATTTCATTAAATTTTAAATAGCTCGCATTCTAGAACATAAGATATACAAATTTGATTTTTACTTTCAAATTTTGAATACTAAAATTTTTTTGAGAATACATTAATTTCCCTCTGTGAGCGAACTTTAATAAATTATGCTCATTATGAAGGGGAAAGAATAAGCTTATTCAGGCTTTTCCTTTGGGTGCATATTATCTTAGCCGTGACAGATATGATTACACAATTCATAACGATAAGCCTGAAGGCATGGTTTATTATGCCTTGAAATTTCCTGGTGGAGTGAGTATAAACTCTCTGAGATATTGCAAAGCAACCCTGGAGAAAAATAGCTTTATCCAGCTATATGATCATGGACCTATTAAAAATATGAAATTATATGGAAATGCTATTCCCCCAATAGCAGATTACTCTAAAGTCAAAAGTAAAATTGCAATTATTGGAGGAAAGCATGATCAGGTTATACATCCTGATGATACATTTTCTCTTTATAAATCTTTGCCTAAAGAAATCGTTATTCACTATAAAATTTATGAGCATGACCATGGAACATTTTTGTTATCCAAAAATATGGACTATCTAGAAGACACTATTAAAGTTCTAAATCTTCCCCCTTTACTTATTAATTAATACTTTATTTATCTTTATTAATTGGGTACTAATTAAAATGAAAACATAATATTATTAAAACGCTTCAAAAACCATTCTAAAAAATAATTAAAAATATTTTTGCTTATTATTAAATGGAGGATTAAGTAATTACTTATAATAAATTTTTATTGATCTTTCATGGAGCAACTATAAGTGCTACAGAAATGAAGTTAATTTCAATTAAAAATAAAATAAAAATTACATATATTTGCTCTCATAAATTAAAATAAATAACTAATGTAATTTATTGCTGCGAATTTTAATAATATAGTAATAAAATTTTTATATTCAATCAAATTAAAGCAAAAGTTTTTAATTTAAATATCACTGCAATATCTAAAAATAACCAAATATGCTGGGACATTTTGATTTTGCTTTAAAACTGCTTAGGTTCATATTTTCCAATCAACTTCTTACACCTTCTACATCTATGATGTATTTCCTGATACTTTTCCCAATTATCTATTTTCGTGCAGCACTTAATAAAATCCCCAACACAACATATAACTTTTCAAATAGGTAAAGTCGGCATTTTAAGAGAAACCAGCGTTGAAGTTTCCAACTCACAATATTTACAGTATAGCTTTGTAGGGAGAATTCCAAGGTCGTTACTGCCATTGTTTATTACATTATTTTCATAAATAAACTCATTGTCTTGAAAAAGCTCATTGTCATCTATTTCTATCCCTTGAGTTGCCAAAACTATTGTTGTAGCATTTCCTTCAGTTTTTGTAAAATGCTGAGGGTCTATGCATTCCGTTAATTCAGTGTCTTGGCTTTGAGCTTCTCTGCGAACTTCTATTTCAGACGCAAATAAAGAAGAAGTTCTTATTTCTGAATTATAAAGAGAAGATCTTGGCTCAATTGTAGAAGCAAACATAGAATTTTTAGATAAATTTGTTGACCTATGACTTGCTTTGTATTTTCCTGTTGAGTATTCTTCACTTACACTAGAATCTGGGTCATTTTGAACTGCAGGATGGGCAGACTTATCCATATTGATGGAAAGATGTGCCACCCGAGAGATTGAGCATTTTTTTTGAAAGGATTTTATCTTGGCTGTTTTAGTAAATTCATAGCTTTGATTTATGTCTTTTATTATTACACTTGGCTGCCTTCTATGCACTGGTGCATTCGGTGTTTCATCTTCGAATTGAAGAACTTTAAAAGCTTTCCTTGAATTTGGATTTGTGCAAACTAATGATAATTTGTCTATAGAAAATGATGGAGTTTTGGGTTTATCTTGTAGGGATAAGCCCCTATGCATTACTGCTAAAGAATGGATAGATAAGTGGCAGTCTGTAGGGATTTTTGGGGATGAGGAGATATTACCCGCGCTTGAAGTACTCATTTTTATATAATAATTTTAGCAGTAAATTTTATCTCTGGAAATCGCATCAATTTCATATTGAATTTAAAATTTATACAAAATTGTCATTTAATCTCGATAAAATAGCAATAATAGGCGGACCAAAAAAAAGAGATCTATATATAATATAAAATTTTTATTAATAAAAAATCCAATGATCAATAGTGCAAAATAGCATTAAACTATTTGAATTTTCTCCGTATAATAAAAATGCTTAAACTGCTGAGACTTACTAGAAGATCATACCATCCCAAAGTTGTTGAATATTACGAAAATCCGAAAAACGCTGGGTCTTTTGATAAGAAAAGCAAAGAAGTTGGAACTGGGGTAGTTGGAGCTCCTGCATGCGGAGATGTAATGAAGCTCCAAATAAAAGTCGAAAACGGAAAAATAGCTGATGCAGTTTTCAAGACATTTGGATGTGCATCGGCAATAGCTAGCTCATCCTATGCAACTGAATATATTAAAGGCCTTAGCTTAGATGAAGCAATGCAGTTAAAGAACTCAGATATTGCATCTTATCTCCATTTGCCACCTATTAAGTTGCACTGCTCTATGCTAGCTGAAGATGCAGTTAAAGCTGCAGTTAAAGACTTTCAGAAAAAAAATGAAACAGAATAAATAATTAGTTGTCAATAAAAATTAATTTTTATGCACCTGAAATATAAGTTTCCAATTAAATCTCATTGAACAAGATTTTTCTTTAACTTTGCGATGAAAAGAAGAGAAATTTAAATAGATAAATCTACAATTGGCTTAACCCATTCTGATTTTTTTAACGCTTGATATAAAAAATTACTAGTTTCAAAGCAATCAATTAATTGGAAAATATGGGAAACATTCCTCATTCTCTATTTTTAAATAAGATAAAATAAAGATGATTTTTGTAAATACATGGAGATCTTAATCAAGATACACCTATTGGAAGAGCTGGTGAAGATTTCAGTGATTTAGAAGAATAGCAGAGATGAATTGCTTGAGATATCAAGAGATAAAAGAAATAATATCAGTTATGAGAGAAATTGTATGATTTCTAAACAGTTAATAAGTAACAATCTTAAAATGCAATATTTTTTCTTATTTTATTAAAAAACTCTTTAATAATAAAATCAGTCACAAGAAAAGGCCACTAAGAATTATTGGGTTTAATTTTATTATTTTTATAAAATAAAACCTCTTTAATGTAAAAAAGCCTTTAATTGTATTTATAAACATTTCTTTGCATTTTTAAGTGTTTCAGGACTATGAAAAACTTTATTTTTAGAGCATAAATTTATTTTTTTCTTATTATTCTCATTAAAAAAACGAAAGAGGTAACTTGAAATTGCTGATATATTATTAAATTACCAACGTTGTCTTCTGTGAAATTCTCTGTTCTTTTACTACAAAAAAGGAGCTTCTTCATCTTCATCTGAACTATCCCTATCAGGTGGTCTAAAAATCCTCATCTGTATTTCTTCCTGTCCTCTGATGGCATGCTCTTTTCTTCCTATTAAATAAACCATTATCCCCAGTATCATTACATATATTCCTGCAGCTCACAAGCATGTGAATCCAGCTTCATCTCTAATTTAAGTTAAGTTAAGTGTTATAAGGCCATAAGTGGATAGACTAATAGTCTGTTTATCTAGCGTAAACCACCTAGCCTAAGGATTAGTTTCCGAGGTTAGAGCCATCTCTTGCAGATGTCCCGTTAGTCCAGATAAGCAATCACTAAGTGGAAGGCAAAACCTAAAACTTCCCTCCAAACCCGAAGGCTTACTTCAAAAAGTGAGGCACTATTTTCAGCTTCATCAGGATAGACCCTATCTGCTCCATAAGGAGTGTGTCTCGGAGTTTCATCTTCCATCAACATCACCATTTTATTCTCCTTCATCTCTGGGATCCCATTAATTTCAATATATTCATAATCCCCAATCAGCAACGACCCCATAATAACCTAGCTATAAAATACCAAAATAATGCTCCCAAAAAGACTTATTCCAGTGCATATCTCTATAAATACCATGTTGGTTTTATTCCTTTGATTTCATACTTTGGAATTATATATAAATGTCATAACTAATGCTTTCTAATCTGAGAATTTCATTAATGTCCTAGTTGCTCTTTGTATAAATGGGATTATGCTTTCCTCGGTCTAAGGATGATAGAAGTCCAAGCACAAAAAGTCTCAACTCGCCTTCTATAGACGAATATTTGCCGCGTCGGCTTTCTGTTGTTCCAATTAATAATACACCAAGTGCAGAAGACCCGTTTTGCAACTCTCCGGGGCTTTCTCCACAAGATTTTAAGGATTTTAATAATCGACGAAGCTATCCTTCGAGATCTGTATTAAAAATCGAAGGAAAAATGGGTTCACGGCACCAAAAGAGCTTTGAAGGGAAGAGGGTGAATATTATAGGTGACTCTGGCCCTGAAATTATGCGAAAATTAGGAATTGCAGTAACTTGTAAAAAAGGCTTGAAACTGAATTTGCCGAACCAAGATGATTTTACAATAGTGATTGATGAGAATTGTTATTATTTTGGCGTGTTTGACGGACATGGAAATGACGGCCATGAAGTATCAAATTATGTTAGGCGTTATTTGCCTATGCAGATTATGGCTCATGATTTATTTGAAATTGATATATTGAGAGCCTTTACTGATTGCTACTTGAAAATTAATCAAACTTTAGAAACCCTTGGGAGCGGCAAAGATGCAGAATTTGATACTTTGTTGTCAGGGACAACTGCGACCAGTATAATTGTAAAAAATAATCATCTTTATATAGGCCATGTTGGTGATTCTCGCGCTATTTTAGGGTTGAAAAGAGAGGATGGTTATGAGGCATTTAGGGTAACAATTGATCATAAACCGATGCTTCCTGAGGAGAAAAAAAGAATTGAGTCGAAAAAAGGACAAGTAAAAAGATTGGACAATGATATTCCATACAGAATATAATGTATTTAATTGAATTTGATATTATAGATAGCCTATATTTAGATTTATAAAGTCAATTAAAAATAATATATTTGTCAAAGATCAAAATTATCCAGGGTTGTCTACGTCTAGGGCCCTTGGAGATTTATTGGCTCAAAAGGTTGGAGTTATACCTGATCCTCAGATATGTGAAATGGAAATCAGCATAAATACAGAATATTTAATTATATGCAGTGATGGGGTATGGGAGTTCATAAGTGACCAAGAAGCACTTGAGACAGTGGCTTCTTTTGGGAAAAATGTAGAGCTCGCAGTTGAAGCGTTAGCAACTCTTGCATATGAGAGGTGGATTGAAAACGAAAAAGATATCTCGGATGATATCACTGTCATTATAGTGCTGATGCCATCTCTCTTAAATTTTGGGAACGTATAATTACCAATTAAAACTTATTATAATGCAATTAAGATTTTGAGATTTCTCTAGATAACCGCTTTTTATTTTTGTTAATGGAATGCAATTTCTTGAGTCACAATGTGACTTTGATTGATGATCAAAGGCTCAGCATTGAGTGAAAGCATTAATGGAGACAGTTTATTTTGTGAAGATGAGTTTTGATATGAAGCTGATGAAATTCTTGGATTAGATTCGGATGTGCATGAAGAGACAGATGCTGAAAATGGAAGGAGAGAGCAGGAAAGCCAAAAACGCCAACAGAAAGCCAAAAGTAAAGCCTACAAAAAAGATCGAGTGAAAGGAAGAAAAAATGGCAAAGAAAAGTACGAAAGAAATACCTTTTACCCCAACGATTTGGGGAATTGGAAAGAGGCTAGAAGAGAATGGTAAATGACTGCGAGTATTAAGGCTAAGCAATACTATTAAGAACTTTCATGAGGAAATTCTCAAAGGCAGAGCAAAAAGACATCATAGGGAAAAATAGACAGAAGAGATGGAGTCTCGCATCGTGGTATTTAAAGGGACAACGTATGTTTCAAGAATTCGAAACTGAAAGACTACTGAAAAAAAAAGACCCATAAGGGCCTGCTGAGAGTTATTTGAAACTCTCTGAAAAAAGATAAGATATTAATATAACCGCTTTTTAAATATCTCTTTCTTTTAAGCTCACAACTTCAAAGCCTAAATACCTTATGATATCATCTTCAGTTTTTGCCTTCACCACAGTTTTCCCATTAGAAAGCCTCCAAAGACCAGTATTTGACAATCTCAGCCCTCTTTTTTTCGCTTCTGATCTTAGCAATATGTTATAATCCATAGATCCTGTGAAATATAAGATCGCAAAAGGATATTCTTCATGGGTGCATAAAAAGATATCGAATCTTCTATGTGGCTTATCTCCAAGCTTTACAATTCCCATATATTTGTGTTTTGCATTAGTAAAGGAATATTTTGTAAGTCCAGATCTTTCTAGCTCAACTATAAGATTAGTTAATGTATTTGTTTTGTCACTTGCAATAACGACGTCAATGTCATCTATTAATTCTCTTCCGCGTCTATATGAGCCACAGATTTCCATTTCTGCATCCTCATCTATAGCTTTTAATTTTTCTTTGACAATGTTTGCAATTTCTTCAATTTCGTCTCTAGGAACTTTAAACTTTAATTCATCATATAGATCAATCGCTACTTTTTCATTGTCAGTGAAATATTCAGGGTTTTCTTGATTATATCTTTTGATGTCATCAATCGTTCTGAGACCTTTTTTCATATATATGAGATTATGACCTTCTTTCTTGATATAGCCGGGTTTTTAATTATCTAAATGCTAATCATCACTTAGGGATTCTGAAAGACACCCTCCGTAGTAGGTAAAAATTCATCTCCCAAGTTTAGCATCTTACTCGAGTATAACCCAGCCCGATATACAGGAAGGCTACCGTACCTTTACTCAGCTTGGTTTTCCCATCTGGGTGTTTCCTTCAGGCGTTAGGCTGTTGTCTCCATCATATTAATTTATACCTTTTCATATAATTCTTCAGCTTTTCTGGGTCCAATTCCGAATATATTCTCTAATTCCCCTAAAGATTTGACATGTGTGTCTTGTTGTAATTTTTTGGTTCTTTGTAGATATCCATTTTTTAAAATTTTATCTATTTTTCTGAGGGTTTTATCCCCAATTCCTTTAATATTTTCAAGCTGGCTTGCATCTGTAACTTTATAAGGCAGCATTTTTAATATTCTTATAATCTTATTATATGCAATTGCTCTGCCCCTATCTCCTGATGATTCATAATATTTTTTCAACTTATTTAGTTCACTTACCAAATTTTCATTCTTATTTTCAACTTTGGTTCCAGGAGGCTCTTTTTTCTCTTTTGTTTTCCCTTTTACAGCCTTTTTTGGTGGCAAAGGCTCCATTACTTCAGCTTTCCTTTTGAATGCTTTTTTTGTGGTTTCTATTTTACTTGATAGTTCTGGGTCTTCCCATTTATATTCATCAATAGGTAGCACTCTTTTATAAATAAATGATAAATTTGCCCAGTCTGGCTTAACTATTTTAAGTCTTCTCAAGGATTTTATATTGAGCTTTTTTTGTAATGCATCTTTTTGGATTGCGTCAGGGACAATTATATGTGTATAAGTGCTAATGTTTTGTAATGGGCTATTTTCTAAAATTTCAGCATTTCCACCATTCTTTGTAATCTGTTTTTTTATTGTATCAGCTGCTTGAGCAGTGAATCCATGCACTTTTGAAATTATTAGAGCATTGATATCTTTAAACTTTTCTGACATTATTTTTTAATTGAAAAATAAGACTTTACGTTTGCTCCCCCCCCCCTCCGTGAGTGAACAAAACCATTAGAAAAATCGCTATTTTTTGCCCAAAAACCCACCCTCTGTGAGTGAACAAAATTTTTTAATAGAAAAATTTTTTGATGGAAAAAAATTTTGATATATAAATGATAATTAGTAATATGAAATCTAGAGCTAATTCTGTTTAATTTTAAACGAATTGCTTTTTTTAAAACATAAATTTTATAAATTAAATTAATATTTGCTTTCCAATTTTTGCGAAATTAGGATTTTTTTAAATTTCGAAAAAAAAATTTTTTTTATAAAATTTATATATAGTACCCCCCCCCTCCTCGTTTGTCGCATTTTCTAGTTTTTTTTTAAGGGAAAAAAAAATTTTACAGGACCTCGTTTGTCGCATTTTCTAGTGCAAATACATTTGTCGCAATTTCTAGTTTTTTTTAATTTTTTTTTTGATGTCGCAAATCTTAGTTTTTTTAAAAAATAGTTTTCTGATTAATTTAATTGAGTAATTATAGAGGAGTTTACCTTACATTTTTGCCTGCAGAGGGTTAGCAGGCCCGAGTCCTTTCCCAGTCCTTTCCCACTTTACTCTCCCCTTTTTAGAGAATAGATTAAATTAGCTTATTAACTCCATTCTCCTTGCGCTTCAATGACCTGCCTTGCTCTTTCATTTTTCACCTTAAGAATGGAATTTTGCACTTCCTCAAAAGAAATTTCGTCCCATGACTCCTGAATGGCAGCAATTAGTCTGGCTTTGCTGTCAGGCCTTCTTTTCTCCACTTTCCTCTTCAAATTGGCCCAGATCATCTCATTGGATTGAGATCTGGGCTCTTCGGCGATTGAGTCTTCACATCAATCCCGTTTTCTCTGCAATATTCCATAGTCTGCCTTGCAGTATGGGCTGTTGCCCCATCCTGAACGAAGGTGTAGTCTCCATAGGCTCAATATAGCCCTGGAGAATGTCTCTGATATAGACCTGGGCATTGATTGCATACTTCTCCTTCTTTATGAAGAGCATTTTGCCAAAAACGATAGAAATTCCTCCCCCAGATCATAATTGAGGTTTTTCAATTGATAGGCTCTTCAATCGTTGCGTTTATCCCTTCTTTGCACAAATTAGAGTTACGAAAGAGATGCACATAGCACTCATCACTGAAGATCCATGAAGCGATATCTGAGTCAATCAAAGACCTAGCCCAGGACATTCTCTGCTCTTTATGAGCTGTAGAACAACCCTTTTCTTCCTATAGACATATCCCCTCTTATTCAGCTCTTTTCCTAGCTGTTCTTCGCTGATGTCAACTGTCTTTCTTTTGAATTGGGCCCTCAAACTTGCCTTGCTGACAAAGCCTGTATCCTTCTCACATTCCTTAATGACCTCAGCAAAGTCTTCATCACTTCAATGCTTTATGGGAGATCTGGATAGTGCCTCTTCTCTTCCAGCCGCTTCGTCAGATTCACTCTCAGTATTCTCTGCAGCAATTCGCTCAATAGTCCGTTTAGAAGTCCCCAAGATTGTCGCAAGTTCTTCGTTTTTAAAGAAACCTACGTCAATGATCCTCTTGACTATGCTCTCTCCATCATTCCATTTTCTTAGGAGGAGGCGATAGTCCATGGTCCACAAGCTTCCGCCTGAGCTCTAAAGTGTGCTCTTCAGGATTGAACTTGCTGGTGTAGTGCCTGATCGTCGTCAGGCTCATGTCCTTGCCACAAGCAGCAAGGCGCTCTTGGATCTGCTTTGCATTTAGCCTCTCTCCATAGGCCATGCTTTGAATTATTGCCGGGATTTTTATCGGCTGGTCCTCAATTTCGCGCAACTCCATTAATTAATATGACTAGAAATTAAGCTATCAAATAAAGGAAATAGGCATGAAGATAGGGGAATAAGAATGGTGAATGGCAAGTGGTGAGGCTTAAGCAATGGGAGCAGGTAATGGGAAGCAAGCTGTGGGGATTGAGGAATGGGAGCAAGGATTTTGAAGGAAGAAATGATGAAATTTCACTAACTGATCCCTTGACGAATTTTAATTTTTAGGAATTTATAGAGAGAAAAAAAAAAACTAGAAAATGCGACAAGCGAGGTCCTGAACCGATTTTTTTTTTGGCTTAAAAAAAAACTAGAAAATGCGACAAATGAAGTCCTGAAAATTTTTTTTTTCTCTTATAAAAAAAAACTAGAAAATGCGACAAACGAGGGGGGGGTACTATATAAATTTTTTTAAAAAAAAAAAAAAATTAACCCCCCTCCGTGAGTGAACAAAATTTTTTTGTTCACTCACGGAGGGGGGGGAGTTAGGATTTTATTTATTTGAATGGCTATCAATCTCCTGATACTCATTTTATTAGTTTATCTAATTTTGTTATTGCCAGAATCAATAAGTATGGCAAATATTAAAAATCATCATTTTAAGTCAAAAATTTAATTATAATCAAGATGAGATTGAAATAATTGGTTCTATATAAATTTTTATTACACTATCTTAGGCTTCTAAAGAGCTAAATAATACTCGTTTCCTAAAAAATAATTCTTATTTACAATTAGCTATTATCTTTTGCAACTATAACTTTCCTAGACACAACAACTGGTTCTGACCCAAATGAAGATCTCCGAACTTGTTTATTATTCACTCCATCTTTGTTAACTGGCGAAGCATCTTTAACTTCTTCATCATACAAAAAAGCAGCAGTATGGTTAACTCTAGGGATATCAGGTAGATTTCTTGATATAGCTGCTCCTTCTCTTGACCCTCTTTTGACTCTCTTGAGCCACTTGTGATTCAACGCATCCTTAGCTGACAGTCGTAAGTCAGGATCTGGCTGGCATAATTTCAATACCAGGTCGACTGCATCTTTTGAAACTTTTTTCCAATGTTTTTGTGAAAAATACACAATCCCTTGTTTGTTGGATTTTAAAATTTCTTTTGTATTCCTACCTGGAAAAGGAGATCTCCCAGACAGAAGCATAAATAAGCACACACCGATCCCAAATAAATCAATTTTCACTCCATATGTCTGTTTTCTCAATATTTCTGGTGCTATATACCCAGGAGATCCACAGCGTAAAGTTTGATCATTTTCATTACAAATTCCAGCCAAGCCAAAGTCAATTAATTTAAATTTCGCTGGATTTTCTGAACAAATCATTATATTTTCTAATTTGATATCTCTGTGAACTATATTTTTTGAATGAAGATAATTAAGGGTCAGAAGCAGTTCAAATAGAAATTCAGATGCTTTTCTTTCAGAAAAAGATTCAACTTTAAATATTTTTTGAAGCATATTAGTCCCTGGGGCATAGTCCATTATCAGATGAATATGGGACTTACTCTCGTAAACTTTGTATAGCTTTGTGACATTATGATGGTCAATTGTTCGCAGGATTTCTATTTCATTTGCAACAGCCCATACTGCTTTCATATTTGAGAGCGAAGATTTGTCGATTGATTTGAGGGCGTAGTTGTCATAAGAATCGAGATCGTCTACTAGGTAAACTGTTGCGTAGCTACCTTGTCCTAGAGTTTTTATTATTGCGTAGTCGTCTTCTACTTCAGTTAAAATCGATACTTTTGATAAAATGTTAACCCAACGGTCTAGCTCTTCAGTGTTTTCTGTATAAAAATCCTGAAAAATTTCATTTTGATAAAGCTTGAAGCCTGATCTAGTTTCTAATGAATTGGCTTCTAAAAAAGCTTCTAGGATTTTCCATCTGATATTTGACACTGATTCTATCTCATTGCTGTTTACTTTATATTTATATAGTGAAGTAGTTGTCAGTATAAAATATTGGGATACTAGGTTTCCTTCAGAATTTGGCATAAGTAGGTAACCTTGATGAAGTTTGTTTGAAGATGTATCAGATAGGGATTTCTCATCGTTGCATGTCTTTTACTCTGGGTTATTCTACTTCAAGCCATTTTGTCGACACCAATTGATTGAGGCTTTTTCTAAGACAATTTTTTTTTCGAAAAATAATAGTTTTTAATGAACAAATGCAAAAAAATTTTTTTTGGTCTAAATGATGCCAAGAAAATATCTGTGGAAAAAATCCTGGCCGAAGGATGTGCTACGCTCTCATCTGGATTGTGCCAAAACTCTTGCGACTTGTTGGCATCTTCATCGATTTGTCTAAATATTGATAAAAACATTGTGGTTTTATTATTTTTTGGTTTTATTTACAGTATATGTTAAAATTGCGTGGCAAGCCCTCTTAACTCCTGTAGATATCTCAAACATTATTCAATTATTAAAAGCCAAAAAAACTTACCTAGTTGGCATCCCCAAGGGTGCAGGGACCTCGAGGAAGAGAGGATGGCGCTCGGGAATGCTTGTCCGGCTGAGTTTTGGGTGGCTGATCGCAAGCTTTATCCAATGCCAAGATTTTGCCTCAGTGGGAAATGAGTCAGATATTTGGGGAGGGGCCTTCTAATCGTCCGAGCCAACCGGAGTTCCATCTTGGACTTCGGATTTCCATTTTGGCCAAAAGTCGACCAGAAAATTCAACCCTTTTGAGTTTTTAATGGTGGACAACCCTTTGAAGAACGGCGGTGGGACTCATCTACTACTGAGCAGCGAGTGCAAATCCTTGTCCGGCAGGAGCAACCTTCACGATGTCGTTAAACGCGAACTGACAAGCAGGCGGGGAAGTGTTGCGAGTGGAGATAGTCTTTGTAGAATTACAGCAGGCTTTCCTATAAGTATTAAATAAGTTAAGATAAGGCTTTATTTACAGTAAATATTAAAAAAGTAATTAATATTTAGAATGAAAAAAAACCTCAAAACTGGAAATTATATCATTTTAGGAATTAACCTTTGTTCTGGGCATATAAAATCTTGAAATAATAAAGGAAATCGCATTTAAATGACTTTTACTCAGTTAATTAAACGTTAAGCAATTTTATTTTTTAGATTATATATCTTGAATTCCGTTATATTTTCAAATTTATCTGTCCAAAGCTGGATGAAACTTTTGACTACTTTCCAAATTTAATGTTGAAAACTGCATTATAAATTTTAATTTATTATTTTAAAAACAATATAAATGACTAATAAAATATTAGATTCTGCTAAACTAGCCGAAATCACGAACTTAAAGAGCAAATATGACAAATTATTATGTAAAAAATACCAAACAACTACTAAAAAAGCACTGCTCAGCCTAATAAATTCACTAGCAAAAGAGCTTCAACAAGTCAAAATGTCTATGATTTCAGATACAATCAAATTAATTTCCGACTTAAATATAGCTTTATCTAAAAATTTGCAAAAAATAAACGATCAACTTAACATCTGCAAGAACTTGAGAAATGAAATTTTATCAGCTGGAGAAAAGTTCAGCTGAGAAGCCACGAATACTCAATCATTGCTATTTAAGAATCCAGGAAAAGCTGTCTATTTATTTAGTAAAGAATGAAAAGAAATTTTTGCGTTCTTACCTGAAGATTCTTTATCAAAAATAGAGTATAATCATGACACTCTATATCCTGGCTTTCTAGTTCGTATGAGGTCGAAATTGAATGAAAATGAATTGAAAATAAAGTTCTATAGGGATCTGATTGAAAATGATAAAAAATTGGGGAATATATGTGATGAGGATCCGAAATGAATAATCGATAAAATTACCAATGCTCAAGAGAATTTAAGCAGCTATAGCAAAAATGGAATTTACTCATATCTATGCAAATATGAATTTTCTTTTAAAGAGCGAGTTTGCTGCTTATCAAATACAGTTAATAGAATTTTTGAAAAATATGAGCCGATTGTAAAGAAAAGCCTGTCCGATAAAATTATTAATATTTCTAAATGCCTTAATTTTGGCTTATCGAAGGATATCTATACAAATTTAGTATTTTTTGATATTAAGTCTGAGATGCAGATGCACATTAGTATTAACTTAGATTATAGAAAAGCTCCCTGTCGAATCCGAAGATTCTTGCTCCCTTCCGTCTTCTACTCGCCATAGATTGTAGCACAGCTTTCAAAGTGTCCACCCCAGTACATACTCCCGGCAGTAGGAACTTTTGGTTTACCTGAGTATGTCAACAAGAGCGTCCTTTACATAATGTTAAAAACAAATTTTCTGATTGTGTTGTCTACCAAGATAAAAATCTAAGCCTGGGACACAATGACCAGTATCGAGCTGGAGAAAAACCAAAACCTTTTCAGAATATACACCCGAAAGCAAATTTCCCTTCCACAAGGTCACCTATACCCGTTAAACGACTCAGCTACAAGTTTTTAGAAAAAGGCTGGCTCACTGTCACCATTTTAACGTATATAAATGCAGATACACAAAACAGTAGATATGCCCAACGCACTTGACGAATCCTCATATATAATTCAGCTTCCCAATAATAAATTACTTTGCCATAGGGAAAAGCCTAACCCTCGCAACTGATACATAATCGACACCTTGACATTTAAATACAGAATTCTACCAAACAGCTTTTTATGTTGATTTTTAGGAGGAGTTTACCATAATAATTCCATATATATATTTGGAAAAAATGCAGCAAAATTAAATTCCGCATTAGAATTTGATATGAATGTAAATAAATGAAAGAAACTCCCAAATTTGCCTATTTCCCATTTTAGATGTTCATGCATTGCTTTTAGCAATTCTATTTTGATCTGTGGAGATATTGCAGTTTATAAGTTTGACACTAAAATTGAAAGCTATTCTACAATAGTTACTGCTGATAACCTAGAGGTTCGCCCAAGATTTCTGATGGAAGGAGGTAGAAGGGCATATTTAATTGATTTTAAGGGGATGATCTATGAAAGTAATGTAGAGGATGAATATAGCTGAAGTTTATTTTGCAGGTTTTTAGGAAAACCTAGATTGGGATTCTCATATAAATGATCAGATAATTCGGTATGGTTTGGGTTTTCAGATAAATTAGGGCTGGATTATTATAAATTGAGCATAGATAAAAAACAAGTCAAAAAGATATGGGGAATTACTATAAATTGCTCTGCGAGGCCAGGCAATTTAAGGGGAAATTCTCAAGCTGGTTGGGTTGGTCAAACCAAGTAGAAAGTTGGCTAATGAGCCTTTCTCCAAATTCTTGATCTAAAAAGGGCAACTCATAGAAATTCCCTATAGAAGCAAAAGGCATAATTTAAAGTATTTTCATCAAATTTACTAACTGAAATTGAATATAAATTATATAAGTTAATATTTTAAAGAAACTTAATAAATATTTAACAAAGAAATGTTTAGACCTTAAATAAAAAATTTTCTAAATACAAATTGTGCAAATATATTAACTAGCAAGCTCTATATGAATAGTTTGTGCATTTTATAAAGTTTATCCATTTATGAATTTTACTATTCTTGATAGCAAAAATCATCTGGTTCCTTACTCAAATAAAGAAATAAAATGGTGACGTTGATAGAAATTGGGCTTCCAGGCACTCCTAGGATCCGTTCCGATGATGCTGAAAATAGTACTTCTCACTTTTTGAAGTTAGCCTTCGATGCTTGGGAAGCCGAATTGGGAAATTTTTTTCTTCCCCGAAGGTTTTCCCTGCCAGATGGCCTAGACAACTTTTGCCTCCCCCATTTGTCTTTGCTTATCGGGACGAGCTGGGCATTCTCAAAGAGTGGCTTTAGCCTAGGGAGCTAATCCTTAGGTTAGGTGGGTTTACGCTAGATAGGCAGGATATTGACCTCCGCTTATGATCTTATAATTTAACTAACCTACCAGTTTAACCATTTAATTTACTTACTCAAAATATCTAGGCCATTCTAAAATTTCTTTATTAATTTAAAATTTACTTCCCTTTTGTCTTAATTTCTATCGCCACATATATTTTCATTAGCTTTATTTATCTCTGTCTTCCCTATTTATTATTTAGCGGTGTGAAATGGAAGGTGTGTCTGAGGCCCAAATTCAAAGCGTTCTAGTCATGCTTACAGCTGTTCTGAGCCCAAATAACGAAGTAAGAAAACAACAAGAAGCCCTTCTTATGCAGCTTCGCAACGAGCATCCTAATGAATTTGTTCTTTGTCTCTTGCATATCCTTAGACACTCTCCAGATTTCTCAATCCGCTCATTGGCATCACTTATCCTCCGTCAGCTTTTCACATCTCTCCACACAACAACAAAGGTTTGGGACAAATTAAGCGCCCAAGTCCAAAACTCCACCAAAACCAGCCTTCTAGAATCACTCGAGCAAGAATCCTCATGGTCGATTCTTAAGAAAATCGGCGAAGTAATTGCAGAGCTTGCAGTTTTGCTATTCGCTGAAGATGAGAACGGAAAATGGGACGAACTTCTTCCATTCCTCACCAGAAATCTTGCTGGGCAAGGAAAACAAGCAGCAGCTGCTTGCCACATTTTAGCAGGTCTCTGCACATTTTTCAATGAGGAGCTGGCTAAAGAAAAGACAAGTCTCAAGCAGATCTTTTTAAACCATTTGTCAAGCAACGAAGTCGAGCTGAGACTTTCCGTGATTGATTTTATTGGCAATTTATTAGGAATTGCTGAAAAAGATGATATGAAATTTTATTGGGACATTATTCCTAATATACTAATTTCAGCAGTCTGGATCATTGAAAACCACCAAACACACGCAGACGAAGTCTTGAAAAATCTCAGAGATCTCGCTGAGACAGAACCAAAATTCTTTAAAGGTCGCATACAAATTGCTTACGAATTTGTTGACAGAGTTTGTAATTTACAAACTGAGAATTTAGGGATCAAACACTTGTCGTTGGAATTTATTGTAGCTTTGGCTGGAAGACTTCATAAGGAATTTCAAGAGAAAAAAGAAATTGCAGTAAACCTTTGCACAAAAATATTCCAGACAATGATCAGCATTGATGAAGAAGTTGACCCAGCTTGGGCTTGCCCTGCAGAAGGCTTTGAAGAGCCTGATGATGAGGAAGAAGAAGGAGTAGAAATTGATTATGCCAAGCTTGGGAGAAAACAATTGACTAGCATGATTGAAGGGGTAGGAGAATCATTTTTGCTTCCGACTGTATTAGGATTAATTCAAACTGCGCTTACAACTCCGTCAGAAGACTGGAGAATTAAATATGCAGCTCTTATGACTATTTCAGAGCTTGGACAGTTTATTGAAGAATCTGAAAAAATTGCTGAGCTGGTACCAATTCTTCAAGCCCATACAAATCAAAGCTTGAATGCTAAAATCAGATATGCGGCTTATCATTGTTTAGGACAACTCAGTGAAGACTATGAAGAAGAATTCCAATCAGCTCACCATCAAATTGTTGTGCCACTTTTAGCAGCAGGTATCGCTGACCCAGTACCAAGAGTTGCTGCCAGTGCTGCAGATGCTTTAGGAAAATTCATGGAAAACTGTGGCCCGACCTTAGTCTCAGAGCACATAAACTCAATAATGCCAATAATCATTGAAAAACTAGGCCAACAAAACTGCTCAATTGTCATTGAAGAACTTTTAATTGCAATTTCTGACATTGCTGACTCTGGTAAAGAATGCTTTAACCCTTACTATCAGCCACTGATGACAATTTTAATAAGACTTATAAGAGGTTATACAGCTAAAGAGTACCAAAGAATCAGAGGAAAAGCTATTGAAAGCATGACCATGATCTGCACATCAGTTGGGAAAGAGTTATTTGCCCCTTATGTAGCTGAAACAATGGGGATGCTTAAAGAAATTCAAGACTCTACTACAGATACAGACCCTCTTAAAGCTTATCTTTTAGGAGCCTGGCAAAGAATCGTTGCGACTTTGCAAGCTGACTTTGCTCCTTACTTACAAGGAATTCTTCCAGGGCTATTGAGCGCTGCTAGTGCCACTGCTATAGTATCAGTCGAATCTGAGCCTGATGCCTTAGTTGACTTAGCATCACTTGTATCTGAAGCTTCTAAGAAAGTATCAATTAATACCACAGATCTAGAAGACAAAGACTTAGCATTACACGCATTAATTACCATTATAGATGTCCTTAAAGAGTTATACGCCCCATATGCCGAGCAAACTACATCTATTGTGCTCCCACTGGTAAACTACACTCCTAACGAGCACATCAGGCAAGCAGCTGCCACCTTATGTGGGTCACTTATAGGCTCAGTTAAAGCTTTAAACACCCCTGAAGCAGACCAAATCGTCATAAACATGGCCAGACTGTTCTTAGGAGCTCTCTGGCAAGCTACTGCAGTTGAGCTTGATACAGAAACTATTGTAGCTCAATTAGGAGCTATCAAAGTGGTCATTGAAGCTCCAAGGCACAAATTCATGTCTGCTGAAGAAGTCACGGCATCTGGAGAAAAACTTATAAAAATGCTAGAAAGCTCTTTAGAAAGAAGGGCCAGGAACAAAGCATTGGACTTGGGATCTGATGACAGTGAAGATGAATTAATCAAAGAAATCAATAAAAATGAAGAAGATTCATTACATACACAAATTTCTGAGGTTTTAGGGTCTTTATTCAAAACCCACAGAGAGTTTTCATTGGAGATTGTGAATTTCTTATATTCGCATGTGCTGAGCAAGTTTTTGGCTCCTGATACCACTGATGAGGATCATAAATTCGCAATTTTTGTCATTGATGATGTTGTGGAATTTGTAGGGCAAGATTTGGCTGGAGATAAATGGAACTCTTTGGCAGAAGCGCTTGTTAGGTTTACTGCTGATGCCAATGATGCAGTTAGACAAGCAGCATCATATGGGATTGGAATTTTAGCTATTTATAGCAATTCAGCTGCGTTCGCTCCATGGACTGAGCAGATGGTCAAGCGAAAAACAAACAACTGCGTAGTTTTGATAAAAAGAAATATAAGAATTAGTGAATTATGCTTGCCTTTACAATATTCAAACGTAATTTCTAGTATTTTAGCTAAATATTAAATTCTCAATCTATACCTAAAGAATATAATAGATATTAGAGAAATTTATCTACGATTAGTAGATTTTTCGGTTTTATAAATTTATATCTTAAAACAATGTACTGAAGGATCTCTTATAATTTTTATCAAAGCTTATTTTTCATCAGATGTGGCGGTGTGGTTTTAATACTTAACCAAACAGATACTAGTCGCATTAGATAAATCAATAAATTTCCCAATGGGAACCGGTAAAAAGTCACATGGATATGCCAAAGATAACGCTATCGCAGCACTCGGAAAAATCATAAAACATCAATCAGGAAGCATCAATTCAGCTGCAATTGTACCAGTTTGGATCAATTTACTGCCTTTGAGACGTGATAAAGAAGAAGCAAAAATAATGCATGATTTGTTAGCTGATGTTACAATTGGAAACATGAGCTTGGCTATTGGAGAAAATCATGAAAGACTAGAACATGTCGTAAAAATCTTTGCAGAAATTCTTGAAACTAAGCTTGTTGCCAACGAAACAGTCCCTAAAATTAAACAAATCATTCAGATGATGCAAAGTGCAGGAATCCCAACTTTGCCACAAATCTGGGCATCTTTAACGGATATCCAAAGATCAAAATTGACTAAAATAATGGCCTAATCAGCCTTTTTATTAAATTCATTTTAATAGAGGTATTAATTTATTTATTTACTCAAGCATAATTTAACGTTTTTATGTATTTCTTTAATTTATTGTAAATTCTCATAGACAGCTTCTAAATAGTTTTTAAAATCTAATTAATTAAGCACAGCATATAAAAGTTAATCGGTAAAACATATTCATGATTAAACAATAATGTCTAAGCTAGATTTAAAGAGCTCGCTCAAGCTGATTTCGACGTTAAAATCTTCAAGATACAATGAAACACTCGAAAGTTCACTATGTACAGAATGCGAGAACAGTTTTCTCCAAGAAACCAGCTTTAACAGTGACATTGACATGGAAATTAGAGCAGAAATAGAATCAAAATTTAAAAAATCTCAGACAAATACAAATTATGTATTTCCAAGAGAAATCCCTTTAGGGTCTTCAAAGAAGAAGCAAACAGCCAAATCATCAACAAGGCCAAAAAGTGTCTTAATCTTCATTAAGAGTGATAAAAATTATTTTGTTCTCTTAAAAAGGAGTTAAATTTTTCCTTTAATTTTAAAAAATCAAGGAAAAAAAAATATTTGAAAAGAAAAATACAATTTAATTTATAAATTTGCTTAAAGTTTTAATTTTAAAAATAAATCAAATGTATAAATTTATATTTGAGAGTTAAATACTTAATATAATAGCTAGAGATCATACTATAACAATTATTAATTCTATATATAAATATTTTATAAAAAAACTATATTAGAAAATATTTTTGCTTACCTGGATGTTATTTTCCAAAAATAGAGTTTCCAATGGTTTTGCTCGCTCTTAAAGGGGGGAGTTAAGAAATATGAGCAAGTTGACAGTTGAAAAGCCACTGAAATCTATGTCAAGAACTAATATTTCAAGTGAAGTTTCGACTAACAGATCAACTGCACACACACTGAGTCTTCAAAAATTGTAAATTTTATATAGAAAAAAGAAGCAGTTGAATTGTGAAACTAAATCAACTGTAAAGGCATTACTAAAAGTAAGGCACATTTCAAACCCAAAACAAAGGAATAATATTTCTCATAATAGAACTAGAAGTGATGCTGTAAGAGCAAAAACTCCTATTTATTCAAACCAAAGGGAGCTTTCACCTGAAAAGTCAACAAGAGTCTTAAAAAACAAAGCTTTTAGCATAAAAAAACTCCCTGAGAACCCTTACAATTTCCCAGTCAAAATTATCCACCAAACACCATATGCGTACTTCCCCTCCTAATGGGTTTTAGCTCAGGTTAGCTTCTAGGCAAGAGGCCCAGTACTATTTCCGATGCTTGAGGAGCACTATAAAACACAGCTTTAATTTAATTTAATCTAACCTACCAAACACCTTTAAAAGCTAGCAAGCATAAATATGCACATTCAATGGAAAATATAGCTCCTGGGAGTTCTGGGCGCAGTTATTTTAGCTAATTTGTTAAATAATGATTCAATTATGATTTATTGCTCACTCCACCTTTAAATTAGAGCAATTTTTTTTAAATAGAAAATCTTATAGATGAAAATATTAAATTTTTATAAAAGTTTTAGACACAATTTAATTAAAAAATACAAGTAGAATTGACAAACTTTTTAATCATAGTCCCAAAAAAGTCCTAGGAATCATAAATTCCATAAAAATAAATTAAAATTCAAAAATATTATCCTGTTTATTTTTTAAAATTTATAAATTTTATTTTAAAAACAAAATTTTTGTTCCATTCTAAAGGGAGGAGCCAGGTTTTACCGTCTTTTAACTTGAAATATAATAAATGGCATCTGCTTCACCAGAAGAAATCCGAGCAATATTAAGAGATGAAAGAAAACTGCATGATATAGCCAAGGCTGCCTTTGATGCAGTGGATACTGATCGTTCTGGATTTATTGACGAGCCTGAGCTCAGAACTGTAATGTGCAGCGTTGCAAACGACATTGGGATGGATACTCCTTCAGATAGTGACGTTAGAGATGTGCTCAGAGAGCTTGATACCAATAGAGATGGAAGAATCAGCTTGGATGAATTTAAAGTCCTTATTAGACAAGTCTTGGAACTCATGGCATCGCAATAAAGAAACTAATAAAATTAACAAGTAATGTGAAGGGTTTAAATTAAAATCTTAGGGAAATCTTTTAGATTGTAGCGTAAATAGTGAGGATTCTACAGAAAAGACATAAAATTGGATTTTATTTTTGGGAATAGCATGAGATTAAAATGCATTTATGCGATAATATTTATAAATTATATGAATTGTGAATGCTTGAGCTTGGAGAATTTAAATGCATAGGAGCCAAACTGATTGAGGGAAGAGCCGTACGTGATCTGGTTGCCGTAGTTCAGTTGATTATTTTTGCCTTCGTTGTCGATCCTTTTCAGTCTTCCATTAATTCTTATAAATGCTTCAATAATTGCACGGCTCTCCCTTTTTCATTGGATTGGCCTATTTCTGAAGCTCAATTCTCTATCCATGAACACTTCCAATCATTAACATCAAAAAGGTTTGCCGATGACTTATTGTTAGGTCTGTTGTTGGTTTGCATTTCTTCAAACAGTCATTATAGTAATAATCAATGTGCCAGTTATGAAGTCTTAAGACAACAATCGAGTGCATCGATCATCATATCTTCGCCATTTTGAAGACGAAAGGCGTTGGTATTTTGATTTCAGTATTTTTAAGATTGTACCCTTCAAAATCTGTATTATCTAAGCGAGTGACAGAGTGCATCCTTCTAAACTCATAAACTAGATTGTTCCCTTTAATGCTAACTCCCCCCATCCGTAAGCAGACAAAACCATTGAAAATCCCTATTTTTTGCCAAAAAACTGAACAAAAATTTTTTATGAAAAAAAATTTGATATATAAGTAATAATTAATATATTAAATCTCCAGCTAATTGTGTTTAATTTTACATTTTAAAACATAAATTTTACAAATTAAATAAATATTTGCTTTCCAATTTTGCAATTAAATTATTTTTTAAAAACAAATCAACCCTAATTTTTTTGTTCGCTCACGGAGGGGAGTAAGATCATTTTTAGCTAAGAAATATACCAGAATTCAATATCAAATTAACCATGAGAACTTCTTAAATTATGCAAGCTATCGTTTCTTTTCACTTTCTCTCTTAGTTACCTTCATTGCAGTTGCCTTACTTCAAGTTGCAGGATTATTATTCCATGAAAAAAGAGCTTCGGATTTGGATCAAGAAAAAAACTCCCTCTTAACAATTAAATTTGCTTTTCAAGAATATTTTACTTTTACTTTAATTTAATTAAATATCCATTTGTAAAGGATTAATATAATTAGTGATAAAATATTCTTATCGTAATAATAAAGCGACTTTAATTTTTTCCCATTTATCCAGCTAAAATTTTTTATGTATCTCTTTTTCATAAATTAAAGTTACTTACTACCAAATATTAATAAAAAAACATTAAAATGTCCTAGTAATTAATGAAAATATTACAATTATCAAGGATTATACATCATTCTGTATCGAAAATAAACAGAAAATACTTGCTCATTCTTATTTAGTTAACATCATTATTTATATAAATCTTCACAAATTACCCTAATTTACACGTTGAGTGCAAATATTACATAAGAGTACAAGCACAACTCCCTTGACTATGCTTTTTCCCTGATTTTTCTTCACTTTCTAAGGCGGATGCTGGAGCTTCAGCAGGACTGAATTCTGCTATTCGTACGTTGTGATATTTGTCGGAAATTAGCCCAGCAGAATCGTCCCATGTAAGCTTATTCATTAACGACGTTTTGCTTTCTAGTAGGGTTGTAGCTCTTTTTGGGATAGTTGCGATAGCAGAATGAGATGCAACGCCAGTGATCATAATTATATTTAATTAATTGTATTTTTGCATATTAGTTAAAAAAAGTTATAATTTAGACTAGAAAAGTTCATTCATTTTACTAGATTTTTATTTCTTCCTGAAATAAATTATCTAATAGATTAGAGCCGGCCAAATTGCATACAAAAATTGCTATGCTCAATTTGGGTTGCTTTTTATAGCATTTATTATACTTGGTACTTTTGATGTTGGAGAAATGAATAATATAAAGTATCAAAAACTTATAAATATAAATACAGAGTTGGTATAGGATCACTCGATTTAAAAACCATGAAAATAGCATGGGTTAATGATTTAAATTTACTTACTCCCCCCCCTTTAAATTGGAACAAAATATAGGTAAAATTTCACTTTTTTGGTAAATTAAAACCCCCCTTTAAATTGGAACAAAATTTAATTTTATAATAAAAAATTATATATATATAAATCATAATTTTTATGTAAAAAGTTTTGATATAATTTAAATATTTCTTCTTAACTAAGATTAAAAATTTAGTTGTATCCTGCTCTTGTTTAAAGAATAGAATATAAAGAGCATCTTAATTAAATAAATTTATTATCCTTAATTGTAAATTTTTAAAAAAAATTTAATTTTTTTTGTTTTTAAAATATTTTTAAAAAAAAATGATATTTTTTATTTAAATAGCTTTGATATAAATTCAATACGAATTCTTTACAAAAATTCAAAATTTACTTATCTCTTGCTTTATTTTAAAGAATAGAGTATAAATAACATCTTATTTAAACAAAATTAGCACTTTGATTAATAAATTTTCTAAAATATTTTTTTTTTAAATTTTTTTTTTATCAATAAAAATAATAATTTTTGTGTAAATAGTTTTGATACCAATTAATAGTGGCGTATTAATTAATAATAAAATTTTAGTTAAATCTTGCTTTGTTTTAAAGGATAAAGAGTAAATAGCATTTCATTAAACAAATTTATTAATCTAATTCGATAAATTTTTGAAATTTTATAATGATTTTTTTTTTATAAAAAATTTTATAATGATTTGTTTTTTTAAAACAATTTTCTTGACCCCCCTTTAAATTGGAACAAAATTTTTAGTTACAATTTAAAGGGGGCGGGGGAGTTAGCAGAATAGCAATAAAAAAAAAGTTGGAGCAAATTTTTTTGCTTGGAAATAAATTTTTCAAAGGTATTCATAGTCGGAAAAAAATGTAAGCCAAGATTTAAATTTTCATTTGAATCTTTCGGTATCTCATATATAATTTTTGCATTTATGCTGGTAAATAAAATTTAATAGTAGCATCAATTATAGGCAATTATTTTTATTTAATTTAGATAAACGATTATTTCATATTAATCACTTAATCTTAATTTAAAATAGAAGTATAAAGTTGCTTACTCCCCCCCCCCCCCTCCGTGAGCGAACAAAAAAATTTTGTTCGCTCACGGAGGGGGGTTAATTTTTTTTTTTAAAGAAATTTATATATAAATTTTATAAAAAATATTTTTTTTCGAAATTTAAAAAAATCCTAATTTGCAAAAATTGGGAAGCAAATATTAATTTAATTTGCAAAATTTATGTTTTAAAACGCAATTTGTTTAAAATTAAACAGAATTAGCTCTAGATTTCATTATACTAATTATCACTTATATATCAAAATTTTTTTCCATTAAATTTTTTCTATTAAAAAAATTTTTGTTCACTCACGGAGGGTGGGTTTTTGGTCAAAAAATGGCGATTTTTCTAATGGTTTTGTTCGCTCACGGAGGGGGGGGGGAGTTAAAGAATTAATTTATTCTTTATGCCTATTAAATCGTGGTATTTTATCGTCGATAATATTTGCAACCTGTTTGCTTATACAATGATGACGAAGATATGATAAAATATTTGATTAAAATATATGAGGATCAAGCAATATTTTTGATTCGAAATTAGAAAACCTGAGCGAGCTTTGGATCTATTTAATAACTGCAACATTAATTTCAAGAAAATACCATTTTGATAATCGATATATAAGCCACCTATTAACAGCAACCCTTCTTTTTGGTTCCAGCTGGTGCTTTTGTGACCTTCACGCTGTTTGCTGCTCCTGCAGCCTCTCCGAGCCTTTTATCTTTAATTTCCTTCGCAATGTGAAGGAAAGTTTCATTTACGTTGATGTTAGTTTTCGCACTCGTTTCAAAAAACTGGATGCCAAGTTCATTTGCTAAGGCTTGTCCTTGTTCTGTCGATATTTTTTTATCAGGTCTGTCGCATTTGTTTCCTATGAGGACCTTAGCTACATTTTCGTTGGCATGCATTTTGATTTGTTGAACCCAGTTTCTGATGTTGTTGAATGACTTTTCTTCAGTACAGTCATATGCGAGAATGATCCCCATAGCTCCTTTATAGTAAGTTTGCGTGATTGTTCTAAAACGTTCTTGGCCTGCTGTGTCCCAGATTTGTAGTTTGATGGTTTTCCCTTCGATATCGATTGTTTTCAATTTGAAGTCGATTCCTATAGTGGTGAGGTGGGATGCTGTGAAATTGTCGTCTGAAAAACGAAGAAGGAAACAGGTTTTTCCTACTCCTGAGTCACCTATGATAAGAAGCTTAATAAGGTAATCGTATTGAGTTGAACTCCTAGCCATTACTGAAAATTATAACTAATATAATAGAGCGTATCAGAAATGGATTATAGAAGTCTAATTTTAAAAATCTATAGATTTTATAAGAAAGAAGAGATAAAGAGAAAACGATTTGGTGAAAGCTGAAGGCTAATTTAAATCACTTTAGAAATTTGTCTCCATATTTAAAAGTTTTTACATTTTAATAGTAAGCATAGATGTATCATAATGAATAAAGAAGATCTTTAAAATTTTTATCTAGTATTAAATCGGTCTCTTTATTCGGAATTGAAATAATATAGCCGCTATTTTGGAAAATTTTAATGAATTTTATATATAAATTAATTTATATTTTCGAATAATTACTATTTAAAGTTTAAATTCTGCATCAAGCTTTGTGATCATAAAGTTTTAAAATGTGTTTGCATTATATAATAGAGATTCCGCCCATTTATTTAAAATTTTTGTTAAAATACTTATAGATTTAACCTTTTAATCAAAGTTATAGGTTAAAATATGCAGTTGCACTGTCAGGGAACTCAGTAAAGATTCCATCCACATTTTCATATAAAAGCTTCAAGTAATACTCTTTAACTGTGAATCCCTTTGGTAAGACATCATCTCTAATTGTCCATGGATGAACGAATAAATCGTTCTGATGGGCCAAAGCCACAAATCCAGTGCTATCAAACTTCCCATTAAACAAGAACCCTAAATTAGGGCCAACTCCATGAACAATGCTTGCATACTCTGTCATATTATAAGGTAGTCCTGCACCTGAGTCAATCAAATAAACCAATGGAAGATCTGTTACATTTGAGAAGAACTGCAAAGTTTCTAATTCAAAGCACTGCAAAATGATTGGGCATCTCTCAGAAGCACCTTTCAAGTCATCTACTCCAAATTTCTTTAATGTATCAAGCAGCATTTGCTGTACAGGGAACCCTTTAGAGTTATAATAGGCAGGATTTTTCAGCTCAATATAAGCTCCAACCAAAGGCTTTTTGTTCTTTTTTCTCTCCTCATTTTGATTTACAGCCCACTGTAAAGCTTCATCAATCGTAATTTTATCAAGCAAATAGTTGAAAGTTGCAGGGCGAAATGACAGTCTTTGTTTAGCTTTAAGCTGCTTTATTTGTTCAAGTGTAAAGTCTTCAACAAACCAGCCAGTTTCTGTAACATTTCCTGAGTAGGTTTGAACAACCTTTGTTGTATGGAGGTAGGCGAATTGAGGAAGTAACTCCACATTTGAAGTTTCGTTGAGCAGGTTATCGTGGTTAATGACTAAGTGGAAATCTTTGGTTGGGTTAAGATCTGGCTCTATATAATCAGCTGACATATAAGCTGCGACATCATATGCTTGCAAAGTATGTTCAGGAATGTAACCACTCGCACCCCTATGCGCTATGTTCAAAGGTCTCTTTAGATTTTTTAGATAAGGAGCAAGTGTTTGTTTTGCAATAGCAACTGATATAAGAACAGTTATAAGCCACATTGGACTATAAGCTTTAATGATATCAAATTTCAGTAGAGAAAATGTTGTAATATAGATGTCATCAAAATATAATTAAAATCAAAATTTATAAAAATTATCTGGATTAATAGGTAGCACCTTTATTTAGAATCATATATTTTTTAATAAGATAGAAAAAATATCTAATTTTACGAAACTTATGATTTCTCTTCTGGGTTCAATATTAATGCATGAATGAGCTTATGACATCTGTGGATATTTAGGTTTTCTGATAAATGATCTTATAATGAATCACTTTAAACTGCAGTATCTATATTTGGTTCAAAAGTTATTTTAAAATTTTTCACCTACTTATTATTGATAAACATTATAAATCTAAAACAAGATTTCTCCATTATTAATCTGCAAAGTAAACTCTTTAATCAACAGTAACAATTTCCCAATATTTATAATACTTTAATTAATGATTCTTAATAGGTATTTTTTTGGTGATTTAATAATTTTAATAGCAAATTCTTCTATCTAGTTGCTACATTCAAAGCTTAGTCTTTAGCTTATTCCTATTTGTGGTCTAGTAAATGATAAAAAGCTCACCATTTTCTTCACTGTAATTTCAGTGCAAATATATTTACTTTACATAAAGGTCAAATGGTTTTTTAAATTTTCTTTAAATTAACTTATCACATAAACCAAATATGGGTACTTGCGTTTCTGCTAATTCAGCTAATAAAGTAGTCTCAATCAAAATAGATAACACCAATTCTAGAGAAACTGAGCACTCTCCTGCTGATAAACGGTACAGTAGTAACCCGAATAGAAAAATCCTTCTAGACTACTATGCAGCAGCCCGCAGCCAAATGCATAGAAAAATTAAACAATTATTCGAAATCATTTTTTCAGGAGACCACTTAGACACCAAAGAAATTAATTTAAATTTCACAAAAATTGATGTAGTCAGCATTTATCATTTAAAAACAGTTCTACAGTATTTTGAGAACTTAAAATCTCTTTGTCTGTGGAAAACTGGGATTGTATCAAGAGACTTAAAAAGACTCTCCAAATCGTTTGAGACGTTGACTAAGCTTGAAACTTTAAACATTCAAGGGAATAATATTGATACAGAAGGTGGAAAATATTTATCAGGGATTCTTCGCAAAACTAAGCAGCTTAAAGTGCTTTATTTGAGCGAAAACCAATTAGGCTATGAAGGGTGTATTAGTTTTGCACCATGCTTGAGGTCAATTTCAAATTTAGAGCAGCTAGCTTTGGATGAGAATAAAATCCAAGATGAAGGGCTAGCAGCACTTGTACCGAACTTGCTTGCTATGACGAACTTAAAATATTTGGGGTTAAGATATAATGACTTAACTGCAAATTCTAAAAACAACTTAGAACTTTTGGTAACATCATTAGCAAACTTAAAAACTATTGGGCTGAGAGATAATGAAGTTCCTGATAGTGTGATACAGGTCATTAAATTCCGTGCTCCAAAGATAGAGTTTCTTTAATGGCCTATAGTTAGTAACCAATAAAATTGTCTAAGATTTTAAGTAAGCACCAATTTTAATGATATAAAGTTCTTTTAATAAGAATCGCCGCACAATCTCCAAATAATAATTATAAATAACGATTCTGATATTAAACCTAGCCTGCTTAATTGTTGAAAATGTTTTATTGATATTATTTTAAATTATTAATTTTGATTTTCTATTTTACTAGCTTTTAAGTCATAAGTTTATTTCTAATTGAAAATTGCAATATGAAGTTTTATTATTATAAACATTAGAGAATTGTTTAAAGTAAATATTGAGCAATTTGATTAATAATAATTTGTATGTGAGATAATTTAATTTATGTCAGCACTGCTCATTTCTCTGTCATTTATCGGTTTTGATTTTTGAATTTCTGATTTCAATTTGTCAATTTTTTGTTGTTGATCTTGGATAATTTCTTTAAGTTCTTTTATTTTTTGTTCCTCAATTTGTATCATAGATTGTCTTACTCCAGGTCTTTGCAGAGCAATTGGCCCAAATTCTAGTTCTTCCAGCTCATCTTGCAGATTTTGTTTTTTTACATCGATGCTGCTTATTTCTGTGTTTATATCTGATATCTCTTTAATAAACAATTTATTTTCATCTTGAACAGCTTTAATCTGGTCCAGTAATTCCTCTATTTCTTCTCTGAACTTTTCTTCTTTCTCTCTTCTTTTTCTTTGCTTGTTATTTTCTCCAGGGGGTGGTGCTTTTTTCTCATCAAGCTTTCTGAGGAGTCTTACATTTTCATCTTGCTTTTCCGCGAGCAAATTTCTAAGATCTCCAATTTCATCTTTTTCGCCACACTTATTATTTTTCAAGCTAAATAACTCTTTTTCTAACTCATCCAGGATTCTATCTTTTTCATTTCTTTCCTCTTCAGTTGTTGTTAGGCTAGATTTTAACCCCTCGAATTTTTTCGAAATTTCATCTCTTTGTGATTTTAATGCATCAACAGACAGCTGCTGCTCTGCAATTTCCAGACTTACCTCTTTTTGCACTTGTTCTAGTTTTTCTTCAAGTTGGCCTTTTTCTTTTATTGATTGCTGAGTTTCTCGTTTTAGGCTTTCTAGCTGCAGCTCAAGCAGGTCTTTTTCTGATCTTGCTCTATTGAGCTCTATGCTGTAACCTTCAGAAATTCTGTTTTCCTTTGATTTTTGGAAGCAAGCATTGCAGATACGCTGAGGTTTTTCAAAATCAGGATGCATTGCCCTTGCTTTTGAGCAATCCCCACATGTGCCTCTCCAGCAGAACTTGCAGCGAAATTTCTTTTCGTTTATCAGAGAAATTTTGCTTCCAAATTTTTTCTTGCAGATATGACAAACTTTGTCTTTTTTCCATTGCTGCTCATTAGGCGCAATATCGATATAAGCCTCATAGATAGACTTGCTAGCATCCCCAAATGAACCATTATTACTTGAAGTATCTGATTTATTATCTTCGTCCATTTTGATATATTTCTCGCCAAAGCAATTTAATTTTACATTATGACGGTAATAAAAAATAATAAAAGCCATATGAAGAATTAATAAAGAATTAGATGAGATAATATCCTTAATAAAGTGAAATAATTAATATGATTGTGGCGATAAAATATGACCTTACGGCAACGCACCACTTTGGGTGCCAAATGGCTTTTTGGCTAAACCAAGGGTCAGGCTCTTTGACTCTAACCCTAAGCATGCTATATAGTTGCCATATGGGGTGGGGTGGCTTTGGATGTCAGCTAGTGGCTATTCCAGTCCAAATATTAATTATCTAGATGGTTTTTTGGCCATGGATTCTTTTCCCTGCTGGTTCCGGAGGCGCTGGGTCTCTTTTCCTGGGTTCCACCCTTCCTAAAGGTGGCTTACAGGAGGTTAGGCTATTAAAGACAGGTGCTAGCCATATCGATGATGTAGTCACCAAAGACCTCTCATACTGGAGGTTCCGCTTTTCGAGTTCAGCCCAGAGGTTCTATCCAACAATAATTGATTCCACTTCCGTACCTTCCTTTGACGCTTAAGTTTTGAGTGGGCGGCTTATGGAGGCTTACAGGAGGTATGGGGCTAACCTTTGCCTCCATAGCACCAGCAAGACGTCAGCACTGAGGGGTCCTAACCCGTCGACACCTAGTGATTTAGTGCAAACCCTTTTCCTGGGAGAAGACTGCTGTTGATGGGGCTCTGGTAGCCAATGCTACTCTGGCAAGCAAGGATCCGGTGGTCGCAAGCGTCCGTAGACATCAAACCTGAAGACGTTAAAACTCTTAATTGAATTTAATAAAATGAAACTTGATGCCACCATCTTACGATACATAACCAAGGACGAAATCCGAGTCCTTACTGCTATCGAGATGGGCATGAAAAACCATGAAGTAGTCCCTGTTCAGCTTATAGAAAGCATTGCAAAGCTCAAGCGTGGTGGCACTTTCAAGATTATCCAAGGTCTTCTCAAATACAAATTAATCCAGCATCTGAATAAGCAGTATAGTGGTTACTCACTGACATATCAAGGGTATGATACTCTTGCAATCCACACATTTATGAAGCGTGGGCATATAAGAGAAATAGGGAGCATGATAGGAACAGGCAAAGAAAGTGATATTTATCTTTGCGTGGATAATGATGGGAATGAAATCGTATTAAAACTAGCAAGGCTTGGAAGAATTTCATTTCGTCAAGTAAAAAATAAAAGAGACTATTTGAATGGAAGAAGCAGGCATAATTGGCTTTATTTGTCAAGATTAGGAGCTATTAAAGAATTTACTTTTATGGAAGCTTTGCATGGCGCTGGGCTACCTGTGCCATCTCCTATAAGCCAAAATCGCCATGCAATTCTTATGTCTTTATTGCCAGCCACAACCTTATTGAATGTAAAAAGAATGGAAAGACCACAAAAAGTCCTTAATGAAGCCATTGATATTGCTATAAGAATTGCAAGACTTGGTCTTGTCCACTCAGATTTTAACCAATTTAATATATTAGCGAGTGAAGACGAAAAAATTTATGTTATTGATTTTCCACAGATGGTAAGCAGAAATCATAAAAATGCCAATGAGTTCTGGATGAGGGATTTAGAATGTCTTAACAGTTATTTTTCAAGGAGATTTGAAGTAGAGTGCGCGGAGTTTCCAAAGCTAGAAGACATTGAAATTGAAAGAAACTTGGATGAAGAAATCAAAGCAAGCGGCTATGTGAAGCAAGGGCTCAATAAAAAAGAAATTGAAGACTTGGAACAATTAAATTTGGTCAACTTAAAGGAAGATGCAAATTTAGAAGAAAATGAAGAAGAAGAAGGAGAGGAAGAGGAAAATGAAGAAGGATTAGAAAATAATGAAGAAAATAAAGAAAACAGTGAAGAAAGTTTAAGTGAAGAAGAAGAAGAAGAGAGCAAGCCAGAAGAAGATGAAAATAAAAGTAATGAAGAAAAAGAAAGCCAGACTATAGAAAAAGAGCAAAAAGAGCCTGAAGAAACAGAAAGCCAAACTGCAGTAAAAGAAGAAAATAAACCTGGAGAAACAGAAATAGAAAAAGAGGCTGAACGCTCAGAAAAGCTCCCAACACAAGATCAAATTAAATACAAAATCAAAAAGCAGCTCTCAAAGCAAAATAAGGTCAAGCTTCACCAAAACAAAGTCAAAGGCGCGATATCAATGAAAGAGTTTTAATTTACAAAATTTTTACTGATCTTTTAGTTTTCCAATTAAATCTTCCAAATCTAAAATATTGGTTCTATACAGCTCATTTGGATAAAATTCTTTATATTCAGATGAATGCATAGGATGAGGAATATGATCTTCTTTTCTATTAATTAAGCTCCCTGCTAATGACTTATAAGCCTGAACTAATTTAGCTATTTGATCTTCCCCTTCTTTTAAATTTTCCAGCTCTTTTATTGTTGCCAAATCCTTTTCAGTAGCATTAGCATTGATTTTGTCCGTAAAATCAATAATCCCTTGCAATGGCTTTCTAATAGATTGCGATAAGAAAAAAATCAGGACAACAATTATGATAATAATAGCTACTGAGGTAAAAATAGTAATAAGAATAAGTGTGGTTCCTGTGTTTTCTATTTCTGTTTTGCTATCTTCTTTATATTGCATTATATCTTGCTCTTTAATAAACATCATTAAGATATAATACCAATCAGATGTAGCGTTTAACGTTTCTGAAGAAATTGGATAAGTAGCAACTCTATGTATTTGATTATCATCTATCATATAATGAATACTCTCTGGATTATCCAAAACATCAGACCAAAACTCATTATCAGAAATATTATTCATATTCGTATGTTCATTGCTTCATCACCCTGGAGCATTTGCTTTTAAAATATCTCCATTTTGATAAACTAACGCAATTTCTCCATATCCTATATAATTAAGAATTGACATTTCTTGACTTATTGACTGTATATTTATATCAGCAACAAAAATGCCTATCAGGCTTCCATCACTATGATAAAGAGGCTCAGCTAACGAAAAAATATATTGCAATTTCCTATGGATGGCGCTGTTTTGGCTAGATTTTCCCACTGGAAAATTTTTTGGTTCGACCAGTGCCATATGGTTTAGTCAAACCAAAAAAATTTCCCAGTGGGAAAATCAAGGCCAATATAGTGTCATCCATGGGAAAATTCCATAACTTCCATTGCCAAGCTTATCTTCATAAGCATTGGTAGCTGTGCTACTTTTATTATTTTCTATAAAAGTTGTATATCATAATTCTGTTTGTGGGTTATAGCCATCTGGGAATTTCAAGCCAGGAAAAGCTAATATAAAATTAGCTTGCTCAAAATAAATTAAATATCTTATAGCTGTGGAGTTTGTTAGGTCATAAATTACCCATCAAAAATTGTCGAACCGCGAAACTTTTTTAAGCAGATCTTTGTCATAAATATCGCTAAAATTCATAAAAGTGCTGAAATTAAAGGAAACTGAGTTGACGCCGTATATAGCTTCTGTATATAAAGAACTTTCAGGGATTTCTTCATATGTATGATACTCCAAATAATCCAATGAAAAGCTGTTTTCATCTCGAATCATATTAACAAGCATTTCCCTTATAAAAGAACCCATAATTGTAACTTCAGAAAAAGTTGAATACAAATAAGCCCCACCTCCTCTTATAATAGCCATCATGCTATCTGAAGCTTCTTCACTTAAAGTCTTTTCTACCTCAAGCAAAATCTGCTCTCTTAAAATGCTCATATTTAGCAGTACAAGGCAAATAACTAACTCTCTTGCTTAGCGGGCAAAAATAATAATAAATTTTATTTATGGGAAATAATCCCATCGTTAGGGAAAATATTTTCTTTGCTCGCTAACAAGTGGGAGTAAAGAAAGGACCAAAATCATAACCATCAGGTAGCATACAAGCATTTGTCGTCTCATCGATCATTTTTTGCTGACATTTGTAATCTCTGTCCAAATATGTTTAAAGCCTAGACACATTTAATTATTTCTAAAATGGAAAGGGAATCAGTCTTTGCTCCAAGCACAGAAGTGAAAAATTATGATATTGTATAGTTTATATAGCAAGATATTTATGACCTCGAAGACTGTTTAGATATTTTTGAATCAATATAGCCAGAGTCTACTTTTGGCTTGAACTATTCCGACTTCTCTCGGCATCAATGGAAAGTTGGTTTTACCAACACTAGCAAGCAAAACTAACTCCCCAGATTGGCAAGTCCACTTCTTCTGGAAGTTTATCATCTTTGAAATCGTCGGGATAGCCTGAACCAAAAGGAAGCTCGGGCTATAGTTCAAGATCTGAAAATTCCCAATAAGAAAAAAAGTGAGATTAGTGAAGTATTCTATATATAGCTTATGGCTAAGTATGTTTATATGGAAGACTCTGTATTAGAAGGCTTAGAGAAGCTACCAAAAGTCGCGAAAACAGATAAAATGCAAAAAGTAAAAATAAGGTAGAGATTGCTTGATGATATGCAGAAATTCAATGAATTAAGCTGCGATTTTCAAGACTCTTGGAATAATGAATATTGGTCAGTCTATGAGTTGACAAGAGAAGGATATGACTCAAATAGCATGAAAAACCAAGAGCAAGTGCCAGGAAAAACTATAAAGCAAATTTCTCAACAATTGTATGATTTGCAAGACATGGCTCTTGTTTTAAGCAGGATGAGTCGTGGACCTGAAGACTCCAAAGACATTCATGGCTGCCAGTCACTAGCAGCTATAGATGAAGAAGCTCAAAAATACAAAGAGCCAACTATAAAAAAGCAAGCCAATAAGCGAAACTGTGAGCAATGCATCTTGTATTAATGTATATATCTCTATACATCCATTTCTACTAATATATTTAATATTTCCAAAAGAAAAATACCTTAATATTAAAGATAAACCTGGATTTTCCTTTTTTTCCACTTCCAGTCCTAATTTTCATGTTCTTCTTGCAAGCTTCTTTGATGTAGTTCTGTGACAACTCTTGCTAGGTGCTCTCTTTCTCTTTCATGAATTTTCTGTCTTTCTTCTGCTCTTTGAGTCAACGCATGAGAAGTAGGCAGCATAACAGTTTTAGCTTGAACTCTTCCTCCTTTTTTGAATAATAATTTAAAATTCCCACTATTAGAAGCATCACTAAAAACAGTAGGAATTTCTTTTTCTTTGATAATCCCCACACTTTTGGCTTCGTGGATGCTTTCTGTAATAAAATCTTCAAGCTCGTTGTCGAATTCTTTTTCTTCTTCACTTGAATTTGTGTCAAATGAAGGGATTTTCATCATTTCAGGGGTTTTTGGGTCTTTTGACTCTTCTTCAGATTCAGAGTCGTTTATGTGCTTTCTTTCTTCTTCTAGTAGCTTTCTCATGATTTCTTTATCGTTATGTGTCTTTTGTCCTTTTTTTTCCATTATTCAGGATTATTTATACAATTTTACCCTCACCATAAACAGCAAAAGCTGCTGCTTATGGTGAGCCTAAGTGTGTATAATAGAAACTTTGATTTTTGCTTTAAAAAAAAAACTTTTTAAGCCAAATGGCTTACAAGGAAAAAATAATCCCAATTAAATGTCTAAAAGAGAAAATTTCCTAGAGGAAAAACATATAATGGATTTCTTTATAATTTTCTCTGTTGAGTTTTGGATTCGGCTTAAAAGTCTCCAAAATATCAGTCACCAAAAATTCCATGTCTTTAGTAATAGATGGTTTTGTGATCAAAAAGTACTGGAAATGGGTTAAAAAACGGTTGATTTTTTGTCGATGCTTGTCAACTATAAAGTATTCTTTAACTGAGTCTAGAAGCGACCATATAAGTTTAGCTCGAAAAGTATCAGTGGGGTCATCATTTTCATTTTTATAATAAAGTAACGCAAATAGCATATCATATACAAGCTCCTTGTCTATTATTTTATAGCAGTAAAGTTCGCCGAAGAATTTCACTATTAATACTCGATGCTGGCATTTTCTGAAATTATTTTCTTTTAAGTCCATTAAAATGTCTTCGCAGGTAGTGTCGATTAAGCTGTGGATGGTTTCTGAAAGAGGGGAATGTTTTCGGATCCCAGCAAGCATATTAGCAATAATGGGGATATTTTGAATTTTTCCTTTACTCACATCTTCATGAGCGGACAAATTTGCTATAATTTTTTTTCAAAAATTAAAGCAATTACTAATTTAATTTTTAACTGTTTAAAATTAAACAGAATTAGCTAGAGATTTCATTATACTAATAATCCTCATTTTTTTCATAAAAAATCTTTATTTTTGCTCGCTCATAGAGGCGGTTTTTACCCAAAAAATAAGGACTTTTCCAATATTTTTGTTTGCTCATAGATGGGAAGAGTTAGAAACCATTTGGATAATCGCTTTCACTATAAATTCTTCACTTTCAGGGAATGGTAGCATTTTTATGTCCTTGATTGTCTTTTCACAAGTGCTTGGCTCCAGGTTCTTTATTAACCATTTTATGTATTCATATAAAATTGGCGTTGACTTTTTCTTCTGCACTTTTTCACGTGGGACACACGAATAGCAAGATTCATCAACCATATGCTCAGTTTCTGGCGGAAGATGCTTTTTAGTTTTCAATCTTTGCATTCTTGATACCATAAGTGTTATTCTCTCATTAGTGACTGGATGCTTATATAAATATCTTCCACAGGAATTCAGAGTATGGCAAGCAATTTCTATATTTTGCCCACTGAAACCGCTGAGACACGACTCTAACTCCCCCCCCCCTCCGTGAGCGAACAAAACCATTAGAAAAATCGGCATTTTTTGACCAAAAACCCACCCTCCGTGAGTGAACAAAAATTTTTTTTTTAATAGAAAAAATTTTAATGGAAAAAAATTTTGATATATAAGTGATAATTAGTATAATGAAATCTAGAGCTAATTCTGTTTAATTTTAAACAAATTGCGTTTTAAAACATAAATTTTGCAAATTAAATTAATATTTGCTTCCCAATTTTTGCAAATTAGGATTTTTTTAAATTTCGAAAAAAATATTTTTTATAAAATTTATATATATATAAATTTTTTTAAAAAAAAAAATTAACCCCCCTCCGTGAGCGAACAAAATTTTTTTGTTCGCTCACGGAGGGGGGGGGGGGGAGTAAGCAGTTTATTAGTAAACTTGGCTGGGCAATTTGGAATTTTAGTAATTCTGACATCAACTTTACTTGTCTTATACAGTTATCAGTGGATGTAGCGTCGTTTTGCTCTTGAAACTGTTTGAAGTCGCTTTCCAGCTTTTGGAGCAGCCAATTATTGACATCTTTAAACTCTCTTCCTACAATAGCTATCAGCCTTGCATAGAACGGCAATAAATGCAAGGTTGTTGTTTTAGAAGCCCCAACAAGTCCAACTAATGCTTTTCTATTAGATTTATTTGCAATATGTAAAAATTCTTCAGCAAGTGTATCAGCTTCTTCTTTTGATACACACTGTCCGAATTTTTTCTTAAAAGTTTCGAACTCCGCCTTCAAGTCCTTATGCTCTTCTTTATTTTTTCTTTCTTCAAATATAGGCAATTTTAAATAAAAATTTTTTTCTTCCTCACTGTCAAAAATATTTTCTATGATAACTTCTTTGATTTCTTCTACGACTTCTATAGGCTTTTCTTCTATTAGAACAGGTGGCTCAAAGCCTGAAACATCACTCATTATCTGTAGAGCTGTAAAGCATTTATTTAGCTTATTTCTAAGCCCGACCGCTTCAGCTGAGCTTTCTTCGTCTACTACGCTGCGCTCAATTTTTATTTGGGTGTTGCGGGCTTCGACTTTTTTGCATTTATCGTGAAGGTCTAGTAGATATTTCATAGAAGATTCATAAAACTGGGTCAATATTTTATTTAATATTTTTTGCTCATTTTCATCAAGAACTTTTAGCCTGTTCATAGGAACAATTTGACGGGTTTCTAATAAAATTTTTTCAGAAACTGGAGGAAAGCCTAATAATTCTTCAGAACGGTACCGAAATATAGAGGATAAAATTGATAAAGAGTTTTCCAGGTTTTCGCCTTGAGATGTAGCCCTATTGGTAAATTACATAGTTTTGGATTACCCTAACTCCATTCTGTGTAAGCGAACAAAAATACTTTATTCGCCCATACATAGTAAGGAATAATAAATTTTGTAGTGAAATTTTTTATTCGAAATTTAAAAAATCCGATATGAATAATTTTAAAGCAAATATTAATTTAATTTGTAAAATTTATGTTTTAAAATTCAAGCTGCTTAAATTAAGAGATTCATTATAATACTTATCACTCATATATCGAAATATTAATCATCAAAATTTTATATTAAAAAATTTTTTGCTCACTCACAGAGGGTGATGGTTTTGTTTGCTCACGGAGGGGGAGTAAGATAGCCTTTTGTGTCTTCCCATAGACCATGGATGATTAATTCTGTAATAAAGCGTAGGATACTTCTTTTTCTGACGTTATCACTCTCTTTATGCTGCTTTTTGAGGCATTCTTCTAATGTTTTTGAAAAGCTTGGATATCTTTGGTGCAGGCCACAGCAACAATCTATTAAAAAAGGAAGCTCTTTTAACTGCATTTTGGTTTCGCTTATAGAGCCTGCTACTTCTGATACATATCTATTTAAATTCAAGCTATCCATTTCTTGAATTATTGCTTCTGCAGATTCCTCGCTGAATGTTTTAAGCTTTTTTATGAATTTTTGGATTCTATCTACTTTGGTTATTAATCCTTTCTTTTCTGGTTGAGGAGATTTTGTGCAGATTTTGTTTAAGTATCTCATTTTGCGTTTGTGGATTTCTTGGTCTCTTGATTGGATATACTTTTGCTTGGCTCCATGCCAAATGACAGTGGATTTTTGACAGTGTACATTTCATAGAAATATATTGGTCGAAAATTTTTAATAGTGCGACATTTGGCCGAAAATTAACGGTTTTTTTTTTTGGTCAATGTCTCACTATAGCCGGGAACAGGCTATATCAAAAATTTTCAACCAATTTTCGGCCAAAAATTTTTCGGTGAAATGGACACTATCAAAAAGGCAATGTCATTTGACCTGCACCCACTTTTGCTTGGCTTCTTCAGAAAATGGAGAAAGGCCTAAAAAGATTGAAAGATTAAAATTATAAAGCCATAAGCGAGTTCCACTAGTCGGACTACCTTGACTCTTGTAAAGGCGGCCTACGCTAGGTGCATATGCATTAGAGTGCAAATGGTGTAAGGCCCAAACAAAATTCCACCCTATTCAATTTTTTGGCGAAACTCACCTACCTAAGGATCAGCTCCTTAGATTAGAGCGACCCTCTGCCAGGATAATCCCGATAGATGAAGACTATGTGAGAGGCAAAACCTTCTGAAGAGAAACAAAACTTCCCTATTCGGCAAGGCTTCCCCGAACCTGAAGGCCTACTTCCAAAAGGAGCAAAGATCCTATTTTCAGCTTCATCAGGATGGAATTAACTGCTCCATAGGAGTGCGCCTCAGAGGCCAATTTCCGTCAACGTCATTATTTTCTTCCTAGAGAAAGGTCAGGCATTTCTTCTATTTGCGGCTCGTAGTAATCTTTGGAGCCTTTTCCTGATTGAGCGCCTGCTGAATTGATTAATGCAAGGTCTTCTGCTGAAAAGCCTAAGTCTTCCATCATTAATTATTAATTTCTTAGGAAGCATATGCAGGATAATACCGTAAATTATCTATATCAAGCAGTATACCTGCAATTCTTTTCTACTATTTACGAAACTTCTTCATACTTACTATAAAACTATAAATTTTAAATGAAAATATTAATCCCCCCTCTGTGAGCGAACAAAATCATTAGTTAATCCCTATTTTTTTGCCCAAAACCCACCCTCCGTGAGCGAACAAAAAAATTTTGATATATGAGTGATAATTAGTATAACGAAATCTCTAGCTAATTCTGTTTAATTTTAAAGTAATTGCATTTTAAAACATAAATTTTACAAATTAAATTAATACTTGCTTTCCAAATTTTTGCGAAGTGGGACTTTTTAAAAAATTTCTATAAATTTCTATATAATTTTTTTTAAGAAAATTAACCCCCCTCCGTTAGCGAACAAGATTTTTTTTGTTCGCTCACGAAGGGGGGGAGTAAGAAATAAATCCAAATATTATGAGTACTCCTATATCTACTCAAAAAATTCCAAAAACCCTTGCAAGAGATTCCAGCGACTCCAAGCCTAAAAAATCCTTCCAATGACTATTAGAAAAAGACCCAAGTGAGATCATTGAAGTAAACCTCCCAGACATTCAAATCAGCAGCCCAGAAATTTTGGTAGAAAACACCAGATCTCAGCACAACATAGATTTAAACCACGAGCTTGACCAAATTTATTCTAGGACTACTAGAAGTGCTAAAAAGAAACAGATTTCTGAAGAAATCACCAGATGTCCATCAGTATCTGAGTTTCCTCCATGGTATAGCTTGTGCAAAGAAATTCATATAATTTCATCAATGAATTTAGAGTGGCTACAATACCCTAGCACTGAAGAAGAAAGCCTGGGTATATTTAATGCGAGCCAAGGGTTAACAAACGATAAACACGACATATATCAAGCCATGCTATACTGAACCTGCTCCAATTTAGACGAAAATGATTGGTTGATTTCTTTGAAAAGCGTATTTTACACATTTGCATTTAATAAAATTGACTGATTTTATGTAATTTTCAGAAAGATTTTGGTACTATTCAAAAAAGATAATCAAAAGCCTACAGTTTTAATATTTAATCCCACATTACAGCTGATTTCAAATTTAAAGAAATATTCAATTGAAAATGAGGAAAATGTTGAAATCGATAACTTGCAAGGCTACAGAAAAAATAAAAAATTATCTCCTGTAACTTTGAAAGGAAAATCAGTTTTTCGATTTTATAATTATCTTATAAATAATCATAGTGATGCCAAGATAATTTCACCTCATTTTTTTCTCAATGGGACTTTGAAATACCTAAATTTATTATACTGTGGAGAAGTGAAATCATTAGGAATCCCTGAGCTTTCTGAAGGCTCTCAGTTCAAAATTCAGAAAAAATACAAGTTGTCAATCGAAGGACCAATCAGCCCGCAAGCAGTAAAAATCCTTTGTATGGTATTACAGAATAGAAACACTCCGTTTACAATAAATTTGGTCCCAGATCTTTTTTCTTCCCAAGCGTTTTGTCCTCATACGATTTCCTGACTAAATGGGAGCTATTCTATATCATCTACTTCACTATGTTAATAATAATTTTATTAATTAAAAGATGTGGTATTCGGCCTAGCAGTGCTTGCTAAATCTAAACTCATGATTTTCAGTGCTAAAGTTTTCTCATTCATACTTTGAGTTCTTTCATGGCTTGGAGGAACCCAAAGAGTAGATAGCGCAGATTGTCTCCATTTAGCTTCTGTAGTTGTTTTCCAAAATGTAGAGCAAGGATCGTCAGATTTCCTCATCTTGGTTTCATATGTTTTTTCATTAGCTTGCCTTTTGAAATTTGCATTGAATTTAGCATTTAAAGATAAATTCTGGATTGAAATCACAGCAAAATCAAAAGGGATATGTAGCGTTCGGCCTAATTTGGCTAAATCTTTAATAGCTTTAAAAATTGCATTGTGGGTATCCTTAACTATATTTTTGTCTAAATAGCATGCCATAGCAATAGGTACGGGGTTGCAGTAAATCATTTGAAAACCTCTCTGATAAATTGATCGCTGAGATGCTGGTTTTTCTAAATAATTTTTCCCATGATATCTTGCTAACACATACTGAAGTGTTGTATCAGGGACAAAAATTGGGAAATTTTTGTGGAGATGTTGCCTTTCTAGTCTTTGCTCATTAATGTCTCCAAGATTTGGATTTATAGAACCTATTCGAGGAAGCTCAGTCTCAATAATAAATGTAAAAGCACCAAAATTAGGGATGTTTACCCCTTTTCCTTGTAACAGTTTTTCATGGATATATTCAACAGTAGCTTTCCAGATCAATTGCATTTGAGAAGCAGGCTCAACAGGCTTTAATGAATGGTCAGATCGTGGCTGAGATGTAGAATGAGTGCCTGGGTATCTTTGAGGGTTTCTAAGAATTCATTCGATAATTGCTTCAATATCCATTATAATTTTCTAATAGAGATTATTAATTTCTAGCATTTTCTTGTTGAGTTAATGATAATTAATATTAAAATGTGTTTATTCAATTTTGATTTTCTAATTATAATCTCTTGAATGCTATTTACTAAAAAAAGCACAAAAGCATTGATTATAAATTATATAAAAACATTAAATTACAATATTTCCAAAAATTTGTTTTCAAATTATAATTTTTCTTTACCTTCCATATGCTATAAATACATATTATGCAAATAAAGTTTATTAGATTATGAAAATTCTTCCTATTCAAAATGGATTCATACATGAATTCTTCTTTTCATTCTCCTCGCACTATTTTACAAAAATTCATAAGCTTTACTCCAAAAAGCTCTATAGAACGAGAAGGTACAGCAGTGTCTACAAATTTTGACCAATTAAATGCTAGCACAAAATCAGAATTATCTCCATCTTCCCAATATGAAGAATCCACGATATCAAGGCTTCATTCCTCTTACAAGCAGCATGACTATTGAATTGAAGAACAAAAATTTAGGAAATATTTATCGGAAAAACTTGCAATGCAGCAAAAGCCAAATATTAATAAAAATTCAAAAACATTGTATGCGTCGAAACTGAAGCCAATCTATCAAAGGATAAACGATGTGATTAAGCAAAGAGAAGTGATGCTAAATAAAATGCAAGAAGAGAGCGAAAATAAAAAGAAAGAACAGGAAGACAAAGAATGTACTTTTAGACCGAATAGCAGAAATAACACCCCTAAAAGAAATGAAAACAGAATCAATGAATCTTTTAATAGTCCAGGGAAGCTTGTTAATAGGAAAGTTGAACCAAAATTGACTGAAAACAATATAAACAAATCAAATATAGTTCAAAAGCAGCCTGATAAATTAAAGCAAGATAATAGATCAGAAACTCCTAAAATAATAAGAAAAACACACGAAAATATAAGTATAGTAACCACAAAAACTGCTAAAAAGCTTCCTAAAACAATAAATAGATCAAAAACACCTCAAACATTCCGAACTTCACCAGAGAAGAAAATGCAAACACACAGATTAAAAGCCCAAGCTGGATACTCGCCACATCCCACTACACTTTCTTTTTCTGAAGAATTTCAATTTTATTCCCCATCAAAGTCTCAATCTCCTTCCCCAATAAAATCCCGGCCAAAATCTCCTTCTCCAACTCCCCCAGAAAATATATTTTACAGTCTGCCTAAGTATTTGAGCAATTCTCCTTTACATTCACATGCTTATAAAATTGAAATTTCTTCTCTGAGTGCTTTAAAAAGTCCAAAATAAAATTAATTAATTTCCTATGTATATTATTCTTTAATTATACCATATATAATTGATTGCATTAGATTTTTGGCTCTAATAATTTCATAAAATAAAAAAAAAATTAAATTCTTTTTCATATATGCTCTATTATTTTTTATTTCTATGAAATTCATTATTCAATTCTTACTTTAAACTGAACCCCAACCGTTATTATAAATGGGAGAAGAAGTTTTCGAAAGGGTGCTCCAAGACCTAAGCCTGGCGCCAACTGAATATGAAGCTCTAGAAAGAGACTTCCAAATCATGCTTCAAGAAATGCAAGGCGACCAAACCCTAGAAAGGTTCAGACAAGAATATGAAAAACTCCACAGGACCCTTAAGCGTTCACATGAAATCGAAAAAAGACTCATAAAAAGATGCAGGGAGCTTAATAGAGACATACAATTAAATGCCAAAGGTGTTCAAGAGGTACTAAGAATTAGGATTAGGAATATTATAGCGCCTTCATATAGATGGCGCGCAATGCGCCATCTATAGGAAGGCGCTATAAAAGTCAGGCGTTAGCCATATTTGTGACGCAGTCACCAAAGACTCCCATACAGGAGGTTCTACCGCTTTTCGACTCCAGCCCAGAGGGTCTATCCCTTTTACGAGTGCCCTTCCGGTACATTTTGTCTCCTCCTTACCTTGAGGCTTCAGTCTTGAGTGGGCAGCTTATGGATTTCTGCCCAGTTTCTCGGTAGAGGAATGCTCATGGGTCCTCAGATCCAAAGGGCGTTGTCGAGCATCTCCATTTCACCACAGGAAAGCAGCCAAAACCTACCGGATACACATCTCTTGAGCCTGCACAGATTCTCGGTTCTGAGTCCTTCCCAGTTCCCCTAGCCATAAGATCCGGACTGCTGCACCAAGAGGGCAGGCTGACACGCGTCACAATTTTAATGTGTGTTCAAGATGCGCTAAGGATGGCACAAAAAGATAGCGAAAACATCAAGTCACTGAAAACTGAAGTTGAAAAAGCATGGAAATTAGTGGATTCTCATAAAGAAAAAGAAGAACGTAGTAAGCAGACCATTCATAACCTGAAGCAAGAAATTAGCCAGCTAGGCAAGATTGTGGAGCAAGGGTCAGGAATTTCTGTCAACCAGGAAAGCACGATTAAAGAGCTCATGGAAGAACGTGATAGACTTTTGTCAGAGCGAGAAGCTCAGGTTGCGAAACTTACTAACCTGCATAATGAAAATTTTACTATTACAGACAAAGTCCATAAGCTAGAAAGCGAAATACTGGGACTTGACAGTGAAAAGAAAAACCTTAAAGACATTATTTCTCAACATAGAAGTAACACAGAAAGAGAAGAAAGAAGAAGAAAAAGACTTGAAGGTGAGCTAGAACAAGCTACAAAAAAGCGAAATGAGCTGGAATCTGATGTAAACGATAAAGAAAAACAACGAGAAGACTCCAAACAAGATCTAGATAAAATGATAGAAGAATGGGAAAACTTGAAAAAGAGTGTTATAGATATTTCTAAACAAATACAAGAATGTAGAGACAACACTAAAAAAGTGGAAGTTGAGCAGAAAACACAAAGCGAGCTGAATAAACAATTAGAGCAAAACAGAAAAGAGAATGTAAGGATCCTTGAAGAGCTTGACATGAAAATTTTAGAGCTCAGAAAACAAAACCAGCAGCTCACAAGAGACATAATCAAGCAGAAAAAAACCAATAAAAATCTCACAAATATCATAGGTGACGCCAATCTCCAAAAAGAATCAGCAAAGCAGAATATTTACAATCTTGGCAAAGTTATAGAAGCAGCCAAGCGTCAAGCTGAAGAAGACCGCAAAATCATCATTTCTTTACAAGATGACTTAAAAAAAATAGAAGACAATGTAAGAAATACAGAAGAAGACACTAAGAAAAAACAAGAAGATATCAGCGAAAAAGCAAGAGCAGAAGAACATTTAAAGGCAGAAATTAAAGAAAAAGAAGAAGATGCTGCAAGACAATATCAAGATATTATAAGGCTGAGTAAAATTAAAGAAAAATTTGGAATTGAGGCAAGCCAGGCCAATGCAAAATATTTCCAATGCTTAGAAGAAGTCAAGCTGAAAAATAACTTAATAGCTGAGCTGCAAAAGAAAAACTTAGAAGCAGAGTCAAGACTTAAACAGCAGCAAAACTTGTGTGAAGCGGTTAGAAGCGATAGAAACCTTTACTCGAAAAATTTGATTGAAAGCCAAGATATGATTGCTGAGCTAAGGAGAAATTTCAAAATTTATCATCATCAAATTGAGCAGCTAAAAGAAGAAATCGAAGCTAAAACTGCAGATTTAAAGGAAAAACAGTCAAAATCTTCAAAACTTTCTGGACAAAATGAAGGAATCAAGCTAAACACTGAAAAAATACAAAAAGTTATAGAGCAGCTTACAAATAGAAAAAAGAATTTGGTCAATGAAGCAACGAAGCTTAAAGAAATCATTATCGCTGCAGATAAAGAGCGTGAAGCCCAAAAAGAGCAGTATGAAAGGATCATCAATATGAGAGATTTGCTTGGGACTCAGCTTATAAGAAAAAATGACGAGTTAGCTCTTTTGTATGAAAAAATATGATTTTTCAGATAAATTTACAAAAAATATTTTTTATAAAAATAAGGCAATACATATCATAATTCAGCATAAAAATCCAGCAAAGCGCATTAGCAAAGGGTGAAGTCATGTACCAAGAAAGGAACGGTGATATAAGGCTTCTTAAATTCAAAATCGCTGATTTGAATCGTGAGCTTGCCATTATTACCAAACAAGCTGGCGAGATTGAATCTCTCAAGCAACAAGTATTTTTGCTCGAAGAAGAGCTGCTGCAAGAAAGAACCAAAGTTAAAGCTCTATCAGAAGAATTAGAAAATTCTATGAACACTAACAGATACCAAGAACTAGAAGGCAAAGACCCACCAGCTTTCGAACTAATTTCCAAAGTCGAAACCTTACAGCATCGTCTTATCTCTAAAACCGAACAAGTTGTCGAACAAGATGTCCTTATCCAAGAAAAGAAAAAACTCCTTATAGAGCTTAACGAAATTTTAGAAAAACAGCCAGGTGTAGACGTCGCAAGAGAGTTGTCCTTCTACAAGCAAAAATTAAGAGAAACCACCAGAAAAATGAAGAGCATTGCGAGTGAGCTGAATATGTTCCACTCACAAGTAAATGAATATAAAGAAGATATTGAAAGACAGACAAAGGAGCTGCAGGAGTATAAAAGGAAATATTATGAGAAGAAAAGGGCAGAAAGGGAGATGACTCAGTAAGCTAAGATTGTTTTTAATTATTTTTCGTAATGGTCGTCTTGTTCTAGCTGTGAAAGGAGGACACATTTATTTTTTTGTCGTAGGGAGGCTTTGTCTTTGAGCATGAAAGCTTCTTTCATGGCAGATTCTACGTTGTGACCTAGGAGCTGTAAAAATAAGGCTGCACATTCTAAAGTAAATTGTTGATGTTTGAATAAATTATTAAACTTATTATTATTTCTCTTATTAGACTAAGCATTAAAATTAATTAGATAAAGATTACATAGATTTGTGTTATTAGACTGACGTTTACTCATAATAAGTGATGGCTTTGGCGCCGTTAGCTGAACTCGTGGTATCATTTTTGGGATCACCTTATTCAGCTTTTTCCCTTGAGCTCACGTAGAATCTAACAGCACTGCTTTAATGGGAAGATCCATGTCCAAGCTATTTTTCCATTCATCAAACGAAATAGATTTCTCTCCAGGATACAAAACACATGAATTTACCCCATCCTTCATTTCTTCTAATAGCCTATTTTTATCATCATCTAACCCATGAATATACAAACCTGTGTTATTTGGAAGCATTTTTTTAATTATGCATCCTGTGTTAGATGTTTTCTTGTACTCTTTGTAATGCATAAATACCTTAAGCTCAATGTTTGGAATATTCTCAAGAGGAGTAAGCTTTTTGCATATGCAATATTCATGTAAAACCCAACAATTTGGACATCACCTTTCTGCTTTTTTAGCTTCCACTGAGTCTATATACTGCCGCACATAATAGTCGTTCCCAAGATGCTCCATTTATTTATAAATAATAATTAACTACATATGTCTTGCAACTTCAAGGAAAATCTGTTTCAATGCTTCTTTTATTTCGGCTTCCTTCGCGGTAATAAGCTCACAGAGCTGTGGGAAGAGCTCAATTAAATGAGACTTCGGACCAGGACGTGACAAAACTCCTTGTGGAATTTCCAGCTTTTTAAGAGCTTGGAGTACTTCTAGGAGCTCAACAAGTCTTCCTTTCGGCAGTGGCATTTGCCCCATCATTCTTTCCTCATTTGCAAATCTTTTTAACAAATCTTTACATCTTGAAATTAAAACTGGAGTAATTCTTTTAGCTATTTTTAAGTTCAAAGGCTCTTCAGCGACTGATTTCTTCTCGTCTTCTTCTTGTGTGGCTGGTCTTGATCTTGATAAGTCAAATAGCCCAGACAAGCATACAGAGCTCAATGAGTTTTGGAATGATAATTCTTGAGAATGGAAAGCTCTGTAGTAGTTATCGCAGCACGCGTCTAATAAAGATACAAGCTTCCATTGAATTTGTGGCTGCAGATGCATTGAGGCTGGTATCATGCTTTTTTTGACGAATTCCATTATTTTTATGTCTAGGGATTCACCAAGTCTGACAATTTCTTCTAACCCCCCCCCCCCCCTCCGTGAGCGAACAAAACCATTAGAAAAATCGCCATTTTTTTTGACCAAAAACCCACCCTCCGTGAGTGAACAAAAATTTTTTTAATAGAAAAAATTTTAATGGAAAAAAATTTTGATATATAAAGTGATAATTAGTATAATGAAATCTAGAGCTAATTCTGTTTAATTTTAAACAAATTGCGTTTTAAAACATAAATTTTGCAAATTAAATTAATATTTGCTTCCCAATTTTTGCAAATTAGGATTTTTTTAAATTTCGAAAAAAATATTTTTTATAAAATTTATATATAATTTTTTTTTAAAAAAAAAAATTAACCCCCCCTCCGTGAGCGAACAAAATTTTTTTGTTCGCTCACGGAGGGGGGGGGGGAGTAAGTTTATTTTGCTGAGCTGAGAAATGGTTCTTTCGCTGGGATTAAGTAAATGTTCAAGAACGTCTAGCATTAATTCCCAACAGTCTAGTTTCATAATGAAAGGCAGCAGCTCTAAAAAGCTTTCTCCAACTACATACCAAAGTGGCTGAGCTCCTTTACAGGTAACATTCATCAGCAGAATAGCTTCATTTGAGAAGCGCAGTGTCAATAAATTCTGATATGTCTTTAGAATTTCTACAATTACAGGAATTAGGCAAGAATATTCTTTCGCCGCAATATTTTGCAAAACCAACATAGCTTTTCTACAAACTGCGTCTGAATGGGAATCTTGGTTATCATACTTGCAGAACCTCAGTATAAAATACAAATAAGACGTCAAAGAGATATCATTCACTATTAAAGTTTCTGATAATTTATCAATAAAATCAAAAACTTCTCGCTGCTCAGGCAGCAGCCTACAGTTTGACAAAGTGGCTTCAAATTTGCTGGCTTCTAGTAAAGAATTTAATAAAATAAATAAATTTGTCAAGCATTTTTCTTGGAAAGGTTCTTGGCTTTTTGACGAATAAATTTGTGTTAAATCTTCAAGGATAATGGAAATTAATTTTGTAGGGATATTTATTTTAGAAACCTGAAGCCTGTTTGACAAAGTTGTAAAGATTTCTCAGCTGGAGCTTCATTTGGCGAAAAATAGTTCGCTTACTTTGCTGCAGCTTAGGAGTTCTCTTACAGCTTTTAGCACAGCTGTTATTATATTGGTTGTCCCATTATGGATTCCTTCTTTAAGCCTTAATATAAGCACGTCCCAATTTTTTTTGACGCTGGCCTGCTCTAGCACTTTTTCTTCATTTCTTTCTAAATTCGCTAGATAGGTTCTGAATAGTTTTCCAAGATTTTGGGTGAAAATATGGTAGGTTTCTTCTCATTGTTTTTCTAATGTGTCTCTTGAATGATGGACAATGATTTTATCACCTTTTAATAACTGATTTTCACTTTTTCCTGCAAATTTAGGGGTTTCACTAACTATAGGATGGGCTAGGTCTGTAGGGATAGCAATTTGCAGCTTTTTCTTGCCAGGTCGTGAAGGCTGCTCAGCTCCATCTTTTGTGGTACCAAATGCAGGCTGTTCAAGAATAGGGACTTCTTGGGTAATTGTAGCGTGTTGAAAGTAAGTAGTAGAAATCCTTTGTAAAAGGCTTAAAATAATATCATGCATCAGCCGCTGCCATGCAGTCGACGATAGACAAGCTCCATGCGTAGTTAATGCTACATGTAAAGAATGAATAGCGGAATGCCTCACCTCAGGCCTGGAATCTTCACCAAGTACTTTAAGCTCTCCTAATATAAGCCACCACAAGTTTTCTTCGTCTCTACCAACCCTTCCTAAATAATCTGCAACATTTCAATACATCCCTACAGCAGAAATAGCTTGGTTTATATCTCCAGACTGGTATGCAAATTTTGATATACAAGAAATAAGCTTTTCTAAGGAAGGCAGAAGATTTTCGTTCTGCAAGAAATCGTTTACAATAAGCTGCAAACATTTAAAGCCTATTGCAGCTTGGGTGTTTACATCAAGTCTTGATAGGATAAAAAGTAGCATCCCCCAGCCAGTTTTGTCAAGTTGGCCTCCACAGGACTGCAAAATACTAAAAAGGGCTTGAAAAACTGCTTCTTGGGTGTCTGCAAAACCAGAGCCTGAAAGATCATGTAAGCTGAGGAAAAGCGTTCTCTGCCAGTTTTTCCATTTTTCTAGCTCTGGCGGTGGAGGATAGTCTACGAAATGCTTAAAGACCTTTATAAGAATTCTTGATAGTGAATTAATGCCCATAACTCTAATATCAGCATACTTTGAATTGCAAATGCAGTCTAAATATGCAGCAAGATTTTCCCAAAATAAAGTAATTCTATTTAAATTTGTCTGTGCGACCACAATCATTTTTTCCAAGCCAAAAACTTTCATCCCGTTTAATTTTTTCTCAGATGTCGCTAATGTTTCCATAAACTCCAATGTCAATTGTCCAAGCGCTGAAACAAGGTCTAAAAGTGTGGAATCTGGCCAAATGTGGGTATTGGAAAACAAACTTTCTAAGGCTGAGCCTAAAATTTGTATATCACTGGTGTGGTTTGCGTCGTCTGACTTAGTGGAGGTATTTAATATAAAGTCAAGCTTATGCAGAGTATCTAGGACTCGATGCCACGCTTTTACGTCTAAAATGCAGCCGAGGCAGTGAGTTATATTAAATAGAGTTTTGCATGTGTAAATGTTTTTAAAAGACAGTGGGGTGTTTGGAGCTGGCAAACAAAATTGAGAAAGTGAAGCTAAAAAGGCTTCTCTAGCTTGAGAAAGGTTTAAAGTCCCTGAGATGTTGATAAGAGACTGATAGCTGTTAAGCATTAGCTGCAATAATGACTCATCTGTACAGTTAGAGACCATAATACTTAGTATAGGCAATAGTGGTTTTCATAATGCAGATAGCATTCCTTCTACAATGATTTGTTCAGGAAGCAAGGGAAACTGAGTCATTTCTCCTAAGGTAACCCCACTTTTTTCTGTTAGCATTGATAGGGAATCCACCCACTTATTAGTGATATCAGCAATAAGCTTTATTTTCGCTTTCAAATTTCCAGACAAATTTGGGTCATTATTTCTAGCAAAAGTTTCATGGCTGACTCTGCTCAACGTGTCAAGGATTTTTGTATACAAATTACCTTGCTCGAATATTTTTTTCAATAAACTTGCATTGCTTGTTATATTTGATAAAGCTTCTAAGCATGCTAATTGCTGCCACTCTTGAATCCTTCTGTTTTCAGCCAGCTTTGCAATAGATCCTATCATATCAAAGCCTTGCCCTGTTATATCTACGACTAATACGGCACATCTGATACTTTTCCCTCCAATGCTTTCGTCAATATCTTCAACTAAATAATTTTGAAGCCAGCTACCTGAAACATGTTCCAAAATCTTCAAAAATTCTGGCAGTTTTTTAAATGATTCTTTAGAAAACTCCAAAACTCCGACCATCAGGCCAATTCCTTCACTTCTCATTTTTTGAGGGTCTCCATTTCAAAGTTTATGGCTTCCTCCTGCTAATTCTGTGATATTTCTGAATAACTTTAATGAGCTTTCAAATATTGATTTTGTCTCAAAGCTTTCTTTTCTTTCTTCTTGTGAGGCTGAAGCACAGAGTGTTAGCTTATCAAAGGAAACGTTGATTAATTGTCGCAATGTGGCAGATGCTGTATTTTTGACCAGGTTTGATCGGGAATTTTCTAAGACTATACAGAGTTTTCATATGTTGGAAATTATATGCAGTAGTAAATTGATGATATATTTAAAGACTAAAACACGATCTTAATAGCAAATTATTATAAAAAATTTATTTTAGTTTAAATTTAACCTGAAAGAGCTTACTTTTTGCGCTAAATAAGAATTTTTTTCAATAGTATAATAAATTTATGAATAAAAATCAAAAAGGCATAAATCTTCAGTCAAAATTATATGTTGAGGATTTAAAACAAGCATAAGGGTCTGCAAAGTTCGGAGTTGAACTGACTCATCAGAAGTCTCTTGGCCTACATTGGAGAGGAATTCTAATGCAGAGAGGATTGAGATGCTGTCAAGGATTTGAAAATTTAGCAGTCTTTGAAGGATTCCGATTGCTTGGACTTGCAACTTGGGTAAAGCTGACCCTCGTACAGATTCAATTGCTTTTAAAATTGGGTCGATTGGGACATTAGGTGATTGGCGGAGAGCTCCTATTGCACGCTCAACAGTTTCTTTTATGCCTGATTGACGCTTTTTAGCTTCATTTGCAAGAGCTCTTAAATCATTTTCCAAGAGATCAGCTGCACTCATTTTATTAATTGAAATTGAAGAATTTAAATAATGTTGCAGCTTGAAGACAAAATTTAAATTAAATTTATAAAAGCAAAGATAATCTATTAGAGATTGATTTTTTATAATATGCAAAGAGCCACTAGTAAGAATGAGTAGAAATTATTTATTAATAAATAACACTGGCATTTTAATATTTTTTAATAAAAAGTAAAGAGCAAATCTAAATACTTGCTCAGATCATGAATCTGCTTAATTTGTTTATCTTTATAAATATCACATTTGCATATAAGAAATAAATTTAAAATTATGATAATAATAAGTGCATAGTTATTTAAATCGTATAGCAAGTAAAAGTTTTATGCCACTAAATCTTTATTAGATTAATTTTGATTAATTCAATTTTAATCAATTGTTACCTTTAATACACTCATAAGTTCTTAAGCACTTAAATTTGATAAATAGGCTCCAAATCTTACCAAAACCTTACTCCCCCCCCTCGAAGTTCGACCAAGATTTTTTTGGTCGAACTTCGAGGGGGTTAAAAAAAATATATAGAGAATTTTTTTTATATAATTTAAAAAAAAAAAAAATTTATCATATTCTTCTGTATGGTTGAGAGGGTGTAAGGGTTAGGAAAAATAGTGCAAGATGGTTTTGTAACGCTTTTTTAGAACTTGAATACAAAAATCGCAAGCTCACCCCACATAGTTAAAAATTTTGAAAAATTGCTTATTTTCCTAGGAAATTTATATAGGTCTTGGTCGAACTTTGAGGGGGGTTAATTTTCAAAAAAATAGGAATTTTCCCTATATCTTGGCCGAACTTCGAGCGGGGGGGGAGTTAATAATTCTCATATAAAATAAAATTCATCATTTCTCTCTAAGAATTAAAAATACCTACCAAGAAGAAATATAGGTTTTTTCCCTATATAGCCCGATAAGGGCCGTGGGTTCTCCGTGGAATCCCTCTGCTGGTTGAACCAACCAGTGAATTGGTCAAACCAAGGCACTGAGTTTGGTTTGACCAAAGAGAGATTCCACGTAGAACCAACAGCCCTTATCATGCCATATAGGGAAAACACCTATAATCATAAAATGGACACTATCTTCGGGTTTGTAGGTGCAGACTTTGCTCTATTAGGTGCTGATCGCTCAACCAATTTTTCTATAGTGAGGCTTACAGACACTGAAGACAAAATTTTTTCTCTAGACAACAACAAGCTTTTGGCAACAGCTGGGGATCCTAATCTTAGATCTGATTTCGGAAGTTTAATGCAGAAGAACGTTCATTTATATCATCTCCGAAATGGAGTCAAATTAAGCACTCATGGGACAGCAAATTTTATAAGAACAACAGTCGCAGAAGGGCTCAGAAAAAGTCCATCTTATACTGATATGCTATTAGCAGGCTTTGACGAAAGTGGACCTTCACTTTATTATCTTGATTATTTAGGAGTAGTTCAAAAAATTCGTGTAGGATCCCACGGGCATGCTGGTTCTTTTATTCTTGGACTTTTAGATAATTGGTGGGGTCCTGTAAGTTTTATGTAGAATATCACTCTTGATGAAGCTAAAGAAATTGCGAAAAAATGCGTAAATGAAGTGAAAACTAGATTTTTAGTTGCACAGCCAGAATTTATAATCAAAGTTGTGGATAGGGTAAGAAATATTTAGAATGGGATCACAGAATTAGATTTATCAGCTTAAATAAAGGGTAAATCTTATTTGATCTGACAGCTAAATATGCATAATTAGCAGTAATTTATCTAAAATCATAATAAATCAAAACAAAAACCATTAAATTTTTCATGGTTAAAAAAATAGACCAAGCAATTGTCCTATTCCCATATATTTCATATCAAAAATTATGCCCTAAATAAAGATATTACTTAAAATCAAGTCTTAAAAAATATGGAAATTAAATATTGTTAAATTTAAACGACAAAAAAAATTCTGATAGAAATCTAAGAATCCTTCTAATATTTTATCTTTATATTTGCCGCGAAAATATAAAAAATGAGTGGTGATTTAGGCGCAAATTTCCAAGAGAATGATTTTATGAGCGGGCTCGAAGGGATTTCAAACATCGACCGAGAAACCCTAGACCAAGCCCAGCAGTTTTATACTTATTTTAAGCAGCATGATCCACATTGAAGCGAAACCAAAGCAAACAACGTCAAAAGGTGCTCAATTCTGGTAGCATCGAAATCTGTTATTCTTCATACAATTGATGGTGAAGAAATCAAAGGAGATATGCTAAGCCTATCTCAAATAATCCGTGCTTCTTCTAATGTTGATATGCACTCCATAGTACACCAACTCAAAGAGTTTGTTTCAATTGTAAAAATCCCTGACCCTCTGTTACAAGATATTCAAGGTCTAATGAAGAATTTTGCGATTTCTTCGTTAATTTATAAAAAATTCCAAGAAAAATGAAAGCAGCTATTTTTTTTTGTATAGTTAAGGATGATTGTAATAATTTATAGAGACCAATTTTTTAGAATAGAATAGGCTTTGACTGTATTTTTTTATGGAAAATAAATATCCCAAGGGATAAATTTTCAAGGAGATGTTGATCATATTCATCAAATTTTTCAAACATCATGGCTGCTAATAATTACAGCTAGAGCTTACTTATTAAACCGAAGTGAAGATATTTTCCAATGCGGATGCTTAATTATTGGGGTATTAAACTTAGTCATTACGAATTTACCTCATTCAATAACAACAAGCTTGAACACAGAAATTTTGCCTAACCTTTGTTCGCTTTTTCAAGCACAAGTAGAGCAAGCCTTGCCGTGGCTGGAAAGCCTTAATCGATTTTTCGCAGATTTAAAGGCAAAAGGAGTTGTTAAAGCTAAAGGTGATAGCCAGACAAGGATTTTCTCAGAAAATGTGATAAACTTCAATATCACAAGCTTAGGAAACTATTATCAGAAATCAGTTCACCTCAATGATTTTGACGAAAGAGATCTATCAGGCCCTAGCACCAAAATAGCAACACCTATGAAAAATCGAATAGGTTTGACTCCATTTACAAGGAGAGGAATCATTAAAAAAGGAATCACTGGAAGAACTCTCCACTGGGACGAAAATGAAAAAAAAATCGACATAAATTCAAATTTGCGTGAAATTCCTGTCCCCACTTCGCCGTTTGTGATACCACCAACTCCTATGACTTCTGCTATGGAAATGAATTCCTGGCTTTCTAATGTGCTAGATGAAAACTACGAAAATGAGATGGAAGAAATTTGTGAAAGAATCAGCCCAGGACTGATTGATGAAGTTGAGTCAAGAGTGGATAGGCAAAGCCATATAATAGAAGAACTATTTGCAGAAAGAGGAGTTATTAGCATTAATGGGAATGACAGGGCTTTTATTGCGCAATATTTCGAAGCAGCTGAAGGATTATTGGCACCTACGGCCCCAAAAAGAAATCATAAAGTGCAAGAAATTAGAAAACTATATGAGTTCTTTTTATTTAAAATGGTAAAAGAGCAAGAAGAAAACAAATCAGGCCCTGAAAATGTCACAGAAATAATGAAAAATGATACATTCCACCAATCACTTTATGCATGTTGCTTAGAGTCAATTTTATACTCCTATAATGTCACTTCTATTTCTTTCGATGAAGTTTTGCTCTATACTAATGTGCTGCCTTTTGAGTTTTGGAAGCAAATCAATAAATTTGGAACAATTGATAAAACTATGCCACTGCAGCTGAAAAGGCACTTCAAAGAAATCGAAGTAAAAATTTTGTCCCAGCTGGCGTGGAGAGAAAATAGCCCTGTTTATAAAGTAATTAAACAAGTAATCGCAAATGATGGGTTAGCTGATATAAAACATCAATCATTTGATATGTTTTTTAGAAGGTTTTTAAACCAAGCTGCCCAAAAGGTTTTAGATATAACAGCCTCACTGAATCTAGTTGAAGAAGTTAAGGAAAAAATTTGGAAAACAATAAAATTCTTGTTAAGTGAAAAAACCGAAATTTTAATAAACAGGCATCTTGATCAGCTTATTTTGTGTACAATCTATGGGGTTTGCAAATTATCCGCATGCCCAATGGTCTTCAGAACTCTTGTAGATAAATATAGCACTATTTATAACGAAGAAGAAGGACTGTTTAATCATGTTTATATTGATTCTGAGCATAATGAAGATATCATTAAATTTTATAACAAAATTTATTTGCCTGAAATGAAAGATTATTTAAGAACCAATTGCTTTATGGAGATACCCAGAATTGGGCAACTCTGTCCAGAAAGCCCGCTAAGAGCAAGTATCCCTACTCCTCAGTTTGTTCCGCCTACTTTAGGAGTCACTACAATGATTTCTCCTATTAGATCTCCTTATCTAACTCCCAGAACTAAAACATTGTTCGCCACACTTGAATCTCCTGCACAAGACAATAAAGGCGTCAGTCTTGTAATTCCTCAAAAATCATCAAGAGAGCTTGATTTCGACAGAAACGGGCCCACAAAGAAATTAAAAGTTTTCGCCCAAATTTTTGATAAACCTGAAAGCGAAAGTCTTGCTATGCCTTCTTTGAAAAAAGAATAAATTAATAGCATGCAAATAGATGATATTTATAAGTTTAATTAGCAATATTATAAAACTTTCTTATGCGTATAATAAAATGGCTTTTTGAAGGCTTTTATCCAAGGTTTATTTTATAATTATTTAATATGTCATCATTTTGGGCACAAAAATCAATCACTCTTAGAGGAAAACGAAGAGGATGCCATCTCATCACAGATGAAATTTTATCTGCAGTCAATGAAGAGCTCTCTTCTATCAGAGTAGGAATCCTCTATCTATTTTGTGCCCATACATCATGCTCCTTATCTTTAAATGAGAATTATGATCCTGACGTAAGAAAAGATTTTGAAGACGGATTAAACCGAATTGTTCCTGAAGAAGCAAAGTATAGACATACAACGGAAGGAAGAGATGACATGCCTGCACATTTGAAGACTTCTTTAGTTGGATCTTCTCATTTTATTCCTATTTCTAATGGGAGATTGATGCTAGGAACTTGGCAAGGAATTTATTTTTGTGAGCATAGAAATAGTCCATCGAACAGAGAGATTGTGATTACTATAAATGGATCTACATAAGTAATTAAAAATTTTAAATAAAATAGATGATCTTTAGTGAATTTGCTATAGGTTATTAATTGAATAAATATTAATTATGCTAGTTATGAATCAGATATTCTCTTGCCTAAATTAACTGAATCCTTTTTTAAGACATGCAATAGGGTTTGAGAGCTTTCAAGAATTTTCATATAAGCTGCTTCAGTTTCTTGAATAGTTCTATCATATTCATTCCTTGTTTGATGTTTTTTATTCAAGCTTTCTACATATTTGCTACCATTAACTTTTCCTAGTTTTTCGCTAAGCCCGGCAAGTTGCAATTCAAGTGTGCTTTTTTCTTGCCTAATTTGTTCAATTTTCAGATCCAGTTCTGATTTTTGTTCTTTTAGCTCTTCCAAATACACTGCAAGCTGATTGTTGCAGCTTTGCAAAGACGCTCCCTAATTTATTTATACCTGAGAAGTCATTTAATTATAATCAAATTACTATAAAAAGTTATACCAAAATTGCCTAAATATTTTTTTACTTCAAAAAGCGTTTGGTGAGACTTAAAAACCATGCCATTATAGATCTCGAAGTCTTCATTTAAATACAGTCACGTTCCATTTGTGCTAGATCTTTGAGTATCTATATCTCCGTCCCCCAGTGTTCACCCAGAAATTGGATTATAGTAAATTGTGCATTGAATTTTTGATAATAAAGGATCATCAATTTTTAAATTGCAGCTCATATGTCGCCCAATCCTGATAATTGAATCAATTTCTCTATAACTTTTTATTTCTCCTGCTACGTTCCCACCATAAACTTTTAAAATTAATCTTACTGAATGCTCTGTGTTCTGCTTAAGTAAATTTATAACTATAAAACTTTCCCCAATGTTTATCAGCATGTTGTTTTTTAATATCTATAATAAAGTTTACAAGTGCATAATCAAGCTTTACAAATACCCCAAATCCTTTTGCAAGATCTCGAATTCTATTCTATTCTATTAAATTAAATTTATACGCTTAATGTCCCTTACGGGGTTGCCCATCCCAGAGCTTCCGCCTGCCTATGGCACATCGGGCCCACCGGCCTCTGGGTCGACCAGTCTTGTTCGCCAAGGTGCACCTAGTCGCAGGTGTTGCCGACTTCGACGGCTCATGACTGAGCTACTTCGCTTGAGGACATGGGTTGCCATTCCGAAAATCCATAAAAAATGGATTTTCTGGTAGGCTCTCGGCAAAAAGGAAAACACGAAGCCTGGGACGTAACGCCCAGTTTCACGCTAGGGAGTTTCCCGATTGGTCCTAACGGACTCTGCTGAGCTTCCCCTTTCCAACTCGCGTGCCTCCTTCCCCATGAGGAAAAAACATCCCTGAAAATAGACTTGGGCTAGGCTCTGAGCTCCACCAGAATTGCTTACCTAGCATTGCTGTCCCTTTCTGAGATGCAAAACCTTGCCGGATATAATTAAAATATGAGTCGAGGCTGCATGGCCGGGAGGCCATGCCCAGACGAAGACGCCATATTTTAATTATGCAAGATCTCGAATTCAGTAAGAATCTTTATCAATTTTATAAAAAATCACAAAATTTCTACCTCTGTTATTGTCTTCCATTTCTCTGTCTTTTAAATTAAATTAAACGATTATGCTAACTCCCCCCCCCCCTCCGTGAGCGAACAAAACCATTAGAAAAATCCCTATTTTTTTGGTCAAAAACCCACCCTCCGTGAGCGAACAAAAAATTTTTTTACATATATTTTTATATATAGTTTATTATATCTATATTTAATACAAATAAAGAGGATAATATTGAAAAATAATTATTAAGTTTGTTTGATATATTATTCAAAGGGTTAAAAAAAAGAATACCATAAGTGAAAAGGTTGAATTTAACAATTTTAAATTTAAGACAAAAAAAAATGAATAGAAGAAATCGATTAGATAATTAACTTCTTCATATTAACTTGATGGCTGAAAAATCTTTGGATGATTAACGCCATAAGAACCCGTCAACTCAAATGATTTTCTGACAAGTTGAGGGCTTACAGCATCTCACGCCTTTGAAGCAATGTTTATCAGTTGCTGGCGATCAAGAGCTTTGAGGTTTCCAGTTCTTTTCGATCTTCTTTCAATCTGCTCTGTTTGGAATTTGATTCTGAAATCTGTTGTTTTTGATTTGAAATTTGCAATTACCAGTGCGTCAAGTGGTTGCAAATACTTTGTGCACCCTCCAGGGATCACAATTTTGGTTGCATCTAAATCTGAAATTGCATTAGAAATCATGATAGTTTTATGACTTCCAGCCTGATCATAAATCAGCAGTTGGTTTTCTCGTCTCAATATTGTTCTGAGGTAGTCATTTAAGAATCTGGTCAGAAATGTAGCCAGATTTATTTGATTTTATGATGACATTTTCTGGAATATTCAGTCTTTCTCTTACAAGGTTCGGGATCTGGCCATTTTTCTCTTGAAAAATGAGCAAAGCAGGCATTTTTTTCTCCATCAGCTCTAATCATAAGCATAACAGTGATAAAATGGTTCATTTTAGCTGATTGAAAGCCTAGAATTCGTTGAGTTCCCTTGAAATCATAAGTGAACTTGCTTTTTACATCTCAATCAAATCTCGTTTCATCGAAATTGTAAATGTTAGATGGAACGAATTGAGGAAGCAATGACGCTAAAATCATCTAGGTATTGCCTGACAAGTTCTGCCTCTTTTTCGATTGGCTTAATGCTTGAGGCATTGATTTTTCTGAAAGATAAATTATTTCTGGTCCTAAATCCTTGCCACCATTTATCTCCACAGCCGAATCGCGCCAATCCCATTTCTGCCGCCAAACTTTTTGCTTTCTCCTCAATCGTTGATCTGAGAACCTGAATACCTTGCTCACGGATTGCAGTAAACCAATGAACTAGTTCTTTCTCTAGCTCTGGAAATTGAGTGAAGCTTTCTAATTTTAATTTCTTATCAGATTTTACTGATTTCTTCAACTCATCAAGCTTATTCACCCATTCGGAAATCGAGCTAAAGGAGTTGACATGAAACTTTGCAGCAACATCTCTCATGCTCATCTCATTTTGGTGTTGAATGTAAAATTCAGCAATTTCAACTTTCTGCCAAATTTCAATGTACTTTCTTTTCCCTTTGTACATTTTTATTATGATTTATAGAGAATTTGCTTATTATATTAAATAAGAAAATATATAAAATATTTTAACTGAATGCATATATTTATTACTAATAGGTTTATTGATTATTAAATTATTGAAAAATTAAGCTGTGTTTTACCTTTAATCAAATGGTATTCTTTTTTTTTTGGGAAATTCCCTTACTCTCCCCCCATAATATTTTTAAAATAATTTTCAACTTATAAAAAAATATTATTTTACAATTAAAAATTTATATATAATTTTTTTTAAAAAATAAAAATTAACCCCCCTCCGTGAGCGAACAAAAAATTTTTTGTTCGCTCACGGAGGGGGGGGGGGAGTAAGGTTATAAGTGGATAAAACTACTACCAGTCGCCCATCTTGGCTCAATAATACCGCTATTTTTGATTTCCTGCCTGAACCACTTGACCAAGGGACAGCTCCCTAAGGCATGGCCACCGACTATAGAGTACACTGATGATCCTGATGAGGAAATATCATGTTGTAGGTAAAACCTGTTTAGCCCATCTGGCAGGGACAGGAAAAACTTCTGGGGAAAAGCAAAATTCCCTCTTCGGCAAGGCATTTCCAAACCTGAAGACCTACTTCAAAAGGGGCAGAGGTCCTGTTTTAAGCTTCATCATTATGTCACGACGTCATCATTCTATTTTCTGTCTTTTAAAGGAATCACAAAATCATTGACAATCTGAGATTTTAGCTTTTTTTTGCAGCCAAAAAATGTAAATCCATCATAAGCATTTCTAAGAGATCCAACCAATCCTGTAGGCTTAAAGGTCAAAATAGATCCTTTTGTAAGATTTTCAGAATTTAAAACCTTTAGTTGTAAAGCTTTTCCATTAGTAAGTGCTTGCAATTGGGCTTTTTTAGCATCAATATTACTCATATCAATGTCAATATTTGAAATAATTGAGGAAAATAGATCAGAAGGTCTTTGAAATGAATTCCTTGAGTTAGTTTTGTTTTTTGCTGCATATAAAGAAATTTCGCTGTTCCTGTTTGTTGAATTTGCATCACAGCAGCCGAAGACATTATTTCCCATTTAAAATTTAAGCAATTAAAGACTGTAATTAAGGTATAGAGGTTTCCTCTATATAGCGCTGAAAAGCGCAGACATTTTCCCAGGAGCTTTCCAAGTTCGTCGGACCAAATCGCTTTTTGGTCCGACCAAGGCATTGATTTGGTGCAACCAACCGATAAATTCCGATCAGAATTTATCGGCCTTACAGCGCCAAACATAGGAAACTTCTATAATATAAGGTAGGTTCGTAGCTGTTGCTCTCCTGTGTCTTTCAATTGTTTTCGGAAGCCAAAATTGGGGCTAACACAGCTTCTTTTTGAGGAAACTCTATCAAATGCTTGATAGAAATCTATTAAATGCTTCCCCATTAGATAGGCAATTACAATTGATGAGCTTCGGGATATCCCTGCTGCACAGTGAACAAGGACATTTTCGCCTGCTGATAAGTGCTGATGAATAAATTGGAGAGCTGATGGTAAATGTTTAGCTAAATCTTGGTAAGGATTATCCCAAATTTCAACGAAATGATAAGTTATTCAATCAAATCTTTCTGTGTATTGGCTTTCTAAGGCTTGGACTATATATTTGATATTGTGTGCCCTGAGCAGTTCCTCACACTCTGCAGCTCTCATACATCCAAGATACAAGCCTTGCTCAATTTCATGCATAGGCTCGTAATAAAACCCAAAATAGTTGTTTGCTTCATCAAGATCTACCATTTTAAATGTTTTAAGAGATAAAAGTTTGAACAAATTTAAATGAATTGTTCATATTTTTATATAAGTTTAAACATTTATTGAGTTACCTCAAAAATGGCATTTGCTTGATCACCAGTAAAGCAGGTTAATGCCTAATTTAAAATTCTGACTCCCCCCTCCGTGAGTGAACAAAAAAAATTTGTGTTCACTCACGGAGGGGTTAAAAAAATTTATATATAAATTTTATAAAAAATACTTTTTTTCTAAATTTAAAAAAAAATCCTAATTCGCAAAAATTGGAAAGCAAATATTAATTTAATTTTGTAAAATTTAGATTTTAAAAAGCAATTCGTTTAAAATTTAAACAGAATCAGCTCTAGATTTTCATTATACTAATTATCATTTATATATCAATTTTTTTTCCATAAAAAATTTTTGTTCACTCATGGAGGGTGGGTTTTTGGGCAAAAAATAGCGATTTTTCTAATGGTTTTGTTCACTCACGGAAGGGGGGAGTGAGCATGTGTATTATAGCTTATCCATTAAAGAGAAGCAAATTAATTCTTCTGAAAGTTTAATTTTGAATTTCATCCATAAAAATATATTTTTTATTGTAAAATAAATTACATAAAAAAGATTAAGCACTATTTATTTATATATTTACAAATAAGAATATACATAAAATGGCCGAGACGAGCGACCCTTCTCCCTGTGGCGGGTGTCCTTATGTATATCTGGGCGTGGCTTTGGTGTAAAGAGCTACCCAAGAGTTGGGTTTGCTTCGAGGCGAGAGGCCCAGCACTATTTCTGCTAATTAGTGGACTGACCAGAGAGGCAGTTTTTGTATCTTTTTTGCCAACAGCACCCAGGCCAGGTTGGCTTCTGATAGAGGTAAGACGACCCATCCTCCTAGGCTACTCAGTGACCTGTCTCAAATCGCATAAGCGGTTGAGTTTTCATTTGGTCTTGAGCTTGGGAAAAAGGGAAGGCAGGCTAGACAAGAATCTTAAGCACGACAGTCTCTCGTCGAAAAGGGATCGTGAAAGGGGCATTCTGACTTAAGCTAAGTGGGTTGGGTATGCTGGCTGCTTTAGTTGTAAATGGAGTCTCCGTCAAAATCCTTATGACTCAGATCATGCAGAAATAATACTTCTGCCAAAAAGACGGGGGTTTTGGTCAAGACTCAGGTTAAACGTGACGCACCCACCCTATGGCTCACGTTGTGAAATGCATGGTGCTCAGGAAGTGGGGACTATAAATACACAGCTTTAATCTTATCTAACCTACAAATAAGAAAGCTCTAATTGTGGTAAAAGTAAACTAAAAGCTATTTCTTGGGCTTAGATTAATCCAATCAAAAGGGAAATCATGGACATTTTTGTTCAAAATGATTGTTGATTAAATAATGATGGATCATTAAGAAATAATATGAATAAATCTAACTCCCCCCTCTGTGAGCGAGCAAAAGCATTAGAAAAATCCATATTTTTTTCCAAAAGCCCACCCTCTATAGCTAACAAAAATTTTTTATGGAAAAATTTTTGATATATAAGTAATTATTAGTATAACGAAATCTTGAGCTAATTCTGTTTAATTTTAAACAAATTGCGTTTTTTAAAAAATAAATTTTATAAATTAAATTAATATTTGCTTTCCAATTTTTGCGAATTAGGATTTTTTTAAAATTTAACCCCTCCGTTAGCGAACAAGATGTTTTTGTTCGCTCACGGAGGGGGGGAGTAAGAAACATTGGCAATCGTTATAGAAATCATAAAATTTTGCTTTATTATGCTAAAAGCTTTTTTATTCTCACGAAATTAAAATAAAAGATACTAATGAGTATGATTTCGTTCTAGATTTAAATTTTTTGGTTATAAGCTAAAATTTTAAATTTTATGATAAACTGCTGCTATCAGGCTTAATGACTGTTCACATATTTAATATCTAAAAATTAAAATTTTTCAAACCCTAGCTGCAAAGCTGAAACCACTAATCTACCCTTTGAAAATTTCTCCACAATATTCCTAACTCCCTCCACTCTGTGAGCGAATGAATTTTTTTTGTTCGCTCATTGAGGGGATGGAAATATACAAATTTTTTTTCGAATAAAATAAATTTCAGAATAATTGGAAAGCATATATTAATTTTTAATTTGTAAATTTATGCTTTAAAAGCTGTTTAAAATTAAGAGAACTAACTAAAGATTTTCATTATAAAAACTATCACTTATATATCAAAATATTTTTTCATAAAAAAAATTTTCGATTAAAAAAATTTTTTGTTCGCTTCGATGTGGGCTTTTGAGTGAAAATAAAGGTCTTTCGCTCATTGAGGGAGAGTAACGAATTTTTCTTTCTAGTTTCAGAAACTCCTATCCTTAATTAGCATTAATTATAGCTGTTCTACTCTATTGAACAGGCTTTTTATAATCACACAGCTTTAATTACTTGTGTTGGACCTATCAGGAGTAGAAATGAAAGCCACTGTAATCCGATAGGTGCTACCCTTGATTTCAAAGTTGAAAGGAGGACCGTTTTCGTTTGAACTTAGCTTAAGCTCTTTGTTAATCAATGGTGAAGAAACAAAGTGCTCTTGGAGAGAGGTATCTCCTTCCTCTTCATGCATGGTTTTACTCTTGAACGTTTTGGATGGTAATCCGCAACCCATTATTATTGGTCAAATTATAAAATGTATGACCATTTTAATTTTCGAATATCATGTGAAAATAAATTTTCTTTTAGATAAGGCCCTTACCCCCTCTCCGTAAACAAAATTATGTTGTTTGTTCAAGAAGAGTGTTATATATAAAAATTTTAAATTAAATTTTTGACGAAATTTAAAAATCCAATTTGAAATAATTTAAACTTAAGCATAATTAGTTAAAGATTTCATTATACTAATTACACTTATATACCAATTTTTTTAAGAAATTGTTTGCTCAAGGAGGGTGGGTTTTTGGGCAAAAAAGGGGATATTTCCAATAGTTTTGCTAGCTCACGGAGAGGAGAATTATTACTAATTTTTGCTAGTATGGAAATATTATCGTGTGAATTGAAATAATGAGAGCTTTAGGAAGGCAGTTTCAAAGTATTTTTATTACACAATTTAAATGTGATTCTTTAGGGTTCACTACCTTATACGGAATCACTGAAAGAGATTTATGAGGTTTTGACGATCGTAGAACAAAAGGAAACTATCCACTAGTTATTAGTGGTTCAAATAGAACTCTGATTTTGACAGAAGGAAATTTAACTTCAAAAGGTCGTGAAATGAGACAATTTATTGTTGTTCAGAGCTGAGACTGCTTTAGTCTATGACAAAAATAAAACACGAAATTTAAAGTTTTAATAAGAAAAATCTAGGCTTTAACTTAAATTTTTGATATTTAATATTAGAAGAGGCTTTTATAATATTTTGCATTTTTCACAGATAAATCAATAGAAAAAGTTGAAGCTCACTTATTTGAAATTTAACAGTTAATGTTTGAATACCTAAATCAATATTCTTACTCCCCCCGTGAGCGAACAAAAAATTTTGTTCGGGGTATTTTTTATTGGACTTTTTTTTTCAAAATTAAAAAAATTCCAATTTGTAAAAAATTGAGAAGGAAGAATTAATTTTCACTTAGTAAATACTTTTTAATAGCTTAATTATTTATACCCTGAATAGAGAAAGAAACAGCTAATAATACTCAAATATCTTCAAATTAACTTATAGATTATAAATTCTCTTGCAAATTGCAAAAAATGTCTAATAATAACTAAAATAGAATTCAAATATTTTATAATTATAATTTTGAGAATTGAAACAGAATTCTCATAAACAATAGAAATAAAAATTTCAAATTTTTTTATCTAACTCCCTCCTTTAAATTAGAACAAAAAAAATTCTATTTCAATTTAAAAAATGAATTTTTTATAAAACAAATTTTTTGGGAGTTTTTGTATTTTTTATATATATTATAAATTAAAAAAATTAATTTATTCAGTTTGCCAATAGTTTATAAATTGCCATTGAACTATTTTTATAAATAAATATTATCACTTATAAAATTTGCTCCAATTTAAATGTGCGATTGTAAGTTTAAAAATCAAATTTTTATTATAATTCAGTTAATATATTAATTATAAACATACTGAATTGTTTGTGTGTAAATAATATACATCATTTTAGTGAAATACTTGAGATCGATCAGGTGTTTTAACCATTGCAACAACTATCCTATAAGGTGTTCCATGTATTTTGTACGTTAGGTCTGATTGTGTAAAATCTGTTATCATTTTCTTCTTATATTGATTTAAATTGATGTTTGAATAGTGAAGAAGAGACGTGTCTCCTTCCTCTTCGAGGCTTTTATTAATTCTGAACGCTTTTTGTGGAGCTCCACAACCCATTTACGCTTTTAATAATTATAAAGTTAATATAAATCTGGCCAGATTATACGCTGTGATTTCAAAGCCATTTTCTGGAATTCTCTTAAATTTCAAAACGTCCACCATAATCAGTAAAAAAGAAATTTTATTTTTTATATTTCTCATATATGTAACATATATATGCAATAGCTATTTAGCAAGTAAAAATCGTGTGGATCATTTTATGACATATTGGGCTGACCAAAATAATTATTATTGGAAAAATTAACTAAGACAGAACTAGCCGGGCACAAGAAGAATAATATTTATAAAGCATTAGGCGAAGTAGACTTATGCTTTTTAAATATAAATTATCATCAGGAAAATTAAGAAAACTTTTTTTATGAGCTCAATTTAATAATTAAGAATGAAAAAATTAAAATTCAAAAAAATATAGCAGCTAAATTCAGTAATATTACATAACTTACTTAATTTGTTGATAATTCAAAATAAGCCTTACGGCTTACTCATTTAAGACATCTAACTCTAAAAGCTTTTTATTATGAAGACACTATTATTGAATTTTAATTATTTTAACTTTATTTATTGTATTGGAAAAATAAATGGATTCATAAACTAGCCATATTTTTTGATTCTTTTATATTTAATAGCTTATGATTTATAGCTTAAAGAAAAATAAGCACTTTTTACATCTCTTTCAAAATAAATAATTAAAAAGTTCAACGGACTGTGTATAAGTTTTATTCAAGTAATTAAATTTTAAGTAAGACTAAGATATTTCTTCTTTAAGTTTAATTTGCTCGTGATAAATCAGGCAATAAATTTAATTTCTTTTATATATAGAAAAAAATCTAATTGAAATAAATATAAATAAGAGCACTTGGATCATTAAGCCTCTAAATTCTTAAAAAGCGCATAAGAAAGATAAAAATAAATTTTAGTATTTTTTTGACTGACATTTTTATACGATCAATCACTTAAATTTTGATTTGGTATTCCACCATACTCACCAATTTTTATTGCAAAGCCAATTCTTCTTTCATTAAGAGAGAGGTTCCCAATAGAATAAATCTGTGAAATTGGAGCTATATAGATTTTTAAATGAATTACCATGGTAAGGAATTTTTATTTTAAAATTCAAAGTATCTAAAATATAAATTTTTTGCCTCTGAGTAAAGAATTTTTAAAAATTAATTCAAGCTGATAGTAAAATTTTATGTTTTTTGGCAAAATTTCTCAAAAATACCTTTTTTTTATTGATGCTAACTAATTTACATCAAAAAATTAGATTAATTGAAGTTTTGTCTAATTGACTTATATAGTGTATCACATCCCTAAGACATCACTAAAGATTTTTCAGGGGTGGAAATAAGTTCCACAGTAATTCTATACTTCGCTCCGTGAACTGTATAGTTAAAAGAGCTTTCAGCGGGATGGAAAAATTTATGTTGTGTGTAAAATGATGATGAATTGTCGGGGTGGTCTCTAGCTCTATTCCATTTAATTAGGAATCAATTTAAAAAATTTTAATGAAAAAAATATGGTAAGTCTGGCTTTTTTTAAAGAATTTTATTTTATTATATGAGGTAAGAGATGTGTCTTCATCTTCCTCTTGCTCTTTCTTGCTATTGACTCTTTTTGATGGTAATCCGCAGCCCATTGTTTAATTAATTATTGTATAAATTATTGCCATTTATTAATCGACACATTTCTGAGTTATTTTTATCCTTATCGTTGACGAAATTATAATTATTTTGCCTATTTATTATGGAATATTTTCCCTTTTATTTTATATTTATGTGATTAGCATTTTTAAACTTTTCATTAATTAGTAAAAATTAAAATAGTAAAGCTAAATTCATTCGCATATGACTAGATAAATTAGTTTTTAAATTAATTAGGGGAAATTTTAGGCTAAAATGGATTAAAGTAATTCTTAAAATAATAGAAATATTTACTCAGACCGTTAAATTGGGACCAAAATTCTGTTCAAATTTAAAGGGTTATCTTTTTTAAACAAATAGATTTTTTGCCTGATTTTAAATTATTATTAGTCTCTTGTAATCTATTTCATCTTTTTTCATAGGTAAATATTTTTATTGAAGTAACGCTTTAGCTTCCAGCAGGTAAAAAGTTCAAATATTTTTTTCTATTCGTATCTGGGCTTAAGGATTATTATCATTCAATGTACATTCGTAAAGAGTTTTAACTCTTTTGGATAAATCACTATTTACTTTATTTTCTTACTTCTTCAAAGTAACTCTCAAATAACTTTTTGCCCAAGCACAAAAATAAGCAATCTAACTATCAAGAAAATTTTGGATATTTATACTTAAACACTCAATTAAACTTCTAATTTTTTCTATTGCAATCAATTGAAGATGGGAAATGTAACTGCTTTTTACTTTTGAATGAAAACAATTTTATAGATCCTAATAAAGTAGGTATCTAATAGAGATAGCAAAAGATAAAAAATTACAATTATGGCATTTCAAATCTTCTTGAAAATAAAATTTTTATCTAGATAAAAGCTTATCCACACATAGGAATTTGAATGAAAATGTAAGAAGAAATAAAAAATTGTACAATTTTCAATAAATATCAATAAAAATTAGCCTATTCTTGTACGTCATAAAACTAAGTATACTGAGAATGCTTTCATTTATATATACGCCAATAATGATGTTTAGAAAAAGCTTTATAGAATATCTTAGTCAATTTATCAAAAGTTTAATTTATTAGTCAAACTGTGAAGAGCAGTCATTGTACTTTACTCTGCTAATAATAATTGTGTAAGATGTCCCTTTTATATTGTATTCAAAATGGTTATCTCAGCAAGAAAACCCTGATTTTTGGTCTGCCATTGGAGATTTTATATATATGCTAGGTATTCGAGGATTGGAATTGAAGTATTGGAGAGAAGTATCAAGTTCATCTGCTTTGTTGAGCTTTGAGGTAGCCTTTCTTTTAGGAACTCCACATCCCATTGTAATTTTTTATTAATTTAATTCCATAAATTTTGAATAAATGCAAAATATTTATTAAAAAAAACTAGCCATTTATCAGAGTCAAATGTAAATTAAAATTTGAAAAATATGTGCTAATCAAAATATTTTAATTAAAATTCCCATAATTGATATTTCAATTAATAAATTTGTTGCATATTCATTGGGATTTTTCAATTTGCTTCTTTTTTCTATTTACATGATACACCTTTTAGTCAAATCCTAAAAATTTTTAATGCTTCAAAAATTCTTAAACTGTAGCTAAATTTATATATATTTTCTTTTTTTCAGCATTGCCTTTATTGCTTAAATATTAATAAAAATGAGCTTATTTGAGACACTGACCATAGTTCTTACTTTACCCCTTTAAATTAGAAAAAATATTAGTGTATTTCAAATTCTAGTAGGCAGAAATAATAAATCTGCTATTCATGAATCTGTTTAATAATCAATATGGCTGCTTCACGAATTATTTGGCATATATCAATTTTGTCCATTGAGAATACATTTAAGAAAACTGAAGCAAAATCTCAACAATATATTAGATCGCAGGTTCTCATTCGGATAAAGACTTAAAGCATTTATTTTCGATTTAAATGCACCGCTTTATAGGCGAGATAGCAAATTATCTTCTTACAACTTAAATATTGCTTTTAAGATCTTGCATTTATCTATATTAGCTATTTTCAGATTATTCTCAAGAAAACTATAGAGCACTTATTAAGCTTTTTTAAGAATGCATATATTTAATGATAATAGAGAAATTTACTTAATGGCTTAAGATATTTATTGACTAAATTAATTTCGAAAAAATTTTACTTTCTTCAAATCCTATTTAGATATATTTTATTAACATGCGAGCAATCTGAGTTACGTGCAAAGCTGAGAAAAAAGTTGTTTAAAGAGCTAAGTCGCTAGAGGATCGACTAAAATGAGTTAAATTAAGTAATTATATATGCAATTCAAATTCTTGTTTTCACCAGCCTGCGTTATTATTCTCATTAAAGAGCATTTAAATTTTAGCTCAAAGCTTATTTTATTGACAACTGGAAGTTCTTTTATATAATTACAATCTATATACTAATAGAACATTTTCTTTAATTGGCATTTTAAAAGGCAAAAGCAGAATTGATATCCATAGCAACTCAGATGTAGAATCTTGATCTTACTCCCTCCCCTCCGTGAGTGAACAAAAACATTAGGCAAATCGCTATTTTTTGCTCAAAAACCCACCCTCCGTGAGTGAACAAAAAATTTTTTAGTAGAAAAATTTTTATGAAAAAAAATTGATATATAAATGATAATTAGTATAATGAAATCTAGAGCTTAGTCTTAGTCTTAGTTAAATTTATAGAGTAGCTCCGGCCAGGACCAAGGTCCTTTTCTTCCGCCTTTTGGACGCCTCGCTTGCTTTCCTTGCCCTGCTCCCAGTGTGCACCTAAGTGCCACAGGCTACCACTCAGCTCCTTCCGGTCATGGGACTTGGTCATGCTATCCCGGAAGTAGGCGAACTGGGTCACCATGCTTCACGTCGCGCCAGACTAGGGTTAGAGCTAAGGATTAACTCCTTAGCTCTTGTCGGCTCCTGCCATGCCCTCCAAATTGGCACTAGCGGTCCCTAGAGGAAAAACCCTTTTTGCCCCGTGTCCTATCGGGACGACCCTAAGATCGTCATTGCTGGACTGGGAGGAAAAACCTAGCCGGACACAAACCACCAGTACCCATTCCAGACCTTTCCCTGGGCGGATTGGCTTCAGGCCGCAGCAAGGTCCCCAATCTCGCCTCAGTTCCGGGAGAGGACGGGTCGGTGTCGTCGCCATTTTATTTGTGTTGAAATCTAGAGCTAATTCTGTTTTAATTTGAACAAATTGCTTTTTAAAACACATAAATTAATTAATATTTGCTTTCCAATTTTTGCGAATTAGGATTTTTTTAAATTTTGAAGAAAAAAAATTTTAAAAAAAAAATTAACCCCTTCGTGAGTGAACAAAATGTTTTTGTTCCCTCACGGAGGCGGGCGAGTTAAAGAATTTTTTTAGATAACTGCTTAAACACCCAGATTAGGTTCCTCATCCTTTTTAATTTATCTCTGGCACACAATTTTAATGCATCAATATTTTAAGACTATTTATGCACTCAAACTTCAGCTGGGAAATAAATTTTAATAGTTAGTCTCTTAAAGATCGGAATGTTTCACAAATTTTCCCATCTCAAATTTAAAATTAAATGCACCTTATCCACACATTGGAGTTTGAATTAAAATGGAGATTGATTTAGAGATTAAATAATTTTAGATAAGCATTATAATAATTAAGCTATCATTGCTCAAAAAGCCTTTATATATATCAATCGTGAAAAATTTACTTTTTTAAAATTTAATTTATCAGAATATTTGCTAAATAATTCTAAAAATTAAATTTTAGTGATGGCACTAAGAGAAGTTGCTTTAATTCATGCAGCTAATTATTATTTGATAATTAGTCCCTTTTATGTTGTACTCATAATGGTTGTTTAAGCCAAAAAACTCTAAATTTTGATCTGAAATTGGAGGTTTTATATTGATGCTCGGCATTCGTGTATTGAAATTTATACTCCGTAGAGAAGTCTCACTTTCATCACCTTTATTAAACTTTGCAGGACACTTTTCTCTAGAAATTCCACATCCCATGGTTATTAAATGTTGTATAGATTATGACATTAAAATTTAATTTCAGAATTTTTGCACATCACAAAATATAAAAAATTAAATTATCCATTTATTTGAGAATTAAAATTTGAAAATTAAGTGAAAATCAAAATAATTCCTAATTAAAGCATCTTAAGGAACAATCCATTTCCAGAAATTTTTAATGTTTCATGCTATAGAAGCTTTGTAGCAGATTAATTAAAGAGCGAGCACTCCTTTGTGTGCCTACCCACTATAAGAAAACTGTTGGAAAAAATAATATGCAAGCAATCTTTACTAGTTTATAATTTAAGAACAATAGCAAATTCCATAAATTTTTTAATCAAAACAATAAAAAATCACCATTTATCTGATTAAATTAAAATTTGAAAATTAACAGTTAATCAAAAATTTCTTAGTCTAATTTTATGTTGGCAAAAGTTAATAAGTACGGACTGATATGAAATGCTAAAATATGACTTTCAAGAAATCAGTCAAAAACTTCGCTAAGCATGTTGAGTGCAAGAACAACAGACTATTAAAAAAGATAATTATTTTAATAACTTAAAACTAAAAATAAAGGGCTTTTAATATCTTTTTTATACAGAAATTCAAATATTATAGGATTTTGTGCTAAAAATAAATAGCAAAGTTTACCATTTATTAGAAAAATTAAAAGTTAAACTATTTGATGTATAATTTACTGATACACCAATTAAAATAATGAAGATAACTAAATAAGTGAGGATTTATAATGATATGAAAGTGTTATATTTTAAAGTTTTATTCAATTAAATTAATAACGGCACAAAAGTATGATAGTAAGGCAATTGATTAATGACTAAAAATAATTGAGCTATTAAGGACCTTGGATTATGAATTCAGGATCTGGACAATTTATTCGCCTATTTATTGGAATAGGATTAAAATATAAAAATTAATCTCTCATTGCTGCTTAAGTTATATTTTTTAATTAATTGTTTACTAATTTTGTGAAGAAATAAAATCTACTCTCTAATTTGCTTTAATATTCCTTCAATTAAATAGGTTTTAATTTCTGTTGAATCAATTCAGCATATCACGATAATTTATTACTTAGTTAGAAACATGGTGAAAATTCAAAAAATTGAGTTAAATTCTCATTATAACCGAATTGAAGCCCAATCTTCTCTCATAATTTTAGAAACTGTTGGTTCTACTCAATTTCAAACAAAGACCCTCAAAGAGAAAAATCATGATAAAGTCTCGTAATTTTATCTTCACTATCAAATTTATTTGTTTTGTGTTAATTGCATTATCTAATATTTTAACTTTGGAATTACACTTGTCCAATTTAGGAAAGCACTTGGGATAATTCTGGGCTCTTTATACAGCTAATAATTATTTTATAAGCCATACCATTTACGTTATATAAGAATTGTCCGTTCTCTTGTCGCTTGACTTTCTGCTCTGTGATTGAGGAATTATGATGAATATTAATATCTTGGAGAGAGGTATCTCCTTCCTCTATTTCATTTCGCTTCACTTTAAACATCTTTTGAGTAGCTCCACATCCCATGATTATTTATTTTATTATCTTAAAATATTCCATGCAAGATTTGGACTTATTATAATTACTGAACCAGTAATATCTAATCATAATCAAAAGTTTATTGTCAATCAGTAAATACAGCCATTTTTTAAAAGGACAGGAAATCCATTTTGCCAAGAGCTTGAGTTTTTTAAATTATTTTTTAGATCATATCAACTGAAAAGAATTAAAAATTTTTAGTCAACAAAACTTTGATAATTGAAAATTAACAAAATTCTAGATTATTAAGAATAATAGTACCTAAATAACGCACTTTATATCGATTTTAATGATGTGGTATATTTATTTAGCTGAGTACAGTGCTTGCAGTTTTATAATACATTGATCTGTTCTTTTTAAAGATGAAAATTAAAAGTAAAATTCACCTTTATGAGTAAAATATTATGTGATAATAGGTTTTAATTTTATATTTTATGCTGATTTTCTAATAATTTTCTAAATTAATTTTATTATGTTTTTAATCTCCTTCTTTCAGATTTTTAAATAATTGGAAAATGAATTATAAGCTATATGGAGTTATAATATTATTGTTTAAAATTTAAACTTTAATTATTCGAATATTTTTTTAAGAATTTATTATTGTAAAAAAGCTAATAAATAGGTAAGATTTAAACGAACTTTATTATTAGATTAAGTTCCATTAATTTTAAATAAATGACACATTTTCCATAATGCTTAAGTTAAATAGTCTCTACTATTAGGTAATCATCATTGATGATATGCATGTATTAGGCTCTATAATCATGATATAATTTAAATAATTTGGCTTAACTGGTTTCCTCAATTTTGGATATTCTCTTGAGAAAATATTATGCATGAGAATGCTTTTAAATTTTAATGGCTTAATAACTAAAAATTATCAAATGGAATGCATATACAATTTTAGATGTTTACACCAATTCCCATCTTAAGCATTATTAGCTTCGAAATCAGCCATTTAATAGTAATTTTTACTCTAGTTAAGTAATTAAAAAAAGCAATTATCTAAGGTTTAAGTTTATATTTATCTAAATAGAAAATGATAGCTGCAGATAAAAATTACGTTTTTGATGATCAGCTGCTGTTCCAAAAAAATCATTTTGAGTTTCTAATTTTGTTAAGCTAATTTAGATTGTAAATTATTTAAACAAGACACAAGAATTAAACTTTTTTAAAATAGTTTAAATATAAATAAGGCTATTTACTATGCATATGCACATATATACATTTTAAGCAAATACCTGTGATGCATCTGGTGTTCTCATATTGCTGACAATTATCTGATAAGTTGCCCCTTTTACTTTATATTCAAAGCTGCCTCGAGTTTCAGGTAGCTTTGTTTTGTAGTTAGCATTTGGAGAATTGGCTTTGGTTTTTGGTGTGTAGCAGGTGAGGTCCTGCTGAAAGGCTTCGCTATTGTCTTCAAGGATAAGTTTTGGTTTGCAAATATTTTGAGAAATTCCACAACCCATAGTTTTTATTATATAATTATAAAGTAAATAATAATAACCCAACAGATTTTAAGAATTTTACCATAAATATTATAAACTAAGTTCAAACACCAGCTGCTTGAAATACAGGAAAAAGCCATTTATATAATAAAGTTGAGAAAAAAACTCGATATTGAAACTAAATTTTTGAAGAATTAATCTATTTGAAATATCCTAAATATTTTTGCAGCCAAATTACAGAAAATAGATTTTAAATTGTTTTTATAATTATTTCATTTACTTTTATATACATTATAATGGCAAAGACAATATCAAAACCTCTAGGCACAAAGAATTTGCATAAAATTTATTTTCACTAATTTTCCATTGAAAAATTTCTAATCAAGGGAGGAAACATTTTTTGGATTGCTAATAATAACAATCAATTTTATGATCAATCTATAATTACCTCATACATTTTTTAGCTTATTTTATTCGCCTTTTTTAATATACATTTGCATCGCGTCTGCAAAAAAAGCAAAAGTGCAAAATAAAGCAATTTGACATTTCTGAATTTTATTTAATTTTTTTTATATGCTATAGCAACTAGATTAATGATAAAGCTTAAAGAAGAGGAATAATAAAATAATAATTTTCCTTATCTTAGCACATATCCTTCTCAACACCCTAAATCCATTTTAAAAAAATGTACTTCTTTAATCTCAAATTATTTTTATTAGAGATTTTATAGAGAATTATACTTCAATCGCTCTCCATTTTACAGATTCTTTATTTAGCTTTATATTACAGTTATTTTAAATTCAAGGTCTTAGGTGGACTCAAAATAAATAGAATCATTAGTTTTAGCAAGATACATAATAAGCAGGTTTAAAGCATATAATAGAGCAGATCAATGAGTAGAACTAACTAGCTGGCTCCCCTAAGTGTTTTAATAAAATTTAAGAAATGAAATAACTGATAAAACAAGATGACGTAAAAAGGTAACAACTCTTTAATCATAGCATCTTTAAGATTCAAAAATTCATTTGGATATTCTTGCTTGATAAATTTGCAGACGGACATCGCTCATAAGATTTTAGGCATTATCGGAAGGTTTTTCAAGAAACTTACACAGAATGCACCTTATTTAGTGGCCACTTTAATATGAATTAAGTAAAAAGGAAGCCAGATTAACCTTCAAGAAAGCCAAGAAAATTATGCTTGCACTTGAAAATAATCAAGAAAAGTTAATCCTTACTTAAAAACACTTAAAATTTAGATGAGCAAATAAAGAACTGAAATTAAATAAAATCACAGCAAAAATAACAAATTTCTATAAATGCTGAGCAAGTTAGGACAATATTATCCAGTATATTTCAAGAAAAGGCTTATAGATAGCTGAGTTGTCCCATTTATAAAATTGATTTGAAGGAAAGAATCCCGAAGCAATGAGTCTAAAATAGGAGGATTTATTTACGTTTTATTACTTTTCATAAGCCAAATAAAGCTTGCTTTGTGAGATTTAAAGGCAATTATTAATTTTGACATCATTTCCTTGTATTGAAAATCCACAATTTTTATGCTTTTTAACCCTTTTTACCAAAAATTTTTGATTTCTTAATTTGAGTTTTTAGTATTAAAGCCATGGATATTGCATATTTGATAAGAAAATGGCAAATTCTCAAAATGCTTGATAATTAAGAAGCAATAAAAATCGAACTTCCATTTTTGAGCTGTTTCTCATTGTCAATATACAAAAGTTCTGAGTTATTTGCAAAATCTCCAAATTCCTCTTAAACTTATCTAAAAGCGTTTCCATTTAAAATCTGTAACTTATAATTAAACATTTTAAGAATTAGATTATCGTGCAGCTTATAATTTATTTAAATACAAGTGACTGATCTGGACTTATCACATCTTTTACAACGATTTTATATGCCGTTCCTTTTACATCATAAGAAAACTTGCCACTTTCTTGCTGGTTTATAATGAACTTTACAGTAGAGGTAATGATAGTGTTTACATAAATTCCATGAAAAGAAGTATCAACTTCTTCTGGACTTCGCTTTCCTTTTGAAAGTTTTTGGGAAATGTTGCAACCCATCAAATTTTTATATTTATTATATTAATTAATAGCTAATCAGATAATTATAATATTTAGGCTAATTAAGGTTTCAGAAGTGGAAAATTTAATCGGTTTTAGCTGTTTAATCAATTGATCAGTTTGCTGCCATTTTGCAAGGAGAAAGAAATAGTCCATTTATACAGACTTATCACAAATTTAAATTCAAGACAAAGATATAAAGATTTAAAGTATTATTTATTCTCAAATTAATTAGTATAAAATTTTTGGCACCTTATTTTTGATTTCTCATTGTAAAAACATGTAGATATAATTGCTAAAATTAAAAGGAATTTTAAAGGATAAAAGGCAATTAAACTAAGATGCCTGAGTATATAAGGATAAAATCAAATATATTTAATTCTCAATTAGAAATTGATTTTAAGCGTTAAGAAAGAGTTGAAGCTTGACTAATTAATATTTAATAAAATTATCACATTGTGTATAAGAGGCTAGAAGCAAAGTCGATTAATTTTATCATCTCCATGAACTACCATTAATATTCACGCCAATAGAAAAGATAATTTTTAAAATGAAAATTTTGATAAATTTTATTATTCGATCAAAGAATCAATCTTCAATTTGTATATTATTTATTGAGCAAATTCACTAATAATGATAATTATGGATTTTCTAAATATTAAAAATACTTTTTTGGAATACTTAAAAGATATTTTTAATATTGATAAATTTTAAAGCCATTTCTTATGCATGAGCAGAATTTGTTTTTTGCATTAAATCTAGAATGTTTGAGATCAAAATATGAAAGACTCAAAAAATGGATGAAGAATAATCTAAGTCTTAATGCACAGATAAAGTGGCTTATTCAATACTTTTTCTAATTAAAATAAACTAAATTAGCTTTTATTTTAATTTATAAGCCAAAAAAAGACTAAAGACGATAATAAAATTTTTTAACGTAATTAAAAATTTGCTTGATTTGTATTTCTAATTTATATTTCAGTTTATATATAGCATTAATTGCTTCAGGCTTATTGAAAAGCATCAAGTTTTTGAGTTTTTTTTTTCAATTTCAATAACTTTTGGAACTTAGAAAATGGTTATTAATTCAAAAGAATTTTATCGTAAATCAACATATAATCGCCAGAATCTGCTTTTTAATCGTTTTTTTAAATTATTCAGACCTAAACTTATCATTTTTCCTTCAATATCCATTAATGTCCGGAAATATCTCTCACCTCATCATCTTTAAATTGAGGATTTTTTTTTGAACGTAATATTGTTGAATTTTAATTTATTTTATAAAAATTAATCGATTCACTGGAAATTGTTTAATTAATATTCTACCTGCACTGTTTCATCAAATAAAGCTAAAAATTGTTCTATAAAAATTAGTATTTTCACGTATAAAATTTCCTAGTGAAAAAAGATTTTAAATTTAAAGGGAAGAGTTATGACCTAAAGATTTAGATCAGTTGAACAAAAAAAATTAATTCAAAATCAATTAGTTAAATTTACATATCCTCAGATATCTGATCAACTCATGAAGAATAAAGTTTTATTTAAAAGCAAGTGACTGATCAGGACTCTTCACATCACTTATTACAATTTTATAAGCGAGTCCTTTTATGTTATAAGAAAACTTATGATTTTCTGTTGGATTTATCATAATTTCCACAGCAGGGGAAATATTATCTGCACAAACATCTTGAAGAGAGGTATCACCTTCTTCTTGGCTTTGTCTCAATTTTAAGCCTTTATGAGGAATGCCACAGCCCATTGTATTATTAATTTTATAATACATTAATTCATAGTTGCACTAGAACAATTAAAAGACTTAGATAGTAAATAAAGTTTCAATAAGTAAAATATTCTTATAAGATCAGTAATGACTCCATATTTAGTAGTATAAAATAAATCATGCCATTTTTGTACAAAATGTATTGAAATGAGTTTTGACTATAAAATAAATTTTAATTTCAAATTTTTAGTAATGACACCTTAATATATTTTTTTGAATCCTATTCATTATTAACCTTCTTTAGTTAAGAAATCATATTTTTGTAGTTCCTTTAATCTTCTTAGCAATAGAAATCCCACATTTTATATTTCATGAGATTAACTTCGATACCAAAATAACTTTGTGGTGTATAAGCTTTTAATTTATTTGCGTCAAGCAGCATTAAGCTTCAAGTTAGTTATTTCATAATTCCAAATAAGAGATTTCTCAATTAATTTTCTGATAAAGATAAACTAAGCAGAATCTTAGATAATCATCAGCGATACGGACTAACCTTTTTTTTTCTATTTCATCTATTTTTAATTCTCTATCATGCACACAGTTTAATATTTTTTATTTAATTACAGTCGAAAATATGCATATTTTATATAATAACGGATAAGCTATTTCATTTATTAGTAAAATTATGCAAAGTCGTCAGCCATTAAGGTTCTTCCTGAAGTTAGATTTACTGGAAGTCTGGCTAAAGAAATATTATTATATCAAAGTTCTTTAATAGTTGAGCTTTACCGTCAACAAATGCATGCTTAAGTATTAGGATTTTTCTTTCTCTTAAGGATAATTTATATTTTAAATGCATTTTTTCAATTGACCATTGAAATATTTATTATAATAATATAGCAATAATTTTCTCTAGAATATTAATCTATTCAAAATACTGTCAAGCATTTTGAAAATATAAACTCGATGATCGATATTATTTGATTTAGTCCAAAATTAATTTAAATTATCGCTCTTCGATCATTGAATATATAAGCTTTAGCCGCTTATGATCTTATCGCACTTAAAGCTGACATTTTAAACATTTAAATACCATTTTTATACTTATAAATAAAGCAGATTATCACATACTTCTATAAGAATTTCCGTTTCAGTGAAAAAATAATTTGACGAACCTAAAATCTAAAGAAAAATTCTTAATATTATTTGATGCAGAAAATGAATTAACTAATATCAATTTATACACAAATTATCTTAAGAATAAATTCAATCTCTCTTCTCCAATCTCTCTAAGCTGCTTTTGAAAGCCTAAATTAGGAAATATGCATTTTCTTTTCTGGAGAACCACATTGCTAGCTTGAGCAAAGTTAATTAAATATTTTCCCATAAGATAAGCAATCACGATGCTTGCACTCCTTGAAACTCCTGCTTGACAGTGGACAAGAACTTTTTCGCCTTCTAATAGATGCTGATGAATAAAACGAAGAGCTCCAGGAAGATGCTTTGAAATATCTTCCATCGGAGAATCCTCAATAGCTATAAAATGATAAGTAATTCCATCAAATTGTGGTGAATCACTAGAACAGTCAAGAGCTTGAACAATATATTTAATGCTGTACTCTCTGAGAAATTGCTCGTTACCTCCTGCCATTAGACTTCCTAGATATAGATTTGGCTCGATCTCATGCATTGGAGTTTCAACATGGCTCATGAACTCTTCAAATTCAAAATCATCCATCATATGATATTAATATTAAGATATATAAACGACGCTGTTCAATTCACACACCTTAACTATTTTTTCTTGATTTTATATAAATTTCAGTATTTATTAACATGGTAAACTAATTTTATAAATCTTTGCAAACAATCTTTTAGAATAGAAGACCAAATCTGAATAATTTACTATTTTAAAACTATTTGATTGATAAATCATACTGTTTCTAATTGATTATTTCAATTGGCAGTTTCAAAGATTTTTTTTTCTAAGAATTTTAGCGTCAGCAAAAAAGAGAATTGTTAAATTTTAACTTTAAAAATATATTTAATAGACTTCTGGCTAAAATCTATTTATATTTTAATGTCGATACTGATATCATCTTAATAATTCTAATAATTTTTTAGTCAGTGATTACGCTAAAAAGCCATATTTAAGTGTCAAGTAATATGAGTTTAAAATAAAAAACTCTAAGCATCATTAATTCTAGATCAAATTGAAGGATCTAACATGATTTTCTCAATTAAAACTGCAATTTATTAGTGTTTTATCTGGTTATTTTAAATTATTCCAAAATTTATTGAAGCTAACCATAATTTAATAATTCTTTCAATGATTCCAAGCTATTAATGAAACAGTTTAGAAATAGAATTTTTTTAACAATTAGCTATGCAAATAATTCCTAAAAATTAGGCCTTTATAGCAAAACGCAAAGTAATTATAATATAAAACCGTCTTTTAGTTAATTACTTATTAATACTCAACATTTCTTTGTCAGCATGCACAGCTTCTCTACTCTGCAGAAATAGATTGATTAGGTGTAGCTTTAAAGCTTACAACAATTTTGTAATGAACTCCTTGGACCTTATAATTTAAAGATCGCAAGCTGGTAAAATTTTCTCTGGTTTCTCTAAAAGGGGATCCAAGATGTTTAGTGTTGCTTTTATAACAAGTTTCTGACTCCTCTTCATTCAAGACCTTTGATTTGATTTTTTTTGACGATATTGAACAGCCCATTTCTTTTTTGTAAGGAATAATATATATATAAAATGACACAAAACTTCAGCTATTTCACGCTATTAATATGGAAATCTAAAAAAGAAATTGCCACTTTTAGAATTTAGCCAGTTTTGTGTTTTCTTTTTAATTTCTAATGGGCAATCGCTTTAAAGCTCATTACCTTTATGTGCTGATGGTATATTAGAATAAATTTGCTATCATCCCTCCAATCAAGCTAAATTTACAATTGATTTTAAAAAATTTAAATTTTAATGACTTGAAAAGCCGTAATTTAATAAAATAATTATGTTATAGAATCAAGCTAATTAAAAATTAGACTAATTTTCTAGGGTTTTAAATCGAAATATTTATTAATCATACATCAAAGTGGTATATTCAAAGTGAGGCATGAAAAAAATTGTTCCACAGAGAAAGATCAATTATTCTGACTTACAAAGATGATTAAGTAATTAAAAAAGTTAGCCAGTGAAAAATTAATTTGCATATAATTTTAAGAATAAAGCCTTTAATTGATAGAATTTCCATGGATAATTTATTAATTTTAAAGCTTTTCATTTTTGGTGAGGGCCAGTAAAGATAGAGAATTAATATAAATAATTCAACAATTAAATATTTGACATAAATCTTAGTCTTTAATCGTTATCACAAAGGCAAAAAAATATTTAGCCTTATTAAATCATTTTCTCGCCAATATCTTCACGAAATCTTTTAGCAATCAATTACCTCATTGAGAAATGAATTCTTAATTTGATTTTCAGTCTTTGAAGCTAGGCTAGTTTTAATAGGCTTCATAATTTTACAACGTTAAATAGCATGCTTTAGCTGTAAAAAATCAAGCTGGCTTACTAGCCATATTCTATCAAAACTTTTTATAAATGGTGAAAGGGACACTCAAACTTAAAGAAATCGACCAAAGCATTGAAAAATTAGAAGGAGGGAAAAAGAAAGGAAAGCAAAGAAAAATAAAAACATTAAAAAGTAATTTATAGCTAGAAAAAGCAATTGATAAGGCATTGAAGAAAGAAAAGAAATCAAAAAAGAAAGGAGGATCTTTCTCAAAATTATCAACCTTAGGAGATGCTCTAATGGAAATTGAAACAAAAAATCAAGAAGATTTGCATCAAAGCCATTTATCGAAAAAAGAATCACAGATAATCCAGTAAACAATATTCAGAAATCGAGACACACAAAGAGTCCAAGCTATTTTGGATCATCCATTATTTAAAGCGAACCCTCTTCAGGCAATCCAGCAGCATTTGCAAAGCCAATTTAATAAAAATTAACTATGATTTATCTTTTTTGAAGAAATTTATTTAAAGTAACTAATTATAAGCAAAGCACATTAACCTGAAATAAATCCTTATGGATAGATTTAGTTATACTTTACTGAATTATACATTCCAAACATGACTTTTTGGGCGTCTCCCTCTGCGAATTTTCTAATTGCTTTTTGAGATTTTCTTTTTGATTTCTCAGCATTTCCAAATTAATGTAGTTTTCTTCTATTTCTTTGCGTTTTTGAGTTGACTTCTTTATTGTTGCTTCTAATTTCATTGCTTCTTTAGATAACAAAATTTTATCTTTTATTACATTTCCAAGCTTGTCATCTAACTTCCTTATCCAATTCACTCTATCTTCAACTATTCTGCTTTTTCTCCTTCTAAATCTATTTTCAATTTCAAGCACTCCTAATTCTTTTTCGATTCTTGTATTTTCTTTCAATTTTTCTTCGACTGCTTCTCTTAATTTTGTTCTATTGTCATATTGATTTTTGATATTTTGTATTTCTTTTTCTATTAACTGGTATTTTCCTTTTAAAACTTCGACCATCGTCACATCTCTTTTTTTCTCTTCTATAACGTTCGTTATGTAATATTGAAGCTCCTCAATTACTTGCTTTGACCTTGAAACTTCATACTCAACTGAAACAGTGCTTAGTCTATGGACATATATTTTAAAGCAGTCGTCACAAATTCTTTTAGCTATATTAAATATGGGATGGTAAGTCTTTTGTTCTGAACATTTCGAGCAAACACCCCGTCAACAAAATTTGCATCGGTACTTTCGCTTTGTTATACCGAATTCAGATTTGCATATTATGCAAGCTGTGTCTTGAAGATATAAATCTTTATCTGCATTTGGATCAACTCCTATTAGTAGTGGATTAATATTTTGCGCATGAGTTAATGAATTAGGAGGATTTGCAGATCCAAATGATATAGACTCCACCATTTTAAAAGAGTGTGATTTGTGGGGAAAATAATTGCATTTTAATTTGGAATTCATTAGTTCTAAGAAATGGGATTTTATCCAAATGACAATCCAGTTTTCAGGGCTCTATCATCCGCTTATATAGGAATGAATATTCAATGTGAATTCAAATTATAATGCTTGAAATCTGCTTACTGTTCCTTTCTGACATGAGCAAATATAAATTTCATGTAAGGTAAAAGATTTGTTTAAGCATCAAATTTGCCTATAATTACTTTTTTTAAAATCAGTTTTATTTAAAAAAATACTGCGCTGAAAGGCTTTGAATATTTTAGTAGATAAGCATCCATTTCTCTTTAAGACATATTAATAGTTTTAGCGTAAACAAACCAATCAAGTATCTATTTTAATATTACGCTTTATTCATTAAAAATTTACATGAAAATAACAAGAAAATTTCCTGAACCATGGGAATAATTACTACACGATTTGATATATTCTAAGTATAATTCATAATTATTATCACAAAACCTTTAGCTAATTCTGTTAAATTAAAAGCACTTACATTCTAAAACATAAATTAATTCAAATTTTATGATAGGGATTGTTTTAAAATTTTGAAAAAAAAATCACAATAAAATTATTAATTAAAAGAAAAGTTAACCATGAGCGAATATTTTTCTTCCCGGAGGAGTAAGTATAATAAAAAATATATATAAATGGCATTATATAAATTGTAATTTGATTAAACCGTTAGATGCTATCCCAAAATTTCGAGCCCTTCAATTTATCAAGCGATTCATCTATTAATTTTCCTTTAGAATTCAAGGAGTCTCTAATAAGACTTGACGATATTTTTGATACTGATCCGCAAAATCAAGTTGCAGAAAAGGTTGAATTCCAATTAATGAAAAAAAGGAGTAAATTCAAAGAAATTTCAAACGATGAGCTGCTATCTTCAAAAAGTATTCCAAATGAATTTTTCCCTCCACAACAGAATATTGATTTCGATAATAGGCAAGAATTGCATACAATAAATGCTAATAGAGGAAATCAGAGATATCGAAATATATTATCAAAACTAAATCAGCGAAGGAGTGAAGAACATAAGTTACAAGCCAACCAAATCCCTACAAATGTTCAAGAAATTCATAGCCAAGCTGATAATGACCCTCAAGCATCCAGAAATATCAGATTATCAACAGTTTATACAAACCCTAGCATAGACTCATTTAAAGTTTTTTCTAATTTTTCTAACGAAACTGAACCAATTTCCCCTGTCTATGCGTTTGATTTAGATAGAATTCAGTTAACTAATGGAAACCAAGAAACAAATACAAATTTATATGTAGATCACCAAGACACAGAACCTAATATCCCTGTCTTTAAATTTGAGAAATTTATTCAAAAATATAATCAGCCTGTAGCTATATATTGTGATAAGTGCTGCCAAAATACTCAAGTTCAAATTTCATTTAGGTTAAAATCATTACTTCTATCCTCCATCAGCGAATAAAATTTTTTATTCTCTCTATTTTTTAAAAGTATCCAAAATTAATAGAGTTTATAATAAAATTCATGTTTAGAATGCAAGCTATTTAAATTCAGTAGAATTAGCGAGAGATTTTTATATAATAATTATCACTTATATATCAAAATATTTTTTCATAATTTTTTTACTGACTACGGTGGATAGATTGCTTGCAGAAAATAGACATTTTCAAATGATATTTTTTGTTCATAACAAGGGGAATTAGGATTTTGGAAAACTCTTGGATTTGTCTTCCAAGCTTTTCGCTGCTGTAGTGGGCATTCTCTGAAGCAGTATCAAGAGGTTGTTTATAGGTGTATTAAATGCAAAAGTGTTATATCATAGGATACTTTAGTTTGATAATTTTAGGTATTTTTATTCTAATAGTGTTTAAGAGCATTAATTTTAGTGTATTGTCTGGTTTTTAAAGAATTATGATGATTATTTATGCTAAGATTATTAATAAAAATGCATCCTAGAAGTAATGCCGACTATCAAAAGAAGCTCATACTGTATTTTGACGCAGACTATACCAAAGATATAATAAAAAAACAAGGAAGTGAGGATCTAGATACTTTATATGAAGAATTAAAACACAAAAAACCATGAAAATCAGTTACCTTTGTTTTTGGGCTAGCCATTCCAATAATGTATATTGAGAAAAATATTCTAAAAGTCCCAAGAGAGAAAAGTTGAATTAGGCGATACGGAAGCAGATACGTGCATGCTTCTCTAGCGTTATTGATGGTTGGCTGAGTCTATGAGACCATTATCCCTTTTCAAAGATGCTCCCTTGATATGGCACTTAAGTATGAGGATCAATTACTAAAGCTTCACCCAGATTTAAATGATTACTATACAAGAAGTAATTTTGAGTCCCCTTTAAGTAGAGAAAGCTAGATAACACATAATTTTATTATAAATAAACAAAATATTGTGCTAAATTATACGATTTTATATATAAAGCTATCATATTAAATTGCATAGGCTCTTCAAATTAGTTAACATAAAATTCAGATTTAATTAAAATTGTAAGCTTAAGAATGTGGATATAATCTTAACAATGGCGGATGTACAAACCGAGAAAGCTTTTATGAGACAGGACGGCGTCTCATTAAAAAGCAAGAAATTCTTCGCAAAAAAAACAGCTAAAGGAGTCAGATATTGGAAGAATGTAGGTCTTGGTTTCAAAACTCCAAAAGAAGCCATTGAAGGTAACTACGTAGATAAAAAATGCCCATTCACAGGCGATGTTTCTATCCGTGGAAGAATCCTGAAAGGTATGGTCATTTCTACCAAAATGAAGCACACAATTATCATCAGAAGAAACTATCTTCACTATATCCCTAAATATAAAAGATTCGAAAAGAGACACAAAAACATTTCAGCCCACTGTTCCCCAGCTTTTCAACAGGTAAAAGAAGGAGACATCGTGACAATTGGCCAATGCAGACCTCTCTCTAAAACTGTCAGGTTCAACGTTCTCAAGGTCCAGCCTAATCAAATCTTTGGGTCAGCAAGAAAACAGTTCGTTTTATTCTAAATAACGAGGGATTATCAAAAAATTGCAAAAATTAATTAGGAGATGTCATTAATTGTAGGGCTTTCCCTAAGAAGTCTTCAGGGGAATCTCCATCTTTATAGTGAGATAGCATCCTTAACACTTGTTTTGATTTTTCTATGCGGTCGATCCTTGGTAATGGTCTTAGTTCTTTTCCATTTCTAAAGCTCTCTTTTACTTCTTCTGCCCTTTTTATGACTTCTTCTGAAATTCCAGCCCATTTAGCACAAAAAATTCCAAAACTCCCCATAGGTTTTCCTCTTATTAATTTATAAAGAAAAACTGGGTGATCTGAATAAGCTATTTCCATTGTGTAAAATTTCATGATTTCTGACTCAGAGATGAGGCTATGAGTGATTAATTCTTGAAAATGTGTACAAAGTAAGGTTAATGGAGGAGAATTTACTTGTAAATGTGATAGCAAAGAGCCTACTAGTGACATGCCGTCAATGGAATTTGTTCCTTTACCAAATTCATCGAGAATTAATAAGGAACTTGGGGTTGAATTGTTTAATGCGATTGTTAGCTGAGCTATTTCTTCGGAAAATGAGCTGGAGGTTCGTGAGTCTGAGTATGCCATCCTTGAAAAAATCTGATCAACTTTTCCTATCACTGCGAATTCTGCTGGAACAAAGCTACCTATGTGGGCTAAATATACAATTAATCCTACCATTTTCATATAGACGCTTTTTCCTGAGTAGTTAGGGCCACAAATTACTGCTATTTTATGGACTGAATCTAACGCACAGTCATTAGGTATCGCATTATCAACACAAATTTCTACTAATAAGTGCCTTCCGTTTACAATTTGGATTCCAGGCTCTTCTTGCAGCTGAGGTCTTGTCAAGTTTAAAGTTTCAGCTGCCAAAACCAGTGATAGAAGTGCATCTAAATCGCCTAAAAGTCTTGAAACATAGCACAACTCATTCCCTCTTTTCAAAATTTCAGTCTCTAAATCTCTTAAAATAGCGTTTTCAGTATCATTTATTGATTTTTTTAAGTCACCAAATCTGTCATCTAATGATTTTGTTTTGTCATTTTTAAAATAGATTGCATCATCAGCTGCAAATTGATACTCGTAGCCTATTTTTTCAAATAATGAATGATCACTTTTATCGGAGCCAACAGAGCTAGGAGTTAAACCTATGCGGCCTCGATAGGAGATTTCAATATGATAGCCAAGCTGTGGGAAATGCATAACACTTAAGGAGGCAAACTCGATGCCGCATTTTTTTAAATTTAGTTTTTCTACATTTTGATATAGCTATAGAATGCAGCTTGATCATATAATGGACTTTTAGGCTAAGATTCAATATTTTTGTATTTTCAAAATAATATAATACAAATTACTTTTATTGTAAGCTATAAGGATGCATCCCCGATAGCTGAATTAAAAAATTGTCAAGGTCTATTGCGCTTCTTTTCAGGTAATCCAGCTCTGCACTGACACCTGAAAGGATTTGTGGCTTACCATGATCTTTATTAGAAAAATCTAAACAATTCTGGAGATATGTTAAAAGCTCAATAAAAAGATCAATTTGTGTATTTATAAGAGGTAAAAACATAAGGGGCAGCACTTCAAATTTTTTCAATATTTCAACAATCCTGAGAAGCGCGGAGGAAGTTTCAATGACTTTTAGCCAGTCATTTGTAGTTGTTCTAACCTCATAAAATCTTTTAACACAAATTTCTAAATCGCTTACATTTTTTAGCTCGTGCAGTATCTCTTGCAAAATTCCTGGATTTTTCATAAAAAATTCTATTGCTTCTAATCTTGCATTAATTTCAGAAATTTCACCTAATGGTCTTAGCAGCCATTGTCTTAGCTTTTTCCTTCCTTGGGTTGTACAAGTATTATCAAACAGCCCAAAAATTGATAGCCCTTCTTTTGATCTCCCAGCATTATTTATTTTTGATGGATGAGAATCTTCTTGTATGATCTGTAAAGCCTTTAAAGTCTGAAAATCGCAATGAAGGCCAGATATTTTGATTTGGTATACTTTTTGGATTGAAAATGATGAGAAATTTGAAGAGTTGGTGAGGTATGATATTAAGGCTCCTATAGAACTGATCATAGCGTTGCAAGAGAAATTAAGGCTGGTTGTAGCTTTAAACTCATCACCTTGGAAGCACTGTTGGGTTGTAAGCTGTTTAGCTTTGTTATAATCAAACTCTGACTTTGGCATGTATGTTGTGTTGAAGTTTTCGAGTATTTCTTTTAGCTGCTCAGGCGCTGTGTTAGAAGCTATGATGTATGAAGGCTCGATTTCTATGAAAATTGGAGAAAGAAAAGAAAAATCTGTGACTGTTACCCAAATTTCGCTGACTTCAAGGTGCCCTGTTGATTCATCAAATTTTGCAATACCGAGTTTAGGATATTGAGTAAAAACGGAAAGATAAATCGAGCTTGTTTCTGACATGTAATTTCTAAATTTAAAATAATTTCCCTCTTTATTGATAAACACCTCCTAGGTTACTTATGCCACCATTATCTTTATACAGCGAAACTTAAGCTTAAAAATTAATAAACATTACGTAGGAAATGCTACTAGCTTAGTTGACTCCCCCCCTCCGTGAGCGAACAAAAAAAATTTTGTTCCTCACGAGGGGCTAAATTTTTTTTAACCCAATTGAGAAGTAAAATTAATTTAATTTGCAAAATTTATTTTTTAAATGCAAGCTGCTTAAAAAAAAAACAGAATTAGCTAGAATTTCATTATACTAATTATCACTTATATATCAAAAATTTTTTTTTTGTGTATTAAAAACATTTTTGTTAACTCACGGAGGGTGGGCTTTTACCCAAAAAATAGGGTTTTCCAATGGTTTTGTTTGCCCACGGAGGGGGAGTAAAAGTATTCTTTTTAATTTGCATAAGTCTAAAATATATATTATGCAGTATCGCATTTCAATAAATATTTTCAAATTAAACTTTCAAATATTCCTTGAAACTTACACTGTGCTCAGCGATAAAATCATTTGGAAAGAATATCATTTTATAAGCTAAGAGACAAAATTTTTGCAAGGATTGGAAATAAAGCTGTTGGAGAAATTATTACTAACTCCTCCAAAAATATCATTTAAAATTCCCTATAATTAGAAAGCTTGCCTCAATCCTTGATCAAACTATTTTGTATAGTCAAACTTAAAATTCTATCCACCTATACTCACAGTTCTTATGTAATTATTAGCATATTTGCTATAAATATTTTGACAGTCGGCAAACACCCCTTTTTATAAAGGTTTTCCTTACAAAAAGGGTTATTTACAGACTATAAAAGACTGTATAGCACATTATGTACTCTATTCTTGCTAGCATTACCAAAAAAATAAATATAAAAATTTTAAATGAGTTTTTTATAATATATTTTTTTCAAAAAAGTGTGTTTTTAGCCATTTTATAAAAGATGATAGAGTAATTCGCAAATAAAACACAATGGGAAATGGTTGCTGCAGGAATTCTGACGTCCAAATTTTTGAAAATCCAAACACAAGTGTTATAAAACTTAAAAAAATAGAAAACGACACCCCAGAAAAAGTCTATACTATGATTCAAGATAATTACCTCTCAATCCCTAATACATTCAACTCAGACAAATTTTCTGCGATCAAAGACATCGGTGTTTCTGGGCTAGAAAATCTTGGAAATACCTGCTATATTAACTCAGTTCTTCAAGTTTTATTTAACTGCCAGCCATTGATGGATTATTTTCTTTCTGGAATCCATAAGCAAGATTTAAACGTTTTAAATCCACATGGAAGCCGAGGAGAAGTTGCTATGGCATTTGGAGAACTTGCTGAAGCTTATTGGCAGAAATCATATGATTTGTTAGTGCCAAAATTATTAGTTAACCTGATTTCTGGAGAAAGTAATATACCCAATGACGATGCATATCAGCTTTTGAAAGTTTTGCTGCATTTAATACATGAAGATTTAAATAGAGCTGATAGAACTCCTTTAATAAGACCTTTAAAATCAAGTGAAGCACAAGAAATTAAAGCTGCAAAGTCATGGCAGAATGAACTAATAAAAAATTCTTCTATAATTATTGACTTATTTCAAGGACAATTAAGATCAACTTTGACTTGCACAGAATGCAATTTTAGTGCTCAAACCTTTGAAATATTTTTTTCTTTAAGTTTAGATATGCCAAACAAAGATAGACCAGCAACAATTGATGAGTGCTTCCAACTATTTACAAACCCTAAAAATTCTGACTCCCCTCTTTAAATTTGAAAAAAATCCTGTCCAGATTTAAAGGGAATTAATTTATTTTTTTAAAAAAAAATTATACTAAATCTTTACTCAAAATATAATTTTATAAAAATTTTAAATATAATTGAAATCAATATTTGAATTTTAATTATTTTATTAAGAATTAATTCAAAAAATTAATTTATTCAGTTAAATCTGTTTAAATAATATTCAAATTGCACTTTTTCCATTAAATTAGGTCAAAACTAATTTTATAAAATTCGTTTTTTTTAACTATAAAGTTTTCCTATTGAAAAACAAATTGTTCCAATTTAAAGAGGGGTTAAAAACTAAAAAAATTTAAATTTTACCAATATTTTGTTCCAATTTAAAGCGTAAAAGGGAGTGAGAGATCTTGATTATGTCCAAAGTGTAACTACGGAGTAAAAGCAATAAAGAAAATAGATATATGGAAAGTTCCTCCAATCTTGATATTTCAATTGAAAACGAAAAAAATGAGAACAATAAATAATCCTTTGAAGCAAGCTTTATTTGTGACTGGAAGCAATAAAATTGACATTGCTCAATGAGTATCTGCACTGCAAAAAGAAAATCCAAGATATGAGTTGTTCGCAAAAATAAACTGTGAATCCTCTGTAAATAGCACGCATTATACAGCTACAGTAAAGCATAAAAACAGCCATTCTTGACAATTATTTGACGATGAAAATGTTTATCATGTAGAAGGTGAGCCTCCAATAGATAAAGACTCTTATATTTTATTTTATCAAAGAGTTGGAGGGAAATATTATAGGCAATCTAAAAATATGCCTGAGTATTGGCCTCATTTAATTGCGAATTATATCAAAAGAACTTTAGGAGTATCTCATAAACCAGAAATGTAATATAACGACATAAATGTAAATATTATAGCAAATTGGCTCTTTAAAAAATACTTATTTAATTATACAACTATGGCAAATATGGTGATAGTAATTTTTTCTTCATAGTTTTATTTTTCTTTTTCTGTATCTTTTTACTGTTATCAGAAGCTGCTTCTTTTTCTAAATTATAGCTTGGCTTAAATATTATAGAATCTTTCAATTCAGGTATTGCTGGCTGTGCTTGGAATACCTTTGCTAAAGTGTGATGGTAGTTATCGCCTTTTAATCCGTAGACATTATTAGGATTAAAAGGAACTAAATATATAAGGTTTCCATTTGAGTCATAAAGTTTGTCAGAATCATAATCAGCATCTGGATTTTCTCAGTTATATTGAATTCCTTTGGAGCTTTCTCTTGAATTTTTTATGCTTAGCTCTAAGGTTGAGCAGGATTCCTCCCGCATTTGTCTCGGATTCCCATTTTCGCCTGTTTTCGCTCTATTGGTAATTTTCATATATAGCTTAGAAAGGCTTATAATCTTCTTTAGGAGTTTATTGAGCACGAGAAAAAGGTCATTGCCATCATTTTCATGCTGAGGGGCCAGCATAAAGTTGAAAAATAAAAGCATAAGGCATTAATTTATTATTCGTGTAAGCGGTTAGAAGAGAGTTCACAAGTTTTTTCACTCAGCGTGGTACCACTATGCTCAAGGTAAGGCTATAAACCTTCCCAAAGTATAGTTATTGCTTGTGTATTGAGATACTGATTTTTGACTCCCTGAATTTTTAACATTTTGTCCTCATTTTGGGTCTAATTTCAAGCCATCATCTTCACTAATACTCCCTGCATGAGATAATTCCACCATTTCTTCAGATCGGTTATAATTATTATTTGCCTCATTATATGCAGTTTCCTGATACTCTTGCATATCTCTTTTTGAATATTTCTTCATTACAGGAGTAGAATTAGGCTTTAAGCTTGCCTGATTTTCTTCTACTTTGCTTAAATATGAATTTTTGGATTGGTGCTTTGATATAATTTGACTAACCCCAGTCGTTTGAGAACAGTTTGTGTCCATGCTCAATCTTGATACGGCTCTTGTATTAAAATCAAGGGTTGTCCTTGAGTCTGAGTTATTAAAATTCTTTTGAGCTTGCTCCTCTGTGTCGATTTGGGAGATATTTTCGTTAATGAATTCGTACTCAGGCTGAGGAATAATGATAGATTTAGAGCTTTCTCCTGTTATGTTGTTTTTTGAAGTGTGCTGAGAACTCAGCAGACTTTTGGAATTTTCTGAAGGCAATTTTTCGAGCAGCATTTTAAGCTGGGATCCTTTGGATTCTTGAGCGCCCTTCATTTCTAGCTCTTTTATTTTTTTTCGGCTTTGCTTTAAGAGCTTTTCATACTCTTCTGTTTTTTGTACTAGTCTTCCGATTCTGTCAAATTGATTGTCAATCTTTAGCTCTAAATCTTTGCTTTCTGCAGTTTTTTTATTTAGTTCTAAATTTCTTGCTTCGTGCTCTGCTACAATCCTTTCCTTATCCTTTTCTATATCTTTAATCTGCTCCATCAGTACCTCAATTTCTCGTTTTGCTTTATACAAAGCATTAGTTACGCTTTCTTTTTCGTTGTTTATCTCTTTCGCTAAATTTTCCATATGTGAAAGCTGCTCTGTGCTTTTGCTATGCTCTTGTGATAACTCTTGAAATTGCTTTTCAAGCTTTTCATACACATTAAAACGGCGAGGTAAACTAGCCCGCCCTCTTAACTCCTGTAGCTGGGATCTATCAGGGCGCGCAGGAACCTTGAAGAAGAAGTTTATTTACCCTACCCTAATTTTCTTTGATTTTCCTGCATGTTTCCAGTTCGAGTAGCTTCCTACTTCGCTTTCATAGATTGATCCTTTTTCACATTCAATCAAATATAGTCTCTCTGCATTTACCAGGATCCCTCTTTTTTCTTTGCTTTCAAAGGACTTCCAACTTCACGTTCATGCAACTCCCAACTCCGCTTTCATTAGTTTTCAACTTCGCTTTCATAGATTGATCCATTCTTGCATTAAATCAAATATAGCAGTTGCCCGATGACGACGCTCAATGCGCCATCATCGAGCAACTGCTATATAGTCTCTCTGCTTTCATCGGGACCTTTCTTTCTCAATCTCAGACTGGGTCAGCGGCCCACAATACCTGCAACTCCCAGAAAATCCCAAAACTCCCGCGCGGCTCCCACAACTCTCACAAACTCCACACAACTTCCCGGAGCATCGACCCCAAAAGACCAGCAACCCCCAAAGAGCCATCACTGGCAGTTTTCTCCGGGCAGCAAGCCCTTCCCATGGAAGCAAACCTCCCTGTGGCGATCTTCTGGCTGGCCGCCACGTAGGGAGACCATCTGACCCTTTAGCAGCCGGACGACTCAATGCCCATCGCTGTCGTGCGCCAGGCCTTTTCTTCCACTAGGAGTTCCTTCCTTTTCTTTTCAGCAATTCACCACTCGATTTCCTGTACGATCTCCTCCGTAATCCCTGCCTTTTCAAGGTCTTCCAGTTGCTCCTCCTCTCCAGTCTTCTGTGTTTGCTGTTCGGCCTGCTCCCTCTCAGGAAATCATCAAATTCCATCAGTGCCCTCTTGGTTCCCTCTCAACAGCATCCAGATCCTTCTCGCTGGCAAGCCCCTTTAGCTCAGAGGAGTCCGCAATCAGCCATGTGTACATCGTCAGCCTTTCCGAGGTCTCCCCTACTACATTTGTAAGCCTCCGTCGGGCCTTTCTCCTTATTTCTGCATATAGCTCGCATTCATTGAACACATACTTTTCAGTTTCCTTCACATTACAGAGTCTGAACTTGCCCTCCACTCTCTCCCTCGGTCCTTGGCCCTTAGTGCGGCAAGAGGTAGGGGCCTTGAGGAAGAGAGGATGACGTTCAGGAATGTGCATCCCAGCAGCTTTCTTGGTTTGGTGAAACGCAATGTCGGGTTGGCCGAACTCATTATTGCTCTAAATCGCGGTTTTTTGCCTCAGAGGGATGGAGCCGAGAGTTGGAAAGGAACTCCCAGCAAAGCAGCTATGTTTCCCAACGTGGAACCAGGAGTTATGTCCTGTCTTCCAGTTTCCATTTAGCCAAATGTCGTGGTGGATCATCTTTATTGATATGCAGCACGACAGCACAGCTCATACAACTATCAGAGAGCAAGTGCAAGCCCTTGTCCGGCAGGAGTATTCTTTTTAAGGTCATGCAAAAACTTAGAACTGGTGGGCAGGCAAAGGGGGCGTCACGGGTGGAGATAGTCCTTAGGAATTACAGTGAACTTCTATATAAGTCTAATAACTTAAGCGCTTTTCGAGCTCCTCAATTCTGCTAATAGCTTTCTCATGCTGAATAGGCTCGATATAAATTTCTCCAGTTTGTGCAGAATTTTCTATCTTTACTTGCTTGGATTCAAATATTTTCAGAACTCTTTGGGCTGTATTTCTCTGTAAGGTTTTAAAATTTTTCATTAAACTTTTTTCAATTTCTTCAGGCTTTAAAAGGACGTTCTCATACGTTTGTAAAGGAGGGATTTCTCTTTCTTTAGCCATATCATTGTATATTTCATGAAGTGCTTCTGTTGTGGCACCACTTTTTATACTGTAAAGCTTATTTGCTTTTTGTCGAAAATTTTGATACTCGCCGTCATCTTCTCCAAAAATTTCATTGATTTCTCTTTTGATTTTTTCTTCTTCTAGCTTTGAATATTTTATTTTTTCTTCAGAAACCCCTTCGAATTTCAGAACCTTTTCTTCTAATTCGCTAATTGTTTTCTCGAGTTTTGTTTTTTGTTCTTTAAATAGGAATTTTTGATTTTTAAACTCATTTGAAATTTCTGAAAATAATGTTATAACATAATCATTTATAGCTTTTTTCGTGCTTTTTCGTATTATGGAAAATCTATCTTTGAGGGGCAGTACTAGCTTCTTCTGCATTTTTTATTGTCTTAGGCATTTAAATAATCAATTAATTTAGTTTTAAAGCTTTTTAAACCAGCAAAATCATTTAAGTCGTTAAGAGAAGACTAGTAGTTCTACCCTTAAAGTTAGATTTCCATAATAATACGGAAAAACACAAAAGAAGCTATATTTTTGAGCAAGCTTTAGCTGCTTCTGCAGACTGGAGCTTTATCAAAGGTACAATTTCGTTATAGCATTGAAACCAGCCATAAAATTCTTCGCTAAGGCTATCAAAATCCCTTTTCGATGCTATTTTTTGTGCTTTTTTAATTTCGTAATTTTCAATTCTTTCCATCATTTCTCATTTCGAATGCTTTCCAATAGCTTTTAAGGATGAGTTTATAAGTACTTTTGATGATGGAGTATCGTTTGGAATTATGACGGATTTTGATACTAAGTCTGGAGAAGGAGAAGTTGGGGAATATGGCTCAAAACTCTTTTGGATATTGAAAAATTTGTGAGCGATACTTGGTTCTTTAGATATAAAGGCTTTATCGTTGAAATATGTGTAAAGATTTAGTTCAGATGTTTTATCATAAGGAGATACTCTTGACGGATTATCAGAAGTATCTCGTAGACGGTGAGAAATTGGAGGTAAAGACTTTTTAGTGCGGTGACTCCGACCATGAGTTTTTGAATCAATTGATCCGTGTCGTTTGCTCATATTTGGTATTAATTTATTGAAATAAATATAGTGAAGGGTGAAGAATAAAGATAAAGGGGTAAAGACCTTACAAGCAATATTTGCTTGCAGGATATATGCAGCAGTTTATCATCCTTATTAGAAATAATCGAGCTAGAAGCTTGTTTGGGATTTTTTAGAGCCAAAAACATAAAAGGAAGATTAAAAAGCTTTATCTGATTCAATAAATTTGCTATTATCCGCATGCGATCTCTCCTAAATCTTACTACGCTCTAGATATAACATAAAAAATAATTAAAATACCTCAGTTTTTGATTATTTTGCTTTTTATTTATAAATACTTTAATGTTTAAACTCCCAATTTCAGCAGATGATAAAAAGCATTTGCCCTTCACTTCCCCAAATTTATCCATTAAAACCTTAAAAATTGTTTAACTTTTTGCTTTAAATGACTTAAGATTCATATTCAAGTCGAAGTCCATAATTAATCTATGGCTGCAGTATCAAGAACATCATTATCAAAAGCTGAACATGATGAACTTTCTTGCGTTTTTGCAGCTTTAATTCTCCATGATGATGGATTAGAAATCACAGTACCAGTTATTTAGGCTGACAAACTATCTAAAATCCTCACAACATCTGGAAACCAAGTAGAAAAATATTGGCCTACTCTTTTTGCAAATGCTTTAAAGGGACAAGACCTTGCAAGACTCTTAAGCAACTTGGGAGCTGGTGGAAGCGCACCTGCTGGATCAGCTGCTCAAGCTGGAACTACAGCTGCTACAGAACAACCTAAACAAGAGGAAAAGAAAGAAGAGCCTGCTGAAGAAGAAGTCGTAGAAGGAGCTATGGATCTTTTTGGAGGTGATGAATGGTAATTTCATTAAATTGGACCTTTCATTTATAGTGCTTTTGATTAAAGTTAGGTTTTAGTGAATTTCTTATCAATTTTTTAATAGCTGCCTAGGATGTGAAGAAGAATCGTGATTTAGATAAGATTCTGTGGTAATTTGCTAAAAAAAGGATTATTGTTGGAACATGTTTAAAATTTGCATAGATGCTTGGTTTCTTATATAGATATATTAGTAATTGTTAAGCATTATAAGTTACATTTTCTTTATATTAGCAAAATTTTTACTTTAGCTTGGATAATCAATAGGCTAAGCTAATTTTCATTTTTTGTATCATACTTTAATATATATAATTAAAATATGTGCTTGAAGCTGGATGCTGGAGGCTATGCCCGGGCTGAAACGTCATATTTTAATTACATCGGCAAGGCTTTGTCAGCCATGAAATGGACAGCTATACTAGGTCAGCAATTATAATTCGTTTAAGGCCTAGCCTTAGTCCATATTCAGGAGTTGGATTTTACTTCGAGGGAAAGGAGGATTTAGAGTTGGAAAGTGGATGCCCAGCAAATCGTTTTAAGCCTATCGAGCACCTCCATAGCGTGAAACTAGAGTTGCACTCTGGGTTACAAGTTTCCTTTTTGACGAGAGTTGGTCTTTTTTTTGGAATATCTGTGCAGGCAGCCTTGTCTGGTGTACGGCACGGTGACCATCTCACTCTACTCTCTATTAGAAGCGAGCCTCATTAGGAGAGGAGTTAACCCCTAGTGGGGTGGCGGTAGGGGCCCAACGAAGCAAGGTGGAGATAAATACCTGGATCGAGAATGGAAGTGAACTTCTCAATCTAACTTAATTTTAATGTATCATACCCTAATAAGGATGAATACGTATGCTATTTTTTGCTACTCATATCCTTTAAGATCAAGCAAAACCAGTACTTTTTAGAAAAAATACCCTCTTTAAGAGTAAGTGAAAAGATTCCATATATAATTTTTTTTGTATAAAATATCTTTATGTGATTTTTTAATGAAATATGCTCCTAATTCTATTAATTTAGACAGCTTGCATTTGTAAACATAAATTTTATAAAATTAATTAAATTTTCTATATCACAATTTTTTTTTTTTGAAATCTAAAAACACTTTGGTCTTAAAGAGGAAAGGATTTAGCATATTCTTTTTCTAATATTACTTAACTTTCAACGCTGAGTCTCTATAAGTATACATTCTTAATGAACTAAGTCTTCATTCATATTTCATTTCTCTTTACCGAATTTCTTTTACAGTTCCTTAAAATTCATATATAATAATGAAAAAACTAATATTTTTCGTCTCTGCTTCAGCAGCAATAATACCCTTTTTTTACGATAACTCAAGTCCCAAAACACCAAGACAACTGAACGGCCTGCCAGACAGCTCATTTTCTACAGACGAAATACGCAATGGTGGTGAGCTTCTTTATATAGTCGGCATCTTCTATACCTTATTTGGAATCCGAGAAGTCTGCTCTAGCTATTTTATGCCCATTATTGACTACATTGTAAATAAATACTCTATTTCCCCTGATGTCGCTGGTGCAACTTTGATGGCCTTAGGGAACTCTGCCCCTGAAATCTTTATCTGTTTCATGAGTACGTTTATTACGAATGGTACAATCGGATTTTCAACTATTATAGGCTCTGGAGCATTCAATGCAATACTTCTAGTCGGAATCTGCGCTATGAGTGCAAAATCAGTTTTCGAGCTCCAGTGGTGACAAGTGGTGAGGGATTTTATGTTTAATATCGTCTTATTAAGTCTTTTGTTGTTATTCTGAAGCAACTTGTTTATTGACTGATATGAGGGGATAGTGCTTATTCTTGTGTATTTACTTTATGCGTACTTTATGAAGTATAATGGGCCGATTGAGAGATTTGTAAAAAAAAATTTATATATAAATAAAATGGCATTCGGTTCGAGAGAAATTAGCTCTGCTAATTTTCTCTCCCTCATGGAATTTTATTTATAGGGTTAGGTTTTCACTCGAGAACTTCTGGACAGCAATAGAAGTTTAACTCTGGGGATAACCAGAGGAACCACTCCTCAGTCCACTCAAGATTTCGGGCTTTTACCTCTCAGCACATCCCCACGGGAGGATGACCCTTAGGCGGCGGAAAACGCGCAGGAGCTGAGTCGAGTGACAAGGGCGACGGCAACGCGCCGGGTGAGATGTGCAGCAAGGCTGGTGAAGCAGGAGTTGATAGAAGGCTTGGATGGGGCTGACCCGTGCCAAGATGGCTCGCTTACGTCACTAGTTTTTGCCATAGGCCCTTTTGGGCTGCGGCACTAGACACCTTAAACACCAGATAATTAAGTAAGTAAGTAAGTAAAAAAAAATTTAAATTTGCCGTATGAAGGAGATGAAGTTGACTTTAAGCCGCTTCCTGAAAAAGCGTTTATAGTGAGAAGGGATTCAGTTTCTGACCTTGAAGCGTATATATAGCTCCTGATTCATTTTTGAGTCATCAAAAAGGCTTTCGGCCAAAATTGTCGATTTCAAAAAAAAAGCAACTGCCAGATTGGCAAACCAAATCATTTTAGCAATCTTTTAAACCTCCAGTTAACAGAAATCTCTGTGCAAAAACTCAAAATTATGCTTAAATGCTCTAAAACTCTATAAGGATGCTTAACCTATACCTCAAGAGCTCAATTTCAATAGAGGAATCCTAGCAAAAATGAAAAAAAATGCCGAGCTTCAAATAGTCAAAAATGACTCAGCAGAAAACACAGAAATTAGAACTAGATTTAAATATAGTGTCTATTTGATTTTAAGAGCCATCGAAGAGAAGAAAAAATGCTCAAAACGGTTAAGAGAGCAAAGAGGGTTGATATATCCTTACAAACACGAAGTTTTTAATAGAGAAGAAAGTATGGAAGGAATGGCAAAAATTAGAAAGCTACAAACGATTGAAGAGAAAAAAGAAATTTTTTCTGAAGTCAGAGCTTCACGATCATTATTAAAGAGAGTTTTGATATGACTGATGTTGCCACTTAAACTTTGCCTTAGATTATCTATTCCAAACATAAGCAATCATCCAAAGCTGTGGCTTATTTCTATGATGATGTCGCTAACTTGGATTGGAGGTCTTAGTTTTTTACTAGTTTGATGGACAACTGATGTAGGAGTTGCTCTTGGGATTCCCGAAAGTGTGCTTGGGATTATTATACCTATTTAAAAGGATTATTTTTTAAAAAAAAAAATTCTAGAGATTATATATGATAGGGTTTCATCATTATATTTTGGTATATTTTAGCAATGGGAGTATCAATACCAGATCTCTTGAACTCTCTCAAAGTCACTATAGAGGGTCATGGAGATATGGCACTATCTGGATGTATAGGGTCTAACATCCTAAACATAGGGATAGGAATAGGAGTTCCATGCTTCTTCGAAGCTGTGATAAATGAACCTATTAATATCCCAGTTGATTTATACATGGCTGAATACCTCATGATGAGCATATTTGGGACTTCTTATATATTTCTAGCCGGCTTCAAATTTCAATTATCACAGCACTTTGGAATTGTAATGTTCTTTTTTTATGCTACTTTCTTGACCTTATTTCTAGTGTTTGAATTTTTGAAAATACATTAAGTTTTAATCAGAATTGTTAAAATAATTTTAAATTGGGTTAGAATAAGCCAGAAAATCTATTAATATAATTTATTATTAAAAATATTTTTACGATTTTTATAGTGTTTATAAAGAGATATTGTATTTTTCAATGTGAAAGTGAGGGTATTAAATGAAGATGGTTGCAGTATAGAAATGGCATCCATATTATTATATGATCGTAAATATGAAACTTCCCAAAATGTAACAGTTTGTTTCATAATAATCCAAATATTTATTCTTATCAGACCAGCTTACTCCCCCCCATCCGTGAGTGAACAAAACCATTAGAAAAATCGCTATTTTTTGCCCAAAAACCCACCCTCCGTGAGTGAACAAAAATGTTTTTAATAGAAAAAATTTTTATTGAAAAAAATTTAGATATATAAATGATAATTATTATAATGAAATCTAGAGCTAATTCTGTTTAATTTTAAACGAATTGCTTTTTAAAACATAAATTTTATAAATTAAATTAATATTTGCTTTCAAATTTTTGCGAATTAGGATTTTTTTTAAATTTCGAAAAAATATTTTTTTTATAAAATTATATATAAATTTTTTAAAAAAAAAAATTAATGAGTGAACAAAATTTTTTTGTTCACTCACGGAGGGGGGGGGAGTTAGCACTTTTCAAGAGGATTAAATAATAATTAATTTTAATGTTAAATTAAATATACCAATCTAAAATCTTAGATATTTAAATTAGCTCAAAGGAAAATAATTTTAATATATAAATTAACTGTCTTAGGACGTTTGAATCAAATCACCCAAATGCCGAATCATTCAAAATTATAGTAGTTTTTTATTTTAAAAAAATAAAAATTTCTGAGCCGTTTCATTGATATCTTCGGTATCTCGGTATGATATAATTCAAGTAAATATGAATACTAAAAAATCCTTACTCCCCCCCTCCGTGAGTGAATAAAAAAAATTTGTTCACTCACGAAAATTTAAAAAAAATCCTAATATGAAAATTAGCTAGAGATTTCATTATATTAATTATCACTTATATATCAATTTTTTTTCATAAAATATTTTTCTATTAAAAAAATGTTTGTTCACTCACGGAAGGTGGGTTTTTGAGAAAAAAATAGGGATTTTTCTAATGGTTTTGTTTACTCACGGAGGGGGAGTTAGCTCGTGGATTACCTACAAATAAACCTTATAGATCTACATCAACAGAACTTACCACCTTTCCAGATATTGATAAAAACCGATTTTCAACACCTTTTCTTACCAGGAACTTGACACACAAAAAGCTATCCTTGTGCAGTAATAAATTAAACACTCAAACAGTCGCCAAATTCAGCCATTTAGCCCAGCAGGTATTAAATAGCACTCCACAAACACCAAAAGAATACTACCAGATCCTGAAGCCATCTTCAATTTCAAGATTTTCATGTGGAAAAGTTTTGGCTTATGCAGGAAATACAAATAAAGGACTGATTAGAAAAAAAAATGAAGACCGGATCATGATTATTTCAAGTGTAAATAAGCCTCATAATAAGGTTTTTGAAGACAACTGGCCAAATTGCTCCTATTTTGGTCTTTTTGATGGCCATGGAGGAAATGGCTGCTCGAATTTTTTACGTGATAATCTTCATCAATTCATCATAGAAAGCCATCATTTTCCGCTTGCCCCGCATAAAGCTATAAATGAAGCTTTAGCAAGAGCTGAAAGCGAATTTATGAAAATTTCTATAGGACATTGCACTATTTAGGGATCGGGGTTCCTTACGAGGAATGATGATTTCTCCACTTGTGGAACGCAATCCATAATCAGTGAAATGCGCTATAAAGAAACAAATGATAAATCTGGATCATGCGCTGTCATTGCTCTAATTGTCGGGCAGTTTTGCTTTATTGCAAATGTTGGTGATTCAAGAGCGCTAATGAGCGGAATGTCAGGAAAGCATGTTTATTCTCTTACTACAGACCTGAATTCTTAGTTAAGATTATTTTGAAGCTCTCGTGATACCTAAGGCATTTAACTAATTAAATTGAATAAGATCTGGCTAGCCTTTATCCTTTTTTATATGGAAATAGAATAACAGTTGCCAGTAGATTATTTAATTCTTTGTAATTATATATTTCTTCATTCTTGCTTCGCTCAGCTACTACTACCGTCTCTCTCGAATGCCAATCCTCTCACTCCCCCTCCCCCTCCCTTTATATTGGAAACAAAATATAGGTAAAATTTCCACTTTTTTGGTCAATTAACCCCCCCTAAATTGGAACAAAATTTAATTTTATAATAAAAAATTATATATAATTTTTATCTAAAAAGTTTTGATATAAGTTAAATGTTTCTTAACTAAAATTAAAAATTTAGTTATGTCTTGCTCTTGTTCAAAGATTAGATTAGATTAGAAATATGTTATAGCGGGTCTTAAGGGATTATTTCAGCCCCTCGCCGTCCCACGGATAGCTTCGCAGCGACGCTAAGCGCTATCCTCACACCACCTTTTTCCCTTTCTGACGTCACCAAAAAATGGTGACGTCGAAGGTCTTCGGGGAAGCCACCCCATCCGGTCAGGGTCTCCGAATCTCAGCAGAAAACTCCTTTAACCTCTGACAGGGCTCAGAGTATAGGGGAATCGCTTTCTGCCTTCTCCATGACCTGTCAGAACCGTGTCACAGGTTCGATAATGCTCTCATGGAGTGGTATCGGGACTTTGTGCCAGTAGGGTTAACTCGTAGGTAAGGAAAAAAGGACAAGGGTCAGCCCCAAGTCAAAAAACCCCACCCGGAGAACTATCGCCATGTGGCTCGCCTTTCCTGGGCCTGGATCAACTCACAGGTCACCAGGAGTCCACGTCAGATCACGCCATTTTAATAATTCTCTTGTTTAAAGAAGAAAGTATAAATAGCATCTTATTTAAATAAATTTATTATCCTTAATTGCTAAATTTTAAAAAAAAATTAATTTTTTTTAAAAATTTTTCATTATTTTTTTTGATAAAAATTATACTTTTTTATTTGGATAGTTTTGATATAAATTTCAATAGGAATTCTTTATAAAATTTCAAAATTTAGTTATTTCTTACTTTATTTTAAAGAATAGAGTATAAATAGCATCTTATTTAAACAAAAAATTAGCACTTTGATGATAAATTTCTAAATTTTTTTTTTTAATTTTTTCTTATCAATAAAAAATATATTTTGTGCAAATAATTTTGATGCCAATTAATAGTGGCGTATTAACTAATAATGAAAATTTAGTTATATCTTGCTTTGTTTTAAAGGATAAAGAGTAAATAGCCTTTCATTAAACAAATTTATTAATCTAACCTGATAAGTTTTTGATTTTTTTTTTAATAATTTTTATTTTTTATAAAAAATTTGATATTTTTTTTTAAAAAAAAAAATGAACCCCCCTTTAAATTGGAACAAAATTTTTAGTTCCAATTTAAAGGGGGGGGAGTCAGTATATGAGTTGCAATGCCGTGATTCAAACAAGGCGGTCCTTTCAGAAAATTCTAAATAATGAATTTTCTGGTCAGACTGCTGATTAAAATGGAATCTAATAGCCGAGATGCTATCCCTGATATAAATTGAGAATTACCCGATATTCCATGCTAACATTTTGGCTTTGCTGGATATCTCTTTCCGAGCTCCGAGATTTTCACCTTCCCTTCCTGTAAAACCTTTACTTGGATGTGAGCTGCGGTCGGCTATATCAGAAATTGATTTCACCAACCCAAGTAAAACCTGGCCGAATACACATTCCTGAACGCTATTCTCGCTTCCAAAAGGTTTCTGGGTTGTGTACTTTCAGGTATAAAGAGGCTAGGTTGTTTCACCACACCATTATAATGTATATCCCCTTACTACAGACCATAAGCCAGCTGAACCTCAAGAGCAAGCCAGAATTTTTCAAGCTGGAGGCTTAGTTTACTCGACAACTGCATTAAATAAGTCAAAAATTTACCGTGTTTTGCCTGGTAGACTTTCAGTAAGCCGAACTATTGGAGATATCGAAGCAAAAAACTTCGAGATGGGTGGAAACCCTGGTGTTGTAATTTCAACGCCTGAAATTAGAAAATTTGAGATAAAGCCTGAGTATGATTTTATTATGCTTGGAAGTGATGGCATTTTTGACACATTGACAAATAGAGATGTCGTTGACAAAGCATGGGAAAGCATCGATGGCTTAAATGATGAAAATGTTCCCAGTAAATGTGCTAGAGCTGCTGAAGGAATTATCCTTGAGAGTTTTAAAAGACAAACAAGAGACAATGTCTCTACTGTTATTATTGCTCTTATTCTCTCCACCTTTGAGCGACCAAAACAATTTATTCCGTTAATTTTTTTATTTATAAATAAATTATGAAAGTAAAGTTTTTTTTCAAATCTAAAAAAACTAATTCGCAAAAATTGGAAAGCATTAATTATAATATTCATGTTTTAAAATGCAAGTTACTTTAAATTCAAATAAACTAGAATTAACTAGCTATTTCATTATAATTAAGATTAAGATTAAGATTACGCTGGGTATTTATTTCATTATAATAATTATCACTTTAATATTAAAATATTTTATTTTAAAAATTTTTTTGGGGATTTTTTTCAATGGTTTTACTTCCTCCCGAAGGAGGGTTAGGAATTTAAACAAAAGTTAATTGTAAAATAATACTATAACTATAAGAGCTTTATATATATTAAGAAATGGTAATTTCCTTTACCTAACCCAATGAAGGGAATTCCTGATTTTTTGAGGGTTAGACAAAACAAAGAGCCATTACTGGCACTGGTGACTGAAATAGAGTCATGCATGGGCTGGAGGTCAAGGAAGCTCTAATGGTCGAACAGCTGTCAAATCATTGCTCGGAGGTCGCTCTCATATCTAGGGCTACAAGAAAGATCAGGATTGAAGTAAAAGAAGAGCAATCTTATCACTAAAAACTCCAACCAATATTTTCGTATTTGAAATGCTACCAATCTTAGCGGCTAAAATAAATGGCATAGCTTATAATAAATGAACCCAAGCAAGAATTAACATTTTCGATCAATAATCTTTTAAATAGCGAGCTCTTTATTAAATAATGATAAGCTCAATATTCGCCTTTCCATTTGGATAGCATAAAATACTTTTAGGCATCTATCTTAATTTTGAGGTCAAATTTTCTTACCACAAAGCAGTTCCCATAATAAGACTGAACATAAAATCACTAATTATATATTACTTAGCGAAGGCAAATCAATCAAATTTAAAAATCTGTCAGGTTTATTTTTCTCCTTGCTTAAAAATGAAACAATTTACTTATTAATGAAAAGCAAAAAATTATTGGCAGCTGGGACGTCTTCACGTCAGCAGTATAGATCTTCATCTACAGATCTTACTCCTCTTCCTGGGATAGAAAAATGTGGTCATTCTACACCAGCTTGCTTAAGAAACTTATCACAAAAAAGGTTAAGCCCAAATAATGGTAAAACCAGCACAAAATCGACAGTCAAATTTAGTTTTTTGGCTCAGGAAGTATTAAATAATTCATTATCCCCTGCTCAATAAGCGAACAAAATCATTAGAAAAATCCTTATTTTTGCCCAAAACCCACCCTCTGTGATCTAAAAAAATAATTTTGATATATAAGTGATAATTAGCATAATGAAATCTCTAGCTAATTCTGTTAATTTTAAACAAATTGCATTTTAAAACATAAATTCCACAAATTAAATAAAAATATTTGCTTTCCAATATATGCGAATTAGGATTTTTTTTAAATTTCAAAAAAAAATTATTATAAAATTTGTATATAAAAAAAAAATTAATCCTTCTGTGAGCGAACACAAGTTTTTGTTCGCTCACAGAGAAGAGTTAGAAATTCCAAAAGAGTGCCCTAAAACTCTCAAGCCATCTTCAATATCCAGGGCTTCATGTGGAAAAGTCCTAGCATATGCCGCAAATACTGATAAGGGGTTAAGGAGGAAGAAAAATGAAGACAGGATTATGATTATTGCAAGCTTTAGTGAGCCTCAAAATAAAATGCATGAAGCGGCTTGGCCAAACTGTTCATATTTTGGAATCTTTGATGGACATGGAGGAGATGGCTGCTCTAGCTTCTTGCGAGATAAGTTGCATCAGTTTATCATAGAAAGCCATTTTTTCCCTTCCTTTCCTCACAAAGCGATAAAAGAAGCTTTGGAGAAAGCAGAAAATGAATTTATGAAAATTTCCAAAGAAACAAACGATAAATCAGGATCGTGTGCAGCACATTAGCATAAACATTAAATATAGATTTTGCTTACGTCTCACCCAAGACGATCTGCATAGAAGACTCGTTCAGCTGCTAGCGAACCTCCTGGATATTTCACCAGAGATAGCTCACCTCCGGCTTTCGGCCTGATTTCTTTAATGCTGCCTCGGAAACATGGAATATGCAGGTTTGGGACTTTATGGCTGCTGCGTGAGTGAGAAGATTTCCAGCTAGGGATAAACTTCCTAACTAATATCGTCACCAACTATACCTAGGGGTAAAAAGTCTTTTGCCCAAATTCCCGGGAAGACATAAAGTCTTTATTGCCAGATGAGGGAAGCAAAACCTAACCAGAGCACAAATCTCCAGCACCCATAGACTGCGTTTCCTGCTCAGTTTGGCTAAATACCGCAGCAAGGTTCCCAAACTCGAAACAGGTCCAAGCGGACGGTCGGTTTATATGTGTGTGGATTGTGCGCAGTAATTGCTCTAATTGTTGGTCAAGTTTGCTATATTGCAAATATTGGTGACTCAAGAGCACTAATGAGTGGATTGTCTGGTAAGCATGTTTACTCCCTTACTACAGATCATAAGCCAGCTGACCCTCAAGAGCAAACCAGGATTTTTCAGGCTGGAGGCTTAGTTTACTCGACAACTTCATGAAACAGGTCCAAAGTTTATCGAGTTTTGCCTGGCAAACTTTCAGTAAGCCGAACTATTGGAGATGCTGATGCAAAAAATATTGAAATGGGAGGAAATCCTTCTGTTGTGATTTCAACACCTGAAATAAGAAAATTTGAGATAAAGCCTGAATATGATTTTATTATGCTTGGAAGTGTTGACAGGTTAGTTATTAAGAATTATCGAGAAGTTTGCTGTGATTATAAAGAACTTGCTCAATCTGTAATACTCCCTTCGCCTGCTCACCAGCTCATATGACCTCACAAAGGTTGTTCCTGCCGGATGAGGGCCTGCACTCGCACCCCTGTAGTCGCATTATCGTAATGTATGTAAACAGAGCTGTCCACCATCAAAAGGGTTGATTTTCTGGCTAACTCTTCGCTAACATGGAAATCCGTAACCCAGGGCGTAACTCCTAGCTTCACGCAGGAAATAATCCCGATTGGCCAGGATGAATCACCAAATGTTCTGTTTTGCTGAAGACCATTTCCAACTTCTGGACGCATTTCCCTCTGAGATAAAAACTTGGCATTGGACTAAGGTATGGGATCGACCATCCGGCATTGTGCTTTACCAAACCAAGAAAAATCTATCGGATACACATTCCCGAGCGCCATCATTCCTTCTCAAGGTCCCTGTGCATCCTATGGGATGCTAGTTGCAGGAGTTAAGAGAGTGGGGCTGCCCATCATGCTATTTTAATTTGTGTGCTTGGAAGTGACGGCATTTTTGACACAATGACAAATAGAGATGTCGTTGACAAAGCATGGGAAAGTATCGATGGCTTAAATGGTGAATTAACACAAACGAAATGTGCAAAAGCTGTTGAGGGAGTTATTCTTGAGAGCTTTAAAAGGCAAACCAGAGATAATGTCTCTGCTGTTATCATAGCCCTTACTCATCCCTTTAATATTGGAACAAAAAAATCCTGTTCCAGTTTAATTGAGATTAATTTTTTAATATTAAAAAAAAATTATAGTATTTTGAGTTTTAATATATTTTTATTAAAAATTATCTATAAAAATTAACTCACCCCATTAAATCAATCAAAATTAAATAGTATATTTTCTTTCTTAAATTAATCAATAGATCGCAATTTTACCAATATTTTGTTCGATTTAAAGGGGAGAAATAGAACCTTAATTCAAAACTAAAATGTACATAAATGTTATTTTGAATTTATTTTCTTGATATTTATTAGAATTTAGAGCCTATTAACTATTGGTTTCTTTATTACCATTTCTTTTAATATATAAAATATTAAATATACACATAGTCTTCTATACTTCTTGTTGCTCTATATATTTAAGCTAGCGAAATCTATTCTTTCCAACAATAATTTTTAATTTTCTGTGCTGTAAATATTTTATATATTTTATATAACATGAATAAAATTTCGCAAAATAATCCATTCTAATTAAAATTCTTATATCGAAATTAGCTCAAAATGCTGGAGATTTAAATGTTGTTGCAGCAAAAATTAATCAAGGTAAAATAATTTTTTAGTCATTAGAATAAATAAGGCACTCTACCTAAAATAAAAATGTAAAAATATTTTATGATTAAGAATAGACGTTTATATTATTCGCTTTTTCAAGATATATTACTAATAAAACTAAGAAATATGGCAGTTTCTCAACACTAGCAATATTTGGTGATAATTGAGACAGTTTGATTCGATTACACAGGATAATTTTAGAGTTGATTCTTCAATATAAAGAAGACTTATCTGTATGATTTATTATCTTTCTTTGAATCCTAAACAAATTCACAATTGGTCATTAAAGGGCACATCTTAAAGCCGACTCTGTGAGAGTAATAAATAATTCTTTGAGAGTCTCAGATCAGAGATATTTCTTCCTGGTGATGCAACACTCCAATTGGCTGTCCAGAAAAGATCCTTGCTAGGCTAGAGACATTTGCCTATAATGATTGGTACTCACAAAGTCCGTTAGAGCTAACAATGCCTCTTTTTTTTCAAGCTTAGAAAGCATGACTTCAAGTTTGACTTACTCCCCTCCTGAGTGAGTAAAACCATTGGAAAAATCCCCAAAAACCCACACTCTCCGTGAGTGAACAAAAAATTTTTTTAATAGAAAAATTTTTTATGAAAAACAATTGATATATAAGTGATAATTATTATAATGAAATCTCGAGCTAATTCTGCTTAATTTTAAACAAATTGTGCTTTAAAACATAAATTTTATAAATTAAATTAATATTTGCTTCCCAATTTTTGCAAATTAGAATTTTTTTAAAATTTCGAAAAAATTTTTTCTATAAAATTTATATATAAATTTTTTTAAACAAAATATTAACCCCCTTCGTGAGTGAACAAAATTTTTTTATTCACTCACGGAGGGGGGAGTTAGAGTAATCATATCCTCAAACAATTTGAAGGTTGCTAGATCTAACCTTCCTTTGCTTTTATTAATAAGAATCTTAAAATGAAAAATAATAGTTTTTTTTTAAGATTCTTATACTATATATTATCTCATCTTTAAATCGATTATCATCTTTTGTTAAAAATAGACGATTTAAAGCATATTTTTTCTAAGTTTAATCTGTTGTTGATTGCTTTAATTTACATAATAAATTGATTTAGCCACTCCTTTATGCTAGCTCGCCAACACATTATCCAATTTCTGTTATTAATTCTTTGCACAGAAAAAAGGATGTTGCACTGGTTTATTTATAAAAAAATGGGTTCTTGTATCAATATTCAAAAAAAACCATCAGTAGCTATGAACTCGAAAATGTCAATCTCTTTATATGGGACAGTTTTGCCAGCATCAGTAGCCTATAGCCCAGATAAGATTAATCTTCAAAGTTCTTCTGATATAAAAGAACTTCGCCGGGAGCTTTGGACAAATAAAGCTAAAGCAGCACCACAATTATATATGTCAAAAAGTAGCTTATATATGAGAAGAGCCAAGAGCAAGAATCCTATGAAACCTTTATCATTATAATATACTATCCAAATTATATAAACATTTAAGGAAGTTTTTGATTATGCCTAATTATTCAATGACTTGATTTTAAATAATAAGTTTCGAGTAAGTTTGAATATTTAAAATTAATTTGTGTTATTATTTATCAAATAAATCTAACTTAAATATAAAAAATAATTTAAATTTTAATTTCAATGTGATTTTTTTATATTCTGATAAAAAGTCTTATTGTGATAAATAAATTAAAAAATTGAAAATGATTAAAAATAACTCTGAATCAAGAAAAAATAGAATAGCTAGCAGCTTTATAAAGCTAAATTTGTCTTAAAACCAGGTTTTGGGTTTATTTTATAATATATTGAAATATATCGCACGAATATGAAATTGAATTCCTAGCTAAGGAAACCTATATATTCGTGCATTTTGGCTCATTAGAATCTTAATCCTTGAAAGCTGCTTATAATCAGCGAGAGTTTTGATAAATCTTTAAATCTTAAAATACCAATAATTTTCATTGGTAAATTTTGATTGCAGATTATATCAAAAAATAAGCAATTAATTTTATTTACGAAGTTTTATTTCATCATAACTCAATCTAAATGAGAAAAGAGCTTATTTTAACATACTCCATTATAATAATGAAAGAGTTGTATATGGTAATAAGTAAGCTTATCACTTCAAGCCACATCGATTATCAAGAAGATTTAAAGCATTTTGAATCGCTGCGAATAACAGATAGGAGAGAAAACTCTCAAACTGAGTCTGGCTTAAAAATTAGTTTACCATTACTAGGATTTGATGGCCCAGAAACTCCAACCTCAGTAAAGAAAATCGACATAGATGCTTTGCTGCAATCGAAAGAGCTAGTAATTAACTCCCCCTTTGTTAGCGAATATACCATTGGAAAAATTCCTATTTTTGCCCAAAACATATCCTCTGCAAGCGAACAAAATTGTTTTATGAAAAAAAATTGATATATAAGTGATAATTAGTATAATGAAATCTCGAGCTAATTCTGCTTAATATTGAGCAAATTGCATTTTAAAACATAATTTTAAATTAAATTAATTTTTACGGATTGGAATTTTTTTAAATTTTGAAGAAAAAACATTTAATATATAATTTTACCTCCGTGAGCGAACAAAATTTTTTATCACTCACGGATAGGGGAGTAAGCAAATAGATCAAAACATAGAAGGCAGAAAAATAGTAATTCGCACAATTCCGAAAAAAAGGGCTGAAGATCAAACTGAGGTTTTTCCGAAAAAGAGAGCAAAAGAACAACAGCTAAGATTTCCTATAAATGAGATCGAAGATAAGATTTGTGTTAATTGCAACAGATGAAGTAAGAGGAATGTTTATCTAACTCCCCCCCTCCGTGAGCGAATAAAAATTTGTGTTCGCTAAAGGAGGGGGTTAATTTTTGTTTTTTAGAAAAATTTATATATAAATTTAAAGAAAACAATTTTTCGGAATTTAAAAAAATCCCACTTCTAGAAAATTGGAAGGCAAGTATTAATTTAATTTGTAAAATTTATATTTCAAAAGCAATTTGTTTAAAATTAAACAGAATTAGCTCAAGATTTTATGTTACTAGTTATCACTTATGTAACAAAATTTTTTTTCCCATAAAAATTTTTCTATTTAAAAAATTTTTGTTCACTTACAGAGGGTGGGCTTTTGGCAAAAAATAGGGATTTTTCTAATGGTTTTGCTCGCTCAAGGGGGTGGGGTAAGTGAAAATAGTAAAGATACTGCTAAAAAGGGATGTGAAAATATAAACCCATCGCAAAATTCCCAAAATCAAAATGGCTCGGCTGGATTTTCACATAACTACTCTGAAGCCAAAAGCACAAAAATCGCAAGAATATGCCCATATTGTTTCAAGGACATGAATTCTTTTCAGCATACTGCTCCAAAAAGTGTTTTTGATTTTTCATATTATAAACCCTTATAAAAAATCTATTGCTATTAAGCTTAAAATTTATGTGAAATAATGAAATAATTATAAGTTAACTCCCACTCTCCCTCCTTAAGGGTGCAAAAATTCTTTACTCTCAATAAAGGGGAATAATTTTTTTTATAAAATATATTACCTAAAACATTTTTTTTCTAAATTTCAGAATTAAAAATATGATTTAAATTATAAAATTTATGCTTTAGAATGTCAATTTATTTGAAATTAACTTTAGATATCAATTATTATATATCAAAATATTTTATATAGAAAAATGTTTATATCAAAATATTGCTTGCTTACGAAGGGAGCTAATCCCCAAAAAACTAGGATTTTTGCTCACTCATGTCGAGAGAGGTTGTGTAAGCAAATTTACTATTAGATTATTGATTTACTTAGTTCTTATCGCAAGAAAAAGGATAAAAGTCAGCGCAGCTCCAGCATTCCAATATCTATTTGCTATAATATCTTTCGCAACCGTTTTCTCTTCATAATTCTTTTTCTCGCCACTTTGATATTTCAACGTATACCAAAATTTCTCAGGACGCTTCAAAACATTAAAATAAATTTTAGGAGGAAAATATTCCTCTTTGCACTCCGAAGGCGGCTGTAAAAAATAGCTGTAAACTAGAGTATAATTTATGTTGCCATCTTCTGTGCTTTTCATTGAAATAACTTTATCCATCCTTTTCAGGAACCCTAACAAATTTTCGTATTTTGATAATGAATCTTTGACATTAAAATGATCTCCAATATGATTTAATTCTTCCATTAAATATGCATAAACCACAATATCTGTGCTTCTTGGAAACTCTCTTCTTCCAGGCTTACTGAAAAAGAAGGGTTTTTCACCTAATTTTTGACTTAATAGCTCATGGGCTTTTTCAGCTTGATAGTAACAGTCTCTTCTATTCGTAATATTGTGCTGCCTCAGCAGATATTCTCTGATATGCCTTTTTTCACTAATAAAGCTTAGTTTTTCAAAAGGCAGCTTCAACAATCTCCAAAAGAAATTGCCCCTGGAATAGAAAAAGTTTTTAGAAGTATCCTCTTCCATCCATTTAGCATAAGTTGTAGCAGGATGAAGCTTACTGATGCATTGCTCTTCAATTAAGTCAGATTCCAACCTCTCTTCTTCGGAAAAATCAAAATTGCAGTCAAAAGCGATTTTCAGGAACGGGAGAATATGGTCATTTGTGAAAAAAGACTTGTTGAATCTTAGAATGGGGAGGTCGCCTAAGCCATTCCAATAATAATCTGAGTGCAGTTCTTGGAAGTTTTCGAGTTCATAAAGAGAGTGCCATAGTTTGGCTATTTGAGTCACTGGATCGTAAGTGTTTCCATAGCTCCCCTTCTTTTAATTGGAAAAAAATTTGGAAAATTTGCATTTTTTAGGTATTTAGCCCTTTTATATATTGGAACAAAGCTTGTTTTTTAAATAAAAAATATTTTATCGATAAAAAAACGAACTAGTTTTGGCTTAATTTAATAAACAAAATACAAGGAGAACGCTATTTAAAAGTTTTCACACTGAATCGATTATTTTTTTATTTAATTCTTCAAAAATAAATTCAAAGTATTATGCTCAATTCATATTTTTTTAAATTCTAAAAGAAATTGTTATAAAAAAATTAAAGATGAAATACTTAATTTTATAAATTAATTTTGACTATTTAAACAGTTTTTACACTGAATTGATTAGCTTTTAAAATTATTTCTTCATAAATAAAGATTTTTATATTTTAAAAATTTTTTTTTAAAGAGAATTTTTTTTAAAAAACAAAATTAGCCCCCTTTAAATCAGAATAGGATTTTTTGCTTCAATTTATAGGGGAAATAAGTATATAGCACGATATCTTCCATTATAATTGGACTGAAAAACGAATTAAAATTATTATGGTGCAAAAACAAGTATTTTAATAAGTATCCAAATGTAATTTTATTAAAAATATGAGTCAGATTTTTAATTAAGAAGTCCCTGTCCCCTCAGTTGCTGTGCTTGTTTCATCTGCCGTATCACTACTAGAATCGGTCTCATCACTACTAGTATCGGTTTCATCACTACTAGAATCAGCCGTATCAGCACTGGCATTCTCATCACTACTAGAATCGGCTTCATCACTACTAGAATCAGTCGTATCAGCACTGGCATTTTCAGTATCTCCACTACTACCCTCATACCCTTGTACCTTCTCATTTAACTCCACCACATCAGCTTCTACATCATTAATTTGTTCAGTCAAGCTACTATCCACATCTTCAATCTCATCACTAATACTATCTTCAGCTTTACTGATACTGCTCTTCATTTGGTCAGTCCCATAATTAACCTCTCCATACAATTAAAATGGAGGTGTTAGTTCGCTTTGGGAAATTTAGGTTATTCTGAGATTTGCATATAAGAGACGCTATCCACTTTACTGGGTAGCGGAAGAAGAGTGCTTTTCAAGCTGAGGACGAATGAAGTTCTAACAATCATGCAACTGCCAATCCGTTGCTCAGAGCGACTCCTATATCATGTAAAAAGCTTCTGAAAACAGAAGATCAAGTTATCTAACCTCTCCGCTAATTGACTCAGAAATTTTATCTCCTGACTCTTCTGCAAGCTCTTGTTCATACTCTCGGGAATCTTCAACTTCTTTATCATAAAGTGAATCAACGGAGTCTCCAAGACCTTCGTTGTTACTTTCAACATAAATATCTGTACTGTCAGCCCTGCCATCTGAAGAGGTATCCAAAATGCTGTCTTTTTGAAGCTCTAAATCATCAATTTGGCTCTGGACTTGTGACTGATAGTCTCTAAGGACGCTTATTTCAGCTCTTATAGCTTGGGATTCCTTTGCATCTGACGAGCTTTCTTTTGCTTTTCTTGGCGATTTATCATCTTCGCTTGGACATTTATTTTTATAGTCAGATTCAGAATGATAAAAAAACGTAGATTTACAGTCACCATAATCCTGGGCTGAAGAACTTTCTAAGCAGTATTGTCCATATTCACACCAGCCACAAGCAGAGTTTTCTATACATGTTTTACAGTTGTCGTAATCCATACAGTCTTTAGTTATGCATTGATTATAGTCCCAAGAATAGCACTCGTTTTCATAAGGGCCGTCTTCATCTCCAGCTACACATTACATTATGTAGACGGGCTTGCGCCCTTAATTTTAACGCAATCACCGAAGATCCCTTGTGGGATTCAACCGCTTTGCGACCTTCCTTCCGTCAGGTCTCCTCCTTGTCTCTTGTAAAAGACTTCAATCTTGTGTGGGCAGCCTACGGGTTTGTGCGGCCTCCTGAGGCTGAGGGAGTATGAAGTTGGCATTCCGAAATTCCAAAAAATGGAATTTCTGGTAGTCTATCGGCAAAAGGGTAAAGTCCAGATCTGGGACGTAACGCCTAGTTTCACGCTAGGCAGTTGCCCGATTGGTCTATTAATTACCTTTAGACCTTGCTGGGCTTGCCCTTTTCAAATCTGAACCCTCCTTTCCTTCGAGGTAAAACCCAGTCTCGAAGTTGGACTTGGGCTAGGCTCTGCCTCCCGCAGAATTGGCTACCTAGCATTGCTGTCCATTTCAAGGCTAGAAAAACCTTCCCGGATATAATTAAGATATGAGTCGGAGGCTGTATGGTCGTGAGGCCATATCTAGACGAAGACGCAATATTTTAATTATCCATCTCTACACATTTCAGCTCAGATTGACACCATACACAGTTAGAATTAGAGGTACAGCTTGAACATGCTGCGAATTCAGTACAAATGGCAAGATAAACGGTTAGCTCAGCTTCTAAATTGTCAAGTTCGTAATTTACTTGATCTAAATCATTATGCAGGTCTGTGATTTGTGCGTCAATCATTGTAGAAGATGATGTGGCAGAAAAATCGATAGCTGTGTTAGTTTGATAAGTGATATCACTCATAGAGTTATCAAGATCTCCTGAAAGGTCAGAAATGCTTTGATCTACAGTTTCAACCCCATCTGCTAGGACTTCTAGAGAAGATTCTGTGTTTTCTGTTTCACTATCAGCTGTCTCATCTACTTCAGTCTCATCCTCAGTTGATCCACTTTCATTTTCCTCTTCAACTGTCTCATTTTCTTCTTCAATTTCATCAGTTTCCGCTTCACCTTGGACATCTCCAGAGTCTTCCTCAGCGCCTTCTTCAGTTCCTTCTTCAGTATTTTCTTCCTCTTCTTTTTCATTTTGGGTATCTGTAGTGCTAGTATCAGATGCCTCGCTAGTATCATCATTGTTTACTTCAGTCAAAGTAAGATCATAATTGGAATCAGTCTGTTCTGTTTCTGTTTCCTCTTCTGAATCCTGTCGCAATTCAAGAAAATATTGAGACTTCGATAAAGAGTAGCTATAAGAAATAGAGACGCTGAGATAAAAGATAAATAAAGCTAAATGGTATTTATTCATTATCCGTTTTGCAACAAAATTGAATCTTAAAAGAAATTTATAAAGTCCTAAGAATTTAGAGATGATTTTAAGTTTGGATAGAAATAATGATGATTGATAGAGAATAGTATATAAAAAATTATAAAGGATGCAAGAATTCCTAATGATTAGCACTAATATATGTATTATTTAGAAATAGGATAATAGCAGCCAGTAGAAATTTTTATATTCGATGCAATAAGGAATAAATTTTATTGGTGTGGAAGAATTTATTGCGGAGTTTGGGTTAGGCTAATTATTTCTTAAAACATTAAAAGGGTAATATCATGGTTCATAATAAGGCTAATTGTTAAGAAGAAAAAGAAAAGTCAAGCTTGATACGCTAGCTTGGTATGGAAGATAAATATTTTTAAAACCTGATCAATTTTAGGATATGGAATTAAATTAAAGTAAGCATAATTTTATCTTTAAGTCTTTTTAATCATTAAGAAGAATGCGAGACTATAAATTAATTATGAAAAAATGGTTATTAACTCAAATAATTTGTATTTGGTCAGATTATCTGTTCAATCAATGTAGCATAACAACTTAATTATTATCATTATTAATTTTATTATCATTAAGATGGGCTGCTGCATTACAACTACTCATAAAAGTTCTCAATTAGCCAAACTAAATCAAAGCGAAAAAGACTCATCAGAAGTGGTCGTAAAAACATCAGTAAACACCTCTATGCCAAAATCGCAAGAGTCAAAAGATGTCCCTTCATTTCAATCCTCAACAAACAAAATCAAAAAAAGAGAACTTACTGATGTTTACAATATCAAAAAATGTATCGGTCAAGGGAGCTTTGGAATAGTGAGGAAAGGCCAACATAAAAATGATCCCAATCTGATTGTTGCAATTAAAAGTATTGATAAATTTAAAATCAAGTCAAATTTGCATTTATTGAAAAGGGAAGTCTCTATTTTGCAAAGCATTGATCATCCAAACATTATATGACTACTAATAATGGTTATAGAATTTAGGAATAATGCAGAGACTATATAGATATTCATATAAATTAACAATATATTTATTTACCTTAAATAATCCTTCTGTTTATTAGATTTACGAGCATTATTTGCCAACAGTGAAAAATAGGGAATGGTATAAAGTTTTATGAAACTTTTGATGATGGAAAATACCTTCACATTGTCATGGAATTTTGCTCTGGAGGAGAGCTTTTTGAAAAAATCATGGAAAAAGGCAAAATAAATGAGAAAAAGGCAGCCTGCTATATGGAAAAAATATTACTAGCAGTCAACCATCTCCACCAAGTAGGCGTCTGCCATAGAGACCTGAAACCTGAAAACTTTTTATTTGAAAATGATTCTCCTAATGCTGAGCTAAAAATCATTGATTTTGGTTTATCAAATAAATTTGGGGACAAATTCAAGCACACAACCAAAATGGAAACTTTTGTTGGAACTCCTTACTATGTAGCCCCAGAAGTTATTAAAGGAGAATATGGTCCGAAATGTGACTTATGAAGTGTAGGTGTTATCATGTATGTCATGCTCACAGGCCATCATCCTTTTAAAGGAGAAACTCCTACACAAATTTTCCAAAACGTCGTCAGAGGAGAGCTGAATATGGAAAGCCCAGTATGGGAAACTATTAGTGAGCCTGCAAAAGATTTATTGAGAAAACTAATTGTAACAGACCCTAATCAAAGATTGTGTGCAGATGATGCACTGCGTCATCACTGGTTTAGTGATGCTCCCAAGGCAAAAATAGAATTAGACCCTAACATTATTTGTGCATTGAGACATTATAAGCCAAAATCTCAAATGCAAAGGGCAGCACTTGGGATTATAGTAAAGTATTTATCACTTGACCAGATTAAGGATTTAAGGCAAGCTTTTTATGATATTGATTTAGATCAAAAAGGGGAGCTGAATATTGATGAAATTGAACAAGCTCTAAATAAATGTGGAATAGAACTGCCAAAAACGCAGCTTTTTGAGATTTTTAAAAACCTTGACTATAATGGGACTGGAAGTGTTAAATACTCAGAGTTTTTGGCTGCAACAATTTATTTAATGTAAATGGATTTAAGCTTAAGTCTTTGCGGAGTCTAATTTCCATCAATGCTCCATTTTATTTTTAGTAGCGATTAATGAATTCAAAAAAAAGCTCATAAAGGACATGGTGGATAATAAAACGGAAATGGAGTTGGAGGCTATAATAGGCATCTATCTCAATTGCTTTGGAGAATTCCAGTGTCAGATCAACAGTGCCAAACTAGATGTAAAGGGCATATTTAGACTCAGGTATGAAGCTCACTGTTTTTCTTTCCTTGCCTTCAGTGATGGTGTTTTTCATGTCTAATTCTAGGATTTCGCAGAAGTGGCTAAGCTCTTCAATCACTCTTTCAATGGGCATATCGATCGTAAGACTCGTCCTAATTTTGTATCTGCTATAGTTAGCCTCTCCTAGCGGTAAGTATGGTCCGGTGGGACAATACTACATTTCCTAAGCAAGTGACCTTGATGTACCCAGCCTTAAGGGTGGCTTTATACTTCGCGCCATCAGTGAAGGTGACCGCGCTATCTCCGGATACCATCATTAGTGCCCTTAGAATGTCTCCTGGTCAGAATAAGGCTTCTAGAGCTTGCTTAAAGGCCTCTTTTTGCCTCCCTGCTTGGCTCTCTGAGGTGCTTGGTGAAGTATAATGCCATGGTCTTGGCCATTTGGTGTGCATTGGCAAATTTGGGTACTATACTGGCCGTCTGATGTGAACCCAAACAGGATGTCATCCGTGCTAACGTTCAGGGATTGTAGGGGCCAGTCCTGGCGCTCATTGGGATGTGTTTCTATTTGTCTCATATTGAACATACTAAATAAAGTGACTGGAGAGAGAGAGGAAAAGAGAGATTTGCAGAGTATTAGCTATGTGGCTAATCAAAAAGCCATAAGGCCTGTGGCAGCTGCCTCTAAATTTCAATTTAAAATGCAACAATTTCTTCAAGAATCCAGCTTGATGAGCATACACTTTGGATGGCTTTTAAAGTGTTCGATAAAGATGACCAAGGATTTATAACCCCTGCAAATGTTTATGATGTTCTTACGAATATGGGGAAAAACGTCAGCCGTATTCAAGTTAAAAATATGAGGTTTTATAATAAATCGTACTAATAAAACCTCCTAAATAATAATGAGCCAAATTATCTTTTTACAGTATATTATTAAGGAAGTAGACTTGGACCATACCGAAAAAATCACTTTTGAGGATTTCAAGAAACTTCTATCTGATGGGAAGATTAATTGCTAATCTCTTTTATACAATAAACAACCCAAATTTTCCCTAAATATATCTGCTTAATAGATTTTCCTGCAAATTATAACTTAAAAGTATTAAAATATTTATTATCTATCACTAAACCTCCAAATTAACATTTTTTGGCCTTGCTTGATTTTATTTTTGATAAAGTTGTCTGCAATTCTTGAATTAATTCGTCTTTTTCTTCAATATCGTCCTCTGTTTTTGATAGAATAGCTTCAAGCTCTATCACTCTGAGCCTAAGAGCTTCATTTTGGTCAAGGACCTCTTTTAAGGCTGTCTGCAAAACTTTTGAATATTCATCTTGACCACTACACAATTTGCATGTCTGAGTGGCAGAGAGTGGCGCGAGAGAACTTTTTATAGGGGAATGGTCGATAATTTCTGGGCCGTTATCTTGAGATTCTGATGAGCCTTCTGATGCCCTTACTTTTTTGTTGGTAATTTTGGCAAAGGCTGGTCTGGATGCATTGGGAAATCTTCTAACATCGTGATTCGACATTTTTGCGGGTTTTTATAACTAGAGCTAGGGACCTAGAATTACTTAATATACTTCTCCTATGCTGATAGGTGACGAGGAAAATGGTTATCGGTCTCAAAAATCTGAGAGTTAGTTAGAATATCGGCATAGAATTAGGAGATTCTATTAAAAATAAAATTTTTTGTTCACTAAAGGACGAGCTAATATTTAGGAAAATTAAATCCTATTTAATTATATGAAGAGTTTTCAATATGAAAAAGGAGGATTTTAAATTTTAGTAAGTATTCAAATTAAGTTTTAATTGTTGATATGAATATTATTAATATTTATGGTGACACAGCTGATTGGCTACCATTATAGTAATCTCTTCGTTTTTTATATAATTCACTTAACAGACAATCAAGCACTCAATATCTTTTTGAGAGCTATTTAAATTTTTTAAACATGCATGCCCAATCTAAATCAGCATGAAATTTTATTATCAGCTAATTTAAGTAACTACTTACCAGATAACGAGCACAAATAGAATTCATTTATGATCCAAAATCGATTCAAGATATAAAGCATACCAACTAGCCGGATTATTGAAATATATTTAAATTTATATAATAATAAATCTTCTAAACTCAATCCTTATTTATTTTTACTATCTATTCCTTCATTATAAATTCTCAATCTCATTAATTATGTAATTTAAATGCAAAGATATGAATATTATGAAATCTCATCTCCAGGACTGAGATCTACAAGCTCAAATCCATTTAAAAATGATACAGTAGCTTTAATTTCACTTCAAAAAGAGAACCAAGAGCTGAGAAAAAGACTAAAAGATCTAAATATTAAGTTAACAGATGCAATAACACAAAAGGAAAGCAAAAAAAGGAGGCCGTCACCAACGAAGGTTGCTGAAGATGGCCACCAAAAAGCTGAGAGCAAGCTTGAATCTTATATGTAACTTTTATTTAGAAACGAAAAGCGTCTGTTGCATCAACGAATCGATAAGCTCTCAGACCCGAATTACGAATGCAGCCTAAAAGACAAAATCCAAAGACTTCAAAATGTTCTCATTAGTAAGCAAAATGCTCATAAATTATTAAATGCAACCCTAAGTATAAAAGAAACAGCGGCTCGAGGTAATGAAGAAGCAAGCCCTTCTGATTATGCAAATTATTTAGCTGCGATATCACTTTATACTCAAAGGATTAAGAAATTGGATGAAACTGAACGACTGAATATGCAAGGCTTGCAAGAATGGTCACAGAAATACCAAGAATTGAATCAAAATTATTTGGAGCTATACTAATTTGGAGAATTTATCTACCAAATATTCATATCTTCTACTAATTTTACGTTTTAAAAGATAGTGAATGATTTAAGGTCCAGGGCCTATAATTTAGGAAGTCCTGGGTGGGTTTTTGCCTGGACAGACTCTAAAGGTGCAAAGTCAGATCATACTTCTGGGAAGCAATTATGCACCTGAGCAAGGGCATGCAGTCTAGACAGAGACATTAGGTGTTTTCCCATACTCTGAGTACTACCAGATTAAGGGAATCCAATGTGGTAGGGCTAAACCCAAGCATGGTCGGATGAGTCTCCCGAGAGACTGCTGACATCGACAAGAATAGGGCGTGGTGTGACGCAAGTACTTAGGGTCACCTGAGCCTTAAGCCGGGCTAGAACGACTAGGGGCTAAAATAAACCCAGAAATCTGCTATAATTTAATTTAACCTCTCTACCAATTTTCTTTAAAAAAATACTTATAAATTGACTTAAAACATTTATATTTTTATCAAATAAAATAAAAAAATATTGTCGGCGATGCTGAAATTAGCATGAAAAGAGAACAAGATCTCAAAGAAAGAATCAAAGAACGAGAATGGCAGCTAAAAGTAAAGGAAAAAGAGTTCAATGCTAATTTCAGAGATTTAAATCAGAGGATTAAAGAATTAGAGCTTGAGTCTAGTGAAATACAAAGAGAAGAAAATTTCACTAAATTAGAAATCGCAAGAAAATCTGAGGCTTTAGACGATATTAATAAAGAATTCAAAAGAAATAGAATTGGAGGTCTATCTCCAATTGTGTCGAAAAAGGGGAGGTTGAACGGTAACATATCTTTTATTACAAACCATGAGTATAGTCCTCGAATTGGGACTGACTCCTCTTTTATCTATAATCTAAGCAAGCCGAACCCTTATTATTCAAAAACGCCATTGCCATTCTAGTCTATTAACACACATACAAGCAAGTTTTGAGGTTTTTAGCATAATTTCTAATTAATTGAATTTAAATTAACCTGATTTTACCATTATAATTAAATTCGAAAAGCCTTAATAGTTATACCATTTTGTTCTGATTTTTCATTTCATAGACTTTTATAGCGAAAACAAGATCTGCGATCTTTTTCTCTTTATTTGCAAGCAAAACACTATTTTCTTCGTCAAGAGCACGCTTCTTGCTTTGAAGATCTATTATGTTTTTACATAAGCCTGCTTTAAGTGATTGGTATCCTTCAGGCTCTAAATCCAAGTTATTATATCATTTTTGGACACTGTTTTCTATATCTTTTGCATAGTTTCGGATTATTAATTTCTTTATAGACATCGCGTCATCTGCTAGCTCTTCAAATCTCCCATTGATTTCAGTTTTAGCTTCCTTTGAGATTCTTGAAAAAATATCATAATCAGTTCTTTCTTGAGGAGGAGGAGGAGGCTTATTTTCCAATAAAGGTTCTTCTTCTAGTGCTTTTTTCAGTCTTTTGTTCTTATCTTTTGCCTCTTTTAGCTTTTTTCCCATCTGTTGAAGCTCTTTTTCTATTGAGCCCATAAATTTCTGGGTTTTCTTTTCATAGATTTCTTTTATATTTCGTAATTGTGGGTCAACATTTATTTTTTCTTTTTCTTTAGTTATAGTTTTTTTGATTAAATCCAGTGTTTTTGCTTCTTTTTCACTGCTAGATTTTGGCTCTGAAGCTGTTTTAGCTTTCAAAATTTCATCAGCTAGTTTTTGTAATCCTTTTGATGAAACTTGACTTTTGTTTAACCGGCTAGTAACAGTATTTTTAATTGGCTTTTTGACTTCTTTGGATATAAGAGATGGGACTCTTGTTGGAGATAAGGGGCCTTGTGCTGATTTTTTAAATTGAGAGGTTTTGATTAAAGAAGCTGATTTTTGAGCCATGTGATTATTATTTTGATTAATCAAAAATATAAAGATATCTTGAGAAAAATAATAATAAAAAATTTTCTTTTGTTATCTTGATCAGCATTTTATCATTTTCATTATACTTTTTAATCAAATTGAAGAGAATAAAGAAAAATTTAATTATTTTAGAATTACAAAGAAGTCGTAGAATAATATACTCTTCTTAAAAGAATTCGACATTGTGAAAACTTGAAGCTCTTTAGATTAGATTAGATTAAATTATAGCAGGTCTTCGGGAATTGTTTCAGCCTCTCTCCGTCCTGCCATGGGTTTCAGGCTCGAGCGGCTCTAGTCACCTGGCGTCACACCACAGCCTTTTTTGTTAACATTATAAAAAAAATGATTACGTCATCAGTCTCTCGGGAGGCTCACCCGGCCATGTTTGGATTTATCCCTGATACATTGGACTCCCTTAACTCCTGGTAGCACTCAGAGTACGGAGGAAGCGCCCAATATCACCTTCTGGACTATCATGACCTTAAAAGCGTATGATTGCTTTCCAAGAAGTATGAGCTAAATTTGCACCTTCGATCTTTTGTCTGTGGAATAAGAAAAAAAGCTTGTCGTGGAATCCTGGCCAGGCAAAAAATACCTTACTTCTTAAAAGTATTGATCCACTTATCTCAGGCTGGAATCAACTCACCAATCATCCTGGACTTATACTGAAATTGCAATCTTTTAAAAAGTCGAGCTCTTTAAGAACGCACTACTGGCTTGCTGGTTACTTACAAAATCAGAAAAATGACCTTGAGAATCGCCCTTATAGGCGATTTTTTAATAAAATGTGATCTATCTAGGCCTTTTTCTGGAATTACCTGGGTATCGGTTGAGCCTAACCTGGCTCAACAGCCTCTGTGTGACTCAGAATTAATATGATTTTATGCACTATATTTTACTTGAACTTTTTCCATTAAATTAGGCAAAACTTATTTATAAAATTAAAATTTTCTACCGAAAATCAAACTTCGCTCAAATTTAAAGGGAGCTATATACCCAAAAGATTCGAAATCTTATCGATATTTTGCCATTTGAGGAAATAGTTAAAATCAAATAGAATAGCTAGAAATTTTATTATAATAGCTATATTTCAAAATATTTTTAAAGGATAAGGGTGGCTTTATGCCGAAAAAATATGAATTTACTCACTTATGGATGTGGTAATTAGCAAAATTAGTCAAGTCTAAGCTAAATTAATATGTTTATGCTTCTTCTCAGGATCAGGGCTAATTTGATCTCCTGCTCTTTTCGGGTTAAACGCTATTTCTTCTGGAATCCTAAACTCCACGCAAAACATGAATTTTCTAGGCGATACATCACGAACAGTCACCAGTTTAAAATTAGATGTATCAAAATCCCCCCAAGCTGCTTTAATCCTATCAACAAGCTCACTCCCATTTGGAACTGAAGAAAACCCATAAACATGTATAACAGGCAGCTCTTTCCATACATCAGGGTTAAATCTCCATTTAAATACATCAAGAAATTCAATAGCGTCCATAGGTAAGTTCATATAAATATGATGAAAAACGCTTGGGAGTGTCTGCATAGGAGGAGCTCTCAACATATCATCACATTTAACTTCTTCTCTTGGGGTATTTAATAGCTGTATAATAAACTCTCTGGCGTCCATGTTATAAGCTGACAGGTTTTTAGCCACTTTATTTCTCAATGAATTTTTTACAAGCCATTCATAGCATGAGGGATTTAAGTCATTTGCGATTACCCTGCATCCTAACTTTGCCGCTTTTATTGCAAAAGGTCCTACTCCTGCAAACATGTCACATATAATTTCATTAGGTTTTAACGTCCCAACCACCCTTATTCTTTCAAAGGCCAGCTTTGAGTTCCAATACACATCTCTGAAATTGAAGTTAAATATACAGTTCCCTTCTTTCTAATTAAAATTTACAACTTCTGTATCAAGTTTGTCTTCTCCTCCTATAACTTCCATTTCAAAAGTTCGGAAAACTGACTCGATTTTGCTTAATTTTGTAACAACAGTTTTTATTGAAGGACTTTTCTATATATTTTTTACGTCTATTGTTACCTGTCCGATTATATATCGATATGGCATATGTTCAGGCTTTAAATTATAATGGGCAATGTGGCCAATTGTTTCAAACCCTGTTGGGATCACTGTGCCATTAGGAAGAATTTCTCTTACTCCCCCCCCCCTTTAATTGGAACTAAAAATTTTGTTCCAATTTAAAGGGGAGTTAATTTTTTTTTTTTTAAAAAAATATCAATATAAAATTTTTATATAAAAAAAAATTTTATATATAAAAATTTAAAAAAAAAAAATTCAAAAACTTATCGAGTTAGATTATAAAATTTGTTTAATAAAATGCTATTTACTCTTTATCCATTAAAAAAAAGCAAGATATAACTAAATTTTCATTATTAGTTAATACGCCACTATTAATTGGTATCAAAATTATTTACACAAAAATTATTATTTTTTTTTGATAAAAAAAAATAAAAAAAAAAATTTTAGAAAATTTATCGATCAAAGTGCTAATTTTGTTTAAATAAGATGTTATTTATACTCTATTCTTTAAAATAAAGCAAGAAATAAGTAAATTTTGAAATTTTATAAAGAATTCCTATTTAATTTATATCAAAACTATCCAAATAAAAAATATCGTTTCTATCAACAAAAACAAAAATTTTTTTGGAAATTTTTTAAAAAAAAAAATAAATTTTTTTTAAAATTTAGCAATTAACGATAATAAATTTATTTAAATAAGATGCTCTTTATACTTTGTTTCTTTAAAAAAGAGCAAGATATAACTAAATTTTTAATTTTAGTTAAGAAACATTTAGCTTATATCAAAACTTTTTAGATAAAAATTATATATAATTTTTTATTATAAAATTAAATTTTGTTCCAATTTAAAGGGGGGTTAATTTACCAAAAACGTGGAAATTTTACCGATATTTTGTTCCAATTTAAAGGGGGGGGGAGTTAAAACTTCTTCTGCAGAAAAATGGTCGTATCCTAATAAAATTGTGTGTGGGAGAATTTCGTAGTTTATTAGTGTTTCAGGGATTTCGGCTATTGAAGGATCTAATAGTAATAACTTGTGGTCTTTGGAACCAGGGCATGCGATTGTGTTTTCTTGTTTATGAATCTTTAATAGCAGTGATCTGTGGTCTTGCTTTAAATTATTGCATTCTTTTAAAGGCACTTTGACTGCTTTTAGGTGGAGCTCTTTTTGGAACCTGGCATTATAATTACTTTTCTTTACTCCCCCCTTCCGTGAGTGAACAAAAAAATTTTGTTCACTCACGGAGGGGGGTTAATTTGTTTTTTAAAAAAAAATTATATATAAATTTTATAGAAAATTTTGTTTTTCGAAATTTAAAAAAATCCTAATTTGCAAAAATTGGAAAGCAAATATTAATTTAATCTATAAAATTTATATTTTAAAACGCAATTTGTTTAAAATTAAACAGAATTAGCTCTATATTTCATTATACTAATTATCATTTATATATCAAAATTTTTTTCCATTAAAAATTTTTCTATTAAAACAATTTTTGTTCACTCACGGAGGGTGGATTTTTTGGGCAAAAAATAGCGATTTTTCTAATGGTTTTGTTCACTCTCGGAGGGGGGGGGAGTTAGGAACTTCTCTTAATTCCATATTTATACCAAGGTAATTTCGAATAAATTTAAGCTAACACTATCAATTATACAGCTGAAAATTTAAGAAGGGTTATATCATGATGGTGTCAAGCGTCTAAGAAGATCTGGGTTGTACCTTTCCCTTTCTTCTGAAGTCCAATTAAAAAGAGGTGGCAATGGATCTCCATTTGGAAGCCTTGTTGCCTCATCTTTAAGTTGGTCAAAGAAAGGATGTTCTAAAGATTCCAATGCTGACGGTCTTAACTGAGGAGAATATACCAGCAATCTTGACACAAAATCAATGGCATCTACTGGAGTCCTCGATTTAAACACTCTATTCCAAGGATGTTGTGGGACCTGAGGAAAATTATTTTCTGTATAGCTTGGGTTCATGTCTCTTATTTGTTCTCTATTTGGAGTCCCTAGAATTTTAATAATTTCCACAAGCTGGTCTACTCCGCTTTCTCCAGGAAATAACGGTTGTCCTAACAAAATTTCAGCAACCACCGCGCCAGCACTCCATACATCTATTGCAGGTGTATAATCAGTAGCTCCAAAAATCAATTCAGGGGCTCTATAATAGCGAGAGCAAATATAAGAAACATTGGGTTCTCCTCTTATGAGTTTCTTTGCAGAGCCAAAATCACAAAGTTTGGTACTATGAGTGTTTGTGTCGACTAGGATATTTTGAGGCTTAATGTCTCTGTGGCAAACCCCTACTGCATGAATATAAGCTAAAGGGGTGCAGGTCAAACTACTTTGCTAGTGTCCATTTCACCTAAAAATTTTTGGCCGAAAATTGATCGAAAATTTTTTGATAGTGAAACATTTGACCGAATAAAAACGTTAATTTTCGGCCAAATGGATTTCGATGAAATGCACACTGTCAAAAATCCACGGTCATTTGGCATGGAGCCAAGCTAAAGATCTCATAATTTGGTAACTATAAAGCTTTACTAGTAAAATAGGCACTGGCTGTCTCATTCGGCTGTAATGCTTTATTACTCTGTAGAGCGTTTCATTTACAAATTCCATGACGACGTTTAGATAAAGCTCGTTTGGCTTTTCACCATTTATATAGAAGGCGTGCTTGAATGCGACGACGTTTGGATGAACCAGCTCTTTTATGATTTGAAGTTCACGGTTTTTGTACCGAGGGTCTTGCAAAACCTTTTTTATGGCAACTGTTTCACCAGTTTGAGCTATTGTTGCTTGGTATACTGTGCCAAAACTTCCGCTGCCAGCTATTTTGTCAGCATTATAAGTTGAATTGCTATTGGCTTGCTTTTTCTCATCAATACTCATCCTACTCAAGGAAGAGCTTAGATCTCCTACACGTCTTCTCACTGATGCTGAGGATACATTGTGGGCTACACTGTTTTTTGAGACCCTATTGCTAAGTCTGTCCATGTTTTTCTTCCTAACTTTTTATTTAAATTTAATCATTTGACTAAGAATCATCATTTAAAAACTCCATAAAATATTTATGAGAATATCTATATGCATTTAAGAATTAACTTCGATGAGGTAGTCTATTTTCTGTAACTTAAAAAATCCAATTTAAATTTACAGCTAATTATTATTTAATTTTTTCAATAAGATCTGTGCATACCCATTGAAACTAACCTTATTTCTCTTATCTGAAAAGCCTTTCCAAATAATGGAATATGGTGTTTTTAAGAAACAGTTTAGTAAATTTTATCAATAAATTTTATGTAAAATATTTTTGAAACTTTATTAAGTTTATTAAATTGAAAGGGTGATTTTGCTTAATTAAGTAAGGTGTTGCAATATTACATTTCAAAGTTTCTTGATACCTCATCAAAAAACTTTATGATTTTTTTTTTACCAGCAAAAATAATCAAGACGCAAAATAAATCGTTTAAATAAAATAGAAATTTTAAAACTCGCCGAAAGACAAACAATATAAAGATCTCAATTATCAAACAATCTCCACACTCTCAACTCTCAATTCTTTATTAACCTAACGCTACCTTTATTAAATTCATAATAAAATCCTTTCAAAAATTCAATTCAGTAAATGGTTAAATTTCAAAATTTATTCATCCATTAAAAAACTAGCCACTATATGAAAAGCCTTTTCCTCATAAGAGCCTTCTTCTCTAATAATTACTGCTTATTTTAAAAAAATTAATGCAAAACTCAAGCTTTTACAAATCAATTAGATTATTGTCAAAGCTTTTTACAAATTTTCCTTTGACTCTCAATTTATGTCTTGCAGTTTCACTCCTGCCTTGAAAACTCCTTGAAATCTTTACTTTTTGCCTGTATCTCTGGAGTTTCATTTTATATCTTAAAATTTTTTGCTCTCTTATGTGTGGAGGATATATACCCACAAGCGGTTTTTCGTCTTCAAAGTCTGCAGTAGTGCTTGCAATTGAGTTCCAGCTCTCAGTTCTAGGCATTTTCGCAGTGCCTTCTTGAGAGATTGATGATAGGCATGATTCCAGCTGATGGTATTTGAGTTTTTCTGATTCAAGTTCTTTAGATAATTGCAAACACTTTTCTCTCTCTGCTAAAAGCTCATTTGACAGCTGAGCAATAAGACTTAGCCCAGGCTCAATGGAATTCCAGTGCAGGGCTATCGGGACCACGATTTTTTCTTCTTGTTCTTCCATAGTTATGTATATTAACTTTCTGGCGAGCCCTATTTTTCACACATTTCTTGTATAAGAAAAATTATTGTCGATGAAAAGAGCACCACTTTAGATGAGAGATTTGTGACTGAAATTTAAAAAAATTAGAGAGAAATTAGTTTTGAATGAAATTTGGGACTATTTCTGATAATTTGGCATACTATGGCGCCGAATAATATTATAAATTTATTCCATAGTTAATTAGGCTAGTGGAAAGAGAAATATGCATCGATATCAGAAATTGATAAACGCAAGGAAAATAAGAAAAAATGCGTTTTATTTGGCAAAAATAATGAAAAATCATCAAAATAATTCTTAAAATAAATTGTCAAAATTTTTCTATTAGTTCGAATTCTCCAATAGAAAATTTTTTAGCAGATGCAAAAATTGTTTCAAAATTAATTTATAAATATATTTAGCAATTATTTTCTTTTATTTAATAGTGCCTTCTATCTTTATCAGTTTATTAAGTTGTCGATCACCTTAATCAGACTGGGAAAATTAGATAAATATCAAGTATGAATTTTAGCATAAACTTAATTGCAGATTAGCTTCCGCTTATAGGTAACGCAGCCACCAAGGATCCTCTAGATGTTCATCCACTATAAAGACGCCATAGGTCAAGCTGGGCTGGATTTAGATGGCTCCCCAGCGAGAAAAGGATCTGCAACACCTTAATCTTCATTCAGCCCCTAATGCCATGGGATATCTGAAGTCCTCGCTTTTCCTCTTGCGTCTCCTCGTTGCCTTTCGGCTAGTGTTGAGTGAGTGGAGGATCAACATGAATCAAGAATATAAAGACAAATATTATCGGAATAAATTTCTCACTACCCCCCTTTAAATTGGAAACAAAAATAGGTACAAATTTCCATTATTTTGGGGAGTTAACCTCCCTTTAAATTGGAACAAAATTAAATTTTATAAATAAAAATTTTAATGGCAAAACATCATAATTTATATGTAAATACCTTAATATCCAATTTAATATGCAGAATCAAAAATTAAACACTATTTTGTTCAACTTTAAAGAAGGAGAGTTAGAAGAATACCATCTCGGAAAGTTTATAAATTGAGAATGAGAAATGTAATTTTTTTCTAATAAAATTTTATATTGATTTGTTTTTATAAAAACATTTTCTTAAATTGGAACAAAATTTTCTATTCCAATTTAAAGGGGGAAGTCAGACTTTTTTACTAATCTAATTCTTTCTTTTATATAAAGTTCTTATTATTTTTAGATTCTATGGAGTATTTTACAAATCGCTCTGGTCTACAATTAACTTACAGCATCTCTATAAAATATCCAAACGTTCAAAGAATTTACATCATTTGTCCAATGTGGCCTACAGAAATATTTTTTCTCTCTGAATTTATATACGAGAACTTAGATGCGAATGTATTTAAATTTTATTTAACTGGAACTGGGAGTAGTCAAGGAGAAAATACATATGCTGGCAATTTGCGAGACGCAGATGATATTGACGATGCTGTGAAATTTTTAATTGAAAGAGGATATTCATCATTGTCGCTTAAAATAAAGGGTATTTCATTCCTTAACTTTCAATTTCTGGTATTATAAGGTTAGGTATTTACTCATTAAGTTCTTGAACAAGAGGAAGAAAATGGTGAGGATTCTTTTAACCTCACATCCTTTGTGAATCTCGCCTTTTACCTCTTTCACTGCTGACATTAAAGTATGACCCTTAGGCGCCAGAAGGAAACCGGATAAAACGAGGCAGGCAGCTGCTACACCTCTGAAATCCTGGAATATGAGGAGCGAGTAGTACTGCGAGGCCAGACATGCTAGCGAGAAATCCACAAATTGAAAAAAATTGATGCTGTGCCTATAGCGGCCCAACTAGAGGTTAAGTTAAGTTGAATAAAAAATTATATATATAAGAGGATATTCAGTTGAAGGAATTATTGGAAATGCGAAATTTGGGACCAGTGCAATTATTTATTCAGCTATATATGGCGATGTAAAAACTATTATCTCATTGTCTCCAAAGTACGATTTTAGTCTACTTCCACCATTTATAAAAGATAATTATGAATCAATTAGAATCAACGGCGAAATAATACATACTGCGCTTGGAAAAGAATGGAAATGCACGTGAAATATGATCCAAGAGATGATGAGTCTTGACATGAAATATTATTGCCATAAGGCTAAAGGCAGCATTTATATAATACAAGGAGACCAGGATCAAATTTGCCCTTTTGCAGATTCAATAGAATTTGAGAGGGAACTAAAAGAAAAGTGCAGAGGGAGATTTGTGCTAAATTGTGATGAGTTTTTTATCGGAGTCTTTGATGAGGTTGTAGAGATTATAGAAAAAATCATTTATGAGAATTAATTTTTTTAGTCAATTTAATAGTTGAACTTTTTAGTTTCTGATTATTTTCTTCCTATCCCTCCGCGAGCGAAAAAAAAACATTTGGAAAAATTCTTAATTTTTAGATAAAACTCGCCATAAAGATGTGAACAAAGTTTTATGAAAAAATATTTCGATATGTAAGTGATAATTTTATAATCAAATCTCTTGCTAATTGTGTTTATTTTTAAACAGCTTGCATTTTAAAAAATAAATTTTACAAATTAAATTAATTTTTACTATTAAATTTTTGCAATTATGATTTTATATTTTAATTTTAAAAAAAAAATTCTCAGGGAGTTAGAGAATTTTTCATAAAAAATTCTTACTTTATTATTAATTTGACGAATATAATATGCCATTTTAATAACATTACAAAATATGACCAGAATTTCTACAACATTTTTTCTTTATTAAATGAATCTTTAATAAAATGGTGCCTGCTCAGATAAAGATTCTGATTAAGTTACTCTTAGATCTGACCTTTTTCTTCCTCGTATTTTCCATATATCTCATAAACAGCTTCCGCTTCATGAAAACCAATCACATAGGAATGACAGAACTTTCTGTAAAATCAAGAATAGACGGCGTTTACGAGATTGGAGCTTTTAAAGCCTTTGAAAATCATTGGTGCCCTAATCTCGGCTCAATTGACGCTATCTGTGACAATATAAACGACTGGAAAAAAGCTGGGGTTTTATTTATAGTATTCACATCTTTTGCACATGTATTTATGGTCTTTGGAATGGTCAATTTAATACTGAAATCCTGTTTCTGTTGTTTTAAACTGAGAATAATGAAGGATTTAGAAAATTATATATACCCTTTGCTTTATTCTTTAAGCTTGATTTTATATGTAACAGTCAGCAAAGTGTTTACACTTGAAAAACCTATGTATTATAGTGATGCTTATAACGTCAAAGCAGAGTCAGGGCTGGTTTTAATGTTCGTTGCCCTAAGTTTTAGCTTGGTAAGTGGTGGATATTACTTTTACTTCCGAAGGGAAATCAATGGGTATTGTGAAGTTGCTGGGAAAGAAAGCTTCCTGATGCGAAATGTAGAAAAAGTCTAACCTAAATAATTCTTATTTCCCTTCATATTTTTACAGTTTATGGCCTGCTTTTGCTTGTATTGACAACGGCAATGCCAATTTTACAGGACTAAAATCTAATTTATATTTATATTCTGATTTCAAGAAAAATATTATTCCTAAAATAGTCAATTGAGCACCAAACCAATATAAATAATGGAACAACTCGACGAGTGGAGTCAAGTAAATTCGGAGCTTAATAAATCGTAATCCCTATTCAGCTGCGAGGACAGAAAGCCAAGGTTCGTTCTCTTTGTTGAGAAATGGAATCCTTTCAGTCTTCATGCCGCTCGAATTTTTCAAAAATTAAAAGCAGAAAGCACTGAGAAAGACATTTTCATTGTAGACGCAGATAAATTATTTAGCATTGCGTCTGGATTTGGAGTTATAGGAACCCCAGCTTTGGTTGTTTTCTTCAGAGGAATGCCGATTAAGATAAAAAGAAGAGGATGGGAAGAAGACATTAAATGTAAATTTTATGCAGATGTCGGAATTGCATCAGAAGATAACTATTCCAAGATTGTTAGCATGGGCAGAGAACAAGCAATTACAGGAAATCCACTTATTTGTGATTAGGAAAGAATTAAAATAAATCATTAGAATGACAAATTGGTTACCAATTTAAAAGAATTAGTGTTTACGCCGTGCAATTTATAGATACCTGAGCTCTTTTATAATATAACGAAACAGCAGGATAAACATTTATTGGGACGTTTGTATAGGCGACGCCATAATCTTTTCCATTTCTCAAAAAGCTAATTGAGCCTTGATCCCCTTTGTACTCGAGCCTGACACAAATAATGTCTCCAGTTTGAACACTTTCTCCGTAGTAATCTTCTATACCAGTTTCTGGCTTAAACTTCTTCCCCCCACTGCATCTTAGTCCCCAAAATAAGCCGACATCAGGCGGGTGACCATATAAGGCAACATTTTCATCTGCAACCCCAATAAAAATATCGTCATCGTCCACAATTAAATCGACTTTCACTTCCCAAGTACAAAGTCCAGAGGATAAGCACATATTGCAAAGGACTGTTTCGAATTCTTCTTCTGTTTTCTTTGAAGCTGTCATCCCATTATTTGAAATTTCGATGTTAGCTGCTTTTTTGTTTTCGTTTCAATATAAATTTTGTCTTAGCAAGGCAATAAATGTTGAATGAGACTTCAGCTTAAGCGTAAAAGGGGAGTCTGTAGGCTTTATTTCCTTCATGGATCCCATAGGATATATCAGTTTGATAATTGCTCCTGCAGATAAGGAATATTGTTTCTTCAATAGAGAAAATAGATTAGAAAAATCATTAGTAATATCTCATTCAAATGATAATAATTTCCTGTCTTTGGCAAAAGATTTCACTTTTAAGGTGACTTTATTGCTAATTGAGTTTGGATCAATGTATCCTAGGCCACCCCATGTAAATTTGACTATAGCTTTTGCTGGGCGTTTTTCTAAGAGCTCCCCATAGCCCCACACAGTGTAAACTTTAATCTGTTCTAATCCATTATCTCCTTCTTGCCTTGTCATACACTTTATTTCCCTAATTTTTTATTATGAATCCAAAATTATTGCATCTTTTTCCTGAATTTTATATTATTAGTCCAAAGTCCAAGACAACTTCAATTTCTACACAATTAATTATTTCAATGCAAAAAATATCAGAAAATTTCTTGTATAAAGCTTAAACACAAGTATAAGCCCATTACTGATTTATATAAAATATTCTTAAACTGTATTATTCTCAATCATTTATTGTAATCCTAAAATCATCATTATAATGAAAATCTAGTATAAAAACAATAACAATAAAAAATCTGATTGAAATTTACATTTATTTATCACAGTATGGCGTTTTGCTATTCAAAACTGCATAAGCTATAATTAAAATGGGAGTGGAAATATCAAGAGAAATTCCTTTCAGTCAAGAGGAACTTTTAATGCTCGAGCAAAGATTCAGACGTTTAGACATTGATGGAAGCGGGATGCTCGAGCCCAATGAATTTTTCGACATTCCAGAGCTAGCACAAAATCCACTGGTCCAGCGTGTGATCTCTGTATTTGATAAGAATGGGGATGGAAATATTTCTTTTTATGAATTTGTAACTGGACTTTCGAAACTCTCAGAAGCAGGGTCCGAAGACGACAAGCTGCACTTTTTGTTTGCAATCTATGATATGGACAAAGATGGCTTCATTTCTAATGGAGAGCTGTTTAGGGTGCTCAAAATGATGGTGGGAAATAATTTGACTGATGTTCAGCTGCAGCAATTAGTTGATAGAACGCTGATACGAGCTGATGAAGACTTTGATGGGAAAATCTCTTATCCGGAGTTTTGCAAAATGGTGAGGGATATGGATATTGGGGAAAAGCTTACTCTTCATCTAAAATAAGAAGTTATTATTTGATAGATAAATGATCACTCTAGGAATTTTAAGTTAATGAGATATTGATAAAAACAATTTTTTCTAATTCAATATTTGTAGATTAATTATTAAATTCTGACGTAATTGATCTAGTTATAAAGCTAGTCTTATATTTTATTACTTAATAAATCCTAGCTTGGCTTTTGAGGTAAATATTGCTTTAAATTCATGAAGGCTTCATTTAAAACATTTGCCTTTTTAATAGTGAAATTCTTTAAATTTTCACGAGATGCTGAAGTGCAATCCCAATAATTTTTATAAGCGTCAAATTCTTCTTTGGATACTATTGAGTCGTTGTTATCATCAAGCATCTTTATGTGTAATGGCACCTCTTCTTCGCATTTTTGTTGTATTATCGTTTCTCTTTTGCTTTCTTCTCTTTCTAATTGGTTTAAAGTAAGCCAATAATTTTCAATCTGGCTTAAACATTTTTCATTATTCTGTAAATAGCATTTTTCTTCAACGTAGCGAATTCTTTGGTATAAAATTCTCAAATTCTGATTGGCTTTGGCAGCCAACTTCTCAAATTCCTTTTCTTTGGCTTGGAGCTCAGCTGCATTTTTTCTTGTCTCAAAGTCCATATTTACTATAAATAAATTTTCAGTGAGCTCATATTAAATATTCTTGCAAAAACTTTATTAGGGTATTATATAATTTACTTACTCCCCCCCCCCCCCCTCCGTGAGCGAACAAAAAAATTTTGTTCGCTCACGGAGGGGGGTTAATTTTTTTTTTTAAAAAAAATTTTATATATAAATTTTATAAAAAAATATTTTTTTCGAAATTTAAAAAATCCTAATTTGCAAAAATTGGGAAGCAAATATTAATTTAATTTGCAAAAATTTATGTTTTAAAACGCAATTTGTTTAAAATTAAACAGAATTAGCTCTAGATTTCATTATACTAATTATCACTTATATATCAAAATTTTTTTCCATTAAAATTTTTTCTATTAAAAAAATTTTTGTTCACTCACGGAGGGTGGGTTTTTGGTCAAAAAATGGCGATTTTTCTAATGGTTTTGTTCGCTCACGGAGGGGGGGGGGGGAGTTAATGAAATACTTTGTTATTTTTATAATAAAATATTTAAAATTATACAAATTAATTATATATTTAATTTAATTTCTTGAATTTAGTTTTATTATTTATGTTAAATAATTGTCAGTTTCAAAATTTTTATGTTAAATCAGTTTTAAATATTTATCCAAAGCAATTAGGTTATCTTACCAGAAAATATAACAACTCAAATATTTTATCATTTAAATCGATAAATATAGAAACAAATACTTAATTATGTGGTTACAGATTAATTATTCCTTATACTTTACAAGGACTGCGTAAAAACAGAGATGGGCTCACTATTTCTTTAAAGCTTGACAATGAAGCTTTATACATTTGCTGAATCTGAAAAATTTCGTATTCCATCATACTCGGGACAATACTTTCTTCACAATACAAGCAAACTCTGTTCTGATATGCCTCATTAAGGACTAAAATCTTCTGTATTATAGCTTTTTATTATTTTTTTTAAAAATGGGACAAGCTTTTGCTGATATAAAAATAAGGCTCTGTAATTGAGTATAACTCTCTTCAGTTTTCAGCTTTTTTTTATAGTCCCATCCCCATTTGTACACCTGGGCTTCAGTTAGACCAGTTTTTGCCACGAGTTCTGCCACCTGCTCTTTGGTTCAGTGTGGGTTGATCTCGTATTCTTTTCGCAAAATGCTGATTTGAAGATCAGTCTTTCTATTTCGCTTTTTTGACCCATGGAATTTAAAAGATGGAGACCCTTCTGTTGAGTATGAGTTTGAGATGTCGCTGTCTTCACTCAGATAAGGGTCGTATTTTTGTGTCGTTTTTCTTTTTGAGTTGTGTTTGACTGCTTTTGGGGTATATATGTAATTGTCATTCATAGATCTTGTCTTCATTCTTTATGATAAAGTCTAATTAATTATTGTAATATGGAATCATAATATTCAGAAAAAAATATTCAAATTTTTTTAAGAGTGCAAATTATGAGAAAATTAAGCTGATGGTGCTGAAAGTGGAAAAATAAAAAATATCACTGAGCGCTTGCATAGAAATATAGCCGAGATACTTATAATATTTGATGAATAATCTTTAAAGATTGAAGATTATGCTAATTAAGGATGTGATCTTTAATTATAATGGATTAAAAATCAATCATAAATTTGGTTCTAAAAACTTATTTGATCAAAATTTCAATTATATATAATTTATCAGTCATTCATTTTGAAAACTTAATTAAATGAATTATTATCAATTATTAATTTATTTTAAATTTCATATGCAGGAAATTTCGCTTCTTGTGGATTCAACAGATCTAGATAAAATAAAATGTTCCCAGCAAGTCCTTCCATTAGGCTGAATGGACGATCTGGCATCCCTGTAACCAATCTTTGAGAATCTTCATAATTTTCTATTTCCCGATTTAAATTTTGATCATTCAGCATCTTATCAGCAAAGCATTGAGCCCTATAAAGCCATAAGTTATCTAACGTAGCCTTATACAAAGATAAAAACGCATAACCATTTCCTGAAATTCCATGACAAACGCCTTTACCTTTTTTTATCAGCCCACGCTCCCAAATAACATTCCCAGCCCTTATAGCAGCATCTAAATAATTTTGATCCTGAAAAGCTAAAAAGGCTTGACACAGCATAGGGACAGCTCCTGTAGCCCCATGACAAAAGTGGACTAAATCATCTCGAGTTTTCCCTTCTGATGATGGAAAATTTCCTGACGGAAACCTCAAGCTTAGCAAGTATCTTAATGTGTCTCTTATAACATGGTCATAATGATTTTGTAGGTATTTTCTGCTTTGTAGCAGCATCATTATGACTCCAATACTCCCATGAGCGCCGCCTAGATAATATTTCCCTCTTCCAATAGGCCATTCATATTTCAGCATTCCATAATTATTTCCTCTTCTGACAAGCTCATCTACAGTTCTGTTTAATAAGGCAATCAAATCTTCTCTGAGTGGCACATCGCTTCATCTATCAATTATAAAAATTATTGAATAAATATATCCAGCTAAACCATTCAATAGCTCGTTTTCACTTTCCGGGATAAGATTTTCATCTCTGCAAAGATCTTCAACATATTTTATAGTTTTTGATGCGGCTGCTGTAATAGCATAAATTCCTGATCTTCCTGTTAAAAATCCTAATGTAGTATTTCTGTTACTTTGACATGAATTTAGATTAGCTATTATGGCTTCTTCCAAACAACTTTTGTACTCACTGCTGTATTTTGTGTACAAATTATAGTAAAAATATAAATTTCCACCTGATCCTGTATAAATAGAATATCTTTTTTTCTTATTCCCTAATGAATCTAATTGGTAATCTGATCTTGGTGGATATTCTCTTTCCATTATACTAATCATAGTAGGAAGCTCTCTTCTAATTTGTTCAGTCACCCCTGATAGCAGCTGCCCAGTGAATTCAGGAGAGTTATTAATTACATACCGACTCATTCTATATAAATTTATTAAATCACATAAATTTATGAAAAAGCTATCAATATTTTTATTCACCACTCACTATTTATGAGAGCCTCGTATCTCTAAAAGGAGCTATTTCTTTTGGAGAGCGAGGGATAGGGGACTTTGTTTTACGGATTTCTGGGAAATGTTCTGCTTGAGGCCTTGGGGAAAGCCGAACCAATCTGTTTCTTAACAGCTCATTTGAGGTCGGGGGAGTCAAATCGGCAGCTTTTCGGTTTACAGGACTCCCTGATTTAGGTCTTGAGACTTTGGTAGGGACCGATAAGAAGGAAGTTGTTGTGTTAAATTGTTTACTTGACGCCCTTTTATGGATTTTGGCATCTGGAATAGAGTGGATTGTGTGGCATTTTTGAATGTGATTGTCTAATTCTTCTGCCTCGTAATTTTTGTCTGAAAGGTGATGAATAATTTTCGTATAGTTTTTAGTTATTGTTCTTCCTGAATTAAGGCATAATTGGCCTACTCCCCTATCTGTGAGCGGAAAAAAAAAGCCATTGAAAATACTTATTTTTGCCAAAAACCACGCTTTGAGCAAACCAAAAATTTATTTATATATTTTTTTCTTATATACATTTAATATAATTAGCAAGGATAATATTGATCATTATTAGGTTTGGTTTATATATATTATTCACAGAGTTAAAAAAAATCATAAGCACAAAGGATGACTTTCAAAATTAATTTAAAGAATAGAAAGAATAATCGAAAATTGACTAAATGCTTAAAACTTCTTACTCCCCCCCCCTCCGTGAGTGAACAAAAAAATTTTGTTCACTCACGGAGGGGGGTTAATTTTTTTTTTTTAAAAAAATTTATATTTTAAATTTTATAAAAAATATTTTTTTTCGAAATTTAAAAAAATCCTAATTCGCGAAAATTGGAAAGCAAATATTAATTTAATTTATAAAATTTATGTTTTAAAAAGCAATTTGTTTAAAATTAAACAGAATTAGCTCTAGATTTCATTATACTAATTATCACTTATATATCAAAATTTTTTTCCATAAAAAATTTTTCTATTAAAAAAATTTTTGTTCACTCACGGAGGGTGGATTTTTGGGTAAAAAATGGCGATTTTTCTAATGGTTTTTGTTCACTCACGGAGGGGGGGGGAGTTAAAATTAAAATTTTTCCATGTAAAATTTTGAAAAATAATAATTAGTCTCCTGACTGAGAGAACAAAATTTTTGTTCGCTATGGAAGGGAGGCGTTAGGATTAAAGTCATAGCTGCAATTGTTTTCAAATTGAGTCGGTCACTATAGCCTCGCATAGTTTCAAGATGAGTTAGTGGAATTTTGCCACCTGATCTGGTTATCCAAGGATGACTAGCTCAACAATTATCTATTAGAAAAAGTTATAGATTAAAATTTTATTAAAAAATAATAATTGAAATAAGTAAAAATATCTTATAGTAATTATGATCAATCTTAATAATTTTTTAAAATCTTTGTTATGGTTATTTGGATAAGAGTAAGAGCTAAATTAGCTGTATATCTTTCCATATAAGAAATCGTTGTACAGTGCTCAAACAAATCTCTCGCAAGTGAAGGAAATCCATTAGGGTATTCTCAGTGAATATTCTTAAGCTTTCAAATTATCGTGTTTTTATCATCCCCTTCTTCAAAATATGGGTGCTTTCCAGCTACAAGATTATATAGAATTATTCCACAGCTTCATAAATCAATTTATAGCAAGCAGCAACTTATAACTGTCTATCAGTTTTCTAATCAACATAAAAAAATATAATAGCAATTAATCAGCAGAAGTTTTTATCCACAATAAACTGCTATATATCTACAGGCTCACTATAATGCTGCTCCAATACTTGTTCAGGAGCCATATAAAGCATGGTTCCATCCATAGAATGAAGCTGCTCAACTAATGTATATTTTGTGCTCAGTCCAAAATCTGCAACTTTGACTGATGAAAGATCATAAGGATCTCTAAACATGATGTTGTCTGGCTTAAGATCTCTATGCAGAACTTTCCTATCATGCAAGTATGCAACAGCTCTAAAAATCCCTTTCATGACTGTTGCTGCTTCTTCTTCAGATAGCCTCCGATTTTCTATTAATTGAGTCAAAGTGCCACCTTTTAAGAGCTCCATCTCGATATAAATATAGTTATCTGTGTGCTTCACATCAATGAATTTAACGATGTTTTCATGGTTCAGCTCAGCTAAAATTCTGGCTTCTTGCATTGATCTAGCAATTTCTCGGTCACTGAGTTTTTGCTTGCTTAAAACTTTTACAGCGATTTCTTTGTTTGTTTTAATATCCACACATCTAAAAACCGACCCAAACGCGCCTTTTCCCATAAATGAAATAGAGTGATATAGGAATCCTATCTCTCTATTCAATTTTTCTTTCATTTATTATTAATTTTTGAATGAAAAACGAATTAAAATATGCAAATTAATTTTGAAAAAATAAATAATTTTACGATTTATTATATAGATTTTGAATAGACCTATGCACTTTTGAAACGATTATTGATATTTTTATTTTTTAAGAGAAGTGGAGAAAATCCATAAAATATGGTGAGTGGATTCATAAAGATTTTAAATTATGTCTACATCATAAAGAGTTTATCCATTAATAGAGATGCTTACATTATGAGATCGATCTTTTTATATGTCAGTTCTTCAACATTTAAGTGAAGTTTTATTGGGTCAAAGCTATCTATTAGAGCACAAGTTGCAATGCCTTTCACTTTTATCATAATATTAAGAGCTAAATGGGTATAAATTTGCAAGAAATTCACAACTCAATGCGATTCTTAAACAGCGAGCCATCAATCTGCCTAAAATAAATTAACAAACTCATAAGCCATCTCCATTTTATTTCCCAATATTCCTACTATTTTTAAAATAATTTAATATATTTTTTTATTATTCTAAACTTAAGTCCATCGTAAAATCATACTCAATTGTCGGGACCACAGACGATAAAAACTTCAAGAAAACAAAAATCGCATGGTGCACTTGAGCTTGTGACCCATTTGATTCCAGCATATCAATAAAATGCTTCATCATTTTTGCATGATTGCACGGGTGTATCGATACTTGATCAGTACCTAAGCAAGGATGCCTTTCAATTGTCACCGTTTTATGTGCATAGTCTCCCATAATATCATCAAACATCATATCAGGTGTTAATGGATTCATATGTTCATCATACCCCGTAAGCCACATTCTGGGCGTTTGATAATAAGTATCATAAGTTACAGAAAGGTCATATACACGAGTTTTCATTATTGATTCAACTGGCTCTTCAGCACTTATATATTGATTTCCAAAAAGAACTGCAGGCTCTGCAGCATTTTCATCAATTAGCTCTTGGCCTTGAAGATCGGCTAAATCAGGGACTTCTTCTTCTTCGTTAGAAATTTGTGCCTTTGAGATGACTATTTCATCAGGCTCTTCACGAGGCCCGAGGATCTCAGCAACAATCCACCCGTCTTCAGTCTCCCTTTCTTCCACTTCGTTTTCTCCGATTGCATTTATTCGCTTTCTGCATGGGACTCCTCTGGTTATAAGAAATTGTTTGTCAGCTGGCAAATGCTTTTGCTCGTAGCCTGGGGCACTTGCATTCCAAGTCCATGTGGGGCATCTATGTACAAGCTGGTCACCAGCAATTAAAAATTCTTCTGGAGTCATGGTGCCTGCTTCTAAAAAGTGGGATTCTTTGGGCTGAGACATAAAAACACCTGCTACACTTCGATACCAATTTCCTATTTTATGAGAAACCATTTATTTAAAAGGAGTATAAGTCTCTATAAAAGATTCATAATTTAATAAGCATTACTATTTATCATGCGTTTCTAATCTGATAATTAATATTATTTTGATCTGATTTATCTAAAATTTCTACTTTGGTCGTCGTACTAAATATATTATACCGCATCAGTCTGAACAAGATAAATACAATAAGCTAATAACCCTGCATTGACTGTATAAATAAGCGACTCAATAATACACATTGCAACGCCAAAATCTGCAGCTCCTCCTGACTTATCATTTAGCACCGGGATGCGTGCCCATCCATTGAAAGCGCCGAAGGGCAAACAACTTGCCAAAATATATAGAATTACCAATATTACGGCCCCGATTTTGAACTTGCGCAGATGGCTGCTGTCTTTCTTACTTCCCACCTCCTTTAGCGAACAAAAATTTCTGATGTAAATAAGTGATAATTAGCATAATGAAATATCTAACTAATTCTGTTTAATTTTAAACAAATTTGCATTTAAAAACATAAATTTTACAAATTAAATTATAATTTGCTTTAAAATTATTTCGAATTTTGAAAATTAAAAAACCTATGAGAGCAAAAAAAATTTTTTTTTCTATAGGGGTTAGCAATCCCATAATATCCCCAAAAGAAAGTAAAAGTCCCAAGCACCATCCCAATGATAAAGTTCAGAAAGGTGAAAAGAATGTCAATGCCAGGAAGAACCGTTGCTGAAAGCACTATGGTACTGATAATATTAATGGATAATACAATTGTCAATAAAATCCAACTAACATAAATTTTTTTGATTAGCGCTTTCTCGTTTCCTTGAAAATCTGATAATCTGAAATGGATTAATTTGAGACATGGTGGGAAGTTGTAGTCGTGCCAATCAATGTGACTGTTATGCTCTGATATTGCTAAGGTCAAAATTACTGCTCGTCGAAAAATTCGATGACAACTTGCTGCCTATTGCTTTCATAGCCAAGCTAGCCATTTTAAGTTTGATAAAGAGAATAGAGATCAGATATAATTTTTTAAATAAATTTTAGTATAATATAAATCAATATACCGTGAGCACAGTTTTAGATCGACCTGAGAATCCCCCCTCCCCCTTAACGGTTTCAGCTTTATAGAAATCTACAAACTGATTTGACTTGCCAAATATTTAGTGAGGGACTTGTCATTTTGAATTAGCAATTTCGTTCAAAATTGAAACTGTCAGGGGCGAGGGGAGGGGAGGGGGGGTTTCAGGTCAAGCTATACCTGTTCTGAAGGTATATTCTCCAAGATGCTTAAGAATCAATTGTATTTTTTTTTAATTTGACTCTTAATTTATAATAGATAATTTTATATTCTCTTGCTAATATAGAGGGTTTTTTTGTCATTCTGTATTTTTTACTAATTAACTATTGAATATTCTATAAATAATTCTATTCTAAATGAAGATTTCTCCAAAATATTGGAATTTGAATATTTTTATGGTATAATAAGAATAAGAGTTCTCAAGTGTTAATGAATATTGTAAAAGCAACATTAGTAGTCATAAATGTCAACGCCAAAAAGCCATACATCAATGAACTTTTACAACAATGGGAATCATCAAAGATCCTTGCCACTTATTTTAAATAAAAGCAAAACAGTAAGAGTAAGGACTTCAGGGACACCGAATTTTGCAGCAGCAAGCCCAATTTTTCCATCAAAGTCTATGAGGCGGCAGTCAATGCCTAATGAAGATACAGAAGACATCATGGAAGATCCTCCTGAAAGACAATTGTCTAAGGGAAGCATGGAATTTTATCTTGGGCCACTTGGTGCCCAAGCGAGGCTCGAATTTTTCGAATCATATAAGAACATTCGAAATCAATCTCAAAGAACTCAATTTGAGCATTTAGAAGAAAACCCAAATTTAGCTTACTTAGAAAAGATTGATAAGGAACGCTTAAATCCAAACCCATTTGGGATTATTCGGAGAAAAGGCCCAGAAGCTGCAATTGACATTCGTCATTACAGCATGGGGGATAATTATGCGAGAGCTTTTTCAAGAGGGTTAAATCACTACAGAGAATTAGAAAGGCTTGATTTAGGCTCAAATAGGCTTACAGAGAGTGGAAGTGTTAAAATATTAAAAAATCTTCAAGACAAAAATGTCAGAACTTTAAGTTTAGCTGACAATTCCTTAGGGATAAAATCAATTGAAAAAATTATCGAGCTTGCATCAAGGCCATTTTCAAAACTAAAACACATCAATTTAGAAAAAACAAAAATCGGAGATTCTGCAGTAATTGACTTATGCAAGCACCTTACTGAAAATAAAGTAGTGACTAAGCTAAATTTAGCATGCAACAATATCACCTCAAAAGCAGCAACTGCAATAAAAGAAATGATAAGATACAACACCTGTATAAAAAATCTTGATTTTCATTGGAATAACTTAAGAGGATTAGGAGCAATTGAAATTTTTGATGCTCTTTATCAGAATGACTGCATAAGGCAGTTAGACTTATCTTGGAATGCAATGGGAAGATATGAAAATTCAGACGTAGGCCAAGCAATTTCAAAGGCGCTGAGGATAAATTCTATTCTTAAGCATTTAGATCTTTCCTATAACTATTTTAGTGAAGAAGAGTGCAAAATTATTGGTCAAGGCCTAAGCGAAAACCATGATTTATTAGGAATCCACATGCTTGGTAATGACTGCTATATTGATTCAAGAGGGTTCATAATTCCGACAGCATACAGCGGAAAAATCGAGCAAGGCCATTTTTTCCACAGAATTCTAGGCAAGGACAAAAATAAAAGCCCTCAAAGAGGAGGCTTCTCCATGAATTGCTGGATCTGTGAAAAATGGATGGAGATGATTTTTGCATGAATTCCTGGGAGATCTGGAGCTGCCAAAGAGGATCCTATTTTCCTTCATTTGGAATGTGATGGCTATACACCTCAGCTAATGGACATTCTTCCTAATGGATCATTTCAGCTTATCAGAGCTGTTCCTCCAGGTACTATAAAATTTTTTTACAGTGACTTAAATGGCCCAATGAAATCTGATGAATTTAAAATTAAATATTTAGACCAGCCTTTCAAAAATAAGCTTCATTATGGAGGTGGGTATACAGAAACAGTCAATATCCATGCTGTAAATATAAGAAATGTTATTGGAGATGAATGTGGGGTTAAATATACATTTAATGTAAAACCCAGAATTATTGGAAGAGTGTATCAGCCACCATTAGAAGAAATAGAAAGAATTCCATGGAGTATTCCTATATCACTGTTTAAGGATTATAAATTTGATACTGAAAAATAACTTATGTGGAGGGATTTCCTCTTCTGGGCTCATTTTATTAATATAAAGCTTAGGTTTTCTAGAGAATTCTCTTCTGCAACATCAGATAACCAACAGCTAGAGGTGCGCAGCTTTACGACCTGGTCAAAGCCTAATGGAAACACTGGATTTTACTGCTTGGCACTTCAGAAAAGGGGTGAAATTTAGCGCGGATACGTACAGAAGCTGAACTCAGAGTGATGGCAATGCGCGAGGCGAGAGACACTGATTAGGATGGAGGCGGCAAGGTATAGGATGGTCTGCTAATTTTTGTCATAAATACTCATGAAGTCACCACATTTTTGTCTCATGCCCAGATGCCTTAAACACTTAATCTAATGTAATGTATGATACTGAAGAAACCTTAAACGAGTGTTTTGAGTTTGATTGGAGATACTCAAGATTAGCTAATTTTGTAAAAAATCCAACTGATCAAGAAGCTGTGAGAGATATTTTAAAGAAAAACTATATGCATATTAAAGAAACGTTTAAAAACTTGTCTGCATATGGAGGATCTGAGCTATTTTCAATAGGAACAAATGTGCTTACTGATTTCCTCAACCAATGTCTTCTTATAGATACCTTTTACGGAGCAAGTGATATGGGTGTGAACTGGAACTCAGTCATTGTTCCAAAAGAAAAAGGGCAGATTTATAATCCAGGCAGTGCTTTAGTAAGGTATGAATTTATGGAAATCCTGGTTAGAATTGCTAATGATAGATTTCTGAGGAACAAAATCTGCAGTAATATTGCAGATTCTGTACAAAAAATGATTGACGACCATTTAATTAAAAATATGATTCCAATGGATACCAATATATGAAGAAATGAAAAATATGCCAATTTGATTAATCATGCTAATTTTTATTAGTTGATAAATGCAATAACTTGCCGATAATAGTTAATAATTATCGCAATTAATTCAATTAAATACAGCTTATCTTTGTGAAGAAGTAGATTTAGTATTAAAAGCCCATAAACCCATTTTAGATGCAATCTACAAAAAATATAGTGGGAAAAAGACTCTTCCTGGACAAAAAGTATTTATGTGTTTAGATGAGTTTAGGAACTTGTGCAACGAAGGTGGACTTGTTAATGATAATTTTGCGAGCAGAGAAATTGACCTTTGCTTTAACTTAGCAATGATGACTCAAATTGATGAGCTGTATAAGAAAAGACACATAGAGATGAGCTTTGTGGAGTTCTTAGAGGCAATATGTAGAGCGTTCGATATGGCAAGCATTGCTAATGTTCCATTGATTGAGTTGGAAGAAGAAAAGCATCTATTTGATCCCAAAAATGACAAGCTTCCGCTTAATAAGAAAGTTGAAGCAGGAGTACAAAGTCTAATTAGGCTTTGCCCCGATGCTGTTCGTGAAACTTTTGTTTATCCAACTGATGAAACTTATAAGAAAATGATGTATAGGCCTAGAACTAACTCAAAGGTAAATTTATGCTATTTAAATATCTTAATAATTATATTTTATTGTTTAAATAATAAATTATTCGTCAGTAGTAAGGCATCTAATTAAAATATCAAATATATTGTAAGAATTATTTTAGCTTAATCCTAGTATTTAAATCCTAATTCTATCACTAAAATTTGCCTTACTCCTCTCTCTGTGAGTGAACAAAAAAATCTTGTCTATTGCTAATTTCTGCTACAATATTTATATATAATATAAATTTTTATGGTAAATTTTTTTTCGCAAAAATGGAAAATAAAATTAATTAATTTGTAAATTTATGTTTTTAAATGCGAACTGTTTAAAATTAATCAATATTAGATAGAGATTTCGTTATATTAATTTTCACTTATATTAAACTATTTATTTTATAAAAAATTTTTGCTAGATCTTATCAAAAAATATAGGGATTTTTCCAATTTTTATGTTCGCTTACGGTAGAGGGGGGAGAGTTAGTTCAGAAAAGTTGATTAGTTAGCACTACTTCTTTTTCTTTTCTTCAATAATGAAAGTCTTGCATCTCTTAATAACTTTTAGCCTTCTAACCTTTGATTTGGTGCACTCAAGTCTAAGAACGACTTTCTTTGTAGTTTTAGCCTTTTTTCTGAAAATAGGCTTTGTCTGGCCACCGTAACCTTTTTGCTTTGCATCGTATCTTCGTCTGCCTTGAGCTAAGGAGGATTCCTTTCCTTTCTTATATTGAGTGACCTTATGAACGGTGTGAGTCTTCAACTTAGGACAGTAAGTCCTGATTGTTTTAGGCATCTTCACCATTTTCACCACTAATTATAAAGCTCTTTTATCTATTTACTTAAATGGAATCTCAAATCTCTAAAACCTCCAATTTCATAGAGATGAGAAGAATCATCCATAAAATTTCATATTAATTAATACTTTCCTTAAGGAAAATGGGATAAATTAAATGGAAAACAACTTATTATTCTTATATTTAAACAGATATTGAATGCTTATTGCTTTTCTATCATTATAATAATAAAAAAAATTTCAAAAATGATGAGTCTTTGTGAAATCTGTGGGAACGAAGCGATTTTTTTATGCAAATGCAGAAATGGGAAATTCTGCAAACCTCATTTAGACAGACATAAATCAGAGCCTGGAAATCACCAAGTAGTTGCAATCTCAGAAGTGCAAGAATCCCAAAAACCTGGAAAAAAATCTGTATCCTTTAACCGAAACAATGATTCATCTACAGGAGGTGATGGTTCAAAATCTGGACATCAGCTCTCAGAAAAAGAGGTAAGAAAACAAGTTGTGCGTGCAACTTTAGATCGAGAAATGAACAAAATAATAAAATTCCGAGAAGACACTTTGGAATGCATTGATTCCCTACAAGAAAGCTACATACGGCAAATCGTCGCCGATACAAAAAGTCTGACAACAAGCCTTCTCGAAGAAATAGCTGCAAAAGAAGCTACCATAATAAGTGCGCTTAATGAACTAGACAAGCCAGGCGATATTCCTGTCGGAAACCCAATAATAGAGCGTATAAAAGAGCTTAAAGACCCCGAAGACTGCCTTGTGCAGTGCTCTGGAGACGTTAAAGAAGTTTCTTTTGACATTCGCGACTTCATGTCTATAGAAATGGGCTGGGCCGCGAATCCAGTAATAGAAGACATGAAAATTTATTACCAGCAAAACCAAGCAGTGATCCCATTAAAAATGAAAGATTTATTCCAAAAAATAATTGCAGAAAAACATTACACATTGAAAAAAGTCAATTTAAACAAAGCAAAAATTGGAAAAGAAGGAATCCCTCACTTAGTAAAAGCTTTAAGCCTCCTACCACAAATAGAAATACTTAAATTAGGCAGCAATGGGCTTGGGTCGGAAAGTGCTGAACAAATAGGCGAAGCGATATCTAAGCTGCCAAGGCTACAAAAACTTATTTTATTTGATAATGATCTGAGGGGAAGCGGAATTCAAGCTCTGTCGCCTGCATTTACAGACTTAAAAGAGCTTCAAGTGTTAAGTTTGGCGAAAAATTCACTTGGAGCGACTGGTGCAAGGCATATTTGTTTGGTTCTGCAAGGGATGGCAAGACTTAAAGAAGTGGACTTAGACTATAATGCTTTAGGGGCTGAAGGCGCTAGATATTTAGCAGGGGCATTGCCAAAAATGACACATTTGAAGACCTTGAAATTGAGAAATAACAATTTAGGAGACGATAGTGTAAAATTCTTGAAAGGAGCATTAGGAAGAATGAATAAGCTGGAATTATTGAAACTTGAAAATAATCCTATGGGAAATGATGAAAAAAGGACTTTGCAAAATGTAGTAAGACCTGGCTGCAAGGTGGAATTTTAATAGGATTATAAAAATAATTAATATATAAAATGTTTATAATGATCGATTTTCAGTCAATATTTAATAAATTTAACTCATCCTTTTTAAATACTCTCTATAAGTTAAAGACCCGAACTGCTTGGAGCGGCTTGTATTTGAATGCAAATCAAAGCTTTGCAAATTTTCATTAGACTCACTTAACTGTAGTGGCGGAATAAAAATATTTCCATCTTTAGGTGCTTTATATAAACTTGGCGTACTTTCACTGTGCAATCTTTTATTTTTTTTTAAAATATCCATCATTTTTGTTTTTTTCTCTTTTGCATAATCATCAGCTTCAATTTTTTTCAGCTCGTCCTGCCTTCACAGCAAATATTTTCCCTTCTTGTTCAGCCTTGTAAACTTCATGTATGCTGGAGTATGAACTTTTCTGTTTTTCTCGAAGTCGATTTTTATGGTTTTTTTCTCATTTTCTTCAATTCTCTGCTTTTCTTTTTCCATTGATTCGTCAATCATTGCATTAATTTTTGTGTCCACTAAAAGAAGCTTCTTTTCAATTGGGTCGATTTTTTCTTTTGCAGATTTATCGTATACCATTGAGTTAGTTTTCTCTAGCTTCCAATTTAACAAAAATACGGGGTTAGGTTAGGTTTAAGATGTGTATTTATAGTCCCCACTTCCATGCGTGGCATTCCTCCGCGCTCCTTGAGGAGCCGTGCTGGCACGAGCGAAAAGGATGGACTTCCATCACTGGCTCTCTGAGCCCAGGCCGAAACCCCTGGTTTCTCGGTAGTGGTTGCCATATTGAGTCGTCAGCCGACTGTCGCTGAGCACCACCATTTCCAACTCAGCCTTCCGCCCCGAGTTACGTCAGTCTTTGCCTCCGGTTGGCCAGATCGCCCTCGTGAGAGGACCCTTTTAACTGGAGAGACTTGTGCCCTTGAGATCCCCAAGTCTAGTTTTGCCTCCCCTCTTTCCTGGATCATCTCCAAGAAAGAACTCAACCCCTTACGGGATTCGGGGCTAAGCCACCATTAGCCTAGGCAGGTAACTCACCCTGCCTCTTTCGGACACCGAGTCTGAGCCTCGGCGCTACTGCAAAAAGAATGCGAAAAACTGCTGCCCGGGTCGAGTCCCAAAATCAGCGGAAATTGGGCTGGGCCTCTCGCCTCGAGGCTAACTCTTCCCTTGAGTAGCTCTCCGCATCCAAAAACCACGTCCGGTATACATAAGGACACCCGCCACGGGCCATTTTATGTATATAAAAATACGGGTTAATTTATTTCGTAAAAAAGCAATTATACAAATTTTCACAACCCTTCTTAAAATAGAGCAAGATATAGGTAGAATTATATTTTTTTAAGGCGCTAAATTGAGCATAAAGTCGTATTTTTATCCGTAAAAATTAAATTTTTCAATTTAAAGGGCTTATTTACCAAAAAAATTAAAGGGGGAGTAAGTTTATGTTGGATTGCAGCTTAATTACTGATGAATCGATGGTGTGGCGGACTTGGGACTCTTTTAAATAGTCAGATATCAATTGGAATTTTTCTAAAAAATGAGAATCCAGGTTTATGAGTTTTTTATCTTCTAATTGTGGAGAAAATCCACGGGAGTTTAAGTACTCTTCCATTGCAGGAGTTAAAACCCGAAAATGTTTTTTATTAACTGTAGATGAGGGATAAGATGATAGGATATGCCTTTCTGTGGACTGTGCTATTAGCCTTTCTGTAGTCTCATAGCAAATTCCTTCAGGCAATTCAAGCTTTTTTAATTCAGCTTTTCTTTGGTTTTCTTCTTTAAAGATTCTTGGCAATGCTGGTTTTTCAGTCGCCCTAATTGCTAGCTTTCTGAAATTCCCATAAGTGGTTTTTTGATTGCTCAACGTCTGTGACAGTGTTTTTCCACTTTTTACTCTCCTGAGCCTATCTTCAGAGAAGTCTCTGTATGTGTCTTACACAAAGAGCTTAAGATTTTTTTTGTCTTTGGAGTTAAGTGGGTGGTTTAATTCAATTTTTTTCATTAATTTCTATTTATTATAATCCAAGCTTAGCTCTTGCATTAATCAATTTCAAATGATACGCTTCTTCGTCTATAAGTGGGGCTTCGTCAGAGTCGATTTCAAGTGAGGCTTCGTCACTCCAATAGTCATTGTCTTCTAAGTCTGCAGATTCTGCTGTTAAATCTGCAGGCAGCTCAGGGCTGCTCACAGCCTCTCCTCTTTCCAGTCTTTCTAGCTTTTGCAGCCTATGGTCTTCAGCTTTTTTCATATATTCTTCATATGCTTCTTCAGTCATTTTGATATCATCCTTATCAGTTCTTCATATCCAAGGATGCTTCAAGCACTCCTGAGCTGTCGCTCTTTTTTCTGGCTGATATATAAGCATTGGCCTCATAAAATCAGCTAGTTGTTCTGCTTCTTCCACCTTAAACCTATACTTATCAATCAAAACGTCCCTAAGCAGCCAAATATTTAGCCTGTCTATATGTCTGAGCCTTCCATATTTATTTAGAAATTTCTTCGAGTCCCTTCCTGAAAGACTTCAATGTTTTGGCATTAGCCCAAGGGTTTCTATCATTTGAGCAAGATGGTCTTCATTTTTATCTGTATCTTTTCCTGACCTTGGCTCAAATAAGAAATCGCCTGTTAATAGCTCAAAAAGCATGCAAGCAAAACTCCAGACGTCAGCTGTAGCATTATAGTCAATCCCTAATATCACCTCTGGGGATCTATACTGCCTTGTTTGGATTTCTGTTGCGAAATGTCTATTAACCCAACATGCATTGCCTAAGTCAGCGATTTTTATTCTGATGGTTTCATCATAATCTACATCGGGGCTTTGTAAACTTTTTAATAAATCTGCTTCTTGGATTTCAGAAATTTCTTCTTCGACTGGCTCTGCTTTTTTGTTCTTATTTCTCTTTCTTTTCCTTTTTTTTGGTTTTTCAGATGTTTGTGTTGAGATGTTATCAGGGCTTGGCAGTGCCGTTTCTTGGTTTTCAGCCTTTTTTTTCTGATCCTGAGACTTTAAATTCTCATTTTGTCCAGCTTGTTTTTCCTTTGGATTTTCGGCAGCCTTTTTCTTTTTTTCTGCTTCTTTTTTCCTTTGTCTATATCTTTTTCTTTTTTCTGCTTTTTGAATTCTTTTGAATTCATCTTCATCAACATTATTTCCAATTTCTGGATACAAAATGCTTTGGGGCAGCTCCTTTGGAGGAGTTCCCTGGAGATTTTTATTCAAAAGAAGCCCTCTGGTCAGTATCTCTTTAACCTGTGCTTGGGAAAGCTGGACTAGCACGTTTTCTGGCTTTAAATCTGTATGAATAATCCCACATATTCTATGCAAATAGTCAAGGCCAATTAAAACTTGTCTGCCAATAGATCTTACTATATGGACTGGTACTCCAGCATATTTATAATGCTTAATGATTTCCAGTAGGTTAACTCCTAGGATTTCAAAACACATACAAACGTGAGAGCCATTAGGGCCTGTATGAAGAAAAGTATTAACTCCTTTACCTTTGAATTTGAACCAAAAAATCTGTTTCAATTTTAAAGGTAAAAAATTATTTCACATTTTTAATATTTTTTAATAATTTATTCATTCAGATTGCTAATTTTGTTTAAATAATCCTACTTAGGATCTCCCATTTAAGATAGAACTATTTTTATTGGTTTTCAAAATATTTATATAGAAATTATATAAAATTACCTTTTTTTAAGATTAAGATTAAGATTAGCCGTTCGCATTTGCAGGGCCGGGGATTTGCACCCATACACGCTCTTCGCCCATGGTGAGGCCTCGGCGGACACCCTCCTTGTTGCCTCAAACAAGGGATTCGCACAACGTGGGTTGTCTTTCCGAAAATCATAAAAAATGGATTTTCTGGTCGACTGTCGGTAGAAGGTAGAACTCGAAAGCCTGGGACGTAGCGCCCAGTTTCACGCTAGGGAGTTGCCCGATCGGTCCAAGGGACTCTGCTGGGCTTCCCCTTTCCAACCTCCGTGCTCATCTTCCCCACGAGGAAAAAAACCACCTCTGAATTTAGACTTGAGCTAGGCTCTGAACACAACCAGAATTGCTTACCTAGCATTGCTGTCCATTTCTGAAGTAGTAAAACCTTACCGGATATAAATAAAATATAAGTCGAGTATGCATGGCCGGGAGGCCATGCCCAGACGAAGACGCCATATTTTATTTTTATATAAAATTACCTTTTAAAGGCTAATTTACTCAAAAATGAAAAAATTATCAATATTTTGTTCCAATTTAAAGAGGGGAAATGAGCAGCTGCACCACGAAGCAATGATCAGTTTTCATACCTTCTTCTTTGATTTCTTCTGCTTCTGCGGTGCCTGCGACGTATTTCATTATGGATTCGATCCATCTTGGATCCTTGTAACCCTGCGCGATTTTTATTAATAAATCAATTTCGTCATAAGCTGCTTCTGTATAGTTCGGTGCAGATCTTTGGACTTTCATTGCTACATAAGTCCCATATTTTGTGTCTTTACAGAGCCAAACTGTTGAAAAATGACCCCAGCCGAGTTTTTGGACAACAATGTAACGATTCAGGAAAAGCTCTCCTATATGTACTGGGTGGTAGCCGCCAGGTCGATAGTCTTTGCTGCTCTCTTCTTCATTGTCCATCACGACTGAGCTGTCATCACTTTTACCCATTTTAATATTTGAATACTTAAATGAATATTGCCATTTACAGCGATTAAATTATGGTAAGATTTTATTAAAAATATAACGGGAGGGACAGAAAATGGGATAAGTTATTATAAACCATAACATTTTTATAAGCTGGAAACAATTAATGGATTTCTGGCCCACATAACTGAGCAGTTATTAAATCAAGAAAGGATTCGCGTATTCGTGAATTTTCAGATCTTACAGCTACGTCTACTCGGAGAGTATTGGGGTCAATAGTAGTCAAAATGAAGACAGGAGGTTTAGAATTGCCAGCACCAAGCAGCTGGGCTTGGCTGAGATTTTCAATTTCTTTATATGTGTAGACCTTAACTGAGTTTGCAAAGGAGATGTGCAGAGAGAGCTCGTGCATTGATTTTATCCCCAGTAAAGGAATATTTCTTTTTTCTTCTTTACTTGCTAGCTCTTCTCATAGCCTCCATATCTCTTTTGAGTCTTGTTGAAGCCCATGTACAAATCTTGCAGCAGTTATTGGTAATCATAAAGAATACTTCTTCTCAACACCTTGCATTATTTTCAAGCTAAGCAAAGGGATTTTACCTGTGAAGTTAATTAAAGATGCCTTTATCATGCGATTGGCTTGAGCACCCTGCTGAATGGTATCATGAGAATGTGTAGGACTGATTGACAAAACTAGCCCATCTTTTTCATAGTCTGATACTTCAGTTGTGATTTCAGTGATTGGGCAAGAATTTTTGTTGCCGATGTACATCATTCCTATTATGTTTGTGTCATCAGAAGCTATTTGTAGGCCAACTTGTATGTTTTCGTCATCAAACAGAACCCCTCTTGCCATACTGTTAGAAGTCCGGTAAAGGTCATAATTTATTGCTTCAGAGCTTATTTTTCGTTCAAAAGAAACAGCACTTTCGCATGGTAGTATTTTGGTTGTTTGTGGAGGCTTTAGGTGGTCGAAGCTGTTTTCATTTAAATGGTTCTCTTTAAGCACATTTGGTCTAGAAGTTTTATCTTGAAAACCGTTAGTTAGCTTTGTGAGTTTTTCTATTTGCTGGGCAGCGTCAAATAAAGACTTGTTTAATTGTGTATTAGCTGAAGTTAATTTATTTATAAGCTCATCTTTCATTGAAATATCTTGCTTGGCTAGCTCTAAAGCTTGCTTTAAAAAGTTTACCTCATTTAATAGTTTATTCTGTTGACTTATTCTTTCATTTTCTTCTGATTGCTTTTGAAATAATAAAGATTTAAGTTTGTCGTTTTCTTCTCTTAAGCTTTCTAGCAAATGATAGAGATATCATAAAATTCTTATTTTTGGGAAAATTAACCATTTTTCTAGCAACGGATAAAAAAAAGATTAGTTTATAACTGTTTTTATCCAAATTTTTCAACAGGAAATTTCAATCTCAAAAAAAAAATAATGATGGAAAACTCAGAAAGCAACAAAAGCTATTAGCAGGAAAAATACCTTAAAATAATATCTCCCATTTAAATTAAAAATAAATCTTGCAAGAATGATCCAAATATTTTGCTTGCTTAAAAGGAGAGGGATTTAGAATTGAAATTTCGATTCGGTCACTCGGAGATTTTATAGAAGTTTGGAATATGGAAGGAGAATTAAGATTGGGAGATAGATGAGGATTAAAAAGGTTTACTGCAGCTGGGCTTTGAGTTTTCACAGGAGTCAAGGAGAGAGGATCATTAAATGCTCCATTTCCAATAGGTCCTTGCATTGGCTTAGTTGGAGATCCTTGTGTCTTTATAACAACTGGAGATGCTTTCTGCGGAGGGATATCGCTGAAGATGTCTAGGTCTAATATACTTTCATTTAAAGATTTATTTGGCGTTCCTAAATTCTTATCATTTATATTTTCAGTTTTTTTACCTTTTTTAAAATTTTCATACATTTCTAAAGCGTTTTGTACCTTATCTCCTAATTGAAAAAGCATTTCAACCCATTCAACACTATCAGTGCTGCAATTTTGGATTTGATTTTCTATATCAGATCTATAGCCTTTAAGACATGCTGCCCTCTCATCAAGCACTTCTTTTTTTTCTCCAGCTGTAACTAGATCATAGAAAGTTTTGACTGCAGACTCAATTGAATTTTTAAAAGTAATTGAATTTTGTTTTGAAGGAGGCCGATATGTATCATAATCTCTTTGAATAGTTCCTGGATATTTCATTACAAGCTTCTCTGGAGGACTTCTAGACGCATATTGCTTTGATTGAGTAAGTAGCTGCATAGGGAATATAACATTTTCTTTTAGCAATTGGTTATAGTAATTCAAATATGAACTTGGCCTTCCATCTGGGCCTCGTCCATAGTTTTCAGCTCAGGTTTGAATATTTTTCAGCAAAGTTATCAAAAAATTCCTACTAGCGAGCCTGTTTTCTTCAGAACTCAGACTTGCAATGCCAAAAATATCATCTCCTCTATTATCATCAGATTCTTGCTTTTTATGCTTTGCAAGCGCTGTAAGGCGACTCATAATTTTTTTTTGTGCATACATCAAAAAGGAAGTATTATCAGCCATCATGCATTCGTGGAAGAGCTTTAAAGCTCTCAGTTTGGATGTTGGAGGGCAAGATTTGTCCTTGATTATTCTTTTGATCATGATTATTACTTCTTTGCAGGTGCTCAGAGGGGCATATTTAATTATTCCTGAGAGGAGTTGTGAGGCTTCTTGGTATTCAGAATCAGAAATAATCCCAGTGCGAATTATATCTTGCGCCTTTTGTGTATTCATATTAGTTATTTTATTATTTTTTGAAATATTTAATAATATCTACAAGTTGACTTATAAAGTGATATTTAGACAAATCTATGAAGAAAAATAATAGTGGCAGGTTTATTCAGTTATAATAATCATAATGGAAAAAGGTCCTTGGATATTTGTGGAAGATGATGGATATGTGTCACCGTCCTTATACAGTGTCCCATCACACTACTCTCCTTATATTGGAGGCATATTTGTGCCTCGAGGGATGATCCAAGACAGGATAAAGAAAATCGCTGAAGATGTTATCAACTATTTTCAAGACCATCCTATAACCCGTTGCTAGCTATTTAATAGGAATTTTTTCCTCCTATGAATTTTCTGAGATTTTTGGGCATGCTTTTGCCTGATGAGACAATTGCTCGAAAAAATCTATTAAAATTCTATTAGATTTGCCATGAGGAAAAAAATTTTGACCAAATAAATGCGACACGGAGCCCTATATAACCATTCTAGTCGTCCTTAGAGGTGCTTTCCGTTATGCCAAAGATTTGATAGAAGCTATAGATGCTATGCCAAACCCTAATTTCAGACACTACAATTTAGAATTTATTAGAGCCAGAAGTTATGTGAATAACGTTCAACAAGATGTGTTGGTTGAGGGTCTTGACCAACTGGATTTGACTGGTAAGCATGTTCTTATTGTAGAAGATTTAGTGGATAGAGGAAAAACCTTATCAAGAGTTGCAGAAATCGTCAGAGAAAAAAATCCAGCTGATTTAAAAATAAGCGTTTTAGCTTATAAAAGAAACCCTATCAACCAGTGGGTTGTGCCTGATTTTATAGGATTTTCGTTGCCAAATGACTGGATTATTGGATATCATATAGACTATAACAACCATTTTAGAGATCTCCCTCATATCTGCAAGTTGAATGAAGCTGGAATTGAAAAATTTAGAGTTTAAGATATTTAACTCCCTCTTTAAATTGGATGAAAACATAGGTTAAATTTCCATTTTTTAGATATTTTAACCCTTTTAAATTTGGAACAAATTTTTATAATAGGAAGTTATATAGGTAAAAAATATTAATTTTATAAAAATTTAGTTTTGAAATGATTTAATGGAGAGTAGAATATTATTTAAACAGCTTCCACACTGAATCGATTAATTTTTTGATTAATTCTTTGTAAATATATATTAAAATTTAAAAAATAATGGTACATTTTATATTTTTAAAAATTTTTATCGAAAAAAATTAAGATTTTTTGGGTAGATTAAGAGATTAGATAAATGGATAAATTATAAAATGTAATGATAATATAGGTCAGCTGGGCAAAAAATTCAGTTCCGTATTGTAAATGCAGCTGATCCGAAAGGGGCTTTTAGGCTGATTTCAGTACCAGAGCAAGCACCTTTTACAGCAGTTGTTAAATTTGCGGCAGACGAATTTCGAGTTCAATCATCCACGTCAGCATTGATAACAAATCACGGAGTGGGTATCAACCCAAACCAAACAGCTGGAAGTATTTTCTTGAAATATGGGACTGAATTGAAACTTATTCCTCGAGATAGAGTAGGAGCTGATATCTAAGGCTTGAAGAATTATTCATCAGCATAAATAAGTATTCAATTTTTAATAAACACACAATTTATTTAATCCCCCTAGCAATAGGCCAATTTTTGCTTATTCGTGGAAAACAAGCTTCAAATATTATCGAAATTTGCTTATTATTGGGTGTAGTTAATTGCATTTTTGGCATTTTATATCTGAAACCCTTTAATAAAATGTAAATTTCGATCTCCCATAAAAATTTACTATGTCAAAATTTTGTGTTAAAACCCCCAAATAAGCAAGAGTTTGCTTATTATTGGGTAAGTCAGTTATTTATCGAAAGAATGGTTATTTTAATTAGTAAAGCTGCGAAATTGGCCAATAAACATTCTAACTACTATTAAATTCTCACTTTAAGTATCCTTCTCCTTTTATCTCTTATTATTACATCTGTTAATTATTCATGTAATATTTTCTAGTAAATCATCATTTATATTACATTATACAAAATTCATATATTACTATCCTCATGCTTTATTTTTTTATAATCAATCCCGATATCATTCATACTTCTTCCTTCCCTCTCATTTTTCTAAATTTCTCATTTCTGCTGATTCTGTTCTATCAACTGTAAATTACCATCCTATTGGCATTAATTAATTTTAAAAATGGAATCGGGCATCATCCAATCTTCATTGCAAGAAAACCTCAATAAATCGTCAAAAAACTCGCAAGCTGTTTCTGATAACCAAGAATCAGCTGCAGACTCCAACATTTTTGTGGAAAAACTAAAGCTGAAGCAATGTAGTTTTATTGACAACCTTAAACTCGCATCCACGTACCTCCAAAATGTAGACGAAGCGCCTCCACGTCTCGCTGAAAGACTCAGCAAAGAAATCAAAGTCCTTTCTAGAGGTCTATATATATTGAAATGGAGACACGTTTCGGCCTGTCCTCTTGGCGTAATGGTCCAGACTTTATGGTCAAAGAAGTGAAACGGATTTCGAGCTTAGAATCAATCCAGCCTCAGCAGAAGTGTATTCAGGTAGTTTTTGGCTGCTTTCCTGAGGTTGGAAACGGAGGTGTCCAATGTCCTCTGACCCTTGGTCATTCTTCTGTTTTGGCCTAGGCCACAGTGAACAGTCTTATTCCTGTAGCTGCCGAAGTAAGACACTCTAGAAACCCGACAGAATCCAAAAGTTAATTCTTAAATCAAGTTGCTCCAATCATCTGTCGACGGGCTACAGAAATCCATAAGCTGCCCACTCAAGACTGAAGCCTCAATACATACTGTGTCGGCTACAACTAGACCTACTGGGCAGTTGCGCAAAGCGGATGAACCTCCCATCCAGGAAGTCTTCGGTGACTGTGTTACCAATTAGCTAACACCTGTCTTTATTAGCCTAACCATTTCTTTCCAGAGGGCTCCCGCTTGATAAATCCTGTTCAATTTTTATTGGTATTGACTCAAACCAAATGCGATACATGTCTGGAGTTATTGCAGGGTCAGAAGGAACTCCCTATGCTCATGGGCTTTTTTTCTTTGACATCTTTTGTGGGCCAGATTTTCCTCGTTCGCCACCTCAGGTCACTTTAAAAACAACAGGAAATGGTGAAGCTTATTTTGGGCCAAATCTTTATAGTAATGGCTATGTATGTTTATCAATAATAAACACATGGTCAGGAGATGAATCAGAAAGATGGAATTCTAATAAAAATATTCTCCAAGTGCTCTTGTCAATCCAAGCCCTTGTAATGGACAATAATATTATTCAAAAGGAGCCAGGGCTTTATTATTTAGATGTAAACTGTCCTGATAGTGTAATCTTTCAAAATGCTGTAAAATACTTGAATATTAAGTATGCGATGATCAAAAATATGAGAACACCGCCAGCTGGATTTGAGGAACTGGTTCATGATTATTTCCAATTAAAAAGAGAATTTATTTTGATGGAAATAAATCAGTGGCTGGATAAGGCAAAAAATGAAAGTCATCATTTTTCGCAGCAGTCAATTGCACAGAGCTATAACCCGGGGCTTTGTCAGAGAATGCATAATGAAGGGTTTTTTAAGGTGCTGTCTGAAATTGGAAGAGAGCTGGAAACCGAATTTGATGCAAGATATGGACCGTGCGAAATCAAATTAAAATTATATAATAGGGATAAATAGATAAATTTATTAAAAAATGAGAGAAAAAATAAATAGCCAATTTAGTAAATTGAATATTATGATGGCATTTAAAACTGTAATATATTTTTCATGGCTAACTAGGAAAAAAACGCTGGATTTTATAATTATTAAATGCTTAATAAACTGTAAAAATAAATCCTGCCATTTGATATTAGATTAATTTCATTAAATTTCTTTTCATTCGAAAACAAGCGCACTAGCTATTCCTTTGGCTTCTTTACTGATAAAGCAGTTAAAGCATGAAGGACTGTCCTTGATATTGATTTTGTCTTGTATTTACAGAATTTATGAGCTAAGTCACTATTTCTATGCACCATACTAAAGCACTCTACACAGTATCGTTTAGTAGGGCACCCGGTGCACCATCCTGCTGCCTTTTTCGAGCAATTAGCGCATTTGAAGTTATCTAGAAGCGCATAGACTTTATCCATTGAGTTCGAAGAAGATTGAGTGCTGTTTCCGCTGTTTAAGTCCATAACTTCCTTTTGTTCTTCTTTTATTTCAACCGGGCTATCTTCAATTGATAGTAAAGGCTTATCATTTTTAGATAGTTCCTGTGGAGAAATTTCATGTATTGTAATATATTTTGCTAGTTTATTTTCATCTGTTTCTGCAACTGCTTGCAAGGCATGCCCTGATAGTTTTGGTGACAAAATGTCAATTGTTTCTTCTTCTCGTACTTTGCACGGCGAATATGAGTTAATTTCGGTAGTATCTGAGCGGCTATAATCAGGACTAATGTTCGGTCGCCCTCTTGCGCAGCAAGACGGAAAGAATTTATCGATCCAACTTTCCATATTGCATATCTCTATTCTTTGTTTTTGTAATGAAATTTGATAATTAATACTTTTATTAATAAAAACTCTATGCCTTTCTACTAAAATAATCTAAATTCATTATTGCTTATTTCACTTAATTTGCATAAATTGCCAAATATTATCAATCTATAGTATTTTATATCTATTATAAGAATATAACATTTCTACAGGGCTGCTATAATTTTTAAAAGAATACAAGATATTTATGAGAATTTCTACATTTAAGCACTATTATCTTATAATTTGTTTACTATTAGCTATATAACGTAAATTCATGATCCAATCAAAATCACTTCTAAGGATTAATTATTTAATCTAAAATTTTTTAGATGGTTTAATAATTTTTAAGCTTAATCCAACCATCTATAATGCTAATTGCTTAGACATTGGATTCTCAAAGGCAGCATTCAGCTTGCTCATAATGATCCTGTCTTTGCGCTTGGTGAAATCTTGATTATGGAAATATCTGACAAAAAAGAAAGGTCCAAGCCCAAGAGCAACTCTAATATTAGTTCTCGCAAATCCTGAAAAAGCTTTCCATCCTGCTATCTTTGATACAAGCCACTGCAAAGTCCCAAAAGTTCCTAGAGTTCCCAATTCTATATATAGCCAGGTATTCTCTCTCTGCGAGAACTTATAGTATTCTTCCATTGTCATATAGTCTTGCATGGGAGCGATTTTATAAGCAGTATAATCAAGATGCCCATTGTTAAATCTGAATTCTTGAAGCCTGTTTGACCTAGGGTCGTAGTTTGAGGCCATATTTATAATTCAGCTTTCTCGTCTTTTTAAAATTTGATTTTTATCAATGAAATGTATTTTCTAAAGAGATTTTTTATAAAATTATAATTGATAAAATATTTTTTCTTAAAAAACTGTAGTTTAATCTAAATGGCAAGAGGTATTTAATTAATATAGAATAATTTTTTTATTATGAAAATTCACTTTTATTACTAAAGCTTAAGGACTATTTTATTGAATAAATCATGTGCTGGGACTTTTGCACGAAGTTTCATACATAGAAGATAAACCCCTGACAATTTCCTATGAAGTGTGTACGTCTCAGGAGGTGGAGGGCATTTTCTATGCTGCATCATTGTAGGCATTTGCTTATAAACTTGTGGGGTTATCCCTTGATTTCCAAAATCATAAAGCCCAGGTGTAGAAAAAGGCTCTCCAACAGCAAAGCAGGCATTAACATGAGCATCATATAGTTCCGCAGCCTCATCATTTTTGAAATACCCAATCTCATTTGACCAATGCAAAACTCCTTCCCTGTCTTTTTTGACCCCAGAAACGACAACATGCTTATATTTCTCCACAAATTGGTCAGAATAAGTCCTTGTGGCTCCAAAGTCAAGTAAGTCTAATTCATCATCTACAGGGTCTTAAACTTAAACTTATAGGTAGGCGTCTGCCATATCGGTTACGCAGTCACCAAGGACTCTCCCGTACGGGCAGTTTCATCCGCTTTGCGCCGTCTTCAGCTTCGCCTTGCTCGAATTGGGGCAATGATTCGCTGGGCAAGTGTTCAGCTCTGACACTACCTTTCTTCTTCTTCAGCGCCTGATGCCATGGCACTTCTGAAGTGAGACTCTGCTTGGACGTCTCCTCCTCCCTTTTCGGCCCAGTGTTGAGTGGGCGGACTATGGACTTCTGCGGCTGCTGCATGTGTAACAAGGTTGGCCATACAAAAATCCCAAAAAATGGAATTTCTGTTCGACCTTTCGGCAAAAAGGAAAATCTGAATCCCGGGACGTAACGCCCGGTTTCACGCTAGGCAGTTGCCCGATTGGTCTGGGGATTACCTGCAGACTTTGCTGGGCTTGCCCTTTCCAAATCCAAACCCTCCTTTCCCTTGAGGTAAAACCCAATCTTGAAATTAGACTAAGGGCTAGGCTCTGTGCATTACCAGAATTGCTTACCTAGCATTGCCGTCCATTTCTGGATTGGTAAAACCTTGCCGGATATAAATAAAATATAAGTCGAGTATGCATGGCCGGAGGCCATGCCCAGACGAAGACGCCATATTTTATTTATCATCATCTTCAGGGTCATATTGGAAATTTGCAGGGTTAGGGTCAGTTTGCATGTATTTCCAATCGAAAATTTCCCTGAGTGTGACTTCCATAATTCTTGTCCCAATGGAGTCTCTTCTTTTTTGGCTGGCTTGTCGTGAGAAATCTTCAAATACAAGGCTGTCTACGTATTCTGACACAAGAATGTGCTTTGTGGAGACTTCTTCGAAAACGTCAGGTACATAGACCCCTTTTATATTCTTAGTCAGTCCTTTAAACTTTAGCTGGTGTTCAGCTTCCAATGAATAATTGCACTCATTAATTAAGTCTTCTCGTGTGTGGTCTACTAATGCGTCAAAATACAATCCTTTTGGAAGAATATTTGTCCATGTAAAGAGCATGTGTAAGTTATTTAAGTCACTGTTGATGCTGGTATCAACTCCTGGATACTGTACTTTTATAGCTACTTTTTTACCTTTATAAACCCCTGTGTGAACCTGTCCAATAGAGGCAGCTGCGAACGGTTCCATATTAAACTCGTCAAATTTCGATCTCCAGTTTTCCCCAATTTCCTTATTTAATACACGTTCTAGCTGTGCTGACGGCATAATATAAGCTTCTCTGCGGGTTCTTTCCATAGCTCTAAGAAGAGTAGGAGGCAGTTTTTGTGTGTCTTGGAAGCTAACAAATTGCCCTAATTTTAAAGCAGCCCCTCTCATTTTTAACATCCCTTCAGTCAAAATCTCAATGTTTTTTTCTGAAAGGGCATGCTGCTTCAGTGACCCAGAAAAGCCAGATTTATACGCCTGGGATATCGTCCCTCCTATCAGCGAGCCTCCTAGTTTGGCAAAATTAAAAGCTCGTGAAATACTGGATGCTGGCACAGCTCTTTCAATCCCTTTAAAAATCGGTCTATCTGATTTCATGATCTCTAGCTCTTCTGTGTCAGCCTCTTCTTGCTTTGGGGCGAATTCATGGAGTGTGTAGCGTGTATTGAAGCCAATTGGCAGGAAATGACGAAGAGTGTAAATTTTTCGAGTAAGTACGGCGTTACGACTAAGCATCCAAAGATATAATTTTAATTAATGGTATGTATTAAAGTTTAAAAGCTTCACGGGATTTTATAAAACCTTGCAAGGCAGAAGTGACGCTTGTAGGGGGAACTGGTTGCTTGGGCTCAGATTTTTTAGATTTCTTAGGATTAGGAGGAAGCTTAGATGCTGAGTTATCTTTGGATGGGGACGAAAAAATACCGTGAGAAGGGTAGGAACATTTGTTGCTGGGGCTTCTATATTGTTCGTAGCTTTTGGAGATACTTTCTATGTAGTCGAAACCGTTTTCTTGATGCTCATCACTGTCTTCAGCAAATTCAACAACTTTTCGCTGGGGTTTTTCAATTGGAATAGGAGGGTCTTTTATGACCTGGTCGATAAATCTATATTCTTCATATTTCGCTGAGGATTTTTGAGTAGATTCTTTAGAGTTCGGGACACTTTGCCCTGAGATTTGACTGATTTTATCATTTACTGTATTTTCTATATAATTCTTAAGCCTCATCTCAATATCTGTCAAATTATCTTGCAGCTGAGAAGTCACATAATGTTTATTGGCCAAAATCCTATTGTTTATTTCTTTAGTTATCATGGAATTGCTCACTTTTTTCATTTTCCCTTGAATTTCTATATACTGCTGCTCAGCATATCTCATCACTTGTCTTTTTACATCAAAAGCTAAGTCTTCTTGTTGATAATTTTCCCTTACTCGTCTTTTTACATCATAAGCTGAGTCTTCTTTTTGATAATTTTCCCTTATCAATTTTCCAGCACTGCTTGATCTATTAATCTTTTTTTCTGGAAAATTTTCAATTTTATGCTCAGAGCTATAAGACTCATTTATTCTTCTTTCATTAGCTCTTGATAGCCTCTCTACATTATCTACTGTATTTTCTTTCAGTTTTATAAATAATTCTTTTGAAGCTCTTGCTAGCAGATTTTCGGCTTCTTTTTCTAGGTCAAATTGGGTGTTTCTTAGCTGATCATTTAAAATTTCTCCTAATTTTTGGAATCATTCTTCGTCAAGCTGGGCTTCAAATTTATGGCTAGAGGACTTCATGTAAGCTTCCATCCCTTCTTTTATTTTTCTTCTGTTATCTGGCCTAACTGAATCTGAACGAATGCTTATATCTGCTTTTGACATCGTCGGTGTCGAGTACCTTGAAACTGATTTTAATGATGATTCCGATTTAACAGAAATCAATGAGCTGCTATTTCTCCTTGCCAAATTTGTATAAGCTGGCTTAGGCACATTAATTGCTTCTTCTTTGCTTTTTCAGCTTACCTGTGGTGCTGAGCTCTCTGTCGAATTTCTCGTCATTGGAGACTGGCTTCTTTCCTTTTTCCTCCTCAAGCTTGCAGTCTTCTGCAGCAGTGTGATCATCTCAATGTTTTTCGCTCTATCAATGGCTTTTTTCCCAAACTAAATATTCCTTACACAGTCCTTATGCTCAATATCACAGCCAGCGTTTAATAAAAGTTGGACTATATTCGTGTAGTTATGATATACACTTATCGTCAAAGGTGTCCAACCTCTGTGGTCTGGCAAATCAATCTTCACTTTCTTTTCCAAAAGTAGCTTTACTATATTTTCTCTATTATGCCAGCAAGCAAGAAATAAGATACTTTGCCCGGCCTACTGAAGTAAAGTTTACATCATTGATGGCGTTGATATCGGTACCTTGGTTAATTAGTTCTCTGGCGGCTTCAAAATGCCCTTCTTTAACTGCCAAGGCAAGTGGGGTGTAGCCTGCTGAGTTTTTTTCGCTGAGACTTTTGGGATTGGCAAGGGTCTTGATTCTGTCGAGGTTTCCTTGTTCACTTACTATCATAAGTTCAGTTTGGGCTCTTTTTGACATTTATTAGGATTTAAAATAAATTTACATTATTAAGCATCTTTGGCAGGAAGCTGTATTGGTAGTTTTTTCCATTATAAGGGATTCTCGCTTTTCCTTGAGGGTAGTTTCTTCTTGGAGTTTGGAAAGGATACGATTTCTGTGGCCGAGCTTTATGACACCGATATCTACAAGCAATTGGTCTGTGATTGGGTATCTTGAATGCATTAGGCTTAAAATCGTATTATAGTCATCAAAACCTGATTCTATAAAAATGTCTTTAAGCTCTGAGAGCTTCATGCTTTCTAACCATTCTGATACTGATATTTTAGGCTGAGTCTCAGAAGAGTTCTTTATTGTCTTTGCAGAAGCTGGGCTATAAGGCATTATTCCTGCCTCTTCCTCCATTTTCATAAGAAACTTATTGATAAGCCCTGCCTTCTTGATGCCAATTCTGCTTAAGTCTTCTTTTTTAATAGGAATAGAGCTATGCATCTGCTCAATAATATTGTTTAAGTCTTCAAACCCATTCTCACACAAGACATCATATATTTCTAGTAGCCCATTTTTTTCTAGCCAATTATATAATGGAGTTATTTCTGCCTTTTTCTTAATGACACTAATTTCTGACTCTGGCTCAAAATTTTCAGTCCTATTCAAATTTATAGGTTTTTCTGTAACTATTGGGTGACTGGATTCTCTCAGCATTTCTTCTTGAAGGAATTTCATATAGTCTTGGACTTCTTTATTGGCTAGTTCAAATGGAGATTTGCCATGTAGGTCTTTTAAGTCCAAATCCCCTCCTGCTTTTACCATCAAGCTTATACTTTCCATGTGTCCACAGTCAGCCGCATAATGGAGTGGGGTTCTCCCAAACATATGGTTAGGGATGTTTGGGTCTGCTTTGTTATTTAGCAATATTGAAACCATCTTGCTATCACCTCTATATGCAGCATGATGCAAAGAAGTATCGCCATCATTCTGCTGGAGATTTGCATTCGCCCCGTATTTTAAGAGAATTTCAGCAAGAGCATATTGAGAATTATCAGCTGCTTGGTGAAGAGGAGCTTCTCCTAGGTTGTTAATAATATTTGGATCTGCTTTGTGCTTGAGTAAATATTCTGCACCTTTTAGATGTCCACATATAACTGTCCTGTATAGAGGAGTCCAGCCTAAAGCTTCATCTTTTTCATTAAGTTTATCTGGGTGCAATTTAAAGGCTCGCTTTATAGCATCCAGATCGCCAAGTCGGCAGGCTTTTTGTAAGTCTATTTCATCTATAGAAGCTTTAGGAGCTCGAGGAGAGATAGCAGCGATATTATATTGAATCATGATGCAAATTATTATCTTCTCATATTTACCATTTAGAAATTTCGAATTTTTACAATAAAGACACCTGATAAATAACTGAAATTAAAAATTTATAAGATTAGCCTTATAATTTATTTATGTCAATTTATATTTTAAAATAAATACATAAATTGTCCAAATTCAAAGATAATTATTTTAAAATTAAATAGAAAATGACTTACAATAGAAGAGAAATAGGCATAGGTGGGAGCATATGAGCTACAGGAATTATGCTTACCCTCTCTTCCCTGCTCATTTTAAGCCAGCTTACTCAACAAATTCAAAAGATGAAATATAAAAAAGCTCAACTGAGATTATGCTTTATGATTCTTGCCCCTGTTTTAATAGGGTGGCCATCATGAGTTGTATTAATCCTTGGGCCTGATGCAGGAATTCTTGAATATGTAGGTGATTTATTTAAAGGAGTTATTTTATTTATATTCGTTGACTACTCAATAATACTTATCGGCTGAGAAAAAAATGAGGCAGATTCCGAATTCAGCCAAGCAAGAGCTGAAGGATGTTTTATTCGTCTTGAAAATGTGAAACAAATCTGTGAATGTATGGGGTCAACTAAAATAAAAAATCAAGAAGACGTCTCGTGGTTTCTCAATAAAGTGAGAATTGCGGCATTGCAAACTTGTATTGTGTTTTTTTGCTTACTTGTGGTTTCTGTTATTTTAAAGCTGATTTCTGGGGATTATCTTAAGTATGGGGATATGGATCCGACATATGGCTATTTCTGAATCAATATGTTTAAAATTCTATCTGCAACAGTGGCACTTTATCAGCTGTTTACTTATTTGAAAAATATTTCACAAATCCCTGAAATGAAATTATTACAAATTAGATCAAAATCATATATGATTTTATTGACCTTGGCGTTGACTCTCTATCAATCTGCTATAATTGGAGGCTTATCACGCTGGTCAAGTATATCTGATGAGGCCAATTACTCAAGAGAAAATATAACCAGTTACACCTCTAACTTGCTAATTTGTGTAGAAATGATAGTTTTAGCCCTCGTTCAAGGAACAATTTTCACTGCAGAGGACTATAGTCTTGATCTTCATAAATAAATTTCAAATATGGAATAATGGGCATAAATGAGGCATTTTCATCAGTAGAAAAATCTTCCTCTCTTTAGCAAATTATTATTAATTTTAATCACTTTAAGGCAATCCTAAAGAATTTCTTAGTTAAGCCGTTTACAGAAAAAAATATGCGTTTAACGATCTATTGATTTAAAACACATATATTTATCTAAGGAAATCTTAAAAGAAATCTAGGATTTAGCAACGTTAAAATTTTTTTATAGAAGAAGTTTTGAAATATTAATAGAAACAGATGAAAAAATAATATAAACTCTCATTTATAAATCAAATGTTTGAATACAGTGAATATTCTCAAAATAAAAAGCTCACTTTTGCCAACAAAATCGACAGCTACAGCAGATGAATTCCAAGTCCTGTATCAGAAGACTCAGATCCAGAGCTAGTAAGGTGTATTTCTCGCTTAAGCGATCCGGAGTATGCCGAAGAAGCGGCAGGTGAAAAAATTGTATCGCTTATGCTGAGCCTTGAAAGATCTAGTATGATTTGTGAAGATTTTCGATCAAATGAATTCAGGAAAGCCGAAGAGCTGAAAAATCTTTTATTTAAAAAAGGGAACCAGCCTCAATTTGAATTTAAACAGAAATTGAATACGAATACTGACTGTTCTAACATTAAAATCAATTGCAGCATAGCAGACTTATACAAACTGTTAGAAGACATCGAAAAATTCATAGACTTAGTTGAGTCGTCAACATCTTCAAGCAATATAATAAGCATAGGCTCCAAGTCCTTATATATTTATGTTGAAAATAAAGGGATAATATTCCCTGAAAAGCAAACTTTGACAAAATTAGCAAACAATTTAATAAATAAAGAAAAAGAAAACAAGCCTTTCAATGCGTCTCAAGCCCGATCTTATATTCGGCAGCTTGAAAATGAAGTTGAAGAGTTAAGAATGCAGATAATTATACCGAAAGAAATGGTTGATTTTGGAAAAGCTTTGCAAAATAGTATTATTTTTTCCCATAATAATATTGACGAACTACTTGAAAGCAAAAATCCAGAATGTGACAGAAAACTCGAAAAATTAATGATACCAAAACCTAATATGTGCAGCTATTCAAACCTAGAAAATGAAACTAAAAAGCTTATAAAAAGTCGTAAGACCACCCATAAATTAAATGAAGAAGCCAAATGAATGGCCAGTGAAGCAGATATTATTAAGAAAGAATACCAAGCCAAAATAGACCAACTCAAGAAGCAGCAAGAACAAATAAATTCACAATCAACCATATTAAAAGCAAAAACAAGAGATCTAGATAAAGAAAGAGCTTCTTTTGAGAGCCAAAAGACTAAGCTTTTAAAAGAAAAAGAAGAGCTAATAACCCAATACAGAGACCTGGAGGATCAAAAAAAATCTTTGGAAAGAGAAAAAGAAGAATTGAACAATAAAAAGCAAAATTTTAATAGCAACCTCTCAATTTCAATTGATGCAAACGTATTAATGCCAAACGGCAGAAGGTTCCCTGGAGTTATCCGAGAGCATAGCCGCACTCCTTCTGGGGCTCTCTGCCGCGAGCACAGTCGGACTCCTTCAGGAATTCTCCGTCAGCATACCCGTACACCTTCTAACCTCTCCAATGCTTCAGAATCTAACTATAGAGCACCTACCCCAAGCACAAGGTCTTATGCAAATTCTTCAGTCATGCTCTTTGAAAATCCAATAGAGGACGAAATGGAAGAACTTAAAGCAGAAATAGCAGAACTTGAAGAAAGGATGAAAAATCCACGTGAAAACACTGACGCGCTCCATACAAGGCTAAATCATTCTCAAACTCAGCTAGCGAACTTAAGATCAAAAAAAGCTATTAATTGTTCGCAGTCAAATATTTCTTTTAAACACCGTATGCTTGCATTTGGCCAGCATGCACAAGGCATTACCAAGAAGCGGGGGAAGTCAAGGACAAAATCTTTCAATATGACTCTTGATGGTCCTCTTGGAGAAAACAGCTTCGAAAATCCGAATTTTTGTGAAACACCTCATACATCGAGAAAAGCTACTTTTGACTGTCAAAATGAGTCGTTTAGTACCAACGAAACTATAAGGCGGGATTCGATAATGAGGGATTCTAGAAGCACGAATAATTTAAAGATACATTCCAAACCGGGCATCACAACAAGCTACCAAGAAAGAAAATTCGATAATAAGCCTGCTTGCTATGATTTATTTGCTTAATTTATATTTTTACTATTAAATTAATAATTATAGAAAAAAAGAATATATATTATTAGCTAATGATTTCAGAATATTATAATTTTTATGTAAATTAACATTAAAAATCCCTAAACAATGCATTTAAATCTGGCGGAGGTGGCTGAGTCATCGCAGTCGAATCAGGATAGCTGTCAAAGAAATGGGTATCATCTTGAGCGCTAATTTCTGGGGTTCATGGAGGCGGAATTTCTTTTCTTAAAATCATTCCCCAGTCAACCCCTCTAAACCACTTATGCCTTTTTACTGCGTCAATCCCTTTTTCTCCACATCCATATCTTTTCGTTGGATTTGCCTGGAGCAATTTTTTAATCAAATCTTTTACTCTTCTTCCAAAAACCTTGGAAAATTCAATTCTTCCTGATAGGATTTTTTGGTAGATTCCTATAGGATTTTCATCGTAAAATGGAGGAAAGCCTGCTATCATTTCATATATTAAAATTCCTAGAGCCCATCAGTCGACAGCTTTATCATGGCCAATGCTCTGGATAATCTCTGGGGCGAGATATTCAGGGGTTCCACATAGAGTGTAGGTTTTTTCAGTCATCACTTTGGCGAAGCCAAAGTCTGTAATTTTTACATGTCCTTGTCTGTCTATTAAAATGTTCTCTGGCTTCAAGTCACGATAGGCGATGTTTAATTTATGAAGATATTCGAATGCTAAAACAATTTCAGATGTATAGAATAATGCGACATCATTGGCGAATCTTCCTTCTCGTCGGAGTCTTGAAAAGAGTTCGCCTCCACATATGTACTCTAAAAGCATATAAATAAAAGCAGTATCCTGAAAGGTTGCTAGTAGAGTGATAATAAATGGGTGCTTGATTTGCTCAAGGATGGCTTTTTCAGATTTTATGTGCTCTAATTGTTTAAGTTTTATGACAACAGTTTTCTTCAATATTTTTAAAGCGAACGGAGGCAGGTTATTGTTGCCTTTAAGTTTGACCAGCCTAACTCTTCCAAATGTACCAGTTCCTAAGGTAGACTGAATTTCAAAATCATTAAGCGAGAATCTTGCCCTATTTGCCCTCATTTTATTTAAATTCATTTAAGTAGTAATAAGAAGTTCCAACATATTAATTTTAAATAAGGAAAGAACTAAAATAATCAATCATGATTGGATATTCTTTATATTTATTTATAAATACTCATATTTTAATTACATTTGGCTTGATTCTGTAATTGTTTCTACACGCTTACTCTGCCCCTCCTTAAGTGAACAAAACTTTTATGTTCGTGTGGAGGGGGTTTATCAGATTTTTTTTTTGAAATTTAAAAACAGCCGAATTCACAAAAATTGGAATGTAAAAACTTAATTAATTTGTAAAAATTTTTGTTTTGAAATGCATGCTGTTTAAATTTTTAATAGAATTAGCTTGAGATTTCGTTATATTAATTATCATTTTATATATAAAAATATTTTTTATAAAAAATTTTTATTCACTGAGGGTAATGCTTCGCCAAAAAATAAGGATTTTTCCTTGGTTTTATTCGCTCATGGGAGAAAGTTAGTGCTTCCATCTTGAAAAGTAAACAATTTTACAGTTTTCACTGTAACCTTCCCATTTCTTGTACTCATTTCTCTCGTTGTTTTCATCGAAACGGCTCCTTCAGGCATTCCTTCACTCATCATATCTTCCATCATAGATTTCATATTGTTTTTATTTATATAATAAGCAGTTGGATTGTTGCTGAGAAGTTTGCATCCTGGTTTTTGAGGGTCAGAAATTTCAACCAAATTTTCATCAGGGAACGAAGGACATCTTGAATAGTATTCTTTACTCCCCCCGCAGTAAGCAAACAAACCATTGGAAATATCTATATTTTTTCGGAAACAAAAATTATTTTAATATAAATTTGGATATATAAGTAATAATTATTATAAAGTATCTCTGGCTAATTCTGCTAAATTTAGAGCATCTTGCATTTTAAATCACAAATTTTGCAAAATTAATTGAATTTTACTTCTCAAATTTTGCTATAATGAATTTATTTAAATTTCGCAAAATACAATTTTGCTATATAAATAATAAAAAATTAACCAATAAATTTATTTTTTCGCTCACAGAGGGGAGTTAGTAGATTCATCCTGATATAAATCAGATGGATTTGTAGAATACGTATTTTTGTCCTCTTCTGGAGGCTCTGATGATCATTTATTTTCTTCTTTAGGTTCTAAAGGATTTCTCGGATATGGCTCTTCATGACTATTATGATTTGAAGAATCAGTAAATCCTCCTGCAAAATCAATTGTACACATATGGTGATAATGTGCATGAGGACCATACCCAATCCCTACTATTCTATAGTTAGGATTTAATATATTTGTTCTGTGTCCTCTTGAGCTAACTCCATCATCTATAAGTAATGCTAAAATTATTTCTCTTGCCGTGCTATTTCCATAGTCTATATTTTCTCCTATACACGTATTCCAATTTCCATATCTCTCTATTCTACTTCCCATAGAGGAGCCATCTGTTCCACTATGGCCAGTTTTGCCTTTTGGGCCTGTATCATTGCAATGGTCCTGAGCAGCCTTTGATAGTCCTTCTGAGAACTGAAAAGGGCATATTGGGGAAGTGGATCCTAGTACTTGGACACATTCTCGGACTGCTGCTGGACCTTCTTGGGTTACTATTGTGATTTCGCCTGGTTTTTGGAACATATTTCCATGGTAATATTTCAAAATTTCAGTGACATGGCTTGCATAACCTCTAGGATTTGTACGGACCTGGTTTAATTCTTCAAGAACAGCGTGCTGGAGAGATGATAAAGATTCTGGTGAAAGTGTAGGCTTCTGTGGAGGAGTTTTAGTAGGAATTGCAGGCTTTGGATTTGAAGAAACTGTAGGCTTTGGCTGAGGTTTTGGTGGAGCTATATGAGATGGGCGGTTTATATTTGAATTGATTGGCTGCTTTGAAGCTGGCTGAGGGCCTGGACTTGTTTGTTTCACCCTCGCATTTGTAGGGCTGACTTGTACTTTCCCAGCCCTAGGCAACTGCGCTTTCGGTTGTTGAATCTTAGCATCCTGAGATTTAGGCGAATTATTTCTATTCTGTTGAGGACTATTTCTTAAATTATTTCCACTTTGAATACTATTATTTTGTCCATTTTCTGATTCTGTATAAGTCCCTGCAAAATCAATTGTACACATAAACCGATAAACTTTATGGGGCCCGAGTCCTACTCCTGCAAAATTGTAACGTGAATTTAAAATATTTTCTCGATGTCCTCTATTGCTGACCCCATCATCAATAAGTAAACTAGAAACAATTTCTGTGGCCACATTGCTGCCATAGTCTATGTTTTCTCCGCCTATATAGTTTCCAGAGCCATATCTTTTGGCACGATCTGCAGGAGATGATCCATCAGATCCGTTATGACCCATCTTGCCTTTTAGGCCTTGATCATTACAATGGTCTTGAGCTGCTCTGGCTAGTCCATTTGACCATGTTAGCATTTCTAAAGGCTCTGCGCTCCGTAATGCGTTTATACATTCTTGCACTGCAGATGGACCTTCTTTAGTAAGCAAGACGGGCTGTCCAGGCATATGCAATTCTTTACCTCTGAAACGAGGCAAAAGAGATGATATTTTGTCTGCATAAGCATGAGGCCGAGTTCTCGCAATATTTAGCTCAGTCAAAACTTCTTGGCAAATATTCTGTGTGTCCATTTTTTGAGTTTTTTTATAATAAGTTGCATCAATATTGCCTTAGAATTTCTTATCAGAATTCGATGTTAAACGATTATTTTTAATTTTATTAAAAACTAAGAAGATTAAAAACTATTTTATTGTAAAGAATTCATGATTTTCGATTTGAAAATTTTTTAAAAATACACATTTATTATATAAGATATAATCTTCAAATATATAGAGTGAAAGAGCAGAATATAGTTTGCGATATCATTTATTGATTGAATTTTTGAGTAGAACTTATAAAGTAGGCATAAAGAAGCATAGCGCGTAAAGGATAGGTATCTTAAAGAAAGGATTGCCTAAAATTATTATAGGAACGATAAATTTGATGATTAAGATGAAGCAATTCTGCACCTTTGCAAATGTAAATGATAATAATTTTGAAATATTCTTCAAAGTCTATCTTTAATTTAATTGAATTTTAATTAATTTTTGAAGAATTCTACATACATAAGCTAGAAAATAAGCGATAAAATATCAAAATTGTGAAAACTGTCTTTGCAGGATATTCATATCAAGAACACAGATATACACCCTTTTTAGTTTTATTTTACTAATCAGAAGGCATTTGAACTAGAAAATACGTTCTTAAGATACGCTAAATTAATTTTTTCATAATACAATTCTTAAATATTCTTGCTTAATTAAACCCTAAGCTTCAATAAAATTATTGGTTTAGAAGTTCTTCTCCAAGAGAATCACCTTTATATTGTGATGGATAAGTATTCGACTTGGCGAGAATAGCAGGAGCTTTATAATTTGGTAGTTTTTTTATTGACTTTGGACCTTCATATGATTCTGTGCTTATATCTACAAATGCTGAATATCGCATTTCTTCCATGGAAACATCATCATTACTCTAAATTAGTAATTTACGTCTTGAGATTTGGTGCAACAGCCTCCCATTTTATTAATTCAATCTTTTATTGTCGATCCTTATGATCAGATCAAGTTTTGAGTTTATCTCACTTAAATTATTTATAAAATATTAATTATAACTATTTGCATAACTATACATCGTGTATTTACAAACGGACAACAATCACAGTTATATCATCAACTACCTCTTCTTCATGGTCAATTCATTTAGTCCAAGCAAAACTTGCCAGTTTATTTGCAGCTTGTTGTATATTTTTTTCGTATTTTTTCACAATATCTATTGCTTCTTGGTCACTCATAAATTCCCATACCCCGTCACTACACATAACTAAAAGTTCGAAATCCTCAGCAATTTCTAACTCATGAATTTCTGGAATAGGTATAACGCCTATCGTTTGTGCTACAGCATCCCCTATAGTTCTACTTGTAGATAACCCTGGATATTCTTTTCCTTTTACAAATATTCTATGAGGATAATCATCAGGGAGTTTTCTGACTTCTCCATTACTAGCTATAATTCTATCCATTTCACTAGGTAAATTTGCTTTATGATCTGTAGTAATTCTTCTAGCTTCACAGCAATTGCCTTTTTTGATGCCTAAAATTGCTCTGGAGTCTCCAACGTGCCCAATCATTAACTGATTATTTTTTATAATAGCTGTAGTTGCCGTTGTTCCTGAAAATCTGCAATCATATTCAGTTTCTGGCTTTGAGCATTGAGAATATAAGGCTTGATGGGTTTTTACAAATCCATCATTGATGGCTTCTTGCAGATTCTCAGGAAAAGACTCATGAGTAGTTATACTAATTGACCAAGAATAGCCCACTAAGGAGCCATTCTTGGTCTGCCAGAAAAAATTTTGACAAAAGATCCTAATCTGCCATTACCACTGAGTTTTGGTGTTTCCAAATTTTTTGGGCAAGCCAAATGCAATAAAAAAAATTGTTCTTTTGCGATGATGCATTTGGCTTGTCAAAAAAATTTGGCAACATCAAAACTCAGTGGTAATGGCAGAAAAGATCCTAATCTGCCATTACCACTGAGTTTTTGGTGTTTCCAAATTTTTTTGACAAGCCAAATGCATCATCGCAAAAGAACAATTTTTTTTATTGCATTTGGCTTGCCCAAAAAATTTGGAAACACCAAAACTCAGTAGTAATGGCAGATTAGGATCTTTTTGTCAAAATTTTTTCTGGCAGACTAAGAATGGCTCCATAGTGGGCTATTCTTGGTCAATTAGTATATTAAATCTGGGAGCAGAGAATGAACATATTTTGAGATGTGGTGACCATTTGTTCCATGCCCATCAAAAACACCGAAAAATTTAAAGTCAGGATCGATTATAATTGAAAAATCGTCTTGGTTGAATTGATCAGGCTTTAAGCCTTTTTTGCAGGCAAAGCCAATTCCTAATTTTCCAATACATTTTTTTTATTTATTTTTATGAAATTTATTATAAAATAATAAATTATTTTTATAAATAAGGAGAATTAAGGAATTGAGCTCTGAAATTACATTTATTCCTTCAACAGTGTGTTTTTTATCTTCGAAGCCTTGCTGGTGGCCATTAGGTGGAGCGCCTTCTATTTTAATTCTTGACTCCACTTTATGGCACTGGATTTCGGCTGGGGTCTTGATGTTCTCTATTGCATCAGTTCTTGCTGGCTCAGGGAGATCTTCATCGCTGATCTGAGGATTAGATGAAGCGACAACTGATAAGCGAACGTTTTGCTTTCTAGTAGTTTTTGCGCCGTCACTAAGATTTTCTTTAACTTCACTTGTTAGTGCAAAAGTCATGCCTTTTGGTTTGTTGAAACAAACTCCCATTCTATTATTCAATTTTTTATGACCTAATTAATTTTATGGAGTTTTTTTGAGATTTTGGCTCTAGTGAGCTCTATTTTCATTAAAAGAATCCTTTGTGTCCATTTTACTTTTTTTTCTTAATGAGGATATGTATTCTTTAGCATAAAAGCAATATTATTTTTTTTAAAATTCAAATTACTCTTTTTACATATTAAAGTTATAAACTATCTAAAATTATTTTTATAGAATCTTACTCTTTAAGAATGATGTGATAATTTCTGAATTTTCATTTTATTTAAATTTTTGGATTTTAATAAAATGATTCATTTTTAGGTAAAGAAACTCGAAAAGAAAAAAAAATTTTATAGCCCAGGATCGATCAAAAATCGCTCTGGGCAAGGAGAAGGCTCAGAAGCTCCTCGAGTTGGATTTTCAACTCAAGTTGACAAGCCAGCTCGGGGAATTGACAAATACCTCATATAAAGCTTATTTTTCAACTCCCCGAGTTGGTTTGCCAACTTGAGTTGAAAACCCAACTCGAGGAGCTTCTGAGCCTTCTCCTAGCCCAGAACAATCAAAAATCACTCCTGGACCATATTGAAAATATTAGCTAAACCTCAATTTTTTAGATTAAATTATAAAACCAAGCTCTAATACAAGATAAAACAAAAAGTCGTTAATTTTAAATTAAAATGGAGCTTGAAAACGTAAAGCGTCGATCTTCTTTTCTAGGATCTGCAGCATCATCAGAAAACTCTCGTAAACCTGACAGCAACGACATAAGTAAAATCCTCCTCAAACAGAAAAGACGAGAAAGAGAACACAAGGCTTTGCTTCCAAAAAATCTTATAAGAAGTGTAAGTAGAGAAGTTATCCATTCTCACACAGATAAAAGCTATAACGCTCTCTACGAAACTTCTCCCCGCAGAAAAAAAGAAAAATTAAGACAAGCACGGCAGTTAGCAGATCCGTTAACTAGCAAAGAGTCTATTTTTACTACAGACCCTCTCTGCAAATCCTACCATCAAGTAGAGCTTAAAAAAGAATATCCAAAATTTTGTAAATTACTACAAAGAGATCATTCTCATGATATTTATAAAAGGGTTTCTGATTTGTGCTCAAAGGAAAAAGAAAACACGTGCTCCGCTATTGAAGGGATAAATAAAAATTATAGAAGATCAATAACGAAAAATATACATGAGCTAAACGCATATTATAGCAAAGAAAACGAATTCTCTGATTATGAAGTGGGGCTTATTATGAAAAATCATCAAAATTTGAAAATGAAAAGCTATGAGTTAACCAGAAAAGGGAGCTTAACAGGAAGGCAGAAATCTGCAAGACCGTTATAATTACAAAACACACATTAATTAATTTAATTAATATTTCTAATAATTTTTAAAAATTTTTCGTGAGCTCTGATGAAATTTAATAATAAACTTTATTTTATGCTGAAGATTAAGAGGCAATTCTTATGAAATTAACAAGCCAAATCGTAAAAAAAAAACTGAATAAATTAATTTTCATGTTTAAGCTTAGTTTTATAACTTTTGGCTTGATGCCAGCTTATTAATTATTAGCTGCTATCCAATTTACTATAAAATTTAAATCCTGACTATAATTTTAAAAAATTAGTATGCGGCAAATAGCATAGTTATTTTCCAATAGAAAAGGCGCGTAAGAATTTATTCTGTCAAAAGTAAAAGACTTCGAGTTGATTAAATCAAGCGACATTCTTCCTATGCTACTCTGCATAAAAACAGGTAGAGGAGAATTCGGAAGTCGATCCCTCGGCGAGAACTTGGAAAAATCTAAACTTATAGGCTTTTTGGTTACAAGTGCATAATTTACATCATAAGGATCAGGCGTACAGCTTAATTTGTGCGTCCCTTTTCTACTTGTTATTTTATTCATATCAAATGAGCTTCCCAGCTTTGGCATGCATTTTTCTTTATTTGGCCTATAGTCAGGATAAAATTCATTTGAAGTATACAATGGTTTTCTGCCTGTTTGTTTCGCAAAGTCAAGGCTAGAAACTGACCTTACAGCTGTCGAAATCCTAGGAGAAAGATTTAAAGAAAGCAGCCTATTTTCGTTTAAATCAATAGAAGGTATATTCATTTCCCTTATTTTGCCTATCTAAATATACCTAATTACATTGAATATAGCTACCTGCCTTTTATCTTGTCCAAATCATTGTAATTAGGTATATTTATTAATTTAAATAATGGCCTAAATAATGAAAATAATAATAAAGGCTTCCTTTCTATCATATGTTTCATATCTACCAGTGAGGTCACTTTTTTAAGTTGTTGGTCTTTATCGCTATCAGACTGATCATCCTTCATTTGTGAGGGAGAAATTATTTTTTGCTTTTTTCTCTGTGTTTTGGGTTTTCAAAATGTAGGTGAGGCAACATGCTTTTTTACAGCATCAAAATTTGGCTTGTAGTGACCAAGTGGAGGGTTATGGTCTTTTGCAGTGTGAGATTTATAGTAACTTTCTCTGTCTTGAGCTTTAAATGAGGGGGATAGTAAAGAGTTTTTAGGGCTGTGCTGCACAGGTTTTGAACGGGGTTCAGTTTTGAGTGCTTCTTCATACATTAAGCCATCATAACCGTTTTTTGCACGTTTTTTGAGGTATTTTGGCTTTCTTTTGATTTTTCCTGATAGGATACTTTCTCTATCTTTAAGAATAAGGTATTTGTCTATTGTCTGTCTCCCAGCTCTTGAGATTGGTTGAATCTCTTTGTAAAAATCCATTTTTTCTAATAATAAGTTATTATAAGTAAAAACAAGAGAAAAATAAATTTATAGCTTAAATAAAAAATCTTTGACCTATAATTTTATTAAATTTTAATTGAAAAATGAAAATTAGCATTATTAATTATTTCTTTTCTACAGAACCAAGGATTATTGCCTTCATAACTTGCTGATTCTGTATAAAGTTTCTCCTCCCTTCTAGATCTTTATTAAATTGGTTCACAAAGCTAGCACTTAAAGCATTGAAATAAGTATCAAGCCTCTCTGGGTTTATTATGCTTTTAAGCGTTTCTACAAACATTGTTTCTTTATTAGAAAGTTTCATGTAATTTAATAAAACCAGGTGCAGCCTTGCAATTTCCATTGAAATTTGTGCAGCATCTGCACTTCTGATGTTTAGATCTCCTGACTGGATTAATTTTGATGAAGTCAGAAATGCGAAAGACGCAAATTCGTCGAAATATGGGCTTGTTTCTGTAGCCTTGTCTAAAATCTTTCAATATATATTGATAGCAGTTTTTGGTGTCTAAATATAGCTTACGTTTTCTTCTATACTGCTAAAGGCAAACTCAGTTATATATGATTTTGGCTGATTACTCTTTATAGTAAATTTTTTTTTATTTAGAGTTTGATCTTGGAACAAAATGGCTACTATAATTATTTAGCTAATAGTCTATATAAGAAATAAATGGATTCAAGGCTTCTACAGACAAAAAATTCACATTTTTCGCTAAAAAAATATCAATCATTTTCACAAAACTTTTCCTTATCGAAATGATTTGCCGAGCATCCTCTGAAGCTGCTTCTATTGGTTTTTTTACATGATTTATCACATAATTGACTATAGAGTGAGCAACTTCATGAGAAACCGTCGAATTAAGCTCGCTTTTATACTTGATACATACTTTTGACAATATCTGCATAAAAATTACATTGAACAAGCTTTCTAGTGTATCAAAACTTGATGAAGAAATCAATATTGTAATAATTGCTTTAACATACATACTAGAATCATCTTCCATTATATCAATAATTTTCTGTGAAAAATATATAAAGGATGGATAATACTCTTGGCTTCTCTGTAAAACTGATATATTTTCTACAATTCAGTCAGCAACAGGTGATATTTTACTAGAAATATCAATAGGAACTTTTGTATTAAACCCGTATAACAGCTCAGCAATACATCATAACGAATGCGGAGTAATCTGTATCCTCATTAACTCAACTAGGTTTTCTAATGTTCTCGACTGAGCGTCAATATCCATTGATTTTGACCCTAAAATTGACCCAATTGCTCTGAACGAGCTCTTGGCTGACTCTTCATCATATAAGTTCTGCTTGATATTTATCAATAAGAATACTCAATGGCTTCACAAGGATTAGAAGAAGCAAGAGGTCTGATATAAATCTGGGGTAGTTTCATAAAAATAATTCCTTTTCTTAAAGGTTTATTTCTGCATAGTCAATTAGCTACCTGTAAATTAATTTAATTAAGATTATAATATTATCAATAATAATTTCAATAATTTTCTGTAAAAACGGAACAAAGGAGCTGGAAATTTTTTGGCTTAGTCTTAGCATCATATGAATGGCATGTTTAGAAATCAGAGCGTCTTTATTTCCTATCGTTTTTAGCAGAAGCTCTAAGACTTTTACAAAGTGTAATTTACCATCTTGAGACTCAAAATATGCAGCAAATCTTACACATAGTTCTAAATACTGCTTTATTACTTGTCTGCTAGTAGTTTTGTGGATTTCCGAGTCTAAAATGCATTTAATTAAAGCTGTATATTTTGTGTTAGTAGAAAGCTGCACCCCAAAATCATTTATGCATTCTGCGTAATTGTAGAGAAGAAAAAGAGGAAGCTCTGCCTGTCCTGCAGTCAATGTCTGAAGGATCTCTATCATTGTATGTGTCATGGTAATTAAATATTCAAAAATTGTATCTTGAGTAGGCTCAATTAGCACGATTTTTTTAAAAAGATCTACAATCTCAGCCCGATATTTATAAAACTCCTCTTCCTCTTCTGTAACCTCTAAGCTGCAATTTTGATACTCCTTGGGTATTTGGCACTTTGCCATTACAGCAACACAAATTGTGTTTATGCTTTGCCTTTCTTGATCTGTTAGTGGCACAGGTGGCTGCAAAAATTCTTTGATTTTGACATAATGTATATATTTCTTCATAAATCCTAGCTCACTCCATAAGTAAGCAAACACAATTAAAAGATTTTTATTAAAATCTTTTACATAAATTAGCAAAGATATCTGGTTATTTACAGAGAAGGGGGAGTAAAGTAATTTTTGAAAAAGTTATATCAGTCTATATAAATTATACCATATTGAAGAATTTCATAGAAATGGCTAATAAAGCATAAACAGAGCTCCATTCTTCAGAATCCACTAAGTTTGCACCTATGGCATTAAGCAATATTCCTATTGCCTTATGATAATCAGAAAAAGGGTCAATGTGATCTAAATTAATTTGCTTGATGCTAGTTAAGTTAAGTTAAAAATAATCTGGCATTCATGAAGTAGCCACTAGCCTTTGGCTTGTCTCAGCTCCAAAAAGCCAGCCTCCAATAGACCTCGGAGTTCAATGATAAAAATAAAAGGCTGCTTTTTTGGGTTTCTTACCTCAACAGCTTATCTTTGTATTAGTTCCTAGAGCAGAGCTACCATCTAAAAGGTGTCCGATGGTCCCGATAAGGGAAAGGCAATCTGGCAGGCAAAACTGTCTAGCCCATCTGGCAGGGACAGGAAAACCTTTGAGGAGAAACAAATCTTTCCTACTTAGCAAGGCTTTCCCAGCCGTGAAGGCGACTTCAAAAGTGACAGAAAGCACTGCTTTCAGCTTCATTTGATGGGTCCTATCTGCTACATAGGGAATGAGTCTCAGAATCCTTCTTTTATCAACTTCGCCATTTTATTTCTGCTTGATGTAAGGGATTATTTGAATTTGGGTAATGATTTGAAGCTTTTTTTTGGGGTCCATTTTCCTAGAGACTATACTTTCAAGGCATCGAAGGGCAAAAATTTGGCAGGAAGTGTTGGAAGCATGACTTAGGAGATATGGAGCAAAAATAACACAAACCTCAGATGGAATTCATGAAATATATAAATTCATTACTTGTAGAGTTGCAGATATAAACTCTATGTTATCTGATTTTAATGTCTGCTGCCATATCTCAGATGACTGGAATATTACTTGGTTTCTAATTTTTTCTTTCATTTCTAGCAATTGAGGTTTTCGATCATCTGGGCTGTTGAAAAACTGGGGTGCAGGTCCAATGATAGTGAATTTTTGATAGTGTGCATTTCATCGTAGTACTTTTGGTCGAAAATTTAAAATAGTGTACCCATTTGGCCGAAATTTAACAGTTTTTTCAGTCAAATGTCTTTCTATCAAAAATGATTCGAATAAATTTTCCCCTAGGAGATTTCGCACTATCAAATTTCCACAGTCATTTGACATTGAGCCGAAAAACTGTTCTTCAAATTCTTCATTAAAAATCTTAACTTTTCTTATAAATGTTAGCTAATTATGATTATACAAAATATAAGTACAAAATTAAAATAAATTTTATTATTTTAAGGGATAAGCAATGTTAAAAAAAATTTTAAGTGGATGCTGCTTTTAAGAGCCCTTCCTATAGCAAAATCAAAAGCTTCAGGCCATATTTGAGGATAATCATTTTGTATAACCCTTACATACAAAAGAGTAAATTTATTTAAAATCCCGTAATGAAATTCTAAAATATCTGATCTATTTTCAATTACAAATATAAGGAAATTCCGAATTTGCTCTTTTGTTGGTGCATCAAATGAGGAGTAGCGTGCTTGGAAGGCTTCTTCAATGACTTGAAAATACCAAAAAAGGAGGGTTAGCGTGTTAGGATTATCTAAGCATAATTCCAGGATTTTTTGTAAAGCGTAGCTATATAGTGAGAGATCTGATTTCGCAGACTCAGTTATCTGGATAGCTTGCTCTCTTGCGTGTAGAGGTAGGTTCGAGTTATATAAAGCTAAAATGGCTTGTTCAAGGTTGGACATTTATTTTAATTTATAGTTAATAATTGCTAAATAGTAAGCTACTTAAAAAATTATTATTAAAATAATTCAATTAGTAATAAATTTTCTTATAAAAAGACTTTTATTATAAATTCTCAATTATAGTGGCAATACTTTAAATTAGGATTCATATTAAGCAGAACTGATAGATTATATATCAATCTAATTAAAATGCAAAAGATCATAACTCCCTTCTATGAGAGACCAAAAAATTTTGTTCACTAATGAAGGGGATAATTTTTTCCGAAATTTAAAAAAATCACAATTTGCGAAAATTGGAAAGTAAAATGAATTTAATTTGTATAATTTATATTTAAAAATATATGCTGTTTATAATTGAACAAAATTATCTCGATATTTCATCATAATAATTATCACTTATCAATAATTTTTGCTATAAAATATTTTTATAGTAAAAAATTTTGTTCGTACATAGAGGGTGATCCAATGGTTTTGTTTGCTCACACAAAGATGGGGCGAGTAAGAAAACTATCCAAAAACCATTATTATCCAATATCATATTTATAGTGGCTAAAATGTCAGCATCAAGAATTGGATGGATTGGAACAGGAGTAATGGGAAGATGGATGGCAGAGCGCCTCATAAGAGCCGGGCACAACCTCTCAGTTAACAACATTCCACGAGAACGAACAGAACCTCTTCTTCAGCTCGGTGCCAAGTTTCAGTCTATTCTATTAGATTTATACGCTTAACTTCCCTTACGGGGTTGCCCATCCCAGAGCTTCCGCCTGCCTATGGCGCATCGGGCCCACCGGCCTCTGGGTCGACCAGCTTTGCTACGCCAAGGTGCACCTAGTCGCAGGTGTTGCCGACTTCGACGGCTCATGACTGAGCTACTTCGCTTGAGGACATGGGTTGCCATTCCGAAAATCCATAAAAAATGGATTTTCTGGTAGGCTTTCGGCAAAAAGGGAAAACACGAAGCCTGGGACGTAACGCCCAGTTTCACGCTAGGGAGTTGCCCGATTGGTCCTAACGGACTCTGCTGAGCTTCCCCTTTCCAACTTACGTGCCTCCTTCCCCATGAGGAAAAAACATTCCTGAAATTAGACTTGGGCTAGGCTCTGAGCTCCACCAGAATTGCTTACCTAGCATTGCTGTCCTTCTCTGAAATGCAAAACCTTGTCGTATATAATTAAAATATGAGTCGAGGCTGCATGGCGGGAGGCCATGCCCAGACGAAGACGCCATATTTTAATTATGCCAAGTTTCAGTCAGTTCAAGAAATTGGTCAATCCTGCGACGTTGTATTTACAATGGTCGGTTTCCCTCACGAGCTAAATGAGCTTATTCTAAGCCCTAGCGGCCTCTTAAAATCCATGAAACCTGGCAGCCTCCTGGTAGACCACACTACCTCTAGCCCACATCTGGCCACCATTATTGCTGCAGAAGCATCCAAAGTTGGCATCACATCTGTAGATGCTCCAGTCTCAGGCGGTGACGAAGGTGCCAAAAACGGTCGACTCGCGATTATGGTCGGAGGTGAAAAATCTGGCTTTGAAAGAGCTAAACCTCTTATGGACAATTACGGGATCAATATCAGACATATGGGAAAAGCTGGGGTGGGGCAGCATACTAAATTGACCAATCAAATTGTATTGGCAGGGAATATGATTGGGATGGTAGAAGGCATGATGTATGGGTGGAGAGCTGGGCTTGATGTAGATCAGATGATTGATTTAATCTCAACTGGAGCTGCTGGAAGTGTTTATTTTAAAGCTGTTGCCCCAAAAATTGCTAAAGCGGATCATAGTCCTGGGTTTTATGTCCAGCATTTTGTAAAAGATTTAGGACTGGCACTGGATGAATGCAAGAGGATGAAGATTGTCCTACCAGGGCTTACTATGGCAAACCAGTTTTATTTAAGTATGGTAGCAAATGGAGAGGAAAAACTTGGAGTGCATGCCTTGGTGAAGGTGCTGGAAAGGTTGAATAATGTCAAGTTTGGAGAAACTGTTAATTAGCTTCATAAATTAAAGAATTTGCTTTAAATTAATATTTAGGCTTTATTCTAAGGTAAAATAAGCTATATGAAATATTCCCATTTTTCCTTTTTCCATATGATATCTCTCAAAATATAAATAATGACCGATAAAACGACAGAAGTGCCAAGTTGGTGCAAAATCGGACGTTTTATAGATGTAAAAGACAGTATGGGTGACTGGTCAGTTGCAAAAGTAACAAAAATTTCTCTAGAAGCAGGCACCATTTCAGTCCTCATTGATGGCTGAAGCTTAAAAGCGGAAACAACTTTTCAACTCAAATCTTCAAAAATTGCCCCATTCAGGAAAATTTCTAAAGGCTATACAGGTCCAAAGCGAAAAGCTGCTCGTGACTGGACATTTGATATAAATGATCTGCATCAAATGAAGCAAAAAGTAGACACTCTTTGTAATGGAAATCTCTTGTGTGAGAATGCTTATGAGACAACACAATTTTACAGAGGTACATTATATATATATATAGAAAATTTGCTGGTTTGGGATTATAGTGACTGTGAAGAATATTTGATAGAAGTTGTAAGATTTTTTGCCTCAGTCGTAAAATTGATTATCAGCTGACTGATGAAGGCGCCAAAGCTCTTTCCTTATTACTACAAAGGACTGTCCCAAGCTGATTTATACCTAGAAAGCAATAAAGTCGCTCTTGCAAATGTGTGATATGAGCTTCTTGACACCCTTAACAAGCTCTTTGCATTGGACTCGAGGGTTTCTCTTTTCTTCCAGCATTATGATGTAGTTCCACAAGATTATGTTCCTTGTAGCCTTACCAGCATTACTAATAAGAGCTATTCTCTTTCCTTGCTATTCCACATAAACCTCTTTGCAAAAGAAAAAGGCTTTGATGCCATCCTAAAAATCTTAAAATCTCAAGATGAGCAATCTAAAGTTCCTTTTTCCTTTATCAACTCAATCTTGCTATACGCACTCAGCCAATTCATAGATTCTGAGTTTTCACTGAAATTTTTTACACAGTTCACTGAAGCGATTTTCAAAAGGATAGAAATGGTGTCAGAAAATGAGCTTAAAGACCTCCAATATGAAGAAATCCTTAATCTTCTAGAAAGAATGAGAAAGCTTTCAGATTCTGTTAATACTCAAGCCTTAGAAATAAACAAGCTTAGCTTGTTTTTAAAAATGATAAAAAGCAATTATTTGGAAAAAAGGATAAAAGGATTAACTGAGATAAATCTAGCAATTGAAAATAACGAAATTGGCGTTGGTGGGTATGAATCCTCTAAGGTTAATGTGTCTGATAAAGAGTTAGAGAGTTGGCTTCTAAGTGAAAATATTGTGCAACATATTTTAGATGAAAGACCCCATGTAGAACTTATAAAAAGATCCAGCACTGTTCTTAAATTTTTAGCAAGATCTGACAACTTAGGACTGACTCAGCTAGACCAAATATGAAATAGTACTCAAGGAAAGCATGACTCTTATATAAGAGCTGCTTACACCGTAATTTCTGAAATTGCACCTTTTCTTAAAGAAGAATGCAATGATTATTTACTTCAAAAAATCCAGCAAGTTCCATTAGAAAGCTACGATGAACAGTTTCTATTGATGATAAAAGAATTTACAGTCACAGCAATCACAACTGCAAAGCGATACGCGTTAAAAAATGGCTATGAATCAAATAAACTATATGGCTTACCTATCTTAAAGTCATCAATTCTTGATTCCTGTCCTTTACCACTATGGGATTTAGCCACAAAATGCTGCTACGAAGTGCTGAATACTTATATTTGTGCTGACGAAAGGGTAAAATTTTTTGAAGAAGCTATTTTATTGATGCAGGAAAATGATTCAGTCCCACAGGTATTGAAAATATTGCAAAATCTGTTTAAGGCGAACTATGAGACTCATAGAAGTCCTGGAGAATTAATTGAGCTTCAAAATAGATATCACATAAAAGAGCTCATTATCAATAACTTGCGCAACTACATTATAACTGTACGAAGTATTTCAAACCCACCTATTATTTCCAGTCAAGTCTACCAAGGCAAATTTTCTCATGCAACCAATATAAAGCGCCGGCTTATTTTCTTAGAATTCCTAATAAAATACTCTAATTGAAATATTTGTCTTACCCTGGACGAAATTGGGATTCTCTGGAATTATTTTGCAATTGGGAATGACTCCTCCAAGGAACGGGATGTCTTTTTTAAATGGCTTATGAAAGGCTTAAAATTTGCCTCACCGATATTAATGGAACAGATTGAAAGCGTTTTCCATCATTTTATGTGCGATAGCAGCAAATTTGACTGCGCCCATGCTACTCCTTGAAGTTTTAGGTGTATGAAAACCTTTTTCTTAGCTGTAAATAGCTATAAAGGGTATATAGAAGTATCAGAAGATAGACTAAGATATAGAAAAACTATAGAAATTGAAGGATTTTCAAATATCATTAGTGTACTTGTGAATACTACCTCAGAAAGTGTATATCAAGATGCACTGAAATTGACTATAAATTTGTTAACTAAATACAGCCCTGAATCATCTGCTGTAGCTCCTGAGATTTTAAATAATTTCATATCTAGACTATTAGAAGCGATTTTATCAAACAAAGACTCCGAAATCTATGTAATCAGAGGTCTAAATCTATTAAAAGGCCTACTAGGAGATCAAGAAGAGCATATAACTGACAAAAATTATGGCATCCATGTAAAATCTTGCAATTCTAAAGAATTTAAACAGGTTTACATCAACCAAAACAAGACTTTAAGGCATTTAAGGCACGAAATAGCAAAGCTTTATAATGAGCCAATTGAAAAAACCACATTAATTATAAATGATAAAAAATACAGCTCCTATGATGACGATCTAGAAATAAAGTCATTAAAAATTTATTGGGCTATTGCAGATTTTAATGATCCTTATGCCACTGTTTTTAGCCCTTTAAAACTGATCTCCCAAAACCAAAGTGTCATTAAAACACTTTTTGAGTTATTAACGCTTTCTAACCAAAAATATGCAGATTTAGCGTGAAATTTATTGATTACTCTTCCTATTAATGAAAAACTGGTAGAGGAATTGAGAAGATTGGAAACGCCACTAGAGAAAATAATTGACCAGGAGTCTATTTATCAGCTTTTATATTGCCTCAATATTTTAAAAAAACTGTCTTTAGATCAGCTGTGGGCTGAAGATTTTTCAGCTAGAGGAGGGTTTAAGTTTCTGATAAATATTTTTACTAACTATCTGAAAAAATTAGTAGTTTTTTAAATAGCAATTAATTAATAATATTTTATTATTGCTTTAATTAAATTTCAGATACTGACATATTTAATGGTCGAATAAACCAAGGAATCCTGCCTGCTTTTAGAGAGGAAGTAAGCCAAAAGACATTAAAGGTGGAAAGCTTTTAGCAATGAAAGAAGAAGCCACTTTAAGAGCACTTGACAACTTGCTTGAAGTCCGCCCTGAGTTTGGTGACTCTTCTATATTCCTGAAAAGCTTATTAGACTCCTTTCTCTTACTCCCCCCCCTCCGTGAGTGAACAAAACCATTAGAAAAATCCCTATTTTTTGCCCAAAAAACCCACCCTCCGTGAGTGAACAAAAATTTTTTTATGGAAAAAAAAATTTTGATATATAAGTGATGATTAGCATAAATGAAATCTAATGCTAATTCTGTTTAATTTTAAACGAATTGCTTTTTAAAACATAAAATTTTATAAATTAAATTAATATTTGCTTTCCAATTTTTGCGAATTAGGATTTTTTTAAATTTCGAAAAAAAAAAATATTTTTTATATAAAAAACAAAAAATTAACCCCCCTCCGTGAGTGAACAAAATTTTTTTGTTCACTCACAGAGGGGGGGGAGTTAATATCCAGCTCTATTTCTCCAGATTACAAGCCAGAAGACTCTCAAACCTTACTCTCCTCAATCAGCAACTTATTATCAAACCTCAACAATTACGACGACGCTTTGCTAAAAACACAATTAACCAGATACTCCTCAACACTAGGCAAACTTTTCAATATTTGCCTTATAATTCCACCCGACCTTCAGTTCAGCTGTTTTTCTATCCCAATTTTTGAATATTTAGCAAACATTTCTGACTCTTATATTGTCTTTTATGAAGAGCTTTATTCTCAGCTTGACCATGCTATTTCTAATAGTAAATGTGACGGGTATTGGGATTTATTAGCATTTACTGTCAAATATTTAGAAATTTTCGGAGAAACCTTGGTACCTTTAGCTCAAAAACTTATAGACAAAATTATATATAGAGAAGGAGAAAAAAATTCCAATGAAAAAGATTTTGTGCTAGCAGGGGCTTTTAAAGTCCTACAAAGCTGCTGGACAAAGGTAGGATTTATCCCTGATTCCCGACATCTTAACTGGTTTTTACATGAGTGTTTATTTGAAGAGCCTGAAAAAATGGCCCCAAGCAGCATTGTCCCACCAAAATGCAAGCATATTTTTACAAGGCAAAGCGCGTTTAATCTGATCAGCGAGCTTTGTCAATATGATCCTCGGTTTACGGCCAATGTGACTGAATATTTAAATAAATTCCACCAAGAGCCTGACTGGCGAACTTCAAGAAGGGCGGACTGGAACAATTTTCCAGCCAGTAAAGAAAAATCATTAACTGGCTATGTCGGTTTAAAAAACCTTGGGTGCACTTGTTATATGAACTCAGTGCTTCAGCAGTTATTTATGATTTCTACGTTCAGAGAAGCTGTTTTAAATACACCTACAGAGGAGCCTCATCATGAAAACTTGTTATATCAGCTTAAATATGTATTCGCTGGGCTAAAATATAGTGATAAGCAATACATAAACCCAAAAGGATTCACTGTCGCTTTTAAAGATTTAGACGGAAACCCTATAAATGTTACCGAACAAATGGACGCTGATGAATTTTTCGCGACATTTATGGACAGAATTGAAGGACTTACTAAAAATAGCAGCTATAACACACTTATAAAGTCCCATTTTGGAGGACTACAGGTAACAGAGCTGATAGGAAAAGATTGCACACATAGAAGTGAAAGACATGAGCCATTTATTACGATCCCTGTAGAGGTAAAAACAAAGAGTTCTATATTGAGAGGACTAGAAAGCTTTGTGGCAGGAGAAATTCTTGAAGGTGAAAATGCTTATCAATGTGACCATTGTGATGCTAAAGTAAAAGCCGTGAGAAGGGTGTGTATTAAGCATCTTCCTAATTTTTTGATCATTGCACTGAGAAGGTTCGAGTTTGATTTTGACACAATGAAAAGAAATAAAGTAAACGATTATTGTGAATTTCCTTTTGAACTTGATATGGAGCCTTATACACAAGAAGGACTAGAAAGAATTGAGAGAGAAAAAGACTCATCAAAAGAAAACTTGACCCCAGTCAAAAGATTCCCTGATGAGTACTATAAATACACCCTAAGAGGCATTGTAATACACTCTGGAACTGCTGAAAGTGGACACTATTATTCTTATATACATGATTTTGCCCAAGAAAAATGGTTTGAGTTTAATGATACTTCGGTATGTGAGCTTGACCCTGAAGAAATCCCTAATGAGTGCTTTGGAGGAGAAGAAAAATACACCTGGACCTCGACAACATCAAATCTTAATACTTCTGGAGTCAGAGAAAAATTCGGAAATGCGTATTTACTTCTATATGAGAGAAGCGAATTTTTTAAATCAAGAAACCCAGAAGATGAAATTCTAGAAAACATAAATTTATCAGTCTCAGAAGAATTTGTACTTGACCAGTTTAGCCATATAAAGAAGCAAAACCAACGATATTGGAGGTCCCGGCATATTTTTGGATATGATTATTCGAATTTTGTAGTAGAATTGACGAAAATTGATAATATGCATTAAATAGTGAACTTCACGCCCTCTTAGCTCCTGCAGCTTGTATCAAATAGTGTGTGCAGGGTCCTCGAGAAAGGAAGGATGGCGTGCATCCGGCCAGGATTTTACTGGTTTGGTAAAGCGCAATGTTGGGTTGGCCGATCACATGCTTTAATCAAATGCAAAATTTTTGCCTCTACTGGAAATGGAGCTGAGAGTTGGTAAGTGACCTTCCAGCAGCAGTGTCAGCGGTATATTTACCGACCAATCGTAACTTTCCCTGCATGAAACCAGGAGTTACGTCCTGGGCTTCGGATTTCCATTTTTGCTGAGAGTCGACCTGTAAATTCGACATTTTATTTTTCAAGGTTGGGCAACTCTGCTGGTATAGTTAGTGACACTGACTATATGCGGCACGGCGGCGCGACTCACCCAACTACCGGGTAGCAAGTGCAGGCCTTTATTCAACAGGAGAACTCTTTGTAAATACGACTGGCTAGCAGGCGAAGGGAGCGATATGGGTGGAGATAATCCTTCGGGAATTACAGCTGGCTTTTCAATAAGTAATATAACGATAACAACAAAAATTAATAATCCGCCTGATAAGTTTCTAATACAATATTTTTTGACGATTTTATTGAGGACAAAAGAAAAAAGCCAGGATTTTATTGAAATTTTTCAAAGGATTTTTATAGCGCTCAAGGAAAGTCCTGAACTCTGCAGCTGGACTCTAGAAATGCTGTCTGTAGAAAATGTGGTAAAAGAAATGTTTTTATATTGCCCAATGGTTTTAGTTAGAAGGGCGCTAGTAGGGGTCATAAAAGCATGCTTACAAAATGTAGACGAGGCCGTAATAGAAGATTTCTTTTTAGGATTTATTCAGTTATTGCCTTTCGCCCAGAAATCTCAATCGAAATATTTTTCACAGTATCTTGAAGTTATAAAAGAAACAGTGATTCTATCCAATAAATTTATAGAAAACTATGATATCCAGAATATAATCACGCTTTATATTTTCCAGAATGATTATAAGCTTCCTGCAAGAAAAGGTTATAATAATAGCGACATCTTTTTAGGGTACGACAAATATGAATCTTCTGATGAGACAGTCAAAGATGATACTTTTTATTCAGAATCCAAAGGAACTTCTAAATGCCATGCTATTCATCTTCTTTATTTATTAAGAAGCTATTTATCACCTCAATATATCAACTTTTTAAAGCAGCCACAAGCGAGGAAAATTCTATTAAAAGAACTTGATAATAAAATTTCTGCGAAATATTTAGGACTACTTTTTGCAGAACTCTATAAGGACGATAAAGAATTATCAGTAGACTATATGAAGCAGCTAATGGACAACTATGTTGGCTCTGAGTATTACTATAAATCCAGGTTTTTGAGACTTCTGACACGTTTTTTGACAACTGAAGATTCCTTGTATGAGGACAAAATTAACTATTTCTTAGATTTCCATATGAATTATATAGAATAATTGTCATATTACTTTTATCAGTCTATATCATAAATTATTTTGGCATGCAGAAGTCTGATTATTATTAGCTTTATTACACAAAAATAGTAATAGCCAACAGAATATATTAAATTTTCTATATAAAAAACAGCAAATACCCAAGCGACACTGAATCAGCTATCAACTATCTCTACAAAATTTTATCAAAAAGTCAATATGCTCGACAAAGTATGCTAAAAGATAAAGAAAACCTCCAATACCTTGACAAATGGATCAACAGCAACATGAAATCTGTCTACTCCATGAAGCCAAGCCAAAACGGCCAGCCTCTAGATGAATATATTAAGCCTTCATTTAAAGTTCTCCTTGCAAAATTAAAGAGACTAGAAGAAGGATTGTCACCAAATGAAGAAAACGAAAGGGATTCTGACGAGGACGCCCTGGATAATAAATTTAAAACCTATGAAAGCATTGAAATTTTAGATCAGACTGGACAAAGCTGGCTAAAAGGAAGGGTGGAAGCGGCACTTGGAGAAATTATCCTTGTGAAGTATAAGGAGTGGACTGGGAATGAACAGACTGTATGGAAAGATATGCAGAGTGAAGAAATCGTATCTGCAAGGGATAATGGGAATTTGAAAGCATAGAAAAATCACAGCTTTTAATTTAATATTAATTTGGTGAAGAATTATTTATTTTTGGGGTTTTTAATGAAAAAATTAGATATATATTTTTTAAAATTAGGGTTTTACTGATAGATATTAATGCTAGACATTCAATTTATATTTATGATAGTCTATAAGCAACGAAGGTATTAAATTGCTATATTGACTTGCTAGAAATTCTGATGATTAAGCCATTCTAATTACCAATAGTAAGTAAAATGTTTAATCTTGCCAATAAAAATTTAGGTTTCAAGTTATCTTGGCTATTCATGATACTGGTAAATCCTAAATCTGGCCATTTTAATTTCAAATTGTACCATGATATTTACTAATTTTAAACGATTAAGTTTCAAAAAGAAATTATACTTAATTATTTTGTATATGAAATCATTATTTTTTACTGTGATTTTTTTAGACTATGCTAATCAAGATTCTAAATAATTAACATATAGAAGTGGAGATATTATATTATTTTACTTCTTTCCTCCTTTCTTTCCAGCTGCTTTCTTTCCTGCAGATTTAACGGCTTTTTTTGGTGCGGCTTTCTTAGGGGCGGCAACTTTTTTTGGGGCTGGCTTTTTGGCTGCTGCTTTCTTACTTCTTATGGTATGCTAAAGTTATATGTTTCTTAGAAGACTAGGTTTTTATCATATGAAAATTTCTTATTCCCTCTCCGTGACTGAAAAAGAAAAATTGTGTTCGCTCATGCAGGGGATTAATTTTTTTTGGAAATTTTTAATATCCATTTTCGTGAAAATTGAGTAGTAAAATTTATTTTAAATGCAAGCTGTTTAAATTCAAATGAATTAACTAGAAAATATTTTTTTTATAATTAAATAATTTTTGTTCGTTCACGGAGGTTGTGTTTTTACCCAAAAAATAGGGATTTTTCTAATGGATTTGCTTGCTAAGAAGGGGTGGGAGTTAAAATCAATTATTATTTTTAAATTTATAATTTTAAAGATGAGTTAGGGGCTGCTTTAGCTTTTGATGCTTCTGCTTGAGGGGCAGCTGCTGGGGCGGCTTCAGGTGCCTGGGCTACTGGTTTCTCCTCTGCTTTTGGTTTAGCGGCCTTCTTTGCCTGAGTCTTGGCTGGTGCTTTTTTACCTTCTTGTTTCTTCGTTATAACCTTTTTCGGTGCTACTTTTTTGCTTGCTGCTGCTTTAGGTGCTGCTTTTGCTTTTGCCATATTAATATTATATACTATACTTGGCTGTTTTTAGCATCAATTTTGCCAAGAATATCTTAAATTACTATAGATACCAGCACTATTATCATAATTTTTTAAACTTATTAATAAGCACAGTATAATTCTCATTTGCTATAGAAGCTAAAATCACCATTTTTTCTGCAATCTTGTATATTATTGGCTGATTGTATTTTGCACGGATACAAGTTTCAGCAAGGCCGATATAGAGTTTTCCCCTAGATACTCCTTTAAGGGCTGTGGATTCTGGGCGGAATCCTTGTTGGTGGAATCAACAAGTGAGTTGGTCCGACTAAGTACTGAGTTGGTCGGGCCAACTGAAAGATTCCACCCAGAATCCACAGTCCTTGCAGGGCTATCTAGGGGAAAACCCTATATTGATAGAGAGAACTAATGTCTTACGCCGTTTAAAGTTTTCATATTTGACTCTATTCATTCCTCTTATTTGCAATTTTCAGCGTTTTAAATCATTTCTCCATATTCAAAATTTTAAATTTTTTTTGGCGGAAAGATGAATAAAAAAGAGCGGTTATAAGAGGCCATTTATCAAGATATTGAATGCTTTTGTTGATTACGATCAAAATTAAAAATTATTCATTATATAGGGCTATGCAGGATCACAACTAGAATTTTAGGCTAATTTTCTAAATCTAAAAATTTTACGTTGTTGGGAATTTGAAGTCTGATTTGGCTTATTAAATTATGAACTAATAACTCTCCTCTTCGTGAGCGAGCAAATGAATGGGAAAATTCCTTTTTTGTGGTAAAAACTTACCCTCCGTAAGAAGATAAAAAATTGTTTATTTAAAAAATTGTTTTTGATATATATAAATTTAAAAAAAAAATCCCCTTTTTACATCGAGAGGAATAAGTAATTTTTATGAATCATTTTAAAATATTAAAAACCAATTTAAGCTATATCTGAAAATTACTGAAACTGTAGAAATACTTTGTAAGCAACAATATAAATGTATGGTCTATAAAAATTACCTACTTAGCACTGATCTTTAGTATCATATGCTCAAATCATTACTTTGCAAATCATTAGCAAGAAATTCAATCTGATTTTTCAGTTATCAACCCAAAAACTCAATTTCCATCATCAATCTGCATTATTCATTTTTTATATATTTTGCAAGCTCCATCTAAAAGCACTGCTTCTGGCCATGCATATGCTACTTACTCTAATTTAAATTGTAAATATCCTATTCCAATTTAAAGAGGAGTTAATTAATATTTAGATATTATATTAAATTAAATTAAAAAATAAATTAAATGCAATCTTCATGGCTTTTAATTCTTTTTATGAAGAATTAATTAAAAAATTAATTAAGTTAATGTGAAAATGCCTAGCTAATATTCTGATTGCACTTTTCCTATTTAAAAAAATTGTGCCTATTTAAAAGGGGTTAAATTGCCCAAAAATGGGAAATTTTATGTTGTTTTTTTAATTTAAAGGGGGGAAATTACTTAATTAGCTATCGAAATACTAAATCAGCCTAAAAATCTAAAAATTAAATAACTATTAAGTTGCCTAAAAGCTGATATAACTTATTTTTTTGGTTTTTTAAGCTCCTGTATGCTCTGCAGCAAATCATAATGAAATTGGTCCACAGTCAACGCCTTTTCTTCATCTGGATACAAAGGATCTACAAGCCAATCATTTAATGAGTATGTATAGCTCCCAACTTCAATTTTATTCAACAAATTGATAACATGATCAGACCAAAAATTCTCACTAGCGAAATATTTGCATTTTGACATCATCCATGCCATCTGCACTGCAGAAACTGCTGGGAATGTTTTATTAAATGAAAAATTTTCTTTCCCAGCTGCGTCTGTCTCTTCTTCTATTTCTTTTTCGTTTTTATATGTCAATTTTTCTTTTCCGTTAAGTCATTTATCAACATAATAAGCTGCGCTTCTAATAAATTGGTTCTCGTTGGCTTTCCCAAAAGTATAGCAGCATTGGCCAAGAGCGACTGGAGTTAGAAGTCCTATGTTTTTTTCAGCAATTCGCTTTGCATATAATTTGTATAAGTTTGGAGATCCTTTAGATAGCCTAGCCAAAGAGTAAAGGGATTTTGCCTCAATATTTGGGTACATGTAGTCGACGCAGTTATATAATTTTCTTTCTAGAAATTCTATTAATTTTGGATCTTGTAATTGGCTGCACTCTGCAACAGCAGCAATAATTCGAGATAGATTTTTGTGTTCGGTTTTAGAAAGCCTTTCTTCTTCCATTATCTTGTCGATACCAATGTTAATCAATTCGTTATTAGTAGATCCTTCATAACAAAAAATGGTCAAAATTTTAATAAGATAATGTGTATTAATTGATGGTCTTTTCAAGTGTACTATTGCTATTTTTTCTAAATTATTCCAAATGTTGTCGTTCTGCATTCCTGAATTCGAATAATCTATTATCAATTCAGTAAAATTTCTAAATGAAATTTCATCAGTTTTTCTCAATTTTTTAGCCAAAACTTTATCTAAAACCTCCATTTGAGCTTTGTGGATTTTTCTCTTGTGAGCCAAAATAAAAAGCAATGAAGAGATTTCGTTAATGCTTAGACCTTCAGAATTTTTTTCAAGTAAATTGCTAAGTGATCCTAATAGGCCTGGATTAGTAAACCTATATGTTTTAAAAGCTTCAAAAATTCTTATGGTATTTATAGTAAATAGTTCATTGTTAGCTTCGCTTAAATATTTATTATATGTTTCTTCAATTAGTGGTTTTAATCCATTGTCATCATAATTTAATGGAATTATAAAATAAGCAATTTCTATCATATCAGAAAAAGTAATATTTTGATCATTAATCAGATATCTTTTCAGCATATTATTCAAGGTTTCAAAGAGTTTTGGGCCACAAAGTTGCTTGCTTGATTCATTTTTAATCAAAAAACTTATAAATTTAGCTAGTAGAGTGCCATTTGTAGTTTCTAGCTCAGGATGTGTTAAGACTGCTTCAGATAAAGCTTGGAAAAGGGTTGGAGACTGTCCATTATGAGCATTTATTGCTCATAGCAAGTCAGCTAATTGAGAAATTGACAAAGCTTGAAACTCTTTTATCCCTGTTTCTTCAATAGATTTCAATAAATTGTTAATTAAAACTTGAACATCATATCCTTTAATATGAAGAATCGCATATTCGTGCATTACATATAATTTGTCCTCAATTTTCATATGACTAATATTCTTACTCCTCCCCCCCAAGATAGAGACATTTTACAAAAATGTCTCTATTGGAAGGTGGGCTTTTAAAAATTATATAACATAAATTTAAATAAAATCCAAGAATATTATTTTCAAAGTCTATATTCAATCAAAGGGGGGGGTTAATGAAAAATTCAATTTTAGCTGCTTGAGGCTTAACTTTCTTAATGAATTCACGCATTATATGGAAAATTTCAATATAAAAATTTATATAAAAACATTTTGAAAAATGTCTCTATTGGAAGGAGTTTTTTTACCCAAAAAATAGAAATTTTCCATATTTTTCCCAGTAAAACATGTCTCTATCTTGGGGGGGAGTTAGTGAAGCCTTCAGCTAAAGAAGTCCAAAAATTATTTGTTAGGGCTCTGTTCCTTAATTCCGCGTTCTTTATCATATGTTTCAATATTTCCTTTTGGGTATTCAATGGCATTCTTGGTGCCCTCTTTTCAAGTGTCTCAATAAAAGCGTCGAATTCTAATGATTTTCCAAATCTCTGATACAGATCTAAATATCTCAGCTCACTCCCCCCACTCCGTGAGCGAACACTCACGGAGGGGGCTAATTTTTGTTTTAAAATAAATCTTAATTCACAAAATTTGGAAAGCAAATATTAATTTAATTTATAAAATTTATGTTTTTAAAGGGCAATTTGTTTAAAATTAACAGAATTATCTATAGATTTCATGATTTTAATTATCATTTATATATCAATTCATAAAAAATTGTTGTTCGCTCACGGAGGGTAGTTTTTGGACCAAAAATAGATATTTTTCTAATGGTTTTGTTCGCTCACGGAGGGGGGAGTCAGAAACTTCACGGCAGATTGATATAAGCTCTTTGTCTTCAGCAAACCTAGACTTTAATAAAGTTTGGCTAAACGTTTTTGACGTGATAAGATCATTAAATCTACGAGAAAGCCTGAAAATCATTATTTTTGGATGAATATTTAATAATAAAAGGGTAATAAATAGCTAGTTAATTTGGCTTCGCGCCCAATGTACATCGAAGTTCCTAACTCCATATTTCAGTAATAAGTAATCTTTATTAAGGGTTCCTGCAATTGGAAATTTTAGATGAGCACATAAGGAATTTTGATATTTTTATAGGAAATTAAAAATGATTTTTATAATAACACCCTGATAAAATTTTGCTGATTACTAGAGAAGGAGTAAGCATAACTTCGATTTCTATAATAACACTTCCTGAAGAAACAGTTTTCAGTGTTTGTCTAAGGCCGACTTCTTTTGTAAGCGCATCTTGGTTCATAAGTCGAGGTGGCCCGCCAATAAAAAAAGCCATTGCTTCATCTTGCCAAGTCCCTATAGGTCTTCATGTGGGGCATTCTAATTTAAAATATCCCGGGCTACAAGGTAGCGCGGTAACTCCATAAGATAACAAATCAATTCTCCCAACATCATCTAAACGCCACACTCTTATTATACAATATTATTATAACTATTATATTAACACCTAATTTTTTTCTTATAAAAATTAAGGCAGATTCACAAATTTTGATTGCCAATTTACAAAATTTTGTATATAAACTTAGGCCACCCAAATATCGAATTTGTGGAAAAGTGAAGATCAATAGGATGAGCCCACACGATCAGTTCATCAACACTTGGATAACTTGTTTGTGTTTGGATTCCTTGTTCTGAACGATTTGGGAGTTCTCTTCATTGGTCGCCATACTCCAAATGAATTTCACAAAAAAGACCAGCACTGGTATCAAACTGTGTTCCTGCGACTATTTGTCCAATGAAATGGACTTCAGTTTTATAGTCTCCGGGTTCTTTAAAATCCATTTTAAAATTTATTTGATTTTAATTAAATTAAGTAGCCATATTTCGAAAGAAAAATTATAATAGTCAAGAATTCCTTGTATATTTTATATTATTGAAGCAAAATATCGCTCTTTCTTGACATCGAAAGTTTTTGGTTTAGCTTTTCATTAATTTCTGACCTAAGATTAAAGCTTTGAAATCTTTCAAGCTCATCTTTGTACTTTTTGATAGTCTTTATTATATTTGAAGTAAATAGGTTATGGCCTAGGTCTACTCTTCTTAGGTTTGTTTTAATAAAACTCTCTATTAACATCTCAAAAGCATCATCAGTAATTTTATTACCATAAAGTGTAATAGACTTTAAAGACATAAAATTCTCCAAACCATTAGAAATTATTTCTGCGCCTTCATCATTTATATTGTTTTCATTTAAGCATAAAGTTTCTATGCTAGAAAATAATGAGTGGTTTGTAAAAATAAAGGCCAAATCATTTTCGTTTAAATTTGTCCCTGATAGATTAATTTAAGTTAAGTTATTAAGTATCCAGCCATAAGCGCTCCCGCAGGTGCTGACCATCCGCTCCGTCCCGGCTCCAAAATGGCATCCAAGGACTCCATCTTAGATTTCCGACCTGAATCACCTGTCCAGAGGATTAGCTCGCCCTGAGCACAGCCGCTCTTAGATAGCGCCCCGATTGCCCCGATGAGGAAAGACCATGTGGTAGGCAAAACCTGTCTAGCCCATCTGGCAGTGACAGGAAAAACCTTCGGGGAGAAATAAAACTTCCCTTTTCGGCAAGGCATTCCGAAGCCTGAAGGCCTACTTCCACCGAAGCAGAGGTCCTACTTTCAACACATCAGGATGGGTCCTACCTGCCATAGGGAGTGCGGTCAACGTCACCATTTTATTTCTTGATAGATTAAGCAATTTTAATTTTTTCAGCGATTTAAAAGCATGAAAAAAGTTGTAATGAGAAATCGTTGAGAGGTTATTGTAGGATAGATCAAGGCGTCATAAGAATTTCAGTTCTGGCAAAATGTTGCTTAAAATGCTGATTCCTTCAGCGGTAATGCTATTTTTAGACAAATTTATCGCTTTTAAATTTCGGTTGAATGAAATAGCAGGCTTTAATCCAGAAAGGCCTTTATCTCTAATTTCATTTCCTTCTAAGTCAATTTTTCGGACAAAATTCAGTTCTTTTAGAGCAGATCCTATAAATTTTGCTCCTTTTGGGCCAATTGTATTTTTTGTGAGTAAATCGCTGCCTGGTAGAGCTCAGGTAATAGCCCCATCCTCACCACATATAATATAAAAAATTGCTTTATTTAATATGATGTGTTGGATTTATTTCTTATTATGCACATGCATGCCATTTTGAATTGGGTATGTGGAAACCAAATATACGTTTCAAAACACAGATTTTAGTGCGGCAAATTCATAATTTGAAATTTAATATGAAAATTACGCGTATAACGGCCATAAGAAATCTAGCCAAGGGATTATAGTTAGTATTGCAGAGCATTTATATAAAGAAACATAGTTAACGCACAGTAATCCAGCTCAATTTACCCTTTAAAAGCGTGCCTAGTTATGCTAAGAGGAATGACACAAGATAGATGAATGGCAATTTGTCGGGAAATAAAAAGGAAAAGAAAATTATTCTGACAATAGTTACTCACTAACTTAACCCATTGGCAATATTTTTGGAACCATTATTCATAAGCAAATTATGGAAACACTTATTTTAAATTAATAAAGTAATTTAAATACAAGATGCTTGGAATTATTGGATATAGATAATATTATATATCATATGATAATATCCCATATTATATGCTATAGAGGTGAGGTAATGGTCTATCAAGGGGGTGGGATCATGATCTCATATGGGTAGGAGGTAGGGTTGGGATCTGTGCTTGACAGCAGCCTCCAAGCTCAATTCTTCGCAAGTAACGAAAATTCTTTATTGATAGCTTCAGAAATTTAGCCCCAATTTGTGTGATGCTATTTAATTTGAAATTGAGCGTTTTTATGTTTTTTACTCTTTCATTAAGAGCGAACAAAAACCATTGGAATCCCTAATTTTACGAAATTAGCTTTCCTTTCGAGCAACAAAATATTTAATACATTAATAATCTTCAACAATTTGCACCAAAAAAAATTATATTTTATAGATTTTTTAAATATTTACTTATTATAACCCTAATAACATTAATTCCTCTGAAAAACGAACTTAAAATCTTGTTCACTCTTAAGTAGTATGATTTAGATATTTTATCGCAGTAGAAATCCACTTTATTCCTTCATCCCCTATATTGTTGCTAGCTATAACTAGCACTCGAAGTTCTTTTAAATATACAAGGCATTCAGATAATTTTTGTGCTTGTAAAACTCCTATACTATTGTTGCTTAAGTATAGAGCTTCTAGATTAATAAAAGCTGGAAGTATAAACGTAATGCTTTCGATATCAACCATATTGAGCTCATATCAAATCAGCATCAATTCTTTTTTATTCATTCTCTCGTTTGGATTCAAAGAAGAATTAAATAGAAGCGATATCGCCTTTGTCATCCTGTGAGATCTTTTAAAAAAATTGATATTTTCAATATTTAAGGCTATGTCCTGACTAATCTCAGGATTGTCTAATTTTGTGGTCTTGTCTGGATTATTTTCATACTCAAAAGTGTCGGTTGTTTCTTCTGTCTCAGTTTTCATTTAAATTTATAAAAAACTAAATAAATATAGAAGATTTAGTAAGAAATATTAGTTTATCCTGGAGGCCACCCCATTTGACGTCCTCCTAGTATATGGAAATGAAGATGATACACAGATTGACTTCCCCAGACTCCATCATTTACTGTAAGTCTCCATCCAGCTTCTAAATGTTCACGTCTTGCAACTTCTGAAGCAGCCCACATCATATGTCCTAGTAAAGCTTTATGCCTTTCTTCAGCGACAAGAAGGCGGGTCAGTCCATCGCGGTGCTTAGGAATAAGAACAATATGCACGGGAGCTTGTGGAGAAATATCTCTAAATGCCATGACTAAGTCATCTTCATATACAATATTGGCTGGAATTTGCTTGCTAGCGATTTTATCGAATATTGTCTCCTCGTTTGGAGCAGGAATTTGAGGGTGCTGAGCTTGTTCGACCTCAGACATAATTATAGATGCCAGCCATTTATGGATTTTTCGACAGAAATTCTTAAAAGATTTATAGGGAATTTAGGTTTTTAGATATGTTTTTTAAGGGATTTTAAAGATAATAAAATTATTAATAAAACCTTTCTCTAAAAAATAGCATAAGCATTTGTAATTATATATCAAGAGTGTAAATAGATTTATATTAAATTCATTACTTTGAGATAAAAATACTATAATTTATATAAAATCCAATATAAATTACCATAAATAACTATAATTTAACTGCCAGCCCCCTTGCATAATATTCTCTCTCGTGAAGCTGAAGTCAGAAATGGTATAATAAAATTAATTAATGCCCCTTTCAAATAATTTAAAGATGGATGACTGTTTATCATGCCCTATCTGCTTTGAGCCATATTCCTCTAACGCCAATATCCCTCTAATCCTAATTTGTGGGCATACTTTATGCTCAAAATGTGCAGAAACCATTTACCGAACGACTCAATTAATCTGCCCTCAAGACCGTGTTTATGATTATCACAGCCCAGACCAGCTCCCTCGAAATATCACTCTCCTCCAAATATTAGATCACAAGCCAATTAAACGGATAAACAACCCCTGCCAACTCCACCAAACCAAAAAAGTCAAATTTTACTGCATTTCGCCTTGCAATATCGGATTCTGCTCTGGCTGTGTAATAACTCACCAGCACCACACATGGATTGATATCTTTTCAGCTGAGGCAAATGCCAGCTTCCAAAGGCACATTGAAGATTTATTTATAAAATATCGTGAAAAAGCAGACTATGCCAAATATGTAAAAAATAATTATGAAAATCAGCTGAATATTGCTTTAGCAGATAGAGAATATTGCGAAAACTCTATTAGGAGAGATTTTGAGATTATTAGAAGTGTATTGCAGGATAAAGAAAAAGAACTGATTAATGAGGTCAAAAGTTCGGCGTTTAATGCAGAAATGAGTATTGAAGGAAAAATTATAGAGTTTGATGAGGTTTGTAAAGAAAAAGACAGGAAATTAAGGATTATTGAAAACGTTTTTAGAGAGTTAAATCAATATTCTGAAGTAGAAAAAATGCAAAAGTTGACAGAAATTCAGCTTTTGCTTGCAAATGAGATGAGTATCGAAATTCCTGAGTATGTGGAAATTGCAAATTTTTCGAATATAAAGGCAAATGTGATAAAAAACTCTAACTCCCCCTCGATCAGGAGCAATGCCATTAATTTTTTGGAAATTATCCCCACTCTGTGAGCTAGCAAAAAATGTTTTATAAAACTATTATATATTGTGAAATATCTACAAAATTTTAAGCTAAAACATAATTTTTTTTAAATTGCATTTACTGAATGCATTTAATCAAAAAAATTATTTAAAATCAAAGCATAAAAATTTTGCTATTTTACAAGGTGGGGGAGTAAAGAAATAGAAAAAATTAGCTTAACTCCCTCTTAATATTTTATGAATTTATTTTTCGAAAAAAATATAACACAATTATAATTTTTATATTAAAAATAAAAGACATCCTCTCTAAATCAAGAGTAAGTATCAAGGCTTCACAGAAAAAAAGCTGCTTCGAAAATGGAGATGATAAGCAGTCATTTAATCCATCAAATGAAAATTTAAGTTTGCCCCAAAAAAGAGTAAAGTCAGAAGTGTATGAATTAACATAATTTATCCACGTTAAATTAGATTAAAAACTACAATATCCTACAATAGGACCTAATTTATAAAAAAATACTACCAGCCCTATAAATATAATATTGTCAAATTTAGCCCATCACAGTATAATTATGTATTTTTGAATCGTTTAAAAATTTTTTACACTTAATAGTCTTTTGAATTGCTCGTAAAATGCACATCATGAGGCCAGGATTTTAGACTCGGATCACTTGATGTATCAGGCAAAGGAAGGCCTTCAATTGATTCTTTTTCTTCAAACTTAAACGGTTTTTGATTTTGGCTTCCAAAGGTTGGTGTTGGCAAGACTGGAAGAGAATTTTTATTAACGACTGAATCAGCTAACTTAAAAATTTCGCTTTCTGCAACTTTATTTGTCAGTGTGTCTTCTTCGAATTGGTTATCAAATCCATCACCTAGTGGCTCTTTTTGGTTTCTGCTGGATGGAGGATTGCTTAAAGAAAGGTCGCTTTCTACTGTTGATGCATGGCAGCATCCCATTATAAATTATTTAATAAGAGTTATTGGGGTGCACGATTTTCATTGATTAAAAAAGTATGCAAGAATTATTCGTTAAATAAATAGGAATTTTTATACTATTATATTATTTATTTATGGCTTATTATATAAAAGAGATTTAGATGTTATAATTCACTGATCTTTCTGAGCTGAATATAAAACTAATACCAAAATGGATAAAATAATGCTGCATTTTTTGGCTTTTATATTAGTTTCGCTAACAAGCAGCAGTGAAGTTTCTGTAGAAAACATTTTATCACAGCATAATATATGCACAGAACCTTTCAAAAAGAAATTTTCTGGTGAAGTTTTAGCTTTTTTAACACCTTGGAATTCTAAAGGATATGATTATGCTTTGAAATATTCTGCGAAAATTGACTATATTTCTCCTTGCTGATATCAATTAAACGTCTATACAGTTTATGGATACAAATTAGAATACGATTTATTAGGAGAAGGTAATAAAACCTTTATAGAAGCCTCTAAAGACTTATTTAAAATTCTTCCACGAATAATTCTTGAAAATACCAATACAGATGATTATAAAAAGCTGCTGGAAAGTGACGAAGATCAAGTAAATTTATCAGAGAAAATAAAAAATTTTATAATATCGAAAGGATTTGCAGGGGTGATGCTAGAAATGTGGACTCAAGGGAATGGGATTTTGAGAAATGCGGATCAGAAAGAATATTTAAGGTCATTTCAGGTGAGGTTAATACAAAAAATATGCAGGACAATGAAAGCTAATAATTTGATGTGCATGATAACAGTCCCAGCCCCAAGGCCAAATTACCGTGTTGAGTTTAGTATGGGAGAATTTTTAAAACTTGCACCCCTTAAAGTTAGAAAATTAAGAAAAATTTATTTTTCAATAAATATTATTTTTAAAAAAATATTTATTAATAAAGAATTAGCAAATTTGTCGATAGATTTGCGTTAGTTTCATATGATTACAGCCAAATCTCTCCTGGGCCAAATAGCCCTGAAAATTGGATTAAAAGCTGCTATAAAGAATTAGTTGATCAAATTGACCTAAGCGATTATGACGAAGAAGCTGCTGAATCAATGCATTTAAAATATATGAAACAGCTTATGCTAGGTGTTCCCTTTTATGGCTATGAATTTTCTCCTCTTGATAAGCCAAATCAATATACAAGACATTCTACTCGAGCCATAACAGGGAATGATTTTCTACAGCTTTTAGAGAAAAATAAAATGAGAGTTGAATGAGAATCAGCCCATAATGAGCATAAATTCAGCTACAAAATAGGCAAAAACGAAATCATTGCATATTTTCCAACAAAAGAAATGATTGAATCGAGAGTAAAATTAGCAGAAAAATTAAAGACTGGAATTTCTATATGGGAACTAGGCCAAGGATTTGAGTATTTTTTTGAAGCTTTATAGAATCTTATGGATAATTATAATTTTCTGATAAGTTTACTATAAATAAGTGATATTAATTTAGGATTATTGCTAAAATGCCAAAAATAACGCTTATACTTACCCTGCTTCCAGATGCTCTAACTCCCTCACTTAAAATTATACAAAATATTGGTAAAATTTTCAATTTTTGGGTTTATTAGCTTACTCCCCCCCCCCTCCGTGAGCGAACAAAACCATTAGAAAAATCGCCATTTTTTTGACCAAAAAACCACACCCTCCGTGAGTGAACAAAAATTTTTTTAATAGAAAAAATTTTAATGGAAAAAAATTTTGATATATAAGTGATAATTAGTATAATGAAATCTAGAGCTAATTCTGTTTAATTTTAAACAAATTGCGTTTTAAAACATAAATTTTGCAAATTAAATTTAATATTTGCTTCCCAATTTTTGCAAATTAGGATTTTTTAAATTTCGAAAAAAATATTTTTTATAAAAATTTATATATATAAATTTTTTTAAAAAAAAAAATTAACCCCCCTCCGTGAGCGAACAAAATTTTTTTTGTTCGCTCACGGAGGGGGGGGGGGGAGTTAGAAAATTTTATTTTTTATAGGAATAAATCAAAATTTCTATGTAAATGCTATATACCCAATTTAATATTATAAAATACAAAAATTTACAAACAATTTGTATAACTTTTAAGTGAAAAGTGAAACTAGATATTATTTAACAAATTTATCACTTTGAATCGATAAATTTTATCAGTTAATTTTTTTGAAAAATGGTTTATATTACCTCTCAAAAATTTTGCATTAGCCTTTAAATTTGAAAAGGCTTCTTTTTCAACTTAAAGTGAGGAGTAAATGGATATAATACATCATCGGGTAAAATTTGTGATTTTAATCTAATAAGAGTATAAGGATCAAAATCCTTGACATACTCATAGCAAATATGGTGCTAGTGACTGATATGTCCTTGGTGATGCAAACCGCTGTGATACAAAAGTCATGAGCCTTGGGTTCAGGCCCTTCAATTCTAACTTACTTGCTTTGAAATGCTGATATTTATGACTCCAAGTATTAATGATCGGATAGTTTTAGGCACTTTTCCTCAAAATCTGGAGGTGTCGTTCTTTTTCCAAAGCGTCTCCACTCCTCGTGGATGCTGACAAGAGGCACCGGGCTCAATACCTTAATAGCAAAAGGGCAAAATGGCTTCTAACCCAGTTCGCAGTGCAAGCCCGATTCCTTGAGAAAACCACTGTTCCAATAGAGTCTGAATTTCTCTGGCAAGCATTGGTTCTGGTAGGAAATGTGCAGGTTATCAAATCTGAAGCACTTTAAGTTTAAATTTGTCATACTCGATATAATTAATCACAACAGTATTCATAAAATATTGGTCGTCAGTGGTAATAGTTTTCATAAATGCCCAATTCGTAAACTCTTTTCTTTTTTGTGCATAAACTATTTTTGGCTGAGGATTTTTTATAGATCCAATTTCCGCTACCACAATATCATAAACCACCATGTTTGGAAGCAAGCAATCTCCTGTTTCTGAGTTTCAGCTTGTCGCTACTGTTTTATTTGATGCATCTTTTATTTCTACTCAGTCGTCAATATTACTAGAAAGAGAATTTCCAAATTTCCCTACATGAGTAATATCATCAAAAATCGAAAAAATAGGCAATTTTTCATTATAAGTAGTGCAATAGCTTGAAAGAGCTGGATAGCTAACTTCTAGACTGAGGAGAAAAATCTTGCTCAAAGTTTTTTTTAAAAAATTATAATAAATTAATTTTATAATTTTTTTCATAAAAATTTCCCCATTTTCAATATTTGAAAAATTAATTTAATTAAGGACTTAAGCGACTTAAATTTAATAAAACTAGCAAGATATCTAGCTATAACAATTATTAATTATGCATAAAAAGATTTTACATACAAATAATTTTATATTTAAAAACTTTCTGTTATTTTCTAATAGAAAAATATATTGCCCTCTTTTCAATTGTTTTTCTAACTCTGAGGTAGAGAGATTAAGAGGATAATAGCAAGAATACACAAAATCTTGCCTGAAATTTATTACAGGAGGATTAGAAGTTGTTTGGCTTGACGTTAAGCATTGTCCTGTTAATGAAGCTCCATACACAGGATACCCACTCGAATAAACATTTATTGTATTATCCGACTGCAACTTTCCTAATAATACAGGTTTTCCTACTATATACCCTGGATTTCCCGATTTCACAGTAACAGTTTCTTGTGTTTGGAAAGTTACTGAAAATTTTTGCTGAATATTAATAGTTTCAGTACCTGAGCATCCAGTCGTTCCAATATTTCCTACCACAAGATCAGCAGTTATTTTTAAAAAATATTGTTGTGATAAAGTTGTGAGCACTGTATAATGGGCTTCTAATAAAGCATTTGTGCATATACAGCTGCTATAAGTGGTAGAAACTGAGGTGCTGCTTGACGAAGTGTCAATGAGAGTATTGACGTCCCTTATTTTTATTGATCCTATTTGTATTGTATAAAGAGAGCTTGAGGCAAGATTTGAAGTATTGTAGACTTGGAGAAGGCTTGAGTATAAAGCAGCATTTAGTTCAGAAGTGCAATGAGTTTGATATAGGCAATGCCTTTGAGTAGTGCGCTAAGCGCCGAGACTTCCCGACGAATCTGGGCGGTGGTTTGACCAGCTGATGTTGGTCAAACCAACATATAGAAGATTTGTCAAATTGGATGCTGGTTTGACCAACATCAGCTGGTCAAACCACTGCCCAGACTTCGTCGGGAAGTCTCGGGCGCTTAGCGCGCTACTCAAAGGCATTGCTGATAAAGTAGAAGCAAGGTATTGGCGATTACAAAATCCTGGAGATGAAGGCTCAAGTCATTTGACAAAATTCATATCATTACAATATCCAAAACTGTCTGGACTTGGCAAACTCCACCTATTTCCAAATTGTGCCCAGCTGTTAGCTAATGAACCCATAAGATCTCCAGGGTTAAAATTACTTCTTGTAATTGTAGTCTGTGGAGAATACAATAAATCTGAATACTCCACATTATCAGTTATTTGCTGCTGTATTGTATCGGATGAAATTGAGCTATCTGAGATTTTTTTATAATAAGTTCCAAAAGAAGCTGAGTTATCTTGATCCACACATAAAAGATTATTCATAATGTCAGATGTAGCTGATTTTATTCCTCTTCTTGCTGAGTAAAAATAATTATCATTCGAACTAGGGCATTTAAGTGAGTAATATTTTGTAAATTTGCTGTTTAAGCATCGATTTGTGGATGGGTCTTCTGTGTCCCAGAGATCTTTTAAAGTTGAAGAGCAATCATCGTCACAGCAGCAAAATACATCACATGAATTAGCAGTGAGGTCACATACACATTTTCCTGGGTCAGTATCATCTTCTATATATTCTATGAAAAACTGAATATTTTTACTATTACTATAATATATATATTTATATTATAAAATATGCTCATTTTTGTTGATCCAGTCTTAATAAGAATAATTGCTTTCATCTGCTGAACTCAAATATGCCGCCAACAAGAAAGTACATATTGCAAACATTTTTTATAATTTATTTGAATTAAATATTTATTTAAAAATAATAAATTACAAATTTTTGTGAAGGATCTATTATCATATTTTAATCATTTTTAATTTTGTCTTTATTTAAATTTGATAATTAATTTTATTTTCGAAAATGCTTATTGCTTGAGTAAATAAATACCAAACCTTTTAATATTAGAAATGTAAAATTAATAGACCTTGAAATCGGCAATTGTGGCTGGTATAGTAAGAAACTTATATTTAAATTCTAAATTAATATATACTACACCAATTTAATTTTTATACTGTTATTATTGTTCGATTACTATATAAATAAGCAAGAAGATTCAAATATTATCCTTGCACTCAACCTATCATAATATAATAGTTTCATTTTGATTTATATATATAAAATGGGTGGGAAGACAAGCATATTCAGTATATGTAAAGGAATCCCCAAGCGCAAAAAATCCAAAAAGAAATCAACTCAAAACACTCCTCTCCTAATTGCGAACGCACTAGGCCCAACTGAGGACAATATCGAAAACCCCAAAGGATACTTGTATTTTAGTAAAAAAGAGCAAAAATATTACGATTCTTTGCTAGTAAAAGAAGAAAAAACACCAGGAGAAATCATCGCCCCTACAAATTGGCAAACAAGTGAAATGCTCGGCCAGGGTAGCTTTGGCCGCGTTTTGTTTGGCGCAAACATGGATACAGGCGAACTGATGGCAGTCAAACAGATCCCGATTGTTGGCTTTGAATATGAAACCGCCAACGAGAGGATTAAAGAGATCCAAGAAGAAGTTGACATTTTAAGTCAGCTGAAACACAAAAACATTGTTAGATACTTAGGAACTGAAAGAAACGACCAATTTCTGCATATTTTTCTTGAATATATTCCAGGAGGTTCTATTGCGTCCTTATTAGCCAAGTATGGAAAATTTAACGAAACTTTGATAAGGGTTTACACCAAACAAATTTTGGAAGGCCTTGAGTATTTGCATTATCATAAAATCATACATAGAGATATAAAAGGTGCAAATGTGCTGGTTGGCAGTGATGGAGTTTGCAAGTTGGCTGATTTTGGAGCTTCGAAAAGGATCATAGGATTATGTGACCAAACACAGTTCAAATCACTTAATTTTGACATTATTAAAAAAATTAAAAAAAATAAAATTTAATTTAGTTTAAAAAATAAAAAATAATTTATAGGATAAAAGTTAGAGGAACTGTAAATTGAATGGCTCCAGAAGTAATGAAAGAAGAGGGCCATGGACGATTTGCAGACGTTTGGAGCTTAGGCTGCTTAGTTGTAGAAATGGCAACTGGCAAGCCTCCATGGTTTTACAAAACAAACCCGATCGCTGTCTTCATGCACGTTTGCAGCACAAATAATCCTCCAGAGCTTCCAGAAGAGCTTTCTGAAGAATGTAAGGACTTTGTAAAAGAGTGCTTTCAAAGAGATCCCAGCAAGCGTGCCAACGTCTACAAATTATTAAGGCATCCTTTCATAGTAGGTACGACACAATATCCTCTTTATATGGGCCCAAGTAAGACTGACGATTTCTTATCAAACTCCACAAAATTTTCCTCAGATGATAACAAAGTAGCAGCATTTTTATCAGGAAGTTTAGCAGAAAGTGTATTATATCCCTTAAATTAAAATTAATTATTTTTATATAGAAAAATAATTTTTTATATTTAATTTAATAAAGAATAAATGAAGAAATAAAAATTAAAGAAAAACCCACTGATGAAGGCAATTTAGACTATTGTGATCCTCATCATAATGTAAAAGCGCCTTTTGATAGTATCATTACAATATCTAAATTCATTCCATTAGCCAAAGAAGAAAACGAAGAAATTATCTTAAGAAGGCCCAGTGACTCTGGCAGTTCTGAAGAAAGTAAAATTTTTAATAACAATTCTGAAGTCTGCCGAGCTGAATTATCGTCATCTATTACTGTGAAAATTCACACTGTAAGAGTTGAATAAGAGGAGGATGCACAGATTGAGATTGAGAAAAATATTGTACTATTGTTCTAACAGTAACTAATATGTTAATTAAACCTTAAAAGCTTAATTCCAGTCTGCGAAACATTTTTATTGTGCTGAAGTTGGGCTATTAACTATATTACAATAATATTTCTTATAGAAAATTGAGCACTGGCATAGCCAGTGCCTTAGATATCTAATATATAGTAAAAAAATCAAATTGATTAAAAATTATGTAGCAAGGTGTTAACGACGATGGGTTGATGGTCTTTGTAATACTGATTGCTCATATACTGAAAGCTTCTTTTTCATAATTTCTAATCGATTTGATTCATTTGATCTAGGAGGTTTTAAACCGCTTGACTTTGAAATTGTGGAGCTTGAGGTATCTGGACTCATAACTTTATATCGTCTGAGTCTACTGAGTGGAGATGCTAAAACCTGCTTTATCTGAGTAGGTGATTCTCGTGAATAAATCGAGTTAAGGACTTGATTTTTTGTTGTGGGTGTTATAAAGCTACGATCTTGCCTATTACTATAATCAATTATGCGCAAGTCACCATCGCTGCTTTTAATTATTTCCGCACTTTTTTCTTCAAAAATCTTCCTACTTGAATAATGAAATTCAGGCGAAGATTTTTTGATCCTCCTGTCAAAATGCTTTTTCTTGGAAAATCTGGAATTTGAATCTTTCAAAATATCTTGGGCAAGCTTGATAATTCCACTTCGCTTATCTTTAGTAGTGTTAAATTAAAGGAGTTTTAAAGTCTTCTCAATAATTATCTTTCCCTCACACTTTCGACCTAAGTGTTTGTCAGCCGAAATTCAGCCACTATTTGGAATGGTCTAGTCTAAACTTGCACTGTTACTAAAGAATCTTGAGAGGTCGAGAGGGATTGTCAGTTAGAACGCCATCGGATACTATTAGGTAAAGGTTAGCCTGATGCCTCTTTTTGGCCACCTTGATTCATGAAAAAAGGAGCCACGCCCTCCGAGCCGGTAGGGAAAAGAACTGTGTTTTAAAAAACCTCCGGATAACTAATACCTGGCAAAGGAGTCACCACCATCTGACCCAAGAAATACCCACCTATATGGCTGCGCGAGGCACGCTAATGGCTACGACTAAAAAGCATAAACCTTGTCTTAGGCTATAAATTAACTTTTGCGACCAAGATGGCGCACCGCTATCGAGAACATATTTATCGCCGCCCATATTACTTATTTGTTAGTAGTGTTAAGGTAATGTTGAAGTTCATCACTAATCATAAATGAGTTATTTTAATTTAATATTAACAGTATTTGTAACAACTAATGAATTTTGCCTTCAAATTATATAAATGGAACAGCACTTCTTAGAGCTCTTATTATTATCAGCAAGTTCGTAAGTGAGGAAATATATATTAAAAATATAGCGCTTTCCCGAGGATGGCGCGGAATGGCGCCATCCTCGGGAAAGCCAGGAAGGCATCCACACGGGAACTGGGAGTTCCACGTGTGGATGCCATTTTGACATGTGGAAGTTTGGATCCCACATGTCAAAAATGGCATCCACACGTGGAACTCCCAGTTCCCGTGTGGATGCTTAGTTGACTTTCCCGAGGATGGCGCCATTCCGCGCCATCCTCAGGAAAGCGCTATATAAATTTTATATACATAAAATGGCGTATGGCGACCGACCCGTCCTCTCAGTGACGGTAACCCATGTATATCCGGGCATGGTTTTCTGAAGAAGCGACTTAGCTCAGCAGTATCTGCTGGACCCTGGTGGCGACCGGGGACAAACACAGACCCGCTGATCGTGTCCAGATCCTAGGGCAGTTAGGAGCATCTTCTTTTTCCAGCAGCGCCCAAGCCAGTGGGTGCCCGAAATGGAGCAGGGCGACTTACCTGCTCAAGCTGCTATTGTGGTCTGCCCCGAATCGCGGAAGCGATTGAGTATTTTCTCAAGTGGATAAGCTGGGAAAAGGGGAGGCAGATTAGACGACCAAGAAGGCGGTCTCTCCAGTCAAAAGGGCCCCAAATTAAACGGGGTGATCTGGCCAACCGGAGGCAAAGACTGGCGTAATTCGGGGCGGAAGGCTGAGTTGGAAATGGTGGTGCCCGGCGACGGTCGGCGACGACCCAATATGGCAACCCACTACCGAGAAGCCAGGGGTTTCGGCCTGGGCTCAGAGAACCAGTGATGGAAGTCCATCCTTTTCGCTCGTGCCGGCACGGCTCCTTAAGGAGCGCGGAGGAATGCCACGCATGGAAGAAGGGACCTTAAACACATATCGCTTAATTATTATTATTATTATTATTAATATAAATTTTATTTTTAAGATTCTTAGGCAAAGTAAAGGAAACAGTGTTTATGATAAAAAAAATATTTAATTAAATATGTTTTGGATTTTATAGGGTCCTTGTTTATATAATATAATCATATGTGGACATCTTTAGGAAAATCATATTCAATTTCACAATTAACTCAACAAGTTAGAATTAACAAGAAATGCTACAAAGCTGCACAAATGAAGAAAAATAAGCAAAACAATCAAGATTTGCAGGAGCAAAATAGCTCTAAAAGCTTTTAAGTGTATATTAAGATAAATACCAATAATGCAAAGACGAGACTCAGATATTTCTCTAGGGTAATTGCTAATTTAATTATGATATAATAAAAGTATCAAAAATCAATTTAACCGAAATGAATAGAACATTTTAATTTAAGTAATTTGTAATTGATTTAAAAACATATTTATTTACTCCCATCATTTAAATTGAAACAAAAAATTGAGTATAAAACTTCAATTTATTGTTATAAAGATTATATAAAAAATTTAATCGATTCAGTGTGAAAACTGTTTAAATAGCATTCTAATTTTATAAAAATTAGTATTTTCATTATTGACAAAAAAGCTGTTTCAATTTAAAGGGGGGCTAAAGTCCCTAAAAAAATACAAATTTTACCATTGCTTTATTCCAATTTAAAGGAAAGAGTTATAAAAACATCAATATTATTACAGAAAACAGGATTTTGCTATTAAATATTTTATATAGCTTAGTCCTTGAAAATATAGCTTGTTGAAAATTAAATATATGGAGTCTACTGGGGATCTCAGCATAGGAGACTTTTACAATTACGACCCTAAGCTGATGTCAATAGGAGTTACTTCAGAACGCTATACAGACAACAATGTAGTTGAGTACAAAGTTGAGCTTCAATTTGCGAACGTTGAGCATATTGTATATCGCAGATACAATCAGTTCAAATCTTTTCACAGCCTTCTTAAGTCAGCCTTTCCTAGACTAGATCTTCCAGCTTTTCCTTCAAAATTCACAATGATCAACAAAACAGAACAAAGAAAGCGAGATTTTCACAATTATATGAATGGAATATTTACACTTAAATTTAGCTTCTTTTAGTCTAAAAGTAGCTTTTTTAAGCTAAAATATTTACTTTGGATTTCCTCTAGGCATGCTCCGCATGCCCTATAAATTAATTAAGAAAAATGGAATAATCGTATTATGTGCAAAATTCCCTCCAATGGCAAAAACTTCCCTCATGAAAATTGTAGGAGAGTTCCTTGACATAAATGGGCAAGAAAAGAAAACTGAAGAAAGAGTGAAAAGTAGCAAAGACAACATAGTGGAATCTGCACAAATATTCCCAAGCACAGGACATTATACAGGCGATATTGACGTGATTATTACAGAAGAGGACTGGATTACTTATTATGGCTCTATAATCAGAAACGACCTTTATCTTTTCCCCAAAGATAAGCCTGGAAGCTATTTTACCACAGTTATCAGCTGTTCTGGGGCTGTCATCAGAGAAAACGAGACTTTAAATGTACTGGAAATCCACCATTCTCATCAGAGTAAGCCAATATTATTAAGACCGTCACCTAAGGACTATTCTGAATGAAAAAACCATTTGTTTATTATGGCATCGGCTAATCAAGATTCACCTTTGACATCACAGAAAATCACAGTTGCAGGAAGACTTATGGTGAAGGTATGGAGTGGCCAAAATATTAGGGTTAATAAGCCTGCTTCAAGCTTAGTCAAGTCGCATGTATTTGTGAGGCTTTCGCTGAACCCTTTTTCATTTACAACATCTATATTGCCACAAGGAGATTTGGTGGATTGGGGACAGACGTTTATAATGCCAATTGTGAATCGTTTTTTTGTATTAAAAATCGAAATTTGTTCGTTTTCATCAGAAGGCTGGCTTAAGCAGCATGCTAAAGAAGACCTTATTGAAGAGTTTAATATTCCTCTAATTGATATAAATCAATATCCCTACACAAATGGCCCAATTACTTTATATTTCAAAATGCAAGACCCAAAAAAGAAAAAAGCCTCTATAAGTGAAGACATGCCAGCTTATATTAATGTTGACATTATCCACCAAGCTGATTTTCTTTGCAATTTTTTACCTGTGCCACCACATTTTATAGAAGATGAGCCAACCCCTACAAAAGCGACTATGAAACAATTAAAAATTGCTTCCAAAAGATCTAAAAGAGTCAGAATTCTTTATACTCGATCATTAAAAAAAATTTATCAAATGTTCTTATGGATTTACCCAAAATTTTCTGCAGTCTGTATGGCTTTATACATTATTTTAGCACTCTTTTTGCCCGGTCAATACGTTTTGCCATTAATTATGTTGATTTTTTTGAGTTTTATTTTGATTAAAAATCCGAAACTCTCCCCATACTCTAAAAAATTTATTGATATAGTTTTTTCAGATTCCCAAAGAATCTGCAAACCTCCAAAGATCCAAACTATTAAGGAGACAGAGTTTGACACAAAAAGTGATGTAAGGATTTTTGAAATTGAAATAAAAGAAGGAGTTATGGATAAATGGAATAAATTTAAAATTGACCTTGTGGAGCTACAAATTTTATTAATGGAAATCAGCTGTTTTTTAGAAAAAATGAGAAATTTATTCTTATGGGAAGATCCTCAAAAGTCATCATATTTTTGTATAGGAGTTTTAATGGTAGCTTTTGTGCTTTATTGCATACCGTTTAGAGCTTTAGTACTTCTTTTAGGAGTTCACCGATTTTTAAAGGGAAAAAAATTCACAAAAAGGCGTATTGAGAATAACACAAAGATCTGTGAAGAAATTTTGAATTCTTTATTGTCACAGTATTTGAATAATTATGATTATTACAAAAATTATAAGACTGTCATATGGCCAATTGAATTAGTCACGAATGTGAATTTACAAAAGAAGATTGTGGAAGGGATACGATCTAGGCTGAGTTTAGATGTAGATATCAAGATTTTTGAGGATTATACATCCCCAGAAGAATTGGCAGAAGCTTTAAGCTCAGTGGAAATAATGCTGAAGATGAGAGATGCAAAAGGAAATTTGATATATGATCCTAGTAAATTTGAAAAGAAAAATTTCATTGCTGGATTTTTATCCAATATCCCAAGTGAATATTTCAGATATTACCACCCTAGAGTTACTGGAATCGAAACATGCAATTAATCTATACCCTAGGGAGATAATGTGTACAGATGTATTTGAAAAATTGAGGAATTTTATTTATTATAGGTTTTATTATTAATAATTTGTAGAGGTATATATTAACTTCTAAATTTATTTTAATAATAAATACCTTCAATTAAGCATTAAGCAAATGAAATTGAAGACTGATCATAACAATTTTCAGGATTTTCTTTACGATCTAGAAATTCTTTTGAATTCTTTCTGCCTCTATTCACAATATATTTAGCTACAGGCTTGTTCATCTCGATTTTTTCTTGGCTTCTTTCAGTTGTTATATGAGTCAAACTTATTTCACTTATTGTTGTGCTTCTCATGTTTTTAACAAAAATTGCTAGTCTCATGTAATTAGTTGAAGTTCTCAGCAGCAATATAAACATTGACAAATATTCTTCCATATCAGCAAGTTTATCATTGAGTTTGAACCCAACAACAATTCCTATAATGCTGACAACTGCCACAAAAATATCAATCGCATTTTCATAATCTTTTAAAAAAATTCAAAAACCCTGCATGAAAGCTCTAAAAAACAGCTCTAGGCTTATAGAGGCAATTAAAATAATTTCTAAAGCTATAAACCATCCTTCAATCGGATACATTCCGAAGTTGAATAGTGTCCAAATCACACAAGTAGCTGATAAGATTATCATAATGAAATAAAAAAATTTGCATGCAGGAGAATAGTACAAGCGAGACATCGCAGCTTTATATTGATTTTGGTAGCCTCCTGGAGATTGAGAAGAAATTGAAATTCTTGGAAAATACTCTTCAGATTGAAAATTCGTTTTCATTTTTTTTGTATTCGTTTAGGCGGATAAGCTGATTTTTTAACAGAATCCTATATAGCAATTTAAATAAGTCTTTGTGATTAATTAATAAAGAATAAATCTAAAGTTTCGGGTAATTAAATATATAAAAATTAAAAAAATATAGAAAATTCAAAATAAAAAAAATTAGGAAAATGATTTATTTGAATATTTATTTTCAATTTACGGCTTCTTAACTCCCCCCCTCCGTGAGTGAACAAAACCATTCGAAAAATCGTCATTTTTTGACCAAAAACCCACCCTCCGTGAGTGAACAAAAATTTTTTTTAATAGAAAAAAATTTAATGGAAAAAAATTTTGATATATAAGTGATAATTAGTATAATGAAATCTAGAGCTAATTCTGTTTAATTTTAAAACAAATTGCGTTTTAAAACATAAATTTTGCAAATTAAATTAATATTTGCTTCCCAAATTTTGCAAATTAGGATTTTTTTAAATTTCGAAAAAAAAAAACATTTCTATAAAATTTATATATAAAATTTTTTAAAAAAAAAAAAAATTAACCCCCCTCCGTGAGTGAACAAAATTTTTTTTGTTCACTCACGGAGGGGGGGGGGGGGAGTAAGACATTTTATCTGAGATCACTGATTTTAGTGAGTGCAGATGATTAGTTTTGGCTTCCAAAGCAGCAGCTACAGAATTTAATTCTACTCCCAGCACACTCATATCTTCTTTCCCTTCTCTTCCCATCCTTAGCAAATCTTTATATCTATCATTTAAAATTTTTAAATCATTTTCAAGCATCGAAGCTTCCACAATTTGTGAATCTCCACGCCTTTGTGCAGGGAATGATGAATATTTTTCGCCTAAATCTGGTGTGAACTCTTTATTATTTGCAAACACTCGACTATTAGTTTTGCTCATTGTTGGCCTTCTTGACTTATTTTTCTTTCTAATAACGGCTAATAATTTTTCATTGATATCAGCGATTTCTTTTACAAAGATTTCTGATTGAGCGCTATATGAATTTTACTTTTGTTCAATAAGCGATGCTTTATTATCTTCAAGCTCAGTTATTTTAGCTTTCAAATTTGAATTTTCATCTCTTAATTTAATTATTCTTTAATTCTTAAATGCCTACATAAAGAGATTTCAATCCTATATAGCATAATTTTTAAATATTTTTTTATTTATATAAAAATATAATATAGTTCATTTTCTATTTTACTTGTGGATTCTTGCCATCTTACAGTTTCTTTTTCTATATCTCTAGCCTGCTGCTCTGCATAAATTTCTTTTAATTTTTTTTTGTCAGATTTTTGGAATTTAATTTCACTTTGGAGTTTCGTGATGATCGCTTTGGCATGGTCAAGCTCCTCCTTTGAAGTTTCTTTTAGTTTCATTCTCTCTTCTTTAAGCTCAACTATTTCTTTTTCTCTTGTTTGTAGTATGGTATTTAATTTATGAATTTCGCTATCTTTTAAAGCGCATTCATGCCGAGCATTTTCGAGCTCATGTTCAAGCTGATTTGTTTTAATTTGAAAATTTCTAGAAAATTCATCTAAATCCCTTATTTTTTCTTTGATATTATTTTCTTCTATCCAAGCAGCCTTTTGTTTTTCATCAATTGTTTTTAAGAGTTCCTCTTTTTCTTTTAGATAGCTTGCCTTTAGATTTTCGTTATCCTTTTTTAAGATTTGGTTTTCTTTAAGGAGTTCTGTGGTCTTTTCGTTAAGACCTCTAATGCAATTTGCAACAGATCTAGAATAATTCAGCTTTGGGGACTCAAAACCGGAATTTATATTATTGTCTTCTCTGATGCTTCTGCAGCTAATTGACCCTTTTTCTTCTCGGATGGGAATGCTAGTTTTAGGATTGTGTATCAGAGGTCGGATTTTGTCCCATGATGACCTGTATCTATCCCTTATAGATTCAGCAAAGTCCATTAAAAACTAAATCAAATGCTTATCTTTTTTTAGAAATTTAGAAATAAAAATTTGTTGTAGTTAGAAAATAATATTGAGTAATTTGCTTCAGATTCTTATAAAGATTTAATTGTGCCGAATTAAGATATTTTTTAGTTTTAGAAGCAGTTTATTAACAATTTTTTAATTATTTAAATAATGGAAGAACAAGGAAGAAACCCAGACGACGGAAATAGTTGGAAAAAGGATAATTATGGATTAAAATCAAGTGGGAAAGAGCTATTAGTGATGACTGTAGATATTGGAGAAGGAAAACAAGATATTGTTACTATATGTGAAAAAGACGATCCAAATCAGCTTGCTCAGGATTTCGCTAGAAAGCACTGCTTAGACTTATCATTCCAGACGTCTCTTGCTTCAATAATAAAACAAAATAAAGAAATAATGCAAAGCCCTTCATATAAAAGTACGTCAAAAATTTTAGATTTACCTGAATCCTTCTCCTTATCGCATACCCAAAAAGGAAATATTCAAACCGAGCCTGCAAAAAAAGCTTCAATTATTAGCAAGCCTGACCAAAAACTCTCAGCCCAAGTAGACTTTAAAGCTTCAGGCACAAATTCTTATGGGAAAATTCCTAATAAACTTCAGATAAATTCAGTTAGCCTAAAAGAGCTAAAAATACAGCACCAAAAACTATCCTCAGAGTCAGTAAAATCATTATGTGTTGGCCTTATGTCTAACACCGTCATCACAAATTTAATTCTCCAATCAAATTCCCTAGGAAATTCTGAATCAATTAGTTATATTTCATCACTTTTGACTACAAATCAATGCTTAGAAGTGCTCGATATTTCTCATAACAATATTAATGACGCATCTATACAAAGCTTATGCTTGGTTTTAGCAGACGTTAAGCTGAAAGCGCTGATATTAGACCATAATGATATTAAATCTGCTCCTATTTGGCAAGGACTTAATTATGCTGTTTTAGACTGATTTTATAAAAAAATTATATATAGTTACTATTCTTTTTAAGGAAAAATGTGCTTTGCTTGTCAATTTTTAATAAAATTAAGCCAATTAGTCTTTATAACACATCAATAGAAGAATTTTCAATTAATTTCAACCCGTTAAATTTTGAATCTGTGTCAAATATTCTTGATATTTTATTAATAAACAAAAGGCTTAAATGACTTGGAATTATGGGAATTGAGCTGTCTGGGCCTGCTCCTATTAAAGAAAATCAAAGCGGACAATTATCGACTAGAGAGGCGATTTTATTTAAATTAGCACAAGTATTGAGATATAGCAGCTTGGTGGCTATAGCAATCGATATAGATCCTTCTGATAGGTTTTCACTAGAAGAATTGGAAAGTACATTGATAAAGCATAATAGGGTGCTAAAACAAATAATATCAAGAAATATTAATTGGCAAAAATTAGATCCTGGGAGTCCCTTGGTAAGAATTTTGAGGTCACTTAAAGCTAATGCAAGGATAAACCAAAATTATTTTGTACCAGAATATATGCAAAATGAATATTTCAATGGAGTTGAAGATTCAGGAAACGCTGAATCCTTATCTATGAGACAAAAATCGCCTGAACACCTTCACAGATCATCATTATCATGTGACTCCAAAGACTTTTCATTGCTTACTATTGATGACCCAGGCCTGGAAACAGTCCCAAAAACCCCTCAATTTTCGATTTCCCAAAACAAGTCCCAGTTCACTGAAAAAGAATCAGACACTTTACTCAATCCAATCCACAGAGACTTCACTCAAAAAAAAGACACAAAGCAAGAAATTGATGACAAATTGACCAACTCCTTTACTTTAACTGACACAACCCATGAAACGCCTCTAATTGAGTCTCCAAGAGGAGAGGATTCTATTATGGACAACCCTACAATGATGAGCTATTTTCATACTTTTATTTCTACCATGGAAAAATTTGAGCAGAAAATAGATATTTTAAGCTCCAAAGTTGAAGTTATTGAGATGAAAGTTTCTAAACAATCCAAAGAAATGGCTTCACAAAAAGAAGAATTAATGAAAGCATTGGAAACGGTCTCAGAACAGTCAAGAAAAAATGAAAAAATTATTAAAGAAAGCATAAAAAAAATAAATGATAGGGTTTCATATTTAGAAAGAGGGCTTAAAAAAGGAAAAGAAAATGAGCTATGCGAAGATACTGAAAGTAATAGCATTAATAAAGAAATTTATAAGCTAGAAAATGAACTAGAGCTCGAAGAACACTACTCAAAAATAAAAAACAGCCAAGACAAATGAAAACAAGAAATGAGACAAAGATTAACGATCCTTGAAAAAAAAGAAAACGAGATTGACTATATTGTAAAAAATATTTCTGAAAAATTCGACAATGAGATAAACCAAAGGCTAAATTATTTTGAAAATAAATTAAGCAAGGTTTATGATTTTGACAGAGAAAAAGATTCACTTTTTTATTCGATAAATGAATTGGAGCGAAAAATGCAGAAATTAGATGAAAAAGTAGTTCGAGAAGTTGTACAGATAAAAGAGGTGCTGCCGACTGAAACAGCACTAAGAGTAGAAGATTTAAAAGCTGATTATACAGAATCATCAATAAAGACTACAAAAAACAGGCAGCCGATCTTAAAAACACCCGAAAAATACAAAATCCAAGAAAATTCTTTTCAAAATTTTACATATAGGTCAAAATCAGTCAGAAAACCTATGAAATTAAATACATACCGGCAAGCAAATTCTGCTAGGAAATCATTAGTGGTAAGGAAAATTGATGAGGAAAAAGAAATCAGCGAGTTTAGGCCAGAAATTTCTAGAGATTCTCCTATAATGAAAAGAAAAGATTCTGAACCATTAGCAGAATATGTAGAAAAATCAACCCAAAAGGAAGATTTTTCTGAAAAATCAACGCAATCCCCAGAGAAAATCAATGTAGCCAATTCTTGTGAATTAGCCAGCTACTTCCCAAGTGAAGCAGAAAGTATATTAGTCAATGCAATGCTGGAAAAAGTCAATTTTAAAAGAAATCCAAATTCTAAACAATGGATAAATAAGCCAAGAAATTTAAGCCCTCAGTCCTCTTCATTTTCTTCAATATCTCAGTCTAGATATAACCATAGTAAGCAGCTGAGTTCAAGTGATATTACAGAGTGCGTCCCTAGTGCTGAATTACAAGAAAATTTGAAGCAAAGAGGACTGTTTATTACTGAAAATCATACTGCTTTTCGGTATTAATGAGAAAATAATTGTGTGTAATTCTTAAAAATCGTTATTAATATACTTGATTTTGTTTAGCATATGTTTTGAATCATAGCAGACTTGTTTAAAGAAAATTATGATCAATAAGGGCCTTAAAGTAATTTTATATTTGTTCAATAATGCCAATTACTTCAAGCTACTGAATTTATATTTTAATTTTAAAAAAATGAATATGGAGAGATAGCCTTAAAAAATATCACTTGATGCATTATGTATTAAAACAAGATGCTAATATATTATCGATAATCAAACACTGTTGCCCTAATACATATCTTAATGGATTTAATCAAGAGCTTAATATATCAAATAACTTAATTTTTAAAATATCTCTTTTTAAAAAATTAATACACTCCAGTAAAAATAATTTTGCAAATTTATGATCCAGAAAAAAGAGCTAGATTTCAAAGTCTACCATCCTCAACTAGAAGCCCAGCCAGGTGAAATAAAACTCGGTCTCCGTCGTTTTCGAACTCATAAAAACGAAACATCCCCAAGCTTGATCCTTATGGGCTCGATTCCCAAGATTCCTGACAATTTTTCAGAAAAAACTCCTCATTCACGAAATCTCAGTACAGGAAGAGTTCCGGACTCTTATCCAGAATTTGAAAATGTAGCGACTAAAGACTACAGCTTTCAAAAGCCAATAACGAAAATAAAAAGAATTGAGCCTGACCAAAACGGCTTCAACCCTCACTCTAAAGAAAGAAATTTAACAGCTGACCGAGACCCTTATCTTTATAAAAAATCAATGCAAAGGTCAATTGGGGAAACTTTCTCTGCAGAAAATAACCGTATAGAAAAATCTGAACAGAGCCCATTGACAAATTTCGATTTTCTTAGGCATCCGACTTTTAGTGGGCCGAAATTCACAAAAAGAAATCCGAAAATTGTATTGAATAATCCCATTATTGGGTATTCAGGGATAAATTTGCCTGAAAAAGAGAAAAGTATGTCTCCTGGGAAGAGCAGAGCGATGGCTGATTATGGTAATTTAATGATGAGGAATGGAATAAGGCCATCTGAAAGCTTAAATCTTTCGTATTAAAAAGCCGATAAAATATGATAATTAATTACCTAAAGACCTAAGAGTCATTTTTATAATAAAAATCAGATTAAATTAAAAATTATTTTGGTCCTATATATTTTTGAAAAAGCTTGGTAAAAGTGCTTTCTTTTTCTGGAGATTTACTTGACTCATTCAGGCTAGTCTCAAACTTATTTTTCAGCTTATCCCTGGCTTCTGCAAATTCTTTTAGCACCATACTTGTCTGCGCATAATTAGTTTTCATACTCTGAAAAGTCTCATCTTTCAGAGAAGCAATTTTTTGAAGTCTTTCATTATCTTTTTGGGTTTCTCCAAGCCTTTCAATCAGTCAGTTATTATCTGAATTATATTTTTCTATAATATGTGCAAGAAACCTTGTTTTTATAAGTAAATCGCCTTCTTCGAAATCTTGATAAATTCTTGTAAGCTCTTCTTTTATTTGGTTAAATTCAGCGTCCTCATCTGAATTGAATTTTTGATAAATTATATTTAAAATTCCTTTTATATCAGCAAATGACCTCATCAGCCTATCATTTATTCGGATTTCATTATCAAGAGACACTTGTAATTCTCTAACTATTTCTGAATGATTTTCTGTGGCGTTTTCTAAATTTTGTAAAAGTTCGGACTCTCGCTTTATTTGTGATTTTTTATATTCTTCAAATTCGCTGCTATGTGACAATTTCATAGCTCTGATTTCGCTATTTGTCTGGCTTTCTAGCTCTATTGTGCTTTTTTTATTGGCGATTTTTAGTTTTCTGATTTCGTCTTGTAGGAGAGTTTTGGTTTGGAATAATTCTCTTTCTAAAATATTAAATTTTTCGACATAAAGGTCTTTTTCTTCTATTATTTTGCGGATGTCGTTTTCTTTGTAGCCTTGCGATAATAAGAAATTTAGCTTATTTTCAGTCTGTTTTCTTTCTTTTGTATAAATATCATTTATTGCCTTTAACTTTTCTTCTAAATCTGAATTATCAGACCTTCCTTTTGAATTATTAAAACCGTCACTATTTGTCTGTGAATTCAAACTCTTTTGCCTGTATTTATCAGCTACCTTACTTATAGTCGAAAAAATTTCAATTTCATAATTAGATATTTTCTGTGAAAATACTGCAAAGGACCTTTCTGCTTCACTTTCCAATACAAATCATGGATCTCTTTGGCTGCTAATTTCAAGGTCCGCAATTTTTAGCGAAAATTCATCAGGGCTGCTTAGTGTCATCAATTTTGGTCTAAAAGTGCACTCATCATAGCTTGTTATATTCCCTATCCTTTCCTCAATGTTTTGTAGCAGTTTTATCGAGTTTTCTAAAATTTGAGAATATTTCGCAATCACATGTCTGAGAGATTCTGCTTTTAATTTATAATTTATATCTCTTATTTCGTCCTCCATAACATTAGGCTTGCCTTGTTGACTTTTGCTGTTTGCTCTAGCATAAGCTTCGCTTTGAAAAGCCCAGATTTTTGAAGAGGTATCAGAGATTCCTACCTTTTCAAAAGTTTGGTCTCGAATAAATTCGTATTTTTTTACAAGGTCTGGAGGCAAAGTAAATGAAAATAAAATTTCTTCAGCCACTTCTAATAGAATTTTCATGTTTTCAATTTCGAGGGCAAGTGCTTGATTTTGAGTTTCCATATTTTAATTTAAATTATTTAAAACAGCGGTGAACACTCTGCAATTTAAGGCTATAATTAATTATTTGGAAATTTAGAATCGTTTTTATATAAATTTTAATAATTAAAATAACGAATTCTATTTAATTATTTGCAATTTATAATTCAGCATCTAGTCGTTACAGAAAGTGCTATGCAAAACCTCTTCATCTAAATTATTAAACAGCTGAGTTTGCAGCATAGCTTTCAGAAAATCGTGGTCTCCATCTGGGAATCTTTTATTAATTTGCCAAGCAAGCTTTTTCATGTCTTTATAATTATACATTTTGGTGATATCAATGATTTGTAACCAATAATCCTTTATACATTCGGCAATCTCTATGCACGCCAATTTCTGCTCTAATGAAGGAGTAAAACAAATTTCATTAGAATTCAAAGCTAAATACACATTTTTTATTCTCTGCTTTAATTGTACAGCTTCAGGTATTTTTGCATCTTGAATAATAGACGTCCTTCCCCGTATACGTGAAGATGGGTTTGTTTCATCTAAATAAACTCATATTAAATCTCCACGTGCTTTTGGCGGCTTTGTCATACCCGCTATAAGTGGGACTGGGGCATCTAATACATCAATTAAGCATTTCGGAAGAATTGGTATCATCAGATTTGGCCATCTGAATGGTCTCAATAAAACCTGGTAAGCCAAAACACAAGATGTTAATAACCCTAAATTTCCTGATACAAATACAACTGATTTTTCTTGCGCAACTGCAGATAAAATCCAAAAGAAATCGTTAAAGCTGAGCTTAGAAAACAATGGGGCACAAAACCATGGGACGTCAATAACACTTAGATCGTCTGGGCATTTATATTTAAGTGGATCAAGCCTGTCCATATCAATTTCAATATTTAGCATCGCCCCGATATTTTCTACTTCTGCATAATTTTCTAAGACCTTGATTTCTCCTGGGGTGATAATTTCTTCTCCTATCAGATGCATACTTTTATCATCATTTACTAGCTGCTCCATCCTGAATAGTCTTTTTAATAGCAGTAAATTCGATAAAACTTCATAATGGAGCTCAAAAATTGGCACATATGTAATAAAACAGTAAATTTTGGTGTTTTTCCATTCGTCTTGCCCATCTTCTTGTGGAGTCAAATCATCGATTTTCAAGCAAAACACATAATACAAGTCTTTATTGGAATTCGGGAGATCAGTTAAAGTGTCTCTTGGCTGGTCTGATCTTAAGGTAAATGTAAAACAAGAGTTTCCGCGCTTGTGATAAACTTGTCCATATAATAAAGCATTCAAATCAGAGCCTGAGCCAGTAAGATTAAGTGGCTGAGGCTCTTCTTCTGAATGGAAACAGCAGTTTAGCACCATTCTCTTTACTTCGTCAGATATTGAATAGTTTTCTTTAGGAAATTCATAGAGAATTTCTGGCTTATGTTTGTCAGATTTTCCTAATCTTTCTCTTGGAATACCTAAAATAAGGAAAGATATAAATATTTTTGGGTTATGTATAAAGGAGATGCTATTATCAGGAAGTGCTTGGAGGGTTTTTTCTGTATTCTGATACAATTTCTCATGCAGAGTATCAGTATCATAATTGTTAGAAATATTTAGGTTAGAATGACTTGGAGTAAATAGGATATATGAATCAGAATTCCCTGAGGACTGCAAAGGTTTCTTTGGAGTCCGAGTCATGGTTTCAACCATAGGCTCTGGAGTCTGATAGTGTGACAGTCTAAGCTTCAGTTCTTCGTTTTCAGCGCTTAGCCTATTAATAAGATTGATATCTTGGACACTCCCTTCAACTGCTTGCTCGTACAGTTTCTTTAGTTTTGTGTGCTCTTTCTGGAGCTGGAGGAAATCGTCATAAAGCTGCTCATAACGGTAATGCCAGTCTACATAGTGGTTAGACATGAAATTATATACAGTATATTATCATAATTTAAAGGAAAATTAGAATTCGTTTTTTAAGTTAAGGTATGAAAATTGAGGGAAAATGGGAACTATAAAAGGGAAAAGAAAATTGTGATAGTTATATTTGGTAGGATTGAAGAGGGTAATATTTTGAAATAAAAAAATTATAGTGAAACTGTTAAAAATTAGATGATAAAATATAAAGACTACTAAAAAAATATTTTTGAGGTTTTTATGAAAAGATTAAATATTGATAAATAACACGCAAGCTGCTTGCAATTGTTGAAGATTAGATTTTGTATGTTTACCCAAAATACAAGAAAAAGGTTATTCTAAAACTAGTTACTATCGATGACCAGGGCCCAATTTTTAATAAGATAGAATTAGGATAAATTGATTAAGCTTTTATTGATTTGCTTATTGCAGATATTTCTAGGACTCTTTACTATTATTATCAAGGATAAAATCTTTACTATTATTATCAAGGATAAGAAGCTAAAAATTCCTTTAAGATTTTTATTTTTAAAGACATCAAGTATTTCAAATAGTTTTATTTACCAAGACAATGAAATTGCATTACTTTTTGGTTTTTGACTTAGCGGCTATTCTTCCTTTTTTTGGTGTTGAAGTATTTTTAGCGATTTCAATAATTGCTTCAGGAATTCCTGACGATAAAAGTTCAAGACTCTTTATTTCTTCTTTAACTCTCTCCAAATCCAATTCAGCCCACATTAAAAATTTTATTACAAACCTTATTACTTTTCATTAATTTTTTTAAGCCTGATTCAATAATTTTAGAGATTTTCTAAATCTTTTTGAAATTTCTCCTGACGAAAATTCGTTTATTTTTGGTAAAACAAGACTATTAAACACTTCATCAGGCTCTGGTTGATCTTGATCTGGAGCTGGTAAGCTTGTAGCTAATTCTGATGAGTATTCATTAAAATATTTCCTATAATTAACGCCACTTCTTTGAGTCCAAATTGCTTCATGCAAATAGTCTTTCAGTTGACTTCTTGGCTTATTTAAAGCTTCCTCAAGCTGTGCTATAAATATTTGATCTTCAAGTAATATATCAAGCTGCATCTAAAATACCATGTTTGAGCAATGGAAGTCGATGCCTTGTAATGGGATATCTTCTATCTTTAATCCTCCATTAATTTCTATTTCTGTCCAAATTGGCAGTTCATAATATATTTTTCTTATAATTTCAATCCACTCATTGTTAGCATTGAATCTCTCCATCCACTGCATTGCATATCTCTAAATATATATTACAGACAGCATTTCCATATCTCCTTTCATACCTTTATAATAAGTTCTTATCAAAATTGCTTTAACAATATCATTAGAGCTGTTTCACTGAGTAAACAAATTATTCCTTTTTTCCACATATATATAATCTCTATAGCTTACAGTTGAAATATCAGCTACAATCTGAATTATGCTTTCCAGAATTTCTTGAGAAAATTGATATTCTTCTCCAGCTACCATGCATCATACTAATAGTGGGTAATCTGGGTGCAGTAAGCTGTCTTCTAGCACAATTATGCATAATCTTCTACACAATTCTCTTATTCTACTTATTTTTTACCCGCAATTTACTGCCATTTGAAAGGCTAATTTTATTGCTTTATTTCTGATGCCTTGTCTAATACTTTTTTGTAAGCATGATTTTATTATGCTGGGAGAAAATGCTTGTAATCTAAAAAAATCATAAAATGATAAAGGGGATTTAGCTTGATGGGAAGTAGAAGCAGTTAAAATAATTTGGCAAGGGTCATGGGAGGATTCTTTTAAAAAATATTTCCTTGAAATAAAGGTCCCTGATGGCTTATTTTCTATTAAGCAAGCCCATTTTTGCCGTCCTGAGGATTCGCCAAGGTAAGATAAATTGAAACTTTGGCTTAGATTGGCTTGAGGAGTACTCATAAGAATATCATAAGCATTTAAAGAAGAAGGATTAGGAGAAGTGAATGATTTTTGTGTAAAGCGGGTAGTAGATATTGGAGATGGCGCGATATTTGGTTTTAGCTCTTGGGTAAGATTCTCTTTACAATCAGAAGATCCTGCGTGAAATTCGAAAAGTTTATTATCAATTTCTTTTTTGCATTCTGGGCATGTCTTGCATTTGTTTGGTATTTGGAAGTTAAGCTTAGTCTGAACAGGGGATCTTTTTCGCTTCATATTTAATTCCCTCTAAATTTTTCTCAAATTTTTTAATTTACTATTACATATAATTAGTGTCACAAAATTACTTGTTAATTTTATTTAGCTTCCCTAATATTTTCCAATCGTTATTATTTTATTTTCAACTATTAGTAATTTTCATACTTTCAGGTTATATACAATAACCTCTTTATGAATTTTGCAATGAAGTCGACCACCTTGGATTTTTATTAACATACTCAGCTCTTTTCATCAATCCTAAATTTGGCTTGGAGTTTAATTTTAAAATATCTTTCAAACTGACAGAGCGCTGCATATCAATTTTCTGCTGGATTTTACTATCAGTTACTCTGGCTTTTCATAGCTGAGTATCAACTATTTTTCTTTTTGGGCATGATCTGTAATGAATTTTGTTCTTATTATTTTTCACAATAATAGGGAGCGGAGGATTATTGTTTAGCTTTAAATCAATCATTTGCAAGCGAACACTTGTTAAAATTGGAGATTTTTCTTTGTCGGATAGCAGAAGAACAGATTGGCTTCTCGCTGTGTAATGCTTCATAATTTTTTATTCATTTTTAATGTCCTCATGGCCATAAATTCAAAATATTTTTACTTAAAATTTGGCCAATGATAATCAATTAAATTTTAAATAAATTCACGAAATTTTAGAGAAAAAGGAAAAGTTAGATTTAGCTATGAGGAATTAAATGAAAACCTAGTAGTCAGCTAAGTGAAAAGCCTATAATGAAGCTGATTATTGCAAACTCGAATAAGCTGATTTGTCGTTGTGTATTTAAGTCTGCAGTTTGTTTTGTGATTGGCTTGCTGAATCGACTTTCAAGCTTTTTTGGTTTTTCATTGGCAATGACATTATACTGATTCTGAAATTTTTTTCCCACATTTTGGTATATATAAAATTTTTGATATGAACAAATTAAGCGATAAGCTCTGGCACTAAAAATTATTTTTTCTAAATGCTAATTTAAAATAAAAATATGAGTAAGTACAATATCATTTTCAAGCTTTAACTTGATAGGAGATAGACTTTTATTTGTATCATTACTACTCTTAGCTATATTAATACAATAAAAAATAAATATTAATTTAAATTTGAATTATTCATGATCTATAAGAATATCTTTCCAATCTATTTTTGGTTTTTTCAAATATTGTATACTTGCTTTCAGTTTTTCAATTTTTTCATCAGCTACTTCGCATTCTCCTCTTGTGCTCACTAATAAATCCGGGAGTTCATTTTTCCTCTGTTGAAGTTCATTAATTTCTTGCCTTGTAAAATTTATTTTGCGAGTTAACTCATTTAATCTTATCTTAAGCTGGTCAATGACATTTATGTAAAATTTTTTTTCTAGCTCAGCATTTCCAGAGTTTTTTTGGAGGTCTTTTGGGAGTAAAGATAAAGCTGTCGCTTTCAGCCATATTTTTTGCTGAAGATCACATAAGGAGTTTTCAAAGCTAGTGTCTAATTTTTCAATTATTTTGGATTTATTGTCAAGTTTTGATCTTACTGAAACAATTCTTCTTAAAATTAATTCTTTTTGCTTTTGTGATTTGTCATTAGACCTGCCTAGCTTATGCATTTGCTTTTGAGATGGGTGGCTTATTTTGGTAGCCCTTTGAGGCTGCAATTCTTCTGGTTCTATTAAAACTTCTTCAAGTATTTTTTCTTCAGAAACTGCCTTCGAATTATTTTTCCATTTTTTAAACGAATTTGTAATTAATTCTGAAATTTGTTCTGCTCCTCTTCTCATAACTTTTTTTCCAATTTCTTTTAATCTTTTATTTTCTACTAATTTATTGAGTTTCCCGAGGACATTTCTTACCATTTTTTCATCTTTTTTTACTTTATTTGAAAATTGTGTAGCAATAAATTTATATTTGCCAAAAAAATATTTCACCGAATTTTTTCTGAATTCTGCTAAATCCATCCATTTTTGTATATATTTTATTCGCCGGCTTTGAACATCTAGCTTTTTCTCTACCTTTTCTACAGCAATTTGTTTTTTGGTTTCATAAGCTAAAGCGTCAAATGCTTTTTTCATGCTAAATTTCACTTTTACTAAAAGATGCTTTAAAGACTCCATTTTTCGTTTTTCAAGCAATGATTTTTTTGCTTTTTTTTCTTCTTCATCCATCCTTGCTTGTTTTTTTGCTTGTATTTTTAACAAATCTGATTTTTTCTTTTCTAAAACATTATATTTTAGCTTTTCAACTGCTTTTGATAAGGCTAATTTTTGTGTTTTTTCTCCATGTAATAATGCTCTTAATAGCAGGGATTCTTTTTTGTGTTTTTTTTGTAGCTGAAGTTTAAACTTTGAGAAAAATTTATAATAGTTGATATTCATTCCTTTACAGTATGCGCGGATTAATAATTCTATTTTATTTTTCTGGTTTATATGCTGAATTTTGTGTTGAGCTTCTAAAAGTGTCTTAAATTTTTTAAAAGTTGCACTCATGTCAATATATCTTCTTTCTAGAGCTTTGCTAACAAAAAAGAATTTCGTCCTCATTTGGCTTTCCTTTACTTTTTCATTTCATTTTCTTATATATTTCTTCTGTCTATTATTATCAAATTCACACATCCTAGAAATCAGCCTATTTCATAATAGCCTGTTATGAGCAATCAGCCTAGAATTAGCTTGAAGCTGGTGTATAGCAGAACTCATAATTTTTGTCCACCTTTTTGCACTCATACTATGCCATTTCTGTAAAAATGCAAAATTATTTTTGTCTAGTTTTGCCTTATTTTGGTTTTCCACCTGCATTTTTCATTTTATAGTCTCAAATTTCCATTTAGAAAATGCAGAGGAAAATAGCATTTGCCTTCTCATTAAAAGAAGTTTAAAAGCTTGGACTGTTTGTTGGGAAACTATTTGTTTATGCTCTTCATCTTTATGCTGGTTTTCTAATAAAAGGGATTGGACTTCTTTTTGTAGCTCGGATTGAATTTTTTCTTTTTCTAGGTTCTGGGACATAAGATCGTTTATTTTTTGTGAGAGGCTCAGCTTAGATCCTATCATTTCATCGTTTAAGCTTTTTACTTGTTTTTTTAAGTCTTTATTATTTGAATCTAAAATTTTATTTTCTGTGGTTTTTGTGTGGTTTTCTTGATCTTTTATATTTCTTGATCATTTTGATATAGCTTTGGATAGAACTAGCCTATGCTGCTGGATGCAGCAATATAAAGCCCGTATTATTGTCTCATTTTTATTATTTTCGCTGGATTTATGGTTTGATACTGCTTTTATTGCAGCTATAATACCGTTTTTTGTATATTTTCTTGCAATATTACGCCATTCCCTTATAATTTTTGCGTCTTTAGATCTGTTTAATTTTTGCTCACTAACATAATTTTTTCATAAAAATATTGCTTCAGCTATTCTTTTATTAATCCCCATTTTCAACATACTTATCAGTTCTAATTTTCTTTTTTGCTCATTATCTTTTTCAATTCTCGCTACCTTTTCTGTATTTTTCTTATCAATTTCCTTAATTTGCTCACTCCCCCCCCCTTTAAATTGAAACAAAAAATTTTGTTTCAATTTAAAGGGGGGTTAAGAAAATTTTTTTATAAAAAAATTTATATATAAAATTTTTTTCAGAGATAAAATTTTATAATTTCATGAAAAATTAATTCATAAATTTCTCAATCTCAAAGTGTAAACTTACTGAAATGGTATTCTTCTAACTCTCCCCATAACAATTGGACAAAATAGAGTTTAATTTCTAAATCTTATATTTTTGAAGCATATTAAATAGGGTATTAACGTATTTACATATAAAATAATGATTTTTACCTATAAAATTTTCTAATATAATAAAATTTTGTTTCAATTTAAAGGGGGGGTAATTTCCCAAAAAAGTAGGAATTTTACCTATATTTTGTTTCAATTTAAAGGGGGGGGAGTCAGCTGATTTATGCTCAAGAGCTTGCAATTTATATAATTGAAAATTTTTGAATTTTTCTCTTAACTCTCTTTAAATAAGAGCAAAAATCCTGTTCCAATTTAAAGGGGACTAAATTTTTATTAGAAAATTTATATTAAATTTTTTCTGTAAAAAAATTTATAAAATTTTCTAAAAAATCAAAAAATATAAATTGAAAGCTATATTTTTGAATTTTAATTTATTTTATTAAGAATTAATTCTAAAACTTAATCATTTAGCATACAAAACTGTTTAAATAATATTCTACTTGAATTTGTCTATTAAATTCGGTCGAAATTAATTTTATTAAAATTAGTTTTCGCCCATAATACTTTTCTCATTGAAAAAAATTGTTTCAATTTAAATGGGGATTAAAGCACCAAAAAATGGATAAAATACCTATCTTTTGTTCCAATTTAAAGGAGGCAGAGTTAAATAATTTTTCACAAGCATTGACTTAAACAAAATCGCCTTATTTTTCCTTTTAATACACTTCGATGCAAACGCATTAAAATAAGTAAACATAGCTCGCTTATAATAAGCATTCAAAATATTCGATAAAAATGATTTTTTCCTTTTTTCTTTCATTTCCTCATGATTTTGCTTTAAAGGCTCCAAAAGTGCCTGCTGATGAAACTTGTGTAGCTGCTGGGCTTTACAGAAATTTTCCATTCACACTCTTTTCTTATAGCATTCAACAAGTCTTGCGCAATGCAGGTAATAAATTTTTACACGTAAGACAGCTTCATTGGTTCGGGTTGTTTCTTCGTGCTTATGGAAAAGCATTTTGACCATCCCTGCTTTCATATATTCATTGTCTCTGGATTCAAAAATTTTAATGAATTTGTGTATTATGTAAGGAGATCTCGGGTTTTCTGAAAATGGCTTTTTCGGCTTTTCGGGGGCTGGGATTCCACATTTAGGGTTTTCGTTTAGCTGGGTGATTCATGTTAGGTAAAGCCTAGCAAATTCTTCGTCGCATGTGTTTGCTGCTATCATTTCTTCGATTTTCGGATAAGTGTGTGGTTTTTTTTAATGAATTGTCTAGTGAGAAATTCAAGCCATTTTTAGACTAGATTATGGCATATTTATTAAAAATTGTATATCTTCGTGTTTGCTGAACTTCTACTAGTCATTGGTCTAATAGTTTTTTTCTTGATCTATAATTCTTGAGAGGGACTTCTTCTTTGCCTAAAACGACCTTTAAGATTGGCTCGATCTCTGCTTGATACATTTAAGATATAAAATAATATAATTATGGAAGAAAATAAGAGAAGCAGCCAGAAATTTTTGGATTTGTATAAGGATAATTAATTATGAAAGAATTGGATTTATAAGCTCTTTATGTGTTATAGCGATCAGAAAATTTTAGCTTACAGCGAAATGGCAGTTAAAACTTGTTTGCATTTAAAGCTTAAATTAATTAAATTAACCGCCTGTTTTGTCGGCTGAAGATTTCTACCTCTCCAAGCTTATCCATCACTGAAGATGCCCAGCTGACACTGACTGCCTCACTTCAAGCTCCACCAACATGGCTTTATTCGGGACTTCTGGCCTATTAGGGCGTGAACTCCAGGGCATCTGCTGTCTTCAGAATCCCTGATTCGTGTAGGGATGGGACCTAATTAAGGTAAAAGGCTAATTGTGCCCTTTCCAATCCCACGTCAGGAGGAAAAATCCCATATCCGAGATATTATACCCTATGGCACAGAGAAAACCTCTACCCGCATATATTAAGAATGCGAACCTGTTTCTTGACTTGGTTCCCCAACCTGGGGATTCCCGTAGGTTTTGAGAAAATTGCATCAAGAGGTTGGGTGGTCACCTTCACCATACTAATGCATAGGCATTTAAAGCTTAAAAAAAAATAAATATGGAGGTAATATTATCTATTGATTTATAATATTGAAAATAAATAGAGAAATACTTTTTGCTTCAAATAGATTTATTAACACTTATATTAACTTAAAAAAATTAAAGGAGAGTTTATTTTTTTCAATAATTGAGTAACATCTACTTCATATTTAAATTTAATTTAGCTCTAAAACTCTTGAATTATTCATTTCTTCTCCCTCTTAAATAAGAAAAGACATATTATAAATCACTTTATCGATTAAATTAAAAAATATAATAATTAGTAGCCATTATCAGCAAAATTCCAAATATTAACTAAATCTGCTTCTTTATGATCAATTTATTACTTTTCATTTAAAAAACTATGAAAAATTGTCTCAGAAAAGCCAAATAAACATGTGAAAATAATTTTAATAAAAACTCGTCATAAATGGAGAGTTATTTCCACCATAAGGAAATCACAGAATATCTTACTTCCCCCCTCCATGAGCGAACAAAACCATTGGAAAAATCCACCCTCCGTGAGATAACAAAAATTTTTTTAATATAAAGAATTTTATTGAAAAAAAAAATTAGATATTTAAGTGATAATTAATATAACGAAATCTGTGCTAATTCTGTTTAATTTTTAAACAGTTTGCGTTTTGAAAAAAAAGTAACCCAGCGTGATCGAACAAATTTTTTTTGTTCGCTCACGGAGGGTGAGTTACAACAAGCAGACAGACTGAAGCAAATTTTGATCAAAGCACAGAAAACACATGCAGAATTTGCTATGAAATTGCAGATGATGAAAATCCATTAATATCCCCTTGCAAATGCAGCGGATCGATGAAATATATCCACGAGCATTGCTTAAAAATCTGATTGCTATCTATCGATGAAGACCTAGATAAAGGAAAATGCGATATTTGCAAGGTTGAATTTATCATGGACTTCGAGATCGTTACAGAGTGCAGCTGTACTAAAATTAAAGAAGGCACTGGGTCTTATATTTTGCCACCAATTTTGCTATTAGCCTTACTCCCCCCCCATCCTTGATCGAACGATTGACTGTAAAAATTCCTAAAAATTGGGGAAAATTAACCCCCATCCTTGATCGAACGATTTTCATATCATGCAAATTTTTATATATATTAAAATATATTTGCTATCAAAAGCTTGGGAAGATGTGCATAATGAAGCTGTTTTCAGAAGCTTTGAAACAACAGAAAGCTACAGAATCAACTATCCGAAGTGATTTAGTCATCAACCTAGGCTTAAAAACTCAATAATCTAATAAAATAGAGATTCTTTAAAATTTTTAAAAAAAACATTTTAATTCCATAAGGAACAAATTAAAATTTATACAGTTTAAAGGGGTAATTAATAAATCAAAATATTAAAAATTAGTATTTTTTATGAAATTAATTCAATTTTTTGCTTTACTCCCCCCCCCCCCTCCGTGAGCGAACAAAAAAAATTTTGTTCGCTCACGGAGGGGGGTTAATTTTTTTTTTAAAAAAAATTTATATATAAATTTTTTATAAAAAATATTTTTTTCGAAATTTAAAAAAATCCTAATTTGCAAAAATTGGGAAGCAAATATTAATTTAATTTGCAAAATTTATGTTTTAAAACGCAATTTGTTTAAAATTAAACAGAATTAGCTCTAGATTTCATTATACTAATTATCACTTTATATATCAAAATTTTTTTCCATTAAAATTTTTTCTATTAAAAAAATTTTTGTTCACTCACGGAGGGTGGGTTTTTGGTCAAAAAATGGCGATTTTTCTAATGGTTTTGTTCGCTCACGGAGGGGGGGGGGGGGAGTTAGAAATAATTATTAATTACTCTTAAAACTCTGATTTAAAAGTAAATAAAAAAAATATATATATATATATAAAAATTTTTTCCCAAAAAATTGTTTTTAACCCTCATCCTTGATCGAACGATGGCGAGTCGCTCGATCAAAGATGGGGGGGGAGTTAGCAATACTAGCTTTCCTGATATTTTTCTTGATATCAAAAATAAGTTTTTCTGAAAATAATCAATTTTATATTGTATTTTTACTCACAATTTGCGCAATCATCTCAGTCATAATTTTTCTCATTTTAATACGAAGCATTAAGCGTACATTTTTAATCACAAATTTAAAAAACTGGACTATTTATTCTCAAGACTTCAAAAACGAGGAAAAAGAAACCATTGAAAATAGCATGAGCGTCATTACAGATAGTCCTGGTATAGATAATGAAGGACAAAACGTAATTATTATCTCGAAAAGTCCGAGGGTTAAAGGAAAACCTATCGTTCTTCCACAAATAAACACAAATAATTTAATCCCTATAATGCAAGATGATCAAATTGTAGGGTACAAATCAAGACAAAGCTCCCCTGTTACCTCAAGACAGTCTTCTGGGGTGTATCCAAGGGTTCAAGACTATCAATTACAAAATCAAAATCAAGATAAATAAATAGTCTATTATATATTATATGAATTTTCTATAAATAAAGATGATTAATAAGCTATTTATAGATAAAAATATATAAAAATTCTTATATAATATGGCTGAGTTTGATGAAGGACTTTGTGCTTGCCTTTCTGATCTCCCCAGCTGCCTATTTGTTTGCTTTATTCCTGGAGGATTTTGCTGCCTCCAAGCCAAAGCTGTTGACAAAGCTACAGGAGAAGGATTATTAGTCCCTTATATTTTTCCTTGTCTCACATTTTGTATAGGAGCTGCCTTCAACAGAGGAAAAATCAGAAATAAATACCGAATTGAAGGAAATTTCGTGACAGATTGCTTGATAGAATGGCTTTGCAGTTTATGTGCTGTTACTCAAGAATATAGAGAAGTTAACCGAAGAGAGGGAAAATCTTAAATTAATAGGAAAATTTTATTCAGAATTGTTTATTTTCCTATCTTAATATAAATTTTAGCTTTATTAATGATTTATTCTATTTTTAATGAAATGTACTTATCTTAACTACCTTAGTCCATACTTTTCAAATCAGAAGCAACGAGGAAAGAGCAGCTAGTATTGGCCACCACAGCTTCAACAGTAACGCCTCTTGCAATTTCTGTAAGTGTCATTCCTCCTTCCCTCTTAAACTCAAAAACCCCCAGATCTGTAATAAGAGTATCCACAACTCCTCTTCCCGAAATAGGATAATTCCTGCACTCTTCTACAATCTTGGGCTTCCCTTTTCTTGTGTGAGGGGTTAAACAGACAATTCTTGATTTTCTGCTAGAAACTAAGTCCATAGTGACTCCTATGCCTTTGCCTTCACCATGGACACCCCAATTCGCAAGGTCTCCATTTTTGGAGACCTCAAAAGCTCCAACCATAATTAAACCATATAAATTAAGCCTAGTAAAAAAATTTTATTAATTATTAATAGAGAAATATTAATAGAAATAGGATAAATCCATATGGCCACCTCTTAGAATATTCAATGAATCAAACGATGAAACAATTGAAGCTCCAGCTGCCAAACGGATCGTTGCTCTGCCAGTGTTAATCAAGTCTGGGTCTGTTTTGCCCTCTTCAGCATATCCAGCAACACCTACAACCCCTGGGGTTGAATGAATCCTTATTTTGCTTTTGTCTGGGACTGACCGAAAAACGAGCTGTGGTAATCCTAATGCGAAATGTATATACATGCCTTCTTTGATTTCTTTTAAAGCTCTGTTAATGATTTTCAGCTTATCTGGGTTATCAATTCTTGATAATTTTTCTTCTTCTACTAAGTGCTCTATAGGTTTTTCATATTTTTCGCCTTTTATAAGTCTTTTTACAAATACTGATGGAGTCACTATAAAATCTGGGTCGAGTTCTCCTTCTTCGACAATCTCCTCGACCTCTGCAATTGTCACCTTAGCACACATAGCCATCTCAGGATTAAAATTTCTTGCAGTCCTTCTATAAACCAAATTCCCCTGCTTATCTGCTTTCCAAGCCTTTACAAAGGAATATTGCGTTCTTACAGACTCCTCAAACAAATGTTCAGCCCCACAGAAAATTCTTTTTTCTCTTGGGCTTGAAAAAATTTCCACTCGTTTCCCACCAGGGAAATATTTGATAGGAAATCCACCATCTTCAAAATCAGTCCCGACTCCAGTTTTTGTGTAAAAGCCAGGGATTCCAGCCCCGCCTGCCCTTATTTTGTCAGCTAAAGTGCCTTCTGGGATCACATTAAGCTCAATATGTCCATCAAGCCATTCCTTATAGACTAATGAAGAATTCGAAAGATAAGTGGTCGTTAAGCGTTTTATTTGTTGCGCCTTTATTAATGGATCAAGGCCGTGATTTGGGTATCCAGAGCTCATTGAATATACATGAAGATTATATGAGTTTAATTCATACAGAGCCCTCAATAAATTCTCAGGAACTCCACAGGTCCCATATACCTGTTTTAAAAGAATAGCCCACTAAGGAGCATTTTTTGGTTCGCCACTCTTAAATTTGGTTAGCCAGAAATATGGTATGTCAACGAATTTGGAAAGCCAGCAATCATCCGGCCAACCAAAAAATGCTCCTTGGTGGCTATTCTTAGTAAATAAGTATATCCACCTACTGCTATGGTTGATCCAGGCCTTATATCTTCAATAGCATCTTGTACAGACTCAAATATCCTGCACCCAAAGGAGCGCTTCAAAGTTTTGGTGAGTCGAAACATTAGCATATTATTAACAACTTACAGCCACGATTTATGATATAATACTAAATTGATTTTTTATGAATCTTATTATATAAAAATTACCTCTAAAAATTACTTTTTATTAATTCTTAGATTTTTTCAATGATTTAAATAAGAAATTAATCCATCTTCTTTAAATCTGAGGCGACAAGGAATGAAGTGCCTGTATTTGCTTGGACAGAGTCTACAGAGACACCTCTAGCGATTTCGGTCAAGGTCATCCCTCCTTCTCTTTTGAATTCAAAGACTCCTAATTCTGTAATCAGGGTGTCAACAACCCCTCTTCCAGTCAAGCCATCCAAGTTGCACTCTTCTACAATCTTAGGTTTCCCGTTCCTTGTATGAATCATAGTGCAGACAAGCTTGGACTTTCTGCTTGAAACAAGGTCCATGGCTGCTCCGATGCCTTTTTCATGTTCGCCTTCAACGTTCCAGCTTGCGATGTCACCATTTCGTGATATTTCGTAAGCGCCCATCATAATTAAATCTAAATGTCCGCCCCTCATTATATTCATTGAGTCGCATGACGATACAATTGCAGAGCCTGGCATAAGCTTAATATGCTCTCTTAGAGCGTTGATCAAATCTGGGTCTTCTTGTCCTTTTTCTGCAGGTCCTCCAACACCTAATGCACCAGGGATTGTAAGGATTTTTACTTTCGATTTGTCTGGGATCAATTTAGAGACAATGCTAATAGGGATTCCGAATCCAAGGTGGAGATACATCCCCTCTTTAATTTCTTTTAAGGCTCTTTTCGCGATTTTCAGCCTGTCTGGGTCAACTCTATCATCAGTGCCTTCATCTTCTTCTACAACTTCAGTGGGTTTTTCATATTTTTCACCTTTGATAAGTCTATTGACAAAAATCGAAGGGGTAATTATATGATCTGGGTCAAGCTCTCCTACCTCCACAATTTCTTCAACTTCCACTATTGAGACCTTTGCACAAGTCGCCATTTCTGGGTTGAAATTTCTGGCTGTTTTATTAAAAATCAAGTTTCCTTGTTTATCAGCTTTATAGGCCTTAATGAGCGAAAATTGAGTCCTGATAGATTCCTCAAATAAATTTTCGACGCCTTCAAAACTTCTTTTTTCCTTTGGGCCTGATAGGATTTCTACTCTTCGGCCACCAGTCATGTATTTTATTGGGAATCCTCCTTCTTCGAATTTAGTTCCTACCCCTGTTTGGGTGTAAAACCCTGGGATACCTGCACCTCCAGCTCTAATTTTGTCAGCTAAGGTGCCGCCAGGGATGATGTCGAGCTCAATGTTTCCATTTTTCCATTCTTTGTAAGCCAAAGAGCCTGGCTCAAGGTAAGTTGTAGTTAAGCGTTTTATCTGACGAGCTTGAAGAAGAAGGTCAAGTCCGAAGTCCTTATGCCCAGAACTCATAGAATAGATGCCGAGGTCCCATGAGCCTAAATGATTAAGAGCTCTTAAGAGATTTTCAGGTACTCCGCATGAGCGATATCCTCCAACAGCTATCGTTGACCCTGGAGTTATATCTGCAATAGCATCTTGTGGGTTGTCGAAGATTTTACAATACTGTCGCAATAGTCTACGCCCGCTGAACATTTTCTTTTATTTCAGCCATCTGTATCAGTGAAATTGTTAAAATCAGCCTCAATAAAGGCTGAAGATTTTATGTGAAGGAATTTATAAGAATTATCAGTGTTTTTACTTGGGAAAGGGTTATAGGGGTTTTTATGATTTTTGGGTTCATTAGAAATTGATTGGTATATACTTAAGGGATTTGATGCAGATTTACGTGTAATTAAATTATTGGAGATTACTACGCAGTTGTGGGATAATTTTTAGCTGGATTTTTGAAAACAAGAAGTTTGACTTATAGGATAATTAAATGGCCATTTATTGGTTTATAGAAGATTGATCAGTAATTAAGATTTTTGGATCTAAAAACTTCTATTAAGTCAAGATTTAGATAAAATAAGCCAAAATTTTTCCTAGTTTAATGTTTTGGCCCAAAAATATTAATTTTGAGTATTATTCATTTCTTATAAAATTCCCAGATTATTATTTCAAAAATTGTGATTTAATGGATTTCCTATTAAATTTTCAATAAAAAAGACTCCCTCATCAAAATTTTCTCTCAACTATTTAAATAATTCAAATTACATTATTATTAGCTATTAATTAATTCCATAATGGCAGCGCAAACTCTTGACGAAAGGATCAATTCTCTTTCAAGCCTAGTCGACGAGCTCTCTCAAGACCAAGAAAAATACGAGCCTTTAGTCACCCTTGTGGACAGTGTGCCGAATCTTCTAAAACTCGACCAAATCTTAAGCTCTTTTAAAAAGAAATCACGCGACCTCAAAGAACAACTTAAAGCTAACAAAGCGCTCATAAAAGCTACCAAGGACAACTTAAATACTTATGAAGACCGAGCAAAACGCGAACTAGAAATGGCTACTATCAAGCGTGACAAAGAAAACAGGATTCTTGGGACCAGGCTTGGAAACGTCGAAAATTCCTTTAAACAGCTGAGCATTGATAACCAAGTTGTGCTGAAAACCTTAGAAATCCAAATAAAAGAAGAAGTCTGTGGGGTTGTGCAGCATGTAGAAGACGAGCTTACTGAGCAGCAAAAAGATTTTAAAGCAAAGCTAGCAACCAATCAAGAAGAAATCAAAAAATATAAGGCAAGGCTACTAGAGACGTCAAAAAAAGCTGCTGAAGAGCTGAAACAGTATGAAGAAGTCCATGGGGCAAGGATACAGAAAATGCAAAAAGAAGGCAAAGGAAATGACCCGAACCAGGCAAAAGGGAGAGAAAATATGAAAAATTGGCTGGTCCAAGAGGTGACCACAAGGCTAGAAAACGCAGTCCAGCAGTGTCATATAAAATATGAGCAGCGCTTTAAAAGCTTGAATTTAAAATACAATGAAGAACTATTAAGCTTGAGGGCTGAAGTAGAACAAGTTAGAGACAGCATTTTAAATAAAGGAGTAAAGCCTGCAGAAAGGCCTGAAACCCAGCTAGAATTTAATAATGAAAATGCTAGGAGACTTATTAACCATGTTGCAGCATTTTCTGCATCGAGTTTGGACAATTTGTTAGAAATTGCTATGACTATTGCGGAAAATATTGAAGAAATTGGAAATTCTCAGTCAGAAGCAGAAGAAATTTTGGCTTTTAAAGAAAATATCAAGGGGCTTAAAGAGAGCTTGGCAAACCTCGAAACAAGAATTGATGCTGACCTTTATAATATCCAAGAAAGCTTAAGAAAAGCAGGAATATCCGCTAAGGAGTTCGCAAAGCCTAATGAAAAAGTTAGAGAAGAAATTGCGAAAACCCAAAGACTTATGAAGGAAGGCGATTTAAATAAAGCAAATATAAAAAATAAAGTCGGAAAAGTAGGTGAAGAAATCTCAGAAATTGAGAAAAGGATGTTCACATTAGCTAGACAAAAAGGATTGAGCATTAGAGAAGAAGAAAGTCCGCCTGCAGCAGTCCAACCTCAGAATAAGCAAAATAAAAATGAAGAGGAAGAAGATAGCGTAGACATGGGAAGCAGTGATGAAGAATCTTCAGTAAAAATAAGCTCAAGCGAAGACATTTCCTCAGAAGAAGACCTAGATTAAGTTAATAATTACTCTATTTAAGAGGCTTTATTTATTTCGGGATCTTTATTTACAATAAAACTACTAAACCATTTGTATAATGCAAATTTACTTTATGATATAGTTCATAGTTTAATTTAACAAATTAATTTACTTCTGAGTTCAATAATAGAAATGTCTATACAAAATGCTTTCTGCAATTATTTTAACAAAATCATTACCAAAATCATTACCAAAATCTTATTTATATAATCTTTATCCTAATAATCCTTTTTAAAGCATTACCCCATTATATTCTATTAACAAAACGGCCAACAATTTTATAGTAAAATAAAATGGAAGAAAATATTACTTCTGAAGCCCAGTTAGAATTTAATAATGAAAACGCTAAGAGACTTATTTATCAAGTAGCAGAATTTTCTGCGTCTAGCTTAGACAATTTATTAGAAATCGCTAAGACTACAGCGGAAAATATTGAAGAAACTGGAAATTCTCAGCAAGAAGCAGGAGAAATATTGGCTTTTAAACAGAAGATCAAAGGGCTGGAAGAGAATTTGGCAGACCTTAAAATGAGAATAAAAGCTGACCTTTATAGCATCCAAGACAGCTTAAAGAAAGCAGAGATATCTGCTAATGAGATTGCTGAACCTAATGAAAAAGCTGATGAAGAAATTGAGAAACTCCAAAAACTTATAATATTAGGCAATATAAACAAAACAAAAATAAAAAATAAAATCTGGCAAGTAGGTGAAGAAATTTCAGGTATTGAGAAAAAGATGTTCACGTTAGCAAGACAAAAAGGATTGAGCATTACAGAAGAAGAAAACATAGATTAATTGAATAATTATTCTCTTTAAATGTTTTTATTTATTTATGGGTTTTAATAAGGTACCTGCAGTAAAAACTAGGTAAAATTATATTAAATAATGAATTATTATAATGTCTTTAAACTTAAAAATCAAATATTCAACTTCCAAAGCTGCCGGAAATTTTAAAGTAAAATAAAATGGAAGAAAATATTATTCCTGAAAGCCAGAATATCATTGCTGCACAAAATGGCCCAAAGATAGAAACCACAAACAACAACGCTTGAAAAGACGAGAAACGCTGTGCAGTCTGCAATAGCAAATTTAATAGAGTAGGAATTCCAATGCAAAAAAATTGCTGCTCGTTTTGCTTTAGGGCTGTATGCTCGAAATGCTCTGAAAATCATATAAAAGATCAGGCAACAAATGAAAAGAAAAAAATATGTGACAGGTGCTTTGACAGCAAAATGGAAAGCGTAGATGCGAACTATTTGACACAAGAAGTACAGACAAAATCTCTTATTTTGGGAAATAATGAAAAACAGCTGCATGAAGGGGCAAAAATGCTAATGCAAGAAAAACATCATAGAGAAGAAGCTGAAAAAAAGGCAGCTGAATGGGAAAGGAAAATAATTGAACAAGAAGAAGATGAAATTTTACTTAGAAAGCAGCTTGAGGAAATAAAATCTAAAATCGCAGAGGTAAAATCTCTAAAAAAGCAAAACAAATCAGAGGTAAATGATTTAAAATCAAAAATAAAAGAAAAAGTTGAAACAAGAGAGCAATTAGAACAAAAAATTACAGAACAAAACGAAGAAATCAGCAACACACAAAAAAATATTGAAGAAACTAAACAAGCTATTAGTAATAAAGAAGAGTCCATAACAAATCTTAAAAAAGAACTGGAAAATAAAGAAGAGTTCGCAAAAGAAGCAGAAAAAATCAAACAAGCCAAAGGCGAAGAAGTAAAAGCCCTTAAAAAACAAAACCAAGAAAAAGCTATAGAAATTCTAAAAGCAAAAGAGATGGTCGATTTTCAAATTTCTGACATAAAAAAACTTAAAGAAAATCTATCAGTTCTTAATAATAATGGAGAAAAGCTAGAAGAATCCTTAAAAGAGCAAAACCACATCGTCAATGAATTAACCGCAACTATTCAAGAGCTTAATTTAAGAGGCAAAAAAGCTCAGGAGTTATTGGAAAAAAGAAAAGCAAAGAAAAAAGAATTAAAATCAAAAATCCAGGAACTGAAAACTTCTGAGGAAATAAAAATTGAAGAAAATAAAAAATCAGAACTTGATGCACAAAAAATAATGGAAGATATAGCGAAAAATAGAAAAGAAATAGAAATAAAGCAAAAAGAAATATTAGAAATTAGAGAAATTATGAGACAAAATGAGCTTGCTAAAAAATCAAGTCAGGAGCCTTTAGAAAATAACCCTTGCAGCAATTGTTCAGTATTTTAATTTTATAATATTTTTATTTTCAAAATTGCTTATTAAATTAATTTATAAATTTCATCATATAAATAAATGTGTGGAATTTTTCTTATACTTTCAAGATTAATTTCTAACCTTCCGCCACACAAGCTACACAAAGCAATTACACTAGAAACTGAAAATGAATTAGCAAGAAGAGGCCCTGATTTTCAAGGAAAACTTGAAAAAGATGATATCAAGCTGTTATCAAGCGTTCTTCACTTACGAGGAAAATCATTAGTAGAGCAGCCACAGTCAAAAGATCATATATGATTTGCATGGAATGGAGAAGTTTTTGGAGCAAATATTTATGGTAGCACAGATTATGATCTTAATGCAAATGATACTATACAAATTTTAGATAAATTGCTTACGAATAACCCATTGCAAGTATTTTCTCAAATAGAAGGCCCATTTGCTTTTATCGTTATAGACTGAATTGAAGAAGCTATATGATTTGGTAGAGACTTCCTAGGAAGAAGAAGCCTTATGATATACCAAGAAAATAATGTATTACAAATAGGCTCTATAGGGTTAGGTGAAGAGGTCCCAACTGGAGGAATTTTTAAAATTTCATTAAGGGAAAGCCGTTGTGAGCATATAGCTTGGCTTTATCCTGGATTAAATTCACCAAGCTCTTTAAGGTTTTCTAATGAAGAAAATTTCGATGAAAAAATTTCAAATGAAACTTTTGAAAGTATTTTATCAAAAAGTGTCCAAAAAAGAGTCATAGGATACGGAGACATCGGAATTTTATTTTCTGGCGGAATTGATTCAACAATTATCGCAGCACTCGCCAATCGTTTTCTTCCTGAAAATTCCCCAATCTATCTTCTAAATGTCGCTTTTACAAGTGAAGCTCCAGACAGAGAAACTGCTTTACAAAGTTACCATGAGCTTCAATCAGCCTGCCCAAGTCGAAATTTTTTACTTATCTGCATCAATGCTTCCCAATCAGATATAGACGCCGCTCGAGACCATATAATCCAACTGTTAGCTACAAATGATACAAGGATGGATTTCAGTATAGGCACAGCTCTTTATTTTGCTAGTAAAGGTGAAGGGATTTTAGAATCCACAGGCGAATTTATTAATTTCCCAGGAAAAATTTTATTAAGTGGCTCAGGGGCTGACGAAATTTTGGGAGGCTACTCACGCTATAGGAGCAATTTTTTGCAATATTTAGAAGAAGGAGTCATTAGAGAAATGAGCTTAGATTTAGATAGAATTTGGCATAGGAATTTAGGAAGAGATGATAGAGTTACTGCTACGCATGGAAGAGAACTGAGATTTCCGTTTCTTGATACTTATTTGTGGAGGTTTCTATCTAAATTGCCGTTGAAAGAAGTGTGTAGATTTGATGTGCCGCATATGGATAAGTGGATATTAAGGGAATTAGCAAAAAATATTGGAATTCCTAATGCTGGGGTTTTGAAAAAAAGAGCTATACAGTTTGGGACGAGGATTGCACAACTTTGTAATATAGCAGAGTGTGGGTCAAATAGAAAAGCAAAAGGATGGATTGGGATCGAAAATGATAGGCAAAGTCAATTGGAAAGTGAAGTTGAATGGGCAAGTTTAAGGCTTATTTTGAAATATTTAGAAAATAGTACTGAAGATTTAGAAAGAAGTATCAAAAAGCTGTTAAGCCCAGATATTAAAAGTAAAGAAAAACGACACATTATGAGAGTATATCTTGGAGATTATATACAAATTATGAAAGAAATTTCAATTGAAAGTACAGTTTTTCAAATTAGAAATTATGATATAGCAAATCTTCCAAATTTTGGTGTTAATTTGGAAAAATATAATTAGTTATAATACTTTTAAGCATTTCACTCTACCTCAATATACATAAATAATCATCTCAATAGCTATTTCTCTTCTTTATAGAATTCTACATTTTTGCCATTATCACTTTATCATTATTATCATTTATAGAATTTCTCCCTATGTTTTAATTTTTAAGGACTCATTTTCTTTTCTTCTTCTCTCGCTTTTAAAGTTTGATATGATTGTTGAAGTACTAAAAGTGCATCATAAGCAGTTGGCCGGTTATTTCCATTAAGTTCCCAACAGTTTCTAATAAGATTTGCTAGCTCTGGATATTCTCCTTCAAACATTTTATCTATAGGTGGCCGGTTACCTTCATAGACAATTTGATAAATCATTTCTTCTTTTCCTATAGAAAATTTTTCCAATTTTGTCTGCCTCTTAGCCTTGATAAAATCGCATGGAGATTTTTTCAAAAATAGCCAATAAAGTGTCATCCCTAAAGACCAAATATCAGATTTCTCTGTATACTGCTCTTTTTGCAATATTTCTGGCGCTGCATAATTTATAGTAAATCCATGAGACCTTTTATTAGTTTCCAGATTTCCTAAAGCTAGCCCAAAATCTCCAAGTTTGCAGCGCTTATTAGCACATACAAAAATATTATCAGGCTTTATGTCTAAATGGCTAATTCCTTTCGAGTGCATAAAAGCTAACCCACATGTGGCATCAATAGCAAATTCTATTCTTTTTTCCATGCCTTCTTCATAGTTTTTAATATATGTTTTTAAGCTTCCTTCACTGCAATGCTCTAATACAAGACCTATCATATTTTGGTGTTCTACAATTCCAAAATATCTTATCACGTTTTCGTGATTAGATGCCATTAGAAATCTCGCTTCATTTATAAAGGCAAGATCTTCATTCCTAACTGTGCTCTTTTTATACAATTTAATAACAACTTTTTCTTCTTCTTCTTCTCCTCTTGGCGAACGATATTGAATAATCGTATTTATTCCTTCTTCATGATAAAGAAAATTATTTGGCTCAATAATATTTCAATAAACTTTCCCGAAACCTCCTTGGCCGATTAGACGCCCGTTGTCCTTGAGATCATCGAACTTAAAAATATCAATCGGGAGTTTTTCATATGAATTGAGGGCATTTTTTGATAGAACTTTTTTAGGATTCTGGGAAATCATAAATTCAGTTAGCCAGTTCTCGACACTAATCTCGTATTCATCCCGAGATATTTGAGGATTTATAATAATCCGCTGATCTAGCAAATTATATGGAATCATTATGCAAAAATCAAAGTTTCGTTGGTAGATTTTACAAACAAGATGATCCTTAGGGAAATACTTAAATTGCACAGATAAATCAAAAATTCTCATAAACCGATTTACAATGAAGTTTATTTCTTTCTCACCGATGAATCCCAACTCGTAAAAGTTTTCCAAGCTTGAAAAAAAGTCCTTTAAGTATTCTGTGTTTGTCACTTCAAAGAAACTTGATAAATCCATATCATTTCTTATAATTTTGTCTATGATTGCTGGAGCAGAGTTATCCTCTACATCCATCACAGTGTCTACTTCTGTTTGGGTGCTCATATCCATATCAGAATCATGACTCATATTTATTATATTTTTAACATTTATAGATTCTCTAAAAATATACAGAAATCTAACCATAATAATAAAAATAATAATTAAGCTATTGATGTCTTACTCATGCATTAAAAGGCTTAATTCGTTGCTTATTCTCTATATAATTTCAGCTTATTGCTTGGAACATTCTGAACAAAGCACAGAATCTGGCTATTACCCTACAATAGGAATACTGTCAACCCCAATTGAGAAAAGAGATGCTCAGTCTAATTCCAAATATTCAATGTTTATCTCAGGCACATATGTAAAACATATAGAATCTGCTGGAATAAGGCCTGTACCTATCTGAAACAATTCAACATATAAAGAAATTGATTTGATTATGTCAAAAATTAATGGTGCTTTATATTTAGGACTTTATTTAATAGGAGGCAAAACACTCCTTGTTGCCAAAAATGATGATGGCTCATTGAAATATAGTAAATACATGAAAAAAGTTATTTATATGATAAAAAAGGCTATTAAGAAAAATGATAATGGGGAATATTTTTCAATTTTTGGGACTTGTTTAGGGCTTGAAGTCCTTTTTATATATGCTGCGAATGAGTATATTTTAGAGAGCTTCAATTCCACCCGATATAGATCAAACTTAATCTTCAGTGAAGATGCTCCTTTTTCAAAAATTTTAAAAAATGCAGATCCAAAAATGCTTAATTTTATGGCCAAAGCTAACATTACATTTGAAAATCATGGAAAAGGCATAAGTCCAGCTACTTATTTAAGTAAATATTATATAGAATATCCAAATCTACAAAAAATGTTTAAACCAATTGCATATTCTAGAGATCGTCAAGGCAATTTAAATATTGTTTTAGCAGAAGGCAACAAATATCCATTTTATGGGCTGATGTTCCACCCGGAAAAACCAGCCTATGAATTTTTCTTTTCTACTATAAGTCATGATTTTCGAGCAATAGAAATTGGGCAATATTTTGCTAGGTTTTTTGCTGAAGAATTAAAAAAAAATCCTAACTCCCCCCCTCTGTGAGCAAACATAAAAATTTTAAATTTTATAGAATTTTTTTTTCGAAAATTTAAAAAAATCATAATTCGCAAAAATTGGAAAGCAAATATTTATTTAATTTGTAAAATTTATGTGTTTTAAAAAACGCAATTTGTTTAAAATTACACAGAATTAGCTCTAGTTTCATTATGCTAATTATCACTTATATATCAATTTTTTCATTTTTCTATTAAAAAATTTTTGTTCGCTCACGGAGGGCGGGTTTTTGGGCAAAAAATAAGGATTTTTCTAATGGTTTTGCTAGCTCACGGAGGGGGGAGTAAAAGATTTATATATGAGGAAGAATATATAGAATATTCATTACAAAAATACGACACAATATATCTACACAATCCATATGAAATCGTGTATTTAGCTTAATAGGAGTCTTCATTATAATAGTTATTATAATTGTGCTTAAAAACTGATATAAAATTTTACAATTATTATTATTATTAAAGCTATGAAAAATTGTATCAGAATTATGATGGCTCTACAATTTTTTAGAAATTGTTTTAGCAATTAAGATTCTACAGTTTTTTAAAAATATCGAAATTTATTTTGAAAACTGTAGAAACATAAACAATATGGTATTTTTATAAAATTACAAAGCATAATTTTCTTATGTAATTATGATAAATTAAAATGGCGATACTTTGTTAACCTGTCCTCTTGGCGCAACAGTCCAGACCTCATGGCTACAGCTAGCTGGGACGGATTCCTAGTCAAGAATCAAGTGCAAGCTCAAGAGATGCGCATCCGAGTAGGTTTTGGCTGCCTTTCCTGTGGTTGGAAATGGAGGTTCCGAAATGTCCTTTTGCATCCCAGTACCCATTTGCATTCCTCTATCAAGAAGCTGGATTTTCGGCCCAGTCACAGAAGATAGTCTTTTCCTGTATCTCTTGAAGGAAGGTACTTTGACATCCGACAGACTCCAAGGAGCTGATCCTTGAATTGTAGTTACTCCAATCACTCATAGCATGACCGCAAAAATCCATAAGCTGCCCACTCAAGACTGAAGACACAACACGTTTTCGGGGGATAGATTGGTTGAGCCTCCCGTAAGGGAGGTATTTGGCTGCTGCGTCACCAATATGGTTAATTTCTGACTTTAATTAGCTTAACTTCTAATGCCAATTATTATTTAAAAATCAATAATGAAGAATTGGCAATCAGACTTGTGCAATTTATTAGTTTATTATATCTGAAATTAATATTAATAATTCGCTAATTTATTCAAAAAATTGTATAATTATAATATAAAATTATAAATTAATAAAAATTAATTATATTTATGCTAGTTTAGCGTACTTGTATGCATTCTCTTATTAGGACTTAATGAAAGTCTTATAGGTGTTGCGGTCAAAGATCTATTCTGCATTCGAAAAGTAAGATTCCCTCTATTTCTCACCGCAGCTGTAGAATTCCTTTCTTTATTATTTGCCTCAATACTCTGTGCATTCGCTATTTCTCTTCTAAGATTATCATACTTCTTTATAATTATGCTCATTTCTCTAGATTTTTGCTTATTCAGCTCATCTAATCCAGTTTTCAATCTTTTCTTCAAATTTTCCGCTTCTCTTTCTGCCTTTGCTTCGAAATTCCCCATATGCTGGTCAATCTTATTTTTCCTGGCTTCCAAATATCGATCATGTTCATATACTTTTTCTTCTTCAATCTGTCTCAATAAACTGTCAGCTTCAATATACTTCTGAGCGAGCACAGCTTTTTCTTTGCATTTAATTAAATTAAGCAGCTGTGTGCTAGGCTTATAATTTTTTGGTATGCATTTTTCAAGCCTCTCCCTTTCAGCCCTGCACTGTTCTCTATGCTTTTGCATCATTTTGGTTTCCTGCTCATTGCATTTCTCAATATACTCTTTTATAAGAGAATTTCAATGCAAATTAAACTCGGCCAGCTCTCTTTGGTAGGAATTTTCTACCATATCTTTTTCTTCGCCTTGTCTTGATTTTAATTCCAAAACCTGTTCTTTTTTGTATTTTTGTTTTAATTCAGCAATTTTTTGTATTATCATTTCAGCTTCTATGTAGCGTTCTTGGGCTTCAAAAGCTTTTTGTTCTTCTCTGAGACAGTTGATTTTTATAGCAATTTCACTGTCAGTAGTTGTTAATAAAGATTGAGAGGTTGAATGAGTCATATTTATTAAGATAATTCAATGAAGATTTTGTTTATTCTCAACATCATTTTGGTATAAACTAGAAATGGAAGACTTAGTCACTGAAAACCTAAAAAGGACTTATTGCCTATTTGCAGCTAACCAAGGTGCTAGAGTCAAAAGGCCTCGTGATATAGATATTCTTGTAAATGACACAAAATCCCGCTCCTTTTATAAAGGAATTCCTGATGTAGTAGAAGAAGTGATTAAAAAGAGAAAAATTGAAGAAAAAAAGCTTGAAAACCCCAGCTATAACCCGAATACAGATATTGACTCGTTAAAAGCATTGCTTAGCAGACGAGAAGAAGAATCAAAATCCTCGCAATTGGCGATTTTCCAAGACAAACATTTAAATCTTAGGCTGAAAACAATAGAGCCTGTATGGCATCCTCAATGGAAACTTATGAGGGTTATAAGTGGTCACCAAGGCTGGGTGCGCTGCATAACAGTTGACCCTACGAATAGCTGGTTTGCAACTGGTAGCAATGACCGTATGATAAAAATTTGGGATTTGGCGAGTGGACAATTAAAGCTTTCCCTTGTAGGGCATATTAATGCAGTTGAATATTTAAAAATTAAATTAAAGGTTATGCTGGCCATAAGTGGGAAACCACTAGAATCACCTGTCCAAGGTATCAGCAGAGCCATCGTCTGTAGAGTGCCCCGATAATCTCGATGCGAGAAGATTATGTGGTAGGCAAAACCTGTCTAACCCATCTGGCATGGCAGGAAAAAATTTGGGGAGAAACAAAACTTCCGCGCTCGGGCAAGACATCCTTAGCCTGGAGGCCTACTTCAAAAAGGACAGAGGCTCTGTTTTTAGCTTCATCAAGGCGGTTAATACCTGTTCCATAAGAATGCACCTTGGAGTCCAATTTTTGTCAACATCACCATTTTATTTCTTAATGTAGTTAGGGATTTAGTGGCAAGTGACAGACATTCATATTTGTTTTCATGCAGTGAAGATAAGACCATAAATTGCTGGGACTTGGAGTATAATAAAATTATTAGGCATTACCATGGGCATTTGAATGGGGTGTATTCGTTGTCTATACATCCAACGCTAGATTTGCTGTTTAGTACAAGTAGAGATTGTACGTGTAGAGTATGGGATATTAGGATGCTGAAAAAATAAAAATAATTAATTATTTAATGACTTTTATATTAATTTTAAATAAAAAATATTAGGACAAAAGCTCAAGTTATGGTACTTGAAGGACACACAGGAACTGTTTGGGATGTGGCTTCCCAAGCTCCTGAGCCACAAATAATTACAGGTTCTGCAGATACCTTTATAAAACTATGAGATTTATCAACAGGAAGATGCATGAACACTCTAACAAGGCATAAAAAAGCTATTAGAGCTGTAAAATTCCATCATGAAGATTATGCTTTTATATCAGCTGCAGCTGATAACTTAAAACTTTGAAAATGCCCAGAAGGTGAATTTTTAAGAAATTTTCCAGGAAATGGGTCAATAATCAACGATATTGCTATAAATGAAGACAATGTTCTAGTAACAGGAGGAGATGACGGAGTCTTATCTTTTTGGGACTATTCCTCAGGTTATAATTTTCAAAATATCCAAACACAAGTCCAGCCAGGCTCACTAAGCTGTGAAGCTGGTATTTTTGCTACATGTTTCGATAGGTCTGGCCTTAGACTTATTACAGCTGAATGTGACAAAACTATCAAGATTTATAAAGAAGACGAAAATTCTTCAATTTCTTCCCACCCTATCCCTCCAGAAGCCAAAGTGTTTATTAAACCTAAATATTAATTTCTTATTTTCTTCCTCTTCTGTTACTCATCGGCACATTTCTTCTCTGATTTCTCCTATCAGCCATCTCCACACTCAATATATGATGCCCAAGCGGATAATCCTTAAACTGTTTTATAGCTTTTTCAGCCTCCGCTTTGGTATCAAAATGGACAAACGCAAAATCTCTTGGCAAGTTATCATCCCTTCCCCTCGGAATAAACACTTTTCTTACCCTTCCAGCAGTCCCGAACAAGTTTTGCAGTACATCTTGGTCAATATTATCAGGCAAGTTTGACACTTTGACGCTAAATTCTTCTCTTTCAGTGACAATTGGTCTCCTTGTTTTTTGTTCTTCAGTTTCCCCTGACATGATGGCTCTTTCTCTCCTTGTCAGAGCGTCAAGTTTTTCTTTATGGGCTCTATTAAGATTGAACTTGGTAATATTTTCTTCAGCTCTGACTTGTGATGATTTTTGTAGGAAAACTTCTTTGTCTTCGATATTTATGGAACCTTCAATGTCTCCTTTAGATAGATTTTTACAGTCACCGAATTTTGGTAAAGTTTTACGTCTCTCGATGTCTGGGTTGGTAATCACAGTTTTGTTCTGGATTTTTATGTGGGTGGTGATTTTGTAGGTGCCGTCTGCTGTCGCTTCTATGTGCTCTCTTTCGATGTAATCTGCGTCAGCCATTTATTAAATGATCACAAAGCTCTATATGGACTTCTTATCCCAGCCAAGTCGGGCTGTATTGACTGTATTTTTGTTAGGAAAAATCCCTGTAGAAATTGTAGAAACCCGCGCACACAGGGATACCAGAAAAGAAGAATTTTTAAAAATATTTGAGGCAGGGACTGTCCCTGCTATACAAGATGATAATATTTCTCTATATGAAAGTCATGCAATTATGGAATATTTGATAGACAAATATAGGCCAAATGATAAACTTTTCCCTCAAAATTTGATAATTCGAGCGAAAATTAATTCGTATTTACATTGGCATCATAATAATGTAAGAAGAGGGATTCATGGCTTTCTTGAATATAGCAGATTTATGCCAAGAGTGATGGGATATCAGCCTTCAGAAGATGTGGTAAATTTTTTAAGGGAAATTAAAGTAAAAACTTTGGAGTTTTTAGATAATATTTTAGGGATTATTGGGCTATAGAGGTTAAGAGCTAATTACTTGGTTTTTATAGAAATGCTACTATATAATTTTAGATTATTTTAAATAAAAAAGTATATAAAAGCTTGAAAAAAATGAATTTGTAGCTGGGACAGAAAATATGTCAATTGCTGACATTTCGTGCTTCTGTGAGATTGTTCAATTAAGATTTATTGGAGAAGATTTGTCTATTTATCCACATATAATTCGTTGGAAGAAATCAATATGGGCGCTTCCAGAAATCCAAAACTCCCACCAGACTTTTCTAAAAATCATGAAAAATATATCTCAAAATTCTGAAATTTTAAGGTAAAGCAGTTTCTTATTAAATTTAGCTTAAAGTTTAATATATCCATTGAAAATTTCATTTCTTCTGCCTGCTCTTAATTGTCTGAATGCAATAATAGCAATTGCTATAACCCCAACTCCTATGCCTATTTCACTAGTCATGCTTTCTTGATCTGTATGAATAGTTTTTATCCCACAAAATTTTTCAAGGCATTGAGGGATGCATGTTTTTAGGTCTTTTCCAAGGCATAATTCATTACATAAATTTCGACAGTCAGGGTCTACTCCAGCTTGGTCAACATTAAATATTGAAACTGCAGGTGGATTAGAATACGCCGAAAGGGTAGATTCCGATGGTGAAGACTCTCCAGCAGTTTTATTATTGCTTGTTTCTTCAGGTGGAACAGGAATTAAATAAGATTTGCAGCCACAAAAATTAAAACAATCAAAGAGCTTCTTTTCTTTATTGCAGTCTTCTAAACAATAAAGACTGCATCCCATCTTTTCTTCGAATCATTTTACATCCTCATCTGTCACATTACGAAAGTTAATCTTGTTATCTTTAAAATCCACAGAAAACGCCTCAGTCATATCTGATTTTTCAAGACATTCACATTTAAGGTCGCACGAAGGCTTGTCTATGCAATTTGGATGGCAAGATATTCTGCAGCTGATGGCCAGAGAGAAGAAGCTTCAGAATAAGAAGACCACCATTGGATTATATTTTCTGGTAATAAACGACTAGATATTAGAAGATCTAAAATCGATTAAAATTTGTTGCACAAATTTTAAGGGAGATTAAAGCGAGAAGAGATTGTAACTGAATTAGTTTTGGGCGATATGTAAAGAAAAAGAAGTAAAGTGAATCATTTTTAAAGAATGAGAGGTGAGGAATTTATAGAAAGTAGAGAGAAAATTCAGGGGTTACTTTGCAATGATTTATTGATTTTTTAATAAAGGTAGAATTTTGTTTAATAATAAAGAAAAATATATATGTTGACTTGTAAAAAAGAAAATATTTTTGCAATAAGCTTGAGTAGAAAACTGATAGGAACCTTAATTTGAGGATTTTAGGATAAGATTAGCTATTTATTTAATCACATGGCTCGAATAAATTTAATATTAGTATCCGTTTTAGACCATCTATTATAAAATCACTCTCTATTATCAAGCCTAGAGCGTTTAAAATAAAATATATCCACTCTATTTAATTTCAGCAGATATTTTAACTTTACCCGAATTAATTGCTGCTCTTTTAATATCTATTTCTACTTTCATAAGAAAAAATTTATTATACAAAATTATTGGATTTGTATTTGGTAGACTTGCCTCCCTTTAAACTTCTCCCATAGTCTAGCGCACTCTACTCCGCAATCATTTTCTCTTCCTCTACAGTTTTCTCTTTTCGTCAATGTAAGTACATCGTCATCGATCATTAGCTCTAAATTCCCATTTCCGCTAGCATTAATAGGCCAAAAAATCCTTATTATAAATACAATTTCAAAAAAAAAAAATTTTTTTTATAATTTTAATGCAGCCTATTAATAAACATATCATATTTTTCGGAATACCTGAACATTTTTCTTTCCTCTCTTTCTCTAAACATCCTCAATTGGCACATAAATCCTAAATTCGGATCAGCTAATGGGTGCAAGTTTTTAATTCTCCTAAAAGCTTCTGATTCTCCTATCCCTTCTGCGTGCATCAAGAAAGCACAAGCAATAGTAGGTGCTCTTGATATTCCTCTCAAGCAATGCACTAAAACCTTCCCTCCATGCTCAATTGCAGAAGAAATAAATTCAATTGCAAAATATATGAAGAAAAGTATGTCGATTTTCGGGTTGTCAGGGATTTTCAAATTTTTGTAAGTAAATCGCCCAGGGAAGCGATTTGGGCACTTTTCTTCTCCCACAAGGTTTAAAATGTGAGTTATTCCTTCTGAGACAAGACTTTGGGAATTTGTTGCTGAGTTGTACCCTGATATGTAAAAATTCGGGGAAATTTGGATTATTGTACTAGTAGTTGGAGCTTCTGGGACTTCAGAGACTTGTAGAGTAGGCATTTTTAAAGTAGGAGGTGGCCCTCGTTTGCGTTTTGGGAGGATATGCATAACCTCAGATTGAACTGCACCAGACATAATTATTACCATTTTTTTGTTACTGAGTTGTTTATCTCAACATACACGTGTGAAATTGAAGAGGAAAAAATAAAGAGAGAACTCAGGGATTTTTACATAAATAACTGACAATAGAAAAGAATTTTAGCTCCTCTATTTAATAGTGAAAACCATTAGAAAATATTTTTTTTTGGAAAATTGATCTCTTTAGATGCAAATTAAATATTTATTGTAAAATATGTTTTTGTATAAATAATTAAGATTTGTTGCATGAGATCTTTAGATAATTCTATTTAATTTTAGAGAATGATAAATGACATTAATTTTTCTGTTCGGGTATTTGCAATTTGGATTTTTTAAAATCCGAAAAAATATTAATATAAGCACTTTGCCAAAAAAGAGCACAGGGAGTATATTTATTTTTGTTTAGGATAAAGCAAGCGCTTTTAAATGAGGAAGTAAGAATTTTAAAGGAAATTGAGAAATAGGTGAGGCAGATAGATGAATAATCAAAAAATGGCGTCATTCGAATTTTCTGGTCTCCCGACCGAAATTTCTCTTCCTTAAATTTTTTGATTTATAAGGTTTGGCTTTCCCCAGCTAATTTATCCCGGCTATGATAGGGCTTTAAGAACCTGTGGTGCGCGACGCAGGACTCCTGACCCTCAGGGAATACGAATTTTCTAGAATGATGCCACCAACCCCAGGTGGTGGAGACTGGGACCTTTAAGGTGCCTGAGGAACCCAAGTCGGTTTACCCGAGAGCCGAAAGGACGGCCGTCAAAATCCGAACGCCCAAACACAGATGGGACCATTCAGCCTTGAAGCAAGGTTGAAGCACGACATTTAGGTGGAGCGGGGAAGCCCGTGCGGGTGATGTGGTATTGGACGTTAAGCGTGTATAAATAATTAAATAAGTAAGAGGCAGATAGATGAAAGGTTTAATTAAGCCTAAAAATTGAATAAATAAAGAATCTGATTAATTTTTGCAATAAAAAACGCTTACTTCCCCTTGATTAGTGAGCAAAGCTATTAGAAAAATAGGTCGAATGGAATTAAAAAAAAAAAAATTTTATAAATTAAATTAGATATTTATTTCAAATATTTATAAATTTAATATTTTTAAAACGAAGAATATATCTTTCATAACGCAATTTATAATAAAATAAATGCTTGATCGCTATCAAAGGGGGAAGTAGCAGTTTAAATTTATGAAAATATGGAATTGCTGGGAAAATATGAAAAAATCGTCATTTTTCTCCATGGAAGAGAATTTTATTGAGACTCCATGATGACTGCTGTTGCTCACTTGCAGGAAACTTGATGGAAGATCCAGTTCTGGCTCCAGATGGCCAGATTTATGAGCTGACTACAATTATTGCTTAATTTAAAAACCAAAAATCTATACCTTTATCAGGTTTGACTTTGAAAAGCACATCTACTACTCTCTTGCAGCTAGGATTAAAAGCTTTAAAGAAATTATCTTAAAGCTTCAGCAAGAAAATATACTAAAGCAGATTTATTGGAGCCATTATTATTAGAAAGCGCTCCTTAAAGATTATTCGCAAAAGGAAATTTACAAATATCACAAATTTATAAAGAAAGCAGAATGGCAAGTAAATTAGAAGCAATGGCTAATGCTTATCAATGAAGTATTAGAAATTTCCAAGGATGGGATTAATTCTTATCTGATGCTAAAAATTCTAATCTGGGCCAATTTAAGAACTTGAAGAGTTAAAAAGTGAAAACATGACCAAGAATCTGAGAAAAATTATAGAAAAACCTGTTCTTCCTATAAGGATAGAGTTTTTTTCTAGCTTAAAATCTCGTTAAATCTTATCAGGCATCCATGCAAATTACCAAACCCCAACTCTTTACCATTTTAAAGAAATCAGCAGGAAGACTTATATATGTATTCTCAACAAAAAAATAAACGAGAAAAATTAATACACCTGAATACTCATAAAGACTCAAATTATGTCACATGCATTGTCTAACTTTAAAATGATGAATTATTTTGCAACAAAAATCAGTAGCTACATTAATAATGATAAAAATTATATAGATCGAGCGATGCCCTTATTTTGTGCTCTTAGTTATCTATTTCAACAGATCTGTTTATTGTTTTGGAGGAATAAATAATATCATGAAAGCGTTAATTTTATCTTGGAGATTTGACTTGGATAAAAAACCGATGAGCTAGCTTAGTTCTTTGCTAAGAGGTGATCAGTGTTGCTATAGTGTAATATTTAATAGGAATATTTTGATTTATTTTGCATGTTCTGCTGAGCATAATCTTTTTCTGCAATTCCTTATGAGTTATAGAAAAATTCTGGTAAATGCGGAGAGATTTATTGATGAGTGTGAAGAATAAACTGCAAAAGCGAGGATGAATATGCCTGGAAATGTGTGGGGAAATCAAACATCATTAATATAAATTTTTTCAAGTAAATTGCTTATACAGTAATGAAGGAATCTATATTAGCTTTATTCATTATATCTCCTCATCAATAAATCCTGCTATTATATTTTTTTCCACTAAAAAGCTTACTGAAATAAAAAAAGACTAATATTAAAAACTAATTAAAATTATTTTGTAAATAGTTAAAGAAAGTTTTGCAAGAGTCTATAGAAGCTCTCAGCAGCTCAGCCAGCCTTTCTTGATCTATACCCCCAGTTTCCTGCAGCATCACAATTTCATCTGTATTAACTAAATACCCCACAATTACTTGTGGGCTTCCTTCTTGATTAATTACTATTTTTTCTCCATTTCTTGCAGCAGAGCAGGCAATTAGCGTATCTCTCATCTCAATCCCAGCGTCTAAAAGTGATAAAGTCGCTGCATTGATCATCAATGGCAAAGCAGTGCTTTCTTTTCCTTCAATTATCTGGATTTTTATTTCTATTACTGCTTTAGGGTATCTGTCAACAAGTATGGTAGATCCAAAGGCAGATTTAATAAATTGGGAATGGGCAGACTCAATCTGTAATGTAGCTTGGGAATGACGGACGTATTCTTCACTGCTTGATAACTCATAATATTCTTTAGGCCCATTTACAGTAGCAAGAATTTTGTGACTTTGGGACTCTAGATATGCAGAGCCTGACGCTGTTTTGTCAAAGCTTTTGGAAAAGCTCCATGCTTCTGCTACAAGTTCTTCCATTTATAAATTAGTCAAAATTTCACTTTATTTTTATCAAAAAATTTTGTATTTTTCTTATTTTTATCGATTTTTATTAGAATTTATTTGAAAATTTGATAAAAATTTTCCCTCTATACAAAAAACGGATTATTAAATTATTATGAGCGAAGAAGACCGTCTAATCCAAGCTGAAGATGTCCCTGAACAAAAGCATTATCGGACCAGGCTTGCATTATTATCGTCTCTTCTTGAAGGAATTCTCGTAATTTCTATGCAGGCTATCGTCGGGATCGTAATTTTACTATTATATGATGATGACTGTGAACGGCCAATCCGTCTATGGCTTTACGTCCTATCTGCCGTTTTTCTGTTCCACGTTATTTTTTTAGTTCTCATCGAAGCAGTCGCAAAATCAATCCAAAAACGCTCTGGGGCTGGGTCATTTTATATCGCTTTAAATTCTATGATACACTCTTTTATATTTTTATGGATTTTAGTTGGAATTGTGTGGATTTTTGAAGACTATGACGAGTGTAAGGACGATTTTCCTGAAGGTCATGCCTTTACACTATTTGTTGTCTTTTTATATATAGGAATTTTAGCAGCAATTATTCTTGCATTTTTATTACTTACTTGTGTAGTCTGTTTTGGGTCGTGGCAGATCTCAAAATTTACAAAAGAAAATAAAGAGCAGTAATAATGTTAATCTTTTCTAACTATTTAAGATTTATAATAATAATGAAAAATGTGTGAGGAAAATTGGAAATTTTAATTAAATTTATATAAAAAACAGCAAAATTTTGTAGAAAAATAAGCTATTTTGCTTTAAAAAGGATATTAACTCGGCTTTGAGTTCTTCAATAGCTCTATCAAAGCACTCTGCGATGCCAGTTGAGCTGAATTCTTGGATAGTTGTAGGGTTATGAGCTAAAACTATATCATTTACGATCGGCATCTCGATTTTCAAAGCTTCTTGTTTCCACTTTTCCACAGTTTCCAAAATTTTATCTTTTTTCAATAAGAAGTGCTTTCTTATAATATCTTTGAATTCTGCTGGAGGATTTCTTATCATGTCAGTCATCGCATATTTAATATTCCCATAAGTAACAATTGCCCTATACTGCAAATTATCCATATAGTCACTATCATAGCCTTCATAGCCAGGCTCTTTTTGCAGCACGTCGTTATTCATAACCAAGGCTTGGATTGACAAAAATACTTGTAAAAGGGTGGAATAGGTCGGGTTCCATTTTTCTTCAGGGTCGCCTTCCCAAGTATTTATAATAGACAAGCACACATATCCAGAGTCATATAAATTTGGGTTAAATCTGAGTGTGCCATATCCAGTTGTTTTTATGTTCATTTGTGGAGGATTGCTAGGGTAGTCTTGAGGCAGCTTTAAATCGAATAAAAAGAGACCGTGATCGTATGGAGTATCCTCAGTGCCTGATATAAGGACATTTATCATGCTGAGGTTGCTTTGATTAACTGCTACAAAAATAGAGCCACTAGGCTCACAAGGTAAGCTTCGGGTCAAAGCTTTGATTTCTTTATTAATTCTAGCTAATCCTATATCTCCAATGGACTCTCTATCATACATATAATTTATGAAATTCGCTTCAGACTCTTCTAGAAATTGTAAAATAAAATATATTATTTTTGCCTGCTTTTATATAAGCCATTATTTTATTCAAAAAAATTATAGATTTAAGCCAATCAAAACCCAGCCCAATTATAGAAAAACTATATAATCTTAAATTTCCTAATTCTTGGAAATAAATATGAGTGCTTTCTGGAGCTTCTGGGTCAGATGAAGAAGGTTCTCTAAATAAGACAGGGACTGGCTCAACTTGCATGAACTGTTCAGACACTTGTTCCTCTGCGTAGTTATCTAATATTTTCAAGTCGTCTGATGGTACGTAATCTAATTGCTGCTCTGGGACTAATTCCATTGAAACTTGTTCTTCTTTAGAAATAAAAGCTAATGGAATGATGTCTGCAGGCTGAGTTTCTGGAAGAAGCATTGGTGAGAGGACTGGAGGGTTCTGGTACGCGTCTTGAATGGCTATTTCATTTTCTTGGACTTCTTCGGTATTTGGAGTTTCTATAGCTAATTGCGTATTTTCTTCAATCCACAGATCTAATTGTGTATCAGAAACCCCATATCTATTATCAAACTCCTCTTTGAGCTCTTTTGCAACTCTTGACAAGACCTTATAAAACCCTTCAAAAGCCATCTCTTGGCATAACGTTGGGTTATAGTTAGAAGCCATTGACTCCCCAGACGCATAGTCGATAGTTTCACTTTTTGCTTTTACAAGTCACTCATTGACTTCTTTCAATATCACGTCATGCTTAATCCTAAAATAATTCTCTATCAGTTTTTCAAATCCTTTGGTCGGATTCCTCATATTTTCAATCATAGCATACTTGATATTTATATTCCTCACCAATATTTGCCACAATTTGTGTCTATAAATCAGTCTCCTATTATTATTTTCCTATAAATTTCTTATTTGTTATAATAAATTATAAATATTTCACTGCATTCTGATAAATAATGCTGTCCACACAGTTGACGTCGTAGCAATCCCAGCCAGGCTCTTTCTGAAGGATGTGATCGTCCATAACAAGCCCTTGTATTGACAGTAAGACTTGTAAAATATTTTTATTAGGAGTCCACATTTCTTCTGGGTCGCCTGACCATGTATTGATTATTGAAAGACAGACGTAGCCGCTGCTGTACAAGTTAGGACCGAAATAAGCTTGGCCGCTTCCAGTGGTTTTTAAGGTAAACAAAGGTGGAGAAGAAGGGTAATCGTTACCTATGGAAATATCAAAAAAATAAAGACCATGAGCGTAAGGCGTCCCTGATGATCCAGCAATAATCCCTTCCATACAGCGGAAATCGTTAGAATCAATAGCCACGAAGATGGAAGAAGCGATTTCGCATGGGAGACCTCTGGTTAGAACTTTGATTTCTTTATTTAAACGAGTTGCTAAGCCATCGACGATTCCTTGGCTTTGTTCGGTAAATGATGTCACAGCTTTCAGGTTGTCTAAGAAAAAGAGTCGGTCTTTAAAATTTTCTTTGAATACACTTTCTAATGAGGGAGTGTCTTGTTGGGAAGAAGAAGCTTCAACAGGGGCAGATTCAGCTTCTATAGGTTCTGGGTTTTGTGATCCGATTACTTCAGCATCCATTTTATTAAAATGATTATTGCTAATTAAAGGACATAAAACACATAATAAAAACCTAAAAATTTAAAAAATAAATAAAAATTCTTCTGAAAAATCACTATAGCTTGAGCCAAAAAAGGGACCTGCAGTTACGTGAAAATAAATATGAAATAGAAAAGAACAGAAATCAAAATTAATATGGTAACGGATTTCACTAACACCCCCTGCAATAATTGAGGTTTTAGCAGAAATTTTTCAAATAGTAAATTTTATAGGAATTTGCTGATATTGGGTAAATGCCAAAAATTCATTTTTCATCTGGAAGCCTTTAATAATAAGCGGTCTATTCATATAAAATTTGCTATTTAAAAATTTTTTATACTAAAATCCTCAAGAATTTGCGTATTACTGTGGTGAGGAGCAAAGATAAATAAACAATAAGAAGATTTAATAGCAACTTGTGAGGGAAATCTGTAGTTATGTTTAGAAAAGAGACTTTTCTGACTTTTTATGAAGAGTTGTATTCTTCCTTGGCTCGCCGAATAATGAATTTGATGGCTGAGTCTTGATATCATTTTTGACATCATTTTTCGGTGGTGAAATATCTTGTTTTCTAGGTTCCTCAGCTTTTGGAATTTCTGGCTCTTTTACTTCATCTACTATCTTTCTCGCCGCATCAGCCACTTCTTTTTCTTTCTTTTCTTTATCCTTCTTTGCCTTTGCCGCATTTCTTTCTTCTTCTTCCTTCGCAATTTCATCAGCCAGCGAATCAGCCTGTGCTGCAAGTGCTGGGTCATGCTTCAAAATTTTTTCTGCTTTTCTCAACGTTTCCAGCTGATTTTTCAGCATATCTCTTTCTGCGGTAATATGTTTCGGCTCGCTCAGTTTATTCACAATAGATTCACTCATATTAATTCTCTCAAAAAGCTCCAGCTGTATTTTATCCATAATTGACCTTACAAGAAAAGTCCCTATTGCTTTAGGCACACTTTCTCTTACACCCCTAATGATCAGTCTAAAATAATTGTCGATTCTGTTCTTTATTTCGTCAACGTACATACTTTCTGAAGATTTTGGCTTACCGTCGCTTTTTGGGATGATGTCAGTTCTGCAGGTCAAATAGTCAGAATCGTTGGTAAATGTGTAGGTTTCTTCAGATTCGATGATTTTTTCGACGAAATTTTTACAGAGATCTCTTTCCTTGGCGAGGACGTGAGTGGAAAGCTCAGTGATTTCGCCGACCAGGGTGGGGAAACGGTGGAAAATTCGCTCAATTAGCTTGTGGGCCAGGTTTTCAAGGTAGGAGTGGACGTTGGCAAGACAGTCGAGAACGGGGTCTCTTATAAGCTCGACTAGAGGTTGTAATAAATATAAAGGATTGATAAATCGGGTATTTAGAAATAAAAACTTTTGGCTTGATTTTTTTTAAAATATGAAAATATTATAAACAGGCTGAAGCCGATTTTAGATAGAAAAGTCTATAAAAATACATCAACTGATGGAAAACCTGGAATAGTGTCACCAGCATGAGTTATCATAGCTTGCTGTATAGCATCATCTGTATAGGATGCTGTCGCCTTATAATTCGGCACTGCGTATTCTGATAGTAAACTATTAAAATACCCTTTTATTGTAGCACCACCAGGCAAATCCTTTGTCAGCCTCGATGACAATTTCCTATCAAATTTCCCTCGAATAGTATTTTTATAGATTTCACAGAACTCGTGAACCATGTTCCAAAGGAGCTGGATTTTTTGTTTAGGCTCCTGTGGGGTGCTTGGGCCAAGCTCTTTAAGCTTATCTTCACACTCTTTGATTTTATAAACAGTTTCTCTCATAATTTCAGGCCTAGTCATAGTCTTAGTTAAATTTATAGAGTAGCTCCCGGCCAGGACCGAAGTCCTTTTCTTCCGTCTTTTGGACGCCTCGCTTGCTTTTGTTGCCCTGCTCCCAGTGTGCACCTAAGTGCCACAGGCTACCACTCAGCTCCTTCCGGTCATTACATTACATTAGAATTTATATCGCTTAACGTCCACTACGGGGTTACAACTCCAGGTTTATCACTCGCCTTTCGTCGCATCGGGCCCACCAGTCTGCTGGAGACAAACTCGCTTCGATCACCAGGGTGCTTCCAGGGCAAATGTCCACGTCTTCGACGGCAGCTCCTTCCGGTCATGGGGCTTGGTCATGCTATCCCGGAAGTAGGCGGACTGGGTCACCGTGCTTCACGTCGCCAGACTAGGGTTAGAGCTAAGGATTAACTCCTTAGCTCTTGTCGGCTCCTGCCATGCCCTCCAAATTGGCACTAGCGGTCCCTAGAGGAAAAACCCTTTTTGCCCCGTGTCCTATCGGGACGACCCTAGGATCGCCGTTGCTGGACTTGGAGGGAAACCTAGCCGGACACAAACTACCAGCACCCATTCCAGACTTTTCCCTGGGCGGATTGGCTTCAGGCCGCAGCAAGGTCCCCAATCTCGCCTCAGTTCCGGGAGAGGACGGGTCGGTGTCGTCGCCATTTTATTTGTGTCTCATAATTTCAGGCAAGAATCCTTTTATGTGTGTAAACATAACTTTCGTCAATTTTTGGGTCAGTGTGTCAACACCAAGATACCCTGCCGGCATTGTGGAATAAACAGGGTGACTTGAAAAATACTGTTTTTCTTCTTCTAACCCGTAAGTGACCAAACCATGGGAAAATCAGAAATTTTTTTATGAAAAAATATTTGGATATATAATATGATGAAATCTTGAGCTAATTCTGTTGAGCTTCCATCTTAAAACATAAATTTTACAAATTAAATTTGATTTTTGTGAATTTCTTTAAAATCAAAAAAAAAACAATATTATTAAAATTTATAATAAATTTAAAAAATTAATTTCTTATAGAAAACAAATTTTTTATCTCACAAAGGGGGGATTAAAGCTTTTTCTACCTTGACTTCGTTGTTTATGTCTTCTTGTGACCTGTTTTTAACACCAACGTAGCCTAATCTAAGTGGGATTTCTTCGCCTAAAAGAATTCTTTTAGCGTTTGTGCCTCTGTCCATAATATCAAGCTTTGTGATTACACCAATCGTCCTAAGGCCTGATTTGTCTACCTTTTTCGCCATCAGCAGAGATTCAGATGTGCTTAAATCAATATTTGCTGGGCACAAACACAATATAATAGTCCTAGGGTCGGAAATGTACCGAAAGCACATTTCCTTGGTAATTCTTTCAATGTCAGCAGGATGGTCACTCCCAGCGAGAGGAATTCTAGTAATTCCAGGCAAATCAATTAGGGTTAAGTCAGGACAAGTGCTTGAATGTATAGTCAAAACTATTGGATCGTCCACAATTCCTTTATTTCTTCCTGCTTTATCATCTGTTAATTTGGCTGTAAATATAAAACTTTTTTTTAAATTTTTTCTAGAAAACAAATTTATACAAATTGCCCGAGGATAGCGCAAAATAGCGCCATCCTCGGGCAAATTTTTATATTTTATATATATAATATTTTTTATATAAATAATTTTTCATTACAAAAAAAAAAATAATTTTCCATTAATTTGAGAATCATTTCTTTTACTTTTTCAAAATCTTGGAAGTGCTCTTGAACACCTTCGAATTCTGCCCATGGATGAGAATCTTCTGGAGAATGAACTAAACGCAGCTCCAATGGACATCTTGTACAGAGTCCTTCGCTTCGGGGAAGGAAATTGAGACCTACGATGGATTCTAAGACCGAACTTTTCCCACTACTTTGGATTCCTAATGTGACAATTCTAGGCAAACGGATATATTTTTGAAGACCTGCATCACGAAGATTATCTGCGAGAGAAATTATTGAGCGTAAATTTGCATAAAAGCTTCCAGCAAAATCTTCGTCTGACTCCATTTTATTTTGGCAACTATTTAGGAGTGAATATTATGATATTATCATCTTGGAAAATAGGGAAAATTAATTATTGGCTGGGTTTATAATGAAAGCTTGGCTGATATTTAGTAAAATTATAAAAAATTGTGGGTATATAGAAAAAAAATATATTAAATTTATTTTGATTAATAATAATGCCATTAGATTTCAAGGCTAGAAAAAAGCTATAATTTTTTATAAATTATTCTTTGAAATTATCAATAGCAAAAATTATTACTAATAATCTGTCCAAAAAGCAAAAAGATGATTAATATTAATTTTATTAAATTTTCGAAGTGGTGAAATAATTCTCATCTTAATATTAATTAGTTTTAATATCACAACTATCTTATATTCTTAGCTTTAAAACTTTATTAATTTTTCCTAATAAATTATTTTTTTCGATAATAAATGCTTCCTTATTACCATTTCTTAGTCTTTTATAAAGAAACTATATGCTTTCCATTATTTCAATTCGATTTTATTCTCATGACATAAACAGTCCATTAATTAAATAATCTTTTATTTACTTTTTGATCATGAAAAAGTCTGTTTTCTCAGGACTCAAAAATTTTTTCGACGGCCTTATAAATAAAGAAAGCCAAGCAAGCAGCCCAAGTGTTGACGAAGACGACACAAAGCACTCAACGACTGTTACTAACCCAGACTCCATCTATTATGTCACTCGAGAATCAGTTTGCGACTCTTTTTTTGGTTCAGTTAGCGAAGGCTCAGATTCAATGCTTGCACAAAAAATTCCAGTGTCAACGAGTACACCGGCTACCCATATACCGTTTTTCCATATACAAAAATCAAACCGTGCTTTATGGGAAGCTGCTTTGCAGAATAATTACGAACTCTGCAAAGATCTACTAGATCATGAAATTTATGGCGAGTCAGCTGCGGATTCAAATTCCAAGGATCAGCAAGGCATAACGGCTTTGCATATTGCTGCTCATGAAGGCTTTATTAATGTATGTGAGGTGCTTTTAGATTATGGCAGTAATACAGATCTTAACGTCTTGAATGTTATAAAGCGAACACCCTTGCACCTTGCTTGTATAAGTGGGCACACAGAAGTAGCGCAATTACTTGTACGGTCTGGAGCTGATATAAATTTAGTTGATATCGATGGAAACACCGCTTTACACTTGGCAACTGAAAAAGGACACAGGCAGTTGGTATTATGGCTTTTAACCCGTGGGCCAAATATTTTTATAAAAAACAATGCAGGAAGGACACCTCCAGATCTTGCGAAATCCATTGAAATTTTGGATATTTTCAAGGATTATTGCAGGAGACTCAACTTGCCTTTACCAATATTAGGAATGATGCCAATGTCTTCTCATGAAAGATATAGATCAGAGCCTCGAAGGGTAACTATCAGCGATTTGACAGCAATTGAAGAAAATAAAGAAAGCGGCAGAGTAACACCTAATGATTTTGAAGTCATCCAAGAGCTCGGAAAAGGCAGTTTCGGAGAAGTATATTTAGTAAGAAAACAAGACAATAAAAATTACTATGCAATGAAAGTGCTCAGAAAAGACAAAGTTATGGGGCAAAACCTCATAAAATACGCCATGACTGAGAGAAATGTGCTGAGCTATGTCCGACATCCATTTATAGTGTCCTTAAATTATGCATTCCAAACCCCTGAAAAATTATTTTTAATACTTGATTATTGTTCTCGAGGAGATTTGGGCACTTATCTAATTCCCACCCTCCGTAAGTGAACAAGACGTTGGAAAAATCACTATTTTTGGGTAAAAACCTATCCTCCGTGAGTGAACACAATTTTTTTAATATATAAAATTTTTTAAGAAAAATTATTTTGATATATAATTAATGTATTATAAATGAAATCTCTAACTAATTCTGTTTAATTTTAAATAGTTTGCATTAAAAATAAATTTTACAAATTAAATTTGCCTTAAAATTGTTTCGAATATATTTTTTTTAAATTTCAAATATAAAAAATTACTATAAAATTTGTATATAAAATTTTTTTGTTCGCTCATGAAGGGGAGGGTAAATAAAGAAAAACGATTCTCAGAGCCACTAGCAAAAATATATGTATGCGAAGTATTACTAGCATTAGAAGAACTGCATAAGCGTGATATTATTTTTAGAGACTTAAAGCCTGATAATATTGTATTAGATGAAGAAGGCCATTCTATGCTTACAGATTTCGGGCTTTCTAAAGAAGGGATTTATGATAATGTGACTGCTAGAAGCTTCTGCGGGTCTGTAGCTTATCTAGCCCCTGAAATGATAAAAAGACAAGGACATGGGAAAGCTGTTGACTGATATCTATTAGGAGTTTTACTATATGAAATGCTTGTAGGGACTCCGCCTTATTTTTCGCCAAATCGTGAAGAATTGTTTAGGAATATACTAAAAGCCCATAAATATTTTTTTATTTTTTTAATAATTATTATAATTAATTATTTAAGCTTTAGGGTATATACAAAGAGGCTTATTGAAAATTCCGACACATTTATCACAAGAAACCAAAGAGTTATTAAAAGATGTAAATAATATTTAGCTTTTGCAAAGAGAGCCTGCTAAAAGACTGGGGACAAGAAAAGATGCAGAAGAAGTAAAAGAGCATCCATATTTTAATGGGGTCAATTGGGATTCAGTGCTAAGAAGAGAGCTAAGACCTTCACTGCCTAAGAAAACTCCGATTGATGACGTTGTGATTCCTAATGAAAAAATATATGGAGATATGAGCCAGTTTGGAGATAGATCCAATCAAGTGACTGGCTGGACTTTTATTTCTAATTAATATGTCAGATTATTTTGGTTGTAAATTCATATGCTATTTAATATAATTTATAGTCATTTAATTAAAACTAGCAATGAATCTAAAGTATTATAATAAGGGATACTTTTCTCATTTTATCTTATAATTGAATTATGAGTAAGAAGGCGAGATATCAATTTCAAGGTCTTGACTCTCAAAAAGTCAAAGATGCTCTTTTACGTTCTGCATCTACTCCTGAAGCCATAAATGCAATAAATTCAAACTTCGACGGTCAACGCTCCCTTGATGAAATTTTACCTCAGATTGAAAATTTTATGAGCATTGCTGATGCTTTAGCAGAAGTTCAGCGCGATTCTCAAGGTGAAGAAGGTCCTAGAAAGCGCCAAAAAAAATCTGAGCCACAGCCAGAAGATCTGGAACTTCTTACTCTCCTTTTCTGCCCATAGTGAAGCAAAATATAATACATTTTTATTCAAAGTAAACTTAATATAATGGGTTCTTTATATGTTATTTAATCATAAATTCAAATAAAATAAAATTAATTTATACAAATAGCACTCTAAATTATTATTTATTTAGATAATAATTTCTTAAATCCATAAAATATTATCGATTCTTGTCGATTAGCAAGGAAAAGAAGATAGTGGTGGTAATATTTTTAGCGGAATCAATGTAATTCGCTTAGAAGAAGAATTACCCCGAGCCTTTGATACTAAAGCGCCTCAAAGGAAGATTGGTTCCCAAGAAATCACGAAAATTACAGTCCTTGAAAAAAATGCTTTGCAAGCTATCAACGATATATGTATGAGGAAAAATCTTGAGGCAAAACCCAACGTTTTAGAAGTCGTGGAACTAGGGATGCAGGAATTTTTAAGCAGAATTTTAGACAAACTTAACAATTTGCAAGCAAATGCCCCAGAAAATGTGAAATACACCGTGGATCCAAGAGAAGTCATAGGAGAAAAAGAACAGATTTTGCATAATAAAGCCAAAAAAGGTGGAGGAATTATGACGATAAGAGAAAATGATATAATTTCTGTATTGGGAATACCCTGTGCTGAAATTAATTTTATATCAGCTCCTAATAGAAAAATTATTAATTAATTAGAAAACAGATCATTAATTTAAAAAATTTTTTTATCTAATTAATTGAATAAAAAATAATAAGTGGAAACTTAAAAATTGGAAAGGAGAATAAATAATGATTTTATATTAAGATATCGGGAGAATTTTTCTTAAGTCTTCATATCTCGCCTGAGGTACTTTCAGAGGCATTATCAAATTGAAATGGACAATAAAATCCCCTTTTGCAATAATTGCAGGATTTTCATGATAAATCGGCATCCCTTCATTTGGCAGGACAATTGTTTTTTCTGGGTTTAAGCACTCATCAACCGAAAGCATCAGGATTCTCTTGTCAAGAGTCTCAATTCTAATAGCACATGCACTTATAGCCTCAAGCAAGTTTATAGTGACTGTATAATGGAGATCATTAGTTTTCCTTCTATAATGAGGATGCTTTATTTCAGTCAATTTTACTATCAAATTCCCTCGTTCACAATTCATGCGGTCACTTCCTTCTTTAGGGAAGGTCAGAATGGTATTTTTGTTATACCCAGGCTTAATGATGATTCTTTTAGTAATAATTTCTTCATGAGTCGTTCTACGGTCGTCGTTAAATAAATTGCATTTATAGGTCACGTCTTTTTGACAGCCAAAGTAAAATTCTTCTAAGCTGCATTCAGCAGTTACTTCAATGTCATGAGGTGTGGTATCTGGACACCAGTTTAAGCCTAAAGAAGCATATCCAAACATAGACCCTTGCTGAGAGCGGCCATCAAAGTCAATAATCCTTACAAAAGGATTTGCCTCAAGCATGAATTTTTGGTAGACTTCGATTGGCTCCTTATTAAATTGATAAGCGGGGAAAATGATTTTTGAGTCGTCATAAAGACCATTTATTAAGGTTTCATAGCCAAACATGTCATAAATAGCTCGGGTTTCATTTTTGCTGAGGACATCATAAGCTTCAGATGCCTCCTTGAAATTTTTTGCTGCGTCTGCTTTATCAACTTTTGTTTTTGCTGGGTGCCAAGAAAGCACTGCTCTTCTGTAGCCTTTTTTGATTTGCTCTATATCACTGCTTGGGGAAATTCCTAAAATTTTGTATTTTCTTTAATATGAATCTTTAAATACTCATTTTTTTCCTGAAAATATAGTGCTGTTTATCAGAAATTATATAATAATTCTTTCCCATTTAAATATTAACTTTTATTTTATCATATTATAACCTACTGTTAAAAGTCCTATAAGAATAATGAGCAAGCAAAGCGTCACACAAAATTTATCCCCAGCCCTGACCTTTATTAAAAGTTTTTTTAGCTTTTTGGTACTTGTTTCTAATTCTTGATTAGCTTGATCAACTACATTATCTAAGCTGTCTAGTTTTTCTTCATGCCGATCCAAAGCATTATTGAAATTCAGCGCTCTCATTCTGAGCTCCTCTACATTTTCTCCTATTTTTCCTGCTAAATCATCTATTCTTTGGTCATAGTCTTCCCATCGCTGTTTTGCCTCTTTTTCTATATCAAGCATATCTCCTTTTCTGCCTATGTTTTCCAATGTAATATCTTCAAAGTTTATGAGCTCTGCTTTCAGTTTTCCAAGATCATCAGCCTTTCGGCTTACCACGATGCCGAGATCTTCACCTCTTTTGGCGTCTTCTAGCTTTCTTTCGAGTCAGCTTAGCTTATTAGTTTTTGCTTCGATGTCTACTTCTGCATATTTCTAATTATTTTTTACCTTTGGCTTTGATTTTTGTTTTTCTAATATTTTATTTAGTTCTAAAATGCCTTTATCAGTTTCTTTTATTAGTAGCAGGATTTTGTATTTCAATTGGATTATTTCAGGATCTTCACTAAATTTGTGTGTTACTTATTTTTGAAACTTGAAATTTTATCTCTTTGGTCTTGACAAGATTCTATAGTGTGAAGCTGCTCTTCACACTTAAGACGAATTACAGCAAATTTATCCTTTCTTTCTCTTGATCCAATATCAATTCGGTCACCTCCAAGATTTTGATGAATTTTTTCAAGTCTGCTAAGCAGGACGTCTAAAGTTGACATTTTATATTAGATTGGTGCAAGAGAATAATTTTATTAAGGAAGACTTCATTAATAGAGGACACGCTCAAACGTTGAGTTAAGCATTTTGTTGCAGTAGCTAGAAATTTGGAAATATCTTATAGCTTTTAAGCGGACTTTAAGCGCTAGCTAACTAAAAATTTCGAATTAGAAAATGGAATTCGTGATTAATTTTTATTCACAGATTTTTGTTGCAACAGTTATCGCAGCTTTTCTGGAAATTTAAAATTTATTATTATTGATTTTTTTGATAAATATTAATATTGCAGAGCTAAAATATATAAATCTATCAGGAAAGCCATATAATGCTGCTGTTTTGGTATGTCATGCATAAGACTCTTTATCTATTATAAAGCCATTTTGATTTTCATTAATACTTTAAAGTCTTAAAACTGCTTAAATTATTTTAAAGCTCAACCTGCTACTAGTTATGCATTAATTTTTAACAGATTTACTTATAACATATCTGAGATATTGAATTCAGCTCTAAATAAACATTTTTATATTGTTTATAGTCATATATAGAGATTTCAGGTAGATGGCGCATTCCGCGCCATCTACCTGAAGTCACTATATAAAGCTATATAAAATCAGATGAGTTAGAAACGCTTGCGATTGGTAGAGTATAAAATAAGAAATTAGCATAAAAATTATTTTAGTAATGCGTGAATTAGTAAATATTGAATAATCTAAGAAAGACTTAATAAGTGCTTAGTCTGGAGCAGGCTTCTAGCGCATTTTAATGTCAATTTTACCTCATGATGCAATGGAGCACAAATTGGAAAGGGCACATCCAATAGAGTCTAGTGACCTATAAGATCTATAGAAATTTCTAAACGTGAATACTAGGCATCGTGCCTTTACCTTTTTTCCCTATTTTCGCTAAAGGTTGTCAGAAAATTATTTCCCAAATTCTAATTGTCAGCTTGTGCCGAAACTAACTTTTCTCTACCCATAATAGTGCTCAAACCTAAAGCATAAAGAGTAGAGCATAGAGAGATAAGCAAACAGTGTTAAATGATATTAAGATTTAGCCTTAAATCGTTAGCCTGGACTTCTAATAAATCTGCTCAGAAACCATTTTAATGGTTTTTTTTGTCATGAATACTACTGATTTCTAGAAAATCTCTCAAAATTTATATTATTTGAAAATCCGAATTTTTCATATATAATTTTTCTTAGCTAGTCCTACAGCTCTTACTGACCTAATATAACATTTCTTAGACTTATGCCATTATTATTTTCATTAAAAAATACTTACAGCATGATTATTAGAATTCTGACATGGGCAATTTCAAATTCTGAGGGTTTTGTTATGCCATATTAATTTGCAAATTAATCATTGTGTAGAGCCTAAACCATTTTATAATAATTAATATGTTAGCTCCAAGCGCACAAAGTTCGTTTTCTATAGATTCAGTCTTATCTTTGCTAACCCAACAGTCCTCAGGATTGCTCCAAAGTAGCAATTCGAACTTATCTGACTTCGAAAAGCTAGTGGGCGAAATCCAAAATAGTATTTCTTTGCTCCAAAAGGCAAACGAAAATATTATGAAACTTGAAGATCACAGCGAAGATGCAGGAAGGCTTCAGAATGAAGCCTATTCAAAAATCCTTAAAATTTCTAATGAAATAGGCGCTTTAAGGATAGAAAAAAGCAGACACATTAAGCTCAAAAATCGCCTCGACAGTCTAGTATACAAGTATTCAGTAGTTCCAAGATGTTTACACGTAAGGAAGGACATAAAAAAAATTCAGAAAAAGCTTAAGGGCTTAGGAGAAAAATTTTTTTAAGTGTTTATAAGATCAGTATATTCCGGACAAAATAACTTCACCACTCGATGTGGTAAGTAATTATAAATAAAAAACATATTTAAACTCAGCCTTTCAAATAATTAATATCTGATTAAAATTGGTGCATAATTTTATCATTCATAGAAAACAGAAAAACAATGATGATAATAAAATAAAACGCTATTCAGTAAATAAAATAATAGGGTTTGTTAAAATTTTTATTTATGAGAATCGACTAAGGAAAAATATTCAGGAATAATGGAATTATTAAGCCAGATTCTTATGAATATGAACTAATTTCTGCAAATCTATATTAAATATAAAGCTAATAAATTCTCTAAGGTAAATTGAAAATTGTGAGAAAGTTCGTATCTAGAATTAGATGAGCATAAGAGCATATAAAAAGTCTCCAAGTTCAATTTCTGAATGAAAAAAATTATCACCAATTTAAGAAATCAGAATTCTAAAAATATTAAGGGTGAAATTACATCAAATTTCCAGACCTAGAGAATGATTTAGTTGACCATTTTAGGGTAATCAGGCAGCAAGGTATTCAAGCTCTCAGAAAACAATTGAAGAGAAAGCTAAAAGAGTTGTAGCAGAAATGGGATTAGCAATTGGTTGTAGGTAAAGAGGCAATAATTATCGTAAGAAGAGTTTTTCTGAAATTTATAATTTATATAAGGAAAGGATTTCAGAAGTCATAGTAATTATTAATCTAAGCATAAATTTTTTGGCTTATCGTAGTGATCTGATTTTTCATTGAAAATTAATAAAAAAAATAAATTTAATAAATAGCTAATATGGTCATCTTAGATGAGCATTTAAATAGATTAGATTGGAGAAGGGATGATTAGCTACAAAAAATATTATGCACAAAGCATCACGGTGATGAAAAGTAAAATAATTCCTTGAGTATTTTAAAATCATTGGGGTGGAAATTAAAAAATTTATAGATATAAATCTTCAGGAAATTTTCTGATTTTTTTGATAAAATTTTATATTTTAAGTGCTTTATATAAAGAAAATAATATAATTCTGTTGTTTTTTTGCCTCATGTAATGAGAATCTATATCTATTCATAAGCCATTTTTGAAACTTATTTGATGTTCTCAAGTCTTAAAACTGCTTAAAACATTTGAAAGATCAAGTGTATTGTGTCTAAATTAATTTTCGAACAGATATAGATTGCATATCTATGATTGTGAATCAATTTCTAAATAAATTCATATGCATTTTTGTTAGCCATATACAAAATTATTCTAAATCTGCTCAGAATCCATTTTATTAGCTTTTTTGCCGCTGGAGAATGCAAAATCTCCCTCACATTGTGAGATTTAGCTCTTTTGTGATTATTGCTCCTGTAGGATTTAAGATGATTTAGAAATTCTATGAAGGATCACGGCCTTCCACAATAAGGATTCCGTCAAAAAGTTATACAATAATTATTCATTATATGTTTCGGTCTAGCCGAAATTCAGACCAGTACACAAGCAATTTGAGTGCTTATATGGGTAATTTTAGATTCTGATGTTTTTGTGGAATCATTGACAAAAAATAAATTCTCGCAACTAATCCATTTTATAAAAATAAATATGTTAGCTCAGGGCTCACAAAGCTCGATTTCAATAGATTCGGTCTTATCTTCTATAACCCAGCAGTGTTCAGGATTGCTCCAAAACGGCAATTCAAACTTATCTGACTTAGAAAAACTAGTAGGCGAAATCCATAATAATATTTCTTTGCTCCAAAAGGCAAACGAAAGCTTTATGCAGTTTGAGGATGAAGGAAGGCTTCAGAATGAAGCCTACTCGAAAATCCTTAAAATTTCTAATGAAATAAATGCTTTAAGGGCTAAAAAAGACAGGCAAACTATGCTCAGAAACCGCCTTGATAGTCTAGTGTACAAGTATTCAGTAGTCCCAAAGCGACTAAAAGCAAAGAAGGACATTAAAAAAATTCAGAAAAAACTCGAGGACTTAAAAAAAAATTCTAACCTGTTTTCTAAAGGTTTATAAAATCATTCTACTTTAGAAACAATAACTTCACCGCTCTGTTTTGGTAAGCAATAATAAATAAAAAGCTTATAATAACTTTATCCTCGAAAAATAAATCTGCTCCAAATTGATAAGAAATGCACCAGAATTATAATAAAACGCATTTTAGTTAAAAAATAAATTAATAGGGTTTCTTGATGATAATAAAAAATGAATAGGGAAAGGATTTCAGAAACCATAATAATTATTGAACTTATACGTGAACTTGGCTTATCAGAATGACCTAATTACTATGGAATTTAGATTTTAGATTAAAAAAAATTCGATAGTTTGGCTAAGAGTAATTTAATAATTCATGAAAATAAAAAAAGTCTTTGAATAATTTGATAAAATAAGATTATATAGATATTTTGGCTGAAAATACTTAAGATTGCCTTCGTAATGATTTCAACAGAATATAGCTTAAATGGCAGCTCGGAATTAAAATGACTATAGATAATGTCCAAAACCCTATTGCATTTGGTAAATCTTCAAGTTTAAGTCAAAACTCAAATCCTATAATTCCCATCGTTAAACTCATAAAAATACACCCAAAAATAATAATCACTAACGTTGGTGTTGCCTTTATTTCTTTATCATCCCCTCTTGCCATTCTTTTATTTTCACCCTTAAAAAACCCATTCAAGTTCTCCATATCATTTTCGCTTATTTTACTAAAATCCATGTATATTTTATTATTTTAAAATAGAACTATTACAAATAAAATCTCAGTAGTGTAATTTCGAGACCTCTGCAAGCACATATGCTAAACTAAATTAATATTTATTAATTCAAAATGATATAATAACCTATTAGCCCCATGTAAAAATGTCTGTATGTGAAAGCTGCTGACTGTGTTTTATCCTTGCAATGTTTTTTTCTTCTGGTGGAGACTCCCATGTGAGTGGGTTTCCATTATTTTTTACCTGTGGCTCCACTTTTTTTCTATGGTTCAGCACGACTCCAGTGACAACAGTGTCAAGCTCTTGTTTTAGCAATTCTTTATTAGCCCTTCTTCTGACACCTTTTGTGGTTGGATTAATTGAAGGTGGCTGATTTAAGGGATGATTTAAATTGGCTGACGCACTTTGAGACCTCAATGCATTTGAAATGGCTTTTCCTAATCTCTGATAGGAAGCTCCATTCTTGACTTCGCTTTCTCTCATAACTCTTTGCACCTAACTAGCAATTACTTCATCTGTTATAGGAACTCCTTTTTCTCTTAAAAAAGTCCCGAATTCGTCTTTGGTAACTTCGCCATTAACATATCGCCCGATTTTTCCATACAATTCTTGCTGAAATGGCGTTGTGTTAGTTTCATGAACAGTTGTTAAATCAGTCGACCTAAAGGTTTTTCCTACATGAGGGTTGTTGTAGTAGTCAATGTTATTTGGGATGATTTTTCTTGAAGAATACCCAAGGCTTTTTAGGACAGAATGATAAGACCTATTGTTATCATCAAGCACTTTATTAAAAGCTGGAGTAATATTGACGCTGAAATCTTCTTTAAGATCTTCCACATATTGAGAACGTGAGATTCTGCCAGCATCAAATAAAGTATAAAGATCGTGAAGCTGCTCATAGGTTTCTTCTCTAAGAGCTTTAGAGGAGGCTATTGAAGAAGAGCAGGAAGAATGGACGCTTGAAGGAGCTTCTTCTGGCTAGAAATTACGTTTGAGCTTTCTCAATACACTTCCAAGTGTCTGATATTCCTGTGTTGGGAGTTTTGATCCTTGCATTTATCAATATTTATAAGTTTTGTGGTGCAGATATTAAAAATTAAGCATTGAATATTATTTTAGATGCTAGAAATGAATTTAAGGGTAAAGATTTTATATAAATAAGAATCATGCTGTTGAAGTGACTTATTAATTGAAATTTTGATATTTGTTTTTTTACTTAAATTAATTAAAAATGCTAACTGATATAGCCCGTTCCCGGCTATAGATCGGGCTATGCCCGATCTATAGCCGGGAACGGGCTATAATGCATCTCAATAAAATAATAAATTCCCTCCTTTCATGAGCGCAAAAACATTAAAAAATCCCTATTTTACGGGAAGAAATGATAGAAAAATATTTTTTTATCAAGAATTTTTATAAAATATAAGTGATAGTTATTATAATCTCTAGTTAATTCTGTAGCATTTTAAACAGCTTATATTCTAAACACATAAATTTACAAATTTTTTGAATTGGATTTTTTTGAATTTCAAGACTAAAATAATCTAACTCCCCTCTGTGAGCGAGCCAATTTTTTTCACTGGGGAAGAGTCGGGTAAGTGATATAAACCTAATTTATTTATCTTAATTAAACTTATATAAAAGCCCACTGCTATAGCCCCTGAAATTATTTAGATCATTATTGGCCATCCATTTTACTTTCCAAAATTAATTTGTACTTGTCAGCTTTTTTGAAAAGTAAAAACGAAAATGATAAGTCTCCCTTTATGGTTTTAAGGTACCTACTCAGACTTATACTGTATAAGGCAGGTGCCCTGTACCACATTTTTTCTGGTCGGTATTCTGCTGAGGTATAGAGATCTATTAAAGTGCATGAGCTATATACCCAAGGACTACATTCACCCATAATGCCCCCTTCACCTGCTCTCCTGCATGCGCACAAACTTAAAAAGAATACTCTTGCCAGACAAATGCCTGCACTTGCTATACGGTAGTTGGATGAGTTGTGTCACCTTGCCTCACATCAGCAAAGACGCCCTTCATGGAAGATTTTAAAATGTCAAACTTTTTAGACGACTCTAGGCCAAAATTTAAAGGGTGTAACTCCTAGTTTCACGCTAATATACAGTCCCGATTGGCCATGAAATGTACCACTGGCTCTGCTAGGAGATCCCTTTAAAACTCTCGGCTTCATCTTCCTTTGAGGCAACAACCTGGAACTGGAGTAAAGAATGCAGTCGGCTAATTTCAATATTGTGCTTCACCAAATAATGAAAAATCCGGTCGGATACACATTTCCGAATGTCATCTTTCCTTCCTAAAGGTCCCTGCACATCCAGAGGGGATGCCAGCTACAGGAGTTAGGAGTGTGGGCTGATTCGTAACGCCATCTTAATGCATAAGTGATATAAACCAAATTTATAGATATTTCTTATAACTCCCTCAATCCTTGATCGAACGATTCCATTGAAAAATTCTAAAAATTAAGAAAACTAGCCCAATCCTTGATCGAATGATTTCAAATATTGCATGTTTTATATAATCAATAAATTTTATATATAATTTTTTTCAAAAATTTTTTAATCCCATCCTAGATCAAACGATAGGAGCCGCTTGACCAAGGAAGGGGAAGTAGGATTTTACATTTAATGCTATTAAGCAATAAATAATTATTTCTATACGTTATTCTTGTCAATAATTGAATAACACTTTACAGTAATTTTTAATTTTAAAATCTAATTTTTAACGACTTAACGAGAGATTTTTATGATTAAATTATTTCTTTTTAAAATTAATGATGATAATGGGACATTTTGAAAAGATGACAACTTAGAAGAAGTTGAGCAACGAATTTGATTTTGGTCATATGATTAGAACTTTCAGAGACTGGCTCGTCAAAACGCTAAAGCATCTATAAACTCTCCTTGATTATGCTATAAATTCAAAAAGAAAATATAGAGGATTTCTAGAAAATCTCTCAGCTCTTTAAACAAAAATTAGATTATATGTGGTTTTTTGACATCCAAAACCAACAAAAAGTTGTCTGCTCTAAGTGTGGGAGATATTCTTCTTGCTCTCTATTTTATTTTGCCGCTTTTCTAATATCTTTCCTGAAGTCTCAAGATCTATCTTAAACCTCTATAAAATGCTTATCTTTTGTCCAGTGTATCTCTATTCTTTATTCCTACGATTTTGCATTCAAAATTATTTTTGTCCTAAAGCCCAGAGCCCTCTTAAATTTTTCTGCCATTATCGCAATAGTCTAATAATAATCAAATCTTATTTTTTATATTAGGAGGTATAAATCCAGAACTTTTATATTTGCCCTCATTTATTTATTCTGTAAGATATTCATTGTATCCTTATTTTCTTCACCCAAGGACTATATTTAGATAAAATAAATAAAAAACAGGTAAATAATTAATGGAATTTTACTTTTATGTCATAAAAATTTATAATTAAAAAAGGCGCGAATGTCAACAAGCACTCCTAAAGGAAAATCAGGAACTCCTAGACGTGGAGGGTCAAGCTCTAAAAAAGAAGCAGTAGAACCAGCTGAAGAGACTAAAACTCCTTCAAAATCTGTAGAAGAAGTCAAAAGGGCAACTCCAAGATCAAGATCTCGCACCCCCGCCAAAAGTCCTAAATCCTCAGCTAAAAAACCAACCCCAGCTAAATCACCAAAATCCCCTGCGAAAACTCCAGCAAAGACTCCAGAAAAATCCCCAGCAAAAACTCCAGCAAAGTCGCCAAAATCTGGGGCCAAGTCTCCTTCAAAAATGCCAAAACAATCAACCATGGCTGAAACTGCAGCAGCTGGAAAAGGATTCCTGGAAGATAGTTGCTGATTTTTTTTTAAAAAAATTAAAATATAAAATTGTAAATTGAATATTTATATAATATTAAGCCTTCTCTTATAGTATTTTTATTATGAATATCTATATTAATCAGTATATAAATCATAAATTTAGCTCTTATTATTGTAATAATCGATCTATAAAGAATCATTAATAAAAACGGATACAGATAGCTATTAGTATTTCCTAATTAATCTGAAAGGAGAATATAAAATTAAAATTATTTTTCGTAAAATGAAAAAAGATAGCAATATTCCTTCTCATCAGAAAAAGACAAGAGCTTCCTCTTCAGCAAAGAAATCAAGAAGAAAGACACCATCTAAAGATTAAAGAATTAAATACTTTCTTCACTTTTAAAATTTTCCACCCTTGACTCCGGAGATAAATAAACACTCGAATGAAACTCATTTGTTGAATTCAAAAACTGGGCGTCATCAAACTTCAGTCTCATTATTGTCGAATTTAATTGTTTTTTCTGCAGCTGTAATTTCTCTATTTGGTTTTTTTGCTGCTCCACTATATTTTCCAGCTGCGAATTTTTCTCCATTAAAGGCTCGATTTTTTCTAATAAATCTTTCAATTTTCTTTCAGTTTCTGATAATTTATAGTCTAGCTCAATATTATTTTCACACATATGGTTATTGCTAATTCTAGTGTATAAACTCATCTTTTTTTCAAGCTCCAAGATTCTTTCATTTAATTTTTCTTTAATTGAAGATTCTTCTTTAAGCTTGTTCTCTAATGTAAGTTTAAGCTGCCGAAATACATTTAATCGGTCATTTTTATCAGAAATTTCTTTTAAAGCTTTATTGTAATTTTGCTGCAATTCTTTATTTTTTTTCTCTAAAATTTGATTTTTTTTTAAAATCCCTTTGAACTCTTCTTGTCTAAACCGATTATCGTCTTCTTTGTTAACCAATCCCTTTACAATCTTGGCTACTTCTTTATTTTGCTCTTTAAATACTTCTTCTAATTCCTCTTTTTCTCTTCTCAGCATAGCTGCTTCATTTGCCGCCTTTTGCTTATAACTTTCATAATTTTTCAGAGTCCTCTGCAAATTTTCATTTTCTTTGTGAACAAATTCCAATTCTTCTTTCATTTCTTTAATGATATTCTCATACTCCTTAAGTTTTTCTAAATCCCTATAATTTTCTTCTAAAATATCTTTATACTTTACGATTAGTTCCTGATTAGTTTCATCTTTTAATTTCAGCTCTTCTTCAACGCCGGAATGCTTATATACTTGTAGCTCTTGTTTTAAGCTATGATTTTGCTTAGTCAAATAATCAATATCCATTTTCACTTGTTCTAAATCTTTTTCGTGGGTAAACATTTCATTTTTTAATTGTTCTTCTACTTCTTTTACTTTATTATCAGCTTGCTGCATGGATACCTTTAGACTTTGGTTTTGTGTGAGCAAGGTGTTATATTTCTTCGACAATAAATTGAATTGTTGTTCTAAGCGATCATCCATTTAAATTTTATTTAACTCCTTCTCTTTTGATATTAGAATGTAAATAAGTAATAATTAGATAAAAGAATCTTACTCCCCCCATTCGTGGGTGAACAAAACCATTAGAAAAATCCCTATTTTTTGCCCAAAAACCCACCCTCCGTGAGTGAACAAAAATTTTTTATAGAAAAAAAATTTGATATATAAGTGATAATTAGTATAATGAAATCAAGAGCTAATTCTGTTTAATTTTAAACAAATTGCTTTTTAAAAATATAAATTTTATAAATTAAATTAATATTTGTTTTCCAATTTTTGCAAATTAGGATTTTTTTAAATTTTAACAAAAATATTTTCTATAAAATTTAAATATAAATTTTTAAAAAAAAAAAAAATAACCCTCCGTGAGTGAACAAAATTTTTTTGTTCACTCACGGAGGGGGGAGTTAGCTAATTCTATAAATTTATTCTAAAATATAAATTTTATAATTAAATTGAAATTACGTTATTAGACTTAAAGAAGTTCATTGCAATTCTCGAAGGACTACCTCCACCCGTAAAAGCTCTCTTAGGCTGCTCGCCAGTTAGTACACTGCCTTGCAAAGGATGCTCCTGGCCTGCACTTGCTACCGGCAGTAGATATGTTGTGTCACTGTGCTGTACGCCATCAAACGTTTCACACTGGAAAATTCAACATGTAGAATTTTCTGGTTGACTTCGGCCAAAATTGAAATCCTAAGCAAGGGCGTAACTCCTGGTTTCATGCTGGGAAACAGCCCCAATTGATGAGGATGATCACCACTGATACTTCAGGGAGATCCCTTTCCAACTCCGTCTCCATTCCTTTCTAAGGCATAATTCTTGGTATTGGAGTAAAGCATGCAGTCGGGCCAACCCCATATTGCGATTCACCAAACCAAGAAAGCCCGGCCGGATACACATTCCCGAACGCCATACTCTCTTCTTCAAGGTCCCTGCGCACCTGTTGGGATGCCAGCTGCAGGAGCTAAATTAAATTTGTATTTTTTATATAGAAACTTTTTAATATATTTTATAAAAAAATTTTGTCCGTGAGTGATAGCAAAATTTTGCTCGTTCATGGAGAAGAGAGTAAGAAAATTAAATGTAAACTCCAGGCTGTTCTCTGACGCCAGCAAGTTTTTTTACTCTTTCTAGCATGTCTCTATATTTTTCTAAAATCCCTACGTTTTCTCGGTAAGCTTCTTGGCAGATTTCATCTGGGTCGTTTATCAGAATTTCATTAGATTTTTCAAGCTGCTTTATTGTAAGCTCGATTTTTTCGATTTCTGCCCGGAGGATTTCTTCGTCAAGCATATTGTTTGTGATTAAAGATTGAATGTATTCATCTGGAGACAAAGGCTTGGGCTCTTCGGGCTGCTTTCTTCTGTAGTCAGTCACATAGATACCTGGAAATAATTCAATCTCGGGAGGATCCATTTTAATAAAAATTATTTATGCTTTATAGTAAATCGATTGCATGAATTGCATATGATTAATCCGAAAATATTTTACTTTTGGTATAAACAAGCTGAAATAAAATAAGCAAGAAGAATTTTAGAGCATATAGATTTTAGCAAAAATTGAATGTTTTGTTTTTATGAGATGCAAAGAAATATGATGATAAGAGTTTTTAATCTGTGAATTAGGTATTATTCCTACATAGTAAAGCTAAATTAGATGGTCTTGATATTAAAGTGAATTATTTTTATTTATTTAATAATTTATTGATAATAAAAATGAAAATACTACTTATCATTGTATCTCCATATAATTTTTTGCACATTACAGATACTTTCTTAACTTTTATCATATGAATAATTCAATTTAACGAGCAGCCAACTATAACTATAAATTGCAAATAATAAAATCCTGCTCTTCAAATTCACAAAAGTTCTGCTATTTTCAACGTTCTTTAATTAAGCTTGCATTAAAAATAAAAATACTTAAATTTAAATACTTTTTAATTTAAAACGAATTTCCCATACTAATTTTTTTCTCTAATTCTTTATTTTCTATGAGTGAACAACTATATAAAACATCTCCATGAGAAGCAAAACATTTTCTACACAAATTTTTATAAATAATATTTTAACAAACATAAGTAATCATTTTTATAATTAAATTCTACCTAGAACTCTTAAATTAAAAGCTTTTAAAAATAAAAGTTTTCAGATTTAATTATTTTTAATCTCCAATATAGCAGCTGCAGCGCTATGGTTGCCTTTGCGAGGGTTCATCTCTGCAACTTGGAGCTCTGACGAGCAACCTAAAGGCGATAAGTCAACTTCAAGTTGACAAATCCTTTCAAAAGGGAAGCTTTATCAGCTTGAAGTTGACTTGTCACCTTTAGGTGGCTCGTCAGAGCTCCAAGTTGCTGAGAGGAACCCTCGCAAAGGCAATCCATAGCTATGCAGCCGCTATATTGAGAATTGAGCTTTTTTTCAATAGGAAAAAAATTTATCATTTTACTCAAAATTTTTAAATAAAAAATAACCCCTTTCAGTAAGAGTAAAATTTTATTATTTGCTCACGGAGAGGGATTACATTAATGGCCTAATGCATTTTTTTTAAAAATAAGAATAATAAAAATGCTTCAAGCAGCTATATCTAAAGATCACAATAAATCTCAGCAAGCCTTTGCAAAAGAACTCAACGCAAGAATTTCCAAGTTAAAGGTAGAGACTGAACAAAATGGCTTTACTTTCCCAGCTAATTTGCTTACAGTAGCCAAAGAATTTTCAGATAGCCTAGCACAATCTCCAGCCCTTCATTTTGAGACTGAAAATTCTTCATCTTCTCTATCCTCTCACAGAAAAAGTGAGGAAGGGATTCCTCCGCATTCAGATCTACACTAAATTGACTAATTCATAAATCTTGATGCTTCAAAAATTTCTATTATTTATTAAAATTTTGTAAAATAAATATAATTTATAGATAGCATTTGATATCAAACTATATAGAAAAAACCACCAAAAAAACGATGGAAACATTTGAATTTAATTGTTCAAGTTTAAATTCCAGCTTAAGCGATTTTGAAGATGACAGTGATCTAGGCACCACAAAATTGAAGAAAAAGTCCAAAAGTATAATAAAAGGCGTGAAAAACCAGTTAAAACAGTTTGGACGAGCTCAGTCCAAATATCTCGAAACGCACATTAGAAGTGAGACTGAAAGTTCGGCGTATAAAGAAGATTTAATTGTCCTACATAAGTCTGCAAGAGAAATACTTACATCTAATATATAAATAAAAATTATAAAAACATAAATGCTTTACCAATATGGTGATGAAATTTTATTCATTTTGGGTTTATCTGAATAATGAGTTAATGAGACTTTAAGAACCAAGAGAGAAATCAGAACGATGAGAAAAAGCGTTGAAGCTGCTCGTGAAATGGCAGAAACTCCCGTGAAATTCCCAAATTTAAATAAAAGGGAATTTTTATTTGCAAACCGTGACTTCGTTGACGAAGATTCAGCAGATATAAGAAGCCTTGCAAGGCAGCTTCGAGGGATCCAAACAGAAATTGATTCAATGAATTATCTTAATTAACAGAAGGGTAGGGTGCTTTATTGGTCACGCAGCCACTAAGGACCCGGAAGGGTTCATCCGCTTTGCGACGCCTACGCCTCGGCGAGATAGATCATCGGCGAGGTGCTTAAGCCATCTTACTCTCTTTAATACACACCATCTCCAGGACGGGTTAAGTGTACACGAAGGAGTATTCCTTCTTCTTGTCTAATTTAAGGGCTCCAGTTCTGAGCGAGCAGATTATGGATTTTAGCCGCCCTGCTACTGACTCATTGGACAGTATCTTGATCAATGGGCCCGAAGTCTAAAGGGTGCTGGGTACCGACCTCAGCAGCTGAAGGGTAAAATGCTCAGCTCCTTTGAAGGTCTAGCTCAGGCTCGCAAAGAACACTGCCAGGCTACCCCTTTCCAATTATAGGAACAAAGTCAAAACCCTACCCAGTATACATAAAGCTATACCCACCCTCAATCTCAACTGCATTCTCACCCAATTCGCCTTGCCATAAGGTTGATATAATTGCTTTAAGTTCAAATGCACTTAGTCGCCATTTTTATATATATGATTCAATGAATCAAAGATTATCAACAAAACAAGAAGAATTTAAATTAAAAGAGCAAGAACAAACAGAGCTTCTGAGCACCATTTTAAAGCTCAGAGAAACTGAATCGTGCGTCATAGATACAGAGCAGAAGAAAGAATCATGCAATTTATGTACTATTTTTTAACGTGGTAACTAATCTAATACTTATCATTAAGCCCTATTAAGTTTTTGCATTTATGGTAATATGGTGTTATATTTCATTGGGTTAGGGCTAGGAGATGAGAAAGATATCACTGTCAAAGGCTTAGAAGCAGTACAAAAATCTACTTATATATACTTAGAATCATACACATCTTGCTTAATCACCCCAAAATCCAAGCTAGAAGAGTTTTATGGGAAGCCAATTATTGAAGCTGATAGAATTATGGTCGAATCAGGCTGTGACGAGATGCTAGAAAGGGCCAAAAATAACGATGTTTCCTTTCTTGTTGTAGGTGATCCATTCTGTGCTACGACTCATTCAGACTTATTCATGCGTGCTGCTAAATTACACATCCAGCTTATCGTAATCCACAATGCTTCAATTTTTACAGCAATTGGCTATAGTGGTCTTCAGCTCTACAAGTTTGGAGAAACTGTCTCAGTTCCTTTCTTTACTGAAAGATGGAGACCGTATTCATTTTATAACAAAATTTTAGAAAACAAGCGAAGAGGATTGCATACTCTAGTATAACCTGAGCTTCATTTTGACTTAGGCTTGCAATATCTTATGACACCAACTTATAAAGCCAACTCGCCAAGTAACTCCCAGCCGAAATCAGAAGGCTTTGGCATAGTTCGGGTCAAAAGAAGGCTCGGGCTATACTTTTAGATATAAAAGTTAAAGAACAAAGCGAAGAAGATCTAATGCGAGGAAGACTAGTTTTCCAGCCACCTCGCTTCATGACTGCAAACATCGCTTGTCAACAGATCTTAGAAGCTGAAGATAATACACAAAGCGGGCTTATTCAAAGAAATGACCTTGTTATTGGGCTATTAAGAATGGGAACTCCACAGCAAACAATAGTTGTGAAGCCTATTGAAGAAATGGCGAATATGGAAAACCTTGGAGATCCTCTGCATTCTTTAATTATCCCAGGCGAATTGCACGAAATTGAGCAAGAAATGATGCAATTTCATAGTAACACAATAAATTAAAAATAATGGGATTAAAAATTGATTCACTTTTATTTATTCTTGGAGGTTTCGCTCGGCTTGCTGATGTCGCAACTGATGCTTGGTATCCAAAAGAATTTAAATATTTATTATTTTTATAAAGAAAATTCTAAAAATTCTAAATAACAATAAATGTATGATAAACTGTAATAAAATAGACCTTTTGAATTATAAAATATTAACTTATAAACTTTAATGGATAAATAATATATATTTCAACACAAAAATACACAAGTGAAGGATTGTATATTGCATCAATTTGCTTTGTTTGCGCTCCTACCACATTTTTATTACTTTTTATTACCTTAACTATAGGTTATGACTATTTTAAAGGAAGACGAGAATATTTAAAAGTCAGAATCTTGCTTGGCCTTGGAATGGCTTTTGGCGAACAAATTGGGATTACGCTCTTCTTTTTTGGAATTTATTTTTACGCTGAAAAAGCTCCTCGAGAACAAAGAGACTTAGTGGATTTCCTATCTAAGATGGCTGGGCTGATGGAAGCATTTTTGAAAACAATTCCTCTAGTAATTATTCAGGTCTATAATAGTGGGACCATTGGCCGATGGAATTATATTTTAATCGTTTCTATTGGCTGCAGCATTATAGGATTGGTTTATACATGCGCTATGGTCCTGTATATGTACGATAAAATCACAGGGAAAGACATATACTAATTGACCAAGAATAGCCCACTAAGGAGCCATTCTTGGTCTGCCAGAAAAAATTTTGACAAAAGATCCTAATCTGCCATTACCACTGAGTTTTGGTGTTTCCAAATTTTTTGGGCAAGCCAAATGCAATAAAAAAAATTGTTCTTTTGCGATGATGCATTTGGCTTGTCAAAAAAAATTTGGCAACATCAAAACTCAGTGGTAATGGCAGATTAGGATCGTTTGTCATTACCACTGAGTTTTGGTGTTGCCAAATTTTTTTGACAAGCCAAATGCATCATCGCAAAAGAACAATTTTTTTTATTGCATTTGGCTTGCCCAAAAATTTTTGGAAACACCAAAACTCAGTGGTAATGGCAGATTAGGATCTTTTTGTCAAAATTTGTTCTGGCAGACCAAGAATGGCTCCATAGTGGGCTATTCTTGGTCAATTAGTATACCTGAACAAGAAATCGAAAATAACGTAACAGTATCTGAAAATTCTACTTTTGACAATAAAGTCCACCCAAAATCAGCCTGGGTAATTACAGAAGAAGATTTGGTGGCCTACAATAATATTTAATTGAAAAATTTAGAAAACCTTATAAATAAAATTTTAGAATTTTTTGATAATTTTTGAGGTCAAAAATGGAATAATAAATATTAAATTATGGGAACGATGATACTCGTCACTACCACTGATATGTGATTATTAATATTCTGCTTCACTGACCCACATTTATGATTATTTATATACTTACAATGATTATTTCGCAACTAATTTCCCATCTTTTCATTCGCCTTCTTCGACCCTACCATCTGAATAAATAGCTTTCCCAATACCATTTTGCTTACCATCTTCCCAGAATCCTTCGTAGCTTTTCCCATTTGGCCAGGTGAATACTCCAAAGCCATGCTTATGGTCGTTGTGGTATTCTCCTTTATAGCACCTCCCATCAGACCAGAGAAAGGTGCCTTGGCCGTCCATTTTGTTGTTTTTTCATTCGCCGCTGTATTTTCTTAAGTCGCTTCATTTGTAAATTCCGTAGCCGTGGATTTTTCCTTCATAAAAATCGCCTTCATATGATCCTCCATCAGATAACAATAATTTGCCTTTTCCTTGTTTTTTGCCATATTCATAAGACCCTTCATAGCGAGATCCGTTAGACCATGTTTCTATACCTTGGCCATGCTGCTTATCATTAAGCCAGTCCCCTTCATATCGAGTTCCATCAGTGTGTATATAAACTCCTTTTCCATTAGCTTTCCCATCTACTCAGTCGCCTTCATAACAATCTCCATCTCCATGTATTAATCTTCCTTTACCTCCTGCATAAATAATATGGTGACAACTAAATATGTCCTTGACGATGACGCACCACTTTGGGCGCCAAAGTAGCTTTACAACCTAAACCAAGGCTCAGGAATTTTAATCATAACCCTTAGCTTCCTTTTAGCAGCTGTATGGGATGGCTAAGTCTTGGGAGTTAGCTGGCGACGATTGAAGTCAGGTATTAGTTATCAGGATAATTTTTGAGGCACGAGTTCTTTCCCTGTCAGTTCCGGAGGCCGTGGCTCTTTTTTCTTGGCTGCCATCCTCTCTCAAGGTGGTCGATAGGAGGTATCTGGCTAACCTTTGCCTTTATAGTACCCGAATGACATGAAGCATGAGTAATCTTTCTAACCCATCAAGACTCATGAATATCGGTGCAAGCCCTAGGTCCCGGTGTAGATTCCTGTTGATAAAGACTCAGTCGACTGAGTTTTCCTAGCAAGCAGGCTAGCGTGGTCAAAAGCGTGCGGAGACATCAAATCTAGAAGACTTTAAACCCTTTAATCTTTGTCTTACCTCCTGCGAGATCATTTTTTCAATGTCCTTCATATTTGGATCCATCCTTTCAAGTTTGTATCCCTCGCCCATGCCTTTCTCACTTTTCGTTCCATTCGCCAATATATATCGCGCCACCTTCAATTTGTACAGGACCCTTCTTAAAAACCTTAACGTTGTCTATTATATTTTTTTGATATTTAAAACGGCCCATTGCTTTTGCAGTTGCTATTGTTGCTGCGTTGGAATAATCAGGGAAAGATCCTCAGATCTCCATAATGGATCGTGAATTTGTGTCAGATTCGCATCTTGTATGCAAAGGTTCCTTGAGTTTAACTGATAACGATTTTCGCTCTATATAGCCTCTTATAAGGCTTTGGATAAATATGACAGAAGCTGAGCTATAATTTGTGTAGGTTTGATGAGGGGAAAATAGAATTAAGGACGAGTCTTGTTTCTTGAGCCTTTTGTTAGTGTTTTTGTCAATAATGTATCTTTCTTCGTAAAAATCAGCATCTTTAAGGCATGAATTGCAGCCTGTTCCCATATTTTTAAATAAAGATATTATTTACTGTAGGCAATGCAAACATATCTATTAAACAGATAAAGAAATCTTTATTTGAGTTTTTTAATTTTAATATAATTGAGGCTAAAAAAAATGTTCTGGCTAGTGATTTTCAATAGCAAATTTTAATTTGAAAACTAATTATTTAAATAAATAATACTAGGCAATTTTAAAAGCTTCTTTGCAGCTATTTCAATCACTTTTTTACTTCAAAATATTTTCCATTTTCATACAAAGTTCAATAAAATCATTTTATTTACGAATTAAATGACTCTTCTTCTGCGTCTTCTTCCTCTTTTTCTTCTTCGCCACTTGCTTCTTCCTCTTCTTCTGATTCATTCTCTTCTATATCACCATTTTCCTCATTGATTTTTTGTTTCTTATGCGGTTTGTCTCCATCAGATTCGTTCAAGTCATTTTCAATGAAATCTTCTAAATCATTTTCGTTTTCCTCCTCTTCGTCACTATCAGAGCTCGATTCTACTTCGTTTCCTTCTTTATCCCTCCTATTCAAAACTTCCAAATTCGGTAGCATTTCTTGGACTTTTGTATTAAAATCTGGAAGTTCTGCAACTGGGCATCCAAATAAATCGAGGGAAATTAAGTTTTCAAGGTTGGTTAAAGGCGCAAGATCATCAAATTTGGCGATTTGATTTCCCGCCAGAGAAAGTTGATATAATTGAGTTAAATGTGATAAATTTTCGAGGCCGCCTTTAATCTTGTTGTCACTTAGCTCAAGTTTGCATAGCGAAGGGACTCGTGGAAAATTTTCGAGCGATTTTAGTCCACAGCCTGTCAGAGAAAGAACCTCAAGATTTGGAAAGGTTTCTAAAATTGATTTGTCTTGGACTGTTAATGAAGCTCCTCTCCAGTTATCAAGAATTAACTCATCAACTTCCTCAGGTCCGTTGCCTTGTGTTTGCTTTTGTATCAATTTTTCCATAATTTATAGCCAGGATATTTCGCAAAATTTCTGCAGTGAGGACAGAAGTTCTTTCGATCATAAGTTGCAAAATAAAATATATATTAAGAAATTATATTGGGATTTGGAGACAGACTAAGAAAAGTCAATGTTATAAAAATACAAGAAAATAGGTTTGATGGTAAATTTTCATTTTCTAATAAAGACCAAGTGAGAGCAGTAAGATATGGCTCCATGTTTTACGATCAGTTATGGGATATTTCTGTAAGAGTGATGATGACCATCTTAATTTTAGATATTTCTCAGTCTAATTTATTTTAATGAAATTAAAGAATTTTCACTTAGAATCAAAATAATTAAAGTTAAAATTACAAAATATTAAATAAATTAATTCATTTTGCTATAAAGTAAGGAAATTTTTCACATCAATTTTTCTGGTGAATAAAAGTAAAATCTCGTAAGCTATTAGATGTCAATCTGATGATTCATTAATTCTTTTATAAGGCAATATTTTTTCAGTCAAGATAGTGCTATACATCATTATCTCCAAGAAATAAAAAAATTTTTTTGCTGTCGGAATTTTGGCATGCATAAAAATTTGCTAGAATATCTAAATGCTAAGGCTAGGTTTAGAGCAAATATCCTAATATGAGTTAAAGATTTAATCGCTTTGGGCTCTAGAATGAGGCAGGCTCAATTATATGTATATCAGCTTAATAGGCAAATGTGAATAAATATATTCTTTAGCGTTATAGCAGCATGAGAGTTGAGGTCCTAAAATGAGATCTAAGTTTCGAAAAAATCTTGAGCCTAAAATAAGCTAATTCATCCCATATTTCATTACAAAGTATTACTTTTTATATTATCAATCTTTATTAACTTGGTAATAATCTCAATATTCTTCTGACTTCCCTCTCTGTGAGCAAACAAAAAAATTTTGTTCGCTTACGAAGTTATTTATTTTAAAAATATTTATATATAACTTTTTATCGTAACTTTTTTTGAAATTTAAAAAAATTCATATTCAAATCAAGCAAATATTAATTTAATTTGATAAATTTTTGCTTGCTAGCGGAGGGGTTGATTTTTACCCAAAAAAATAGGGATTTTTCCAATATTTTTGTTCGCTTATGGGGGGTTAGAAGCATAAGCATTGCTATGCGTAATTTATTATCAAAATCATTATCTATTAGAGGTAATAAGCATTTAAGCGGTCTTTATCTTTTAAATTTAAAAGTGTTGTCTGTATGAGAAGAGTCGAGCAAAAAGATTGATTTTTTAAATGAGATAATCAGTGAAGATCTTAAAAGAGTATTACTAACAGAAGTTGTGCTGCGTAGCTGGAGTTTGAAATGTTGTTGAGGGAAAACTACAGAGACAAAATACGTGTTATTAATAAGAAGATCAGGGAATTCATTGTAATTATTGTTAGATTAAGGAAAATATTGGCCCATTAAGGAGTGATAACCAAATTTTTATGCTATGTTTATCCTTTAAATTTAAATTAATTTTATTTTGCTTTAAATTTGATGATATATCTTAATTTTGTTATTTTAAAAATTAGGTAAGTTTCTAACTTTAATTAAAGAAGTTGCATTTCAAGCTTAATCTTTTATAATTTAGGAAGAAACGGATAAATATGGTTTTTCATTTAGTCTTTCTCTTTACGCTTGTCCATTCTGCTAAACTTAACTCGTCTTCCAAACAATCAACTATCGGTAATTTTTATTTAGAACCAACTGCAGCAGAAGAAGAGACATATAGAAGCTATGACTGCTCAACTACCTCCACTTTATATATAAAAGAAGTGTGCGATTTGTGTTCAGCATCAACTGTCTATGTCATTTCGTCAGCAAATGCCACAATTATTGATGCTTATGACCAAGAAACACAGGACAGGGTCCAGTTTGTTTTAACAGATGCAGAGGATTATATGCCAGATGCTAAGTACTACGCTGTCTCCATTAATGACACACATGCTTGTATGTCTGCTTCAAAATTCATAGAGGATGCAAATTACACCTTGATGTTTAATTGGCCTGTTAAAAATAAATTAGTTTTAATTTTTTCTATAAAGTAAATGCAATTTAACTTTACCCCCCCCCTCCGTGAGTGAACAAAAAAAATTTTGTTCACTCACGGAGGGGGGTTAATTTTTTTTTTTTTTAAAAAAAAATTTATATATAAATTTATATAAAAAATATTTTTTTTCGAAATTTAAAAAAATCCTAATTCGCAAAATTGGAAAGCAAATATTAATTCAATTTGCAAATTTATGTTTTAAAAAGCAATTCGTTTAAAAATAAACAGAATTAGCTCTAGATTTCATTATAATAATTATCATTTATATATCAAATTTTTTTTCCATAAAAAATTTTTCTATTAAAAAAATTTTTGTTCACTCGCGGAGGGTGGGTTTTTGGGCAAAAAATGCCGATTTTTCTAATGGTTTTGTTCACTCACGGAGGGGGGGGTGGAGTTAGTTTTTTTATGACTATCCGTTTAATTACTATTTAGATATGGACCCAATCTCTGTTTTTGTCCCAGAAATATTTGATATAGGTGGATCATCAAGCTTAGAATATATTTCCACCACATATAATGAATCCTATGATTATTTTGCTTTAAATTACAATGCCCCAGACTCTGCAACGGTCTCAGAAACTGTCATTTACAATTTACAACGTATGTATAGCTCATGCACCTTAATAGATCTCTATACCCCAGCAGAATACTGACCAGAAAAAAATTTGGTACAGGGCACCTGCCTTATACAGTATAAGTCTGATTAGGTACCTTAAAACCATAAAGGGAGACTTGTCATTTTCGTTTTTACTTTTCAAAAAAGCTGACAAGTACAAATTAATTTTGGAAATTAAAATGGATGGCCAATAATGATCTAAAATATTTCAGGGGCTATATAGTTATTTTATATTTCAAGAAGGCAAAAATCTATATACCGGGACGTGTGATATAGGGGAAAGCGATAATGTCACAACGGTCGAGTTTTCTATAGAAACCCCATATGATCGTCAATACGGCGAGTCTTTTAATGCAGTTTTTATCATAGCAGACACTTATGGTGCCTACGACTGGACTACAAATATAGAGCCTGACAATAAATGTTGGAGCATTGATCCACCAAGCGGAATTTCTAGTCTAGAAAATATGATTGTCTCAGGAAGCTACCAGGAATTCGTATACAGCTCTCAAGCAAAAAACATGGCCGTCCAAAAAACCTACACAAGCTATGAAATTCCTAATTGGAGCTTGGCCCCTGAAATTAATTTAGAAAACGCAACTGGGGAATTTATTAATGATGACCATGAGAGTTTCTGTGAATATGAAATAGCAGCTGAATGGAACTATTTAAATTACACAATAGAAATGGAGCTGAATAGCGACTCAGACACAAATCAAGTAGAAATTTCAGGGACTTTTTTAAACGCAAATATTACTATGCAAGAAATTGAGACTGATTTTTACCAAGTTTTCTTTTCAGAAGACACTGAAATGTTCCCAGAATTTTTTCCTAACACCCCTAATTTAGTTCAGAGGTTGCAGAATAAGGTTTTATCGGCCCCAAAAATTAAAATTTATTTATCTGATGAAATAAGTTACAATATTTATGGAGAATCTGGGGATAAAGAAGAAACGGAAGTCATTGCTGGTAGAGGCAACAGCTCAATTTTATCTGTAATTAACTCTTATGCATATGGATCTGAAATGCTTAAAGAAAACGGCGTAGAAATCATAAAAAGTTCTATATATACAAGCACAGAGACAATTGATATACAAGATTACTCATTTATGTCATCCCTACTGGATAGTGGCCGCGAAAACTGAGATCAAGGAGCTATTGTTGAAATTTCTGCACAATTTAACCAAAATTGTGAAAATAATGATTTTTGCTCACTTTTACAAAAATATGCTGTCCCAGAAGGAGAGAGGATTCTAGATGTAAACGGGTATGTGGTTAATAATACTGTTTATTTAGACAGTTCTATACAAAATATTCCTTTAAGCGATGATGTAGAATTTGAAGACGCAGGGCTGGCTGCTGAGTATACAGATTATGGGATTACTTTGATGATAAAAGGAGCTTTTGATCTCCAAGTTGACAGTAAAACTGCTTTGAAATTTATAGGAAAAATTAAACAAGGGGAGCAAGGTGACGCAATATTAGAAGTGCAGTCTAAAAGTGTATGGGAAAATGCGATGGACGTCGAAAATCTATTAGTAGCTGGATTGACTATGAATGGGACTGTTGATGGTGATGGAATAGTTTATAACACAACAACCTTTGGGAGTGCTTTTATAGGAGAAAAATGTTGGAATAAGAGATCTATTGATGAATCTTGTCTAGAAGGCGAAATTGATATGGATTTAAGCCTTGAATCTTACTTAAACAACACCTTTTCTTTATCTGTTTATAATATCACAACTGCAGATTTTTTTAATTATTTCGGAGGCTATGAGTTTTCTGATAGCGACCCTATGCCGCTTCCTATGGAATGTTTAGCCTTTCCTGTAGGAATTCATATATCCCATAGCTATGAAAGTCCAGTTTTTGTATTAACTGGAGATGCTGAATATTGTGGAATTTTAGGAGAGCTAGACGGGAAAACTGATTCTTTTACTTCAGGAGTTTTTGATATAGAAATCGACCTGTTTGATTTTGAATTTGCCAATGAAAATGCTCAAATGAGCGATGCTACTGGATATTTATCGACTGATAGGTCAGTTGGAAAAAGCGAAGGGTTTATTTATGGAGTTTTAGAAGCCTTTTTCTTAGAAGATAGGACGAATATTTATATTAATGAAGGGTATTTTGCCAGTTTGGCTGGATTTTTATATGATGGGATTTATAGAGTTGACGCCCATTTGATCGGAACCAGAAATTCTTCTATAGAAAGCTCAGAGTTTGAGAGTGAGTTTGTAATGGAAAAAGGAGACACAAAAGATATTGAAGCAGTCTCAAGGGATTCTTTACAAGACTGGGTGGACAGAGGGCAATATGTCATTAATTTCGCTGATAAATATATGGGAAACCTTACCCGAGATTTTTCAGATTTAAAAGAAATCCAGTGTGAAACAGAAAAATCTTGTCCCACAAAGAAAATTTGTCCAGATGGGACCTATGAGGAATGCAAAAGCTACCCTAATACCCAAATCTGTGAAGGAGGATCAGGGTGTTCTGATGTCGAGCTTGTCTGTGTCGAATCAGAATCAGTCTGCATGAAAACTTGGAAAAATTGCAAAAACGACGACTGTGAATGCTTAAGCACTGTAAACGTCTGCAAAAAATGGAAAACTCAATGCAACCAAGAATCATCAGAATGCCGCAACAAAGCAATAGATAAAGACTATTCTGACTGTGAAAGATATGAAACAACCTGTGATGAACAAGACACTTATGATTTACAGTGCCAAACAGAATGCGATTGGAATCGTTACTTGTATGAAGAAGGTGAAAAAAAATATAAAAGTTATAAACATGGGTATGAAAACTCGCTGAAAGAGCTGAGAGGGTTTGAGTCAATCACCGAAGTTACTGAAAATGAAATAGAGACGGAAAAACTGATTGATATTAAAAAGATTTATACTGTAAGGCAGCTTAATGACAATGTTGGCCCATCAAATTTTTATTTTACAGTAAACACTGATACAATTAATTTAGAAACGGAGTATTTTGGTAGCAATATTTTTGAAGTTGAATGGAATTTTTATCAAAATACTGATAATGAGGACCGTGTTTTGGGAAAATTCAAAGAGTATATTGTAGAACATAGTGAAGGGCTGCTTGATGAAGATTTAGTTATAAAAGACCCAGTAGAAATTGTGCTAGAAAATATTGTATATGACGATTCCTAAAGCATTCGAAATTCACCAAAAATATACACAATCAAAATAAATGTTAAAATTTCTATTTTTTAATAAAAGTTAAATTAATTATCATAAAATGTCATGCCTTAATTCATAAAATTTTATTTTCTATTAATAGCTTACCATTTATAATTATTCCGAGAAATTAAAAAGAAATTCTGTAGATTTCTAGTTACTTATAATATTTAATGAAAGACAAATACTACGCAGTTTCAAGGGGTATCGAAACTGGGATTTATTCTTCATGGGAAGAATGTAAAAAACAAACACACGGAATTTCTAACGCAAAATTCAGAAGTTTTTACTCTTTAAAAGCAGCCCAAAAATATTTAAATAAAAGAGAAGCTTTTAATCAAAACTATTTTAATAGAAACGCACAGAGCCAAAGCCAAGAAACTTATCAATTGTATTTTTACGTAAAACTTAATGGTGAGGATAATTTTACTTCAAAGTTTGTATTAAAGCATAAAAGCGGGATCTGCGTTTGCAAGTTTGATAGAAATTTTAAATGCAGCGACAGAAAAATAATAGAGCTGCAAACGCTATTTTTTGCTCTAAAAAATGCTACTGATTTGGATATTAATAGAATTGAAATATTTAGTTGCTCTTCTGAATTGGTGAATAGACTGAAAAATGTGCAGAAAAAATACTTCGAAAAAAATACAGAAAATTTATTTGTTACAGTTAAAGATAAGCTTGCATATTTTTCTAGCTGAGAAGTGTCATATATAGAAGATAGTGTTATTGATGAGGAATTATTATAAATAAGCTAAGCTGAGTTAATTTGATAATTTATTCATTATTTAAGTTTATGCATTTCATTGTTGCAGAATGCACAGTAGCCTTCACATAAAGTTTGGCAGGTTTTACAGACAATGCAGCCATTGCTGCATCCCGGTGAATATATTTCTTGATCCCTCTTCAAGCATGACAAGCATTGGAATTCAGCCCTTTTTTTAAATATCTTCAAAGTTTTTCTTGGTAAGCTTTCATTGCAAAATTTGCAAACCTTTCTTTTATACGAAGCCCTGCAGCATTTTTTGCACAAAAATTTATATTCTTCTTTGCATTTAAATTTTAAAAATTCGGAAACATGCTTTGAAATATTGCAGTTTGGGCATGTAAAATCGGGCACGTATTCCAAATTCACACGTTCTGTACAAATGCAGCTTATTGAATAGGGTATTGAAGAATTTGGTTTCCTTAAGATCTTAATCATTATGCAATACCAACATAATTTATGTTCTTTTGGGCATGATGGTATAGAATATGGGTTTGCTATTAAAGTATTGCATTTGCAACAAAAATTGCTTTGGCTCTTAATTACTTGTTCGGCTTTTTGTGCTGAATATCAGTTTTTAATTTCTTTTATATACTTGATCTCATCTTCTCTAATATCAAGTCCTTTATCTTTATAAAAATCATAGGCTTCTGATATATATGTAATATTATTTGCAAACCTATCAGATTTTGTAAAATCAGTCCCAGATTTAGAAACTTCTTCTAAAAGGTAACAAATTAAAGAACTCTGACGCTTGATAAGCTCTTTTATCTCAGGCGAGGTGCATATATCTCTTTCTACCATTTTGAAATTCTATATTAATGTCATTTTATGAAGGCGAGTATTCTATGCTTATTGACAAAGAAGTCAGCTCAATGGATTATTTCTTGTCTGCTATAAAAAGCATAGAAAATAGGCCTAAAATGTACAGTATAAATTGCAGTCAGGCTCCAAAATGCTTGGGGCTTTATCAAGGCTCTTTAATATTTGTGGGATTAAATGATGGGAATGTGCTGAAAATCAATATAAAGGAAAATTATGCAGAAACAAGCTTTAAATGTCATGACTCAGCGGTTAAGTCTATGGCTATTGACCAAAATAAGAATGAAATATTTACAAGTAGAGGAGACGAAATCATTAAAAGATGGAATTTGGATGGAGACTTACTAGATGAATATAAAACTCAGTCAGAAAATATAACAGCATTATGTTTGGCTCAAAAATTTATTGTTTCAGGAGATAAGGAAGGGAAAATATGCTGGGTAGAGAAAAAAACAAAAGAATTAAAAAATTCTCAATATGCGCATATAGGGAAAATTAAAACTTTAGCGTCCAAAGCAAAATATACAGCTTCAGCCGGCAATGATGCTGTCATAAAAATTTTTTCATCAGAATCTCTTGATCAGCTTTTTGTGTTGAGTGGCCACACTCGGGAAATCTACAAGCTTGAGTTTTCCAATAATGAAGATTTTCTCATTTCAGCAGGTGGCGACAACACTATTAGTGTCTGAGATTTAAATACAAAAATGATATCTACTGTTTTTTCAGGCCACGAAAATTGGGTCAGAACTTTTTGTCTCTGCCCTTCAGAAGAGTACATAATTTCTGGGACTTTTGACCATAACGTCAGATTTTGGAACTTAAAATCGAAGGAAAGTGAGCCTGAAGGAAGCTTCCCAGCCCATGAGAAAGCAATCATAGGTATTTGCTCATATAACGAAGGCAATACAATTATTACTGCCAGTAAGGATAAGACCATTAAAATTTGGTATTTGTTGGATTCTGAAGAAAATATAAAGGAACTACAGGGGCATAGTGATATGGTGACTGATTTGGTACTTGATGAGAAAATTATGTATTCTTCCAGCATGGACGGAAGTATTTGTGTGTGGAATTTACAAAGAATTGAGAGTGATCCTATTGCAAAAATGATAGGGCACGAGAAAGGAATAAGAGATATAGAACTCTCGCCTCTCAAAGGATTCTTATACTCAGCAAGTGAAGATGGGACTATAAAAGTCTGAGATACTACAAGCAGAGAATGCAATGCCACTTTAACAGCTCATGAGCATATATTCTTATGTGTAACTTGTAATGATAAACTTATCCTTGCAGGTGGAGCTTCAGGCAATATTTCAGTCTGAGATGCAGCCACAAGAGTTCTCATAAAAACTTTAAAAGGTCATTGGAATGGAGTTTCTCATATAAAGCTAACTAGAGAAACAAATAAACTTTATTCTTCGAGCTATGACAGGACTATCAGAATATGAGATTTAATAGAATTTAGACAGCTAAAAAAAATCAATGCGCACGACGGAGCAGTCACCAAAATTGAGCTGTCAAAAATAGAAAACTTTTTAGCCTCTTCAAGCATCGATAAATTAATAAATCTATGGGAAACTGACAGTCTTATTGAAACTAGTCTGAGAGGGCACAGCTGAGATATAAATTCGCTATGTATTTCTAATGATGAAAAATATTTATATTCTGGAAGCAAAGACGGGGCACTTATCGTGTGGTTTATTGCAGAAAGAGTCGAACTGGTAAGGCTTCAAATGAATGGAAGTATCAACGCGATTATTGATATTCCATATGAAAGAGCCATTGCTCATACATTAGACAATAAAATAATTCTAAGAAAAAACCTAGACAGTACTACAGAGTTACGCTCATACCCCAAAAAACATTCATTTTTATTTTATTCTTATGTCAAAAATTTGCTGAAAGGGAAGCATGTCCCATATACAAATCAATGAAATAATTATATTATTTTCCCTATGAGAGTGAATTTGCTGCATATTTATGCTTATTTAAATGATCACAAAAAAATAAAAAAAGCGATGACTAATCTTTGTAGGTTTCTTATCACTTCTAAAGGTGAAAACCCATTATCTATAGCACTAGATAGAAAAGCTTCAAGGTCTGCTGACGAAATTATTAAAAAAATCGCCAATATTTCTTCAATTTTGAGGCCATATGTGTTTCATGCAATTGAAAGCCAAATTACAAAACTCCCAAAATATAAACTTTCAAATATTCATTTGCTTTATGAAGCAGTATTCCCACGCTGGAAAAAGAAAAATTTACCTAAATTTGGTGTCATTTCTAATGATTCTATAGTAAAAAGCGAAAATATGGACATAAAAATTGAACAGCTGTGTGAGCCGCATGCTAAAGATGGCGAAAGTATTATTTTTAAACAAAGCCTATGCAGGATATCATTATCTTTAGGCTCAAAAGAAAGCAGAAAATTTTTGAAAAGGCTTTTATATTGTGATGATACTGAAGTATTCCAAATCCAATTTATCCAAGTAATTTTGCAATATAAATTCCAGCAAGTCAGAAAGTTGCTTTTTATTCAGCTTGGACTCAGCTTACTGAATTTAATTTTGCTTATTTTTTATGCTATATCCTATAGATACAGCTTATGGTATATCATCCCTTTAATGCTGATTAATACAATTTACTTTCTATTCGGAGTTCTCCAGTGAATCCACAACACGAAGTCATATTTCAGAGACTTTTGGAACTGGCTAGAATCTATTAGGATTTTCATGGTTTACGTTTGCACTTGTTTATCCCTTATCAGCGCAGAACACATGCAAATCCCACTGACGATTTGCATTTTTATCTCAATGTTTCGAGTTTTTGTATTTTTTAGAGTTTTTGACAAGACAAGGTATATGATAAGAATGATAGTAGAGGTCATCAAAGATATCGTTCCATTTTTGCTGATTTTACTTATGGCTACCTTTACAATTTCTTTAGGGTTTTATTTGGCTAGCGATTTCCAAACGAAGCTCCCCACCCAGATCCTTAATTCTTACCTGCTGAATTTTGGACAGTTAAATGCTGATGATGAAAATGTGATGGTTTGGTGCGTCATTTCTTTTGCATTTTTCTTAAATCCACTTGTGCTTATGAATCTTCTTATTGCGATTATGGGGGATACTTTTGATAGAGTTCAGTATTCTATGACTATTGCGAATTATAAAGAAATCATTAGTTTGGTGCTAGAAATGGAAGCAGGGTTGCTATGGAGAAGAGGGAATAATCAAAAATTTTATATTCAGCAATGCTTAGAAAGAGATGGGAGGACAACTAGTGATACACTTTTATGGGAAGGGAAAATTAAAAATATTCAGAGAGAAATTAAAAGTATTAATGAAAATGTCAGAGAAAACCAAAAAACTCTGGGAGAAATTTTGAGAGCTACAAGCAGCATGGATAAGAAAATAAGCCTGATGCAAGTACAAAAAAACAATTTTGTTGAAAAACCTAGAGAATGTTCTCAATTTGAATTCAAAGATATGACGAAGACGTTACTAAAAGGAATTTTGAAGCCAAAAATTAATACTTACCCTCCCATCCTCTGTGAGCGAAAAAAAAATTGGAAAAATCCCTATTTTTTGCCCAAAAATCCACCCTCCATGAGCGAATGAAAATTGTTTTAAAGAAAAAAAAATTGATATATAAGTGATAATTATTATAACGAAATTTTAGCTAATTCTGTTTAATATAAACAGCTTTCATTTTTAAAACATAAATTTTTTATAATTAAATAAATATTTGCTTTCCAATTTTTGCGAATTGAGATTTTTTTAAATTTTAAAAAAAAAATTCTTTAAAAATTTATATATAAAAATTTTTAAAAACCAAAATTAGTAATCCTATGAGCGAACAAAATTTTTTTGTTCGCCTAGGAGGGGGAGTTAAGTTAATGGCTTTATGATGATGAACTTTAAAATTTTCATTTTTGTAGTAATCATGGATGATTTGCACCATAATTAGATTTAGGCAGTTTATTGTTAAAATAAGGAGAATAGCAGTTTAGTTTTAACCCAGTAAATTGGTTATCTCAAAGCACTTGTGGATAAAATTTCTACATTTTAAATATCTTCATCTTTTAAAAATATTATTTTAATAATCAAGCATCTTGATTGAGGTGCATTTTCGTCTTACTATAATTGTGGATTTGCCTCTATGCTCTAGCAGTGCATATCAAAAATTAATGGCAATGTCTAGCTCATTTTTAAAAATCAAAATTAAAAAATAACTCATTTTTATTACATTTTTATCATAAATTTGCCTATGCTTACCCATTTTTGCGACATAAAGTCACACCATATCTGTATTGACATTATTCTCTCCTTACCTCAAATCCTCCACCTCTTTACAATAATTTCTACTTTCTCAATTTTTTTCTCCTTTATTCTGTTGACATTTTAATTTCCTTCTTCAATCATAATCAATTTTTCCCAACAAACTTTTAGTCAATGATGCAGATTACCAATTAATATTCTCATATTTCCTTTCCAAGTCTCTGAAGCCTTCAATTTTACTGTTTAGTAACTTTTTTAATTTAATTAGTTTCACAAAATTTAAACTAAATCTCACTTTTAGGAGGCAATAATAAAGTCCGCCTTTTTTGTAAGAGTGAAAATTTTGGCCCATCCAGCTTGATTACTGCAGGCTTAAGAGAGCACTCATCTCTTATATTTACTGAGTCCATTGTATCATCTAAAACTTCTAGAAGCTTATGGACTTTTTCATTTAATATTTTGTATTGTTGTTCGCTTTTTCCAGACATTGGCGTGAAAAAGCGCGAATCGACAATAATAGGACCGTTCTTAGTCAAAAGGTCGAAATGTCATTCTTCGAAATGCCCTTCTGATCAGGAGGATTCATATCATAAAAATGGCGAACTAGCTGCACTCGACCTCTTGATGCTTTTTCCTCAACCTTATGGCCAAGGCATGCTGCTCACCATATAGGCTGATGAAAGGCTATAGAAGTCCATAGTCTTCTAACTCAGCATTGGAGCCTTCAAGGCAAGGAAGAGACTTCTCAGCACATAATCTAGGGATACCATAACATCAGGGCTGGAGAAGAAGCAAGATGGTGTCAATGCTTTCTTGCTGGCTGAGCTATCTCAACCAATTAAGTATCCGAAAAGAAATGTCGCAAAGCGGACGAACTCTCTGTATTAATGCCCCATGGCGGCTGCGTAACCAATACTGCTAGTCCCATCTGTAATTTAAGTTAAGTTCAGAAGGACTCTTTTGCTAAAAGACCATCTTCAGAGTCTACGCTCTCTGAAGTGCTTACATCTGAGTATCTTTGAGGGATTAGAATTTCCTCTATGTCTGCCAAACCTTCAAAATTTTCATAGCCTGCTTTACACATTAGTGATAAATTATCAATATTATCTTTATATCCATTAATTAAGCCTAGCATTTTCGAGTAATGGTTTCTCAATTAAACTGAAGGATGAGCATATTTTACGCTGCAGGCTGCGTCGATACAAAACTTAATTATAAAACTATAATGGAGTGCAGGTAAAAAACAGGATTTTTCCTACACAAAAATGAGTTGAGTTTAAATTATTAATTATTAAAGTTAATTTTTAATAAAACTCATAATTGATTCAATAATAAAATATTTAACCGGGGTAATGAATAGAGAGAATTTTCAAAGTTTCCAAGAAAAAGTGGTAAAGCCTCCAAGTGTCCCTCAAACTCATAGAGAGCCTTCTTCAGATTATATTTTCAACTCTGTTGGGTTTTACCAAAATCTTATGGACCAGATGGAAGAGCAGCGGTCAGAGTTGCTTCAAGTCCTTTACAGGCTGCAAAATTTCGATGAATAACTTAATATATGCTTTTAAACACTACTCCGATTTAGAAATAAACGAAACATTCTTTTTGAGTATAATGAATACAATGTTTAATATTTCAAATTTAAGAATAAATGCCTCTGATTAATCTCTAAGTTAGGCTCTTAGTTTTGCCAGAGTTTTAAATTAATTTCATAAAAAATGCATATCTTTTTAAAATTCAGATTATTTTAGCTTTTCATTAAAATTTTGAAATAAAGTGACAGGTTTATTGCACAAGTCTTCTATTGCTTTTATTTTAAACACAGATCTTGATTAGTATCAATAATTATAAGCTTAAATATTTCATATAAAATTAACTACTAGTTTGATTATCAGAATCAATTGTGTTAACTCCTGGAAATTCTTCTTCAAAAAACCTGGGTGTTATATCTGAAATTTCATGATTTTTCTTCTTTGTGATTCATTCTTTCCACTCTTTTAAAACTGACCTCAATAAAATAAATCCAAAAATCATATGATTTTTCTCTTTATTCGGTAAAGAGATTCCAGATCTTCCTCGATTAACCTGACTTTTCCGTCTTAATTTTCTTAGTCTCCTCTTTGTGTCTATTTCTTCATTCCTTATAAGTTTTTTTGAGCTTCCTTGCAAATTTTTCATGTTTTTACCATATTTTCTTTTCATGACTGAAAATAAAAAATCATTATAATACACATAGCCTTCTTCGTCCATTTCAATTTGCATTGAGAGCAACATTTTTATCACTTTATTGGCATCCATAGATTTATTCACGCCCAAATCTTTCCCAAGTTTATATAGAGGTTTCCTCTATATAGCGCTGAAAGCGCAGACATTTTCCCAGGAGCTTTCCAAGTTCGTCGGACCAAATCGCTTTTTGGTCCGACCAAGGCATTGATTTGGTGCAACCAACCGATAAATTCCGATCAGAATTTATCGGGCCTTACAGCGCCAAACATAGGAAACTTCTATACATGATTTCTGGCAAAGATTTATAGCTCGTTCTTATCCCTCTGCTTTCTACACTAAACTCAGCCCATACAGATTTAAATATTTTCACGTCACTATTGAACGAAACAATAACATTTTCACTGTCATTTTGACTTGCTTCATAATTTTGTAAAATCGCCATAACAAAAATATTGATCACTATAAATGTTGTGAGCAGGATAAATGATACAAAAAATATTATCGTAACTGGCTTATTTGTGTGATGGGCACAGTCGAACATTATTTTTGGCCACTCTTCGCCAGTCGAGCACCGAAAAAGTAATAAAACAGCATTTCCAAAGTTTTCGAAGTTTGTGTGATCATCAATTATTTCGCCATGCTCAACAGAATGGAACAAGAAAACTCCTAAAAGAGCATAAATTGAATAAATCAGAATCAAAATAGATGAAATATTCAAGATAGCTGGGATTGAATAGGAAATAAGTGATATAAGCTCTTGAAGGCTTTTGAAAAACTTAAACAGGCGCAAGCCTCTGACAACTCTAGCAACTTTTATTGATCGAGCTAGTTGGGGACCAACTCTTAAAAATATCCCAATTGAATAAGAAGAATACTCTAAACCTAAATCTGCGCATAAAGCTGCAGCAATTGCAAAGTCAAATTTATTTCAAGAATCGTGGAAATAATTTTTCAGGCCAAGTCCAAATATTTTCAAAAATGCTTCGAGAATAAATATAAAAGTGAATGCCAGATTAATCATATCTAAGGACTCGGTATATGATGATGCAGCGCCATCGTAATACATTGCCATTTGAATCATGTTCAACATTATACAAACTAAAATAAATCCTTCAAAAATTCAGTTTTGGCATAAATTGTAAACAGTTTTTCGTAGACAATTTTGAGGTTTTTGGATAATTTCGATGCTTGGCTTTGATTTTTGAATTAAATTTTGCAGCTCATATCATGCCATTTGTTGCTTGGTCAAGACTAAGGAGGCTAAAGGATTTTCTTATAATAAAATGGCATCTTAAGAATTAGTTCTCTCCGAGGACTATTCCTTTACCAAGCAATTATATTATGGGGTATTTTCTAGGGACCCTTTATTCAGCTAAGACCTATTGCATTGAATGGGGTTTTGGCCCTTGATTTTAGAAGCCATAGGGTTTTAATGCTTGACGTTCCTAGAAAATTAAACCCTAAGACGAATCACGCGCAGGATTCAAGTAAAGAGTGACGTAGAGAATTCTATGGGACCTTCTGGCTAGCAGATGCTTAGAGTAGCGATGTCATAAGTTCAGAGTAAAGGGCAGTAAAATATTGCGCCTGAAAACAATCATTGCAAACTAACGAATTTTCTCCATTTTTAGCTTCGTTAAATTTCTCAAAAATGACCCCAGAAATGAGATTTATAAAAAAAATTGAGGTCATAATATAAACCACAAAAAAGTAAGCTGCATAAGTATTATAATCAGTTTTTGGAGCGACTCCTTGACTTTTTCCATCAATAGCTGAATACATTATATCAGGCCAAGCTTCTCTTGAGCAGAGAATAAATAAAGCTAATAATGCTTCTGCTACATTATCGTAGTTAATATCTTCTACTATTCAGCTTAATCCATATCTTTCACATTCAGCTTGGGTTTCTATCAGAGGGTTTGAACAGTTATAAAGTTTCCCAGCAAAAAGAGATACAGCTAATATTGCAAAGATTAATCAAACTATCAGCATTGCAATGGCAACATTTATGATGGACAGAATTGACTCATAAAGAGCTATTATTGCAATTCTCAATGAAACGCTGTGGGTAACAAGTCTTAAAAGGCGAAGGACTCTTAAAAGCCTCAAAACTTTTATAAAAGATAAGTTCCAATCAGAGAGCAATAAATCAATGACAGAAATCAATACGATTGAAAAATCAAGAATGTTTCATTCATCCCTAAGAAATGTGTGTTTTTCTAATACTAAACCTTGTGTAATAGATTTGATTATTATTTCTAACCCAAATCAAATAGTAAATCCTATATCCAAGTAAGATGATACTCTACTTTCAGAAGAATTCGAATCGGCATTTATCAAATAAGTGTCTCATATAAGCTTTAGTGTACTTCCTATAATCACAATTAATGAAAAAAATTCAAACTGTCGGCTTGATGATATTTTGCTGCAAAATCTCCGAATTGAGTTATTTATTAAAAAAATAAAACAGCTTCTTTCGCAATAGCTTACCTCATATAAAGCAATTTTTGACTTTGATTTTGACCGCTTGAGGTGTTCTAAAGATGCACTATCATCACTATCAAGTTCTTGCATGCTGTCCATTAATTTTAATTTTTCAATCTTTCTCTTTTGGAACCTCTGGCTTATGCTTGAATAAATGCTTTCTCTTTTGAACGAAATGGTTGAATTTTCTCCTTCAGAAGAACTTTCTCCAGAATCAGATATAAACATGTCAAAAATCAAGGCTAAAAATATGTTAAGCAAAATAAAATGGCCCAGCACAAGCCAAACAAATGGAAATAAAGCAGAGGCATATCCTTTGCTAGATCTCATACAGTTATAAATAACAGTATTCACCCTTTCTTCAGTCATTATTTGAAAAACTGTCAAAAAAGAATGATGAAAATCATCAAAATTATATCGCGCTTTTCCTTCTGGGAAATTGAAAGATCCAGAAAAAATTTGAACACCCAAAATAGCAAAAACAATTAAAAAAAGTGAAAGAAAAATGAATAAATAAAAAATATTCAGACTATTGTTTGATAAAATTGTGATGAGGTGAGAGATAAATCTCAAATATCTAAACAGTCGTAAAACACGGATGACTCTGAAAATTCTGAATATTCTGATAGCTCGAAGAGCACTTAGCGTTGATCCTGATCCTGAAATAAAAAGTAATTCAATAAGAGATAACATAGTTACTATTGCATCAAAAATATTCATTTTGTCTCTAGCATAGTCTTTAACTCCAAAAGAAATAATTTTTGCTCCCATTTCAACAATAAAAATAATAGTAATCAAATAGTTGATCATTGATAAATAGCTGTTTAGGGTTGAGTCAATACCATAATGCCAAGTGGCAAGTGCAATTGTATTTACAATGACGCAAAAAATCATAAAATTGCTGAAAATCTTACCTTCCAATATTTTTTTCAACGGAAACATCAACTTTTGCCAAGCCCCAAAAATTCCTTTTTCCCATATCCGATAATGTAGATTATTTAGTTCGTCAATTCATTCATCTGTGCGTTTATTTAAGTTCACATCAAAAGCTGACCAATCTCCAATGATTTTTTGATCAAATAAATCATTATTTCTTATTTCCCCAATTATATTAGGCACATTTATTGTAGTCAGATGAAAAGCTTTTTTCATATGATATCTTTTAGACAATTTTTCGAAAATTTCGAATCTTTGCATATCATTGAATTTAGCCAGAAAATCTGTGGTTTCATTGTTCCATAATTGAGTCAAACTATATAGCTTATCATAAATTTCAGACCCATCTCTATATCTGAAAGAATAATGCATTTGTTTTTGTAAAGGTATTTTCTTTGAAGCAGGCACTATATCACTTATTGATTCATAGTTAATTGAGGAATTTTCTACCAAAGAAAACATCACGTCTGAGTTTTTATTTTTCTTGATTTTGTCTTGCAGCCCCTTTCCTATCTTAAAAACACTTTTTGTTCTTTTCACAACAGATAATGGCTGAATTCTTGTCTCTTTCCTAATTCTTGCTCTTTTTCTTGGAAGTGTAAAATCAATACTCTCTAACGAGTCTCCTTGATTTTGATTTTCATCTGATAAATTTTCCCCTATAAAATTGCCTTTAACCTCATTAGAATTAATGGAAATAACTGATGAAAAATTATTGCTACGCTCTATAGCTGTTTTTAATTGTGATATAAAAAATTCAGATTTTGGCGTTTCTTCATGCATAATAAATATTTCTGATTTTCTTTTCGGTGCAACAAAATCATTTGTTGAAGAGTCAAATAAATGGGTTTTAGACTTATAATATTTCGGAAAAGACTCACGGACTAGCGATTTTTCACTATCCTCGACTGGATTGTCTGCAAAATCAGATATTTTATTTATATTGCAGCCATTAATTTCAACTTTATATGGAGAGTCTTCATCAAAACTGTTTAAATTCATATTTTCTATAAGCGAAGAATGCAGAGAGACCTCATTATTTTGCATTTTTTGGGCCAATCTTAATTCGTCCATATACTTTGTGAAATTTGAATACAAAATGACTTCATTAAGATTGAGTAGCACATAGACACCAATAAATACTAATGAAATAAAAAATAAATATGAAACGACATTATTTGATGCCATTTCTGCAGTCACCATATAGTCAAACCAACCTTGCTCTGTTATACTCATAAGAGTTGATAGCCAAGCCCAAAAAATATTGTCAAAGTTATACATCCCATAGAAAGGATTATCTAAACCCTTCACACAAATCTCTTCATCAGGACAAGTAGAATAAATGCATACATGCTCAATTTCAATGATTTTGCCATTGCTAATTTCCATGCAATGGTATTTAAATGACCCAGACCACAGCTGAATCCCTGCGATTGAAAAAATTGTTAAGAAGAAAAATAGTATCACAAAAGCATTTAGCAGAGGCCATAAAGATCCTACTAGAGATAAAAATAATATTTTTACTCCTTCTATTGCAGTAATATTCCGAAATATCCTAAATGTTCTCAGTACCAATAAATTAGCACCGCTTCCTATTATTTGGTCTAATCAAGAAATAAATAGTATCAAAAAATCGAAAATATTTCATGGGTTTTTAAAATATGCTTTTTCTGTTACTAATAAACCATTTCCCATTATTTTTAATACGCACTCAATAGAAAAAATATACAAAAATGCATTGTTTATGTGATCAAATCATACCTGTTCGGAATCTGTATTCTTGATAGAAGGATCTTCCAAAGCCAGCACAATGGTATTAGCTAGAATGGATAAAATAATAAAAATTTCAAAAATTATATTTGTAGTAACCAAATATGAAAACTCTATTGTTGCACTTTTTATTCGTAAAATGGCTTTTCTTAGCTCAAGGAATGGCCAGCTATCGTCTAGAGTTTCAATTTTCTCTAATGTAGTAATTTCTCTAATCTGGATAAAATTTTTCAACAACTTAACTTCTTGCTCATTAAAAAACTCAGCCAAGGCATTATTTTCAGTGGCTAACTCGTCTTGAACTTTAATATTGCTTTCAAAAATGGTATTATTTGTAAGAGCTCCCTGCACTGAAAATAGAGAAGAAATTTTTGTAAAGAAGCTTGACGAATTTGTCTCAGTATCAAAATTAGTTTCGCTCAATTCAAAGAAAATAGGGTTATATTCAGCCATTCTATCTATACTCAGTCTCTGCTCAGAGGATAATTCAGGCTCAGAAGATCGATTCGTGATTTCTTCATCACTGGATAGAAATTTCGAGCCACTGTAAACTTGAATATTTTCTTCAGAATATAGATTTGTTTCTTTTGGATCATTATAATTTTGAGCGAAATTTCGCATTTAATATAAAAAAGAAGGTTTTTTTTTGTTTAAGAAGAACTTTTAAAATATTAACATTAAAACAATTTTAAATTAATTATTTATTTATGATAATTGAAATTATTGATGCACAAATATATACCATTATTGCATTCTGCTGCTAATTTATTAGAATTGGATTATCTAGCTATAAAAAGCCGATTCATATACCAGCAGTATAAATAAATATATTATAGCCTATTCTACTTAATTTTCTCTAAATGAAATAGTATTACTGAATAAGCATAACTCGCAGATTTAGTATATTATAGTCTGCTATATTCCTTAGATATGACAACTGTCCTCATCCTAGTTGGGTTCCAATTTGAATGTTCAGGCGCCACAATTTCAGAAGTCTGAGGATTCACATCCACCCAAAGCTCAATCTCTGGGTCTGAAGAATATTTTCCACAGAACCCTGATTCCATACAAGCACGAACCGTAATCGAATATGCACAATTCACAAACTTTCCTTTAGTTGTCCACATCTCACCAATAGCGCTCTGCAAGGAATCCAAAGGAATTTCTACTTCGCTTTCCTCGTCTTCTAAAAGTGAGTGTTTTATAGGCACTTTTGCCTGAAAGCTATGCAAGCTTTCTTTAAATACTCTTGTTTTTCCATTATCAGACTTCAATATAATAGTCCTATATAGCGTGATTTCATAATTACTATCCCCAGAACTCCTGATTGGCTACTCTAAGCAAATCTGTGTCCTTCTAAACATGTCAGATTGACTTGGCAACTGATGTTTTCCCAGACTAATAATAGCCCAGAGCTGTAAATAGAAGTCTTCAGCTATAACGCTAATTTTGCATCTCGAAGTATCGAGTTCTAATGTTAAATAAATAAGCCCATTGCATATATAGGACGTTCTGTTTGCGGTTGCTTTCAAAAAAATAGCTCCTCTTGAAAACCAGCAAAATCCTGAAATTTTCATAAGAGCGCTTGAAGAGAGAGGGTCCACTTGGTGTCTATTTACCTGAACAATATTTACAGGCAAAGTCACTGAATGTGGAGGGACAGTGGAGAGCGTGGCTTCAAGGGTGTATATTACTGATCCACTGCATGAGTCATTTTCTAACTCCCCCTCCGTTAGTGAGCAAAAACATTAGAAAAATCGCTATTTTTCGCCCAAAAGCCTACCCTTCGTGAGTGTAAAACAAATTTTTAATAGAAAAATTTTTTCTGAAAAAAATAATTGACATATAAGCGATATTAGTATAATGAAATCTATAGCTAATTCTGTTTAATTTTAAACAAATTACGCTCTAAAACATAAATTTTATAAATTAAATTAATTTTTTTGCTTTTCAGTTTTTTTGCGAATTAGGATTTTTTTAAAATTTCGGAAAATTTTTTCTTAAAAAAAAAAAAATTAACTCCTTCAGTAATCGAACAAGATTTTTTTGTTCGCTCACGGAGGGGGGAGTAAAATAAAAGTCCCAGGGAGATCTTCGGGAAGATGGATAGAAAAGGGGTAAATATACTCGCCTTTTCGAGCTTGATTCGGCCATGTGTATAAGTTAAATTCCTTTTGGATTATGATGCTACTTCCGTTGTGAGATTCTGATGGGCTGCTTTGTGATTTAGAAGGAGAGTTTTCTTTTCAGGAGCAGGCTTCTTTTCCAAGAAATGTGAGGTTTATGTCTCTGCATTCAATGTTTCGAGGGATTCTGAGCCAGACTTCACCTTGCAGGAATCCACCTGATAAAAATGTTGTCTGTTTGGTTTTAATATAAAGAATAATGTCTTTACTTGACATTTATATGTATTTTGTAGCCTAGAGCTAGTAAAATTATAGTTAATACTCTTTTCTTATTTAAGTGAATACGCTAATAACAATATGCTTCAATTCATGACTAGATCGATCTATTAAGATTCATATTTTATAATAATTATGAATATCAATAATGTTTGTATTCCAAAAAAGTAAGCTATTTTTTGAAACTATTATAGCCAATACACAAGATCGCACTTCCTGCTCAGTGCTTTTACTGGAATGTCATAATGTATTCATCTTTCATAGATTTGATTTTATAAGTCGTTTTCTAGAACTCCTCTTCCTATTCTTATCCCCATACTTGCTAAACCATATAATAAATATTTTATAAAAAATATTTAAAATTTTTTCTCTCCCCATCCCCATATTTTTTGAATTTAAAATTAAATGTACCCTCAAAAAGCCAACCCTGCCATTTTCTTATAATAATAATAAATGGAAACCATTAAACAATCCTCCAGTGAAAATGAAGGATCATTGCGATTATCCAAACGAATCCGAAAGCCGACTGTTCACTTCACTCTTGACACAGCTCCTTCAAAAAAAACACCTGAAAACGCCTCAGTTAAAATGACTTACAACAAGCCCAAACTGCCACCTATCCACACAAGTTTCATATCTCCTACAAGCATAAAGCTGGATACTGTTCTCGCAAAAGGCCTAAAACAGTTAAAAATCAGCATATCGGATGACTATATTGTCGTTTACTATTCCAGAGAAGAAAGGAGTAATTATTATATAGGATGGAAACATATAAAAAACTTTGAAAATATAGATATAGGCATGACCTACAGACTGCGTGTATATAAGAAACCTGAGAAGAAGGTAGAAGTCAAAGCTGTTGAAGCTCCAAAAGTGGCTCTGCCAGTGGAAGAGAGCCAGAAGAATGCTATGGCTAGTAAAACTCCTGGGCAGACCAGAGAGATGATGCAGCTGTACGGGTTTTACTGTTACTGGTATTATATGATGTCGATGAGAGGGTCTTAGTATTAATTAATCAATAAATGTTTAATGCCCACTAGCAGGTTGCTCAACCACAGCTACCTCCAACACCGCTCTGGGGCGAATTTCGCGGGCCCATGAAAGGTGCGGCTACTTTCGACTTTTGTCGCCAAAAGAGGACGTCAATCTTGACCTTAGAGCTTCGACGCCTCTTCTTTGAGCTCAGGCACTTATTTGAGTCCAATCAGTACCTTAAATTCCCAGTCTTCACCACCTGGAGTCAGTGGCACTCTTCTGGAAAATTCCATTCCTTAAGGTCAGGAGTCCGGCAGGAAAAACCACCCGGCTCTGGCTTCCCTTACATAGCCGGGATAATTTCGCCAGGGGAAACCAAGCCTCATAATTGAAATAAGCAAGAGATGAATTTTCGGTCGGGAGACCAGAAAATTCAAACAACACCATATTTAATTATCCTCTGAGAGGGTATCAGGTACCGAACTTTTCTCATTATGGTCAGAATTAGAATAGCTGGAGAAGAAAGGGAAAATGATTAAAAATTAAGCATGTTAATAACCATTTAAATTGTTATTTTCAGTCTTTTTTATGTGATGATATTAGATCTTTGGAAGCAAAATGTGACTCGATTAGCGAATAGGGGGCGATATAAATGGCTTGTAATTAATTATTTGCATGAATGCCAGAATTTGCTGAAGAGTGCCAGGTAATAAGATTTTGAATTTCCTTAAACTCTCATATGTAGTATTCCTTAAAACCTCTCAGTTTTATTTTTTATTTTTATTTCATTTAAGTCTCTAAGTTATTATCGTTTAAACTGCTTTTTCCAAGAAAAGCCTATCAATAGCTTGATCAAACCCTTCAATCCTAATCTGTTGGTCAGTCTCATAAAATGGATTCTTTAAGACATAATCAGAGTAGTGCTGATATGCTTTTTTACAAAGCGATTCCATGTCTTGGCTATTAGGATCACTCACCAAGCAAAACATGACCCCAGTTGTTGTTTGATAACAAAATAGCTTAAAAGTCTTAGTGTTCAGCACTTTTAATCCAGTCTTTCTTAGGTTTGGAGGCGTGATTTGTGCAGAGATCAGGTGAACTGAGTTTAGGGTCGATGAAAACCTAATCATGTCATTTGCTGAGAGTTTGGCTGTGCCTTGGTAGTATCTATCATAAATAATAAGTCCGATTTTGTTGACAATAAAGAAGTGATAATGCATTTTATTAAATTTATAATCAACATTGCAATTTAATTGATATAATTTCGTTACTTGGTCATTGAATATACTTCGCCCAGTAATTCATATATCTATTTGAATATTGCTGTAAATGAAGCTTATTTAAAAATATATTTTCCAAAGTTATATTATAAAAAGCAATTTATCTAACTGTGCAGCTGACTTATGGTATCTTGCATTTCGCTCTCAATCCTTCTGCTATTTATCATCTTGTCAGTTGCCATAATTCTGTTCTGATAAATTTGTTGTCTTGTTATTGACTGTTCTAAATATGTAAACATATGCGAATTTATAAACATCGGATAATACTGGTTCAGCAAAGTGCTGTAAGTATGGGCCTGGATCACTCTAACCGATTCCCTGTCAGGGATATTTAGCTCCATTGCCTGCTTTTTGATTTCCTTTTCTGTCTCATCTGAAGGAATATGATTATAATATTCGCATTTCAGCCACAAATGAATAAACTCAGGCCCTTTGTCATCATCTGGATATTCTGTTATTGCTTGCTCAAAAGCGTCTAAAGTCACTCTGCACCTTAAAATTAAATCGAGCGACTGTAGCATTTCTATTGTCAAGCTTTCTGAGAAGTCTTCCTTATGAAAAGTCCTGAATAATGGGAAAAGTGAAGTTGCTATCATTGCGACATTGTCTCGAATTAAGAAAGCCCATCTCCAAGCATTTTTTATATAAACAGTATATTTTGTATCTAATGAATTTATTGTGAAAAATCCACCGACAAACCAAAGAAAGCAGACAAAAGTCAGTTCTTTTTGCATTTGGAAATCGTCATTTACATTTCGTAAAAAGTAAACGAGGAAAATAAAAATAAGTTCTTCGAAAAATGAGGTAATTACATAAGCCATTAAAGTGTAGAGATCGATATCTTGCCCTCGGGCGTTGCAGTAGCTTGATGGGTAATATTCGTGAATCTGAGGAACAAGGTTTAAAAGTGCAATTACGATGAATGGGAGCATTAAATAGCAAAATACCTTAAGCAGCCATTCTTGGTGCGTTCTGTGTATATTGTTTCTGAAATGTTGGTCTTTGCTGTCATTTTTGTCTCAGTTTTTATCTAACTCCCCCCCATCCTTGATAGAACGATTGGCTGTAAAAATTCCTAAAAATTGGGGGAAATTAACCCCCATCCTTGATCGAACTATTTTCATATCATGACAATTTTTATATATATAAAAATATATTAGCTATCAAAAGCTTGGGAAATGTGCCTAATGAAGCTGTTTTAAGAGGCTTTGAGACGACAGAAAGCTACGGAATCAATTATTCGAAGTGCTTTAGTCATCAACATGGGCTTAAAAACTCAATAATCTAAAAAATAGAGATTCTTTAAAAATTTAAAAATTTTTAATTCTATAAAGAAATAAATAAAAATTTATAAAATTTAAAGTGGTAACCAAAAAATCAAAATATTAAAAATTGGTATTCTTATGAAATTAATTCAATTTTTTGCTGTAAAAATAAAGATTAAATACATTTAACCCTCTCTATTTAAAAATATATTAAAAAAAACAATAAATTTTTTATTTTATATATAAAATTTTTTCCCAAAAAAATTTTTTAACACCCATCCTTGATCGAACGATGGCGAGCGTTCGATCAAGGATGGGGGAGGGAGTAAGTGAAAAATAAAGTAAACTCTATATCCTCTTAAAACATAGCTTAAGAATAAGCAATATCTAGAAAGAACTGATAGCGTTTGATAAATATATTGCAAATAGCTTTCATCATTATCAGGATGGCAGTCATGACTAAAGTAAAGAGCAAAAAGGTAAACATTAGTTTCTATATAGTTTCCCCAATGTGACAAGTGAACTAAGCACGGACTCATATTCTTGATAGGCACTTTTGATGACCTGAACATCAGTAGAATTCCTACTGGAATGTAAATCAATGCTTCTAAGCATAGTCATATTATGCTCACAAACCTCACTGTTTCCATTATTCTCTACTCTTATTAATGAACAATCAACGTATTGTGGGCTTCATTCGATTTCTAACAACAAAAACCCGAAATAAACCAAAAGATCATAACGTGCGTTAGAGGAAAATGAATCATTAAACGCTGAATTCAAGAAAAGGGTTGAATGGCTATTTATAAAATTAATATACAATAAGGAAATTCAATAGAAAAATTGCAAACAAAAGAAGGAAATCAATAGCTCTGCTTTGTAAATTAGCGTATAAACATTAATTCGCCTTTGCTGAAAAGTTACTTTGAACAATTATTATTTTATATCTTTCCAGCATCATTTATGCAAAGCCATGATGAGTTTTTTAATTCCTTATAATGATAGTTATACATAGACGCTGCTCATAATTTTTTTAAATTAAATTTATCCATTATGCCTCAACCCCAGCATTAATATATTCTTGCTCGATTTGTGCCATAGATTCACAAGCTTCAGCAAACTCGTCCGACTCCATTCCTTCCACAACGAACCAGTGAATATAAGCCCTCTTAGCATAGAGTAGCTCAAACTTACAGTTTAATCTTGCAAAGACCCCAGCAATTGCCGTGCTATTACTGATCATGCAAGCCGATTTTGCCACCCTTCAGATATCATCATTAGAAAATGCTAAAGCTTTCTGAGCATTAATTCCCCATTTCACTTCATCTGGGCATCAGTCATTAATTCTAAAGGTATGCGTCGCTCTCAGATCTGCAAAAGAAGATATCACTTCTTCCTGCACAATATCTCCTCGGTACATTAAAGTGCCGGCTAAGCACCTTCCCTGCCTTGGGTCACACTTTGCTATTGAATTAGCTTGGCCGAATACTTCATTAGTTATATCTGAACTATTTTCATTATTTTCTTTTGGAATTATTGGTGCATATGATGGAAACATAAAATGAAGATTTTGAGTTGGCACCAGATTGGTCTTAAATTCGTTTAGACTTGCATTTAAATCTCCATTAAATCGCATTGATGCCGTCATCGAAGAAATTACTTGCGAAATAAGTCTATTTAAATTTGTAAAGGTTGGCCTCCTAATGTTTAGGTGATTTTGGCAGATTTCGTAAACGGCTTCGTTATCAAGAACAACGACAGCATCTGATGACCCAATCAAAGATCTCATTGAGAGAATAGTGTTATAAGGCTCAACAACAGAAACAGCGTTTTTAGAACCTGGATAAATAGAAAAATTTATTCTTGTCTGTTCTCCGTATTCCATAACAAGATTTTCAAGTATCAATGATCCTAATCCAGAACCAGTTCCGCCTCCTAATGAGTGGAAAAGCAGGAACCCTTCAAGATCTGAGCAGTTTTCAACCATTTTCCTTATAACTTCAAGACTTTTATCAATTATTTCTCGTCCAAGTGTATAATGTCCTCTGCTATAGCAGCAGCATCTTCTTTACCTGAAATAAACAAGCCAGGATCATATAGCTCGCGATATGGTCCATACATGATGTCATTAATAATCAGAGGCTCTAGATCAAAAAAAGCTGCTCTTGGAGTATACTTGCCTTTTTCGGTTTCTGAAAAAAGTGTGCCAAGATTTTCATCATAAGAGATTGGCTTTACACTTGAGAATTGGCCATTTGGTGTAATTCCTTGCTCGAGGCAGAATAATTCCCAACAAGCACTGCCAAGCTGTGTGCCAGCTTGTCCGATATAAATAGACAATATTTCCCTCATATTAAAATTATTTTAAACAAATATATAATGGCCGATAAGGAAGAGTTTTTCAGATTTGAAACAAATCGAGATGTAACTCTAATAGAAAGTTTTGAGGAAATTCAATTAATAGACCCCTTACGTTTAGCCCTAAATGAGGAAGGTATAACTGAGCCTCTGCCTATCCTGAAGCAATGCTATCGTGCCTTCAATGATGAATCTAATTTGATAATTTTCCTCCCTCCAGCATCTGGCAAAAATATTCTCATATCCTTATCTATTTTAGGATCTATAAATTATAGCGACCCATATCCTCAAGTCATTATTGTCGAGCCTAGGATTTATTTAATTCCCGAAATGCTTAATACTCTTACTCATTATGCCAAATATTTACAGCCTACCTTTCTAATTACATCAAGAGAGACAAAAATCGCTGATGATATAAAAAAGCTTCCAGAATCTCAAATAATTATAGGAACTTCTAAAAGAATTAACAGCATGATTAAATCACGCAAAAAATTTTTTTCACATGTGGGCCTCCTAATAATTGATGCAGGCGGTGGAATTTATGAGAAAAAAACTACTGAAGATTCAAAAGAATCAGAAGAATGAAAAGACCAAGGAGAAACCTTGCATGAAATAATTAAAAAACTTGGCAGGAATGTCAGAAAACGGTGGGTTTCAGGAAACATGCATGAGGATTTCTTTATTAAAAGAGTCTCAGAATATACTCCTGACCCTTTAATCATTAAATCTTGTTTCCAAGTTGCAGTCGCAGGGGGACAAATCCATTATAAAATCGAGTGCACTGATGAAGATGATAAATTGGAAAAATTGAAACATTTGATGAGCCAAAACCCAGATACCCAAAAAATCATTTTTTGTAAATTTCAAAACTTAGAGAGGCTCACACAGGAGATTAAGCAAGGATTCGAAAGAGTTCTAGAAATAATGAACTTAATTGCAAGAGATCAGCTGCATGAGGCTTATAGCAATTTTAAAGAAAAACAATATATGGCATGCATTTGCCAGTCAAAAGGCTATTTGATAAGGCAATTGTATACGACACAGCAGGTAGAAATTTATAATTACGACATGGGGAAATCGAAGAAAAAATATTTAAAAAGAATCAGGAGGAATGGACTCTATAAGCAGGGAGATAAAATATTTAATTTTCTAATTACAGACGAGGAAAAACAAAAATTAGCAAGAATAGAAGAAAAATATGGCTATATAATGCAGAATAGCAGCTTTAATTAAAATAAATTAATTTTAAGAGATGCTGTATTTATAAGGTTGATTACTTTTTTGCAAATTCATAAATTATAATTTAAAATATAAGTCGAGGCTGCATGGCCAGGAGGCTATGCCCAGACTAAAACGTCATACTTTACTTATGACAGCCAAAACGACATTTCTACAAAAAATATGCAGGCATCAAGCTGCTTTAACTTGGGCTGTGGAAAAATAGCAAAGTTTAAGTGTAAATGCACATCAAAAGGATCATTCATGTGCGAAGACCATAAAAATCAGCACTTAGCTTCCCTTTTAGCTCACAATATCGAGAAAAATTGTGAAGCAAAAGAAGAAGAATTTTTGTCTTATTTAATAAACGAAGGAAATCAACTAGAGCAGCTCTTGCAAAAATCAATAAAAAGTTTAGAAATTCTGTCCCCAAGCACAAACAAGTTTATACTTCGAGAGCTGAAATATTGTAAACGCCTAGAAAAAGAAATAAACCAAAATGCAAAAGACAATAATCTTTTTATATTTATGACATACAAGAATCAAATGCTAAAACAAAATCTTAGTTTTGTTTCTAAAATTTCAAGTGTAAAGCTAAGCGATTTGCCAAGAGATAATTTTATAACGCTATTGCTGAAAATAGATAATAAAGACTTCGATATCAATACTATTTTAGGCACTGAGAAGGCTAGTAAGTCTTTAGCTTCTACTATCCTAATATTAAAAAGTGCAGCAAGAGGATACCTCGCAAGAAAAAAGTGAAAGCAGCAAAAAGCTAGCCAGCTTGCATTTAATCTTGATTTTGATTTAGCCACCTATTATCAAGATAATTTAACAATTCCTCGAGTTTCTTTCAAAAATCCAGCCACAATCCATAATGTGCCAGCAAGTAGTACTGGAAATGCAATTAAATTGCAAAGCGTGGCAAGGGGATATTTAGCAAGACAATTACTAAAACAACGGGAAAAAGCAGAAGAATGAAAACATTCAGATTCAGTTTCTTTGGAAAATAAAACCATAAGCCAAGTTGCTTTGGTAAGTAACACTATAAATGCAATAAAACTGCAGAGCATTGCAAGGGGATATTTAGCAAGACAACGACAAAAAAATAAAGAAAATGGAGAGGAATGTTTAATTTCAGATCCGATTTCAGCTGTGTCGTCTACAATTACTACCGAAAATACTACATTAAATGAAACCAAAGATCTACCAAATATATTATGTGAAACAAAGGATCAAGCAAATAATCTACAATCACAATTAGGGGTGAAGTCTTTTTCAAACGAAAAAAGTAGCAAATTAAGTTCTTCTTTGGTAGAGGAAAACTCTTATACAGGGGAGAGGAATGCTGATGGCCAAAGGCATGGCTTTGGCGTCCAGATATGGCCGAATGGTTCATCATATGTTGGATACTGAAAAAATGATAAAAGGTTAAATGGAAAACATTCTGATCAAAGCTTAACTGTCTATGATGGAGAATGGGAAAATGATACATACCATGGTAAAGGAAATCTCTTTAAGTTAAAGCCTAATAGAAGTGAGGAGGAATTTGAAACAAAATATGAAGGATCGTTTTACTGTGGGCAAATGCAAGGATATGGAAAATACACTTGGGAAGATGGAAGCTCTTATGAAGGGGAATTTTTGGGTAATCAAATGAATGGGAACGGTGCTTTTAAGGATCGCAATGGAATAATAATACTCAAGGGGATGTGGAAAAATGGGATTTTAGTGAAGAAATCTTAATGGAAAATAAGCACGCTAGTTTTAAGGATACTCTTTATTGTTAATATGGATATTATCCTAATCACAATCTCAAAATGTGATTAAGAATAAATTGATTCTGCTTAGAATTTTCAATCCATAAGATTAGAAATAAAGCCCAGCTAGTTTATATATGCTGAGTATTTAAATGCATAAAGTATAAAATTTTCTACTATTACTAATATACATAAATAAAAATCAATTTTTTCTTATGTTCCATCTAAGAAAAGAAGATCCACCCCCTCGAATTCAAAAAGAAACCCTTTCTCGAACCAATCAATACTACATTGCCCAGGTCAGCCAAATGGAAATCAAAATTAGCGAGTTAAAAGCTCAACTCGAAGCCAAAAACAAAGAAATTCAATATCTTACTAATAAACTTGAAAGAGCTGAAGAACAAGCTCAATCACGTTTGCGAGATGCAATTTCTGCTTCTAGCCGCACCGTAAAAGAGCTGGAAACCAAAATTGCCAAATTAGAAGAAGAAAATCGGCAGCTAAAGCGTCAGGTAAATCACAATCACGATTCAGCTGACATCAAAATTGAGCTTGAATATGCCCTAACTCCTTCCCCTTTGTGAGTGAACAAACCCATTGGAAAAATCCCATTTTTTGCCCAAAAACCCACCCTCCGTGAGTGAACAAAATTTTTTTATGAAAAAAAAATTGATATATAAGTGATAATTAGTATAATGAAATCTCGAGCTAATTCTGTTTAATTTTAAACAAATTGCGTTTTAAAACATAAATTTAATAAATTAAATTAATAATTGCTTCCCGTTTTTGCAAATTAGGATTTTTTCAAAATTTCGAAAAAAAAATTAACTTCCCTCTGTGGTTGTCCAAATTTTTTTGTTCACTCACGGAGGGGGAGTAAGAATGAAACAAATTTTTGAAGAAAAATACCGCGAAGCCAAATCTCAGCAGCTGCGAGCTGATATGAAGCGAGAAACCCAAAGCCAAGAGCCACGGCCAAGTGTAAATAAAAGCCAAGTTTTTGATTTACAGCAAGAGCTTGAAAATGCACATCAAGAAAAAGAAAAGGCACAACGACATGCAAGCTTGACTGACGAAGAAAATAAAAAACTTCACAAAAAAGTTGAAGAGCTTGATAAGTCGAATGCGGAATTAAATAGAAAATATATCACATCTCTGCTTAAAATAAGGGATCTTGAAAATAAATCCTCTCAAGATTCGAGCCAGCATGAAGATTCGCATGTAAAATCTCTAGGGAGCAAGGCAAAATCACGAGCTCAAGGAGAAATTGCGCCGACAATAACAAAGAAAATTGTACTACCGAGTTCTACTGTATCCTCAGCTCCAAAAGCAGCGAATCTAATTAAAACCTCAAAAGATATTTCTTTCTCAAGACCAGTAAAGACTATAAAAGAAAGAAGAGAAACTGGACACCACCAAACCAACCAGCCTACTTCTGAGCCCCCAAAGGCATCCTCCATTTACGCTCAAGCTATCAGCAAAGGCTTAACCATTTTCCAAATCCCTAAGCCACTAACGAGCAGCACTAAATCCATCACACACAAAAAAACTGTTAAATTCCCTGATATGATAAATGAGCCCAGAATCGACATTTCCCTGCACAAGCGAAATCCAGATTCTCAAAACTCATCACCCAAAACCAGCATTTTTGGAAGCCCAAGCAACCAAGGAATCTTAAAAAATAAGCAAGGCAGCTTTCAGAAAACAGTCCCAAACTTTACTATTGCCCTAGACAAATCTTCAAGTAACGACACATTTGGGGACGAATTCCCTGACGAAGACGAGTTAAATACTTAAAATTGTCATTAATTTTTTATATTTACGATTAAACCTCTCAGTCGAGGCCTTGATTTTAAAGTTTCTCTGACTCGCAATAAAGGGTTTCCTTCAGTTTTCATCCGAAATGGAGTTGTACTGGATAGCATAGGCCGAGGGGAGCCTGAGATTGAGAATGGGTTATAAGAGTTTGAATTGTCAATTCCATCAAGCAAATATGCATGAGAATTTGATTTTCTAGGGTGGAACATTGAGAGTTTCAATTTTTGAGGGGTGTAAGGAGCCTTTTTACGCGTTTTCAGCTTTATTTCAGGTTCCAAAGTGATTTTGTGAGCTTTGACGTTTTTAGGCAGGTCAGGACAAGAGCACAGGTCATTGTTGCTATTTTCTTTGCTTTTTCGAGAAGTGGATTTTGAATATTTTAAATAGTGAGATGCCGTTTTTGGCTCTTTAGAAGCGAACAAAGCATCCAAGTCCAATGTTTTTTTATTCAGCTTAGGCTGATGCTCGAGGGTAAGTCTGTTTTTCTTCTTATTTTTCAGCTTGATTAGGCTATAAATGTCATAAGCATAGATTCCTTGTTTCTGTCCGAAAGAGTAATTAGCCATCTTATTAGATTTCTCGTAATTATTTATAAAAATACCTTTATTAGATGTCTTGTAAGAGATCATCGTCATGTGAGCCTAAATCAAAAACATCAATTGGAGCTCTCCTAGAACTGAAGGCTTTTGCCATGGCTTCTTCCATCCTTAAATGCCCGTTGAAATTTTTCAGCTGAGACCTGAATCCTCTAATCATGTCTTCTTTCATAGCCAAAATTTTATCGAGCTCTCCTACATACAGTTCGACGTCACTTCCTGGCTTATCGACCTCCCCAAGTAATGCCATCTGCACCTTAATGGCATCAACCATGTCATCGATCATTTTTCTGTGTGTGTTGATAAGTCTTTCTTCTTCAGCCAAAATTACACCTATCAAATTTTCATGCCCTGCAGTTAATTCTTCAATGTCCATGTTTTCGATTTCTTCGTAGTCATGAGCTGCTCTCTGTGGGATTTGATTTTTGGGGGATATATAACTGGTCTTATTTGGGGTATTTTTTAGCATGCTTTGTTTTATATTGGTATTTTGCTTGAGAATAGGTCGCTCATACTCATTTGTGGTGTTTTTAGTGGCCATTTTGAGATATGGGGTGTCTTCCTGCTCTTCTTCCTCTTGCTTGATGTATCGCACGACGTTGTTATTTTGCCTTGGAAGCATAAGGGCATTTGCAAGCTGATCTTGGCCTTTCGAGCCGCTTCCGCCACCTTTTTTGAGCTCTTTTACTCTGTCAGCGTATCTGAGAGAATTGAGGGTATGCTCGCAGCTGTTAATTCCAGGAGAAACATTTGCGATCATGACTGTTCTGCAGTTGCCTACAAAGGAATCTTTAAGCACCAATGTAAGTTTGCTGCCTCTGAAAGGAGTATGCTTCTTATCTTGATCTAAAGCGCGGATGCACTCTTTGAGAGCGAGTAAAGATTTATTAATTTCAGCGCCATCAAAACGGGTCTTTGCATCAGAGTTGCTGACATCAGCTCCTCTTTCACTTCCAGCAAGATCGATAAAAGTAACTTTGCCTTTTACTGCCCTTCCTTCTCTTACTCCCATTTTATTTACTTGAAATTATAGATTTTTATATTATTTTTTAAAAAGAACAGGATTTCAATATTATTGAATAATTCAAAAATTTAAAATTCATTTGCCATGAAAGCATATAGGATAGAGTTAGAGAAATTTCAAGGACTCCATGTGATCTTGAGGAATCATCATTTGCTCCTGTCTGTCCTGTCGTTCTTGCAGCCATACCGTAGCTAATGATATTCATTAGAGTTTCAACGCCATCCACTGGCTTATACTGCAACCCAACAATATTCACATTTTGTTTACTCCTCCCCTTCTTGTGCTTTCAAAAACATAATGCTCGCTAAAATTTTAATCTAATAAATTAATAGTAAATCTTTTTGGAAATCAACAAAAGCTTGAAAAAAAAAATTAATTCATGAAAAAGAATTCGGGTTGCTAGAAATTTAATAGAATTAGCTAGAAATTTCATTATAATAATGCTTTCTTATATATCAATTATATTTTTGCACTTTATGGATGATGATTTTTCTCACTCGTGTAGAAGATTTAGCATCTTCTCTGACATGGAGGATATGGCGATCATTGAGCAAATCATGAAGTTTTCCACAATAAATTTCATAAAAAGCAACTGTCAGCTGGATTTTTGGATAATACTGATCTCTATAATAAAAGAGATCATTTGCAGCTTGCAGATAGAGACCGGGTGTGCTAGCTTCTCCCATCATAGTGTAGGTTTTCCCACTGCCTGTCTGGCCATATGCAAAACATGTAACTTTTGCCCCTTGGAAAGCAGCTTGTACAATAGGCTGTACCGTCGCTCTATAAAGTTGTTCGTTATTGACATCTTCATTATAAACCCCATCAAATGTTTCATCTCCATGATTTTTATTCAGAATATTTCCCTTGGTAGCCATTTCCTTAACACTATTTTATGGGATTTTTCCCTAAATACTAATATTTTTGCTGAATAAATGCCCTAGCTTCCCCACTCCGTTAGCGAACAAAATAATTGGAAAAATCCCTATTTTTTGGTCAAAAATCCTTGAAAACAAATTTTTTATATATATAAATTTAGAGATAATTTTGAAAAAATTACTAGATTTATTTTACATATCATTCAAAGGATTTAATAAAAGAATATCGTAAGTAAAAGTTTAAATTTAACAATTTTTAATTTAAAGACTAAAAAGACTAATAGAATAGACCGATTACATAATTACTTCTTCTTTGGATGATCAACGCTATAAGAATCCGTTAGTTCAAATGACTTTCTAACAAGTTGTGGGCTTACAGAATTCCATGCCTTTGAATCAATCTTAACCAGTTGATGGCGATCGAGGGCTTTGAGATTTCCGTTCTTTTCGATCTTCTCTAGAGAGCAACAAATTTTTTGCTCGCTCATAGAGGGGTGGGAGTAAGTGAAAAAAATAAAATAAATAATCCGAGAAAAATCCTTTGACCAAAGACCTGCTACAAATGTGAAATAGTGCTCTTCTATGTAGCGAGTCAGATCTACTTTGACTTTTTCTTCCTTGACTATTAACGTGTTTGGGGACCTTTGAATTAGGATATCGGACTCTCCGCGCTGGCGTTCTTTCGAATTTAACGGTCTTTTGCGAACTATAACTTGAATTCTTTGATCTTTATCCGCCATTTTAAATATTCTTAGGATCGAAGAATAGATATTTTAAGTGTTTGTAGGAGAGAAATTGATAGGAGATTAAAAAAATAAGTTTATCAAGCTCTAAGTAAGTCTCTTGCAAGCTGCTTTTGTGAGCAAACAATTGCCCAATTTTTAAAATTTTCAAATTAAATGAAAATTCGTTAACTTTTATCATTTCTGCTCACTTGAAATAAATATGAGAGGATAAGAAAAAGATAATAAAAGATAAGGTAGATGTCAAAATGTGATTTCGCAATTGAATAAACTACTAATAAAGAATAAAATAGATTTTTATTAGTTTGTTTTAAGGATTAATTGATATTTATTATCTATAAATAAAATGGTGTCTCAGCCCTGGCATTGCCTCAGGAAATTCAGCCTTGAGCACATTTATTTATATGCGCAAACTTTTGAAAATCCAGAAATGGGCAGCAATGTTAGGTAAGCAACTCTGGGAATGCAGAGTCTAGCCCTAGTCCGCTTTTTGGATTGGATTTTACCTCGAGAGAAAAAGTTGGTCATAGTTGGAAAGGGAAAGCCCAGTAGCATCTGCAGGCATCGGCTAGGCCATTCGGGCAACTTCCTAGCGTGAAGCTGGAAGCTACACCCAGGCTTTGAATTTTCATTTTTCCCGATAGTTGGCCAGAGATTTCATTTTTTTGAGATTTTGCGCAGACTGCCTTCGTTCAACCCAAGCAGCAAGTCGCAGAAGTCCATATCCTTCCCACTCAACACTGGAGCTGTAAAGGTAAGGAGGAGACGAAGACATAGAACTTCTTCATATATGTCAAGGCGTCAGGCAGTGAAAATCATCTCAGCTCAAACAAGTTCTTCTTGTCGTCGTGGAAAGAGGGTGAATCTCCCTGAATATCCTTGGTGATAGGGAATGGCGAGCAAGCCAAGACCTGCAATTTAAGTTTAAGTTTAAGATATTTATTATCTTTTTAGTCGATAGTTTTGCTTATAACTTCTTTTAATCAGAAATGCAAGGATTATCTAATTTTGGGGTTTTCATAGAAATTGCTCCTTTTAATTAGTTAAATTTTTAAGTTGAATAGGCTTATATGCTTACCTGAGAAGCAATATTGATAACTGAATACTTAACTTAACTTTTTCACGCTAATTAAACTATCAGAATTCAATCTAACTAGCTAGAAAGCTCATAGTGATATATAAATGAGGAAACTATTTATTTAAATACTAATTATTAGAAAAATGCTTTTCCTTGAGCATTGCAGTCATCATTTTTTCGAACTCTAGAAAGTCGATTTCTCCATCTCCATTTAAATCAACCTCCTCTAAGATTTCTTTCCATATATAATCAGTATCTTCATCCCCATCATCCAAAAGCCACTTCAACTCATTCACAGTGATTTTTCCACTATGATCTTTATCATAGCTCTCAAAAGCTGCCAGGAGCCTTTGCTTGGAAAGTGACTGTTCTCAGTTCAAAGTGACAGTGATAAATTCGTTATAATCTATAAACCCATTGCCATCAATATCACACCTTTCCATGAGCTCATCAATCTGTATAGGTATTTTTATTTCTATTTGACTAAATCCATTGATGACTTCATCTTTACTGAGCCTTCCATCGTTATTCACGTCAAGTTGCTTAAACGATTTTGCCAAGCTTTGGGTTTCTTTATAAGTCACTAGCTGTGAACTGATATAGAATAAGGTTGCTTTTTGGAGCCTATATTGAGATTGGAAGCCGGCTAAGTTATTTAAGGCTTGGTTCGCTAAAGGGATATCTAGCTGTTCTTTGGCAAGACTCATTCATGGGTGTTCCAAAACCTCTTTGGTGCCATATCGTCTGTTTACATCTCGGTCTATCATATGCTTGATCAAATCAATTGCATCTCTTGATATGCAGTTCCAATGCCTCTCAGGAAACTCCAAAGGTCCAGATTGTACAAGCTTCAGCAAGTCTCTTTTACTTTTAGAGTGAAAAGGAGGTCTCCCAGAGAGCATCACATACAAAATCACTCCACAGCTTCATATGTCGCACTTTTCATTATATTCACCAGAAAGTACCTCTGGAGCTACATAATAAGGCCTAATTAAATCTTACTGTCCCCACAGGCTTGTCTATAATTTTGTTGCTGTCCATCAAAATTGCACAGCCAAAGTCACAAATTTTTAAATCAGAGCTTTCTTCATTAGGAAACATTATATTTTCAGGCTTTAAGTCTCTATGAGCGACTCCATTGCTGTGGCAATAGGATAAAGCTTGAATTAAGTCCTCCATATATTTCGCAGCAACGCCTTCTGTCAGCTTTTTTGATTTTACTATCCGATCAAAGAGCTCGCCTCCTGTGCAAAGCTCCATAACGATATGGAGAATTGACGGTCCACTTCGAAAAAATATCATGCCTTTTTTCAGGCTATTTTACATAAAATTGTTTAAATTGTTATCAAAAAAATTTTAAAAATAAAAATCCCAGAGAAAGGTTAAACATTTTTAGTTATTAAAAAAATTGACGGCTGCTCAATAACTTCAATAACTTTTACTATGTTGGGGTGGTCAAGCTGCCTGAGAATTTCGATCTCGTGGGCGGTTTGTGGGATAACTTTGCTTTTGCTGACTGATTTAATGGCTCTATCAAGCTGTGTGGACTTTTGTCAAGCAAGATAAACGTTTCCGAATTTGCCATGTCCAATTTCTTTCACAATTGTATATTTTTCTAATAGGCTGCCATAGAAGAATTTGATAAAATTTGCTTTTTGAAAGAACTGTCTTTACTTACTTAATTATCTGGCATTTAGGTGTCAGGTACCACGCTGTAGTTAATGGCTATAACCAGACTAGCGATGCTGACGCTCACGGCCATCTTGCCTCTAACCTCGCCTCATTTCAGGAGAGAGTGTTCAAAATCCGCCAATCACCTCGCCACCATACAAACTGCATTTCTCACCTGGCGCGTTGTCTTCGCGTGTGGCTCAGAACAGCGTTTGCTCCATCTAAATTTCACCCTCCTCGGGTGGCTGAGCGTATTAAATTAATACTCTGGAATCATGCCAGGCTCTGCCCCCTCCTATTGGTTACCTGATGTAGCTGGATAAGGTGCTTCTAGAAAATCAAACCTTATAATAATAAAATCAGCAAAGGAGGAGAAATTTCGCTTATGCTGTCATTTTATGATTATTGAAAGAACTGTCCAGTTGACGACCTAATTGAGAGCAAAGATGTGGAGGTTTTTGTTGTGAGTTGGGGTTGAGTTGGCTTTCTAGGACGATCTATACCACTATTTAGACAGCAACCCATTTATATCTCATTAAATCTATACATGAGCTTAAAAATTGACAGGTGAAATAATAAAATTAATGAGGAATTTTGAAAACATTACTTACTATTTGTTCACTGAAAAATTTTTGATTTGAAATTACTATTAAAAAACTTAACAGATTTTTGGTCCAGATGTATTCCTTGAAGACATTTTCTTACTCCCCCCATTAATAGCGGACGAAAAAATCGTCCGTTATTAAATGGGGCATAACTTAAAAAGTTCAATATTTATATATATTTTTCTATTTAAAATTTTTTTATAAAAGGTCTGAAAAAAAAAATCTATTTTAAAGGTCGAAAGAGTAACACTAAATCTAATAAAATGGAGTTGAATGGAGAAAGCAGAAAGAGAAAAAGACTAACAGCTGGTGATAAGGTAGTTATTGCACAATACTATCTGGATCATCAAAATGAAGGTCTTTCATATGAAGATATAGCCTACAAGTTCAATGTATCAAAGTCAAGTGTTGGCGAATGGGTAAAAGACATTCATCAATTGAAAAGGGGAGATCAAGGTTTAGAGAAAAGAAAGCCTATGCATATTATTAGCTCTCATAATTTTTTAATGCCTTTGCGTTTAAATGAATTCTATCTGACTCTCCCAATCTTTATTTTGTAAATTTATAATGAACGATTATCTTATATAATTTAAACTTTTTTATAGTAAAAAATTTCCGTTATTAAATGGTACCTAAGGCTCCATTTTTAGGGGAAAAAAAATGATCTCGTCCGCTATTAGTGGGGGGGAGTTAGCACTGTTCGCTCAAATTTTGATAAGAAATGCTCTTTCGAGCAATGCCTTATGGGAAAAGAGGAAATTGCTTGTGCGGAAAATATCGGTGAAGAAAAATCATAAAGCCTTAAGAAGAAATAATTGCGAATAAAAAATATTATTAATGAGCTATTTAATCTTTGAATTTTTAAGAATTGATAATAAGATCCGTTATATGAATATGATAAGAATGCAGCTATATTTCATATAATCCAAAGAATGAATAATACTCTCAGCTTTGCTAACCCCCCCTCCGTGAGTGAACAAAACCATTAGAAAAATCGCTATTTTTTGCCCAAAAGCCCATTCTTCGTGAGTGCACAAAAATTTTTTAATAGAAAAAATTTTTTATGAAAAAAATTTGATATATAAGTGATAACTTGTATAATGAAATCTCGAGCTAATTCTGTTTTATTTTAAACAAATTGCGTTTTAAAAACATAAATTTTATAAATTAAATTAATATTTTGCTTCCCAATTTTTGCAAATTAGGATTTTTTTAAAATTTCAAAAAAAAAATTTTCTATAAAATTTATAAATAAATTTTTTAAATAAAAAAAATTAACCCCCCTCCGTGAATGAACAAGATTTTTTTTGTTCACTCACGGAGGGGGGAGTAAGGAATTTAATCTCAATGACAGAGCTAATATTTTTATAGAAGCAACCATAATACCAAATTCTGGAAAATAAATTATGGCAAATAGAAACACATATCAATTTCAGAAAACAATAATTCCAATAATTATATTATTAACTCTTAAAATAATTGGGCTTATAAAATACTCCCAATCTTATCTAATATTTATAGTGCAGGGACACTTTAGCTCGCCCTTACATTTAAAGCTGTTATGCAACTTGGAGATTGACTCGCTATCTCCAAAACTAGGCTGGAAAAACTAGACCCTCTAATTGAAGGTGATAAGCCAAATCTCCAAATTGCTGCAAAGGTGCAAGCTTAAGGGCACACTCTGTGATGCCCATGCTGTATTATATAACATATTACTATTTCTGCCTGATAATCGTCATAAAATCAACTAAAATGGAGCCAGCTGCAAAGCGTAGATTTATCAGCCAGATTGTTGAGAACTCAGGCAAGAGTCTTGAGGACATTTCAAAAGAACGAGAGCTCCTAGCTCAAAATAAGCCAGTTCTCCTCAAATATATTGCAGATTCAGTAATCGGCGACCGCATGCTGTTCCCCACTCCGTATGGGGACCGACCTCTTGTATACGCCGATTACACCGCATCTGGCCGTTCTCTTTCCTTCATTGAAGATTATATTCGTGAAGTCATCTTAGCAGGCACATTATTTTTCTATTCCTCGAAAAATTTGGTCTTATATTTTTGCTTGCCAGGCATTTTTATGGAAAAATTCTCTTTAAATTGTCTCAGAGTTAAATTTTCAAAAATAAAGAGCGAATAGACTGAAGCCATCTTAACCAATTATTCAAACACCCACACCTATACCTCCTGGGTAGGCCTGCAAACTCAATTTTTCAGACACGAATCGAGATCTATCATCCATCGATGTGTCAATGCATCTGAAGACGACGTTGTTCTCTTTGCAGGAAGTGGCTGCACAGGCGCTGCCAATAAGATTGTTGAAATCATGAAAAGAACCAACTGGGGTCACGAAAGCTGCAATTACCAGCAAAATCGTTGGGGATCAATAGACTGCAAAACTTGTTCTCTTGCCTTTTCAACACAAGGGACTTTTCATAAGCACTTGCAGTCAGTCTTGCACAAGACTAACACACAAAACGCTGATGGACATGCCCAAGTAGAAAACTCACAGCCTATAATTTTCTTGTCAATTTATGAGCACCACTCAAATTTGCTGCCGTGGAGAGAAGCTGGCGCAAATATAGTGACAATTGGGGAAAACCCTGACGGGACACTTAACTTAGAGCAGCTTGAAGAAGAGCTCAAAAAATACCAAAACCACCCTCATAAAATAGGCTCATTTTCAGCAGCGTCAAATATAACTGGAATTCTAACAAATGTGGAAGCCATAAGCAAGCTGCTTCATAGCTATGACGCTCTTGCATTTTTCGATTATGCAGCTGCAGCTCCATATGTAAGAATCAATATGAACCCTTCCAAAGATGCAGCAATTGACGCAATATTTTTATCACCTCATAAATTCCCAGGAGGGCCTGGAACTCCTGGTATTTTAGTCGTCAAGAAAAAATTGCTGGGCAATGAAGTCCCTACAAATGTAGGAGGCGGGACTGTATTTTTTGTGACCGCCCAAGACCATACATATTTTATTAATCCTGAAGAAAGAGAAGAAGGCGGAACTCCTGACATTGTAGGAGCCATTAGGGCTGGGCTAGCATTTCAGCTTAAAGAAGCTGTTGGAGAAGAAACAATTGAGGAAAGAGAAAACGAGCTAGCAAACAGAGCAAAGTCAAGACTGGAGAGAAACCCAAATATAGTGATCTTAAGCAATGGAACTGCTCCAAGACTACCAATTTTCTCGTTTTTAATCAGATGTGGAAACAGATTTTTCCATCACAGCTATATCGCAGCACTTCTAAATGATTTATTCGGAATCGAATGCAGGGCAGGCTGTGCCTGTGCAAACCCTTATGGGCTCAACTTGATGGGAATTGATTATAATTTATCGAAGGATTTGCAAAATATGCTAAATGAAGGCTTTGACTTGTTCAGGCCAGGGTTTGTGAGGATCAATCTTAATTATTTCTTCAGTGATGACACTGTGGAATATATTTTGAAAGCAGTTGAGTTTATAGCTGACAATGCCTTATGGTTCTTGCCACAGTATAAATTTGACATGGACAAGGCTGCTTTTGCCCATCGTGCCTTTAGCACCAAAGCTGGGAGACACCAAGTGAGAAAATGGCTAGGAGAAATTTCATATGCGCCTGGCTCAATAACATACCCGAACTATCTTCCGAAAAAAGAGGAAAATTTGATTATATATATAGAAAAAGCTGAAGAACTTGCAAGAGAAATACAGCAAAATAGGTATGCTCATAAAAACCTATCTGACCACAGAGTAGAAATCCCAGCAGAGTTTGAGCACTTGCGCTGGTTTATTTTACCTTCAGAAGCTCTAGGATTTATTCAAAGCAAAGGAATCAACTTCCAGAGTGCCACTTCTCCGTTTTACCCGAAAAATTATGCAGGAATAGTCCAGCCAGAAGCAGTTCTCCCTAATGCTCTGCCACCTATGAAAGTACACAGAAGAGATAAAAAACAGCCCCCTTTATGGCCAAAAGTTCCGAAGAAGATCATGAGAAATGTAACAAAGGCGATTGTAGATTTTGATATGATTAAGGATGGCGACAAAGTAATAGTTTGTATTTCTGGAGGAAAGGACTCTTTGACTTTGCTGCATGCTCTGAAACAAATGCAAAGGGTTTCTAAAAAGAACTTTGAGATTGCTGCTGCTACCGTGGATCCTCAAACTCCTGAATATGACCCATCTCCATTAAAAGACTATTTAGCGACTTTACTTAAATAAAATCGGCTTAATATAATGCTTAGCTTCCACTGCCACACATCATCCCACTGGGCTCCTGTCCTTGCTTTGGGTAGCCAGCCCACAGTGCGTCAGGCACAGCATATTCTTGATCTGAATGACCCTCGGCTTCAGGCATTCGGATTTCGACAACTGTCTCTCGTGCAAACTAATTCGTGCCTATCAGGCACAAAAAAGGTACTTGTCTCCACTACCTGGGTTGGTGGCAAACTTCGAAAATTTTTTTGTTTGGCATGGATGCTCAGCACTAGGCGCCATTGATATTTGGAGCTCAATCATCGCGGGAGAAGAAGGAAAACTTCATAATCAAAGATATGTTAGCCAAAATTTTTTGTCAGAGACCAGAGAAAATTTGAGCGTCTACATCATTGACTATATTTCCGACTTTACAAGTTCCTTATTTCTATGAATCTCAGCCAATTATTGAACTGGCAGCCCAAAAAATGACCAAAAAGATTTCTCTCTGTGCATTCTGCTCAAGACTCAAGAGAGGGATTCTTTATTCTTGTGCCAGGAGAGAAGGATATAACGTCCTTGCCTTAGGCCAGCATTTGGACGACCTAGCAGAAAGTTTTGTCATGTCAGCATTCCACAATGGTCTATTAAGAACCATGAAAGCAAGCTATGTGAACGACAAAGGCGATTTAAGAGTCATCAGGCCACTTGTATATGTCAGAGAAAAACTAACAAAAGAATTCGCTGAATTCGCCAAACTCCCAATCATCACTGAGAACTGTCCTGGCTGTTTTGCTGCGCCAACTGAAAGACATAGGACAAAATTGCTGTTGGCTTCTCAAGAGCAGATTATTCCTGATCTGTATAGTAGCTTATTAAATACAATGAAGCCCATTATGAGAGGAAATCTTGACGACTTGCTAGGAAAAAGACCTAGAGAAGAAGACGAAGAAAATGAAAAAGAGGAATGTGAAGAAGAATGCGAGCAGTGCGTTTTCAACCCAGTTTAAATTGAAGCCAATTAATTATTCATAAGATAAAATATGAAAACAAATAGTCTTCAGGTCTCTGGGTATGGACTCAAAACAGATTTTTCTGATAAAATCTCAATTGATCCAAACTTACTTCCCTTTCGGTTCGCGAGGAAGTTTTTTTTACTTTCTAAGGAGGGTTTTTCAAAGTTTTTTTGGATTAAAGATCAAAACTGGCAAAAAATTGAATGGGATAGCATGTCTGATTTATAAAATTATCTTTTAGAACTCATAGTCTCTAAATTTATTATAATTAACTGAAAAAGTAATTATTGTAATTATGAATCTAACCCAAATGTTTATAGAAAATTTATATCAAAAATTTTTTGCTAGTTGGCGGTGGATTAATTTCAAAAAGCAGGATTTTTCTAATGGCTTTGCTTGTTAACAAAGGGGCATTAGCAATACTCAGACATCCAAATTTGGATTTCAACCCGACATTCATTTTTCTAAAAGAAGAACTTCAAAAGTTTTATAGAGACAGAAGAAGGCCGTTTGATAGACAAATAATGCATCGGACGCATTCAAGTAACTGGAAGGAAAGGTTTTTCACGTCTTTGCAAACGCTGCTAAGCGAGCTTACTTTTACAGAGGACTTAGAACTGCAAAGTAAGATGCTAGAGAAAGTCGAAAATTGATACAACAATAAAATTGTGAGAGAAGAGTCAATAGAAGAAGAAATAAACCTTGAACCTAAAACACCAGTTTTAAGAGTCAAACCTAAATTGGAGACAAGTCTGCTGGTACCTTTAAGAAGTGAGTCAATGAGTCCACAAAGAAAGTCAACTGTGCCTTACATCCCTAAAAAGCTGCCGAGTTTAATAAAATCGTATGAGAAGCCTCTTGAATTCAAAAAAAGGCTGCAAACTAGTTTCAAAAACACAAGAAATGAGAAAAAAGAAGCACTTCTTCCTACTGAAATCAAAGCTCTGAATGGAGATGAAACATATATGCATTAATTTAAGTATTTAAGGTGTCTATCACCACACTCCCACTAAAGGGGCAGAGCCAAAATGGTGACGTCACAAGCATTTCTGACCAAAAAGTGCAGATCATCCCAATAAACCAACAACCATCTGATCAACTTTTCTCACCCGCACAATGTAGTTGCCGTTATCTGACCCAGCTTCTGTGTGTGCTCTATCTAATGGCTATCCTCCTCGGATGTGTAGAGTGGTAAAACCCTGAGTCTTTTGAATGCACTGAGGAGCAGTTCCTGTGTTTTGCCCAAAGTTAAAGCGCTGCTGCTGCTGTGAAGAAGTTCTCAAAAGAAAACCAAACCCTATAAATAAAATTCCATAAAACGGAGAAAATTAGGAGAGTTTATTTCTCTCTCAAGCCGAATGCTATTTTATTTATCGAATGAAGAGGAAACAGTTTCAACAAAAATAGAAAGGATAGCAAGACTTCGGCCTGCTACACAACAAGAAAGGCCTTTTACTGAAACTTCACCTCTTGTCATGACTTCTAGAGGGGAATTTGTTATGACTAAATCAAATAAAGCAAATGTTTTTGACTTCAGGGCAACTGACAAAACGAGGTCAACGGTAGCTAGTCCTGAGCAAAGTCCTTTGGGCTCTTCAGTAAATAAAGCTAGGGTTTCTGCATTTTCCTTTACTCCACTATCTATATGATTGAGCAAATCTATTGAAAATTTCCTCGACGAATTCCTATGATTAAGAATTAGCCTATTCTGCTACTCAGCGTTAATCCCACTACCTATCTTCGATAAAGATAAGCTTTAGAGATATTACTGTATAATCAGTGCATCAATTCTAATTCAATTTTTAGCATATTGCTAATATATTGCATACCATAAATAGCGCCATAAATATTTCATTTGGAAAAATTTCTTAAAATTTCCCAGTTAAAAATAAAATTAATCGATGATATTTTGATCTTTATCAATTCAGATCTTTAAATAAAGGATGGAAAGTTAGAGAAATGGACTCAGTCTTCAAAACTCAAATTGTCAGTCCTTCTATTAATGATGAAGAAATTGCTAATAGTTATCAACCGATCAGTCCTTTAAACAAGTCTGTAATTGAGCAGCTTGGGGAAATTCTACATGTTAAAAATCGACTGGCTGCAAGAAAAGTGTCATGCCCTTATCGGGTTCTTGAGCGTGCTCTTTATGACAGAGAGTTAGACTTTAATAAATCTTTTGATCCTTCACAATTACCTAAAGGTAATGAACGATTGCTGAAAAATCCAGCATATAAGGAAGAAAAGCCCAAGAAGAAAGGAAAGAAAAAAGGTAAAAAGAAGAAGTCTGGAAGCTAGTGGCCAATTAAAGACAATAAATGTTTCATTTATTTATGATAAATTTGAATTAAATTATTTATTCAAACTCCCTCAATCGAAAATTAGGTAAAGGCTGAGTTTTGCATTTAATTTGATTTTTCAAATAGCCGAAATATTTATTTTCTATTCTACCCAAAAATTTCCAATTAAAAATATTTTAATTTGATAATAAAAATAGAGCACTCCTTATTAAATTTTTTTAATAAGAAAATGAAGCAAAAGATAGAAGGAAAGTGAGCTCACTTAACTCTTTTCAGTTTTGCTGTCCCTGAAGATAATAAAAACCCAAAAATTTCTACAGCAAGTCCAAAGCCTGCATGCAAACTTGCATCTCAAGCAAAACACACTTCTATGATTACCCCAGGGCTCAAGTATCAAACTTTAACTACAGAGCTTAGCATTATGCCTTATATAAGAGTTAAAGATCTAATGAAAACAGAAAAAGAAGAAAACGAACAAGAAATTAATACAGAAAAGCCTATTAGTGCAATTGCAAAGAAAAGTAACGACGAATTCAAAATTAAGGCTGATTATATGCTGAATAAAGCCAAAACCGCTACAAGGCCACAAAGCGCAAGGGTTGAGCAGGGAAAACTTAAAAAAATTGCCCCAAACCACCCTCAGCCTGTTGTCAGAAAATCATATCAAGCAGAAGAGCTCTCTGAAGATGGCAATGAGATGACGCTGAAAGAAGTCTTATTTGATGGGAAAATCCAAAAACCGGCAAAAAACATGGAAATAAATCCTTTAGCAATGCTAAGTGAGTATTCAGCAAAAAACAAAAATAGTTCTAGCCGCCCATTTAGTGCTGTAATCAAAAAAGGCAATAACGCTGACCTTTATAATGCAAAATCAGCAAAAACATTATGGGAAGTAAGAACTCAAGACAAGTACAAGCCTAAAGCAAAGTCAATTGTTGCTGATTTAATGAGCCAAGCTGAACAAGCAAGAGAAAAAAATAATAAAATTGTAGAGAGAAATATAAATCGATTTAAGGAGTCCGAAAGCAAACTAAATGGTGAATTTAACAGATTAATGAAAAAGGTTCAAGACACAAGGCTGCTTAATGAGCTTTCTATGCAGATGTTGAAAGACAGTATGAAGGAGACGGAAGCTGATATCGATATCTCAAAAGTCAGCAATGATATTAAAAAATCAGATGATGTCTTCACTAAACCCTCCATCAAAAACTGCAATATAACACGAAAAATCACAAGTTTTTGTAAGTTTAATTTCCTTTGTCAAGGAATAAGATTGCTGTAGCTAATCCCATTTATTTTCTTGAAATTTCAAAAGTCTTATCTTAAATATATATAGAAATTACCCGAGGATGGCGCAAAATAGCGCCATCCTCGGGCAATTTCTATATCTAAACCTATAGCTTAATAAATTTATTAAAAACCGACCCTTATAGCAAGCAAATAAATTTTATTTTTCTTAGAAGAGGAGTAAAATCAATGATCACTTTGCGCTAAATAAGAATGGCAAAAAAATCGAACAAATTCCCACTTTTAGCTTAGAAGAAGTATACGAAACACAAACATGAAACACAAATCAGAAATGAAACGTGAGTAGCAAAGAAATGACAAAAGAATTATCGAAAGATAAAGGCACTATATCAATGCCTTATGCCAGTAGCCCACCAAAAAACATTTCATCTGACGACTGGGAAAAGTTTTCAGAGGAAGACTGGTAAACAATATTATTTATTTTCCAATTCACAACCAATTTAATTTCTTTAAAAATTCTAACTCGTAAAACCGCTAGCTATATATTTAAAATGTCAGATGTTCAAGAAATCAGGTCTCTTCTGCATTCTGCACGTGGGGAAAAAGGCAAGAGTGTCATGGATCTCTTAGTCCAGATCTTTGCCCAAACGATTTACGATAACCCCAGAGATCCTCTCGCCAACTTCGAACTGGTTTCCCAAGAAGTTAAAGAAAATTCCTTCCGTTACTTTATAGACTCCAAAAAAGAGAAGCACGGAGGCAATCTAGAAGAACTCATAAAATACTCTGCAGAGGCGCAAACTCTCATAGGTAGACCTAAAGAAGAAAATGAAGAAGGCGTCCTTGTAGATGTCGCTCCAGAGCCTCTTGCCCACATCCCAGACCTTTTAGAAGAACGAGAACTGCTCAGGTGGGCTGGAATTGATTTAGGCGAAGAGGAAGCTTTGCGACTTCAAAACTCGCTTAAAAAGCTCATGAAAGATAAAGGTGCCAAAGATATCAGACTGTGGGGCAAAATTTCAGGCACTGAAAAGGATTATTATATCGTTGAAGGGAATGGCGAAGGTGCTGAAGAAGAAATTGAGCGTCCTAATGACTTTGAAAAAAGAGGAGAAGGGATTAATACTTTTACATACTGGGTAGCTGATGGCGCTTTTGGGGCCTGAACTGAATTGCCAGACATAAACCCAGCTCATATAAAAGCTGCCAGAGAAATCAGAAAACTGTTCACTGGAAGACTTGATGCCCCTGTCATATCTAACCCTCATTTCCCAGGGCTCGAAAAAGAACTTTTACGTGCCCAAATCGCTAGGATCACCCATTCAACTGTCCTAATTCAAAAAGGACTTTTTAAAACTGTAGAAGATTCACCAGCAGAAATTGAAGCTGAAGAAGAGTCAGTCACTTTGAGCACTGAGCAGCTAAAATCCCTTGGAAACTGGGTACACCAACACCCTAACATTCTAAAATGTGGCAGAGTTTCTCATATGGAGCCTGAGCCAGTTGACGAAGAAATTGACGTTGAAATCTTGAAGGCCCAAATTTTGGAAGCAGACCCACTTGAAGAAAGGCTGAAGCCGCTAGAAAAAGATGCGCCTCTGGCTGGGTTTGAGGCAGCTTGGATAAGCAGATATCTTGGAGATCAGCAGGAATATGAAATGACATTTCCAGTTAAAGGCAAAGTCACTTATGCTGTCAACTTAATCAAGTCTTTGTGGTGGCCTGGAGCTGTCATACTTCAGCAGAACGGGAAAATGATCCATTTCTATATGGGAGATGGTCTGAAATCAGCCACAAGAAGATATTACCCAGTCACCCCGCCTTTTATTGTGGAAGACCCGGTAGACAGACAGGAAGAAAAAGATCCTTATCCAGAAAAGCAGCCTGAAGAGCCGAAAGCAGAAGGAGAAGACGTGAACCCAGGAGACGAAGAAGATTAAATAAAATTATTCAGTTAAATGTGGTAAGATTTTAGTGTTCGGTCTAAAGACCCTGTTAGGATTTCTGAGCCTGTGAATAGCAAGCTTCTGATTTGGTCTTTGTGAAGAGCTGTTGAGGTTTGCAGTTGGGAGTTTCCATAATCGTAAAGAAGCAAATCGCCTTGTTGGGTCCCAATTGCAAAGCTGCTTCCTATGACTTCAATGCTTGAGAGAAGATGATCAACATTCTATATAGGCTTTACCCACTGATTAATGCAATTTTCACTCCTAAGATCAATCTGCAGTATAAGTCCATCTTCCTGGGCAATAAACAAACTACTATCCACCAGTCTCATATCTACTGCATTTCCACTTAAATTTAAAATGGCTTTTGATTCCTTACTTCTTATATCCCATATCCTCACGTCATTTCCTATACTCAGTATAGAATGATTGTCATACAATTTTAAGTGGCTTGTGTCTGCATTTTGCATGCTGAACTGAAAATTCATGCTCTGGTCCCATACAATGATTCTGCTTATTTCTTACTCGTAGCTGTCTGCTGATACTATATTTTGTCCTTTTTTATCAATGCTCGCTACTGAGTCATTGTGCAATGAAGCCTTAGCTGCTATGCTCAAATCCTGGTTAAAGCAATAAACATCTCCATTATCTGCTCCCACATAGAGTTTCCCTCCATGCCAAGCTCCACATCTCATTCCACTCTCAAATCGATTTGCTGCAACTTGGTGGTACTGATTTTCCCCATAATTTATTATGCTCACCCACCCATCCCACACATTTCCTGTCAGCTTGCTCCCAATGACAGCTAAATTTTCCCTTTGCTTAGCTAAACATTCAATTTCCCAATCAAACTTATAAATAAGCTTTAAGATTTAAGATTTAAGATTACGATAACTCTCCGTTGACCCCCACTTAGCTTAGGACCAACGAAACAAGCCCATCCTTCCTGAATTCCATCACTGGCTAACAGCTCTGAACAACGGTAGGTGGAATTGGCCTAACCGTCAAACCGTTACAGTAGCCTATGGCCTAGACGAGTCTCTCTTCCTTTCTTGAACTTGATTCAAGGACACAAGGAACTGCCGAAGCGGTTCCAGCGCCATATCCTTCAGAAAGTCTGAACTTCCCTCACTAGGATGACCTTTAGGGGACAATGACCCTAAATCATACGCTCCATTTTTAATTGTGTAAATAAGCTTCATTATTTAATCTAGCCATAAATAGACCTCAATATATTAAATTAGAAGTCAGTGAAATGCAATTCTACTTCAACGCCTGGGTCGATGTTGAAATCTGTGACCTTCTTGATAAAATCAGTTGGGCAAATTAGCGTGACAACTCTCTTGTGGATTCTCATTTCTAAACGGTCAAAGGTGGAGGTTCCGTTGCCGCAAGGACTCTTCCTTACAGTGATGCGGAGGATCTTCGTTGGAAGCCTCACTGGTCCGTAAGTCTTGAGGTTTTCTTTTTTGGCTGAGGAAATGAGCTTAGAAGTCACTGAATTGGAAAATACTGTTTTCTAAAACTTGCAGCTTTGTGGAGGTAAGGGTGAAACGGATTTTTTGGGGCTTTGATTCAGATTCAACTCCTTTGCCTTTTCCTTTCTCAAACGCTGGATCTTCCATCTTAGCCACTCTTTATTACTATGGCTTAAACGCAAATAAGTTCTTATGGGATTTCTGAGTTTTTGGCAAAGCTCAAAAAGGTTATTATCAATCCAACAGAGATTTTATTTTATAAGAATCTGAATATATAATGGCAAATATTTTAGATTTTCCTTTAAAATATGCCGATCCTTATTAGAGTTAGTTTTTGTCTATTCAATATTTTTCTATAAAGACGCTAATTACATTAACTGATATTTTCTATGGTTTAATTGAGATTTTCTCCAGTCAGGGTCAAGTGAGACACTGCACTATCTATATCTTCTTCAGGCGCCTCTCTATTCGGGCCAACCTCTTTCCAAGGCATCCTATCTAACTCTTCTAGTCCGCTGACAATCTTGTTCCCCAACTCAGTTGGATTTTCCAAATACAAATGATGCCCTGAATTTGAAACGATTTCACATATCACTGGCGCAGCATTGACAATCGCATTCTGGCGTGCTCCTTCAGGATCCATCCAATCCTTATCTCCATACAAGTATATTGCAGGAGTTGCAAGAATTCTGTCACACAGTGGTGCATGAGCCCATGCTCCAGCTTTTAAAATTTTGCTTAACCCAAACTCTCCACTTCCCGGGAACAAGTTGACTTGCTCCAGGACCACTTTTAGGTTGTTGAGCTCTTCCTCCGGGAGTCCTTTGATTCTCCTCCTCAAGTACATTTTTACAAGTTTTCCGGAAAGCGGGCCTGACTTTCTAAGTAGAGAAGCAGGCGTCGTTCCCTTTTTGAACATGCAATTAGCGACTTTGAACAGAACTCTGAAGGTCCATTTCTTTTTCTTCAAGGCTTTCTCAAAATCATAGTCATCAGGAGGTTTCACAACGCCAACAGCTGAGATGAAGACTACTTTTTCTACTCTTTCTGGGAATTTTTCAGTGTAGCACCCAGCTATGTATCCTCCGAATGAATGTCCTGCTAATATCATTTTTTCTAGGCCCAAAGCATTTCTGCAAGCTTCAATTGGTGACACAAAAAAGTCTTCGGTTTCTTCTCGAGATTCTAAAGTGAAAAGAGGCCGGCTTGACCTGCCCATTCCCAGAAGATCGAGACAATAAACTCTGTAGTGGAGAGATAGACTTTGGAGAAGCTTGTAGAAAATTATGCTTGTACCTAAAAATCCATGAAGCAATATTAGAGGAGGCTTAGAGACATCGCCGCAGCTCAAGCCAAAAATTGAACGACTTTCATCGATATCGATCCTGAAAGATTCTATGTTAAGTCCTGATATGCTGATAAGCGATTTTTCTGCCTCGTCTAAAGCTTCATGGGAAATTCTACACCATTTGACCATTTTTTTGTAAAAGACGATATCAGAACATTTTTCATCTTAGGCGAAAGGGTTTCTTTTAAATTATAGCGTAAATATTTATTTAAATGATGTATAATATTAATCGCCAATAAAATACTATGCAAAATCGCTGCATATAAACTGCTAAAACAATGTCACAAACTGTTCAAAAAAATCCATTCTCAAGCTTTATGGTGCCTTTGAAATTCAATGAAAAGGTATCTGAGAAGCTAGATTAAGATTAAGATTAAAATTAGGCTGGGTATTTTAAGTCCCTGCTTCGTCCGAGGAAGCATTCTACGGTTTCCCGTATGGTGGCAGAGCGTTCACCAAGCCCGGGCCGAAAACCCCCGGTTTCTCGGTAGAGCTGAAGGTCAAGGGACGTGCCATACCGTCTTTGCTGACCGCCTCCATTTCCAACTTGGATCATCGCCTAAGTTTACGCCAACACTGCCGCGTCGTCCGCCAAATCTGCCCATTGAAGGGCACCTTTTAACTGGAGAGACTCCCGTTTAGATGTCTAACTCGCCTTCCCCTCTTTTCCGGTCATCCCGAGAAAGAACTCAACAGCTTTCGCCATTCGGGGCGAGCCACAAGAGCAGCTTAGGCAGGTAAGTCGCCCTGCCTCATTTCGGGCACTCACTGGGCTGAGCGCTGCTGGAAAAAAGAAGTCACGAGTAACTGCCCATGGGTTCGGTCACAAAAGCAGCGGTCTTTGTGCTTAGACCTCTCGCTTCGAGGTCCCAAACATTGCTGGGCCAACTCCTGGCTCCAAAAACCATGCCGGATATACATGGGTAACCACCACTGAGAGGGTGGGTCGGTCGCCATACGCCATTTTATGTATATTGAGAAGCTAGATAAAAGCGAAAATAGCCAATCACATTTCTTACCGTTAAAGCGAGCATCAAAAAGACTTTGAAAAATTCAAATTTTAAATCTTTACATGAAAAAAGTACATAGATATTTTTATTAATGGCATGTGAAAAAAGTGTAAAGAATAAAAATATTCTATAATTGATAAAGAAAAAGTTAATAAATAAAGTTACAGCTGCGCTTGGTTTAAATGCAAACAATCTCTTAAAAATGAATGCTAATGTTAGTGAATTTAGTAGAGTAGTAATTTTTTTGCTAGTATATATATACTAGAATATTTTTATCTGATCTACTCCTTAGGTTTTATTTGGTGCTGTGGAGTGTATTGCAGGATTTGCTGAAAAAAATCACTGTGAGGGAAAAATTTTTTTTTCACTCACGAGCGGGCTAAAAAAATATGTGGGTAAAAGATTCTGTCTCACTGAGGTTAGAGCTTAGGCAATAAGGATATGTTTTTCTATTATTAATAGCAAATATTAAACTATAAAATAGCTATCTCGAATAAATTTCTTAAATTAAAATTTTATATACATAAATTTTTAATAGATTTCAATGCCTGGCGAAATCCTTGATGAGGATTGCAAATTCAAACTTTTCCCGCTGATTTTTGATGTTGATTTTCGAAACGAAAATGCGAATTGAAATAAAGCGCTTGTATCATGCCCTTTAGCCTTAAAAAGAAGGCTTGGGTACTTTTTCCTCATGATTAAGAAACCATAAGCTCCAATGGCTAGCCATCCAGCAAGAAGAGTCATAATTCATCCGTAGGAGGAACCATTAATTTCTGCATTTATAGTGGCTAGTATTGAAAGTCAAATAACTGCTATTAGACTTATAAACTCTCACCAACTGTATCTTTGATAATTGTAAGGTTTATATTTATGCACAAATATCACATAGCATATAAGCACTGCCACAAATAAAACTGCATGAACTGTTGATTGAGCCCTTTTAATCGTTTTATTCATCACTACTAAGGATACTTGAACGACAGTTTTGACCATCAAAAACAAGGGCAAAGTCTTGACATGTAGCTGAATCTGAAATTCTTGCCATAAAGGCCTACAAAACACAGCCAGGGGTTCATAAGTGAGCAGTGCAAGAATAGCCAAAATCACATATATTATATGGGTTCTTTGCCAGCAAAACTGATAGCAGTCAGTTGCCAAAAAACTTTCTGTGAAGTTATTTCCAATCGCTTCATCACACACAAAAATATCCAGCAGCACTGATACAAAAGGAATAAAACATAAATTTCCTAAAATTGGCATTAAAAAGTCTCCGAGCTCATCTAGATACTGAAATATTACAAAATTCGACCTTTCATTCAGTCTCAGCAAAATTGTTGCACATAGACTATTTCACAGCAAGCAGCATGCCAAAACTAGGTCACAAACTGCCCAGAAAATACCGTTTTCAAGCTTTATGACACTTGCTAAATTCAAAGATATAGCATCTGCGAAGCTAGATAAAAGCGAAAATATTTTTTTGAAGTCAGGACCCATAGCAATTATTTGTAAAAATTCGACCCCTATAGAAATGCCGACTACAAAATCTTGAACAGAAATTTCTTGTTTTTGATTCAAGGTCTCGATTTTCACATCTCACCATTTTTTCCAAATATAGTAAGTAATGATTGCAGTTATTAGTGCAATAGCAAAGCCAATGCAAAATATAACAATCCTTCCCTTTGAAAAAGTGATTATTTTAGAATCGGGAAATGGGCAATCACTAGCAGAATTTCTAAATTCGGAAGGCTGAACTATAGAATTGTCACCATATATAAATGGCTGATCTATAGTCAATAGCTTTGAACCAAGTGGATTAAACAATCCTATGTGATATACAGATAGTGTGCCATTGCTTATTTGATTAGCATCAATGGTAACTGTATTAAACTCATTATCATTGCTACCATGAGCTATTGACGTAGTCCCCAAGCACCCAACCATTTTTATGCTTCTTATTGTTGAGTTTAACTTGTACGGGTCTGTATAATCGAGACCCCTATTAATCATACTGCTAATTGCATTTGAAAGGAGATAGGTCGAGTCAAAGAAATTGCACTGATAATCACTCGGCGTCACCTTATATTTAGCTTTAAGGTTATTATAAATCTTTTTCCCAAATGTTCCAACCCATATTGAGCCTTGAAAAGTCATCATTGGTACTCCGACCTCATATCGCTTATATAAATATTCATCTTTAAATCCAATTTCGACCATAATTCCGCCTGCTGTAGTCAAAAAAACTAGATCACCTTTTCGAGCTCCTAAATCGTAAAAACGCTCTAAAATGTAACCAAATGTTGTGCCTGAGTACAAAAATATGAGAATGAGTCGTGCATTTGAGTCATATACTCCTTTAAGAGAGTTTATATAATTAGTTGATTCTTCTCTTGTTAACTCTGGTGGAATCACTCTTGATCATTCAGGATTCACAATATTAAGAGCATTTTTCTCTGCGTATTTTTTAAATCACAAATAGCATGAAATTCCATAAGTTTCGTTGCCATAAAGAACTGCAACTGAGCTTCAACCCAAGCTTTTGATTAAAGGAGCCATATCTGAAGCCAATATAGAGTCAGAGAGTTGGACTCTTGTATACCAAGGATATAGCTCAGTCGAGTTCAATCCTGGAGCTGAATTGCAAGATCCGACTATAGGAAGAGTCAAGTTTAATAGTTTAAAAGTTTGTATTGTTCCTATTGCCACGGATGACGGAAAAGATGCAATATGGCCTAAACCAAACTTATCTATGCCCTTTGAGAAGCATGATAGTCCATAAGCAGAATCATAAGAAGTTGCTCCACAGTCAAAAAAGAATAAACTTAATTGGAAATTTTCAAGAATATCGAGCAAGCCTTCGTTTACCATTGAAATCACTAATGAAGCACCTCGAGCATAAATGGGCACATTTAAATCAGATGCACTGCCATAGTTTGTTGAGCCAGCATTTATGCTTATAGGTAAAGTCTTTTTCGCTGAAACTGGGACAGCTGATGAATTTCCTAGAAAAATGATTGGCTTTGTGATATAGATGTTTGAGGAACTAAAACTTCCAACAATAATTCTTTCCCCATATTGAACATTTATTAAAGAAAACTGAGCTTTGCAGTAATGTGAGGTGCATGAAGTATCGAGGACTTTCTTCATATCAAAGGAGTTTGCTATTGAGGGGCCATCAAGCATTGAAATGACAAAGTCTATTGCGTTGATGATAAAATCTTCATCGGATTTTGAATATTCTTGCCCTTGTTCAACAATGGCTAAGGCTCCATTTATAATTATGTTATAGTAACTTTCCTTTCCTAACAATATTCCATTTCCTGATATTATCAGCTTACTTGAAATAAGGGCTTCCTGCAAGACTACAGAGTCATTAGAATCTGTAAATAAATAAAACAAACTTTTTCCAGATGGGGCTACAATATAAGATATAATCTTATTTATACTTGAGTTCTCTTCAATTATGGCACTAGTAAAATTGCTTGAAAGATTGAGAATGAACTCTTGAAGAAATGAATTCTTTTTTGAATTAAAAACAAAACCTTCGCTTCAGTTGAAAAAATTAAGAATATTATATAGCGAGCTTTCGTAACTATTTCTTGAAGAGATGGCTGAGTATGTTCAAGATTTATAATATTTTAAATTGTCTTCAATTACGATATGAGGAACTTTGAGCTCTTCACATTCCCTTGAGAGCATATAATGGTCAGCTATATTATCAGCTAAGTCAATCAAAATTTTCGGGTCTTCTAGACTAGAAAGAAAATATATTGTTTCTTGTCTATTATATGTGAATCGAGGTGTAACTAATTCAGGGATTAAAATATTATTCTCTCAAGCCTCCTTAAATGATAATGTCTGAGTAAAAATTATTACATCGAGAGAATAAGATGAGATTAGCAGCATAAAGAGCAAAAACACTGAATTTGAGCTTAGACGAAGTAAAACTTTGATTTCTCTCATTAATTATTAGTCTAAATTTCTAAAATACTTTTTTATTATTTAAATAATACAAATCATTAATTTAATGCAAATGAATAGCACATTTTAATAAATCTAAATATCAGGCTTAACAATTTTAATTTATCAAAATATCTAACTCCCCCCCCCCCCTCCGTGAGCGAACAAAACCATTAGAAAAATCGCCATTTTTTGACCAAAAACCCACCCTCCGTGAGTGAACAAAAAATTTTTTTAATAGAAAAAATTTTAATGGGAAAAAAATTTTGATATATAAGTGATAATTAGTATAATGAAATCTAGAGCTAATTCTGTTTTAATTTTTAAACAAATTGCATTTTAAAACATAAATTTTGCAAATTAAATTAATATTTGCTTCCCAATTTTTGCAAATTAGGATTTTTTTAAATTTCGAAAAAAATATTTTTTATAAAATTTATATATAAATTTTTTTTTAAAAAAAAAAAATTAACCCCCCTCCGTGAGCGAACAAAATTTTTTTGTTCGCTCACGGAGGGGGGGGGGGGAGTAAGCATAATTTAACCCGAATTACAAAATTTGTTTAATGAAGTGCCTTTAATATGCTAAGGATAATTATTTATTATAGATTGATAAAATTTTAATTGCTTTTTATAATATTGACCGTGCAATAGTTAAATTTCTATTAAATTAATAAGAAATTTTAATTAAAATTAATTTTTAGGCAAAAAGACTAATTTCTTGTTGACATAAATTCAAATAAATTATTTTTATAACTTTATACTATTTTATTTGATTCATTATGTGAAGTAATTAAGTAACTTCAATAGCTAATAGATCAAGTTAAAAATTTATAATATGCTTTCTCCTTTTTTCTCTAGTAATGTCATAATAAAAATTATTGCCTTAAACTTATTTTACAAAAGATAATTAAATAAAATAGCTTGAAAAAACGTGCAAAGAGGAATAGGTATAAGATTCCTCCTTTATTATAAGAGAGCAACACACTTGATTGAAAATATTAAGAATTCCCGATTTCGCTATTTGTTTCCATGCATATCCATCTTCAACAGATTAAGGCATTAAATTCAATTAAATACAGCCTGTCAATATTAATCAGAAATTTTCTTGTGCTTTCTGCAAATTGAAAAGGAATTATTGAGAAAGAGTCAATGCCAACTAATAAAGCAAAAATCTTTTGTTAAAAAATCTAGAAATCGAAAATTTTTCATTAGGCATTGAATTGTGGTTTTAGTAATCAGCTTCAAGCATTGGAGCTAATTTAATTCATCGATTTTAATCCAAAAAGAATCTAAGAGATCAAGCAATAGAAATTTCATTGCAGATACTTCTTATATAGTTAAATCCTCTGAAACAATAGACATTTCTATTGAATACATATTGGACTTTGAGTTAATAGTGTAAATAAATGCTAAGATCCTGCAGATAGCTTTCAATTTTTTGTAACATCATAAAGATTACTAAATAAAATGAGAGCGAGTTAGATGATTACTGAAAGAAAATATGTAGAAACATTTGAAGAAGTTACATTTATTTTAAGAATTAAAAAATCCTCAATATTATTTCAAAAGTATTAATTATTAATTCTTAATTTAGTCAATCTTCTTTTTTTTGAAATCAAACTTGAAGTAGCCAATATCTGTCCCAATGCATATTCCTCCTTTATTATATAAACAACACACTTGATCAGGATTGCACTTAATTTTTGATTTTCTAATTCGTCTCCAATTCGAGTAGCTTCCAATTTCGCTTTCGTAGATTGATCCATAGCATTCAATCAAATACAGTCTCTCTGCGTTTATCAGGACCTTTCTTTTAAAATCTTCAAACTCATAAGGAATTGTCGAGAAAGAGTCAATATCAATTGAGTATAACCAAAGATTTCTGTTTTCATATCCAGAAATCAAAATATTTCCATTAAATATTATACTATTGCATCCAAAATCAGCTTGTGGCATTGGAATTAATTGAATTCATTGATTTCGATCGAAATCGAATCTGCTAGATAGAGTTAAAGCATTATAATATTCATCGTATCCTCCAAAGCAATAGACACTGTTGTTGAAATAGATACATGATGAGAATTTGCATGAAGTTCCAGATGGCAGCACTTCGACTCCACCATTCACATCAATCAGCACTGTAATTCCATAAAGTCAACAATTACCAAAACAGAATAGCTTGCCATTTGGAAGTTGAGTTATGCAAGTTGTCTCGTCTAGTGGTTCTGGAGTCTGCAAGATTTTGAATTCCTCTGCTTCAGTTTCAGTGTTATAAATATGCAAATTAGTTCTGTTGTTATCTCTTATAATATTATAAAGAGATGTCTTTTGTTGATAAGCATTAAGATAGTCTTGGTAAGCTTGCTTTAGTGGTGGATCATAAAGATTAGAATTGGTCCGAATTGCTGAGGAAGTTGCTCTGAAATCTATCTCTAATTCTGGATTGTTTGATTCACTCAAAATCTTAGCTGTTTTATTTCTTAAGGTGTCTATAGCGTTTAAAGCGCTTTCTATTTCCTTGGGCTTACTGTTGAGATCATTAGAAACAGTGCTTATTTGAGAATTAAGCAAACTTGCCTCGTTTTCTGTTTTTAGTTTTATTGGCTCTTTTACGTTTTTACGATGGAATAAAAATAACGTATCTGATGAAGTTAAAATGCTTTCTGACTCACTATTTGTTAGGGTTATAGCTTTACTGTGCTCTTCTTGCATGTATTCAATTTTCGAAGGTCTTTTGTCTATATGAACTTCAAACTTGTCTTTAATGAAGCTTTCAATCATATTGCCCATTTTTTCGCTGAATCCGCAAAACAACTTTGCGCTTTCGTACCAATCTGAGTTGGCTGGGATCATCATTTTTACTTTTTCAACAGCCTCGCTAGGTTGCAAACTCAACAATTCTAAAATCGGGTCTTGCATAGGCATAGATATCGTTTTAGCTCCCTCAATTTTTAAGCAGTAATTAGTAATTAAATCTGATGAAGAGTTCAAATTTTTTATAAGCTCTTTTATATAATTTTCTGACTTCAGTAGATGCTGGCTGAAAGATGCTAAGGTATTTCTCTTCAACTTATTATTCTCTAGCTTTTCTTTTGTAAGAAATCCGAGAATCGCTTCTTTTGTTCCTTCGTAAGGGTCTATAGAAATGAATTCAAGTGCAAGAGTTTTATTAGGCAGCTCTATATATTTTCCGGTATGCTGCTTGCAGGAATATGTTCAAGGAGAAGTGTATTTGCACACATACTCAGCCTCAAACTCGCAGTCTGGCTCAGAGCACCGCTTAATGTCCATTATTATAATCCTCCATTTTTATTTTGCCAACACTCCAAATCGGAATTGGAAAGAACAAGATATAACTTATGTGGATTATTATAAGAGGCTAAACACCGAGCAGACAATCTTTGCCAACTTTTAAATAAATCTACTATAGAAGAGGCAGAAAGAAATAAAACTGATCGCTGAATTGTGCAATATAACTGATATTCCTGATAATATGAAAAACTCAAGAGATCCCACAGCACAAGACCAGTGATAGTGACCACCACAGCGAAGTTTCATTACCAAGAAATGCAAGAGTCAAACTTAAATATCGAAGACAAAGATTAGATTTTGGAAGAATATTAATCATGCATCGCAAGAATGATACACATCCTTTCACCATCTTAACTTCGATAATCTCTGAAACTTCATCAATCACAGAAGATACCGTGATCGGAATCGGTAGAAACTCTTACATTTTGATTGAATACACATTAACAAAATATCAGAGGCCAATTTGAGAACTGCTGTTGCTTTGATGCTCCCCTCCCTATTTTTATCAGCTTGCCTCTGACGGCCATCTTAATTTTCAAACTTTAGTATTTCATATCAGAAGATAAATATCAAGAGCGGGATCGGTGGAAAATCTTAAATGCCAATTACTCACATTCCACTAAAATATCAGAAGCCACTTCGCAAATTCCACTTAAATTCACACAGCCTCCCTACAGGTTACTCAGGTTATTAATTTGGAAAAGGTATGCCCAAAAGCTCATTTACCTCTGCTAAAGCTCGAGACGATACAGGATTTCTCACGCTGACATAGTAAAAATAAGCAATCATAATTGTTCTCAATCTCAAATCCATTACCTAATAAAAGCCCTGAAATATCCCTAAAATTCAAACTCCAAAATCTTTCAGAGTATAATTTAAATGCTAAACTGTACTTAATAATCGATCTGTTCTTTAATTTCTTGATATATTCCGTTAGCGATTTCTAATAGCCTGCAAATTCTATTCTCGTTTTTTCGTGCTCTAAGTTCAGCATAATTTCTGCTTTTTTCTTGTTTTGTGTATGCTTTTAGATATTCGCTTCTCATTTTATATACATTTTTTCTGGCTTTAGTTAGTTTGTGTGCAGCTTTTTTACCTTTTTCGATCAATGAATAATGATGCAATGAAAAACATTCTTTAAAAGCTCTTGGAGGGCAAGAAGGATAGTCTTAATTTTAGATAAAAATAATATTACTTTTACCCGTTCCGAGTAACTGATATCTCAAATATTGATCTATCTCTAGCACATGCATCATAATGAGTAGAAACAGATTTAGGCATTTACAGACGACTCAAAAATCATTATAGTTAACAAAGCATCCTAATAGAAATGCATGTGAGGAATCTATTAACTGACTGAGGTCGATTTGCACCATGTTGTGTGCATTTTTTATTAGTAAATTTTTTATATGTTACATTAGCGTAATGGGCGTATAGTAGCCTCATAGGTATATAATTAAAATGGATGCATATCTCATTAAAATGGGCTGCATGCAGCCAACAGATAGTGGATTTTAAGGCTGGAAGGAAGTTTAGCCTGAATATTTTGAAGAAACTAAGAAGCCAAAATATAAGAGTTCCAGATAATTATTCAATCACTGAAATATTCAATTTGATTTTACAAGTGAAGTGCTCCAGGATATTGTATCATATACAAACCAAACATTGAAAGCAAAAGAATAGCGGAAAACTTAGGGAAAGAGATCAATATTAGCATGAATTGAGTGAAATTGAATTACTCAAATAATTGATTATCATAATGATGTGGAACAATGCTGATTTAATAAGGTTAAGGTTGCCTTATCAATTTTTTTTAAAAATTCATAATGTAGGAATTTAATATGAAAAGATTTTTGCTATATTTAGGCGCAGGAACTCTTGCAGCATTTTCATATGACCCAATTTACTATGCTTATAAGTGGAACTATAAAGAGCCTATAGATCTCAAAAAGAATTATGGAAGTGGCAGCTATGCTCTAATTACAGGTGCAAGTGATGGAATCGGAAAAGCCTTTAGCCGAGCAATTGCAGCACAAGGACTTAACGTAATCCTTGTAGGGAGAAATTCAGAAAAGCTCAGAACAGTCCAAGCAGAAATCGAGCACGAATTTAATGTAAAAGTAGTGACTATGACTGTAAATTTAGAAGAAATCCATGAAAATCTAGAAAATATAGAGAAATCCAAAGCCAGCTTCAGCAATATGACATCTCTATTTTGGTAAATAACGTTGGACAGATTGTCAGAAAAACAATTGGAGCTATGGCTCCTGAAGAAATCAACAGATTAAATGGAGTAAACTGTTATCCAATGGCCTATTTCACGAACATTCTTCTAAACCAATTCGCTCACAGAGGAACTAGGAGTGCAGTTATAAACGTCTCCAGCATTTTGGGCAAGTATCCTTTGTGTGGAGCAACTGTTTATAACGCCACGAAATGCTATAACTATGGATTTTCAATGGCTATGGCACATGAGTATAAAGATATTGCAGATGTATTAACAGTATGTCCTGGGAGAGTCAAGACTAATATGAATGTTAATGAGAAAATTGGCTTCTTTTGTCCTCTTCCTGATAAAGTAGCTGAAGGGGCACTTAGGGATTTAGGCACAAGAAAATTATCATATGGAGCGCCAGGCCATGATCTAACTGGATGGAGTCTTGAGTTTTTGCCAGAGAGCTTTAGAATAGGTCTTTCAAGGTTTTTGATTAAAAAAGGTCTCTTTAATCCATAATAAACAGTCAAAAACATTATCTAAAAATCAATTATTATGACTATTCAAAAATAAATTATTAACAATTAGGCTTGATTCTCTTTATTCCTGAATCATCTATAGCTGGTTTCCTCTTTAATTCAACTGATTCGAAATCGACAGCTTCTAGGTCTATTTCAAACTCATATCGTTGCTCAATCCCATTTATTTTTTTGAAATGCTTGATTTCTTGACTAATTTCCGCTGGATAGTTTCCGCAGTTTTCTGGCAGATCTCTGCATAGCCGATCTAAGCTTTGCTCAGAAATAATTTCATCTGGACCGACTCCTTGCTGCTTTGAAAGTCTCTTCAAAGTCATAGTAAGTCTGCTTTTAATTTCTTCAAAGGTTTCTTTTTGCTGACATTTCCCATATTTTCTGCTTTCTTCATCTTCTTCATTATTTACTGGTATTTTGATTTCCTCAGTTTTATTTTCAATTTTTACATCATTTTTCAGCTTTTTGGCTAATTCTAAACCTTTGATTTCTACAGAAATTGCTATTTTAATTTGATTTCTCCTTAATTTAAGCACATTAGACCCGGTTTCAATATAAGCAAAAGTCCCAGTATATGCAGATGAGACGGCTTTTTCTTGGAGAACTCCTTCTAAAAGCATTTTCTTTAGAATTTTAGAAATGGTATCAGGGTTTTGCTTCTGCAGCAGCCCAAAATGTTCCATCAAGCTATGATTATTCGTTTTTTCTTTTTTCCCAAGCAGAAAGTTTGTAAGTTGTATAAGTGTGTTTATCCCATTTCTTGGTCCTTCTAGTACTTCAATAATTTTCTTTGCTTCTTCTGTGAAGTCTTTTTCTTCGCCAAATCTTTTTGCCTTACAATTATCGCACATATTATTGCAATTTTCTGCTTGGAAATCTTCCCCAAAGTAGCCAAGCAACAGAGTTCTTCTGCAGGCAAGCCGATTTTCGCAATAATCAATCATCTTTGAAAGCTCATTATAATCTTTTTGAGTGCTTCCTTGAAAGTTAGATCCAATGAGAAATCCATGCCTACTTTTATCATTAGCCGCATAATAAAGAATGCAATCAGCTGGATTCCCGTCTCTTCCTGCTCTCCCTGTTTCTTGATAATAAGAGTCCAGTGACTTCGGAAAGGAGCAATGAATGACAAATCTGACATCTGCCTTGTCAATTCCCATCCCAAATGCGACGGTTGCAACAATAATCTGCAGATCCCCTCTTTTCCATTTTTCGTGGATCTCAGTTTTTTGGGAAGCGTCAATATCTGAGTGGTAAGCTTCAACTTTAAATTTGTACGTCCTTTTGAGTACTTTAGCTAAATGAGAGCATTCTTCTTTAGATAAACAATAAATCAAGCCAGAAGAATTAGGGTGGTTTTCTTTAATAAAATGTGCGATTTCTTCATTAACATTTGTTCCTTTTTTGAAAACTCCGTAAAATAGGTTGTGCCGATTAAAGCTGCTAAGGAAAAGCTGAGGATTTTTCATTCCAAGCAAGGTAATTATATCTTTTCTAATCATTTCTGTCGCAGAAGCAGTCAGAGTCATAATCGGTACATTCGGATATTCACTTCTCAGACATCCCAGCTTCAAATAATCAGCCCTGAAATCTCTTCCCCATTTACTTATACAATGCGCTTCATCAATTGCAAACCTTACTAGTCTCTTTCTCCTATAAAGATCCGCAAATAAATTATTAATCCTGTCACTTTGAGATATTTTTTCAGGAGTCACAAACAGCAATTTAATGCTTTCATCTTCTTCAATTTCTCAAAAAATCCTGTCCTGCTCAGCAAGGGACTGCATTGAGTTGAATACTCTCGAGTTTATGCCAAGCTTCTGGAGATGGACACTTTGGTCATGAATTAAAGATATAAGCGGCATTACTACAACGGTAATTCCTTCTGATACGACTGCGGGCAGCTGAAAAGTAAGAGATTTCCCTGCACCTGTAGGCAAGCATACAAAGATGTCGTTTCCTTTTAAAGCTGACTCAATTATCTCCCGCTGAGATGGGAGGAAATTGGTATTGCTAAATATCGTCTGGTTGGCTTTATCAATGTCGAGCTTTATCTCTGATTTCCGGCTTGGACTAACTAAGAGGGAAGGGAGCTGCTTAAGCTGAGGCTTCTTCTGAGGAGTGGCATTAAATTGTTCTGGGGGCATATCTTCTGATGATTTTGGTTTTAGCAATAAGGAGGGAAGAGAATCATTAAGTTTGATATTTGTGGGATTCAACTCTTTACTTGCGTCTGCTCGTCTTTTAATTAATTTTGCTAACAACCCTCCAAATGCGAGCAATGAATTTTTTCACTTATGGATGGAGATTAATTCAATTTTTTAAAATTTTTTTTTTCGTTAGGAGCGGGAGTAAGCTTCCATCTCCTTTTTGATTGTTTCCACTATTGGATTTTGAGGGCCTGTAAAATTTTTTAAAGGCAGAATATGGAGTGCTTGGCTTCATTTTATAATTATTATGCCCTCCAAATTGATTATAAGTTTATAAATTATTATAATAAGCCTTCAAAAAGGATTCATAATGCAAAAAATAATTACTTCGCTGTGCTTATTTTATAATATTTTTATATTATTTTAATTTTTATATATGCATTACTAAATACAGAATCTTATTTGAATAAACTTTTTAAAAAATACAAAAAATTCTTCACAAATACAGCGAGTTACAATGATACAGGAGAATTTCCTCTTATTTCAAGCTCATATGCACTTCATTTGAGCCTTATTGATTCTGGAGAGCACTTGAATTTTGAAGATAATATACTATGAACTTTTTCAAAGTTAAAAAAATGGGTTACAAGCAGCTGCTCCAGTTCCTCAATACTCAGCTCTGAAATCGGTAATTTCTCAAACTTAACTTCAGAGTCAGAACTCTGCTCATGATCATTTTCCTCTCCTTTTTCCTCTTCAGCCACTTCTACAGTCACATCTTCAATTTTTCTCGATCACAATTCCTCTAAACTTTTCGAGCTTTGGCTTGCCCACCACGTCTCTGAATTCAGCCTTTCCCTTTCAGAAATAGGCCTTTCATTCAAATAATTCAAATTTTTTAACTTTACAATCAAAATCTTCCTATAATTTTCAATGCCCCTAATCCACTCGATTTCTTTTACATACAAGCAAGCCAAATTTGGCAGAGATTCAAGCACTGGTAATACATGCACGTTGTCTTCAAGCTCATTGCTGCTAATATCTAAGGTCATCAATGACGGAACATCGGCCAGTCCATACAGACTTTCTGAGCTTGTGATTTTATTATGCGAAATATGTAAATCTTCAAGTGAAACCAGCCTTTCCAAGCCCTCAATTTTGGAAATTCTGTTATAAGAGACATTAAAATTCACCAACTCAGTCAGCGAATCGAGATTTTCAAGTTTCTCTAGTTGATTATTCTGTAAATAAAGGCAGCGTAAGTTAACCAAAGCGTTTAGTCCTTCAATCTTCCGAATCCAGTTATTTTCAAGCCATAAAGCTCTTAAATTGGTGTACTCATCTAAGTTTCGAATATCAACAAACCCCTGAAAATGCAAAAAAAGTCTTTTATTTAATCTGGGGGTATCAAAAAACCCTTGCTGCTCACACAGGCTTTTAATAAACCGTACCGTAATTATCCTGCTCCCATGCTCATCTTTTTCTGGCTCTGTCATTGGCTTCAAACTTGACATTTTGCTATTAAAATTTTCACATCTATAATCTCAATATAAATGGCAAGACAAGTGCAAAGAATTCGAACAGCTCTGGATGGCACCGATAACTGGGACCAAAGGATCTGCAAAATGTTTTTCTCAGGAAACTGCGAAGCTGGATCATCTTGCCCTCTGAAGCACACATTCCCGATCCGTGAAGTAGTTTGCAGGTATCTTCTCATGAGCAATACATGCTCTAAAGGCTCACTCTGTCCTTTTCTCCACGAAATAATTGAAGACAAGATCCCTGAGTGCAGAAAATTTATGTCTGAAGGTGCCTGCAACATCCCAACCTGCAAATTCAAGCACAGTTCTGATAAGAGAGAACAAAAGGAATGCACATGATATAACATGGGCTTCTGTGAAAATGGAAAAAAGTGCAAATACAAGCATGCGAAAAAAGAACTGTGTATTCCGTTTATAGAAACTGGAAAATGCACCTTAGGGGAGACTTGTCCAAAAGCGCATATTGAAAGTGTAGACGAGGCGTTTCTAGAGGAAGCTTATTACAAATTTCATCCTAATGCAGCAGTGGTGAGCTATTCCCAGTTTTTTGAGTACTGTTTCCGATGCAATTGTTTTGGACACTTGCCAGTTCAGTGTCCGTCCCCTGATGATTCGAAAACAAAAGATATCAGATGCTTCCGCTGTTGTGCGTTTGGGCATAAGTCGAACAACTGTTTATACTCATAATTCTGATGTCTCAATGATTGGATATGCGGCTTTGCATGATTTTTATATAAATTGGTTATATTAAACAGATAAATTACATAATAAGATAAAACTCCTATTATTATAAATAGGAAAAATTATGAGAATGATTTTAAGTACTGATATACATTGGAACAGTTGTACTGGAGCGCTAAATCTAGTGCTCTTTTGTTGGATTTATTTATCAATTTCGGATCCGCTCCTCTGGCAATCAAAGCTTTGACAGCTTCCAGCTTCCCATTCAGAGCAGCTACCATCAAAGGCGTTCAGTCCTCGCTTTCTTCTCTTACATCTATTGAAGCACCCAGGTCAAGAATAAGCTGCAAAAGGGCCAAGTCGCCTGTTTGTGCTGCAACATGTAAAAGAGTCCATCCTGATTCGTTTAGAGTATGGTCAATAGGAAATCCAGAGTTAATAAACTCAAGGACAGCGTCAGGGTTTCCCATGTAAGCAGCGATCAGCACCTTATTTCTTGATATTCCAGCTGAAGTGGAGTCTATTGATGTCCGACAAGAATTCGCACTGTCATTTCTCCCTTTCGAGCCAAAACTGGTGCTTCGTCACTGTGAAAGACCATTTTCTCTTACGTTTTCGTTTTGGCCTGATGTGGAGAATCTGGATGAAGTTCTGGGGGATGAATCTTGGTCTTTTGAGCACGCTTTTCCCATAATTGATTAATGTTAAGCAGCCATATAAGAAATATGCTGAGTTTTGAGAGGTAAAAATATTATTGCTATGAAGGTTTTCTGTTTCTCATTAAATTTAAAGTTATAATTGTTAAAAAATTAAACCCTAAACATGAAATAATATATAAATAAAATATTTTTTAATTTAAACTGCTTAGCCTGAATGAGTATTCCAAGTTTATTAGATTAGATAGCAAATTAAAAATATAGTCTCAAAATATTATAATAATGAATAGCCCGGTGTATAGAACTTATCATAATTAGCACGGAGCTCCTATTGCAAAGAAAATAACGAACTGTCAAGGCACAGACTGCAAATATGAAAAGAATTTGCCTCAGATATTAATAGGCACTTAAAGATGCAAAATGCATATATAAAAATAGCTTGCCTCAGATATTAATACATACTTAAAGTTGCAGACTGAAAATATCAAAAGAGTTTGCATCAGATATAAATTTGAGGTCATCGCTTAGCTTCAGCCAATTTTTTATTTATCTTGATTAATTAACTCTGCTCAAGCAATAAGAAATTTCTTGCTTTATTCTTGGGGCTTTCACAAATTTTTTAAATAGTGAGTTATGTGAATAGATCGAAATTTGCTTATTGGGGTAAAAGCCAATAATTTGCATTTTTGTCATTTTAGCTAAAGGCAAGCAAATTTAGATCATTTATGTAACAATCACTATTTGAAATTTTGTACAAAACCCCATACGAATAAATAAGAATTTAATCATTAAAAGGGAAGTAAGCACAATATTTTAATAGACTATATGGCTTCCTATATTATTAAACCAATAACAAAATTAGAGTTATATTATATATTTGTGGATTTATAGTATAGATAATTCATTTAAGAATTTTGGGTAACACTTCCTATGTAAATTTGCATTCGCAACGATAAATAAACTTTCAAAGAATGTCTGCCTCAACTTATTCTGAAACCATAAATCAGTAAATTGGCATTTTAAACTATAGCTTAATGATAAAATCTTAAAACATCCTGAAAATTCTTGCCATTTATCCCATAAAATTAAATTCAGTCTTATTAGTGATTTTCTACTTTCCCAACCAAATTATATCTCATTATAGCTTTTGCTAAGACTCGGCATGCTGCTAAGTAAAGATAGTGCTTGCGCGCGTCAATTTATTCAACTTAATAGAACAGCTAAGTTGTTTTGCCAAATATTTCAAACGTTTTCTTTATAATCATGGGTTAATAAAAGTTATTTTTATAGAAAGAAATAAATCATAAAGAAAATGGTTAAAAGTTACAAAACTAAATGATGTATATCATTTAGCATTTAAACTTAAGTCTGCTGAGCTAATTTTTATATATGAGTTAGCATCGATTTATTGCTCTAAGTACTAAAATGTTCTGACCATTAATGATGCCATTTCAGAAACACTTTTATTATGGCACCTGTCGTAATCATAATATGAAGATTCATACACAAGCATTATCATCCTCCTGTCGAGACATAAACACTCTGCTACCATATCGAAAATTCTCTCCATTCTCCAGGAGCGACTTAAATTCATCGAAAATTCATTGTAGCTCTCATCTCTAAATTTAACATTAATGATATCCGCCATTCTTTATATTATATTTAATCTTAATAAATTTAATTTAGTTTATTTACTTAATTAAAGTTTAAACATTAAGACTTTAAATTTTAAAAGTTTCTTTCATACATGAGACTGATGTATTTTGCGATTTAGTCAAAAAAAAATGTAGAAGATTCCATAATTTTTATTATGAATTTTATAACAAATTTAATCCAATAATATAGATGCTTCATTACGTCTTTCTGAATTATAAAATAAAACCTATAAATCAGCAATTTAAGAAGAAAGTTATCTTTCAAGCTCAAACTTGGAGCAATTCGAAAAAGACCAAATCTAATCAAAAATTTTATAAACATATCTGCAATATCGCTGATTGACTATCCTTTTAAATTTTAACCTAACTCCCTCCCCCTCCGTGAGTGAACAAAAAAATTTTGTTCATTAAAGAGGGGGGTTTAATTTTTTTTTTTTAAAAAAAATTATTTATAAATTTTATAGAAAATATTTTTTTAAAAATTTAAAAAAATCCTAATTCGCAAAATTGGAAAGCAAATATTAATTTAACTTATAAAATTTATGTTTTTTAAAAAGCAATTCGTTTAAAATAACACAGAATTAAATCTAGATTTCATTATACTAACTATCATCTATATATCAATTTTTTTTTTCCATAAAAAATTTTTCTACTAAAAAAAATTTTGTTCACTCACAGATGGTGGGTTTTTGGGCAAAAAATAGCGATTTTTCTAATGGCCTTGTTCACTCACGGAGGGGGAAGTAAACAAATTTATATTGATTATATAGTGAATAATGATGACTGGCCCATACGGGCACGATTTTAGCTAATCCCCAAGATGCGTATCTCTCAAGAATATTTTTGATATATGATTCTATATTCAAGCTCGATTTCGCTCTATCGACTGAGAGTTTTAGTTGAATAAGCAAATTTCTTTCAATTTGATTCTAAATATTGATTTAATATTTTTTTTTGCCATTTTATTATTATAGGGTTCAGTTTTTCCCGGTGAGACCTTATCCAGCAGCATCAGGTAAGCAAACGGGGAGGGTGCACAGCCTCCTGGCCTGATCCAAGGATGTTTGGTGGGCATAGGGATTTTCTGCTTGACACTTCCGAGGAGGAAGACCCATAGGCGGCACAACGCGCAGGAGTCAAGTTTCGAGCAAGGCAACGCAGCCCGTGAGATCTGGCCTTCAACTGGCCGTCATTGCTTAGGATGGTCGAACGCCCCGATAAAAAGGGTGACGTCGAAATGCCCGTGACGTCACTAGTTGAAGTCTACTGGGTGAGCCGTAGTGGCTTTGTTAAATCACCCTACGGAACCAGAGAAGCACGTTAAAAACTCTCTAAGTAATCTAAGTTCTAAGTTCTAAGATTTAATATTTTTTATGACTCTTTTAACAATAGGGAATTGTGGTGATTCGGCTGCACCAAGAATTATTTTGCTATAAAATTCATGATTTTCATATTGCGAATGAACTCTTTAGTTATCTAGAAAAAATTATGTTTTGTTTCTAATATTACTATCTGAAGACTCAAGATTATTTATGAAACTGAAAAGAAAGTGGTTGAAGGTTTTACTGTTATTTTTGGATCTAATTACTCTCCATGCCATGATTCCTCTGACATGCGATACAGCGAGAATCACAGTAAGACTTCATGTTGAAACCTTAGCTAATTTATAGCGAATTCTATTAGATGGCGCGCAATGCGCCATCACCGGGCATGTTGGGAGAGGGTTCTCCACGAGGAATGGTTCCACGTGTGAAACCCTCTTTTTCCACGAGCCAAAAAGAGGGTTCCACACGTGGAACCATTCCTCGTGGAGAGCCCTCTCCCGACATGGCCCAGTGATGGCGCATTGCGCGCCATCTAATATAACTCGCTATAACGCACTCTTTGTCTTTTTCGATCAGCCATAAATTCGGCTAATATCCTGAATGTGAAACTCGTCAATATTAATAATGTCTACGCCGGCATCAAATAACACAAGAAATATGCAAAAAAGCTTTTTTTATTTGTATTTTCAATAGAACTCCTTTGAATAGGCTGATATTTGAATTTTTTATAGCTAATTTTTTAATTTTCGAAATACATAATACACATTGTGTTTAGCTATTATTGGGCCACCTCTGTTTTTGTGGTTATTTAAAATATCAGCAATTTCTGCTCATGTTAATGTGCATCATGACTTTGAACCAGATGCACTATTTTCTGGCATTGCTAAGAGCTTATTTTTAATTTATGACCTCTTTTATCTTTGAGATTTTCAAGATTGTTTCTATTCATGAAAACTTTAGCTTCTTGACTGTTTCTTACTCAAAACAACTTAGAGATAAAGGTATTGTGTAGATGACGAGTTATGTAGTCTAAAATTCTTAATTTATCATCGTATTTGATTTTACAACGCTTTATGCTTCGCTTGATCTTAAAATTTTGTGCGTCAGGTGTTGAAGACTCTTCAAGAGTATTAGTTTTTAATAGGTGAGACCTTGGGAGAGCTGGCAATAAAACAAAATAGATTCATGTTTCCTTTTGAATATGCAGTGATTTTTGTTTTCACTTGGTAAACAAACAAACAAACAAAGAATTACCTTACCCTACCCTATGAGTTTTACCACAACACCACAACACCACAACACCACAGCACCACAACACCACAACACCACAACACCACAACACCACAACACCACAACACCACAACACCACAACACCACAACTCCGCGCAGAGAGAACCTCTGCGCCCAGCATCTCCCTTGGTTCGCCGACTCCAAAAATCGGCCCACACAAATTTTCTTCAGGGCAGCAAGCCTGTGCTTCCCGACGTCAACTTCCGCTGCGGCGATCTTCCAATCAGCCCGTCCCGCAGGGAATTCTCACTTGGTAAAGGAAACATATGCCCATATAATTTGCATCAAGATTAAGATGCTCTTATCTGGCAAAGGTCAACTTCATACTCTTGCAAGTGTGGGCTATTCTGAGATGCTTTGCAGCATCTCTGAGTAATTAATATTTAGGAGATTAGGAAAGGCGTATCTAAAAATTATCGTTTATAATTATGAACCCTCAAACGACTTGTTTTCCAAAGGTACAAATGTCAGCTGTGCATCAAATTCAATTGAATCTTCTGGAGCAGCCATCCAAATTCCCAGTTTCTGCTGTGATTTGGATGGGCTAAAATGGGTGCCCTTATGAGCGCAGATAGTGCAAGTCACTATTGGTCTTCTCAGCCACTCTGTAGAGTTTACAGAACTTATAGGAGTTTAATGACTTTAACTTGCAAGCGATTAAGAATATAACTATAGCGATGCTATTTGCTTGTGCAAAACTTGCTTCAGCTTTTTATAAATAGAGAGTTAAAGAGTTCGAACTAAAATAATTGAGCATTTTAAATTTAGGTACATTAAGAAACTAAATTAGGCTACAACAAACTTAAAGTAATCACCCAAGATCCTCTTTCCTAAAATATTTTAATTTACTTATCTCCAAAGAATATCTAAAACGTACACCGGCGACAGATTTATGTATTTTGAAAAAATATAAATACCACTTTATAAGATGATTATCGAATGCCTCAATTATATAAAAATGACCTTTTATTGCTTTATTTATAACTTTGCATTTGCCGATCTAAATTTTCTTTTCATAAAAAAGCCAAAATAACAAAAATCTCCTCATTGTGCTGCAATATGCAATACACATCCTGACTTCTAAATTTAGTCAATCAAGAACTTTGAATAATAAATCCAAGATTTTATTAGAATTATGTCTTTTTCTTTGGATTTAATTTTTCCTATAATTGATTATACTAAAAGGAGATAAGGATTTTTTCTACTTTTCATTCAGGAATTATGTCGTTTTAAATTAAATAGTGCATGAAATTGCTATTGATTTATACTGCACCGAATAATTGTCCATTTTATGCTCCCTTTCAGAAAAAATTATTATAACAAACTCAAAGACTATATTAAAAATGTAAATTTAAAACAAGTTCACTTTTCAAAAATTAAATTATAGCTCTAATATAATTATTCCAGTAGTATCTTTAAAGAAGACCTTAGCACAGATTTCGACTGCCGGGCTTGGTTTAAGTCTTGGCTTGCTTTGCTTTGAGAAGGCTGCAGTCTATTTATATACAATTTTCTTCTTTCTTCCTTTTCCTTATATGCTTTTCAAACTTCAGTACCTGTAGATGGCCCTAAGCTTCCAAGCATATAATATCCCTCCGGTTTTATATTTGTATAGTCTTTTAAAGTATATGGGGTAAAAGTCCCTGTTTTTCCTTGTTTAATTAGTTCCTTATATGAAACCTGAACTATTTTACTTCTTAAGGGAGTTAAATTAATAGCTCTCCTTGAAACCTCCATTGGACTCTCAGCATAGGAGGGGCCGAAAGCATCTGAATCGCATGGAATTGCTAATTGCGATTTTACAGCACAAGGCTTTGAAAGATCTGCATATGATCCTGACCCACCGTTTAAGGTATATTTTTATAATTAAATTTAAATTTTTTCTTATTTTAGAAAAAAATTACGCAAGTTTTAGTAAAAAGGTATGTGCAAGGCCTGTTTCGATGCTGAACTAAAAATCGGCGACTGCTGGATAGGAGATTTCAATATGCTGCTTGACGGCGAAATTTGCATTTCCCCATACTTTCCCAATACTTGTGATCTATTCTTGAATCTCTCATTGAATTGAGATGACGCCATTTAGAAAATATAAACAGAAAAAAAAGATTTTAACTCCCCCATCCGTACGCGAATAAAAAATTTTGTTCGCTAACGGAGAGGGGTTAATTTTTGTTTTTTTAAAATATATTGAATTTTTTTTTATCCCAAAATCCCAATTAGTAAAAATTGAAAGCAAATATTAATTTAAATTTTAAAATCTATGCTTTAAAATGCAAGACCTTTAAAATTAAACAGAAATAGCAAGAGAGATTTTATTATAATAATTATCACTTATATATCAATTTTTTTTTTCAAAAAAATATTTTGTTCATATATGGAGGGGGATTTTTTCCTTTGTTCGCTCATAGAGGGGACTAAGAGTTTTGAATTTTGAAAAATTCCATTTCCACTTGCTAATATCTTTATTAATGACTGCAGTTATATGTGATTTTCATAAATATGAGTGGAGTACATAAAGATTACATTCAAAACGTGCTCAATCCTGTTCTCCAAGACATGGTCTCAGCCCTTCTTATATCCAAGCCTGATGACCCCATTCCTTTTATGGTCGACTGGATGAAGCAACGGCTCAATGTCCAAGATCGGCCATCTGAAAAAGAAGAGCTGAGGATCCTTAGACAAGAGGTCGCAAGGCTCAAGGCAAATAAAAACGCTGGCTCAGAAGAAGAACAGAGCGACGAATCTGAAGGAGAATTTGAAGAGGAAGACCTTCAAGCTAAGCGAGAGAAAAAATCTCATCGGGCTGCTGTTTCTGCTGAAGCTTATGGGGACTGGAACAAAAAAGAAGACTTCCGCCCCAGAGTTATCCCCAAAAGTCAAGACCAAAAGGAAAGAATTGCAGAAAGGCTCAGCAAGGCGTTCATGTTTAGCGCTCTTGATGAACATGAGAAAGAAATCGTGATTAATGCCATGGAAGAGAGGATTATTGGGAGAGGACAGACTGTTATCAGACAAGGCGATGATGGTGCTGAGCTATTTGTGGTGGATTCAGGGACTTTGCAGTGCTTTAAAGTCATTAATGGGCAAAACAAGTATTTAAAGGACTATAACCCTGGGGAAGCTTTTGGAGAACTAGCTATGCTTTATAATGCGCCAAGGGCGGCTACCATTACAGCTTCGTCTGACTGTGCTTTATGGTCTTTAGATAGAGAATGCTTTAACCACATCGTAAAAGGCTCAGCAATCAGAAAAAGAGAAAGATATGACCAGTTCTTGTCAAAAGTAAAACTTTTAGAAAGCATGGACCCATATGAGAGATCTCAACTCTCAGATGCTTTTGCTAATGTTGTATTTAATGATGGGGAGTATGTAATCAGAGAAGGGGAAGAAGGAAACGAGTTTTTCATTATTGAAGAAGGTACTGCTGTTGCTACTAAAACAATTCATCAAGGACATCCTCCAGAAGAGGTGCTAAGATATTCAGCTGGAGATTACTTTGGAGAACTTGCTCTTATTAAGAATGAACCAAGAGCTGCAAATGTTATTGCGACCTCTCGCTTGAAGTGTGTCAGTCTGGATAGGCACTCGTTTAAGAGATTGCTGGGGCCAGTGGAAGACATTTTGAAGAGAAACGCAAGAAATTATGAAGAAATCATTGCAAAGAAAAAATAAGTATGATATAAATGATTTAAATAAACAATATTAGGATAAATTAAAGACAAGCAGAGAGTTTATGTATTGCTATTAATAAATTTGTAATAAAGAGGCAGTTATTCAGGATATATTTTAAATAACTTAATTTAGTTTTTTTGCAATGAGGCTGGATTTCATTCAAGAAATTAATTAAAATTATTAAATTAAAATTTGTGTTCCCCATTTTAATTTTATTTCCTTTATATAAGCTTAGTCGTCCCCAATTTGTGCAGGACAATTTCGGGGGCTAAAAAGTCGTTAATTTTTTTTTCAATGTTCAGTTGCATGAATTTTCAAGCATTCGACGAAGAATTCTCAGAACTCACAATTGAAGACGAAATCCCAGAAGAAAGCTCTACACAGCCTTTTTGCTCTCACATCTAGCATCACCAACTTAAAGAAAAAACAAACCTCAAAAGACTTGCAAGCTTAGAAGTAAGCTCCATAGAATCTGAGCTTGAAGCCAAAGAGAAATCATCAAAGCTCAAGAAGAAAAAACCAGAAGCCAAGAAATTGCAATTTCAAATTCAAGCATCAATTCCAAGAAAAATATAAAAGCTCTGAAGATCTGGAGGCAGAAAATGACATGTTAAAGTAAATTATTCTAATCCAAGATTTGAAAAACATGCAACAGCTCACCAAGACACTTGAAGAAAAAATCTATAATTATGAAACCTCTCCCATTTTGACCCACAAGCCTTTACTCTCAATCATCTCTCAATCTTGACGCTCTCCAAGCCATTTTTTTCTTTTCCACTAATGCATCTCTTCATAAAAAAACTGAAAATGCATGATTTACAAAAATAAGAGAAATTGAAGGAGAAAAACAGAGAGCTATTAACAGAACCAGAGATGAGCTTCTCCAAAGCAGAACCCTTCTAAAGGAGCTTATTTCAGCAGATGAGAGCTCACTTCGGGTATTAGAACTTCTTGAAGCTGGGTTGCTTGAAGAGACCAGAAGTAATCTCAAAAGAAGAAAGGCGTTCATAGCTGAAAGGATTCAGTCTTTCAAAATGTGAGATGAAGCTTAATGAAAGCAGCTTAAGTTTTACAGGAAGCTTTTCTCAAAGACACCAGAGCAAGCATCAACTAATCACTTGAACTCAGCTCTATAAAAGACGTTTTTGAAGAAAAAAGTCTTGAATCTGATAGATTGATGAGTGAGCTTAAAGAAAATCTTCAAAAGACTCAGTTCAAAAATAAAGAGCTAAAGAGAGAAATTAAAAGGCTGAAAGAAAAAAAAGGAAATGCTTAAAATAAAGCTTGAAGTGAGTTCTAATCGCTGGCAATATCCTGCTAATAGCAAAGAATCACAATAAAAATTTGCTAAAACTGTAATATTATTATAAATTTTAAATTTAATCTAAATTAGTTTTTAAAAAGTATTTAACTTGGATCCTGATAAGGGTAGTACTCTTACGTCTGGCTAGTGAAGGGAAAATTCAGTTTTCTGAAAGTTTATCTATAGAAATTACCCACTGGGGTGGGTAGTGGAAGAAGACTGTTCTTTGAAGCAGAAGGCGAATGAAAGTCTAACTGTCGAGTAACTTCCGATCCGCTGTGAGAGCGGAAGTCTTATCTCACATAAAAGGCTTCAGAAATAGAATACAAGTTAGTTATGAGTTATCTTACTGACTAACTAAAACCTAAAATCTTCATTCAAATTTCAGAAAAAAATATTAATAATAAAACCTCTCAATTTGACCCTCTTCTTCAAACAACTTTCTCCATCATTATTTTAAGGGAAAGAAAATTTCATGCTCAATCATAAATTCCAAAACTCCATCAAGCATTACAAGAGCTCTAGAAAAAAATAGAAAATTACGAAAACTCACAAAAGGAACCTACTTCTTTTACCATTAGTCAGCTTTCTTGCATTATGCTTTCTAAAAATGACCTCTCAAATCACCTGTCTTCTAAAAGAAAATTGAAGAGACTCTTTCTTTAGGCTCAAAGACCTTAAAGAACAGAATCAAAAGGCTCCAGAGATAGTTCAAATTGAAATCTTTGAATGCAAAATTCTGAAAAAAAGCTCATTTCTGGAGATAAAGGCTTCCTTAGTATGCTTAAGTTAGTGGAGATTGGAGAAGATGATGCAGCGGAGAGTGTATTAAGAAACTCATATCCTCAGAGCACGAGCTCAAGAAAAAAGAAAAAGGCTTCATGTATAAAGATGACTTCAGCCAAGCTGTAAATAAGAATGAATCCTTTTGATAAATTCAGCTCAATCAATCTGGCTTCTGACGGAAAATTTCAGGGAGCAATATTTGGAATAGAGAAATTTATAAAAAATTAAGCGAGAAAACCTAGATGTGAAGAAGCCATCGAAAAGCTTAAAAAGTGTTAGAGGTCAGTCTAAACTTTAGCAATCGGATATTTACTGACTCCCCCCCCCCCCTCCGTGAGCGAACAAAACCATTAGAAAAATCGCCATTTTTTGACCAAAAACCCACCCTCCGTGAGTGAACAAAAATTTTTTTAATAGAAAAAATTTTAATGGAAAAAATTTTTGATATATAAGTGATAATTAGTATAATGAAATCTAGAGCTAATTCTGTTTAATTTTAAACAAATTGCGTTTTAAAACATAAATTTTGCAAATTAAAATTAATATTTGCTTCCCAATTTTTGCAAATTAGGATTTTTTTAAATTTCGAAAAAAATATTTTTATAAAATTTATATATAATTTTTTTTTAAAAAAAAAAATTAACCCCCCTCCGTGAGCGAACAAAAATTTTTTTGTTCGCTCACGGGGGGGGGGGGGGGGAGTGAGGAAAAAATAAAATATAAATTGCAATTTTTAATAAAAATCTCGTTATACAATTTGTAATGCTCTTGCAATTGCATCTTTAACGCAATTATTATGAAAGCTATTAAGCACCAACCTTTCTTCCTTTCCTTTAGAGCTTTTGATAATAAGCATTTTTGACTGTTTTAAAGATAATTTTTTGGCTTCCACTTGTTCTTCGAATGTTTTATGATTTATTATTTGTATTTGAATTTTATCATATAATTGATAAGCTGTATCATGATATAATAATGGATTATAGCCTGGTTCTTTATATTTCCATTTGGAAGGGCAATATTTGTTTCTAGACCATCATAAATGCATTTCCCATCACTTGTATCGATATTTGTTTTTTACTCTTGGCTTTGAGTTTTTTGTTTTCAGCTTCTTTTTGCTCTTCATCGGCTTTTTTATCTGACAAAGGTCATTTTGACAGATAATATAAGATGATGCCATTTACAAAGTATAAATAATTTAAATTTTAAAAATACAGGATCTCAATCTATGGGCTCTAAATTAAGATTAGACACAAAAAATCACGAAAGACTTACTTTCACCTCAAGATTGAAGAAAACTTCACACCCTCTATAATGTGTCTTAGCACGATTATTTTCTAGTTTATTAAAATCATCAATTTTAGTTCAACTTGAATTTATTCATATAGATTATAAGCCGTTTCATGATATAATAAATATTTATTTACCTTTATATAACAAGCAAAATATTTTAAATCTTTAAATAGTTTTTTTCTCTCTTGACTTTGGGTTTTTATTTTCAGCTTATTTAGAATAGCTATTAGATAATAGTTTGTTAGATAATTAGATGCTTGGTTGAACTGAACCACCAGTTCAGCTAGGCCTTGAAATCAGGTTTGCATTTCTCAAGGTTACACTACCTGTCTGCCAAATCCCGGATATTTTGGGGTCTTCGCTTCGTCAAGCAGAGCTTACTCCAGGATTGAGCCATCGAAATGACCTCATAGCATTTAGAAGGTGGGACAAAAACACCCAGCGGTGAAAAACCCAGCGGCTGCTCGACTTTCTACGGATTTAGCATGGACTTCTCTTCGCCATCCCACAGACAATTTAGGCGACCTTTTTCCGGGTCCACAACCTTACCCATGATCTCTAACAGGTCGCTAATCTCGCTACCAGACTGTTTTCGGGCTCTCTTTGTGACTCTAGCATTTTTTCTCCAGCCATAGCCTATAATTCACCTTGTCATTTTAATTGTGAATAGCTAGAATAGCTAATTCATCTTTTGAAAAAGGTTTTTTGACTGTTTCTATAAGAAGAAGCCATTTACAAAATAAAAATTATTTAAATCTTAACGATCATAAGACTTATATAAAATATGTTCTAGAACTCTTAACCAGCACGTAATAAATCAGAATAATCTACTTATTTTCACAATAATTGATATATAATTCTTTATTAACTCTTGCTTGACTTGCGAACTAAACTATAGTGACTTACACTATGTGGCACGGGGCTTTTTTTGGCTGGAACTTGAGCCAAAAAAAGCCCCGTGCCGCATATTGTAAGTCACTATATTAAAAAAATGCCTATATTTGAAAAATAAATAAATTTTTTTATTTTTTTTTTATTAAAATTATTACCATCTTTATTAGCGAGCAAAATTTTTTTGTTCTTTAATCAAACAGAAGTAAGCAGCACCCATCCCTAACTCTCCTTTATTTTCACAATGCGTTTTAACCCATCCTAATTATTTGTTTAGAATTTTAGATACGTTATTCTTCAATGAAGATGGAAAACCCAGACTACAATTCTGATAGTCAGAGCACCTTCGAAGAAGGCTCAAAAAAGTCGCTAACTCGGAACAAACGACTCTGGACAGCTCAAGAAGATGAAAAGCTTCGCGAGCTTGTGAAAACTCACGGCGCTAAGAATTGAAAAGCCATTGCTCGGTACTTTGATGGCCGCACAGACGTCCAATGCTTGCACAGGTGGCAGAAGGTCCTCAATCCAGATCTGGTAAAAGGCCCTTGGACCAAAGAAGAGGACGAGATCGTTGTAAGGCTCGTAAAAAAGTACGGGCCCAGGTATTGGAGCACAATTGCCAGCAACCTGCCAGGGAGGATTGGCAAACAGTGCAGAGAGAGGTGGCACAACCACTTGAACCCCAATATAAAGCGTGACGAATGGACCACAGAAGAAGACATCGCCATAATCCAAGCACACAAGGAGCTGGGAAACCGTTGGGCTGAAATTGCAAAGAGGCTGCCAGGCCGAACTGACAATGCGATCAAGAACCACTGGAACTCCACGCTCAAGCGCAAAATCAAGCTGTCCAAGAAAGAGTTTTTGGCCGAGGCCGCGAATCCAGCCAAGAAGAAGACAAGCCCTGACGACCCACTGACGGCCTTTTTAAAGCTCCAAATGGAAGAAAATGGCCTGAAGCGTGAGGCTGTGCAGGCTGAAGAAAAAGAAGAACAGCCAGTGGCGATGACTCCTGAGCCGAGGGAGGCAGAAATCTCTTATGAGATGTGGACTCCTGAAAAGCAGCCAGTTCAAGTGCTATACTACGTGTCACCTGATTATCGAGACATGACAGTTAATCATTCGATTACCTCGAGGACGATCATTCAGAGCATTGAAGAGCAAGCTAAATGCTTGGATTCCTGCTCAACTAGGTAACAAGTTAAGCATTTGCAAGTAAATTAAATCGTAATTTACAAGAGTCATTAAATGTTTCTCGTAAAAATATTTGCAAGTAATGAACGAGGGGTCAAAACTGCTGCAGAGGTCGCTCCAGGCCAAGTTTACCATGTGGGTAATCTCATTTATCATTCTCTGTGACATCATAGCGATGCTGGTAGCTTCTTACAAGCTTGGGATCCATGATAAGATTGAACCCATTCAGATTGTATAAGATATACAGGCAATTTGGAATTTTCTGCTGCAAATTTTTGGCCTTTATGCTGTATTTACGAGGTATAAAACCAGGATTTTGTTCTTCGTGATGCTGTAAGTGATATATAGCTCAATGTCGTATGCCATTGTTCTTATCATAAGGGAAGGATTAGATGATCTTCAGTACATTCGTCATCCTGATACTGTAGAAAATGACCATTTTGCTATCAGACTTTTGAGGATTTCTTTAGCACTACTGGTTGCGCTCTCAGGGATGCTGGGATATATTGTGAGGGACTCAAGCTTGGTCGCTGATAATGCGCATTTGAACCAGCTGAACCAAGGAGGAATTGAGAAAGTGGAAGCAATCCAAAAGCAAATCATTTATGAAGACTCAGACAAAAACCCAAAGATGTATAAGGCGCCGATTTGCTCGAACTGTAAGGCAAATAATCCGCAGGTGAAGGAGAGAAGAGTAACGATAACAGAAAATTCTGAAAAATGCGAATTCTGTGGACAAGATATAAAGGAAGAGAAATCGTATCAGTATATAGATGAGTGGTTTGCTACACCTATTGCTTCAGTCCACTCGAATGATGTGAATGCTTAGCTTGAATTAATATAATACAAATTGAGAATTTGAATTTATATGGGCGTTTGGACTGATTTTTAAATTTAATTTATTGATTGAGATCTAGCATGGACTCTCCTAAAATATATTTCCTAAGCTAGCCCAGTTTGCAGACAATTGATGTAATAATATTAATTTTCATGTTAAGCATCAATTTGCTAATTTTTCTTGCTCCCCCCCTCCGTAAGCGAACAAAACCATTGGAAAAAATCCCTATTTTTTGTCCAAAAACCCACCTCCGTGAGCGAACAAAAATTTTTTATTGGAAAAAATTTTGATATTTAAGTGATATAGAGGTTCGCTGATGATGGCACATTGAGTGCCACCATCGGGTAACCTCGATAACTACTATCATGAAATCTTGAGCTAATTCTGTTTAATTTTAAACAAATTGCGTTTTAAAACATGAATTTTACAAATTAAATTAATATTTGCCTTCCAATTTTCGAGAAGTAGGATTGTTTTAAATTCCGAAAGTTTTTTTTTTTAAATTTAAATTTATATATTAAAAAATTATTAACCCCCCTCCAGTAGCGAACAAGAATTTTTTTTTCGCTTACAGAGGGGGGAGTTAGTGAAATCATGCTAGTACTTCTGAAAAATCGCAGGAAGATGATTAAGGTCTTAGAATTGGTTCGAATTTACAATAACGCTGTAATGCAGTTTAATTTATTTTTTCTGATCATTAATTTTCTAACAAAATTATGAATAGTGTTTATCACTTGGCTCCATGCCATTGAACAGTGGATTTTTACAGTGTACATTTTCATCGAAAAATACATTTGGCCGAAATTTAACGGTGTTTTTCGGTCACTCACTATCAAAAAGTTTCAACAACTTTTCGAGCAAAAGTAATTCGGCGAAATGCACACTATCAAAAAGGCACTATCATTAGACCTGCACCCCTATCACTTATATAACGCTGAGGCAAAAAGAAACAAAGAAAATAAGTTGAGGATGATAGCTGATGTGATTGAATCTGATAGAGAGCCTTACAAGCAACCCAGCAGAAGTGCTTATCTAGAAGGAGACGATGTCTACACAGAAGACAAAGACCTTAAATCAGACGGTGATGCTCGATCAGAGCCCTCGTCCGCGAAAACTAAACAAATTACAAATATCAACGACCCCTTGATCCAGACAACTCCTCTTTCTGTATCTTTTACTTAATAGCTCCCTCAGTTAGCGAAAACTATTAAATTCCTTTTTTTTGCCAAAAACCACCCTCCTTGAGCCAACAAAAAAATTTTATGAAAAAAAAATTGATATATAAGTGATAATTAGTAATTTGAAATCTCGAGCCAATTGCTTTAAATGCTAAACAGCTTGCATTTTAAAAAATAAATTTTACAAATTAAATAAATATTTGCCTTCCAATTTTTTTCGAATTAGGATTTTTTCAAATTTTGAAAAAAAAATTATATAAAATTTATATACATTTTTAAAACAATCTTTACCCTGAGCGAATAAAATATTTTAGTTCTCTCACGGAGGAGGGGAAGTTAGAAACCTGAGCCTTTATTTAAAAGAAAAATGGTGTCTATAATACAAAATAATTCTGACACCAAAGAGAGAATTTCAGGTTCCCCACAAGACTGCAATGGGGAATGCCTTTCAAGAGTCATCAGCAAGATGAGCGAGTTTTTACTGCTAAAAGTAATGGCAAAGTAGTTCCAAGAAACACTAAATATTGAAAAAACAGTTATGTCAGAGCTGATAAGCAATGGCATCAGTAAAGATGACTTACTTTTAAAGCTTACCAATAAGGCAGAGGAGTTGAATAGAGAAAACGCCATTTTAAAGCTTGAAAATAAGGGATTAAAAAGTATGCTGGACTCTTGGCATAAGTAAAATAATTCTGAAATGTCTAGAAGCCAGAATGTAAGCCCGCATTTTCACTTCATAATAAATCTCAATGGTTCACGTTTTATCCATTTATGCATGATTTCTATTAATTTTTGGAATTTCTATTATTTAAGCTTAGCTTCTGTCCCGAATGCAGTTCAGAAGTTTCTCAGTAGGCTCCCATTGGCACTGTCCTCTAATAAACGAACAATTTCCGAATTCTGAGTAGCAGGAATACGAGTCTTTCCATTCACATGTAGAAGTGCCATCTTCGTGAGAACCGACACAGAGCTGTCCAGAGCAGCCTGCAACTATGCAATCTTGCTGAGGCATCTGAAATTCGCAGTGATTGTTTCGACATATGTAAAATGGACAAGGAGCTCTAATGCAATTGAGCACTGGACAGTCTTGGTCTATTATGCATTCTTCTTTTGGCATATTTAGTATGCAGTGCTCGTTTCGGCATACGTAGGTCGGGCACGGAGCTCTGATGCAGTTTATCACTGGACAGTCCTGGTCGACGCTGCAATTATTTTGAAACTCATTTGTTTGACGATCGTAGACTGGCTCTTCTGACGGGTTGTTAGCGGGTGGAATGGTGTATGCTTGGACTGATAAGGTTAAAAATATCGCCACAAGGATTTTATTCATTATTAGACTTGCCCATTTTCAATTGAAATCTTATGCTTATAGAGAGCCAATGCTATTTTGCCTTGATATTAAAATTTTGATATATTTATAAAGCTATATAGATTACTGTTAAGAAGTCAGCAGGTTTGAGGTGCTAACACTTATTTTTAAAAAATATTTAGGGGCATTTCATGTGCACAATGCCTAATAATGTAGAACAAATAATTAAAATTAGAATTATTATTTAATTATAAACAATTTCTATTGAAATTTTATTAGCTATAAAAATATAAATCCTATCTAAAATCTTTGATCGGTACAATGCGATCAGCTGTTACAAAATTTAATAATATTTAAATATACTATGAATAGCGGACCGTATTATCAGCCTAAAGTCTAAAGGATAATTTTAGTAAACGTAAAAGCAACCGCATTTCAGCTTATCTAGATAATTTTCATAAAGAAATTGTGATTTTAAAGCTTTAAAATAGAAATTTTGTAGTTTTAGTTAATAATCTGTACTTTAATCATACAGGGAAAATTCTCATCACACACCTGCTTGGTTTTAAATGAACTTATTGATACCTTAAGATAGCTAAGGACAAGCTTGTTAAAATTTCAATTCATGAATTTTTATATTAATGAATCTTTGCATATGAACTTTTTTCACATTGTTGCATAAACCAGAGAGAAAAAGCCCAACTGAGGTTCGTCTAGAGCCAAAACCCTCTACATTTGATCGAGAAAACTAAAAAATCAAAGAAATAATAAAACTGCCCTAACTAAGCATCATACTTTCTGCTTATAAGTAATTTTATAATTTAATATGGAAGCATCTTCATCAACTGTTCCTACAGTAAAGCTCCAGTCCTTGCTTGCGAAGGTCAAAGAACCTCTCAGTCAGGTGAACCTCGAAGTAGAAGTCTTTGGACTCTTTTCTCTTCCCGATGTCTGGAAACCTGCAGATCAAGAACTCGTCGAATACACTTATCAAGTAACTGTAGCCGGCATCCAAATTTCAAACGGCAAGACCAGACGCAGAGAACTCACCGAAGAAGAGATCAAGGCCGCTGAAGAAGCCAAAACCAAAAAAAAAGAGCCTCCAAAGAAGAAAGGCCAAGACGAGCCTACCCCTGAAGAGCTCGAAGAATTAGAAAGGCAGAGAAAGATAAAAGAAGAAGAAAAGCGCAGAAAAGAAGAAGAATGAAACAAACTATTCTGTTCTATCTAGCTTATTCCCTTAATGATATTGTACTTTTAATTGCTATTTATAGAGAAAATGGTATAGATGAAGAAACCAAGTTTTATAGAACTTGTGAAGATATTTATAAAAGCCCTTGTGTGGCTTGGGAAATAGAGAACCATGAAGATCCGAGACATATTAAGAGCTACCCAGTTTCAGCAGTCAAGGAAAATGATGAACTTGTGGAGCTAGAAGAATTCGTAGAGATCGATGAAGGCTGTTGGCTTGAATTTGGCCGCCTTCCAAAAGTCAATGAAGAAGATACCAAAAAGAAGCCAGCTAAAGGAAAAGCAGCTCTTGAAGAAGCAAAACCTACATTTGCCCGGGCTTGGATTAACCTGAAAGGACTCCAAGAAATCGGAAGTAATGAGCTTTATCTTCGTCCAAAGCTTCAAGATCCTGAAGGAGCTGAAATTCCATTCTTTACAGAGGCAAATTCAACTTATATTTACTTAAGAATTAAGGTAGATCCTCCAATCACTCCTCTATCTGCTGCTGAGCCAAGCCCAGCTCCTCAAGACCTAATCCCTCCAAAGCCGCCAGTTCCCAAATTCCTCCCATCCAAAGATGCAACCCATGACTTCCGGCGACAAATAAAGCTTGCCACAAAAGCCATCGCTGCCGAATATCATCACATGTTTTCTGACCAGCTCGGTGACAACAACCAGCGCAAGCTAGCAGTTGCGCGTCAAAAAGAGCTCCGAGAGTCCCGCAAAGAAACTTTTCTCTACGATTTCAACTTATCAGGAAAAGCCCAAATCCTGAAAACCAAGCTTAAAAAAAGCATTGTAAAAATCGCCAGAGAAAAATTCAAAAAAGTGATGAGCCTTAAAGGGCTAAGTTTTACTGATAAAGACAGGTTTTTCTCTGAATTATATGCATATTTGACTGACCAAATGCAATTAACTGTAGATGAGGTGATTAGCGAAAATAAAAACCAGCTGCATGAAGATATTGTGATTCCTAGAGAACTCGTAGCAAGAGAAAAAGAGACACTTTTAGCAACCACTATGCATGAGACTACAGATGAAAGGCTAAACAGACTTGCCTTTGAAAGCGAAATTAATAGGCTGATTGAGAGAGCCAGCACTTATCATAAAGAAAGAGCATGCAGGGATCAGAGGAATATTTCGATTTGGATGGACTATTCAAGGTTTTGTCTGAGGAATGGAGATATTGCAAGAGGAGAAGAAGCGCTGAGAGAAGTAATTTCAATATCAGGAAATGATGCATCTATTGACCATATAATACTGCTTGGAGCCTTGTATCTTCAAAGGAGAAGGTTCCATGAAGCTGCTTTATTACTGCATGGAGCATTAGATAAAGATTTTTACCATGTCATTGCTAACCTCATTACTTCTCTTATGTATAAACTCTCTGATAAGCCAGGTCTTGAAAAGAAATACTCAGCAATTGCAAAGAGGCTTTGCATGAGACATCTAGGTCTTCTCCCCAAAAAAGGAAGCAAGTCAGGTGTAAACCCAAGCTTAGAAGGCACTAGCTTTAGGGTAGAAACAGCCCCAGGCGAGTATACTAAGAACAAAAAAATTTTGTAGCATAGGGGGTTATTTCTTTTAAAAAAAAAACTTATCCAAAAATGGAAAGCAAAAAAAATTTGATTTTTAGAATTTAGCAAGCTGTTTGAATTAGCTAGAGACATCATCATATTAATTTTCGCTTATATATCAAATATGTTTCATAATTTTTTTTTGCTGGGTTTTGGTCAAAAAATTGGGATATTCCAAAGTTTTATGCTCTCTCTCACGGAGGGGAAGTAAGAACTTTGACTGTTGCCCAAGTTGACGATATGTATTATGTCCTCGTCGACTACTGTCTAAAAGAAAAACTAATTGAGCTTGCAAGTAGAGCATTAGAAGAAATCACTGACAAAGAAAGCTCAATAGCAAGGTTTACCTTCTGCAATGCCCAAATCCTCTTTTGGAAAGGAGAGTACCAAGAATGCTCAGAAGTTCTTTCACAGCTGCTCCAATTCGAGCCAAGACACGAGCAAGGCTGGATCTTGCGTGGGCATGCCCTTTTCTATTTGAATTCTGCCTTTGACGCTGAAGAAAGCTACCTAAAAGCAATCAGATATTCCTCAAAAGCTCCAAAGGCATTCATTAAAGCAAATGCATATGGAGAATCCCTTATTTTATTAAGACTTGGACAAATTTATATAAAGCGAAGGGCATGGAGTGACGCTAAAATTGTGTTCTCCAGATGCTGTGAAGAGACAGCCACCGCTTTATCTTGGGAAGGTCTAGGTCTTGCCTGTCTTCACCTAGGAGAACTAAATGAAGCTGAAGACGCCTTAACCCAAGCAAATATGATGAATGATAAAAACGCTTATACATGGGCTGCTTTAGCTTTATTATGCCTCAAAAGGAGTGAATTCCCTCCAGGACGTTATGTCCAGTTCAGACAGTGCTTAAAAGAAGCTTTTGAGCTGAAGCTAGACGACTCTTATTTATTAATGAATATCGGCCATGAGTACGTCAAAAAGTTTTATTTAGACGGATCAGGAACTCATGCCCAGAAACTTGACCACAGTGAACCTCTGATGTGCTACCAAAGAGCATGCGAAATTCTAAAGCAGCAAAACAAGCCTATAGATGACTTGCGGAGAACAATTGCTGACGCTTTTGACTCTTTGAAAACTAGGGGCAATAATAAGCTGGACGTAAAACTGATTGATTCAATTCAGAGATCAAAAGAAGAAGTTTTAAGTAATATAAAGTAGATAGAATATGAAATAATAATCAAAGAAAATGATGATTTTGAAGAGAGCAAATAGGGCTGCTTTTTGCTTATCATCGTCTTTCAAGTGATTTAGTATATATAACCCTAGCACCTCCAATATTATTGAAACTTTTGAGAATATGATCAAGCAGCAAAGATTTCAAGATGTGGCAGACAGGTTTAAAGAGCTCTCAAGGCATGAAAAAGTACTTATTCAAAGCCTTTTTCAGTTAATTTGCAAAGATGTATTCAAGAATAAGGAAAAGTGGGATATAAATGCTATTGCTGATATCGCAAACACAATTTCCCTTACAGAACATTTAAACTCAGCCGAGAAGTTTTATCCAGTGCTGCATGAGAGATTTGAGGAGCTAAATGACGATAGTCTCGTAAAGCTTATACATTTGTTGACAAAAATCCCAGAAAACGGGAAAAAATTCCATCGTCTTTATTATCAAAAAATTGTACCGCTGCTTACCAATCAGAAGAACAATCCCAAGTCATTTTCAGTCGCTTTGATAGCGTTTTTGCATTTGTATGATACTTATACACAAGCTCAAATAGACTGTATATGCCGTATGGTTTCTCATTACAGGTGGTCATTAGTTCCGAAGCATTGTGTGAATATTCTAACATATTCGAAGCCTCCATTACAGAGCAGATTGATGGAAGTTTTAATGGAAAATATTAGCTTCTATGCAAAATATGATCTTTTAATTACAAATTAAGCAACTTTCTCCTCTTATAACATTTTATTTAAATTTTCCCCATTATATCCTTCTGAGGAGCTCTCCCAAAAGGATGGCGAATATTATTTTATTTTTAAGCAGCTTATTGGAGAAAACAGCAAAAAATAGCCTAGGAATAATTATTTGGAAAATATAAATTAAAGTAAAGCATATACCTGCGCTCCTGCATTCACTCATTTTTTCTTCATGTATTTCTCGTCTTTTCATTTAATACTGATAGAAGAAGATACTTTTAATAAAGCTAGCCTTTCTCAAAATCTCTAGACACCAGTTTTATTTTGTCTTATTCCTTAATTTGCATCCAGAGAACTGTGATTCTTTTTTCCTGGATGTCACCCTTCCTCAAGGCGACCGGTAGGAGACATCAGGCTAGTATTCGCCTCTATACACCTGCACAACATTCAGCACAGAATGGTCTTCTAGCCCATCGAAACTCAGGGACATAGTACAAGCACTTAGTTCTGGGAAAAGACTGTTTGGGCAACCGATGCTACCCCTAGCGAGCAAGGGTCCGGCAGTTGCAAGCGTGCAGAGGCATCAAATCTGGAAGATCTTAAATCATTTAATCTTAAGCTTAATTTTCAATAGTGTTGGATGCTAAGCTCATGTTTTCCACATGTAGCCTTCTGTTCGGCTTTGGAGAAGCTGACTGATGCATGAGCGAATTGGTGGCTTCCACGTCTGAAAACTCAGAGACCATACTAGAACTCTTGGTTTCTCGGTAGCGACATTTCTTTTTGCGTCAAAGACCTTTGATACAACGCTATTTCCTATTCAGTCTTTTCATCTATTTCATTACTCAACCCTATCCATCATCTCTCCTCCGATCAGGAGCCTTAGCTCGAGGGACTGTCTTGCTCGTCTAATCTGCCTCCATTTTTCTAGACCATCTCTGAAAAAATACTCGGTAGATACAAACAACTATAGTAGCTTGAGCAGGTACATCGCCCTTCTCCATTTCGGGCACCACTGGCTTTGGGCAACTGCCAAAAAAACTTCGAATAACTTCCATTTGTTATTGCGCCAATCAGAGTGCCTAGACCCCTTGTTTTCAAGGTCCTAAAATGGTTGTGCTAAGCCCTAGCTTCAACAACCATGGCCAGATATCCATAGATAACTGTTATTGAGGTGACTAATCGGACTTTACACTCAATATATATTATTCCTTAATATTAAATTCAACATTATTGCTTAATTGCTCAGCCGCTGACGACATTTTCCAAATTTCACCATCGATATTCTTAAAATATGTTAACCAGAATTTAAATTTATTCGCTAATTCTCTTTGTGCGTCTTTTCGATTTAAATTTTATGCCTGAGGAAAGCCATTTCTTTTTGACTTGGAACCAATTATATATTAAAATAAGCCAATGTCATGGAATAGTGCTTTGGAGCGTGCAAGTGATCACTGGGATATGGGACTGCCCAACCTTGACTTTTCTGTCCCTTCTGATTTAGAAGAATTTGATTGTTTGAGCCTTAAACATTTCCCAAAAATTTTTTATCCAAAAAATAATTTAATTTATTGCCTTTTAATGATTGTCCAAATGAAACGATAAGCTGCAGTTTTCAACTGAACCCTTTGGCTCTCTCGCCTGAGCCCATATATAATGAAGTAAGAGATGTCGAACTCTCCACCCAGTGCTCGCAGTCTCGCAGAGGAAAAACGGTCTGGACTCCAGAAGAGGATGAACTACTAAGCCAACTTACAAAAAAATACAAGAAGCGCTGGGACATTATCAGTAACTATTTTCCCGATAAAAATGCTCAGGCAGTCCAGCGAAGATGGGCAAATAAGCATGACCCGAACGTAATTAAAACTAGGTGGACGCCAGAGGAAGACGAGCTTATATTAAAATTGTATAAAAACTACGGTGGAAACTGGAAAAAGATAACCGCTTGTTTAAAAGGCAGACCTGCTGATGCCGTGAAAAACAGGTTTTATGGAACCATCAAAAAAAAGATCCAGAAACAAAATGAGCCAGTCAACGAAAAGGCGTCTGATGTCGCAGCTCCGGATAAACCTGAGCCAGTGACTGAGAAAATTTGGAAGGAAGAACAGATTATTGATAGTTTTCTTATAGAACCGAGCAAGGCCAAGGCCAAGCCTAAAGAAGAAGCGCTGTCGCTGGAAAAGCTTGCTGTTGCAGCGAAAGAAATGTCGGCGCTGTCAGAAGAAGAGAAGAGGCTAAAAATAAAGGACCTGTATGAGAAAATGATGACTCTTCAAGAGCACCTTAAGCATACCAAAGACCAAATCAAGAGCTTGGAGTTCAAGAAGATTTAGTTTGGTATGATTTATTCTTAACTAAATAGATGTTGAAATAGGCAATAAGTCGCAGGTAAAATTTTTTGAAACGAAAATCCTCACTTTTTTTTGGGTATGGTTTTGCGGTAGTAGTGAGTCTAGGAGTTTCAGGATGTTAGGTGGGGTGGGAATATGTGGATAGCTCTATCATGCCTTATGAAAATTTGGCGCTTGAATAAAAGGCAGTGTAATTCATTTATATATACACATAGCTATAGATTGAGATTAAGGAAGGTCCCCTCTGCAAGTCTTTAGATAAAAACTGGCAAGCTAGCTCAATTTCTACTTTTAGCAAAATTTGGAAAATGTAAGTTGGCTTGCCAGGCAACTTAAAGATTGGGAGATTTTCCCAGAATACTTACTTACTTGCTTATTTACTTAACATGGTCTTTAAGGTGTCTAGTGCCCACAGCCTTAATTAAAAAGGGTCAAAGCGAGACTAGTGACGTCACCAAGCCATCTTGGAATATGTGGTCAGCCCGCACCCAAGCCTTCTATGAGGCTTCGTCGCCAGTTAGTCGCCGGCGCGTTGCGTCGTCGCTCTCTCTGACTCAGCTCCTGCGCGTGTTCCGCCTAAGGGTCATCCTCCCGTGGGGATGTGTTGAGAGGTAAAACTCTGAACCTCTTGAATGCACTGAGGAGCCGTGCCTTTGGTTTATCCAAAATTAAACGGCTGCTGCTGTGCAGAAGTTCTCGAGAGAAAACCCAACCCCATAAATAAAATTCCATGAGGGAGAGAATATTGGCAGAGCCAATTTCTCTCGGGCCGAATGCCATTTTATTTATGATTTTCCCAGAATACACATTAATTCGAAGTGGGTTAGAGTATATATTACTCCTCCTTTTAAATCTAAAGCATTTTAATTTCTATAGGTAAAATAATAATTCCTATATAAATAGCTTCGATATACCAAAATAAAAAATTGATTATAGCCTACTCTATTTTTTAAAGGAGGGATTGCAATTTGAACAAAAACTGAATTTTATAAATTTTTTTTTCAAAAAAATTACTCTACGTGGAGCAGAAGCTTTTACTCCAATTTAAAGAGGAGTTAGTAATTCAAAAAGCGTTTTAAAAATTTAAATATGCCATGAATTTAGGAGCCAAAAGCGATTTAGAAGTACTAATTTAAAGTAAATCATTTAAAATGTTAATTTGTTCTGTTTATAGATAAGAAAAGCATAACTTCTGTTTTGTAAACAAGTGCAGTTATAGCGCTTTTTAATATCTAGATATGATCTAGGTTGCGATTATCTTAATTCAGTTTATTTATAACCTTACTCCTATGCAATTATTATTCTTTAAGCGAACTTTTTATAAATAATTTTAATAAAATTAATTTTAATTGTTAACCTTCTATTTTTTCATGAGAAGATATTCATATTAAACTTTCTTTACTCATCCACAAATTTACAGCTCAAAAAAAAGTTATTATTAATGGTGCAATTAGTGAGCAGGCTATCTCTGATTAATTTTTAATTTAACAAATTTGTAATCCTCGACTTTTATTTGCTTTAATAGCAATTTCGACAAGCTTATCATTGACACTGAAATCTGTAAAAATGATATTCACCTTATCCCATCACTCATTTTCAAGCCAATCCTCCAAATAAGGCCTCAAATAATTAGCTAAATACAGATTATGTGCAATCCTTTGTGTAGACAATATGCATTGAAATAGCCTAAGCCGATTCGTCTCCCTACACATTTGTTTTTGTATAAACTTTTTTAAAATTTCCGGTCTATCAGTATTCGGCCACTCATCATAATGATTGATCGATTTCGCATACTCCCCATTCCCAAACCTCGCATCGCTGCTCAATACCACAATTCTCCTATTTGTTTTCAAATTTTCGCCTATCGTATTTTTAAGAAAATCCTTCGTAATCACCATTTCTTTTATTTTTTCAAATCTCAAGTTCAGCTCTACATATGCGCTGTCAGTAAACTTTCTGAAGTGGCTGAAATCCAAAATGATTATTTCCTTGTTGTGGAGGCTTAAAAAATTTTCTATAGATTCAAACAGATCGAGCACGCATACATCGCATACCCAACTTTCGTGAGAAAACTTAAAAGGGTCGTAAGAGTCTTTAGGAATGTATCTCAGTCGGCAGTCAAAGTATCGGATGCCTCGTTCTAGCTGCTCGTAGAAGTCAGCTGATTGGTTTCGGACCCATGGAGCAGCTATGCAGCATGAGTATCGGTAAGTTCCTGAATTGTGAGAGCCAGGGATTAAAATTTCGTGGAGACATTTGTCCTTGATATAGGGAATGCATTCTTCCATTCAGCTAGAAGTAGTCGGCTCCATTGAGGTGAACTCGAAGTTGATTTCCATTTATCTAATAGTGAAACCTTTCCGATTAATTTAAAATTCTTCTATTATTATTTTATTATTTTTTAAAGACTGCAAGTGGTGAAAGGCCCAGGGTGACTGGTGAGTTGATCCCAGCCCCAGCAATTGATCCATTTTTTTAGTAGGTCCGGTGTGAGTTTTTGCCTGATCAGGATTACACGGCAGGCTTTTATGCTTGACCCACTGACGATATACCGAGAGCGCAATGCCTGGCTCACACTGCTGGCAAGTAATTTATGCCTGTATCAGGCTGGTAGTCCATAAGGAGGCGCCAAGACCTTAATCCACTGCCAGGAGTTGAGTGGGTTCAGTGCCGCAAGAACTAGATCAGGCAAAACATCTGGTGAGTCTCTCCGAGAGACTGGCGACGTCGACAGGAAAAGGGCATGGTGTGAAATAGCTAGGGCTGAAATAAACTCCTAAGGCCTGCTAGAATTTAATCTAATATAACCTATTATTTTATATGTTTATTAGAGTTTCTGGTATTCCCCTGCTGCTGCTGCTTCTTCGCTTGCTTTTTTCTTTTTTTCAAGCTTTCTGGCTTCTTTTTCGCTGATATTTTTTTCAGCGAGAGCGATCATTGCTTTGATGTAGTCGTCTCGAAGGGATTCGTGTGTGGGAAGCGGGGGGTAGAGATAGCTTGGAGCTAGCATAATTAAAATGAGGATAAGACCTATTAAGATTCCGTACCAAGGAGAATTGTCATCAGTTTCCATTATTGATTTGGTAAAATTTAATAATTTAGAAAATAAATAATTATTTCTTTTATATAAAGTTTTATAATAATTTTAAGAAATTTTGTATGCTTTTATTTATGTCAAAGCCTTTTTTTCTGAAAATTTAAAAAAATATTAAACTATTCTAGGCTGATGAGCCTGCTAAAGAGTATCTTGGGCTAGCCCAATGCCAATTGGTTTTTTCGAATATTTAAAATTTGACCACAAAGTGCGCTTAGCTAGCTATTCATTATAAATAAGTTTAACTACTTTGAAATTATTCTTAAGGCCATTTTCTATCTTAAAAATGTTTATCGCCCTTGCAGTCTTTTTCACTGGATATTTGATGTGGCTAAAATTAGTGGCCATAATTGCTTACTCTCACCCTTTTAAATTGGAGCAAAATATAGGAAAAATTGTCATTGGAACAAAATTTTAATTTTTTAACAAATATTTTATAACTACCCCCCCCCCCCTCCGTGAGCGAACAAAAAAATTTTGTTCGCTCACGGAGGGGGGTTAATTTTTTTTTTTAAAAAAAAATTTATATATAAATTTTATAAAAAATTTTTTTCGAAATTTAAAAAAATCCTAATTTGCAAAAATTGGGAAGCAAATATTAATTTAATTTGCAAAATTTATGTTTTAAAACGCAATTTGTTTAAAATTAAACAGAATTAGCTCTAGATTTCATTATACTAATTATCACTTATATATCAAAATTTTTTTCCATTAAAATTTTTTCTATTAAAAAAATTTTTGTTCACTCACGGAGGGTGGGTTTTTGGTCAAAAAATGGCGATTTTTCTAATGGTTTTGTTCGCTCACGGAGGGGGGGGGGAGTAAGTGTAAAATACTAATTTTTATATAACTTTTACTAATTTAATGGAGGAAGTGCAAGTAGATTGCTATTTAAACAGTTGGACACACTGAATCGATTAATTTTTTGTATTAATTTCTTCATAAAAAATAAACTAAAATTCATAAATTCTTTTATTTTTTTAAAAATTTGTTTATAAAAAAAAATTGATTCCAGTTAGAGATGGGAAGTTATAATAATTTTTGGCATGGCAACCCAGAAGATCAGAGTAGCGAACCCTGTTGCAGAGCTTGATGGGGATGAAATGACCAGAATCATTTGGCAGCTGATTAAAGACAAGCTGATTTTCCCATACCTCGACCTTCCAATTCAATACTTCGACCTTTCCATCCAAAACCGTGATGCCACAAACGATCAGGTCACGCTAGACTCTGCTAGAGCTATTCTTGACTGCAAAGTTGGAATTAAATGTGCCACAATCACTCCAGATGAAGCCAGAGTAGAAGAGTTCAACCTCAAAAAGATGTGGAAATCTCCTAATGGAACTATCAGAAATGAGCTTAGAGGAACTGTCTTCAGAGAGCCAATTATTTGCAAGAATGTCCCAAGAATTGTCCCAGGCTGGAGCAAGCCAATCATCATTGGAAGACACGCCCATGCTGACCAATACAGAGCTACTGATTTCACAGTAGACCGATCTGGAAAATTCGAAGTCGTTTTCAATCCTAATGACGGCTCAGAAGGCCAAAGATATGAAGTCTTTGCTTTCCAAGGAGCTGGAATTGGGCTAGCAATGTACAACACTGACGAATCAATTGAAGAGTTCGCAAGATCTTCCTTTGAATACTCCTTAAACAGAGGCTACCCACTCTTCTTATCCACAAAAAACACCATTCTTAAGAAATATGACGGAAGATTCAAAGACATTTTCCAAGGGATTTATGACAGAGAATATAAGCAAAAATTCCAAGAAAAAGGGATTTATTATGAACACAGACTTATTGACGATATGGTCGCTCAAGCTATCAAAAGTAACGGCGGGTTTGTATGGGCTTGCAAGAACTATGACGGGGACGTTCAAAGTGACGTTGTAGCTCAAGGATATGGCTCTTTAGGACTTATGACTAGTGTTTTGGTATCCCCTTCAGGCGCTATTGAAGCTGAAGCTGCTCATGGCACTGTTACAAGACATTATAGACTTTAAGGATTAAGGCTTCCTTGTTTAATGTCACGCTCAAGGCAAGCCTTTAAAGAAGGCTTGCTCAGCTGCAGGCAAACTCCCTGAGTTTATCAGCATTTATACCAAAGATAGCTCTGCTCCAGCTTTCGGTCTGGCTCTTGGAGCTTTTTTCTGAGCCTGAGAGTGCATAGTTTAGAGATTGGATGGCTGCTGCTTCAGTGAATCGAATCCCAAGCTAAGAATAAATTCTCTAGCTAGTATCGGTACAATTATGCCTTCGCTGTTGGCACTAGATGCCTCCAGGGTGAAAAGCCTATTATCTCTTGATATCCATCGGGAAGACCTTAAGTCCTCGTTATTGTTGGGCAAGGAGACAAATTCAAGCTGAATGCAAATGCCTAGTATCCGATCCTCCTTTCCTGCTCAGTTTAGGTTCAGGCCGTAGCAGGCCCCCAAAATCTGAACATGTCGGGAGAGGGCATCTCCATTTTATTTGTGCACAAGACATTATCGACAATGGCAAAAAGGAGAAGAAACATCAACAAACCCAGTTGCTTCCATTTTTGCTTGGACTCGTGGACTATTACACAGAGCAAAACTTGATGGGAATGAAGAACTTAAACATTTCTGTGAAACCTTAGAAGCCGCAACTATAAAGACAATAGAACTTGGGTTCATGACTAAAGATTTGGCTTTATGCGTCCACGGAAACCAAATGAGAAGAGAGCACTGGCTTAACACTGAAGAATTTTTCAATAAATTAGCTGAAGTGTTGGCTGCTGAACTAGCAAAGCCTTGCTGTTCTGAAGAAACCAAAGAATGCTGTGAAAAATCCTGTGAACAGTTTTGCAAAGAGTTCTGTAAGAAGTGCTGTGATGAATACTGTCAAAGCCACAGCAAAGAAGGAAAAGAAGTTTGCCAAGAAGCCTGCTTAAAGCATTGCTTAGAATCTTGCTTAGAAAGGTGTTGCCAAGAATGCGTGAAGAGTTGTGAAGAATCTGGCAAAGAATCTGGCAAAGAATGCTGTAGAGAAGTATGCGAACAAAAATGCAGAGAATGGTGCCAGCAAGTCTGCCAAGAGAATTGTTGCAAGGAAAAAAAGGAATGCTGTGAGAAATCTTGTGAAGAGATTTGCAAAGAGTTCTGTAGGAAATGTTGTGATGAATTCTGTCAGAGCCACAGCAAAGAAGGAAAAGAAGTTTGCAAAGAAGCCTGCTTAAAGCATTGCTTAGAATCTTGCTTAGAAAGGTGCTGCCAAGAATGCGTAAAGAGTTGTGAAGAATCTGGCAAAGAATTCTGCAGAGAAGTATGCGAACAAAAATGCAGAGAATGGTGTCAGCAAGTCTGCCAAGAGAGGTGTTGTGAGGAAACCAAAGAATGCTGCGAGAAATCCTGTGAAGAGATTTGCAAAGAGTTCTGTAGGAAATGCTGTGATGAATTCTGCCAAAGCCACAGCACAGAAGGAAAAGAAGTTTGCAAAGAAGCCTGTTTAAAGCATTGCTTAGAATCTTGTTTAGAAAGATGCTGCCAAGAATGCGTAAAGAGTTGTGAAGAATCTGGCAAAGAATTCTGCAGAGAAGTATGCGAACAGAAATGCAGAGAATGGTGTCAACAAGTCTGCCAAGAGAGGTGTTGTGAGGAAACCAAAGAATGCTGCGAGAAATCCTGTGAAGAGATTTGCAAAGAGTTCTGTAGGAAATGTTGTGATGAATTCTGCCAAAGCCACAGCAAAGAAGGAAAAGAAGCTTGTCAAGAAGCCTGCTTAAAGCACTGCTTACTCCCCCCTCTGTGAGCGAACAAAAACATGGGAAAAATCCCTGTTTTTTTGGTAAAACCCTCCCTCCGTGAGATAGCAAAAAATTTTTTAATATTGCAATTTTTTAGGAAAAACAAAATTTGATATTTAAGTGATAATTATTATAACGAAATCTCTAGCTAATATAGTTTAATTTTAAATAGCTTGCATTTTAAAATATAAATTTTCAAATTAAATTGTTTTTACAAATGAGAATTTTTAAATTTTGAAAAATTTCTATATAAATTTTTAAAAAAAAATAGCTCACTCGAGCGAACAAAAATTTTTATTCGCTCATGGAGGGGGGAGTTAGAATCTTGCTTAGAAAGATGCTGCCAAGAATGCGTAAAGAGTTGTGAAGAATCTGGAAAAGAATTCTGCAGAGAAGTATGCGAACAGAAATGCAGAGAATGGTGTCAACAAGTCTGTCAAGAGAATTGTTGCAAGCAAAGAAAGGAATGCAGCGAAGAAAGTAAAGGAGGCAGCGAAGAAAGCAAAGGATGCTGCGGAGGAAGAAAAGGGTGCTGCTAGAAAGGCTTTTAATTAAGGAAAGCAGTTAAATTCTTTAAAAATGGGTATTTAAGAGGAGGATATGTAGGGATATCAGCCCGTCTAGCTCAGTCGGTAGAGCGCCAGCCTTTTAAGCTGGTGGTCGGGGGTTCGAGCCCCCCGGTGGGCGTTTTTTATGCAAAGGAAGAGAGATGGGGTATTTATTGAGCTACAAAGGAGAAAGTGTAGCCCGTTTAGCTCAGTCGGTAGAGCGCCAGCCTCTTAAGCTGGTGGTCGGGGGTTCGAGCCCCCCAGTGGGCGTTTTTTAGTTTTGCATTGTTTTAATGAAGATAAGTAAAAAAGATCTCTGTTTCTATTTATACTGTATTATATTGAATAATATGCATTTATATTTTAAAGATAAATAAATATATTTAAATCAGATTGGTAATGACGAACCATTTCCTATTAATATATTTTGCTTTACCATTTCACGGTTTGCCTTTTTAGTTATTTGAGTAAGCAAAGAGATTTCAATTTTTATATTTAAGCTAGAATCTAATTAAGCCAGTATAATTTTTAATTGAATTAACGGTAAGATGCAAAAAATTTTTAGAAGTCATTTAAATTTTTTTATGTTCTAAGTTTTTATTACAAGCAATTATTTTATAATTTATATTAAATAAATTATAATCCTTGAGCTAATTTAGGCAATGAATAAGTATCAGTTAAGAATCATGCAAACAAATTTCATTTTAAAGTGATTATTTTTTATATATAGCTTTAGATAGACGGGAAACACCACTTTTTGAAGAGCCTGGAGAGCCGCCGGAAGATTACCAAATGAAGCATAAAATATTGCTTTGCTACTTAAGGGTCCGTTATCTATTCAATAAGGATCCTTTTTCTGTGGCTTGGATCCGTTCTAAGCCTGAAAGTGTGGCTTCTACAATTATAATAATAATAATAATAATAATCATAAAAAATTTGGCAAACCAAAATGAGGCTGGTTTACCAAATCTGGCCGGCATGCGATTTTAAATTCATATGAAAATCCTTTTTTGTTGGTTTTCTGATAGGAATCAAACGGCCAGAAAAATGGCGAAAATGTAGAGAGCAAAAATACCTAAAATGCTTCTCTACGATCCGCATACTCAGCTGCCCTACTCAGCTTCCCGACACAGTTTCCCTTCTAGCTGCCTACTCAGCCTCTACCCCACCCTCAAACAGCACACAGCAGCCCTACCAGCCGGCCTACCTATATGCCTCCTCAGACTTTCTGCCCCACCCTACCCAGCCCTACCCAGAGCTATATCCTGCGGCCACCCAGCAGCACTACTAGCTACCCGACCCAGCTGCATACCTAATTGCCCTACCAGCAGCACTACCCAGCCACAACAATCCACTTCTTACCGCAACCCTTTAAAGTAACCTCGGTCACTCAGCCGCCATATCTAGCCGCTTTACCAGCCGCCTTACCTTCCCGCCCTACCCAGCCGCCTTACCTAGTCACCTTACCCAGCCACCTTTCCTAACCGCCTTACCGAGCCACCTTACTCAGCCGCCTTACACAGCGGCTCTACCTTGCCACCTTGTAGGGCTGCTGGGAGCGGTTGGGAAAGATGAGTGGATAGGGCGGGCAGAGGCTGAGTAGGCAGCTAGATAGGGCAGCTGTTTCCCACTTATCTAAAACTGTATATTTTATTTAAGAACACATTTTGCGTTTAGAAAATGATCCTTGAACTCTTTAGATATTCAAACTCAATAAATCTCAAAACCTTGATTCTTAACCTATTTTAATACCTCGTAAATCATCATTTTATAAAAAAATGCCACAAAAAAACCAAATTCTTTTCATAAAATAAAATCTAGAAATACCAAGTTTATAAAAAATCCTATAAACATAAAATTTTAAGATTATTAAATCTTATTTGCAAGCAAGCCCTTTCAACTGACTATAGACTTGCTGGATAACGTCAAGGAATATCATGACTACTCCATTCCTAAGTTTGAAATCTACAACAAACGACCCCTCGTGCCTGTAAATGTCTGCTCGCATTTTCAGGTCTTTCCTAGCATCAACTGACTTGACATTCAGACTAAAGGCTGATGTGGACTTTCACTCCAGGCCAGCATCACGAAGCGCTAATTGGAGGTTCAACAAAAACTGAGAAGGTGCAAGGGTTGATTTTATCCCAAACGCCCAGTTATTCGGATCCTCAACTGCTGGCACGATCTCGGAGGAGTCGCACCTTGACGATGCGATCGTGGACAACTCAGCAGTGGAAACTTCGCACGGCTCTTGTTTAAATAGAGGGGTATGATTAGCAGTAATATTATACTTTGAGGTACTACCTGATAGCTTTTGGTCTAACAAAATTTCGTAGCATACAACGATGCTGTCACTTTTTCGCTTCAAAATTCTGTCGCGGGCAAATTTCTTGTCCATCCCTTGTTTGCGAGTTAGGACCAGGGCTTGTTGGAGGATTTCTTCATCTATAAGTGGTTCTGAAATTTTATAAGCTGCAATTAGGAATTAAAAATGTTTAAAAATTAGCTTAAATCCTATTTTCTATATGAAATACTCATATTTATATATAAAAAAATCCTATATGAATATGCCTGACAGATTATTTTCTTTTAATGTACACATTTGAACTGAGGTGTTTTGGCACCTTATGAGTCAGCCACGGGTGGCTTTGTATCTGTTGTATAGTTATTCTAGCAATTGGGTCTGGGTTCAGCATCCTCATAATCAAGTCTTTCACAGGCTCTGAAAAATGATAAGGCATCACGAAGTTCCCACTCTTAATCTTTGTGAACAGCGCAGGGATAGACACATCATCAAACGGCAAACTCCCTGCCAACAAGGCAAACAAGACAACGCCAGTACTCCAGACATCGGCTTCAGGTCCACAATACCGATACCCCGAAATGACTTCAGGCGCAACATAATTGGGTGTTCCACAGGACGTTTTCAAGAAATTCCCGTCAGGCATCAGGTTTGCCAGTCCAAAGTCAGCTATTTTAACGTTTCCATGAATATCAAGCAGGAGGTTTTCTGGCTTTATATCTCTGTGGGCCACTCTGTGAGAGTGACAATAAGCAAGTCCAGAAAGGATCTGCTGAATATAGTTGCGTGCCTGCTCTTCATGGAGTTTCCCATACCGATCTATCAAATTGTAAAGCTCACCTCCTGGGAGATACTCGAGAACTAGGACAAGGCTTTTTGGAGTTTCTATCACTTCATAGAGTCGGATTATATGAGGATGATGGAACAACTTGAGTACTTGAATTTCCCGTTTTACCTTGGAGACCATATTTTTCTCGAGGATGGCTCGCTTCTTGAGGACCTTGATAGCGACGTTTGTGGAACTCGAAAGATGCTCGGCAACTATTTAGATTTTACGCTTAACCTGGCCATAAGTACCGTGACCCAAATGGCCTAAGATTCGATAGTTATCGATAGCTGACATTTATATAATTATAAAGTTTTAATAGATTGAAAGAGATTAACAGTTCGTGGGCCTTTCGAGGCCACAAATTGTGGCTAGGAAGAAGATTTAGGGATGAATTAGGGATTTAGGAGAGAAGAAGGCATGGGGTGGAATTTGGGTTCAAAATTTGAAGGTTAAAGAAAATTGCGTTTAAAAGAATGATAACATTTGGAGAAGCAAGGTTTTTTGAGGAAAAACGAAAGGAGGTGTTTTAGAAGGAATTGAGGATTTTAGGAGATTTAAATGCGAGGTTTCAGTTAAAAAATTAGGGATTTTTGAGGGAAATTGCTTTTAGGTGAAATTTAGGTTTCAAACTGAATAAATTGCAGATTTCAGAGGAAACAGAGAAGTTGGGCAGATAAAAACTTCTAATTGTTATTCTACTAATAAAAAATAGATATATTTTATAATAATATTTCTATATTTCCAGTATTGTTTCTAAGAAGTATAATTTTTATTTTTTCAAATAAAATATTTTTTTTGCATTTTTGAAATTAAAATGTCCAGATCAGTCATTAGACCCAAATTTAGCTTTTCGTCTCGTTTGCTTGCGTGAGAGGGCTTCAGAATGAATTGAGCTACTTAAGCAGCTGCAAGAAAATTATTAAATATGGCTTGGCTTCGTCGTCACAAAGTGGGAAAATGGCTTGCTTCTGATGACTTTTATTTTTATGATAAAATAAATTCTGGTCTTCTGGACTCGGAATATTTATCAAGTTTTCTATTTTGAGAAGTAATTTAATACCTAATGCAAAATAATTCGTGCGTTTCATAAAATAATTACTTTTAAGATACTATCTTAATGATTATCAAAATAGCAATTTATTTTAAGGAGAAGCTTGGATTACTTACCCCTCGTCATCCATGAGCGAACAAAAACATTTGTTAGCTCAAGAGGGAGGTTATTTTTTTTCTCGAAATTTAAAAAAATCCCAATTCGCAAAATTAGAAACAAATATTTTTATTTATTTATAAAATTTATGTTTTAAAATGCAATTTGTTCAAAATTAAGCTGAATTAACTAGACATTTCATTATACTAATTATCATTTATTTATCAAAATTTTTTTCCTAAAAAATTGCTATATAAAAAAAAATTTTTGTTCGCTAACGGAGGGAGGGTCTTAGACAAAAAAAGGGATTTTTCCAAGCATTTTGTTCGATCAAGGAAGGGGGAGTTAATTTTTAATAATAATAATAATCCCACTAAGACCTATTCAGGTAAAGCAGAAGTTATATCTTTAATCTAAATATTTAATATCATATAGAGTAAACTTAGCTATATCATCCACTTTAATGATAAGAAGCTGATTATAAAAATAAAAGAAATTTTTGATTGCTATGTGCAGATTAAGAATGGCTGGTGCTTTAAGTTATTTAACTTGCTCAGCTAGCACAATTTACTCGGAAATTGATAAACCGAAAGGTAGCTTTCTCAGTTCTCAGAGTTCGTTTATAAGTAAGCACTTGCCACTTAAATTAGAGAGTTGTAAGGAAGCTTAGCTTAGGCTGAGCTAATTTCGTACATATAATATACTGCTTCAATTTAGATTAACTAAATATAAATTATCTGAATTTTCAGATGGTTTTAATTAAAACAGGATTTTCCAATGGCCTTTGATTTTTCAAAAATGGAGAAGTCCCGATCTCAATTATTTAAATTTTTATCACAAGTTATAAATATCCGCTAATGACTCAAATTTAAAAGTTTTATAGTAAAAAATCTTGTGATTTTTTATTTATTCGATTTATTGATAAGACTCAATATCGGATTTAATAATAGCTATGCTAGCCAAAGATTATAAACTCAGTTATTTTAATGGGAATTTTGAAGATAGATTGAAAATAACTCTTGAGTTTGCAAAGATGTACCTGTGGGATGAAGAGCTAATTTATTTTGATTAAAAATTATAAGTTGATATAATTAAATTGCTTATTATCGAGAACACTAATAAATTTTCTGATTAAATGAGTTAAAACCATTTATCAGTAATTAAATTATTATTTAAAATCCAAAATGATCGAATCTATAATAATCATCGATGATTATTGCATATATTAAGCCTATATTTTTATAATCAACTCCATAATTCTGATATCATTAGAATCTCAATCTTACCATAATTCCCAAACAAATTAAAGAAACTAATCAAAATATTACAATGCATTCAAATAAATTAAATTTATGTAAAAAAGCGTAATAGAATTTAATAAATTTGTTTTAATATCAATAAAATAAGTATTTAGTAGATCTTTAAAGATGAAAAATACACCTCTTTACACCTTCATTGCTTTTACAGTTGGAGGTGGTATTATGAGTCTACCTTGGGCTATGATGAACTCAGGATGACTGCTCAGCCTTGTTGTATTTTGCCTTATTTGTTTCACATACTGAATAATTTACAATTCCTTGATCTACGCTATTGAAGGCTCCGCTAACCACAACTACGCTGCAGTGGTCAAATTCTACTACGGCATTTGGCCTGCCAGAGGAGTTTTAGTCGCAATTTGTATTCACTGTGTACTTCTTATGAGCATCCACTTTATTCGTATAATGGAGCTATTTAGATTCGTGACTGTTTGAATAGGGATTTTTTCTAAAGAAGATTTTACTTTATGAGTTGACACGCTTATTATCATGATAATTTCTATTCCTTTATTTATTTTTGGGTCATATATTCGGCTTCATACACTGAAACATATCCCAATCTTCATATTTTTTGCATGGGTCTATTTAATTTTACTTGCTATTAAAGATATTTTACTTGGAAATGTCAGAGAAACAGGCCCACCTGCTATTGAGATGAGAAACAGCACTGATATTTTGTGGACGGCCATTGAGTCGTTTAATGCGATTCAATGTGTCCCTATTATTTATCAAGAAACGCAAGACAGCCTTTTAATTAGGAAATCAATTACAAGAGGGCTCATTATTGCGTTTTTGCTGTTTTCAGTATCAGGGATCATAGGGTCAAATTTTCATAAGGGGAAAATTACAGAATTGTCATTGGTCCATTTTAGCATTAATAATGCTAATTTAAACAGAGGAATTGATTATTTTATGGTTATTGGGATTCTAGGGATTATTGTTGCTTTAGTTTTCTCAATTCTCTTACTGATAAGCCCAGCAAGACTCTCCGTAAATCAATTGGCTAAAGGGGTTTATTTCAGCTATAATAAAACAGAGCATCATATTATCACTTATTTAATATTGGCAACTAGCATGGTTTTACCGTTAATTTTTTCTTTTGATTTGAATGATTTTATGCTTTTGAGAAAAGTCTCAAAACTGCTGTTTTGCCTTTGCTATCCATTTTTGATTTATATGATGGTTGATAAGTCACTTCTGAAGAAAATTGCTTTTGGGGTCTGGATAGGATTTTTGTTTTTCGCTTGCATTTATGGAATGGATTGGTAAGACAAATAGAATAAATAATATGATAATTATGAAGGCAAATCTTACATTAAATTTTACTAATATTACAGGTTATTGATTTTTTAGCATATTTTCGATTGCAGATGCTTGGCATTGAGTAATTCGAAGCCAATTCTTATCGGTATTTAACTACGCATTTATTTTTGCGACTTCAAGCTTTTCTTTGAGCTTCTCTTTTTTTTTTAAGAACTAAGCTCCCTTGTTGAGCCTTTTTCAAATTTTCTTTGAGATCTTCAAAAATTGTATCATTTGTAGAGATTTTTTCATCTGAAGCTGAGCAAATTGAGCTGAGCTCCAAAGAAAACGCTGGTCTTGTTTTGTATGCTTGACCAATTGATCCTTCTAATAAAAAGCTGCTCTCTTTCATTTCCAGCTCGAATTCTGAAGACTGGAATCTTGCTAACATCAGAGCTTTCTTTCTTCAAAGCTCATTTTTGACTTGCTTTATTTTTCCAGCTTCTATTAACTCTAACAGCTCTAGAGCACTCTTGTCAGCTGAAATTAGCTCTTTGAGGAGGACTCTGTATTGAAGAGCTTCGTCCTTTGCCATCTCAAGAATTCTTCCTTTGCTTTCTTCGAGTTCTTGAATTTTATTCATTAGATCTTTTTCGATAGAAGGATTCTTGGATAAATTTTCCTTCCTAGAAAGCATCAATAGAGAAATTTGGCGTGAATTAAAGGTGGCAGGATCAAAATGCAGGTCTTCGAAGCGATTTAATTTCTCTTGGAGGTCTTCTGAGAGTTTATTGGCCTTTTCTAAATTGTTCTTCAAGTTGGATTTTTCTTGCCTAAGAGTCTCAATTTTAGCTTCAGAGCTTTGATTTTTCTCTTCAGCATCGTTTAGTAGTTGCTTGAGTTTTAGGATTTCTATGCTTTGGTTTTAAGAACCTCTTCTTGAGTCTTGATAATTTTTGCTTGATTGCTCAATTGCTTATAGGGTGGTGGAATTGAGAAAGTGTTGGGTAAAGGCAATGGAGTAATAGAGCTTTCTTCAGCGATATCAGAGTCTTCGAATTCGTCGAGGAATCTTGAGAAGACATTGGTAGCGTGGATATTTACTGAATTGCTATAGAACATTTGAAATAATTATATAGGCTTTTAGCCCCCAATTAATTGAGATTTTCGAATATCTATGAATGAAAATAATTTATTTTTTTAATTTTAAATTAGAAATTTTTTTAGTTAAAGTATTTATGAATTAGCATTTAAATAAAATCAGGCATGCAGGCAAAAAGCTTTGAATAATGTACAAATTTATAAGAATAGTTATGACTATGACTTGATTTATTTATGATTGAATCATTTTACCATTCACATCATACAAGTGCTCAATTTTTTATGATTTTTTTCATTTTCAGGATATCTTTAACTAGTCCTAGCATTTTTTTAAATAAATTTCAAAATCAGTCATGTCGGTAGCTCTTGGCTCGGCCTGAATTAAGGTAATTTTTCAATAATTTCTTCCGAATTACTTCAAATTCTCTTCCTGAGTCAAGCAAACTAAATGATTTATGCTAGTGCCTTACTAGCCCAGTGAGCGATTGGAAAATCTGTTTTATGCTCAAAAATCATCCTCCGTATGCGAAAAAATCAATTTTTTATGAAAAATATCTTGATATATAATGCTTATTATATGAAATCTCTAGCTGGTTTTGTTGAATTTTTAACAACTTTCATTTAAATAAACTTTTTGCCCACTCACTGGAGAGGTAGAGTTAGTGCCTATGCATAAGATTGTCCAAACTCGACATTCAACTACGTATCTAAAGAAATCTAAAAAGCTGCTCCTTTTACATAAAAACGTTTTATTTATTTTTCCAATTTTAAAAATATATTTTGCATTGAAGCATTAGGATGGAGTTGCATTAAGAAAGCAAAAGCATATTAAATAAATCATCGTTTAACCTAATAGTATGGAAGATTAGTAGGCTCATTTTCATTTAATATACTTGTACATTTATGATACTTATAAATAAGCACCATAAATAATAAAAATTTATAAAGAGATGATATTCCATTGGCAAAAAAGGCAAGTTTAAAAAATTTGCGTTTCTGCTATATAAATTAAAATATAAAATAATTAAAAAAAGAAACCCTGATATTTAATGCATAATTTAGCAATTTTACCATTTTTGAGGATGTAACCATTTTAGATTCTATAAAAATGTTAATCTGCTAATATATTCAAAGCCAATTTTTAATATAGTTAATTTTAGAGCATCTTCAATGACAGATCCGCTAAGCCCTTTTGAAGCTTTTGCAATTTTCTGTGCTTTCACAATTGGAGGAGGTATTATGGCTTTACCGATGGCTATGTCTCAATCAGGCTGGTTGCTAATTCCCCTTTCCTTCATGAGCGCAAATTTATTGGAAAATCCTAATTTTTGCAAAATTACCCTTTTCGCGCTTGTGCTCATTTTTTTGAAAGCTTCTATTCTAAAATATATTTACTTTGCCATCCATTTCAATTTTTTTTAAATTTTGAACTTTCGAAATCCGAAAAAATATATCACAAAAATTTACCTAAAACTTCTAACGGTCAAAAAACCACAATCGCTACTAAAGGAAAAGTAAGCATAATTGTTCTCTGTGCTGCTTCTTATTATTTTTTTAGAATCTACTCGTTTCTCATTGGCTTGATGAAACAAACAGCAAAAACCCATATGCACATCGTGTATTGTGATCTCTACGGGCAAATTTTTTCATTATGTAGTTCAGTCCTGATCTCTGGGCACATTTACTTTCTCCTATGTCTTATGATAATTCGTGAGATGAAGCTAATAAGGTTTCTTTTAATCTGAACTCTCAACTACCTAGAATTCTCCTGGCTAAGCTCGACATTGGGAGATCTATATATTTTCAAACCATGCACAGTTATACTTTTGTGTTTTTTGTTATGATTATGCGGGAGTTGTAGAGGATTCAAATCTTTTAGCTGAATTCCATTACTAAATTTAGTTGTATGGATTTATTTTATACTGCTTGCTGTTAGAGACATTTTATTTAACGATAAAATCAAGACTTTATCAGTTCCAGCTTATAACTATGAAGAGACTGACGAGATTATGTGATGTGCCTTAGAAGCTTTTAATTCTATTCAGGGATTCGCGCTATTGTATTTTGATGTTCAAAATGCTGACGTGACGAGAAAAATAATAAAATATGGATTGTGGGCTGCTTTAATTATATCTTCTTCTGCAGCTTGGCTGGGATCTAGTTATCACTTACTCTTCCTTCTTCTCTTTGAAAAAAAAACTCAAATACTTATTTTAAAAAAACTTAATCCATTTAAATATGAATAATGCTTATATAAACATAAATTATATATTAATTTAGATTTCTAAGGAGTTAGGAAATCTGAATTGGCTGTCAATGGCGCATGTCGGTCTTGGCTCAAGCAACCTAAATGAAACCCCTTTCAGCTGATTGATTTTCATAGGCCTTGCTGCTTTAACTGTTTCATTTTTTATTTCAATAATGCTTGTGCTAAATCAGGTTAGAACATCATTAGCACATTTAATAGACTACCAAGAAAAACATTTTCACGAAGAAACTTATAATTGAAGTTTACCATTAAATCTCTTTATAGTCTTACTGGGTGTTGGAGCTTTGAGTTTTACTTTTGAGAATTATCCTTTACTTATTACAGTCAGAAGGATAATGCTTTTTATATTTTGTGTTTTTTATCCTTATTTAATCTATATTAAAGAGGATGGTCCAAAATTAAGAAAGATCCTATACGGGCTCTTAATAGCCCTATTTTTGGTGTTTGTTCCCAACATAGAAATTGGATTAAAGGCTCTTATCTCAAATGACATGAATAAAGAGCTATAATTAAGAATAAAATACAATTGAATTAAATTATAATTTTTAGCATTAGTTTTCTGACATGCTCACTCCTAGATGAACCAGCAGCTGCTTGGGCTTTTTTTTGTTCGGGGAGGCTGAGTTAGATTGCTCATGTGAGTGGATTACAGGGAACTTTTCTAACGAATTATCTGAAATTTTGCTTATATTTAGCCCAAATTCTAATGATCGATATCTTTGGTGATTTCTAAGCTTAAACTTAGAAATCGGCCCTTTACTATGAATACTTGATATTGACTCTACAAGCTTATACTCTTGTAAGGAATCTTGATACACCTTAGCTGAATTATTGCTAAGACTTTGCGATATTAAAAACCGCCGCATTTTCGGGCTTATTTCTCTCAACGAATTTTCTCTGCTACGTTGGTTTTCTGACCTCAAAGACCGTTGTGACTGGATTTTTTTATCCTCATTAATTTTCGGTGGAATAGGGGATTTCGCAAATTGATCGTTCGACGGCAATTTTTGCAAAAAAGTGTTTAAATCTTCTTTGGCTTGGTCAAAATAAGGACTTCTCCTTCTATTAAAAGTTTTAATTACTGAATTCACTTGTCGAGAAGCCCTATGATAAGGCTTGAATCTCCTCTCCAAATAATGATCTGAAGGCACAGTCTTGATATTAGAGTCACACGAATCATTAGGCGACTTATAGATTTTTTCTATTTGGTTTATAAAGCTGCGCTCCGAAATTTTAGTCACCGGCGAGCTGCTGTTACACCTATCTGATTCATTTGGTCTTGAATTGAATTTTAAGACATCCATTTACTGTGAATTAATAATTCCAATAAAAAAATTCCTGTAAACCTGTCCGTGCAATCAGCTTATTTGTTAGAAAAATTGATAAATACTGTAAATAATATCCATTCGTGATAATAAAGTTGATAAAATTAATATGCAAGATAAAGAAGCCACACTTAATTTATCATCTAACAAATTCTCAAGTCGACATAGTAGGCAGTTTTCTTGCTCCCCCGCTGCAAATTGATCAGCAAAAACACCGAGACACCATAAAAGCCGCACGATTTCTCATAATACACCGACAAATCAGTTCTCGTTCAACTTGCAGAATTCACTGTTGCACATACTGCAAAAGCAAAATACAGGAAAATTTATAAGCCCGAACCCCAGAAGTCATTCTACTGAGCCGCCTACAGATGAGTCGAGCCAGGAACGCATAAATGTGTCAACTCAGTGTGATGAGCTAATTTCAAGAGATTTTGAAAATACTGGGAAATGTATCTTAAACCGAGTTAAATTATGATGGGTATAGCTTGTTTTTTACTATAGCTTTCTATAGGGAGCAGAGAGACGAAACAGCCCTGAGAGTTGACTCATGAAACCAAGCTGATAACTCAATTCATAAAACTTATTTGGAATTTTGATAGTTGGCTCATCAACCTGAATTCACAAGGTAACTCTAAGGGTTTCTCTGTATCCCTGCTCCCTATGGAGAGCTATAACAGGGAGCGAGCTATAAGTTTAGTTTATTGCGATAACTATTTTAAAATATTTCATCAAATTTTTTGAGTAATGCTAATTTCTTATAGTTATGAACGTAAATTTAATATGCAAAATAATACAATTATTAAAGGAAAACAATAATAACATACCGAATCAAATAAAATTAAAAGACAAAAAGCTTCCTACGATGAAATTCAAAATTCCAGAGAGATTTACAGAAAATTCAAGATCTAAAGAAAAAAAGCCGAAATATATTAGACCGAAAATATCAGTTGAAATCCGACACCTAGAAGCCTTTACTTTCCTACCTACATGAGTGAGCAAACTATTGGAAAAATCTAAATTTTTAGGGAAAAGCCCTCCTCTATTAAGAAAAATTTTTATAAAAAAATATTTTTGATATTTAAGTGATAATAATAATTATCATGAAAAAATCTCAAACTGACTATATAAGCTTAAGTAGATTTAAAACTTAAATAATTTTTTAAAATATATAAAACATTATATATTAAATTTTAAAAAAAATCAACCCTCTCCTCTAGTGAGGAGGATAGTTAGTAGATGCTAAAATCTTAAGAGGCGAACAAGCATTTATGGATGATAAGTTGCCTCCTATAAAACTTCCTGAAGAAAAGCCAATCCAAGAGCACGCCCCAAAACATCAGCGAGCACTAACTACAAGAGAAAATACTAATGACCCAAAAATAGTGTCTTCCACTACCCAATATCATCATGATGGTATCAGAAAGCTTCAATCAAGATGCAAAAACTACGCCAAAAAGCCTGCTCGATTCCTCCCAATTGAAGAAATCGAGAACCAGATCGGAATAAACAAAGATTTTTCCTTTAAGCCTCATCAGAATATCAGCCTTGACATGAAACTTCTGAGGGAAACCGACGAAATAATTACACAAAAAAAGCTCGAAATGGACAAAATCGCGAGAATTTATGAAGCTGGCCTAAAGAAAAACAGCATTTTAAAAAATTCCAAAAATTTCGGGGAGACTTGGAATTGGAGTTCACCTGAGGAAAGTCCTTACACCAATAAAATTGTCAGCTTTGACACGTCGATAGCTTCATAAATTATTTATAAATAATTATATAATCTATCATAATAAATATCATATATTTTATTTTTCGTTAAAATTGTTTTCATGGGGGATTTACTATACCAATGACCTAAATTATCCGAATACACCTAAATAAAAAATAATATATTTAAACTATTACAAATGGAAAACTCTCAAATCCCTGTTATCCAGCCTCAGGAAGACACAGCCCCTGAAATCGACCCAGAAGAACTTTTTAACCAAGGCCTCTTTGACCTCAAAGAAAACAACACTGACCTAGCTGTAAAAAAACTCGGGAAAAGTTTGCAGATAATTAGCGCGAAAAGAGGAGAGCTGGACATGTCACTTTATAAATACTATTACCACTACGCAGACGCTTTGCTAGTCCAATATGAAGAAGAACAAGGAGATAACTTGTTTGGAACGGAGCTACCAGAAGAGGAAGAATACTCCAATGATGAAGAAAATGAATCAGGCTCTGCAGAAGAAGGCGAAAGTCAAGAAGGCTCTCAAGAAAACGAAGAAAATAATAGTGAAGGCGAAGAAGAATCAAATGAGCAGCAAAGCGAGTCAGAAGAAGAGCCAGAAGAAGAAGAGGAACAGCAGCCAAGCCCACCTGAAGAACAACAGAACCCTTCAGCAGACAAAAAAGATGAGCTTGAGGACTTACAAATTGTGTGGGAAAATTTAGAAACTTGCCGAATTATTCTGAAATCTAACCAAAATGATCCTGAATATTTGCTAAAAACTTATACTAGGCTTGGAGATGTAAAAAACTGGAACGAGGATTTTAACGGGGCTTGTGAAGAATACTCAGAAGCTCTTGGGCTACTTTTACAGCTAGAAGGGGACATTTTTTCAAGGAGAAAAGCTGAGCTTTATTTTCTTATCGGAACAACTCATTTAAATCAGCCAGGAAAAGAAAAAGAAGCCGCCGAGAGTTTTACAAAGGCCTTAGAGCAGCTAGAAATGGTGAAAATGAGGATTTTTGACTATGAAATAATCAAAGAACTGACTGACGTCATTGAAGAGGTTAAAATGAAAAGGGAAGACGCCATTGAACAAGAACAAAGCTTGAAAATATTGCAAGAGGAAAAGGAACAAGAAGAAAAGGCAAATGAAGGATTCGCCTCATCAGCCATTTCAGGGGATGTCAAAGATTTAGGGACTTTTGGGAAAAGGAAAAAAGAGCAGAATAATGGGGAAAATAAGGATATTATTGCAAAAAACGAAGCAGAAAAGCCTTCTATTTTTGGAGGGCCGGTTGTGGACATTGGGATTTTTGGAAAAAGAAAAGCTGAGCCAGAAGCTTTATTTAAAAATCTTGCAAAACCTGAAGAATCTGAAGTCAAAGATTTAGGGATTTTTGGAAAGAGGCAAAGAGAAGAATCCCAAGAAAATGTGAATACCAATGCAAAGGAAGGAGACCCCAGCAAGCACCCAAAAATCAACCCTTAATGAACATATATTATTAATTAGATTCTCTTAAATCATTTTTTAGTTCTCCTAGCAATGTTTTTACATATTTTGGAATGCCTGTAGATGTCAATTTTCTTGCCAATTTATTCATCACATTGGTCATTCCAATATCGATATGAGAAACACTCGTCACGCGTGTAATATTACCGTTTTCATCTTTTTCTATAGGCTCATAATAATATCCACCTACGAAAAGCTTGACTCTTACATAATCATTTTGGATAGGAAATTCGTCAGATTCGACAGAGGTACTTAAATCTGCGACTGCGCCCCCGATTTTTGCCTTTCTACAAGCAATTAAATTTTCTCGGGATGCAATTGTCCATTGTTTCTTATAGATTGTTCGAATTATACTGTATTTGTTGACTTTTATAAGAAAATTTCCTATAAAGACATAGAAGAAATCAAAATAAAATGGTATATACAGGTATCGAGATCAATTTGTGCAATCTTTTTCGTAGACAGCACGTTTTTATCTCATATAGGTCTTTTGTCAAGTTTTTGTAAAAATGATCAAAGCACATTTGACTCATACGGCATCAAAAATTGATACTTAACCAAGTATCCATCTGCTGTTTCTTTTCCAGAGACTCTGCAATCTGGGTTATCCACGACGATTTCACAGCCTCCTCCTTCAATCCCTTCATTTATCAATCCCATAAATTCCACCTTGGCAATTTCTAATTTATTCATAACTTCGCATGTATTAAATCCTTTTATGACCATTGGGATTGTTTGTATTGGCTTATTTTTTTCTTTATTTTCTAATAGTACAATTTCTGATGCCTCGTTATTCTTCGAGAATTATTAAAATGGCGTGATCTGACGTGGACTCCTGACAACCCGTGAGTTGATCCGGGCCAGGAAAAGTGAGCCACATGGCGATAGTTCTCCGGGGTGGGTTTTTGGCCTAAGGGATAACCTTAGATCTTTTTTCCTTACCTGCAGAAGTCCCTACCGGCGCAAAGTCCTGATACTACTCCATGGGAGCATTATCGAACCTGCAATAAGGTTCAGACAGGACATGGAGTAAGCAAAGGCGATTCACCCGTACTCTGAGCCCTGTCAGAGGTTAAGGGAGTCTTTGGCTGAACTTTGGGACCAAGAAAAGGCTCGGCCGATTCGGTAGGGTTTTCTCCCCGACAGACCTCTGACGTCACCATTTTTTGGGGACGTCACTCTGGGAAAAGGGTGGTGGTGTGAGGATAGCGCTTAGCGACAATGCGAAGCTATCCGTTGGACGGAGAGGGGCTGAAATAAACCCCGACGACCCGCTATAATTTTAATCTAATCTAATCTAATCGTTATTCTTCATGCATGCATTACAGATTTTCGATATGTTGTTCCCCATATTAATCTTAATATCGATTATTTATTCTTGAGGCATGAATTGCATTTTTCTATAGAGCAATAAGTATGCCATATGCCAGTCTCCTCCCCCTCTTAAGTTAAGGATGTCTTCAGTCGTCACTTGGGTCACAAAATCGTCGTCATATTTCATCCATATGTCGTCTTTTACATATGCCCAGCCTACATAATGTCCTGAATCTGCAGATCGGCCTTTGTGTGTTACAACGCCAACTAGTTGATAATGTCCAGTGTCTAAGCCTGTTCCGAACTCTGCAGTGCCGCTTTTGTGCTCTTTTGGCTTTTCTTTGCTTTCTTCTAGTTCTCTTTCTCTTACCTGGGCTTCCATGTCTCTACCGATATTAAGACTGTTTTTAAGCTCGTCACTGCAAAATTCGTAGGTATCAAGGACCTTAGGGAAAGTCACTGAGCGGAGAATTTTTGCCTTCACGTCTTTGGTCCCAGCTACAGATGAAGCCCGCTTCCAAATAAATCTTACAAACTGGACCACAAGGTAGCCTGGCAGCCTATTTATCCTTTGGGTCTTTTTGTACTGTGCATTCCTCCCTAACGATTCTGACTGTTTTTCAATGAACCCTTCCAGTCCTGCTCTAATACCATCTGGCAGATGATCTACTGGCTGTCCTTCATTATCAATAATACACATAAGCTTCTTACTCCCTGCTCTGTGAGCGAACAAAACCATTGGAAAATCCCTATTTTTCCCAAAACCACCTCCGAGCAAACAATTTTTTTTAAAAAAATATTTTGATATCAAGTGATAATCATTATAAGGAAATCTTTATCTAATTCTGTTTAATTTTAAAAGTTCTCATTTTTACAAATTTTAAAAAAAATAATTTACTATAAAATTTTATATATAATGTTTTTTAAAAATTTTAATCCTCTGTAATGGAGCAAAATGTTTTTACGCTGATGAAGGGAAGGTAGAATATTCTACCATCATCTGTGGTGGCTCCTCAGGGCTTTCTTCACATTTAATAGTCGTTTGAAATTCAATCCCAAACAGATCTTCAATCACATTTCCGCTCCACCCTGTCGCATTCGGCATATTCAGCTGCGTCCTTGCTGTTTCTAGCACATTAGTCAAGCACTCTTCAGCGTCCTGCTGCTTATGTCTTCCTTCTTCGTCTGTTTCGTCAAACAGTGGAAAAGTCGTCCTTAGGGTGTGGACAAAGGTAAATGGGGTAAATGCCGTCCCTACAAGCTCAATATTTTTGAAGAGTTCTTTAAGCTCGTGGGTCAATTTCTGGGTCAAGTCATTAGGATTAGTCAAGCTGTAGTTGCCTAAGGCTTGGGACAGCTCAGGAACTCTGCGCAAGCACTGCAGGGTACTGTTCATATAGCAGGTGTTCCCAAGATTGACTAGACCAGCTGGGATAGGGACGCCTTCTGACTGTTTGTAAGCAAGGGCTTTTTCTTGAGGCGTGAGGTCTTCCATGAACTTTATTTCTTCTTTGGGCTCGACGAACTCAGTGGCGGTGCCCATCATCATGATGGTGATGTTTTCTTTGATTCCCGCTTGACTGAGAATCTGGGAATCCTGCAGGACTTTCCCTTTCAGCATAAGTTTTTGTTTTTCTGGGAGAACACCGGAGAGGGAAAGTAGCTGGCTCTTGAGTAGGGAAACTTGTTCGTTGAGGTCGACATCGACAGCGAACTCTTGCTTGTTCCACTTGACTTTGATCCTTGACATATTTAGTGCTAATATTTGTCAGATTTAAGCTGAGATTAATAAGAAAAGCTGCAGCAAAGAGAGATTAAAAGGACTAAAAATTATGTGTGAATAAGATTATAGAAAGATGTAAAATAATGCTGCTCTGTATTTATAACAAAAATTTAAAAATTAAATGTAACTTCACCACTTCTGAGAGTGAACAAAACCTTTGGAAAAATTCCGAAAAAACACTCTCTTTAAAAACAAAATTTTTTTTAATATAAAAAAAATTTTGATATATAAGCGCGATAATTATTATAATTAAATTTCGTACTAATTCTGATAAATATTAACAGCTTGCAATTTATTATAAAATTTATATTACATTTTTAAAAAATCCATACCCTATGCGAACAAAAGTTTTTTGTTCAATCACGGAGGGGAGTAAGAGTAAATTATAAATTCGAGTTATTATGATTCAACTTTTTTGACTAATAATGATTAACAGAAAAGCTGCTGCTAAAATCTTTATGGCTTTCTCTCTTCCTTTTTACTCTCTTACCAAAAGAAATAATAGGCTGAGAAGTTACTTGAACTTCTGAGACTGATAAAGACTCCAGAATATGACTCTCCAAACATAATTGGTCTAGAAGAGAGCAACTGTATTGTGTAAGCTTGCTATCCACAATATATATGAATAATCATACTATAAAATTTCTTTAGTCTATGCATAAAATATGAATTTATATTATGCATGAACATATTTAAATGAAAAATAAATTTTCCAAGCAGAATCATCATATTATCCAAAAATTTCATAGAAACCTCTCATATCAAAAATATCAATCTAAATTAACCTAATGTCTTCACAATTATTTAATCTAATTTTTTTAAAAAAATCATCAGAAATTAAGCAGCAATTTTTTTTAATAAGTCTCTCCCCTTACCCTCTGTCTCATAACCCCTTATTTTACCAACTCTTCCAATCCCGCTCTCTACCTTCCTCTTCCCTAACCTAGCCGTTTTTCGCTTAATCTTTCATCCCTTTTAATACGTATCTACTATTGAGTTTAAACCTCTTATATTAAACTTTTTATATTCGTTTCGCTGCGAAATTATAAAAATGTCAAAATCTTCTAACAACAAAGACGAACGCGAGGACTCCAAACCCCTCGTCAAATCAGAAGATTTCAGCTCAAAAGCCAGCATAAAGCTTCTTTTTTCATACGCAGGGAAATATGAGTGAACTTTAATTGCCGTCGGCTTTTCAATGATCTTGCTTTTCAGATTTTTCCCGTTCTTTTTGTTCTATCAATTAGGAGAAGCTGTCGAAGCGGTCTATGAGAACCCAGACGACGATGATGAGTTCTATGAAGGAATGAGAGATGCTTGCATATGGATGCTTTTAGGAGGACTCATGTGCTTAGTGTTAGGCTGGATTGCTGTTATCTGTTTCTTATTAGCAGCTAAAAGTATTTCACTGAAGTGGAGAAGTGTTTATTTTTATAGCTTGGGCAGGCTTTCAGCCTGCCATGAAAATTAGTAGTAAATGATCAGATTTCTCATATTTTCTTGGCGTCAGATTTTAACTGAAATATAAAAAGAAAGATTGCTTGGACATTGCACTGCTGATATTTGATATAGAAAGCAAGATTATGAAGAGAGAGGAAGTTGGCCTAATAAAATTAATTAATTTATTTATTTCCAGAGTTTTTGTAGTTATAGGGTAGGCTAAAAGCCTGCCCAGGATATACACTATTATAAACCGACCCATCAAATGGTATGACAGAAACAACCCATCTGAGCTCTCAAGTGCAATCGATATGGACATTGATGCAATTGAACAAGGGGTCGGATTGAAATTTTTCTTACAGCTGTCAATGGCCATTTCATACTTCGGACTGTTTATTTTTACAGGGATCATTAACTTACAGCTGACCCTGATTGCTCTGATACCAATCCCATTGCAGTTTTACGGGATCGTAGTTTACGAGAAAGTAACAATTGATTCGGCCTTAGCCAAACAAGAAAAGTACAAATCAGCTGGAGGGATTGCAGAAGAGAGCTTTGAAGGAGTCAAAACCATCGCCTCCTGCAATGCGCAGAAGCCAAGAACTGAGCTTTATCACTCAGAGCTCAAAACCCTAACTTTCATTAATATACGGAATTTTAATAATATATAATTGATAATTCTTATTATCTAATTTTGTTGAATTTTAAATAGTTTTATTCTAAAACATAAATTTTTTCTAGTTATTATTTATTTTAAGCTTCAAATTTTGCGAGATTTTTTAAATTTCAGGGAAGTAAGAGATGAGACCACTAAAATTGGAGTTTACCAAGGGTTCCTATACAGCATAACTGCAGTCATTTTCTTTGTGCTGACTGGTGTTACATTTTACTATGGGTCCATTTTCTTAAGAGACGATAGGTACAACTGGACACTTGATGAGGAAATAGAGCGCAAAGACATCGTGGTCGTGTCCCTCTGTTTTATGATGACGGCCTTTTGCCAAGGAATCTTCGTGACTGTGGTAAATGTAATTAACAACGCAAAAGTTGCAGCTGCCAGAGTCCATGAAGTGGTTCAGATCAATAAAAGATACGGAGGATATTTAAAGCCAAAATCAATCAAAGGAGATATTGACTTTGAAAATGTCCATTTCAGGTACCCAACTAAAAAAGACGTCCCAATCCTAAAAGGGGTGTCTTTTAAAGTCAGAGAAAAAGAGTCATTAGCTATTGTAGGACAGACTGGATCAGGCAAAAGCACCATAATTCAACTTATTGAAGGATTTTATTATTGCGAAAAAGGGACAATTCTGATAGACGGCGTTGACATCACACAGTATGATATTTCAGCATTAACTCCCTAGCGAGCAAACCAATGGGAAAAAATCTCTATTTTCTGGGAAAATTTCTCACCACCAGCAAGCAAAATATTTTTACTTAAAATATTTTAGTATATAAATAATAAATATATTAATGAAATCTATTTCTATTCAGCTTGCATTCAAAACATAATTTTCCAAATTAAATTAACTGGCACTTTTAATTTTCGAAAACAAATTTTAAAAAATAAATTAATTTGTGAGTAAATCTTTTTTCTCCTCACAGAAGAGGAAGTAAGAGGCTTTGTAGGTTTGGTCAGCCAAGAGCCGATTTTATTTAATACGACGATTAAGGAGAATATCAGAATTGGCAGAATGGATGCGACTGATGGAGAAATAGAGAATGCGGCGAGAGAGGCAGAAGCAACATTTATTGAAGACCTTGAGAATAAATTTGACACATATGTAGGGATTAAAGGCTCTTTACTTTCTGGAGGCCAAAAGCAAAGGGTTGCTATTGCAAGAGCCTTGCTTAAGAATCCAAGCATTTTACTAAACTTTTCAATAATAAATACTACATAGTGCTTGTAATAGGCCTTAATTATCATATAAAAGTATACTAGATGAAGCCACAAGCGCATTAGATGTAAAAACTGAGAAAAAAATCCAAGTCACTCTTGACAAGGTCTCCCAAAACAGAACAACCGTCATAGTAGCTCAAAGGCTCAGCTCAGTTAAAAATGCCAATAAAATCATTGTGATTTCTGAAGGAGTAGTCGCTGAGGAAGGCAACCACGAATCCCTCATCAAACTAAATGGCCGATATGCAAGATATTGTGAAATCCAGTCTAAGACTGAAGAAGCCATGGAAGAAGAAGCCCCATCTTCCAAAGAAGCTGAGTCAGAAAGAGACCAAGATGTGATGAGCTACCAGACCTCAATCTACAAAAGAGTCAAGGCAGATAAGTCCAAGTACATGAAAGGGATCCATGTCCAACTTCTTAAACAGTGGGACTGGATGCTTGTAGCTGCCATTTGTGCAATTATAGCTGGACTTTGTTATCCATGCATGGGATTTGTCTTTGCAGACGATATTATAAGCGTTACAGAAGATAATGGTGGGGAGTTGCAAGACACGACCTGGGACAATTTGTGGTGGTCTGTGCTATTGGCTGCGATTGCGTTTGTGACTATCGTTATTTTGTATAGTGCCCTTGGTAGGACTGCTGCATTATTTACAGACGATATCAGAATGAGAGGGATGAACGCAATTCTCTATTATGACCAAAAATTCTTTGACAAGCCAATCAATAATCCCGCTCTGCTATCTTATACATTTTCTAAAGACTGTGAAAAAATTTCCTCAATTGGAGGTTCAGTCTTGATTTTCCAGCTGCTTACCGTTTCTAGCCTTGTGCTTGCTATTGTATGGGCTCTATGCAAAGATTGGGTCTATGCTTTAATAGCGACAGCTCTTTTCTCCATCATGATTGTGGTGAATATGGGCGGTGACGTTTTTAGGCAAAATGATAAAATGACCCCAGCTCAAACAACTCAGATTGCTTTTGACTGTTTGACCAATATCAAAACAGTGAATTCTTTAAATAAGCAAGACTATTTCCACGTGAGGTATGTGAATTCTTGCAAAGAGGCCAATAAAGGGATTGTGGTTTCTTATATTCCTGATGCCTTTAGATTTTCATTGAAATTAGCTGTAATGTTTTTCGTGTGGGGATTTGCACTATGAATTGGTGCGGCACAAGTAAAAGAAAAGCATTTGAGCAGAGACAACTTGCTTTATGTTTTCTTTATTATTTTGCTTGCGACTTATAGTGCAATTGTGCTTTCGTTTTTGCCTCAGGATACAGATGAAGGGATTAAAAGTGCTATTAAGATGAATGATATTATTGAGTATTCTTATATAGGCTTATTTTTTAGCCAAAAAGCATAATTTTTTACTAATTTTGTAAGGAATTAGACTAAGCCCTTAAAAGTATTATAATAAAATTTACTTAAATAGGCATATGAGCCTGAAATCAATGGAGACTCAAAAGATGGAGAGACAGACCCGATATCCGGAAAAATCACTTACGAAAATGTCTGCTTTAAATATGAGGGCAGGCTTAACCCAGTCCTCAAAAACGTCAGTTTCGAAGTTCCAGCAGGCAAAACGCTCGGTGTAACAGGATCGACAGGTTCAGGAAAATCCACAATTGCGCAACTTTTATTGCGATTTTACAACCCAACGTCAGGTATTATCAAACTTGACGACCATTTAATCCAAAACTACAACATCAGACATCTCAGAGAATACGTCTGTTGGGTCGGCCAAGAGCCTATTCTATTTAAAGGCACCATGATGTACAATCTAAGACTAGCCAACCAATTGGCCACTGAAGAAGAAGCCAGAGAAGCTTTAATAAAAGCTCAAGCAGGCGATATCTTAGAAAAATATGGTCTAGAAAACGATGTAGGACTGAGAGGAAGCAAGCTGAGCGGAGGACAAAAACAAAGAGTTGCCATTGCTAGAGCTCTTATTAGGAAGCCAAAAATTTTGGTTTTAGATGAAGCTACAAGTGCCTTAGACACTGTGGTGGAGTCAAAACTTCAAGAAGTGCTGAAACAGGAAAAGTTTACAGTCATTTCTGTTGCACACAGACTGAGGACTATTAAAGATTGTGATGAAATCCTTGTGCTTGAGAAAGGAATTTTAGTGGAAAAGGGAACTCATGACGAGTTATCAAAGAATCCAAACGGCTATTACTATCAATTGTGCCAGCTATCAACAGCTTAATTAGATAAATATAATTATATTATTTTTAAAACTATTTTGCGATATCAATGAGCTTTAAGAGTCTTAAAAATATTTTATAAACTTCTTATCATAAGTTTATTAGCACATGTATGCTATTATTTAAAAGCAAAATTAAATTTTTTTTGATTTTTGAGTAAAATATATAAATTTGCTTATATTAACTCTCACCCTGGTAATAATAGAACTAGTTTAATTTGCTGCAAAAATTGATAATATATGAATTGCTAATTTATTTTTATTGCTAATAAATTAAGGATTTAGGCCGAAATTATTATTTTATTTAAATATAATTATTTTTACATAATTTTTTTTGCTTATATTAAATAGACATGAATGATTACTCAAAAAGCGCATCTGTGTCTTAATAGAGAAAGTAAGAGAGATTCCATTTTATAAATAAAACAAGAAACTTCAAGAATATATCAAGTTCTTCTCATCCTGAAAAAATGATAATATCTGCCTTAAAAAATGCAAAAACTCATGAAATAACGAGAGTCAGAAAACAAAAAGCTTGAGGCCTAAAGAAAATTTGCAATGAAGTATGAAATATAAAATAAAAATTAAAAAGAAATTAGTAGAAGTCTCATATTTATACATTTCTTAAAAACATCCAAGCAATGTTACTATCTATGCCGGTGTTTTAGCTGCCAATAAGGTAACTATTCTCTTTAGCTGTCCTTTAATTATTTCAAAGTGCTCTTGCGCAGATAGATCAAAAAGCTTTTTATCTGAGAAACGAATTTTTTGCAAACAAATAATTATTATCTTTATTTGATAATGCTAAGACGCTGAATCCTTATACTATAGTACCATGAATCAATTGTATCAGCTTTGCAGGGCTTTTTGGTGTATACCAATTGCCCGAGGATGGCGCTATCTTGCACCATCCTCAGGCAATTCAAAATGGCCCCGCACCGGGAATCGAACCCACGTGTGGCCATTTTTGGTGTGTGGCCAACATCGACTTACACGCACCAAAAATGGCCCCACACGTGGGTTCGATTCCCGGTGTTGGGCCATTTTTGAATTTCTCGAGGATGGTGCAAGATAGCGCCATCCTCGGGCAATTCCTATATTTTTTCACTGTGTATAAAATACTATCAGAGAACAAACTTAGGATCTCAAATTCCTTGAATATTGAATAGTTAACTGAAATTGCAAAAAGACTGGATTCTCTAGAACCCTACTGAAGAAGATTGTATTTCTATCTATAAGTTAAAGTCCAAATAAATTATTTTAATACCAAATTAATTATTTAATATTTTAGATAGAAATTATATTAAAAGTTTTTATTTCTGCAGCTATATTTCAATGGGTTATTATGCAAAGGCAAAATTATTATAAAATATATATTGCCACTGATATTGCTGCTATAAAAAGCCACTCTTATAGTACCATAGAGCATTATATACAAATCGCGCTAAATTTTGGAAGGATAGTAGATATAATTTTAAACGAAATTATAAATTTACTCAAATATTTGTTTATAATGATTTATTAATTATATAAGCAACTCTTGCATAAATATGAAAGCCATTATGATATTATTCTCCCGTTTTTAGTCTATTAAAATAAATAGGCGATTAATGAATTTCGCTGCTAACTAGGTATTGTTCTTCAATAACCTCGTATTCCATTGAGTTCTAAAATTAGGTTTGGCTTATCTTATATTAAAATTAAACTTTATTGAAAATTCACCATATTCTAGGCGATGTGGAGATAAAATCCTAAAAGTAATAAAAATGAAATACCTTTCTTTTTTTGCGCCTTTTGTTTTATCCCTATCAGGCCTAGTTATCCAGCCTAAAGATTCAGACCTTGTTTCGCCACAAGATATGATTGATGAAATTAACAGCACTCAAGGCTCATGGGTTGCTTCTGCTGATTGGGTTGGCCATATGGCAACTACTGAAGCCAAACGCAAGGTCTCTTCAAAGCCAATATCTCCGAAGTTTCCTGAATATGACTGGGGTGTAGTCTTAAACTACCTCTCAATCCCATCATCTTTTGATTCAAGAACTCAATGGCCAGATTGTATTCATCCTATTCAGAATATAGGAATTTGTGAAGGTGATTGGGCATATTCAGCTGCTGGAGCTCTTTCAGATAGGTTTTGTATAGCTTCAAATAAAAATATTAATGTGGTGCTGTCTCCTGGATATGTAATAGTTTGTGATATCGAATACGACAACAGATGCAGCGGAGGAACGGCTGGTGGTGCTTGGAATTTCCTTAAACAATACGGAACCCCTTTGGCATCTTGTGTCCCTATGCATTCATGAAGCGTATTCCTTTTTGAGATATTAAAAGCGTAGGAAAGGCTATGGGCCATTAATTTGGCAGATAAACTTTATTTTTGTATCTATAACTGAACGAAAAATAATTTTGCTCCATAAACCGAATAATTTGGCTGACCATCTCTTTTTTACTTCAAGCTATCAACTGTTTTTAAACATGTTTTTAATAGAATAGATGACGGATGCCCTAATAAATGTAACTCAGGAGAATCACTTCAATTTTACAAAGCTGCATCTGTAAATTCTTATAGTGGTCCATCATCAATTCAAGCTGCAATATTGACGAATGGCCCAGTTGAAACTACTATGCATCTTTATCAAGATTTTTCCTCCTACAAAGGAGGTATTTATAAGCACACTACAGGAAGTCTTTTAGGATCTGTAAGTGTAAAGCTCATTGGATGGGGAAATCAGAATGGAACCAACTATTGGATAGGTGCCAACTGTTGGGGAACTAGTTGGGGTATGAAAGGATATAGCTTTTTCTTAAAGTTGCCCAATAAGGGCATGATGTTGGAGAGAAACTCATTTGCTAACTCTCCAATTAGTTTGGCCAACATGAAACTATCGGGCAACTTTAAGGAATTGCCTATATTTCTGGATTGCGTTTGGGGAATGCGGAATTGATACCCATGCTGTAGCGGGGAGTCCTTACATTTAATGCTAATGGCATTTATTATTCTGTTTTTTAAAATAGATATAAAAATATTTTTTACTTGAAGGGAAATAAACTAATTGGTAGTTTCTTTTTAAAGATATTTATTATTTTAATTGAATAAAACCTCTGAATTGATCTGTCTATTATAATAATATCCAATAATACTCTGTATGGCATATCAAATGCAAGGCAATAAATTTAATTAGAAGTTCACAATATTTAAAATGGCTGTTAGTGGTATAGACCTACTCATCAGGCTAGATCTACATTACGAGCTTTGTGAGAGAAGTCCAAGCTTCTTGAGAGTCTCGGCTTGAAGATAAGGGGTTTGTGCTGAGGTTGGCACTGACTAGAGAAGTCTAAAAGGGCTTGATAGCTTTAACGGTTCGACGCTTAGGCCAGCCCACCTAACGTTATTAAGAGCTGTTATCGTATCTGGATCTCAAGTTAAAGAAGACTTAAGGAGCTGTAGTGCTAGAGTAATTCTATAAACATAAACATAAATTAGAAGTTATTTATGTATGAAATATAAATTTTTGCAATTAGTTTATTTATGCATGCAAAGGTGAATGTATATATTTGTGAGTTTTATAGAACTACCAATTAAATAGTGTAAATTTGATATTATTAAAATAGAGTTTTGATGATATTTATATTCATAATATGGCTTTGTCATACTTATATGAGTAATAGATAAAAGCATTAAATTTTATTGCTATTAATAGTTTTAAGCGTTATGAAATGATTTAAAGTAAAAAATATGCTATTTTAGCTAGTAATTAGTATTTCTATAATTTAATCCTATCCACTCCTTGACTTCATTTCTTTTCCTAATCCTAAAATAATTCATAATTATTTATCAATGATTTATTTCTTGAAATGGCCAAAGCTTTATCCAGCCTAATATAAATTTTTTTTCTTTAAAAAATCTCGTTTCAAATATTTGAAGAAAATTGTAATTTAAATATAGTTATTTCTGCATAAAGTTTTTGCTTATATTAAATGACTATTCAAAAAACGCATCTTTATATTAATAGAGAGAGTAAGAGAGATTCCATTTTATAAATAAAAAAAGTAAACCTCAAGAATATATCAAGTTCTTCCCATCCTTAAAAAATGATAATAGCTACCTAATTAACTGAAAAAAAAATACCAATAATTTATGAAAAAGAAAATAAAGAGAAATTTGCAATTCAGGATGAAATATAAAATAAAAATTAAAAAGAAATTAATATGAATTTCATATTATATATTTTTGAAAATCCAAGCAATGCTACTATCTATATCGGCGTTTTAGCTGCCAATAAAGTAACTATTCTTTTAAGCTCTCCTTTAAATTTTTAAAGTGTTCTTGCGCAGATAGATCAAAAAGCTTTTTCATTGAGAAAATTTGTTTTTGCAAACAAAATACTTATTCTCTTTATTTGATAATGCTAAGACTCTGATTCCCTATGTTCAAGTGCCCAGAAGTCTATTTTTTCAGCTTTGCAGGGCTTTTTGGTGTATTTTTTTACTATGTATAAAATACTATAGCTATAAAAATGAAATACCTTTTCTTCTATGCGCTCTTTGTTTTATCCCTATCAGGCCCAGTTATCAACCTAAAGATTCAGACCTTGCTGCACCACAAGAAATGATTGATGAGGTTAACGGTATTCAAGACTCATGGGTTGCTTCTGCTGATTGGGTTGGATATATGACAATTGCTGAAGCCAAGCGCAAAGTTTCTTTACAACCAATATCTCAGGAATTTCCAGAATATGACTGGGGTGCAGTCTTAAACTACCTCTCAATTCCATCATCTTTTGATTCAAGAACTCAATGGCCTGACTGTATTCACCCTATTCAAAATGATGATGGATGCTACTGGAGCTCTTTCAGATAGATTTTGTATCGCTTCAAATAAAAATATTAACGTAGTGCTGTCTCCTGGATATCTAATAGTTTATGATATCCAATACGACAATGGATGCAACGGAGGAGAGGCTGGCCATGCTTGAAACTGACTTAAACAATACGGAGCCCCTTTGGCATCTTGTATTCCTTTCCATACATGAAGCATAGATGATCCATGCCCTACTAAATGCAACTCAGGAGAATCACTTCAATTTTACAAAGCTGCAAGTGTAAACACCTATAGTAGTGTTTCATCTATCCAAGCAGCGATTATGACGAATGGCCCAGTTTAGACGACTATGAATGTCTAAGAGGATTTTTTAACTTATAAAGGAGGCATTTACAAACACACTGCAGGGAAACTTGTAGGACCTACCAATGTAAAACTCATTGGATGGGGCAATCAAAATGGAATCAACTATTGGATTGCGGCTAATTGTTGGGGAACTCTTTGGGGCATACAAGGATATTTTTGGATTGCATTTGGGCAGTGCGGAATTGATACCCAAGCTGCAGCAGGGGCTCCTAATGTTTAATGCTAATAGCATTAAATATTTTATTTTTAAAATAAAATAAACATCCCTGGATTCTTGGTTTATTAATTTAGAGTATAAATAAATAATTTTCTATGTTCTTTTAAGAGCTATTTCTAATTTTCAATGAATAAAAGCCCTCAAGTGGGTCGTCTTTATAATATTAAGACACTATAAATTATTTTTATTAATTATGCAATATATTATTCATGATGATTTACCTCTATAAAAATGGAATATTTGAAGCTCTTTGAGTTGTTTGAGCTTTTCTAATTTATACTTTAAATATTATTTTACTATGAATGCAAAATTCATGATTCGTATTCTTGAGCCTCAAAGACTTCTTTATGATCAAAAGTATCTCTAAGATAATTGAAACCCTAGTAATTAAAAGATTAAATATCATATAAACTTAAATTATATTATTTTTTGACAAGGGCTAGATCTATTTTGCCAAAGAAGATACAAACGGCCAGATGTCATTCTATCAAATGTTTCCAAGCGAAATATAGAGCCATAGCATGGCTTTGAAAATAATATTTCACAATTAATAGTTAAGTTGCCAAGCCTTAAACTATTTTTTACTAATACAAAGAAAATAAGCATACTTGATGCTGCTACTTTGAATCCAAAAATACTGGAATTTTCTAATTATGAGAATTTTAAAAGGAATTTTACACAAATCCCATATTTATACAATTTGAAGAAAAAACTCAAATAACCTTACTTCTCTATCCATATAATCAATCTAAAAAATAATAACTAATTTAATTCGCTGCCTGCAATAATTATAGCATTCTCATGCAAAATTTTTGGGATTCCCTTTTAATATTTGAAATGAGCAATCAGTATTGGCAAAATTGATATCAATATTGGGAGTTACTTTGAAATAAAATCAAGATTTCCCGCAATTAAATTATTAACTAAAAAGAGTTGATAATGACAAAGCCTATAAAATGCAACCGATTCTAGTTGAAAAATAATTACAAATTTAATTGTAAATTTTTATCAATTATTTAATTTATTTAGAGTTAATTATATAAAAATTGTATCAATATTGAGGTGAAGAACGATAAATTGCATTTAAGAAATAAAAATCGAATGAAATTGGTGTCTATGCTAAAAATTAGATGGATAGCAAAGAATCGTTTGAGAATTATTAAATATAGTTGATTTTTATAAAATATAGCTATTAATAGATACTATTGAGTTAGATTAATATTTAGGCTAATTTAATTGATGCTTTGCAGTTTCTAAATAGTCTTAGTGATCTAAGCTATTTTTGCATAGTAGCTTTTTGTTTAATCTTCAATTCTTTAAATTATATTTCTTATTGATTGAACTCAATATAAGCCCATTTATATGCGTTATCGCTGCAAATTGTAAAAAAATGTCAAAAGATTCTAACAACATAGAGGAAAACGAGGATTCGAAACCCCTTGTTAAGTCAAAAGATATCGACTCAAAAGCTAGCGCAAAGCTTCTTTTTTCTCAAGCAGGGAAGTATGAATGAACTTTAATTGCCATCGGCTTTATTACAATGTTGCTCTTTCGACTTTTTCCAATGTATCTATTTTATCTGTTAGGAGAAGTCGTTGAAGCCGTCTATGAGAATCCTGACGATGATGATGAATTTTATGATCAAATGAGAGAAGCTGCTATATGGATGATTGTAGGAGGAGTTGCGTGCTTAATGGTAGGCTGGATAGCTGTCATCTGCTTCTTAATAGCAGCTAAAAGTATTTCACTGAAGTGAAGAAGTGTCTATTTTCACAGCATTATAAATAAGCCTGTCAAATGGTATGATAGAAATAATCCATCTGAGCTCTCAAGTGCAATTGATATGGACATTGATGCAATTGAACAAGGGGTTGGGCTGAAGTTTTTCTTGCAGCTACCAATGGCTATTTCATATCCCATGCTGTTTATATTTGCAGGAATTATTAACTTGCAGCTGACCTTGATTGCCTTAATACCAATCCCACTACAGTTTTTTGCGTTTACAGCTTACGAAAAAGTAACAATTGATTCATCTTTTAACAAACAAGAGAAATACAAGTCAGCGGGAGGGATTGCTGAGGAAAGTTTTGAAGGAGTCAAAACTATCGCTTCCTGCAATGCGCAGAAACCAAGAACTGAACTTTATCACTCTGAGCTCAAAAACCTAGCTCCTTCCTTTAAGAACAATTTTTTTTGGGTTTAATCTTAAGGTGGAAATATTTTATTAAAATAAATTATGTTTTGAAGTTTAATAAAATACTTACAAGCATTTAAAATAATTATTATTAAAATAAAATCTAAAATTAATGCTAAAAATGTAATATCTCTAAAAATTAATTAAATATATCGAAATCATGCCTTAAAACTTGCATTTAAATTTGCTTGCTTTTATTATTTTCAAAATAGGCAATTTTCCAATGGCTTTGCTCTCTTAAAAAGGGGGTAAGAGACGAAACAACAAAAATTGGAGTTTACCAAGGGTTTCTATACAGCATTACAGCAGTCATTTTCTATATGCTTACTGGCATTACATTTTATTTTGGGTCCATTTTCATAAGAGACGACAGGTATAACTGGACACTTGATGAAGAAATGGAGCGAAAAGACCTTGTGGTCTTGGCCCTCTGCTTTATGATGACATCATTGTATCAAGGGACTTTTGTAACTGTAATTACTGTTCTAAATAACGCAAAAGTGGCAGCTGCCAGAGTAGATGAAGTAGTCCAGAGCAATAAAAGATATGGAGGATATTTAAAACCTGAACCAATCAAAGGAGACATTGACTTTGAAAATGTTCATTTTAGGTACCCAGCCAAAAAAAGTGTTCCTATCTTAAAAGGAGTTTCTTTTAAAGTCAGAGAAAAAGAGTCATTAGCCATTGTAGGGCAGACTGGGTCAGGCAAAAGTACAATAATTCAGCTTATTGAAGGGTTTTATTATTGCGAAAAAGGTACAATATTAATTGATGGGGTTGATATCAAAAAGTACGATATTTCAGCTTTAAGAGGCTTTGTAGGTTTGGTGAGTCAGGAGCCAATTTTATTTAATACGACGATAAAGGAAAACATCAGAATTGGCAGAATGGACGCCAATGATGAAGAAATAGAGCAAGCGGCAAGAGAAGCTGAAGCAGCGTTTATTGAAGACCTTGAGGATAAATTCGACACATATGTAGGGATCAAAGGATCTTTACTTTCTGGAGGCCAAAAGCAAAGGGTTGCTATTGCAAGAGCTTTGCTTAAGAACCCAAGCATTTTACTACTAGATGAAGCCACAAGCGCACTAGACGTAAAAACTGAGAAAAAAATCCAAGTCACTCTTGACAAGGTGTCTCAGAACAGAACAACTATTATAGTCGCCCAAAGGCTAAGCTCAGTCAAAAACGCCAATAAAATTATAGTGATTTCTGAAGGTGTGATTGCTGAAGAAGGAAACCACGAGTCTTTGATCAAGCTAAACGGCCGATATGCCAGATATTGCGAAATCCAGACTAAAACTGAAGAAGTCCTAGAAGAAGAAATCCCTGAAGAAAAAGCCAAATCAGAAAAAGACCAAGACATGATGAGCTACCAGACCTCAATCTCTAAAAGAGTCAAAGCTGACAAGTCCAAGTACATGAAAGGGATTCAAGTCCAGCTTCTTAAACAGTGGGACTGGATGCTCGTAGCTGCCATTTGTGTTATTATTGTTGGACTTTGCTATACTTGCATGGGATATGTGTTTGCCGACGATATTGTGACTACTTCAGAAGATGAGGGCGATGAATATCAAGATAATACCTGGGACAATTTGTGGTGGTCTGTTATCATATCTGCAGCTGGTTTTGTGACGATTGTTATTGCATTTAGTGCTCTGGGTAGGACTGCTGCGTTATTTACAGACGATATCAGAATGAGAGGGATGAACGCAATTCTCTATTATGACCAAAAATTCTTTGACAAGCCAATCAATAACCCTGCATTGCTGTCTTATACCTTTTCGAAAGACTGTGATAAAATTTCCTCAATTGGAGGCACAGTATTAATTTTCCAGCTACTTACTATTTCAAGTATTGTGTCAGCTGTTATATGGACTCTCTGCATAGACTGATTCTATGCTTTAATAGTGATATTCTTTTTTGGTATAATGACAGTGGTGCATTTAGGCGGTGATGTTTTTAGGCAGAATGATAAAATGACTCCAGCTCAAACGACCCAGATTGCTTTTGACTGTTTGACAAACATAAAAACAGTGAATTCTTTAAATAAGCAAGACTATTTCCACGTGAGGTATGTGAATTCTTGTAAAGAGGCCAATAAAGGGATTGTGGTTTCTTATATTCCTGATGCCTTTAGATTTTCATTTAAAATAGCTGTTATATTTTTAGTATGGGGATTTTCCTTTTGGACTGGTGCAGCACTCGTAAAAGAGAATCACTTAAGCAGAAACAACTTATGCTATGTTTTCTTTACCATTTTACTTGCAACTTACAGTGCAGTTGTGCTTTCATATTTGCCTCAGGATACAGATGAAGGGATTAAAAGTGCTATAAAAATGAATGATATTATTGAGTATGAGCCTGAAGTAAATGGAGACTCAAAAGATGGAATTACAGACCCGATTTCTGGAAAAGTGGCCTATGAAAAAGTCAGCTTTAAATATGAAGGCAGGCTTAATCCAGTTCTCAAAAACGTCAGCTTTGAAGTCCTTGCAGGCAAAACACTGGGTATAACTGGTTCAACAGGTTCGGGAAAATCCACCATTGCGCAACTTTTGTTGAGATTTTACAACCCAACGTCAGGTCTTATTAGAATTGACGGCGTTTTAATCCAAAATTACAACATTATGCATCTCAGGGAATTCGTTTGTTGGGTTGGCCAAGAGCCTATTTTATTCAGAGGCACCATGATGTATAATCTAAGACTCGCAAACCAGCTGGCTACTGAAGAAGAAGCCAGAGAAGCTTTAATTAAAGCTCAAGCAGGCGATATCTTGGAAAAATACGGTCTAGATAGTGATGTAGGGCTAAGAGGAAGCAAGCTTAGTGGAGGACAAAAACAAAGAGTTGCTATCGCAAGAGCTCTTGTTAGGAAACCAAAAATTTTGGTTTTAGATGAAGCTACCAGTGCCTTAGACACTGTTGTAGAGTCAAAACTGCAAGAAGTGCTGAAACAAGAAAAGTTTACAGTCATTTCTATTGCACACAGACTTAGGACTATTAAGGACTGCGACGAAATCATTGTCCTTGAAAAAGGAATTTTAGTGGAAAAAGGAACTCATGAGGAACTGTCAAAGAATACGAGTGGCTATTATTATCAACTTTGCCAGCTATCGACAGCTTAATTAGATAACATAATTTAATTAATTTTATCCGCCCCATTGAATAATGAACAATTCGCTATTTACACCATCAAATTTTTTACTATGAAAATTAAAAATTAATTGAGCTTAAATTATATCAATAGTTTTACTTTACTCATTCTATTTCAATTTAAATTTTTAGAAAAATTTTGAAATGCTAAGGAAAAAAAAGTATTTTGCGTCAATTATTAAACCAATTAAGATTTTTAAATAAAATAAACTTGAATAACTCCTTAAAACATTTCTTCGTCTTAAAAGAGAGAGTAATAGACCTAATTTATATCTAAATCGTAAAAGATTCATATATTCTTAAGAGTTTATAATGCTTATTCAATTATGAATACATTGCGAAAATAACTCAAAGTCAAAAAATGAACTAACTGGCATAATTAAATATATAAAAAATAAAACTCGAAAATGATAAAAAGCATATAAATTGAGTAAATAGAAAAATTTACAATGAAGTAAAAGATTAATAATCAATAAATTCTAAGCTTTGATAAATAGCTAAATATATCAGAGCTGCTTGTATCCATTCGATCTTTTTTAAGCTAGCAATAGTTCTACGTTAATGTTGGATTGCGACCACGCCAGACAGTCAAATCAAGTTAAATCTTGCTGTATAAATATGCCGTCCCGCCCTTTCTTTTTTAAGAAATCTGTTTATGAGACAAAAGCTAACAAAATTCAATGTATAACTTTCCAAGCAAATCCCAGATAGCTATTGATAAAGTTTGAGAATGATGCAACTTTTGGAGACACCATTAGCGCTTTTAAACTGCTGGTGCAGGATGATAGGGACCAGTTACATCTAGCTATATTAAATTAAACATAAATTAAATATTTAAAACTTTCATGCTAAATGGCCGGATTATTTTTTTAAAAATTTTCTATTAGCTTAATGGTAATTTTTTAAGAAAAATATAGGCACTTTATAAACATACAAGGTGACCCAGTGCAATCAGATAGGTGGATTCGAATAGATGGATGCTTGCATATAACCATCATCAAATCCCTGTTTAAATTAGAAGAAAAATATCTAAAGGGGATTTAAAAAATCTATAGTAAAAATTTCATAATTTAAAGGGGGTTAACTTAGAAAGGATTTCAAAAAAATTCTATATTTATGCATTTTGAAGTAAAGACTCAAATAATGCTACTTTTCTCGGTTGCTATCATTTGTCTGCTAAGAAATGAACTTTTTATAAAGCTACCCAACAATTTTATCGCATGCCCACTTAAATTTTTATGAATTTTTAGTAATCCTCTCTTAATATTTTTAATAAGGCAATGCAATGCTTACCAGTTTAATGCTAGCTTAAGAGCTGCCCAGAAATATATAAAAGTATTTTTACAAAATAAAAATTTAAAAACCATCCTCAATATACTTAATAAATCATGGCAAGGAAATTTATTAAAAGTGAAAGATAATGAGCGTAAAGAGAAAATCGATTTTTGAATTTAGCTTATTGGCAATAATCAATTATTTTATGCATTTGATTTCTATATAATCGTGGATTTGGTGTATAACAAATTGAATGAAATTGATATTCATTGTAAGACCTGAGATGAGTATTTGAGAAATATTAAAACTAATTAATTTATCTTTATAAATTAATAAACAATAACTAAAATAAATTGATTTAGGCGAATTTAGTTAATAATAAAAATTTTGGTAGTGTATTTTGTATGTTTGAGATTTTTTCTCGATTTTAATAAAATACTCACCAATTTTTTACACGAGAAATTGATTATTGGAGGAAGATATAATTGCTAATCATTATCCTTTTCAGACTTTACAACCCTATTGAAAATATTAAATATCTCCACGCACGGCATTTATCGAAAAGACATTTTGAGATTAGTAATCTATTGAGTTTAAATGATTAATTACCATTTATATGCGTTATCGCTGCAAAATTATAAAAAATGTCTAAAAGTCATAACAATACAGAAGAAGGCGAGGATTCTAAACCACTCGTAAAACCAGACGATATTACCTCAAAAGCTAGCTTAAAGCTTCTTTTTTCACATGCAAGTAAATGGGAGCTCACCTTGCTTGCCATTGGTTCCTCAATGGTGTTGATTTTTAGACTTTTTGTGATATTTTTGTTTTATCAAATGGGAGAAGTTGTCGAAGCCGTCTATGATAACCCAGACGACGATGACGAACTTTATGAACAAATGAGAGATGCTGCTATATGGATGCTTATAGGAGGAGTTGTTAGTTTATTGATAGGCTGGATTGCTGTTATTCTAATCTTAATAGCAGCTAAAGGAATCTCACTGAAGTGGAGAAGTGTCTATTTTCACAGTATTATAAATAAGCCTGCCAAATGGTATGATAGAAATAATCCATCTGAACTTTCAAGCTCAATTGATATGGATATTGATGCAATTGAGCAAGGGGTTGGGCTGAAGTTTTTCTTGCAGTTACCAATGGCTATTTCATATTTAGGGCTTTTTATAGGTGCAGCGATTATTAACTTGCAGCTGACTCTAGTTGCCCTAATACCAATCCCACTGCAGTTTTTAGGTTTCGTAGTTTACGAGAAAGTAACAATTGATTCAACCTTTAATAAACAAGAGAAATATAAGTCAGCAGGAGGGATTGCAGAGGAAAGCTTTGAAGGGGTCAAAACTATTGCCTCCTGCAATGCGCAGAAGCCAAGAACTGAACTTTATCACTCAGAGCTCGAAACTCTAAAAGAGGAAACCACAAAAACTGGAATTTACCAAGGATTTCTATATGCCCTAACAGCCGCAATTTTCTTTATTATGGGTGGCACTATCTTTTATTTTGGGTCCATTTTCATAAGAGACGACAGGTATAATTGGACACTTGACGAACAAATGGAGCGCAAAGACGTCGTGGTCGTGTCCCTCTGTTTTATGATGACAGCCTTTTATCAAGGAACTTTTGTAACTGTGATCAATGTACTTAGTAATGCAAAAGTGGCAGCTGCCAGAGTAGATGAAGTAGTACAGAGCAATAAAAGATATGGTGGATATTTAAAGCCTGAATCAATCAAAGGAGATATTGACTTTGAAAATGTTCATTTCAGATACCCAACTAAAAAAGATGTCCCTATCTTAAAAGGAGTTTCTTTTAAAGTCAGAGAAAAAGAGTCGTTAGCTATTGTAGGGGAGACTGGGTCAGGCAAGAGTACAATAATTCAGCTTATTGAAGGGTTTTATTATTGCGAAAAAGGGACAGTATTGATTGATGGGGTTGATATCAAAAAATATGATATTTCAGCTTTAAGAGAGTTTGTAGGTTTAGTTAGCCAGGAGCCGATTTTATTTAATACGACGATAAAGGAAAACATCAGAATTGGCAGAATGGACGCGACTGATGAAGAAATTGAGAATGCGGCAAGAGAAGCTGAAGCAGCATTTATTGAAGACCTTGAGAATAAATTCGACACATATGTAGGAATCAAAGGTTCTTTACTGTCTGGAGGCCAAAAGCAAAGAGTTGCTATTGCAAGAGCTTTGCTTAAGAACCCAAGCATTTTGCTACTAGATGAAGCCACAAGCGCATTAGACGTAAAAACCGAGAAAAAAATCCAAGTGACCCTTGACAAAGTCTCTCAAAACAGAACAACCATCATTGTCGCCCAAAGGCTAAGCTCAGTCAAAAACGCCAATAAAATCATAGTGATTTCTGAAGGAGTGATTGCTGAAGAAGGAAACCACGAGTCCTTAATCAAGCTAAACGGCCGATATGCCAGATATTGCGAAATTCAAACTAAAACTGAAGAAGTCCTAGAAGAAGAAATCCCTGAAGAAAAAGCCAAATCAGAAAAAGACCAAGACGTGATGAGCTACCAGACCTCAATCTCGCAAAGAGTTAAAGCTGACAAGTCCAAGTACATGAAAGGGATTCAAGTCCAGCTTCTTAAGCAATGGGACTGAATGCTTGTAGCTGCTATTGGCGTTATTATAGCTGGACTTTGCTATCCTTGCATGGGATATTTCTATGGAGATGATGTTATAGTTACTGCAGAAGATGAGGGGGATGAATATCAAGATAATACCTGGGAAAATATGTGGGGGACTATAGTCCTAGCTGTAATAGTTTTTGTGACTATTGTTATTTCTTTTAGTGCACTAGGTAGGACTGCTGCATTATTTACAGACGATATCAGAATGAGAGGGATGAACGCTATTCTCTATTATGACCAAAAATTCTTTGACAAGCCAATCAATAACCCTGCATTGCTGTCTTATACCTTTTCGAAAGACTGCGATAAAATTTCCTCAATTGGTGGCGCAGTCTTGATTTTCCAGCTGCTTACCATTTCAAGCCTTATATTAGCCATTGTATGGGTCATCTGCATAGACTGGGAATATGGTTTAATATCGGTAGGCCTTTTCTCAGCAATGGTTGTGGTGAATATGGGCGGTGACGTTTTTAGGCAGAATGATAAAATGACTCCAGCTCAAACAACTCACATTGCTTTTGACTGTTTAACAAACATAAAAACTGTGAGTTCCTTAAATAAACAAGACTATTTCCACGTCAGATACGTGAATTCTTGCAGAGATGCCAATAAAGAGATTGTGGCTTCTTATATTCCTGATGCTTTTAGATTTGCGTTTAAAATATCTGTGATATTTTTAGTTTGGGGATTTGCCTTTTGGATTGGTGGGGCAAGAGTTAAAGAAAATCATTTAAGTAGGGACAACTTGGTTCATATTTTCTTTATTACGTTGCTTTCTACTTATAGTGCTGTTGTGCTTTCGTATTTACCTCAAGATACAGATGCAGCGATTAAAAGTGCTATTAAAATGAGCGATATTATTGAGTATTCTTATAATAAACATATTTTGTAAACAAAAAGGCATTTTATAATTATTTTTAATAAGAAGTCAGGCCAAATCTTAAAAATAAATAGTAAATTATGAATAAAAAAGTATATGAGCCAGAAGTCAATGGAGACTCAAGAGATGGAATTACAGACCCGATTTCTGGAAAGGTGACCTATGAAAAAGTCAGCTTTAAGTATGAGGGCAGGCTTAATCCCGTCCTCAAAAACGTCAGCTTTGAAGTCCTTGCAGGCAAAACACTTGGTATAACTGGCTCAACAGGCTCAGGAAAATCCACCATTGCGCAACTTTTGTTGAGATTTTACAACCCAACGTCAGGCAATATCAGAATTGACGACATCTCAATCCAAGATTACAATATTAGACATCTAAGGGAATATGTCTGTTGGGTTGGCCAAGAGCCTATTTTATTTAGAGGAACCATGATGTATAATCTAAGACTTGCCAATCAACTAGCTACTGAAGAAGAAGCTAGAGAATCTTTAATTAAAGCTCAAGCAGGCGATATCTTATTCGCCCCTCTATTAATGAGCAAAACCATTGAAAATAATATTTTTTGGGAAAAAAATTCATGAGGAATAGTAAACGTCATTTTTACAATTTTGAACAAAAACAATATAAATTAAAAATAGTGTATGCAAAAATATTGCTCGCTCACTTGGTGGAGTTAGAAAAATATGGTCTAGACAGTGATGTAGGCCTAAGAGGAAGTAAGCTGAGTGGGGGACAAAAACAAAGAGTTGCTATTGCTAGAGCTCTTATTAGGAAGCCAAAAATTTTGGTTTTAGACGAAGCTACCAGTGCCTTAGACACTGTTGTAGAGTCAAAACTGCAAGAAGTGCTGAAACAAGAAAAGTTTACAGTCATTTCTATTGCACACAGACTTAGGACTATTAAAGACTGCGACGAAATCATTGTGATTGAAAAAGGAATTTTACTCCTCCTCAATGAGCCAACAAAATCATTGAAAAAATCATTATTTTTTTGAGAAAAGAAAACTGTGTAGGTAAACAAAAAGAATTTTTAAATTATATGTAATTGAGATTATTAGTGTAAAATTATATATAATTTATTTTGTAAAAAAATTAAACCCTCTTTGCGCGAACAAAATTTATTTGCTTGCTTCAGGCGGGGAGAATTAGTAGAAAAAGGGACTCATGAGGAGTTGTCAAAGAATACAAGTGGCTACTACTATCAGCTATGTCAATTATCGACAGCTTAATTAGATAACATAATGAATATTTTTCAATTATTTTGATTAGCACTGTCATATTAGTGCTAGTAAGCTTGATTAATTGTATTAGTTTCTGAGTAAACACACTTATTATAGGTGATTAGTATGTGTGTTGACTATTTTAGAAAATAATATATAAAGAATTTAAATTGCTTTTGTTAATATCAAAAATTAGATATCGATTTAATTAGACAATGTTTATAAATTATGATTATCTTCCTTTTTTTAAGAGAATTGGTTACTAAAATTATAAAATTTTGAAGAGGTAGAAAAATTTATTATAGCTAGATTTACTTAATTTTTTTCTGTCGCATTTATAATAAATATTCAGCTGCCATTAGATCCGTACTTTTTGATAAGAAGACATTTATTGTAAGGAAATTTTCCATAATTTTTTCTGCCAGATATTTGACCGAAAATAATTATTAATTTTTAAAATCTCACAAAACAAAAAAACATATCTTCCAAGTGACTCTCGCATAAGCTAAAAATACACATCAAAAAACATCCACCATAATATTTCTTATTAAAAATCCCCACTTATAAAATTAAATAATTTAATATATATTATTAGATTCAATTATCATTTCCAAGAAGCAGATTCACTTTTTTCAACTTTTTATGATATATTAAACAAAAAAATGTTTCAATTAATTTTTTATTCAAAAGAATTGTTGAGAATGACTAAAAATTACGAATAATTATAGTTTAAGCGGCTTCTTCTTCCTCATCAAACTCGCCTTCTTCCTCAGCAGTTGCATCTTGGTATTGCTGATATTCACTCACAAGATCGTTCATATTGCTTTCTGCTTCAGTAAACTCCATTTCATCCATACCTTCTCCAGTGTACCAATGTAAGAATGCTTTTCTTCTGAACATAGCCGTGAACTGTTCAGCTACTCTTTTGAACATTTCCTGGATGGCAGTTGAGTTTCCTATAAAGGTAACTGACATCTTAAGTCCTTTAGGTGGGATATCACAGACAGATGATTTCATATTGTTTGGAATCCATTCAACAAAGTAGCTAGAGTTCTTGTTTTGGACGTTGAGCATTTGCTCATCAACTTCTTTAGTTGACATTCTTCTTCTAATAATTAAAATATGGTGTCTCAGCCAGGGCATGACCCCCTCGGCTATGCAGCATCGGCACATATTTTAATTATGTCGGCAAGCTTTTTGCATTCAGGACATGAACAGCGATGATAGGTAAGCAATTCTGCAAGGAGGCAGAGCCTAGCACAAGATCGAATTCAAGGGTGGATTTTACCTCGTGGGGAAGGAAAGGGCATAGCAGTTAGAAAGGGGAAGCCCAGCAAAGCCTAGTAGGCCTATCTTTCAACTCCCTAGCCTGGAACTGAGCGTTATATCCCAGGCTATGTGATTTTCCTTTTTGCTGACAATCAGCCAGAAAATCCATTTTTCGGATTTTCCACGCAAGCAACTCACATCACAGAAGACTGTAGCTCGTCCATGAACCGTGGGAAGCAGGAAACACTTGCCTCAAGCGTGCCCTGGAGATCAAGACAGGTCACCCCAGAGGCCTGCGGGCTCGATGCATGGAAGAGTGAGCGGAAGGTCTGGGTATGCCAACCCCGTAGGGGATGCTAAATGCATAAATTTAAGTAAGTAAGACATTCTTCCTCTAAATAGAGCAGCTGCAGTAAGGTATCTGCCATGTCTAGGATCACTGGCACACATCATATTTTTAGCGTCAAACATTTGTTGGGTGAGTTCTGGGACTGTTAAATTTCTATATTGCTGAGACCCTCTTGAGGTTAAAGGGGAAAATCCTATCATAAAGAAGTGAAGTCTTGGGAACGGGATTAGATTGACTGCGATTTTTCTTAAGTCAGCGTTTAATTGTCCAGGGAATCTGATTGAGCAAGTAACTCCACTCATAGAAGCACTGACTAAGTGGTTTAAATCTCCATATGTTGGTGTGGTTAATTTCAAAGTTCTGAAACAAATGTCGTATAAGGCTTCGTTGTCAATGACCATAACTTCATCTGAGTTTTCGACAAGTTGATGAACGGATAAAGTTGCATTATATGGCTCCACGACTGTGTCTGAAACTTTAGGACTTGGGAATACTGAAAATGTTTCCATGATTCTGTCAGGATACTCTTCTCTTACTTTTGAAATTAATAAAGTTCCCATGCCAATTTTTTCAAAATAAATTATTTTTATTATAATAAAATATATACATAAAATGGCGGATGACGTCCGAACCGTCCTCTTGTGTGACGGTAACCCATGCATATCCGGGCATGGTTTTCAGGAAGAATGGTATGGCCCAGCAGCATCAGGAGCCTAGAGCGATGGGCACAAGCGCAGATCCGCTGATTTGTCGCCTGATCCTTGGGCAGTTAATCGTGAATCCTTTTTCCAGCGGCGCCCTAGCCAGTGGATGCCGAAATGGAGCAGGGTGATTTTCTTGCTCAGGCTGCTATTGATGGCTTGCCCCGAATCACGGAAGTGGTTGAGTTTTTTTATTCAGATGGATGATCTGGTAAAAGGGGAGGCAGGCTAGACTCGCATACAAGGCCGTCCCTCCGATTTAAAGGGTCTTATAAAAAGATGACACCGGCCAGGGTAGGTACAGTTGGTTTTAGAAGGGCGAAGGGACTGAGTTGGAAATGATGGTGCCCAGCAAGGATCTGCGGACACAAATAGGGCAACCCATTACCGAGAAGCCAGGGGTTGGGGTCTGGGCTCAAAGGAACCAGAGGTGGAAGTCCACCAAATTCACTTGTACCAGAACGCTTCTGGAAGTAGAGACTTTAAATATCCAGCACATTAGCATTAACAACATTATAAAAAAATAAAAAAATTAGTCATTATTCCCATGCCAGACCCAGTGCCGCCTCCTAATGAATGAGTAATTTGGAATCCTTGTAAACAGTCACATCCTTCTGCTTCTTTTCTGACAACATCTAATACTGTGTCGATAAGTTCAGCACCTTCAGTGTAGTGACCTTTTGCTCAATTATTGCCAGCCCCAGATTGTCCAAAAATGAAGTTATCAGGTCTGAACAGTTGGCCAAATGGACCAGCTCTTACAGAGTCCATCGTCCCTGGCTCTAGGTCCATTAGAATTGCTCTCGGGACATAACGTCCTCCAGTAGCTTCATTGTAGTAAACGTTGATTCTTTCAAGTTGTAAGTCTGAGTCGCCGTGGTAAGTTCCTGTAGGGTCGATTCCGTGCTCATCTGAGATTACTTCCCAAAATTTAGCTCCAATTTGATTCCCACATTGTCCTCCTTGCACGTGTACAATTTCTCTCATATTTTTATAAACGATTAGTCCTCATGGAATTAAATCTTTGATTTAAATGCTATTTTGTGGAGTATAGTAAAGATTGGAAAATTATCTCAAAAGTCGAATCCTCAGCACAAAATAGCAATCTTAGAAATTTTTATAAAAAAAAGGGATGCCTATAATTTAAATTTATTATGAATAAAAATGAAGCAATAATTAATTTTTAAGTTGGAATGATAATATATTTTTATTTTTTATTGTATTTTATTTATAGCTAAATTTCATAAGATTAATTTTCAATAATATAATTTATAAGAATTTTAATTATTTAAATAAAATTTTCATAGTTTTTATGATTAGATGATAAGAAGTTCTTATCAAAATAACTGAATTTTTATTATAATATAGGTTAAGCTTTGATATTATTTATTCTAGCAAAAACAAAATAGAAATAAATATAGTGATTGAATTTATCTTACATCTTGTAATAAATTACTCTTATTAAAAACCCCAACTTTTATATGAATATTTTTTTATTATTAAAAAGCTAAAATACAATTTTTATTTTTGTGACAATTAATGCTCATCAATATAGAGGAGTTGATGTGGCTTGATATTAATGCTGATAAGAATTTTAAACAAATTGGAAGGAGTTAGGGCAGACAAACTGGTGTTTTTGAAGTATGGTAAATGAGCAGACATATTCTTCACAATGGAGACAAAACAATAGCTGCTCCACAACTAAAGATGCTAAATTTATAGGCAAAGGCACATCTCAAACCCCTTTTTTATTAGAGGGTCAAGAATCTGCCAAGTTTGGCAACTTCTTAATCGGCCCAACAAATTCTAAATTTCCCAGAGGCTAGAAAAGGGTCAAAATCATCAGTCTCTCATTAATTATCAAACGCTCTTCTTAAAGTCAGTTGTTTCAAATTCCTTTCCTTACCCCCCCCCCCCTCCGTGAGCGAACAAAACCATTAGAAAAATCGCCATTTTTTGACCAAAAACCCACCCTCCGTGAGTGAACAAAAATTTTTTTAATAGAAAAAAATTTAATGAAAAAAAAATTTTGATATATAAGTGATAATTAGTATAATGAAATCTAGAGCTAATTCTGTTTAATTTTAAACAAATTGCGTTTTAAAACATAAATTTTGCAAATTAAATTAATATTTGCTTCCCAATTTTTGCAAATTAGGATTTTTTTTTTTAAATTTCGAAAAAAATATTTTTTTATAAAATTTATATATAAATTTTTTTAAAACAAAAAATTAACCCCCCTCCGTGAGCGAACAAATTTTTTTGTTCGCTCACGGAGGGGGGGGGGGGAGTTAGCATTCTATTGAGATCTAATTAAGTTAGGTGCTTCACAGTTTTTTTAATATTTTCAAAGTCACCATTAAATATTCGATTTTTCTAACTCCCCCCCCTCCGTGAGTGAACAAAACCATTAGAAAAATCCCCTATTTTTTGCCCAAAAACCCACCTTCCGTGAGTGACACAAAAATTTTTTTAATAGAAAAATGTTTTATGGAAAAAAAAAAATTTTATATATACTAATTGACCAAGAATAGCCCACTAAGGAGCCATTCTTGGTCTGCCAGAAAAAAATTTGACAAAAGATCCCTTATCTGCCATTACCACTGAGTTTTGGTGTTTCCAAATTTTTTGGGCAAGCCAAATGCAATAAAAAAAAATTGTCCTTTTGCGATGATGCATTTGGCTTGTCAAAAAAATTTGACAACAACAAAACTCAGTGGTAATGGCAGAAAAGATCCTAATCTGTCATTACCACTGAGTTTTGGTGTTTCCAAATTTTTTTGACAAGCCAAATGCATCATCGCAAAAGAACAATTTTTTTATTGCATTTGGCTTGCCCAAAAAATTTTGAAAACACCAAAACTCAGTGGTAATGGCAGATTAGGATCTTTTTGTCAAAATTTTTTCTGGCAGACCAAGAATGGCTCCATAGTGGGCTATTCTTGGTCAATTAGTATATAAATGATAATTAGTATAATGAAATCTAGAGCTAATTCTGTTTAATTTTAAACGAATTGCTTTTTTAAAACATAAATTTTATAAATTAAATTAATATTTGCTTTCCAATTTTTGCGAATTAGGTTTTTATTAAATTTCGAAAAAAAAATTTTTTATAAAATTTATATATAAATTTTTAAAAAAAAACATTAACCCCCCTCCATGAGTGAACAAAATTTTTTTGTTCACTCACGGAGGGGGGGGGAAAGGAACTGCTTTTAAGCCTGCGCTGTATATATTTAAGCTTTAAGCTTAAGAACTAATATGATTGCTTGATAATTATTGCCAAGATATTAGGAGTATGAGAAGTCGATTCCTTTTAAACTTTGGAAAACTCTTATATGGGATCGCTGATATTTGCCAAGCGTAACTTAACTTTGACATTTACTTTTGATGTATATATAGTGAATACTTGTCAGGGGGTTGAAACAAATATGCTGGCTTGACTTAAGAACTCTAAATCTTTATTATTAGAGAAATGCAACTTTGCAATGTCCGATTTTCGTGATAAATCGATATTTGATAACAAATTATAACGTTCATGATAGCTCATTTTTAATATTAGCAATCTTTATTCTATAAATAGAGATTTTATAATTTTTATACAATATCTCTATTATGATAATTTTAATTTTGATAAATTCTATCATCTAGATATCTAGAAACAGAAATAAAATTTATTTCATCTAGATATGGGAAGCACATCAAGCAAAAAAAATAAGCAAAAAGAGCCAATTACTGTAAACACTCCAGGATTCCAGCCAGCTACTCTTCCTCCACCCCCTCCCATGCCAGTTCCTAGCGCTCCTCCTCTCTATCCCGAATTATCACCAGTCCCAAGTGCTCCAAGTTTCCAACCCCCGCCATCTAACTCTCCTCCCAAGAAACCAGTCCCTCCTAGAGCTCACCAATCCCCTCCCCAAGGCAAAAAAGAAGAAGACGCTCCTGACATTCTTTTTGACGCCGAAGAGCCTGAGGAGCGAAACCCAGAACCCCAAGACCTTTCCTCTGTCCCTGAATTCTACTCTCAAACCTGCACACTCCAAGGCAAATGGATTTATCACATGGAGTCTTCTGAAATTGAGTTCCCAGAGGCTACCTCTGATGAAATTGAGCGGGATTTTATTTCTGGGAACATCCGAAGTAAGTTTAACTTCTCAGGCAGCCAGGCCGAAATTTTATTTAGAGAAACCTTAATGACTGTAACTGACCCCAGCGGCGAAAAAATGATTTACCCTATAAGCAGAACGGCAGTTGTCAAAGAAAAATATTGGTGGTATGCCAATGATCAGACCGCAAGGCCAATTATTAAAGAAATTGAAGACATTTTGAGCTTCACTGAAGGAATTTTTTCGTTTACTCTAGACGGGGTAGGCTACCAGATAAATCTGCATAAGAAGTGTATGGTGGAAATGAGGACTGGGTTAATAAGAAATTTAATTATAGCTTATGAGCTCTAGCAGAATTTTATAGGATTTTGGCAATCTTTATGAAAAGCTAAGTGATTATGCTTTCTCTTGCTGGAGATTTAATTTATTTAGACTAAGAGGGGTTTCCTTATAGGGTGCTAATAGGGCTCATTAGGCATATAGGATAAAATATGTTTATGATGAATACAAAAACATGTGAAGTTTGTAATGGGCCTGGAGAACTGATTTGCTTTTGCAAGCAGGCCATTCTGTGTAGTAGCTGTGTAGGAAGGCATATCATTTCAGATATAAGCTCAAGTCATAAGCCAGTCGCGCTGAGTGAAAGCCAATTGACTTCTTTGATGGCTGAAAATTGGCACGAACTCTGTGCGACTGAAGCACAGATTTTAGCTCAGGCGTCTCAAAAACAAGAGGTTTTAGCATATTCTAGTCTAAATAAATTAATAAAAATCCTATATAAAAATGTGTTTTAAATAAATTAATCTATAAAAGTTTATACCAATTTTTATAATAAATATAAGCAGATTTCTATATTATATGAAAATTTATATATTATTGTAGATATTTATATATAAAATCCCGTTTGGAAAAAGAAATCTCAGCAGTCGACGAATTTCAAAATCTTTCCATTCAATTTATTACAGAAATTGTAAAAGTGATAGAGCGAGATCTGCTTTCAGCAGCTGAGGATATGACTTTAAAAGTAATCAACCAATGTGGGATTGTGAAAAAACAAATCGCAGAAGCTTTAGATATGATCAAAAAAGGAGATTATCAGTACAATGAGCTTGCAAATGCACTGACAAGCTGCTTAACTTGTGAAGAGGTCAATAAGTTCGAAATTCTCAAGAAAAGGGTAGACTACAGCCAAACTGATATGAAAAATACCATAGTAAGCCAGTTTATTTTTGAAATTGGCCTTAAAAGTAGCAGCAACTCTAACACCCCAGCTCCAGACCCAAAGCAAGCAAAATCTCCCATGATTGACACAGCTTCACCTAAAAAAATCCCACAGATTTCTATGCCGAAGCAAAAATCAAGAATAACCACCCCAAAAGTTGGCTTTCGAGACGTAAAACGGACAAAAACCCAAAATCCTTTTGAATTTTCAGACGATGAAAATTACGTCGCTTTGACCTCAAGAGAAAGCTCAGAATATGAAGCACCCAGGATGTCAACTGCCCAAACCCAACGCGAAATAAAATCAAGAATGCAGAGAAGTAGCTCAGTTTCCAGGAAAAAAATTATTTCTGCTATGCTTTATTGCTTTATCCCTGGTGTGAAATTTTTGACCACTTTTAATACCTCTATTGAAGAATTTTCAAAAATTAATATAAAAAGCCGAGATGTCGGGCTTGATGGGAGTGCTTGGACTATAACCCCAGATGGGCTAATTGTGATCACAGGAGGTCTGCAGATATCTCCAAAACGGTCAACATGGATTTTCAATGTGGTTTCTCAAGACCTTACTATTGGCCCTGCTATGAAAAACCCTAGGTTTAATCATGCGATTTTGAATATTGGAGAATTTGTATACGTTTTTGGCGGTTTTAATAATGGGACACTAAAAGAATGCGAAAGACTGAATGTCTCACAAAGGACCTGGCAGAAAATTGCGAATTTAAATACTCCTAGAGAAAGCTGTTCAGCTGCGTTTATTAAAGGAAATATTTATATAGCAGGAGGTGCAGATACTATTGAAGCTTATAATATTGCAGGAAATAGATTTTCGCAGTTAAAAATAAAAATCCCAGACAGTCTGCGGTGCTTTATGTTTCCAATTGACAACCAATTGATCATTTTCCACGGCAAAAAAATCACAAAAGTTGACCCTTTCAATCCTCAGAATATTGAAGATATAAAGGACTTGCCTGAAGAAGACTGGTGGAGCCCTGCAAGCTACGTTTTAAATGAAAAATCAGTGTTTTTCATTAGGAGATTCTTTATTCATAAGTATGATGTAGAAGAAAATCTATTATTCCCAGTCCAGTCGTGCACGAATTAAGATTTAAGATTTAAGATTACGATAACACTCTGTCGACCCCCACTTTGCTTAGGATCTGACAAACAAGCCCATCCTTCCTGAATTCCATCACTGGCTAACAGCTCTGAACAACGGTAGCTGGAATTGGCCTAACCGTCAAACCGTTACAGTAGCCTATGACCTAGACGAGTCTCTCTTTCTTTCTTGATGTTGATTCAAGAACACATGGAACTGCCGAAGCAGTTCCAGCGCTAATATCCTTCAGAAAGTCTGAACTTCCCTCACTAGGATGACCTTAGGGAGCAAGGACCCTAATTCATGCGCTCCATTTTTAATTGTTGTGCACGAATTAATTTTGGTTAAATTAAAAATAAATGATAAATCTTGCAAATAAGCCACTGACGATTCTTCCCTTGCAGACTTTGCTCTATTTTGACTGGCTGTATTCAGCTTGGTACTTTGCAGTAGCTACTATGATTTATATATACAAAGGCTCTTATCTGATTTATCCTTATAATACAATTGCTCCGGAATATGCCGGGCTGTGTTTTTTTGCCGTTTTGCAATTTTTTAGGATTTTTGTAGGTAATAATAATGCAGGCTCTGTGGCTAATAAAAGTGAAGGTATCAGTGCTGTTTTGTGGTTTCTTGCCTTGTCAATCCCAGCTATTTTGGCCAGCATCTTTTATATAGCTCTGCAAACTTTTGTGTATTTTTTATTCAGGTTTAATGCTGACGTCGTGACAAATGCGATATTACTATTTTTCCAAGTGACTGAGGCGATCTTTGGGTTTTTGATGTTTATTAAGTTTAAAAAAGCCCCACCTAGAGGTAAAGCTCCATTTTAATTGACAATTAATTCTTACTTACTTACTTACTTAATTATCTGGTGTTTAAGGTGTCTAGTGCCGCAGCCCAAAAGGGCCTATGGCAAAACTGATGACGTAGGCGAGCCATCTTGGCACGGGTCAGCCCCGTCCAAGCCTTCTATCAACTCCTGCTTCACCGGCCTTGCTGCACGTCTCACACCGGCGCGTTGCCGTCGCCCTTGTCGCTCGACTCAGCTCCTGCGCGTGTTCCGCCTAAGGGTCATCCTCCCGTGGGGATGTGCTGAGAGGTAAAAGCCCGAAATCTTGAGTGGACTGAGGAGTGGTTCCTCTGGTTATCCCCAGAGTTAAACCGCTATTGCTGTCCAGAAGTCTTCGAGTGAAAACCTAACCCTATAAATAAAATTCCATGAGGAGAGAAAATTAGCAGAGCTAATTTCTCTCGAACCGAATGCCATTTTATTTATGACAATTAATTCATAATTATTTTTTATTATGGAAGAAGAAGAAAAACTCCTTATCCCATATCAAGAAAAAGACGAAGGAAACCGGCTTTATAAGCTTGGAGAAATTGAAAATGCCAGTAAATCTTACTCAAAAGCCCTTCTCGCTGTAAATTATTTATTCAAAGATGCAAAAATTGTTGAAGAAGACGCAATGAAATACGTAAAAGAAATAAAAATCCCTTGTCTTTTAAACCTTTCAGCTTGTTACCTAAAATTGAAAAGTTCTTACTCCCCCCCCTCCGTGAGTGGACAAAAAAATTTTGTTCACTCACGGAGGGGGGTTAATTTTTTTTTTAAATAATTTATATATAAATTTTATAAAAATTTTGTTTTTCGAAATTTCAAAAAATCCTAATTCGCAAAAATTGGAAAGCAAATAATAATTTAATTTATAAAATTTATGTTTTAAAAAGCAATTCGTAAAATTAAATAGAATTAGCTCTAGATTTCATTATAGTAATTATCATTTATATATCAAAAGTTTTTTTCATAAAAAATGTTTTCTATTAAAAAAATTTTTGTCACTCACGGAGGGTGAGTTTTTGGGCAAAAAATAGCGATTTTTTCTAATGGTTTTGTTCACTCACGGAGAGGGGGGGGAGTTATGAAAATGTGATTATTCATTGCTCTGATGTTTTAAGTATAGAGCCAGAGAATTCCAAAGCACTTTATAGAAGAGGAGTAGCTAATATGGAGCTTGCGAATTATGATGAGGCCAGAAAAGACTTAAAAGAAGCCAGAAATCTGGAGCCGAATGATAACAACATATATGAAGCACAGGTAGAGCTGAAGAAAAAAATTAGTGCTTATAAAGAAAAAACAAAAAAAATCGCACAAAAGACGTTTGAAAGCAAAAAAGAGCCGATAAAAGAATCTAGCCAAGAGGCTACAAAAGAGCAAGAGGCTACAATAGAGCAGTCTCTCCAAGATCCACAGCCAATCCCAGACCTGCAGCCTGCAACACAGCCATATTTTTATTTTTTATTTAAATGTTGCAGAAGAAGAGCTAATATTCAGCATTAAGTCGGGAAAATTCCTGACCATTTTTTGTTAAATAGAGAATTATTCAATAAAAGTCTTATAATTTTACATAGGCAATAATCCTGAGCTATAAATTTCTGTTTTACATCTTGGGCATATATGAGAAGTATCCAGGCATGGCCTGCACATAAAAGGAACGCAGCAGCATGGAATAAGTAAGCACACCATAGCGCAGCAGCACAAATATGATATAAGTCCAGGCTTAAGCTTTGTAATTGTAATTACCTCATTTTTGCATTTAGGGCAGATTACAAGCTGCACATTTTGGTGATTTTGTATAGGCAATTTTGTTTCATTATGCTGAGGTGCCTCTGTTTTAGCTTCACTTTGTGTTTCTAGTTGTGATTCAGGGGTAGGCACTTCTAAATTTTCTGAAATACCGTCAGTTGTTTTAGCTTCTTCAATTAGAGGCTGATTTGTGTCACATTGCTGCTCATCCATTAGGGTATAAATAATTTATTTGCAACTTATGAATAGTTAGGCAGATTTTCATTATAATATTAATTAAATAAATAGCTCGAATGCAATATATTACTTCTCTTTTCTTAGATAAACAAACTGAAAAAGCCTTTATTTTCTACTCTTATCAATGGTATTTTTTATGATTTTTTCATATTTTCTCTACTTTAGAAGATTCCGTTAATAATTAAGTCTGAATATGAATTGTTATAAACATCAAAGATCTCATAGCTTGAAGTCCTCAAAAAGCACCTCAAAAATCTCTCCTTTATTTAGCATACTTAAATTCATCAATCCTACTAATCAAAGAGAAATCGACTTAGAGGATATGGTAATTTTTATATAGAATTCTCTATTAATAAATGTCCCAGAAGAGCAAAAATTAAAAGTTCAACAAATTTTCCAGCGTTATATTATTTCTACAAAGAAATTCTGAATGCCAATATCTACTTTTCTGAAAATGTATGATGGAAATATTGCTGATAGTCATCGAAAATTAACTGCAAAAGAAAAAGAGCATGCGATTTCTCGCATAAACAGTTACTTAACTCAAAAAAATTCTAATCAAAATTTAAAGCATAAGCGAGGGGTTTCATTTTTCGATATTAACACAAACTTGAAACAAACTACAAAGAAGCTTGGGAATGAAAGGAATTTTATTACTTACGATGAATCTTTTGCAGATCCTGCAATTTATTCGTCATTTAGTTCTGGGAGTAATAAATCTTTTATTAATGATTCTATTTGTAAAGAAAAGGATAAGAGGATGCCGCTATGTGAAAATGTTATGAGAAGCTGTCTGTTAAGAAAAAGTGATCTCGGCGAATTAAATAGGGCTAGGAACGGTCATAAAAGGCAGAATAGTTTGTTTGTTAATTAAATTAATGTAAACTTATGTAGTTTTTCTGCTTTGAATATATAGTTTCAACAAAAATTGAGAAAAAATTATGCAGTTTTTAGAATGCTAGGATAGGTTGGCTATTTTTGCTTATGAAGTCTGAGCAGTTTTGTTTTAAGACTTCGTGGATTTCGGTAACTCCCCCCATCCTTGATCGAACGGCTCGCAATTGTTCGATCAAGGATCGGGTTTAAAAAAAAAATTCTATATAAAATAAAAAATATATGATTTTTTTTTTTATATATTTTTAAATAAGAGGGCTAAGAGTATTTAATAATTTTACAGCAAAAAATTGAATTAATTTCATAAGAATACCAATTTTTAATATTTTGATTTTTAATTACCACTTTAAACTTATAAATTTTAATTTGTTTCTTATTGAATTAAAAATTTTAAATAATCTCTATTTTTTTAGATTATTAAGTTTTTAAGCCTAGATTGATGACTAAAGCACTTCGGATGGTTAATTCCGTAGCTTCTTGTTGCCTAAAAGACTCTGAAAAGAACTTCATTAGGCACATCTCCCCAAGCTTTTGATAATATATTTTATATATATAAAAATTTGCATGATATGAAAATCGTTCGATCAAGGATGGGGGAGTAAGAAGTAAAATCAATAAACTAAGATATTATTCAGCAATAATACTATAAAATACTTATTAAAAATAATTTGATGGCTTACCAGATATTTTAATTAGTGTTTATTGCTCAGCTTATCACATAACCACTCTATCCCTTCTTCAAGACCTTGCCCAGTTATCGCCGAGCTAGCTTGCAAATTTCATTCATGATCTCTAATTGATACTAAATCCAATAGTTCTGAAATTTGATTAGGAGGTGCTGCAACAGGTAAATCTTGCTTATTTGCCAAAATCAAAACTGGGGCAGCCCTTAAATCAGCATGTAAAAGCAAATTAAAAAGCTCCATCTTCGCCAATAAAGCATTATGAACATCAGCACTATCAACTACAAAAATTACAGCTTCTGTAGACACAAAATATGTACTTCACGAAGCCCTCAAAGATTCTTGGCCGCCTAGATCTCACACCTGAAGCCTGACGTTTCCTTGCTTGATTTCTTCCACATTGCTGCCAATTGTGGGATGAGCACTAACAACTTCGCCTAGGCGCAGCTTGTAAAGGATAGTGGTCTTGCCAGCATTTGCGAGTCCTACTAGGACGATTTTATATTCATAATCCTTTCTAAGTTTCCTCCATAGTCTAGATAAGAATAACCCCATTATTTCATAACTATTTGATTTAATTATACTTTTATAAGGTAAATAAATATTTTTTAATAGAAAATTACTATATTGCTAAGGATGGAGGATTTCTAAAAATAGTCATTAAGTCTTTTAAAACTCGTCTAAGTCGTTTGCTGACTGAGGCCTGGTGAATTTATTTTCTCTTCTTGAGGTAGGATATGCACTGTTTGGTCTTAAAGTCCTGTTACTTCTGACCCCAGAGCTCATAATTCCAGTGCCATCAAGGATCTCGTTAATTGTATAGGACGTTCTGCTTGGAATTCTCCTAGCATTTTCAGAAAGTTGATAAGCTAGATACTCATGCTGTCTATAGTCTTGATCTATTCCCTATATAAAATAATATCTCTAAGGTCTTTTTATTAATTCCCTATATTTTATATCGTCTGTTAGTTTACTATAATACTAATATAAACCATTTTTATTATATAGTATAGCTTTCTTGCATTATAATGTGACCCAGCCGTATTTATTTTCCTCAAAATTCTTCTGTTTTCTTCACTAATTTTGGTCAGTTCTTCAATTCTATTTTTTCTATTAAGCGATTTTAACGAAGAACTGATAGGAGTTGCTGCTTGGCTTGGCTTTGTATCAATTAATAAAAGCTTTTGTAAAAGCAGATGGTTTGTGTGCTGCATTTCATTGAGCCGTTCTTCTTCTTTTAAGCCTTTTTTCGCTTTGCTGAAAACATGCGGCATTTTTCTTGGAGGCTTGTTGTCAATTCTTGACTTGATTTTGCCAAGTTTATATTGGTGGATTAGGTGTTCACGAGCGAAGTCTAGCTCTTGTGTAATTTTGCATGATGCTTTTTGGTTCCACATTTTAAATTAAATGGCAATTCAATAACTTAAAAATTCAAACTTAGATGATAATAAATCGAAATATTGAATTCTTGTAAAAAAAATAAAAATTTATGACATTTTATTAAAAACAGAATTCTTATAATTACTCATGATACCAATTTGGAGTTAACTGTCTAAACAGCTCAGGATTTCCTGCATTTAATTCTTCTTGAGTCCAATTGAATAAGCAAGGCAGCTCTTCTCCATTAGGAAGCCTAGTGTCTTGATCTCTAAGTACATCAAAACAAGGATGAGCCAAGCTTTGCAGAGCTGTAGGTCTTATCTGAGGAGAATACACTAACAAACTTGCTATAAAATCAATGATATCCTGAGGAGTCCTTGCTTTAAAAACTCTATTTCAAGGATGTTGCCTAATTTGAGGGAACTTATTTTCAGTGTAACTTGGGTTCATATCATAAATTTGTTCTCTTGTAGGTGTTCCTAGGATTTTTATAATTTCTACAAGCTGGTCGACTCCGCTTTCTCCCGGAAAGAGAGGCTGTCCCAATAGCAATTCTGCGACAACAGCTCCAGCGCTTCACACGTCAATAGCTGGGGTATAATCAGTAGCACCAAAAATTAACTCAGGAGCTCTATAATATCTTGAGCAAATGTAGCTAACATTTGGCTCTCCACGTACCAGTTTTTTAGCTGAGCCAAAATCACAAAGCTTTATTTTATGCGTATTTGTATCCACCAGCACATTCTGAGGCTTGATATCACGATGGCAGACACCTACTGCATGAAGATAAGCCAAACCTCTCATCAGCTGATAAGCATATAATTTCACTAATAAAATAGGCACAGGCTGTCTCATCCTGCTATATTGTTTTGTGACTCTGTATAAGGTGTCTGGAATAAAGTCCATCACTACGTTTAAATACAGCTCATCAGGTCTTTCCCCTGAGGTGTAAAAGGCATGGCGGAGGGTAACAACATTTGGGTGATTCAATTCTTTCATTATTTGGAGTTCACGATTTTTATATATCAAATAGGCTGAATTATTATAAAAAAAGCATTTTTAAAGAAAAATAAGCTTTAATATGAAAAATAATATCTCCGATCTTGTAAAACCTTTTTGATTGCGACTGTTTCTCCGGTTTCTGCGATTACAGCTTGGTAAACTTTTCCAAAGCTGCCTTGCCCGACTACTTTGTCACAATTATATGTAAAGCTGCCACTCCCTATTTTGCGTTCTTCAATGTTCATGCGGTTCATTGAGTCACTTAGGTCGCCTACACGCCTCCTTGCAGAAGTTGATGACACATTGTGCGCGACACTTGTGTTTGGTGCTTTGGTTGATCTCTCCATTTTTTAATGATATTTAAATTCGTGAATAAAATTGCTTAACAATGTAGGAAAATCCAATACTAAGATTTTCTGTGGAATTTTTAGGAGATTAATAAGGAAATTCTAATTATCTATAAAGTAAATAAAACTTTTTCGTCGAAATGTTTCCTGAACTCTAAAATGGCTTCTCTTCCCAGTATATCTTTAAGTTTAAGCCCAACACTCTGTATGTAGCGCTCTTCAATTGAATCTGTCCAAATAGCGATTCTGAACCTGTTTACGCGGACAGAAAGTTCAGCTCCACAAATGTGTGGTGATAAGTCCAAGAATTGGCACCCAATTAAAGCCAGCTCTGAATTTAGCCATTGTTCATTAATTTTTTCTAAGTGTTCAGTCTTAAAAGACCAGGCTCCTCCTTGAGCATTGCGAGGGTCTTCCCACTCTGGCAGAATTCCTTCTCTGAATAGAAAATAATCCCCTCTGCCTTTGATATCTGTGGGAACTTTAATGTTGTTGTAGACGTGCCAAAAATCTTCCACGGTCTTAAAAGTGTTGATTTTTTTAAGTCTTTCTTCCCAGGCTTTGAGGGTGATTTTTTGCTTGTTGGTTTTTTTCTTGTTGCGTGTTACGTAGAAGTCCCATGGGTATTCTAAATCATGACCCATTTTATTACTTATTGTATGTGACATTTTGGTTTTTAGTTAAGTTAAGTTAAGCTTTGGTGCCTTCTCCTGTAAAAAAAATCCGGCAAGGTTTTGCCATTTCAGAGATGGACGGCAATGCTAGGTAAGCAATTCTGGTGGAGTACAGAGCCTAGCCCTAGTCTATTCTCAGAGATGGTTTTTTTTCCTCGTGAGGAAGGAAAGCACGGCAGTTGGAAAGGGAAAGCCCAGCAAAGTCCACACGACCCATCGGGCAACTCCCTAGCGTGAAACTGGGCGTTACGTCCCAGGCTACGTGTTTTTCCTTTTGCCGAAAGCCTACCAGAAAAATCATTTTTTTGGGTTTTCGGAATGGCAACCCATGTCACAGCAAGTAGCTCATCCATGAGCCGTCGAAGCCGGCAACACTTGCCCCTAGGCGCACCTTGGTGATCGAAGCGGACGGGCCCAGAGATCTGTGGGCCCGATGCGGCGAAAGGCGAGCGGAGGTCTGGGCTTAGCCAACCCCGTAGTGGACGTTAAGCGTTATAATTAGTAAGTTAAGTTAAGACATTTTGGTTTTTAGCCATAATTAAATAAAGGTAATGCTAAAGTAAAAATTTAAAGAGATTGTGATAAAATTAAAATTGGGGAGGTAGATGAAAGTGAAGAGACTAGAGAGAATGAGGACGCAGCCAATATAAATTGGGACTTCGGAATAAGAATTGGGCTTTTCTTGGGATTTGTATTTAAAATAAGAGGATGTCTAACTCTATCCATGAGTTACAGAAATTTTTTTGTTAGCCAAGAAATGGATAGTTTTTTTGTTTTAAAATTTCTTATTAATTATATATTAGAAAATCTAATTTTTCAATCAGTAAGGATTTTTCCAATAATTTTGCTACTTACGGAGGGAGAAGTAACTGATTTTGCTGAAGAATATATAAAATATTTATCTTTTATTTATTATATCAATATTTTTATTTATTTTTATGAGATAAGATTGATTTATCAACAATTTAAAATATAGTACTCAATTACCTTATCTATTAAAATCAGATGATTCCTGATCCTCAGTTTTTACTAATTTTTTATTTCTCTGGAAATGCCTGACTTTATCTTATCTTTTTTCTTCTTTCATCTTATGCTCATATATGAAAATTTCTAACTGCCAAGGGTCTAGAGAGCAAAGTAATCTCTTCACTAACCAAAGGGTTAATTTTATAAAATATTTAGTAAAATGGTAATCATCATTAATTATTTATTATATGGCATCAAAATATTTTACCTTCCTTATTTTTCCCAAAATATTTCTAATGATGCTCGCTAATCAAAGAGGGAATAAATATTCAATGAAATTTCATATTTATTGTAAAGAAATAAAGGCTGAAATTTTCCCAAATGATTTATTCGTAACTAATAATTTTAAAGCTCTATAAAATGAATGATAAAAAAATCCTCATGTTGCAATCTTTATCAACCTCAAAACTAAGCCAGACCTTCAGTGAACTTAACTCGTCACCATATTCAAAAGGTCTGAACCATAAAAGAAACCAGTCGTCAATAACCAAGCTTCCACAAGAATTAAAGCGGACAATTACCCTGACTAAACTAGCACAAAAAGAATCAATCTCACCGGTAGCAAAATGCAATTTAAGCCCTATTAAGATCTCTAATGGGAAATCACCTATGAATTCTCAGAAACCCAGAAATAAGGCACTGTTATGGGATAATCTTATTAATCCAACGATTTTGGAAAAAATCAGAGCGAATTATGAAGAAAAATTGAAAAACTGTGAAATTAGAACAAAAACATTTTTGGTTAATTTATATTGTGAAACGTTGGATGAGATTGTGGTTTCGATGCCAGCTTTAAGCATCCTAAAAGATATAAAATTCGGCCTGAAAAATATTTTAGACGAGGATTCACCAGGAATTGCGAATGGTGACTCTAAAATAGAATTTAAATTAAAAGCTCAAGCAGGAACTATTCAGCAACTTAAAAAAAATAAATTAGAGCTTGAGAAGAAATTGATTATTTTGAGTAACGAAAATGTGGAACTCTTACGTCGCCATTCGTAATACGCCATTATTGATTTTTTCATTGGAGATTTTCTTTTCAAAAACATTTTCATTAATAATATTTAAAAATTTTATAAATTTTTTTTAAAAGTTTTCAATGAATAAAGAGATAGCGAAAATTGATACAATATCGAATGAGCTGAAATATTTAAAAGATTTCCAAAATGATCAACCAAAATCACAGCATATACTAAACTCTCTTATGGAAGAAACCAAAAGAAAAGGCGAAATGATAAAAATTTTGAATATCGAAAACCACGAGCTGCGATTAAAAGAGGCTAGATTCTTAAAAACATTAAATACAATGAAATCTCAAGGAATCAATATTTCAGCTTATCTATCCTTGCCAAGAAATGATTTTAATAAAAATAACGAAAATTCTGACTCAAAGGATAAGTTTCCTTTGAGATTTTTAACTATGTCATCAGAGAATAAAGTTTCGAGTGAAAATATATCAGAAGATGAAAGCGATAATTCCATTGAAGAGAAATGCTTTATGAAGCAAAAATCGTTGGTGCCTGATTTAGATATAAAAAGAGTTCGGTCCGACTCATTTTTGGAGCTTTATGAAAGCTATGAGGTTTCGGAGCAACCATGAATAAGGCGCTAAAACCGAGTTTGTGTACCGTATAAATAATTTAAACTTAAATAAGAGTTAAAGAAATATTTTTGAAATTTTTGAAACTAAAAATGCATAATAAAAATAAATTCTTTTATAATTAATTATATATGTAAAATATACTACAATTTTCAAATATAATTTCCTAAAACATCTAATATTAATAATGCACAAGAAAAAAAGCTGGGACATTGATAAATTTTCAATTAAATAAAAGTTGAATTTATTACTTCATTACTTGAAACTCTTAGTGCATATGCAATAAAACGGTGCGGCGAGCCAACCCAACCTCCTAATACCTATAACTTGGGAGACCCAGGGACCTTGTGGAAGGCAGTTTTGGCGCTCGGAATGTGCATCTGATCGGGCTTTACTTAGTTTGGTGAGCGCAATTTCCGAATTTGCGGACCAAAGGCTCACATCCCAGGCCAAGGTTTTATTTAAGAGAAAGATGAAGTTCAGAGCTGGAAATGAGTGTCTTAGCAATACTAGTAAGGTTCCTACTGATTGTTCTGGAAAGTTTTCCAGCGCGATTCTAGATTTTGTGAGTTTTCATATTACTTATAGGTAACAAAATCTATTTTTAAATTTTCTAGCGTTGGTGCACGGCACAGTGATCACAACTTTCCAACTACCAGGGAGCATGTGCATGCCTGTGTCTGGTAGGAGCAAGACTTTGAAGGTTGTGAGATGATTGTGGTGAAGCAGATGAGCGGAGCGTTATAAAAGGAACAAGGATCTTCGGATCCCAGCAGGGAGCTTTTCTATAATCAATAAGTTTAAGCGAGACTCTTACTTCTCTCCCTTGGTAAGCGAAACAAAATCATTGAAAATCTTGATTAAAATTATTTCGAAAATAGATTTTAAATTTTAAAAATAAAAAAATTAGCCTCCCTCTGAGAGCGAACAAAATTTTTTTTCTCACTCATAAAGGGGAGAGTTAATACTCTATATTATAAAATATTCATAAAATATGGATGGCAAATTTCATAATAAACCTGATTTTCACTGGCTAAACCGTATTCAAAAAGTACTTGGCGAGTGCATTAGCAACCATAAAATTCTTCATCAATGTATTTAGTAGTTAACAATTTAAATATAATTAATCATTATGAATGATTCCAAAAAGCCTCGAATTCTGCCTTTACTGTACTCAAAACTTAGCCTATCATTAACTGATTTGACTTCTTCGCCTTATTTAAAACCTGTTTTCAATATAAGGAAGAAGCAAAATCCAATTAAACTTCCTCCACAAAGAACGATTACAACTATTAGCCACCAAATAACTATCTCCAAGGAGAATATTTCTGGAACAAAAAACTCTCTATTAAAATCGAATACAAGTGTAGCTAGACTTCCAATGATAAACCAATCTTTATCTCCAATCTCTAGAGATAATAAAGACATCTCGTGGGACCTTGTTTTAGACAACACAAAATTTGATAAAATTTTGAGAGATTTTAAGGAAAAATTAAAATCTATTTCTGAAAAGCCCAAAATCTTTGCTTTAAAAATTTATTTTGAAACATTCGAAGAAGTTCTTCTTTTGTTGCCAGGACTACAGATTTTGCGAGAAATAAAAGATGGGCTGAGAAATATATTGAAAGAAGAAAGCTCCGTTTCAGATAATATTGAGTTCGAAAAAAAAGCAAAATTGTTAGAAATCAAAGTAGAAGAATATAAAAAATACAAAGCAGAGATTGATAAAAAACTTAAAATACTCAGCAATGAAAATATTGAGCTGATAAATCAGATTGAAAAACTTAAGAAAGAAAACGATGTTTTTCTTGGAAATACTGAAGGGATGAAGTCTCAAAATTATTTAAATATGCTGTTGGAAGAATCTAAAAGAAAAGGAGAGACAATTAAGATTTTAAATGCAGAAAATTATGAATTGAGAAAAAAAGATGCAAAATTGATGAAAATGATAGAATTTGCAAGAAACAAAGGAACAACTTATAATTTTTCCAAAAAAAGCTCGATAAAAGAAAAAGAGAATGAAAGTATCAAAATAAATCCAAAAAGATCGCTGCCTTCTAAACAATTAACAGTAATTCCGTCGAAAAAAAAACTAAAATCACTAGGTGATTACAATGAAAATGAAAATATAAATTCAAAAAAATCATCACCGGTACCTGAGCTTGATATAACTCGCATAAAATCTGACTCCTTTTTAGATCTTTATGAAAACAAAGAAATTTCTGATGACGTTTGACTCAGAGAATAAAATTTATTAATTATTTAATATAATTAAATATTCCTACCTAAATTTAGTGTTTTGTATTAAAACTTTCTTATCTTAAAAAATTCATCCAGCTAAGCAATCCATTTTGTAAAGTTTTTTTAAATTAATTAATATATTTATCTTATCATCATTTTTTTTCATATTTTATAACTATACTAAAATAATAATGATCGAAATTAAGCCAATTCAGACGCAACCTATCAATTTTTCAACTAAAGCTAATCAGTCTTTCAATGATTTGAGTAATTCTCCTTATTCAAGAAGATTGCAGTCTAGGAAAAAATTAACTAGTATAAAAAGTACTCAAGGGCTAAATAGAACTTCATCACTTTTATCAACAAAAGCTTCAATGAAAGACAAAGAAGCTGATTCAACACCTCTTCCATCTATTCAGAACCCCACTTTTAAAGCAGCGGCAGCAAAAATCTATAAATCATCAGCAAAGTTGCAAAAAGTCAAAGACAAGTTTGATTCAAACGAGGTTGTTATAAATCATCAAATTTTTGAAAAAATCCGGGATAGTTATATCAATGGAAATATTAAATTAAATTAAAGAATTCTTAATTTCCTCCAGATTTGTTGCCTCAGTGTGCTTTGACCAACGCCAACCTACTTGCTAGGCGGAAATTAAGCTGCTATTTGGAACAGTGGTCTTCTCTATGAGCAAGCTTGCACTATGACCCCAAGAGTGTTGACGAACTAGAAAGATGGCCTGCCAGTATGCCATCAGGCGCTATGGAGGTAAAGGTTAGCCGATGCCTTCCGTCGACCACTTTTGGGAAGGACCCAGGGGGAAAAATACAGCCTTCTGAAAGGAAAAGCCCGTGGCCTAAAAACCATCCGGATAACTAATACCTGGACAGGAATGGTCACCTGCTGACTCCTAAGGTTTTCCCACCCCATTCGGCAGCGATTAGCATGCTAAGGGTTAGGATTAAGGGCCTGAACCTTGGTTTAGACTATAATATCATTTTGCTACCCAAAGTGGGTGCGTAAATATAACGACATATTTCATTGCCACCACCATTTAATAATACAGTGGATAAAGAATTTAATTTTATCTTAATCCCCCCTTCCATGAGTGAACAAAAAAATTTTGTTCATTCACGGGAGGTTATTTTTTGGAAATTTTAAAAAATCCCACTTCTCGAAAAATTGGAAAGCAGATATTAATTTAATTTGTAAAATTTATGTTTTAAAAAAACGCAATCTGTTTAAAACTAAACAGAATTAGCTCTAGATTTCATGATAATAGCTATCACTTATATATCAAATTTTTTTTCCTTAAAACAATTTTCTATTATAAAAAAAATTTTGTTCATTCACGGAGGGTGAGCTTTTAGGATAAAAATAGGGGTTTTTCTAATGGTTTTGCTCACTCACGGAGGGGGGGAGCTAGTAATAAAAAATCTATTATCTAGGAAATTTTTATCTGTTATTTATTCTATCTACTAAGGTACATATGGAAAACCTCAAAAACAGTCCATCAAAAAATTTACACTTAAATATCCATTTAGAAGCCTTAGATGAAGTGTTAAAAGTTTTACCCACTATTCAAATTTTGAGCGACATTAAAAATGGAATTATTAGCTGCCTTAATATTGACTTACAAAACTCCCAAAATTACGACACAAAAAATTTAAAAAAAGAATCTGATGAAAAAATTGCCAAAATTAAAAAGGAAAAAACAATTTTAGAAAAAAAATTAAAACAATTAAGCACAGAAAATGTTGATCTTGCTTCAGAAATCGATATTCTTAAAAAAGAGATTTATAGTTTAAAAGATTTTAGCTCACAGCATTCAAAGGCTCAGTACTTTATGAATTCTCTTATGGAAGAGACTAAAAGGAAAGGAGAGACGATAAAGCTTTTAAATGAAGAAATCCATAAATTAAGAAGAAAAGAGATAAAAAATCAAAATATTATTGATGCTATGAAAAAGCAAGGGGTTGACGTAGAAGCTGCAGTAGAATCAATGAAAAAAGATAAAGAAAAAAGCAAGAATCTAGGCTTTAGGCTTAGAATTTCGACTCTTCCACCCGATAATGGATCACAAAATTCAGACTCTGAGATTTCAGAAAATAATAACTCAGCAATTGGCGAATTTATGATGCCGAAGCTTTCACCAGTCCCTGACTTAAAAATCGAAAAAATTCGAAGAGACTCTTTCCAAGAATTTTTTGTGACAAACGAAAACTTACTCCCACCCTCCGTGAGTGAACCAAAAAATCTTGTTCGCTCATGGAGGGGGGCTATGTTTTTTATTATAAAAATTTATATATAAATTTTTCGGAATTTAAAAAAATCCCACTTCTCGGCAAATAATAATTTAATTTGTAAAATTTATTTTTAAAACGAAATTTGTTTAAAATTAAACAGGTATAGCTCGAGATTTCATGATACTAGCTATCACTTATATATCAAATTTTTTTTTCCCATAAACAATTTTTTCTATTAAAAAATTTTTGTTCGCTCAAAAATGTTTTTAGGCAAAAAATAGGGATTTTCTAATGTTTGTTCGCTAACGGATAGGGGGAGCTAGAAAATTCTTGGCTTAGAGCCTAAATTTTGGAATTTAATGTAATCTAAATAGTAAGAACTAATACTAATAAGCAAATTCAAAAGTCTTTCCATTAAATTGCAGCTGAATTATTAAAACTTAATTATGAGCTTCTGTGGTTTATCATTCATGAAGTTTCAAAATAATTATGGTGAATAAAAAAGGAAGCTTACTATATTGAATTTATTATATTACCTTGTCTTAAATAATATCATCTATTATCACACAAATACTTTCTTCAATTAAAATAATCATTTAAAAAAATTTTATTTTATTCTAAAATATTAAAAATGTTACCAAAAGACACTGAACTTCCATCATTTAGTCTTCACACAATAAAAAACGCTCCAAGCTTGACATCTTCTCCTTATTCCCACGCTCAATTAAATATAAGGAGATCTCCCTCACCATTCCAGCTTAAAAAGCACTATAGAAAATTCACTCAAATTCACCCTCCCAAGCTCAACCATCATCGTGAGGTCAGCAGCTGTTATTTAAGTCCTATAAACTCCCAGTCATTTATAAACCTTAATTCATCAAAAAACCTTAAAAAAGCAAATGATTCAGAAATGAAAAAGACTATGTTTAAGACTGATCTTATGCTGAATATAGAGGTTATAAACCAAATAAAAAAAAAGCTCAAAATTGGTTTGAAAAATTCATCTATATCAAATGATCAAAAAATTCCTCAAAAATTTAAGTCATGTGTGGATGCTTTTGATAAATTACTGCAAGCAATGCCAATTTTATCAATCCTAAAATATTTGAAAAATACATTTATTGAAATTTATAATGAAAAATCTGACGAAAAAATACCTCAGCTGGAACAAGATAACAAAAAGCTTATCACGAAGCTACTTTTATACAAAAGGGAGAATAATTCTATAACTCTTCCGACATTTTAGTGTGAGAAAATAATTGTAAATGCCCAAATTTGAGGGTTTTTTTAAAAATGAAAAAAAAATGAGGCCTACAAATTAAATAAAAAAAAATTACCTACACAAATAAATTGAGGACTTATAATCCACCTATACTCGCCTATTCAGAGTTTGAGAGCTTTCAGCAGCCTAAATCCAAACTGGAGGCTATGGGTACTAGAATTTGCCTAATTCGCAAAAATTTACTCTCTAAGCAAGTTAGAGTAAGTCAAAAATTAAAATGTCTGTCTGATGAAAATATTACTTTGACAGAAAAAATCGACATTTTAAACCAAGATATAAGAAACTTAAAAGAAACAAAAATAGGGCCTAGTAAAACTGTTTATGATATTAATTTGCTATTAGAAGAAACAAGGAAAAAAGGAGAAGTCATAAGAGACTTAAATTTTGAAATTTACGATTTAAGAAGGAAGGAAAACTATCAAACTGAGCTGATTGATTTTATAAGAAATCAGAGTTCTATTGATTTTTCAGGAATTTTGATGAAGTTTGAAATAGAAAAGGAAAAAAATAAGTCCAAAAAAAGGCCGAGTTTGGTCCCTGCACTAAATCTGCCGAATAGTAATTTATTAGTATCGCAAAGGCTTGAAATGATGGAGGTTCCTAGTGATAGTGATAGCGTAGATGGGTCTTCGTCGTCAAGCTCTTATAGCAATAATGAAATTCTATGTGGCACGAAAAATCCACTTTTTTCTGATAAATTAATCACATTAGCATCAAGCTAGATCCTGCACAAATAGAATTTTGGCCGACTATCTGCAAAAGTGAAAGTTCAGGGCGAAACTCCTGGTTTCACTCTAAGAAGTTGTCCGATAGGCTTAGGAGGCTTTAATGTGTTTCCCCTTTCCAAGTCTAGTCTCATTTCTCTCTAGATAAAATCCAGCTCTGAAAGCTGACTAAGACTAAGCTCTAAACGAGTTAGGATTGCTTACCTAGCATTGATGCTATTTCTGGGCTGGTAAACCTTGCCAGATATAACCATACTTAATATAATAAATTAATCACAAAAGAAGGAATATTAGCAGATTAGCAAACAGTCTATTCATAAATAAGTGAATAGGTACAAAGCTAGCTATATAAGTAATAAAAATAATAATGGTAAACTTACCTAACTTTATGTTTTTTATAAATTCTTTTTGGAAAAATATTTTGATAAAGCAGGATTGTTTAAAAGATTATGGTTTCTGTCTTTGAGACGAATCAAAGTGAGTAAATACAATAAAAAATATTTTTTTATTATTTAAAATGAGTAAGAAATTACTTTTAATAAATACACCAAAATCATCTGCAGCAAAACCTTGCAAAGTTGAAGTAGGAATTTCCTGCAACACTATCACTAAATACTCAGAAGAGCCTGTAGAGGAGGCCAAAAAGCTAAACAGTTTTATTCCAATTATAACTATACATGATAATTATGCTGCAAATCGCCAAAAGACAAGATTATCAATATCTTCAAAAAGAAGCTGTATAACCCCGAAGGAAAAATTTATTTACCTTAATATAGGAGAAAACTCATTATCCAAACTAAAATTTAAATCCGAAGGAAGAGGTATAAAACGACTTTTTAGTAGAAGAGTGTCTGATACGAATTTAACCAAAAATAATAAAAAAATCTATAACTCTTTTGAGGTGTTGAACATTGAAACTTCATTATCAAAAATTTCTATGCCAAAAAGGCATAAAGCCCCTAAAAACTTCTATTCTCTTTTATTTAATCTAAGACTTAATTATTAATTTTTCCTAATTGTTATTAATCTATATCATAAGGCATATCTAAACCATATTTGTAGCACAAAAAAATTGATTAAAAATCCCCAAGCCGACCAACTCAACGATTTTCTATTAACAACAGTTCGGATCAAAAAAATTGCGCTAAAGCATGGGCATATATCAAGAACAAAAAGCCATTAATAATTTATCAACTTATGTAATTCTATTAATTTCAGTAATTTCAGGCTCATTATCAAATGTAGATGCCGTGATATCTGCTTCCTGCTCTTCCACTTCTTCTATTTCAAGAACCGGTGCTCCTCTAGCTTTCTGAATAGCATTTTTATATTTTTTGCATCAAGCCCCCATCTTTCCTACAGCTAAATTTGTGAATAATTTCCCAAGTGTGCTATTTGGTTCTGTTTGGTTATACATGGTAATTTCTGTTCTTTCATTTAGTAAAGAAATTATAGTCACTCCGAGGTGTGTAGTTCCTCTATTGATGCCATTGATAGGGGGTTTATTTTCATTTTCTACCGAATAGGTGATGACAACTACTTTATCATTCCAAATGGATATATGCTGTATAGCATCAAATTTTTATTATTAAATTTATAAATAAAATTATGGTTAATAAGCCTGATAAAAAATAATTTTTTTTTCTATATAGTCTCCTTTGTATCCTAGAACTGATATTAAATAATAAATTGTGTAATTTCTCGGAAAATCACCTCCAATGATTTCGTAGATTTTAAAATTTTTATCTCAAGCCATCCTTTTTTCTGGTGTATTTAGTTCATCTAAAATTATTCTGAGCGGGACCCTTCCTTCTAGATGGAATCAAAGCTTGCTTATTGGGTATTCTGAATTATATTTGCTTCCTTTGAGTTTATACATTTTTAATATGAATTAATAGTTTTAATATATTTTTTATATAGATTTTTTAATATTTAATATAAATTTAATTAATAGAATATACTTACTTTGTATCAGTCTTCATCCTTAACTAATTCTCATTGGTCAGAAATATCCAGATCTTGGATATAATTAATTAGCTCATTTGATTTTGGATCATTTTCTTCTTCGAGAGTTTGTAGCTTCAAATACTTTGCTTCTGATATGAAGCTGTTTTTTGCTATATCTGTGTCTTGTAAAATCTTCTAGCTTCTCCCTTGGCTAGCAAGCAAAATTACTTGCCAGCCAAGGGGTCTAATATTTTTTAGAAAAAAATGTTTGGTATAAAATTATTTTATTTAAAAAATCCTAATTTGCGGTTTAATTGATAAAATTTATATTTTAGAGAACATTATTATTTGCTTGAGATTCATTATTATTATAATAATTAATAATAAATTGAAGTAAAGATTTTTTGCTCGCTAACAAAGGGGAGTAAATAAAATTTACATCTCTTGAATAGCAGCACCCCATTATATTTTGATCGGATTTTCAAAAATGGAAAAAATAATGGTAAATAGAGAATAATTTGTTTTTCATCTGAAGACGTCCTTAAATTAGGGCAATATTTTCCTAATTAATTCGTTTAATATTAATATCTTCTAATAATTTCTTTTATTATTCTTACTTGATTTAAAGTTATTTTTCACAAATAAATATATCATTCAGGATCTCTCTCAAGAGAAAATATAATTTATTAGATATTCTAATTAAGATTTAAGAAAGAATGCATAATCTTAAGGCACTTAAAAGAAGAAGGCTAATAAGCTCATCACCATAGTAAGGATTGCTGCGGAGCTATGATCGTCATTATCAGGTCCTGGTGGAGGAGGAGGTGAAGGCCCAGGTGGCAATCTTGACCAAAATGCTTGATTAATCACAGTTCTTACACATTCGTCATTTTCCATATAAGCTGGGAAATTTGTGAAATTCAACAAAGCCGAATAATAAATATCCCTTAATCTAAAAATCGTTTAATATTGCCAGAAACAGAACACTGATTATATTAGGAAAATAATAAATCATAAAATAAAAATTTGCCTATTTTTTATAATAAAAATATATTTGCATTGGCTCCAGTCATACTTGCGACCATATCTAAACAGTTAGTGTTAAATCTCAGCGAAGTATGGCACATTGTGATGGCAGAAAGCTTGTAAAGTGGAGAAACTTTATTAACGAATTGAACACCTGGTGGATCTCCAGCAAAGGCACTGCAATATTTATTTCCGTATGGATTATAGCCACATTGGCATTGTCCAACAAAGGATTGACCATTTGCGTTTGAGCCCATACAATCATTGCTGGTTGCGCACGGAGCTCCAAATGAAGCAGATTTTGGTGGTGGGACACAAACACCTCTATCATCTTTTCCATTGTTATAGCAAGTTCCTGAGTTGCATAAATAATTGTTTCCAGAGACTGGGCAAGGCACTTCAGTTCCTAAAGGTACTGAGAAATAAGCAACACATTCTCCAATAGGGTACTCTTTAGTCGCATTGCATCCAGCATTTGTGACACAATCGTAGTCTGTAGCGCAGCCTTGCTGTCCAACTGGGATTTGAGGAACACATTGGAATACAAAATTAACCGAGTAGCAGTATAAGCCAGTGTTGCAATCGTAATCGTCATTGCATGGTTCCGTTTGAACTGCACCTCTGCATTTCCCACCAACGCATTTTCCAGATAAACAATCAGTATTTACCTTACATATTTGGCCAGGATATAATGGAGCTGGTGTTGGGGCAGGTCCACAAGTGGAGTTCATCCACTCATGTCCAAAGGTTTCCTGGGTATTGCAGTACAATTTATTCGCACACTCTTTGATTGCGAATTTATTGCTTCCCTCTTGATAAGTGACACAAGTCTCAGTTGCCCATGGGTTCTTAGTATCACAGCCATAAGCTTTGCACATAAAGGACTGTGGAGTGACTCTATAGTAATCTCTATTAAAAATAACTTGGGTGCAGACGTCATTGTTTTGGTACCTTGCAATATCTGCTGACTTCAGCTCATTTTGAGTGAAATTTGCCAGTTGTGGAGGAGTCATAGTGTGGTATAAGCAGGACTGTGAAAATCTTCTCATAGTGTGGCAGTTAGCAATACCTACAGAGTTGACATGCTGGATCCAGATATCTTGAACAATTTGGTTTGGCTCATCTCCTGACCAGGAGTTGCAGTAACTTTCTCCAGTAGGGTTCATTCCGCATGCACAAGTCCCAGTAAATGAGGATTTTGGAGAGTTTGAGCCAATACAGTCAGTGTCTCCGACACATTTTGAAGGGAATTTTCCAACTGTTTTGATGCTTGGCTGGCAGAATCCTTCTCCGTTTGTATTTGGCTTCTGCTGGGTGCATGAGCCACTCTGGCAGAGGTTTGAGACACCTTCTGATAGTTCTGTTACACACATGCCGATAGCGTCACCATTAGGAACTGAATAGTAAGGAACACATAAGCCAGGATTGTAAAGGGTTCTATTGCAGGCTAAGTTATTTTGGCGTTAAGGTAATTTTTAATAAAAAAAATTCATAAAATTAAATATTTAAAAAAATTAATATTTTGGCAATCCCAATCAGAGTTGCAAGACTGTGAAATGCCTAATTGCTTTATGCAATGTCCAGCTTGGTTGCAGAAAAGTCCTACATTACAATCTGCATGAGAAACACACATTCCTCCTAAAGGCTGGCCTTGGCACAGGTTGTTCATGCAAGATCCTGAAAGACATTGATTGTTGGAGTGACAAAACTCGCCTGGGTAATTTAGCTCCATTGGGCGGCTATTATCAAAAGGCTGACATGTGAAATTGTGGGTGATTTGTGGTGTCACTTGGCATACAGGATTTATTCCCTTTTATATAGAAAGTATCAAATTATTATTATATGAAAATAGGGATTTTCTGTGTAAAAATATAGAATAATTTAGGGGAAAAAGAATAGATTTGAAGCATCACACAATTGCATCATAATATCGTTTGTAGCTGTTGGGTATGCACATGTAGGACCGACATCGATGCCTCCTGTATGGCATTGATACTTAGGGCAAACTGCAAAAGCACCTATAGAGAGTAATAGCAAGGCTCTCCACATTTTAATATTTGCTCCAGCTTACAATATGGATTAAAAGAAGCATTTTTGCTGATTTTAAGAAGTTTTTATAGTTAGATTAGGCTTATTGAAGGTAACAGAGCCCCTAATTAACCGATAGCTCCGCTTTGCAGATGTGGGCTGTAGGGTGACAGAAAGCAAACACCTTCTGCAGCCCAGGCCGAAGCTTCATGTTTCTGGTAGAAATGTTAACAAAGGTCCAAAAGACATTCATCTCCATTTCCAACTACAGGACATCAATTTTTTGAGCGGTCATTGAATTTCAACAGGCGAGATCATTCTCACCCCCAAAAGCCACTTCAACTAGTGAGATTCTTTCGCTAGTGCCATTCAGATGTCTAAATTGCATCCTCTCTTTCCTTGGCTATCCAAAGGAAAAACTCAATAGCTTTCACCATTTGTTAGCCAATGCCTGTCACATAGTGGACTCCCACTAAGCTAGGTGCTGCTGAAAAAAGTGATACAATTAGCTTCTCTACAGTCCAGAACTCAATTCAGCGGAAATGAGTCTCACATCTCTCGCTTCGAGGCTACTGAACATCGCTAACTATGGCAAATACAAAAACTACATTCAGCATACACAAGTACCAGTCACTTAGAGTAAGGGCTGCTCAGCACCAGCCATTTTATGTATACAAGTTCTTATAGTTAATAAAGGGTTTTTATGCTTATAAATGTTAAGAATTATAATTTTATATAAGCTTATTTATAGTAATTGAATATTTAGAATATATAATTATACCTAATCCATATAAAAATAAAACAATTTACGTATACTGTTTTAATCTTAGTCTCTATAAAGGCTATATATTTTTAATGTTTATGCAATTCTGACTATAAACTTATATAGAAATTACCTGAAAATTACTAATTTGTGTCATCTTTAGAGAAATTAAGGCAGCACATACTCATATGTATCAGGAAAAGTCACTACAGTTGGCAAGCACTCTAAATTATATACAAAGCCAAAAATTGGTATGACCTCAATCCTTAGTTTCACAGCAGCTGTGATCCCTTTAAAGCTGTGCTTTTTAGTTCTTGCCACATATAGTCATTTTTGGTCTTTTGATACTAAACCTATAGGCCTTGTTTGATTTCTCACAGCATAGGCATCCCAAAAAATAACCTCATTCCTATCCAAGTCGTAATATTCTAATTCCAATCAATAATATGCATACTTTATGCTCCAATTATAAAGGTCTGTAAAATTCCCAAATATATCAAAAGTAAGCTGAGCCTCATCCCATCCCATCCCTGCATTTTTTACGAATTTAAAAACTTTTACATTGCTGACTCTGCAAGCAAATGGCTGTTCAATAAATAGTGAAGTGCCTTGATTTATAGCGAGAAAAATTCCTAGTAAGCAAGCTCCAAAACAAATTGGTGAAAGGACTCTGCCCAAGATATTGTGCATTGAAAAGATGACCATTTTTCTTTAGTTTAATATATTAATGCAGGAATTTCAGAAAATCTTTTATGGCAATTTTTATTATAAATGCTAATTTTTTTAATATCATAAAGCTAAATTTTTAATAAATTTGTATGCACCCACCATGCTAAGACAAGTATATATTTGTGGAGCCACAACATGATGCAAAATTTTGTCTCCTGTGTACGCACTAAGCAAAATTGCTTCTTTTCCTAAATTCGCGACTTCTTCTTTATTGAATTTAGATTTCACAAAATCTTTAATATCATCGTGTAGCCTATCAGTTTCTACATCTAGCTTATTTATATATGTTATACCTTCTTCAGCTAAGTTTTGATTAATTTGTAAAGCAACTAATTCACCTCGAGGTGGATCAGAATTATCAATTTCAACTATACTGGGCTTGATTGATTTATATTAAAATATCCCTGTAATAGGATTTTAATTAATTACAAAATAGGCACATATATAAGGGTAAAATAGAGATTTGATTTAATATGTAATAAATAATTTTCTAGTGTAAGTCTTGCTTGCTGCATCCTTTTTCGTATAATTGGAATTCCTGCATAAGTTTCTTTAAGCTCTTTCATTTTCTCTGCTAAATGTTCCCAAGCGACTACAATATTTCTTGAGTCTTGGCTTAGATGTTCTTTAATAACAGTTATGTACGGTGGATTTTGTGAAGGTTTTATACTGGCAAGAGCTGATGGATCAGAAGCATAAATGCTTATTCCCCCTCTGTAAGCGAACAAAACCATTGGAAAAATCTCTGTTTTTGCCCAAAAACCCCCCCCCTTGGGAGAACAAAAATTTTTGATACATAAATGATAATTAGCATAATGAAATCTCTAGCTAATTATATTTAATAATAAACAAATTGCATTTTAAAACATAAATTTTTACAAATTAAATAAAATATTTGAATTCCAATTTTTGCGAATTTGGATATTTTTTAATTTCGAAAAAAAATTAGTCTCCCTCAATAAGCAAACAAAATTTTTTTGCTCGCTAACGTATCGGGGTAATTAGTAGCATAATAAAAATTCCATCTGAAACTTTAAAATCTTTAATACACTGTGCATGACATTGAGAAAAAAAAGATTCCCTTACTGATGCTAACCCAATATATTTTTGTTTAATAAGAGAAATTTCGTTGTTTAAATCAAAAGCATTATAATGAATGTGTTTCACCCTCACATCACGCATTTTTTCTTTGAGTATCGAACTATTAAGATCTTCTATATGATAGACATTTTGGCAATTTACATTGTCTTGCTCACTCCCTGATGCATTTTCTTGAGGGATCACTCTCGGTCGCAATTCAGATAAATTTGATATAAACGGATCTCCCTTCTTTATTTGGCCACATCCCATTTTATTGTTAATTAGTTTATTATTTAAAACAAAATCCAGTAATAAATAAAACATAATGAATAAAAAACTGATTTGGGCGAGCTTGGTAAAAATCAGATAATTGCGCTGATTAATAATGATAAGATATTCATAGTAATTAAATGACATTTTTGGCTTTTAGAAAAATAATCATAACTCCCCCCCCTCCGTGAATGAACAAAAATTTTTTTTAATAGAAAAATTTTTTATATAGAAAAAAATTCTGATATATTAATGATAATTAGTATAATGAAATCTAGAGCCAATTCTGTTTAATTTTAAACGAATTGCTCTTTAAAAACATAAATTTTATAAATTAAATTAATATTTGCTTCCAATTTTTGAGAATTAGGATTTTTTTAAATTTTGAAGAAAAAAAACAATTTTTTATAAAATTTATATATAAATTTTTTTAAAAAAAAAATTAACCCACTCCGTGAGTGAACAAAAAAATTTTGTTCACTCACGGAGGGGGGGGGAGTAAGGCTTATATATTTCTAGAAATTTAATCTCCCATTGTGTGGAGATTTGAAAAATTCATATTATAAAGAAAGTATAAGATGACTGAGATAATTATTATAAAATGATGCGAAAGGAATAGATCGTTATGAAGCCTTTTGAATTTTGGGGGAATCATAGGGTTTAAGCTTGGTAAATATTTGAAAATTATTTAATTATTGCAGCGCTATACACTTTTAGCTTGATTTGATGAGGAACGATGTAAAGAGACTGAATTATCAGCTAAACCCATTTTTTCTGGGGTAAAAATCCGAATTTGATATTGCTTCCTCTTCTCGCTTAGTTTTAACTCTTTTTGAGAAGCTCTTAAATTTCTAATTGAATCATTTGAGGTTTCACAATATTTTTCCAAATCGATGCAACTTTTCGAGAGTTTCTTGGCGTTCTTAGTCATTCCGCAGCCCATCTTTGAATTAATAATTTATCCAAAATCGTGGATTATTGCAGCCTTTCGAGATTTATTTAAATTATTTTTTTATAAATTTATAATTTGCCAGGATTAAAAGCAAAATCTTAAAGCTACTTTATTTTTTTAATATTTATTCTCCCTTTGGATCTGTCAAACTACTAGAAAAATCCTACCTTTAAAAATTAAAAAAATCCTTTGTTTTGTGAATAAAACAATTTTTTTGTATAAATAATGTCGCATATATTTAGTAAGGTCTCAAATTAATTATTAAATTAAGACTTTAAATATTTACCTCTAAAAAAATTATCAAATAAAAATTACTCTCTTTTAAGAGCGAGCAGAAAACAATACTCAAACACGAAATGGGGAATAAGACAAATTATATTTTGTGCACTTAAAGAAAATTGAGGTTTTTTATCTTATAAGCTTGATAATTAAATATTCTAAAAATAAATCCTGAATATTTTTCTTATCAGAATTATTTTTTATCATTTATGTTTCTCTAACGACAATTTTTCATCCATATTATAGTCAAGAACATATAAAAAACGACTATCACACAACATTGGGGCATAAGGCAGCTAAAATTTAAGGTTTTATACATGTTTTTAGTTACATTAAATAACACAGATGCTTTTTACATTGTTTTCTAAAGTATTGAGGTCTTCATGAAGTCCATCTTCTTCAGGAGTAAACACTCGAATTGTGTAGATTTTTCGTTTTTCAGGAAAAATTGCAGAACTTGCAGTTTTTACTTTGTAGTTTAATGATTTATCTGTAATATCAAGGCTTAAAGAACCGTTTTTGCTGCTGCTTTGCTTATTTTTTGAGTGAATTCCACATCCCATTTGCTAAAATTTAAATTTTTATGATAATAAAAATGCCTATTATTGTATAACTTAAATGGGTTTTAAGAAAATAGAGTGCTTTTAATCAATTGATGGTTTTTTTAGCTTTTTTCTAAAGAATTATTTAGTAAAGATTAATACTACTAAGTGCCTTCGGGAATTACAACGGGATTTAATTTAATTAGCTTAGCAATAACGATGGAATCAAATTGAATTTATTATTCCGACTAAGTAGTTTTGATCAACCAATATCTAGATTTAGTGATCACTTCATCCACTGATAGTAGTATCCAAAGAAATTAAGTATCTCCATTACTATCAGAGATAAGTAGATTTGAGATGGGTTTTAATTTTGATAATATAAAATCAGCTTTTAGGAAATGTTTAATTGCGTCATTCGATCAAGGATTGGGGAGTAAATTGAATTATAGAATTGATATAATTATCCCAAAATAACAAAACTGCGTGATATGATATAATTACTTAAGACAAGATAATTATAAGCTTTTGGAAAAATTAAAAATGATAATTCAAAATTTAATTCAAATCGAAATGCTAATTAAGCATTTATACAATTACAAAATATTTCTCCAGATAAAATAATTCCTTTTAAAAATTAGATAAATTTATTATATGTTATATGAAACTCCCTAGTCACTAATTTAAAAGCTTCAGAGTTTAAATATTTAGCTTTATCTTCTCTTATTACGATAATTCCTATCATCCTTCCTACCCTCACCCTCCTTACCTCTTTAATTGAACTTTTTTCATAATTTCATTTTCCTCCACACAATTATTCAATATCTGCTGACAAAGTTTCTTTTGCATAATTCATTTATTTATAATAATTGCCCGAGGATGGCGCTATGTTGCGCCATCCTCGGGCAATTTCTATAAACCCTCAGTTTCTTCAAAATATGAATTTTTTCTCATAATTTCAATTAAATAGCTAGAATTCTAAAGAAGAGCCATTAATTCTTTTTCAACAAAAATTATCACGAAATTAGGTTATTTGATTAAATTACACCTAATTAATGATTAACTGTTTGTGGTCTCAACAGTAGGTTCACTAATTAATCCATTTGTTGAAGGGTTAAAAACCCTGATTTTAAAATGTTTGCCTTTCGCTGGCAAACTTAAGCTTAAATCAGCTTTTGGAAAATCCGATAGCTTTGTGTCTTTTTCTTCTGGCATTTCTTCATCACCTGTACTTGGACGACTCTTAATATTTGCTGTACATCCCATTTTTTAAAGTATAAGCTTTAATTCTTTTTTAGAGTTTTCGCGAATTCAAAAAAATATTAATCATCTGGAAGAAGGATTTATATCAATTGGAGGCAAAAGTTTGGGCTATGCAGTATTGGAAACATTCCTTGCATTTTATACATTTTTGATTTGGTTCTGCATGTCAAAATTTAATAATAGCAAGCTTTAGTGTGATAAATTAAAATTGGTATGCCGAAACTGGACAAAATATTAGAAAACTAGTATATAAATGTATTAGGAGAATCGGCTAATAAGAAGACTTATCAAATTTGGAAACTTACATAGGAATGATAATTATGCTAATCGTTGAAAACGACTAGTAAGCTTTTATTCTACCTAAGGATGAATGCAATGAAATTATTTCTTATTTAATTATAAGAAACTAAAGTTCGGTAAATTTGGGTAATAATATTCGAATATATATTAAATAAGTTCATCCTTTTTTCTTGGATTTTAATGAAATTTTTTCCAGCTTTGAATGATTAACGCTAAGCAGACGAAATAGAAGACAACAAAATCTTGATTGAGATCTTAATTTTCAATGCCATTTTAAGATGGTTAATAAAGCACGTTCAGAAAGAGGAAATATTTAATGTTAAAAATTGGTTTTCAAGCAATTTTGGGCAAAAAGTCTTATTCTCCCTTATTTAATTGATAAAAATCTGTTCATTTAAGGATGGGTTTAATTTTATTTTAAAAAATTAATAAATTGATTCTTAAAATTAATGTATAATATATTTATCTATTCAATGCTAAATTGTATTCCTTTAAACCAGAGCTAGGCATATATAAATTTAATTTTGATGAAATCCACATTAAATTAAGGGCAAAGCTATTTATATAGAAATTATTACATATAAAAATAATAATTTTAGGAGATTAATTTACTGACTTTTTGCCATAAGTAAAAGGAGAGTAAAGATAATAAGAGATTATAATCAAATTTCCATTATAGAGCAGGTGCTGCTTAGAACAGTAACTTCAAGTGAGCTAAAAATATAGCCTTAAATCAATTAGCAAATCAACAATTCTAAAGCATCTATTTTATGCAATCTATCTAAATTTAATAAAGATACTTTTATCTCATATCATATATGATATATTTTAATTTCCTATTTATCTTTAATTTAAAATATTAATAATTCTTAAAAGCTTCCAAAATTTTCGTAATTATCTCTGTAATTGGTTTAAAATTAAATTTTCACACATTTTAGCTTATTTTTAAATAAATTTTAATAATGATAAAAGCCGTCATCATTTTTAACACAGCAGGAAAGCATCGACTTGTGAAGTTTTATGAAGAAATTGTAAATCACATTTAGCCGCATGACAAGAAAAATGAAATTATCGCGAATTTATTTAAAGAATGCACAAAACGAGGAGAATATAGCTGCAATTTCATCGAAGAATCCAATTTATGGAGAGGCTGCAAAGTAATTTTTAGGCTGTATGCCACTTTATATATAGTCTTTGTAGTAGATGAAGCAGAAAATGAATTAGGGATCCTTGATTTAATACAAGTTTTTGTTGAAGTTTTAGATAAAGCTTTTGAAAATGTATGCGAGCTTGATTTGGTTTTCCATCCTGAAAGGGCTTATGCGCTACTTGAAGAGCTCGTGATGGGAGGGATGGTTATTGAGACCAATATTTCAGAAATTTGGAAAATTTCACAAAATATGATTGCATTGGAAAGAAAGTCTTAATAAATAATTACAAATGAAATACTTTGTGCTTAGTTAATTAATTTTACGTTTTTTATAAATTCACAGCATTTTTCGATTGTTTCAGGCTCAGCACATAGAATTTCAATTGTATAATGATTTATTGTGGCATTAGCAAGATTAATTGTTTCTTTAAAATTGTAATTTTGTTGTGGGTGATTTATTTTGTATTTTATGATGCAGTTAAGTGTATCAATAGAATTTCCAAGGGCACTTAATTTTTCTTTAGTCATATGCGTAAAATCACTATTTGCTAGAATTGTAAAGGTTCTATCAAGATTCTTAATTGAATAAGCTAAAATAATCTGAGTTTTATTTATTTCGAAATTATCAGCAAAAATAATAAATTTGCCTATAAACTCTTTAATAAACTGCATGATGAATAGCTTATGCAATATATCTGAATCTATTTGACTCATTTTATTTTCATTTACTCTCTCCGTCCTTGATCGAATGATGGCTATTGTTCAATTAAGGATGGGGTTAAAAAATTTCTAAATAAAATATAAAGATGCAGAGAATACAATATATAGGAAATACGTAGAAAATCCAATAATATGGCTAACTGTAAATTGTCTAATATTAAGTATTATCAAATATAGGTATTTATATTTGAGGAGGGTAGGGGAGTAGGCTTCATACTTGCTATATATGAAAATCATTCAAATAAGGATGGGCTTCATTTTGTTTTTTTTTAGAAAAATTTTAATGGAATCTTTCGATCAAGTATAGCGAGAGTTAGAAAAAATCAATCAAAAAATATCTCAAAATCTTCTGAATTGTTTAAAGCCCTAATAATACCTTTTAAGTCTTGATAAATATAGCTCAATTCTTCTACAGAAATCTCTAATAAAATAGAAATAGGTGTCAATAACTCCCCCCCCCCTCCGTGAGTGAACAAAACAATTTTGTTCACTCACGGAGGGTGGTTAATTTTTGTTTTTTAAAAAAATTTATATATAAATTTTTGAAAAAATATTTTTTTTCGAATATTAAAAAAATCTAATTTGCAAAAATTGGAAAGCAAATATTAATTTAATTTGTAAAAAATTTATATTTTAAAAAGCAATTCGTTTAAAATTAAACAGAATTAGCTCTAGATTTCATTATACTAATTATCATTTATATATCAATTTTTTTTTCCATAAAAATTTTTTGTATTAAAAAAAATTTTTGTTCACTCACGGAGGGTGGTTTTTGGGCAAAAAATGCCCGATTTTTTAATGGTTTTGTTCACTCACGGAGGCGGGGGAGTAAGTAAAATAAATCAATTTTTTCTTTAGAAATGCTATAAAGATTTGCCATAGCAAAAGAAAAATCAGCTCTGATTTTTGAGATTTTTGATGAGCTTTTTAAGATATATTGAGCATAAAGCCTCATTATTTCTATTACGTGAATTTCTTTTAATAAAAATATCCCACATGCTATTTCTCTATTTTTATTATTAAAATCATAGTGAATAGACTTGATTAATTTTGTAAAGATTTGAAGGCAAATAGGATGTGTATTAACTTTAAAGAATAGGAATTCTTGATAAATTTTGACTAAAATAATGTCTATAAATGAGCTGCTAACTTCTGCCCCCTCCGTAAGCGAAAAAAAAAATTTTCCTTCACAGAGTGGTTAATATTTTTTCGAAATTTAAGAAAATCGCAATTTCGCAAAAATTGGAAAGCAAATATTTATTTAATTTGTAAAATTTATGTTTTACAATGCAAATTGTTTGAAATTAAACAGAATTAGCTAGAGATTTCATTATATGATTTATCACTTATATAATTTTTTTTTCAAAAACGGTTTTCTATTAAAAATTGTTTTTGTTCACTCACGGGGTGTTTTTTGGCAAAATAATAGGGATTTTTTCAATAGTTTTGTTGCTTAATGAGGTGGAATAAGCGTTTGGCTTCAGAATCTGCTACAGTAGAGCTTAATAAAGCATTTTATGAAATAAAGGCAAGGCTGCAATAATGGATGAGAAAAAATATTATTGAAGTCTTCTATTGCCAAAATAACTTTTAAAACATTTTCAAGCATTTCTTGGTGGATACAAAACTTTTCATAGTTTACTCGCATCGAGGTTAGGCTTTTTTGGGATATATTTTTATATTCATTTTTTATTATGGAGCATCAAATATAAATCAGTTTAATTAGCTTTGTGCAATTTTCATATAGGGTTTGACTCTCAATAGCCCGATAAGGGTAGATGATTCCGCGAGGGATCATCTGCCCTCATCGGGCTGTTGAGGGTCAAACCCTATACTCTATGTCAGCTGACATTAATACATTATAATGCTTAAGAATCCATCTACCAAATTCCTGATAATAATCATCAGAGATTTTAAATACAACTACCAATTTTGCGTCATGGTGGCTCCATATTCCCTCATCTTCAAAATCAAAAATAATTTTGACATAAATTTTCCAAATATCCCACGAAGTTTGCTTTAAAATCCTATTCATAAAACAATCATTTTCTGAAAGATTTTTCCAAAAATTTATTAAATCAAGTCAACATTTTTTGGAATTTTTTGATTGCAAAGCATTGATCGTAAAACTGCTGATTTCCATATAAAAATCATTATTATGAGCTATTTCTTTGTGATCTAGTTTAGATATAAGCTTGATAAAAGAATTGTAAACAATTTCATGATCAAGCCCAAATTTTGTTGTGAAGATTACTGTAATTCCTTTGATAATTTCTAGCATGTGATATTTAACAATATTTTGATTTAAGCTTATAATTATCTTTTCTTGATTGAGACCAATAAATTGCAAACAATTTGCAGCAGCTAAGGGATTATTTAATGCTAAAAAATTTTCAAATAATTTGAAAAATATCAAGAAAATATTTTTTGAATAAATTTCATCTATTTCTTCGTTTTTAAAAGATAACTTTCCATCAAACTGCAAGATATCATTGAGTAAACAAATAATTTTCTGAATAATTTCAATTTTATTACCATGATTGGTTGTATCATCTATACTAGTCTCTAACGTCTGTAAAAGCTTAACAAATAGAGATGGTAATGTTTTAGATATAAAATTCTGAATATTAATCTCTCCTAGCTCACTATTTTGGCTTTTGTTTAAGAATCAGCTTTCTATGATTTTCGTGACCATGGATGTCATTGGTATCGATTCAGAAATTTTTCTATGAAAATCTTTTATATACAACTTTTCCATAATATTTTGGCGTTTAATTATGTATTTGATTATATCAATGCTTATATCTATGTGCTCATAAGAAAGATCCAAATTCCCAATTACAAATTCTCAGAGATCTTCATTATTTTCCTGAAAATAAATCTCTCCAGTCAATTTTGCACAACATTCTTTTAACGTTTTTAATCTAAAAACATCTTTAATATTTTCAAAAATCTTACTTTTTACAATTTTGGATAGCATTGATATAAACTCACATGGGAATAAACTCCATTTCCTTTTTATAAATTACTTTGATAATATCTTAACAATCATTTCACAGTAAATTTGCAATATTTCGCTGTCTAATCTTGAGTTTTCTATGAATTCTAAAAGTTTTAAGCTATCTTCTCCATCAGCAAAATCCTTAAAGTAGCTATAAGCTTTTTCATTTTCTGAGGTCAGCTGGCTATGTGAAAATTACCTTGAAAATAAGCTACCAAAGTGAAGAAAATCATTATGAAAGCTTAAAAGGCTACATGGATCATTATTTTTGCTTGACAACTCTGAAAGAGTATCTTTTTCATTGACTTTTTCAAATGACATTATATAATGTCTATTCAAAACAAAATAGTAAAGATATCTCTGTTCAACCAATTAAATTGAAATTTATTGCAAGTTTCTCCCTCAAAGCTTAATTTATGGCTAAAATCAGTTTGAGAGCCTAAATTAACAGAAAAATATCTTTAATGATTTTTCTTATTTTCACCTAAAAAAGGCAATTAACGACTCCTTGACAATTATTTCACTTAATTTTCCTCAATATTTCTTTCTCTCTTTACCTCCCTCCTAATCCTTATTCCATATTAAACACTAAGACATAATTAATTATCTTTAAGTTTTCTTTGCATATGTCTATTTTTATCATATGCTTTCGCTTTTTCCAGCCTCAATATCAATTCTTGTCTTTTTAAATCTTCTTCCTGCTTTTTCTTCACTTCCGGCAATTTTGAATAATGTTTTGCCGTCAATCTTTTCATTTCTTCTCTCGTAACTTTAGGCTTTTCCCCACTTGCTAATCTTTTTAGCAGCTCAGGATTTGGTCCTTTATTAGGGCTTTCTTTTACATTTAATTCTACAATCATCTCATTTTGTGGTTTTTTCACGATTTTTGGCTTAAGCATTTCTTTTCTTATTTGTTGCAGCTCTTCTTTGGTTTTTGTTTCTTTTTTGCTTGTTGTTTTATTAGTTAAGCTGCGCTTCTGTAGACGCTCCAAAAATTCTTGCTGCTTATTGCCAATTGATTTCTGAGGGGCTGAAAATTTTTATTGTCAGTTTGAATTAAATTATGGTAAAATCTAAAAAAAATACCTAATTTTTAGAGAAAATAAGTATTTTTAATAGATTTTATGGTAAAATTCAGAGAAATAAGATTATATCCCAAGCTTCTGCAGGGGCATTTATATCATCTTCTATTGGAGTTTTAGTATAGCTTCTTGATGTATTTAGTGAAGTTTTTTCTGCAAGAGAAGGCCTAGCTGTTTTAGGAGAAATGCAAGGAGATCTTGACAATGGAGTTACCGATCTTTTTGTGACCGGCTCTCTTGGGGAAAATGGCATCGGTGTCCTCGGTTTTTCATATTTTAAAACTTCGCGCTTTTTTACAGCAGCGCTACTTGGCCGTTTTTCTGGAACCTGTTGCTTTGGGGCTGTTTTTTTGACAGTTTCTGTGAACTCAAACTGCTGGCTACTTGTGACGCGGCTTATTTGAGGATTTTGCTCTTTTACTTGGTTTACATAGGAAGGGTTAGGCATGATTTGGTTACTAAACATGTGAGGCTGAGGCATCTGAGGCGGGTAATTCATGTATTGAGGCTGCATAAATTGAGGAGGATAATAAGGGTAGGGATACTGCATCATCACTGGGGGAGGCATATATTGATAAACTGGCACAACTTGAACTCCAAAATAAGGCAGACTTTCACGAGGGGTTTCCTGCCTTGAAGGCTCTCTACTTGATTTCTGAGGGTAGTTAGCTTCTTCTATTGGAAAATCTGCTTGAATGTCAATCGATTTAGTGCTTAAATGTATAGAGCTTGTATTTTTTTTCTAATAAATATGCATTTTTATTTAATTATTTTAAAATATCTAAATTCTCCTAAAATCCAATACTTTTCATATGAGTTTTTGTCAATTTTTTTTCTGTTTTAACATTATTTTGCACTTCCGTTTTGTTCAATTTTTCTATTTTTTCTTCCACTTTTGTGAATGGTTCCACCTTTTTAGGTGGCTCCACTTTTTGATCAAAAGTGAAATAATTGACTTCTTGGTTTCTGTCAATTTCCAACTTTTTTTCCTTTTTTTTATCACTACTCTCAGTATTTTTGTATGAAAATTTCTCATAGCTTAAAGCATTTTCATTGACTGGCTGCTCATCAAGCTCGTAGAAGGTCTCTGTATAGACTTCTTCAGGCTTTGTGTTTAATGGTTTTGATAGAGTAAATCCTAGTTCTTCTGAACTTTCTTCGTCGAGAAGGTGCTCAGAACTTGATTCATATTCTTGGGCTAAAAGTGCATTCAACTCTCTGTCTTCTTCTTGTTGCTTTTTTTGCAGCTCTTGAATAAGCCTTGACGCGTCTGTTTTTAGGTTTTGGTAGGTTGACTTTAAAAATTCCTTATCAATTTCTCTCTCTTTTTGTGGGACATAATCAATTGGACTTTCTGGGCGTTTTGAAGGTGTAAATTCGTTCAGAAACTCAGGAATTCTCTGATAGTCAGGGAAAATGTCCTCAGCTGATTTCTCTTTTTGCCTCTTTAAATAGTTTTGCATATAAGAGCGGGTATAGGGATTTTTTATTTCTTGTGAAGCTCTTAAATTCTTCTGTGAATAATTAAAATCAGATTTTTCATTAAAAATTGATTGAGCTATATTTCTATAAGAATCTCTTGGCTCTATCTCTTTTTGGTAATTTTTTTCTTTTTGCTGTTGGGCTCTCCACTTTTCAATTTCATTCATTATGAAATGGCTTTAAAAAAATTTCTTAAATAAGTGAAAGACTTAAGGTTCAGCTGAATTTATAATAAAAATAAGGCTGCTATGCATAGCAGAAAAATTTACTAAAGATTGGTCTTGCTTTTGAACTGTTATCGGCTCATTGAGTACCTAATCTGCAATTCAATTTCTTGCAAATTTAATAAAAATATTTTATGAATACTTTTCACAAAAGAATCTTAAATTTGTATAAATGTTATGATTTCATATTAAATAAAAATTATAGAAAAGAAATACTAATAATTATGCATAAGAAAAATTTAAAGGGCAAGCCAAAGAATAAGAAGAAAGTGGATGGAATGGATGCTGAGCCAGATCCTTCTCCATCGCTGGAGGCTTCTCAAGCATTCAATAATCGCAACCAAAACAACCCACACCAAAATTATGCTCCAGGCCAAATGAATCAACTCAATAGCCAAGAGCAATATTATAATCAACCACAAATGGGAGGTCCATACTCTCCTCCACAATACCAAAACCCTTCAAATTTCAATGCAGCTCAGTTCAATCCTCCACCTTTCCAAAACCCTGGCTATCCCAATAGTAATTTTAACATTCCTCCACCATTTCCAAGTTCTTCTAAATTTCCCAATATCCCTCCACCCTCAAACCCTCAGCCTTTTGCCAGTATGCCTAAGTTTTCTCAAGTACGCCAAATTATTCCAAATATTCAACCTCCCCAAAACATTCTTCCTGATGAGGATGAAGATCTCCCTGACATCTCTCTGGGAACAAGTTTACATAATCTTCCACTATACAAATCTTCCCCATTCCCCATGCAAGCCGGAAAAGTTTTACAACAAAATGAAGAGCCTATGGATGAAGATGAAGACTCGGATTCGAAAACTGAAGAAAATGTTCAGGTCAATTTCAACCAAAAACAAGCGTCATTGCCTAGAAATAATCCAATTGCAAAAGAAGAGAACAAAATGTATCAGACTCAAATTTTGAATGATTCAAGATCTTTTGAAAGACGGTCTATCCCAAAATTGCTTCAATTTCCGCAGATCACTCCTGTAAAATCAAATGGGATTTCTAAAAGGACAGATATTTCTTTGTTGAAGCCATATGTAAAAAATGAAGCTGATTTTGAATACCTGCAGCTGAGCTTTTCACAAGTAAGGGGGATTGGATCGATTTTTAATATGAATACAGCATTATCTGTGGCTTATTAATCTCTTTATCATAAATAAATGACTGAATATTAAATAGATAAATAATACTATAATCATAGGTAATTTTAAGATTGTGGTATATGATTATTTAATGATCCCAGCACTAAAAGCAGAAAATAACAAAATTTCTTATGAAATCAGCCTTGGAAAAGACACTTTCCAAACCTATCAAAATCAGCAGTACGAGCTTATAATGAACAGCATGAGAAATTTGCTAACTCCCCTCTATGAGTGAGCAAAACCATTGGAAAAATCCCTATTTTTATAGGTGAAAACCCTCCCCCATGAGCAAACAAAATTTTTTTATAAATATAAGTGATAATTTATATAATGAAATCTCTAGCTAATTCTGTTTAATTTTAAATAACTTGCGTTTTAAATATAAAATTTCAAGTTGCTTTAAATTATTCCGAAATGGATTTTTTTTCAATTTTGAAAAAAAATTCACTAACTCCCCCCCCCCCCTCCGTGAGCGAACAAAAAAATTTTGTTCGCTCACGGAGGGGGGTTAATTTTTTTTTTTTTAAAAAAAATTTATATATAAATTTTATAAAAAATATTTTTTTCGAAATTTAAAAAAATCCTAATTTGCAAAAATTGGGAAGCAAATATTAATTTAATTTGCAAAATTTATGTTTTAAAACGCAATTTGTTTAAAATTAAACAGAATTAGCTCTAGATTTCATTATACTAATTGTCACTTATATATCAAAATTTTTTTTCCATTAAATTTTTTTCTATTAAAAAAATTTTTGTTCACTCACGGAGGGTGGGTTTTTGGTCAAAAAAATGGCGATTTTTCTAATGGTTTTTGTTCGCTCACGGAGGGGGGGGGGGAGTAAATAATTTTTTTAAAAATCCCCACAAAATTTTTGTTCACGGAGGGAGTAAGCAGGAATATGGAAGAAGTATCAAAACTATGAGAAAATGACGAACATATACAAATCTTAAGAGGCTGAATCTCTATTGTCAACCAAAATTACTTACGGTCTGCAGAAGCAAAAGGGCTATTTGATCAAAATCTTGGTGATGAAATAATTGCTGAAACAACCAAAGATATAATAGACGCAATTTTTGAGGGAAATTCACCACCTGATGATTTTTTATTTAAAATTTTTGCCAATTCTTTAAAAACAAAAATCAAGGTTTTTAAATCCACAGACCAAGGGATAGTAAAAGAAGCTTATGAGCCAATGAAAGAAAATTCCTTCCCGGTCCTAAACTTTTTTATGATGACAAATCCTGAAATAAGGCTTTATATTCTCTACAGCAAAAAAATGGTCTTTTTAGACGGCTATGACATAAACTCTGGAACATATAAATCTCGCAAAATAGAAAACCCACAAAGATATTTATTTTTTTATAAAAAGCAAATTGATGATAACAGCAAAATAAAAGAAGAAGAGTTAAAAACATATGAATCTGCATTAAAATTAGAATCACAGATCATACAAAGCTATGATAGAAATATTTTTTCACTTTATAACAAGCTTAGAGATTCAAATGTTAAGCTTAACCCAAAAGAAACCATGGCAGGTGTCAATAAAATCAAAGACCAAATCGATTTTATTAAAAATAATTTAAAGCCTGAATTTATAGAAAAACTGGGATTAAATAATTTAGAGTTTATCAGACTTACTGATGAAGTCATTCATGAAATTGTAAAAACCTGCTGCTATTGCAATAAACAGCAAGGCATTTGGAAATCCCCATGTGACCACTATTATTGCCCAAACTGCATCTTTAATCTTATAGCAACTAACAAATTTGAGTTTTTTATCTGCTCAGAATGCGAAGAGACCATAATTGAGCTAAAAGATTTAGCTGGATTTTCTGAATTTTCTCAGCTTAAAGACCAGTATTTAAACGCCCACAATAAATTTGAATGTAGAAGCTGCAACAAAGAGCTAGAATTGGCTGATGCAACTCCATGCAATAACTGCAAAAAATGCATTTGTACTTATTGTCTCTCGAAATATGTAGTGTCAAATAGACGAGAAATTCAAAATTTCCAAGTTGAAATTCAATGCAATATATGCGAAGCAAAAATGACTATTGGAGGACTCACCGACTGAATGGAGAAATGTGAAGCTTGTGAACAAAATCGGCATATTTTAGATTTTTATGAATTTGAATGTAGGCCAGGCGAAAATCCTCATGGGCTTCTATGCAGAATGTGCTGGGCTCTGTGCTATAATGACGTCTGTGCAAAATGCGGCACTCCAGTTTCTTATAATGCGAATATGGCTATTGCAAATGAAAATAAAATTTATTGCCCACTTTGTCGTGAGCAAAACAAGTTGGTATTTCTCGGAGAAAAAATGTGTATGTCTGGGAATTGCTTTCCTTGTAATGACTGCCAAGAAGCTATGTTTGATCAAAATCCTGGCTGTTGCGCTATCTGTGGAGATATGATGGCAGACAAAATTTCAGAGCTCGGGTATAATTTGTGGAATAGGATAAATTAGCTATTAGATTTTATAAATGTGTTGCTTTTTAGAGCTATAAAATATTCATTTAATAAGGCATTTTTATGCTAAAGATTTGACATATTAAATTAGCCAATATCAATTAGACTCTATTTATTTTGGATAATTATTATCTTCTGTGCATAGCCATAAGATTTCAATAAAAATCTACGATTTTATCTAACTTTAGTAGCTTTTTATAGTTTATTGGCAATTGGATCATTTATTTTAATGAGTAATTTAATTCATAAAATCGATCACAAATATAAATGATAATTATTAAAATATACCCAGCTCTACCAGTAGCTTTTATCATAAATAAATGAGTGAAGTTTTTAATTGTTTTTTAATTAAAATGAATAAATTTCAATGAGCTACACACTTTCAAGAGCACAAACGTCTTCCGGTATAAGAAGTCAACCATATTGCGCACGAAAAGAAGGAGACTCAAAAAATAATAATATAACACAGCCCATGAGTTTAACATCTTCAATGGTTCTTGAGCATCAGCCAAGCTCTTTTAAAAAATTCACATGATTTGCAAGTCACCAGCGCAGTAAAAGTCTTGATAAAATTCCTATTCAAAGAAAACAGATTCCAGAATCTGATGTACATATAAGAGTGACTATGACCGCAACTGAAAAATATTATTTGAATGTAAAATTTTTTAATAAAATTGGTTTTTTTAAAAAATCAATCAATTATAAAGCTTAATTATGGTAAAAGGAATAATTAATTCCCAAAAGATAGAAATCGAAAACTTAAAAACTGAGATTGAGACTAAGAATTTAGATATTGAAAAATTAATCAAAGAAAATCAAGAATTAAAGCTGCAAAATTCTCAATTAAAAGCAAGGAAGTTTGCAGCAGATTCTCCTATTTATTCCAAAAATCCATCTTTCAGCCAAAAAATAGGCAGATTTAATAGAAAATTATAATTTTTGCTAAAAATCCCCCTGTCATAAGAATCTTCCAATAATTATATATAATAAGCAATGGCTTCTGCAGAATCACGAATATTAACCCTCATTAAACGTTATATCACAATCAAGCATCTCAATGAAGAGCCAGAACCCTTGAATTTTCTGCCAGATTTTAATCCTTTATTTACTCAAGACTTAAAATACGACGATCCTTGCACAACCCCTTTTAAAGTTTCTTTAGATAAAGATACAGCCCATGATGGCTATTATTCAATAAAAGTTAAATTTTCAGACGCCCTGAAGCCTCCAGACTCTCCTGTTTCTATTGATATTTTGCATTGAGATTTAATTTTAGAACAAAAATCCTTGATTTTACTAATAAAAAGGCTGCATGTTTTAAGTCCCTTAGCTTCTAATGGAAAAAAATATAATTTAATACACACAAGTGCAAATATTCAGAAAATCCTAGAAGAAGCTTGGAATAAAAGAAAATTTAATATTTTGGAGGAAGAAGAATGGTATGAAAATGAGCTTAAAAAGGGGGATAAAGAAGAGAAAAAAAAGAATGAGGAAGAAAAATTTGTGCCTTTTGAAATAATTTCGCTGGATGATGATGAGGATAATGTGATAAACAATGAAAAAGAGAAAGCAGAAAAGCAGATGGCTAATGAAAATAAAGCTGATAAATTGGCAAATAGTGAAGAAAAGCAAAAAAAAGATGAGGTGCAGATAAATATGGAAGTCGAGATACCTGTAGATAGCAAACACGCTGAAAAGAGCAATGGAGAGATTTCTACAAATAATATAGATGTCTTAAAAGAGCCTAAGAATAGTAAGACGAGTGAAGAGCTCATAAATACTGAGCTGCCAAGTGAGCTGCAGAGTAATAATCACAAAGAAGATTATGGAAAAACAAGATGTCGATTGATGAAATGCTTTCCCGAGTGGTCTTTATATTATTTAAAAACTGTTATACATTAATATTTATTTGTATTGATGGCAATTTAGCATTTCTTAAATCATAAATTTTAATTTAAAAAATTAAGCCGCAGTGATCAGCTTATATGCATATTCTTGCAGGAATATAGCATTTTATCGAAAACTTTACCTTCAATATTTGATATAATGAGTTGATATTGCTTATTAATTTGAATAAAAAGCCTGCTCTCAAAATATCTCATTAGTTTATATTGAGAATAATAAAATAATCAGAATTTTTTCTTTAATTTTATAAAAGAGAATAATAAGGATCTAAAATTATTGATAAACACACACATATGCTGAAATATTAAAATAATCCTTTCTGTTAATATAACTGCTATTTTAATTATTTGATCTAAAGGGATAAAAAAATAATTTAGTAAAAATATTTCACTCCTCGAGGAAATATTTATGGGAGATTTATAACTGATTATTTATATAGAAGCTGCAGCTTGCCTCTTTACCCTCCGTCTTTGTTAGCTCCACTGTCTTTTCCGAGATTTTTCAAATCTCAAAAAATATGGCTCCTTTCCAAACTATCCACATTATTGCGAGATTTTTATAACGTCAACGCCTAAATTTATAGCTGTCAAATCTATCCTTTTGAGTATAGCGCCTTCCTATAGATGGCACGCAATGCGCCATCACCGGGCCATGTCGGGAGAGGGTTCTCCACGAGGAATGGTTCCACGTGTGGAACCCTCTTTTTGGCTCGTGGAAAAAGAGGGTTCCACACGTGGAATCATTCCTCGTGGAGAACCCTCTCCCGACATGGCCCGGTGATGGCGCATTGCGCGCCATCTATAGGAAGGCGCTATATCACTGAAGCTCTTATTAGCAACTCCTAAATCCTCTAAAACTAATTTCAATTTTTCTAGCCTTGTTTCCCGATTTCCCACCTTAATTTGGAAATATTAATTTTCACTTATCTAATAATTTTTATATAAAATACTTTCACTACTAATCCACATAAAAATAAAATTCCAACTACCATCTTTCTGGGTATAATTATTCAAACCATGGTATGGTTATAATATTAAAAATGGGATGCATTATTAGCATAGATGAAAATCCGCGTGCCACTCCAATATATAACTTCATAATACTTAAACCGCTTGAAGATAACAAATTGTGATCCTTAAGGAAGTTGGGAAAACCTATTCCACAACGTTCGTTCCTTAAGGAAAGTATGGGCCAGAAAACCCCTGACACATGCGACACTATGTCGCCTGGGTTAATAGAACTCATAGTTGAAGAAGAACAAAATTTGTAAATTTATTTTGACCAGCACTGGTCATTTTCCACTTGCCACCACATTCCTACCTCGGTATTGGGTAGCTTCTAATTGATCCTTAGAGACAGGCTGCTTTAATTTAATTTATTTTATCTATATCAGTAATTTTGTAATTAATCAATAGTTGGGGTTTCATACTAAAGACTATTTTCTGAAAAATTCTAATTTATAAATCATGGACGTTGAGCAAGATGTTTACATCCTCAAAAGTGAAGGAGGAAATGGTCCTGAATTCAGAATTTCTAAAGACTCTGTAGGGCTTTCTAGGGTTCTTAGTGACCTTGAAGGGGATGATGCTATAGAATTAAACTTTTCAGCACAAACATTATCAAAAATACTAGAATATCTCAATAAATATAAAAATAACGCCCCAGCATCAATAGAAAGACCACTGAGAGCTAAAGTTCTTAAAGAAGTCGTATCAGAATGGGATGCAGCATTTGTTGAACTTGAAATCCCAGATTTATATGATCTTCTATGTGCTGCACATTTACTTGACATCGCGCCTCTCGTTGATTTATGCGGAGCTAAGGTAGCGACATTGATTGATAGAAAAGATGCTGAGCAAATAAGAGAGATTTTTGGCTTGGCAAATGATTTAACTCCTGAACAGCAAGAAAGTGCGAAAAGGGAATTCCATAGTATTCTGGTCGATGAAATTCAGGCGCCAACATCATAAGAAATTAATAGAAAACATATAAAATTCCTTAGTGATATTTATTTAATTAATCATTTAAATGGAAGAACTCCGAAATTCAAGAACTCATTTGCCTAAAGAAAAAGTGCATAAAGTAGATGGTGTGAATTATTCTAACGTTGAAAGAAACAGCCCAAAATCGCTTAATCTGAGAGTGTATTTGCTGGATAATGAGTTCAAGACTTTAACTTATGATCACAGCACAAGAGCAGTTGATTTGATTGATCAAATGTCAAAGAAAATGAGCATAACAAACTCTGAAAATTTTGGAATTTTTGATGTCTACACACACAATAGCCGCGTTGAAGAAAAGCTGTTGAAAGATGACGATTGCATCTCTGATGTCATAAAAAAGCATAAAAAAGACCGAAAAATTGTATTTAAGTGCAAAATGTTCAGAGAGCTGAATATCATAAACGCTGATGAATTTAGCACTCATTTATACTATATTCAAACCAAAGAAAATATTATAAGTGGCTATTTTAACGCACCTTTACATATTGCAATCACTCTAGCCGCTATAGAAATGCAGATCGAATTTGGTCCTTTTAACCCCGAAAAGCATAAGCCTGGGTTTATTTTTCCAAGAATTCGTGACTTTTTTTCAGAAAGGCTATTGGAGCAGCATGGATCTAAATATATAGAAAAAAGATTATTAGATGAGTATAAGCAAGGTGAACCAGTAATTTTTATATAGAAAGCTTTGCTATTTTTAAAGAAAACTTATACCCTTGAAGCTATGAAATTGTCAGTTTTTGGATGCAGATTTTTCAATGCTAGGCAGCGAAGATCAAGAGATATACCGGAGAGGATACAGCTAGGTGTAAAATCGATAGGAATTATCATTATTAGTCAAGAAACTAGAGAATTTTTAAGACAATGGTCATTTGAAACTATTTTCAGATGGGGATACACAAGTGATGCTTTTTATTTTCAGCTGCGCAGCTTAAATGATGGGATATCAGGCACTATTTGGGAACTTTTTACAAACGAAGGAGAAACTGTGTCAGATCTTCTTAATATGTATCAAAAATACATATTAGATGACATTGATGAACTTCATTGCAATCAAATCTACATGAGCTCAGATTTAGCGATTATAAAAATTCAGTCTTGCTGAAGAGGATATAGACTAAGAAAAAAGCTTGGCTCAATTAAAAAACTATTAGCTGCACAAATGATTGTTAAAATTTGGAGAGATTTTCGTAATAATAAAAGTTTATTGTAAGTAATAATTGAATATAGATTTATAAGTAAAGCATTAATTAATTATAAGAGGCTATCAGAAGTTTTAAGCAAATATTAATAAAGCTTAACTATAACTTAAGATTTCTTATATTTAATTATGGCACATTCTCAGAGTAACCGCTTCAAAAAGGCTGAAGATCACCCTGATGTTTCTTATCTAAAATCAGATGCTGTTGGAAAGGTTCTCTCAAAAGCTTTAGGACAGCTCTATAAGCATCAGCCAAGTAACCCTTTGCATTTTCTTGGCAATTGGCTGATTAATTATGCCTCATTAACCAAAAACAAAGAAATTTCTATCTTCCTCACTAGAATGTTTTTTTTAAAATTTTATTTTTTATCATTTTTTAGATAAATTAAAAAAAATGTCTGCTATAAAGAGTAAAAAGAAAGCAGAAGAAACTATCCGCCTAAAGCAAAAATACGAAAACGCCATCCAAGACATGATAAAACAGCAAGAAAAATCTGCAGAAGAAGCAGCCAAAAAATTTCAAAAAGAAAACGACTTTCGAACAAAAATAGAAAGCACTTTAGACGTTGACGATCTTTTAACAGAATTCGCAAACCACCTAAAAGAAGAACTTGATTGCACAGGCGTTTACATCGGAATTTTAGAAAAAATAAAAAGGCCAATCACAGATTTAGATGGAGAATTCGCTCATGTTGATGATTCTGCCCCAGATCATATTCGATATATAGCAGCTTCAGCCGGCCACGAATTTATGATAGATAAAACTCTTAAAGAAGATGAAGGAGAAATTACTTACAGCATCTGGAAAGAAGAAGAAGCCGAAGTCGATAAGCCAGAAAGTGAAGATGGAGACCATGAAAAAGTTGTCGAAAAAAAGGCAAAATTCGCATATGTCCCTGATGTCGTCAATAATCCAAAAATTAAGTTTTTTGACGTACCGAAACTTGGAGCCTATTTTGCAACTCCACTTACCTATAAAAGTTGTTTATCAGAAAGCAGCTTTGATACAGCAGTCGATGACGCCTTAGATTGCAGGCGAAGGAGAGCAGACCAAGAATTAGAAAGAGAAAAAAAATCAGAAGACAATAAAACTTATAGAGAAGGCGAAGAAAATCCAGAGGAAGAAGAAAAAGTCTGGGAAGACATACAAGAAGCTCCTTATGTCACAACTGATATAAAGCTTGTTGTATGTGTCGATACTATGGGCAAGGACTGCGAAATTTCTGAAGAAAAAAGAAATTACGTCATACAATGGGTAGAATTTTTTAAATCACAATGGGAAAGGGCTGAAGACGAAAGTCTTAGACATGATGTGAGCGTCTATATGAAGCAGCATGATTTAGACTTGCAAAATCTACAAGATAAGCAAGGAGAATGGGTGGAAAATGAAAGGGTGGCTATTGATGAAAGACTTGCAGACCTTGAGGCTGGAGCTTCTGAGGAAACAAAAGAGCTTGAAACTGCAATTGTTTTGCTTAACTTGTATAGAGACCGATTATTAGAAAAATACGTTGTTGACCAGTTTTATTCTTATAAAGAGTTCAAATTCCTTAAATATTCCAGAGTGATTCAGCTTGTCCTTTACTATTTTGGAGTTCCAAAAGCGCAAATCGTGGAGCCTGGCACGAATAGGCTAAACTGGAAACTTGCTAAAAAGGCTTTAAATGATGATTTTCTGAATACCTTAAAACATATAAATCCTTGTGGCCCGAAACCTCCCAAACCTCCAGCATACGCTATGACAAAAAAGCTGCAGAATGATTTATGCTTTTTTTCTTTAATTTTCCCTAAAATTCATTATTTTATATATAAAATAAATTTTCTTACATAATTAATATAGCAAGCTATAAGTAATATTTCTTTTGACGATGTCCAGCATTATTCATTTCCTTTATCATTACTTTACTCATTTCTCGATCAATTGCTTAAAGTCAGGATTCTAGACGTTTCTAACCGAAGAAGGGACTACAATAATAAACAAGAAGAAAGAGAAAACGCCATAAAACTCGCAGAAGAATTAGCAGAAAAAAGGAAAAATGCACTATTAGATGCTAAAGAAAGACATGAAAAAGATGAAGAAAATCTTGAAGAAGGGGTAGAAAAAACACCATTTAATGAGGCTGAATTTTTAGCAGAGTTTGATGAGAGAGAAAGCAATCAGGTGGTAGAAATCCCGCCTGAGGTGGTTCCTGATGAAGATGGAGATATTGGATGGGATGAATAATTTAGATATTTATACAGATTTATACTAATTTTTACCATATTTACGCTTTTAAATTAAATAATTGCTATTTTAATTTTTTAAAATAATATAACGCAGCAAGGTACAAATTTCTTTATCTGATAATTAGCGGCTCTTTAATTTCCTCCATATAGCTCTAATTCCAATATATATTCCATATACCAGCAGCACAGGAATAGCCAAAGCAACCCCAAGTGGAGTGATTAAAACTACACCTATAAATAGGAAAAATAAAATAAAAATCCTGCAGCATAAAGAAACCCCTCTATCTCTAAGGTTTCTATTCTGTGATCTTGTAGCCTCAGCAGCTGGAAGTAATAGCAAAATTAAAGGGAAAAATATAATAATAAGGATCCATATTCCCAGATTTTTTGCACGATTTAAATAAATTTTCCATAGCGGCCAGTCTTCACGAGTATTAGAACCAGCTTGCAAATTTGGGCAGCCAAAAGGATTCATAGACCGAAAATGATAAGCAGAATATGCCCCTCGGCATAGCCAGCATCATTGGTAGCTACAAATAGAGCACGACATGTGGTTGCAGCCTTCAATTTTTTCTATTCTGTGCTTGCATTTAGGACATAGCTGAATTTCTTTCCCCTTTGCCCAGGTTTCGTAGCCTTCGTCTACAATTTCTTCACAGGTCTTTTTGCCGTGCCAGGCATTGCCGCATTTAAAGCAAAGTTCATAGCTGCAGATTGGGCAGATTAAACGAGGTTTTTTGGAAGAGCCTTTCATAAAGCCATCACAGTTAGGGGTTGGGCATCATTTTATCTGAGGATCGAGCAAAAGCTCAGCTCTCCATTTAAATTTTTTATATTTTTCAAAAAGGTCAGGATCTGTTATTGCTTGTATCATTTCATCGGTGAACAAGTTTTTACAGTTTTCACCTGGACATAGGATTTTTAGGACTTGTGAATCATTTATTTTGGTTTTTAGGTACATTTTGATGCAGTCTTCACAAAAAATGTGCAGTTCACATTCCGGGTGTTTCCATTCATTTCTTATTCTTTCGAAGCAAATTCCACAAACTTCTCCAGAGACTTCATGATAATTCCTTGACCAATGTGTTGCAAAAAGCTCATGCCTTTCTTTTACTTCTTCCATTTTCACTTGCACATCAGAAATGATTTCTTCTTGATGTGAAATATGCTCGATTTTTTTTTCATTGCAAATTTCACAAAGATCTGTAAGAGGATCTTTCGCTATGTTAGTTTTTACGTATAAAATCATGCTCCCAGCCTCTTTCCCCCTTAATTAGGCAAGGTCAGATATCTTCGATATTTTGAGCTCCTGTATAGGTGACTGCTGCTTCTATTCGCTGACTGTCAAAGCCCATGCTGCTAAGTTGTTGTATTAAATTTTCATAGCTTGACACTTGGTGTGTAAGTACAGGCGGCTCGATTTCTTCAAGAAGAATTTCATGAGATAAAGGGCCTGTTACTAATTTTTCAGCCATCATATTTTTTCAGATTTCTTAATTTATAAACAGTTCCAAGTTTCTTTGAGTTAAAATAAATCCATTTGATTGATATTTTTTTTCAAAAATGATTAATGATGATTAATTATAATTTGATCTTCACTAGTTGCATCTTGGTATTGCTGATTTTCACTTACAAGATCGTTTATATTACTTTCAGCTTCAGTAAACTTCATTTCATCCATACCTCTTTACACATTAATTTAGTTTAGGATTTTATTTAATGTACAATGCCACATTACCTATATTCATAACATAAATTATACCTATGGCCATATACTATTTAATCTTTATTATTGAATGACTTCTGAATATCTTTTCGAATATATAAAAATTAATATGATTATTTTTTTAGTTATTATAAAGCTGCTGCTTTTAACAGTGCTTATCAGATTGTTAACTTGGCCATAAAATATAAAAATTATAAACAATTACCTAAATTAGCTTGCAAAATCTCTTCAATATTTCTAGCCTTTTCATCTCTTGAGATGTATTAGGCAGATAAAATAAAAAATAAACCAATATTGAAAAAACAGCATAGACTACAGTTAATCATGTCAATATTTCAAAATTATCTTGAATAAGCTGGGTAGAATAATCTGTAGTCATTAAAAGCATTTGGTTGTTAACTGTGTTTAAGACATTTCTTATATTGTCTAGTCTCACTAATATACTCGAATATGTCTTCATATTTCTACCAATACCAAATAAATAATTCATTTCATACATTTGCTGGTCTTGGCATGGACTGACTCCATATTGTGCAAAAGCATCAGTCACATTGAGTTTTTCAAACATCATCTCATGCAGTTCAGCTGAAAAAAATTTCTGAACATTGTGACTTACTCGCCCCCCTCCGTGAGTGAACAAAACCATTGGAAAAATAGCTATTTTTTGCCCAAAAGCCCACCCTCCGTTAGTGAACAAAATTGTTTAATAGAAAAAATGTTTTTATGAAAAAAAAAATTGATATATAAGTGATAATTAGTATAATGAAATCTCGAAAAAATTCTGTTTAATTTTTAAACAAATTGCGTTTTAAAACATAAATTTTTATAAATTAAATTAATATTTACTTTCCCAATTTTTTGCAAATTAGGATTTTTTTAAATTTTGAAAACAATATTTTTCTATAAAATTTATATATAAAAAAAAAAAAAAAAAATTAACGGCCTCCGTAAGTGAACAAATTTTTTTTTGTTCATTCACGGAGGGGGGGAGTTAGCAATGGCAGTTTCCAGTCTCTATAATAGTTTGCAATTTTCCAATACTCAGTAACTGGGTTAGCAAAAAAGTAATTTTTTGGCAGTTTATTGTAAATGCTGATTGAGGTATCTTGAAATACATAAACTCTTGCCCAAAATGAAATAATTCTTCCAAAAATCTGTCGCCTTATTAATAAAGCGATTACATCAGGCCGAGAAATTAAATAATCTTCACCATTTCTGTAGGCGTAAAAATAAAATACCAAATAAAATGCAAATGTAATTAAAAAATAAATGGAAATTTTGGAAATAAGCCTCACTCGATCTCTTTCGAACCATTTGCTGGTTGGTGAAGATCTAGGGAATTCTTTCATAACCTCATAATCATATCCATAAGTATCATTTAATCTTGATACCAGCCTATTGTGGAGATCTCCATATGATTTTTTTATTTTTTGAGCAATTTCCGAATAAAATTTTTTAAGGGTATAACAAATAGAAAAAATAACACAAATAATGAAAAAGACACATAAACCAAGAATAATTATAGCAATCACAACAAGCCAAGTAATAGTATCAGTCAATTGCTGTGTTCTATAATGCTCACAAGATGTCAAAGTGTCCAAAATAAAATCTAATTTATGTGATAGAATTCCCATACTGTTTAGTATCAAAAAATTAAGTTCATTAAGGTAAGTTTCATTATGCGAAATCCTATGTAAAAATTCAGTCGCAATTTCTTCATAAGCTTGTATAATATCGACCAAATTTTTCATTACAATACTATATTTCCCAATTGTCTCTCACATAGGAATTTCGTTTTTTCTATAAAACGTAAACCATGGGCAATAATCTCAAGAAGGTAGCTCAGTTAGCATTTGCTTTGTCATTAGCTTTAAGCTATTTGTAAAATTATTTATTTTTGCATAGCCTGAATTTAGTGTCAATACTGTTGCATTGTTATAGGTCGAAATATCCATTCTCACAGCGTGGCCAGATATAGCAATCATTGTATCTATAATAAGCCCAGTTTCTGTCAGCGCATTTATATTATTTGCCTTATTAGTTTCTGAAAGAGCATAGCCCAAAATTGCGCTGCTAGTGGCTAGTAATATTATGATGCAAAAAAATAGCATCCATTTATATATAGAAAATTGTTTTTTGATCTTTTCAAGATACATCTTCCACCATAAAGTATCTTTGTCAGTATATCTTGATAAATACCAAGACATTGAAGCATCTACAGGATTTTTGGTGCTTTCAGCATTTATTTCTTCTTTTTGAAACTGGTTTTCTAATTGATTTCTAGGGCTTTTTTCTTCATTTATTTCAGTGCTTCTATTTGTATCATCAAAAAAGCTAACTTTTTCTCGTTTAGAATTTTCATTTTTTGTCGAAAAATCAACTTTTAGACTATTTACATTCAGAAAAGACTCAAAATTTCGTGACATTCCATCTTCTTCTCTTTCAATTGTCAGAATATTCAAGAATTTATTGCAATTTTTCTTTTTATGGAATAGGCAGCTAAATGATTTTCCCCCAAAAAACAGTTTAACAGAATCTTTATCATGTAAAGTATCAACTTCAGTATTTATTAATTCTTCAAGATATATTTCAACCATGCTGCTTTTTCTTTCTATTTGTGCATTAAAATCGAATATTGATTTATTGATAATTGATTCAGGTTCTAAATTCAATACTAATGGAGCATTTTCACTGCATCCGGTGATCAACCCTCTATCATCTAAAAGAAGTTTAGGAGTATTTTGATTAATTTCTTTAAAAATGAAAAGAAAAAATGGGTGTTTGTTTAAAGATGCACAAGTGATAGTAAAACTAATTTCTATTAAAAAACTATTTTTTCGCTTTAATATAGTTTCAGTAGAATGGTTGATGTCTGAAATTGTGCAGGATTTTATAAATCTTTCTAAAGCTGATTTATGATCAATATTGAAAGGGTGGGGTATATAATCGTTTATGTCAGAGTCAACAATGCTGTAACTTGTTTCTCTTAAAGTCTTAGCGGCATTTAAATTTGCGTATAAGATATTGCCGATATTTTCTTTATATCCACTTATAATTAAAACTCCGCTGGTATCTTCATTGTAATTTATTTTATTATTCCTTTTTAAAGCTGAAATTTCGTTATTATTCACTTTTTCATTCTGTATAAATGGGCTTTCCGAATTTTGATAGTCGCTTCTTTCACCAAGATTCTTATAATACACTCTATCGGCTTCAATGTTTTTTGAAATTTCTTTATAGTCATCTCTTAAAATATCGAATTTATCATTCATAATTTCAATTGTTGGATATATTTTTGATATTGAGTAATGATTTGTATAAACTAATTTGACAATTTCATTTAAAATAATGCAAAATTTTTTGTCAAGCTTTTGTCAGCTTTCATTTCTTTCTAATCTCATAAGAAATTTTATATCATCGTGACGCTCATAAAGGTCACTTAATAAATGGTTTCTGAGGCAAAACTCTAAAAACTCTTCTTCAAAGCAAGAATTTTTTCAAGGATATTGAGAGCCAAGCCTTATCGATGCTAATCTTGAGTCATTTAGTACATATAGACAATATTCTGCTTCCCATATTGATGGCATTCTGGATGAATTTACTTGATGATTTTCATGGACCTGCTCAAAAATTCTTAAAACTTGATTTTTATCAGATTTTTTGTTAATTAGCATACATCTAACAATTCTTTCAAATTCATAAACATCTTTACATTTTTGGTTTAAATCCTGTTTTAATAATTTAGCATATCTGAATTTTGTAACTATATATAAAAATCATATAAAAACAGGATTTAAGAAGATAAATAATACAAGTCCAGTTGATTGACTCTTTTGAATATCCCCAATAATTAGAGAAGCTGAAGTTATCGCTGCAAATAATACACTGCTAGTTTCCAAGAAATTTGTAATGTAGTTGAAAAATGGAGCATAATAAATATGCACAATCACTATAAATATAGCTATAAAGTAGATGAGTATTCTCAAGTAAATTATGTTATCAGGGTCATTAAATGCGACGTAAATTAAAATGAGGTCAATACCAATTATTTTGATCTTAGTTGTATAAGCATGCACTTTTGCTAATAAATTGCTGTTTGCGTAGGCATGCCGATGTTCATAAATAAATATTCCATAAATGTAATTACAGAACATGAGTGAAATCACGGTAAAAATGAATAATGGTAGCATATTTATCATTCAGGAATTTAACTTTTCTTTCTGGTATTCTTGAATGCTTCTATCATAATAAAATATTAAATATTTTATGGAAACTATGAGAGAAAATGTAATAGGAATATAGCAAACTTCAAAAATTAAAGTTCTTACTCCTAATTTCAATAATCAAGCATAGCTATGGAAGACTTAGGATAAACAAAATCTTTTATTTTACCTTAATATACAAAAAAATGTAGCTAGAGCGCCTTTTTGGCTTGACTTCCCGATCTTTCCACTAGCAAAAAGAGGTTCTCAGGCTATAAAATCATAACTTTGATTAAATTGCAAACACTATAAAAGCTATTAAAACTATTTGATATATTTAAAAGAGCTAATTTAAGGTTTTTTCAAACCTCCATAATAAATTTGAAACGTTTTGGCTTAATCTTCATAAAATATAAAGCATCAGGACAAGTATATAGTAGCCTCAAACAATTACTGTAGCTATGTATAAATAGCATTCAATTAAGCCAAGATCTGAAAAAATATTGTCAAACCTCAAATAGCTGGCAAAGTTTCAAAACTCTTTCACAGAATCGTGATTGGCTACCTGGTATCAGGCTAAGCTTGCGAATTGAAAGGAAAAAATCATTTTTAAAATTGTGACCTTAAATAAAGAAACTTCTGATGCACAATCTTGCTGATTTTGAAGCTTGACAAGAAAATGGAAAATTTCTTGGCGAGCTGACCTACTTTTATGGCTATTTTCTTTAGTATGGCCAATGCTTCAAGAAATATCTTGGTCTCGGTCGTATTCTTTAGCTGTTTTTTGTAAGTGGTAATTTTCTGTCATATTTACTGTTACCTAATAATCTCTTTTACTTTTTTTGCAAATGAAAATGCTTGTGGATTTTAATTAAACATTTGAATTAAAATTTTCTAATTTAGAGTCTATGCAATTTCTTAAGCCAGCATTGAGAGTTTTAAACAAAAGTTGAAATCTGTAAGCAAAGTTTGCAAAAGAGTATATTTTTTTATAAAACTAAATGTTTATCATCTTTGTCAGCAGCTAAGCATTGACATATCAAGCCAATGTATTTACTATAAAATTTTTTGATGCAAATAAAAAAAAATCATAAAAGGATTAATTAAAACATCACTCTAATTATTAAATTTTCCCATACTAATATTTTCACATTAGTTTATTTTATTTAGGGCTATTGCAATTTATTAACATTTAATTATTTTATTCAGTCTCAGACCGAAAACCTTAAAAATGTATTATAAAGAAAAAGTTTCCATTTTTAATAATTTTTAAATTGAAATTTAAAAATGTGCTTATAATTAATTAATTATCATTTTAATAATATAAGAGCCTTTTGCTATATTTTCTAAGCAGCTAGGAATTATAATAAACTAGAATATTAGCTTTCTTAGTTTGCTAAATTTGAGTTTTCTTTCAAAATGGCCAAAATAATTAAAAAAATGAAAATTAAATTAAAGAAATATTAATCATCAGCTTTCAAAAATATGCTAAGCTCTTAATTATCCTAAAAGTTGTCTTCTTAAAATTATTTTAACAGAATGTTGTCAAACCTCAAATAGATAACAAATTTTAATGCTCTTCCACGGAATTGCGATTGTCTGCCTATCCCAAGCTATGCTTGAAATTGAAAGGGAAAAATTATTTTAAAATTGTGACCTTAAATAAAGAAACCTCTGACCTCAAAATTTCAGGGCTATCTGAGAAAATGTAAAATTTCTTGGCAAGCTGGCCTACTTTAATGCTTTTTTCTTTATCATGGCTAATACTTCTGGGAATATCTTGGCCTTCATTATTCTTTTGCCATTTTTGTAATTGGAAAATTTCTGTAATGCTTACTGCTAATTAATATAATTTCGCATATTCTGTGAAAAGGAGCCCACTGTAAATCTGAGCTCCTCATTGGAATAAATTTCGAGCATGGAGTCTGCATACTGCTTAGCTTTACATTTAGATCTTATTGAGCATTCTGAACTATTTTTGTAAATATTAATATAGGATATTATTATATAAATTAAATTTTTATAATCTTTCCTCTTTACTTAATATTTATGTCAATATTTGCTATAGTCAGCAGCTACTAATTGTCTCCGCATAGCGTATCACTCTTGCATTTCAGTCCGGAATGGTCGTCGACTGTTCTGCTCCTCACTGGTGAGAGTTCCACTCATAACTTTTTATTTTTTGCAATGGAAGAAAATAGGCCAGGCCGATTCATCTGAGAAAAAGCTGTTCTTGCAATCAGTTAGAAATTTTCAGTATCAGAGAAGGGATAAAGATACCTGGGACGAAGAAGATGAATTCCTTGGTGATGAAGATTTTTCTAATGAAGAAGAATCTGGAGGAAACAGAAAAGGATAAAGATGAAAGTCATGGGAAAATTAAGAAGATTGAAAAAGGAGGAAAAAAAGAGCCCATAAGGATGCGTGATGCAATGCTATAAGTAGTAGATAGATAAAATAGATAGAGGGTTTTATGCGTTACTAGAGATGCTGACTCAAATATAGCGTATCATCGGTTTTCACCTTTAAAAATGAATTTCTGATAGGATTATAATGAAAAAGAGTAAAAATTATAATAAATTTAGATCAGTTTGCAAAACTTCTTCAATACTTCAAGCCTCTTCATTTCCTTAAAAATATTTGGCAGATAAAATAAAAAATAAATCAATAACGAAAAAACCACATAAACTACAGTCAATCATGTGAATATTTCAAAATTCTCTTGAATAAGCTGCGTAGAGTAATCAGTAGTCATTAAAAGCATTTGATTGTTAACCACATTTAAGACATTTCTTATGTTATCTAGTCTCACCAATATCGAAGAATATGTTTTCATATTTCTCACGCTGTTAAACAAATAATTCATTTCCGTAATTTGTTCGTCTTGGCATGCACTAGCTCCATATTGTGCAAAGGCATCTGTCACATCCAGCTTTTCAAACATCATTGTGCGGAGTTCTGATGAAAAAAAATTTTGAACGTTATTACTCAATAATGGAAGTTTTCAGTCCTTATAGAACCCAGCAAGTTTTCAGTACTCATTCTCTGGGTTAGAAAAGAAATAGTCATCTGATAACTTGTTATATATGCTTATAGTTGTGTCTTGAAATACATAGACTCTTGCCCAAAATGAAATAATTCTGCCAAAAATTTGCCGCTTGATTAATAAAGCGATTACATCAGGTCGGGAAAGTAAATAATCTTCTCCGTTTCTATAGGCGTAAAAATAAAATAGTAAATAAAATGCAAATGTAATTAAAAAATAAATGGAAATTTTTGATAAAAGTCTTAAATAGTCATCTTCGAATCAATTACTGGTCTGCAAAGATATAGGCAAATCTTTCATGATTTCATAATCATATCCATAAAAATCACTCAATCTTGTTATTAGTTTATTGTGAAGACCTCCATATGAATTTTTAATTTTTTGAGCAATTTCAGAATAAAATTTCTTAAGATTATAGCAAATAATAAAAATAATGCAAATCAGGACAAAAGCGCAGAAGCCAAGAATAATGTTAGCAGTCGCAACAAGTCATGTAATAGCATCAGTTAATTGCTGAGTTCGGTAATGTTCACAAGAAGTCAAAATGTTTAAAATGTAATCAGTTTTATGTGCCAGAATTCCCATGCTATTTAATATCAAAAAGTTTAGGTCATCTTCATACGATTCATTGTGAGAAATCTTATGTAAAAAATCAGTCGCAATGTCTTCATAAGTTTGTATTATATCAACAAAATTTTTCATGACGATTTTATATTTTCCTATTGTGTTTCACATAGGAATTTCTTCATCTCTATAAAATGTAAACCAAGGGCAATAATCTCAAGAAGGGAGTTCAGTTAGCATCTGCTTTGTCATTAATTTAAGAGAATTTGTAAAATTATTAATTTTTGCGTAGCCTTGTGTTATAGTCATAACTGTTGCATTATTATAGGTTGAAATATCCATTCTTACAGCGTGGCCAGATATAGAAATCATTGTATCTATAATAAGCCCAGTTTCTGTCAGCGCATTTATATTATTCGCTTTATTAGTTTCTGAAAGAGCATAACCTAAGATTGCGCCACTAGTAGCTAATAATATTATGATACATAAAAAAAGTAATCATTTATATATAGAAAATTGCCTTTTGATTTTTGAAATATAAAGTTTCCACCAATAAGTATCATTGCCAGAATGCTTTGATAAATACCAAGACAGTGAAGTATTGGCAGGTTTCTTGATAGCATCATTTTCTGCATAATGAGTATTAAACTCATTAGAAATTTTTGATTTTTCTTCATTTATATCTGTGCTGTGATTTACATCATCGAAAAAGCTGACCTTATCATGATTTTTATTATTAGAAATAAAATTCAAATGCAAGCTTTTATCATACAAAAAAGTGTCGAAATTCTGCAAAATCTCTTTTCCTTTATTTTCTTCTTTTAAAATTAATTGCCATCTTCGGCAATTACAGCAGCAATTCCGATTGGCAACAGAAAAAAAAATCAAAACTTAGGACCTCCAAAAACAAAAAGGTGGCCCTGAGGGACCACGGGGTGGCGGTGGCAATTCTCCGGGGTGGCAAGGGCGTGGACTTGGGCTGACTGGGCTTCTCCTCAACCCAAAGACAAGAAGACCGACGGCGCAACACCAATCGAACACTTCTGGAGGAGCAATATGCTGCCTGCAAATGGCAGAGGTAGTTCCAGAAGGAGGTTATGGACGATTCCCTCATACTCTGAGCACTACCAGGGGTTAAGAGAGTTCTTTACCGAAAGCTTTGGTCCAAGCAGGTGCAGGTGAGTCTCCCCTAAAGATGTCGACGTCACAAAAAAATCGTGACGTCGACAGAAAAGGGCGGTAGGGGGCTTTAGTGCTTAGCGCCACAGGAGCGTGAAGCTGAAGCTCGATTGGATCAGGGGCTGAAATAAACCCCGTTTTAACCCTCTCTAATAAATCTCTCTCTCTTTTAAAATTATCAAAATATTCAAAAATTTATTGCAGTTTCTTTTTTTATAAAATTGACAAGGAAAAGATTTTCCATCAAAAAATAATCTAATAAAATCATTATCTTGGAAAATCTCAATTTCTTTATTAAGTGTTTCATTAAGGCTATTTTCGATAATGCAGCCTTTTCTTTCGATTTGGAGATTAAAATCAAATATTGATTTATATATCAGTGATTTGGAGGGTAAATTTAATATAAATGGGAAATTTTCACTAAATCCTATAACTAGACCTCTTTCGTCTAGCAGGCATTTAGGATAATTTTCGTTAATTTCTTTGAACAGGAAAAGAAAAAATGGGTGTTTATTTAGAGATGCACAAGTAAGAGTGAGACTGATTTCGATTAAAAATCCAGATTTTCGTCTCAAATATGTTTCATTTGAGTGTTCAATGTCTGATGAAATACTGTGTTTTATAAAATTCTCGACTGCTGCTTTATGATTAGTATTGAAAGGATGAGGAATATACTCATTTATATCAGAGTCAATAATATTGTATACTTTTTACTTATAATAGCCAACTAAGAGGCTTATTTTGGGTATTAAAAAAAAAAGTAATACTAATTTGCCAAAATAATGAACAATAGCAAATTAGGATCTTTTAAATATAAATTTTTGGGATAATTAAAAAAAGTCTCTTAGTGGGCTATTCTAACTCCCCCCCCCTCCGTGAGTGAACAAAACCATTAGAAAAATCGCTATTTTTTGCCAAAAAACCCACCCTCCGTGAGTGAACAAAAAATTTTTTTAATACAAAAAATTTTATGGAAAAAAAATTGATATATAAATGATAATTAGCATAATGAAATCTAGAGCTAATTCTGTTTAATTTTAAATGAATTGCTTTTTAAAACATAAATTTTACAAAAAAATTTAATATTTGCTTTCAATTTTTGCAAATTAGATTTTTTAAATTTCGAAAAAAAATATTTTTTATAAAATTTTCTATAAATTTTTTAAAAAAAAAAATTAACCCCCCTCCGTGAGTGAACAAAATTTTTTTGTTCACTCACGGAGGGGGGGGGAATAAGCAAAATAGCATAAGTAGTTTCTCTTAAAATTTTCGCTGCATTTAGATTCGCATACAAAATAACGCCGATATTTTCTCTGCACCCACTGATTATAATTATTCCATTTGTATCTTCATTATAATTTCCTTTATTATATCTTTTAGTAACTGAATTCATATCTAATTGTGTTTTTTTATTATTTTTAAATATACTATCAGAGTTTTCAAATTCGCTTTTATCACTAAGGCTTCTATAGAATGTCTGATTTGCTTCGCTATTCTTTGAAATTTCTTTATAATCATCTCTCAAAATATCAAATTTATCATTCATAATTTTAATTGCTGGGTATATTTTTGGTATTGAACAATTATTCGTGTAAATTAAGCCAATGATTTGATTTAAAGAAATGCAAAATTTTTTATCAAGCTTCTTTCAGTCCTCTAGTTTTTCCAGCCTCATGAGGAATTTTATATCATATTGATACTTGAAAAGATCATTGAATAATTGGCTTCTAAGACAAAATTCTAAATATTCGTCCTCAAATCCAGATTTTTTTCAAGGATATCGACAGCCAAGTCTTATTGATGCTAATCTTGAATCATAAAGAATATAGAAGCAATATTCTGCTTCCCATATTGATAGCAATCTAGAAGTATTTAACTGATAGTTTTCATGTGCATTGGCAAAAATCCCTAAAACTTGGTCTTTGTCTGATTTTTTATCAATTAGCATACATCTGGTTACTCTCTCAAATTCATAAATATCTCTGCATTGTTTCTGTAAATCCTGCTTTGATAATTTTGAATACCTGAATTTTGTAATAATATACAAAAAACATATAGAAACTGGATTTAAAAATAAAAATAGCACAAGTCCAGTGGACTGACTATTTTGAATATCCCCAATTATTAAGGAAACCGAAGTTATCAATACAAATAATGTGCTACTAGTATCTAAGAAATTTGTAATCTGATTAAAGTATGCAGCATAATACACACTCACAAAAGCATTCAAGCTTGCTGCTAAAAATAGAAAAACTCTTACTCCCCCTCCGTGAGTAAACAAAAAATTTTTGTTTGCTCACAGGGGGTTAATTTTTTTGTACAAAATTTATATATTTTTCAAAATTTAAAAAATTCCAATTTGTAAAAATTGAGAAACAAAAAATCCTTTAATTTGCGAAATTTATATTTTTTAGCGCAAGCTCTTTAAAATTAATCAGATAGCTAGAGTTTCGTTATAATAATTATCATTTATATATCCATTTTTTTTCATAAAAATTTTTATATTAAACAAATTTTTTGTTCATCACGGGATTTTTCTAATGACTTTTTTCGCTCACGGACGGTGGGGGAGTTAAATAAATTATGTTCAAAGGATCATAAAATGCAAGGTAAAATAAAATAAGGTCAAAACTAATTATTTTTATTTTTGAAGTGTAAGAATGGGCTTTTGTCAATGAACTACTGCTTGCATAGCTGTGCCGATGCTCATAAATAAATATTTCATAAATATAATTAAAAATCATGAGCGAAAACACAGTTAAAGTAAATAATGGCAGACAGTTTATCATTGAAGGATTTAGTTTTTTATTTTGGTATTCTTTCATATTTCTATCATAATAAAATATCAGATATTTTATTGAAATAATAAATGAGAAAGTGATTGGGATGTAGCAAAATTCAAAAATAAGAGCTCTTAGAGCAGATTCAAGTTTTCATAATAAATGGGGAATTTTTTGTCTGACTCTTAATAGAAAATATAAAGAGAGTAATATTATGTAATAGCATCATACCACTATTAAAGCCAAATATAAAAATCATTCAATAATCCCAAGATCCGAGAGAATGTTGTCAAATCTCATATACCCAATTATATTTCAAAAAGCATCAATAGAATTTCAATTATTTGGCGATTTTTGATCTCATGCAATACTTGCAAACTGGGAGGTAAAAACGATTTTTAAAATTGTCAGCTTAAGTAAAGCAGTCACAGATGTCACAGTTTCTGGGTTTTCAGCATTATTTTGGAGCTTATAGAGAAAATTAAATACTTCTTGGCGAATGGGCATTTCTTTTATACCTTTTCCTCATGTATGGCCAATGCTTCAAGAAATTCCTTTGTCTCCATTATCAAATTTTTTGCAGTCCTTCACTGCTTTTTTGAAATCACAAATTGCTGTCGTTTTACTATTAATTAACTAATTATGGCATTAATCTTGAATTTTCTTAAGCAGTTGATTAATTTGAATTAAATAAAGCACTTTAGTGGTTTATTTTTAAACTATTCAATTATTATGTTTGCTTAACTTTAAAATATTATTAAAAATCAGCTATTTCATTATTAAAAATTTTTTGATTTTCTTTAATAAATTAAGCGTAAATTTGCCGCTATTAATACGCTAATAAAAGTGGAAAATTTCATTTTTGATTGATTTTATGCATACCTTACAAAAAGTTTTTAATTCCAAAGTCTGTTATCACTTTTTTGAATTTAAATTGCATTAATCATTAAAAAAAATGACTTTGAGAATAAAAAGTTTTTAATCTTTGGAATTTCTTTATAAAATTTAATACAACTAACGACTGTTTATTATTAATCGATAGCAATGAGCATTTTAAAGTATAAAACCTTTGGTGCTCAATTTAACTTTATATAGCTTTCTAGTCAGTACCATAAGCTTCCTTATACCCCATAATCAAAAAATTTTACTCTTATTTCTTTCACTCTGAATAGGTTTTTAGCAAAGTTTTGCCTTTCAAGATATTTTATCTTTTGTTAAGAATTACTGACGATAAATAATTCTAATAAATTAATCTTAAACAATCATCATTATTGTTTAGGAAGGCTGCTTTGAATTTACCCTTATAGCCATATTTCATAATTAATTTAATTTTCTTCCTGACTCCCAGCATTAATTAATGCTCTTTCATTTTCTTCTGAAAGGCACCACCAAGAGTTATCCCCAGGCCTGATCTCTTTAGCTCTTTCTATTACAGAATAAAAAGTATCTTCTTCATTTGATGTAATTTCTTTTTCAGCCCTGATTTTCGAATTTTGTAAAATTTTTAAAAATTTTACCTCAGCATCACTTAAATCAGGATGCCAAAAATCAATAATCAAATTTACCCTTGTAGTCGTCCCTTCATGCCAAGCTTCATGTTCAAAAGAATCATCAAAAATCGCGACTTTTCCTTCTTCAAATGTCCTAGTTTCTTCTGCAGCTCTTAATCTTGTCCCTGAAAGATCAATAATTGGCAAATGAAGTCTAAGTTTTTTATTCGTCGGGCCATGATGAGGCAATACATGAGTGCCTGGATTCAGTGCTGAAAAAAAAGCATGCTCATAATGCCTAGGTATTAAATCATTAATGACTCTTACTGTTTCTGGGCATTTTGCAAGATTTTCATCAAAAGTCATCCCATGAAGGTATAAGTAAAATACATTCCAATCTCCTGAGGTATGGCTTTGAGTGCCTACGTCTTGTGAAGGAACGCCTACTGCCCAAGATGGGCCTCTATAAGGCTGAAACCCACCTTTTTGATATAAACTTAGCAATTCAGCTTTTATAAGCTCATAATTGGCTTCTATGTCTCTAACCCATGGAAAATCATTAGCATCCCACCAAGGCTGAGCACGAAGTCCTGGTATAATTTCTGGGCATCCTCTTTGCATTGGTGCTATAGGAGGAATACGCTTGTTATTAAGCTTTGCTAGTATTCATTCTCTAATATGATTGACACTTTGGTCATCTGGATTTGAAATTTTTTCTTTTATGAATTTTAAAGCTCCAGCCCTTTGAAGTGCAGATAGATGAAACTCGTCAAAGAATTTTTGGATTCTTTCCATAAGTGCGTTCTCTGTTATAGAAGTGCTTTCCTCCATTTATAAGCTTATTCGGTAAAATTTTTTTGATTATCTTTTAAAGTGAATGATTTTTAGATGATATAGAGCATAAATTAAAGCTGAGTCTAAATGATTTTGAATAAGATATTATTAGCACTTCTTGTCCATTTTGGGTAAGCACCCAGTCTTATTGGAAGTTGGTTTATCATAAATTGGTTGCCAATTTTAAATAAACCATTAATAATGCAGAATGCAAATAAAAATAATTTCAATGAGAATTCTGAATATCTTGCTAGTTTTTCCTTATTTTATATGAGATTTATTTATTTCCATACTAAATATCTATTTATTTGGTCTATGACTTAGTATAAACATTCTGAAATGTCAAGTGATAAAAATCTAAAAGAGTCCATTATCCCTTTCAAAATATCCCGATTCCCCAACTCTGAATCTCAATTCTTGCAAACCAACCGAAAACAAATCAAGCTGAGATTGCCTTATGTTCATAGCCAAACCCATCATCCAACAATAGAAACAGATTTATCTGGTAAAAATTTAAATTCCCCTCCATCTGTAGACGAAATGCTAAGTACATTTAGATCAAGACTCTCAGAACACTCCACAGAATTACTCCCCAAATTTGAATCCAATATTGACTTGCTGAAAAGCTTAAAATGAAAATCCAGCTTATCAGCTCCAAAATTGCATAAAGGGAATATTTTTAAAAACCTAAAGACAATAAAACGGAAAAACAAAGAAGACACCAAAATAAATAGTAAAAAATCTAAAGAATCAATAGACATTTATAATATTTTTGCTGGAAGCCAAAATCAAGTAACGAATAATTTTGAGAATTTTCATGAAATAGAAGATTTTGAGTTTGAAAAGAAAAAAGAAGAAAATTCAGCTTATGGATGCTGATACATAAAAAATCCTTCAGGAACTCATCCTAGTAGTCGAGAAGAAAGCCAATTAGTTGTGTTGAATAAAAAAGCTTATATTTTTGGAGGACAAAGCAGAATAAAGCAAGGCGATGTGAAAGAGCTCGACATAATTTCATGGAGCTGAAGCATTTTGTCAACTGATTATTCACCCCATGGAATTTCTGGGCATTCTATGGTAGCCTATAAGCGAAATCTTGTTATTTTTGGGGGAACTTCAAGCCACAGTAAGAATTTAGGAATCCGAAGATGCTCAAATAAAATTGGAATTTTATCATTAAAAGAAAATAAGTGGCAGTTCTATAAAGGGGTAAATGATTGGCCATCACCACGAAGAAACCACGCAGCTTCATCATTAGGAAGAGATTTACTTATATACGGCGGTATTAGCCAAGAAGGTGAATTTCTAGATGATTTATGAGTTTTTGACATGAAAGAAAAATCATGGATTTTCCCTGAAGTGGCTGCTCCTGAGTGCCCTTGTGAGTTATCTCATGCTACTTTAACCCCAGTTTTCCTTGATATGATAAAAGAAGATTCCAGTATTTCTATATTATCAGTATCAAAAAACCAAAAAAGCATTGAAATTAATAACAGTGGATTTTATTTATTTGGCGGACACACATATGATGGAGAAGCTAGTAATAAAATGTATGGTCTTTATATTCGAGAAGGAAAATTATTGTGATTAGAAATTGCAGGCAAAGGTAATGCGCCAGTGCCAAGATATGGACATAGTGCTTGTGCAATAAAATTTAAAATTTATATAATTTTCGGCTAAATTATTGTATTTTGTATTTTTTAAGCACAAATAAAAAATAATCATTAAATACAGAATATTTTTGGTGGGAGAAATGATTTAATGTTTAATACATATGGAGACTCCTGCTTAAACGATTTAAATGTATTTAATGTTGAAACTTTAACTTGGGAAACTATACAGATTCATGGTGCGAGTCCTGAAGGAAGATGGGGACACACAATGGCTGGATATGGGACTAGAATTTTGTTTTTTGGAGGCATGTGTCATAAGAAATACATGACGAGTGATCTATACTGTTTGGAGACCTGCAAAGATATAGCTGAAGACTTGCATAAAACTGATAGACCTATTGGGATGTTTGAGGTAAGTGGTGTTGCGAAGTTTGGAATCGAATTAAAAGCGCTGATAAATAATTTAATTAAACACAACTAATTTATTGCAAGAAGACCTTTTTCTCTTCGAAATTAAAAATTTTGGAAAATATTTAAGGGAGAAATATAATAGTTAGTTACTTATAAAAGATTATAAAACAATTTCACTATTAAAATCAGCCTCTTGGGAATTATTTTAATGTGCTATTCTGGCTTTAACATTTATTTTGCATTTTTCATTCTATTTTCCACAAATTCTTTAAGCGCTGGGCTATGAGTTTGATAAGTCAAGAATTCTTCAAAATGCTGCTCTATCCTTTCTTTTGATTGCACCTTACAAATCATAGGGAGTTCATATGTAAATTCAATTTCTATATATTGAATTATATCTTATTAAATCAAAATATTCACAAAAATAATGCTTTTATGCCATTAAAAATAAAAATATAATAATAAATTTTTTATAAAAAATAAAGATTTATGGAATAATAATTCTGCTGAAAAATAAATTTCTTCTAAATTATTAATTTCCAAGGCACTTGCCAAAAACGTCGCAATAAATTGTTGGGCACGGCAAGCTAAATCAAATTCCAGATGTGTAAAGCTCTCTTGGTCTTGGAATATGGTATTATGAAGAAATAAGGCATATTTTGAAGTCTTGAAATATTTTGATGTCATTAAATAGACTAATGTAGCTGCAATTATAGCAGGAGAAAATTTTAGTGTCCGCTGATCTAAGCAGGCTGCGTCCAGCACGTGAATTGCATCCCTGAATCTCATATAAGAAAGATTATTAGGCTGCTTATAAGTAATAAATCTTTCTTCATATTTTGCCTGCTCTCGATTCCTTTCATCATTTGGGAGATTTTTAAAGTCATTAGGATTATTATAAACTTGGCTTCCGAAATGGTAAGTTATATATAAATCCCACTGACTTAAAAGCCAATTGGAAATATTGTAAGTTGTAACTGGCATAATTTTCCAAATTAAAGATATAATAAAATGGCCGGTGATCTTTCCCCCAGTCAAGGATGTCCTTATTCCCCCTTCGTGAGGGAATAAAATATTGGAAAATCCCATCTCCCCACAAACAAAATTTTTTTATGAAAAATAATTTTGATATATAAGTGATAATCGTTATAATGAAATCGAAGGCTAATTCGGTTAAATTTTAAACAGCTCGTATTTTAAGTATAAATTTTACAAGTTTAATTTATGGAATTTTTTTAAATTTCAAAAAAAAATTACTATAAAATTTATATATAACCCCTCCTCGAGCAAACAAATTTTTTTTGTTCACTGACAAAGGGGAGGGGAGGGGAGGGGTAGAATATACAGAGTAGTTTTTTGGCATAAAGAACTTGCTAAGTGCCGGGTCAGCCTCTAGGTAAGAGGGTCAACAATATTTGCACCCTGATTAGTGGCCTAGTTTGAGCGATAGTTTTTACATGTTTTTGCAAGCAGTACCCAGGCCAAGGTTGTGTAATCGATAGAGGCAGAGCAATTAGCTGCCTAAACTGCTTGATGATATGCTCCAAATGGTATAAGCTGCTAGGAAATAACCCAGGGAAAAGGGAATACAGACTAGAAACTCTCAAGGGCACAAGCCTCTTCAGTTAAGAAAGATCGATAACAAAGGTGATCTGGCCATAGCTCCCAGGGTGAAGGCTAGGCTTGGAGATGGAAGTTCCAGTATAATCTGCATTGGGCGGATTAATAAGGAAATCCTCGACTAAGAAACTGGGATTGTCGCCTCAAGCTCATGCTAACTCCCCCCCCATCCTTGATCGAACGACTCGCCATCGTTCGATCAAGGATGGGGGTTAAAAAAAATTTTTGGGGGAAAAAATATATATATATATTTTTTCTATTTTACTTTAAATAAGAGGGTTAAGAGTATTTAATAATTATTTTTACAGCAAAAAATTTAATTAATTTCATAAAATACCAATTTTTAATATTTTGATTTATTAGTTATCCCTTTAAACTGTATAATATTTTAATTTGTTCCTTATTAAAATTAAATTGTTTTTAAAACAATTTGAAAGAATCTCTATTTTATTAGATTATTGAGCTTTTAAGCCTATGTTGATAACTAAATCACTTCGGATGGTTGATTTCGCAGCTTTCTGTCGTCTCAAAGCTCTGAAAACAACTTCATTATGTACATCTTCCCAAGCTTTGATAAATAATATATTTTTATATATATATAAAAATTTGCATGATATGAAAATCGTTCGATCAAGGATGGGGGTTAATTTCCCCAATTTTTAGGAATTTTTACAGTCAATCGTTCGATCAAGGATGGGGGGGAGTAAGGTGAAAGCCACCTATTTGCCACTGCCACCCGCAGAATAGTATATTGCTTTATCTTAGAGGACTGATGCGCCAGAAGTAGGAACTATAGACACTCAGCAACAACTTAACTTAATTTTCCACCCTAAATGCCTCAGTATAATTTTTTCCATTAATTTTATGCTGCTCACTGAATATCCATTCGCAGCTGCCCTTTCAAAGTCGCTGATTTTTGGCTGATAAATTTCGTCAAGTTTCGAGGCTATATATAGAGCAGCAACCCCTACAAGTTGGTATTCATCCTTTTTTACATTTGGAACGATCGATAACAGCCGATCTACATAATTCATAGCTAAATAAACGCTTTCGCGTTTCATTAAAAACTCACTGGTGACTTCCATCATTCAGTCAAATAGGACTACTCTCATTAATGGGTTTATATGAGGCTGGCTTGTTTCCATAAAATAAGGGTTTGGCATATACATTATCTGTTTTTCTTTTATGAGCTCAAGGAACTCGCTGTCTTTTGGCTTTCATATGGGCGGAGCCAGGTCTAAATCTGCGGACACTGAGTCTAGTGTGTCATGGCACTCTAAGTCAATTTCTGGCTCAATTAACATTTTTTGGCACATTACATTCGAGGATTCTTTATGAAGAGATCCAGGATTCTTGAAATTATAAATTTTCATGAAAAGTTATTGAAAATGGTCTCAAAAGCTTAATATATGGGTCATATTTTATAGGAAATTAAAGAATTAATTCTAAGCTGAAATTATTCTCATTTTGATAGAGATTAGAAGCTGCAAGCGTTGATTTATGCGCTGATGAGCGTGAAGAATGGTTTTTTGAGTGTGATTTGTGCATTGCGCCAATTCAGTTTTTGTATTATGAAATTAATAGAAAATGAAAAAGAATCATTTTTAACTAGATTTAGGGGATTGGGATAGCAAAAGAAAAAAGTGGGAAATGGAAAAATTCATAGGGAAATGGATAGCAACAGGTTTTTGGGGAAAGGAAAAATTAAGATGAAGAGGGTTTTCCCGCCAATATACAAAGATATAAGTAAAATGTAATATTCTCGCGTAAGCATATTTATATGAATTTTTACGCATTTTTAGATCTTTATGGATATTTTACATATGGGAACTGTGGGTTTTGGGGTCAACTACAAAAAGACTTTGGCTCTATGAATGATTTTTATTGTAACTTCCCCCTTTTAATTTGGAAAATATAGGTAAAATTCCTTTTTTTTTGGTCATAGCTAACCTACTCACACTCATAATTCCTGTAGTTTGCTTCCCATATGGCACGGAAGGGCTTTGAGCAAGGGAGGATGGCATCCGGGAGCGTGCATCCGGCTGGATTTTTCTTGGATTGGTGAAGCGCAATGTTGGGCTGGCTGAACGCATGCTTTACTCCAATGCTAAGCTTTTGGCTCAGTGGGGGATGGGTTTGAAAATTGGAAAGGGGTTTCGCAGCAGAGTCAGTGGCGTTTATCCTGACAAATCGGGACTATTCTTAAGCGCTAAACCGGATTACTCCCTAGGGTACAAATTTCCATTTTAGCTGAGAAACGACTGAAAATTCAAGAATTTTTAATGGTGGAAACCTGTTGCGCGCAGCACTGGACATGACTTGCTCAACTACCAGATAGTGAGTGCATACTTCCTCCGGTAGGAGAGAACCTTTGCAAGGTCATAACGAATTGGCGAGTAGGCGATAGGAGCGTTACGAGTGGATAATCCTTGTAGAATTACAGCGAGCTTCTCGATAAGTCTTAATGTCTAATATTTTGGTTATTTTAATCGGATCAAATTTGTTTTTAATTGGAAAATTTTAAGTAAAAGTATTAATTTTTTATAAAAATTAATTTTGACTTAATTATTTAAATATTTTTCACACAGAATTAATTAATATTTAAATTAATTCTTCATAAAATAAATTAAATTCAAAATATTGTGCTTAATTTTTTTATTTTTTAATATGTAAAAAAATTAATCTCTTTAAATTGGAACAGGAATTTTATTCTAATTTAAAGGGTGGAAGTAAGCTAGGTTTTATAATCATTATCATATAAACAGCAATAAAAGCTATTCATCTTAGGTGTTTTCATGAGTGTAAAATATCTCTATATTAATTCCGCGAAATATTTTACTTTTTAGTGCTAAATGCTTTACTTCAACTACTATAAAGTTATACATTATCATTTTAGCTTCTAAGCTATCTGCTTTTTCTATTAATCCCTATAAGATATTTTGGTTTGGGATTATTTTTATAATCACTTCTCAACCTCTCAATCAGCTTCTTGCTCAGAGAAAACTTAAACGCAGTCTTCAATAGCAGCTCTGTTTCTGTCCTATTCCCAATTCCTCTAATCACTTCCATCGCATTTTCAAAACTTTGCCCATTCAAGCTTTTTCTATGCAATTTTAAGACCCCCAAAAATACCCTGAAAAACACCTTTTCCCCTTCAAATAAAAAACAGTCCCAAACCCTTGCAGCCGTTTCATATTTAAAGCTTACATTATACCCAGTCATAAACCATTGTGTAGCAAACATAGAGACGTTTATCTCAACATTTTTAAAATAATTCCATAGCCCTGATAAATAATGCCGCATTAATCCATTGGCAATATAAAAAGATTCTTCTACTTTGGGCATTTTTAATATAAAGCACTCTCTGAAATTATATTGTGTCATCACAGAAGCAAATAGCCAAAAACTATCTTCTTCATTAAGGTGAATTAAAAATGAAGCAGCAATGAATGCCATGCCTTGGGTATATCCAACTTCTCGGTCGAGTAAGTTAAGTAAGTTAGTTTTTTGTAAGGCCATAAGCGGCTGAGCCACTGACCTCAGCACCTCAGCTCGAAAGACGACTCCCGGTCGGGTTCTGATGTGGCCATACTCCCAGGCCAGACGCCATCTTGATTTCTGGTCAAACCACCTGTCCAAGGGATCAGCTCCTTTGGGCAGAGCCACTTCTGTCTGAGTGCCCCGATGGTCCCGATGAAGGAAGACCATGTGGTAGGAAAAACCTGTCTAGCCCGTCTGGCAGGGACAGGAAAAACCTTCGGGGGAGAAATAAAACTTCCTCTTCGGCACGGCTTCCCCACAACTGAAGGCCTACTTAGGACAGGAAACAGACCTGTATCTTCAGCTTCATCAGCAATGGGGTCCTACCAGCTCCATAGGAGGTGAGTCTTGGAGTCCAATTTCCGTCAACGTCACCATTTTATTTCTTCGGTCGAGTAAGGAATATGCTTTAAGAATCCTGCTTAAAGATCTTCTGCCTTTTTTCGTCTGAAATTTTGTATGATTTGGGAATGTCCTGCCTATATCTGCAGAAATATCATTTTCTACCTCAGTATTTACATCAATAGTCAGAAGAGTTTGATAATAATTTTCTGGATAATTGCTTTTGAATATTTCAGCTCCAGATATGAGATATCAAAGTTGCCCACGAATACTATTTGGGATCCCTTTTCTGATCCTTGATTTAATTTGTTCAAATCTAAGAGCAAGCTGCTGGGTTCAGTTTTTCATGATAAAATTTCATTCTTGGACCTGAACTTGTTCTTTTTGGGCTTCTTTTGCTGAAATTTTAGGTGGATTTTCACAGATAAAGCCATACTTATCGACTTGGCTGCTATTCATAAATTATAAAATTATATAAAGAACTCTTTAATGACAAAATGCTATAATCTAAAGTATTCTTTATACGGTTTTAAAATAAAATTAGGGATTAAAATCCTGCTATCTTAGATGACTTCATACTATAACTGGATATAACGGTAATTTTATGATAAATAAATGATTAATAAGCTAGGAAATTTTCTATAGCATAGTTAACATTTTGCTGCAAGCTATTAAGTTGAGCATGCAACTCATTCTTAATTTGGTCTGCTGTATTAACCACATCTGCCCCATACGCAACTGCTCCAGATCTAATATCTTTTCCAAATACATCAATAATGCGTTTCAAATCCTCCAAAACTTTACTTTCCAATGGCACTCCAGCAGGTATTTCTACTGGCCCTGAATAATCCTGAGTCTCTGCATAGCAAAAAATCAGTGATACCAAGCTTGTTAAAATCGTTATAGGAACACTGATTTTTGGTATTGCTTCATAATTAATGACTTTCCCTGTATTTTTTTGATTAAAATCATCAAAAATTTTCAAAGGCTTTTCAAATCACGATTTCATGCTAAAAATCAAAGAATTTCTGATATAGAAGTTTCCTATGTTTGGCGCTGTAAGGCCGATAAATTCTGATCGGAATTTATCGGTAGGTTGCACCAAATCAATGCCTTGGTCGGACCAAAAAGCGATTTGGTCCGACGAACTTGGAAAGCTCCTGGGAAAATGTCTGCGCTTTTAGCGCTATATAGAGGAAACCTCTATATCATTTCTCATAGTATTTCAATAGATGACTAATGGGCTATTTATTCAGCTGCTACTGTCATTTTTAAAATTATCAAAAATGGCCTCTTTGTTTTTATGATAACAACGGTGCACAATAATTTTAAAATCTTTTAGAAAAGGCGACTCACCATCATTGGAATTTGACATAAAATATTTTGGTAAATTAATAGACTGTATATCCTCTTCCCTGAGTTTTTTACAAATTTTAGTAAATGGCTCTTGGATTTCTGCCCAAACCCAATTTTTCCAATACTCATTTATTAGATCATTATTAATTGATAGTGATGGACGAGATTCGTCTTGGCGGACAATGATTTTTGTATATTTCTTTTTTTCTTCAATTGAAAGTATGATAAAAGGAAAATAAGGCAGCAATAAAATTTCATTTGCATTTTCATAGTCAGGGATTAAGCTTTTAAGATGTATGTGAGGGTGAGGCAAATATTGTGGAAAATGGATTTCAAAAAGAGCATTTCCTAAGTGTCCTTCATATCTTTTCAGTGATGCGAAGGAAAAGCTGCTCCAATAACCTGTTTGACCTTGAGAGTAATTTAATAAACTGCTAGGCGGAATATAAGCTTCTCTATATAGAATGCAAGCTTGCTGAGTCATTAACTCTGGCTTTAATTTTAGAAAATAGAGGCATCCATTTGTGATATTGCTTATTCTGTGATAATAATTTCTATAAAGACAGTCATTAATGTGCTCAAAAAATGGACTTTGCATATAACCTAAAACTGTAGCCTTAGCTTTCCTCTCAATGAACAAACAAAGTTATTTTATTCTATTTATATTTGCAACTATAATTAATAATGAGAGCAAAAATTTAAAATAAAAATTTTTCTATCAATAAAAATGACTTTGTTTAAATAGTAAGTAAATTATCTTGATTTTTTTCGAAAATACTGGAAATTTGTTGGAAATCATTCTGCTGTGGGCTTAAAGCTTGAAATTCGTTTAATAGATCCTCTCTTTTTATTTCTTGATTTTGAAGATTTGGCTTTAAAAGCCAATAGAAATTAATATCAAGTTGGTTGATAGAGGAAAAAGCCAACTTCAATGCTGGATCAATTTTTATAGAGACTGCTAGTTCAGGAGGCTTTATTTTAATTCCTACACTAGACTCTATTTGATTTCAATCTCTTACTGCTCGCTTAACAACATCTGCAAAGCAAGAGCTTATAAGGGATTTTATTTTTGGAAAAGCAGTCGCCCATTGCTGATGGAGGTTACTTAAAATTAAAAAATTAAATTGTCCATAAGTGGGCTTGTCAAAACTGGCTAGGTCTGCATTGCCCTACTGTAGTCACTCTATATGGCACTCTGGCTCTACCTAGCAATCTAGCAGTCGGGCTCTACCTAGTAGCCTGGTAATCTGACTCTACTTGCTCTGTCTGGCAGCCTGACTCTATCAAAGTAAATTTTCTAGGTTTTTGAAATAACAATTTAATTGCAGTATGATATTATATGAAAATGCAATAAATGTACTAGTATATTTACAGAAAATGATATTTTAAAAAGACCTATATCTATATTTCATTGCTGCCAATATGTATAATTTTATCAAGTCTATAGCATATTTCAGTGATTATAGAGGAATAAATTGCCGATAAAATTGAGAAAAAGGATTTAATACTCAAAACATATCGTATTATTATAATAGTACTAGAAATAATAAATTACTATGATTCGATCAAAAAGCTATATAATTGCAATCATTTATAAAATCAAGTTATATTATCATCAAATACATTTAAAATATTAGGAGAAAACTAAACTTCCCTCTTCAACAAGGCATCCCCAAACCTGAAGACCTACTTTAAAAGGAGCAAAGGCCCTTTTTTCAGCTTCATCATGGCGGGTCCCACCTGCTCCATAGGTAGTGCCCTCGGAGACCAACTTCCATTAACATCACAATTTTATGTCTTAAAGGAGGTTAGGATTGCCACAAAAAACCAGGATTTCAACTATACAGGAATAATCATGGACTTTCTGGACAAGCTCTTTGCCATTTCGACCTGATGTTACAAGAATTCATTTGTTTTGAGAGTTGGCTAAAAATTTTGCTGCTTCTTCAACCGTTTCAAATAGTCTATTATCAATACCTGAAAGATACCGAGACACATATCTTGTGTTTTCTTCGTTGAAAATATTTGGATCATGCCAGACAACTTTTAAAGACTCCATACTTTCTCTAAAATTTATTTAATAAAACTAATTCTTTATTAATTTCGTATAGAATTAAATTATCTAACTCCCCCCTCCGTGAGTGAACAAAAAAATTTCGTTCACTCACGGAGGGGGGTTAATTTTTTTTTTTCGAAATTTAAAATAATCCTAATTTGCAAAAATTGGAAAGCAAATAAAAATTTAATTTATAAAATTTATGTTTTAAAAAACAATTTGTTTAAAATTAAACAGAATTAGCTCTAGATTTCATTATACTAATTATCACCTATATATCAAATTTTTTTCCATAAAAAATTTTTGTTCACTCACGGAGGGTGGGTTTTTGGGCAAAAAATAGCGATTTTTATGGTTTTGTTCACTCACGGAGGGGGGGGGGGAGTAAAGAAGTACGTTTTCAAGGGACTGATGAATTTTGAGTTTCAGTTCTTCAAGCTGTCTATTAAGTTCAATTTTTATTTCATTATTTGTTTCTTCAATTCCTTCTCTATAGCCATAAGTCCCATGCCTTATTGCTCTTATCAATTCAGATATAAAGGTATCAATATATATAGAGGACTCTAATTCACCTTTGGTTTCTTCATGGATAGTGCTTTTAACTTGTGAACATGAGGAAAAATGGCTCACGGTGGCAAGATTGAAAACCTTTGAAATTAGATTTCTTAACAGTGCATCAGGTATATTAAAAGTGGTTATTGTCTCGTAGCTCATTATTTTTATGAAATTGTGCTTAATTCTTTCAAATTCCAAGTCAAAAATATTTTCAATTCTTGCTTTTATGTGAAAAACTGCAGAGTTCAGGAGGTCATCTTTCATGATTTTGACATAATCAAGTAATGATCCACTTAATGAATTATTAAGTTTTTTAATTTCAGGTTCGTATTTCTTATAAGTTGCCCGAATTACTTTTTCAAAATCTTTTGAAAAACTTGGAGCAGAATTGTCTGAGTCGAAATCTTGACGAAAATACGCGACTAAATCGATAGAGTTGGTGACTTTATTTCTAATGGTGTCACATATTTTGTCAATCAGAGCTATTTAATCTAAATATGCATTATTCGATTTTCTGGTCTCCCTAACGAAAATTCTTCTTTTTTGTATTTTTATTATAAGGTTTTGACTTAACTTCAGTCAGATTTTATCATCAAAAATATAGTATCAAAGCTTAGTGATCGTAGTGATAGGGGCTTTCTAGAGGTATGGAATTTTCTAGAAGTGTGTCAATATAGGGTGGAGGAGGTTGTGCAGAGTTACCCAAGAGCCGAAAGGACAGCTATTTAGGAGCAGAATATCGGCGAAAGCAATCTTATTGATGACGAAGATCAAGTCAGTCACTGTCGTGGCTTTTATAGGCAATATGAGCAGGTGTTATACTTAATGCTAATGATTAAATAAGTCAATCGGAGTTATAACTTCTGCTTCTAGTCTTGCTCTTCAATAGTTTATTAAAGTTTGGCTGTTGATAGCAAGAGATGGATGAGTTTGGTCTTGCTCAATAATTATATGCGTCATTTTCCCTATTTTTCTGATATTAGTAATAACTAACGGGAAATAAGGTAAAAATAGGACTTCTTGCTCATCCTCATACTCAGACCATGCCCCTGCAATTATATGAGGATGGGCTTCATTTTCTTGCAAGTGTATCTCAAAAAGAACATTCCCCTTAAAAGGAGGACTCAGCGCAACTTCTTTTCTCATAGCTGTACTAGTAAAAGCAGGCCAAAAGCCTTTTTCACCTACAGTGAGTTTTTTCAAAATATTTTCTGGGATTTCTACACCTCTTCATAAAACTGTTGGATTGTGAAGCATTAATTCTGGCCTGTTTTTCAGCTCTAATAGGCAAGCTGCTGTTATGTTCATAACTCTCCCATATACATTTTTGGCATAGCATTCATTTAACCTTTTATAAACTACATCTGATGTATATGTATATACAAAGGATCTCAATAAATCGTTAGGGTATAAGCCGAATTTTCCTTCAATTTCTTCTTTATCTTCATCAGCTATCCCAAAACTTCTTAGCTCACTAACTCCCTCTGGAGTGGCCAAGCTATTGGTAAAACTCCATATTTTGAGAAAGCAGTTACTTGAAAGCTAGCAAAAAAATATTTTTAATCTAAATTTTTATAAAAAAGATTGCGCCTTTTTGAGCACAAGCATGAGAGCTACATTGGTGGCTGCTTCGTATTTTTCCAAGCCTGAGATACAAAATTGGCCACCAGATGATCTATGTGCTTGTGCCCAAAAATGCATAAAACACAATATTTTGATATATAAATGATAGATGCTATTAGCTATCTGTTAAATTTTTAGTAGCTTGCATTTTAAACATAAATTTTGCGCAATTAATAAATTTTTGCAGATTTTTAAAATTTCGAAAAATTTTATGGCCTCTGTAAGATAGCAAGATTTTTTGCTCGCTCACGAAGTGGATGAATAAGAACAGCAGCTCTAGGAATGGCTTCATTCTTTAGTGCCAGCTTACAGATCTGCAAAAAGCTCATTTCCAGCTCTTTTTCCATATGATAATAAGCTTTTTTTCTGATCTTTTCTAATCTCAGAGGGGCGGTTGGAGAACCACATGAATCGATTTCGAGGGCCTCTATAATTTGATCATATTCTTTGGTTCCTTTTTGAGTCATAAATAAAACGTTATAAGCAACTAACTGATCCCAAATTTTTCTGGCTTGTTCTACCACCCTTTTAAAACTTTGAGTTTCAACTCTTTTTATTCTATTTTTTAATAGTTATTATTAAAATATTATAAAAAAAATGCTTTTTAATAAAAAAGAGGTAGGGCCAAGAATTATTTAGAAGAGGATACTTTTTTGAAGGCAGATGACCATTGCTTGTTGTATTCATAATTTCCACAAAATATTATGATACCAATTACAGCCGGTAAATCATGGATTTGCACAACAAGCTCTTGGCCATTGGTCCCAGATGTAACGAGAATTCATTTATCCTTTGTTGTGGATAAGAATTGGGCTGTTTCGGAGACAGTTGCAAAGGCTTGGTATTCTAATTGAGATAAGTGATCTTTAATATAGCAAGAGTTCTCTATATTAAAGATGCTGGGATCATGCCATACAATTTTAGTTGATTCCATATTATATAAATCTTCTATAGATTTTTATGTAAATAATTAACTACTGTCGAACTTTTTGCTTATAATACCAAATTTTTATTAACCCCACCTGATTATTGCAAAAATGCTAGAAAAAAGCCGCTTTTAGTGCAAGCAAAACATTTTTATAAAATAATTAAGCGATAATTATTATTTGAATCTTTAGTTAATTATATTATTCTAAATAGCTTGCACTTTTAAACCTATCCAATTAATTCGTAAAAAAATTTACTATAATTTATATATAAAATTAAGCTATCGAAAGTGAGTAAAATTTTTTCACTCAAGATGGGGGAGTAAGAAAAATATTTTTATTAGTTATAAGGCAAAAGTTATAATTTTATTTCAAATGCATTAGCGATCATCTCATATTTTTATTCTTTGCAATATCCGTGAAGGATTCAATGCGAGTAACTTCTGACTGATTCATAATAATTTTAGCTTGGTCTAAAACATTTTTAAAGCGAGTGGATTCTACTAATTTCACTTTATAGAAAGCAGACGATCACTGCATGTGGTATCTGCTACTCCTGCAAAATATTATGATGCCAATTACAGCTGGAGAACTGTGGACTTGCTGAACAAGGCTTTGACCATTTGTGCCTGATGTAACAAGAATCCATCTGTCATTGGTTGAAGAAAAAAATTGGACAGTTTCGAAAACAGTCGTAAAGGCTCGGTAGTCTATTTGAGTTAAAAATTGTGTGATATATTTAGAATTTTCGGTGCCAAAGACATTGGGATCGTGCCATACAATTTTGATTGATTCCATCTTTATTACTATCTATAATTTTATTTAAAGTTCTCTTGCAATATAAATTTTTATTGTTTGCCTATTTTAGATCTTCATCCATAAATAGAACATTTAACTCCTCGATTGGCTAGCGAGTAAAATCATTACTCCCCCCCTTTAAATTAAAACAATTTTTTTTTTCAATAGGAAAATTTTATAGGTAAAAATACTAATTTTAAGAAATTAGTTTGTCGTAATTTGTGTGAGCAGAATATAATTTAGAGTGTTGTCTCACTAACTCCCCCCCCCCCCTCCGTGAGCGACAAAAAAATTTTTGTTCGCTCACGGAGGGGGTTAATTTTTTTTTTTAAAAAAAATTTATATATAAATTTTATAAAAATATATTTTTTCGAAATTTAAAAAAATCCTAATTTGCAAAAATTGGGAAGCAAATATTAATTTAATTTGCAAAATTTATGTTTTAAAAACGCAATTTGTTTAAAATTAAACAGAATTAGCTCTAGATTTCATTATACTAATTATCACTTATATATCAAAATTTTTTTCCATTAAAAATTTTTTCTATTAAAAAAATTTTTGTTCACTCACGGAGGGTGGGTTTTTGGTCAAAAAATGGCGATTTTTCTAATGGTTTTTTGTTCGCTCACGGAGGGAGGGGGGGGGAGTAAGTAGATTAATGTTTTGAGTTAAAAATTCATCAAAATAAATCAATCCAAAGTATTACGCATTTTTATTTTTTTTAAATAAAATAATTAACTAAACTTTTAAATTTTTAAACTAGAAAAATTTTTTTTTCCAATTTAAGGAATCAGTTATTTTTTAATAATGTCAACCCTATAATTAAAGATTCTAGTTTTGACTCTTTTCAACTTATTAAGGGCATTATATTATTGCTTTAGTCATCATATTTTTAGCAAAGATTTTAATGACAGTTATAGATGAAAAATTTTGGAATTATTGAATAAGCTCTTAGCCATTAGTTCCATATACAAAGCTAACTGATTCGTTAGTGACTGATGATAAAAATTGGACAGTTCTAGGAATAGTTGCAAAGCTCAAATTATATTTGAGATAAGCGTTATCTAATATAGCCAAATTAGATATCGAATATTGTCTATTTTATCATAAAATGTTATAGGTTTATAATTTAAATTACTGCAAAAACTAATAATCTTCATAAAAATAATATCGTTAGTTGCTTGTTTAAAAACAATGCAGCTTGCATGTGGAATCTTTTCGACGTGTGAAAAGACTGCACATGTGAAATCAAAAGGGCTTCACAAGTGGAATCATCTTTTCACACGTCAAAAAGATTCCACATGTAAGTTGCATTGTTTAAAAAAAGCAACTAACGATATAAGTTTATTGCAGATCCCAAATTTCTCTAGCTTTCCTGAAAACTTTTTTTAAGCTTCCGGTTTCTACTCGTTTTACCTTATTAAAAGCAGAAGATCACTGACTGTGGTATTTATAATTCATGCAGAAGATTATGATGCCAATTACTGATGGAAAATTATTAACCTGTTGAACAAGTTCTTGTCCATTAGTCCCAGAGGTAACAAGGATTCATTTTTCAGTAGATGTTGATAAGAATCGGACAGTTTCGGGAACATTTCTAAAAGCTTATATTGTGCTGGAGATAAGTTATTTACGATATAGCAAGAGTTCTCTGGGCCGAAAATATTAGGATCATGCCACACAAGTTTAACACCCTCCATGTTTTATAATCCTTCTATAATATTTTTATATCTAATCATTTATATATCATTTTACTTTTTGAAATGTAGTAGTTTATTATACAGAATATATGAATATGAAGATTGAAATAAATAATTTTATTAATGATGAGGAATATAGGGAATCATATAAATACATAATTCAGTTTATTTTTATTTTTTCTTGACATCATTTAGTTAGAATCAAAATTTTTATTGTCTTTAAGATTATATAAATATTTTCTGAAAATCTTTTTCTTAAATATACAATCCTTAAAAGCTGATATCTTATCTTAGAGCTATCAATTTTTATTCCTCGTTTATCTTGTTTAAAATGAATTCCTAACTCCTACCAGATATTAAAATATTTTATATTCTAAAACTCTTTGCTCGCTAACAGGGTGTGGTTATTTTGGTTTTGCTTGCTATAATGATGGGTCAAAATATGCATAAATTTAATTTGAGACTTATTAGAGTTTCAAATTGGAAACTCTCTTTATCAAAAAATTAAACAAATTCTAATTTAATCATCAAATATTATTTTATTAGTCCTAAAGAAGCACGTTTTCAAGAGACTGATGGAGCTTGCTTTTTAATATTCCAAGCTGTCTATACAATTCATTTTTAATTTCTTCATTTTTCTTTTTGATCTCTTCCTTATTACGACCGATCCCACCCTCCACTGCTTTAATCGTTTCTTTTATAAAGATCTTAAGATATATAGATGACTCTGTTTCTCCTTTACTTTCTTCGTAAAAATTTTGTCTCACTTCTGGTATCGTAGAAAAATGACCCATCTCTGCTAATCTCATAATTTTCGTAATTAGTTCCCTCACCATAGCACTAGGAACGCTAAAAGTTGTTATCACTTCATATCCCATCATCTTTATGATATTGTCTTTAATCTTCTCAAAATATTGATCAAAAACTATTTCAATATTTTTTTTGATATAGGAAACTATTGAATTCTCTATATCGTTTTTCATTATTACTAAATATTCAATCAGAGATCCACTTACAGAGTCATTTAACTTATGTATTTCGTTCTCGTGCTTCTTATAAGTTATGCGAATTATTTTTTCAAAATCTTTAGTAAATGGCATGACTGAATGATCTAAGGCTAGATTTTTTTTAAAATATGCAGGCAAATCAATAATGATGATAGCTTTGTTTCTAATGTTATCACATATTTCATCAATAGGCATCATAACTTCTGTCTCTATTCTTGACCTCCAGTAGTTTATTAGAGTTTGGCTATTAAAAGCCAGAGACGGATGAGTTGGGTCTTGGTCGACAGTTATCACTGTAACATTATCTGCTTTTCGAATATTAGTGATCACTAACGGAAAATAAGGCAACAAAAGGACTTCTTGCTCTGATACATAATCAGACATTGGTTGCGCAAATATATGAGGGTGAGGCTCACTCGCTAGCAAATGAATCTCAAAAACAACTGTAGCCTGAAAATAAGACCTTCTTGCAACATCTCCTCTGGTAGATGCGCTTGTAAAAGCAGGTCAAAAGCCTCTTTGTCCTACAGTAAGCTTCTCTAAGTCTTTTTCGGAAATATTCACACCTCTATAAAGAACAGTTTGATTCTGAAGCATGAGTTCTGGCCTTGATTTAAGCTCTAAAAGGCAAGCAGCTGTAATGTTCATAACTCTTGAGTAATCATTAGCTGCATAACATTCATTTAACCTTCTAAAGACTAAATCACTAGTGTATATATGAACAAAAGACCTTACTTCCCCCCTCCGTGAGTGAGCAAAAAAATTTTGTTCACTCACGAAGGGGGTTAATTTTTTTAAAAAAAATTTATATATAAATTTTATAGTAATTTTTTCGAAATTTTCAAAAAATCCTAATTTGCAAAAATTGGGAAGTAAATATTAATTTAATTTATAAAATTTATATTTAAAACGCAATTTGTTTGAAATTAAACAGAATTAGCTCGAGATTTCATTATAATAATTATCACTTATATATCAATTTTTTTTCATAAAAAATTTTTTCTATTAAAAAAATTTTTGTTCGCTCATGGAGAGTGGTTTTTTGGGAAAAAAATAGCGATTTTTCCAATGGTTTTGTTCCTCAGGAGGGGGTGAGTTAGTAAATCATTAGGGTACAAGCCAAACATTTCCTCAACCCTTGCTTTATTTTCATCAGTTATTGCAAAGCTTTTAAGTTCATTAAGGACATCTGATCTTGGAATAGCTTGATTCTTAAGTGAAAGCTTACAAATCTGCAAAAAACTCATTTCTAGCTCACTTTCCATATGGTAATACGCTCTATGACTGAAGCTATCACATGCTATTTGGCTACTTGGAGTCCCAACTGTATTTATTTCAAGTGCATTAATTATTTGGTCATATTCTATTTTTCCTTTCTGAGTCATAAATAAAGCGTTATATGTTACTAACTGATCCCAAATTTTTCTGGCTTCCTGGAGAACGTTTCCAAAGTTGGAGATTTCTACTCTTTTTACCTTTTTGAATGCAGAAGATCATTGCTTGTGGTATGCATAATTATTGCAGAATATTATGATACCAATTACAGATGGGAAATTGTGGACTTGCTTAACAAGTTCTTCGCCACTTGTCCCGGATGTGACAAGAATTCATTTTTCAGTAGTTGATGATAAAAACTGGACAGCTTCAGTAACAGTTGTAAAAGTTTTGTATTGTAAAGGAGATAAGTGTTCTCTTATATAGCGATAATTCTCTTCGCCGAATATATTAGGATCATGCCATACAATTTTAGTTGATTCCATAATTTATTTAATTCCTTCTATATTTTTGATTAAAAAGTGTTTTCAATAAATATCATTTGCTTTCGATAATCTTTATAAATAATTTTAAGCTTGTCCTTTATAAATTTCAAAAGCTATTACTTATACAACTACCTATTTCTATGCTGTTTTATCAGTTTATTTTAATTTCATTATATTTATCGCTAATATTTTCGAAAATTAATTAATTTCTTTGATTATGCCTCTTATTCTAGCTGAATTTCTGTCATCAATATTCTGCTTTCTATATCAAGCATATATTCGTTTGATGCTCAAGCGACTATTATTTCAATTAAACCTTTCAATATTTTTTCAGTCATTTTAAATCATTTTGAAGTCATTTTGATTCAGAGCTATACCTTTCCAAAATCATAATTTTCTTGAACTCATTCTCAAAAATATTTTTAAAAGAATACTATTAAATCCACAAGATTATTTTTATAACATCAGCGCATTTAGACCAATTTTAGCTTGAGTAATCTAACTCCCTCCCCCATCCTTGATCGAACGATTGACTGTAAAAATTCCTAAAAATTGGGGAAATTAACCCCCATCCTTGATCGAACGATTTTAATATCATGCAAATTTTTATATATATAAAAATATATTATTTATCAAAAGCTTGGGAAGATGTACACAATGAAGTTGTTTTCAGAGCTTTGAGACGACAGAAAGCTGCGAAATCGACCATCCGAAGTGATTTAGTTATCAACATAGGCTTAAAAACTCAATAATCTAATAAAATACAGATTCTTTAAAATTTTTTTTAAAAAAAATTAATTTAATAAGGAACAAATTAAAATTTTATACAATTTAAAGGGGTAACTAATAAATCAAAATATTAAAAATTGGTATTTTATGAAATAAATTAAAATTTTTTGCTGTAAAAATAATTATTAAATATTCTTAACCTCTTATTTAAAAGTAAATAAAAAAAATATCTATATATTTTTTTATTTTATATATAATTTTTTTTTCCCGAAAATTTTTTTTTTTAACCCCCATCCTTGATCGAACGATGGCGAGTCGTTCGATCAAGGATGGGGGGGGAGTAAGTTATTTTTCACAAATTGCGTAATAACTTGATTAATTAATCCAGACATTTTGTGAGTAGGACATGCCATACAATTTTAATGCTTCCACATTTTATTATGATTTTCTAATTTTTATTCCATATTTTACTCGTAAGATATATTTGCTGCTGTTCTTTTCAGCCAAAAACATTCTGAAATAAGAAAAATTCATAAAAATTAGTAAATTATGATAATAATTTTATTCCTCTTAGCTAAAGAAGTACCGATTCTAATGACCTCTTTATTTCTCCTTCTAAAGTTTCTAATTGGCTTCTTAGCTCACCTCGGAGTTTTTCAGTCGTCAGTTTAATAGAGTTTTCATAAATCATTACAGCTGATTTCATTATCTTTACAATTGCATTGATAAAAGTATCTAAATATCCCCCAGAGTCACCCTTTTTGAACTCTTCGAGCAGCGCTTTTGGCTGGGCTGTAAAACTGACTCCTCCCGCATAATGAAATATAGAAGAAGTCGCCTCTTTGAGTGTTTGATGTGGAATATAAAAGGATGTGAATGCTTGGTTGCTGATTATCTTGACAATATTTTTCTTAATTCTCTCAAATTCAAATTCAAACACTTTTTCTATATTAGCTGTAATGTGGTCAATTATAGAATCTTCTATATCGCTTTTCATGACACCCCAATAAGTAAATAACGACGAACTATCTTCAGAGCTTTTCATGGATTCTTCTATACAGGCTTTATTTTTATTGTAGCAATTTTTGATGACATTCCTCAAATCTTTTTCAAACTGAGGAACATCTTCATGCTCCCACCCAGCTGATTTAAAATATAATAATAAATCAACAGAGTTTGCAACTTTTTCTCTGATTCTTTGACAATAGTTGTTGACTGGGATTGAAATTTCGTTTTCTATACGTCCTCTTCAGTAATTAATAAGAATTTCATTATTGAAAGCTAGAGAAGGATGATTTTTATCTTGTTTTACTTTTATTTCAGTGTAATTTCCGCCACTAGATTGTTTTAGTTGAATTGATTTAATAACCAAAGGAAAATAAGGTAGCAGTAGCACTTCTTTTTCATCAGGGTATACAGACCAATCCTCAATACACATATGAGGATGCGCATTCTTTTTCGATAACTGAATTCTAAACAGCACATTTCCTCCGAAAGCTGGACTTCTTGCAACTGCTCGCTCTTTAGAAGTGCTTGTAAACGCACTCCAAAAGCCAGTTTTCCCAACCTGATAACTCTTTAAATCTTCTTCAGGGATATTTGCCCCTCTATAAAGCACTCTGCCTGGAGGCAGCTTTAATTCATATCTATCTTTTAGTTGTAGGACACAAGCTGTTGTAATATTTACCACGCTTTTATAGTTATTAGAAGCGTAGCAGTCATTCAGCTGGTTATATATCAAATTTGATGAATAAACGGTCACAAATGACTTTAATAAATCATTAGGGTACCTGCTATACTTATTTTCAAGCTTTGCTCTTTTATTTTGTGATTGTAAAAGGCAGAGAAGTTCATTAAATACAGCTTGACGATTAATCTGGGAGGTTTTCATAGTAAGCTTGCAGAGTTGTAAAAATCCCATCTCAAGCTCATCTTGCCAGTGGTAGTAATTTTTTTTGGCTTTTACTTGAGATTCTGAGGAGTGATTAGGATTAATTGCAGAGATTAATTGGCCAACAGCTGCACTTGGATTAGGGACAGCTTGCAGAGCTGAGCTAGTTACATATCTGTTTCATATATTTTTAATCTCATCTAAAGCTGGCTTAAAGCCAAAGCCTTTAATAACTTTGATAAGAGGGAAATTTTGTGCTCATTCCATATCATAAGGATCAGGCCCGATAAAAATAACTATACCTAATAGATTTGGATGCAAATAAAATGATGACACTGAAAGAAATTTGAGCCTGAGGTGGACTCCTATGGAGCATGTGGGACCTTGAAAATAGGTCTTCTGTTTCTCTTTGAAATAGGCCTTCAGGATTGGGTTTACTTCGGAAGGGGGAAGTTTTGCTTTCTCCCCAAAGGTTTTCCTGTCCTTACCATTGGCTAGGCAGGTTTTGCCTACCATATTTATCCTTATTGGGATCATCGGGGCACCTCACAGACAGTAGTGCGCCCTATGGAGCTAATCCCGTGGACAGGCAGTTCAGCTCAGATATCCAAAAGGGCACCTTTTGGAGTCAAATAGACGACGGCTAGTAGGTTTACCCACTTTTAGCCAGAGTAACCTTAACCTTGACATTAATAGATTTGGTGAGTTGTAAACTCGATTAGCAAGCTCGTAACCGTTTGACCCAGAAATAAGTAAAATCCAATTGTCGCTTGTTGTAGCAAAAAAGTCAGCTGCTTCACCAATGTCTGAAAATACTTTTACTTCGTGCGCAAAGAAAAATCGTTGAGGTCAGTCTCTATTTTCAGGTTTTTTGATATCTGGATGTTGCCAGACAATTTTGTATCTATCCATCATTATGTAAAATAGTTTTTATTAATATAATTTATCAGGAATATAAGTTTATCAATTTAAAAAGCAAGATATTTTAGCAAATTTTTGAGAAATAGACGAAAGGAAAGATAAATTATTTATAGAATAAAAATGGTTTATTGAAGGGGTCAAAGATTCTATCCATATTTTAACAGCAAAAATTAATTTGAAGTCCATGCCAACTGTGAACAGATTCAGAAACCAAATCTGTATAGTCTCTGCAGAAAGTAAAACCGCCTTTTTGATAGCTGAAAGAATAGGCCAAGAAGGCAGAAAAATTGTTATAAATTCAAAAAATGTGTGGGAAACTAAAAAAGCTATTAATAATAAAGAAAAGGAATTACAGTGGAATGCTGCAGATATAATATTAAAAATGAATCACAACATTTAATAGATTTTACTGTAGAGACAAGAGATCACTAGTGCAAAACAGCTTTTATGAAGTTTATTTCAAAACTTCCTCTCTCTAATAAACCTTCAAAAATTCGCTATCAAATCTTATCAAACGGCAAAAAATATTAGAAGATAACCAAAATAATCGGGCTATCTGATTTGGATCATTCTATAATGAACGGCTAATTTGCTGCTCTCACCTATGTCCTCGAGATATATAAATAAAAAACTTGAGATGCAGCTGTATCAACCTTAAATACTGAGCTAAATAATGAATTTTCGGGGAAAAAAAATTCCCAGCAATAATAGAATATTGAATTTTATTATTTTTATTCTTAAAAAATTACTTAATTAATTCAATTAACTGCAATATCCAATTAATTAAAGTTTACTAACTCTTCTCCCGTCCTGGGCCAAATGATGAGAAACTCGATCAAGTTAGTGCCAAAAGAAATTCTGAAAAGCATAATTTATAAAATGAGATATATTAATTCAATTGTTTTAAAGCCAATTTTGCAGATTATTAATAAATTGCAGTAAATTTTTTTTTCGGCTCAAACCCACTATTATTTTTCATAACTGTTAACTAATCTAACGATTTTATTATATAAAAATCACAATATATATAAAAATAATTTGATCAAATATGAAGGCAAATTTTCCAAAATTTATATAGATCGATTAAGAATAATATTCTGGAACTCAGAAAAATCAATTTCTCCATCCCCATTCAAATCGACTTCATTCACAATCATATTCCACAAGCTTTTTTCAGTCTGCGCTCCTCCTTCCAAAATCCTCTTCAGTTCCAGTGTCGATATTTTTCCACTTCCATCTTTATCAAACACATCAAAGGCAACCTTTAAATTTTCTGCAGACATTGCAGTTTTCAAATCTAGCGTTGCCTTTAAAAATTCTGTATAATCAATAAAGCCATTATTATCAGAATCAGCCTCTGCCATAATCCTATTGACTTCAACCTCAGCCATTTCAGGACCCATGGTTCTTACATATTGGGCTAGCAGCTCTTCTTTGCTTAATTTCCCATCCCCATTGGTGTCCATAGCGCGGAAGGCTTCTCTCATGTCTTTTGTATCTTGCTGAGAAATGCACTGGGTTGCTATGAAGGTTTGGACTGCGTCTCTTAGCTTGTTGTTATTGTGGAAACCTTTCAGGTTAGATAATGCAGATTGCATTACTTGGACGCTGGGAAGGGAGCGTGAAGCGTTTGCGGCGATTCATGGGTGGAGTAAAGCAGCTGGTGCAGTAAGACGATTTGCTGGGGGGCATAGAAGGGAAGAGATTAAGTCTTTGGCTTCTCTTGAAATGTTTCTTCATGCTGCACCAGCAAAGGAGTAGTTCCCTTTTTTGACTTTTTCGATGATATCGTCATCGGTTTTTCCGTCAAATGGAGGAACACCGGATATTTGATTTTTAATAAATTTACTAAAAAATAAATATTTATATGCGAATAGCATTTATTGTGTATGAAAATAATTTCTTACCTTCATTAATTAGCAATTATCTTTATTTTATAGGAAAGATAGAATAAATAAAGTCTTAAGAGACTAATTTAACTATAATATATTACAATATAAAAAGAATAATAAAATATAAATAATTACCCCAATACTCCACATATCACACTTTTCGTTATAATATCCCGTCAGCACTTCAGGAGCTATATAATAAGCAGTTCCCAGAGCACCTCTAATTGTTTTATTTTTTTCTAAAAAAACAGCAGTACCAAAATCAATCAGCTTGATATTCAAAATATCCCCTCGTTCCTCAAGCAAGATATTTTCTGGTTTCAAATCTCTATGAACTATTCCACGGTCATGTAAATATGCAACTGCTGATAAGATTTGTTGGACTATCTGTGCTGCATGGACTTCTCCAAAAGATTGTCGCTTAAGGATCTCTTCAAATAGTTCGCCACCGTTGCAATGCTCCATAACTATATATACCATTTATGGTAAATTATCATTCATAGCAAATTATATAGTAAATTTACCTTAAAATGGTATAAAAAACGCTTCGGGTCTTCAAAGAATTCATAAATTCGAATAATATTTGGATGATCAAGACTTTTAAGGATGTCTATTTCGAGATTTAATTTTTGTTTGGCTTCTTCTGTTTTCGCAAGATCTTTTCGGAATATTTTTGCAGCTCTTGTCGCATTTGCGTGGCGATGTACTACTCGCCGAACTTCTCCAAAAGCGCCGGTGCCTATACTGCGGCCTATTGAGTAGATTTCTTGAAAAGGGTTCGGATTGTGCTGAACAAAAGCACTTTTTTGGACTTTCAGGTCTTTTACTGTGACAATTTTTGAATTATCTGATTTCGATTTGCTTTGATAGCAGCCCATATTAATTTAAAATTTATTCCATTTGCCTATATTCCTACATATAAATTTTTTTTTAATTTTATTTTTTATTTATTACCCAAAGCTATAAAATATTAACCAAATTTTGATATAAAACTTTGGAATGCAAATCAGAAGAATTATTAATAAATATAACCTAGGATCATAATTAAACTTTCGCCTTTGTTAATGAGAGATATCTAAAAGTGGGATAATTAAAATGATGAAAGATTATTATTCTAGCCACCCTTCAGCTCCTTCAAGAGCTAATAGAAGTGGCTATGATAGTCCCCACAATTCGCGCTACTCAGAATTTAACCAAGATGATGATCCAGACAATGCTAGCAAAAGACAAGAAGAACTATCGCAATGCGATAGTTCAAGAAACCATGAAGATATGGTGCCGATTATATAAAAATATCTTATATTTCCGATTAGAAAAAATTGCTGAATTTGTTAATAGGAAAATAAAGGAGAAATACTATAGCTTACTCACATATTTTCAAGAAGCTCTTGGAAACAAATTCACAGAAATGCTTAGTTTTCATAAGGAACTGATTTCTGAATATAATAAGAGAGATACAATACGAGAAGAGAAAATCAGAAAATTAGTTGATGATATTGCAGATTTATCGAAAAGGAACTCACAGCTGCAAGTTGAAAACCAAAAAATGAGGCAGGTTTTGATGGAAAATAGACATACGTAATGAATTTCGGATTAAATTATCTAGCATTTGTGTATAAGTTCAGAAAATTTTAACTTGCTGATTAACTCTTATAAATATTGATTAAAAGGTAAAGCAATTTAATGACACTAAGCTTCTTAATTCTGTAATTCGAATAAATAATTGATTGAAAATGCGCAGCTTTAATAAGCACTCTTAATAACAGCTAAAAGTCCTACTTTCTTCCACTTAATGACTTTTAATCTGCATTATGAATTCTTCTTTAAAGACCTTCACACAAATATTTAAAATTTCATTTCAAATTTTAATTTTGGTCTAATAATTTGAATTTTAATCCAAAAATACCGCTGATTTTCATAATAACCTCCTAAACCCATAAAGTACAAACTTTAGCTTTGTTCCCCTATCTCAAAAGTTACTCACTGTTTTTCCAACCCAAAATATAATATTTTCTCTTACATATTTTTTTAAAACATTTCTTGCTCCCCTCTCCACAATCCTCCAAACCTTTTAACAGTTTCTACCTATTTTTCAATTTATACTAATTCCTAATAATGGGAGACCAAGAGGCTGATATCTATTCACAATTAGACCAATTAAAACAAGAATACGAAGAGTAATTTTTAATCAGTTACCAATCCCAATCCAAAGAATACGAAGAGCTTCTTGAGTCGGAAGTCGCTGACAAAGAAGAAAAGCTATCTCAAGCCCTCCAAAAATCTTCAAAACTCTCTGAAGAATTGCAATCCTATAAAGAAAAATACCAAAAAAATGAATTCGAAGTCTGTAAACTCCAAAAAGAAATCGAACACCTCAAAAGTCGACTAAAATTATTTGAAGAACAGAAAAGAGAACTTGAACATTTAAATGATCAATGGGAAAACTCAGCAAGAATCCTTGAGTTTTCCAAACAAGACTTAGAAGAAAGGCTGTACCAAGCTGAAGAAAACGCAATTATGTATAAAGGAGAACTCGACGAAATCGCCTGTGCAAAAGAAGTCGAAATTCAACGATTAAAAGAAGAATGCAATGAGCTAAGACAAGAAATCGCCACCTTGGCAGCACAAAAAGGGGATACTACAAGGCTGGCTGAGCTAGAGCAAATGCTGAATAATACACTTAAAGAGCAGGAAGAGCTGAAATCACAATTAGATGTGTCTAGACAGACGAAAAAATCAGGGTCGTCACATATATCGTCGAGGAGGGATTCGATTGATTCTGGGACAAATTCTCCGGCTGAGGCTTGCCAAAGTGTAAAAGTGTTGGTAAAGGTGAGGCCTGTGCTGGAAAGTGATGCGAATAAAGGTGTATGCTTAGCTTATAATGATTCTGGGATACAGGTGAGTACTGTTTTGAGTAAAGAAAAAGGAAAAACGATTACTGATGTGAAAAAGTTTGAATTTGATAGGATTTTTGGCTCAGAATCTAGCATTGATGACTTGTTTTATGACATCACCCCCTCACTCAATATGGTAGCAAATGGAGGAAGAGCTTGCATATTAGCATACGGCCAGACTGGCTCAGGAAAAACCCACACAATGAATGAAGTCCTATCAAAATCTGTAGAAGCTCTAAAGCTACTTATAGGAACTGATTGCCAAATCTTTTTAAACTGCATTGAAATTTATAACGAGCAAGTCAGAAACCTCCTCAGCAATGATGCTCTCAGTAAGAACTGAAAAGAAATAATAGAAATGGCCGAAGTTAAGCTTGATAATGAATGATATGACCAAAGTTTAGTATTAATTCAGCAAGCTGCCTTAAAGCGGTCTACAAAATTCACTGAATCCAATTCCAGTTCTTCAAGAAGCCATTGCATTTATACCTTAAAAATAGTCAAAGGCAAAGATACAGGAATAATTCAATTTGTTGACTTAGCAGGCAGCGAAAGAATAAGCAAAAGCAAAGCAAGTGGGGACGTCTTAAAAGAGACCTTACTAATTAACAAATCTTTGTCGGCCCTACAAGATGTGATTGCTGCTTTAGAGTCTAAACAAAGCCATATCCCATATAGAAATTCTATGCTGACAAGAATTTTGCAACAGACTTTGGGAGGCGAAGAAAGTATGGTCACTGTGATTTTAAATTGCAGCCCTTGTGAGGAAAGCTCTGGAGAAACCATTTGTACCCTAGCGCTTGGGACAAGGCTGAGATCTGTAGATTTAGGATACTCAATTAGAAAAAACCTAAAAAACGAAGAAGTAGAGAGGACACTGAGGCTGTTAGAAAAAGAAAGGGCCGATAAAAATACAATTTTAAGGAAATTAGATAAGCTAGAAAGGGACATAGAAAGCTATGTATATGCTATAAAAGACAGAGACTCAAAAATCGGAGGGCTTATAATAAAATCGAAAAATAAAGAAAAACAGCTCACAGAAGAAAATGATAAATTAAGGAAAGAGTTGATTAGTCTAAAGAATTCACAAGAAGAGTCGAATAAGAAATTAAGAATAATCAAGTCACACGCAGAAAATGAAGCCTTGGCGAAGAATAAAGCTATTCAGCAGCTAAAAACAAAAGAAGCCAGCATGAAAAGAGTTTTAAGTGCAAGCCCGGCGGCTTTTCGAAGGCCTCCTTTAAATTATCAGCCAATTTTGACCTCAAGTCAGTCTACACCTTCAAGGATCCCTCGACCAAAAATTAGAGACCGATCTGCTGAGTCGTGTATGAAAGCTGTTACTGACTCATGGCATTATAATTTTTTACTTTAGTCCTAACACAATATGTAAAAGTTATATTAACGAAATTTCTATGCTAATTTTTAATCCATTTTGCATTAATTTTACCCTCATTATTATTTATTATACTTCATCATATTAATTATTAATTTTTTCATTATTATATTTAAATTTCCCCATTTACAGAGAAAAATATAAAATGGATTTGCTTAAGAGCTTAAAGAACGATTTAAAGACTCTAAAGCTAAACAGCATCCAGCATTTTCAACAGCTGAAAAACAACCCTTATGCTCAAGCTTCATTTGATTCCTTACTAGCTGCTATCCAAAATAAAATAATTGACCGTAATAGAGAATTAGTCAAAATCTGTTTGGAAAAACAAAAAGAAATTGAAGTTCTGAAAGAAAAAGTGCAAAGCACAAAAGAAACTTATTATAAGCATTGCAAAGTTTTGATTAATACTGCAGATAGCTTGGAATCAAAAATAGAATCAGCTCAGTGCTCTCTTGACGTTGCTAAGTCTTGCAGTAACTTTTAATCAGGAAAAATCCCTGTCAAAGAGCTGCTTTTATACGCCCACCGTATTAGTGGTACCGTAAGTGCTCCTACAAACTGAAATAACCGAGAACCGCAGCCAGTCGCTTTTAGAGTTCCAGTCCCTGAGGAGCACGAAATCAGAGCTTCAACATTATTTTATACAGACAATAAAGAAAGAACCCAAAAGCCAATAATCCGAATAACCACCCTTCAAGAGTGCTATTTAGTCACCATTTCTTGTAGTCAACCAAATGCGGTTATTAGATATACACTTGATATAGCATTTTCCCTTAAATTTCCCATTATTTATAATATTTATCAAACATTTTAACCTTTTCAGGGTGAAAATCTATAACTCTTTGCCATCAGTTTTGACTGGAAAAAAGTATGATGCTCCTTTTGATGTTTCTATTGATGCTGATTTTTGTGTAAAAGCTGTGGCTGTCATTCCCGGGCTGAGGGAAAGCGAGATTGCAAGCTCATCTGTACAAGATACGCTATTTCAAATACCTACCAGAACTGATATAGCGGAGCGACCTGTACACACAGTAATAACTACTGAAAAGCTGAATTTAGGGATGGACTTGTCACCATTTTCGTCTTCAAGACAGTCAAGTGACGATGAAAATGACTACTCATCAATGTTTAGCTTTACTAGGTAGAAGCTTATTTAATACAAAATAAAAATATCTTTTTCTAAATAAAGATAAAGGCATTTTTGCATTCCCTATTAAAAATAGCTATAATCAATTATATGGACGAACAAATCAGAAAGCAGCAATTTGATTACAGAAACACTTCAAGCAAAGTTCTTCCGAGTGAACGTGATCCCCGCCAAGCAAATGAGCCAACAGGTGAGGCAGATTCATTGAGAGGGAGAATTGGTAAAATGGGTGACAGATATAGTCAGTCCAAGCCTCCAGAATTGCTTAAAAAAATGTATTCAAAGAAAGTTCCTGTAAAAGCTTCGGTTCAGGCTTCATCAATCCCTGAAGGACTGCTTTATTATCCGAAGACTGCAGAAACGCGTTTGATTTATGAGTCAATGCTGAGTATGATGCAAGGATATTTAGGTGATCAGCCAAATGAAATGTTTAGGGACGCAGTTGACCAGATTTTAGCTGTTCTTAAGACAGAAAATATCTTAGATGTGGACAAAAAAACAGAAATTGAGCTGATAATCGGAAATAAGCTTAATTTAATTGAATTTTGCCTCAAAATAAGTTGATATTTATTAATTTTCAAAGAAAATGGGATTGGAGTTAATTATGCTATTTTTTAATCACTCAAAAACTTTTATTTCTAATGAAGATTTTAATAAGATGTACATGATGTCTAAACAACTTACAGATTATAACCCTGATATCAATGAAAGAGGTGAAATGGAAGAAGACATCGGAGTTCCTATTGTTTTTGACGAAAAAGCTGAAGAAGAAAACAATGAGGAAGATGAAGACATGGATGAAGAAGAGCAACTCGCTATAAATGAAATTCTTGCTGAAGATATAGACTCAGAGTGGTTGAAAATCGAAATTGGAAAATATTTTGATAATATTGATGAAGTTTTGTCTAAAGAAAGCCAAGTATTAGAATATTTAGCTATAGAAGACTTAATCTCTCTTCTCTGAGAGAGAAACAAATTTGCCCCTAAATTTTATATAGAACCATTTATTGGTAATCTAAAATATCCCATTTCACAAAAAATTGAAAAAATAAAATTAGTTAAAATTTTTAAATTTATGGTTTAGAATGCAAAGTATTTAAAATTTAACAGACCATTACAATCGTAATATTGTCACTTATATATCAAAATATTTTTTATCAATTTTATATATTATCTCACAAAGTTTTCTCCCCCCAAAACTTAGGGATTTTTCCAAAGTGTTTTGCTTACTCTCGGAGGGGAATTAAGGAAATGCGAAAACAAGCTCGTTATGGCGCTAGGGTTTAATAAACTTCCTCTCGCTACTTTGTTGCTGGCAAATCGCTATAAGATCCTTATGTGTACTAAGTTCCACAAAGCAAAAAATGAAGATGAGCGACAAGTTGTTATAAAGGAAATGCAAAGTTCCCCAGAAGGGCTAAAAATATTAGAAAAACTCCTCCCGAAATCTCAATACACCACAATTCTACCTAAGCGAGTTTATGATCTTTCTAACCCCCCCCCCCCTCCGTGAGCGAACAAAACCATTAGAAAAATCGCCATTTTTTGACCAAAAACCCACCCTCCGTGAGTGAACAAAAATTTTTTTAATAGAAAAAATTTTAATGGAAAAAAATTTTGATATATAAGTGATAATTAGTATAATGAAATCTAGAGCTAATTCTGTTTAATTTTAAACAAATTGCGTTTTAAAACATATAAATTTTGCAAATTAAATTAATATTTGCTTCCCAATTTTGCAAATTAGGATTTTTTTAAATTTCGAAAAAAATATTTTTTATAAAATTTATATATATAAAAATTTTTTTAAAAAAAAAAAAAATTAACCCCCCTCCGTGAGCGAACAAAATTTTTTTGTTCGCTCACGGAGGGGGGGGGGGAGTAAGCTAGAGTTTGCAGAAGGCTCCTTAACAATGTCTAACACTAAAGTAAAACTTCCCCCAGGTTCTATAAAAAATCAAAACCCAGGCTATGAAGAAGTAATAATCCCACCTCCTCCTGTAAAACCTCAGTCAGGAATTCATCATTCCCAATTTCCCGAGTACATAAAGCCAGCTTTTTCCAAAGTAAAAGAGTTAAACTCCATCCAAAGCGCAGTTTTCCCAAAAGCATATAATAGTGATGAAAATTTACTTATCTGCGCGCCTACTGGAGCTGGGAAAACAAATATAGCCCTCTTATGTATTTTAAATACATTAAAGCAGCATATAAAAAACAACGGGGAACTTGATTTAAATGGTTTCAAAATTATTTATATAGCCCCTATGAAAGCATTAGTATCAGAAACATGTGGAAATTTGAGTAATAGACTGTCGAAGTATGATGTAACCGTAAGAGAGCTTACAGGAGACGCCCAATTAACGAAGCAACAAATACATGAAACACAAGTCATTGTGACCACTCCAGAAAAATGGGATATAGTTACAAGAAAAAGTGGGGAAAGAACGTTTACTGATAAAGTAAAATTAATCATAATTGATGAAGTCCATTTACTTCATGATATGAGAGGGCCAGTACTTGAAGCAATAGTTGCTAGAACTTTACGTCTAAATGCGACGCATGCGAAATCTATTAGACTAGTTGGGCTTTCTGCAACACTTCCTAATTATTCTGATGTAGCAAATTTTTTACAAGTTCCGGAGTCTGGGCTGTTTTTCTTTGATAAGTCATACAGACCTGTGCCACTAGAACAGAAATATATAGGAATTAACGAAAAAAAAGCTATAAAAAAATTTTTATTGATGAATGAAATTTGTTATGAAAAAATTTTGCAGCAAGCTGGGAAAAGCCAAGTGTTAGTTTTTGTACATTCAAGAAAAGAAACAGCGAGAACAGCCAAAGCTCTTCGTGACTTGGCAGTCACCAAAAATGACCTATTTAAATTCCTTAAAGAAGACTCCAAAAGCAAAGAAGTGCTATCTGTCATGTCCCAAAGTATCGAAAACAATGAGTTAAAAGACCTGCTTCCCAGCAGTTTTGCAATCCACCATGCAGGGCTTAATAAGGATGACAGAAAACTCGTAGAAGACCTATTCGCTGACAAGCATATCCAAGTTTTAGTGTCAACTGCAACTTTGGCTTGGGGTGTTAACTTGCCAGCACATACAGTTATTATTAAAGGCACCCAAGTTTACAGTCCTGAAAAAGGTACATGGGTCGAAATTTCTCCTCAAGACATGCTGCAGATGATAGGACGAGCTGGAAGAATGGACTATGACACCACTGGAGAAGGCATCGTTATCACTTCCCACAACCGTCTTCAATATTATCTTTCTCTTTTAAATCAGCAGCTTCCTATAGAATCTCAAATGATGTCTCAGCTTTCTGACCATTTAAATGCTGAAATAGTCCTTGGCACTATTAGTACTATGCAAGACGCTATTAATTGGTTTGAGCATACTTATCTTTATACAAGGCTTATGAAATCTCCTAGTCTGTATGGGTATGATATTCAAAACTACACAGAAATTAATGGATATGTGGTTGATATTCTGCATTCAGCAGCCACTTTATTAAATAAGCATAATTTAATACGATATGATAAGCGGACAGGAGTTTTTCAAGCTACAGCACTTGGGCAGGTGGCGTCTCATTATTATATAAAGCCTGAGTCTGTGTCAATTTATAATGAAAACTTGAAATCTCATATGGGGCCGATTGATTTGTTGAGGATCTTTGCGTTGTCTTATGAGTTTAAATATCTGCCGGTCAGAGAAGAAGAAAAACAAGAAGTAGCCAAGTTGATGGAAAAAGTGCCGTATCCTGTAAAAGGAGCTATGGATGAGCCTGCTTCTAAAATGAATATACTTATTTTTATAGTTAAATTGACTTGTTTAAATAATAATTCCTTATTTTCTATAGAAATGTACGCTGTTTATTAGTAAAAATGCTTTTAATATTTTTAGCTTGCATATTCTATTGCAAGCATATATATCAAAGCTAAAACTTGAAGGGTTTACGCTAATGAGTGACATGGTTTTCATTAGCCAAAGCGCTGGAAGAATTATGAGAGCTTTATTTGAAATTGTTGTCAGGAGAGGTTGGGCTCAGCTTACTTATATTACCTTGAACTTTTGCAAAATGATTAATCATAGGATGTGAAGCGTCATGAACCCACTAAGGCAGTTTAATAGGCTTAGTGAAGATATTTTAAGAAAACTAGAAAAAAAAGAAGGTTTAATGTGGGAGCATTTTTATGACTTAACAGCTAGCCAAATTGGAGAACTTCTAAAAATGCCTGGGAAAGGCAACCAAGTCCATAGCCTCGTCCATATGTTACCAAAACTTAAATTAGAGCCATATATTCAGCCTATAACTAGGTCCTGCCTTAGAATAGAGCTTATAATCACAAAAGATTTCCAATGGGAAAAAGAAATCCATGGAACTTCTCAACTGTTTTGGATTTTTGTAGAAGATGTAGACAGTGAAATAATCCTGCATTATGAACAATTTATGATGAAAAAGAAACATTCAGACTCTCAGCATGTTGTAGTTTTTACTGTTCCATTATTTGAGCCGCTGCCTCCTAATTATTATATAAAAGTGATATCTGACAAATGATTACAGTCAGAAGTGACGATCCCTGTAGCTTTCAGGCATTTGATTTTACCTGAAAAGTTTTCGCCCTGTACAGAGCTTGTGTCTATGCCACCTGTACCGATTTTTGCCTTAAAATGGCCAGAGGTAGAAAAAGAATATGAGATTGAGTTTTTGAATAGCATACAGAGCCAGGTTTTTGAGGCAATTTATCAGACTAATGAATCTGTATTTTTTGGGTCTTCAGATAATTCAGGAGTTTTGGTCGCTGAATTAGCTATTTTTAAAGCTTTATCAGAAGGCGTTAAAAAAATTATTTACACATCCCAATTTTCCGAAATCGTCCAATTAGCCCAATCATCAATGAAAAAGTTCGAAAATCTTGGTGAGTCTGTCGGAATTCTAGCAGGAGTGATGCAAAAAGATTTAGCAATTTTAGCAAAAAATAGAATAATTTTTGCTGCAGCAGAGCATCTAGACACGTTATCTCGTAGGTGGAGACAAAGAAAAGCTTTCCATGATGTGGGGCTTTTAATTGTAGATCAAGTCCAATTAGTAGGAGAAACTGGGAGCGTTTTAGAAGTCTGCATATCAAATTAAATTAAAAGGCTTTAGGTCTTCCAGATTGATGCCTCCTCACTCTTTCGATTGCAGAACCCTTGCCTGTCAGAGGTATATCATCATTTGCCTGAGCCAGTCTTTTCCCAGGATTAAGGGCTTGCACTACATCCCTGAGTTTCGACGGGCTACGGAGAGCCTCTGTGCTGAACATCTTGTGGGTGCTTAGGAGGTAAAGGTTAGCCCGATACCTCCTCTCAGTCACCTTGAGGAAGGATAACTCTAGAAAAAAGAGCCACAGCCCTCTGAAACCTAGAGGGAAAGACTCGCGACCCCAAAGCCATCCGAATAATCAATAACTAGACTGGAATGGCCACATGCTGACTCCCAAGATCATCCACCCCATATAGTCGCTATACAGCAAACTTAGGGCTATAATCGAAGGGTTTGGCTATAAACCGATTTTAGTGCCCAAAGTAGTGCATCGTACAAAGACATATTTTGTCGCCACACCACCATATTAATTATCCTGTATATCAAGGATGAGATATGCAGCTTCGCAGCTCGAAATAAACTTAAGAATCGTTGCGATTGGGTGCTCAATTGCCAATGCAAAAGATATCGCTGAATGACTAGGAATCAGTTATAAAAATATTTTCAATTTTCACACAAAAACAAGGCCAAATCCACTGAATTTGGTGCTACAGAGTTTTGACCATGGCCATCGCCAATCAAGAATTTTAGCTATGTCGAAGCCTGTATATGCTGCTATAAAAAGCTATGGCTCAGACGAATCAATCATTATTTTCACCCCAGACAGAAAAGTTGGCAGATTAATGGCTTTAGATTTGATTACCTATACAATAGGTGACGAAAATCCTTACAAATTCCTATCCTCAAAAGAAAATATTCTTTTTTATAAAATTTAAAATAGTTTCAGTTCCTAATAGACTAATTATTAATACTTTTTAAAAGGGATATTAAAGAAATTGAAAAAATCCAGTCAAAAATATTAAGCCAATGCTTAATGCATGGAATTGGTTTAATATATGAAGGAATGAAAGAATTCGATAGAAAACTTGTAGAAAGTCTGTATAAGCAGAAAACCATCAAAGTTTTAGTGATTTCTTCAAGCCTCTGCTGGGAGATAGGAGAAGTCTGCAAATTATCAATAATTATGGACGCGTGCCGATATGATGGAAAAGAGCATAGATATGTAGACTATACCATCCCAGAAATTTTACAGATGATAAATCGAGCTAACACTGCCAATGCAACCAGTGTAATCTTGTGCCAAACTCCTAGAAAAGAATTTTTAAAGAAATTCATATCAGAGCCATTTCCAGTTGAGTCTCATTTAGACCAATACTTATCAGACCACTACAATGCAGAAATCGTAGCTAAAACCATCACAAGTAAACAAGACGCAGTTGATTGGATAACTTGGACATTTTTATACCGTAGACTTACCAAAAACCCAAATTATTATAATTTAGAAGGTGTTTCAGGAGCCCATATCAATGACCACCTATCAGAACTTGTCGAAAACTCTATGGAAGAGCTAAAAAATTTCAACTGTGTCGAAATAATAGAAGAAAACGAGCTTAGTCCTCTTAATCTTGGGATTATTGCTTCCCATTACTACATAAAATGCTCCACTATTGACATTTATTCCTCTTCCCTAACCCCAAACACCAAAATCAGAGGAATTCTTGAAATCCTTGTGTCTGCATTAGAATTAGAGCTGCTTCCAGTGCGGCAAGGCGAAGAAAAATACCTCCGGGAAATAAACTCCCTTATATCAGAACCTCTTGAAAAAGATTACTTAAACGAGCCCCACACAAAAGCTCTGCTTTTATTATTTTCTCATTTTTCTCGGTTTAATATTACACAAGATCTCATAGCGGACCAAGTTTATGTGGTGAAAAAAGCTATCCCATTGATTCATTCTATAGTAGATATTGCAGGAAGCAATGGGTGGCTTCTTCCTTCTATTTACGCAATGATGGTCTGCCAAATGATTACACAAGCTTTATGGGATAAAGACAGTCCTTTGCTTCAGCTGCCTCATTTTGATGCAGAAACTGTGGACAGATGCAGGAATTTTGAAGTAGAAGATATAGCTGATTTCACGAATATGGAAGATGACCAGAGGAATCAATTGGGATTTACGCAGAAACAGCTTGAAGAAATTGCTGGGGTTTGTAATGATTTTCCTGATATTGATATTAGTTATGAAGCGCCTGGGGATGTTATGACTGGAGAAGAAGTTGAGGTGGAAATTCAGCTGGAAAGGTCGAAAGGAGGGGAAAGTGTGTATGCGCCATATTTCCCTGGGGAAAGAGAAGAGTATTGGTGGGTGGTAATTGGTGAGCCCAAGGCGAACAGACTTTTTGCAATTAAAAAAGTGAAGATTCAAGGAAATGTGAATGTGAAAATGAATTTTGTAGCCCCAGAACCAGGAAATCATGATGTGATGATATATTTGCTATGTGATTCTTATATTGGAGATGATCAGAACGAAAAAATGCATTTAACAGTTTATGCTTAATTTAGAATTTGCTTTTTATAATGTTTCTAATATAGGAGAACTTTCTCTACATAATTTGCAACAAGTAATAATAGCTTCACACATAAGTCAAAGTCTTTGTCTTAATTATCATATAAAAACTCTTTAAGCTTAGCAAGCTTAATAGTTAAAATGGTCCTATATAATTTCTTATAGCTTTAATCAAAATAGTCTTCGAATGAGGTCTTAAATATCTCCACAAAGTTTTGAATGAATAAAAAAATTAAATTTTATAAGTCTTTGTAACGATTAATTAATTATTTTAATGCTTTAACTCCCCTTTTAATATCGAACAAAACCTAATTATTTTATAAATGTTTTTTCTTACTTCTCCTCTTAGTTAGTAGGCAAAAAAGCCCTGTCTATATCAAGAAGAATTAATTTTTTAAAAAAATTATATTAAAATTTAATTTAATGATTTTGCACCTACCAAGGGGGGAGTTAGGCACTATTTAATAGTGAACAAAGTTTTCTTTCAACCTCTAAAACTTTTAAATTGATGTTAACCGCAATTGCAATGGCTTATTAAATATCTCATAACACTTTTAAAAGTATATATATATATATTTTTAAAACTTTGATATTAATTATATATAAATGTTCAAAAAAAATCATTGAAAATTTTATAAGAGATATCCTAAATGGCTTACTATTAAACGAAGAGAGTATATTAAATGAAAATAAATCAAAAGCGCGGCCAACTTAATCATAAGTTTCATCTATAATAAGAATCGGCAATCGGAGCAATTTGCTAAATTTTTATAATTTCATCTTCTTTATTTTTGCAATATATCTTCAATAGTTATTGTTGCAGAATCTCAAAAAAAATAATCATCTGTATACATATTTACTTGCATTATTAAAAGGATGGAAGATCCTCTTTCCAACTACCTATTTGATAGTGACAAAGCCCTCAAAGACCTTGCCAAAGCCAAACTCGAACAAGGAATCATGTACATCAAGAGCTCTCTTTCTGCCTACGGATTTCCTGAAATAGGCGATCTTTTCAATTCAGACCCAGATGAAGTCAAAAAAACCATTGAATGCTTATACGCCATTCTGGAGCAAAGACAAAGAGATATGCAATATCGATCTCAAATGCAAGAAAGGATGGCTAAGCTAAAAAATGACAAAGAAATGTATATGTCAAAACTTGATCTCTTGAATGAGGACAGTTTTTCTGCTAACTCTGAGGCTGGGAAGCTTCAAAATAAGCTAAGCATAGAAATGCAGAAGTGAAAAAAGGAAAAAGAAAAACTAATCACTGAGAGAGATGAAGCTAGAAAAGACATTGCGAAGCTCCAAGGACGAGAAGGGCATCTATTTCATGAAATTAAGAAAAAAGACTCAGAGATTCAGAGGCTCAAGGAGCAGCTGCGAAAAGTTTTGGGAGAAAAAGACTTGATATATCAAAATCATGTAGATATGACAGAAAACTTACATAGCGAAGGGCCGAAGATGTTTGGGCAGACTGGGGAAGGGGAATTTACATTTTTAGTAACTAGAGGATATACTTAGTTAGACTGGATTTGTTGTTAATTATAGCCTTAATATAAATCGATTATTCATATTAGGTAAATATATGAAGAAAATCAAGCTTCATTATTAAACGAAAACCAAGAGCTTAGATCAGCTTTTGAAAGCTTGCAAAGGGAACTTCATAATATCATAAAAGAAAAAAAAGAATATTTAACTAATCCAGATGAGGCTTTGGAGCAACTAGAATTGATTGGCATCCAAAAAGAAATCTTCCAAATGCCTTTTCAGTCAGTAAGTGAAGATGTTGTCAAAACTTTTGAAGAAAATATAAAGAGGTTTAGGTTCTTTATTGATGAGATTTGCAGAATCCCAGGATTATTGAAAAACGAATAATGATAAATAGATTATAATTTCTAATGCCATGAGAGATTTTAAATTTAAATACACTGATGCTACTTTTATTCTGGTTTATATTTTAATATTTTAGCAAACTCTTAATTAGGCAATATTAATTTTAATTCTGAAATTTAATAAATCAAAAGGAAAGCTCTAATACAACATAAAGTGATTATATCTTTATGGTTTAAAAGAAATACTTATTTTCGTTTTATAATATTATAAGTTTAGGACTTAATGCTCTTCATATATTTCTCCATATGGAAACCAGCCATGTTTATAATCAATATTATCTTTTTCCTCTTTATAAACTTCTCTTCTATAAACAAAATATACCAAATATACCAATTGACCAAGAATAGCCCACTATGGAGAGCCATTCTTGGTCTGCCAGAAAAAATTTTGACAAAAGATCCTAATCTGCCATTATCACTGAGTTTTGGTGTTTCCAAATTTTTTGGGCAAGCCAAATGCAATAAAAAAATTGTTCTTTTGCGATGATGCATTTGGCTTGTCAAAAAATTGGCAACATCAAAACTCAGTGGTAATGGCAGAAAAGATCCTAATCTGCCATTACCACTGAGTTTTGGTGTTTCCAAATTTTTTTGACAAGCCAAATGCATCATCGCAAAAGAACAATTTTTTTTATTGCATTTGGCTTGCCCAAAAAATTTGGAAACACCAAAACTCAGTGGTAATGGCAGATTAGGATCTTTTTGTCAAAATTTTTTCTGGCAGACCAAGAATGGCTCCATAGTGGGCTATTCTTGGTCAATTAATATATCTATCCCAATATTTTTCCTCGTAATTTTCATTTTCTAGTGAGCACTCTTTTCATTTTGCTTCAATTTTCGCGTTTTTAAAAATAAAAGGCTCCTCAGATATCATCTTATATGCTTTTCCTTGTCTCTTTGCATTAATTATGTTTTCTTTTATTTCTTCCTCATTTCTCATTCTCAATATTTCAGTCATTCTCATTTCACTAAAAGAAGTCCCATAATGATATTGCCCTTTATCAAAAATTTTAGCATCGAAGATTCCTTCTTTATTTACGATGGCATTTAATATTAGAAGTTTTGTTTCCATTTTTGTTGCTCGAATTTCTATTTTATTTTTCCATATTAATGAATTTTCGCTATTTATTTTTTGGTTGCCTTGATATATATAGGTTTCGTCATAGCGCTGGTAAATGTCCCAATTGCTGTATTCTTTTGTAATAGTTGCAGGAAAAACTGTGCCAGCTACTAAATCTGGCTCAAATTCAGGTTTAGTTGCTCAGCCAACTGGAAGTGTTAAGATGTCATTGAGTACCAGTTTTGAAGACAATTTTCTGTGAGTTGAGAGGTTTATTAGAGCTCCTATTGCTGGAATACTCTCAGATTTTATCATAGAAATTGGGATTTTTTTAAAATACTGTTTTATCATATTTTTTATTGCAGGCATTTTTGTCATACCTCCAGATAAAATGATTTCATTGATATCAGAGCATTTATTCAGCATAGGCTCTATTGTTTCTTTTAAGAAATTTAGTTCTTTTGAAGTAAGAATAGCAAACTCTTCTCGTGAAATTTTGTGCTGAAATTCAAAGATTTTTCCTGATTTTTCTTCAAAATAGTCTTTGATTGTGGCAATTTTTCTTCTTGATAATTTTAATTTCGCTTTTTCAGCAAGAATTTTAAGCTTTCATCTTGCTGATAAGTCATCTGCAATATTTCCTTCTGATTTTTCTTGCAAAACCTTTCAAAATGAATCTTGTATTGCATAATCAAAATCCATACCTCCAAAACTTGAGCTTCCTTGTGTGAATTCTACGTTGTAGACTCCATGTGAGACTGAAATTATTGACAAGTCCATTGTACCATGGCCAATATTGATAACTAAAACTTTTCTATTTTCATTTACGGTTTCTTTTAGTTTATCATCGTAGCCAAGAATGCAGGCAGATGGTGCATTTACCAGCGATGCTTTTAGTCCTGCTAACTCTGCTGCATTTTTAATAGCGATTCTTTGTGAGCTATTAAAAAATGAGGGCACAGAGATCCCAGAATAAAGGATCGGCTCTTTTACGATTTCTTCAGCTTTTGCTTTGAGATTTTTGATGATTCAACTTACTCCCCCCTTTTAAATTGGAACAAAACTTAAGTGAAATTTTCCATCTTTTGGCCTACTATAGCCATCTTTAAGTTGAAACAAAATATGTTTTCAATTGCAAAAATTTTTTTTTTTTTTATAAAATTAGTTTTGACAAAATTTAAAACATTCAATTAATAATATTTTTGAATAATTTCAAGCTGAGTCGATTAATTTATAATTTGGGTTCAATTTTATATTTGAAAAAAAATTAATATAAATTCTTTTAAAAATCAATTAAACTCGTTTAGATTAGAGCAGGAATTTGTGTTTCAATTTAAAGGGGATAGTTAGAACTTGTGCTGATTTATAATGAACATTGTGCATAAAAAAGCAAGCTTCGCTGATATTAAAAGATTCCTTTGGCAGTTCAACTATTTCGTATGGAACCCTTTGAATATGTCTTTGGAGTGCTTTGTGGCCTAAAGAATTTCCTATCACCCTCGAAATGTCATATATGAAATTTTTATAGTTAAATATAGTATTTGTGGGATCTATTCCTATTTGCTTATATCCATCAGTGCCAATTAGAGCATTTGTGCTGATAGAATAATTTGGATCAATGATTTCAAGCTTTCCTTCATCAGTTTCTGATAAAATTGCCATCCTTGATTTAGTTGTGCCTAGATCGATTCCAATTGCTTTAAAACTAAAAAAGGATTTAATATTTTTAGAAATCATTATTATAATAGAAATAATTAACATTCACATCTAAAAGAATTTACTAATTATTAATATAAATAAATCAGTGAAATTAAGATTGATTTGAAGCTTACTTAAAACTCATAAGTTTGAGTGAAATAGTTGTTGGTATATAGAGGTGAGTAGTTATAAATCAAATAAGGCTCCAATTCTTGTTCACTCACAAATGTATTGTTATTCCTTCTAGCTTCCGAAACAAAGAAATTTGAGAAATAAGTCGAAACCATCACTGAGAAAGGATCATGAGGTTGTGGAGATGTAGGCTCCCACTCATAAATGTTCTTCTCTGGGTGGAATTGAGTTCCATAAATAGGGTAGTTTTTAGCTTCAATCATAGCAATAAAAGGATTTCCTGATTTATCGTGCATTGTACTGAGGACATTGTAAAAGCTAGTGAGATTGTTCTGATAGGTGTAAATTGATGTAGGAATTCCATGGATGTGGGATAATAGTGAGGTTTCTTTCTTGCTCATTGTTTCTCTTATGATATCTCCATAATGTTTTCCAAGAGCTTCAAAAATATAACTGTCCTTCGCAAGCTTGGTGAAATTATTTGATCTTATATAAGCAGGCTCGCCATTGAAATTCCCAAGTGTTGCATACTCAATGTTCTCACACACTTGGATTGTTTCAAATCCCATGCAAGTTCCCCATAATGGATAATAAATTCCATTGTCATTAGCCTGCTTTACCTTGTTATAAAGATAGCAGGCTTTTGCTGCAAAATCAGCTCCAAGAGTAGGGACTGGATAAGTGCTGTTATCAAACATATAAATAGTGCCACCAGGGAACAGAATTCCGTTTAGTCTTGGGAATAAAAAGTCAAGTTCTGCAAAGCTGCTGTCAGATCTGATAGGGACAACTCTTGCACCTCCCATTTCGACGTATTTTATGTATGAGGCTGCTAGATAGGTGGTAGCTGTGGTGTTCCAGGTGTTGTATGGGAATATTGGGACTGAGAGAATCCCAATGACTGGTCTGAAATCTCCTTGCGGAGGACGAGGGGTTTTAGGGCGACGGGATATTTCTTCATCAATTTTCTCATGGTGCCCGTCATCTTCTGGGAATGGACGGAAGTTATTTCTGCCAAGGGCAAGGACTAGAAGTCCAAGAATGATAACATTTTTTACCATGTTTATAAAGATGAATCATCAAGAATTTATTCACCAATAATATCTAAATTTTAAGCTTGTAAGCTTGCTGCTAAAAGCAAATAAAATTCAAGGTGATTTATAAATTATGTATGAATAGTCGTATAGGCATAAAGAAATCGTGGAAATTCTAATTTTATTGGAGAATAAATAGGGTTTTTATATAAAGGTTTATAATAAAATTAGAGAATTTAATAAATAAAGCGAGGAAAATAAATATATGGCTATTTACTGTTCGAGTCAGTTTTATTTTAATGAAGCTTTTCTGACAAAAGCTTAACGCCCTAAATGATAATGTAAAACCTTGAAGAAACCCTCATATATAATAATGATTTTGTTTCAATATTATAAAATAACCTAGTGTATGTGCAAATGCTGATAAATTAAGAAAAAATAAATTTTTGAATAATGGTTCTACTCATTTAATATGAATAAATGGCTCTTACTCTCCCTGCGTGAGGTAACAAAAAATTTTTTATTAAAAATATATCATATATAAGCGACAATCAGTATAATGAAATATTAAGCTACTTCGATGGATTTTACAAATTAAATTATACAATATTAAAATGACAGTTAGGGATAGGGTTCCAGTCCTGCACAACAGGCTAGCCCTGTTATTCGAGATTAGTAAGAGAAGTTCATATTTCTTGAGAGTTTCGGCTTGAGAGAGCAGGTCTGTACTGAATCTGGCATGGACTAGAGAAGTCTAAAAGGGCTTAATAGCTTTAACGGTTCGAGGGCTAGACCGATTTCACTAACGTTGCTCAGAGCTGTTATTGAAGCTGGATCTCAAGTTAAAGAGGACTTAAGGCGCTATCATGCTAGAGAAATTCGATAAACTTAAACTTAAATTAAAATTAAATTAATTTTTGCCTTTCAATTTTTGAGAAATTGGAATTTAAAGTAATAAAAATATTTCTTTGGTCAGAATAGCATTTTTCTGCAAAAGAATGAGGAATTATCCAATGGTTATTTTTTCAAAAATTTTATGTCGTTGTTGAAATTGCGCAGCTAGATGCTAGCATGACGACTGTTGTACCAAATCTATGAATTTATGGAAGGATGAAGATGGAAAGATATGATAGGCACATGGAAGATTATGGAGATAGTATATAGAGTTTTTTTAGAAGAATCGAGCTTATAATTATTGAAGTTTGGCGAAATTCAGAAAGTGAAGGCAGTTAGCTATTGATGGCCATTCTTGGAGGCTCAAATGGGTGTTTATATTAGTGGCTGTATTAGATGAGGTGGAAATTACTGGAGATACTAAATTAACGTGTCATGTATTATTGATATTTAAATTGAAGCTGAATTTGATGTTAAAGTTTATTGAAGTTTAGTTGAAGCAAATGCTGAAATTGATGTTGTATTATTGAAGAAAAAAGAGAAGTGCTACGTTGCAGCTTTAAGTTATAACTTTCTAAGAACTTTGCTGTAGTATTTATATATAATTTTTTTGAAACAAATTAGCTCTCTCCATAGGGAACAAATTTTTTGTTCGCTTATGGAGGTGGAGAGTTAGCAAGATTAATGAGACGATTAAAGAGTTAACCTTAATTATTGAAAATAATAGGATTGAGTGAAATAGCCATTCTGATATATTGGCCACCAATTGTAGATTAAATAAGGCTTCAACTCTTCCTCACTTTCAAAGCTGTTATTATTCCTTCTTGCTTCAGATACTAAAAAGTCAGCAAAGTATGTTGAAACTTTAACTGAGTAAAAATCATGAGGCTGAGGCACCTGTGGGTCCCATTCATAAATATTTTTTTCAGGGTGAAACTGGGTGGCAAAAATTGGATACTTCTTCCCCTCAATAATTCCAACAAACCTGTTTCCACTTTTATCAAGCATTGTGCTTATTTCTCCCCTCCGTGATCAAACAAAAAGTTAATTTTTTTTTAAAAAAAATTCCGATTCGCAAAATCTGGAGAGCAAATATTTATTGAATTTGTAAAATTTATATTTTGAAATGCAAGCTGTTATAATTAAACAGAATTAGCTAGAGATTTCATTATACTAATTATCACTTACATATCAAAATTTTTTGTTCATTCACGGAGGGAGGGTTTTTGAACAAAAATAGGGATTTTCCAATGATTTTGTTCATTCACGGAGGGGAGTTAGCATATTAAATGTAGCAGTAAGATTGTTCTCTCCCTGATACATACTCGGACTTACTCCATGGCTATGAGAAAGCAATGAAGTTTTTCTATCAGTCATAATCTTCCTTATAATTTCTCCATATTTTCTTCCAATCCCATTAAATAAATAGCTCCATTTCGCTTTAGGTGTAAAATCATGACTTTGTGTATAAGGTGGCTCTCCATTGAAATTTCCAAGTGTTTCAAACTCATTGTTTTCACACACCTGGATTGCTTCAAAGCCTAAACAAGTGCCCCAAAGAGGGTAATAATTTCCGTTATCATTAGCTTCTTTGACTAATCTATAAAGATAACACGCTTTTTCAGTATAATCTGGAGTCCATGTAGGAATGGAATCATTAGTCCACACATTAGCACCTCCACCAGTGAAGAGAATGCCATTTAGCCTAGAAAACAAGAAATTTAATTCTTCGAAACTTTGGTCGACTCTGAGAGGGACAACTCTTGCACCTCCCATTTCGACGAATTTAACGTAAGAGGCTGCTATATAAGTGTTGGCAGTGGTGTTCCAAGGCTCATAAGGGTGGATAGGAAGGGATAAAATCCCTATAACTGGCCGGGTATTGTTTTGGATTGGATGGTTCCACCTGTGTGGAGAATCGTCTTGGTCGTCATGATCATCTTTGTCATGCCGTCTTTTAGGCCTGTGGGGTCTAGGGTGATTGCCTCAGTTATCAGGGTTATCTTTTTGAGGCTCTGGGTAGAGAAGTTCTCTTCCTAAAGCGGCAAACAGAAGCGTCAGAATAAAAATCAGTTTTTTCGCCATATTCGATTATAAAGAAGGTGATCTGGCAAGATTATTTTATGAAGGATTTAATTATTGTTATTTAAGAGTAACTTATTTAAAGCAGTTTTTATGCTAAGTCTTGTAGAAATTTCTGTGCATTTAATATTAAATAGAGAAATTGGCATTTATAACTGACAGGGTGAAACCATTAAAACGAATAGCTCAGAAAAACATTTGAATTTATATTTAAATTTTTGCCATGCCTTGATAAAGACTTTCAGCTATCTATCAAAAATTTCAAAAAATTATTATTTATTATTGCCCCACCCCCTTTAAAGCGAGCTAATCTTAGAAAAGTGCCTATTTCGGAAATATTAAGCTTCAATCATATATTGAACTTTTAATGAAATTTAATTATATTTGTTTATTTAATAAACAAAAGCAAATATGTTCACTGGTGACAAGAGACAAGTTGAGCCATATGATTTTCTGTATTACTATTCACCTTCAATTCCTTATGATTTTCCAAAAGAAAGAATCCCTAAAAATTTATGTGAAAAGCAATTGCTTCTCGTTTTCAAATGCTTTTTAGATTACCCCAAAAAGTCCGAAGATGTGCGAAGGGCGCGTCATTGCCAGAAATTTTCAATTGAGTTCAATGAGTGCAAAAAAAGAAGAGACATGGATCTTTATAAAGAAATCAGAGCTTGGGAAGAAGAAAGGGTAAAAAATCTCAAGCCTGAGCTTAGAGCAGTCTATGTCAATGCATTGAAAGAGGAAGTGAGTGATTTAAGATCAAATTTTGAACAAATCCCAGCAACAGATCAAAATGCCAATAAGAGGTGGAGGATAAATGCTGATATTCTGCAGACACAGTGGAGGATTAGGTACACAGAAGAACTTCTTTCGAAATTAGTTGAGCAATAATTATTTGAAATTGACTAAATAATGCTTTTATGATAATGCAATCATTCTTTTAGCTAGCCTTTTCGTTTTCTATATTATTTTTATTAAAATCTGGACTAAGTATTTTCGGCGTTGAATTCAGTTAATTTATATTGAGAAATAATCTTCTTTACTCAATATATAGTGATAAACAAAATTTATGAGAGAAAATTTGATTTTATTATTAAATTAAAAGGCTGATGAGACGGGCTCTAAAAGTAGCTGCGTTTGGAACCTTGATAGGTGGAGCCGGGCTTTATTACTCATTTCCACTACTCCGCGATGACTGAAAGCATCTTTTATATGCTGGCATCAGAATTTTTAGAATTACAAAGACAGCTAGTGTAATCGCAGTAAATTACATAGGAGGTATCACTCCAGAAAAACACAGAGAAAATGCCGCAAGGCTTTACAAAACTTTGCTAAATTCCCCTTCCTTCATAATTTTTGCTCGCTTAAAAAACGTTGCTAAAAATTTAAAATATAAATTTTATATATTAAATTAAGATTCTTATTGGATTTATGCTTCAAAAGCAAAATTTTAAAGTTAAATAGAATTAAAAAGATTTTTATTATAATAACTATCCTTATTTCAAAATATTATAATAAGAATTTTATTTTATGATTTTATCAGAAATATTAGGATTTTTAAAATAATTTTGCTAGACCACAACGGGAGTAAGCAACGGTGGCTGCTATGTAAAATTTGGCCAAGCAATAGCCCAACTTGACTTACTAGTTCCTCAAGAATATGCTGACGCAATGAAGCCAATGCTAAATGAATGCCAAATCGAAGACTTCGAAATAATCAAACAAACCTTAGAAGAAGAACTTAAACAGGCAATATCTGAAGTTTTCATAGAATTCGAAAAAAAGCCTATAGCAAGCGCTTCGCTCGCTCAAGTCCACAAAGCTAAGCTGAAAAATGGAAGCATTGTTGCTGTTAAAGTCCAGCATCAACATATTCGTGAAGAAATGCCAGGCGATATTAGAGTCCTTGATTTTTTAGCTAGGACAGGCAAAAAGCTCTACTCAGACTTTGATTATGAGTGGCTTATAGACGATCTAAAAGTAAATACAGCACAAGAATTGAATTTCAACATAGAAATAAGCAATGCGCTTAGATGCGCAAACATATTTAAAGGAGACCCTTATATTAAAGTACCAAAAATGTATACTGATTTCAGCACAGATAAAGTTGTTACTATGGAATTTATTGATGGTGTATTAGTTACCAATATTTCTGGGATCCAGAAAATGGGCTTGGATTTTAAAGATATAGCTCATACATTATCAAGGGCTTTTAATGAAATGATTTTTGTACATGGATTTGTGCATTGCGACCCACATCCAGGAAATATTCTAATTCGGCCATCTAAGGTGCGAGGAAAGGCTGAAGTTGTGCTGCTCGACCATGGGCTATACAAAGAATTGCCTATAAATGTAAAAAACAGCTATTCGGGTATGTGGAAAAGTATCATTCTTAAAGATGAAGATGGGATGAAAAAGCATGCAGCAGAACTCGGAGTCACCTCTATGTACCCTTTACTAGCAGGAATGATGGTGGGAAGACCATGGGAAGAAATCATGAGCAATGCTGAAGGATTTGAAAAGTTTAGGAATGCCCGTGCCTATGCCTCAGACAAAGAAGCATTGAGAAGCCATGCACTGAGGTGAAACAGAGAAATTAATCAAATTTTAGGGCTGATTAATAGAGATTTGGTACTATTGTTTAAGACTTTTGAGTGACTTAGAGCTATTGATGCTGAGCTTGGAGCTCCAATTAACACTATTCAGATTATTGCAGACTATTGTACAAGAAATAATACCAGCTTGTGGGCGAGATGGTGGATTCAGTTCAAAATGTGGATTTTCGTAAGGGTTATGATTTGGATGGGATGGGTAGGGCTTCTGTAATACACAATAATCGGGAAAATATTTAGTAATTAAATGGGTTTATTAATTAAGCAATAATATTCTTATAGAAAACTTCCTCGTTTATATTAAAAATAATAATATAATTTGTCCCCAATATTCCCAAAACGCTTTGGGTATGATATTTTTACCTCTTTATCCGAATTATCAATACAAATTCTTGTTACAAAATTCAGCCTTTCTTTGGCCTCAACTCTAATTTGGGTTGTAAAAACATTGTAAATAATAGTACATGAAAAAATTTCTAGTGAAAATGCAATGTAAATAAGAGCCAAAGTAGCATGTGGGTTGTCACTTAAATTGCCAACGGTGTATGAAATATATAGCAGTAAAACTAATATTCCTAGTAGTGCTGATAATGATGATAAAATAATGATTTTCCTGAACACTATGCCATCTTCTTCTGTAAGATTAAGAATATAATGGCTTACTTCTCCATGTTTGGTGTGAAGCCTATAATTATAGTCTTCATGCTTAGTTGTGTCTCTTATGAATATTTCAGAAGTCACAGAAGTGTTTTCACTTTCAAAGGTATTTCAAGTGCAATCTTGTTTTTGCCAATTATGGAAGTCTGCCACATTATTTGATCCATCTACCAGGCCTATTTCTTCATTCCGCTTATTTGCAGAATCATCAAAAAATAGAGCTAGTGATGATCTTCTAAAAGGGCTTGGGGATGATGGCACATCTTCTCTCTTTTCTTGCAAAAAGATATTCTGTGTTTCTGACAAAGCGATGCTGTTTTGAAATCTTAATTCGATTTCTTCAGATTTGCCAGCGTTGCTATCTACATAGCAAAAGAGTAAAATGGTAAACATTATGAATCCCATTACAAGAATAACAATCCCTACGCCAACACAGCATGATCCGAGTATATAAACGGTTGAGTCTGAGTATCTTAGTCCTTTAAGAATGCTCATAATTGATACACAAGGGAAAGATAATATCATTATCCATAAGAGAAATCTGCGCAGAATCCTAAAAGGGTCAGTTTTCTTAGAAGCCATACCTTGATACAAGCCGCCTCATACAAGTAAAACGCATGTATAAACTCCATAAAGTATAGGATAAGTAATTTCCCCCAATAAACGGTCTCCTACTCTTGGCATTTTGTTTCGTAAACATAACGGATCATAAGAGATCCATATTCCTCTTAAAAGTCCGATTAAGCTGATAAAAAATAAACTTAAATGCTTAGGGCTTCTTAAAAGCCTCACGAAGAGCCTGTTAATCCCCAAATGCTTGTCACTTTTTATAGCTTTATAAAGCTTGTATAAAGCAAGAACAAAAAGCAAAAAATATAAAATAGAAAACAAGACCACAAGTCCTTTTCAGGCTTTTTCACCTCATTCGTCAATACCACTACTAGTGCATGTCTTTCCAAACCAGCCTAAGTCACAGCTGCAATCTCCTGATATACAGTCTCCATGTTCATTACAATCTGTATAAGAATCGCATTCTTTGGGTCTATTCATAAATTATGGATTTATTTCTAAAGTTTTTAAATAATTGCAGAACTATCATTTAATTGCGTTCAAGTATGACTATTAACTTGTTAAAAAAATTTAATGAAAATAAGCTTGCATGCTTACTATTTATAAGGCTTAGCATTATGTGTAACGCTTGCCTATATAGCGAAATTAACTTGACATTTTTCTAAGGACAATTTATTTCTCATTTGGCTAAATTGCTCAAGAATAATATATTATCACTACTGCTTGAGTTTGAAATGAATTTTAATGTTTACTTTTACAATTGTGTTGGGTTTTTGATAGTTTTATTCTAAATCAAAATGTTTATGCTTATAATTGACTTGGTACGACATATAAGTACTCCAAAACATAGCAGTAATGCACCCAAAAGTCACTTGAAAATGCAATGGTAGAAACCCGAAGCTAATTATAGCAACGAAAGGCCAGACTTTTATGCCAGTAAGTCATACTTCCACAATACCATTCTTAATCTTTGTAATTCCTTGTGAAAAGCTACCACCCATTAGCAAAGTGACAAAGATAAAATAAGAACTCATTGCAATTCAGCTAAAAAAGAGTTGATCAACTAAAACCTTTTTAGCAACTGCTAATAAAGATCTTCCAGGAATTGCCTTGTAAAGGTAGCCAAGCCAATTGTGATATAGAGGTGCTGAAAAGAAAAATCCATATAGACCCATTTTGAAAGAGCGTTCGATTTGGTAATTTGCGGAAAATCCGAGGTGATGTGCGCGTTTTTCTATATACTGAGATAGAATATCTCCTAATATTGCTGTACAAAATGCAGTGCAGGATTTGGTAATAAGAGGCTTTTGAATAAGTTTGTTCTCATATCAAAGAAATAGTTTTAAAGCCATTTGGCTATTAAAATTGTTGAATAAAAGTATGTTCAATTGTGGATTAGATGAAAGATTTATTTAAATTTCATTATATGAATGGGCTATTTAGCATCATTTATATATAATCAATAATGCTAGTACCTTATTTTTTAAAATATTATGACGATTATCTCTTGACGGAAGTAGAAAAATTAATTTAAAAAATATTTAATCTTAGATTCTTAGCTGTTTAATAGAGCTTTCACATATTTTAGAATTTTGATATTTTATTAAACTGAAAAATCTTAAAAATTGCTTAATTTTTCATTTAATAACTCACTCAAATATATTTAATTAAAAGCTCTTGAAGTTATATTAAATTAGTTCTTATGTATCCGTTTTTACAAATATGCTTTTAAGATTTCCATTCATCTTCACTTCCTTCAAGTTTTTTAGGTTCCCTAATGCACAGACAATCCCATATAAACCTCACAACAAAAGCAAGTAAAAACCCAATAATCAAACCTCCAATTATCATCAAAAACAGCACGAAAAAATTTACCCTTGTCACAATTCCCAGATCTTCTTCACAGTAATGTCCAGCATAAGGTGATTTACAGAAACAAATTTGATTTTGGCAATATCCGCCATTTATACATGCTGGGCTACAAGAATTATCTCCTTCAACTGCACTTACATTATAGCTTGCCATTTGAAAAGATTTATAATTAGATCCCTAATATGGAATTGGATAAAAAAGTCTTAATTTATCCTTTCAGAATAACAATTTTTTTTCTGGATCTTAATGAAGGTTAATTTGGTTTAAAAAGTTAATAATTATAGAAAAATTTTCAAATTTCAAATAGTTCAAAGCGAAATCGATAAAAAAAGCTAGGAAATTTATTCGCAGCAATTATAAATTATATCATTTAAACTTTACATTTCATCTGACCTTAAATCAGCCTCTGAATTTCGAGAACAATATGCGGTTTTATTCCTCGTTCGGGAATGGAGTGACGATACTCTAGAATTCTGACTCACATCTTCCGTAGAATGCCTCGCATCTTCTGGTGGACTTTCTTTTGTACTTGAATGTATAACCGTTGTATATATAACTCCACAATTTATAAACTCCTCTTGTGGACATACTTTGGCAAAGACATTAGCCTGTGATTTCCTCATAATTTTAGCTTTTCCAAGAGATGGACGGCAGCCCATAATCTGATTTAATTAAATTCCATTTAATCGCCTATAGCTTTGAATTGAAAAAAACCGTAAAATCAAAATTTTTTATATATTAAATAATTTTCCTTATTTCAATGCCTTAAGTTGAGCTTATTAATTTTCATTGAAATAATTATTTTAGATAAATGGAAGGATTTTTTAAATAAGAAATTTGAATGATAATTTTAAGTAACAAGTTTGATCAGCATAATTATGAAACTTTAATGTTATTGAAGAAAAGCTAGCTTTTATGGACTGAAGAATGCTAATTATTATGCTTATTTATTGCCTGAAACGCAGGCATGCGTTAAATATTTATGAGGAATTGAAGTTTTTATCAATTAGTTAATTAAATCATGGAACTAAGGGTATGCTGGATTATAGTAGGAATGCTTCTATAAGTATTATCTAGCCGCTTAGCTAAATTCCTCTTTAAGAGAGAGCTTAACCATAGGGAAAATTAATTATCTTTAAGAAAAGCAAAATAAATTTTTAAAAAAATCTTTTTATACATAATTAACGAATTTTCTAGCTCTATGGGATTGCATTCTAAAATAGAATTTTTCAAATCTATAATATTCAAATATTTACAATTTGAGATTTTTAAATTTAAAAAGCAAACGTTTACATATTTTAATATAAAATTTAAAAAAAATTTAAACCCCTTAAGAGTAGGCAAAAGAAAACTTGGTTGCTATCAAAAGGAGTAATTTAAGTTAAAGTTTATACTAGTCATAAGCAGGTAAACCTAACAACCATTCTCCTTTTGGATTTCTGTCCTGAGCCGCCTGTCCAAGGGATTATCTACCAGAGTAAAGTCACTGTCTATAGAGTGCCCGATAGTCCCGATTAGAAAGCCATGTGGTAGACAAACCTGCTTAGTCTATCTCTCAGGAAAAGAAAATCTTTGGGGACCGAAACAAGCATCCCCTCCGGAAGGCAAATCTAAGTTTGAAGGCCTGCTTCAAAAAGGAACATAGGCCCAGGTTATACCTGCTGCATTGGGAGTAGGCCTCGGAGTCCAATTTCTGTAAACGTTGCCATTTTATTTCTCAAAAGGAGTAAGGAATAGCTGATATAGAAACCTTATTATTAAGTCAATAATTTCGTATTAAATTTAGACTATATCATTATAAAATTCTATTCAAATAATCAACAAATATTTCTTTTTAAATAAAATTATCTTAAGTTTTTAATAGGTTTTATTTTCCCTTAATTTATATATTAGTCTAGGCTAATTAATAGCTATATAATATTTATGATTAGAGTTTTGCATTTTTGCTTGCATTATTTTTAATTATAAGCCATCTTCTATTTTATCTAATGTATTGCATGTTTTTCCAAATGGCCCTTCTTTTTTAAAATGATAGCTGTAGTGGCTTCCCTAAATATTAACTACTTTTAATACTTTCCCACATATAGAACAAAAACGAGTTTTGCATGGACATATTAAATAATTGCAGCCATTATTCTTATCAACTTCACTATGACAATTTGGGCAGGCCAAATATTTGCTCAAAAATTTTTCTTCATCTTCATTCTTAAGCTTAAAATCTTCACAAGTAATATTCTGATGTTTATTATTGCATTTTAAACAGTAAAGATTTAAGCATGACGGGCATCGTAATTCTTCCAATTCTTCAGGTATTTCTATGTAAACTCCACAATAAATGCATTGCTTTAAGATCAAGCCTTTTTCTTGTGGCTTATAAGTTCTTATTACTAAATTTAAATACTTATCATAATATTCTTTTGATATTATAGATTTTACTTGCTCAATTGAAATTGTGTTAGGGCATCCGGGACAAACAAAATCATAGGCATTCACTTTTGAGTTGTCAATAAGTTTTTCAACATGCTTGAGTATGCATAAATGGCAATAGCGATGATTACAGACCAGAGTTATCCCACTATTAGCTGTAGCATTGCAAAGTCTGCAAGTGAATTTTTGGACTTCTGGGTCTTGATTTTTAGTTCTATAAAATAAGTTGCTCTTTTTGCTCTGAATTAATATATTTGTCTCTATTACTTTGTTACATATTAAGCAATAAATATCTTTAGATGCATCCTTTCGTAATAATTGTTTGCTTACCATATTTTCATAGCAATCTGTACAATAGAAATGGCCACAGATAATTTTTATAACGTTTTGGAAATACATAAAACATCTAGAGCATTTTCTATATATCTTTTTGGGATTTTTAGTAACTCCCTCCTTAATAGACAAAAATTACCCTTAAAATTTATAGGAAATATCTATCAATTAAAATAACTAAATTGTCTAATAGCTTGCTACTTATATTCCTTGCCAAAATAGAGCAAGTTATAAGTAAAATTTGATGTTTTTGGAACATTAAATTGAATATTAACTGTTTTCATAGACAACATTATTTACCTATAAAAAGTTAGACTTCACTCCAATCAAAATGAAATTAATTTACCAAAAAAAAAGAAATTTATGGATATTTTTTCGATCTAAAATGGGAAGTAAGAGAATCGATCTCAGGCTGATGACTTCTGTAAATAAAATAGTAAATATATAAGATCATAATAATAAGAATTGATATATTCAGTAAAATAATAGGCAGGTTTTCTAAGATCGAGCTTCTTCGATAAGAATATAGAATTGATGATACTATTATTGAATAAAAAACACAAATCAGCTTCAAATTCATATAATTTTCCAATTCATTATAAAAAATCAAGATCACTGGAAGCAATAAAAATATCCCTTCATAATGGCTATTAAACAATTCAACTGAACTTGCCGCGATAATAATCAAAATAAATCAGCAAATCAATAATTTCTTGTAAAAAGGCTTAAAATTTCAGCTTAAGAGTTTTATTAAATCATCTTGGCCTTGACTTCCATTATTCATTTATTAAAGTTTATTTGAATTTAATGAAATCACATAAGCAATATTTTATTTAAAAGTATGGACTTTAGAAGAAACTCATACTGGGCTGAGTCAATTTCTTCAATTATGAAAAAAACTGAAGTAAATCTCAATCGACTCCAGAAGCCTATAAATAACTACTTAGATCGCCCTTCAACTTCAGTGGTTTATCCCAGGAATACAGATATGGGCTATGACTATCAGCCACGAACCAAATCCGCCTATGATGCAGATGATATTCAATCTTCCAACAAAATAGACTCTTCAGCTATCAAATCTTTAGTAGAAAGGTTGATATCTGACAAACTGAGGCACCAAAAGCAAGCAATTAATATGTTAAGTGAAAGAGTTACGGCTTTAGAAAATCACTCTGAATCTTCACATGAAAAAGATTATTCACAAAGACCGACATCAGGAAGTGATAGTAAGTTTTTATCTGAGCTGAAAAGAGTTGAAAAAAATTATAGATCTTTACCTTCAATTGCCTATTTGGAGTGGCCATAAATAATAGCCTAAAGTAAGTAATATAGGGTTATGGGCTACTTATTCCCCCCCACCTCCTTGAGCGAAAAACCATTGGAAAAAAAATTTATAAAAAATATTTTAGTATATAAAGTTATAATTTTATATAAAGAAATCTCTAGCTGATTCTGCTGAATATTAAATAGCTTGCATTTTTAAAATATAAATTTACAAATTAAATTTAATTTTTGATTTCCATTTTTTTCGAATTGAGATTTTTTTTAAAGTTCTTTAAAATAAAATTAGCCCGTGGCAAGTCAGTTTAAACAATTTTATGCAAAACTGCATACAAGAACTTCATTACAGCAGAAGATTTAAAGATTTCAGAAGAAACTATAAAAAATACTAATATAAAGCTATTCGGACAATTGGAAGCTGATATGAGAGATTTAAGGAACAAAAATGAATCTTCTATAGAAGAAATCTATAATACAATTGAAAATAAGCTTAAAGAAATAATGAAAAAAAACGCAATTAATAGAGATTTAGATGATCTAAAAAGCGAAATTATCCAAGAATCAGAAAATAAAATAAAACGGAGCCAAGATAAAATTAATGTTCAATTTGAAGATTTTTCCAGCTCGATTTTAAAAAAACAAAGGGATCTTGAAAAAAAAATTGAAGAATTATACTCAAATTTTGCAAGTTTCCAAGAAAATCATGACTCTTACGTAAAAGAAATTTCAAAAAATATGAACAACAATAGAGAAAATATATTGGTGAGCTTTGAAAGTTTTCAAACTGATATAAAAGAAAAAAATGCAAACATATTTAGTAAAATTGATAAAGATATCGAAAATTTGAAGAAATATGCTGACAACTTGTCTGTAAAAAACAAAGAATCTTTATCAGAAATAAGTGAAGAAATTGAAAATGTCCGCCAGGCTATTTCAAAAGATATAAACAAAGTTAAAGTTGATTTAGAAAAATTTAAAACTTCGAGCAATGAAAATGTTGAAAATGAGGTAGAGCAAATCACCAGAAAAATTGAAGAGTATAGGCTCGCTATAAAATCTATAAATTCATCAAATTTAGTATCAAAGATTGAACTAAATGATGCTATTTCGAATGTTACTGACAAGATAAACCAATTGAGGTCTGCTAATTCTCAAAAGCAGGATTCTAAGATGTTTGCTACAAAGCTAGAGTTAGAAGCAGCTATAAGTGAAATCAAAGAAAATGCTGCAAGAAGTCCACAGAAAAAAATCCAAAATCCTAATCAAGATTTTTCTAATTTTGTGACTAAAGAGGAGCTCGCAGAATCAATACAATTATTGGAATCGAAAAAAAATATAGAGCCTCTAATTGAAAATCCAAATTTTGTTACCAAAAATGAGCTTAATCAGGTTAAATTGGACTTACAGAAAGAAATTAAGTCTCAAGACAACAAAAATTATATAACAAGAGAAGAGTTTGTAGAAATTGAAGAAGCCATTAAATCTCAAGAAATAGATTCTTCAAAGTATGCAACAAAAGAGGACCTATCAGAAATTCAAGAAGAATTGGATGAATTTGACATTACAAGACATGCGACCAAAGAAGAGCTTTATGAAATTAAGAAAAACATAATTCAATCGCAAAGTCAAAGCCTAGATAAAGTCAATAAGCAATACAATGAATTTTCTTCGTCTATGAAACAAGAGATTAGCAATCTTGAGAAAAAAATAAATGAAATGAAAGAAGGGATCGATTTAGATACAGCTCATGCACCTTTATGGATCGACCTCATTTGAATATTTAACTGTTCTAATCGACTTAATATCTTGTACATCTTAGACTAGATCCCTCATTATTTAGAGAAATATTCAGATTTTTAAAAAAATCCTTAGTTTTAAACTAGTTCAATATAGTTTTACATAATTGTTTTTTAATGATTTTGAAAATTTTCTTTAAATTAGCGTAAGGTTTGGTAAAATGTTGTCATGATATTTTTTGCAATTATAGTCAAGTAGGACGAACGGCACGGGAGTTTTTTGGCTTGCCGGCAAGCCAAAACCCCCCGTGCTGTTCATCCTACTTGACTATAAAATATTTCTTCTTTCCTGATGCTTGAAAAATAACAATTTCGCGGTAAAATGTTTTGGCCCAAATGTGGGAGTTAAAAATGGCTAGTCAATAAATTTTTGACAAGTGTGAACCATTTTGACAATTAAACAAGCCAATTTTTAAAATATCTTTATTATATAATTTAGATAGGATTTTAAATTAAAAAAATGGGTATTTTGACTTTAAAAAAAAATGGCAGTAACTTATAATGAGTATTTGAAAAAATGTTACCCTCATGGAGCAAGCTCCTATGAAGAATTATAGTTTGATTAAATGCAAAGCTTCATCATTTAATATGAATTTTAATTTACCTAATGAAATTGTTTTGCTAGATGTCAATTTGGAAATCACGTGCTCAATTTCAGTTTTTTAAAAATATGTTTTACTTCAAAACTTATAGTGACTATTGGTATAAATGTCACCCTTCATAGTGCAAGTTCCTATAAGAAATAATAATAATAATAATATGAAATAAATACAAAGCCTAATAATTTGAGCTGAATTATCATTTCTATCAAAGAGCTTTTATTTACTCAATATCTAGTCAAGCACAGATGTCAACCCCCCCACCCCCACCCCCCCACCCCTACCCCCACCCCCCCCATGCATGGATCCCACCCCCACCCCCCTAGTATATATAGATCACACCCCCCACCCCCTATGTTAATAGATCCCACCCCCACCCCCTCTACCCCCCCACCCCCTCTATCATATAGGTAAACATATAAGTATCAAATCTTACAAATAAGAGATACAAGAAAATTTTAGTTAATTCATAAATGGATTCATAAATAGATTCATAAATAAATATTAATGATCATAAGTATATTTAGCATAGACTGATATAGCCAATATATTAGTAATACATTTAAAATAAAATAATTGCAAAAAAATTGTTACATAGAAAGGAATCAATAAATGACTCAAAAAATATTTTGATATCTCTTATAAAGTCTTTTACTACCCCCATTTAATAACGAACACTTTTTTGTTCCTTATGAAATGGGGTCTAACATATAAAATTTTTGGGAAAAAAATATATAAAAATTATATTAAATATCTATGATTTTTTTATATATAAAATAATAATAAAAAAATCAAATGATGACAACATAAAGATAAAGCACCTGAATTCTATAAATTTAAAAAAAAATAATCTCCTTCATGAGCAAACGATATTTTTTGTTCACTTACGGAGGGGGAGTAAAGCACCATCTTAAGATTAAGCCACTATTAGCTCTTATTTATTATTCTTTGCTCGATTATGCTTGTCTTTATCTTACTCTAACTACTTAAAATTAATAAACTGTAAAGACTAAATTAGCTTATATAAATTTTATAGTAAATTTTGTTCGTTATTAAATGGCCTAAGGAAAAATTTTTAGAAAAAAAAATGACGGTTTTGTTCGTTATTAATGGCGGGGTGTAGCTAGCCTGCATTCTTTGGAAAGTTTTGACCTTTATATGATTTTAAAACACGAGGTATGTACTTCAAAGTTCATTGAAAATATGCTTCCTTGTTAGCACACTGTATCCGATTTTGTTTTTATCCCTATGACTTTGAATTTTTTATGCTGTGAGCAATTAATATGTTTTAATTGCCTTTAATACAGTTTACATTATATAGGGGGGTGGGGGTGGGGGTGGCATCTATTTAATGGATGGGGGTGTGGGTGGGATCCATAGATGCAAGGGGGGTGGGGGTGTGATCCATACAGGGGTGGGGGTGTGATCCATACAGGGGGTGGGGGTGTGATCCATACAGGGGTGGGGGTGTGTGATGTATACATCCAAACTGGGGGGGGTGGGGGGGTTGGCATCTGTGCTTGACCAAATATCAACTTGGAGATTACGTGCTCATATTCAAATTTTTCAATTAATATACTTTGAATTTAAATATTATTTTTATTAGTTAAATTAATTTTAAGTTAAAATTAAATGGGCCAGCCATTTTTTTCCCAAATCATATCTTAATAAAAATTAATTTTAATAAATAAAGATATTATATAAATTGAATCGTTTAATTGCCAAAAATGGTTCACACTTATCAAATATTTTTTGACTTGTTGTTTTTAATTTCCATAATTGGGCCAAATCATTTTACCGCGAAAATCATATTTTTCAAACATCAAGAGATAATAACTATTTTAATTGCAAAATACGATTTGGCTCCATTTCGCCAAACCTTATGCCGATTTTTTAAAAATTTTCAAAATGTTTAAAAACCAATAATATAAAAACTATATTGAATTAGTTTAAAACTAGGGATTTTTTTATTATAATCTCAATATTTCTCTAAATAGTGAGGGGGTTATTCTAAGATGCACAAGATATGAAGTCTCTTAGAGCGGTTGCATTTTCAATGAGGCTGATCCATAAAGGTTCACAAGCTATATGTATGATTCTCAAAAAGATATTGCATCAAAATTGCAAAAGAAAATTGATGAACTCCAGAATGAAGAACCTAAAAGCCAGGCCCATGATTTATCAAATTTTGCAACAAAAGACGAGCTTAATGCAGTAAACAATGACATTCAGGGGAAATTAGTAGATGGCTTAAAAGGAATTGATTCAAGGTTAGATAATTATGCAATAAAAAAAGAAATTGATGAGATCATTGCTGAGATTCAGCAGAAACAAGAGAACAATAAGCTTCCACCTTTAGATCTTTCTAATTATGTGACCAGAGAAGAGCTTCAGAAATCAATGTCAGAGCATGAGGAAAGGAAAATAGTAAAAGAAGAAGCACCAAGCCAACAATTTTATTTAGATTCTGATAAATATATCAGTAAAGAAGAATTTGAAGAAAAAATTGTTACTAATGATTCAAAAAATGCTCAAAAATATGCCACAAAAGAAGAATTACATCAAGCAAAGCTGGAACTTGAAAGGAGCATTAATACAGCAAATTTTGAACCAAGTCTGCCTCAAATGGATTTAGAAAACTATGCATCAAAAGAAGACATCAACGAAATTAAGGAAGAATTTGAAGAAAAGATAGCAGAAAATAGAAATCATTGTAATAAAATTGATCAAGCCTTATTAAATTATAATACAAAACAAGAAATAAATGCTATCAAATCTGAAATAGAAAATAAAATGCTCGAAATTTCAAACAGTGCTTATCTTAAAAAAAATGAGCAAGATATTGATAACAAGAAATTTGAGGATTTTAAACAAGAAATAATAATAATTCTGGAAAAAGACCTGGAAAGCTTAAAACAAGAATTGCGCCAAGAAATTTCTGAACAAATGAAAACAGTTGACATATCAGCTTTTGTGAAGCAAGAAGAATTAATTCTTTTTAAAGCTGAAATTGAAAAAGAGCATGCTATTGAACTTGACACTATTAAAACCCAATCATATTTCAATAGTTTTGTAGCTAAAAAAGAGTTTGATGAAAAAAAATTCGAAATTATCAGCTCTATCCAAGAAAATCTACAAATATATGCTGAAAAAAAAGACATTGAAAATTTCCTCACAAAAGATAATATAAACATCATAATTGATGAAAAACTCAAAGAAATCTTAAATAAGCTGATAAACATTGAAGGGAGTGTTGAAGAGCAAGCTCAATTATTTGAAAACAGGATATCCAGACTAGAAAGTAATAAGGGAAATTATATAGCAGAAGAAGAATATTTTAAGCCTGTCAAGCAGCCTATACCAGTCCATCATGAGCCACCTAAAGAAAAAGAGCCTGTGGTAGTCTCACAATTAATTGAGTTTGAGACCCCATCACCAATCATAAACATTGAAGCTGAAATTCCAGTCATAGACCAGCCAATTTTTAATGTAAAATTAGCAAGACCAAGCCAAGACGATATTTTAATAATAGGGTCTGAAGAAAAATTCACCCAATCACAACCTAAGATTTTCCAAAATAGATCTCCAAATGAAAAATCACAAAAAAGTGAAATCTATGTGATGAGCGAAGATGAAATTGACTTTAATTTAAGCCCAGAAGGACTAGGAGGGACTGGGAACGTAAAACAATCAGAAGAGGACGAATCCTCTTACGATTCTTATCCTAGTGACTCCTCTAAAGAGTTTTATCCCTCTAACAGATCAGGTGATGAGAAAATAAAAGACGAAGACTTCCCAGAGGTAGAAATTATTGATTTCAGCATGAATAAATTCTCTTCTATTGATGATATTGATTTACCTGGCATTTCTAGTCCTACTGAAAATAAAAAAATTGAAACCACCCCAAATGATCCAAATTTATCGAACCGCTCAAACTTCTTAAATAAATTTGCGGTGCTATTGAGCACTAAATTTATAGAGGGAGAAGTAGAAAAAACTTTTGAAATTGCAGAGTCTGTGGTTAGAAGAAATAAAGGGAAAAAAGTTTAAGAAAATAAATGATTATTATTCTATTTAAATAGATAAAAGATAATTATTTAGCTACTATTGGAAAGATATTTTTTAATTATAAAGGGATATTTTTAAGCGCCTGTTTTAGTTCTTTTAAGTGAAGAATTCGTAAGCCTTTTATTTTCCTGCCTCAATTTATTGATCCTGTTTTGGTCATTTCCTTTCAGATGATCAATCAACAAAATAATGTCATTTTTATTAAATTTATCAAGCTTTTTCGATCTGCTGATAAAGTCAAGAGCTTCATCTCTTTGCTTTTTAATTAATTCGCAATCTGACGCAATCATTTCCATTTTCTTATTCAGAAGTTCATTTTCTTTTTCCATTGTTTCAGTCTCACTCTTCGTGGCATTATTGACTACTTCTATTGACAATTGTAGCTTGCTGATAGTCATATTTAGTGCTTCTTTTTCCTGGTATCTGTTTCTTTCTCTTTCTTCAACTAAATAAGCTAGTCTTTTAAGCTCATCTTTCACCTTGCTTAAATCAGGGTCAAATTCTACGTTGCTTGTAGTATTTTCATTTCTCCAGTTAGAATTAGCATTCTGCTGGGTCATAATTTCGCTAATTATCCTGCTTTTCTCTTCTAAAAGTGCTTCAAGCTTATGCAGTTTGTCTTGGAGTTCTGCTTTGGCTTGATCATCTTTTTTATTTGCAAGTGAGGTTAAGCGGTTAACTTCGACACTTAGCTGTCTTTTTTCATTTCTTAAGTAGTCAACGCGCTCTTTGGCAGCTTGTTGGAGGATTTTGATTTCTAGGTGGCATTGAGAAATTTCTTTTTCATGGATTTCTTTTTGCTTTTGGAGCGTTTGGGTGAGATTTGTGATTTGATCTTGCTGAGAGGCTAAGTGCTGACTCATGGCATCTTCTAGCTGCCGAAGAGTGTTAAGTTCGTTTGTTAGGGAAGATTTGGTGTTATCTAAATCTCTTCTAGATATTGATCTTTCCCGGTCTAGCTGGTCTTTAAGAGACTCTATTTCTTCTTTCATTATTTCTATACTTTCACTGTAGCTGCTTTCCAGAATTTTCTGTTTGTTTCCATTGAACTCCCATGATGATGATTTTGCTCCATCTGCATCTAATTGCTGCTGAAGCTTGATTATTAATTCTTGAAGCCTCTTTCTCTCAATGCTTACCAAACTAAACTCTTCTTCAATCCTTTTCGCTCTATATTCTTGTCCAACACTAATAGAATCAAACATCCCTCTAAGCCTCTTAATTTCAGCTGCCATTTCTGCCTTTTCTTTTTCTATTGCTTCTTTCATATTCTCTACCCACTCTTCTTTTTCATTAACCTCAGCCCTCAATAGCTCAAGCTCATTGTTTTCCAAAGTCTCCCCAATGCTTTTCAATTTTTTCATTGATATTGTTTGAGCATTTAGTGCTTTAAGCTGGTTTTCCATTGACTGCAATAATTTTTGTTGGGCAGCTTGGCGGGTTTCCCATGCTTTCAAAGCTTCCACATCTTTATTTGCTTTAATATTTTTCAATCTGTCAAGTCTTGAGTATGCTTGCTCCAGCTCATGACTTTTTTTGTCAAGCTGCAAGTGAGCTTTTTTCATTTCTGATGAATAAAAATCTTCAAGCTTGTTTCTGCTTTCTACTAGACTTTGGTTTTCACCATTTAGCCTGGCAATTTCTAGCTCAAGCTTTTTTATTTGGTCATTTTGGTCGAAGTCAGCATTTTGCTCCTTTCTAGCATCTATAGTTTCTTCTAGAGTTTTAATCGAAATAAGGTAGTTTACAATATTCTTTTTAGCATGATCTAGCTCTTCTTGAGAGCCCATTAGCTTTTCTTGAAGATCAGAGACTTGCTGCTCAAGTTTTTTATTTTTTAAATTCTCCAGCTCATTTCTTGTACTTTGTAGCTCAGCTGTAATTCCTGCAATTTCTGTCAAATATTTTTTCTCACTCCCCCCCCCTTTAAATTGGAACAAAATATCGGTAAAAATTTCCACTTTTTTGGTAAATTAACCCCTTTAAATTGGAACAAAATTTAATTTTATAATAAAAAATTATATATAATTTTTATCTAAAAAGTTTTGATATAAGTTAAATGTTTCTTCTTAACTAAAATTAAAAATTTAATTATATCTTGCTCTTTTTTAAAGAAGAAAGTATAAAGAGCATCTTATTTAAATAAATTGATTATCCTTAATTGGTGAATTTTTAAAAAAAAAAATTAATTTTTTTTTTTCAAAATTTTCAAAAAATTTTTTTTTTTTTTTAATAAAAATGATATTTTTTATTTAAATAGTTTTGATATAAATTCAATAGGAATTCTTTATAAAATTTCAAAATTTACTTATTTCTTGCTTTATTTTAAAGAATAGAGTATAAATAACATCTTATTTAAACAAAAATTAGCACTTTGATCGATAAATTTTCCAAAAATTTTTTTTTTTTAATTTTTTTTATCAATAAAAATAAAAAATTTTTGTGTAAATAATTTTGATACCAATTAATAGTGGCGTATTAACTAATAATGAAAATTTAGTTATATCTTGCTTTGTTTTAAAGGATAAAGAGTAAATAGCGTTTTATTAAACAAATTTATAGATCTAATTCGATAAGTTTTTGAAATTTTTTTTTTTTTTAAATTTTTATATTTTTTTACAAAATATTTTATATTGATATTTTTTTTTAAAAAAAAAAAATTAACCCCCCCTTTAAATTGGAGCAAAATTTTTAGTTCCAATTTAAAGGGGGGGGAGTCAGTCAAACTCGACTGTTCTTCAAGCTTCAAAAGCTCTGCTTTATAGTCTAATTCTGCCTTTAAAAATGCGTTTTGCTGCTTTACCACATCATCTAATAGTGCTTGTGCTGACGAAATAGCGCGGGTTATACTTCTGCGCTCTGATTGTTTGCTTGATATATACATTTCACGTAAGCTTTGGATTTGTTCATTTTTCCCCTGCAGCTGCTCATGCAAAGTTTTTACTTCAGATCTTAATGCAGTATTAACCGACATGACTTCTCCTCCTTCAATGATTTTTTCTTGCTGCATAATGATGTCGTGGCATTTCTCAAGGTCGTGGGATCGTTCACTGACTTCAGAAATAAAAATATTTTCACGTGCCTCAAATTGGGTTTGCAAATTTTGGATGTCATTTCTAAGGGAGTCAAGCTGGGACTCCAAGATGCTTTCTCGCTTTTGGCTGATTTCGAGGATTCTTGTATTGGCAGAGCGCAGTCTTTCGACTTCTGATTCTGATTTGTTTTCTTTGAGGTCTGAGGTTGATGTTAAAAGTTTCAGCCTTTTTTCTAGGTTGTTTCTTTCTTGCTCTAGGGCTTCGATTTGTTTGGCATAAATTTGGAGTTCTGATTCGTTAGCTTTTTTAAGATCATTAAGTTGAGTTTCCATCATTTTTTCTTTTTCTTTCATAACTTCTTCAATTCTGCTTGTCCCTGACATATAGCTTTTCTTTTCTTTTAGCCAAATATCTTCTCCTTCATTTTTCTGCTTGATAAGTCCTCTGATTCGGTCTTCATATTCACTTCTCATTTTTTCTGTTTCCTCTTTTCTTCTTTCTATTTCTTCATTGGCCTTTTCAAATCTTAGCATGAGCTCATCATAGCTTCTTTTTAAGTCAAAATCGGCCCTTCTGTTGTCTTTTTGAACGACTTGGGTTTTGGCAGTTAAAAAGCTTTTTTCTTCTTTAAACTTTTTTTCTTTTTCTTCATGCTTCATAGTCAAGTTTCTAATTTCTTGCCTAAGCTTTTCTATTTCTTCAGTCAGCTCTTGCTCTCTATCTTCACCTGCAGCCTCAAGCCTTTCTATTTCTTTCATTAATTGTATTCTAAGGTCTCCTTCTTTTTGGCTTCCCTTTGTGCTTCTTAAGCGATCACATTCAAGCTTTAATAGCTTTATTTCTTCTCTGTAATTATCAGCTTGTCTTTTATATCCTTGCTCTATAATTCTATGCTGGGACTCCAGCTCTCCTTTTTCCTTGATCCAGTTCTGCTGGGTCGATAAAGTTAATTTTTGGTTTTTTTCAAGCATGTCGATAAGAAGCTGACGCTCTTCTTTCCAATCTTCAGGGTCTTGAAAAGCCTGTGAAGTCTGTTTTAAGTCTTGGGATGATTGAGTTTGGTGGAGGGAACTGCGCAGTGACGATAATTCAACAGGCAAAGTTATAGCACGATTAAACTGTTGTTGTTCAGGTTTGTCCATGTTATAATTTTAAAATATTAGCTTTGATGGCATAAATTATAAGAGGTTAAAAAGAGGCTATGAATTTGGCTTGAAAATATTTATTTCGAATATTAAGAAAAAGATGTTTGCAAGTTTTTCTTTGGAGTTTTTGGTAGTAAAACATTTCCTTTAGATATTTGCTCTAAATTTTTTCCTTGTGAGACATTTGATCAGATTTTAACAGCTTTTTGAAGCAAATGTCTCACGAGGGAAAAAAAATTCAAAAAAATTTCCCCGAGAAAATGACATGCTAGAAAAAGTCCCGATCAAATGACATGGAGCAAAGAAGATATAGTCTTAGCCATTACATACAATTCAAAAATAAGATTATTTAAAAATAAATATTAAAGAATCAAAAGCGGTTAATGTATCCACTAATAAGATTTTCTTATTAATTTAGACAGTTCAAGAGGCATTTACAAATAAAAGTTAGTTCAAATTGAATTAGTTTAAAAATGGATCCTCGTCATAAGAAAAAGGAAACACCAAATGCACCGATTACTTCTGAGCTTGTACTCAGATTGTCAGGCCAAGCCAACTTTGAAAGCATATCAAAGCTCTCCTTTCGGTCCAAATCCAATGCAAAAATAAGGGTAATCCCTATATAGAGAATTGAAGGTTTAGATTTGTGTATAAATCTTCAAGAGCTCGATTTGAGTTATCAATTTATTTCCAAAATTGAAAACCTTGATGCTTTAGTAAGGCTAAAAGACTTAAATTTAATGGAAAACAACATAAAGAAAATAGAAAATCTTCATACACTTCGAGATCTTCAAAGCTTGAATCTTAGCGGCAACCATATTACAGAAATTCCTAAATCAGCGATTGAGCCACTAAAGCAGCTTCGAATTCTCAAGCTGAATAAAAATAAAATTTCGAAAATTGAAGAATTCGCAAACTTAAATGCCCTTATCAGTTTAGAAGATTTATCTTTAAACGGAAATCCAGCTCTAAACCAGCCAGATTCTGATTTACATGTAATTTACTATTTGCCTAGCTTGGTAGCTTTAGATGGCAGCAAAATAACGAACGCTACTAAGCAGCAAGCCAGTCGAATGTTTTCAGGCCCTCCACCTGAGTCATGGGTAGTTAGAGAAAATAAAGTTACTTTTGTGAGAGAACTGAGTGAGGCTCAAGAAGAAAAAAGGGAACTTCAAGAAGAACTTAAAGGGGTTGAAAGACAAATTGATGGAATAAAAAATGAATTAGAAAATATAGAAGCGGAAATTGGGAAACTTAAGAGGGAATTGGAAAGCATTGAAAGCACGCTGCAAGGGGATGCTAATGAAAAAATCAATGTTAAGAAAAGGGAAATGAAACTGCTGCTTAGCAAAGCAGAGAAGCTGAGGGATGAGTCTGAAAATTTGCAAATGAAAATTGGGAGTGCGAGGGATTTGTCGCAGCAGAAAGAAGAGCAGCTGATGGGGCTGAGAGATGAATTCGATTTTGATGAAAGTGAAAATTCTCTTGAGAATAATAGATTATTAACTCCCTCAAGTAGTCCCACTCATAGGTGAATCACAAACTGAATCTATATGCTGGCCCACCAATATAGCTCCTGGATCTTTAAAGATTCGCATTGGGAACTATTTTTGGCTCTGAGCCTGAAATGACGATTAAAAAAAGGCTTAACCATCATATGGAGGATTGACAAACCAATCGTTTTTGTCACTTTTCATGCACGAAATGGCAGTATACTTTAGGTGAAAATTCAAATATTAACCCTAAAAGCAGCGACTAGGCCAATCTAAAAGGGTTAAATACCTGTCATATAAACTTTTTTGCATTAATATATTTGTCTATCAGAAACAATTATAGTCTATTAGGCTTTGATATGCAGCTTTATATTCTCTTTTTATCACAATTGTTGCACTTACTGATAAACTTTTTAATTTGCTCTCTTCTTCTAGCTCTCTCATAACCATTAAGAGCATAAAATATTATCAAAAATAATTAATATAAAAGCCAAATGCAATCGACAGAATGCCATTGTATTTATAGAGAAAAATAGACAAAAGCTAGAAAGTGATATATCAGAGCTTGCAGAAATAATTGCAGAGATGGAATATCAATATGAAAATGCCATATACATAAAATGGCGATGACCTTTTGACCCTTTCTCTCGCGTGGCGGTTGCCAATATATATCCAGAAATGGTTTTTGGAGCCAGGAGTTAGCCCAACAGTATTGGTATCCCAAAGCAAGGGACTTAAGTAACAATCACTGTTTTGTAGTCTTATCCAATAGGGAGTTACTCGTGATTTATTTTTGCCAGCAGCACCTGAGCCGGCGGGTGCCGGAAATGGAGTAGGGTCAATTGCCTGCTCAAATTCTCTAGTGGTCTGCCCGAATCTGGAAGCTGTTGAGTATTTATTCAGGGATAGCCTGGAAAAAGGGGATGCAGACTAGACTAAACAGGAGATCTCCAATCAAGGGCTCCTATTACAGAGGAGCAACACTGGTGGGGATCAAGTTGGAAATGGTGGTGCAGGGAAAGGTTTCGACCAATAGGGCAACACCTCTACCAAGAAGCCAGGGGTTTTGGTATGGGTCTGGGGTTGAAACTGCTTGAAGCCACCCAATTCAATTTTGCTGCCAGGGGGCTCTTGCCTAAGAGAATGCCACCAAAAAGAATCGGGGACCTAAAACACCCATCTAATAATCTAATCTAAAATGAAAATGTCATTCAAGACTTTAATGACGCAAATAACCAAATAATCTCTACAATATCTATAATTATTTTTAAATATTATTAAATATTCCTATTTGCACTATGAATAAAATCACTCTTATATGTCTAATAATAAGTGCTTTAGAAAGTGAAATAATTGACCTGAAAGAAAGCTCAGGCTATTCTGATTCAACGCCTAGATGAAAAGAAGAACCTGGAAGATATAGAAAAACCACAGGAGATCTTAAAAGGCCGAGATCTACCAATCCGGACAGAAACTCAAAGACTTTTTCTATCGATAAAGACACTGAAATCTCCCTATGCCAGAGAAAAGAAGAAATACTAAGCTTGATCCCTGAGCTGGAAATGAAAAAGCAAAGTCTGAAAAATGACTTATCAAAACTCACCAAAAAAAGAGTTGATTATATTAAAAATATAGAAGAAAAAGAATATTTAATAGAAGATAGGCAGAGAAAAATAGAAGAATGTGACCAACTTCTAACCAAATTCAGTAAATCAAGCCCAAGTCCAATAAGATCTACAAACCACGCTAAAAAGATGTGGGAAAGCTTAAAAACACTATGAGGATTAGTAAGTGAAAACCCATGGGACGGAGAATCAGATGACATTCCTAAAGCCATTATCCGTTGGGCTGAGAACATGAAGGATCATTTATCAAGAAAACTTTCAGGAAATGAGCAATATGTAGAGCTTGCTGCCTCAAAAAGAATTGATGAAGCTACGATTCAACATTTGACCACAAAATACCAAGAACTTGTCGAAGAGCTAAGCAAAAGGCCAAATATTGAAAAATATGAACAAGAAATTTCCAAACTCAGCGCTAAGCTTGACGCTTATAAAGAACAAGAAGAAATTTCAAAAAAAAATAAAATTAAACTAGAAAAAGAGCTTCAGGATACAAAAGAAAAGTTAACGCAATTAGAAGGCCAATGGTTGCTAATTCCCCCTGTGTGAGCGATTAAAAAAATTTTGTTCGTTCGCAGAGGGTTAATTTTTTTTAAAAATAAAATTTTGTAAAATTTATGTTTTGAAATGTTTGTTTAAAATTATAATATTAAATATATCCAAATTTTTTCATAAAAAATTTTTTGTTCTCTCTCTGGATGGGTTTTTTGGACAAAAGATAGGGATTTTTCCAATGATTTTGTTTTCTCGGAGTAAGTGAAAACAGGCTAAAAGAATTCTCAGAAAATGAAGATGTAAAAAATGCTCAGTCTAAAGTAGAAGAGCTCCTTGAAGAACAAAACCGATTAAAAGAAAAAATTAAACAGCTAGAAGCTGAATATGAGCTGAAAGAAGCCAGTGAAAAAGACAAGCTTTCCAAAATGAAAGGATATTGTGAGCACAAAGCAGGACAATATCAAAGCTTGATAGAAGACTGCGAAAGAAAAACCAAAGAGCTAGAAAATCTCCAAGAAAACATCAGAAATCAATCCTTACTAAAAGATGAATTAAATGAAAAAATTGAAATTATCAGAAAAAATAAATATGAGCTGGATTTAGAAGTCCATACTGCAAGAAGCGAAATAAGAGATCTCAAAACTGTTAGAACTGCTGAAGATGAAAGGGATAGAGCATTAATTGCAATAAGAAAAGTAGCTGATTCATTAGAAGTTGAATTTAATGCAAATTCTACACCAGATCTTTTTACAGTTGTTAGAGGCATTGAACAAGCTATAGCAGAACTTAATGAAAATATGGAAAAAGTGGAAAGGTTTAAGGTTAATAAAGAGAAATTCGTAGAAATGTATGAAAGCAACACAAAAGAGCTGCAAGAAGAGTGGGAATCACTCAAGCTAGCAAAAGATCAGATTGAAAAAGAAAAACTGCAAATTGATATGATAAGGTCTGAAAAACGTACCCTAGATGAGCAAGTTAGACAGCTAAATCAAGCCACTAACGAACTGCAAAAGCTTAAAGCTAGCTTAGAAAGAGACAACATCAAGCTAGAAGAGCACTCATTTTCACTCAAAGATTCAATCAAATCTTATGAAGACCTCCGAGAAAAAACTCTTCGGGATTACCAGCACATCCAATCCATCCACGACTCTGAAGCCAAAAAATATGAAGATTTAATGAGTGACATCCAAACTGCCAAAAATCACTATAAGCAGCTAAAATCAGACCGAATAGACTCTGAAGCTGAACTAAATAACATAAAATTCCAAGCTGCTAAGCTTGAAGATCGCACAAAAAATTTAGATCTAGAAATCAAAGAACAAGAAAAATTGCTTCTCAGGCTAAAAAACAAGCAAACTGATGAGCAGGTCGTAGTCTACAGAGAACTAGAAAATATCAAACAACTGATCGCTGACAAACAAAAAGAAGTCCATAATTTGCAGTCTTTAATAAATGACTGTTCAGCACAGCTGGCAAGAAAAGAAGAAGATGCGTTATTTATAAAGAAAAAAAATGAAGCCGATTTACTAGAAAGAGAACTTATAGAATCTGCAATAAAAAATCGGCAGCAAGTAATGAAAGAAATTGAAGGCAAAATCGAGAACGCAGAAACTACATTTAGCAGAATCCAACAAGATGTGGACCTTCTAAGCCAAAATTTCGCCCAGAAAAACCGAAAAATGGCACAATTAGACTCAGATTTAGAACAAAAACAAAGCGAGTACGAAAGGCTGAAAAATAGACTGGAGACTTCTACACAAGAGCTCAAAGCGTTAGAAGAAATCATAAGGAACAATAAATTAGAGCTCAGATCTATTGATGAAACTATCGTCAATAAAAACTATGAAGCTGACACTGTCCTGCACCAGCTGAACCAGAAAAAACAAGAGCTTAATAACACTGAACGAGTGCTAATAGAAAAGCAAAACTTGCTTGTAAATGAAGAACAGAGACTTGATGACAGCAAAGACCAAAGACAAACTGAAGAAGAAACTGTCAATGTTCTTAAACAGCAAGCGCAATCTCTCAGCACCAGAGTAGCCAAACTAACAGAAACCCTTGAAAGGGTTGAAGCTCACAAGCACCAAGTTTTAAACGAAATTGAAATAATTAACCAAAAAATGAACAAAGAAGAAGCAAAACACAAAAGTGAGCTCGAGCAGCTGCGAAATGCCATAGGTAATGGAGAACAAACACTGAGGCAGCTTATGGAATCAGTACAGAGGTGTAGAAATAAACTGGCTCACGATAAAGAAGAAGTCCTGCAAATCACGAGCGAAATTGAAAATTTGCATAAGGTAAAAGAAGAAGAGGAATCTAAAGGAAAAAATCTGAAAAAAGAGATAGCAAGTTTGCAAAACCAAATTGATAAATTAAAACAAGAAGAAGACACTGCAATGGTTTTACTTGCGCTGAGTGGACATAGGATTGATGAGAGTGTGAGGCAGAGGATTCATAAACTTTGTCAGTCTGCCCTGGAGCTTGAAAGCGTGAAAGCTCAGCTGGCAGAAATCCAACAAAAAGAGTACAGATATAAAAAATCGACCCCAGCGCTGGAAGAGCTAGAAAATACTGCACTTTATAGCCAAAAACAGTCTGAAATTAGACCAATCCAAATTTTAGAAGAAACTGCAGGTGGTGAGTATGAAACAGAAGAGGTCAGGAAAATTCTGCATAACCTTGAAGTTACGAGAGAAAGGCTCAGGTCTCTGACCCCAGCTAACGAGCAATCATATGAACAATAATCTAAACTATTTAATCTAGCTTTATCTAACTCCTATCCAATATGTTTTCCCATTCGGATTGTGCAGGCCTGAAGACTTGTACAGCATACCATCTTTCCACATATTAATAACCCACTCATACCACACTTTTCCGCTCCCACAGCATCTCCATACTGAAATTTCAATTTCTGACCCACCAGGACAAAAAATCGGCTCTTTTATTGGAAAATACATAGGAAACCAAGAGCACATATCCTTAGAATGTGTTTCTGGGACTGTGGAGAGTGTTATGTCTTTATATAATTTTGACTCAAAATAGCCTCCAAAGCCATGGATTGTTAGAGGGGTTGCAACTGGAAATTTAAAAGAAGAAAATCTTGAATAGTTTGAGCTAGGGGAAGGATAGTTGAATTGAAAACATTTTTGTGTTGTCCATGGGGAGTAAAAATTGTGCAGCATAGAAACATAAGGAGTTTCTGGGACTTTTTCAACTGTGATTGCGTTGGTTCAGTTTTTCTGTGAGGATACTGGGGATAAATAGGAAATTGATTCACAAGGTATGCTGATTCCGCCTTCTTTGACTAAGTGTTTTGCGCATTCTAAGCATTCAGGCTCAAGCTCATTATCTCCGAAGCTTCCAAGCAGTTCGCTAACTAAAATATCAGCTTTTTCTTCTGGTTTTCATTCCCTCATATCACTTTCAATTACTTCAATGTTTTCTCCAGCCCAATCAGTGCCTATGTAATTCTTACTTAACAAGTTATAAAGTGTCACAATCGCATTACTCCCCCCCCCATCCTTGATCGAACGATTGACTGTAAAAATTCCTAAAAATTGGGGAGATTAACCCCATCCTTGATCGAACGATTTTCATATCATGACAATTTTATATATATAAAAATATATTATTTATCAAAAGCTTGGGAAGATACACATAATGAAGTTGTTTTCAGAGACTTTGAGACGACAAAAAGCTGCGGAATCGACCATCCGAAGTGATTTAGTCATTTAACATATGCTAAAAAACTCAATAATCTAATAAAATACAGATTCTTTAAAATTTTTTTAAAAAAAAAATTAATTTAATAAGGAACAAATAAAAATTTATACAATTTAAAGGGGTAACTAATAAATCAAAATATTAAAAATTGGCATTTTATGAAATTAATTCAATTTTTTGCTGTAAAAATAATTATTAAATATTCTAAACCCTCTTATTTAAAAGTAAATAAAACAAAATATCTATGTTTTTTTATTTTATATATAAATTTTTTTTCCCGAAAATTTTTTTTTTAACCCCCATCCTTGATCGAACGATGGCGAGTCGTTCGATCAAGGATGGGGGGGGGGGGGAGTTAGGATTTTTATCAAGGGCATAAACCTTTATATTTCTTTGAGCTTTTCTTCCTGCTCTTAAAGCAGCAGATGCTATTGGACCTCTGCCAGCTCCAACCACCATAATAATTCTGTAATTTTCATTATCTTTTAACGCTGAATAAATAGCGTTTTCATATAGAAGGTATTTAACAGTGTCTTTTTCAAAAATATCATAAGTCATGGATTCTAAATTATGCATCAAAGGCTGCAAAGGGATTTGCAAATTGTCCCAATAGTCTATAGAAAAGGACTGAATTTTATTGAGCTATATAAAAAATACGCGTGGCTGGTTTTTGAATAAATAGCAAATATACCCTCTTATTTGTTCTGCATCTCTAGCTGAGCCTATTAGCACTGATGCTTTTAGTTTAAATAATTTTTGTATAAAAACCTGATGCTCTTTTGGCAAAACTGGAAACCCCTGTTTATTTTTTAGAAAAATGTGTCTGGGGATGTGAACATTCATGATAGGTTCTCCGAATCATCGGTCTAATATTTTCTCTTCAGGCAGCTCTTTAGTTATTACTAAAGACACTCCAAGCGCAGTCGAGGGTCCTACCATGCATCTCAGCGCATTCCAAATTTCCCATTTATCAGCTGGAATTTCCACGTGGACTTTTTGATAATAAAATCCTTTTTCCAAATACTGGTTCAAAATTCTCGCAAAATTCGTGCAATGCAGCTGAGGAGTTGGCAGTACAATAGCGTTGACTCCTAAATGGACTGCCCAGTCAATCTGTCTTCCCATCTCTTTTTCCCATTTTTCTCTTAATTTCGGGCAGCTTGAGTCAGGGTTTATATTTGGGTTGCATTTCCCTTGTATACAGTTATTCCATTGGTCACTGGGAAGGCAAAAGTCAGATCTTGTAAATGCATTATTTCTTTTAATATCAGGATGTTGGCTATATCTTGGGTGTGATAAAGGGACTCTGAGGAAATCAAAGCTTTCATTTACAGCTTTTTGCAGCTCTTGTTGGATATTAGCTGGGTAGTTTGTTTCTTTTCCTACATAAAGCTGCCATGGAAACTCTGGACAGGGAAACATTTTTATGTGAATTATTAGAGGAATTTTCTTAATTAAACTCTATATGCCGCGAGTCGATTAAACCAGAAGGCAAGAGGTTAATGGCTGCTAAAATGAAACCGTAGTAGATAGGAGATGGGGTGAATGGGGAGGTCTTGAATTCGGGGTGGTATTGGGTCCCGAGGAAGAATGGGTGGGTTTGCTGAGAAAGCTCAACTACTTCCATTCTGGTATTGGTAGGGTCTTTGCCTGAGAAAATTAGCCCGGCTTCTTCAAATCTAGTGATATATTGAGGGTTTACTTCAAATCTGTGACGATGCCTTTCCCATACTACAGATGACCCATTATAAAGCCTGTATGCTAACGAATCTTGAGTCAAACTTGTAGGCTTTGAGCCTAGTCGCATGGTATGTCCTTTGTTTTCTTTATCAAAATCAGGCATGTCAATTATAACTGGATTCTCTGTATGCTCATCAACTTCAGTTGAATTAGCACTCAGCCCTAGCACATTTCGTGCATATTCTATAACAGCCATCTGCATTCCTAAGCAAATCCCTAGCATAGGTTTTTTATTTTCTCTTGCATACTTAACCGTCAATATTTTCCCTTCTGCACCTCTTCCTCCAAATCCTCCGGCCACCAAAACTCCTTGACTTTGATAAACTTTTTCCCAGTCAGGATGTTCAGGATTTTCTAAATTTTCAGATTCTACCCAAGTAAGGTTCAATTTTCGCTTGCAGGCCATCGCAGCATGGAAAAGAGCTTTAACAAGCGACATATAGGCGTCTTGGCTTTCTGTGTATTTCCCGACTATTACAATTGTCACTGTTGTGTTGTCTTCTTTGAGTCTCTCCCATAAGCTTACATAACTAATGTATCTTGAAAGGTTTGGAACGCGCCATTCTATATTTAGCTTGTCACAAATTTGTTTAGAAATCCCTTGGCTTTCAAGCTGGACTGGGACCTTATAGACTGTATTCACATCTTCGCAGCAGAAAACACGATCTGGTCTTGCATTAGTAAATAAAGCGATTTTTTCTTTTGTGGCCATATCTAGCGGGACTTCGCTTCTGCAGACTATCATATCAGCAATTAGGCCAAGTGATCTTAATTCTTTATTTCCATGCTGCGTCGGTTTTGTTTTCAATTCTCCTGATCCTCGAAGATAAGGAACGAAGCTTGTGAAAATCAAGCAAACGTTCTCAAGTCCTACCTTCAAAATAAGCTGTCTTAGAGCTTCAAAATAAGTCGCGCCTTCAATGTCTCCGACAGTCCCTCCCACTTCTACCAAGCAGATATCAGGCTTTGACTCCTCATTTGTGTCTCTGTCAAAAATAGGCTGCTGGGAAACCCTGAAAATCCAGTTCTGAATTTCGTCTGTTACGTGAGGCACAACCTGAACAGTTTTCCCGAGATAATCGCCACGCCTTTCTTTTTCTATTATATTTTTGTATATTTTTCCAGTGGTAATGTTGTGGTCCCAGGTGAGGGTCAGGTTCAAAAACCTCTCGTAATTTCCTAAGTCCAAGTCCACTTCTCCACCATCGTCTAGCACAAATACCTCGCCGTGCTCATATGGGCTCATTGTTCCTGCATCAATATTTAGATATGGATCAATCTTAATTGCAGTAAGCTTATAGCCGCAGGCTTTTAATATTACTCCAATACTACTTACGATGGTGCCTTTGCCAATGCCACTAACAGTTCCACCACAAATTACGAGGTATTTCATATTTTATAATAAATATTAATTTTTTTTGTGAATTTTATATCAAAATATATGAGTTAGGATTTATGAAAAATGGACTTTAATAGCTAATTAAGGTTCTGCTTTGCTATTTCGAGTAGTAGTTAATTCATCCTAAAATGCTTAATAAAGTTTCATTATTAGTTATTTCCACAAAATCCCCTTCACATCATCCAAAGTGTACTTTCCCAGGCAGGTTGGACATTTTCTCTTCTTATTGGCGATATTGTCCTCAAGGCACTTCCTGCAAAATGTATGAAAACATTTCGTGATCAGTGCATCTTTGGGTCTCGCGCAACAAATGCTACACCTCACCATATTCTAAATATTTCTTACTCTATACTTCGTCAGCTCATTATTGATAATGTCATTCGCAGACGTAAATTTCTCATACTCCTTTGCCTTGCACCATTTTTCCTCATAGATTTTCATCTGTTTGACAGCTTGCTGATACATAAGCTGAAACTGTATTGCATCAGTCGCACTTTTAATGCTGAGTTTTTCTGTCTTCAATAACTTATCATGCCATTCTTTTTTCGCTATCATTAGCTCTTCATTTTTCCTCAAAACTTCTTCATTCTGGTTGTAATAGTGCCTCAGTCGGTCTTCAAAAGTTTTAAGCTTGCTTTCCAAAGATGAGGTAAAATAATCAGGAGAGACTGAAAAAAATACATTGATGTTTTTTCCATCTGCTTTTTCAGTTGAAAGTGACTAAAAATTTTAAAAAATTGTTTTTAATATTTAAAAAGTATAACGTCGAATAAACATAATGGTGCATTTTACCAAAAAGCAGGCGGAAAAAAAATCAATGTAGTCTTTATTCGGCCACACGGTAAAATCGCTTTGGAATTTAAGCTTGTTTTCTGCTTCTTTGACTACGTCTTTAAGCTTGGCAATAGTTTCGTCTTTGTTTGTGATTATTGCTTCGTAGGCTAGTTTTTCTTTTTCGCGCAAGGTTTTCCAGTTGCTTTCTTTGACTCTTTCGTTCATGAGCTGGATGTGATTTTTTTCTTTTTCATCAAGAAGGTTTACAAGAACTTTATTTTTCTTCATGGTTTCTTCGTAGGCATTGCCTGTCACTTCGATTTCGTTTATGAGATTTTCGTTGTTTTTTCTTTCATTTTTGACCTCTTGCTTTAAGTGCTTTACCTGTCCTTCAAGTTTTGCGATTATGTGGTCTTTGGCTTTTGCGTGCTGCTTTAGCTCCAAAATTTGGTTTCTTTGTTCTTTAAGCCTGACATCAAGCTCAATTTCGTTTTCCCCTGCGACGTTTTCATCTGGAACTGTCTTCATATTGCTGATTTCAATTTCTTTTAAGTGAAGATTGTCCTTCAGCTCATAAATCACCTTTAAGTCTTCCATACTTTTATTTTCCAGCTCCAGCTTGTCTTTTTTTAAGTCCGCAATCTTCTTTTTCAAATTCAGCTTCTGCTGTTCTAGCTCTTCAATATGCTTCTGGAAATGCTCTGTGTCCCTCTGTGTGTTTTTATCCCTTTTTAGCGCTTCATACTCAAATCTAGCCTCATCTCTTTCTTTTGCGATATTAATGTTTTTGCTTTTTAAGGCTCCTATCTCTTCATAGAGAGCTAGAATTTTTTTTTCCTCTTCAGCGATAACTCCTGCGATTTCCCTTTCTTTGGCTTCATTGAACTCGTCATTGATTTTCTGAAGCTCTTCATTTTTCTTCTTAATGGTATCGTGGTTTTTTATCATGGTCTTCGCCTGGGCTATCAAGCTTCTAAAAGCCTTGGTCCTTACAAACCGCTCCTCAGAGACCTCTAGCTCTATTTGCATTTTCTGGGCTCTTTGTATCTGCTCTTCAAGATTTGTTTTTAGGTGGTCTCTTTCGTCTTGAAGTTTGCCGAGGGAATTTTTGAGTTCTTTTATATCTTGAGAGTCCTCCTCAGTGGTTGCTGCCTCTGATTTGCGGGCGCCACATCGGCAGGGGCACTTACATTTTAGCGCAATTTCCACCGCACTTAATTTAGTAGTCAAAGACTGATTGGTAGACTTGAGATCATCAGCGATAGCTTCAGTGCGGGTCTGTTCTTGGACTGTCCTTGACAATGTGTCTTTTAGTCTCTGGATAATTATAAAATGGCGACATTCCTGAGGTATCGATCTGCATTTTTTAAGTATGAAGCTCATTTTACATGGGAATTCTACCCGGCCAAGGCAGCTAAGCAGCTTGAAGGGGAGGCGCCTGCTCTCTTTGCAGTCCCTAGGTAGTTTTAAGGGCCTCACCAACGACGGAGTCTTTAGAAGCTACGCTTCGTCAAGGAAGACAGAAGTCTCTCACTTTTGAGCTTCAAAGTCGGCAACACACCGTTTCCAAGCGTGCCCTGGCGAATCGAAGTAGGAAGCCTTCAGCAGCCTGTGGGTCCGTTATGTATAAAAAACAGGGAAGCTCTGTTGCTGCTACCTCATAGTTACGTTAAGCGGGACACTATGCATCTATATTTCTTAAAGCTAAAGTCTTTTAGACGCTGAATTTCTCGCTGATATTCACTGATGTCGGAACAAGCCTATATAAAACTCACTTTTACGTACGAATCAGTCAATTCACTGTTTTTCTTGCCAATTTCGTCTTGAGGGATTCCACTTTTCAGCTTGGAAATGACGCCTAGGAGCTGCCGAAACCCACCTCTAGTGAGTTCAGACATCTGACTAAGCCCTTCTTCGTCTTGAATTAAGAAGGAAAATGGGCTGCTGCCATCAACTAACTCGATATTACACTTTTCATAGGAATAAGCTTGACATAGTGCGTTTATATCTCTAACCAGTTTTTTCCAAGAGCTATTGTGCTTTGAGATATAGTCATTCAGCTTGTTATTCTCGCTACTCAATCTTGCGTTTTCTTGAGAAAGTCTAGCCAGCTCAGCAGATTCAGCTAATTTAGTATTCTGAGAAAGATTTTTTAAAGATATTTTTAAGTATATAGAAAATCAATGCTTTATTTGCAAAATTAGTGACGTATTTTATATTAAAAAGAGGGCGAAACGTTACGTTAGTAAAATACTAACCCCCCATCCATGATCGAATATACCATTGTAAAGATTTGGAATTATAGTGCCATTCTTAATCGAACGATTTTTATATAATCAAGCATAAAATATGCTCATTACCCTGCCTCAAATCGAGCTACCTATATTTGATAGTGGCCAATCTCAGAGATTATACTATGCAATTGCTTCTATGTGGTTACTTGCATTTCTGCTAATATTTCATACTATATCTCTGGCTCTGTGCAATCATATTTTACAAGAAAAAATTAATAATATAAATAATTTTAGGTTATTAAAATTTATTCGCAATATTTGTTCATATTTTTTTTAAACTTCTATCTTAGTAGAATGGGTTATAGGCTCTTTAAGGATAGGGGAGTAAGTTTTTATATAAAGAATATATTTGAAGACTCGATTGGATCTTTACTTTCTATCTTTTGCCTCTTTGTAGGCTCTCCAGTAGACATATTTAATTTTATTTAATTTCGAAGGGCTTATTTAATATGTTGGGTAATTCCACCAACTCGTTCTCCTAACTTTCCTCTCTCCATGGGCAAGAATTTTTTTTGCTAATTTTTATGGCTAATTTTTTATGATTTTTAAAAAGTTGACTCTCAAAAGAAATATCAAAATTAATTTTTAAAATTTTGCTTCAAGATTCTACCGTAAAATTATCAAGATATTTCTTATTCGATTTATTAATTATATATCAAAATATTTATATTTATATAAAAATATTTATTCGAAAATATTTCGCTTATAGCATAGGGAGAGGATAAGCACTTTGCCATGCCATCAGTCTTAGCTCTTATCCTAATATTTCCTGCAATTCCATTTTCTTTTCTTTCTATTGACACATTCATAAGAGCGTCCTCAGCAAATCTAGACTGTCCATACAAGTTGCAGACCAAGAAGTGCTCACTGCAAAGCATCACACTTTCAGGTGTCAAAATGGCCATATTAGACATTTTTGATAGTTTTTGAACATACTCAAGAAGGTTAGTTTTAGGGCTATTTACGGACACAGGACTTTCCCATTTAAAATCTTGCCATAGCTGTCTGAAATGAGACTCACTGCAGATGGCTGGGTGTATATACTCGATTGCATCAATTGTGATTTCATTTAAGGTGATTAAGTTTAGGTTTCCTCCTTTCGGAGAGTCATAAGTTAAGTTCCCAAAAATGACTCCAGCCTCAGAGCTGCTAACTTTTACGCTTGCTTTAATCTGTGCTGATTTTCCAGGGGCTAAATTGATAGGTAAAGGCTTTTCTACCATTTTTAAGTCCCCTTGAGAAGCAAGCTCTAATGTCAAATTTTGAAGAGTTTCACTGGATTTGTTAAAAACTGAGAACTCTAGTACAATGTCATATAAATGCATCCTCATCATACATTCCACGTAGACTGGATCACCAAGGCCAGTCAGTTGTCGGACCCTGCTGACTCTTTTGCCATAGTCTTCATCAGTGTCTTGGAATATGGCTTTAAAGGCGTCTTCTTCAATGAAGTCCATATCACTAATCCCATCTCTTCCTCTAAGCTGCTTAATGGTAAGCAAATCGTCAGGCTGGGTAATAAACTTTTCGTCTTCTAGCTGCTCTTCTATTTGTTTAGCAATTGTTTGGCAATGGCTGTAAAGCTCTTTTCCTCCTTGAAGCCAGCCAGGGTATATTAGGCCTGTGAGTGTTTGGAAGCATTGTAAAATTCTTTCAAAGTTGTCAGGGTCAATGGAAAATGGGACTTCACTGTATTCTTTTTCAGCTTTGTTTTTCAATGGGTAAGTTCGGAGCTGTACCAGCCCACAAAGGATTAATAGGATGTCTTGCTTGTAGTTTTCTCGGTTTTTCTCTTCAACTTTATATAATAATTTTGTAAGAGCAATAGCTATTGCGGTAACTAAATATAATTAATTATAGTGAATTTTTATTTAAATTAAAATAGAATTTAAATTTTAGAAACAGCTTGATTTTGTATAAAAATCGACTTCTTCTACCTCAGTCAACAGTTTCCTAAGCCCACTTACACTTTTTGGCCTTGAGAAGTCAAAAGTTGATATAATCTGTGTGCCATAAGTCCCATCTGGCAAAATCACTGTACGATGAATTTGTTCTTGCTCATCTTTTACAGCTTCTGTATGGGCAATTCTTTCTCTTTTATTGATAAATGGACCTTCACCAATTGTGTTGAGAATCAAAACTATTGTTTTAGCTGGGTCTTTTGTGTACTCTGATAGCATCCACAATGCACTTCTATACACCTGCGCAGAAGAAATTTCAGCAAAAATATGATGGAGCTTATCAATAATATTGCTTTGTAAAGACTGATAGCTAGACATCAGCTGCTGGACAAAGCTCGCCACTTCTGCAGAGGTTGAAGCTTGAAGCAAACAACAGTCCATTAAAACTTCAACAAGTCCTAATTGCCCAGTGATATCAGGGAAACTGACTGCGCACTTGTGAAGGGCTATAATTAAAAGCTCTTGGTATGGGAATTCTTCTTTTTGCCCTTGCACATTTAGAAGCTCTTTTTTGAGAATCCTTACAATTTCTTCCACATTTCGCGAAGATAAAAGTTCCAGCACAAGATCTAAGCACTTTTTCCTGATATCGTTAGAAGGGCTTGACAAGGATCTTAACAAATCTACAGCTTGCTCTTGCAAAAGTTTTGGAAACTGTGGTCTTATATCGGCTAGTTTTTCTAGAACTAACAATTTTACATTATTATCTGCACTAGGGTCATTAAGAAGCTTGATAAACGTAGAAATTGCTGTTTTGACTGCATTAGGGGATTTTGTCAATTGAATAATGGTAGACGCACACTCAAAAAGCACGCTTTGAGACTTGCTGGTATTTGCTAGTTGGAATATTGATTTCATATGTCTTCCTTTTTCCTGTGGATTTGCCTTGCAGACTCTTTTAAGTTCATCAAGCACCACAAGCTGCAAAATATCAGCGCTTGGCCCAAATGATGAGCTATTATCTTCTTCATCAGCCAACACTGAGCTTAAGTATTTCATAGCTACTTCTGGCTGAGCTTCGAACAAAAAGAGCAATGCATTCCTACGTGTACTTAAATCGGTCTCGCTCTTCAAAAGTTCATCTACTTTTTCAACAGCGTCTGGTAGCAAGCTGTCGCCAAATGACATATAAATACTGTAAACACACATAACGGCGTTTCTCCTCACATATGGGTGGCGATGATTCAGATTGTCGACCACAGGCTGAAGCAAGCTGTCCATCATTTCTCTATACTTCATCTTAGCAACTAAACGAAGAGTTTTGGCCCTCACAAATTCATTAGGACTAACTCCCCCCCCCCCTCCGTGAGCGAACAAAAAAATTTTGTTCGCTCACGGAGGGGGGTTAATTTTTTTTTTTTAAAAAAAATTTATATATAAATTTTATAAAAAATATTTTTTTCGAAATTTAAAAAAATCCTAATTTGCAAAAATTGGGAAGCAAATATTAATTTAATTTGCAAAATTTATGTTTTAAAACGCAATTTGTTTAAAATTAAACAGAATTAGCTCTAGATTTCATTATACTAATTATCACTTATATATCAAAATTTTTTTCCATTAAAATTTTTTCTATTAAAAAAATTTTTGTTCACTCACGGAGGGTGGGTTTTTGGTCAAAAAATGGCGATTTTTCTAATGGTTTTGTTCGCTCACGGAGGGGGGGGGGGGAGTAAGTAGGTCGTTCCTTAAAGCATTGCAGAGCATGACCATTTCATCTTTGATGGTCCCGTCTGGATTGGTTTTTTCGATGGCTTCCCAGTAAAGTAGAAGTAATTTTTTCATTTCTTTGGACTCCACCCTCATTGCGTGCTGGACTATTGTCATTATCATTCTGGGGTAGTGATCATCTTGAAGTATCATTAATATCAAGGTTTTCATCGCGTCAATTTTTTCTTCTTCTGTGCCTTTTTCTAAAATCTTGGCAATTTCTTGGTTGGATGGAGGGGATAGCACTTCGTAATCAATTATTAGATAGCAAGGCTTGGTCTGCTCTGGCATCTAATATTATTATTAGGAAATGGTGCTATCTTAGGCTTATTCCATGTTATCCTATTTATTTACACGTTTCTTAAACCTCTATTTATTTCATCAGTTAATTGATCCCATAGCCATCATCCACGCTGAGCTCATCCCTCGTACTTGTGTCATCATTTTCAAGTAATTCCATAGAAATAGCTGATGATTTTTTAACTTCAGCTATTTGGTTCTTGGTGTTCTTCAAAAAGCTATCTGTAATTCAAAACATTAAAGAGTTCAATATAAAAGGAATCACAATCATTACCATCATTAGCTCTAAGTTTGGATAATCCGATATAGGGCTTAATAGCAAATCTCCAATAAATTCCAAGGCTTCATGGAATAGAAGCACAGTTCCGATTAAAACGCCTTTAGTTATAATAGTAATCCCCAGTCAGAGCCAAACCTGGTAAGCCCATAGTCCCCATCTAGGAGGAGTTCCATAGAATCCAGAGGTAAAAGAAAATGTTTCGGATTTAGAAAATAACCCCTCAATTAAGTTTAGGAGAAGATAACATATTGCCATCCCCAATAATGTGTCAATCGCGAAATTCAGAAAATACCACGTGCATTGGTTGGATTCAGGGTTATTGTGTTCGATCATATATGCCACTGCTAAATTCAGCATGTGAAGTAGCCCTGCGCTGAGGCCTTGCTTTGAAGTGTCCATGAACCAAATTTTTCAGCTTCGGCAGGGCTTTTCGGTGTACTTTTTTACTGTGTAAAAATTACTTATCAGGGAGGAAAAAGATAGAAATCCTAGGATTCCTTGAATAAACCATCCGAAATCTCCAAAAAGCTTGCATTCCCCAGAACCCCTGCTGAATAAAGATCCCATTTCTATCTAATAAGTTAAACTTCAAATAAATTGTTTTAAATTCAGGACAATTATTTTAATTTATTGGATAAAAATTATATAAAGATTGCTTTATTTCTACAACTATATTTGGATTTAGATGATATATGAAAAAGAATAGTTTAATAATAAAAATATATTAAAACTGCTCTTAATGCCATAAAAGTCATTTTATAGTGAAATAGAAACATTTTATCTTACTCCCCCCCCCCCCCTCCGTGAGCGAACAAAAAAATTTTGTTCGCTCACGGAGGGGGGTTAATTTTTTTTTTTAAAAAAAATTTATATATAAATTTTATAAAAAATATTTTTTTCGAAATTTAAAAAAATCCTAATTTGCAAAAATTGGGAAGCAAATATTAATTTAATTTGCAAAATTTATGTTTTAAAACGCAATTTGTTTAAAATTAAACAGAATTAGCTCTAGATTTCATTATACTAATTATCACTTATATATCAAAATTTTTTTCCATTAAAATTTTTTCTATTAAAAAAATTTTTGTTCACTCACGGAGGGTGGGTTTTTGGTCAAAAAATGGCGATTTTTCTAATGGTTTTGTTCGCTCACGGAGGGGGGGGGGGGAGTTAGATATACGAATCGTATTGAGTGCTGAGTTTTAGAAATCATACATTTGAGATTTTTAAACCAATTCTAATTTTCATTTGTAAAATTTATTATATAATCTACTTAATAGGTATATATTGATAGTTTTGTCATCTATAAATGAAGCTCTTGTTTAAAATATAAAATTATTTTATTTTTCTTCTTTTGTAGTCTTATAATATTTTTGCTATAATTAAAAACATTACAATTGCTTATGATTAGGTTTGAATTGCCTTAATTTGGCATTAAATTTTATATATTTATTGAAAATTCGCCATATTATAGGCGATGAGGAGATAAAATCTTAAATTTATATAAAAAACGAAATATTTTTCTTTTTTTACACTTTCTGTTTTAGCCTAATCAGGCCCTGCTGTTCAGCCTAAAGATTCTGATTTTGTTGCCCCACAAGCAATGACTGACGAAATCAACAGTACCTAAGACTCATGGATTGCTTCTGCTGAGTGCGTTGACCAAATGACAATAGCTGAAGCCAGACGTAAATTTTCCTTACAACCCAAATCTAGAGAATTTCCAGAATATGATTGGGGTGCGTTCTTAAACTATCTCTTAGTTTCAGCATCGTTTGATTCAAGAATCCAATGGCCTGAATGTATTCATCCTATTCAAAATGATGATGGATGCTATGGTGGCTGGGCATATGCAGCTATCGAGATCTTTTAGACAGACTTTGTATCGCTTCAAATAAAAACATTAATGTTGTGCTGTCTCCTAGGGTATCTAATAGCTTGTGATATCCAATACGATAACGGATGTAGCGGAGGATATGACTTAAGCAATATTGAAGTCCTTTAGCATCTTGCATTCCTTTCCATGGATAGTATAGATAGTCCATGCCTTACTAAATGCAACTCAAGAGCATCACTTCAATTTTATAAAGCTGCGTCTGTTAACACCTATAGCGGTGTATCGTCTATCTAAGCTGCAACCTTGGTAAATGGCCCAGTTGAGACTACTATTTACGAAGATTTCTTGACATATAGCGGAGGTATTTACAAGCACACTAAAGGAAATCTTGTAGGAACTTTCAATGTAAAGCTTATAGGATGGGGAAATCAAAGCTGAACGAACTATTGGATTGCTGCCAACTGCTGGGGAACTCTTTGGGGTATGAAAGGATATTTCTGAATTGTGTTTGGAGAGTGTGGAATTGATACTCAAGCTGTAACTGGATCGCCTAATGTTTAATGATAATAGTTTTTATTTATTATATTTTTAAAATCAATATCCGCCCCTTGGAATTGCGTGCTTTCCGATTAATTTTTTTTTTAATATTTCTATTGCATTGAATTAGAACACTCAATTGATTTGTCTTTATTATAAGGATATAAAGTAATATTTTGGTGGGGAGATCTTCTTTGATTTAATAGAGAGTTATTTTTGTGCACTATGATACCGCTCCAAAGGATAAATCCTTCAATAACTGGCAACTTATATTCAGCACACTTTATAAATAAGCATCACGAAAAAACTCATAATTTGCGAATAAAAGATAAGATACTAGATATATAAATAAATATCTAAAATTATGCGGCTCCTTATTGCATAGAGCTTATATAAACTTCAATATAATAAATTAAAATATAAAAAAGGTAAAAAAGGTAAAATTGGAGAGGCATTGACAAGCCCGGTTCCTATTTGAAATTGACATGACTGCTATTTTAGGCTCACTTAATGTTCCCTGTGAAGACAACGAATTATCATCAATTTAATAAGCTCATTAAAACTAATAAGAAATAAGAACTGAAATCCTTTTTATTTCTTTTCCACTCAGCCTCAATAAATAATTTGCAAGTTGATTATAGTAACTTTAAATTGGTGCTATTTAACTTGAAAATATAATTATTTCTTTAGTCGTCGCCATTTTGGTGATAATATAAAAACAAATTCTCCACATTATTGTCGATATTAAAATACAATATTCATGGTGAAATAATTAGAAAAAGAAAATGAGATATCTTTTGTTTCTATCAATCTTTGTCTTAGGACCTGCTGTCAAGCTTACAGATCCAGATCTGATTGCTATGCAAGAAATGGTTGACGAAATTAATAGAGTTCAAGACTCATGAACTGCTTCTACTGACTGGCTCAGCCAAGTAACAATTGCTAAAGCTAAAAGTAAGCTGCTGCTCTCAGAGCCAAAGCCAAGAATATTCCCAGAAAAAGACTGGGGTACGCTATTAGATTACCTCTCAATCCCAGCATCTTTCGACTCAAGACAAAAATGGCCAAACTGCATTCATACAGTTCAGAACGATGAAGGATGTGATGGAGGTTGGGCATATTCAGCTACTGGTGTTCTTGCAGATCGATTTTGCATAGCTACTAATGGCACAGTTAATGTTGTGCTATCTCCGGGATTTCTCCTAGTTTGCATCATAGATCCCATAATAATGAACTGTAATGGAGGAACTGATGATGCAGCTTGGCAATTTTTGTCAAAAAGTGGAACAGTTACAGAAGAATGCGTTCCTTATCATATATGAAGTGCAGACGATCCATGCCCTAATCATTGCAATGATCACTCAAAATTTGTATATCCGTTGGTAAAATTTCTTATGGACGTTATACACGCCATTTTCATATGAAATTTCAAATTATGAATTTGCCGCACTAAAATCTGCGTTTTGAAACGCACAGTCAGCTTTCACATACCAAATTCAAAATGACATGCATATGCTTGATATACCAATTGTCCGAGGATGGCGGTATCTTGCGCCATCCTCGGGCAATTCAAAAATGGCCCCACACCGGGAATCGAACCCACGTGTGGGGCCATTTTTGGTGTTTGGCCAACATCGACTTACACGCACCAAAAATTGCCCCACACGTGGGTTCGATTCCCGGTGTGGAGCCATTTTTTGAATTGCCCGAGGATGGCGCGATCTTACGCCATCCTCGGGCAATTCCTATAAGAAAATTAATGCAATACATATATATTACAAAGCTAGCAATGTGAAGAAATACTCTAATCCAAGCTCTATGCAAGCTGCAATCTTAGCGGGAGGACCTATTGAAACTCATCTGAAACTTTATGAAGATTTACTGACTTATAAAGGAGGCATTTATATACATACAACAGGGAAGCATATAGGTCATACCTCTGTTAAAGTGGTTGGATGGGGCAATCAGGGTGGAACGAACTATTGAATTGCACAAAACGTTTGGGGAACTCTTTGGGGCCTGAAAGGATATTTTTGGATAGCTTTTGGTCAGTGCGAAGTTGATACAAACGCTATAGCTGGAGATCCTAAAATTAAAAATAACTAGCTTTCTTCATAAATACTTGATCCTTTAAATCTTCAATTTCGGTTATTTTGAGCTAATTTTAAGTATGTGTGGCACACTCTGCTGATTCATTGATTGCTAGCCATAACGAAAAGAGTTCATGAGTTTGTTGAGCTCTTGATAATTTTTTTAAAAAATAGCTTATTCAAGTTAAGTTTGAAAAATCAGCTTTCCGGAAACTTATGCTATTCCTAAAGTTTGTTTTGATTAAATGTAAAACTTTGAGCTATATGATCATTGCTCAAATAAATTCTTTTAGAAAATTAATCTAAATATTCTTATTTTAGGCTCACTTAATGTTCCCTGTGAAAATAACGAATTATCATCAATTCCATAAGCTCATTAAGACTAATAAGAATTAAGAACTTAATAGATCGTTTTTATTTCTTTTTCACTCAGCTTTGAAAATAAGCTCTAGAATTATCTCTTTGCTACTATAACTTTAAATAGGCTCTATTTACTTAAAATATAATTATTTCTTTACTCGTCATTTTGGTAATAATATAAAATAAATTCTCCACATTATTGTTGATATTAAAATACAATATTCGTGGTGAAATAATTAGAGCAATAAAATGAAATATCTTTTGTTTCTATCAATCTTTGCCTTAGCTCTTTCAGGGCCTGCTGTCAAGCCTACAGATCCAGAACTAATTGCTATGCAAGAAATGGTTGACGAAATTAATAGAGTTCAAGACTCATGAACTGCTTCTACTGACTGGCTCAGCCAAGTAACAATTGCTAAAGCTAAAAGTAAGCTGCTGACCTCAGAGCCAAAGCCAAGAATGTTCCCAGAAAAAGACTGGGGTACGCTATTAGATTACCTCTCAATCCCAGCATCTTTCGACTCAAGACAACAGTGGCCAAACTGCATTCATCCAGTTCAGAACGATGAAGGATGTGATGGTGGTTGGGCATATTCAGCTACTGGTGTTCTTGCAGATCGATTTTGCATCGCTACTAATGGCACAGTTAATGTTGTGCTGTCTCCGGGATTTCTCCTAGTTTGCATCATAGATCCAGTAGTAATGAACTGTAATGGAGGAACTGCTGATGCAGCATGGCAATTTTTGGTAGAAAGTGGAACCGTTACAGAAAAATGCGTTCCTTATCATATATGAAGTGCAGAAGATCCATGCCCTAATCATTGCAATAATCTGTCAAAATTTGTATATAGTTATTGCCCGAGGATAGCGCTATCTTGCACCATCCTCGGACAATTTTAAAAAATGGGCCCACACCGGGAATCGAACCCACGTGTGGGGCCATTTTGGTGCGTGGAAGTCGATGTTCTCCACATACCAAAAATGGCCCCACACGTGGGTTCGATTCCGGTGTGGGGCCATTTTAGAATTGCCTGAGGATGGCGCAAGATAGCGCCATCCTCGGGCAATAGCTATATTACAAAGCTGCGTATATGCAGACATACGCTGGACCGAGCTCTATGCAAGCTGCAATCTTAGCAGGAGGACCTATTGAAACTACTCTGAAAGTTTATGAAGATTTATTGACTTATAAAGGAGGCATTTATAAGCATGTAACGGGGAAGTATATAGGTATGAGCTCTGTTAAAGTGATTGGATGGGGTAATCAGAATGGAACGAACTATTGAATTGCACAAAACGTTTTGGGAACTCTTTGGGGCCAGAAAGGATATCTTTGGATAGCTTTTGGTCAGTGTCAAGTTGATACAGAAGCTGTAGCTGGAGCTCCTTATCCGATTATCTAATAACTTTCTTCATAAATACTTACATCCTTTAAATTTCAATTTCAGTTATTTTGAGCTAATTTAAAAAGTATGTGTGGCAAAGTCTGCTGATTCATTGATTGCTAGCCATAACGAAGAGTCCTAAAGTTTTTAAGTTCTTGATAATTTTTTTAAAAAATAGTTTATTCAGTTTAACTTTGAAAAAGCAACTTTTGCTAGAACTTATGCTATTCCTAAAGTTTGTTCTGATTATTGCAAAACTTTGAGCTTTATGATCATTGTTCAAATATCTTCTTTTAAAAAATTAATCTAAATATTCTTATTTATAGCTATTCATTTATGCTTCGTGCTATAGATTTAATTATTAAATAATAAAAAGCTCATTGGTATATATTGCAATTATGTCATTACTCTATTTAATATAATTTGTTTTAGTTCGTATTATTTTTCGATGAAGTGTTTGAATTTTTTTTCACCCTAAAAACATTTTTTGCTTCTTCTTACATTTCTGACTGAAGAAAAATAGGTGGGAAAACTTCATCGAAGTTTTTTCCGCTTTCCCCCTATTTTAGGCTCACTTAATGTTACTTATTATGATATAGAATAATCATCAATTCCATAAGTTTATTAAACTAATCAGGAATAAGAACTTATTAGATCGTTTTTATTTCTTTTCCACTCAGCCTTTAAAAATAACTCTAGAACTATCTTTTTGCTACTCAATAACTTTAAATAGGCTCTATTTACTTAAAGTATAGTTATTTCTTTACTCGTCATCATTTTGGTGATAATATAAAAACAATTTCTCCACATTATTGTTGATATGAAATTACAATATTCATGGTGAAATAATTAGAACAAGAAAATGAGACATCTTTTGTTCTTATCAATCTTTGTCTTAGCTCTTTCAGGACCTGCTGTCAAGCCTACAGATCCAGATCTGATTGCTATGCAAGAAATGGTTGACGAAATTAATAGAGTTCAAGACTCATGAACTGCTTCTACTGACTGGCTCAGCCAAGTGACAATTGCTAAAGCTAAAAGTAAGCTGCTGACCTCAGAACCAAAGCCAAGAATGTTCCCAAAAAAAGACTGGGGTGCGCTATTAGATTACCTCTCAATCCCAGCATCTTTCGACTCAAGACAGCAGTGGCCAAAGTGCATTCATCCAGTTCAGAACGATGAAGGATGTGATGGTGGTTGGGCATAATTAAATATGGCGTCTCAACTTGAGTCTGGCCTTTCGGCCAGACAGTTTCGAGCCCTATTTAATTATATCCGGCAAGGTTTTGCCTAGCTAGAGATGGACAACAATATCAGGTAAGCAATTCTGGCAGTGTACAGAGCCTGATCCTAGTCCGTTCTCAGGTTAGGATTTTACCTCGAGGTAAAAGGAGGCTTGGAGTTGGAAAGGGGAAGCCCAGCAGTGCCTACAGGTAATTCCTAGGCCATTCGGGCAAGCCTCTAGCGAGAAACCGGGAGTTTCGCCCGGGCTACAAGTTTTCCTTTTTGCCGAAAGTCGGCCAAATATTCCATTTTTTGGAATTTCCTAGCAGGCAACCTTCGTTACAGAGAAAGTAGCTCATTCATGAGCCGTCGAAGGCGGAACATCGCGCAGGAGGCGCACGTTGGAGATCAAAGCTAGCTGTCCCAGCAACTAGTGGGCCCCGAGCGACGAGAGCGTGGTGGTAGTCCTGGAAGAGCAACCCCGTAGGAGACGTTAAACGTCATGGTTACTAAGTTAAGATGGTGGTTGGGCATATTCAGCTACTGGTGTTCTTGCAGATCGATTTTGCATTACTACTAATGGCACAATTGATGTTGTGCTGTCTCCGGGATTTCTCCTTGTTTGCATACTAGATCCCGTAGAAATGAACTGTAATGGAGGAACTGCTGATGCAGCTTGGCAATTTTTGGTAGAAAGTGGAACCGTTACAGAAAAATGCGTTCCTTATCATATATGAAGTCTAGACGATCCATGCCCTAATTATTGCAATGATCACTCAAGATTTGTATATTACAAAGCTGCGTATATGCAGACATACGCTGGACCGAGCTCTATGCAAGCTGCAATCTTAGCAGGAGGACCTATTGAAACTACTCTGAAAGTTTATGAAGATTTACTGACTTATAAAGGAGGCATTTATAAACATACATTGGGGAAGTATATAGGTATGAGCTCTGTTAAAGTGATTGGATGGGGTAATCAGAATGGAACGAACTATTGAATTGCACAAAACGTTTGGGGAACTCTTTGGGGGCAGAAAGGATACCTTTGGATAGCTTTCGGTCAAGTCGAAGTTGATAAAGAAGCTGTAGCTGGAGCTGCTAATCCGAAAATCTAATAACTTTCTTCATAAATACTTATATCCTTTAAATTTCAATTTCAGTTATTTTGAGCTAATTTAAAAAGTATGTGTGGCAAAGTCTGCTGATTCATTGATTGCTAGCCATAACGAAGAGTCCTAAAGTTTTTAAGCTCTTGATAATTTTTTTAAAAAATAGTTTATTCAGTTTAACTTTGAAAAAGCAACTTTTGCTAGAACTTATGCTATTCCTAAAGTGTGTTTTGATTTTGATGTAAAGCTTTGAGCTATATGATTATTGCTCAAATAAGTACGTTAAGACAATTAATCTAAATATTATTTATAGCCTTATTCTTTTGATAGCTCATTTGCTTGCCTATTTAAATTATCAGAAAGAAGATCCTTAAAAGCATCCAAAAATTTTATAGGGAAATAACTTTGAGAATATTTAATTTTTAAACATTAAAATTCGTGAGAAATTTTTTATATTTAATAAAATTAATGAATAACTTTAACAATAGCAATAGTTAAGCCATTTAATTCAGAATAAATCAAATATTAGTAATCCCTATATTGTAATTACTCAAATAGACGTATTTAGCCCTCATTTATCTCGCCATTCTTTGGTTTAATAAAATTCTCAATATTATTGTTGATGCGGAAATAAAATTTATGTGGTGAAATAATTATAATGCTAAATGAGATATAGGGGAAACCCCTATATCTTTTATTTGTTTCAATTTATGCTTTTGCCTTTTCAGGATCTATTCTGCTTGAGATTCTGACATTGTTGCTCCACGAGAAATCGATGACGAAATTAATAGAATTCAAGACTCATGGGCTGTTTCTTCTGACTGGATTGGCCAAACGAAAGTTGCTGAAGCTAAGCAGAGAGTAGCCCAATGCCAGAGTCTCTAAAATTTCCAAAAAAAGATTGAGGTGCACTATTAGATAACCTCTCAAATTCAACATATTTCGAGCATGACCAAATTGCATTTATCCAATTCAAAATGATAATATGTGTTATGCTGACTGGCTTGCGGCTGCTGATTCTCTTTCAGACAAACTTTGCATTGCTTCAAATAATACTGTTAATGTTGTACTATGGCTATAGAAATTTACCATAGATGGAACTGTTTGCCCTTGATTTGTCCATGAGGAAAATTCTTTGGTTTGACCAAACCATATGGTACTGGTTGAAACCAAAAAATTTCCCCAGTGGGCAAATCAAGGGCAAACAGTGCCATCTATGGGAAATTTCTATAGTAGAACTTGCAAATTTCAATTTCATAACCATAAACCCTACATGCAATGGAGGAACACTCGAAATAGCTTGGAGATTTTAACAGAAATACGTAATAACTACAGCTAGCTGCCTCCCTCTTAGTTTGCTTGATAAACAATATCCATGCCCTGAAAAATATACCTCATCATCAGAACAATTGAAATCATATAAAGCCGAAAATATTAAAACATACAATGGTTCATTATCTATTAAAGCTGAAATTTTAAAACGATGGCTTGTTGAGACTATAATGAAAGTTTATCAAGATTTTTTGACTTATAAAGGAGGTATTTATAAGTACACGACGAGGAATCTTGCAGGATACTTCTGTTAAAGTTATTGGATGGAGTACTCAGAATGGAACAAACTATTGAACTGTGGCTTATGCTTGGGGAACTAATTGAGCTCTGCAAGGATATTTCGGATTGCTTTTGATAAGTGCGAATTTGGCTTGCAGGCAATAACTGGAGGTTCTGTTTACTCTCATAAATAAATTGATTAATTTTACTATTCATCAATTTGTCCATAAATTGGATAATAATGATGAATTTAAATACACTGCTTCATATAATAATTACGGCTAAACAAAATCAAAAGTAATCCGCTTCCTTATTTTTAAATAGAAAAATATATAAACTTTAAGAGTATTCTAGGCTATATTTTAGAAAAAACCGAGGTGCCCTCAGGCCCTTAATCTAACCCTAAACTTGCTGTAAAATTTATTTATAATTGTTTATCGTTTTAAAAGAAGATTATAATGAGCCTAGTCAGAAATTCCGATATTGCAATGATTCGACAAACACATCGAACCCTTTTAGCTCATCATAGTTTTGCTTAATATAATTCACCATATTATTGCTGATATGGTGATGAAATGTACAAGGTGAAATAATTATAATAAAAATGAGATATCTTTTATTTGCTTCAATTTGTGCTCTAGCCTTTTCAGGACCTATTCTGTTTCAAGATTCAGACCTTGTTGCCCCACAAGAAATGATTGACGAAATTAATAGAAGTCAAGACTCATGGACTGCTTCTTCTGACTGGGTTGGCAATATGACAGTTGCTGAAGCCAAGCAGAGAGCAGCTCAAAGGCCAGGGTCTCAAAAATTTTTAAAAAAAAATCGAGGTGCACTATTAGATAGCATCTCAATTCCAGCATCTTTTGATGCAAGGCAACAATGGCCAAATTGCATTCATCCAATTCAAAATGATGACAATTGTCATGCTGGCTGGGCGTTTGCAGCTGCTGATACTCTTTCAGACAGATTTTGCATTGCTTCAAACGGTACCGTAAATGTTGTGCTATCGGCAGCAGAAATTGTACTTTGCCTATTAGAAAAGCCTTCATGCACTTTAGGAACAACTGATTTAGCTTGGAATTTTATAAAAGATATGGAACAATGTCAGAAAGATGCATGCCACAAAGCTTGATAGCTACAAGTAAAATATGCCCTACTGTATGCCACCCCATTGACATTATTATCTATTATAAAGTCAAAAAAATTTACACATTCCAAGGCCAACCAGAAATTCAAGTTGGAATTTTAAAAGGAGGGCCTGTTGAAGTTAATATGGAAGTTTATCAAGATTTTTTGACTTATAAAGGAGGTATTTATAAGCACACGACGGGGAATCTTGTAGGATACACTTCTGTTAAAGTGATTGGATGGGGTAATCAGAACGGAACAAACTACTGAATAGCAGCAAACGCTTGGGGAACTAGTTGGGGTCTGCAAGGATATTTTTGGATTGCTTTCGGTCAGTGCAATTTTGACGTTGAAGCTATAGCTGGAAAACCTGATTATGAACCTGAATAATAAGAAGCAAGCTATAAATCCAAAAATAATAATCTTAAAAGAATATAAAGCATCTTGCTTTAAATAATAATTCTATAATAAAGGATAAAAATGCGCTATTATCGAGCTTCTTCTCTCGTAGCTAACGAAAGTAAATTTTGCTACTTGTGAAGTGAGCTATGAAGAGCCTAATTGATTAACACTGATAAGTAGCTTACTTTCATATAAATGCAGATTATTTATCTCTAATCGCTTTCTTTGCTATTTATTATAAGATTATTTTTAATTCTTTTTTCTACTTTTTCAGGTTTATGCAAGAAATTATCAGTCTTCTTCTAATATTGGAATAATTCTACTTTAAGAACTAAAAAGAAGTTATGGAATATACTTTATCTACAGAAGAACTTTTCTAATTGTATCTTGTTTCAAAACTTATGAAAAGAAAGGAAGATTTAAAAAAATGTGATTTCGTTAGAGCTTGCTATGCAGACGCTAATTTATTAAATACATATAATTTTAAAAATTGAGTTAATAAAATACTTACTTAAGTATGCTTTCTTTATTTACTCTACCATTTTAGTGAAAAATTATTGCAATTGATAAATTGTGCTGAAACTAAATAATTTCTTCCTCTTCTAGTTGCTTTTATAAAAACGTCAAAGTTCCTTGCTGGTAGTAATTTCTTAAAATGGACTCCAATTTATATATTTAAATAAAACACTATTTACTCAATGAAAATTCACCATTTTGTAGGCGAGATAAAAATAAAACAATCGTGGTGAAATAATATAAATTAAATATAAAGGCTTGTATATTACGAACTATTTTATTTTGCTGAAAGATTTATAAAGTTATTACTTAAGTACTAATTAAACTATAACTTTAAGAGTATTCTAGGCTATATTTTAGAAAAAACCGAGGTGCCCTCAGGCCCTTAATCTAACCCTAAACTTGCTGTAAATTTTATTTATAATTGTTTAATGTTTTAAAAGAATATTATAATGAGCCTAGTCAGAAATCCGATATTGCAATGACTCGACAAGCACATCGAGCCCTTTTAGCTCATCATAGTTTTGTTTAATATAATTCACCATATTATTGTTGATATGGTGATGAAATGTACAAGGTGAAATAATTATAATAAAAATGAGATATCTTTTATTTGCTTCAATTTGTGCTTTAGCCTTTTCAGGACCTATTCTGTTTCAAGATTCAGACCTTGTTGCCCCACAAGAAATGATTGACGAAATTAATAGAGTTCAAGACTCATGGACTGCTTCTTCTGACTGGGTTGGCAATATGACAGTTGCTGAAGCCAAGCAGAGAGTAGCTCCAACAATAGGGTCTCAAAAATTTTCAAACAACGATTGAGGTGAACTATTAAATTACCTCTCATTTCCAGCAACTTTCGATTCGAGGCAACAATGGCCAAATTGCATTCATCCAATTCAAAATGATAGCGATTGCCATGCTGGCTGGGCGTTTGATCAAGTATTAAACACTCTCAACAACCTAATAATTACCTAATTTATTTATAAAAACATTAATTATATTGTAATTTATAGCTAAAGTTGAATTAAAACATGATTTGTTGCATATTTTAAAATATTATCAATACTAAATCTGTTATATATATATTGAATTTTAAATTGAATTATATTAAAATTAATAAATTTATTGTAAATTATATGATAATGAAATAATTTATTTAATTATATATAAGTATGAAGCCCATAATTTAATTAAATTTATTTAAATTTATTCTTATGAGTATGGAGCCCTATATCTCTAACCTAGCACTAGTATAAAGCATATATAAGCAATTAAAGATCACAAATAAAAAACTATCTTCCCTAAATAAAAAAAATTGTTTATATTTATTGTAGATTTAGTATCGATACTATTATAAAAAATGCTGCAAATCAAGTTTCAATCGAACTTTAGTTATAAATTACAACATAATTAATTTTTTTATAATTAAAATTTGGTAATTAATAGGTTGGTGGTGGGGGTGTGTTTTATGCTTGACCAGGCGTTTGCAGCTGCTGATTCTCTTTCAGACAGATTTTGCATTGCTTCAAACGGTACCGTAAATAATGAGCTATCGGCAGCATTTATTGTACTTTGCAGTCTAGCTTCTCCTTCATGCATTGAAGGAACAACTGATTCAGCTTGGAACTTTTTAAAGCAATTTGGAATACCTAAAGCAAGTTGCACTCCTCTCAGCTTGATAGGCAGTAGTCAATGCCCTAGTTTGTGCCACCCCCTTGCTCCATTTACCTTATTTAAAGTCAAAAAAATTTACACATTCCAAGGCCAACCAGAAATTCAAGCTGGAATTTTAACAGGAGGGCCAGTTGAAGTTAATATGGAAGTTTATCAAGATTTTTTGACTTATAAAGGAGGTGTTTATAAGCATACGACGGGGAAACTTATAGGATACACTTCTGTTAAAGTGATTGGATGGGGTAATCAGAACGGAACAAACTACTGAATAGCAGCAAACGCTTGGGGAACTAGTTGGGGTCTGCAAGGATATTTTTGGATTGCTTTCGGCCAGTGCAAATTTGACGTAGAAGCTATTGCTGGAAACCCCGATTATAAAGCTCAATAATAAGAAGTAAGCTATAAATCCAAAAATAATAATCTTAAAATTTAAAGAATATAAAGCATTTTGCTTTAAAATAATAATTCTATAATAAAGGATAAATATTCGGTATTATCGAGCTTCTGCTCTCGTAGCTAATGAAAGAATATTTTGCTACTTGTGAAGTGAGCTATGAAGAGCTTAATTGATTTATACTGATAAGTAGCTTACTTTCATATAAGTGTAGATTATTTATCTCTAATGCACTTTCTTTGCTATTTATTATAAAATTATTTTCAATTCTTTTTTTCAATCTTAGTTATATATAAATATTTGTAATAACTGATAAAATGGGTTTAAGTTTATCAAAATAAGATAAATGAATAATATGAATGTTTAAAGCTTACTTTTCAGGTTTACTAAAAGAGATGATTAACCTTCTTCTAATATTTTTGAAGCTCTTGTTTCAAAATTTAAAAAATGTGATCCCATTAGGGCTTGCTAAGTATGCTTTCTTTATTTATTCTTCCTCTTCTACTTGCTTTTATAAAACGTCAAAGTTCCTTGCTAGTAGTAATTTCTTAAAATGGACTCGAATTTATACATTTACACAAAACACTATTTACTAAATGAATATTCACCATTTTATAGGCGATATAAAATAAAACAATCGTGATGAAATAATAGGTTATTTGTGTAAATATTATAATGCTTAGATTTTTAAGTACTACTGTAACTGTTACTTTAGAGTATTCTGAACTATATTTTCGAAAAAACCAAGGTGCCCTCAGGCCCTTAATCTAACCCTAAACTTGCTGTAAAATTTATTTATAATTGTTTATCGTTTTAAAAGAATATTATAATGAGCCTAGTCAGAAATCCGATATTGTAATGACTCGACAAGCACATCGAACCCTTTTAGCTCATCATAGTTTTGCTCAATATAATTCACCATATTATTGTTGATATGGTGATGAAATGTACAAGGTGAAATAATTATAATAAAAATGAGATATCTTTTATTTGTTTCAATTTGTGCTTTAGCCTTTTCAGGACCTATTCTGTTTCAAGATTCAGACCTTGTTGCCCCACAAGAAATGATTGACGAAATTAATAGAGTTCAAGACTCATGGACTGCTTCTTCTGACTGGGTTGGCAATATGACAGTTGCTGAAGCCAAGCAGAGAGTAGCTCCAACAATAGGGTCTCAAAAATTTTTAAAAAAAAATTGAGGTGCACTATTAGATAACCTCTCAGTTCCAGCATCTTTTGACGCAAGGCAACAATGGCCAAATTGCATTCATCCAATTCAAAATGATGGCAATTGTCATGCTGGCTGGGCGTTTGCAGCTGCTGATACTCTTTCAGACAGATTTTGCATTGCTTCAAACGGTACCGTAAATGTTGTGCTATCGGCAGCAGAAATTGTACTTTGCAGTCTAGAAAAACCTTCATGCATTGGAGGAACAACTGATGTAGCTTGGACTTTTATACAGCAATATGGAACAAATTCAGAAAGATGCACGCCACAAAGCTTGATAGCTACAAGTAAAGTATGCCCTACTGTATGCCACCCCATTGACATTATTATCTATTATAAAGTCAAAAAAATTTACACATTCCAAGGCCAACCAGAAATTCAAGCTGGAATTTTATCAGGAGGGCCTGTTGAAGTTAATATGGAAGTTTATCAAGATTTTTTGACTTATAAAGGAGGTGTTTATAAGCACACGACGGGGAATCTTGTAGGATACACTTCTGTTAAAGTGATTGGATGGGGTAATCAGAACGGAACAAACTACTGAATAGCAGCAAACGCTTGGGGAACTAGTTGGGGTCTGCAAGGATATTTTTGGATTGCTTTCGGTCAGTGCAATTTTGACGTAGAAGCTATAGCTGGAAAACCTGATTATAAAGCTCAATAATAAGAAGTAAGCTATAAATCCAAAAATAATAATCTTAAAATTTAAAGAATACAAAGCATTTTGCTTTAAATAATAATTCTATAATAAAGCTTCTTCTCTCGTAGCTAACGAAAGTAAATTTTGTTACTTGTAAAGTGCGCTATGAAGAGCCTAATTGATTTGCACTGATAAGTAGCATACTTTCATCAAAATGCAGATTATTTATCTCTAATGCACTTTCTTTGCTATTTATTATAAGATTATTTTCAATTCTTTTTTTCAATCTTAATAATATATAAATATTTCAATTTCTGATAAAATGGGTTTAAGTTTATCAAAAAATAAAAGAATAATAAGAATGCTTGAAGCTTACTTTTTCATGTTTTATAAAAGAGATTATTAGCCTTCTTCTAATATTAGAATAATTTCTACTTTAAGAAAGTTATAGCATATACTTCATCTGCAGAAGAACTTTCCTAATTATATCGCAGTCTTCATTTTTGGAGTAATTGTTTCCAAGCTTCTGAAAAGCAAGGAAGATTTAAAAAATGTAATTCAGTTAGAGCTTGCTATGTAAACGCTAATTTATTAAACACATATGATTTTAAAAATTGGCTTAATAAAATACTTACTTAAGTATGCTTTCTTTATTTATTCTACCATTTTAGTTAAAAATTATAAAAATTGATAAATTGTGCTTAAACTAAATAATTTCTTCCTCTTCTAGTTGCTTTTATAAAACGTCAAAATCCCTGCTGTTAGTAATTTTTAAAATGGACTCCAATTTATATATTTATACAAAACACTATTTACTAAATGAAAACTCACCATTTTGTAGGCGAGATAAAAATAAAACAATCGTGGTGAAGTAAGATAAATTAAAATTTTTTTATATATAAAGGCTTTATATTAACTATATTTTGACATACTTGATTTAAAGAATTTAATTCTCGCGCGCCAAATTGATTTGGCGCAGGGTTGCCTGCATTGAAAAATTCAATACGCTATAAAATGAAATATCTTTTGTTTGTATCTCTTTTTGTGTTAACCCTTTCAGGGCCTGCTGTTGAGCCTAAAGACTCAGATCTTGTTGCCCCACAGGAAATGATTGATGAAATCAACCGAGTCCAAGACTTATGAATTGCGTCATCTGAGTGGGTTGGAAATATGACATTTGCTCAAGAAAACTATATATATTAAAATGCTGACACATTTCAACTTGCCCTCTTGGCGCAGCAGTTCAGACCTTATGGCCACAGCGAACTGAGACAGACTCCCAGCCGAGAATCAAGTGCGGGCCCATGAGATGCATATCTGGGTAGGATTTGGCTATTTTACTGCTGGAAATGGAAGTCCTCAACAACGTCTTTGGATCCGAGGCCCATAGTCATTCCTCTGCTGAGAAATGAAGGTTTCGGCCCATGGGACAGGGGAGTAGTCTTTTTCCTATAGCTATCGAAGAAGACACTTCGGCACCTGATAGACTCCAAGTAGATCCTTGGAATCAAGCAGTTCAATCGCCCGTAGCAGGGACAGAAATCCATAAACCCACTAGAGACTAAAGCCGCAAGGAAAAAACAGAAGGTATTGGAAGTGGCAGAGACCCTCCAGCCTGGAGTCGAAAAGAGATGAATCTCCCGAACGGGAGATCTTTGATGACTGCGTCATCAATATGGCTAATGACTTTATAATCCTAATCCTGCTCAAGCCAAACTTTACGCATCTTCAAAATTGGAAGCTAAAAAATTTCCAGAAAAAGACTGGGGTGCACTTTTAGACTACCTCTCAATTCCGGCATCTTTCGATTCAAGAACGCAATGGCCTTACTGCACAAAACCCTTATGGTACGGTGATGATTGTAATGCCGGCTGAGCATTTGCAGCAGCCGAAACTATGACAGACAGGTTTTGCATTGCAACAAAAGGAGCATTCAATATCACATTTTCCCCTCTTTATCTAATAATTTGTGATGTTACCTTGCCCGAACTAGGGTGCTTGGGAGGAACCGCTGAAAATTGCTGGGATTATATGAGGACTACAGGGATCACTTCAATAAAATGCTTTCCTTATAATCCTGGTGACTGGAATCAATACTGCCCTTATGATGAATGCCGTTGGGGAACAGAGATTACTCTTTACAAGACTTTGTCTGTGAATACTTTCACTAGCCCATCATCTATTCAAGCAGAAATATTGCAAAATGGCCCAATTGAAGCTACAATGACTGTTTATGCAGATTTCCAAGCATATAAAGGAGGTATTTATAAGCATACCACAGGGGGTCTTGTAGGGTACACCAGCGTGAAAATTATTGGGTGGGGAAACCAAAGCGGAACGAATTATTGGATTGCAGGCACATCTTGGGGATCTACTTGGGGTATGAAAGGATACTTTAATATTGCTTTTGGACAATGCGGCATCGATCGCGCTGGTGTAGCTGGCCCTCCTGATCTTTCAAATATTCCAACCATTAAAATTTAATGATCTAAGCATTCATTTATAAAAATATACATTTTAATACTTTAAGCAGTTCACAAAGAAAAAATTCTTTTCATTTAATAAAATATTGCTAATTTAAAATTTAAAGATTAAAAATGAATTAATCATTTTTAATTTTATTATTCCAGGCTTTAAAATTTTCTTCAAAAAGTTTAAATAAAAGAAATAAAAAACTCTCTATAATCAATTATTCTTAATCTTACCAATAATTTTATATATACTGAAAGCTTTAATATTATTACTTATTTAGCTTTTAATATTTTTTTAATTAATGTCTTGAACATTTGTAATATTGTATAACATTTTATAGTAAACATATTTAATTAAGTTTATTTTATTGTTTATATGGCCTATTTAATTTTTTATTAACTTTCTTCTATTTAATTTTATTCGATGTTTGATTTCCCAGTCTCATCGATATATTATCAATAATTTTAAACAGCTTCCATTTATTATGATTCCCAATTTGATTTGTTTACTTCAAAAATAAAAAATTAAAATATGATGAAAAATTAATTTTCAAAAAATCCCCTAAAAGCAAATGATTTTTACTCATAAATCAGAGCTAATGCATGTGGCTAAAATTTTTAATAAATTGCCCCGAGAAAATGTATTACTATTATAAAACGCAAAGCAAATGGCATAGAGTTAATATTCCTTGGATTCAACCGACTATATTATAGCAAAATCTTAATGATTATTTCATTCTTTATTCATCTCTGAATTTAAATAAATTAGAAATTCAGCTTACTACTTCAACTTCTCCCATTTCTCTAATAATACTCTGTTTGTATACATTCTGTTTTTTAGTTTCTTTCTTTTCAAACATCAGTTTATTAAGCCCTTTGCACCGCTTGCTATTTTCCCTTCATTCACTCCAAGGAGAATAAAAAAATTTCTTATTCAGAGAGAGTTTAATTTTTTGATGAAAATTTTTTGGTGGTTCTGAAACTTTTCAATTTGAAGTAACCTGAAAAAGACTAAGATAACAATTAATCTATCTAATCCAATATTTTTGAAGCTCTTGCTTCAAAATTTAAAAAATGTGATGCCATTAGAGCTTGCTCTGTAAACTCTAGCTACAAATGATTTTAAAAATTGACTTAATAAATACTTACTTAAATATGCTTTCTTTATTTATTCTACCATTTTTAGATAAAAATTATAAAAATTATTTACAACTAAATAATCTCTTCTAGCTGCTTTTATAAAAACGTCAATGTTCCATTCTGGTAGTAATTTCTTAAAATGAACTCCAATTTATATATTTATACAAAACACTATTTACTAAATGAAAACTCACCATTTTGTAGGCGAGATAAAAATAAAACAATCGTGGTGAAATAATATAAATTAAAAATTTTTTAATATAAAGGCTTGTATATTAAATATATTTTGACATACTTGATTTAAAGAATTTATTTCTCATGCGCCATATTGATTTGGCACACGAATTTTCTGCATTGAAAAATTCAATACGCTATAAAATGAAATATCTTTTGTTTGTATCTCTTTATGTTTTAGCCCTTTCAGGGCCTGCTGTTGAGCCTAAAGACTCAGATCTTGTTGCTCCACAGGAAATGATTGATGAAATCAACCGAGTCCAAGACTTATGAATTGCGTCATCTGAGTGGGTTGGAAATATGACATTTGCTCAAGTAAACTATATACATTAAAATAGCGACACGTGTCAACTTGCCCTCTTGGTGCAGCAGTTCAGACCTGATGGCCACAACGAACTGAGACAGACTCCCAGCCGAGAATCAAGTGCGGGCCCATGAGATGCATATCTGGGTAGGATTTGGCTATTTTACTGCTGGAAATGGAGATGCTCACAATGTCCTTTGGATACGAGGACACATGGCCTATTCCTCTACCGAGAAATGAAGGTTTCAGCCCAGGCCATGGGGAGTAGTCCTTTTCCTGTAGCTGACAATGAAAGGCACTTCGGCACCCGATAGACTCCAAGTATATCCTTGGAATCAAGCAACTCAATCGCCCGTAGCAATGCTTAGGCTGGAGTCGAAAAGCAGATGAAACTTCCGAACGGGAGATCTTTGATGACTGCGTCATCAATACGGCTAATGACTTTATAATCCTAATCCTGCTCAAGCCAAACTTTACGCATCTTCAAAATTGGAAGCTAAAAAATTTCCAGAAAAAGACTGGGGTGCACTTTTAGACTACCTCTCAATTCCAGCATCTTTCGATTCAAGAACGCAATGGCCAAACTGCACAAAACCCTTATGGGACGGTCAAAATTGTAATGGCGGCTGGGCATTTGCTGCAGCCGAAACTATGACAGACAGGTTTTGCATTGCAACAAAAGGAGCATTCAATATCACATTTTCCCCTCTTTATCTAATAATTTGTGATGACACCATGTCCGAAAAAATGTGCTATGGAGGAAGCGCTGAAAGTTGTTGGGATTATATGAGGACAACAGGAATTACTTCAATAGAATGCTTTCCTTATCATCCTGGTGACTGAGATCAATGGTGCCCTGATGATACATGCCGTTGGGGAACAAAGATTACTCTATACAAGACTAAATCTGTGAAAACTTTCACTAGCCCATCGTCTATTCAAGCAGAAATATTGCAAAATGGCCCAATTGAAGCTACAATGACTGTTTATGCAGATTTCCAAGCATATAAAGGAGGTATTTATAAGCATACCACAGGGAAACTTGTAGGGTACACCAGCGTGAAAATTATTGGGTGGGGAAACCAAAGCGGAACGAATTATTGGATTGCAGGCAACTCTTGGGGATCTACTTGGGGTATGCAAGGATACTTTAATATTGCTTTTGGACAGTGCGGCATCGATAGTGCTGGTGTAGCTGGCCCTCCTGATCTTTCAAATATTCCAGCCAGTAAAATTTAATAATCTAAGCACGCATCTATAAAAATACACATTCTAATACTATAAGCAGTTCACAAAGAAAAAATTCTTTTCATTTAATAAAATATTGCTAATTTAATATTAAAAGACTAAAAAATGAATTAACCATTTTTAATTTTATTATTCCAGGCTTTAAAATTTTCTTCAAAAAGTTTAAATAAAAGAGATAAAAAGCTCTCTATAATCAATTATTCTTAATCTTGCCAATAGCTTTATATATGCTGAAAGCTTTAATATTATTACTTATTTAGATTTTAATATTTTTTCAACTAATGTCTTGAACATTTGTAATATTGTATAACATTTTATAGTAAACATATTTAATTAAGTTTATTTTATTGTTTATATGGCCTATTTAATTTTTTATTAACTTTCTTCTATTTAATTTTATTCGATGTTTGATTTCCCAGTCTCATCGATATATTATCAATATTGCTCAATGCAAGCTTTAATCTGCAGTATTGCTAGTGCGACATTTGCTAATGAAATTTGGCCTAGAGACATTTCAAAAAAATTTAATGCTTCTTTTTAATTACCCTATGAAATCCTATTTTATGGAACAAAAACTATAAGCCAGCAAAAAACGTTTTATATAAAATATTATATGTATATGTCAAAATCTTTTAGCTAATTCTCTATAATTTTAAACAGCTTCCATTTATTATGATTCCCAATTTGATTTGTTTACTTCAAAAAATAAAAAATTAAAATTAATTTTAAAAAAATACCCTACGAACAAATGATTTTTACCATTGAAAGAGTTAATGCCTATGGCTAAAAATTTTGGTAAATTGCCCCGAGAAAATGCATTACTATTATAAAACGCAAAGCTAATGGCATAGAGCTAATATTCCTTGAACTCAACCGACTATATTATAGCACAATCTTAATGATTATTTCATTCTTTATTTCATATCTTAATTTTAAATAAATTATAAACTGAGTTTGCTACTTCAACTTCTCCCATTTCTCTAATAATACTCTTCTTGCGTACATTCTATTTTTTAGTTTCTTTATTTTCAAATATCAATTATTAAGCCCTTTGCACCGTTTGCTATTTTCCGTTCAGAGACTCCAAGGAGAATAAAAATAATTTCTTTATTCAGAGAGAGTTAATGTTTTGATGAAAATTTTTTTGTGGTTACCTGAAGAAGACTTTATTTCTTTCTATAATTTTTACTTTTTTATTGGGTTAAATTCCAAAATTATCACAATGCATTTTGTCTTGCTCAAGCAAGCAATTTTGATCAAAAATTTTTAAATAGGACATATTTCTAAAATGAATATTTTCTGATATATAGATTTATTATTTTAATTGCAATTAATTTAAGAGTTTTAAATTCTTCCAGGTTCGATGCACCTAATTTAGGGTAGTAGCTGCCACTCCGTAAAATGCCGTCTACTCTAAGACTTTAATTGCAACTACTAGAGTCTTGTCGATTAGAAAGACTCCCTTGTTGCCACACCGATGGGTGCATTGAAATCACCAAACTATCCCTACCAAGGAAAAAAGTAATCACGACCTTTGAAACTGGCAAGGATCAGCCCTGATTACTAATACTTGGTCAAGTATCATCAGCTGACTCCCAAGGTTTACCCACCCCATGCAGCTGCTCAAGGCTTGCTAAGGTTTAGAATTAAAGGCCTGAGCCCGATCTTAAAGTTATAAAGAAACTTTTGGGACTAACGTTGCTCGTTGTCTTCAAGGACACAGTTATTCACTGTCAGATATTAATTATTATGTGTGTAATTCTTAGAATTATTGCTTATTAATTATTCTGAAACATTTTTCAAACAAAAATAATATTCTAAAAATTTAGAATTTTTTTTGTCATTGTTAAATGGGAAGCTAGCACATGCTTTTTAATTTCTTCTTCCATTTTTAGACAAAAATATAATGATTATTGTAGCTAATAAATCATCTAAAAATAAGTGAGTATATCTCTGATACTTATAGTTCAAATAAGATATCAAAATAGGTTATTGTTCGTAATTACAAAAATAATTCTGATTATCTATACTCCTTTAAGAAAAATATGCCCTATGAAACCATTGCTCATTGGCACTGAACTACTATTTATAATGTTGTTTTTCCAAGTTGGGCTATCTCTGCAGGTTTGAGATATTCTTTACACGAACCTTGGATTCCTAGGATAGGGCAGCCCGTTGTGGAAAAGAAAACTGAAGAGCATAGACTGCATTAGGTTTTTGTGATTCAAGGTGGGCAGAAAGGTGGATCTGAGGTAAGATGGAAGGAAGTCCGCAGCTCATTAACTCGAATGGAGAATATCAAGTCTATATGCATAGCACATCGAAAACAGCGCTCTTGCAAAATAATAAGTGTGAGATTTGCATGCACACTAACTTGTGAGCTAGTGGCGGCTCTATAAAGATATTTTTAGCTTTGCCGTATCACGAAATTTTAAATAATTTCTCTTTAGCTATACTCACTTCAAAATAATTTCTTCAATAAAAATTCGCCATATTACAGGCGATATGGAGATAAAATCCTTGAGGCGAAATAATAAAATGAAATATCTTTCATTTATATCACTCTTTGCCCTAGTTCTATCAGGGCCTACAGTTCAGCTTAAAGACTCAGATCTTGCTATCCCACAAGAAATGATTGATGAAATCAACAGAGTCCAAGACTCCTGGATTGCATCTTCTAAGTGGGTTGGTAACATGACAATTGCTGAAGCCAAGCATAAAGCATCCACAATATCTAAACCTCGACCATTTCCAGCAAAAGAAATTGGTGCATTATCAGACTACCTTTCAATTCCAGCCTCCTTCGATGCAAGAACAAAATGGCCAAACTGCATTCACCCAATCCGTAACGATGATTTATGCGATGCTGGCTGGGCGTTTGGAGCTACTGAAACTCTGTCTGACAGATTTTGCATTGCTTCAAATGGCAAAATTAACATTGTTTTGTCACCACTATATCTGATAGTATGTGATATTTCATATGACGATAGATGCAGCTTCGGTAGTCCTGATTCTGTTTGGAATTTCATGAAAAATTATGGAGTACCTACAGAATCATGCCTTCCTTATAATGTATTAGATACAGATGAAATGTGCCCTAATTCTTGCTGGTTAGGAAACGATTTCCAATTCTATAAGGCTGCGACTGTGAACTCATTCAATGGTACAGCAGCGATCCAGGCTGAAATATTAGCAAATGGGCCAGTTGAAGTTATTTTTACCATGTATCAAGATTTGTTGTCCTATAAGGGAGGCATTTATAAGCATACAACAGGTGATTCTTTAGGAACTACCTGTGTGAAGGTAGTCGGGTGGGGAAATCAAAGTGGAACTAATTACTGGATTGCTGCTAACTCTTGGGGAACTCGTTGGGGTTTACAAGGATACTTTTGGATTGCTTTTGGGGAGGGCGGGATTGGTAAACAAGCTGTAGCTGGGACTCCATATATTAAAGGCCTATAGCATTCATTAATCTAATACGCCTCATTTAAAATACTTTGTGTTTTAAAATTTTTATATAAAATTGCATATTCAGATACCCTAAGCCAAACAAAAGTGTAGATGCAAATCAATTTGCCCGAAAAAAAACTTTTCTAATATTTACAAAAATATCATAGAAGTGAATCAAAAGTGGTAAGATGAATTTTCAAATCTATAACATGATAATTTATCATAAATCTAATAAATTTTTAATCTAAAGATTTTTATTTTATGTTTTACTGTTTGGTTTTGAAATATCGCAGGGCAATAACCGCAGCTACTGATTAAGTAGATTAAAAAGCATGCATTATATCTAATACCCTTGAAATCATTAAAGAAGCTTAAATATCTTTCAAAATCCTTTTAGTTGATTCAAGTTAAACTAATTTCCGCTATTTTAATTATTGTATTACGAAAATTCATTGCTCCAGCAATATTAAGTATATTTATAAATCAATTGTTTGAGAAGATATAGCATAGGCATCCTTAATACTCTCTATATGAGCTAACCTGCACTTTTATCTGTAGATATTACACTAGAAAATCAATTGCTATGAAAGTTTAAAAGTAAGCAAAAAATGCACTAATTTATCTGTCTGCTTATCAATTTAATCTCATTTAAATATTGACAGAATGGCACTGTGTGCAGAGATGGCTCCTATGCAACGATTATATATATTTTTGCTATCTAATATTTCTTTCATTCTTTTCTCTAGTCTCTTTTATCATCAAAACTCTATTACGTCATTTGAACATCCATATTTTCGCTGATCTGGGGAAGAAATTCTAGTGGTGTCCTTATAAAATGAAATATTTTGCTTTTGCAGCTCTCATTGTTTTAGCCTTGTCAGGACCTGCAATTGAACTTAAAGACTCAGACCTTGTATGTCCTCAAGAAATGATTGACGAAATCAACAGCATCCAAGATTCATGGACTGCATCTTCTGAATGGGTTGGCCAAATGACCGTTGCCGAAGCCAAGCTTAAAGCTTCTTCAATCTCAAGACCTAGAGAATTCCCAGAAAAAGATTGGGGTGCACTAATAAACTACTTCTCGGCTCCAGCTTCATTCGATTCAAGACAACAGTGGCCTGGATGCGTTCATCCAATCCTTAACCAAGAGCAGTGCGGATCCTGCTGGGCATTTGGAGCAAGTGAAGCTCTCTCAGATAGACTTTGCATTGCTACTAACGGAACAGTCAATGTCACTTTGTCCAGATTTAAATCTTTGTTTGGGGATAATTAACTTTATCGATTTCTCCATCTTTTTATAATTAAAAGAGTTAGACTTTCAAAAAAAGGCAGGAGAAAAAATGCACATGAGAGCTAATATTATAAAATAAAAATATCCCCATTTGTCCCCACAATATCTTGTATCTTGCGATTCTCAAAACTACGGATGCAACGGTGGTTACGCAGACCTTGCCTGGAGATTCATGAAAGATACCGGAGTTCCAACATACTCATGTGTTCCTTATATTGCAGCAGACGGAACTTGCCCTACCAAATGCGCTGATGGATCTGCCCTTCAATTCTACAAGGCTACATCTGTAAACACATACAGTGGCCCATCATCTATCCAAGCTGCAATTTTGGCAGGAGGCCCAGTTGAAGTTACCTTCCAAGTTTACAAAGACTTCATGTCATACTCTGGTGGTATCTACAAGCACACCAAGGGAGAATTTGTCGGAAACCACTGCGTCAAAATCATCGGATGGGGAAACCAAAGTGGAACCAACTATACTTCGGAACCACTTTCAGCTACCATTTTCCTTATAGCAACTCTTGGTAGCTATTATCAATATTTTATTTCAAGCTATAGAAATGGCTTATTTTGATAGAAAATTTTTGAAGGTAAGAGTGGCCTAGGTAAACGACAAGCGTATTCAAAGTATACTGGATTGTTGCTAACTCTTGGGGAACTTCTTGGGGTCTTCAAGGATTCTTCTGGATTGCCTTCGGACAATGCGGAATTGATAGTCAAGGTGTAGCTGGAAGCGCTTAAGTTTAAAGCTAAATAACATTTAAGATTGAAATAATCTTTTCGTCTCTTACTAAATTAAGCATTTAAGATGCTTTTTAAACGTAATAGGCAATTAACTATTCACTGGTTATAAATAAGGCTAGAATATAGTATATGCTACCGATTTTATTAACTTAAAAGAGCCTCGTTATATCTCAATATTTTTTATTTGAAACCTTAATTTTAATCTGCAGACAATGCCCACCTTTCAAAAATAATTTAGGTTTTTGATATCTGGGGAAAAATTAATTGGTGAAATAAAAATGAAATATCTTGTCATTGCTTCACTTATTGCTCTTGCAATCTCAGGACCCACAGTCACGTTTAAAAACGCATCCCCAGCTTTAAAAGACTCAGATCTTGTTGCACCGCAAGAAATGATTGATCTTATTAATCAAAGCCAAGACTCTTGGACTGCATCAGCCGATTGGGTCGGCCAAATGACTATTGGAGATGCCAAAAGCTATGCATCTGCTAGTGGAGAGCCAAGAAGTTTCCCAGAAAAAGACTGGGGTGCACTTTTAGACAGCGTCACACCTCCATCTTCTTTTGATTCAAGACAGCAATGGCCAAACTGTATTCATCCAATTCTTAACCAAGAACAATGCGGATCATGCTGGGCATTTGGCGCTACAGAAGCTCTTTCAGACAGACTTTGTATAGCTTCAAAAGGCTCAATCAATGTTGTTCTGTCTCCTCAGTACCTTCTTGAATGTGATAAAGAAAACTTCGCTTGCAATGGAGGAATTGCAGATTTGGCTTGGCTCTGGATGAAGGACCATGGTGTTCCTACCTACTCTTGCGTTCCTTACTTACTCTACACTCCTAGAAAAAAATAAGCCATTGGGAAATCCTATTCTTTGGTTAAAATCCTTAGATGAGTGATTTTTGATATATAAGTTATTAGCAAATCTAATTGATTCTATTTATTAATTAATTTTGAATTCCAATTTTTGCAAAATTTGTACATTTCAATGTATAAAATATTATGAAAAGAAATTAAACACCTCTATGAGCGAGCAAATTTTATTTTGCTCTCTCATTTTTAAGGGTGGGGGTTAGGACAAGACTCAACCTGCCCAACTGCTTGCTCTAATGGATCCCAATTGCAAGTTTATAAGGCTTCATCTGTAAACACATACAGTGGACCATCATCAATGCAAGCTGCTATTCTTGCTGGAGGCCCAATTGAAGTCACTTTCCAAGTTTATCAAGATTTCATGACTTACTCTGGAGGAATTTACAAGCACACTACTGGAAACTTTTTAGGAAACCACTGCGTTAAGGTTGTTGGCTGGGGGACACAGAATGGAACCAACTACTGGGTTGTGGCTAACTCTTGGGGAACTTCCTGGGGTATTCAAGGATTCTTCAATATTGCCTTCGGACAATGCGGAATTGATAGTCAAGCTGTGGCAGGAACTCCTCTAGTTTAGATATTTAATATCAATTTGCCTTTAATATGTCTTTTTGTTCTCTGTTATTAAATTTGATAACAGTATTCAAATTTAGCACTTAATAATAAGGGTATTGGCAATTTTCTATTTAATATAGATGCAAAAATTTAACAGATAAAATAAATTGTCTTTCTACCTGCATTAATCCGATTAATTAAGAAGATAAGTTATGGGGAAACAATAAATATGAAAAACATCATTTTGCTAGGCTTTGTCTTAGCTGCATTTGCAAGTCCAGCTTTTAGACTTAGAGATTCTGACCTTGTGATGACACAAGAGCAAATAGACCGCATCAATCAAAGCCAAGATTTATGGACAGCCTCCTCTGATTGGGTTGGTGCCATGACAATTGGAGAAGCCAGACAATACGCCTCAGCCGAAATTATCTACAACCACTTCCCAGAAAAACATTGGGGAAAGCTCTTAGACCACTTGCAAGTCCCATCTGCTTTTGACGCTAGACAAAAATGGCCTTCTTGCATTCATCCAATCCTTAATCAAGGAGATTGCGGCTCTTGTTGGGCTTTTGGAGCAAGTGAAGCTCTTTCAGACAGACTCTGCATTTTTTCAAACAGCACAATAAATGTTGTCCTTTCCCCTCAATATCTGGTTAATTGTGACAGTGTAAGCTATGGCTGTGGCGGTGGATATGCCGTTTATGCTTGGGATTTCATGCAATCTAATGGCATCCCAACCCAAACTTGTACCCCATATGCTGCTGTAAATCAAGTTTGCGTTAATAAATGCTCCAATGGATCTACTATGAGATATTATAAGGCTGCATCTGTGAGTACTTTCAGCTCACCCGCATCAATTCAGGCAGAGGTTCTGCAAAATGGCCCAATAGAAGTTTCTTTCCAGGTTTACCAAGATTTCTATGCATATACAAGTGGTGTTTATAAGCACACCAATGGACAATTTGTTGGCAATCACTCAGTCAAAATTATTGGATGGGGAGTTCAAGGTCAAACTAATTATTGGATTGTTGCTAACTCTTGGGGTGCTACCTGGGGTATGAATGGATTCTTCTGGATTGCTTTTGGAGAGTGTGGAATCGATAGTAATGGTGTTGCTGGACTTCCTGCAGTCTAAATAATCAAGAAATTATTATTATAAAAGACTTATTTATAAAATATTGGAACTAAAAATAGGATATTTAAGCGAGAGTTATGATAGATTTTCTAATAATTTAATAGGCATGCATAAATAAAAAAAATTATGATTTTTACACATATGATTAGCCCCTATAAGAAGATTATCAAATTCTAAATTTATGGCACAAAAAGAACCCCCACCGTTTATTTGCTTGATATCAGAAAGCGAAAGTGGGACTGATAAATCAAAAAGCCAAAGCTCATCATTAAGATCTAAACAAAAGTAAAGTGCTACATCAACTTCTAAGAAAAACAAAAAATCAGAATCAAAACCCAAGAAAAGCAAAAGTTCTAAATCAGTCTCTAAGTCCCCTCAGCAAAAATAATTTATTCACTCATAAGGGGATTTAATTTTTTCGAAATTAAAATCCTATTTACAAAAGTAGAAATAAAAATAATTGAATTTTTTAAATTTCAAGCTGTTTAAAATTTAACAGAACGGGTTCACTCAGACTCAAGATCCAATGCTTGAAAACCGGCTCCTGGGAACCGACTTTCAAGCAAAAATAAATTAAACATCTCTATGAGCGAGCAAATTTATTTTGCTCTCTCATTTAATGGGTGGGGGTTAGGACAAGACTCAACCTGCCCAACTGCTTGCTCTAATGGATCCCAATTGCAAGTTTATAAGGCTTCATCTGTAAACACATACAGTGGACCATCATCAATGCAAGCTGCTATTCTTGCTGGAGGCCCAATTGAAGTCACTTTCCAAGTTTATCAAGATTTCATGACTTACTCTGGAGGAATTTACAAGCACACTACTGGAAACTTTTTAGGAAACCACTGCGTTAAGGTTGTTGGCTGGGGGACACAGAATGGAACCAACTACTGGGTTGTGGCTAACTCTTGGAAACTTCCTTGGTATTCAAGGATTCTTCAATATTGCCTTCGGACAATGCGGAATTGATAGTCAAGCTGTGGCAGGAATTCCTCTAGTTTAGATATTTAATATCAATTTGCCTTTAATATGTCTTTTGTGCTATGTTATTAAATTTGATAACTGTCTTCAAATTTAATACCTAATAATAAGGGCATTGGCAATTTTCCATTTAATATAGATTATATTCTATGCAAAATTTAATAGATAAAATAAACTGACTTTCTACCTGCATTAATACATAACATTATGAAATTAATTAAGAAGATAAGTTATGGGGAAACAATAATATGAAAAGCATCATTTTCTTAGGCTTCGTCTTAGCTGCATTTGCAAGTCCAGCTTTTAGACTTAGAGATTCTGACCTTGTGATGACACAAGAGCAAATAGACCACATAACCAAAGCCAAGATTAATGGACTGCCTCCTCTGATTGGGTTGGTTCCATGACAATTGGAGAAGCCAGAAAATACGCCTCAACCAAAATCATCTACAACGACTTCCCAGAAAAAATTGGGGAAAGCTCTTAGACCACTTGCAAATCCCATCTGCTTTTGACGCTAGACAAAAATGGCCTTCTTACATTCATCCAATCCTTAATCAAGGAAATTGCAGCTCTGATTGGGCTTTTGGAGTCAGTGAAGTTCTTTCAGACAGATTCTGTATTTTTTCAAATAGCACAATAAATGTTGTCCTTTCCCCTCAATATCAGATGAATTGTGACCATAATAGTTATGGCTGCTTGAATGGAAGTCCCTATTTAGCTTGGAAATACATGAGAGATTATGGCATCCCATCCCTAGCTTGTACCCCATATGCTGGTGTACAACAAGGTTGCGTTAAAGTATGCTCCGATGGATCTCCTATGAGATATTATAAGGCTGCATCTTTTTATACTCTCAGTAAACCTGCATCAATTCAGGCAGAGGTTCTGCAAAATGGCCCAATAGAAGTTTCTTTCCAGGTTTACCAAGATTTTTATGCATATAAGAGTGGTGTTTATAAGCACACCACTGGAAAATTGGTTAGTCGTCACTCAGCCAAAATTATTGGATGGGGAGCTCAAGGGGAAACTAATTATTGGATTGTTGCTAACTCTTGGGGTGATACTTGGGGTATGAATGGATACTTCTGGATTGCTTTTGGAGATTATGGAATTAATAATACTGGTGTTGCTGGACTTCCTGCAGTCTAAATAATCAAGAAATTATTATTATAAAAGACTTATTTATAAAATATTGGAACTAAAAATAGGATATTTAAGCGAGAGTTATGATAGATTTTCTAATAATTTAATAGGCATGCATAAATAAAAAAAATTATGATTTTTACACATATGATTAGCCCCTATAAGAAGATTATCAAATTCTAAATTTATGGCACAAAAAGAACCCCCACCGTTATTTGTTTGATATCAGAAAGCGAAAGTGGGACTGATAAATCAAAAAGCCAAAGCTCATTATCAAGATCTAAATAAAAGATAAATGCCACATCAGCTCCTAAGAAAAACAAAAAATCAGAATCAAAACCCAAGAAAAGCAAAAGTTCTAAATCAGTCTCTAAAGAATTATGCAAATTTCGAATGAGATGAAGATGTGATGTTGACAATAATGGATTTATCTAAGGGTATAGACAATTTACCATTTAATATAGATTATATTCTATGCAAAATTTAATAGATAAAATAAACTGGCTTTCTACCTGAATTAATGCATAGCATTATGAGATTGATTAAGAAGATAAGTTATGGGGAAACAATAATATGAAAAACATCATTTTCTTAGGCTTCGTCTTAGCTGCATTTGCAAGTCCAGCTTTTAGACTTAGAGATGCTGACCTTGTGATGACACAAGAGCAAATAGACCGCATCAATCAAAGCCAAGATTTATGGACAGCCTCCTCTGATTGGGTTGGTTCCATGACAATTGGAGAAGCCAGAAAATACGCCTCAACCAAAATCATCTACAACGACTTCCCAGAAAAAATTGGGAAAGCTCTTAGACCACTTGCAAATCCCATCTGCTTTTGACGCTAGACAAAAATGGCCTTCTTGCATTCATCCAATCCTTAATCAAGGAAATTGCAGCTCTGCTTGGGCTTTTGGAGTCAGTGAAGTTCTTTCAGACAGACTCTGTATTTTTTCAAATAGCACAATAAATGTTGTCCTTTCCCCTCAATATCTGGTTAATTGTGACATTGCAAGCTTTGGCTGTGGCGGTGGATATGCCAGTTATGCTTGGAGATTCATGAAAGATCATGGCATCCCAACCCAAACTTGTACCCCATATGCTGGTGTAAATCAAGTTTGCGTTAAAGAATGCTCCGATGGATCTACTATGAGATATTATAAGGCTGCATCTGTGAGTACTTTCAGCTCACCCGCATCAATTCAGGCAGAGGTTCTGCAAAATGGCCCAATAGAAGTTTCTTTCCAGGTTTACCAAGATTTTTATGCATATAAGAGTGGTGTTTATAAGCACACCACTGGAAAATTGGTTAGTCGTCACTCAGCCAAAATTATTGGATGGGGAGCTCAAGGGGAAACTAATTATTGGATTGTTGCTAACTCTTGGGGTGATACTTGGGGTATGAATGGATACTTCTGGATTGCTTTTGGAGATTGTGGTATCGATAGTTATGGTGTTGCTGGATTTCCTGCAGTCTAAATAATCAAGAAATTATTATTATAAAAGACTTATTTATAAAATATTGGAACTAAAAATAGGATATTTAAGCGAGAGTTATGATAGATTTTCTAATAATTTAATAGGCATGCATAAATAAAAAAAATTATGATTTTTACACATATGATTAGCCCCTATAAGAAGATTATCAAATTCTAAATTTATGGCACAAAAAGAACCCCCACCGTTTATTTGCTTGATATCAGAAAGCGAAAGTGGGACTGATAAATCAAAAAGCCAAAGCTCATCATTAAGATCTAAACAAAAGAAAAGTGCCGCATCAACTCCTAAGAAAAACAAAAAATCAGAATCAAAACCCAAGAAAAACAAAAGTTCTAAATCAGTCTCTAACTCCCCTCAGCAAAAATAATTTATTCACTCATAAGGGGATTTAATTTTTTTCAAATTAAAAATCTATTTACAAAAAGTAGTAATAAAAATAATTGAATTTTTAAATTTCAAGCTGTTAAAATTTAACAGAACTCGTTTGAGGGTTTCATAATAATTTCCCTTATATGTTTAAATATTTTTTTTAAATTTTAAATTAGAAATTTTTTCCCCCTTAACGCAGTTGTTTATTTCCCAAAGAATAGGAATTTTTTTAATATTTTCTCTAAGATGGAGTAAGGAAAGCAAATATTGAGACGAATTGAAATCTCTGGAGGAAAATAATGAATCCAACGAGGAGGAAGAAGATCAGTCTGATGTATCTAGCTATGTGTCTGAAGAGTTTGATTTTAGCGAATTAGAATATTTATCAGATAGAGAAGAAGAAAATCCTCCTAAGAAGAGGAAAAAAAATAAAAATAAAGAAAGAGTCTCTTCTTCCAGCCCTTCACCTGAAAGAGATGAAGGCTATTTGCTAAGAAAAAAATATAGAGATGTAGGGCAATTTCAATGTAAAGTGTGCGATCAAATTGTACCGAGTCTTAGAGCGTATAAGAGTCATAAAAGCATACGAAAAAGTAAATGCCATAAATGCAAAGAAATTTTTTTGTGCAACCAACAAATGAACTGGCACACAGTGGACTGCAAGAAAAATCCGAACAGAAAATGGCAAAATTGTGGTAAGAGACAGTATCCACGATATTTGAAAGGAATAGAAGCAGTTATAAGGAGAGCTGAAAAATATCCTCCTGTAGAAACAGCACTCACTGATTATGAGCCATATCAGATTGGATTTAGAAAATCGTATCGATTTTTGGATAACTAAAATTATTATCATTAGAAGTATATTTAAATATAGTGAATTTCTATTAATAAATTCTATTTACTGCTCAGCGGATTGCTTCATATTTCTCAGGTCTTCATCTTCTTCCCATAATTTTGAAATTTTAAAATCTCCACTTTTAGATGATTCTCTTAATCCCCAATTTATCATAAAAATTATTTTAAAAAAAGCATCAAAAAATTATTAAAATTTAACTGAACCTATATGAGATTAAAAAGAGAGGGTTAGCTTCTCTCTTGCTATTCTATTTAAAACTCTATTTTTTTCTGAGTTTTCTAGTTCAGATTTGATTGAATTAATTCTGCTTAAATCTAAGTTGCATCCATATATATCAATTTGCTTTTCTTCTGTTATCATAACTTTATCTAACTTTCTAAGCTTGGTTTTCGTTATTTTTGAGCAAATTTTATACATATCTTCACTTATTAGAATCGGAGCATCATTCATATTTGACAAATCAGCTAATTTAATTGCAAAATCTAAATTTGGAGATAAGTAAATAGGATCGATTTTCAAATCGCTCCCAATTGTCCCTTCCAATCCTCATCCTTGATGCAGACCAATTCCTATCTTATTACAGCTCTCAGAAATTATTTCCTTACTATACCCATTGTTCAAATTTATTCGATTTTTCATCAATTCTGCCAATACTTTTGCAAAGCAAACAATTGCCATATCTGCAATTTCCTTTACATAAAAATTATCATTCAATCCTACCTTTGCATTGCTAAAAACGTCTAAATCAATACACTCATCAGGGAATTTCCATACTATTACCAATTTTTCCCCATATATTTTACTTGCAAATCCTGAATATTTACTAGCTACATGATGAGCTATGTGAGAAATTTTATTTATAATCGTTTAAAATGAATTAATATATTACGATTATTCTATTTTTCATATAAATACTTATCATAAGTCTGGCTTATTGCAGATAGGTATATAAGCTGAACCGTGTCTTCTTTTAAATCATAAGAAATTTCTTGCAGACTTTTTATGCTCAAAACTCCAAAAATACAGAAGCACCGTCTTCCTGGTATTAATGGATTAATTTCACCTCCATTGCTCCTCATGTTACAAGCAATTATCTCGGCACCGATTTCTCCGAATCCCGCAGATAAAAGTGCGCCGATTTTTGAGATAGCATTTTCCAGAAGTTTTATTTCTTCAGCAACATTTTGCTTCTTTTTGTTTTTGTGGGATAGCAAGTCTCTTTGATATGACTCATATTCTTCATATTGCACAGCCAGTATGGGATCTTTTGACATTTTTTGGATTCTATCAGTCATTTTTTCTAGCGGCTTAAGTAATATGTCCTTGGTCCCTTTTGTAAGTATAGGGTTTTACCCTGTGTAGCCCTATAAGGGCAGATGATTTCCCGGTGGAATCATCGAGTTGGTCCAACCAACTTAGTGCGTTGGTCGGACCAACTCGCTTGTTGGCTGGAACAACTCGCTTGTTGGTTGGACTAACTCACTTGTTGGTTGGACCAACTTGCTTGTTGGTTGGACCAGCTCGCTTGTTAGTTGGACCAACTCGCTTGTTAGTTGAGCCAACTCGATGATTCCACCGGGAATCATCTTCCTTATAGGGCTACTCAGGGTAAAGCCCTATAGCACAGAAGCAATTCCAATCATAAAGCAAATAAAAGCAGTTCTAACCATGCTCATTCAGGCTTCCATCTTGCTTGTGCTTTTCATATTGAAAACTGCGACCATCCAATAATAATAGTCTGGGTCCATTTTATCAACAGTGAAAATAAGAACTTCACATAGCCTTAGCTCATCTAAATTAACACCTCCTTTTCAAAGCTTTTTGTTTTTGGCTTGGAGATAAATCAAGGGGTCATCCAAGTCTCTGTATGCATCTACATATGAATTTCAAGCTATATCAAATTCTTGGTGCTCATGAATTACATCATAAATGCATTGCAGCCCAAACTCCAAAAACTTATAGTCATTGAGGTAAAGTGACGGGTAAAACATAGGAAAAACAAACACAGCGCCTATAACAAGCATAATTACTCTGTTCATGATGACATCAGTTAGCCTGTTTCCAAGTTTTGCTTCAGGGTCTGGCTTCGGGTCATTATTTTCGTTCTTTTTTCTTGCTTCATTATTTATAACAACCATATTAGGAGGGATATCGAAATTCAAGCCAGTAGATTGAGGATCAATGGGGTGTCCGTCAGACGACATTGATCTCATAGAAAATAAGCTTGAAGAGTGCGAAACTTGGTCTTCCCAGTTATCAAAATCAATATCTCTGTTCTGAGATCTTTCATCTAGAACCTCTACAAAAATTGGTGCATCATCTCCTCTAAATCGGATTTCAATTCTTTGATCTCCTTTTTTTTCATTTTTTTGTAAGTCTCGCTCAACTGCTAATTTGTAAATTTTCACAATCCTCACTAGTCTTACCACTCTGAATATTCTCATGAACCTTATGTTCCTCGGACCAGTAATTTCTTCCAATTCGTTCAGAGAAATATGGCTTTTCTGGACGTCTTCAGAGTCTTGGCTATGATTTTCACCAGTCGCGAAATCTCATATCCAGCCCACGTCAAGTATAAGGGTAAACGTTGCCAAGATATCAAGCCAGAAGAAAAAACTATTGAGATATTTATCTTTTGATAGGGAAGACAATAATATTTCTACAGCAAAGAATATAAAACAGACTAATGCTATTGCAAAAAAATAGTCATCGGCTGATTTTTCTGTAGCTAAAAGCCGGATATCTTCGCCAAATAAAGCAAAGATTGTTAAAAGCATTAGAAAGGCTTGGACAACCCAATTCTTTAGTATTGCTGACGAAAACTTGGAAAGCTTGGACTTCACTTTTACGCCGTCGTTGCCTCAGTATAAAGGGATATTTTTAATACAGTCATATCCTTTAAAATAATTTTGTGCAGAATCTAGCTCGTCTAGATCCCCAGGGATTCTATTCAATTGAATGTCTAAGGTGGGGTTTGCCATAATTTTATACTTTTTGTATATGAATATCAAATTCTAATTATTATGGCTGCTTAGACATAAGTTATATTATCAACATACAAATTTTATATTCAGGTATATCTAATTCAAAATTTCAATATTATGAACTTACACGAAAGCATTCAGGACAAAACTATCCTTTATCTTTACTCCCCCTCCGAGAGCGAACAGAAAATTTTGTTCGCTCACATGGAGGAGGTTAATTTATTGTTAAAAAAATTATATATAAATTTCATAGAATTTTTTTTCAAAAAATCCAAGTGGCAAAAAATTAGATTAGATTTAAGCTACCCAACTTCCTGAACTCAATGGATTCCACGTTAGCGTGAGGTGAGTGTCCTATGGCTAACTTGAACCCGGAAAGAACCCCAGATTTCTTGGTAAAGGCATTTCCCTCATGGTCCGAGCTGTACGGACTTTACCTGGAACCTACATTTCCAACCTAAGCAGCCAGCTTATCCAACCCTGCTTAGCTTAGGCAAGACAGCCCCTAGGACCCCTTTCAATTGGAGAGACTAGCCCTTTAACTTGTCTAGCCTGTCTTCCCCTCTTTTCTAATCAGCTCCAAAAGAAAAACTCAACAAACTCATGCTAATTCAGAGTAGGCCACAAAGAAACCTAGGCATGTAATTCGGCCTGCCTCTATCAGATACCCAGCTGCTTGCAAAAAAATGTCACTTCAGCTAGGCCACTAATCAGCAAGAAGAATTCTAGGCCTCGTGCTTCAAGGCTAATCCAACCTTTGGGCGACTCCTTGCGCCGAAAACCACGTCCGGATATATATGGACACCACCGGGAGGGAGAACGGGCTGCTAATCAAGGGCCATTTTAAGTATCCAAAGGGCAAAAACTAATTTAAATCGCAAAATTATGTTTTTAATTTCAATTTTTTAAACTTCAACAGAATTAGCTACAGATTTCATTTTATAATATCACTTATATATCAATTTGTTTTTTCATCAATTTTTTTCCTCATGAAGAGTGGGGCTTTGGTCAAAAATAGGATTTTTCCAATAGTTTTATTTGCTAATAGAGGAGAGGGGGAGTTATTTTTATTTAATTTATATGTAGAATATGAGACCAACATGCTTCAAGACTGTTGATAATCATCTGAGGATTTACGACATATTAATATAATTGAAACCGAATAATTTTATTGCATTTTATCGATATTGTGTTTTTGTAAATTATTTTAATGCTTAATGATTTTTATAAATTCACTGTTTTATAATTTTATTGACATTTCTTATCTTTATTAAAGAGAGGAAAAAATATAAAAAAGCCCTAAGAATTAGATAGAAATACTTACTCCCTCCATCGTGGGTGACTTTTTTTTAAAACGATTCACATATGCTTTTTATTCTAAAATGATTATTTCGAAATTTGAAAAATCCCAATTTCTCAAAAATTGGAAAGCAAATATTATTTTACTTTGTAAAATTTATTTTTTAAAATGCAGTTGTTTTAAATTAAACAGAATTAGCTAGATATTTCATTATACTAATAATCACTTATATGTAAAATTTTTTTTGCTCACGGAGGGTTGGTTTTTGGGTAAAAAATAGGGATTTTTCCAATGGTTTTGCTCGCTCACAGAGGGGAGTTCGATAATATTATTTCATTAAGCGTAGATATCAAATTAATTTTATTTTTTATTTAGTTAATAATATCTATGAAATAACCTAAATATCTATATATTATTTTAGAGAAATCTATTTAACTGAATAATGATCTTATGCTAACCAAAAATCTTTGATAGCATTAATTATTATTCGATTCAGGTTGTAATTTAAATAATTAGTATGTAACTAAATTTACTACATATTTAATTATTTATTTGTTTGAGATGTTTTTAACTTTGAAAATTTTTATTTTAAGAATAAGAGTTTAATTATTTCAATTCAATTGTAAAGATATGAAAAATTCAGTAATAATCAATCTTTACCAAATTATAACAGCTCTGTTTTATGAATGAAAACGCTAAAGAATAAGAAGCTATATTTTAAGAGAATTCATATTTAAATCATATTAATATGCTGAGCTAATAAAGTTAAAATTTTAAAGATAGATATAAAGACTTGACTGTCAAATAGAGAGCTCATCAGTATCATTACTAACGTTAACGCAACTAATCATATCTTTATAAAAATCTTCAAGCCGAATTTCTTATAAATAATTTTTAAATTAAATAATGGAAAAAGTTGTAAACATTTCATTAAATTTTTTTATTTCACAAAATTAATGTTTACACCTATTCCTACAATAAAATATTGATAGCCTTATTTTTAGTTTCAACAATTCAATCCAACATATATCGCCATTAATCTGCCTATAAAAAAACTATAAAAGAATTAATTATTTTCAACAATTTAATAATTCATTTTCTTTTACAAACAGACTGCAACAATCCTCGAAGATTCAATATTAATCCAACTTTTAAATAATATAAATTTATTCAAATGGCCAGCCCGAGACCAGCAACCCAACGTCGCAAAGAAGAAGGAGAAAAAATATCCTCAGTCACCCGTGACCGAGCACAGCTCGCCAAAGCCTACATCGAAGGGAGATTTTCTAAGCTTAAAGAAGAAGAGGAAGGACGTCGAGAAGAGTGACAAGAACTTAACAAAATTATGGAAGAGCTCTGCTTGTCCTCAACAGAACGGCATATGATTAAGCAGGAAATCCTTCACAAAGAAGCTGAGCTACTCCGCGAAAAACGCCAAAAAATAACTGTTTACGATTTCGAACCCATCTCAATCATAGGAAAGGGCGCATTTGGAGAAGTCAGAGTGGCGAGGAAGAAAGGAACCGGCGAAGTCTTCGCTCTCAAGAAAATGGACAAGTCAGAAATGATCTGTAAAAATCAAATTCAGCATATAAAAGCTGAACGAGATGTCCTTGCACATTCAGAAAATCCATGGATCGTCGACTTGAAATATTCTTTTCAAGACGAAAAATATTTGTATTTGGCAATGGAATATTTAGGAGGAGGAGACTTTATGAATTTATTGATAAAGAAAAACATCTTGACTGAAGCAGAAAGCAGATTTTATATTGCAGAAATCATACTTGCTGTAGACTCAGTGCATAAGATGAACTATATACATAGAGACTTAAAGCCTGATAATATACTTATTGATAATAGAGGACATATAAAATTGTCAGATTTCGGCCTTTCAAAGCATGCAGAAATATTTCCTTCGCAAAGTAGAGAAGTGTTGAGAAAATTAGAAGAGGAAAGGCTTAAACAATATGTGGATCGAAGGAGTGAGTTCCATAGAAATAGAAAACTAGCATTTTCTACAGTAGGAACTCCTGATTACATAGCTCCAGAAGTGTTTTCTCGACAAGGGTATACAGAAACGGTAGACTGGTGGTCAGTTGGTGTCATTTTATTTGAAATGCTTGTTGGCTACCCTCCATTTTACGCTGACAAGCCCAAAGAAGTCTGTCAAAAAATCATTAACTGGCAGAACTATTTCACAATCCCTAGAGAAGCCCGACTGAGCCATGCCGCAATTGATTTGATAAGAAAATTAATCTGCGAGCCCAATACAAGACTTGGAATCCGAGGAGTCGCAGAAATAAAAGCCCATCCTTTCTTCGCAGGAGTTGACTGGAACAATATAAGAGCTCAAGATGCTCCTTATGTCCCAGAACTCCGAGGCGACACTGATATTTCGAATTTCGAACAATTTGAAGAAACTGAGCCTTTTTACCCTCCTATAAGTAACAAAAAAAGACCTCAGAAAAAAGACGTAAACTTTGTCGGCTATACTTTTAAAAAAGACGTAGAAAAACAGCGGACTGGATTGACGAGTGCGATCGAGGAGCTCGAAGCTATAAGGAACTCGACTGCCAGGGAAAACCAACCAATTAATTATATACCGTCGTCTGAGGAGTTATATAATGGAGAGCTGTAAGTAATAGTTTCTTTAATGTTTTATTAGTCATAATAATTGTGTGGGGTTAATGGCCCTTTTTCTATTTGCACTTTGACGGTTTTATGTTTATCCAACTTTGCTTTGAAAATATGGCCTGTGTAGGGCGCTCTGCCTCTTCTGATAAGGGCCATTCCCACACCTTTATTCAAAAATGGGCTGTATGCCCCTGAAGTGACGACGCCATATGTTTCACCTTCTTCACCTCCAAAAAGTTTTGCCCCTCTTCTTGCTGAAGGCCCATCTTTTTCTACAGAAAACCCAACTCTTAGCCGAAGGCCTTCAAATTTCTGGCGTTCGAGCTGACCTCTTTGAGCCATGACAGCTTCATGCCCTAATCATCCTCCTGCTGATAGTTTAGACATAGGAATTCTATCTACTAGATCTGCTTCTATAGGGGTCAGATTTTCATCCATATCATTGCAATAATTAGATTTCCCAGCTTCTAGTCTTAACGAATCTCTTGCATCCAATCCACAGAATAGAAACCTGTCTTTTAGACCACCTTCCACTATCGTTTCTAACCATTTCAAAGCGATTTCTGAGCTCATAGAAATATCAAAGCCATCTTCTCCTGTGTGCCCAGACCTCATCACTGTTACAGGCTCATCGTCAACGTAATCTAATTTAGCTTCTCGGACCTGCATATATCTAGTTGTTGAGAGGCTGCAAGATACCTGTCCTTGGATAATTCCAGATGCTGATGGTCCATTTAATGATAAAAGGCATTGATCTCTTAATTCTTCTACTATCTTTAACTTAACTTAACTTATTATCTATATCGTTTTAACGTCCACTACGGAGTTGCCTGTTGTTCCAGGGCTTCCAGCATATTTATCCACGTGTCGGGCCCATGGACCTCTGGGTCGATCCACTTTGTTTCACCAGGGCACGGGGTGAATATGATGTTCCAGCTTCGACGGGCTGCGTTCGCCTCGCTCTTCCTTGACTCAGCTCCTGCGCGTGTTCCGCCGCCTAAGGGTCACCTTCCTCGGGTGTGCTGAGAGGTAAAGCTTCGAGCCTCTTGATGTACTTGGAGCAGTGCCTCGGCTTATATGCCAGAGTTAAACTGCTATTGCTGTACAGAAATTCTCAGAAGAAAACCTAACCCTATAAATAAAATTGCTTGAGGGAGAGAAAATTAACAAAGCTAATTTCTCTCGGACCGAATGCCATTTTATTTATAATTCTTCTACTATCACATCTCTTCCTTTACTTCTTCACTCCTGCATATGATTAAAAAGATAGTCAAAGTCTTTTTCCCTGCATCCTGCGTTCACGACAAGTCCTATATATCCTTCGAATTTCTGAATAGTTATTTCATCTTTAATTCCGCCATTTGGCATCATCAATAACGACTGCAAACAAGATCTCACAGGGATTTTGTTTAGGTCAGAGACTGTAAGGTAGTTAATAAACTCAATCCTCTGTTTCCCATGAATTTTAAACTGGCCCATATGGCTAATATCAAATAAACCTGCCTTTTTTTTGATAATCATATGTTCACCCATATAGGTATCTTTGTTGCGACCATAATAAGCTGGCATTTCGTAGCCTTCATAAACACCCATTTTGGCCTCATGCACATCTTTGAAATAATCATATAAAGAGGTTCTCTAGATGATTATTACTTTGAGCGCAGCAGTGGAAAATCTTCTTGCCAACATTAAAATATGGCATTTTAGTTATAAATACAGTAACTATTAAAAATCATCATTAATCTGAATAGAGTTCTTGAGAGCTTAACATGAGCTTTTTTGGGTAACTTCCTTGTGATGGAGAATTCTCCTGCCTTGAGCTAGAGTGCGTTTTTTTAATGGCCTCAAGTTCATTCAAAGCACTAATCAATATAGCTGCTCGGTCTTCATCTTCTTTCTTATAAGTATAATTGATAAAGTTGCTGTCTTTTTTCCCTTTTTTCTTCCTTGACTCTTGTGGCGGATAAAACGGCTCAACTTCATCAAAATTATCGAAATTTGATGAGTCATAATCATTTCTTAGCTAAATATAAAATACCTCAGGGATTCATGGTGCCCTTGTGCTTCTCATATTTTCCCAGTCTATTCCATTAAAGAAAGGATGTGCTTTGATTTCTTCAACTCCATGAGATCCAAGCCTATCTCCAGCATCACATACAAGCTTTCTTATCAAATCACAAGTGGAGTGTCTCAAGTTCGCTTCTCTTGGTATTGACAAAATGTTTCTCCAATGCAAGATTTTTTGACAAGTTATAGATGGCTCGTCTGAAAAGAAAGGAGGATACCCCACGACCATTTCAAATAAAATAACACCAACGCTTCACCAATCAACTGTTTCAGTATACCCTCCTCTTCCAAACACTTCTGGAGCTATATAGTCAGGAGTGCCTACAGTTGAGTAAGCCAGGGCTCGGTTTCTCTTATAGTCTGTTCGCCTTTCCATATACTGCTTTGCTTTAGCTTCGTCTTCTAGCTTGTTTAAATTTGAATACAAATTATCCGTCTGGATATCACTTAATTTACAAAGCCCAAAGTCAGATAGTTTTATATGGCCGTCTCTACCAATCAAGACATTATCTGGTTTGATATCTCTATGTATATAGTTTAGTTTGTGCACAGACTCTACAGCTAAAACCATCTCAGCAATATAAAATTTGGCCTCATCTTGAGGAAGGATATCTCTTTTAATCAAAACAGTCATCAAATCACCCCCTTGCAGGTATTCCATTGCTAAATACAAGTATTTTTCATCTTGAAAAGAGTATTTCAGCTCAACAATCCATGGATTATTAGCTTTGGCTAATACATTTCTTTCAGCCCTCACATGCTGGATTTGGTTTTTTCGGATCATTTCAGTTTTGTTCATTTTCTTCAAAGCGAGGATTTCTCCTGAAGATTTGTGACGGACAACTCTAACTTCTCCAAAGGCGCCGCGGCCTATGATTGTGATCGGTTCAAAATCAAAAATGCTTGTACGTGCCCGCAAGCTCCGAAGTCGCTCAGCTTCTTTGTGCATGATTTCTTCTCTAACCATTCTCTGCTCGGTTTCAGAAAGATTAAGCTCAACCATTCTTTTGTTTATTTCGTCCCAATATTCGCGATTTTCAGTATCTTCACGCTTTTTCTTGGAGTATTTTTCAGCGATGAAAGCTTTGGCGGCTTCGGCTTTTTCTCTTGCTGCTGCAGATATTTGAGGCTCTTCTCTTGTTTCAGCCCTTTTGGGCGTTCTTGGTTGGTCCATTTATATAAGAAAACTTAAGGAGACGACTATTTTGTTGTCTGATGAATTTTTGGTAAGAAAAATTTAAATTGATCAATGTAAAATTATTTGTAAAAAATAGCTATAACCATTTTAACTGCTTCGGGAAAAGGACCTTTACTTAAAATATACAGACATTCTTGATTTATATAGTCTATATGAAGATTTATATTATAATAATTCGCGTTTAGGAGTAGTTAATATTATTTTTGTCCTTTATTGCTTTCTTCTGGCTCAATTTTCAATTCAGGGATCTTGAATCTCCAAGTTCCTTTCTTCAATGGCGACGCTATCTTCTCTTCTTTTACACCTTTCTTCCCCTTTCAAGTCAGAATTCCCCAAGCTTTTCCATGGCTCGGATCTTTCAAATCCATCTTACTCCCCCTGTGAGCGAACCAAAAAATTTGTTCGCTCACGGAGGGACTTAATTTTTTTTTTCTCGAAAGTTAAAAAAATTTCCAATTTGTAAAAATTAAGAAGTAAAAAACTAATTTAATTTGCAAAATTTATATTTTAAAATATAAGCTGATTCAAATTAAAAAGATTTATCTAGAGATTTTATTATAATAATATAAATTATTTTTTCCATAAATTTTTTTTTCTCTCACGGAGGGTGGGTTTTTGGGAAAAAAATAGGATTTTTCAAATAGTTTTGTTCGCTTACGGAGAGGGAGTCAGTAATTGTGTAATATGAGTTCGGAGGCCATGTAGACCTCCAAAAATGAAAGCCTACCCCTTTGCATCTATACTGACCAGCTAGTTCATAAAGATCCTTGTAATTTTTGGCTGGGTTTAAAACTTCTTCTTTTGTAAAGACTTTTATACCTCTAAAAATTTTTGATGCGAGCATAAAAATTATGATTATTGCATAATAATTATAAGGGCCCTGACGAGAGCGAAGTTTACAAATTATATAGATTAGTGTTCTCCTCTTTGGATAAATCTCAAATCGTCAGCTAGCTCTCGTTGGTAGTTCGGATATCTCCAAGGTCTAAGTTCATAATGTCAAGCAGCTCTTGGGGTTTGTAAGTGGCTCATTAGTTTAGGCAATGGGGTTGGGGTTCCCAAAGCTACAGCTGAGCACATGCCAACTACAACAGCCCATTCAGGAGTGACAGGGGCGATTCCTAATTTGTTTAGTTCTTCTCAAGTCTTGATAAAAGTCTTCGAAAGGTCTACGCCTGGATTTTTTTCTAATTTGTCTAAAATTTGATGTGCCTAGATATTTGATACTTTAGTTGTGTTCTTATAAGCTATCACGTACCCATGCGCTGCAATAATGTGTGTCGCTATATCTGCACCATGGTTAAATTGACAAGCTGAGTGGTAAATATAAAAGAAATCGTCCTAAATTTGGCATACCCATTGTTGATATTTAATGTGGAGCATCAGCTTTCTGTTATAATATCTCGTTAAGTCAGCTTTTTTTGTATCATAAGCTTCCTGAGGTGTAATATTCTTATTTCTAACTGCTTTTTCCAGTTCAACAGCAGGGATAAAATCAAAAACTGAACCGATTTTTGTGCTAATCTTCCTTTTTAAAATCATAAATTATAATTTATCTAGAATTATACTTAATTATCCTCTTCTTTCAGCAATTTTATTCAGCACTATTTTGTGGATTCTTAGCAAGTAATCACTGTAGCTGATTTCTCCAGACGTCACATCTTCCACCATGAACCTTCTTAAAATGAAATCATCCCCTTTCCCTTCAAAGAGCCAATGCAAGGATGGATAAGCTGATGGACTTCTTTTCCTGACCTCATCTATAATAGCTAGCACTTTTGCTGACTCATCATTTCCATAGTCATTTAGAGCCCACAACTCAGGGTTTTCGCTCAATTCGTCAAACTGAGGGACGCCAAAAACATTTTGCAAAAATTCTTGATCTGCGTTCCTTCCTATGTAAAGTAGCATAACTTCACCATTAAATAGTAAGTAGACTCCATTCGATTGAATATATTGCAAGGTGCACGGAACTAAGTTAGGGAGGATTAGGAACTCAGCATTATTTAGAGTTCCTGGCTGTTGAGGCTGGACTGAAATGTCGTGCAAACTATAAATGGATGGATAAAAGTGCATTCTTGTTTGACGGATGTTCATACCTAATAGTGCGTGCACTGAAAAAAGCCTTGCATCAATTGGAACCCCACTTACTGCAAAAGCTGGAAGCTTCATAGCTGTGTTACTATAAAGAGGGACCATTCTTAAGGTCTCAGGTACCAAAATTTTGTTTACTTCTCCATCTCCAACAGTCATTCTATGTATCGTAAGCATCGTTATCATGCTTGCATGCCATTTTTCTCTAACAGTCCCCACCGCTTCTTCATAAATCGAATAAGCGCTTTGTCTTGCAACAACATTCGCTATTGCATCAGCATCTCCCCCTTTAAATATATTAGGGATCATTTTTGTGCTTTTCATGACTCCGTTGAAAATTCTTATAAGTCTTTGCCCATACTGGCTCGTATAAAGCATTGCGCATTGAACATGCAAATCAATATCTTCTTGCAATTTTGAGTCATGCTTAAGCATAATGACTATAGTTTTATCCGAATCAATGCAAGCCAGCTCCATTTCGACCGGTCCTTTTCTTTTGAATTTCCCAATATATTGATCAATTGCGATTCCATTGCTACATCTTGCCCTCATAACTGCTTGGAAGCCTTGTGTCCTTGTCAAAGTTCGGAAAATTTGATAATACATCCGTTCTCCATCAAAGCCTACATTGAAATTTGGATAATAATGCAAATCTCCTCCAGTTTGAGAACAAAGTGCAGCCAATGAAGGGGCATCAGCATACTGTCCTGAGCATAAGAAAATATCAATACAAATATCTTCAGATGTGCACTCTTGGGCTAAGGTAACATAATTTTCAAGTGGAGCGTACATGGTTTTCTCTTTATCTGTATTAAAAAGTTTAGGGTCTACTCTATTAGTCAGTTTTCCTTTTCCAACAGTGCCAAGCTGGGAAGTAAAGATGAGGACTCTCCCTCCTCTTCCTTTTAATAAATAATTTTTCATCGCGTCAGCTACTGCCCCAGCTGATAAATTCACTTTAGGAGGTTGTGTAAAGTCCCAAGCAAGCAGCCTATCCAATAGCCCATCCAGCTGTTCCCGCTGCTCAGCCACATTATAAGTAAGCCCAGCCACACTTTCAGGGATAAAAGGGTCGTCTACATCAGTTACCAAGATTTCTGAGACTTCTCCAGTAGATCCAATCTTATAGAACTGCATAGAAGTATCAAACGTCATCACTCCAATGCTGCATCTCTCAGGAAAAGAAACATAGTCCAGCACTCCTTTTATTGATGTCAGAATCTGCTGAGGGAGGCCTAAAGATATAGAATTCGCTGAGATATCAATGCAAAAGAAAAATAAAGGAGCCATCGGAGGCCGATTTGAGTAGTCTTCTGGAGCGATGAACTCATAAGTCCCAGCCCAAAGCTCAGGTTTGTTATTTCTATCGTTAAAATACTCCTCTGGTGAGTCTTGAACCAGCCCGCATATATTGCATATGCACTTTCTTCCTCCTTCCACAAATCGAAAATGAGGACTGACAAATGCCAAACATCGATTGCATCGGAATGGGATTTTATTAAGAATTGGGATTGGATCTTCTCCTGGGCAGATATCAGCGAGTGGGTGCCAAATTGCAGCAAGTGGCAGGCCTGTTGATTTTTGAGTGCTTTCATCTATTGCACATTGAGTGCATGTAAAACGGAGAAAGCGTGGGGAGGTGACAGCTTGCTCTTTTGCGATAATATTTTCTAAAATAGGAGGCGGAAGCTGTCCCATAGCGGTGAATTGACCTAAAAAGTCATCATATCTTTCTAAAGGTCTTGGAAGTGTTTCGGTGTGGACTTTTGCTTCTCTTGGCTGCTCAGCTTGAATCCTTCGTTCGGCCATTGTGTTAGGAAGTTGATTTTGTTGAGGGATATCAGGCTTCGAAGAGATTGGCTCAGCTTCTTGGTAGAGGGGCCTTTGCAAATGAGGCAAACGAGCTCTATGATCACCTTGAAGTGCCATATTTTATAAATTTCCTAGTTGGAATACAAATCGAAAAAATTGATTTGCGTGTTTCTCTCAAATTAATAAATAATAAAGATCATCAAAAATATATTAAAATTAATCCTATAAATTATATTCGTAAATTACAATAAAGGAATCTTCAAGAGGTTTTAGCATATGCTGACAACATCTATTGTAGTCTTGAAATCAGAGTTTGAAGTTGAACTAATGCAGTTATTTGATTAAACAAATCCATCGATAATCAAACGAAAATTAAATAAAAAAATGAAGGTTGAGAAAAGTCTAGATCTCACGTTCAAGCTTCTGATTTAAAGATATATATAAATAAAATGGCATTCGGTTCGAGAGAAATTAGCTCTGCCAATTTTCTCTCCCTCATGGAATTTTATTTATGGGGTTGGGTTTTTCTCTCGAGAACTTCTGCACAGAAACAGCCGTTTAACTTTGGGGATAACCAAAGGCATGGCTCCTCAGTGCATTCAAGAGGTTCAGAGTTTTACCTCTCAGCACATCCCCACGGGAGGATGACCCTTAGGCGGAACACGCGCAGGAGCTGAGTCAGGGAGAGCGACGGCAACGCGCCGGGTGAGATGTGCGGCGACTTTCTGGCGACGAGGCCTCATAGAAGGCTTGGGTATGGGCTGAGCACATATTCCAAGATGGCTTGGTGACGTCACTGATCTCGCTTTGACCCTTTTTAATTAAGGGGGTGTGGGCACTAGACACCTTAAAATACCAGGTTTAATGTAATGCAATGTAATGATTTAAAGATATATGAAAATGTAAATATCCGGTATATTTAGCATCACTTTTTTAGTATTAAAGACAAATCTAAAAAAGTAAATCATAGTCTCAAAAAAAAATTTAAAGGTTTTTTTTATATTAGACTTAATTGAAGGGCAAGATAAGAAAAGAGCACTAATTAAGCAATAAATGATGATTATTTTTAAACTATTGGGTATACTGGTTGCATCTGGATACCGCAAATACCTTGTCCAGCAACGACTGCAATTCTGATATATCCAGCTTCACCCCAGGCGTCACCCCAAGAGTTCTTAACTTTCCAGTATGGAGGAGAGTTAACCTGGTTGTACCCAACAATTAAGACTCCGTGGTCTAAAGCAGTTCCACAGTCTTTACTCACAATTCCTCCCTTATAATGTTGCCAAGCAGCTTGGTCAGCTTCAACAGCAACTGAGACTGGTTGCTGAGCGACTGCAGCGTAGAGTTGATCAGTGTTATCTGCTTGGACTGCCTTGTAGCCAGAAAGGGTAGCTGCAACTGCCTTTTCCTTACTCCCCTCCGTGAGTGAAACAAAACCATTGAAAAATCCCTATATTTTTGCAAAAACCACCCTCTGTGAGTAAAAAAATATTTTTATGGAAAAAAAAATTGATACATAAATGATAATTATTATAACTAAATCTCTAGAAAATTCTGATTAATTTTAAATAGCCTGCATTTTAAAATATAAATTTCGCAAATTAAATTAATTTTTGCTTTTCAATTTTTTGCAAATTGGAATTTTCTTAATTTTGAAAAAAAAAAATTACTCTAATAAATTTAAAAAAAAAAATTAATCCTCCATAGCAAACAAAATTTTTTTGTTCGCTCATGGAGGAGGGCGAGTTAGTCTTGTTGCAAAGACCATACTTACCAGTGTAAGGGTAGTTTGCTTCAGTTGTAATTCCTCTGTTAGCAATGATGTATTTCATTGCAGCTGTCATATCTCCTCCATTGCAGGATTCGTTTCCAAAGCTATATGAGCAATCCATAAGTTGTTGCTCTGATAGAGAAGTCAAGGTGTGGCCGGCCAAGAACCATGCACCTTCAGTAGACCCAGTAGTTGAGAATGACCAACAGCTTCCGCATTGCCCTTGGTTTTTAACTGCGGTAACAGCTCCTTTTTGGGTCCAGTCGACTTGGGTTGGGACAGCAGAGACGTCAAATTCAGCAACTTCAGCGTCGACAATTGGTTGGAATTTACGAGGAGTGTAAATCATCTTAAATTCAGCGAAGGTTAAGTCTGCGAACTCGTTGACTCCAAGGAAATAGGTATTTCCCTGGCCGTTGAAGACACGGACGTAGGCTGAGTTGTCTCTGAAAATCTTGAACTTGCGAGCGTATTCTTCTTCGCTAGCGTAGAGCTTGTTGTATTTGGCAATGAATTCAGAGAATTCTTGTTCCTCCATCTGGAGTTGGGTAATTGCTGGAGTTTGGGCTGGTCCTGATAGAACTGCAACGGTTGCCACAACTCCGACGATGGCCAATAGGCCAAAGACTGCCAAGAACCTTTTCTTGGATTTAGTTTCTACTGCGAAGTAACCTTCCATTTTATTATAATTGTTTCCCCAGTTGTCATCAAGATTAGCACAACGAAGGGCTTTATGAAATTATTCACATAAAATTGGTAGAATTAATTATGGCATTTTATCTTGTCGTTATAGGGATAAAAACAGTGGTTAAAAATGATTTTTAATATTTTGTGACTGTTAACGAACAAAAGACCTGCTTTAGTTTTTATAAAAGCTATATGATAATAATTTTAGGTGCAGAAAATTATCGAAGGTGTCTTGTTTAAATTAAAATTTTTAATTGATTTCTCAAAATATTCAGAAGCAAGTAATTAGAAAAATTATATATCTATGTGAGGGTTTAATTATTGAACTACTTATTCTGTGCATCAAAAATTAAAATAATCTAAATAAAACATTTGAAAAATTCCAAAAGTCGTATATGCATATCATATTTAAATCCTTTATAAAATTTCACTGAATAATAAACGAATTTTAAGCTTTTCAAGTGGCAATGATAATAATGAGTGTGTCCTTCGTATTAATTATTAAATTCTTATATCCGAAAAAGAAAAATATAAAAGTCTTAAACTATAATAATTCAAAGAAGCAAATCACTTTACATTGCTATAAAAAGGCTACTTAAATAAAAAGTCTAACAAATTTTTTCTTACGAATAATATAAAAAGTTAACAACAGCTTTTGGCAAATATATCAACTTATTACTTTGTTAAAATAATTCAAATATACCAAAAAGGGTTTAGATAACCTGTAGAAGCTGTGATCGGCAGAGCCTGAGCATGTGCTCCACAACTGCAGGATATCACCTGGCTGCGCTCTCAGCTCCTTTGGAGGAACTGAGTGAGGAACCTTACAAAGGTTACTGGTGTTAGGGTGAATGCGGCCAAGACCGGAGAGATGCGCTTGCCAACCCATCTTTAATTCCCGCGAAAACTTAAATTTTTTGTTTTTTTGGTTAATTTTATTTATGGGAACAATTTTTATTAGATTGATATATAGCGTTTATTGATATACAAATGCTATTTTAAATCCAGCAAAAGATAAGATTTTATTTTATAACAAAAGTGATTTAGAGAGTAATTTTTATAATTTATTTTACGTAGAAAATATCAGCACTTAATTCATGCAATTAGCTGTAAAATTGAAGATGAATTAATCGGTTCTAAAATTTTCTGGTTTAATCTCTTAGAGCTCTATGAGATTAAAAAATTCAAATAGAAATATAATAGCTGCACATAATATATGGAACTTATTAGAAATTGTTCAATCCTAGCAAGGGAAAGGATTATGATGCAAGCGCAGCTATCACAATTAAAATATGGTGTCGCTCAAATTTTTTTGTTTATCCTGGACATAATTTCCTTCTAGGCAAATTTTTATTATGAGATTTGCTTCACCAGAGAATTTTCCACCAATTATGGCGTATGTGCCCAAATGGTGCACAACTTCGGACACTCATCACTATGGAATTCGGATTTCTAGAAGTGTGCAACCAAACCCTAATGATTGAAACTGAAACCTTTAGCGTGCCTTTCGGACGCAAGCTGTTTCGCCGAGTGCTGGCAGGACATGCACCAAAATCTCAACCCCTGAAGCTAAGGGATCATCCACTAAAGAAGAGAGATATAATGAAGTTAAGTTAAGTAAATGCAGTTATCACAATAATTTCCTAAAAAATCATGCATAGTAAAATATTAAATATGCTCAGACTTGCAAGAAGGTTCTTCGCAGGAATTGCCCCCCAAGTCGAATATCCTATAGGAATTAAAGACGTTCAGAACATTGACGAATATTTGGATGCATTAGAAAACATAGATTAGTTTAAGTTCGTGGGGTCTTCGCGGTTTATTTCAGCCACTCGCCGCCTTCTCCCACTTCAGCCTCTCGGCCTAAGCATGGGATAGCACTTACGCCTTTTTTGTCGACGTCACCAAAAAATGGTGACGTCAGCGCTCTCGAGGTGACGCACCCAGGTACTTCTTGGGGCAACTCCTATCGGTCAGCCCATCCGTCCGGAGGCGGGAGACGGTAGGGTGTTCTGAAGCCTCCTCCTGTCCTCCATTACTACCTTCGTTGTCAGGAGTGTGGGGTTGCCTTTGCGACTCTGGTCTTCTTGTCATAGGTCTAGGTAAAAAACCCTGCCATGGTGTCCTGGCCAGGGAGAAAAAAACCCTACCCGGGACACAAATTCTCCAGGCCCCATCCCTCTTAGACACAAGGCACGAGGCAGTGGGAGAAGGACGGGTCAGAGTAGTCACCATTTTATTTGTGTTAGAAAACATAGAAGAAGGGAAATTTCCAATCGTTGAGCAAAAACTCATTCAATGCTTGAGTATTGCTGAAGAAAGAGGACTCTATGGTGAGCCGCCTTATAATATTCTCCTCAAAAGACTAGCCTTTATATTTAGGATTGAAAATAAGACTAGTATGTGCGAAAGGCTGCTGGAAGAGATCGTAAAAAATTTCAAAGAAAGAGAAAGCCTATATCCAAGCCAGCTTTCTTGCTCCTATGAAACTCTACTTATGCAGTATTTAGATACAAATATTGACAAAGGTATTGATTTAGCTAATCCTTCATCCTAAAAAATATATATTTTATAAGTTAAATTGAATATTGTTTTCCAATTTTGACTAACTGGTTTAAAAAAATATTTTTGGTAACTCATAAAGAGGATAAGAAGCTATTAGAGGAAAAGCCTAGTCACATAAATGAAGAATTCGTCAAAAATATGTTAGCGATAGCTTACTTACTTAAAGGGGGAAACATATGAGAATCTAAAAAGCTTTTATCTTCTCTAATAGCAACAAATCCGCAGCAGCCTGAGCTCTATCATAATTTAGGCTGCGCTCAGTGGTGGCATCTTTTGTCATTTGAAAAACCAGAAACAATTACTATCAAAGAAGGAGAGACCTATGAGCAGTCTGAATATAGAGCTGCTGCAATGGAGTTTACAGATTCAGTAGCAAGCTTTCAAAGAGCCATTCAACATTTCGAAGGGCTGCCTGATATTTATAAAATTGACCCAAACAATAAGCTTGGTTTAAAATCATCAATTTGTGGAATCTCCCTTACAAATATCTCTGAAGTCCATCTTCAAAGCGCAAATCTAGAGGTAACTTAAAATTAGCCTGAAGGAAGCCATAAAATGACTTAAATGTGCTTTAACGTTTTATGAAGAAGTTGATAAACAAAACGCTGGGAGATCTCTAGCGCTAACAGGAGTTTTCTTAAAATTCCAAAAAGAATATAATGAGGCAGAAAAAGTTTTAACTAAAGCGCTTGGGCTTGTGAACGGAGTAATAATAACATAGAGAGGTGACTATAATGAGATCTTTGTAAATGAAGTTTATGCCTCAGTTCTAAAGAAGCTAAAAAAGGAAAAAGAAGCTGAAGAATTATTGGAAAAAGCAAATGGGTTGTCGAAGAATTTGACATATTGGGCAGCAAGAGCGGTCCATCTGCATATTCCAATGTGGACCCTTTAACACATAATTAAGCTTATTTTAAGAGTATGGTTAATTATGACCCATATTTTGGGCAAAGTCCTAGTCTGAATCCTATCTCTTTTAGATAATTATCTGCTAAGATAATTTGGTTGCCACCTTTTTCTTTCATTGCTTCTTCCAGGCTTTGGCTTCAGTCTATTCTTGTGTAATTTTTTTCATAATCTGCGTAGAATGCAGAGACATTTCTGTTTATTGACTCAGATATATCAACGCAATCTTTGAAATTATATGACTGCTTTGGAAGAATATCCGAGATTATTGAGTTGTTTTCTCTTTCCTGTGGAAACTCGCAAGGTTCCAAAATAAAAGAAACTCTAAACAGCTCAATATAAGATGTAATCAAGTTTTCAATTATTTGGAGAGTTTCGCTTTCATGACCAGAAGCATCAAGAACTACAATGACCAGCTTTTTCTTGCTATTTGCAACATCTGCTTCTATGTTTGTAATTGATAATTGAGTATGAGGAACTTCAACTGAAATATTCGAAAAAAGATCAAAATCTGCAGGAGAGCTTGAGCAGAGAGATCTAAGTAAGGTGTCTGAGGTTTTCCATACAAGGTGGCCACAGCATCCTCTTGATATTAGTGAGTTGATTATGTAAGACTGAGGCAAAGCGAGGTTTGACCTGACCAGAATAATTAATGCTTTGGAGGCATACATTATTAAAACAGTAATAATTTTTCATTAAAAAGCTAGCTATGCAAATTATATAAAAATATTAATAAGCTTATAAAATATAGGTATATTATATAGCAAAAATGAATTTTTCTTATAAAATTGTTAAGATAGCTTAAGATTTTACAGTTATAGCGTTTTGGCTGTGACAGTAGGAACGATGATCACAATGAGTATAATCAGCAGTGCGACTAATATGCAGCATTTTTTCCATCTTGCTTTTTGCTGATACCCCTTAGCTCCTTCTAGCGCTTTTTCCGCTTTTTTAACATAATCTGAAGCATTATCCACGTGCTTTTCTACACTATTCAAAAGTTCTCCTTGAGAGTGAACAAGTGCTGCAAGATCAAGAAACATCCTGTGCATGATATTTATATTTTGTTCAAGCATTTTGATGTCTTCAAGTCTGCTTTCTATATTATTTACCATCTGAATTATTTCAGAGTGAGCTCCTATCATTTTCTTTTCAACCATCATTTGGGCTTGTCTCGGATCTTCTAAGCACTGTTCAATCACTTCATCAGAAATATTTTCGTCAACCATTCTAAGCTGATTTGCTGTTTTATTTCTAGCTGCTTCGGTGAACACATTTTGTGCCTTTTCTGCTTCTCCCAGGGCTTGCTGAAACTGCTTGATCAAGGTTGCATGCATCGTAGCTCGCATTCTTGTTTCTGTCTCACTGGCGTTCCCACGACCGTCTTCGATTGTTTTTGCTAGGGTTTCTGCAATGTCACGGACTGAGTTTAGTTCTCCGTTATTAACATCGATTAATTCTTTGAGCTGCTTATTAGTTTTAACTTCTTGCTCTGGCTGGGTGCATTGGTTGAACTCATCTTTTAAAATTCTTATTTGCTCACTCTCTCCCTCTGGAAAGAAAAGACTTTGCTTGCTATCGAAGCTTTATTCTTTTTTTAGCTTTTATATAATACTTCTAATCTTGTTTTTGTTTACTCAAAAATAATAATCAATTAATATATATCATATTTACAATGAATGAAAGCATTTATGTATATGAAAATAAGATAAAGAATATAGAAAAAAATGCTTATATCAACTATAAGTAGGTATTCTAAAATTTATATGAAATATTTTTTTAAATTGCGTTTACTCTTACTCCCCCCCCCCTTTAAATTGGAACTAAAAATTTTGTTCCAATTTAAAGGGGGGTTAAGAAAATTTTTTTAAAAAATTATCCATATAAAAATTTTTTATAAAAAACAAAAATTTATATAAAAATTTTAAAAAAAAATTTATCGAATTAGATCAATAAATTTGTTTGATGAAATGCTATTTACTCTTTTATCCTTTAAAACAAAGCAAGATATAACTAAAATTTTTATTATTAGTTAATACGCCACTATTAATTGGTATCAAAATTATTTACACAAAAATTATTATTTTTATTGATAAAAAAAAATTGGAAAATTTATCGATCAAAGTGCTAATTTTGTTTAAATAAGATGTTATTTATGCTTTTATTCTTTAAATTAAAGCAATAAATAAGTAAATTTTAAAAATTTTATAAGGAATTCCTATTGAATTTATATCAAAACTATTTAAATAAAAAATATCATTTTTATCAAAAAAAATAAAAATTTTTTTGAAAAAATTTTTAAAAAAAAAAAATTTAATTTTTTTTTTTTAAATTTAACAATTAAGGATAATAAATTTAACAATTAAGGATAATAAATTTATTTAAATAAGATGCTCTTTATACTATCTTCTTTAAAGAAGAGCAAGATATAACTAAATTTTGAATTTTAGTTAAGAAAGAAACATTTAACTTATATCAAAACTTTTTAGATAAAAATTATATATAATTTTTTATTATAAAATTAAATTTTGTTCCAATTTAAAGGGGGGGTAATTTACCAAAAAAGTGGAAATTTTACCTATATTTTGTTCCAATTTAAGGGGGGGGGAGTTAGTTCAAGGACGAGTCAGTATTAGATCGGACTCGTTCAATAGATTTTTGGGCTTTACGAATTTGGAGCATAAATTGCATGTTTGGGCCTGATGATGGCTGAACATCTGAAAGTAAAATTTCATGAGAAGGGTTATTTGAAGCTCCTTTAAGTTCTTGAAGTCTATCTATCATCTTCTCAGTATAAAAAATTATATTATTAAAAAATATTGTTTTGAAATTTAGATATGATAAGGATACTTAATAAGCTTAACAGCTCATTTTTAGAATTTCTTGTCTTCAGCCTTGCAAAATAGGATAAGAACTGCGATAAAGAGAACTAAGAGATATCAAAAATAGATATTTTAAATTATAATAATGATATAATGCTTATTTGAATTATAATTAGCATTAGCTTGCTTTCACCTTAAAAACTGGTATATTTAAATATTCACTAATTTGATATACAACATTCCATACAAAAAAACTATATCTTCAAACAATGCATACTAAAAAGGCAACAACTGCAACAAAAACCGATTGCTTGTCCAAGATAAGCACTGCAGCTGCAAATATAAACTCTATAACTAATTCAGCTTGAAACCATTCGAATGTCATTTTGGACACGCTTGAAATAATTAGCTTTATGCATAATTCAGAAAATATCAGCCCATGCATGATCATTATTATTGGAGCATAATTCGCCATCATGCTTTTCGATGCTATAAGAACCATATTCATATCCATAATAAACACAGGTATCAATGATTTAATGGTTTCTCTTTTCTTTTGAGAGTTCTTAAATACATTGAACAAAACAAAAATATTTGCTAAATTTGCAATGCCCATATTAATATGAAGGACAATTTCAGCAACGGTAATACCGCCAATTATATTTGCCTGCCATATGCCAGGCCCAAAAATTGCTGTAATAACTAGCACCATTATGGACATATATTGGGCTTCAGTGACGCCCCAATTCATAAATTGTGTTCTGCAGCAATGGGTATGGTATTCTTCTCACGTTATCAAAAAAAAGCTTGTTTGGGCCCCTATATACATATATATTGTATGCTTATTAAGACCTAGCGACATCCCTTGCAGTAAAGTAAGAGCAATAAACGAGGTTGTCAATGAGTCACAGCCATGATCCAGTAGCATTCCTAGAGGAGATGATTGGTTAATTCTTCGTGATTGCTTCCCATCAATTGCGTCAAAAGTTTGATACATAAATATCATAAATGCTGAGATAAATAGAATTATTGGAGGGATGGGCTCTTCAAATGTTGTGCCAAATGGTAGCATTAGAATGTACGATAAAATAATGCATATAAAGCCAAGCAATGTAATGAGATTTGGAGCAATTGATCTTGGCAAGAGTTCAGCAAACCAGCTCCAAAATGGATTAAGTTTATTATCTAGTCACGAGCTTCCTGAGGTGTTATATTTAGATTCTGTAAGATATTTTAAATTTTCTTGCTTGATAAATGCCATTTATGATCAGATAAATTGGTATGAAAATAGAATATGGCAAAAAGGTTTATCAGCCACATGTCAAGTTGGAGAACCAATCAGCATCATTTAATCAAACTAATATTAATTGAAGAAAAAATAGCTGCGAGAGAATGATTCTATTTAAGAACTAATATTTTATCTATAAGCAGCTTATAATTAATATATATTAATATGATTAAGATATTTTAATTGCCTTCATAATTCACTATACTGAAAATAAGCAATTTAACTCATTATTTGTTTTTAGAAATTTAATCTCTATTCAAATTATCATAATCTGCATCTTGGTCTCCAAAAATATATTAAATTAAACGTGATTTATATGAAATAACTTCATGCAGCGCTTGCTTATTTTTAAGCATGTAACGATATGCATTACCACTATTTTTGGCATTAATTTTATTTATTCATACTTGATCATATATCCTTTATTATCCAAATATTTATCTTTAGCACGCAAGCAGATTTATTAGTAATCTGCATTACATATCAAGTATATTTTATCAATTTTAATTTATCGAAAATATATCATATACTAAATATTAACACATTAATCAAAATAATAATTATTCAGTTAAAACTACTGGAAAACTTTTCACTGAAAATTCTTTACTCTCCCCTTTAAGCAAGCAAAAATTTCTAACATAATATTTTAATAAATATAACTAAAATTTGTTATAAATAGATCTCTATCTATTTTTATTTTTATTGCACTTTTGACAACTTTCATTCTTAAAATTTTTGTAAATTCGAGATCTTTTCAAATACTTACAAATTAGAATATTTTGAAATCTGGGAAATAAAATATTTTATTTATAATTTTAATATAGCGCGTGCCCTTTTATAGATTTTTAAGGACAAATTTTAAAAGAAAGAAAATTGAATTATTATAATTCTAAGAAAATCTAAATAGTAAAAATTAAATTTAAAAAATTTATCTTATATCTTCTATTTATCAGTTTTTAAATTTGACTTATTTTAAAATGTCAAAAGGAATTTTCTTTAACTCCCCCCCCCCCATCCTTGATCGAACGACTCGCCATCGTTCGATCAAGGATGGGGTTAAAAAAAATTTTTTTTGGGAAAAAAATTATATATATATATATTTTTTTTATTTACTTTTAAATCAGAGTTTTAAGAGTAATTAATAATTATTTCTAAAGCAAAAAATTGAATTAATTTCATAAAAATACTAATTTTTAATATTTTGATTTATTAATTACCCCTTTAAACTGTATAAATTTTAATTTGTTCCTTATGGAATTAAAATTTTTTTTTTAAAAAATTTTAAAGAGAATCTCTATTTTATTAGATTATTGAGTTTTTAAGCCTAGGTTGATGGCTAAATCACTTCGGATAGTGATTCCGTAGCTTTCTGTTGTTTCAAAGCTTCTGAAAACAGCTTCATTATGTACATCTTCCCAAGCTTTTGATAGCAAATATATTTTAATATATATAAAAATTTGCATGATATGAAAATCGTTCGATCAAGGATGGGGGTTAATTTTCCCAATTTTTAGGAATTTTTACAGTCAATCGTTCGATCAAGGATGGGGGGGAGTAAGGGTATTTTTCCTCAGAAATCAATAAGGAGTCGGTTTAATATAAAATTTAAGAGAAAAAACTGCCTTTTTAAAACGAGGCAAAAAACCTTGTTCGCTTTTAAAGGGCTGATTTAGAAACTTTATAAGCTATCAGATAAATGGTGATAATTATAAAATGGGTCTTCTGCGATCAGAGAAGATGGGTTATTACAACCTCATCATGCAAGCAGACATGGGTTGGAGAATCCTCAATCAGCTCGGAAAACTTTCAGTCCTCCAATTCGTTGACTTAAATGCTGACCAAACAGTCTTCAATCGTCGCTATGCATCATATATCCGTAGGTGTGAAGAAGCTGAAAGGAGAATTCGCTTCCTGATGCAAGAGCAAGAAAGATTCAAAATCCAGATCACTCCAGCCAAAGACATCAAGCTAGTATTAGACCAAATTGACGAAGAACTTGACTCATCAAATACACCAGCACAAACTTACTTTGAAACATTGGAGGCTGACTTAGAGTCCTATGAAAAAAACTTAGGGATTCAGCTTAAAAACTACGAAGATTTCCAGACCAGCTGCAATGGTCTTATTGAAAAAAGACTGGTCTTGAAGCATGCAAAAGAAACTTTTGGAGAAGGAGGAATGGGATTTTCAATGTTCAAAAGACTTGCAGGGATTATTGATAAAGAAGATATGGTGAGATTTAAGAGAATGGTTTTTAGGGTCACCAGAGGAAATGCGTTGACTATTTTTCATGACATTGAAGAACCATTGAAAGATCCAAAAACTGATGAGCCGCTTGAAAAATCAGTGTTCTTCATTCTTTATCAAGGAGATGAGCAATCAATCATCAGCAATAAGCTTGCAAGGATCTGCGATACAATTGGCATAAGACGTTATGACGTCCCAAGTGACCAAGAACAGCTTGCCACAGATTTCAGACAAAATGAAGACGAAATCAACACAAACAACGAAGTCGCACAGAGAACTAAAGAAAACATTATGGGACTCCTTCAGAAATTAGCCTCAACCAAGCACTCTGAAAACCCATGCTCACTTATTGAAGAACAAAGACTGTTTATCATCAAAGAAAAAGCAATTTACCACAACCTCAACATGTTTACCATCCAGAACAACATTTTCTATGGAAATTGTTGGTGTCCAAAGTCCCAAGAACAAAGTGTGATTGGCATATTAAACGAATTTGCAAGACAGCCAGGGTTCGCAAGTGGCCAACTTAGAGAAGTTGAAGGAGGCTTCCCAGAAGACCAAATCCCTCCTACCTACTTCAAGCTTAACGATTTTACAATTCCATTCCAAGAAATCGTTGATACTTATGGTGTTCCTGTCTATCAAGAAGCTAATCCAGCTCTCTTTACTTGTGTCACGTTCCCATTCCTCTTTGGAATTATGTTCGGCGATGTGGGTCACGGCTCTCTTTTGACTTTATTCGCTCTTTACCTTATTTTCCAAAGACGCCAGATTGAAAGCTCAGGAAGCATGTTTAAAGCAGCAGTCCCAATCAGATACTTATTACTTATGATGGGGCTTTGTGCTATCTACTGTGGACTGATTTATAATGACTTCTTAGGGATTCCATTTGATTTCTTCGGAACAAGATGGTCGAAGAAAGATGGAGACGAACAATATACCAAGGACTCAGTTTACCCATTCGGTATGGACCCTGTCTGGTACAGAGCTGACAACGAGCTTGTGTTCTTCAACAGCTTCAAAATGAAAATTTCAGTCGTTTTCGGCGTCACACAGATGATTTGTGGAAACTTCTTCAAAGGAGTAAACTCAATTCACTTCAAAAACCCTATAAACTTTATTTTCGAGTTTATTCCTCAGCTTCTCTTCATGGTCTGTTTCTTCGGCTACATGATTTTAATGGTTTTCATCAAATGGTGCACTGAATGGCACTACAACTGGAATGATAACGCACCTAACCTTATCACGATTTTGATGAATATGGCTTTAAAGATGGGGTCTTTAGGCGACTCAAAGCCTCTTTATGGAGATGATGGAGCTCAAGAAAGCATCCAGCTTATTCTTTTACTGATAGCTGTCATATGTGTTCCTATTATGCTCATCCCTAAGCCTTTCATTCTTAAATGGCAGCATGAAAAAGCAGCTCAAGCAGGACATGGAGGAGCTCAGCAAGTCGGATACCAGCATTTTGAAGACGAAGAAGGGTCACAAGCTCCTAAACCTGGCACAGGACACAAGGAATTTGACTTCGGCGAAGAATTTATCCATCAGATGATCGAAACTATTGAGTACGTATTAGGAGCTGTCAGTAACACTGCTTCGTATCTCAGATTGTGGGCTCTGTCCCTTGCACATGGACAACTTTCTAACTCCCCCCCCCCCCTCCGTGAGCGAACAAAAAAATTTTGTTCGCTCACGGAGGGGGGTTAATTTTTTTTTTTTTAAAAAAAATTTATATATAAATTTTATAAAAAATATTTTTTTCGAAATTAAAAAAATCCTAATTTGCAAAAATTGGGAAGCAAATATTAATTTAATTTGCAAAATTTATGTTTTAAAACGCAATTTGTTTAAAATTAAACAGAATTAGCTCTAGATTTCATTATACTAATTATCACTTATATATCAAAATTTTTTTCCATTAAAATTTTTTCTATTAAAAAAATTTTTGTCCACTCACGGATGGTGGGTTTTTGGTCAAAAAATGGCGATTTTTCTAATGGTTTTGTTCGCTCACGGGGGGGGGGGGGGAGTAAGGTCTTCTTTGATAAATGTTTGGCAGGGACAATTGAGACATCAAACCCTGTCTTGGTTGTTGTAGGGTTCTTTGTGTTTGCGAATGTGACTGTAGGAGTGCTGATGTGTATGGATGCTATGGAATGTTTCTTGCATGCACTGAGACTTCATTGGGTCGAATTCCAAAGCAAGTTCTATAAAGGAGAAGGGATTAAGTTTGCACCATTCTCATTCTTGAAGGTGATCAATGATACTAAGAAATAAATAATAGATCGATCAACAATAATTTCTATTATATTGAGAAGTAGTTGGTAGAATTATTTTAGCTTAATTTTGTGATTTAGATGCAAGATATGCTTTTTAATGCTGCAATATACAGAAATTTAACATAATGTGGCATAGTTTCTCCTGTAAATAAATATAAATCAATTTAGGTGAATATCAAGATTTCCTTTCAAATTTGCCATATAGCTTAGATGTTTTTATGGATTATTATAATATTTTTAAACTAAGTTGGATTTTTCATTTTTCTCGATTGATTTAATTGAATTTTAATTAGACCTGAATTCTGCATAAATTAAGCACTTGCTATCTTAAGTCAAATCTTAATGAACTCTTAGCGCCATATTGAAATTTAACTGTCATTTATGTCTCAAGAATCCGTAAAAGTTGTTATTCGAGTTCGCCCTTTGAACTCATCCGAAATTTCCAGAAAAAACTCAAATATAATTGAAGTCGACAAAGAACTTAACCAGTTAAGTATCCTTGATCCAAAATTAATATCAAAGCCGTTTGCCTTCGATGCTATTTATGACGAAACTTACACTCAGCAGCAAATTTATGACGAAACTGCTTTTCCATTAGTGGAAAGTGTATTAAAAGGCTACAATGGCACAATTTTTGCATATGGCCAAACCGGTTGTGGAAAAACATTCACAATGGTTGGCGTTCCAGGAAATGAACAACTACAAGGGATCATTCCAAATTCTTTTTCCCACATATTTGGATGCATAGCAGAGTCCGGCTCTTCAAAATGCTTTCTTGTACGGTGCTCATATACAGAAATTTATAATGAAGAAATAAGAGACCTAATAAGCAACGACACAAATTTGAAGCTTGAGCTGAAAGAGTCAGCAGACAAAGGAATTTATGTCAAAAACTTGTCAATGCATCCAGTGAAGTCTGTTCAAGATATAGAGAAACTTATGGAATATGGGAATAAGCACAGGATTACAAAAGAGACAAACATGAATGAGAGATCTTCAAGGTCTCATGCCATTTTTACTATTAATGTAGAAACCTCAGAAGAAGTAGATGGAAGAACACTGGTAAAAGCGGGAAAGCTAAATTTGGTGGATCTTGCAGGATCTGAGAGACAGAAAAAGACAGGAGCAGAGGGAGAAAGGCTTAAAGAAGGGATAAAAATCAACTTATCTCTGCATGCATTAGGAAATGTGATTACCTCATTGGTGGATGGAAGCTCACATATTCCTTATAGAGACAGCAAGCTAACTATGCTGCTTCAGGATTCTTTAGGAGGGAATACAAAAACTGTTATGATTGCTGTCATTTCGCCTGCTGACTATAATTATGAAGAATCATTGAGCACTTTGAGATATGCTAGTAGAGCAAAATTTATAAAAAATAAACCCAAGGTAAATGAAGACCCAAAAGATGCGTTGCTGAGGTCTTATGCAGAAGAAATACAAAGGCTTAAAAAGCTATTGATGGAGCACCAGAGTGGGGAGCCAGTTGAAAAAATTATTGAAATCGAAAAGCCAGCTAAAACTAAAGAGTTGGCTCTTATTAGCACTGAAAATGGTGCTGAAGGGCAATATGATCAGCCAGCTCGAAAATATTCAAGTGAACCATCAGGGCAATCTGAAGAAAGTGATGGAGAAAGATCTAATACAAATGAAAAAGATTCAGATTTGGATAAAACTTGTAATGAACAAAACCCAATTAGATTAGATTAGATTAAGTGCTTGAGTGGGGGCATTGCGGGATTATTTCAACCCTCGCACCTGCCAAGAGTTCTATTCTTGTTTTTGTGCACTAGTCACTAGCTCCACCTAAATCCATTTTTCCATCCTAGCCAACAAAAAATGGTGATTAGGACCGTCTATTGGAGCACTTACCCTGTCGGACTATGGACCTCATCTGTTGCTCTGTAGCTGGCTGAAACCTCAGATTATCAACTGGAGCTCACATGGAAAAGTGTGGCACAAGATACTTCATCTTCCTTTGGGCGTGTTCAATGTAAAAAAGGTGTTTCTCTGCACTGAGGCACACCAAAAACCGACTCCGGATACTAAGTTACAATGAGTCTGTCTTACCATGTGCCTGAGTCTAAAAAGGTTAACCACAGACCTATTGCAATACTTCATTTAATTAAGATACGAAACCCAGGAAGAAATTATTTCTGATCTTCAAAAGCAGTTAATTATTGGTGGAGAAGCAATAAATAAATCAGAGCAGGAAAAGTTAAGAGCTATAAGACAGTATCGACTAAAACTAAAAAAGCAAAAGAAAAAAGAAAAGCAGCTAATTGAAGAACACAGAAAAATTGAAGAAGAAATGGTTTTAAAAGAAAAAAATTATCGATCAATGCAAGAAGAGCTTGAAGACCTGAGAAAAGTCGTGAAAAGGTTAAGAAGCATCTATGCAGCTTCATTATCAGAAATTTCTGATTTAACTCATGAGCATGAAACTGAAAAGCAAGAATTTTTAGAAGAAATTAGAGAAAAGGAAAAAGAAAACGAACTCTTACATAAAATTTTTGAAAATCTGATGCCAGCAAAAGAGCTGAGAACAATAAAAAGTAAATCAACTTATGATGAAATAAATCATAAATGAAAAGTCCCTTCCTTTATTTTGCAGCAGAAGCAGCTGCTTTTCCCAAAACTGCCTCAAGCACAATTAAGAGAGCTTGTAGAAGAAAAATATATAGCATTTGATAATGATACTAAAAATCACTTAAGAAATGAATCAGCTGACCATGCCAAAAGACATACCAGCGTAAAAGATTCAAGAAACTTAAAACACAACCTCAAGATCCAAGATGAAGACACAAAAAACTCTAAAAATTTCAGTACAATGCCTCTTATACCAATAGAAATGAAGCAATTAAGCAGCAGACTCCCAAGTATCGGAGATCCAAAAGAAGAGCCAAATCTTTTAAGAAAAAATAAATTCACCAAACAGCTTCTACAGCCAATTCAGAACCATGCAAGAAAACTTGCAGAATTAGAGCTCAAAAAGAGTGCTATTGGTATCATTTAATTTAAACTTGTATTAATTTCCTATAATAAAATCTTAATTCTGATAAAAAATTTCACAACCTTAAAATGAGATTTTAAGCTCGATGTGGTCTTCAAGACAGAATAAATAATTTAATCATGCATATCAAATATTAATATGAAGAAGGAAAAGCTAAGATTAAGCCCGCTTACTCTGACAAAAAGCTCTTCAACAAACATAGACTCTTTGACCCTTTTATCCTCAAAAAATATAAGCAGCTTACCAGCTCTTCCCAGCAACTCATACAAAAAGAAAATTATTGACAAAAAATACAAAGGCGCATTGTCGTTTTATATTAAAAAAGAAGAAAACTATTCCTTATTGAAAACGAAATACAAAAGGCTGCATCATCCGAGTTCACCAAATTGTTCAAGTCCTATAAATCCCTTCAAGAAAATCCCGAAAGGGCTGAATTTATCTCCTATAGGCGGTGATTTTTATGCTAACTTCCCCGTTCTGCGAGCAAATAAAACAAATTTTGTTCGTTGAATGGTTAATTTTTAAAAAAAACTATATATATTTTTTATAGTAAAATTTATTTTTCGAAATTTAAAAAAATCCCAATTCGTTAAAATTGAAAAGCAAATATTAATTTAATTTGTAAAATTTATGTTTTAAAATGCAAAGCTATTAAAAATTAATCAGAATTGGCTAGAGATTACATCATACTTATTATCCCTCATGTACCAAAACATTTTTTCATAAAAAATGTTTGTCATATTAAAAACATTTATATTCGCTCACAGAAATGGGCTTTTAGGCAAAAAAGGGATTTCCAATAATTTGTTCTCTTATAGAGGGGTATTAAGCACCGTAGAATTGATGAGGATTTGATTAAAGACTTGTCGAAATGCTCATTAACTCCTAGTGAAAGGAAAAGCTTTCCTTCTTTAAAAGAAGGCTTAGAATTGTATGATAAGATTTTTTCACTTGAAAGACCATCGAAAACATTAGAATTGAGACTGTCATTATCGCCTTCCACAAGCCCAACACTCAAAACTCCGTTCATCAATTTCGCTAATTCTGATAAATATTTTACAACTATATCACCAAATAATTACACGATTAAAAGATTATATAAGGAAATAAAAATTCCTATTATGAATACTCCTAGAACCCCTTTGGCAAAGCTCAAAAGATACTCTTTTACAATTTTATCAGAGTGCTGAATCCAAGATGAAAAGTCTGATATTGAAAAAATACTTGAAACATTGAAAATAAATACAAATTAATTTATTCACATCAGTTCTGTAGCAAGGCTAATTTAATTTAACTTAAGTTAATTGCTAGGAAAATTTAAGCATCAAAAATGGTTATTTATGCATATTGAATTACATTGTGTCATTTGATTATCGCAAGTCCAGATAAGATGGGAACATTGAGTTCTGTAAGCCGGATTCTGCAGTTTCTTTGCTGCTCGGGAACAAATTCCAAAACCTCAGAGTTTCATCGCCTGCACCCGTCACAATGGTCTGCCCATCTGGAGACATACATAAATATAAGACTCTGTAAGTATGTCCAGTAAGTGTAGCAACTTTTTGAAATCCTGGATATTGCCAAAGCACAATTTGGTTTTGTGAGTATCCATGAGTCGATACAAGCTCATTGCTGTTCTTCGAAAACATTAGGTTGCACACCTGTGAGCCTGTGTCGACATGATGCAATTCTTCATTAGTAAGTGTGTTCCAAAATCTGATTGTCCTATCAGCTGTTCCTCCTCCAGATGCCAAAAGTCCATGCTGGTGAGGGGACCAAGCAATTGCTTTTACAGCTGCCACATGCTGTTGGAATTTGATAATAGGCGACGGAGACTGCAAATTCCAAAGGATTAGTTTGTTGTCATTTCCTCCTGAACCTAGCTGTTGCTCATCAAATGACCATTTAAGTCCGCACACCTCTTGTTTATGCCCTATAAGTCTGCCAATATATTCTTCAGGAGACCTTACATCTCTATGAAGAATCTGCCTGTCCCTTGACCCTGTGGATAAGACTTTACTACTCCAAGCCATCGAGCCGACTCTTCCTGAGTGCCCAGAAAAAGTCCTAATAAGTTTTGTCCTATTTACGTCCCAAAGTAGCGAATTTCCTTGATTTGTACCTACAGTGATATAGTCTCCGTTTGGAGACCAACAAACACTAGTAACAGAATCGCTAAGCCCTAAGTCGCATAACTTCGTCACTTTTGAAGTTGAGGCATTTCATAGGTAGACGCATGGCCCTAATCCCACACTTAAAGTATTGTGCGATGACCAGTCTAGGAGGTTCAAGTAGAAGTCATCTTGGAGGGAAGGGGCGTCTAAGACTTTATAAGGAGACTTAGGGATACTTCTTTGAGATTTTAATGGGGAGTAAAGTTCTTCGCCTGAAAACCCTAGCTGAATATTTTCTTTCAAGTGTGTCTCTTGGGAGTATTTAAAAATACTGTTAGAATTTAGAATGCTTTTGCTGTTCTGTAAGAGCTGGGTCTTTAGAAGTGCTGAATATCCAGCTTGCTGGTCCTCCGACACATTTCCGACGAAGCTTGGACTTTTGTCTTCTTTGACCATGTCGAAGCTTGTGAGGAGGTTGATAGACGAACGATTTGGTAAAAATCTGTCTGCACATTTTAAGCTGGATTGGCATGATAATTTCGGTGTGCATAGAGGCTTCATTGATAAATTAGGCTGCATTGATTTTTTTTAATGTATAACGTTAAAATTATTGTTGAAAAATGCAAAAAATAAGTTAGCATTCATAGGTATAAAAAATAAATTCACGATAGCAAAGCTAATAAAAAATACTTTAAACTATTAAAATTGAAAAAAAAATTATTTAAGGCTCTTTAATAAGGTTTAATTACTTATTAGGTATATTAGGTATTATACGCAATAAGAAAAAGCCTGCCAAAAATGATATCAAAATCATTGCTAAAAAATTAAAAGGATTGCTCGACTCTACTTCTATTTTAGGGATAACTGGCCGATATTGAAGATCTTTTATCATTCTATCCAGAGAAGATCTGTTGTCATTTCTTTTTTTCCCTCTTTGACTGATAGAAGGCACAGGCTTAAAATTTTGGCTTTTATCAGGAGTGAATTCAACTTCATGTCTTATGTCTCTTGGTTTTTCTTCAGCTGGAACTTTCCTTTGTTTTTCTATTTCATTAGTTTTGACCCAAGTAATCAATTTAGCTCTTAACGCAAAATTATTTAGAGCGATATTGTGGAGCTTATTGTTTTTCTCTTCGATTTCTTTTTTAAGGGTTAGATTTTCCTTTTCAAGTTCGTATTTGTTTTCTCTGCTTCCGAAATCACTTGCTAAAGGTCTTGGTTGATTTTTTAATTGTGTTTCTAAAACCTGAATTTCTCTTTCAAGCCCTGCAACTTGCCTTTCCAGCTCTGTCTTTTCGTTTTCAAGCTTATTATTTTTCTTCAATAAATCGTTATTTTCTTTTTTATAATCTAAGATTTCGTTTCTGAGATTCGCGATGGTGCTGTTGACAGATTTGCTTTGCTCGAACCACTCATCAGATTCTTGGCGAGTGGTTGGTTCATTTTCTTTAATTGGTCTAGGAAGTCATGGATCAGGTGCTTCAATTATTGGAGGGAATTTTGGGGATGTTCGTGCCATTAATATTATTTCAATTATAAACTAACTAACTCCCTTAAAATTTTAATTTGGAAATTTGGGGAAAAACAATTCATTAATGATTTTATATAAAAATTATTTTTGACATAATTCCGTGTATCGAAGAAAAGCTTTAGGATATATTTGAGAATGGACAGCAGAAAGTAAGAGACTGAATAGAATGCTGCTTCTTCAAATGTTGGGATAGCACATATTTGTTGTACAGCTGCTTGCCACAAACTTGGCATTTAACTCTAGTTGCCTTAGCATGAACCTGATTTATATGAAAATTGACGGCATACTTGTGCTTAAAACTTTTCCCACACACTTCACAAATTTCTTTATTTTTACCATCCGAATGTCTTTTTCCTAGATGCTGGTTAAGTCCTTTGGTACCTTTGCATATTTTCAAGCACTTATAGCATTCTATAGGTTCAAAACTGGAATTATCCTCACATTCAGGCGAACTTGTCTGAATGTCACTGTCATCACTATACTGGTCTATTCCCATTTCAAAATTCAAGAAGCCAATCAGCTCTTTATCTAGGTCGAATTCAACGATTATATGATCTCTCATTTCAGATAATGAGAAAAATGTTTTACTGCAGGTTGCGCATTTGAAAAGGATTCTGTTGTCATTCTGAATGTGAGTCGTAAAGTGATTGCTGCAAATCTGGGTGCTTAAACTGATGCTGTTTTGAAGGTCCATATTGTGATAAATTGTTATGGCTAAAATTTTAAGATAAATGACGTTGCTTTAATTTAGAATTTAATTTTTTTAAATAAATAGAATTTATCGAAAATTGAAAGTTTAGCACAAAATTTTGCTTTTTTTAAAATAATTAAAATACAATATAATAGCATAAAAAAGAAAACTTCAAATAAGTGAAAACAGCCAGATTGTAGATGAGCCTGGGAAGAAATAAATATCAGTACTAAGGTTGAGTGTAAAAAGTGCATTTTAAGGTATATCAGCACAGTATTTTCATGTTGTATAGTCAAGAATAATTCAAGCACTGAAATGCATAGGCCATTTCTTATCAATGTTAATTTGAAATTTGGAGAATGTTTAAGGGGAAATATTTCACCTCACATCACAGCATAGGGAAAGAGTATTTAAATTTTTATTATATACTGCTATTGAAAGCATTTTAATGACAATTTAATTTTTGAAGTTTAATAAGGACTCAAAATAATAAGAATTTGAGTTTTATAAGTTTACTAGAACAAAAATACAAGTTTGTATTATAATATTGATTTTATGCAATTACAAGATAATCTCAATAATATCAATTCATTTTTATATCTATCAAATTTAAGCAAAAATATTCTAATTAGAACATTCAGTTGAACTTGGATTCCCTTTACTCTGTGTACACTTATTAAGATGCTTCACTAGCGTGTGTTTATGCATCATCGTTGCATTGCAATTTGGACAAATCAGTCCACGCTTCTCATGAGCAGTCCTATAATGAGTCCTTAAATTAGACCTCGTTGTGTATTTTTTATAACAAAAAGGAGCAGGACATACCCATTCTTCACTCACAACTTTAACTGGCTTGCTTTCTTTTTCTTCTCACCAAGACTCAATCAAAAATTCCTTTACATCTTGACAGTTGTGTCTTTTAAAAGCATCTTCTCTCTGAAATAAAGCCCCACATTTTTCACAAGATAAGGGCTCATGCTTCCTTGAGTTTAAGTGGCGATGCAGGTGTTCTTTTGTGGTAAATTCTTTTTTGCATTCTTCGCAAACATATGGCTTATGGTCTGTATGAACAGTCATATGACGGTCTAAAGCATATTTAGTGGATAACTTTTGGTCACAGACGCTGCAACTGAATAACTTAATTGAAGAATGTGTGAGGATGTGCCTATTTAGCTTGCCTTTGTGTATGAAGGCTCTTTGGCAAATAGGACACTCCATTAAGTATTAATCTTTTTAGAAGAAATGCAAGTTTTAATCTATTTCTATAAGGTCGCCTTCGTTTAGGCTGTCTAAACTCTTAAGCCCACATATTTCTTCGAGGAAATCAGGGTCATTGCAGGCATTTGCAACAAAATCGAAACCTTTTTCTAAGTACTCAGAAACTACAGTAGTTCCACATCCTGTGCATTTGGAAAAAGCAGTTCCATAGTAGTTCATTATTGAAAAGCCGCCAAAATTCCCTCTGAGCTGATGGGGCAAAATTCCAAGAGGAGTTTCAGAATTATGAGGCGCCTTATGCACTTCTGGATGATGCAAAAGAGATATAAGCAGCTCTACTGCAAATGAGCTGGCAAGAAATGAAAGCCCTGGCCTTGTGACTGTACACATTTGGTCAAGTGTTCTATCATTTGTACTGTTTCTTGGGCCTACTACATCATTGCAAAAATAACAACCAAGTCTTTCTGAATTTTCCACAAATGGAGTCCCTCCATGCCTAACGACCACAAAGCTGTCAAATCCCAATCCTACAGAAATGCATGTTTTATCCAGAGCAGTCGTAATTAGCGTTGGCACCCATCTTGACTCTCTTGTGTCGGTTAGCAGAAATACGATATCATGGGATCTTATAAGAGCTTCAAGTTTTTCAAATTGTTCTTTAACAAAAGCTTCCTTTCCAGCTATTGAATGGCCTGGCATAGGAATTTCAAGCTGAATCCCTTCAGCATCAACCCCTGGGTATATTCTTTTCAAGTTATCTGCGGCAGCTATTGCTTTAAGTTTAGCAAGTCTAGCATCTTCGAAATCAAATAAGCTTTGTCTGACAGGATTAGAGTGGGATACTTTTCCTGAGTCTACAAATGTAATTTTTTTAACGCCCCAAGCCATAAGATTTCTAGAGACTTGGCAGCCTAGAGTTCCAGACCCTAATAATAAGCATGATTTCTCAGAAATTATATCAAGGTTCAGCTCAGGGAGCATCCTCCATCTCATAAGCTTTAGGTTCAAATCAACTGCACTCTGAGCTAAAATCAATGGGTCTAGCTGAGGTCTTAAATCAACAACTCTTGGTCCAAGCTTTCCTTTTGCGTTTAATTCCCACCCAAGAAACTTCACTTCATTAATTTCAGGCAAAGTTATTTGATAATACTGAGAATTTCCTAACCCCCCCCCCCCCTCCGTGAGCGAACAAAAAAATTTTGTTCGCTCACGGAGGGGGGTTAATTTTTTTTTAAAAAAAAAAATTTATATATAATTTTTATAAAAAATATTTTTTTTCGAAATTTTAAAAAAATCCTAATTTGCAAAAATTGGGAAGCAAATATTAATTTAATTTGCAAAATTTATGTTTTAAAACGCAATTTGTTTAAAATTAAACAGAATTAGCTCTAGATTTCATTATACTAATTATCACTTATATATCAAAATTTTTTTCCATTAAAATTTTTTCTATTAAAAAAATTTTTGTTCACTCACGGAGGGTGGGTTTTTTGGTCAAAAAATGGCGATTTTTCTAATGGTTTTGTTCGCTCACGGAGGGGGGGGGGGGGAGTAATGAGAAATTGTTTGGGTTGCTTGAAATTAGGTCTTTAATAGCGACAACGTCTATACTTCTTGAGTGAGATTGGGAAATATAAGATAAAATATTTCTTAAAGGGGCGCCAGGAAAATCATGCTTTGGTGCAGGATCTATAAAGCAAATAATGTCTGAGGGCCCATTTAACAGCTCATAGCCTTCATCATTTCGTTTTAATCCTAAAAATGCAGACAGATTTTCACCTCTTTGCAATTTTGCAGCTAAAGCTTCTTTTAGCTTATCTGCATCAAAATGGTCAGCTAAAGGATGTATAGAATATTCAACAGGCTCAAAGTTTATCATTGGGAACGCAATTCTATGTAGATTTTACCAATAATAAAACACATAAGACTTCAAATCTGCGTAAACTATTAAAATAAAGGCATTTTGGTTGCCGTCTGTTAATACATTTTTACCTGCCTCAGCTAATAATTTTTCCCTGTCAGCATTTTTGAATTCTTCAAGAGTGTTGAATATTTTTAAGTAGCCGTTGGCTTTAATACTCCCATGAGGAATGTTACTTTCTATAGCAATCAATGAGTCTGGTACAACATGGAATAAAGGAGGCAGATCTTGATGCTGAGAAGGAGAATAATACCCAAAAATACCAATAAAATCGTCTTGAAGCTTAATTTCTTCTAATTTTTTCTTCGCCAAAACTTGCCAAAACCCAACATCTATTGCACTTGTAAAGTTATAGAATTTCAGCTTGTTTGCCATAATATATTAGTAAAAGTTTTTGACCTTATAAAATAATTCCTTCACAAATTCTGAGTCTTAACAACTTATAGGCAATTTTTTTCCTTATTTATCAGAACTAAACGCGGCATTGTAAAAATGTCAAGCTTGGGTGAGATCCTTGTGAATGCTCAGTCAAACGACACAAACATTCGACAGGCAGCTTTCGAAGCCCTGCAGCAATTAAAGCAAACAAACCCCACACAATATATCTTGAGCCTTTCCGCAGTTCTTGCCTCTCCGACTGATCCAAAACCATCAAGGCAGCTTGCAGGCCTTAATATTAAGAATGTGCTATCAAATCTCAATAACGAAGATTTCTTACTCCTCACTATTGAAATAAAAATCATTGAAAGTTTGGAAAAAATAGCCTATCGTTGATTGATTTTCATATGACTAGCCTCAAACGACTACCTATATTTGATAATGATAAATCTTAGAGAAATAATCTTATAATCGCTTAAACGTAATTTAAATGCGATTTTTAACATATTTGCTAATATATTGTAAACTCTAATTCTTATATAAATAGAGCATAAAATTTTTATATGTGAAAAGTTTTAATAAGAAATTTTATATATAATTTTTATGTAATTTTTTTTCAACCTCAATCCTTGATGGAACACTAGCAGGTCGCTCGACTAAAGGTGAGAAAGTTAGCTGATTTCTGGGATAAGGTTGACCCATCATTGAAAACAACAGTCCGCAATAACGTTCTGGGCACTCTTGCTAGTGATGACAAAGATATCAGGTTGAGTGCTTCACAAGCTGTGGCGGCTGTCGCCAAAATCGATTTGGCCAAAGGAGAATGGACTGAAAGCATCCATATATTGGTTTCGAACGCCATTAATCCGAATGTAAGCTACAAGCTTGCTAGCTTAATGACCTTAGGATATATATGTGAAGGCGTCACTGCTGAAATAATCAAGCCTGAACTTTCTAACCAAATCTTCAGCGCTATTGCAGCAAATATAACAGCCCAAGACACGACCAATGAAATTAAGCTTGTAGCGCTGACTGCTTTGTCTAATTCTTTGCAATTGGCGTCGAATATTATGCAGGTTAAAGAGGAGCGAGAATTTATATTAAACATGCTATATCAAGTAGCGGTATATCAAGATCTAGAGATCAGAAAAGCTTGTTTCCAAATATTCTGTGAGCTGGTGGACCATTATTATGACTTCCTTCCTGCTCATCTATCAGAAATCGGGAACGTGACTTTGCAAGCTATCAAGCAAGACCAAATTGAAATTGCCATACTTGCTATAGAAGTATGGAACGAAATTGGAGATATTGAATGCAGCAGACAGGCAAAGCAAAATCCTGCACTTTCAGTGAGAGGATTCATTATGACTGCAGCTCCAATCCTGATCCCAATTATTCTTGAAAACATCATAAGAGGGGATTTCGAAGAAGACGACTGGGACTTACACAAGTCATGCGGATTGCTTTTATCATTAGTAGCTCAGCTGACCAGCGATAAGTTTATTGATGCTCCCATACAATTTATTAAAGCAAATGTCAACTCTTCAGACTGGAAATGCAAGGCTAGTGCATGCATGGCTCTTGGGATGATTTTGGAAGGACCTTCAGCTATCAAGCTTAATGGATTGATTGTTGAAACTACTCCTCACGTATTGAGGCTGATGGGAGATGAAAGTGTAGCTGTAAGAGAATCTGCAGCTTGGGCACTGTCAAGGATTTGTGACCTCCAATTTAAAGTCGTTACCACTTCTTATTTTGGGCAAATTCTTAACGGAGCTGTTAATTCACTAAAAGACTTGCCTAAGATTGCCTGCAGCTGCTGTTGGACTCTTATTCATCTTATAGAGCATTCTGAAGAAAAGCAACTGTTTAAAGCTGAGATATTTGAGCCTCTTTTCCAAGCACTTCTTGAATCAGCTGGCCGAACTGGAGTTGTTTCTTCTGAAAATAATCTGCAAGTGGCATCATTTTCAACATTATCTACACTATTAGAAAGGTCAGCAAATGACTGCATTCCAATTATTGAAAGAAAACTCCCAGACTTAATTAATATGCTAAAGCATTGCTCATATTCTGAAGCCAACGAAAATATGCAAGCTTTGATTGCATCCAGTATCTCCTCAGCTTTAAGCAGAGTAAGGCCAGAATCTATGACTGAAGAACTCTGCAAAAACTTCCTTGAAGCTCTTATACAATCTTTTACAGTCAGAAACTCTGTCTATGAAGAAGGAATCCAAGCAATCGGAAATTTTGCCCAGCTTTTAGAGTCAAGATTTTCCGGCTATTTGCAGATTCTTGCCCCTTATATTGCTTATGCTTTACAAAAGCAAGATATTGTAGGTCTATGCATGTCCGGAACAATGGTTATTGGTGACATTGCTAGAGCTTTAGGTGAAAACTCCAAGCCTCTTATCAATGATTTAGTCTTACCACTTGTGGGGAATTTGCAAAACGATCAAGCTTCTTCTTCAGTAAAGTTGAGAAGTATAGAATCCCTTGCTGATATAGCATCTAACTCCAAAGAAGCGTTTGTCCCTTATGTCCCTCAAGTTTTAGCTTTAATTGAAGCTGCTGCAAATGCAAGCTTGACCATCATAAAAGAAGAAAATGACCCAGACATGTACGAGTACCTTGCAAGCATGAGAGACGCACTTTTACAGTTCTATGAAGGCTTTATTCAAGGACTTATAGCGGGAGGTCAGCTTGAAGTGTTGATTCCTTATACCCCTAATATTGTCAGGTATTCTTTGATTGTGACTCAAGATTCATTTAAACCGAATCCTGTAAGATTAATTTAGAGCATGCATAGAACGGCGATTGGGATTATTGGAGATATTGCTGGAGCTTATAAAGATAGGGCAAGAGATTTCGTGAAAATACCTGAAGTTGTGAATTATGTCCAGAGATTCAAACAGTCCAGCAATTCTAGGGTAAGAGAAATTTCACTCTGGGCATTAAACTTGATTAACTCTATTTAGTAAAGCCAATTTAATTAGGTAATTATTTCTCCAGAATTCAGATGAAAATATAAATATCGATTCATTTCTGATTATGGTTGAATTTAAGATTTAATGATGACGTTTTTATTATGTCTAATATACTATTTACGTTTTCAGATAATGCTTAATTTTCTCAATGCTTAAAAATCTAGAATTTCTGTTTCTACTTCAAAATGAGGAAAACTTCTTGTAGTAAAATATGGTAAGGCAGATCTTTGGAGTGCTGCTTTTGCTATTTATGATAATTTCTAATGTGCATTCTTATGTAGACAGCTCACAATATGCTTCAAATGAAGAAAATGATATAAGTCTCTCTTCATATAGAAATGATGATATGGCTTTCAAAACTCACATCAGAAAACATTCGTCAGGCAGTATGGAAGAAACAGCTGAAGATGATTCTGGGGATATTTTTATTGCAGATGGCACATGTGGAGAAGGATGCAGCCAATGTTCTTCTCCCACGAATTGCACTCTTTGTGACGACCCAGGAGCTCAAATTAACAACCTAAATGGAACATGCAGCTGCATCGACAAAAATGCAACATTAACTGACTCTTCATGTGTTTGCACTCACGGAGACACTTGCACCTGCAACCCATTCTATTTTTTCAACAGCACAACTGGACTTTGTGATCCTTGCTCTCTTACTTGTTCAAAATGCAGCGAAAAAGCTGTTTGCGATGAGTGTGCAAATCCAAAGGAAATGAAAAATAATGGCAACGGGGTGTGCTCTTGCTCCGATCCAAACTCTTATTTTGATCACTCAGAGCTTACTTGTCCGTGCAGTCCCGGGTTTTACAATAACACTGACGGCGTTTGCACTGCCTGTGGACTCGCGTGCAAAGCTTGCTCTGAAAAAGAATGCACTGAATGCTATGATCCAGCTATGGAGCCTTCTGGGATTAATTGTACATGCACAGACCCAAATGCTGAAATTGACATAAAAACTGAAAAATGTGTATGCAAAGAAGGATATTTCGAATATATAAAAAACGTTTGCGCAGCATGTGATAAGGGTTGCAAAAATTGTACTGGATATGATGAATGCACAGAATGCTACCAAAGCGATGATACTATGATTCTTGTTGAAGGGATTTGTGGGTGCATTGATGAAAATGCATATATTGATCCAGCAATACAAAAATGTGTATGTTTTCCAACATATTACAATAATACTGAGAATGGGATATGTGAGCTCTGTGGAGTAGGCTGCAATACATGCACAAGCGATACTGCTTGTTTGCTGTGTGTAAACTCAACAAGCCAAGATCTTAGCAAAGACACAGGGGGTTGCTATTGTAAGGATCTTACACAATGGATTGACAGATTTGATGATGAGCAGTGCCAAGCATGCCCTCCTGGACAGTATTCTAATGGAGACGGGCTGTCTTGCTCATTATGCAGCTTAGGTTGTGAAGCTTGCTCCACATTTGAGGTCTGCGATACTTGCTTTGACCAGCAAAACCAAACAAATATAAATGGGAAATGTTCTTGTTTAGATCCAAATGCATATTTTGATAATTTGGTAGATATATGTGCTTGCAATGATGGGTTTTATAACAATGACGGAAAATGCGAACCATGCTCAATTGGATGTGTTACTTGCAAAAGTCCAACCTCATGCTCCGAATGCTGGGATATTGATAACAGCTCCATGCCAAATTATTTGTACTTTTGATAGTGTACATTTTATCGAAGTGCATCTGATCAAAAATATACATTAAATGGCGACACGTGCCAACCTGCCCTAAGGGCTGCAGTCCAGATCTTATGGCTTCGGCGAGCTGGTATGGACTCCGAGTTGAGAATCAAGTGCAGACTCAAGACATGTGTATCCGGGTAGGCTTTGGCTACTTTCCTGTAGTTGGAAATCGAGTTGCTCAACAGCGTCATTTGTTTCCGAGAGCCCATTGGCATTCTTCTACTGAGAAACTGAGGTTTTCAGGCCACAGGGGAGTGATCTTTTTCCTGCAGCTGTCAAATCGATTCACTTCTGCACTCGACAGACTTTAAGGATCCTTGGAATCAAGCTACTCCAATCACCTATAGCAGGGTTGAAGAAATTCATAAGCATTCAAGACTGAAGCCGCAAGGAGGAGACAAAAGGTACTGTAAGCGGCACCCGTGTTCGGGGATAGACCCTCTGGGCCGGAGTCGAGAAGCGGTAGAGCCTCCTGTACGGAAGGTCTTTGGTGACTGCGTAAATAATCGGCTTGAATTTAAATAACCTAGCCTAACCTATAATCTGTTCAAAAAATTTTTAGGTAGTGTAGAATTTGTTGAAAATTAACTTTATTTTTCACTCCCCCCCTTTAAATTGGAACAAAAAATTTTGTTCCAAATTTAAAGGGAGGTTGAGAAATTTTTTTAAAAAATAAAATCAATATAAAATGTTTTATAAAAATTTCAAAAGTTTATCGAATTAGATTAATAAATTTGTTTAATAATATGCTATTTACTCTTTATCCTTAAAAAAAAAGCAAGATATAACTATAATTTCATTATTAGTTAATACTCCGCTATTAATCGGTATCAAAACTATTTACGCAAAAATTATTGTTTTTATTGATAAAACAAAAAAATTAAAAAAAATTTTAGAAATTTATAAAGTGCTAATTTTGTTTAAATAAGATGCTATATACTCTATTCTTTAAAATTAAGCAAAAAATAAGTAAATTGTCAATTTTTGTAAAGAATTCTCATTGAATTTATATCAAAATTATTTGAATAAAAAATATAAATTTTTTATCGAAAAAAAATAAAATTTTTTTTGAAAATATTTTAAAAAAAAAAATATAAATTGTTTTAAAAGTTTAGCAATTAAGGATATAAATTTATTTAAATAAGATGCTCTTTATACTCTCTTCTTTAAACTAGAGCAAGATATAATTAATTTTTTTATTTTAGTTAAGAAGAAACATTTAACTTTTATCAAAACTTTTTACATAAAAATTCTGATTTTTATACATAAAATTTTTTATTATAAAATTTAATTTGTTCCAATTTAAAGGGGGGTTAATTTACCAAAAAAGTGGATTTTACCTATATTTTGTTCCAATTTAAAGGGGGGGAGTCAGTAAAATCTCACTATCAAAAAATGCTAACCAATTTTCGTCTAACGTACTTCGGTGAAATGTATAAAATCATTGAAGCTTCATCCATTGATAACATGCTAAACAAAAATGATGGAACTTGTTTTTGTAAGACCTCAACTGATTACCCAGACCCAGACACTCATACTTGTACAGAATGCCCTGATGGACATTTTTCTAGAAACGATGGGTCTACCTGTGGAGTTTGTGGAGTTGGCTGTCAAAACTGCACCAGCACAACTGAATGCACTGGCTGCTATGACACAAACATGAACAATGTTAATGGAGTATGCATCTGCCAAGATTTAAATGCATATATTGACACAAATACAAACCAATGCACTTGCAACCCTGGATATTATGTCAATCAAGACAATGGGGTCTGCATAGCATGCGGCTCTGGGTGTGCTCAATGCAATGATGATGGTTCTTGTAATACTTGTTTCGACCCAACTCATATGGCTGCTCAAGCAAATGGAACTTGTGTCTGCAAAGATGGAGATGCTTATTTTAATGACCAAAAAAATGTATGCGAGTGCATTCCAGGGTATTATACGTCACAAACTGGCTGCACTCCATGTGTTAGCGGTTGTGCAATTTGCAGCTCTCAAACCCAATGCACACAATGCTTTGATCAAGATAGAATGAAAATAGATGGAACTGGAGGATGTGAATGCACAGATCAAAATGCCCAATATAATGTTGGGAAAGAAAAATGTATATGCGTTAGTGGGATGTTTTATAGTGGGAATGAATGCACGAATTGTGAAGCTGTATGTGCGTCCTGCAGTGATTCAAATTCTTGTATATAGCGCTTCCCGAGGATGGCGCCATTCCGCGCCATCCTCGGGAAAGCGCTATAAATAAAATGGCATTCGGTTCAAGTGAAATTAGCTCCGCTAATTTTCTCTCCCTCAAGCTATTTTATTTATGGGTTAGGTTTTCTTCTAAGAACTTCTGTACAGCAATAGCAGTTTAACTCGGGCAGATAAGCCGTGGCACTGCTCCAAGTACATCAAGAGGCTCGAAGTTTTACCTCTCAGCACACCCGAAGAAGTTGACTCATAGGCAGAACACGCGCAGGAACTGAGTTAAGGAACGCAAGGCAATCCAACCCTTCGAAGCCGGAACGTTGTATTTGCCCATGCCCTGGCGCAACAAAGTGGATCGATCCAGAGATCCATGGCCTGACATGTGGGCAAATAATGGCAGCTCTGGAAACGACTACCCCGTAGTGAATGTTAAACGTGATAGATAATATAAGTATAAGATTCAAATTCTTGTTTAACTTGTCAAGATTCATCAAATATGAATTTAAGTGATGGCCAATGCACTTGCAAGGATTCTCATGCTCATTTTGATGCTACAGCTAAAAAGTGCTTATGTGGAACTGGGTTTTATGAAAGCGATACAGGAAAGTGTTTATCTTGTGATTCTACATGTGCTAGTTGCAATGTGGCTCCATGCCAAATGACAGTGTATTTTTGGTTAACGAAATATATTTGTTCGAAAATTTTTAAATAGTGTATTGTTTGGTCAAAAATTTAATTTTTTTCAGTCAAATGCCTCACTAACAAAAATTTTAACACTTTCGAATAAATGTACTTCGGTGAAATGCACACTATCAAAACTGCATGATCATTGGAAGCCACCCTTGCAATGCTGTAAATAGTTGCCAAACATGTATTAATATACTATTTTTCATTAATTAAAGATCACTAAGAATCCATGTCAAAAATCTCAGCATTATTCTACTAATAAAAATAGCTCTTCAATTTATTGATTTACACAAATATTTAGCTGGCAAAATATAGTGCAATTATGAAAAATAATGGAGATGGGACATGCTCATGCGATCATAAATATAAATGGGATGAAAAGAAAAATTCTTGTGTTAAGAAATCAAGTGGATCTTCATCGAGCGACTCAGGAAGTAGTTTGTGGTGGGTCTGGTTTCTGCTCTCACTATTTTTAGTTGGAGGAGCAGTTGGAGGATATTATGGGTATAAATATTATAAGCGAAGAGCATGGATTAGACGCCAAAGAAGTGAAGGACAGCTATCAAGTGAATTGGATGAGAGACGCTTAAATTAAGATAAATATTTAAGGAAATGATAATAATTTTTTTCCATTTATATAAAAATATTAATTCTAATAAAGGCAAATAAATATATAAAAGCGTTAAATAAGAGCAGACCTATTCAAAATTATGCTTCCTAATAAAATTGATCTGACTCCCCCTCTTTAAATTTGAATAGTTAATTATTTTATTTTTAAACAAATTAGCCAAATTTGGATTTCGATCTTGAAAGTAGAATATTACTTAAACAAATTCGAAAATTTAAATCAACAATTTTTTTTCTCTAATTTAAGGAGGGAGTGAGCATAATTTAAAATTAACTGAAATGGAGTCTAATATTTTAAATTCACTATATTTCATAGACTTTTTTGCTAATTAATTTAAACTAACCATTCATTATTCAATAGCAAAATTTAATATATTCTCAAACAAAATAAAATAACAATTATGACCTCATCTATTTCAGATTTATCTAAGAAATGAAAACCGATCCGTCTTCGGAACCTCAATGAAGAAAGAGCTCTTATGAAAAAATTAGGAAAAAACCAAGAGTCAAGTGCTAGTGACTCTGCTATTTTTTCAGATGAAGCAGTCTCAAATCTTGCGAACTCTTTTATAAGCAATGAAAGCTTCATTAAATGCAAACTTCAGTCGCCAATTTATAAACGAAGAAGTGAGGCAAGTCTAGAATATAGCGGATTGATCATGGAGCTAGCATCAGCCGCAAATAAGTCATTATCCACAGTTCTAAAGAGAGAAAAAGAAGTTCATGCAGAGAATAAACTGTCAACTTCTGGCTCAGAAACAAGTTTGGTCATAAAAGAGTCTTCAATGAAAATCGCAAAGAAATCCGTAAATATCACTAAGCATGCTTCTATGTATAATATCCCTCAAAAATCACCCGATGTTTCCCCAATACGCCCTCTTCCAGAAACAAATGCAAAGTTATCTCACACAGAAAAAAAGGAAGTCCAGAAACCTTCTATTGAAAAAATTAAAATTAGCAAGCCTAATCTTATGAAATCCGAGAAGTTTGATATCATTTTTGCTGAAAAAATTTTGCCAGTGTTGCTTAAAAGTGCCAAAATAAGTCATAAAGAAAAAAATTCTGAAACCGTTGAAGCTAAAGGAACAAATAATGAAAAAGGTAAAACAAGTGAGATGATTCGCAGGTCTAAATATACAAGAAAGAAAAAATAATTCAACTTAATTAAATATGAATTTTTATTTGAAACTTGCTTATATTCTTTGATATTATTGCATTATTTTAATTTCCAATAATTTTATAAAATTTTCTGTATAATCATATAACAAATCAGTATATAACTTTTACTATTGCGATGAAGTCTAAAAGACATGCCAAATACTGCAATATTAATATGAATTGCCTAGATAATATCCATTTTTGTTTATCAAATTGTTTGTGAAATGCATTTTGATTGCAGCTTTACTATTTATAGAGTCATAAAATCGAAGTCTAACTCAAGATAAAGCGATAAAATTTTAATACTTGCTATTTCTTACTAGAGCAATACATATAACAATTAATTTCTTTTTTGCTATACCAATATAATGGGAATCATCTATTTCTCTATATTTACTGATATCAATCAAAAATTTTAGATTTTTGTTGACAATTTATCCTTAACCATTTTATTGAAATTGCATTGATAATGGAGATTGTGAAAATGAAAATGGAAACAAAATTATGTCAGGAGATAAGAAAAGATTGACATACACAACAATTAGACCATCATTCTTCGATATTACTGAGCCGACAGCGCCTGTTCATAAATGCGAAATGAAAGGCTTTTATAACATGATGGTTTTACTTAGCAGCTATTATATTCTAATTTCATGCTACGTAAAATTCATGTCAGAAGGCTCATTTTTCGAAGAAACTTTCTTTGACAACATGATAACTGATGGAAAATTCGTTATCTTGATCTGGCCAAGTGTATTTCTTTATTCTTGGCTGGCATTTTTCCACCAGCTCCTTATACTAGCAGGTCTTCCAAAAGCTATTTCCTTCATAGTTCAACACTCATCTCAAAGCTTAATGTTTTTGGTTTCAACTTACCTTGTTTTAACCCGAGACTGGGGCCTGCCTCAAACTTTATTCGTAACAGGACTTTGCTTTACGCATTTCATGAAGATGCACTCATATACCCAAGTAAACAGAGACCTCAGAGAAGACTGGCTTAAGAACCCAAAAGACTCAGCCTATCCCAAGAATATTACAGCATATGACTACTTAATCTATTTAGTAAGACCAGTTTTAGTGTACCAGACCTCTTACCCATCCATTCCCAAATTCCGAATAAGTTACTTTCTAAAGAAGCTCACCTTGTTTTCTGTTCAGATCGTCAGTTTGTATATATGTGTATCAGACCATATTCTTCCAATTGTCAAAGAGAGGAACCCATTCTTCACGTCCTGGATGAAACTTGTGATTCCATGTCTCGCCTCATACTGACTCTTGTTTTTCATTATTTTTGAACAAATTTTGAACTTATTTGCAGAGCTTTCTTTATTTGGAGATAGAGAATTTTACCAGGATTGGTGGAACTCGAATACTTGGGCTGATTTTTCAAGGAAGTGAAATAGACCTGTCCATCTTTTCTTATACAAGCATGTTTATCTTGAAGCTAAGGAAAGATGAAAATTTACTGAGAAGAACTCGACGTACTTTACCTACTTTTTCTCAGCACTGTGCCATGAAATGGTGGTAGCGTTGGTTTGTAAAACAATAAGACCTTATTTGTCAATTCTTATGATATAATTAAAATATGGCGTCTTTGTCTGGGCATGGCCTCCCGGCCATGCAGCCTCGACTCATATTTTAATTATATCCGGCAAGGTTTTGCCATTCTAGAAGTGAGCAGCAATGCTAGGTATACTAATTGACCAAGAATAGCCCACTAAGGAGCCATTCTTGGTCTGCCAGAAAAAATTTTGACAAAAGATCCTAATCTGCCATTACCACTGAGTTTTGGTGTTTCCAAATTTTTTGGGCAAGCCAAATGCAATAAAAAAAATTGTTCTTTTGCAATGATGCATTTGGCTTGTCAAAAAAAAATTTGGCAACATCAAAACTCAGTGGTAATGGCAGAAAAGATCCTAATCTGCCATTACCACTGAGTTTTGGTGTTTCCAAATTTTTTTGACAAGCCAAATGCATCATCGCAAAAGAACATTTTTTTTTATTGCATTTGGCTTGCCCAAAAAATTTGGAAACACCAAAACTCAGTGGTAATGGCAGATTAGGATCTTTTTGTCAAATTTTTTCTGGCAGACCAAGAATGGCTCCATAGTGGGCTATTCTTGGTCAATTAGTATAAGCAATTCTGGTTGTGTTCAGAGCCTAGCCCAAGCTTTTCTCCTGGGATGGATTTTACCTCGTAGGTAAAGGAGGCAAGTGGTTGGAAATGGGAAGCCCAGCAGAGTCCACATGACCCATCGGGCAACTCTCTAGCGTGAAACCGGGCGTTACGTCCCGGGCTACTTTGTTTTTCCTTTTGCCGAGAGCCTACCAGAAAATCCATGTTTTGGATTTTCGGAATGGCAACTACGTCAAGGCACGGCCAGTAACTCACTCATGAGTCGTCGAAGTCGGTAACACCCCTCCAAGCCTGCCCTGGTGGATACAAAGCAGGTTGGACCGGCGGCCTGTGGGCTCGACAGGTGGAAGAGAAGGTGATAGGTCCGGTTCTTGCTGACCTCCGTGGTGGACGTTAAGCGTAATAATTCTAATGTAATGTCAATTCTTATGATGGCGCAGATTCCTTTGGTGCTGATTGCCAAAATCGGTGGAAGAGAGTTTGGACTTAACTTGTTTTGGACTGGGATTATTGGAGGACCTTCCCTGCTGTGCACACTATATTCAATCTCCTCAATTTATTAGAAAGATAAAATAATTATTTGATTAGCTGAAATGATAAGATGATTTTTCATATGATAAGAAATTTTTATTAGACTAGTTTTGAATACTTAAAACGCTGATTAAAGCAGCATAATATAAATAAAAGTAATTATCAATAATGTATCAATTAAATGCTTATTCATGTGGGTCTGGAAGTTCAGACCTTCTCTTTACAGGAGACAACCTAGATTATAAGGACTTCCAAATTGCAAGGATACCATGAAACTTAAAAGTTATTAAATTATCTGGAGTTGTTGGGATAGGAATTGACAATGAAGAACGAGCTTGATTTTGATCAGAAGGACTAAAGATAATGCTTAAGCCAAATGTGACTAAAATTGCCTGTGGATGGACACACGTTTTGTTTATAAGTGAAGAAAAGGCTTATTCATATGGTCAGGGAGCATTTGGCCAGTTAGGTCTTGGCAATGTAAAGAGATGCGCTAATCCTGAAAATTTGCAAATAAATGGATGCATAAATGTGGGCTGTGGATTCAGAACGTCATTCGTAATAACTAGAGAAGGGACTTTTTGCTTTGGAGAAAATAGAGGATACCAGCTAGGACTGCCTATTAAATCAAATATAAAAGAGCCAACTTTAAACCCACTGATAGAAATACCTGGAATAATTGAAGGAGGGAATAAGCATACTGCTTCATTAAACAAAGGCAGACTATTTGTTTGAGGCCAAAATAACTACGGGCAATTGGGAATTCTAGCAATGGAGTCTCAAGTCCCAACTCAAGTCAATTTTCATAAAGAAATTTCTCAAATTGGCTGTGGATGATATCACACAGCATTTTCAACAGTTGACAAAGAATTGTATATTACTGGAAGAGGAGACTTAGGTCAACAAGGTAATGGAGAAACTTCCAATAGCAATGAATTCAAGCTTATCATGAGTGACGTTGATGGTTTCTCGTGTGGAAGTGAACACAATCTAGCCATTTCAAATGGAAGGGTTTTCAGCTGGGGCTGAAATGAGCACGGAAATTTAGGTATTGGGACACAAGAAAATCAAGTCGTACCATTGCAAGTTTCTATTGAGAATCCAATACGGGTTATATGTGGAGGTGCAATTAGTTACATTATTAGTTCTTAAAATTGCATATTTACAGTAGCATACACCCTGAATTGCATGTTCCTGCCCTTTCTTCAGTAAACATAATTTTTCGATTTAATTTTTGGACTTCGTCTTCTAGCTTTCCCAAAATCCTATATCTGTATCCAGGCTTCTCTATCCCAATAATAGTTTCTAGCAGCTCATCAGTTATAGGGTAATTTGAGTACATATGGGCAATCAGCATCTCCATATCATCATACCCGTTTTTCTCAAATGAAGAATATAAATCTCCAAGCTTCAAATTGTCAAGCCAATCCAGCAGCTTTGTATTTATTTGTCTGAGTTGCGGAATTGAATAAGCACGCCTAATTTCTTTTCTTTTAGAATAAGCTTCTGTAAAAGATGTTTCCTCATGCAGAAATCGTGGTCGAATTCCAGCTTTCATTTCTAATTTCATAAGAATTCTGGCTCTATGCCCATGTTTTTTAATGCCAATTCTTGTTAAAACATCATGACTTATTGGAAGAGGTGTTCTCATCTGCTCAACTAAGCTATCAAGGTCATCAAATCCTGATCTTTCGAATAAAATAAAATATTCTCTCAATCTGATCCTTTCAAGAAATCTAAATAATGATGTTGATTTTACCTTACTCCACAGTCTGGCCGAGAGCTATGCTTTTAAATATTATATTAAAATAATTCAAATTTGAAAAGAAAAATCTAATTGGAATTATAAGTATTCAAGATGTGAAAAATTAGATTGCAGCCATTAGTTATGTACAAAAATATTTATATTCATATAAAAAAGTTTTTTGATGGCTAATTATCATAAATAGGATTTTTCCAATACATTTTGCTCTCTTTTAAAGTAGAAAAGTTAGGGAACAAATCAATCTTTTCGCAATATTCTGAATTATCAACTAATGATAAGGTGGAAACTGTCGTATGGGATTTATAACGGTGGTGAGTCTTTTCTACAAATGAGTTCTGTGGAGACGCATGCTCAGAAGCACAGATGCTATTTCTCTTTTGCCTTATAGCTGTAGGGACTATTAACGAAACTGGATAATCATTAATCCTAGGTGTGGCATAAATGGCTGATAAGTTGCTTTTATCTTCTTCTGCAGGGCTAACTTCGGTAATATTAAAGAGACCCACTCCATCTTCATATGTGTAATCAGCTGCATAATCATTTAATATCTTTATGACAGTTTTGTCTTTCGCTAATTCTATAGGACTAAATCCTGATTTATCCCTTATTTTCAAGCTTGCCCCAAAGCCAAGCAGTAAACTAATACAATCAATTTGTGAATTTTCAGATGCAATATGCAAAGGTGATTGACCGGTAATTGGATTAATTTCGTTAGGATTGGCTCCTTTATTTAAGAGCATTTGGACGATTTTATAGTCCCCTCTAAAAGTGGCTTGGTGCAATGGAGTTTCTCCTTCAAACGTTTTTAAGTTAGGGTTTGCATTGGAATCTAACAGCAACTTTAATAATGCGAATTCTGAATTATCTGCAGCATTATGAAGTGGGGTTTCTCCTAAATTATTAGCGATGTTCGGATCTGCTCCTTGCTTGAGAAGATAAGCAGTAGCTTCGACAGATCCACATAAAACTGCATGAGATAAAGGGGTGAGCCCAAGTTTCGTGTCTTTAAAATTCAATAATGAATTGCTATATTTATTCATTTATTTATAATTTTTTTGCGTTTAAATGAATATATCATATATTTAGTGGGCAAAGCATATTTTTGAGGATTGATTCAATTTTGTGTATGTCTTGCTTCTGGGATGCATGGCAGAGATTATCAAACATTATATCTTGATCATTAAGATCTTGATTTTCTTTATTCATTTTATGTTTAAGTATACCTATTTTAAAATATTGCTCCTAAAGAAATTAACGAATAAGATGCCTGGTATCAAAAGAAATAAAAATGAGAAAGTGAATATATTTGGATAATAATAAATGGCTACATGCAGAAATTATTGTCTTCGACAACCCTTCCTCCGCTGCGATATTTTTTATTATAGGGTTCAAGACCTTTATCTACAATGCCAATAAGAAATTAACGCATTCGGTGGCCCAAGGAAAAAACAAATTATTTCTACTGCCTGAAACGCCCGAGGAGGGTAAACCTTAGATGGAACACGTGTTGTAGTCAGGCCCGGGCTAGGTCAAACGTGCCAGTAAAAACTTTCTGGCCCTCCTTGGTGTGGTTTTCTGGAATGTTTGCTGAGACAATATAGCTGATGGTATCGCCATTCAGGAATTAAAAGATTGGGCCTCTGTCAAAAGTATATGCTGAAAAAAGGAAAACGTAAAATCTGATTTAATAAATAAGAATATATAAAATTGAATTTTAACGAAAATTAAGTAACTCATTAGATAACTCACATACATTAATACTCATAGAAAGTATCAATGGAAGACTCTTCTTCTCCTTTGCTATTTGTGTATCCTAGGATACTATTTGATATCCCTAATTTAGCCAGCAGTCCTTCTTGTGGCTTTTTTATGCTTACTTCAGCTTTTTTCTGAATAGGAGGCTTTTCAGCTAAAACTGGTCTTTCAATATTATTTACTTTTTCAGGGATATTTTGCTGGTTTTGGTCTTGCTCCAGCATTTTGATTTTCCCATTGATTAAGTTAAGCTTTGCATCAGTTTGCTCCATACACGAGCTGAGCCTACTTTCCAATTTAACGACTTTATTTTCTAACTCCTTCATAATCATAAATAACTGTTTCATACCCATGTTTGAATCTGCATCATTATATTGTTTTGTTGTATACTCCAAGCATTGATCTTGGATATGAGCAGCTGAGCTACTTCCAGCTTTCCCTTTATAGAAAATATTTGACTCTTCAGCCGGATAAGTTTGCTTCCTCTCTGGAGTATCATATCTGAATACAGACTGCATTGTCTGCTTTGAGGAATCTTTCAATATGTTCCCAAAGTCATTAAGCATTTCTTCTGGCTGCTTATAAATCTGGCTAGGTGCTTTAGGTAGAGGTCTTGATGAATTCTGTGTTTTCACCTCTTCCTCTACTTTTTTTGGCGTCCTAATTGGTGATTTCGCTGTTTTCCTTTCGTCAAGCTGCTTAAATCTCAATAACTCTAGATGCTTTTCTTTAATAAGCCCTATCACATCTAAGCACATCAAAATTTTCCTCTCTGCATATCCTATTGCTAAAAACTGGCCTATAGTGAGCACAGGCCTATAATTAAACATCTGTCTCAATATCTTAAAAACAGTTTCCATGAAGCTATAGTCATTTTTCATATACAAGTCAAAACCTTGCTCTGTAAAATATTCAGATACCAATCTTGAGTACCCCAAAAGGCAAAAGTGAATTATGGGAAGAGAAGTAGAAGGATGGCCCTCAGTGAGTCCTTTCAAATTAATAGGTTCTGAGTACCTGATTGCTTTTAGTTCATTCCTAAGCTTTTCTCTGTTATTACTTAAATCGCCTACAGACATTTATAAATTTCAAAGAACTATAAGAATTATGAGCAGCAGTTCTGGTTTATTGTATTCCTATTTTCTGTTGTCAAACTAACCTTTGGAGCAGGCTTAGAAACGAGAGGAGCTCCAAACGCTCTTCTTTGCTTCATCAATTCTCTAGCCATCGTCATAAAAGCTAAATCGACTTGGTACGCATTCTTTGCACTTGTTTCAATGTATGGTATTCCATATCTCTTGGCTTTGTCTTCAGCTTCTTCTATACTAACTTGAGAATCTCTCTCCATATCTGATTTGTTTCCGACAAGCATCTTGATAGCGTTTTCATTTGCGTGACGATTGACTTCAGCCATCCACCCATCTGTGCTTTGAAAAGAATTATGGTCTGTTTTGTCAAAAACTACCATAACTCCGTCAGCGCCTCTATAATAGGCAGTTGTGATTGTGCGAAATCGCTCTTGCCCTGCTGTATCCCACTACCTAGCACTTACAATCTGTAATTTAACTGAGGTCTCTTCTAAGGCTAAAGTTCTGAATCTGAAATCGACACCAATTGTTGTGATATAGCTCTCTGTGAAAGAGTCATCTGCAAAACGAATCAATAAGCATGATTTCCCAACCCCAGAATCACCAATAATTACTAATTTGAAAAGATAGTCGCTAATTAAAACTTACTATTCCCTTCTCCCTCCCATTTAATTACAATAATATAACAAAATTGTAAAATCTTGTAAAACGATTTGTATTATTTAGTTTCTTTACCTATGGATTAGCTTTTAGCATATTCTTTGCGAGCAGATTGATCTATTTCTTTCCATTCTTTGGCTTTAACAGGGTTCTGAGTACCTGAATCCTTTTAGTTCTTATTCCCTTACTCAGTTTTTAAGGTGTCTAGTGCCCCTCCCCACGTAAAATAGGGACTAAGCCAACTTGTGACGTCACCGAGCCATCTTGGAATCACGGTGGTCAGCCCACCTGCCAAACCTTCTATGAAGCTCTCAGCCTTCAGTTCGCCGCACATCTCATCCGGCGCGTTGCAGTCGCTTTCCCTGACTTCGCTCCTGCTCGTGCTCCGCCTAAGGGTAATCTTCCCTTAGGAATGTGCTGAGGGGTAAAAACCCTGAGCCTTAAATGCACTGAGCAGTTTCTTTGGTTATCTCAAAAGTCAAGCTGCTATTGCTGTTCAGAAGTTCTCGAGAGAAAAACTCAACCCCATAAATAAAATTCCATGAGGGAGAGAAAATTAGCAGAGCTAATTTCTCTCGAACCGAATTCCATTTTATTTAGATTGCTTTTAGTTCATTCCTAAGCTTTTCCTGTTATTACTTAAATCGCCTACAGGCATTTATAAATTTCAAAGAACTATAAGAATTATGAGCAGCAGTTCTTGTTTATTACATTTCTATCTCTGTTGTCAAACTAACCTTTGGAACTGGCTGAGAAACGAGATTGGTTCCAAACGCTTTTTTTTGCTTTATTAATTCTCTAGCGATCGTCTCGAAAGCTACATCGACAAATAATGAGCTCCTTGCACTTGTTTCAATGTATGGGATGCCGTATCTCATGGCTTTCTCTTCAGCTTCTTCTCTAGTAATTTGATCATCGTGCCGATCTGATTTATTTCCGACCAGCATCTTGATGGCGCTTTTATTTGCGTGGCGATTCAATTCATCCATCCACCTATCAGTGTGAAGAAAGGAATCACGGTCTGTTTTGTCAAAAACTATCATGCACCCATCAGCGTCTCAATAATAGGCAGTTAGATATTGCGAAATCGCTCTTGCCCTGGTGTGTCCCACTACCTAGCACTTACAATCTCTAATTTAACTGACTCTCCCAATCTTTAAATCGCAATAAATAATTTTGTTCTAATTTAAAGGATAGATAGTAAAGAAAATTTTTTTTAAAAAGAAATCATAATAAAACTTTTTATGAAAAAAAAATATTTCAAAAATTTATCGAAATAGATTAATAATTTTGTTTAATAAAATGCTATTTTAACTCTATATCCTATAAAACAAAGCAAGATATAACTAAACTTTTATTATTATTATTTAATACGACACGATTAATTGGTATCAAAACTATTCACACAAAAATTATTATTTTATTAATAAAAAAACATTAAAAAATTTATCGATCAAAGTGCTAATTTTGTTTAAATAAAATGATATTTTATACTCTATTGTTGAATTAAAGCAAGAAATAAGTAAATATTTAATTTTTTGTAAAGAATTCGCATTAAATTTATATCAAAATTATTTAAATAAAATATTATGTTTATCTAAAAAATTTTAGCAATTAAGGATAATAAATTTATTTGAATAAGATGCTCTATATATTCTCTTCTTTAAACAAGAACAAGATATAACTAAATTTTTAATTTTAGTTAAGAAAAAACATTTAACTTATATCAAAACTTTTGACATAAAAATTATGATTTTTATCAATAAAATTTTTTATTATAAAAATAAATTTTGTTCCATATTAAAGGGACATGAATTTAACAAAAAAATGGAAATTTTACCTATATTATGTTCTAATTTAAAGGGGGAATGAGGTCTCTCCTAAGTCTAAAGTTTTGAATCTGAAATCGACACGAATTGTTGTGAGGTAGCTCTCTCTGAAAGAATCATCTGCAAAACGAAACAATAAGCATGATTTTCCAACCCTAGAGTCACCAATAATTACTAATTTGAAAAGGTATTCGCTAATTAAAACTTACTATTCCCTTCCCTCTTCCATTTAATTATATAAAAATACTGAATAATTTAAAAAAATTTTAAAATCTTGTAAACGATTTGTATTATTTAGCTTCTATGCCTGTGGCTAAGCTTTTAATATATTCTTTTCGAGTAGATTGATCATTTCTTTTCATTATTTGGCTTTAATAGTAATGCACCTTAAACAGCTTTTTTTCAAGCTGATCTTGATGACTTTAATAAGGTACTCTTTCCCGACTTCTTGGCCATTTACATCTTAAATCATATTTTCATCAGGCGCATATAACACAACCATTTTATATTTCATCAAAATCACATCTGTTCGCCATTTTGTTATCGGATCTTCTTTTTCACCTTCGAGCTCTTTTTTAGGCTTTTTGTAATTCTCCTAAGCATTTAAAGAAATCATTTTTAAAATCTCTCCTTGGTCTTCTTTTATCCCATTTTTCATATTGATACGCAACAGCTTGCAAGTTTTCTTCAGTTGGACTTTCATTGAGTGCATTTAAAATAGCATGGACCCCCAATTATATGCAATCTGAGACTCTGTCATCTTAGAAGAATACCATTCGGAGAATGAGAAATTTGATTTAATAAGTAAGAATATATAAAATTGGTTTTAATGAAAATTAAGTTACTCATTAGATAGCTCACATGCATTAATGCTCATAGGAAGTATCAATGGAAGACTCTTCTTCTCCTTTGCTATTTTGTGTCCTAGGATACTATTTGATATCCCTAATTTATTTAGCAGTCCTTCTTGTTGCTTTTTTATGCTTACTTCAGCTTTTTTCTGAATAGGAGGCTTTTCAGCTAAAACTGGTCTTTCAATATTATTTACTTTTTCAGGGATATTTTGCTGGTTTTGGTCTTGCTCCAGCATTTTGATTTTCCCATTGATTAAGTTAAGCTTTGCATCAGTATCTCCATGTAAGAGCTAAGCCTTCTTTCCAGCTTAACGACTTTATTTTCTAACTCCTTCATAATTATAAATAACTATTTCATGCCCATATTTGAATCTGCATCATCATATTGTTTTGTTGTATACTCCAAGCATTGATCTTGAATCAAAGCCTTGCTCTGTAAAATATTCAGATACCAATCTTGAGTACCCCAAAAGGCAAAAGTGAATTATGGGAAGAGAAGTAGAAGGATTCCCTCAGTGAGTCCTTTCAAATTAATAGGTTCTGAGTACCTAATTGCTTTTAGTTCATTCCTAAGCTTTTCTCTGTTATTACTTAAATCGACTAAAGACATTTATAAATTTCAAAGAAATATAAGAATTATGAGCAGCAGTTATGGCTTATAGCATTTCTATATGTGTTGTCAAACTGACCAAGGAGCAGGCTGAGAGACGATATGGGTTCCAAGCGCTTTTCTTTGCTTTATTAATTCTCTAGCGATCGTCTCAAAAGCTAAATCGACTTGGTACGCGTTCTTTGCACTTGTTTCAATGTATGGGATTCCATATCTCTTGGCTTTCTCTTCAGCTTCTTCTCTAGTAACTTGATAACGATTTTCAATATCTGATTTGTTTCCGACCAGAATCCTGATGGCGTTTTTATTTGCGTAGCGATCAACTTCATACATCCACATTTGTGTATTTTCAAAGGAATTACGGTGTGTTTTGTCAAAAACTATCATGAATCCATCAGCGTCTCTATAATAAGAAGTTCTAGAATTGCGAAATCGCTCGTTCCCTCCTGTATCCCACTACCTAGCACTTACAATCTGTAATTTAACTGAGGTCTCTCCTAAGTCTAAAGTTCTGATTTTGAAATCGACACCAATTGTTGCCATGGAGATCTTATCGAAAGAGTCATCTGCAAAACGTAACAATAAGCATGATTTCCCAACACAAGAGTCACCAACAATTACTAATTTGAAAAGATAGTCGCTAATTAAAACTTACTATTCCTTTCCCTCTTCCATTTAATTATATAAAAATACTAAATAATTTAAAAATAATTGTAAAATCTTGTAAAACGATTTGCATTATTTAGCTTCTGTACCTATGGCTAAGCTTTTAACATATTCTTTTCGAGCAAATTGATCCATTTCTTTCCATTCTTTGGCTTTAACAGTAATGCACCTTAAACCGCCTATTTTTTCGAGCTGATCTTGGATGACTTTAATAAGGTATGTTGTCCCTACTTCTTGGCCATTTTCATCAGGCGCATATAAGACAACAGTTTTATATTTCATCAAAATCACGTCTGCTCGTCATTTTGTTACCGGATCATCTTGTTCACCTTCGAGTTCTTTTTTAGCTTTCTGAGATTCTCCTAAGCATTTAAAGAAATCATATTTAAACTCTCTCCTTGATCATCTTTTATTCCATTTTTCATATCGATACGCAACAGCTTGCAAGCTGTCTTCAGTTGGACTTTCATTGAGGGCATTTAAAATAGCATGGACCCTCCAATTATATGCAATGTGAGACTCTGTCATCTTAGAAACCTTTAAATCCAAAGCCTTCTGTTTGAGATCTGTGCTTGAAATTAGATTGGACATGCCTTGGCTCCAACACTGATTTTAGCAAGAATGGCTGGAAGCAAAACATATAGTGAAACAGGAGAAGCTGGCCCACAAGGGCGATTCTTTGGTAAGTTCAAAGAACTAAGATAAGATAGCTTCTGACATCACCATTTAGGAATTAAAAAAGTGGGGCTCTGTCAAAAGTATATACTAAAAAAAAGGAAAACGTAAAATCTGATTTAATAAGTAAGTAAGTAAGAATATATAAAATTGAATTTTAAAAAAATTAAGTTGCTCATTCGATAGCCACATGCGATAATACTCATAAAAATATCAATGGAAGACTCTTCTTCTCCTTTGCTATTTTGTATCCTATGGTATTATTTGATATCCCTACTTTAGCCAGCAGTCCTTCTTGTGGCTTTTTATCCTTATTTCAGCTTTTTTTTTTTCTGAATGGGAGCTTTTTATCTAAAACTGGTCTTTCTATATTTCAGGGATATTTTGCTGACTTTGGTGTTGATCTAGCATTTTGATTTTCTCATTGATTAAGTTAAGTTTTGATCAGTTTGCTCAATGCATGCGCTAAGCCTACTTTCCAGCTTAACGACTTTATTTTCTAACTCCTTCATAATTATAAATAACTGTTTTATACCTATATTTGAATCTGCATCATTATATTGTTTTGTTGTATACTCCAAGCATTGATCTTGAATCAAAACCTTGCTCTGTAAAATATTCAGATACCAATCTTGAGTACCCCAAAAGGCAAAAGTGAATTATGGGAAGAGAAGTAGAAGGATTCCCTCAGTGAGTCCTTTCAAATTAATAGGTTCTGAGTACCTGATTGCTTTTAGTTCATTCCTAAGCTTTTCTCTGTTATTACTTAAATCGACTACAGGCATTTAAGAAATATAAGAATTATGAGCAGCAGTTATGGCTTATAGCATTTATATTTTCTGTTGTCAAACTGATTTTCGGAGCAGGCTTAGAAACGAGAGGAGCTCCAAGCGCTTTTCTTTGCTTTATTAATTCTCTAGTGATCGTCTCGAATGCTAAATCGACTTGGTACGCGTTCTTTGCACTTGTTTCAATGTATGGGATTCCATAGCTCTTGGCTTTGTGTTCAGCTTCTTCTCTAGTAACTTGATCACGATTGTCCATATCTGATTTGTTTCCAATCAGCACCTTGATTGCGTTTTTATTTGCGTAGCGATCAACTTCATGCATCCACATTTCTGTGTTTTCAAAGGAATTACAGTGTGTTTTGTCAAAAACTATCATGAATCAATCAGCGCCTCTAAAATAGGAAGTTTTTATTGCTTGAAATCGCTCTTGCCCTGCTGTATCCCACTACCTAGCGCTTACAATTTGTAATTTAACTGAGGTTTCTCCTAAGGCTAAAGTTCTGATTTTGAAATTGACACCAATTGTTGAGTAGGAGATCTCTTCATAAGAGTCATCTGCAAAACGAATCAATAAGAATGATTTCCCAACCCCAGAGTCACCAGCAATTACTAATTTGAAAAATTAGTCGCTAATTAAAACTTACTAATCCTTTATCTCTTCCATTTAATTATATAGAAATACACCATAATTTAGCAAAATTGTAAAATCTTGTAAAATGATGTTATCGGATCTTCTTTTTCACCTTCGAGCTCTTTTTTAGCTCTTTTAGATTTTAATCAGGGATATTTTTCTGGTTTTAGTCTTGCTCCAGTATTTTTATTTTCTCATTGATTAAGTTAAATTTAGCATCAGTTACTCCATGCAAGAATTAAGCCTATTTTCCAACTTAACGAGTTTATTTTCTAACTCCTTCATAATTATAAACAGCTGCTTCATGTCATATTTGAATATACATCATCATATTGTTTGGTGTATATTCCAAACATTGATCTTGAATCAAAGCCTTGCTCTGCAAGATATTCAGATACCATCTTGAGTATCCCAAAAGGCAAAAGTAAATTATGGGAAGAGAAGTAGAAGGATTCCCTCAGTGAGTCCTTTCAAATTAATAGGTTCTGAGTACCTGATTGCTTTTAGTTCAATCCTAAGCTTTTCTCTGTTATTACTTAAATCGACTACAGACATTTATAATTTTTAAAGAACTATAAGAATTATAAGAAGCATTTCTGGCTTGTTGGATTTCTATTTTCTGTTGTCAAACTGATCTTCGGAGCAGGTTGAGAGACGAGAGGGGTTCCAAACTCTTTTCTTTGCTTTATTAATTCTCTAATGATCGTCTCGAAAGCTTCATCGACATATAATGAGCTCTTTGCACTTGTTTCAATGTATGGGATTCCATAGCTCATGGCTTTCCCTTTAGCTTCTTCTTTAGTAACTTGTTCATGATCGTAAAGATCTGATTTGCTTCCTACTAGCATTTTGATAGTGCTTTTTTTTGCGTGACGATCAACTTCATACATCCACATTTCTGTGCTTTCAAAGGAACTACTGTCTGTTTTGTCAAAAACTATCATGAATCCATCAGCTTTATTAAAATAGGAAGTTGCGATATTACGAAATCGTGATTGCCCTGGTGTGTCAAACTACCTAACACTTACAATCTGTAATTTAACTAAGGTCCCTCCTAAGTTTAGAGTTCTGCTATTGACATCGATACCAATTGTACTCTGGTAGATCTCTTTGAAAGATTGATCTAAAAAACGAGTCGATAAGCATGATTTCCCAACGCCATAGTCACCAACAATTAGTAATTTGAAAAAGTAGTCGCTAATTAAAACTTACTAATCCCTTTCCCCTTCCATTTAATTATATAAAAATACTACAAAATTATAAATCTTGTAAAATGATTTGTGTTATTTAGTTTCTGTACCTATGCCTAAGCTTTTAACATATTCTTTTCGAGCAAATTGATCCATTTCTTTCCATTCTTTGGCTTTAACAGTAATGCACCTTAAACCGCCTATTTTTTCAAGCTGATCTTGGATGACTTTAATAAGGTATGTTGTCCCTACTTCTTGGCCATTTTCATCATAAATCATATTTTCATCAGGCGCATATAAGACAACAGTTTTATATTTCATCAAAATCACATCTGCTCGCCATTTTGTTATCGGATCTTCTTTATCACCTTCGAGCTCTTTTTTAGCTTTCTGAGATTCTCCTAACTCCCTGTCTCCTCCGTGAGCTAACAAACCCATTAGAAAAATCCACCCTCCGTTAGCGAACAAAATTTTTTTAATAGAAAAAGTTTTTGTGGAAAAAAAATTTTGATATATAAGTGATAATTAGCTTTTTAAACATATTGCGTTTTAAAACATACATTTTGCAAATTAAATTAATATTTGCTTTCTAATTTTTACGAAATGGGATTTTTTTAAATTTCGAATAAAAATTTTTTATCTATAATTTTTTTTAAAAAAAAATTATAGGCATTTCGCCTATATTGCCCGATTTGGGCTGAAATTTGAGAGCACTTCTTCTCAAGTTGGTTTGGCCAACTTACGTTAGCCAAACCAACAGGAGAGGTAAACTCCCTAAACTCTCTGGCTGGCTTGGCCAACCGAAGTTGGTCAAACCAACTTGAGAGGAAGTGCTCTCAAATTTAAGCCCATATCGGGCAATATAGGTGAAATGCCTATAGCCCCCTCCGTGAGCGAACAAGATTTTTTTGTTCGCTCACGGATGGGGAAATAAGCATCTAAAGAAATCATATTTAAAATCTTTCCTTGAACTTCTTTTATCCCACTTTTCATATTGATACGCAACAGCTTGCAAGCTTTCTTCAGTTGGACTTTCATTGAGGGCATTTAAAATAGCATGGACCTTCCAATTATATGCAATGTGAGACTCTGTCATCTTAGAAACCTTTAAAACTTCAAAGCCTTCAGTTTGAAATCTTGGCTTGAAATTAGATTGGACATATCTTGGCTCCAACACTGATTTTAGCAAGAATGGCTGGAAGCAAAACATATTTGATTTAGGGTTTAGCACTGGAGACTCTACTGGCTCTCCCGCATAAATTGCATGGAGGAATTTTTGAATCAAATGAGAGAGCGTATCTAGTTTATCAAGATTCAAAAATAGAAGGCTGGCAATTACTTCTTGAGGAGCTTCTGACCATAACTTGAGACCATCAATTTTATTATAAACTTTATCAACAAACCTGTCATTATCTCCAACAACAGATAAATAATCCAGAATTTTTTTAATCACTTCAAATAATTCTTCTTTCTCTGTGGTATCTGAAAGTAATTTATCAAATTTTTGAGGCAAATCTTTGATAAAAATCCTTTTGCTTATCAAAGTTTCCAATATAGTTAGGGTATCATAATTAATATCAATTGCCGATAAATTCATATGTTCTTTGATCTCTTCTTCTGATTCTATACCTCTGCTTTCACCAGATAAATTTGCATTGATTTTTTCAAGCTTTTCTTTGAACTCTTCGCTGATATCGTCTTCCTCTGCATGTTTATCGATAAATTGACATATTATTTTGACAAGAGCAGGATTTTCGTCATCAAGGCAATTTGCTAAAAATATTGAAAGAGGCTCATATTGCAAATCGTGACTTACTAGCTTATTGAGCCAATTCACAAATTCCTTTATTACAGGTTTTGCAATAGGAGGATGTTTGTTTTGAATATAGCTTAAATTTTCAGTGAGACGAGCTGCTGTTTGATATTCTCCTATCTTTCCTAGCATAATAATAGTATTGATCAAAGGCTCCCCATATAAGTTCTGGTACCTTGTTTTTGTAATAAATTTATGCATATTTTGTGGAGGGACCTCAAATAAATTATATTGAATTGCGAACGAGTACTCTTTAAAGCTAGAAGCGAGGCTCAAAATTTCATTCCTTAAACTCCTGAGCTCAGTTTTGTCAATTTTTTTGGAGCGAGCGAGCTGACTGTGTACAGAAGATAAATAAAAAATGGTTTCTGGGTTCGCAGAGCTTTTATCTAGTAATTCTAGTGACATCCAGATTGACTTTGAAATCATGCTTGGTGATAAATGCGCTTGGTATACCCATATAAGCTTTGCATAAATGTCTACAGTAAAAGTTGTAGGACTACTTGTGAGGATATCCAAAGCTGGGATTGTGTTTGTAAGCATGCTCAAATAATATTCATAAACCAATTTTTTGCATTCTGGGTTATCTTTCAAATGCTTTAGAAGCTCAAGGGCTACAGTTTTGATCTCTTCTTTAATAGGTGGTAATGAGGAGTCAACTTGATAATTAAAAATTGGCCTCTCCTTTACTAATTCAAGAATTTTCCATAGTAATTGCTCTCCAATTCTTTGATCGATACTTATTGGAGATTCTTGAAGCTTTTTTATTAATGTATTGATTAGATTCAATGAAAGATCGTTAATTCCTGCATCAACTTGGAGTGAACTTATTGCGAGAGCCATGAGACAATTAACTGTAATTTGCTCATGTGGAAGTTCTAAAAATTTAGCAATAAATTTTTCTAACTCTAATTTTGGAGGATATGGCTTGGCTTGCGACAAATTGTAAAAAAATTCAACAGTTTTCTGCAAAAGTCCTTCGTTTTGAATAAAATTTTCTGCAGCCTTAATTACTTCATTTAAGACGCTTAAAGATAAAAAATCATTTTTGTGTAAAATAAAGCATACTTCCATCATTAAGCTAAAATGGGTAGCCTTTTTTGATATTCAATTATCTAGCTGTCTTCTATTTATTTCAATCATTAATTGAGTAGGCACCGGCACACGATAATTGTTTATGTTCGACACTGCAATGCATATATCATAGAATCTGCCATTTTTGAATTTATCATGTATAAGTGGTAATATCTTACTTATACTTGAATTAAGATTACGATTTGACTTTTCAAAAGGTGGTAGATTTTTGAGAAGCAATAATAATTCCTGCTCACTCTCCCCTTTGTAATTAACACCATTGTTAAATTTTTTTAAAACGCCCAAGGAAACAAAAAATTAATTTTAATTATAATATACATAAAATGGCCGGAGACGAGCGCCCCGACCCTCCGTGGCAAGCGTCCTTATGCATACCGGACGTGATTTTTGGATAAGGAGAGCTATTCAAGAGAAGGGCTAGCCTTGAGGCGAGAGCTCAGCACAATTTCCGCTGATTTTGTGGCTTGGCCCGGGCAGCAGTTTTTCACATTCTTTGTGCCAGTAGCACCGAGGCACAGGCAGATGCAAGGTAGTTACCTGCTTAGGCTACTTGGTGGCTTCGTCCCGAATCCCGTAAGGGTTGAGTTCTTTCTCGGAGATAATCGGAAAAGAGGGGAAGGCCAGGCTCGACAGAGATCTCAGAGGCGTAAGTCTCTCCAGTTAAAAGGATCCCTCAAAGGGGTGATCTAGCCGAGCTACGCAGGGTTTGGTAATGCTGGCGCTTGAGTTGGAAACGGTGGTTCCCGTCAAAATCCAGGTCATCCGGATCAGGAGAGAAATATCAATACCGAGAAACCGGGGGTTTCAACCCGGGCTCAAGTTGCCTTGAGGGAGCCCACCCCGAAGCGACTTAAGTCGCTGCGGAATGCACGGTGCTTAGGAAGTGGGGACTATAAATACTCATCATTAATCTAATCAAATCTAATTTAATTATAATATTTATGCTTTATAATGCAAGTTAATTAAAAATGAGAGCAAAAATAACTAGATTTCATTATATTACTTATAGCCCAGGGCGATCAAAAATCGCTCCTGGGTTATAACACTTATATATTAAAATTTGTTTTAAATTATTTTTATTCTCAGAATGTGGCTTTTTCCCAAAAAAAAAGATTTTTTCCATTGATTTTTCTTGCTCATGGTTGAGAGGGGGAGTCAGTATAATGACTGAAATCTGAAGTATTTATTAATTTTTCAACAAAAGCATTACTAATTTGATCATAAACAACTTGAGGATAATCGAAGTTATCTCTGCCTAAATATCTCATAAAAGCTAAATCCATCATGTCTAAGTCATTGATTGAATTTATTAAATGCCGAACTATAGCATGAGTTCAACTCCTAGAAGTTGCTTCAACTTCATTTAAGCTATAGCTAACTTCGTTAATTGTTAAGATTGCTCTTACAATTTTAATCGTTCTTCTGGCATCTAAAGATGAAATTGGTATTTTTTGTAAAAACTCCTTAAATTTGTTGCGATCTATGGATTGCAAGATTCCAAGATTGTATAAAGATACCTGGAGAATATCTGATAATCCATCTATTAATTTTCACAATTTGTCGTCATATATTTTATTTTCTTCAGTCATTTCAAGGTATGTAATGATATCTTTAAAATCAATTTCCTCATTCAATTTTTGTATGTTTAAAACTTTTTGAGAATAAGGATCTGGATGGCCATTTAAGTGTTTTGGCTTATTTAGATCAATTGAGAAAGATTGGGTATTATAATTTAATGCATCGTCAATAAGAGATTGGCTAGGTATTTTTCTTTTTCTGGTAATGCTTTTAGATGGTTCTTGCTGAGAAGATTGATTTTCCATGGTGCTTTCTGACTTGCTACTTTCATTAAGATTATTTTCATATTTCATCATTCTTTCGATTAACTGATCTTTTAAGCCATAGACTGGAAGATTTCTTGACTTTAATTCCATTCTCAGCTGATTGACCGTAAAGGCTTTTCACTTCTCTATGGAAAAAAGTCTTTTGATTATCATTTTTATTTATCAAATATACCATAAAGCCATTTGCTTAACTATAGTAAGAACTTTATGAATTTTGCTATGGTTTTAAGTTTTTATTAGCGAAATCGTATAATTTTCCTTAATTCCCATTAAATATTAAATTGGAGCAAATATAAAAAAATTTCCAGTTTTTAATGAACTCTAAGCTAAATTTAGCTATATTCACTCTTTGAATTAAAAACTTAGCAATATGCATTTCTTATTACCATTGAGCTGAGAAAGATTACAATTTCTTAAAAGGCAGCATTTTTCTATTGATATTTACCTCCTTTTTCATTTCTTCAAATAAAAATGTCATTTCTTATTGATAGATTTAAAAATTCTGATTTTGATGAAGTAGCAAATGAAAAAGAAAATGAGAGTAAACTTCCTCATATGAATGAGGAACCAATAAATCCATCCAAAAACCTCAGAAAAAAGCTGAATTTAAATGATACCGTTTATTCTGATTATGGCTCTTGCATAAAATCGCTTTTAATAGCTAAATCCCCCTTAGTAAACAAGCAGAGCTATTAGATAAATTCTACTTATTTGGGAAATTAGCCTATCAGTAAGCAAGCAAAAAATATTATTATATATAAATGATAATTTCTGTAATAAATCTATCGATAATTTTACTAAATTCAAAACAGTTTATTTTTTTTAAAATAAACTTTATGAAATTATGAAATGAAATTAATTTTTTAATTATAAATATTCCTAAAATCGAAAAATATTAACAACTTATATTTAATTTTTTAAAATTAAATTCCCTGAGCGCAAAAATATTTAATTTGGTCCAGAGAGTAGAAAAGAGTAAAGAAACTGAATACGACACTTCAGATTGCTTGGCAAATCATCGTATAACTGAGGATCAACGCAGCAAAATGGTCGATTGAATTGCAGAAGTCATTCACATTTTCAATTGCTCAATTGAAACTTTCTTTTTAGCAGTAAAGATAATGGATCGCTATTTTAAACTGCTAAAGCGGACGGTTGGTATTGAAGAACTTCACGTAATTGGAGCAGCCAGCATATACATTGCATCGAAATTTCAAGACATAGTTCCATTGACCATGAATACTTTATATTCAAAAGTTGTTCATTGTATCTTGCCAACAAGCTACATAAAAAAGGTCGAAAGAGATATTCTTCATACCTTGAATTATCAGCTAGATTTTCCGACTGTATTAGAATTTTTATACCCCCATTTAATAGGCCAAAATGACGAATTTTCAAAAACAGCCATCGTAATCTCCGAATTATCTCAGCTCAGCTACGAGTTATCATCCCTAAAGCCTTCTCATCTTGCATTAGCAATTTATATCCTTGCCCGACAAGTCATTCTAAAGCATGAACAAATTTATATCCGAGGCCCTGTGCTTGAAGCCCTTAACGAACTGAAAAAGTTCCTCATTGACTACTGCTTCAACTGCAACGAAATGGTGTCAATCTTGACCAACTACAACGCAAAAATAAATTTAAACACAGGCAAACTGCTTGAGTTTAAAGACGAATCCTTCATGTAAAATTACATTAGATAATTCTTTCCTATTAACCCCTCAAATTTTAGTTTAAATAAAAGATTAATTGATTTTTGATTGGGCCATATCTATTATTTCTAATATGGAATTGTAAATGTCAAGCCAAGACGACATTTATGAAAAAGATAACAATCTCGTCGAAATCATTTGCGAACTTATTGAGACAGAAAATCTCTCAGGACTGTTTGGCACCCTTAAAGAACTCGAAGAGCTCAGCCATGAACAGTTTGTGTTCTTGACGCTTACAGCTTTTAAACGACTTCTGTGGAATCAAAGGATAGACGAGGCCCTCCACATATTCGACCTGTTTCCTTTTTTATGCTTTTGCGACACTTATATTGAACAAATGATCGTCGATTACCTTTTTGAAGTCGCCAGCCGTGGAGAAATCAAACTCCTTAAGCAAATAATTGATTCTTTTGGGACACCAGTCAACGTATTAAACTCATCAAAATGCAATTTGTTCGAGCAAGCTTCTTATGCAGGACAATATGAAATGATGAGGGTTTTGAAAGAAGAATTCGGCTTGACAAGTGACGAAAGCTGTTTATTGGAAAGAGCGGCCAAACTTGATAGGGCAGATATTCTCGAATACCTTTGAAGAGAGGTAGGGATTAATCCTGGCCGTGGGGAAATGCTGATCAAGGCAGCGGTAAAAGGAGAGTCGATCGAATCGTTGAGTTTTATTAGATTTGGTATGGGAATTACAGATTACAGAGAACAAGCAACGCTTGAGCTTGCACTGAGAAATGCAGCGATTCAGGGCTCAATTGAAGTGCTCGAATTTCTTATCACATATTTTCGAATGCTTTTTAATCCGAAAAAAATATTGCCTTGAGGGGAAACTGAGCCAGCTCCAAAGTCTTGCTTGGTAAACACCTTTGTACGAGCGGCACATAACGGAAACGCGGAATTTTGCAGGTATTGCTTTTATATTGTAAAACTTGATTTTGCGACAAATGATCCGAATAGCGAATGGGCGAGCTACTTGAGACTTTTGCAAATTGCTGTTAAAAAAGGTGACTTAATTTTACTGAGATGTCTGATTGAGGAGCTGGGGATTGATATGAAGCTGCTGCCAGATTTTCAGCAAGACAGCCTTATTTTTACTATTTTAAAAAGGCCAGGAGACAAAAAAACAAAGAAAATCTTATTGGATTATGCATTTGACTTTGAAAGTAAGGAGAATATAAAGTGTTTTAAGTGCATGCTTGATCCTGATGAGTTGAAATTATTAGCAAAAGTCAAGCACATGAAAAATAGTGGATATTGATACAAAAAATTGAAAAACGATATGTAAGAATAATTATTATATATTTATTGTAATTCTTTTGTGCTTGTAAATATAGTTATATTTATGAGAAATTACACCTGACTTAGATTTTAATAGATAAGTCCTAATTATCATTTTTGTGTGTTAATTAGAAAAGAGCATTTGGGCTATTTTGGATATATAGAAGAGATTCTTTATCAACGAAATATATTAAAAATATAAAATCATACTTTAGGATTTATAGTAAAAGTTTTAATAAAAAACATATCAACCTAAGAAAAGATCATTTAAAGCTAAAATATATTAAGAAAAGTTCTTACTCCCCCCCTCGTGAGTGAACAAAACCATTAGAAAAATCGCTATTTTTTGCCCAAAAACCCACCCTTCGTGAGTGAACAAAAATTTTTTTAATAGAAAAATTGTTTATGGAAAATAACTTTGATATATAAATGATAATTATTATAATGAAATCTAGAGCTAATTCTGTTTAATTTTAAACGAATTGCCTTTTAAGACATAAATTTTATAAATTAAATTAATATTTACTTTCCAATTTTTGCGAATTAGGATTTTTTAAATTTCGAAAAAAAATGACTTTTATATAAAAAATTTATATATAAATTTTTTTAAAAAAAAATTAACCCCCCTCCGTGAGTGAACAAAATTTTTTTGTTCACTCACGGAGGGGGGGGGAGTTAGATAATATTTCTCTAATCTCAAATTAACTTAAAATTTACCTGTAACTTTAATTGCTAAAATATGGAAGGAATGAGTATACAAGATTTTCTTGAGGCTTCAAGGACTCCTATGCATGAGATTGAACCAAACCTATATTTAGGAAGCTTAGACGCTGCAGAAAATGAGAAACTTTTAAAATCTTCTGGAATCAAATATGTTGTCCAGGCACTGGAAAGGCCGAGCACATATAGATTTGATAATCTAACGTACTATTATGTTCAGATTGATGATCTAGCTAGAGAAAATATGATGCAGCATTTGCCTGGAGCATTAAATTTCATACATTCCAACTTGCAAAGGGGTGACAAAGTATTGGTTCATTGTGCTGCTGGTGTTTCACGAAGCGCAACAATTGTAATTGCTTATATAATGGCTAAATCCTCCCTCTGCGAGCGAGCAAAAAATTTTGTTCGCTTACGGAGGGGTTATTTTTTTTAAAATATTTATATATAATTTTATATATAAAATTTTCGATATTTAAAAATCCTAATTTGCAAAAATTTGAATTCAAAAATTTATGTTTTTAGATGCAATTTGTTTAAAATTAAATAGAATTAGCTAGAGATTTCATTATACTAATTACACTTATACATATCAGAATTTTTTTTTATAAAAATGTTTTATGTTAAACAATTTTTTGTTGTATAAAGAGGGTGAGTTTTTTTGGCGAAAAATAGAAATTTTTCCAATGATTTTTCGCTCACGGAGGAGGGGAGTAAGTATAATATCCCATTTGAAGAAGCTTATGCAATTGTGAGATCGAAAAGAGGATGCGTTTTCCCAAATGATGGCTTTAGGAGACAACTTAGAAGTGCAGGCCCAGAAGAGCTTAGAAAATTCCTTTAATTTTAGTTGATTTGTGGTTTTATTGAAAAATAATAAAACAACACATTATAATTAAATTATATCTCTTATTAATTTCTCATTACATTAATTTAGTCAAACATTTCCAAAGATTAAAACTCAGTCTTACTTGGGCCATTCTCATTTTTCTTTTCTCTCTGATCTCCATCATTCTTTGTATATCTGTAAAAAGAATTTTCGTTGGCTTTTTTACTTGGAATGTTTTCTCGCATTGCATCTTAAATTTCGAAAAAATATCTTTTACTTGTTTAAGTGGGACTGGGCTCGGACTTTCTGAATAGACAAATGATGACCCGTTGTTTTTCCTCATTCTGTCTGTCAAAGGAGGTTTCGGGGACGGTCGAGTTAAAGATCTTCCAAAAGTTTTATCTGCAGGAACTTTTTTGCTTAATGACGAATTCCTTACTTTGGGAGAACTCGCTTCGTGGAATTTTTTTAGTTTTTCGCTGAGCAAGCTCAATTTTGATGGGGAATCGCCAAACATAAACAATGATTAGATTAGATTAGATTAGATTAAGTTCGTGAGGGTCTTCGCGGTTTATTTCAGCCACTCGCCGCCTTCTCCCACTTCAGCCTCTCGGCCTAAGCATGGAATAGCACTTACGCCTTTTTTGTCGACGTCACCAAAAAATGGTGACGTCAGCGCTCTCGAGGTGACGCACCCAAGTACTTCTTGGGGCAACTCCTATCGGTCAGCCCGTCCGTCCGGAGGTGGGAGACGGTAGGTGTTCTGAAGCCTCCTCCTGTCCTCCATTACTACCTTCGTTGTCAGGAGTGTGGGGTTGCCTTTGCGACTCTGGTCTTCTTGTCATAGGTTGAGGTAAAAAACCCTGCCATGGTGTCCTGGCCAGGGAGAAAAAACCTACCCCGGACACAAATTCTCCAGGCCCCATCCCTCTTAGACCCACAAAGCCCGAGGCAGTGGGAGAAGGACGGGTCAGAGCAGTCACCATTTTTATTTGTGTATAAACAATGAAGATTTTGAATTTCGTGTAGTTGATGGTCTGAATAATGCAGCCGCATTACTTTTACTATCTTGATCGCCCACAAAATGCTCAAAATTAAGCTTGGGAATCTTCTTTTCGATAAGTGACTTTGAAGTTTTTTTGACTGGTGCAATTGTTTCGAAATCGACTCTGTATCTGATATGACATGAATTCTTTATGTGCGAAAAGAACAACTGGTACTCGTCGTTGCCGCCTTTCCTAGATTTGAAGCATTGCTGAGCTATTAATTTTAATAATTTCTCGAATTGAAGATAATTAAGCTTTGCTGAAGATTCAGTACCGATTGGGACTCCAGATGAATAAATTACTATTTTCCTTATGCTCTGTGAAGTTAAAAGGTCTGGAAAAATTCTTGCTGAGCTGCAGAATTTCAAAATATCATTAAACCCAAGTTCTTTATTTTGCTGGTGAGAATCGAAAATTTTTTGAAGCTGGCCTCGGTTGATATCAAATAATTCGGACATTTTGAATATTATTTCATAATTAGCATGAAAAAGTGCTTTATAAGTTGAATATATTTTATGGCTATATATGAGTAATACAAGAATAAATTTAATTTTAAAGTAGTAATTTTAATAGTTGCAATTTTATTACTTCTCCAAAATTTCTAACACCCCCTCATTGAGCGAGCAACAATTTTGCTCTTTCGCAGAGACTTATTATCTTTCGGTATGCAAAACATTTTTTTTTTGAAAGTAAATGCAATTTAATTTTTTGAGTAGGAGCTGCTTAAAGTATAATAAAATCAGTTAGAGGTTCCATTGTCATGATTATTATTTATAATTTATAGGTTATTTACTGGATTTTGTTCTCTCATGGAGAATGGGGCAAAAAAAAAAATTTCAGCCTATTTTAGCGTTTCTAGCATCTCTCACTATCTTTAATTTTATTTAGAAGCATCTTAGCATCATTGATTGTAGAGCAATGCAAGTTTAATTAATAAATTACAAATCATGGGCAATGCTCAAGAAAAACCGAATCACCAAGAAGTGGACAACCCAATTCTATCCAGATACCATTTCAATTTTATCAATATCATTGGACGTGGAGGCTTTGGCAGGGTTTGAAAAGTCGAACTAAAAAAATCCAAGAAATTTTACGCCATGAAGGAAATGCTCAAGTTGAGAGTCGTCAGCAAACGCAGCGTTTCTTCTGTGATGAATGAGAGACGACTTCTCTCAATGATAAAGCACCCGTTTATAGTGAATATGCAGTATGCTTTCCAAGATAGAGAAAACCTTTATCTTGCTATGGACCTCATGACAGGTGGAGATCTCCGATATCACCTCTCACAAAACAAGAGGTTCACCGAAGAACAGACCAAGTTTTTTGTCGCCTGCATTATAACAGGCCTGGAATATCTCCATATAAATGGAATTATACATAGAGATATAAAGCCAGAAAATTTAGTTTTCGATCATAAAGGATATTTAAGAATAACAGACTTTGGGATTTCTAAAGTGATAGCACCGGAAAATTATAGGGATACCTCAGGAACACCTGGATATATGGCTCCTGAGGTCATGTGCAGGCAAAATCATGGGATGGCTGTCGATTACTTTGCAGTTGGAGTCATGGGATATGAATTTATGACTGGCAGAAGGCCGTATTTGGGCAGAAATAGAAAAGAAATTAAAGAACAAATTTTGGCCAGACAAGTTCAGCTTAAAAAATCTGATGTCCCGCCTGGATGGTCTATGGAAGCTGCAGATTTTATTAATAAACTACTGCAGAGAAAAGCTCAGAACAGGCTGGGCAATAAAGGACCTTCAGAAGTCAAGAACCACGCATGACTAAGAGATTTTCAATGGAAAAAGCTACTTGAAAAATCCCTTGATGCCCCGTTTTTGCCTCCAAGGCAAGAGAACTATGATGCAAGAATTTTCAGCGATTTTAAAGATGAAATTGACGAATCACTCGTGCAAGAATCTATTCAAGGGCTTTTTGCTGGGTATCAGTTTGATTCCCATCTCTTGAATAGCAAAGATGATGAGTCAACGGTGCAAATCAAAAACTCTGGCAAAAGCTCAAGAAGACTGGCATCATAGATTAATTAGTGTATATTTAACACTTATAAGCAATGTTTATTATTATACATTTAGGTGCTGGGCTCAGCATATATAAGAAATGAAAAAGTTTTATTATTAATTTAAAATGATCAGTGGAGCTCAAAGATGCTTTTCAACAGTTCCTAATCTTCTTTATGTAGGCTTAGGGGAAATGGGGTATCGCATTGCAGGGACTCTCAGCAAAACCTACCCTATGACTGTTTGAAATCGCACCAATGAGAAAGCTGTAAGCCACGCTAGCGAATATGGAACTACAGCTCTAGCAGGGCCGAATCCTTTTGCCCATGACATTTCGCATATTGATGTGATTTTATCTTGCCTGCCGACTTCAAATGAAGTTAAAATTTTTGCTGATCATTTGATAGCAAGCCAAAGCCAGTTGAAGCAAGGCCTGCTGTGGTTAGATAACACTTCTGGTGTGCCTCATCAATCAAGGCAAATAGCTGAACTGTTGCAGCAAAGATCAGTGCAGTTCTTAGATGTCCCAATCAGTGGAGGACGCAAAGGTGCCACAAATGCTACATTAACCATTATGGTAGGAGGACCAAAACCAGATTACGAAAGAATATTGCCAATCCTACAAAAAATGGGCAAAAATATAGCTCACATAGGTGATGTAGGATCTGCTCATGCAGTGAAGGGTCTAAACAACTTATTATATGGCTGCAATATTTTACTAGCAATGAAAGTTGCTCAGACTTTGGAAAAAGAAGGAATTGACCCTGATGTAGCCTTAAAAGCTATGATGACTTCTTCAGGAGGCTCAAATTCAATGCTAAGAGTTCATGAGTATGTAACCCACAACAGAACAATTGATTACAGTTTCAAAGCCAATGCATTAGTAAAAGATATGGACATTGGGCTTTCTATGGTTACGCCTAGGAGTGAAGATGATCCAGCTATTAAGATGTTCACAAACATAAGAGACATCTACTTCAAAATGGCAACTGAAAAGGGTTGGAGCACTGCTGAAGTATTTGACACGTTTCCATATATTGAATAAAATTAAAAATTTTAGGTTTCGTTTAATAATGTATATATAAATGAATCATAGTGCCGATCCTTATGTCTATTTGTCCTATGAGAATCGAGACGTATTGACTGGCCAATGCTTATTAGATTTACTTGGGTTTCCAGAGCTGAATAGAACAGCTCTGATTGGACTTAAGCATTCAATAGCAAATCAAAGATGCCATCTATCATCAGGCTTTCAGCAACAAGAAGAAGACGCTTTTTACAGGCTACCTTTACTTCACAGCCTAACATGTCCTGCAAGAGCCTATTTCAGAGAGTTTAACTCAGTTTTCCAGCTTAATAGAAAAATTAAGCTCGCTGGTTGTGCAGTAATAATGAGCGCTGATTCAAAAGTTCTTCTCACCAGGAGAACTGAAACCTTAAGCCTTTTCCCAAAAAATTGGGTTTTTCCTGGAGGCCGTCTGGAGATGGGAGAAAGTCTTGAATATTGTGCTATTAGAGAAGCTGCTGAAGAAACGGGAATTGATTTTGAAATTTCTGAAAGCCATTTTAAATATCGGGGCACAACAGTAGCTGTAACTCCTTTATTCATATATGAAAGTTCATTTCCTTGCATTGGACCTCCAAAAGCTCAACATTTGATTGTGTTTTTCACGATAAATTTAAATTTTTCATCAAACGAGATTGGTTTGTCGCTCCAGAGGTCAGAGGTTGACTATGCAGTATGAATATCGAAAGAAGATTATGAAAATATAAATAGAGGTATAGATTTTACAATGCCTGGACTTCACTATATAGCTTAAGCATCCTTATGGATCACTCAAGCCTCCAACCCCGCTTGCCAAGTGGAGAGTTTGCTTATTCAACTTCAGTTGGCAATTCAACTCGCAAATCTGCGATATTTTGTAGATCTCCAAATTGAAAGGCAGCTCGTCATCTGGAGTTGAATAAGCAAACTTTCCAGAAATAAGTAGGAGCTTGAGGCTTGAGCGATCCATAAGGATGCTTAAGCTATACACATGAAAACGCTCATATATCAAGCCATCAATTATTAGGAATTGCCCCAAATCAAATTGGCGAAGGGGTTGCAGAAGGCCACAAGCACGCATTAGATATGATTTATCAGCAAAACCACTAGAATTATTAAGTTTAAATTGAAAAACGATTTTGTTCGTAGCTGGCAAGCAACGGTTCATCCCACCGCCTCTTTTCAGCTCTGCGGATAATTTGCTTTCTGATTGTGAGCAATAGTGTAACTCCCAAAGCAAAAATCAGTATAAGCTGAATGGTTATGCTTAAGCCAAAACCATCCTCATTTGTGTTTTCTTTTCCTGTACAAAAGTGCTCTTGGCAATTATTCTTGCACAGTTCGCCACTTTCGATCCCAATGCATAGCAAGTTACAGCTTTTAGTGCATTCTGCACTAGTTGTGGTGACCTCTATAATTTGTCCTTTCTTTTGCTCAACAAGGAGGTCTTCACAGCCGGAATATACTGCGCACTGATATTTGTCTTCTCCTTTTTGTGCAAGTTGGAGACAAATCTCAAGCGAAGTGACATCACAGCCAAGCTCACGTTCGGCCCATAACTTTTCGTCTTGCTTAATTTTAGGTAGAGAATATTGGTTGCCTTTGGCAACAAACTCTTCTAATGGTGGAGGCAGCGGAGATTCGCACTGGCACGAGTCATAGCAGCTTTTGCCTTTGTTTTGTTTTGTGCATTTACTTTGACAGTCTTGATCGCAGGCGAATGCTACAATCAAAAATGTGAGAAAAATCCATTCGCGTTTCATTAATTTGTCGTAAAATTATAAGCCATTTCTTTATCTTAATTCTAAACTGAAAAAGATTATTGAAAATATTATATTGATTAAAGAAATTTATGTCGAGTGTTGGAGCTCTAAGTATAAACTGCCGAGTTTTTCGATGTTTTTATGGATAAGCATTTTTAGGGAGCGTATATAAGGTTCAGTGTTGCTTTTGCCTGGATTTGTAGGTTGGTGTTCTCTTAATTCCCCCTCCCATCAAAGAGCGAACAAAACCATTGGAAAATCCATTTTTTGGAACAAAAGTTTTTTAAATATAAAAATTTTTAAAAAAAAATTATTTTGATATATAATTATAGTTCATATCCTTTTATAGATTTCTTTATCGAGCAAAATGTACTGGATTCTTGAACGAGCAAAACAGAGTCTCTCAAAGAGATGAGCTCAATCTCTATATCAGGAAGTGCTAGAAAGTGCCATGCCAAAAAATGGTGACAAGTCTGAAAAAAGTTGGCAAAGTAAACGCGCCGATTTTAAAAATGGTTTATTATTAAATTTAAAATTTAAGATACATAATTAGATTAGGATTTATTAATAATTAAAAAGCTTATTTTTAAAGGTCTTATGAATTAATCATATTTTTCTAATGATAATAGATAGATAAATAATAAATGCTATATATAAATTATAATTGATTTAATATTTTTTGATTATTATTTGTGTATTTAAATATTTAAAAGTGTGAATTGAGTTGTGCCAAGGCGAATGGATAGAATTTCCTATAAATGTACCAGTATGATAATGATCAATGCTGCTATAAAATTCAAACTTCCCATTGAAGGCTGATGGCTCTTTATAAAGTTGCTAACGACTCATGGAATTATTCCTTTAAACTATTAAAATCAAAAAAATTTGTGAATCGAGTTGTGCCAAGGCGAATGGATAGAATTTCCTATAAATGTACCAGTATGATAAAGATCAATGATGCTATAAAATCTAAAGTTCCCATTGAAGGCTAATGGTTCATTCAAAAGTTGTTATGGCTCATGTCATGTACTTTAGACTATCAAAAATCAAAAAATTGTGAATCGAGCTGTGTCAAGGCGAATGGATAGAATTTCTTACAAATGTACAAATATGATAATGATCAATGCTGTCATAAAATCCAAAGTTCCTATTGAAGGCTTATGGTTCTTTATAAAGTTGCTAAAGACTCATGCCATTCCTTTAAACTATTAAAATCAAAAATTTGTGAATCGAGTTGTGCCAAGGCGAATGGATAGAATTTTCTGCAAATGTACCAGCATAATAATGATCAATGATGTTATAAAAGCCAAAGTTCCCATTGAAGGCTGATGGCTATTTGCAAAGTTCTTAACGACTCAAGTCATGCACTTTATACTATTGAAAACCAAAAATTTGTGAATCGAGTTGTGCCAACGCGAACGGATAGAATTTCCTACATGTGCGAGCTTTATAATGATCAATGCTGCTATAAAAATCAAAGTTCCCATAAAAGACTGATGACTATTTGCAAAGTTCTTAATGACTCATGTCATGCACTTTAGAATATTGAAAATCAAAAATTTGTGAATCGAGTTGTGCCAAGGCAAATGGATAGAATTTCCTATAAATATACCAGTATGATGACGACGATCAATGGTGCTCTAAAATCCAAAGTTCCCATTGAAGGGTGATTGTTCTTTACAAAGTTGCTAACGACTCATGCCTTTGCTCCTTTAAACTATTATAAATCAAAAATTTGTGAACCGAGTTGTGCCAAGGCGAATGGATAGAATTTCCTATAAATGTACCAGTATGATAATGATCAATGCTGTCATAAAATTCAAAGTTTCTATTGAAGGGTGATTGTTCTTTACAAAGTTTGCCAACGACTCATGTAATTATTCCTTTAAACTATTAAAACCAAAAATTTGTGAATTGAGTTGTGCCAAGGCGAATGGATAGAATTTCTTACAAATGTGCCAGTATAATAATAATAATAATAATCAAAGTTGCTTTAAAATACAAAGTTCCCATTAAAGGCTTATGGTTCTTTATAAATTTGCTAAAGACTCATGTCATTCCTTTAAACTATTAAAATCAAAAAATTGTGAATCGAGTTGTGCCAAGGCGAATGGATAGAATTTTCTATAAATATACCGGTATGATAACGATCAATGATGCTATAAAAGCCAAAGTTCCCATTGAAGGCTGATGATTACTTGCAAATTTGTAAATGACTCATGTCATATATTTTTTAATTTTTCAAAAAAAATATTTAAATTTTTATTTTTTCTTAAAAATATAAAAAATATTTTAAAATATCTTTTAATTTAAAAATTTTTTATTTTTAAATATAAAAATTTTATTTTATATCTTTAATTAATAAATGGGGCTTTATATTAATTTCATTTTTTTAAAAATTGGCGTGTTTACTTGCCAACTTTTTTTTACACTTGTCACCATTTTTTGATATGGCGCTTTCTAGCACTTCCTGATATAGAGATTGAGCTCATCTCTTTGAGAGACTCTGTTTTGCTCGCTCAATAATCCAGTACATTTTGCTCGGTAAAGAAATCTATAAAGGGGTATGAGCTATAATAATTATTTATAATGAAATTTCTAGCTAATTCTGTTTAATTTTAAATAGCTTGATAAATTTTACAAATTAAATTAATATTTTCCTTAAAATTATTTCTAATATGGATTTTTTTTAAATTTAGAAAAAAAAATTTAGATATAAATTTTTAGCCTTCCATAAGCGAACAAAATTTTTTGTTCACTCAGGGAGGAGGATTAAAGTAATTCCAGATAATTAAAAGGAACTCTTTTATGCTAGAATTAGGGATTAAGTGTAAATAGTTAGAAATTGACCCTGCCAGTGATGGAACCCAGCCAAGCTCAGCTAGAAGTTTAAGTAACAGCATTGTATTTGGCAAATCTTGTCTAGATTGATTATACATACCAATCAAATTTGCCAAAATGCTCAGCAGCAAATCAATCATCTGCAAAGCAAGCTTATTCCCTCCTCCTACAATCAGTGAAACAATTTTCAGTGTATATGTATCCGAAAGCACTTGCTTTCTAATAAAAAGCGTATCCCAATTAGAATTTGATAAGTTTGGCAGCACTTCGCTATAATGCTGTATTAAAATCTGCACCTTTTCTGAAGGCGTATCAGTTTCTTTTGAAATTGAATAAACAGACTGAGGAGGCGCTCTGTAATTAAAATCAAATTTCGAATGCAGAAAATAAAATTTATCTCTAATTCCTGATTCTTCAACTTCTCCTTCTTCTGGAGATTTCATCAAATCTTTAAGCAATAAACATGCAATACTCGGCACATCTCGATCAGATCCATTGGCAACATACCCAAATGGCAGTGCATGGGCAAGTAAATTAGAGCTGGCATATTGGAAGCATTGATATTGCTTACAAAGAGTCACCATTGGCGCTGATAGTTTTTCACATAACAATTTTACTCTTAAATCTTCTTCGCCAAGGCCGAGTTTTGAAGTAAACCGAACGATCCTTAATAAGACTTCAGCGAGATCAAGCTCATCAACATGCAAATTTGTACACCATAAGTCAATAAATTTGATAAATTGCAAAGCAAGCTTTGTGGCTTGGGTTGCTGGGAGAGTTATTAAGGAATTAAGGTGCATGAATAAGTTTGCTCGGAGTTCATATAGATGATAGAGTGTAAAGCAGCAGCCGTCTTGGATTTCTGCAATACTTACGTGGGTAAGATTAAGTAAAGCAAGCTCATGAGTTGTTGGGTTGAACGAATTAAGGACGTTCGTGATTGCTTGAATTCAGGCAACCGGACTAATCAGCTCCATTCGTTTTTTTACCCTGTGGAATATTGAACTTGAAAAATTAGGCCCTTCTATGATTTCTTGAAAGATAGCGACTCATAGCTCAGTTTCTGTCGGAAAACTCTTAGAAAGTGCTTTAGGCGAGTATGATTTCACAAAATTTTCTAGTTCCTCAGTCATTATTATTATGCTAATTACAAGAATTAAAATATGATCGTAGGAAACAGAAAAGACTTGCTTTCCTCTTTATCCCTTTCAAATATTTCAAATAATACCCCAAAGACTCTTAGACTAACTCCCCTTTTCCACCAACAAAATTCTGAATCAACATTACGTGATACAACGGTTAGTCGAGGACGTACATCCCGAGCCGATCTGCAAGGCCTTTCAACGACAGATCGCATTTCACATAGAAATTCTAAAAGCGTCAACTTGCAAGTGTCCCCTGATGTAGCTGCTGAAGTAGTAAAAAAATATATCTTGCCAATGTTCGAAATTGATGCAAGAAATTCTAAAGATTCTGCAAGATCGAAAACTTTTGGAATCCCAAGGACTGAGAGGTCAAGGCAAAATTCTGCTTTTGACGGGCCTGTATATGCAGAATTAAAGCTGAGTGAAAAGCTGAATCAAGAAATTAAGTCATTAAGAGAAGAACTTGAGCACCAAATTCAATGCGTTAAAAGAGCTGAGCAAGAGAAAGAATTGATTAAAAATGAATTTGGCCATGTAAAAGAAGCACTATTTAGAAGTGAAGCGAACTATGCAGCTTTAAATTTGGAACTTATAGAGATCAGTAAGCAGCTTCAAGAAGTGGAGCAGTGTCATAGTGTTCTTAAAGAGCAGGCGCAGCAATATCAAAAGCAAAACAGCGAGCTTGATACAAAAGCAATTGAACTTGGAAGGCAGCTTCATGATGAAATGGCTGTGAACGATAAACTGAAAAATATTGCGTTACAATTGCATCATGGCAACTCTTTGCTAGTAATGCAAAGTGAAATAATGGGTGAAAGATTGAAAGGACTCTTCGAGTCTTTTGAGTTTCTTACCAAGGCTCAAAGCACTGAGGCAAAATTAGCTGAAGAGTATACAATTTTCAGTGCATGAGGCAAAGAAATTGCAAACGGCTATATTAGCTTATATAGTGAACTTAGAGATGTAACAATTAACCGAGACGAACTTTTTAAGGACTCTGTTGAGCTTGCCGAGTTGAAAAGCGAGCTTCAAGGCCAACGAGACAAAATATACAAATCATTCAAAGACAGAGTATCCTATCTTGAGCAGGAACTATCAAAAACCCAGGAAGAAAGCGTAACCATAAAGCAAGAATTTTCAACTCTCGAAAAGAAATTTGCAGATATCTCAAATGAATACAACCGTATGAGGCAGAGGCTAAAGCAATTCAAATTCCAATCAGAGCTTGAAGAAAAATTTTGCAAAAATTGCCAAAAACCTTATATTGAGTCTGAAAATTTTAACTGATCTTGCAAAACTCACAAAAGCAAGTTCAGTGGAGATCTCTATTGATGCTGCGGCAGAGCTGGTAAAGATGCTCCAGGCTGTGTCTCTTCTAAGCATATCTCAAAAGATGACGAGGAAATTGAAATAGTTAATGAAATCTCCAGACTTTCTAACCGCTGCACAGTAATTTTTATATAGAGCTGCAGAACACTTGGCCATTTTGCACATGAATGCCCAAGAGATCCTAACGCAAGGACAAAATATGAGCCGAAAGATGAGCTTGAACGAATTTTAGATGTCGCAAAAAATAAGAAAAAATCTCACGTGTTAGAGAATGATATCCAAGACAGGATGATGAGCTTAATTAAAGAAAATATGCTTGAAAGAGAAGCGACAGATTATGAAATTACAGAAGAGAGCCTAGAAAATATAGACTATGCAGGAAGATCATTTAAAGATTTGTTGAAGATCAAAAAAGATTTACCATTTGATTCATATGTAAATAGAGTCAGTCTTGAAACAGAACAGTTAGAAGAAGATAAGAGTCTTCACCGGAGCTTGAAGACGATGAAAACATTTAAACGGAAGTCGATTGATCAATAATTAAGTAATGCCATTTTTTTAAAAGTTGCTTGAATTGGTCAGTAAATGATTTAAAAATATATTAGCTATTATAAAGATGGTTTCAAATGAGTCTGAGATTCAACAAGTGTTCACTGACATAGGTGAGTTTATGGAGGAAAATAGAGAGTCTGTGCTTGAAAATATACCCCTCACAAATTCTGATGACTTGAGCTATACCCATGAAGATGTAGACTTCTTTATTCCGTCTAGCGAAAGTGAGGAAGAAAAAAGGCTGGAAAGCTTTGATATGCTTCAATGCTCTCTTCTGCAAACTGATAGCATTGTTAAACTTGGATCAGAAATTTCTGATGATTCTGTTTTGGAACAAGATAAATATGAGTTAAATGGAAGAGGCAGTTATAGCAATCAAAGTGCACAGACGAAAACTGTGGAGCCTGTTTTAACCATTTCTAATGCTTTGCTGGAGAGTATAAGGGAAATCGTAAAAGCTGAGTTATACTTACTTCTTCACATTAGTAAAGAGTTTTTTATAAAAAATGGTTATATCATTATAAATTGAAACAAATTATTAAATTTAGATAATCTTGAATAATTTCTCCGAAATTTTATAATATAGAAGATTCAAATAATCTAATAAAAACTCATAGCAAATCTATTAATTTAATAAGAGCTAGAGAAAAGTGCCTATGAGTCAAAAATTCAGGCTGGAGTTGAATGCGAAATTTGTAAAGCTGATCCAATTATTGGAGTGATATACCATTGCCAAGTATGTGACTACTTCCTATGCCAAGCGTGCGAAGACAATGTTGATCATAGCCATCCTCTTATTAAAATTAAGTTCACAGCTAATAAAACAAAGCCAAGAGCTAGCTCAAGCCTTGTTATCGAACCATTAAAAAAGCCCATAATCCAGCCCCAGCAAGAAAGTCGAAAAATTACGTATCTTCCAATCGATGTTGATTACTCAGGAGCCATGTTCAAAAGACCTACTGGTAAGCAACTCAAAAAATTGATAGCCGATCTTAAATTACGAGGTTTTACGAATACCCATAAATGCATGTCAGCTCTTGCTAAATCAAAATATGATATCAAGTGCTCTGCTGAAATTCTATTAAAAGGAAAGTAAAATAAACGTAATAGATTTAAAATATTTTATATTAAAATATAAAAAGAGATAAGTTGCAAATGATCGAGGAAACCTTTGAATCAACATTGTAAGCTCTATTAAGAGTGCCGGATATAGATTTTCTTAAATATGTATATGAAGAAATCGAGCAAGGATCTGAAATTGAGCGAGTTTATGATCAAATCGAAAAGCCAATCACATTAGAAAAGGTCAAGAAAATATTGAAAGAACTGTCCATAGCCTTTACTTATGATTTTGCTCAAGCACATACATATTTTCAAAAGAAAACAAATAAAAATGACCCTGATGATATAATTGACCCCAATAATATTCGTTTTGAGTCATTCAAAAGACGATTAGGAAATTATATACTAGAAAAAGCGTATGATATTACAGGTTATGAAGGTGGAGTGGCTCAGCTTATAGAAGATACACGTCATCAGCCTACAGAGAAGTTTTCTATCCAAGAGTCTACTAAAGAAGGCAGCTTTATTGATGAAGATGTTCCTCAAACTAATCAAAATGAAGCTGCTCTACCAAAAAGGGAAAGCAAAAATACTTGACTCCCCTCCTTTAAATTGGAACAGAAATCTGTTCCAAATTAAATATGGGTGCTAATTTAAATTTTTCTGCATAAAACTTAATTTTTTTTGAAAAAAAAATAAAAAAATATAAATTGAGCACAATACTTTTAATTTTAATTTATTTTTATGAAGAACTACATAAAAAATTAATCGATTCAGCTTAAAAAATTGTTTAAATAACATCTAATTGCATTTCGTCTATAAAATTAGATCAAAACTAATTTTTATAAAAATTATTATTTTCATCTTTAAAATTTTCTTATTGAAAAAAAACAAGTTTTTTTTCATTTTTAAAGGGGTAGTTGAAGTACCCAAAAATTGCAAATTTTAAATTTAAAGGGGGGGGAGTGAATAAGCAAAAAGCTAGAAGAGCATAAAAAGGAAATTGAGGAGGTTTTTAATACAAATTTTAATCAGCTACAAGGATTGATGGACATAAGGGTATGCAAAGAAATTGTGCAAAACATTTTTGAGATAACCAAGGTCGATGTTGCTGAAAAAGAAATAAAAAAGATTTTTAGATATATGGACAAGCAATATCCACCTAAGAAATGCGATGAAAATGAGCTTCTTGAGCTTAGGCCAGAAGCTATTGAAGAACTTGCAAAATTAGGTATTGATCCTTCTTTGGTTTTCCCTAAAATAAGTTTAGATGAAATTTTAGATATTATAGAAACTTGAGCAGAAACAAGTGTTGAGCCTATACAAGACGATAATATCTTAAAAATAAACAAAACTATTAAAGAATATACTGAAATATGCCGACTGATGGCAATTAACGACCAAAACACCAAACCAATTGAAATTTTAATTTCAAACTTAGAAAAAGAATTGAAAGATTATAAAGCAAATAAAGAAAAAATTGCAGAAAAGGAGGTTCTAGGCAAGCAAAAAAGACAATTTGAAAAATGAAAATTAAATAGTTAAACTTCCATAAGTGGGAAAACCTAGCCTTTGCCTCGTCTCAGTTCCAAGAATAGCAGTCTCCATAACTTAGGAGTTCAAATGTGGAAAATGGAAGGCTGTCAATTTCGATTTCCGACCTGAACCACCTGCCCAAGGGATTAGCTCCTAGGGCAGAGCCACCATCCATAGAGAGCCATAACGATATTGACAAGGGAGGAATATATGTTTGGCAAAACCTGTCTAGCTCATCTGGCAGGGACAGGAAAACCTTCATTGAAGAAAAAAACTTCCCTCTTCGGCAAGACATCCCCAGACCTGAAGGACTGCTTCAAAAAGCGACAGATGCCCTGCTTTTAGCTTCATCAGAAATATTTCTACCTGCTCTGCCCTAGGAATCCAATTTGCGTCAATATCGCCATTTTATTTCTAGACAATTTAAAAGGAATCTTCCAATTTTATTCTCAAGTCAAAATGCTCGGAAAATCTTCAACTTTTGAAGAAATCAAAGATAATCAGTCAGTCTTGACCTTGCCCAGATTCATACAATTTTGTATAGATTTCAATCTAATTGGCATCCCATCACAGCAATGCCGCTTCATCTCAAAAGATGAAGTGAAAATTGTTTTCAAAAGAGTTTCAGTAAGCAGCAGAATTATGAAAGAATCACATTTTTTCGTAAGAGTTATATTAGGATGCTTTAGATAAGCTGGCTGCAATTTTTTATAATAAAAAATATGATGAAACTTATCAAACGAATTTTGCAAATCAATCGCTTTCAGTTAAAAGAAAATTACTTTATGAATATCTTGGCGTTAATAACACTGAAGAGCTAAAGAAAAAAGGGATAATTATTAAGCCAAAGCCAAAAATAACGGATAAAAAGAAAGACAAAAGAAGATCAAAGTCAAAAGCAATTAGTAAAACTCCTAAATCTGAAATACAAAAACCAATAATTTCAATCGAAGCAAAAGAAATGACATCTTCACGAAGGTCATTAGAAGAGATTCCAGCTGAAAATAAAAAAATAAGTCTCATCAAAACTAATGAAAATGAAGCTGACCATGCTAAAACAGAAGCTCAAAAAATCTTAAAGCCAGTGCAAAGCACAAAAGTGATAAAACCTCCACCCCTAATTAATTTAGAAACCACCAAAATCACATGAAACGACTTGCACAACATGGACATAAAAGAAATAAACACAGAAGATTCCCTCACCGATCTTATTTACAGTGAAAAACAAAAACAGAAGCTAAAAAACAAAAATTCCAGTCAAAAAAATATTTTTCAGAATATGCAAGAAATCAACGAGGCCTTAAAACTTCATGACACCAAGCTCGAAAAAGGCCTTAAAATTGTAGAGAAAGCCAAAGCCAGTATTGCTTTATCCCGTCTTTAATTTCAAAATAATGTTTTATTTAACTACTTCCAATACTAATTTGCATAAATGGAGACAGATCATCGATCAAGAGGTCTTTTAAGTGTAGCTGACGTTATGGGGACTTCAGACCCATCTTCCAGGAAAACTAAAATAGTCTGCACCATGGGCCCTGCCTGTTGGGAAATTGATAACCTAGTTAAGATGTTGGATCTTGGTATGAATATCGCAAGACTCAACTTTTCCCATGGCGACCACAAAGGCCACGCAGAAACTGTCAGAAGAATTCGTGAAGCCTGCAAACAGCGCCCTGAAAAGGTCTGCGCTATCATGCTTGATACCAAAGGCCCAGAAATCAGAACAGGAGAGCTAGAAGGGCACGGAACCGTCCAATTAAACGCTGGCCAAGAATTAACGATCACGACAGATTACACTTTTCTAGGCAATCATGATATGATAGCTTGCAGCTACCCAGATTTGCCAACTTCTGTCAAAATTGGAGGCACTGTGCTTATTGCTGATGGCTCTATTGTCACTGAAGTCACTGAAATTGGGGACACTTGGGTCAAAGTGTTGGTCAAAAATAACGCCAAGGTCGGAGAAAAGAAAAACATGTGCTTGCCTGGGTGTATTGTAAATTTGCCAACGATTACTGAAAAAGATGAAGACGATTTAGAGAATTTCGCACTGAAATATAACGTAGACTTCATTGCTGCAAGCTTTGTGAGAAAACCTTCTGATGTAGAGACTATTAGAGATATTTTAGGACCTAGAGGTGCCCATATAAAAATCATCAGCAAAATTGAGAACCATGAAGGGCTTGAGAACTTTGAAGAAATTTTAAAAGCAACTGACGGGATTATGGTAGCAAGAGGAGACTTAGGTATGGAAATCCCAGCTGAAAAAGTATTTTTGGCTCAAAAAATGATGATTCAGAAATGCAAAATTTATGGAAAATCGGTGATTACAGCTACTCAAATGCTGGAATCAATGATCAACAACCCAAGACCTACTCGTGCTGAAGCTAGTGATGTAGGAAATGCTGTATTGGACGGAACTGACGCCGTCATGCTTTCAGGAGAAACAGCAAACGGCCAATTTAATCTCAACGCTATTGAAATCATGGCCAAAATCTGCGTAGAAGCTGAAAGATGCATTGATTACTCCCAAGAGTTCTATAAAATCAGAGAATCAATCCCTTGGAGTCTCAGCACAACTGAAGCCGTCTGTTGTGCAGCTGTCAGAACTGCCCTTGACCTCAATGTACATTTAATTATTGCAGTTACAGACACCGGCTCCACCCCTCTTCAAATCGCCAAATTCAACCCTCCAATGCCTATTCTTTGTGTGAGTATGAGCCAAGCTACTATCAACCAAATGACTATTGTCAGAGGTGGACTCACCCTCAAAGTCCCATCATACGAAGGCACTGACAACTTATTAAGATATGCCATCGAAGTGGCCAAATCCAGAAACCTGGTCAAGTCAGGAGACACTGTTATCGCTATTCACGGCAAATCTGAAGCTGACGTTAACAGAGCCAACATCATGAAGATTTTAGTGGTCGACGAAGCAGATGACTAATAGCCTCGCCTAAATTTAATTTGCCTTCAAAATTCTCGTTTTTCTGTTTTTAAAAAAATCTTTTAGGATTCAGCTGGAAAGCCATTTTCTATCACGAATTTAAATTAAAAACGCGGGAAATGGAGCGAAATATTCCTCTTCACATCGAAAGATTAATATATGAGCTAAACCATAGCTCGAAAACTGAGCAAGTTCTTTTGAACGGTTCTAGCCTGATCTCACAGGATGTCACACTTATGCAGGTTTATTTGCAATTGGGCTACAGTCTGCAAACAAATCAGTTTGTCAGTTCGCCTACATCTCAACAGGCATTATGCCTGATCTCACAGGAGTATGGGGTTCCTCTCCATCAGCCTAATATTGACAGCTTTTTGGCGAATACGCCAGCAAAACAGGCAGACCCTGACACGGAATTAAGACATGAAATGATGAAGACTTTTTATGAGCAGGGAATTGATGAAATTGCCGCGGGAGCTGAAATAGGCTTAGAAGTGGCCTCGGAGCCGCCTCATGCAAGCATGTGGGACTGTTTTAGTGTTTTGCCTAAGGCAGTGCAATTTTCTACACCAAAACCTAGGAGAGCCCACCAAAGTCCGAGCACACAGGCCACCTGGCTTTTTACACCACTATCTTATAACTCGACCCCTTTTTCCGAATGTGACTCAGACATGGGCACCCCGAGGTCCACAAAAGGTCTAAAATACCTTACAACCCTCGTAAAACAATTAGTTTGCAAACAGCAGCCTACTTCTTTCAAAGAAGTTGCCCTTAAACTTATTGATGAATTAATCACGTCTGAAGGGGCTGATAGAATTAAAGAAGAAAAAAATGTCAGAAGACGCGTCTATGACGCAATCAATGTATTAATAGCTGCAGGAGTTCTAGAAAGAAATGGCAGTACAGTAAACTGAAAAGAAGAATGGAGTGCGCTGGAGATTGATGAAAAAAGAAATGAATTGGAAAAAAGGAGAAAAGAAGTTGAAGCAAAAAGAAATGAGTTTAAAGAAATACTCAACAAGTATCTGGCGATACAGAATCTTATTTATAGAAATACAAATAACCCAAAAACACCGCCTGCAATACAGTTCCCGTTTATTGTGGTGTCGACGGCTGATTCACATAAAAATTCAATGTCAATTAGAGTTAATAAGACTGCAACGTCTCTGACTTTGAAGTTTCAAGAGCATGCGACACTTTTTGGGGACATGGATGTGCTACTTTCTTTGAAAATGCACAATATCAAGCTGTCATTGCTGAATCGATTTTTGCCGAGTAGGGAACTTCTTAATTATTGCTCGCCGTGCTTATTCTAATTTGTAAAAAAATAATTAGTTTTTTATTTATAGATGCTTTGATTGCTATTTAAATAAAATTAAGGTTTAATAATTTATATAAAATAAGAAGTAAGAGGATTTTATTGTGAGCTCGAAAACTATAATTAATATGGCTGGTTTTCATTTGAGTATTTTTGTTATATCTATTTAAAGAACTCTATACTCTGAAGATCATTTATCAGCAAATGCTATTTGGTCTGATAAGACATTTATTCATAAAATATTTAGGATTTAAATTTCAATATTCTCATCGCTCAAATTTAACAATATTAGCTTAGCAAAGAATGGTTTTAACATTTCTACTGCCGCTTTAGATTTTCTTTATAAATTTTGTTGAAAGCTATGCTCTTAATATTCATGATTTGCAAGGTTCTCTCGGTAAAAGCAAGAAAGTTCCTAGTTTTTGCTAGAAGCAGATCAATCTATATTAATATATTGCAAATCTTAATATCACATAATATTAAACCCAACCAAGCAGCATCTTTCTATCATTTTATTATTCAAATACAATCAAGTTTAAATTGCTCAATTTTTAAACGATATCAAAATTTAGTTCAAACTGCAAAATAATTTCAAATAAATTCAGTGTCATCACCCTAAATCATTTCTTAGCAATTCCAATTAATAAAATAGTTAAATTTGTATATTTAAATTTTATTTATCTCAATTTTACAATATAATAAGGATAACTCCTCGATTTCCTTTATCTTTCGTCCAGCCTATCAAAGATATATAGTTCATTGACTATTAATAAACAATATGTTGACCACAATTAGCAGAAGGTTTGGAATGCTCAGCCTTTCAATCTAAAGTGAGCCAAGTTTGCTGCTTATTTACAAGGGAGGCCTTTTTTTTAGGGATATGCAATGTTTGTCAAATAATTATCAGATTTTAAAAAACCTATTCACAAATTTTAAATTTATTTATTAAATGTTTTAAGGTTTTTCAAACATCTAAAATTTAGCAGAATAACTGTAATTTTAATTTAAATAATTAATATTTATATATTAAAGCATCACATTAATTATGAAAGGTATTAATTTTCCAAATATTATTATTTCTATTATATTTTTCTATGGAGTGGAGTCAGCAAATTTCTTTGGACTATTGTCCCCTTCAACCACAGGAGTTATTATTGGAGGCTATCCACCAGGCCGCGAAATCCCTGACCATCAACCAATAACAAGAACTGACGAGATTTCAAAGGTACAATCAACCACTCTTCCTAATGGTGTTCGCGTCGTCACCGAGAGCACCAATTTCCCATCAAACGTCAGATTCGGGGTGACCATCAACGCAGGCACCCGCGATGAGACAGAAGAAACCTCAGGCGTCGTGAACGCTCTTAGACAAACTTTCTTAAAGACCAATGTTCGAACCAATGAACAAATCAACTATTGTATGATTCAAAGTTCTGGCGGGGCCTTCGCAATGGACTTTAACCAAGAGTTTATGAATTATACAGGCCACTGCTTAGCCCACGACTTCTACGACATGAACCAAATGCTTGCTGACTGTGTTCTTGATGAAAAGACTCTCATCGATGAAGAAGCAGCTCAATGGAGAACTGACGAGAAGTTCAGACTTGACGAATACAACTTGACCTTGCCAAAGAAACTCGAAAATGTCTGGCTCAGCACTGCTTATGGGTACAAAGGGTTCGGAAATCCTCTTATGGGTCACCAAGCACATTTCCAGAGTATAGGGTTTTATATGTTGAATAATTGGAGAAAAGCAACCATTACTCCTGACAGAATTGTTGTCTGGGGGGCTGGGATTAACAAGCATGAAGAGTTTGTTAACACTGTTGCTGATTATTATCGCTTTATTGACCCAATTAAAGCTCCAAAAAGAGCGCCATCAGTCTACTTAGGAGGTGAATTCAGAGAAATTTGTGACTCACCTTTGACTCATGTCAGCTTGTCATTTAAAGGATTTTCCAGATCCCAAATTGAGCACAACGCTGCTTATGTCCTTAAATACATCATAGGAGAAAGCAAAACAGGACTTTTCAACAGAGCTCATACCAATTTCCATCAGAAAAACCCATGGCTCTGCTATGTTAAGCCTCACCATACAACTTTCGAAGACTCAGGCAATTTCAGAATTAACGTAGCTGCTCCTAACGAAAAGGCTGCAGAGCTAAGCGAAGTCCTCATCAAAGAAATCCGTGACTTGCAAAACGTGACTGACGAAGAAGTTTCTAGAGCTAAGAACAAGCTTAAGAGAATCACCTATAATAAGTACCAAGACCCTGACTTCAGGATGAAGAAACTGACCCGAGACTTCTCTCAAACAGGAAAACTTGTGAGCTATGAAAGTTTCGAAAAAGAAATTGAAGACGTTACCACTGATCAAGTTAAGAAGGCAGCTGCAACTATATTTAAGAGCAACCCAACTCTTGTGGTTCTTGGTGGAAATCCTCATGGAATCTTGACTGCCCAAACTTTCCAGGAGAAGCTTAGATAAGCTTAAGTTATCTAGTTAAACTCTAATAGGTTTATCTTAAATATGGGGAACCCACAAATTTGCATTTATCTAATATCTGAATTAAAATTATTGCTGAGGGGTTTCTGGGACATTCCACATGAATATAGCTCCTTCAGCTCCAACAGTAACAATGCTTCTTTGGTCTGGGCTAAATGCAATTTTATTGATGCTTCCAGAGTGTCCTATTCCTTCATATAAAATAACTCCTTCATCATAGCTCCAAAACTTGACTCTTTGGTCTTCTCCTCCAGACACAAAATAATCTCCTTCTCTCGTTATAGCTAAAGCATTTACTTCGCCTTCTTCAGAACCATCTAGCATTCTTATTGATTGCCCATCAAATGTATCCCAATAAGTTATTTTTCTGTCAGATCCTGTTGTCAATAATTGGCTTTCGTCAGCGTTATAAAGGACTTGTTTAAACATTGTGCTTTCAAATAAACAAATTACTCTCGAAAATGACCTTAAGTCCCACACAATGCAAGATCCATCAGAGCTGGCAGTTACAGCAAGATCGTTGTTTCTGTTAATTTGGATTGCCCAGACTCTTCCTCTGTGTTCTTTCATTGAAGATTCCATTGTTTGGGTTTGCTTCCCAATTTTCCAAATCCTGACTTCTCCTTCAATTCCACCTGATAACACTCTGGTCGAGTTATTTGCTGAAATAATAGCAGTGACCCCATGCCTGTGAGCATCATTAATAGCATATAATAATTTTCCGGACTGAGGCAAAAAGGCTCTGATTTTTCCATCATTTCACCCACTTATGATACTTTTTCCATCAGGAGTGAAGCCAATGCAGTTACATTCTAAATTTTGAACCTGGATTCTGAGAAGTTCTTGGCGGTTTCTAGCATTCCATACACGAATATCATTGATTGAGCAAGTTGCGAAGACTTCTGAATAGTTTAAAGGAAAAGCTATATCATTTATTCTTTCATAATGGCAAGTGTTTCGCAGTTCTGCTTTAAGTTCGTCAGAATCAACGAAATAAATGTTTGACTGAGAAGTCCCAAGAAACATATGGGTGGCATCTGAAGTCAGACTTATAGAAGTTGGGCCACCTAACACCTCAGCTTGGACTTTTACTTGTAAATTTTGGCTCCCTAGCTTAGCTAGTGTCCCGTCTCCAGCACCTACTAATAAATCGCCATTAGGCAAAAGTGCCATACACTGAACCCCTTGAGAAAACAGTTTTCGAGCTGGTCCGGCTCTTCTATATAAAGCATTTTCTAAGTTAAGCTCTAAAATATCTCCTGTGCGCGTACCAACATATGCAAATCTGTCACTTGGATGAATAACTACATTAAGTATCTGCCTTTTAATATTTCCCAAATTTACTGCTTGGAAATTCAATTTTTTGCTGACATAGTCTGCATCCCAGATTTTCACGATTAAGTTTTGCACTGTAATAAGTTTTGAATCTGAACTATTATAAAACTTCACTTCAAAACCTGGCTCATGGCCAATAGTGCTTCCACATAAGCCTTTTCCAGTAGAGACATCTCATATAACGAGCATATTATCATCTTGGCCTCCTAAAGAAGCTAAATAAAGTTCATTTGGGGAAAAGTGGAGAGATTGAACTAGCACTTTGTGGAGCTTGATAGTTTGAAGAGGCTGTTTAGTGTTGAAGTCCCAAATAATAGCTTGTGCTTGAAAGCCCATATGAGTTTGTTGGCCACTTGCTATGAGGTTGCCGGATCTGGAAATTGTTATACATGATACTCGCTGGTCATGCCCGCGTAGGAAAGTTTGAACTCTAGAAACAATGTGACGGACCACAATCGTTGAACCCAAAGGATATATAATATGCTCATTGTCTGGGTGAAGAATAAGCCCCTGAATTACATTTCCTGAAAAACCAATAACTGCTGAAAGTTCAAGCTCCATTAAATAAATAAGAATAAAGGAAAAGACGAAAAATTGCTGACTTTAAGTAAAGAGGAAGATCAAACTAATTTTAAGATATAAAAGAAGGGCGACTTCTTTGAATTATTGGTATTTTATGCTGTTTATTTAATTGGCTAATTTATCAATAAAGGTAATATTTCGAGTTTTAATATTAAACCGAAACAAATACACATCGTGAAGTAGACCTACAAAATATATAGATCCATTATATAAAGAGAAATGCGAAAAACCATAGAATTGTGCTGCGATACTGTTTTTTCCTATGCAATTTCATTGAAAGCAATCCTTTATTAAACTCTCAAATACTCAGTTTCCCGTTTGAATGCAGTATAATTTATTTTCTGCAACAAAAAGAACTATTCCAGTTCTGGGTTTAACTTTCAATATTTTTGAAATACTATTACTAAAAGGATCAAAAGCTCTTAAATTGCCTGCTCAATAGTGCGCAATAATAATTTTTTCTTCAAAAGAAATGCAAGAAGTAATATTGTGTTTTGAGCGCAATGTAATATTTGCAGCTTTTTTTCATCTATTTCTATTAAAATCATATACATCTATAGCTTTTGATTTCCTAAAAGCGTAAATAAGTCCATCAAGATAAGCAATTATACAAAATTTTCTTGGTTTTATATCTTTGATTTCAGAAATACATAAATTTTTGTCTATGATAAAAGCTTGCCCCTTTCAAAAATTAATACAGAAGTATTTTCGATCTGGCATAGCACATAATGTGATTTCTTCATCTATAAATAATTCTTCTTTATGTATTGTGTTTGTTAAGTTAAGGTCTATCTTTATGGCTCCATTAGCATCAGCATATATTAATTTCCCTTCGACCTGGAGGCATTGATTGTCATTTTGTTTTATAGATTTCAATAGCATTGATTTAGTAGAACTAAGGCTTTTTTTGCATGCATTTTTCTTTTTCTGCACTTTTTGAGTTTTTTTATATTTTGTGACCAATATATCTTTTGATTTAACATGCTTAGGCTTAAAAACATTTGTTCTAGGCTTGATATGCCGAAACTTTCAAAAATCTGTTGTAATTGCCCTCCCCATTGTCTCCTAATAAAATCAATTGTAGCTGCCCACAAATCAAATCTATTAATTTATAATTAAAAAGTGCTCATAGAAAAATTTTTATATTAAGAATTTTTATTAATATAAGTTATTTTTGAATGGTATTTATACAAAAATAGACAGCATGTACACTATAAAATATATCGAGCTGTTATATAAGAATATTGCAGCAACCATTGAATTTGTTGGAATTCTATTTTGGCCTATAAAATATCACTCTAAGTAATTTCTTGGTAAGCTCACATCTATTAATTTGTAGATCGGACTGCAATACATTTTAATTTCTGTAAAAAAAAGAATAATTCCATTACCTCCCAATCCTTAATATTTTTACTAAACGTATCAAAAGCTCTTAGACTTCCACATCGCCTCAAAAATTAAAAATTAATAGTAATCGCTACTCTGTTTAATAGTTACTTCTTTTCTTAATTTATTTTTTTGCTACGTTTAATATTACAAATTACTCTGCATTATCAATTATCTGTCTTATATCTCACTATCATTATTATCACGCAGACCGCGGAGACGCAATCGCTTTATCTTCATCTTGCAAACTACTTGTATAAATCTCAGGTATTTTAATATCAAGCAAATCTTTAGCTCAACTATGACTCATCAACTCAGGGATATCACTTACATATATATGCGCTATATCTTTTGCAGGAGAGTTTTTTGCCAAAATTTCTTTCAAAAACTTAGGAGCTTCTGTAGGTTCTTCCATACTCTCTTCATCAAACCCAAACCTGCTGAACTGTCTTTTACTAGGCGTATCAAAATTATAGAGTCTTGGCTTCTCTGCTTTTATGCTATGAATATCATCGCTGAATACCCGTTTTCTCTGTAATAAAGAAGCTACTGGAAGTACATGATTACTATCTGTCTTTGAGACCACAACGCTCAAAAGAGGAAAAATTGAATTGTGGGGTTGTATATGCTTATTTCTTTGAATATCTTCTTTGGTAAATGTATCAATTTGGCTCCCTAATTCGTGGAGATATAAACAGTCTGCATTAAGACATTTTTGTCCTTTTATATATGAGTTGCAGTATTTAGAAGTCCCAAATGTAGCTTTTAGTCTTCTGCCTTCAATTTTGAAGCCATCACATGCTTTTATGCAGAGTGTGGCTTCTATTTCAGTGTTGTATGTAATAAAAGCACTATAGGAAATCCCTAAAGGGCTTATATATGGACTTGTTTTCTTGACAGCGCATTTCCTTATGTGGCCATACTGTCCAAAATATTTTTCTTCAATCATAGTCTATTTAAGTTTTACCTCTTCATCTGCTATGCTAGGTGGAAGACCTATCAAATAAACCAAATTTCTTTGAATAACTCTACATTTTGTTAATTCATGCCTATCGCTCGGTTTTGATACTTTTTGAGCTTGGAAGTGTCTGAATTTCTTTTACTCAGAAGACGTTGCTATAAAATTATGACAGTTATCAACTTTCTCTGTCAGTGGATGATCGCATTTCATGCATGCATTTGAAGATGGCTGATAAGAATCCATTGACTATAATATCAGAAAAATGGATGATTTAAAACAAATCATTAGATTTTATAAAGAAGCGCAGGTCAGCCCAATAATGACTTTTCATGTCCTTTGCTCTGCACCACCCCCTCTCTTGCCAGTCTGACTAGACAGATTAAGGCTTATATTGCTCTCTCCGAAAAAGGGCCTGGATTTGCTATCTGGAGGTAAAGATGCTGAGTCACTGTGCATGATGCCGATGGGTTATCTGATCCTGTAGTTGGCACGTGCAACATTGCGCTCACTGACGCTGCTCTCCATTCCAAAACGTTCCCAGGCTCTCATCTAGCTACATGTATTAAGAGGGCAGGCTGGTCTTTCACACCATTTTATGTGTGATGATTTAAAAATCAAAAATAGAATAGTTAAATTCTGATAATCTTAAAAGAAAAAAACAAAGCAATCCTTATTATCAAGACAAAAATTAAATTTTTCCTTATGCTGGATTGCTTCTATTACATAAAATTTAAGTTCACAATCAAGATTAATTATCAATTCATAAATGCAATAATAGAGTTGATTAATTTTAGAGGTTTACATAAGATCCTTATATTAAGTATGGTTTAATCTTTGTTTTAATTAATCAATATCAACAGGCCTCTTATCTTCTTCAGCAAGCTGTAAAATCCATTTGCAAAAATTGCCATCAACTTCGCCAATTCTAATGATTATTTCGTCTCTATATGTTCTTGCTTGAGGATATATATTAAATGCTTCAAGCAGGATGCTATTTTTGGTATCGTTATGAATCACTCTTAAGGCTTTTTCAATTTCTGATCTCCTCATTGTTTTGTCAACTTCAAAATCGATTTCATCTTCATAATACTGTTTTTGGGACCAATCTGTTTCTTCATCACCGCGGCTGAGCTCTCTATTAGCATTTGGATTAAATCCTGACATTTATAGGGGGGTTTGGCAGAATAAAGTTTTCAATAATATCTAAATAATCTTAAAACTAGTAAGCGTCATTATCAAAACATTAAAAACAAAAATTACTTTACAGTAGAAAATTATATGAAAATTTGCTTCTAATTTTTGATACTTCAGCAAGCTATTCCATATATATTTCTTTATACTAAATGCAAATATTATATTTGTTTTTCTATAATTTAATATAGTTAGGGAGGATCTCTAGCACGGGGCTTTTTTGGAAAGAAAGCCAAAAAAGCCCCGTGCTAGACATCCTCCCTAACTATATTAGGCACTTCGCGCCAAAAAAGCAAGAAAAAGGGCAGAATTGCTGGAGCTCCAAGGACTTTTGTAAGGCATGGAGGATCAGGTGGAGTTTGCAGTAGTAATTGTGGAACATTGGCTAGAGTCCTTGCTGCAAGAAATGAGTATGAATTTGTTGAATTTTGAGTCCCCGATCACAGTGGATGCGAATCGATGATTCAATTAAAACTAGAATGATAAAGGAATAAGGATGGCATACAGCATTTAAATGGCTATGGAGTTTTTTGGTTGGATGCGAAGGTTTAATTTTTATAATTTTTTGAATATTTTTTAATTAAAATAGAATGCTGACATCGATCAGCGGTAAAGTCTAAATAAGAATAATATTTGTTTTTCTAAATAAATAAAGCATTAATCCATAATTATATACTTATTTAAAAACTCTGGGAAGACTCCTCTATTAAGAAACAGCCATGTCTGCTTTAAAATCTCTCTTGAACTTTTCATATCTAGTGTTTTCTTCATTCCATATTTATCTAATTCTGCTTTGATTTCGCCAACACTCATTTTCGAGTAATCTGGCATGCCCTTCATATCAACTTCTTTGCTTTCTTTTATCGGCTCTATGTTTGCAACTTCAAATCTTTGAAGATTTTCAATTATTGGTTCATTTTCTATGTAAAAATCATTGGGCTCATTAGCCATAGCTAAATAGTTTTGTTCGTTTTGTGTTTCATAAATTTGGTCACTTTCTGAAATTTTTGGTTCTAGTTTTCCTTCAATGCATTCATTAATGTGATTTATTTGATCGAGCTCTGATAAGTGAGAGAGATTAATGCTGCATATGATGCAAGAAAGCTCTATCATATATTTTTATTACAATTTCTATTAGCTTACTTTTTAATATTTTGGCTTAAATAAATTTGCCTTAATTATCTGCATAGGATTGTATTGTGTGCTGATATATTTTATAATTATAAAAATCATCTCTTTTTATTCGAAATTAAGCTTATATAGACTAACTAGGTGGTCCAAGAACAATTTATCATAATTGCTTATATTGAAGTAATAAATAAATGGGTTTGTAATATTAAAATGGCTCGGAGCTTAAAGACACTGGGCAAGAATATTGGAAAAGGACTGGAAAGTGGAGGGAATTTGGCTAAAACTGCAATTTACTGGGGATTCGTACCAGCAATTCTATACTTGGCATTCACAACAGAACCAAAGCCGAACATCAGAAGCTTATTTGGATTTTAATTTTAGATAAATACTTTAATCGAAGTATTGCTAATGCTATTGCTACTATTTATAAATAAATCTTCCTTGTGAGAGAATCTTCACTGCCATTGATTTTTATTTTTCGTTGCTATAAATGTAATTTATTTCATTCTCTGCATTCCTTGGAAATTTGTGAATAAATCACATTGTAGTCTCTTTAATTAGCAATATTGTTATTGTCTTGAAATTTCCATGAAAATAAAACTCTGAATAAGGCATATGAGGTGGCTTTAAAAAGCCATTTTAATTGAATTTTTTATATAAATGGCGGATTACAATCGAATCCTTCTCACAGTGATGGCAGCGGGAATGGGTTTTGGAGTCTCGAGTTGTCCCAGCAATGTCAGTAGCCTCAAAGCGAGAGGCCTAGGGCAGTTACTTACTACTCCTTTTTGCACATAGCGCCCTAGCCAACGGCACCTGAAATGGAGCAGGGCAACTGACCTACTCAAGCTGCTGTGATGGCCCAGGATCGCAGAAGCTGTTGAGTCTTTTCCAAGGATAGCCTGGGAATAGGAGAGGCGAACTAGACAACAAATGGCGGTCTCTCTAGTTCAAAAATTGCTCTTATTAGAGGGAAGATCTGGCATCGGAAAAGGCACTGTTGGCATAAACTTGGGCAAGACCTTAAGTTGACAATAGAGGCGGTCAGGCTAGCCAGAAAATGGCCTGAGACCTCATCTCTACCGAGAAGCATAGGGGTTTCAGTCAGGGTCAAGACAATTTGCTGTGCCATCCTGTAAGTACGCCACAGAGTATGCAGTCTGGCGAAGCAGAAACCTTAAAGATCATTTAATTGAATTTTGTTCACATAAAATATAAATAAAGTATAAAATTATTAAACATTAAAATTAATTAGAAGCTTATTAAAAAATGATTTAAGATAACAATTGAGAACAATCTTACCTCTAATTATTTATTTAAGTAATCTTAAACCATCGATTAACTCAAAATTTCATGTGAAGCATATTAAGAATTAAGGAGTTAGGAGAGATTCAAATAAATGGATATTGGATAAATAGTATAAAGCTTTCAGCATCTTATCGTTAATTATGCACGCGCATCTGCTTTCAGAATATATTTCAATTAAATATATTAAAATTAAAGAGCAATAAAATAGTTATGATAAAATAATAAAGCTAACAATAAGCCCATTTTTTGTATTATCATTATTGTAACTTCATAATTAAATATGCGAAAGAAAGCGCAACCTGAAAATCCACCTCACAATGCTTCTTTGAGCCCCGAAAGAAATTATGAAGACTTCAAAAGTCCTCCAAAATTTAAAATTCCCCGAGAAGCCTCCCCAGAAACTACCAACTCTAGAGATGTAAACAAAATTTTGCAACATAAAGAGCACAGCCGTCGAAAAATAGATACAGCCAATTTCCAAGTTCAGCCAAAAGCTCCAGAAGCATCTCAGCCGATGAAAGAAACCCCACCTGAAATTTTCCTTCATCGAAACCCGCAGGGTGGCATTTATGTCCATGAAAAAGACATCGAAACGCTTTTCCGCTTCATAGACACTCACAACTACGGCAGAATAACAATGCAAGATCTCAAAAAAAAAGTATCCCTTTTCGCGAAAGAAATGACCAATAGAGATTTCAAGTTCTTGATGGCAGGTAAAAATGATATCAGCATCAGAGAACTTCATGACATTTTGAAATATAATGAACTTGAAGATTTTGACCCAATCGCAGAAGCTTTTAAGTTTTATGATCCTGAAGGGACTGGATATATTCATTTTTATTGAAACGGCAATTTAGTTAGAGATATTTTTTAAGTAAATGGCTACTTTTAATAAATTTTTAATTTAATTTAGATCTGAATATGTGGACTTGGAAAGATTAAGAGAGATTTTTTCGCTTTTGGGCTATGAAGACCTAACTTATGGAGATCTGCAAATTTTAGTTGAGTGTGCTGATGCGGATTTGGATGGAAAAATATCACTTGAAGACTTCAGAAGACTGATACCAGTCCATGAGCCTAAGGAAGGGGAGCCAAAAGCAAAAAATATTAATGTTGTGTCTGATCCGGAGCTGCATCAACAGTTTGTAGCAAATTTGAAAGAATATGGGGATACTAAAAAATAATAACTCATTTTAAAAATATAGATTTATATGAATTCAAAGGCCAGTTAGATCAATCCTTGATTATTTATAATTTTTAAAGTTAAATAACCTAAATAAAAAGCAATAAATCAAATTTATTTAAACTTGCAAGTGATTTAACACTTATGTGGGCTTTACTTTTTTAAATTTTAATTGCTTAAATCAAGATATAAACATTCAATTTATTACAAAGGCGGGATATAAATGTCAAAAAGAAAGCGATCTGAAGCCTCACGGGACATCATGAACAAATTAACTTGCCCTATCTGTGTCGACTATTTTAGTAAGCCCACATATCAATGTTCAAAAGGCCACTCAATCTGTGCTGGCTGCTATCAAAATTTATCAAGACTGAACCCAATCTGCCCTCTTTGCCGAATTCGATATCCACCAACTCCAATTCGTAATTTCCTTCTTGAGTCCATGCTTGAAACCTACCCCAGCTCTTGCAAATATGCAAAAGACGGCTGCAAGGAGACATTAAATCTCTCCAATCGGCATGACCATGAAAAATCCTGCCCATTTGACAAAGAGGTGAATTGCCCAGTTTTTAACTTTATCGCTAACGAGAACACACCACCTGATATGTGTAAGTGAAGAAATAGCATCGATAAATTAATTGAACACTTTCAATCTGATCATAATTTAAATCCTGAAGAAAATTCTCAAAGTTCAGTTACCTTAAATTGAGGAAAAACATTAAATTCAGATTTTATGTACCGAAAAAAGCTTGTAGTAATTAAGGAAAAATATGTGCTGGTAACGCTTTCGCATTTATTTGAGGCCTATGAGCTTGGAGTTATGGTACTGACTTTAAATAAGAGGTGCGATGTTAATGTAAAAATTAAAAGTGGGGAAATGTTTTATAAGATGGTTAAACCATGCTTTGGGATGAAATCTGTTGTGGGAGATGTATGCATTTTTACGTTGGGAACTGTTGAATTGCTTGTTTTAGAGGATAAACTTGAATTGATAACAAAGATTTCAATTGATTAAGCTAATTTGGAATTATAAAAGAAGGTAAATAGCTCTCGCTTAGTATTCTTTAGGAAAATATAGTATAAAATTCTTGATAATACCATTTTAGGCTCAGTAATAAAAATATGAGGTTAGCGTTCAAAAGATTGCATTTATCAAGGCAAATTTCATTTTTATCTGGCTTCAACACAGCGTTAAGCTCATTTCAAAATACGTCAAGCTTCAACAGCATCTCATCTCGAGCCTTTTCTTCACATTTTGATTTTCTTATTCCCCCCTTTTTAAAATGGAACAAAAAGCCTTCATTTTAAAACAAAGCTACAAATTTTTCACTCCTTCTGCACCACACAAAAACATCTGAGCCAATTAACAAGATTATTTTAGTTTTTTAAAAAAATTATTTTTTAAAAATTTATCAATTCAAAGTTCAAAGTTTGTTTAAATATTATTCTGCTCGCACTCAGTAATTTAAAGTTGAAAAATCTACGCGAATTGTTTGACTTTTAGAACATTAAATTTGCTATCAACACTATTTTAATTTTACTTACTCCCCCCCCCCCCCTCCGTGAGCGAACAAAAAAATTTTGTTCACTCACGGAGGGGGGTTAATTTTTTTTTTTAAAAAAAATTTTTATATATAAATTTTTATAAAAATATTTTTTTTCGAAATTTTAAAAAAAATCCTAATTTGCAAAAATTGGGAAGCAAATATTAATTTAATTTGCAAAATTTATGTTTTAAAACGCATTTTTGTTTAAAATTAAACAGAATTAGCTCTAGATTTCATTATACTAATTATCACTTATATATCAAAATTTTTTTCCATTAAAATTTTTTCTATTAAAAAAATTTTTGTTCGCTCACGGAGGGTGGGTTTTTGGTCAAAAAATGGGTGATTTTTCTAATGGTTTTGTTCGCTCACGGAGGGGGGGGGGGGGAGTTAAAGAATAAAGTTTTTTTGATAGTTTAAAGTGTAGTTTCCTTCTTAAAAAACAAAATTATCGATATTTTGTTCCAATAGAATTTAAAGGAGAGTCAATGATGAAAATTACAACACAATTTCAGCAAAAAATCTCCGATCAAGACAAGATATTTATGTTGGAAATCTACCATATGACACTACAGAATCAGAAATTAGAAAACACTTCGAACAATTTGGAAGACTCACAAGATTTTCACTTTTAAGCGGCCCAGATGGTTCCTTCAGAGGAAAAGTATTTATTACTTATGATAATCCAGAAAGCACTAAATTAGCTCTTAAAGAGAATTCACAGCTTTTTAAAGGAAGGGTCATAGAAGTAAGCCTTGATGCTGATAGAAGCAAAGAAAAAGCAAAAATTGAAAAAATATCTAAAAGTGATGATTGCACTATTTTTATTAGAAATCTTCCGTTTAGCGTAGGGGCTGAATTATTAAAAGAAAAATTCGAGAAATTTGGAAAAATTCTTGGAATTGACATTGATAGTTTAGAAAGACAAGATCTTCCTCCTGGCATTGCATTTATAACTTATCAATCAGCCGAAATGGCTAAAGCAGCTCAAGAAAATATGAATGGAAAAGAGCTAGAATCCAGAGCAATATCTGTGACACTAAAGCAAAGAAAAGATAAGCTAAATGAGAATAGAGTATATGTAAAGAATCTACCTGGATCAATTACTACTGAAGCAATAAAAACACATTTTGGCCATTGTGGAGAGATTGAATCAATCGATATTAGAGATCATGGGGTAGGATATGCTCTGATAAAATTTAAAAACTCCCAAGGTTTGAATAATGCTTTAAAAATGAATGACCAAGAAATTGATGGAGTTAGAATTTATGTTTCTGATTGCGGAAGAAAATCTTTTGAAGATAAAAATAATTCAGCAAGTCCTAACTCCTTGCCTTCATGCCAAGCAAAGCAATTGTAAAAAATTGTTGAGAAATAAACTATCCTCTGTGAATTCTTTCAATATAAAATTTCTTGGAAATATTTTTCTCTATATAATTTTATTAATTCAAAATAGCTTAAACTCTAAAACACAGAATTTATAAATGCACTTGAATTTGTATACAAATGTTTTCAATTGAAAATTTTAAATACTATAAACTATTATATTGTGTTTTTTAAAAGCTAATCACGGGTGGAGTAGAGATTTAACATATTCAAACCCAAAAGATTTTGGGGAAGCTTCATATGCTTCTGTGCCATTATTTCAAAATGAGAAAGCTAGTGATATCTCAGAAAACGCCAGCACCACAAATCAAAATCTCTATTCATCTTGCAGCAATAAAATCATCGGTTTCCGATGAAGATTAAAGATTAAATAATTAAGCTCGAATGAGTCTTGGGAGTTTATTTCAGCCCTCTCTGCATTCGCCGACTTCAGGCTCTTCGCCCTAAGCATCGATTAGCATTACTCCATTTTCTTTCAGCGCAGCCAAAAAATGGTGCTGTCGCCATTTCTCTAGGAGACGCACCCATTTACTTTTTTCGACAACTCCTAGAGGTCGGCACGATTTACCCAGGAATAGGAGGTAAGCATGACCCTGAACTCCCCTTTTGGTCCCCAATATTCTCTCTCGCATCCATAACTGTGAAGTTGTCTTATGAACTCTTGCTTCCTTGTCTTTTAGTACAGGATAAAAAAAACCTGTTGTAATGTCCCGACTAAGGAGAGAAAAAGTCAACCCTGGACACAAAGTTTCAGGCCTCAACCCTCTTATACCCAAAAACCCCTAGGGTATGGTCGGATAAGTCACTATTTTGTTTGTGTCATACCGATGAAGAAGAAAAGCAATTTAGTGTCTTTTTATCAAATTTACCTCCAAATGTAAGCAAGAATGATTTAAAAGCGCTATTCAAATCATGTGGAGAAGTAGATAATATCATAGTAAGTTGTTCACTTAACCCCAAAAATAAACGAATTTTGAATAATATAGAACAAAATTACAATAGTAATTTTTATATGAATAGATTGAATTTTGCTTATTACTGAAGATAAAACATGAAAATTTAAATCTTGAACAATTATCCACCTATAAATAAGTATGATCTATTCAATAAAATTTACTTGCTTTTTATTGAAGGAGTTAACAAAACTTCCCAAAAGTAGTGGAATCATTAAATTTTATGATCAAGTAGGTGCCGAAAATGCTAGAAAACTTGGTAATATTGATTATAATGGCTGTAATATAAAAATCCAAAAACGAACACCCAATTCATCAAAAGGGTTTGATATACGCGTCAAATTTTTGCCACGAGACGCAACTGAAGATGAAATAAAACAGATTTTTGGAGATTGTGGAACTATAACAAGATTGCATTTCCCAACTGATCGATTCGGAAATAAAATTGATGTCTGCTTCGTTGGATTTGAGAGCTTAGAGCAGGCGCAGGCTGCCATCAAAAAAGACAAATTAATTTACAAAAATTTCCCATTAGAGGTAAAGTTATTTACAGATGAAAATAGAGAAATAGGGTCTGTGTTTGAACGGAGGGATTCCTTAAGTATTTTAGTAGGAAATATTCCATTTCATGGAATTGACGAAAAAGATATAAAAGATTTTTTCTCTCACTCCCCCCCCCTTGAAATTGGAACTAAAAATTTGATTCCAATTTAAAGGGGGGTTAATTTTTTTTTTTAAAAAAAAATATCAATATAAAATTGTTTATAAAAAACAAAAGTCAAAAACTTATCGAGTTAGATTAATATATTTGTTTAATAAAATGCTATTTACTCTTTATCCTTTAAAAAAAAGCAAGATATAACTAAATTTTCATTATTAATTAATACGCCACTATTAATTGGCATCAAAATTATTTTACACAAAAATTATTATTTTTATTTATTGAAAAAAAAATTAAAAAAAAAAATTTTAGAAAATTTATCATCAAAGTGTTAATTTTTTTTAAATAAGATGTTATTTTATACTCTATTCTTTAAAATAAAGCTCGAAATAAGTAAATTTTGAAATTTTATAAAGAATTCCTATTGAATTTATATCAAAACTATCCGAATAAAAAATATCATTTTTATCAAAAAATAATGAAAAATTTTTAAAAAAACAAATTAATTTTTTTTAAAATTTAGCAATTAAGGATAATAATTTTTTTTAAATAAGATGCTCTTTATACTTTCTTCTTTAAACAAGAGCAAGATATAACTAAATTTTTAATTTTAGTTAAGAAGAAACATTTAAATTATATCAAAACCTTTTAGATAAAAATTATATATAATTTTTTATTATAAAATTAAATTTTGTTCCAATTTAAAGGGGGGAGTCAGTGTGGGAAAATTGTCAATGTTCATTTAGTTAGGAGAGAGAATGGGAAAGTCCTAGGCTATGGGTTTGTTGAATTTAGTAGTCAAGAAGAAGTTCAAAAAGCAATAAATCTTGAAGATAAAACACTATTAGGAAGAACATTACGTATTTCACAAAAAAGATCAAGCAGCATTAAGAATTAAGACAGTTTATAATTATCTTCTTATAGCAAATAGAAACGAATTAATAGATTTTCAGACATTTGCTTTTAATCTTGTATAAATCAGGTTTAGTGAATAAAATTTTAGCTCATTAAAGAGTTAGAATAATACTTATGGACTCAACAGATAGCACAGCTTTACTTGTATTCCTTTGCCTATTCCTTATCTATACAGCAATATCTTGCTTGTGCCTTTTTCGTGCTATACGATTGCATAACTTCACTACAGAATGGCGGCAAACCAAAATATTTTATGTGACAGTCCTTTTTCAATCGCTCTTACGTGCAATTTGCTTTTTAGTGATTATTACAAACCTGAAAAGTTTATCGGACGTTTTTCTTTTCTTATTGCTTTCAATTCCTGATTCACTTTTTATCGTAAGCTATCTTTTACTTATATGGCAGATGCTGACTGTCTTTTATTATGCTCACATCTCTCAGCTTCGGATGACATTTTTTAATGAGATTTCTAAGAGACCTAAATATAGTAAAGCAAGTAAAGCTATAGCATTTATACTTACAATTTGGATAGGTACCCAAATAATGCTGTACTTTTTACTGTCTTGCTCAATGCTGCACGAAAGAGACATATCAAAGGAAATTGGGATTGTTAATTTTATTCTACCAAGCTGTGTAATGGCAATGATGGTTTATTTTCAAATAAAATACTCAGGACTGCCGACAAGATCGAAAGTATGAAAGTCCAAACTTAATAGGATAAATTGTGTGGCCTTGTTTTGGTCACTCGCAAGATTTGCTGAAGGGATTGATGACATTTTGGCAGAATATTCAGAACCAAATATTCTGCCAAAATGGAATCCAAAGCCCAGGGGCGAAACTACTGGTTTCAGGCTGGGAAATAGTCTTGATTTACCAGCTATTAGCTGCCAGTGCTGCTGGGATCTCTTTTTAACTCTCAACTCTATTCCCTCTGAGGCGAAAACCTTGATCTTTAATAGAACCTGAGGTCTGCTAATCCCCATATTGCACTATAAACTGCTTCCATGTGACCCCTGGCATGATAAAAAAACGAAGCCAATTACATGTGCCAAGCGGGTTGGTTGGGTTATCATACCTTTTAATGTATATGATTATTCAGAACCAAATATTTAGTGAAAACATCACAAATAGAGCTGATCATGCAATGGATACGACTGCAGCTGCTTTAATGATATTAAGCTTAATAATTAGCGAAGTTATTTGCATGGCACTGGTTCTTGATTATGGATTTATAGGAATATTTTTGTTTTCTGAGGAAGAGGGTGATCAAAGTATCCTTGACATTGATGAGAAGAATTCAATTATGGATGAAAAAACACATGAGTTTTCAACACTCAGCATGGTTGCTGAGACCTCTATTAAGTTATCTGATTTAACAATCATTGATGAATATTTTTCAAAGAAAAATGGTCTTGGAAAGCTCTACAAGGCAACCTATAAAGGGATGACTGTAATTCTTACTCTCTCTTCTTAAATCGGTGCAAATATAGGAAAAATTTTATTTTTTGGTACTTTAGCATCCTTTAATTGAAACACTTATTTTATTATTAGGAAAATTTGATTAGTGAAAATACTACTTTTTATAAAATTAGTTTTGACCTAATTTTATGATAAAAGCGCAGTTAGAATATTATTTAGACGGTTTTCATACTAATCGATTAATGTTTTGAAATAATTCCAAAATTAAATCCAAAAATATATTACATTAACTTATATTTTTTTTGATTTTTTAAAACTATAATTTTTTAGGACAAAAATTCGCCCCTTTATATTGAAAAGGGATTTTTTGTTCCAATTTAAACCTGGGGAGTCAGGAAAAATCGTATTCAAAAGACTAAGCGGCTATGTGATTGAAGAATTCCAAGAAGAAATTAATATAATACAAACAATGATATGCAACCATCTACTCCCTATAATTGGAGTAATTATAGATCTCCCAACCATAGGTATTGTATATCCATTTGTTGAGCGTGGATCTCTCTATAATGCTTTGCACGTTGAAAAGGTCAAGTTTTCATATAGAGAAAAGCTAAGAATTGCTTGTGACATTGCTGAATGCCTTGAACAAATCCATTCCCAAGGCAAAGCTCATGGACATCTTACATCAGATAATATTTTACTTAAAGATGATGGGGAAGCATTAATCTCTGACCTTGGGTTCCTTAAGGTAAAAAAATACGCGGGTATTATCTCTGGATATACAAATAAATCAGGATGGAGCTCGCCCGAGTTCATAAAGGAAAAGAGACTAACACCTTTGAAAGCAGTGCCAAGTGACGATGTATATAGTTTTGGAATGATGGTTTGGGAAATCATGAGTGAGCAAGAACCATTCCCTGGATATTCTAAAGATCAGCTCTGCCAACAGGTAGTTGTTGAAGGGTACAGACCAAAAATACCTGCAAATATACCTGAAGTTCTCTGCAACTTAATAATGTCATGCTGAAATACAGATCCAGAAAAAAGACCACCAATATCTTTATTAGCTAGATCTTTAGAAAGAATTTCAAACTAAGAGTGAGTTGACATTTTATTAGATTAAATTAATATACACTAAGAAGAGGGCGCAATTAAAAATTTATTATAAAAAATATTAAGTAATGATCTTATCTTAATTTGCTACAAACAACTAATATAGGATAATAGAAAATTAGGGCTGAGTTTCTGCAATTAAAATGCTAAAATTTGGTAATTATTTTTCCTATATATGATTAGGCACGATAAAGCTGAGTTTTAACATTGGAGGTTCAATTATTAACTAAACTCGAGTTAAATTTATATAGGATAGATCAATATTTTTCATCATTGTTGTATGAATAATACTTTGATTTTCTAACACTTATCCCTATAAAAATGGGTAATGGATTGATAAATTACAAGAAAAAATAGAGTAGAGATTAGCCAGCCCTCTAATTCCTATAGCCAGATGGGGAGTCTGTGGGACCTTATGTAAGGAGAGCATCGAACGGTAAGGGTACCCTGCTGAGTTTTATTTGTATGGTGGAGCGTGATGTCAGGCTGGCTAGCTGCAGGCTTATATCTAGGGCAAGGTTTTACCTCATGGGATGATGGAACTTGGAAAGGAATAACCCTGCAAAGGCCAGATCGCATTGCTTGGCCAATTAGGCAATTTTCCCAATGCGATGTATGAAGTTGTGTCCTGGGCTACAGACCATATCTTGACCAGAAAATTCACTCTTGAAGTTTCGGAAAGTCAACCCCATTGGCATACAGAACGGTGATCCAGCGTCTTTACCTTCGGGCTACGAGTGAAAGCCCTTGTCCAGAGAGAGGAATGCATGCCTTTAGGTTGTGGAATCAGACTGGCAAGCAAGAGGGTCGAGTGAAGCAAGCAAGTAAAAAACTGGTATGGCCGTCCATGGAGTTACTCGATAGTAATCTAAATTGAGATATTGATGAATTGTATTGCATTACATTTAAGGATATCTAATGCTTTTGATTTAAAGCAAAAGTAAAATAGAAGAAATTCTAATAAAAAGGGCGAGAATTACTTTATATGTTGAATATTAATCTTTATAATCAATAATTAGCTATAATATATCAACTATTGTTGATTGCTACACTTATTATTTTTCAAGAAAAATTAGAAATATTTGATGTCTTCATATTCATAGTTAATATATTTGGGTATAAAGGCATATTTTTACTCTATTCATTAAAGTCTATCAGATTTTCAGATTTGGAGTTTTATAACACTTTTTATATTAAGTCTATTATTCTGATGGTATCAACATATTTATGTATAAATAAGGCTAAAAATGAATTCATCTTTAGAATTACTTTCAAATAAAATGGTTGAATGCAATGTAGACATGTATTAAGCAAAGCTCAAAGATAATAAACTTAAAGCACTATACTTATATATACTTATTTCCCCCTCCGTTAGTGTGAAAAAAACCATTGGAAATATCCCTATTTTTTATGTAAAAAATCACCCTCCTTAAGCGAAAAAATATTTATGAAAAAAATATTATGATTTTTAAGTAATAATTATTACAATGAAATCTCTGTTTAATTTTAAGTAGCTTTATTTTAAAACATAAGTTTATAAATCAAATTAATCTTTACTTTCTAATTTTTGAGAATAAAACAAAATTTATAAAGTTTATATAAACAAATTTTTAAAAAAAAAATTAGCCCGTGAGCGAACACAAGTTTTTTGATCTCTCGCAGGGGAGTTAATAATTATTTATTTAAAACATAATAGGAATATTCATATTATTTTAAATTTAATCAAATTTTATGCAAACAACTATAACATAATTTTAAGATTAAAAATATTTTTCGAAAATCTATACTTACAAAATTTTTGAATAATAAATAATTATGCAAGGAGAAGCAATGTGAAAAGTATTGGTTATTCGTCTTGACTTTATTCTTCACTCCCGCCAGCTAGACAAAAATTTTATATGAAGAATAATTATTTATGGAACATCATGGATACCCAATATGAAAGCAAGAATCTAAAAATGGCTCCTAGAACTTCACTGACAATCTTACTTCATCGTTTGAATTCTAATAGTAAATATTTACATCTAATTCATTCATAATTCCATAAAAAATTTTTACATTTTTTGTGCAATTTCAGACTCAAATTTTCAAGTGAACAAATAGTGGCCAAGAAAACTGTCTCCTGAGGTCTGAAGCTATAATAATAAATACAACATGCAAGCACTCGTATCAAATAGCGACAGCCACTTAGATGATTGTTTATCTTTCGTAAACCATCGGCTTGTCAACTTAGAAGCTCGGCTCACAGGCCCGCTTTCTCCTTTGAAACCTGGGAGTCCTCAGTCTGAAAAATCTCAGACTTCTGATCAGTCATCGATGACAAACTTTTTGGACTCTTCATCTCAAAAAAATGTAAGGAAAAAATATCCCATTTATAGAAAAAAATCTCATGAAAATAATCTGTAGGTATTTAAATTCCTGCAAGGAGTAGTCCAGTAATAGAAATAGAAAGATGTTTGATCTTGATAAATTGGAATATCAATTGTTACTTACTATTTAGGCATCGAGAGGTTACACGAGCTCTGAAGCCCCTCTAACAGAATCTGCAAAGCGTTCAAGATCTAACGACTTCTCTGATTATTCGTTCGGAAATCTAAAGAAAAAAGGGAGCTTCAGCGGATCAAAAAGGCGCCAAAGTGATGAATTGTCAGTTGACCAAGAAAACTCAAGGTCATTAGGCATGGACATTGTCTCGAATCCAAATGAAGTCTCCGATTTCTTTAAAAACGACAGCTGCTCTGAATTTATTGTTCCCACATTGGTCAATTCATTAAGCCAAAAAATTGCGAAAATGCAGCAAGACATGAAGCAGCTTGAAGGGAACATCCAAGAATTAAACAAGACAATCCAATGTAAAGATGCCTTAATCTCTAATTATAAGCATCAACTAGAGCTGAAAGACCAAGAATACAAGACACTTACTCTCCCTCCCCCTTTTAATTGGAAACCAAATATAGGTAAAATTTCCATTTTTTGGGTAATTTAATCCCCTTTAAATTGTGTTACAATTTTTTCCAATAAGAAATTTTATGGCTTAAAATACTAATTTTTATAAAATTAGTTAAAGTATTATTAAACAGATTCACACTAAATTCTTAATTAATTTTTCATAAAATAAGTTAAAATTAAGCTCAATTTATATTTTTCTATTTTTTAAAATAATTTCTTTACTCCCCCCCCCTCCGTGAGTGAACAAAAAATTTTTTGTTCACTCACGGAGGGGGGGTAATTTTTTTTTTTTAAAAAAATTTATATATAAATTTTATATAAAAAATATTTTTTTTCGAAATTTAAAAAAATCCTAATTCGTAAAAATTGGAAAGCAAATATTAATTTATTTATAAAATTTATGTTTTTAAAAAGCAATTCGTTTAAAATTAAATAGAATTAGCTCTAGATTTCATTATACTAATTACCATTTATATATCTAAATTTTTTTCAATAAAAATTTTTTCTATTAAAAAAATTTTTGTTCACTCACGGAGGTAGGGTTTTTGGGCAAAAAATAGCGATTTTTCTAATGGTTTTGTTCACTCACGGAGGGGGGGGGAGTTAGTTAAAAATTTAATATAAATATTAATTAATCCCAATTAAATGGGAACAGAATTTTTTTGGTTCCAATTTAAAGGGGAGGGAAATTTAGTGAAGAAACTAAAAAAATTGTGCAATCAGCAGAAAAAGGGAAAACAGCTTTAATAAAAACGATGAAGCAGCTAGAAGAAAAAAAGAGAAAAGAACTAAAAGAAAAGCTCTTCACTGACTCTTTTAGGCTTGGAAAAGTCACTATGGCAAGAATAGGAGCTAAATTCATTGAGACTTGGGAAGATGGCAAAGAAATTTTAGAGACTAAAGAAAGGCTGATTTCAGTCAGCAGCCAAAAGGAAATGCTAGAAAAGCAAAAAAAGCAAGCAAAAAAGCTTGATGAAGACTTACTTGCAACTTTGCCACTAAAACTAGCTTTATTAACAAGAGAAGAAAGCGAACTAAAAGACAGGCTTGAAAGGCTGGAAGTTGAGAAATGCATATACGTTCAAGAATGCAAAAGAGTCACTGAAGAAGAAAACGCGAAATATTCAAAAACAACAAGCGACTATGAAGCATGGCCTGTGCTTCATAAACGATATTTATTACTTTCATTACTAGGCAAAGGAGGATATTCTGAGGTGTATAAAGCTTATGACCTATTTGAGCACAACTATATAGCAATTAAGTTCCATCAACTTAATCCAGTATGGAGCGAAGCTATAAAAGCTAACTATATAAAACACGCTCTAAGAGAAAACCAAATACACCGCGAGCTTAACCACACTCGCATTGTAAAACATTTCGACACGCTAGAAATTGATAACAACTGCTTTTGCACAATTCTCGAGTATTGTCCAGGAGAAGACTTGTCAATGTACCTGAAAAAGCATAACAACTTAACAGAAAAAGAAGCGAAAATTATAATGCAGCAGCTTTTTACAGGCCTGAAATACCTGAATGACCAGCCAGAAAAGATTATCCATTATGATCTCAAGCCTTCCAATATTTTATTAAACAATGGAGAAGTAAAAATAACTGATTTTGGCCTTTCTAAGGTAATGGATCCCAATAAGACGAACACTGAGCTAACAAGCCAAGGAGCAGGAACCATATGGTACCAAGCCCCAGAGTGTCATCAGCGAGGCCAGCTTCCACCTCTTATTTCTTCAAAGGTGGACGTCTGGAGCGCTGGAGTTATTTTTTACGAACTTTTATATGGAGTAAAACCTTTTGGCCAAGGCATGAGTCAAGAATCAGTATTTAAAGACCAAGTCATAGTAAACTCGTCTGGGGTGGCGTTTCCAAACAAACCAGTTGTTTCAAATGAATGTAAAGAATTTATAAGAAAATGTCTTGAATATAACCAAGATGAACGTTTTGATGTACTTGAAGCTTGCAGTTCTCCTTATCTTAGTGGCAAAAAATAAATAATTTGCTATAAATTACTTATCTTTTAGATAATGCATATGAAGGTAATTGTCCTATGGTTGTTCGGATGTCGTAATAGCCTGGCCCTGGAGATGCAAGGAATGATCTCTTTTTCCAACGGTCACTGCCAAATCCCCAGCCAGGAACTCGGTCAGTGTTGCTTGAGTTGTAAGTGCCTGGACCTGGGACTTCGTTTTTGGAATGAGAGGCATGGCTTCGGTTGGCTCGGCTGACTGAGTATGAAGGCGACTTGTCTCGTTTTTGAGGGTTATATTGTCCTGGGCCTGGCAAAAAATCAGACTTCTTGCTTTGATATTTTCCTTTAATTGTATAAACTGGCCCATCAGGCTGGTTAGATAAAGAATAGGCCCCAGGTCCTGGGTTATTTAGAGTTGTGCTTAAAGCTTTGCGTTTACTTGACCCAAAAACTGATGCAAAGCTTGGCTCTGTATATGCAGGATTATAAGCACCTGGCCCTGGTATGAATTTCTTAAGAGTATTACTGTTTACACCTCTATTTGATTTTCCTACACTATACTGTGGAGATTCTGCTCCTACTTTTATATCATAAGCTCCAGGTCCAGGCGTGACTGACCTTTCTTTACTTTCTTCTGCACGTCCTGAAATGCTGAATCCTTTACTATCCAAAGAACTTCCAAAATTATAAGTTCCAGGTCCAGGATTCATGCTTTTTGCATTATGGCTTCTTGTTTCATTTCCAAACTTCCAACGAGGACCATCTATAGCAGAATTTTTATTATCATAAGTCCCAGGCCCAGGTATGCTCCCATTGGATTTTGACAGTTTTTCGCCTCTTTTTGATGATCCCATAGAATATTCTGGGGCACGAGGAATAAATTTTTCATAAGTGTTTAGATTATATTGGCCAGGTCCTGGTAAACTTTGGTTTGAGGCTGATCTGACTAAACGGCCGAGCATTGAAAAACGAGGGCCTTCTCCAATTATGTTTTTATTTTCATAAGCACCAGGTCCTGGTGCAATGTTATTGGAAACTAAAAATTTTCGAGCACTTTTGCTAAATTTTTGGGATCTGTTGAGACTTGTGTCAAGTAAAGGATTATAAGCTCCAGGTCCAGGAGAAATGCTATTAGGTTTGGTTAAATTATATCTTGAGCTAGTTCCGATTTTATAATTTGGAGAATCAGGCTGATCTTTTGGTGAATATGATCCTGGACCTGGAACTTCATTAACTCCTCATTCAAATGAGAGCAAAAAAATTTCCTCCCATCAGTTTATTTTTTTTTAAAATTTAAATATCTTAAATTTTTCTCAAAATTAAATATAGAATTTTCCAATATTTGGCGCTGTTTGCCTTTGATTTGGCCACTGGGAAAAATTTTTTGGTTCGACCAGTACCATATGGTTTGGTCAAACCAAAAAATTTTCTCAGTGGGTAAATCAAAGGCAAACAGCGCTATCTATGGGAAAATTCTATAATTTTCAATTATCAAATATTAAATAAATTTTTATTATATTAAAAAATTTTTCTCAATTAAAAAGCAGTATTTTGCCAATGGTTTTGCTTGCTCACGAGGAAGAGAAGAAGTAAGGCGTTTTATAGATTGTCGTCCAGGCATTGACCAAGCTGGTGCATATTCCATTGACATTTTTTCTAAAACCTCTAATAAAATTAATTTATAATTGTAATTTGATTGCTTGTAATTCGTCACAAATTTATTGAAAAACAAAAGAAATTTCGCATACTTCTTTAAAAGACATAGTACGCTCGGCAATTTTTATCATTCTCAACATAATAGAAATTTTTTGGCATGCGGACTTAGTGACTAATATTAAAAATAAAACAAGATTAGTTTACTGGAGTACCACTTCTCTTTCTATAAATCCAACATCAGCACTAACAACAGTGTTAGCATCAGTTCAAATAGCAGCATCATATTAGGGCTTTTTTCGACCTCAACCAAACACCAAAGACTTTCGAAATCCATAACTGCCTAGTTCTATTTAATCACCGATTGGCACACTCTTCAACTGAATATAAACACAGCACATATATTTTTGCCTTTTAAGCTTATCAATATATATTGATAAATTGCATTCAAATTATTTGGTACTTATCCATATGGTCAAGTATAACCATTAAATTGAAACACCTAGTCCTAATAATAAGAGATAATCAAAAATTTTGTTTTTAATCTATCATAGCACAATTTTTAGCATTTTTGGCAATATATTGAATACTCTATCTCTCACCATAGAATATTTAAAAATTAATATTGTTAGTAAGTTTTCATATTTTTTATTAAATTTAAATGAGACACATCATGTTTTATATGTAAAATCAGTTATTTAAACAGATTAAAATGTCAATGCATTAATTAAGCAAGATAAATGGTAAATTAAGTATGTATTTATTATAATTTATGCACCATAATAGATCTATACCGAGCAGAATACCGACCAGAAAAAAAATATGGTCCAGAACACTTGCCATATGCAGTCTTAGTCTGATTAAGCATTTAAAAATAATAAATTGGAATTTATCATTTTCGTTTTACTTTTCAAAAAAATGGATGATCAAAATAATTATTGATATAATTATGTTTGAATTAATTCATTTTGCCATTTTAAAGTCGAATTTGAGTGGATCCATACAAAAACGTGATAGCAAAGGGAAATTAGCCTTTTTCTCTATCATTTATTAGCATCAAAATTCTGTCTGTACTGAGGATATGAAATAGAGTATTTAATATATAAGAAAATATCTTATGAATAGCACTATAATAGTATAGAAGCGAAAATAATGCAACATTTTTATATTTCTTTTTATCAATGCTAGATAGTTTGTTTTTGAAGGGGGTGGTGTGGGTTTCCTGATTAACCATCCATAATCTTATATAAATAAATAGGAATCATTAGAAAATAGATTCATTTATTGCTCTAAATATAAGCTAAAAAGTAGGATTATTATCATCTAGTATTCTAAAGCCAATTAAAATTATTAAAAACATATAAACTGCTTCCTTATATATTCTGAGTTTTCCCATTCTTAGATAATCTCTAAACGAATTTCGGATTAACATATATTTATAATTCTGCAGGCTGCATATTAAAAGTCTATTTATTTAGCCACTAATGCATAAATATATTTGGTCACAATATCTACTCCCTTCTGTCTCAAAGAACAGTAATTTTTTTTTTAAGTTACTTTATTTGTAAATTTTATATGATTTTTAAAAATTCCAGATTGTAATAAGTCAGAGACATTCTTGTTTAGGTGTTAAACATATAAAAATCCATAAGACAGTTAAAAAGATTATTCGCCATTTAAAAATTTGTATATAAAAAATTATTTATATATAAAACAATTGTTGCTCTTTAAAGGATAAATATATATTATATCTTTTGATAGTTTTACTCTTTCTCTGAGAGATAGAAGTTCAGGCAAAAGACAAGAGTAAATATATTTTATACCATTCTTGATTGAATCTAATAAAATATCAGCTTGAATAAGAAAGTTGGCTATCTGAAGCCCCAGTTAAGTGTTTATGCTGAATTTATTGCACAAAGCATATTTTAGTTAGCTTAATTTATTTTTTGCCTACCTTTTTAATAGTTTTTTTCTCTTCCTCAACTTTTTTTGCATGGGTCTCAATTTTCCCTTTTGGAGCTGGAAGTTTTTTCTTTTCTTCTTTCGGGGCCTCTTTTGGTTTTTCTTCCACTTTAACCTCTTCATGTTTAGTCTCTGGCTCAACAGATTCTGCAGCTTTTTCTTCAATTTTCGGCTCTTCTGTTTCAGCAGCGTGGACTTCTTCAAGAACCTCTTTTTGCTCTTCTTCATGCTTTTCTTCATGCTTTTCTTCACGCGGCTCTTCATGTTTTTCTTCTTCTTTCTGTTCTTCTTCACTTTTTGGAGGTTCAACATCTTCTGTAATTTTTTCCGCTTCCTTTGGAGCTTCTTGAACTTGGTCTTCAGTATGTTCTGGCTGCTGGTGATCATGATTTTCAACAACTGCAGCTGGTGGGCTTGGTACTACCTTTTCAGCAGGTTTGACAAGTGATTGAGGCGGGGATACATCAAGAGCTCCTGTCAGAGTTTGAATTACTTGGGTAAGCTGACTTACCAACGCACGTTGCTGTTCAAGTTCTTGCTCTATTGGAGCAATCCTACTATCAAGCATATGAGCTATTTGACTTTTTACTCGGTCCCAATCACTCTCCATCTAAAAATATATTAAATGATAAGAATAATTTTTATTAGCTATATCCTCTGATAAACGCAATAATATTTTTTGCCTTTATTTCTCTCTACCTTTTTCCCTTCTTCCGTTTCATTTATCATAGCAGTGACACATGGATCTGCTTCTATTTCTTCTTGAGGGACTTCTTTGTATAAAGGATGCTGCTTAAACTGATCTAAATGCTGTTATGATCATTTAAGATTATTGAAAACTCAATGCTAGGCACCGAAAGCCCTCATTCACTGTGCTACTCCTTTAGATGAGTGCCTGCACTTGCTTACCTGAAGTAAGATATTTAAATCATCTTGCCAAGCGCACGCATAGGTGGTCTCAATTCAGAAGGTCGAATTTTGGTAAGCTATTTGCTAAATGGGAGCTCGAGGCCAAGAACGCAACCCTTGATATTGAGCTGTATAGTTCTGAAGGCTTAGAAAGCGCTTTTTACCACTGCTCGGAGAATCTTTTCTATGACTATTATTTAGACTTTACCACTGATAGATATAAGCATTTCTCTCATTTTTTATAACATAAAATTTCAAAAGTATTTCTTCACAAAAATTTATTTCAGCAACCATTTCAACAACACCAATAGCAAAAACTTCAACAGCAATAAATTCAGCTTCTACTCCAACATTAAGCTTAGTAGCAACTTAATCACTCCGTTAATTGCCCACGTGAAAAATCCCATGGCTTCAATGCATCACTGAGTCGCTCATTCCTAAAACGAACTCAGCCATTAAACCTGAGACTTCAACCCTGCAGTCTCTTGCTCCTTAACGCTTTTCGACACCCTTTCCTTCAACAGTTTGCTTCCCTTTTTTGGCGCGGAATGCGCCTGTAAATAAAAAATGTGAAAACATTTCTCCATTTCTCATGCAAAAAACCTTGTGATTAGTTTTAACTTTGGCTAATCAGCTCAGCACTGCCGCTCCACCTGAGTTTGTAAAGCATATAGGATATACTTACTAGACGTACACATAGTCCTCCCTATTATTGACTGCTACAGAAAGGTCGGGCCAATTCACCACGCCATTTTAATGTATGCTAGTCTAAGTGCCACTCGTGAAGCTGCAATACGTCGGTGATAGCGTATATTTTCCCTCCAGACTTAAGGACATATGCGTACTCAGATAATAAATTCCTGTGTACAATTCTTCGTCGATGCACTGATTTTTTGAAGTGAGGGTCTGGGAAGCAGAAGAATAACTTTGTCAAAGAAGATTTAGGGAAATAATTTGTAATTTGTTTCATTGCATTTGCACGAAGAACGCCGATGTTTCAAAACTATTTAAAGTTTACTTCGTTGGTCTCTATTCTGGATGCTCAAATTTTTTGCGCAACGTAGTTTGTTACTTTGTTGCGGATTTCCATACCAAGCATGCGGGTACGTGGCATTATTTTACTTAATGCAAAAAGCAGTCCTCCATATCCACAGCCAACATCGGCAATTTCTACAGGCTGAGAAGGAGGGGGAAGTTTAATTGTGGAGAAATAGAGGGGATGCTCAATTGCTGAATAAGTTTTACTGTTGCAGTAGATATGGTCATTTTGCTCGAAAAATAAACTTCAGTCAATGTGGCTTGGAGAGATAGGGCTGCTTCAAAATTACAAGGGCCAGTTTGAATCGCTTAGAGGATTGCAATGAGCTCTCATTCGGAAATCTGCCTTCTTTGGTTGGAGACGTTCGCGTTTCTGAGGGAGTTCTAAACTATCCTCCATTTTAATGTTATATTTACTCATATATTAAATTAAAGCATGCTAATGTTTAATATCATATAGATTCCTTGTTTGGGTTTCACATTGATAATTAGAGTAATTTTTATTATTTAGCTTAAGAATAAATCATTAGCTAATGATTTTTTATTTGTCATTTATGTTCACAAATTTTCATATTAGCTAGATCAGTCTTTATTTTTATTAATTAGCCTAAATATAAATAATAATTATTTTTTAGCATCTATATCAGTAAATAATTAAATAATGATAAGTGAAATCTCCAAAGGGCTTTTTCTTGGGAATCATGAGACTATAAGAGATCGAAAATTATTTGATTCACACAAAATAACCCATGTCTTATATATAGGAAATGAAACAACTGAAGCTGAAAAATCTAGAGCCATATGGAAGACTATAAGAGTCAACACTGACTGCTGCTTAAGCATAAGCAAATATTTTTCACCATGTAATGAGTATATCAAATCTGTCCTCAAATCCAATAAAAACATTCTAGTTTGCTGTGAAAGTGGCGAATGCTTGGCCCCAGCATTTATCATAGCCTATATCATGTCTTACAAATCCTCAACTTTTGCCCAGGCATTTGAATTCGTCAAGAACAAGCATCCATGCATAAAGCAAAGTCCAGAAATTATCAGTCAACTAAGAGAATATCAAAACTTTGTATTGAGCAGACAAAAAAGAAAATTTCAAGACATTGAAATTAAAAAGTGTTTCATATTTTAAATAAATAAAGTAGCTTAGTCAGCTCTCACACATAGTAATGATTTTTACTGCCGAAATCAATTTGATATTTTAGACCTCCTGGGAATCGACCACCAAAGCAATAAATGAAGATATCTTAGAAACAAGAGAAATTAGGCTCTGCTAACTCTCCCCTTTAATATAACAAAAATCTATTTCAATTTAAAGGGTTAATTCTTTTAAAATAGATAAGATATTAATTTATCAGAAAACTAATTTAGAACATCAATTGATTCAGCTTACCAATTTTAAAATATCATTCTGATTGCGCTTCCTCAATTAAATTAGGTTAAAACTATTTTTATAAAAATTAGGATTTTTACCTATTAAGTTTTTAATTGATTACAAATATTTTTTCAATTGTTATTTTTCTAGCTCTTAAATGGAAAATAAGAGCTCTTCTGGGTTTGCAACTCCTAATATTTTATTTGAGAATTATAGTCACTTCGTTCCTCTTTTCAATAGTATAGCTGGCATTTTCCCAAGCCAACTGAACCTTTATTTTATGATATTTCTGAGGTGTATTAACCATGGAAGCTATTTTATGCCTAATTAATATCTGATTTTGAAAGTAGAGACTTATTTTTAGCCAGATTATACTCATTGCTATCAATTGATATCGAAACTTTCTCCATTTATATGAGCAAAAAAATGATATAATATTTTAAGATTTATTTCTCATTAATTTTATTATCAGCTGTTGATTATAAAAACTGATTTCAAAGATTTGCATATTTATTACAACTGCTTTTATATGAGAAGAAAAGAAATTTATAAAAATTTTTTATTATTAGATTACCTCTTAGCTCTTGATGCTGTGTTCCATAGTAATAAATAGGCAATTACTCTTATAACAATCACAATAATAATGTTATAGTAGAAACTCTCTGCTAAAGTTTCATGGAACCCAAGGTCATTTACAGGATCGCATTTAGTGCAATCACTTGAATCGCAACTTTGACAGGGTAAATTTAAGTCAGTGTATTCATTTATGCTCATAGCTTCAAATCCATATTTGAAGGGTGAAATGTATTGCACCCATCTAAAGGCAATAGGAATTCTCTCTACATTTACAAATTGGCCTGCAAAAAGAAGAACTGGAATAACAAATAGAGGGCCTGCAGCCATTGCAGCTGTTTCTGTGTGGAACAATGCGCCTACTATATATCCAATTCCTGTTCCACAGATATTTAAAATAAGCAAAGCAGCATAAAAAATAAAAAATTTGCTGGCATCATAGTTATTCAATCCGATTGCCCAATACAAAATGATGCTTTCCAAGAAGATTGCTATGATTAAATTTGGAAGCTCAGCTATTGTTTTTGCCATATAATATGAAATTGTGCTATATAAACCTTGCTTGGACTCTTTTAAGAAAAGAGGTAGCTCACTTGGAAACGATAAACAAGCGTTTTGGTTTCCAAAATTTGCAGCAGTCATTGTAAGTAAAAACAATACTCCATTTCTATCTTGTATAGAACTGTAACTTGTTCCAAGGTTATTGTAGGTTAAGTCTAAAAGAGCTGCTAATACTATGACTTGTAAATATTTGACTCTTCCAAAAATAGGATTTCTTCTTGAGTTTATGTTGGCTCTTTTAAGCAAAAGCCAAAACTGCTCAAGAACAGTTGAAGGTCTTGTAAAAGTTTTGTTAGCTAGATGTTCGAGCTCCTTTGAGCCAACAACTTGCTTTTCAGGTTCTTTTGAAGAGTATTCTTCAACTAAAATTTTTAATTTTTCTCTTTCTTCTTTAGATAAATTTCTCCTATCAACGACATGCAGAAGTCTCATAAAATAATCAGCTGGATTCATCAATTTTGGGCACTTGTAGCCAAGTCCAGCAAAATATTTTCTGGATTCGCTTGCCTGTCCTTGATAAACAATATTTCCTTCACTCATCAAGACAAGCCTGTCAAATTTTTTAAAGACTCCTGAACTTGGCTGATGAATAGTTGTTATGATTGTTCTACCTTTTTTGGCTTGTTCTAATAGTAAATCAACTACAATTTCAGCTGTATAGCTGTCAAGTCCTGAGGTAGGTTCATCGAGAATCAAAATGAGAGGCTCAGTGATAAGTTCAATCCCAATGCAGACTCTTTTCCTTTCACCTCCCGATAATCCTTTACTGGTGACACTTCCGATCACATTCTCAGCTACTCTTGTGAGTCTTAGATCCTCAAGAATTTTTTCGACTCTTTTTGCATGGTCTTCATGAGACCCGGGCAATCTCAATTTAGACGAAAAGAGCAAAGATTCTCTTGGAGTTAAGGTCGGCAAGAGAATATCTTCTTGTGTTACATAGGCTGAATAGTAGCCAAAGTTGATGTCTTTTATGTTGGTGCCATTTATGGAGACAGTCCCATTAATTTTAATTTCTCCAATGCTTTTAAGTCGACCAGCTAGGATATTTAAGAGAGTTGTTTTCCCAGCCCCTGAAGATCCCATTATAGCTAACTCCCCCATCCGTGAGCGATCAAAAAAAATTTGTCAGCTTATGGACGGGGGTTAATCTTTTTTAAATTTATATATAAATTTTATAGTAAATATTGCTTTTTACAATAAAAAAAATCCAAATCGTAAAAATGAATTTAAATTGTAAAATATTGTTTTAAAATGCAATTTGTTTAAAATTAGACAGAATTAGTGAGAGAGATTTATTATACTAATAATCAATTATAAATCATTTTTTTTTCATCAAAAATTTGTATATCCAAAACATTTTTGGTTTGCACGAGGGCGGGTTTTTGGGCAAAGAATAAAAGAATAGAGATTTTTCCAATTTTTTTTCGCTTACGGAGGGGGAGTAAGAGCTCTCCAGGATTTGCAACTCCTGACACTCCTTTGAGAATTGCACTTATCTCATCTCTCTTCTCTATGGCATAGCTAACATTTTCCCATTTCAACTGAACTTTTATTTTATTGTCTGGTTGACGTCTATTGATCTCAGAATCTTTTTCATGAGAGAAATTATTATCTAATTTTGAGCATCCAGACTCAATCTCTATTTGACTGTCGTCTTTTTCATCCATACATACCGAAACTTTTGCCATTTATATGCGAACAGAAACTAGAGAGAATTTCTGTTTGAAATGAGATTTTTCGAATTCTAGCTTTTAAGTAAACCAGTAAATTAAAAGGTTGCTACTCCACAATTTGCTCTTATGAGAAAATCTAAGTTAATTGTTAAATATTTGCTACCCTAGCTCCTCCTCCAGTCTTGCCCGAAGTATCGGTCGAGCCTAGTTTGATGCATCATTGGCCTGACGGTTACTTCACACGATGCATATTTCATAACGACTATTTTTTTTGGCCTATTTTTTTGGCCTATAATTTTTTCAATTTAGCAAATTGAGAGACTCTGTAAAATTGGGTGCTGCTTTGATGTTAGACGTAAACCAGAATATAATGCCATCCGCGCTAACATCCAGGGACTATGGAAAACAACCTGGGATGCATTGGGATGTGCTTCTGACCCTTTTTCCTGCCTGCCAGTTTATTATAAGTTTCTGGCTTTTGTGCAATATTAATTTTAGACAATTGAATAAAATTAATGTGTTTGGAGCTTAAAATTTAGTGAGTTTCTAAATTTCAAAAGCAATATGGCCAGCTATATTAGGGAGATTGCAGCCCTGCGCCATATTATAAGCTTCTGAAAAGCAGGAGACTAGTCACTCATTTAATAATAAATTTGAGACCAAGCATAACTACTGAATCTTAAAATAAATTCAATCTTACCTAGGATTGGATTTGTTTATGTTAGATAAACCATTTTTGAAAATATAAAATAACTCAACTGAGCTCTGAGAAAATTTATGCAACTAAACTATCAGAATTTTATATTTATAAACTCAAAAAATGAATATTCAAGATATAAGCTTTAATGAAGTTAATTAAATTTGCTTACTTCCAACATCCGTGAGCAAATAAAAAAATTTTGATTTCTGACAATTTAATTTTAAAATCTTATGATATAAACTTTTTATATTAAACAATTTTATAGGAAAGTAATAATTTATAAATTTTGTTTTATAAAATGCAAGATAACGCTTATATAAAAAAATTATGTTTAACAAATTTTTAGTTACTCAAGGAGGGTATTTCTTCTGTAAAACAGATTTTTAAAACTGTTTTGCTCGCTAGCAGAAGGAGATGTAATAATAGCCATTTATTAAAATATTAAAATAAATAGGAATTTGAAATTTTTTAAATAGGTATAGCGGCATATGAGTTGATAATTTAATAACGCTGCTCATCTTCCTAACTACTATTTTTAAAATTGGTAGATAATTTTTTGCTAATTTTAAAATTTTATCGACAAAAATTTTAGGAATAAATAAAAAATAGCTACATCTTTGTAATTTAACTAGTGAAATAAAAACTTGTAAGGTATTTTAAAGGTATGAGAATATTTTTAATAATAAAAATTATAAAAGTTGCAATTTAATTAAAATCATTAATTTCGAATAAAAATTATAAATTTATTAAGTATTTTATTTATCATTTATCTTTTTGCTCTTGATGCTGTGTTCCATAGTAATAAATAGGCAATTACTCTTATAACAATCACAATAATAATGTTATAGTAGAAACTCTCTGCTAAAGTTTCATGGAACCCAAGATCTTTGACAGGATCGCATTTAGTGCAATCACTTGAATCGCAGCTTTGGCATGGTAAATTCAAATCTGTGTACTCATTTATGCTCATAGCTTCGAATCCATATTTAAAGGGGGAAATGTATTGCACCCATCTAAAGGCAATAGGAATTCTCTCTACATTTACAAATTGGCCTGCAAAAAGAAGGAATGGAATAACAAATAGAGGGCCTGCAGCCATTGCAGCTGTTTCTGTGTGGAACAATGCGCCTACTATATATCCAATTCCTGTCCCACAAATATTCAGCACTAGCGCTGCAGCATAAAAAATAAAAAATTTGCTGGCATCATAGTTATTCAATCCAACTGCCCAATACAAAATGATACTTTGCAAGAAGATTGCTATGATTAAATTTGGAAGATCAGCTATTGTTTTTGCAACATAATACGAAATTGTGCTATATAAGCCTTGCTTAGATTCTTTTAGCTCCCCCCTTCTTGACTAAACAAAAACAATGGAAAACCATCTATTTTTTGCCTTAAAAACACCTCTGTGAGCGAACAAAAATTTTTTTAATTGAAAAAATTTCTTACTACCCCCCTTTAAATTGGAACAAAAATTTTGTTCCAATTTAAGGGGGGTTAATTTTTTTTTTTTAAAAAAAATATCAATATAAAATTTTTTATAAAAAAAAAATTTCAAAAACTTATCGAATTAGATTAATAAATTTGTTTAATAAAATGCTATTTACTCTTTATCGTTTAAAAAAAAGCAAGATATAACTAAATTTTTATTATTAGTTAATACGCCACTATTAATTGGTATCAAAATTATTTACACCAAAATTATTATTTTTATTGATAAAAAAAAAATTAAAAAAAAATTTTTAGAAAATTTATCGATCAAAGTGCTAATTTTTTTTAAATAAGATGCTATTTCTACTCTATTCTTTAAAATAAAGCAAGAAATAAGTAAATTTTGAAATTTTATAAAGAATTCGCATTGAATTTATATCAAAATTATTTAAATAAAAAATATCATTTTTATCAAAAAAAATAAAAATTTTTAAAAAAAAAATTAATTTAAATTTAGCAATTAAGGATAATAAATTTATTTAGATAAGATGCTCTTTATACTCTCTTCTTTAAACAAGAGCAAGGTATAACTAAATTTTTAATTTTAGTTAAGAAGAAGCATTTAACTTATATCAAAACTTTTTACATAAAAAATTATATATAATTTATTATTATAAAATTAAATTTTGTTCTAATTTAAAGGATGGTTAATTTACCAAAAAAGTGGAATTTTACCTATATTTTGTTCCAATTTAAAGGGGGGGAGTTATAAAAAATGTTAATATATAAGTGATAATTAATATAATTAAATCTCTTGCTAATTCTGTTTAATTTTAAACAGCTTGCATTTTAAAACATAAATTTAAAAATTAAATGAATATTTGGTTTCAAATTTTTGCGAATTGGGATTTTTTTAAATTTTAAAAATCCAAAATTTTTAATAAAATGTATTTAAAAAACCTCCAAGCGAACAAAATTGTTTTGTTCGCTCACGGAAGGAGTAAGAAAAGAGGTAACTCACTTGGAAATGATAGACAAGCATTTTGGTTTCCAAATGTCGCAGCAGTCATTGTAAGTAAAAATAATACTCCATTTCTATCCTGTATAGAACTGTAGCTTGTTCCAATGCTATTATAGGTTAAGTCTAGAAGAACCGCTAATACTATGACTTGTAAATATTTGACTCTTCCAAAAATAGGATTTCTTCTTGAGTTTATGTTGGCTCTTTTAAGCAAAAGCCAAAATTGCTCAAAAATAGTTGAAGGTCTTGCAAAAGATTTGTTAGCTAAGTGTTCAAGCTCACTTGAATTAACAAGTTGATTTTCAGGTTCTTTTGAAGAGTACTCTTCAACTAAGATTTTTAATTTTTCGCTCTCTTCTTTAGATAAATTTCTCCTATCAACGACATGTAAAAGTCTCATAAAATAATCAGCTGGATTCATCAATTTTGGGCACTTGTAGCCAAGTCCAGCAAAATATTTTCTGGATTCGCTTTGCTGTCCTTGATAAACAATATTTCCTTCACTCATCAAGACAAGCCTGTCGAATTTGTTGAAGACTCCTGAACTTGGCTGATGAATAGTTGTTATGATTGTTCTGCCTTTTTTTGCTTGTTCTAATAGTAAATCAACTACAATTTCAGCTGTATAGCTGTCAAGTCCTGAGGTAGGTTCATCGAGAATCAAAATGAGAGGCTCAGTAATAAGTTCCATCCCAATGCAGACTCTTTTCCTTTCACCTCCCGACAAGCCTTTACTGGTGATACTTCCGATCACATTTTCACTCCCCCCTCTGAGAGCGAACAAAACCATTAGAAGAATCCCTATTTTTTTCCCCAAAACCTATTCTCCGTGAGCGAACAAAAATTTTTTTAATATAAAATTTTGTTATATAAGTGATGATTAGTATATGAAATCTCGAGCTAATTCTGTTTAATTTTAACAAATAGCGCTTTAAAACATAAATTTAATCATATTTGCTTTCGAACGAACAAGATTTTTTTTGTTCACTCACGGAGGGAGAGAGCTAGCTACTCTTGTGAGTCTTAGATCCTCAATAATTTTTTCGACTCTTTGCACATGATCCTCATGAGATCCAGGCAATCTCAATTTGGACGAAAAGAGCAAAGACTCTCTTGGTGTTAAGGTCGGCAAAAGAATATCTTCTTGTGTCACATAGGCTGAATAATAGCCAAAGTTGATGTCTTTTATGTTGGTGCCATTTATAGCCACAGTCCCATTAATTTTAATTTCTCCAAAGCTCTTTAGTCGGCCAGCCAAAATATTCAAAAGAGTGGTTTTACCTGCTCCCGAAGAGCCCATAATAGCTAAGAGCTCTCCTGGATTTGCAAACCCAGAAACTCCTTTAAGAATTGTAGTCAGTTCACTTCCTTTCTCTATGGCATAGCTGACATTCTCCCAAGTCAATTGAACTTTTATTCTGTGGTCTGGCTTGAGGGTGCTTGTTGCAAGTTCCATTACATACATCAAACTGCTCTCTTCTTTTGATTTTGATGATACAATCTCTATTTCTTCGCTCATGCTGCTGGTGACTCTCTCAGAAGACTTCTCCATTTATATTACAGATAAGCAAGAAAGCTTTCAAATTTTTGTTTGCAAAATAAAGAGATATTAGAAGGATTAGGTTTTTTAGATTTCTGAGATATAAAAAGTAATCAAAATTGTAAAAGAACTCGCTTAAAAAATATTAAATTTTGATGCTTGAAATGTAAGAAATAATTCAGGCAAACTAATTGTGGCAATTTGTGAATTATAGTCTCATTTCAAGTCATTAAAATTTAATGTTTATTTGTTTCGGTGGTTTGTCGAATAAGGCAAACAGATAAAGATGGCCAAACAAATGGACTAAAGGCTATGCATTTGATTATGGCTATTAGTAAGTTGAGTTACTAGGCTTAATCTTTGAGTTTTGTCTTTAATTATTGATGCAAAGTTTAAGCAAATATCAGGAATTTTAAGTTTTTCTTACTCCCTCCTCCGCGAGTAAACAAAACCATTAGAAAAATCTCTATTTTTTGCCCAAAAACCGTGAGTGAACAAAATTTTTTTTAATACAAAAAGTTTTTATGGAAAAAAATTTTTAAAACATAAATTTTATAAATTAATATTTGTTTTCCAATTTTTGAGAATTAAGTTGTTTTTAGTTTCGAATAAAAAAAAATTTTTTCTTAAATTTATATATAAAATTTTTGTTAAAAAAAAAAAAATTAACCCCCTTCGTGAGTGAACAAAATGTTTTTGTTTACTCTCGAAGGGGAGAGGGCAGCTAGATTTTTTATTTTTACTATTGGATAAAGAATTCAAATAAAAAATTATAAATTTTAAAATCTTATGAAATTCAATAAAACATATTTAATTATTTATTAGAATTATGAAATTGCTTTGCTTGATTATTAGTTCATGTCAGGAATACTTCTCAATATATTCATTCTGTCAATTGGAGTTTTTGCTTTATAAGCTTTATAATACTGAAATGAGAAATATCCACCTGGAATAATTGTTAAACTTCCAAGCACCCAAAATGCAATTCCTCTGCTAGGCTCTTCAAAATTCGTAAATTCCTCAACAATCCCCAACACAAATAGCACAATTCCAGATAAAAGTAAAGCACATGCACACAATAAAGGTTTTTTAGGCATTTCAGGGAATTGGTAATTTGGATTCACGTCTAAATTGATATCATTGTGATTTGCCTCTTCTCCACTGCTCACTTCAAAGCTATATTTTGGATAAAACTCTTGATCTTTCATTTATTTATCTTAAAAAGTTAGAGTATTTAATATTTCTAAAATTTTTGAGAAAGAAGGCCTGTCTTTTTGGTTCGATGACCAGCATGTTGTAATTAAATCTCTCAGCTCAACTGGGGTTGTTTGTGGGATTTTTGTGATATCTGGTCTTTCACCGAGCTGCAGCACTTTGTATGGAATGGTTGCTGGATTTACGCCTCTATAAGGGGTTTCTCTTGATAAAATCTCCCATAGAACGACACCAAAAGAATAAACATCAGCCTCTAGAGAATAAGGCTGGCTTGCAAGTACCTCTGGGGCCATTCAGTGGCAAGTCCCCATAAGTCCTGTCATATGCTCATCTTCTATGAACTTCGAGATCCCAAAGTCAGCGATTTTTATTAGAACATTGTCACTTGGAGAGGTAACAGGCTCAGCTAGTAATAAATTCAATGACTTTAAATCTCTATAAATAATCGGTGGATTATTTCCATGCAAATATGCCATTCCATATGCTACATCTTTCGCAATCTTTATCCTTTGTTTTCATATACATAAAATGGCGTATGGCGACCGACCCACCCTCTCAGTGGTGGTTACCCATGTATATCCGGGCATGGTTTTTGGAGCCAGGAATTAGCCCAACAACGTCTGGGACCTCGAAGCGAGAGGCCTAAGCGCGAGAGCCGCTGTTTTTGCGACCAGACCCATGGGCAGTTATTCGTGACTTCTTTTTGCCAGCAGCGCTCAGCCCAGTGAGTGCCCGAAATGAGGCAGGGTGACTTACCTGCCTAAGCTGCTTTAGTGGCTCGCTCCGAATGGCGAAAGCTGTTGAGTTCTTTTTCGGGATGACCGGAAAAGAGGGGAGGCGAGTTAGACACCAAAACGGGGGTCTCTCCAGTTTAAAAGGTGCCCTTCAATGGGCAGATCTGGCGGACGACGAAGCGGAGTTGGCGTAAACTTAGGCGACGATCCAAGTTGGAAATGGAGGTGGTCAGCAAAGCCGGTATGAGACGGCCCTTGACAATACCTCTACCGAGAAACCGGGGGTTTCGGCCCGGGCTTGGTGAACGCTCTGCCACCACACGGGAAACCGTCGCATGCGACCTCGGACGTAGTAGGGACCTTAAATACCCAGCGTAATCTTAATCTTAATCTTATCCTTTGTTTTCATGATAACTTTACTTCGCGATCTTCATAAAGAAGCTTAAATAATGATCCTCCTGCGCAAAATTCTGTAACAATTGAAAATTGGCTTTCAATGCAAGCTCCCATAAAAAGCACAAGATTTGGGTGCCGAAGTCTCATCATTGTTGTGATTTCTCTATTAAATTCATTTTCCATAGCGCCTGGGATGCTGGAATTCCTCATTACTTTAATAGCAACTGGAGTATATCTATATAATCCTTTATAGACTGTGCAAGAGCTCCCTGAGCCGATTTCTTCTTCACGTGTAAGCTCATTTGAATGGATTATTCAAGGGGATTCCTGGAAACTTGCCCATGGATCTGCTTTTTTGGCTGACTTAGAAAGAGGTTTCCCATTGATTGATTTAGGGGTCTCAGGAGTTTGCAAAATAGTTTGGCTTGTGCAAGTTGTGTAAGGCTCAGCTTCAGAGCTGCATTCTGTTCCATGCCCTAAAGTAGCTGATTTGGCTTCAGCTGGAGATTTAAATTCTTCACGGTTTGAAAATCTTGCTTCACCTGTATTTATTTTTTCATTGCTAACCCTTCTTTCATTATATATTGGCTGTGTTAGCCGTCTATTTTTTAGCACATCAACAATAGATCCCCTGTTTTTATTCTGCTGGAGGACTGAAAACTGAGGGAGAAGAATTGCTGGGTTGTTTTGTCTAAAAACTGTTATAAGAGATAGTGTTGATTGCTGGTTTTGATTATATATAGAAGAGAGGTCAGCAATTTTGTCACTTGGAAGAACTTGCTTTAAGCTTTGCTTACTCCCCCCTCTGTGAGTAAAAAAATTTTTGTTCATACGAAGGGGGGTTAATTTGTTTTTTAAAAAAAAAATTATATAGAAATTTTTTTTTCGAAATTTAAAAAAAATCTTAATTTGCAAAAATTGGAAAGCAATATTATTTTAATTATAAAATTTATGTTTTAAAACGCAATTTGTTTAAAATTAAACACAATTAGCTATAGATTTCATTATAATAATTATCACTTATATATCAATTTTTTTTTCCTAAAAAATATTTTCTATTAAAAAAAATTTTTGTTCACTTATGGAGGGTGGTTTTTCATGGTTTTGTTCACTCACGGAGGAGGAGTTAGTTAATAGATCAAGTCTTTCTTGTTCTTCTAATAGAAGTGCTGAAATTATGGCCCAAAATCTAGACAAATCTCCTTTCATAGAAAAAAAAGATTCAGTAGTCCTTATCAGCTTTCTCCAATAGGTAAGTAAAGCTTCTATTTGTGGGAGCTCATTAATTTCATTGTCAGTTCAATTTCCTAAAGTCCTTGTTTCTATGTGAAGTCTGTGCTTTTCTTTCAAAATTGATGAATATTCTTTGATTAAATCTCTGAAATAATCTGTTTGTTTATCTTTTTTCGATTTATTAGGTGATTCCCAGCTATGCTGCACGCATTCTAAAAATTGGTTTATTTGGTCTTCTGCCATTAAAACTTGTCTTGGACCAAACATAAAGTACTTATGAAGGACATATAAAGCTTTCATTGCCACAATTCCTTTATCAATTGATCGATTCATCAGTGACTTGTAAAATTTTGAAATCTTAAAAGGCTTTTTCCATGCTTTTTCTATCAATTTATTCAGATAGCCTGTGTCTGGGATATGATCGTTATCAGCAGTCACAGCTTTTACCCATGAGTTACTGCTTTTCATAAAGATGCTTGAAAGTCCTGACGATTTTGATGATTCTTCTGCTGCTTCATCTTGATTTTTATTTGCTTTTTTATCATGGATTAATGTAATAATCTCTAGAGAAGTTGCCCTTTCTCGCGGATTTACTTCAAAAAGCCTTGTGAAGAGTCCTCGCCATCAAGCCTTCATGTGTTTATTTTCAGTTTTAAAATTCCCTCTTAGCTGGTCTTGAAGATTCTGGCCAAATGGATGCTCCTTATAAAGCAGCTCATAAAGAAGGCACCCAAGACCCCACATATCAACTTGAATCCCTACTGGATATCCAGGTATCAAATCTAGTTGTTCGGGCGATCTATAATCTACCGGTGTATTTGCTTCAATGTCTTCACTTAAATCAGGCCCATAAAGACCGTTTACTTCTTCTTCACTTATAGATGACTGAAAATTTGCGAGCTTAAATTTCAAGTCGACAGTCACAATTATGTTTTCAGGCTTTAAATTCCTATGGCTAAGATTTTTCTGATGAATATGATGTAGTGCCAAAATTAAATCGCTTAGCAGAACCATGACTTTGTCTTCATTGATTTCTTTTTCAGTAATAAAATCTCGTAAATCGCAATCTGCACAATGTTCGAATAGAATTGCTCCTCAATTATGGGAGCCTTCAGTGTAATCTAGCATGGTCACTATTTTGGGATGAGATCCAATTAGTTGATAAGCTTTCACTTCGCGTCGGAAAGCTTCTTCGTTATTGATCAAATTGAACTGTTTAATAAAAAGTGCTCGGTTTTCTGGATCTTTTCCAATGCATGTTTTGAATATGGGGGTTGAGATAAGAACTTCTGTTATTCTCACTGGCAACTTGGAAAAACGGATTGTATCGCCAACTGTAACAGGGCCTATCATAAATTTTTCATAAAACAATAAAATGAGTCATAGAAATAGAGCTAGCTATATATTAAATTAATGAATTCAATAGTTTTTCCCGTTGGGTAAAAGCACCTTCTGGGGTATGATTATTCTTTCTATAATCAGCAGTAGGCGATAAATTGATTGTTTTAGTTCTATGCATAAAAGGACAATGATTACTCTTTGCTTTAATTTTTGATGACAATTGTATAGGGATTAAGAGACTTGCTCTGCATTGAGGAGTCTGAATTTTTGATTTGCTGTCATATGTCCCAACAGAATTGAATGATAACTTTCTTGGACTTTTCCTATGAATCATCTCAAAGATCCTATCTTTTTCTTCACAGATTTCTGCATCTTCTTGTGAAGGATCCAATATTATTTTGTTTTTTCTTAATCGTTCTTTGACGATTGTCCTGCTTACCATATCAACGAAATTTGGAGAAAAAGCGTCTTTTTTTTGAGCAAAATTATTGGGGATTTGTCCAGAAAAAGAGACTCTTTTTTGCCTTGGAGTTTTAATATTTGACTGAAGTTTTCTTGAGGAGACTATAGGTTCTGGCCAGTTTATTTCAAATTTTTCATTCAGCTTTCTTCATATACCATCATTGGGTAGATTTTGAGATTCTTCATCGGAATCAGAAAGGTTGTGGCTAGATGCGAATAAGGTGCTGGCCCTTTGTTGAGTTCTTATCAATATATCAGGTTTTTTATTGTTTTTGAGAATTCTTTTTTGCATTTCTATGTCAATTAATAGAGCATTATTAGATAAAAAATATCTTTGAAAAAGAAATTGGCATATTTAAAAGGCTTTAGATATTAAAGTCAGAAATTGGAAGTGATTTAGTTTATAAAATATCCAGAAATCTTATAAAGCAGTCTCCAATTCAGGCTTTAAAAAAATAGTTTATATAGAAATAAAACTATCTAGTTCATAAAAAGTTTGCAGTGGCCAATTCATGACGCGCTTAAAATGTCTTTAGGTTTGCATATTATAAATAAAATTGGTATTTTATAAATATAATTCCTTATGTTATTAATCCGGACTAGCTTCATCTGTAAACTCTGGCTGATTTGTTAATGCAAAAGACTTCACAATTAAAGAGTTAGGGCTATTAGAATCTTGAATGCTAGGATTAATAGAAGATTGATGCAGAAGCTGAGCTTTCTATTGCTCTGGAGCAATTGGAGGTGCCATCATTGGGGCCTGCATCTGGAATGGTAAAATCACAATTCCTAGATCTGCCTCATCAAACCTATAGCACTTTCAACAAGAATTACCTGTATGCAGTCTAAAAGTGAGCACAAAAAAGCATTTAATCAATTGGCTAGACATAGTATAGCAGTGCTCATCGTTCAATATTGATTGTATAGAAACTTTAAAATTACAGCGAGTCGCTCCCGAAAACGCTTCAATCTGTTGTTTTTCCTCAGCATTTAGCATATTAACAACTTGAGTACATACTTTTGGATTTTTTTGATTTGCTTTCATAGTGAGGACTTTATTGACTTCAATTTCCGCTCTAGTGACATTTACTGAAAATGCAGATAAATCGTTTCAAAATAAATTTCAATATCATCATGATTTCCAAATATATTTCTTTCTATTCATACTCTTGATGTTGTATATTCTTTCTTAAAGCAATATCATAAACTTTTAATTCAAAAGGGAAACTAAAATTACCAGCTGAAGCTACCTGATATAGCCAATGATACAATGCTGCTTTCAATGCACATATAGACTGCTTGCCTAAATGCACTGTGCATTATTGATGGTGATTATAACTCTTTCTATTCCGGCTATACTTATTATAACGATAATAGGTTTTGAATTTAGTTACTTCATTGCCTTTAAAAATTAAATAGAGGGAAGGGTTAGTGAGTTGTTCTGTTATAGCAATATGAACAATGCCTTTCAAAATTCCTCCTGGCATTACCTGCTAGACTCAAGAGAAATAAATATGCTCCCTTGTACATCCCCTTGTTTTGAATCGCTCGAACCCATTAATAATAAAATTTGTATTCACTCTAATTTTTGTCAGCTTTATAGCAAAAATCGCTGATTTATTTAAAATACTGCAATCTTAATGTGATTATTATCTTTTTTAAACACCGTATAGCACTTTGTAACTAAGTTTAATATTATTGCATAAAAGAGATATATAGGAAAGTTGAGATTTAGATAGCAATTTAAAATTTCATAAACGGCAATTCTATTTTTAAAATTTATAGAAACCCTTATTACTATGACTACGGAGTAACTTTGTCTGTAAGCCCTGGCTGATTTGTGAAAGATTTTACAATTAATGGATTTGGGTTATTCGAATCTTGTAAATTCGGGTTAATAGAAGACTGAGGTAGAAGCTGAGCTTGCCATTGCTCAGGAGCTATTGGAGGTGGGATCATAGGAGCTTGTATCTGAAATGGCAAAATCACAATCCCTTGATTTGCTTCATCAAATCCATAGCACTTGCAGCAATAAAATTCTGTATGCAATTTAACATTGAGTACAAAAAAGCATTTGATCAGTTGTGCAGACATTGTATAGCAATGCTCGCTTTTCAGTATTGATGGTATAGGAACCCTAAAGTTAAAGCGCTGAGCTCCTGAAAGCGCTTTAATCTCGAGCCTTTCATCAGCTCTCAACATATTGACAACTTGAGTGCATATTCTTGAATTTTTTTTGTTTGCTGTCATTGTAAGGACTTTATTAACTTCTATGTCTACTCTTGTTATGTTTGCTGAAAACCCAGATAAATTTGTTTCTAAATTAATATCAATATAATCAAGATTTCCAAATGTCCCTCTTTCTAAGGACACTCTCGATGTTGCATGTTCTTTATTAAAGCAACACAATACGCTGCCATGGCCTGGACAATCTCTAGAAATAGATTGTGGGTACATTTCTTGAGGTAAAATTATTGAATTCGTATAGATATAAACTGGTCCTTTAATTTTAAGAGGTTGTCTGCCTGCTGCATGCAATTGAGCACGAATTGAGTAATTTATTTGGCAAAACCCGCCTCAGAGTGCATGAGCATTGAAACTAGGAAGTAGGTTATCATAAATTTTTAATTCGAAAGGAAAACTGAAATTTCCAGGGTAAGCTACCAAGTCTGGTCACTGATATAATACTGCTTTTAAAGAACAGAGTAGTTGCTTGCCTACATGTCTCGTGTATGTAGGGCCATCACTATACCGACGCTTAATTTTGAAATCAGTTACTTCATTGCCTTTAAAAATGAGGTAGAGTGCTGGGTTAGCTAGCTGCTCGGCTAAAGCAATATGCACGCTTCCACGCAAAATTCCTCCTGATATGATATTATTTATTTCAAGAGAGATAAACATGCTCCCTTGAACATACCCTTGTTTTGAGTCACCCGAGCCCATTTATAATTAAATTTAAATTAAAATATATTACTTATTATATCCTGTGCCAATATTATTATACGTCAAGTCTCGCAAGACTGCCATCACAATAGCTTGCATGTATTTTACTCTTTCAAAAATCGGATTTTTTCTAGATGTTATATTTGATCGCTTGAATAATATATTAGATTGCTCCATTTGAGTTGAAGGCCTCTTAAAAATTTTGTTTACTAAATGCTCAAGCTCGCTTGAATCGATAATCTCACTTTCAGGATCTGCTGTAGAGTATGCTGAAACAAGAATTTTTAGTTGGCCAGGTGCCATCTGTGAAAGGGGGTGGGGGGTTCCCTTATTGGGGTGGGGTGTGGATGTCTGGTTGCGACCTGCGCTTGACCATGCGCACTTTTGGATTTTTTTGATTTGCTTTCATAGTGAGGACTTTATTGACTTCAATTTCCACTCTAGTGACATTTACTGAAAATGCAGATAAATTCGTTTCAAAATAAATTTCAATATCATCATGATTTCCAAATATATTTCTTTCTATTCATACTCTTGATGTTGTATATTCTTTCTTAAAACAGTAAAATGAACTCCATAGCCTGGGCAGTCTCGAGAAAGATATTGTGGGTACATATCTTGAGGTAAACTTATTGAGTTTTTAAATAAAAAAATGGGTATTTTAAATTTTAGAGGTTGCCTGTCTGTAGCATGCAATTGAGCACCAAGTGAGTATTTTAATTGGGCAAAACAACCCTTATTCCCTAATGTATGAAAGCTTGGAAGAAGGTTATCATAAACTTTAATTCAAAAGGAAGCTAAAATTGCCAGGTGAAGCTACCTGATCTGGCCAGTGATATAATGCTGGTTTCAATGCACATGTGGGCTGCTTGCCTAAATGCATCGTGTATGGTTGGTGATGATTGTAACTGTTTCTATTCCGGCTATACTTGTTATAGCGATAATAGGTTTTGAATTTAGTTACTTCATTGCCTTTAAAAATTAAATAGAGGGAAGGGTTAGTGAGTTGTTCTGTTATAGCAATATGAACGATGCCACGCAAAATTCCTCCGGGCATTACACTGCTAGACTCAAGAGAAATAAACACGCTCCCTTGTGCATCCCCTTGTTTTGAATCGCTCGAACCCATTAATAATAAAATTTGTATTCAACTCTAATTTTTGTCAGCTTTATAGCAAAAATTGCTGTTTATTTAAAATACTGCAATCTTAATGAGATTATTATGATTTTTAAATACCTGCATAGCACTTTGTAACGAAGTTTAATATTATTGCATAAAAGAGATATATAGGAAAGTTGAGATTTAGATAGCAATTTAAAATTTTATAAACGGCAATTATATTATTAAAATTTATAAAAATCCTTAATTACTATGACTGCGGAGTAACTTTGTCTGTAAGTCCTGGCTGATTTGTGAAAGATCTTACAATTAATGGATTTGGGTTATTCGAATCTTGTAAATTCGGGTTAATAGAGGATTGAGGTAGAAGCTGAGCTTGCCATTGCTCAGGAGCTATTGGAGGCGGGATCATAGGAGCTTGTATCTGAAATGGCAAAATCACAATCCCTTGATTTGCTTCATCAAATCCATAGCACTTGCAGCAATAAAATTCTGTATGCAATTTAACATTGAGTACAAAAAAGCATTTGATCAGTTGTGCAGACATTGTATAGCAATGCTCGCTTTTCAGTATTGATGGTATAGGAACCCTAAAGTTAAAGCGCTGAGCTCCTGAAAGCGCTTTAATCCCTGGTCTTTGATCAGTTCTCAACATATTGACAACTTGAGTGCATATTCTTGAATTTTTTTTGTTTGCTGTCATTGTAAGGACTTTATTAACTTCTATTTCTACTCTGGTTATGTTTGCTGAAAACCCAGATAAATTTGTTTCTAAATTAATATCAATATAATCAAGATTTCCAAATGTCCCTCTTTCTAAGGACACTCTCGATGTTGCATGTTCTTTATTAAAGCAACACAATACGCTGCCATGGCCTGGACAATCTCTAGAAATAGATTGTGGGTACATTTCTTGAGGTAAAGTTATTGAATTCGTATAGATATAAACTGGTCCTTTAAATTTAAGAGGTTGTCTGTCTGTGGCATGCAATTGAGCACGAATTGAGTAATTTATTTGGCAAAACCCGCCTCAGTGTGCATAAGCATGGAAACTAGGAAGTAGGTTATCATAAATTTTTAATTCGAAAGGAAAACTGAAATTCCCAGGGTAAGCTACCAAGTCTGGTCACTGATATAATGCTGCTTTTAAAGAACAGAGTAGTTGCTTGCCTACATGTCTCGTGTAGTAGGTGCTATTTTTACTACGATGCTGAATTTTGAAATCAGTTACTTCATTGCCTTTAAAAATGAGGTAGAGTACTGGGTTAGCTAGCTGCTCGGTTAAAGCAATATGTACGCTTCCACGCAAAATTCCTCCTGATATGATATTATTTATTTCAAGAGAGATAAACATGTTCCCTTGAACATGCCCTTGTTTTGAATCACCCGAGCCCATTATTAATTAAATTTAAATTAAACTATACTATTTGTTAATTTTTATAGTAAAAATTGTTTATTTGTTTAGCACAAGCAATTTTACAATGATTTTGAACAGAATGGATTGCTTTGGAATCGCAGATTAATTAATTAATAGTTTTAAAAAAAGTGGCAAAAGGCTTTGTTGAAATTCCATGCAGCAAATATTTAGAGCTTCTGAAATTAAGAAGCTAACCTTCTAATCCTGAATGGCTTCTAATAGTTATTATGAGCTCTTTCAATATTTAATATTTCTTTAAAAATATCAACCAATTAAGAGAATAAGCAGAAAAATAAAAACGCTTAAAAAGATAACTAAATTAATTTTTTGATGCTAGTGATAATCAAAATATGATCATCAGAAATTCTGTTCTCCAGAGCAGAAAATCCCCTTTTGCAAATTTTGATTAGGAGGTTTGGCCACCCAGAGAATTTATCGGCAATAAGGAGTATTTAGCCCGAAGGTGCTCAATTTCAAACTGCCATCCTAGAAAGAAATGTATTTTCTAGGCGGTAAAAATGGGACTTAAGTATGCCTGAAGAAAAAAATTGGTATGCTAAAGAGGCACAAGCCTATGCAGATGGTATGATATTGGATATTAAGCATAAACTAACTAATTAATTATGAGTGATGCTAATGGAATACTAAAAATATCAACTAATTAAAGGTCAACTTAAATAGAATAATCTTAAAATTCTTCATATTATATGAAAATTACAAAATTGGAGAAGATAATAAATTAACCTATAATTTCTTTGATCTAAAATTATCTTTTGACTCTTACTGCTGTGATCCACAATAGCAAATAAGCTATAATTCTAAAAACGATTATGATAATAATATTATATAAGAAACTTTCTCCTAAAGAATCATAAAATGCAAGGTCATCCAGAGGGTCACATTTAGTGCAGTCATCTGAATCACAATTTTGGCATGGCAAATTCAAGTCCGTATATTCATTGATGCATAAAGCCTCAAATCCATATTTGAAAGGAGAAATATATTGTACCCATCTAAAAGCTATAGGAATTCTGTCCACATTTGCAAATTGTCCTGCGAAAAGAAGAAAGGGAATTACAAAAATAGGCTCAGCAATCATTGCAGATGTCTCTGTATGAAACAGAGCGCCTACGATATATCCAATTCCTGTTCCGCATACATTTAGTACTAATAAAGCGGCATAAAATATAAAAAATTTGCTGGCATCATAGTTATTCAATCCAACTGCCCAATAAATAATCAGGGCCTGCAAAAATATTGACATAACTAAATTAGGAAGTTCAGCAATTGATTTCGCGACATAATAAGAGATTGTGCTATATAGTCCTTGCTTGGTTTCTTTAAAGAAAAGAGGCAATTCGCTTGGAAAAGACAAGGAAGAATTTTGGCTTCCGAAGGCTCCTCCCATCATTGTAAGCACAAATAAGACACCATTTCTATCTTGTATAGAGCTATAGCCTGTGCCAATATTATTATATGTCAAGTCTAGCAAAACTGCCATCACAATAGCTTGCATGTATTTTACTCTTCCAAAAATCGGATTTCTTCTCGAGTTTATATTTGATCTTTTGAATAATATCTTAAATTGCTCCATTTGAGTTGAAGGCCTCTTAAAAATTTTGTTTGCTAAATGCTCAAGCTCACTTGGATCGATAATCTCGCTTTCAGGATCTGTTGTAGAGTATGCTGAAACAAGAATTTTTAGCTTTTCTTTTTCGTCTTCAGAAATATTTTTCCTGTCAACTACATGAAGGAGTCTCATAAAATAATCAGCTGGATTCATCAGCTTTGGACACTTGAACCCAAGCTTACCAAAATATTTTCTAGATTCATTAGCTCTGCCTTGGTAAATAATGTTTCCTTCACACATCAAGACAAGCCTATCAAACTTGCTGAAAACTCCAGAACTTGGCTGATGAATTGTTGTGATTACCGTTCTACCTTTTCTTGCTTGCTCCAACAATAAATCGACTACAATCTCAGCTGTAAAGCTATCTAATCCTGAAGTGGGCTCATCAAGAATCAAAATAAGAGGCTCAGTGATAAGTTCGATACCTATGCACACTCTTTTTCTTTCACCTCCTGATAAGCCTTTACTGGTAACACTTCCTATCACATTATCAGCAACCCTAGTCAATTTTAAATCCTCGATAATTTTTTCAACCCTTTGCACATGCTCTTCATGAGTTCCAGGCAATCTCAGTTTGGACGAGAAGAGCAAAGACTCTCTTGTAGTCAATGTTGGTAAAAGAATGTCTTCTTGTGTCACATAGGCTGAATAGTAGCCAAAGTTGATGTCTTTTATGTTGGTGCCATTTATGGCTACAGTTCCATTAATTTTAATTTCTCCAAGACTTTTCAGTCGCCCAGCTAAGATATTTAAGAGAGTTGTTTTGCCTGCTCCTGAATTGCCCATGATGACTAAAAGCTCTCCTGGGTTGGCCTGTCCAGAAACTCCTTTGAGGATCTGAGTGGATTCATTTCTTTTTTCGATGACATAAGTAATATTTTCCCATATAAGTTGGACTTTGGTTCTATGATCATGCTTGGGAACACTTGTAGCGGGCTCTGTCACATAATTAATTTCGCTCTCTGATTTTGAATTTAGAGACTCCTTCTCAATCTGATCGCTTTGGCTATTGATGATTGATATAGAAGCCTTCTCCATTTATATGATACTAATTTAACACTGAATTTTTATTGTATTTTCGTGATAAATGTGCAACTATAAGAAATATATAGTTTTGTGATAAAAAATTCGATGAATGCTATTGTAATTGCCCGAGGATGGCGCTATCTTGCACCATTCTCGGGCAATTACTATATTAGATTGGAGCATTTCGTGTTTTAATCGAAATTCTTTCTCGTAAAGAAAGCATTTGCCGGAAAAAATCGTTAAAATTCGATCAAATCTATTACGAGGAAAAAATTCGGCCAAATTCCTCAGGAAATATAACACAAAGCAAATATTCAGGTCATATGAAATGTAGTCAAAAATTAGCATATCATCCAATATTTTCAATAAGATAAGAAAATTACAGTTTAATTTTGCTATTAAAATGGTTTATAATAAATAAGAAGACTAAGAATAAAAAAGCTATAGAAGCAGTTTCAATATTATAGGCTTAAATTCAATATTTATATTAAAAAATTAAAAGATTAGCCTTGCAGTTTACAAAAATTAGCTATTAAATCTTTCTTCTTTAAATTAGAATAGAAAAACTGTAAATTAATATAAAGTTTTATAAAAAACAAGCTAAAATTTTATGATAAAAATTTATTATTTTTGAGTAAAGGGTTGTTTAATCATTTGAATATTTAAGTTATCTAATATTTGAATATCAGGTTTAAAATGAGATTTAGGTAAAATTTTTGCTTGCCATTGTTCAGGCGCAATGGAGGTGTAACTTGCGCCTGAAACGAAAAATCACAATTGGCGGCTTGTCTCAACAAATCTATAGCATTTTTAAAAGTAAGGCTATATAAAAAAATTAACATTTATCAGATAGTGACATCTAATCAAATATAATATTCCTTCTGTATTCTTATTTCCCCCCTTTAAATTGAAAGGAAATCGCATTTTGTAGACACTTTAAAGAATATTAGAGATGAAAATACTAATTTTTATAAAATTACTTTTTGCCTAATTTAATAGATAAAATGTATCGAAAATTATAATTATTATGTATAAAAGATTGAATAAAAATGCCAGAGCTAGTTATATATAATTTTGATTATCTTTGTCTAAAGACTTGGTATGGCTTGCCAATGCAAAAGACTCCACAATTGAGTGATCTGGATTTCCTAAACCTTGGTTTCCAGGCTTAATATAAGATTGAGGTAAAAGTTGGGCTTGCCAATGTTCTGGAGCAATTGGAGGTGACGAAGCTGGGATTTGTATTTCGAATGGCAGAATTACTATCCCTTGACTTGCTTCGTTAAATACATAGCATCTTCAGCTAAAAGTCTTTGTATGTAATTTAATATTCATCACAAAATGGCATTTAATTAGTGGTGTATTTCAAGTGCAGCTATTTTCATTTTTCAATATTTCCCGTATAGGGATTTTATAATTAAAGTGCTGAGTTCCTGACCGAGCCATAATCTTTGGCTTTTCATTTAATTTTAGCATGCTAATAGTTTGAGTTGCAACTTGTGGATTTTTTTTATTTGCTGTCATTGTGATGATTTTTTTAATTTCAATTTTAACTCTGCTAATATATGCTGAAAATGTAGTTAAATTTGTTTCTAAATTAATTTCGATAGAATCAGAAAATCCAAGTATCCCTTTTTCTATTGTAATTTTTGTTACTGCATCCTCATTGCTAAAGCAGCAAATCAGACCTCCACTTCCTGAACAATCCTTCTCGAGGCTATTTGGATACATCTCTGGAGGTAAACTGATTATATCTGTAATTATAAAAACTGGCTCCTTAAATTTTAAAGGTTGCCTGTCATCAGCACGCAATTGAGCACGAATCGAGTAGCTGATTTGGCAAAATCCGCCCCATAGAGCTGATGTATAGAAGCTAGGAAGCAAATTATTATAAGTTTGCAATTCAAAAGGAAAGCTGAAATTTCCTGGAAGAGCAATCTTGTCTGGCCATTCATATAATGTTGCTTTTAAAGCACATAGCAAGTTTTTACCTTTATGCTGAGAGTAATAAGTTGTTTTCCCATTATGTTGTATTTTGAAGTCAGTTATTTCGTTGCCTTTGAAGACAAGATAAAGAGCAGGATTATTTATCTGTTCTAAGAGCGAAACATGAATGCTACCCCGAAATATTCCACCTGGATTTGTGTTATTTGATTCGAGAGAAATAAAGATTTGACCTTTTATTTGGCTTTCTCTTGATTCAACAGATCCCATAAGTTAATTATATTATCTCTTTTATTTTAAGTTATAAATACTGGCAAATTCGATTTTCCAAGTGTCAAAAATGCATATTATAAAGTCATTAAAACTAATTTAATTAAATTATAATTTTACAATCAGAATTATTTGTTTTACCAACATATATATATACTTTCAAAACATCAAATAATCAAGAGGTAGTAAGGGTTCTAGTTACTGCGCAGCTGTGAATGATTTCCAAATTTTTAAATATAGGCTTTTTTTGGCGCTAAAGGTCTCCATTTCTCTTGGGAAATTGGATGCTTGCCATCAGAGTTTCTATTTGAAGTGGCAAATCACTTTTTCTTGAGCTACTTCTTCAAATCCATAACAAATATCCGTAAGCAATCTAACATTAAGCACAAATTGGCATTTAACCAGTTCAGAGTCATCGCATAGCAATGCTCATTTTTAATATTTTGGACAGGAATTTTATAAATAAAATGCTGCTATTAAAGCGCATAGTTGCTGCTTACCTTTATGGACATTTCTTTATTGCACTGCTTTGCTTTAGATTTAGTAATTTCTTTACGTTTATAGGATAGATAAATAGAAGGACTGCTGAGTAGCTTATATAAAGCAACATGAATAGCATCACGCAATACTACTCCTGATATAATAGTATTTGACTCTAGAGAAATGACATATCCGCATTTATTTTCCATCTTTTTCTGATTCTCCTGCACCCATTAATAATTAATTATAACTGTAATATAGATTCTTATTTTATTTTGACCATTGCTCTTCTCATATTTTACTAACTTAAGCAGCTATAAAAATAATTATTTTTAAGCCAAGATATTGTATATATTATTAAATTATCTGTAAATATTTTATTTGTTTGCTTAACCTAATTTTTTACTAGTTACTATTATTTAATTTCAAACAGTAATATATATAACAAAAAACTTAAAAGATTTATATATTTTTAGGGAAAATCTAGGATGATTTTTTACTTGTTTATATCTTTATATTGGAACAGATTTTTGTTGGGGAGTAAGACTTAATAAATCCTTAATAGAGAAATTTAGATAAATGCTAATTTATCCATGAATTTCAGCTATGGGAGCACTTCCTTCTAAACCGCCATTATAACTTTCTGACTCTTCATATTGCTTACTCCCCCCCCCAATTAATAGCGGACGATTTTTTCGTCCGCTATTAAATGGGTCATAACTTAAAAAGTTCGATATTTATATATATTTTTCTATTAAAATTTTTTATAAAAGGTCTGAAAAAAAAAATGCATTTTTAGTAAAAAGAGTAGCACTAAATCTAATAAAATGGAGTTTGAATGGAGAAACCAGAAAGAGAAAAGACAAACAGCTGGTGATAAGCTAGTTATTGCACAATACTACCTGGATCATCAAAATTAAGGTCTTTCATATGAAGATGTAGCCTACAAGTTCAAAATATCAAAGTCAAGTGTAGGCGGATTAGTAAAAGACATTCATCAATTGAAAAGGGGAGATCAAGGTTTAAAGAAAGAAAGCCAGATGCATATTATTAGCTCTCATAATTTTTTAATACCTTTACGCTTAAATGAATTCTATTTAAATATTCCCATCTTTATTTCATTGGTTCTAGTAAATTTATGTTATGTTATGTTAAGATGCTATGCATTTTAAGTCCCTACTTCGCCGCCGTGACGTTCTATGGAGATTAACCCCGTAGGGTGGCTAAGGTGTGGCCGCTTCAAGCCCGGTCCGAAACCCCCGGTTTCTCGGTAGAGGTGGTGACCAACTGACCGCCTCCATTTCCAACTTGATTCGTCGCCCTGAATCTTGCGCCAACTCTGTCCGTACGTCGCCAAATCTGCCCACTGAAGGGCACCTTTTAATTGGAGAGACCCCCGATTTCTCGTCTAATTTGCCTTCCCGTCTTTTCCGGTCATCCCAAGAAAGAACTCAACAGCTTTCGCCATTCGGGGCAAATCACAAAAGCAGCTTAGGCAGGTATGTCGCCCTACCTCATTTCGGACACCCGCTGAGCTGGGCGCCGCTGGCAAAAAAGGAGTCACGAATAACTGCCCAAGGGTCTTGGTCACAAAAACAGCGATCTTTGCGCTTAGACCTCTTGTCTTGAGCTCCCAAGACATAGCTGGGCCAATTCCTGGCTCCAAAAACCATGCACAGATATACACAGGTAACCGTCTCAAGAGGACGGGTCGGAAGTCATCCGCCATTTTATGTATATTAGCAAATCCATAATGAACGATTATCTTATATAATTTAAAATTTTTTATAGTAAAAAAAATTTCCGTTATTAAATGGTACCTAAGGGTCTATTTTTAGGAAAAAAAAATTGATTTCGTATGGGGGGGAGTTAGAGAGCAAACCATTGAAAAGCTTTCTTTTTTGCTAGTAAAAACACTTTTAATATAATTTTAATTAAATTATTTGATATACTATTAATAATGATCCAGATAATTTTATTGATTTATAATCAGTTAATTCCTAAAACATAAGAGAAATAAAATGGTGACGTCAACAGAAGATGGACTTCGAGACAAATTGCTTATGGGGCAGGTAGGGCCCGTTCTAATAAAGCCGAAAATAGTTTCTTTCCCTGTCTCTGCCAGATGGGGCTAAACAGGTTTAGTCTTCAATTAGTTTTTGCTTATCAGGACTAACGGAGCATCCACATACGTGTCTTCTGCTGCTACTATTTCATAACAACTTTTTTTTGGGCCTATTTATTTTGTCCTATTTTTTGGCCTATATTTTTTTTAGCATATTTTTTTTGCCTATTTAGCCTGTTTTTTCTTTTTGCCTTTTTTTTACCTAAATTTTTCCTAAATTATTTTTGAACTTTTCTTGGTCCATTTGCTTTGAAGAGATTCTATATTGACCATTTGAGGTGATTTTCAATCAATTTTAGTCTATTGTTTTTGACAGAAGTTATATATTATAAATTTTTAGTATTAAAAAACAAAAAAAAAATAGGCCAAATAAAAAAGGTAAAAAATAGACTGAAAAAATAGTCGTTATGAAATAGGCTTCGTGTGAAGGAACGATCAGCAAGAGGTGGCTCTAACCTAGGGAGTTAATCCTTATGCTAGGTGGGTTTACACCAAATAGGCAAGTTGCAGTCTATCCGCTTATGGCCTTATAATTTTAACTTTAACTAAAACATAAACTTTTAAAACTAATTAGGCTATTCATTTCTAATATGACAATATCGATTTTTGGATTTAAAACTAATCTCTATTAAAATACTTTACTCACTATCCAAGAGAGGGACTGAGACAAATGATTTTATAAGAGCAGTATTAGAAGACATTGTATCTTGAGTTTCATAACTTATCGATGAACAAGGCAATACACTTGATTTCCATTCTTCCGGAGGAATTGGAGGAGGAACTCTTTCCACTTCTACTGTAAAGGGAGAATCACAACAGCAGCAACAAAAAATTACATAATTTAGCTAACTTCTAGTTGTGCAGCGTCACGAGAAGTTTTTTTTTCTGCGTCTGATCGCTACTCACTAGTTCATCTTGGGCCTTACAGTCTGATTTGCTCTTGCAAGTCTCCGTAAAGCAATTTGGGAACCCAGAAGTACAGAAACACTTGCGGCTTGGCGCACTGCCTTACTCTATACAACTTTCCTCTAGCTCCTGTTTGACCTAAGGGTCCTGCCTTTTATATAGTAAAACACGACACACAGGTGGGCGAAGTAGAAATTTCATCTCCTCCTCTTATAAAGAAGTCCACGTGTAAAATCTAACCCCTAATAATAAAATCTGGTAGAGGGAAAGAATTCACAGAGGGAAAGAGTTCACAGAGTGAATTTCCTTTAATCCAAAGCCATTTTATTATCATGTAAAGGGAGAATCACAACTCCTTGGTTCACTTCTTCGAATCCATAGCACTTACAACAATAATAATCTGTATGCAATTTAACTCTAATTACATACTGGCATTTAATCAAACTCGATTTCATCGTAAAACAATTTTCATTTGCCAGCATTTCTACCACAGCTATTGTAAACTTTTGAACTTGTACCCCAGACCGAGGCATAATTTCAGGATAAAAGTTTTTCTTCCAGATTTTTTGAGATTCGCTTTTGATCATTTTATTAGTCTTATTAGCAGTCACAGAAATAACTTTCATCATCTCAATTTCTACTCTCTTTATTCTCGCAGAGAAATTAGACAAATTTGTCTCTAAATTAATATCGATGCTATCTGATTTCGCAAATCTGTACCCATCTATCCATATTTTCGCAATTGAAATTTCATTCTTATAGCAGAATAAAAAACATCCGCGCCCTACACTTTCATTCATAGTCTTTGATGGATATAGAGCTTGTGATAATTTTAGTTTGCTAGCAAAAACTGATATTGTTTGTTTATATTTTATCGGATTTAAACTTTTAGCTTGCAGTTGGGCTTTAATCTTATATTCAATTTTTGCAAATCCAGAAGAGTCAAAAATTGAAGAAAAAGTCGGCAGAATTGAGTCATAAATTTTTATCTGAAATGGGAAGGAATAGTTCCCTGGAAAAACTGTTGCATTTTTTCAAGCTAATAGCATTACTTTAAGCTCACAAATTGCTTGCTTTCCTGTATGCTTTATAAAACGTATATTCGTTTTATTCCTGTTGTAGCTAGTTTCCACTGTATTAAATTCGACAGATTCGCTTCCTTTGAAGATGAGGAGAAGATGCGGGTCAGAAATTTGTTCTTTTAAATAAATGTGAACACTTCCTGAGAGAATATCGCCTACATTCACTTTGTTTGACTCTAAAGATATATAAATTTGGCCTTCTTGAATAGTTAAAAAGATGGTATACCAGGTATCTTATTTCTTGTAGAAGTGTGCTTTTAAAAATTAAGTTTTATATTATTTTTCCCTCGCAATATTCTTTCTGGGGTCAATCCTTTTTTGAGATAATTATGCAAATAAACCTGCCTGAGGCAAAGATTAAGCAGACTCAAGCCAACATGCGGCCATAAAATCTTTTTGGCAGAACTGCTCTGGAGTAAAAGATGGTGAGAAAGCTTGTAGCCTAGGACTCAAAAATTGTCTGCAATAAATATTATAAATAAATTAATCTTAAAAATAGGCCTCCTTGGTGATTTCCCATTTTGATTATTTAAAAGTATTTAATAGACCTATTTATGTAACGTAAATGCGAATATATATAGATTTTTTAAAATTTAGTGTATGGATCAATTTTTGATCATAACTAACCATCTTCCCTCACAAAAAGATTGCTTATCCATCCTTTGTCAAATGATGAGCCACTGTCAGAAGCTAAAAATTTTACAGCTTGGAGCTTTATGCTTGCATCATCGCCAAAGTTTTTGCAATTTTGTTTGCTCCATTTAACATAAGGCTTTGCGAAAGAAGTCTTTTCAATTGTAGAGACCCCTTTGAGTTTGATTCTAATTTAAGCCATTCCAAGATTAATTCAAAAATTTCTAAAAATCCAAATTTATTCTTTGCCTTGCTGGGTGAAAGGGTTGGTTTTAGTATAAAAAACTTCAAAACGTATCTTTTATCACACATTTGGAATTAAATAATTAAACTGTAAAAGATTTTTTTATATAAAGTTAAAGGGGAGAAGCAAAATTTCAAAAATTTATACTAAAATCAACTTAAAGTCACATTTAATAAAAATAAAATAATAAATATAATCGAAGGTTAATTGGTGCAACCAACGATAGAACTCGAAAAATTCTGCTCCTACTCCAAATTAAAGATCTGAGAAATTCAAGAGTTGGAAGAAAGAAGAATGATGAAGATCCAAATATAGAGAGCCACAAAAAATTATTGTGCTTTTCTACCACATCTGCCAAAGACATCAGCATGCTTTGTGAAAATTTTAAAAGTATATTTGAATCCAGTCAGCTATATAATAATCATGGCTGTATTTTAAGAGATTGAATGAATTAAAAAAGCTAATCCAGTCTAATAGTTAAATACTAAAGCATTGATGAAAATTTTGTATCGTTCTGATATCAAGTGCCATGTACTTCTAAATAATGAGTACAATATTCGCAGATCTGTTTCCAATATCTCATAAATGATTTAGATAATCTTTTTAGAGAGGAGATGAGCTAAACCCTTTTAAGTGTAATTACAATATAATCTAATTGACTATTATTTATTATGCCATTATTTTTAATTTCTTGAGCTATTCCTTCATGTAAAAACTAGAAGTTTTGCTGAATCCATTTAAACCTTTTCCTGAAGTTAAATATAAAGCTTAATTATTTATCAATTTCAGCCAGTGGATCACTTCCTTGTAAGTCTCTAATCAAGCTTTCTGACACAAATGATCTGACAAGAGTAGTATTGGAGGACATTGTATCTTGACTCTCATAGCTTATTGATGAATAAGGCAGTACATTTGATTTCCATTCTTCCGGAGGAATTGGAGGAGGTACTCTTTCCACTTCCACTTGAAAAGGGAGAATCACAACTCCTTGATTCGCTTCTTTGAATCCATAACACTTAAAACAACGATAATTAGTATGCAATTTCACTCTGACCACATACTGGCATTTAATCAAATTTGAATTCATCGTATAAGAATTTTCATTTGCCAGCATTTCTGCCACAGGTAATGTAAACTTTTGAATCAGAGTCCCAGACCAAGGCAAAATTTCAGGATAAAAATTTTTCCTTCACATTCTATGTGATTGGTTTTGTGTTGTCTTCATGCTTTTATTAGCATCTACAGAAATAATTTTTTTTATTTCAATTTCTACCCTTTTTATTCTCGCTGAAAAATTAGATAAATTTGTCTCTAAATTAACATCGATACTATCGGTATTTCCAAATGTAGCCCTGTCCAATCATATTTTTGCTGTTGAAGCTTCTTTATGAAAGCAGCATAAAATGCTTCCATGACCTAAACTTTCATTTGTAATTTGAGATGGATATAGTTCAGGAGGTAATGTGATATTACTTGTAAAAACTGATACTATTTGCTTATATTTTATAGGTTTCAGATCTTTAGCATGCAACTGGGCTTTGATTTTATATTCAATTTTTGCGTATCCAGAAATAGAAACATTAACATTAACATTAACTATATTATTAAGAGGCCCGTCGTATTGACCAGGGTTTCCCCTGCCCTACCTTCACCCTTCACGCTTCACCCAGCTGCTCACTGCCAATCGATCACGACCTTTAAGGTGCTGCTCCTCCTGGACGAGGATGTGCACTCGCTACCCGGAGTTGGATGAGTTACGCCACCCAGCAGATAGTCAACAGAGGTTGCCCATTCCGAAAATTTGAAAAACAAATTTTCTGGTAGGACTGTCAGCTAAAATGGAAATCCAAAGCCTGGGACGCAACGCCCAGTATCGCGCTAGGGAGTTGCCCGATTGATCAGAAGGTACCTTTCTGATGTCGCTGAGCTTCCCCTTTCCAACCTTGGAAACCATTTCCCCTGAGGCAAAAACCCTGGTGTCAGAATGAGCTGCTGTTGACCAAATTCGACATTGCGCTCTACTGTGCCAAGGAAAAACCTAGCAGGATATACACCTGAGCACCTTTTCCCCTTCCACAAGGTCCCCGGATTCTAGCGGACTCCCGGCTACAGGTGTTGAGAGAAAGGGCTGGTTCGCCGTCGCCATTTTAATCTTTATCCCTTGAAATAGAAACAAACGAATAAAAGGTTGGCAGAATTGAATCATAGATTTTTAATTGAAATGGGAAAGAATAGTTTCCAGGAAGAACTGTTGAATTTGATCAAGCTAATAGCATTGCTTTAAGCTCGCAAACCAGCTGCTTGCCTGTGTGTGTTATTTGGTAGGTTATTGTCGATTTTCCAGTGCTTGTAGTGTGCTGTGTTCTAAAGTTAACAAATTCGCTACCTTTGAAGATGATCAGAAGTTGTGGATCGGAAATTTGTTCTTTCAATGATATATGAATAGTTCCTGACAAAGTCCCACCTGTATTCACTTTAGTGGATTCTAAAAATATATAAATATCTCCTTTTATCTTGCCTTCTTGGTGATTTCCCATAATTAAATTATTAAAAATTTTTTTAAAAACCATTTTTGTCACGTAGATAGAATTTAGGTTAATAGGGTTAAATTTAACTATTAGATTATGCGAATTCATTAGATCATAAATAATTCTGTAAACTTATTGAAAAATAAAATGCAATTATCAACAAGCATTAGTAGTTTAGGGGTAGAATGTGACGTTGCCATCGTTACGACCCGGGTTCGAATCCCGGCTGATGCATTTTTAATTTTAAATATTTTTTCAAATTTTAATTCTATGCATCATCTTATGCCACTATATATAAGAATGGTGAAGGCAGATCGCTCGGGCCTATCGATACTACTTATTCAGCGCTAGGCAGCAGCATGGTGTGGTAAATGAATCCGAAATAGGCTTCGTCAACCTTTATGTATAATGGATTAAAGCTTTCTTAATCCTCAGAGAGATAATCTTGGAATATGGATTTTTAACTTCTGTGAAAGGTATTGCGAACACAACGCTTGAATAAGCCGTTGAATATAAAAAATCTGGGAGTTTCATCTCACCTGTTTATGAGAACCCTTTCCTATTCTGCTGGAGTCCCTTGAAAATCATTAGCTTCAGGGCTGCAAATTCTCAGTCTTGCTATGCACAACTGCTATCTTTAACTGAATATTTAACATTAAAATTCATTTGATTTTTACTATAAGAAAAACGTAAAACAATTAAAATTTATATCAATTAAATTATGGAATTTGTCCCAGTTGCAACATTTCATCATCCTGACATTCCTCTTCGGCTCAAAATCCGCCGACAATCAAGCGTATATTATATCTAGCAAATTCGAGTTACAAGTTGCCTTTATGTATCTACTGAAGAAGCTTTATATGCAGGTCTAAGCAATGGACAAATTTTTGTATGAAGAAAACGCTCAGCTGATAAAGTAATTTATAATCAGCCTTTAGCTCCTAAAGAATGCGATTTAATCAATATTTCGGACAAAGACAATCATAAAGGCGATGTAACCTGCTTGGTTTATGAAGAAAAGTTATATGAAGGGATCATTGTTTCTGGCTCCGCAGATAGCAAAATAAAAATCTGGGTCAAAGACCTACAAAATAAAACGAAAAATTACGCCTGCAAACAGACATTGGTGGAGCATCAAGGAACTATTCTTTCAGTCGCAATTTCTTCGCAGCATGATCTGATAGCAACAAGTTCAACTGATCAAACGATTAAAATATGAAGACAACAGCCTGGAAGAGAGCTTTTATTATTTCCTTTCTATGTATGTGTCCAAACTTTAACTGACCATATAGCTCCAAAACATTTAGAAATAGGAGCTATGGGTGTATGGGTTACTTCGATTCTATGAAAAGAAGGAGATGAGCTTCAGTTATTGGCTGGAGACTCTGAAGGAACAATAAATATTTATAAGTAAACTATAGCTAGACCAAGAGAATTTTCAAGAGATCACATTGAGCTAGGACTAGAAAAAAAAAGTGGAACTGTCCATAGGCTCATTATAAGCAAGCTGATATTAGTCCCACAAGAAAACTTTGTATTTTCTATAAGTTTTGACCAATATTTCAAAGGCTTAGATGCCACCAATGGAAGTGAATTTGTTAATGTGAGGAACACAAACCGATGCTATTTCACAGCTTTATTATGGGATAATACAGGGCATGAGCTTATAGTAGCTGATGAAATGGGCTATGTAGGGGTTTGAAATGTTTACCATGAAAAGCCAATTTTTTGGGAAAGAGTTTTTGATGAAGAAAAAAAAATTATTTGACTTGCTCTGAGAGAAAGTAAAAGAGAGCTGATTGTGGCGACAGAAACTGTTATACAGATTTTCTTTATGAGAAGAGGGCAGAGCTCACATGACATACAAGGCCATGATGGTCCAGTTCTCAAAATTCATGCTCAAGAAGCCCATCAGATCCACAGGCTGCATTCAAATAATAAGCCCCGGTTTATCACAGCATCAATTGACAATACAATTAAAGTCTGGGATTTCAGCGATTTACAAGTCATTTGTAGCATGACTGCACCTATGAGAGCAGAAATCAGCTGCATGTGCTTTTTGTCAATGTCAAGCTTAATTGCAACTGGCCATGAAAATGGGACTTTAATGCTGTGAAATCCAGAAATTAATGAAAAAATCAAGCTTAAATGTGACCCTGGATACGGTCATAACAATACAGTGTCAGGTGTGTGCCAAGCTTTATTTAAAGATATTGAATATTTGATTTCTATTGGATATGATTCGAGAATCTGTATATGAGAAATCACTGAAAGGACTTCAGCATTACGACAAGCTGCTGATGGTTCTGCAGGGATCACAGTGTTTCCATCACTAAGAAATTCTTTTCTAACTACTCAACATAAAAGATTTACGAGGAGTGAGACAGGTGACGAATTATTGTGTGTCACATATGATTCTATTAGAGGGAAAATAGTTGTTGGCGGGAACAGCACAGAAATTCAGCTTTGAGACATGCAATCTCTAGATTATACTGGATTTTTGCAAGGTCATATTGATTCTGTGATTTCATTGTGTATTGAGCAAAACTTTTTATTTTCTGGTTCTGATGATAGATCAATTAGGATTTGGGATCTGGAAAACATTCAGCCTTTGTATAAATTTCAGAATAAAATTCATTTTTCTTTAACCATTTTTATTGATTTTTTTAAATTCATTTTCATTGTAAGTAGCATATGTTTTGCATGGCCATACAATGCCTGTTCATGATTTATTAATTATTCCTGAATCAGGGCATTTAATCAGCTGCTCGCATGATGGTAAAATTTTAATCTGGAGTACTGAAACCCATGAAATTGTGAAAACAGTTGAAAGAGCTGATCATTTGAATTGTTTAGCTTTTCTGAGCATTCAAAATATATTGATGGTAGGAACTGAAGAGTCCACTATAATTACAGTTCCGATTGAGCCCATATATGGAAACCCATATGGTCTTGATCATACTGTAAATAAAGCACAAGTTCACATGGAAAAGAAAATCAGGATGAAGAGAGGAGAAAACGTTGAGTTCAGCGACGATACTCGGTCAATCGCAAGTGAAGATATATTAGAAGAATATCCGGATCCTGCAGAAGAGCACTTAAAAGAAATGTTTATTAAATCTAAAAGCAAAGAACAATAAATTCGTTTTTAATTAAAAGCCTAGCAATAAGTATGCATAGCTTCAAATTCTAAATTTTAAAAATCCAAGCTTTAATCAAATAAGTCGTTTTGTATTAAAAGAAATGTTTATTTAAAAAGAGCAATAATTTTGTATTTAATTAAAAGCCTAACAATAGGTATGCATATTGTATTAAAGCTCATAAACTTATACTTCAATTAACTTAAAGTGCACAGTTAAAAAAAATAAAATAATAAATGTAATAAAGATTGGCACAACCAAGCATAGAACTCCGAAAAATTCTGCTCCTCAACTCCAAATTGTAGATCTGGGAAATCCAAGAGTTGGAAGAAGAAGAATGATGACGATCCATATATAAGGAGCCACAAAAAATTCATGTTTTAATTGAAGTTTATGATTTTTATTATATTCTATTAAAAACATCAGCATACTTTATGAAAATTTTGAAAAGTATATTGGAATCAAATCGGCTCTATAATAGTCATGGCTATATTTTAAGAGATTGAATGAATTAGCAAAGCTAATCCAATATTAAAGGAAAATATATAAAGCAATGATGAAAATTTTGTATCGTTTTGATATCAAATGCCATGAACTTCCAAATAATGAGTGCAATAGTCGCAGATCTGATATTATTAATATATGAAAATTTTGTGATAAAAACCTTACAAATAAGCCAGAATTTGTTATTACTAGAAGGAGTAAGAAAGCTATTAGCTTAGGAATTCTTAAACTTTCACAAGATAAAATTTGGATTAGGCCTAATTAGAAGCTCCCCCAATCATATTTCAATAATTAATATCAAAATTCATGATTGGAAATTGCATTGCTTAAAATAAGATATGATCGTTTGCATTTTAATAGCTTTTCCCGCGTTAACTTTATATAAATGGAAAGTGAGATTGATAGAGTGTTCAACTACTTTGATAAAGACTCAAGTGGATATATTGATTTATCAGAACTTGGAAATGCGCTCAGATGCTTAGGTTTAACCCCTTCTAATGCCCAAGTCGAAGAATTGATGAAAAAAGCTGATGTGAATGCTGACAGTAAACTTGGAAAATGCGAGTTTACTTATATGTATAAGGAAATCAGTGTCGATAAAAAAGTGACAATTGAGGATCTGATAAAAGAATTCAAGGTGTTTGACAAAGATAATAGTGGATATATAAGCGTTCAAGAACTAGATGAAATTCTTTGCTCGCAAGGAGAACCAATGTCGAGAGATGAAGTTAGAGAACTTCTAAAAGATTTTGACCAAGATAAGAATGGAAGGGTATCGATCGTAGAATTAGCAACAGGACTTTTATCAAAGTAATAAAGATAATTATTTTCTAAGATAAGCAAAGATTGCATAACTTTTCTTTTAAAAGGATTTAATTTATTTTTATACCATGCATTCAAAATTAATTTTAAAATTCGATTCAACAGTAAGCTTAATTTAAAGTGCAAGATCAAATATCAACACTTGAAATGCAAATAATTAATTATTTTCATTTGAATACTTAAAAGCGGTATTCGCTTTAATAAGCCATTTTCATTACTTTGGCTCTTTTTCATCAATTATACTGCATAACAGCAAGGCAAACTCTATCATCTTCTTACTCCCTCCGTGAGCGAGCAAACCAATTTTGTTTAATTTATTTTTTAAAATTTATTAATAAATATTATAGTAAAATTTTTCTTCTTAATTTAAAAAATCCTAATTTGCGAAAATTTGAAAGCTAAAATTAATTTATTTTTTAAAATTTTATGTTTTAAAATGTAAAAATTCAACAAAATTAATGTATATTTAATTATAATAATTATCATTTATATATCAATCTTTTTTCATAGAATTTTTTTTCTTCCAAAAATAGGGATTTATTCAATAATTTTGTTCGCTCACGGAGGATGGGTGGGAGCTAGTAACCCTCTCTCTACATTTTAATCATCAAAATAATTTCAATACTTTTATATTCAAATATGTCTGAACGACTACAAGCTACTGATGAGATGTGTGCTGTTTGCTTTGATATGCTAATAGCTTCTCTAAGAAATGAGCCGACTGATTCTATTATTGACAGATTTTTAACAGCAGAGACTCAAGCCAATATCCCTTGCCCAGTATTTGTTACATGGAAAATAGGTCGTGATAAAGACCTACGAGGCTGCATAGGCACATTTGATAAAACAACAAGGATTGGAGAAATTGTGCCTAGATATGCACTTGTGTCAGCACTCAGTGACTCTCGTTTCGACCCAATATCCTTAAGAGAAGTTGAGCATTTGAGTGTCTCAGTTAGTTTGCTCACGAATTTCACTCCAATTGAGCATCCTTTAGACTGGGAAGTTGGGACTCATGGGATTCAAATAGATTTCAGAGTCAAAGGAAATAGATATTCAGGAACTTTTCTCCCTGAAGTTTCTAAAGAGCAAGGATGGGACCAAGCTACAACTCTGGTTCAGCTGTTCAGAAAAGCTGGCTATAAACCGCCAAATTCTAATAGAAATCCTGCAGAAATTGTGCAAGAGATGGCCCCTTCATTGAGTGTGATAACTTATCAGAGCTCGAAAAAGTCAATGACATATGCAAGATATCAGGCTTATAGGGGAATCGCTAATTAAAAGTAATTGATTGCTTTATTCCATAATTAAAATATGGCGTCTCCACCTAGCATGGCCTCTCGGCCATGCAGCTTCCGAGCACATATTTTAATTATATCAGTCAAGGTTTTACTAACCCAGAAATGGACAGCAATGCTACGTAAGCAATTCTGGAAGCATTTAGCCTAGCCCTCAGTCCAAATTCAGGATTAGATTTACCTCGAAGGGGAGGAGGGTTCAAGTTTGGAAAGGCAAGCCCAGCTAAGTCTACAGGGAACACCTAGGCCAATCGGGCAAGTGTCGAGCGTGAAACTGGGAGTGTCAGAGCTGAACTTGGCCAGCGAATCATTGTCCCAACTCGAACAAGGTGAATCCGAAGACGGTGCAAGGCAGGTGAACCCCGCATTGGGGTCTTTGGTGACTGCGTAATCAAAACAGCAGACGCCTTCTAATTTCTAATTTAAGTTGATTGCTTTATTCCAAATTTGAAGAAATATTGTCAATAATTCTTTATACTTTTATTCTAAATTTTCTTAAATATTAATAGCATTAAATCGTCCTAGGCTAATTTAAAGATAAAAAATTTCATAGAAATTTACATGATTTACATCACTAAAATAATAAAATTTTTATTATCTTCTTAATATTTTTAATATTTGTCAATTTCAATAAAATATTTCTAACCCCTCCGTGAGCGAACAAAGCCATTGGAAAAATCACCAAAAACCACCAACAAAACTATTATAAAATTTAATTTGAAAAAAATTGATATATAAGTGACAATTATTATAATGAAATCTCTAAATAATTCTGTTTAATTTTAAGCAGTTGCATTTTAAAACATAAATTTTACAATTAAAGCAAAATTTTTGTATTCCAATTTTGTAGATTGAGTTTTTTTTTAAATTTCGAAAATAAAATTTAATGAAAATCTATATATAATTTTTTAAAAAACAATTAATTGAACAAAAGTTTTTTTTTCGCTCACAGAGAGGGAGTAAGTTATTCATGCCATTTGAATGATTGTTATAAAAATAAAGATGTCATACAGGTTCGGTTGTCTAAGAGAACGATCGCGCTCTCCCATTAGAAGAAATCAAACTGGTGCAAACAGTTTTCCAACAACATTTTCCCCACACAAATTCCATAATGACTTCTCAGCTTCTGATTCAGCTCGAGAAATCAGCTTGCCTCACCCACATGATTTACCATTAGAAATTCCACAAACATTAACCTTCGAACTGAGGAATCCTCAAGAGGTTGATTACCTAGCCACAAAGCTATCAGAAGAAGAATGGAAAAAACCCATGAACTGTCCTTCTCCTTCCCAGTCGACAGATTGTGATGATAACTTAATATGGTCTGGCTTCCTGTCCCGTTCTAAGAGGCATAAAGTAGGTGTAGATATTTACTTAATAAAAGGACACTTTGAGCTTCCTTCTTCGGTATATCACTTAGATATTCCATTTAGATCTCCATTCCCAGTATCTCACAGACCTCTTGCATTGCTAAAACTTGAATCTTCTAATAATACACAAGACGATTTATTTAAAACTTGCATTGAATATTTTTCTAATAAACATCGTGCTGGTTATATACCATTAGGAAAACAAGGAATTTATGTTATTCCTTATGGTAATTTTGCTAAATCTTTATGTTCTGATATCGGACACAATCAGATGCTTGGATTCGTCGTTGATGCATCTGTCATCGAAGATGTAGAGTAAAGAAGGGTTTGTAAACTGCTATAATTAATTCACGTTTTAAATAAAAATTGAGTTTAATATATCTAAATCTTGCTTAATTTAATAGTCTTAAGTCTATATTCTTTATTTATTTATCTTATCATTGCTTCTAAGGCATTTATTATTATCGTCACTGATCAGCATCAACTGCCTGCAACTCTATTTTCTTTCTGGAAAATATCAGGTTGTGAGCTGAACACAATTGAAATGATAATGAATAATGAATTATCTGAGATAGAAACTATATTGGCTGATCATAAATGAAAAAAGCCGCCAAAGCCTCCAACAGCAATTCCAAAAGCAATTAATCTGCCTTTGCATAAGAGATCTGCTACACATACAGAAAATCCTTCGCAACAAGGTTCGCAGACCTTGAGAAACTTTTTTGTCACCCCAAAGAAAGAAAACCCAGAGTCTTTTACGTCGAGAACCGCTGGAAATAGTCCAAGTTTTACAAGTCCAGTTTCATCAAATGCTTCTTCTTCAGAAAGATCTCCAGTTCTATCACCCAGATCACAAAGGCAATTGCAATTAAAAAGGCTGGCTGTTCCTTATAAAGTTTTATCAGAATCTCTCAAAAAATTGGCAAGGGAGCGATCAAATTCAGATGATTTTAGAGTGCCTGTATTTCCAAAAGCACCTTTTGGCGAGCATAGAGCAAGACTAGACCCTGAATTTGTTAATGTACCAAGCCAGATGGCAGGGTCCTTCGATGGAGAATATGAGGTAAATAAAATTAAAAAGCTGCATGGAAGGTTAGAATTTACAACTTCAAGATCACATAATTCGCCAAACTTTAGTCCAGATAGGTTGCCATCAATTAAAATTAGAAGAGGATCTGAATGTGTTAAGTATAATAACTCCATTTATTAGCTTATTTTGTGACGCTTCAAAAAATTTATAAAGATTTAAGTTTGTTGGCTTTGCATTATAGTTGCCAAGAATGTGAGTTAGAAATAATTAATAAGAATGCAAAATAATCTTATTTCTTAAAAAAGTTCAACAACCACTTTATGGTGCTAATTGGCAAAAAATAACATCATATAATGCTACGCTTAAAGAAGGGTCCTAATTTATTATTTTTATCTAAAAGCTTACCTTATAGAGACATGAATTTCAATAAAAAACATGTTCATTTTTCATATTAAAATAATTATAAATTATATATTCTAAATATCATTAGAATATTGCGGGATCAGCAAATAAATTTTAAATATTTACAAAATTTTGCATAAATATTTTCATTTATCGTTTCTTTCTTTTTATCCAAAAAATCAGTAATTTCTAAAATGGCTGTACTTCATAAGACTCCATCAATTTTCCACTAAAAATCTTCAGTTTTCTTCCTTTACTTTTTCATTTTATAATTCAAAGAGAACAAATTTATTATCTCTAATAATAAATATGCACGCCCGTGATATTGGCTTATACGCAATTTTGGTTTTTGCAATGGGCGCTCTAAGCTCAGCGGCTGCAGCTTTTGAACAAATCACATCAGTTAGCCCATTTATGAAAGCATGTTGGAGACTTGAAGTTACTGCGATTCTCCAAATAGTGCCCATGGTATATGAAATTCGTAAAGATTTAGCTGCAGTAAAAACCATGATAGTAGACTGCTGGCATTATTTATTAGTTTCTGGCCTTTGTTTAGGCCTTACTTTTAGTTTATGGTGTTGGAGTTTGGATTTAACCTCCATAGCCCACTCTCTTTTATTTTCCTGTTCTGCCCCATTAGTCGTTGTAGTAGCTTACTTTGTATTGTGTAAAAAAGTTGCACCTTTAGAAATTGTGGGAGTTGTCATTGGATTTGTAGGTCTTACTGTGGTTATTTTTGGAAATTCTGAAAGCGAAGGATCAACTTGGTATGGAGATGTCATAGCTTTTATGACTGCAATCACACTGGCAGTCTATATGCTAATAGGAAAGAAACTTATGGAAAAATCAGTTCCAATGTGGACTTATTTGACCATTGCCAATATTGAAGCTGCTATTTGGGCATACATTTTTGCGGTAGCAGTGCAAGGAGATGATCCTATTGAAGGGATACAATGGATTTACACAAGTGACTGGCTTATTGTGATATATTTAGGGCTTGTACCAGGAGCACTTGGGCATGGAGCTATAAACTGGTTGCTGAAATTCATGTCGTGTTTGGTAATTTCAGTATTTATTAACTTTGAGCCAGTTATAGGATCTTTTATTGGTTGGGTTGTTGGAATTCAGCCACCTCCAGCAATATACACTTATAGTGTTTCCCTATAAATTGCTTACTCCCCCCCCTCTCCGTGAGTGAACAAAACCATTAGAAAAATCGCTATTTTTTTCACAAAAACCCACCCTCCGTGAGTGAACAAAAATATTTTTAATAGAAAAAATTTTTATGGAAAAAAAATTTGATATATAAATGATAATTAGTATAATGAAATCTAGAGCTAATTCTGTTTAATTTTAAACGAATTGCTTTTTAAAACATAAATTTTATAAATTAAATTAATATTTGCTTTCCAATTTTTGCGAATTAGATTTTTTTAAATTTCGAAAAAAAAAATTTTTTATAAAATTTATATATAAATTTTTTAAAAAAAAAAAAATTAACCCCCCTCCGTGAGTGAACAAAATTTTTTTGTTCACTCACGGAGTGGGGGGGAGTTAGTTTATAACTTTTATAAATTTATATTAATTGTTTTAATTTATGAATTACATTAAATTAATTAGGGTGTTGTCCTTCGTTTAAAGTCCAATACCACATCACTTAGATGGGCTTTCGTCCCTTCTTCGGAGTTCCCGCCAACCAAGCGTCGTCCACCTAGCCTTGATCTGAATGGTCCCTCAGCTTCGGGCGTTCGAATTCCGACGGCCCAGGCTAACCGACTTGCGTCCGATCGGACACGCTTCTAAGAATTCTCTGTCTCTCAGGATAGGCGCCTTAGGTTTGCCCCTTGGGCATAATGCGCCATCATTGCCGAAAATAAAATTACTGGGTGGTACCAAACCTCATAATCAAAATTGGTCAAGGGAAATTTCTGTTCGGGAGAGCAGAATATCGAGTGCCACCATATTTTTGATTATAATTATTTTAATTCAAATGAAGCTTATCCTATATAAAGGTATATATTGGAGGAGCTATTGTAATGGCTGGAAATCTTACTGTTACTTATGCAGGATCCAAGGTGAAAGTAGAAGGAGACACTGAAGAAAAGTTTTATTTGGATGAAGAAAAGAGAAAAACTGAAGAAATGAGAGAAAGCTTGCTTGATGATGATAATAATGACGAAGGCGAGAAATTCGAAAGAAGAATTTCAAGGAAACATTCTTTCGCTTTGGCATAGAGTATTTTACTCATTATTAGAATTATAATAATTAAATTCTTAAATAATAAGGATGATATAGCCTTAACGAGATGTTTTTATATCATTAGTGGAGTTAAAAATAATTATTTAAAGTGATGAATTTTTGAAATAAATAGAAGTTGAGTTTGAAAATCAATAAAAATTGATATCGAATAAGGATAAAAATAGTGAATAATATATAAAAAAACACTTTGATCAAATCTTTGAGCTATTTTGAAACTTTAAAATAAATTTCTTTTAATTTTAATAAAATTAATATGATTTTAGTTGAAAGTAGAACTTTAAATAAAATTATAATTTTTGGCATATTTGATCCTATAATTTTTACTAAAATATAGGTTTTGCAATAAATTGCTTTTAATTTGGCAAACACCAAAAATAGACTCTAATTTGCATTCATTTTTATTACCAAACTTTAATAAATTTCATTAGGCCTGAAAATTATTTTTCGCTTCCAACCCATGATCATAATAATACTTTTATAGTTATCAGAACTTTAAATAATTTCATTCTAAACAATCCAGCCATTCAAATTAATATTAAATAAATTTTAAGTTTCCTTATTAAATCAATTAGAAAGAGTTAAATCTCCTTCATCAATCAGCATCAATTTCGCTACCACTCATCCATGATAACTTAATTTATTTTAGAAAAATTATCTTTACTCCCCCCCCCCTTTAAATTGAAACAAAAAATTTTGTTTCAATTTAAAGGGGGGTTAAGAAAATTTTTTTATAAAAAAATTTATATATAAAAATTTTTTCAGAGATAAAATTTTATGGTTCATTCTGTGTTTGATTTTTAATTTTAATTTCATGAAAAATTAATTCATAAATTTCTCAATCTCAAAGTGTAAACTTGTTGAAATGGGTATTCTTCTAACTCTCCCCATAACAATTGGACAAAATAGAGTTTAATTTCTAAATCTTATATGTTTGAAGCATATTAAATAGGGTATTAACGTATTTACATATAAAATAATGATTTTTACCTATAAAATTTTCTATTATAATAAAATTTTTTGTTTCAATTTAAAGGGGGGGGTAATTTCCCAAAAAAGTAGGAATTTTACCTATATTTTGTTTCAATTTAAAGGGGGGGGGAGTTAGTTATAAATATTAGAATATGTGTCGAAGTTCTTTATCAAGCTTCAAAATGAGAACAAAACTTAAGCCTTCTTTCCCAGAAGGTTCTAAAACTGAAAGAAGAAAACTTAAAAGAATTTTTAAAGAGCTTTCTAAACGCTGCAGCTTATCAGATGATGGAATCAATCGTGATCAATTTTTGAAATTCACTGATCTTTCAGGTCTTCTAGGGGAGCAATTATTCAATTCCTTGGATGAAGATGAAGATGGCAAATTAGATGTAAAAGAGTTTCTGAATGGATTAATTCTGCTCTACAAAGGCACTTTTGAGGAAATTTCTGAGATTCTCTTCAAAATATTTGACTTCAGTAAAAGTAGTCACATATCTTCCAATGACATTTTATTTATTTTATCTTACCTGCCTAAATTTTGTCCCAAATGCAAAAAGAGGCTTGTGGTTGCATGAGATTTTAAAGAAAAAATACAGGAACTTTTTGAGGATAGAGAATACATTCATTTAGAAGAATTTAAAGAATCAATTGAAATAAAAAATGAAATTGGAGAACTGATATTCCAGTGCATTTTTAACTCATTACCTGTGGTCATTGATGAGTGTTTTTTACAAAAAAAATTAATCTGTGAAAATTTAGAAAATTTTACTGAAGGGAAACTTATATACAACAGCCGGGATTATTATTTTCTTTTAAAAAATAAAAGTTTATATTTTGCGCCAAGCAAAGATAAATTAGTAAATAATCCTGTGGGTGTTATTTATGTGAATGATTTGTTTGTGGAGGGGTCTGAAGGAAATCGCTTTATTCTGAAAAATTCGAAATTTGAATATACATTTGAAGCTGAGAATTTGGAGCAAAAAGAAAAATGAATAGGGGCGATTAAAAGTGAAACTGGATTTAAAGAGTTTTATATAGATTATGAAACCACAGAAACTATTGGGAAAGGTGCTTATGGAGAAGTCAAGCTAGGGACAAATAAGCACACAGGGAATACTGTAGCTGTGAAAATTATATCAAAAGAGCCGTTAGATGCAAGATCAGAAACAAGGCTCAGAAGAGAAATTAATATTCTAAAAATCATTAAGCATGAAAGCATTTTGCGACTTGAGTCAGTCTATGAGACTGCAAATGAGTTATTTATAGTCACGGATTATATTTCAGGTGGATCTCTATTTACGTGGCTTAAAGATAGAGAATTTTCCATCGCTGAAATTATCGCACGAAAAATCATAAAGGACTTGGCGAATGCTTTATTATTTTTACACACAAATGGAATAATCCATAGAGATCTAAAACTAGAAAATATTCTAATAGAAACCGACAAAAATGGTGTTGTAAAGCCTATTTTAATTGATTTTGGACTAAGCTGTATGCTAGCACCACATCAATGTTCACAAGAATCTGTAGGGACTTTAAAGTATGCAGCTCCTGAAGTTTTATCACGAATCCCTTATAGAGAATCTGTTGATTTGTGGGGGCTTGGAGTTATTTCTTATATTCTTTTGATTGGTAGGATGCCATTTTATGGGAAAAATGACCAAGATATTGCGACTAGGATTCTTAAAAAACCTATTGATTTGGAGGGAGAAAATTTTAGACACATAAGTCAAGGAGCAAAAGAAATAATTAAAGGTTTGTTGACAAGAAGGCCAGCTAATAGAATGTCGCTAAATGCATTATTAGAGCACGAGTGGGTTTTGCAAGAAGATGAAGGGAGGACTGACAAAATAACAGCTGATTAAGTAGTTGCGATTTTAATCTTATTAAATTCAAATCTCGATTTTGATTTTTTTTAGTATGATTCTCTTCAAACACCTTTTAAATTTATTTTTGAATTAATTTATTAATATTATATTAGCAACTTTGACGCACAATCTATGTTTTTTGATCTTATTAAATTTTCTGAATTTTTTATGAAATATATTTTTCTGAATTCTGGTAAGAAATTTTATTTAATTGTTTCATCCTGAATTATTAAATTTTTCATAAAATAAGAAAATTAGCTTGAATGATTCTTCTCTTCTATTTATCATATTTTTTCATCTCAATTTAATATAATTATGGCTATAAGATCAAGCTGCCTAAGCTTCCAATATTTTTTCTCCATACAAATATTAAATCTCTTAATCATAAATTCAGATTTAACTAAGAGTATTAAAATGGTGCAAGCTTAAAGGTCTTGCACCGGACTCTCCCCAGGAAGGTGGTGCTGCAGGTCGCTTGGGCACGAAAATTAGGTCTCACTGGTGCTGGAAGCCTTCCCCAGGAGCTTTTTCTGCTTTTTCTCCTGACTGCATTGCAGGGACGGCTATAGACCGTCATAAAGGTCGCTGGGAGCAGCAAAGCCTGCTCTCGGAGGAAGACAGGAGTGAAACTCTGATGAAAGGGAGTAAAAAATAAACAAATCTGCACTGAACTAGCTTGTTAGGAAGCATCCTCCAGAACTTCACCGGCGTGGCGTCGAACCAGCGAAGTCACACCATTTTTAGTGGCCAATATGGTGGAACATTTGGCTCTTTTACTAATTAATCCTAAAACACTTCACTTCAGATTTAACTACTTCTGATTTAATTCATATTTAAAATTTAGTAAAATAAAAATCCAAAAAACGCCTAATATAATTCATTATATTTCCAAATGGTCATTCTTTCAGAAATCAAAATTGGTATTCATCTAGAAAAATTCCGCAATATCGAATTATTTAGACAAGGCTTATATCAAATCAGGTTAAAAGTTTTTCATTCTCAAGATAACCACATATTTTTCGCTAAACCTAAAGAAGTCTGAATCTTGAATCAAAAACCTCGAAAATGACTAAAAAATGACCCGAATCATTTAATTCCTGCCCATATCTCAGATGAAACTCACTCATTCCATTCGCGTGCATTTTTAGTTAGATATCAAGAAGAAGCAGTCATTTTAGACGAAATGTGTGTTTTTAGTTTAAAAATCCCTTTTGGATCTTTTACAACTCTACCCCTTAAAGTTGAAGCTGAACTGCTATACACAAATCTCGAATTGAATGGCCATAAGGATAAAAGAAAACTTAGGCTTTTAAGCTCATCTCCTAATTTTCAATCAGTTGAGCGGAAGGTTTATCTTATAACAAATGCCCTTAATTCAGTGCATCAATATATGCCGTTAGGTTTTGATCCCAATTATTTTTTGTTTAAATTTAATTAATTATTTGAATTTTTTTTTCAACCCTCATATAATAAATATTCTATGCGCAACCAATAAAAGAGCATCTAAATTAAATTAAATACCTAGTATAAGTAAAATAATTTTACTGGTTTGCATCATATATATGAAATTGCTATTTTATTTTAATTGCTATTATTTTTGCATGTTTGAAGGATCAATTCATGTGATTTTTTCAAATTACGAAATAGAAAGCCAAAATGAACTCCAAAAATTCTTATTTGGGGATAGACCTTATATTGGAGGCTCAGAAGTAGATCGGGCATATTATCGCATGTGCGATCCTATAAGACTGGCATACGAAAGTATTAGAAATCTAATCGTCATGTTCAATGATCGGCTATTTTTTTCAAACTCTGACGTAAAATGCACTGTTCCACCTATCATATCACTTCCTTTGTTCTGCCAAGGATCAGAAAATAAAGAAATGAGTCTATTTGAAGCGATTGAAACTCATGAACAAGAAATTATATCAGAATATATATTTGAAGAAATTATAAAGCTTTCAGAACTTGTTAAACAGTCATTTAAAGAACTTATTAGGTTAATGTCATATAATCCTGAGCATATATGCAGATTTTTAAAAAATATTTATGATTTACAAGTAACGAAATATTTCCACGAATATATCATCACTGAAACTAAAGCTCCAGCCCTGCCTTCTTTATATAGAGAAAACTTGCCTGGATTTTTGAAAAAAGCTGGAAATATAAGAGTCACCCCATATTTTTCTAATTTAATAGCTTTGCCTATACAAGCTGATGATTTATATAACGATATACCTAATCATCCAATATTTTTCGTAGAAAGATTTAATTCAGAAAAATTTAAGTTAGAGTCTGCTTTTAATTTTGAATTTGACAGCGCAAGAATGCAATCAAGTATTTGTAAAATTTTAGATCTTCACTTGATTGTGCTGGTTCATGGCTACAGAGGAGGAAGCAAAGACGTATATCTTATCAAAGGCTATTCCTAATTATATCAATGATATATATTCAGTGTAATAAAATAATTGTAATTCTATTGATTTTAAATACAATACTTAAACTTAATTTACCCTCAGTGCCACGTTATATGTGCAAAAAGTAATGAATTTTCCAGTGATTTAACATTAGTAATCCAAGGTCAAAATTTAGCAGATGAGGTAACTCAGTATATCATGGAAAATAAAATACCTCTTCACCGATTAAAAATCACCTTTCTCGCTCATTCTATGGGAGGATTAGTTGTGAGAGCTGCTTTACCTTATCTGAGTCGATTTAAAGACGTTATGTTCGCATTTATTTCACTATCAAGTCCTCATCTAGGAGTAAAGCACGCAGATAGCTATTTATTAGAATTTGGAAAATGGGTTATAAAAAAATTTGACCATTCTGACTGTTTTGATCAATTAACAATGCATGATTCTGAAAACGTTAGACAGACATTTATTTACCAATTAAGTCAGCTTGAAGGACTAGGGTGGTTTGAGCACGTCGTTTTATTTGGCTGCTTTGATGATCCTTATGTCCCTGAGTATTCTTCAAGAGTTGAAGTGCCTGTGCAGTCGGCTCCTGATAAAGACCTTGAAAATGCTTATAAAGAAATGATCACAAATATTTGGTCAAAAATTGATCCAACCAAAATCACAAGAGTTGATGTCCATTTTAAAAACAGAGAATTGTTTAATTGGCTGATTTGTTGCGGAAATATGCATATTGACTTCTTAGATAATTCTTGCTTCATCAAAATGATGTGCTATGGGTTTCCGAATCTTTTTGCTTAAGTAATTCTTTATGATATAAGTGTCTTTATTTTGATAGTTTTAGAAAATTTTACTATTAATATTTGATGATGTCATTAAATAGCTGCCTTATTATTGATTTTTAAAATAAATTTTAATTCTTTAAGACACTCCTTTCGTTGGTAGATATATTTTACTTGGTGTTCGTTAAAATAAGTAATTTCTCTTTCAGCTTTTAATGGAAACCGACTTTTCCAATAATGAGCGATGCAAATTTTTTATAAAAGTTATGGAACTTTTAGATAGTTGTATTAATGTTACGATACCTAGAACAAAATTAAGGTGCACTAACCAGGTTTTCAAAAGAAATTTTACTGTAAAATTCATGCAGGAATACGAGGTAGTGATATCTTTCCACACATTTAAACACAAAGTTTACAAGCGCTACAGCCAATTTCGGAATCTCTGGAGCTCACTCCGAAACAACCCAAATTCAGACGAATATTGGTCTCAACTTCCCAAATTTCCTGAAAAGAAACTTCTTGGGAAAAAAAACCATTCTTGCGTAGAAATAAGAAGGAGAAACCTTGAGCTATGAATCGCCTCCTCCTTGAACTTCCCACAAACCTTCCAAGAATTAGCCGAATTTCTTGAAATTCCGGAAAAATTCCGTTCACTAATTTTTGAGCGGAATAATTCAACAGCCTGCAAGTTCTCCCCTATTGAGCTATGTGTGGCAGCTTTTATTAAACGGATTGAGAAATCGGAACACAAAAGACTCAAAGCTTTAGAGCAGTTTGAAAGAGATTTCTTTAATCAAAAACAAGAAATTTCACCACCAGTTGCAATTGTTTTGCTTACGAGGTTAATGCCATTGTGCGGGGTTCCAGGGATAGGGTCAAAAGCATTGGATATTTTGAACAAGTTGACAAGCTCAACGACATTTAGGTATTACCAAACAATGATTGATTCAATGATGAGGATTAATATGGACCTATTTAGGGAAATGAGATTAAATTTTCATCTTACAAGAGTTTTCCAAGGAGACTCTGCAGAATTAGCCCAACAGATATGTGGGAAAATCAAAGAGCAGCTGGGAGATAGTCATTTATTAAGTTATATTTTAAATGATGATAGAGATGCTATAATGGCGTTTGAAAATTGGAATGAGCATACTTTCCAGCCTCAAATGTCACCAAGATCTGCAAGCGATAAAACAAGCTCGTCTTGGAAAAAGCTAAACACAGATGGATACCCTGGAAATTTAGAATTCGCTTATAGAAAATCAGGAAATTTGATTGAAGCGAGAGCTGAGATGGAAATTAATGCATCAATTGATACAATAATAGAAATCATCACAGAAAAAAACCTTTAATCCCCTCTTTTAATTGGAAACAAAATGAGTCTGATCCTATTTATGGAGGGTTAATTTTTTAAAAAAAAATTATAGCTCATCCGCGATAATTGCATCATTGAAATTTGGCTCTTTTGTTGCCAGATTAGTTTTCACTTGTCACCCCTTTTTCTATGTCACTTTTATTTAACCCAAAGTTCGCCGCGAGATTCCCACTTTTTAGGCAGGATGAGAAGAGCCTTTTTAATTGGAAATTATTATTACTTATCTTATTTTCCTGAGCATTATACAAATTATAAGAATTATTTTTAATTATTTAAAAACAAATTATATAAAACTTGATTAAACTAGTTTAATACTTATTTATAATCTGAATATTTCAATAAATAGTGAGGATTCTTGCTTAAGATGTAAAAGTTATAAAGTCCGTTAGAACTGCTATATTTTCATTGATCTCGAATAAAGAATTTTAAAAATAAAAAGCCATCTTTTTGAATTTAAATTTATTTATGAAAAATTAATTCAAAAAATTAACTGATTCAGTGTAAAACAGTTGAAATAGCATTCTACTTGCATTATCTCCATTAAATTAGGTCGAGGCTTTATATAAAAATTAGTATATTCACATTAAATTTTCGATTAAAATTTAATCTAATGTGTTAATATACCCAAAAAAATGAATATTTTGCTCGAATTTTAAATGGGGAAGTCAGGAAAAAGTGGGATTTATTTATATCAACCTATGAAGTTGTCGAAAAAATTAATGATAAACAATCAATAGTTTTAATAGTTTTCGTGTCAGATAGAAATGAAGTTATGGACTTGTCATTGCTGAGAACAATCAGCTATGAGCCCGGACATGCAACAGTCCTCTATAGCTCCATTGATCACCCTAAAATTCCATTGCATCCTAACCATAAAAGAGTTACGTGCAGTGAAAGCAGATATGATATTTATTTATTAAAGGGTCAAAAACTTAGGTCGAAAACTGACAGCACAGATGAGTCAGCAAGTCCTGAACTAAAAGTTAAGGACGAAGATGAGTTTAAGCCAAAATGCAAACTCGTTTACACAAATTATTTGACAAGTGATATGACTAGGTTCCTTTGTAGTGAATTTATTGAAGAAACAAATTATATTAAGGAAGCATGAAAAAACATGAAAAAAGTAGCTGAAAATGAAGAAGAGTCAACACCAGATTTGGCTCAGAGATCAAAGGAAAATGTCATATTTGGAGCTCTACTTAAAAAGACAGGACCGACAAAGAGTGTGCATGAAGAAGCTAACACTTTTAATGAGTAAACATTGAAAATCAATGGCTATAAGTAAAATAAAGTAGATCTTCAGTAAATTTTAGATAAAAAATAATGTGAAATAAGCTTCTTTGGCATTATTTTGATAGCAGCATTCTATGAAATAATAGGAAATCTACTGATAAATATCTTGAGCTTATTTTTTAAATGTATATTTTGTTAATTTATTTTCAGGCCTCTACATCTTACTTTATTAGTGCTTTAAATATTAGTCTTATTTTATAATAAATTAATTATTAGCAGATTTTGTTTTGACCCCTAATATACACTTGTTTTGCAAAATTAGTTGTTTTTTACTCCCTAAAAACTCTTGACTTTCAATCCTATCTATTTGAGACTGATTGCATTCTTCTCTATTTGTAGCAAAAGGTAGTAGAACTGTGCTAATCGCAGATTGGCTCTCTTGAGTGTCTTGCTTTTCTTCATTGTTCTCTTCTTCATCATCATTTTTGGTTAGAGCATTCCTAATTTCATTAATCTCAGCCTCTATATCTCAAGATTTTTTCTTCATTTTCAATACGATTGGAGGCTTTCTCATTAATGGCTTTATACTCTGTTGAAAAAAATTCTTAGCCTCTCATTTTCGCCAATAATATGTTTGAATTAAATCAAGAAATAATTTTTAAAGAAATTTCATTAATTTGGATAAATTCTTCGAATTTCAATTTCAAACGACATAGCACAAATTAAAGATGTCAGAAATGTTTTTAGAAATGGCACTTTTTAATTTGTACCGAGTCAAGATGCGGAAAATAAGTTTGGATTTAAATTTTTGAAATAAAATGTATTAATAGATTAGAAGTTCTTCGAGTTTTAATGCATAACACAATTTATGATGGCGACACTAAACATGCTAAAATTTTTGCCAATATCAAAAGATTTCTATTAATAAAATAAAAAAATATTTAAATTAAGATAAATAGCATTTTTATGTCTTTGAACTCTTAGTCATGATAATTTAATTATTTAATTCATTAACTTTCTATTGAATTGTTAAGTATCTAAATTTTATTAACAAAGTGTATCATATTGCTTAATAAATAAAAATTCACCAGATACTTGCTTATATCTGTTCAAATCAAGGCCCTTAAGAAATTCTTCCAGCTCATTATAATTGAATAGGCCGAATTTGAGTTTGATAGTTAGGTGTAGGAATTTCACTATCCTGAGAGTCTGCATGATATTCGCTTTCATTGAAATTTTTCACAGCTCTAATTTGCTGGTAAACATTTGAAGGCTGGTTTGGTTTAAATTTTTTATAACTCATAGGAAAATTATCTTCATATTTCCTTTTCAGTCCAGCTCTGAATGGATTTTTTGTTAAAGGATGAACCTCTGATTCTGCTACCATTCTTGCTAATTCTGGTTCCAAATCTCTTCCTAGAAAATCAAGATCCCCAATCTCTCTCATAATCCTTTCAACATCCATTTCATTAAGCATAACCATTTTCCTTTGAAAAGGATCATAAACTCTATGAAACTTAAAAGCATAAACTGCTTTTAAAAATTGTTTCTGGTAATCTTCTCTAATACTTGGCTCTATTTTCAGCTTTGCAGCAATTCTGTCTAACTCAATAGTTTGCGATATAATTTTATATGCAGTTTTAATTCCAACGTTTTTAAAACTTTTCAAATAATCACACCCGGCTAATATGCACATCATCATAAATTGTTCATGATTTCAATTTTTCATATTATATTGCGTCAATTTATGCAAATTCCTTAAATCCATTTCCTTTAGTGACCCTCCTCCAGCTGTATCAAATTTATATAAAACTTTTTCACATCCAAATACAAGTAAATCGGAATCTTCACTGATAACAGCTGAAACATAGCCAATTTTATACAAATACGCGAGTTGGGCATCAGCTTCATATGGGGCTGTTATACATTCAATTCCATAACTTTTTAATTCTTCAATTAACTCATTAGCCATATCTGGGGTTACAGAAACTGCTTTTGAATAAAATTTTTCAGCTTCTCTTATGTTTCCAGCTTCATCTAAGGCAACTGCTTTGTCCATGGCTTCTTGACGAGTTTGTCGACGGTCGTGATTTGTATCAGCTTTGCATGGCATTGGGGCTCCATCGAAAACCATAACAGGCTCTACACCGATTTTTCTTAATTCAAGGGCTTTCTTAACACAATAATCGATATGTCTTAATAAAAATTACCTTTTTGTGTTTTTTCCCTGAATAAGATCTCGGCCGCATGAATAGACTGCTTTGTGAAGCCTATATAAATAATACCAACAATAGCTATCTATAGCAATTCTTTGACCTGAATATTCAGAAATATGCTTATCAATCAGTAAAGGTTTTAGAAATTGTAAAAGGCTTTGGATACCCATTTTAAATAATTATGAAATAGAAAAAGGGTGTTGAACGAGGAAAATAAGAATTTTTTGAAAGAAAATTTAAAAATAAATTCCAAAAAAATATTTTCAGATTTATGAAAATCATCGATATAATATATTATTTTTTATATTAATTTAATCTGAATTTCAATAAATCTGGCTTGAATTTATTTAAAGGCAATTTCAAACAAAACACCATATAAGGTTTAGCTATATTTATTCTAAAACAAAATTTTAAAACTTTTATAAGCCGATAAGTGATCTTAAATCTGTATTATTTAGCATAATAAGCTCTTCAGTCACTTATTTTTGATAATACTGACCATTTTTAACCATTAAAAGCCATTTTCTTAAAAGTTGATCCTAACAGGTGCATAATAAAAATATGTGTAAAGTTAATGTGGAATGCAGACAAAGCGAAGAGTCTTGTGAATGCTTAAAAACTCTTCAATTGAAAAGAGTCAGCCCTTTGCAAGATATTATTTGTCCACAGCCAATGAGAACTTCTAAAAGTTTTATCCCATCCAGCCAGATAATCCAGATTCTTCAGCAGCAAAACGCTATGATTAAGCTTCTGACTGATCAAAATGAAGCAGCCAACAATAAGCTAACACGGCTTTTATCCAAGCTTGAATCACTAACTCAGAAAGACATAAGTCTACCACTTGCTGAATCCCCTGAAGAATCCACATCTTCGACTAGCCTATTATCAGTCCTTTGTGGGGGTTCCACTGAGTTTCAATACTTTATCAAGCTATACTCATATCTATGAATTTACCTATCCTTTATATATGCCAATAGAGAAATCAGACTATTTATAGGAAAATGTATAACAAGTGAAGTTCCTGAGCCTGCTTATAAAGAAAGAGCCTTTATGCTGACAGCTCAAATTATTGATGGTCAGGGAAATCAGGTGACCCTTCCTAGCAGCTTAAAATTCAAAATCATGATTTTCACTTCTGAAAATCCTCCAAAACTTTTATTAATAAATACATCAGGAGATAAAATCATGAGAGGAACAACTGAGGTAGAAAGCAATAGTCAAATAGTTTTTAGTAAAGTTGTGATCAAAGAGGTTACTTCTCATTTTCGAAATGGCTGATTTTACCTTGTGATTAAGCCTGTAGAAAATTCGAGCATTAAGCCTCTCATTATAGAAAACTTAGTAATAAAGGCGAGAAAAATGGATCCTGAAGGAAACTCAAGAAAAAAAGCAAAAATAGAGGAAGGTGTTGGATCCAGTTAAATAGCTATAAATAAAATGTAAATAGTTAATAAAATTTGGTTTCATTTTTAAAATATCAAGAAAACTTGAGAAAATTCTAGATCCACTCAACTTATATAAATAAGAATTATTAGTATTTTGTTAAAAACATATTAATCAATAATTAAAATACTTAAAATTTTTATAAATTCTTAAATTAGCATAAAAAAAGATTAATATTGTCAGCCTAATTATTTTATGAATATTGGTTCTGTCTGCTTTTCCAGAATATTCTTGATTTATATAGCATAATTTAGCATTCAAAATACGGAATTAAGAATCTATATACAAAGCAAGTTATTATTCAAGCAATATTCTTTGTAGAACTTTAGTCTCATGGAAATTCTAATAAAATGACATTACTCTGTACAGTGATAATAAAACCTTCATAGAGTGCATAAGACGAATAATTAATATATTGAGAAGTTCAATAGATTAAGGCCATTATACTTATACAGTCATATACCCTTTCTTTTTAGGCAGTCGACGTTCTTAGCTCAAGATAATTTTCCAATTCCTTAAATTAATTCCACTTGATACTTGAGATTTATTAATTCAGGAACTCAAATCGAGTTAATCAACTTTCTAGTTAATTAAGTGATGGGTTTCATATGAAGAGCTAAAATCTAGGATAAGCCATGCAGTATCTATTCATAAGAGTTCAAAAATATTAAAAAAATCTTTAATTTTATCGTTGATACTTTTATTGGTTATATAAAATCCAGTTCAGTTTTTATACAGAAGATACATATAATGCTAAAAACGCAGCAAGATCAGTATTGGAGGAAATTCAGGGATCTTAAAGTATTATATAAATCAAAACCTCTAAAAATATATAGGTTAACGATATCATAAACTTATTGGAAAATCACAGTTTGGCGAAGCTCTATTTCCTTTACTAAGGCCTCCCACCTGCTCGCTCGCATTTCACAATATCGTGAAGGTTGCTCCTGCAGGATGAGAGCTCATATTATCTACCGGAGTTAGAAGACTAGCGCTATCAAAACGCACGCTATTCAGGATTGCCCACTATCTATTAATAAAAATGGAATCTTAAGAGGGACGCAACGTACATTACCATATTGGGTAAGTTTCCAGATTGGCAAAGATATATGCTCTGGTACCTCTGGGAGAATCTTTCCAGTTTCTTGGCAGATTCCCAAATAAAAAAGCCTTCCCAGAATGAAATTTGGGCTATCAGTTCACCATTGCCACTTCGTCTACACCAATAAATTGCCTTTTCTTCAGAAATAAATATATTAAGAACTTGAAATGTTTCAGGAAAGTTTTTTTCTGATAATGCTGGCAATAAATATCTCGATTTGATAGTTCCTGAAGTGATGCAGAAGCATATAAAATTATCCGTAAACAATTAAATGTTACAATTATCAAAGCAATCTAATAATTCCAGCATTTTCTGCAGATTTTGTTTTTTCCTTCATAAATCATAAATTTTATAATATAGCTGGCAAGTGCTTCACGGAACAATATATGCTTTAGAAGCTTAACATTTATGCGTGATAAGAAAAGCCTATTTTATAATTAAGATTATTCATATCGATATCTCATAGTAAATGCTAGAAATTTGTGCAATTTGCGGAAATTTACTATAGATTATAAATTTGAAAATAAATTCATATGATATCATGATAGAAAGCATCTTTAGAGTATTAAAATGACTGCTCTGGGTATATGTAATAGCTAATTGAAATATATTTATAAAATTCATGATTGAACAATCTTTTCAATATAGAATTTGAGAGGATTCTAGTGGCATTTGAAATAAATATCTTGCATGTATAATCTAAGGTATATAGCAATAGTTTAATAAAAAGCTATCCAAAGGTGAGTTGCATTCAATATCTTGTCTTTTGAATGCATTTGGGTAAAACCATTTAATGCTTGAATTTACACTTGATACAATTTCTTCCAATTAGTTATTCTTATTATAACTCTAAGATTGTCCATTTCGGCCATGAAAGGGATAAAAATCATAACATTTGCGTATAAAATTCGATGGTACTTTTTTCCTACCATATTTGCACCATTAGAAATTTTAGTAGTACTTTTTTCACATCTTTTTCTGTTGCCAGCCTTCTCCCTTAAGATCATAGCATCCTGGGATATTCACTACAATAGTTAAGAAGGTGAGTGGATTTACTACGATATTTTAATCTATATCCTCAAAATATATACGTAAATATACTAACTCTCCCCCCCCATCCTTGATCGAACGACTCGCTAGCGTTCGATCAAGGATGGGGGTTAAAAAAAAATTTTCGGGAAAAAAATTTATATATAAAAATAAAAAAATATATAGATATTTTTTTTTATTTACTTTTAAATAAGAGGGTTAAGAATATTTAATAATTATTTTTTTACAGCAAAAAATTTAATTTATTTCATAAAATACCAATTTTTAATATTTTGATTTATTAGTTACCCCTTTAAATTGTATAAATTTTAATTTGTTCCTTATTAAATTAATTTTTTTTAAAAAAAAATTTTAAAGAATCTGTATTTTATTAGATTATTAAGTTTTTAAGCATATATTAATGACTAAATCACTTCGGATGGTTGATTCCGCAGCTTTCTGTCGTCTCAAAGCCTCTGAAAACAACTTCATTATGTATATCTTCCCAAGCTTTTGATAACTAATATATTTTTATATATATAAAAATTGTCATGATATGAAAATCGTTCGATCAAGGATAGGGGTTAATTTCCCCAATTTTTAGGAATTTTTACAGTCAATCGTTCGATCAAGGATGGGGGGGGAGTAAAAATAGAGTCAAAACTAGTTTCTTTATTATTGCTAGGCATTTCTGCTTTATATTTATATTGACAGATTTTTTGTTTAAATAATTTATGGAGCCGATTCTGATTATTAATTTCAAATTTTTTAGCATAAATTAATGATATAATTTCCTCTGTAGTAGGAATTATTAAAGTTTCTGTTTGCCAAAAACAAAATGGAAATATAAAAAGAAATTGTCTCTAACATTAATTATATGAATGCAATTAGGAGCGAGTTTTAAAAACTTAAAAAATTGATATTTGATAGTCTAAAACTAAGAGAATTAGTTAAATTAATTAGCAGCAAATTCAGACTTGATACTCCTTTAATAATTTTTTTAAAATTGTCTAAGAGCTTAAATTTTAATTATGCATCATAAAACACAACCAAAGATGATTATAAAATTTATAGAGAGGCTCTAAAAAGGATCGATTTTGAAGATGCTTAAAACGGATAAAATAAAACAATGGCTCAAATCGAATATATAAATAGCGAAGTATGGAGAATAGTAGTGGAATAGGGAATCCAACGGATGACACTTTATTAGCTAATCCAAAAACTTCATACGATACATAAGAAAAAGATTCAGATTACGATTGGGATTGTGCGTGCCGTTGGTACGAAAAATATGGTTTTGCATTAAACTTTGAAGTTGATGAAAATTCAGAAGAAGTAAAAATGCCATCCCCCAAAAATGAGCCAGGGTCCCAGAGATTTTTGAGCTTTAAGATGACCAGGCTAAGGATTCCTCCTAAAAAGAAGCATCTCTGATTAAAGCTAATTAAAGGGCACCAAAAAATCATCCACAAGATCTCAAAGAGAATCTTCAAGATAAAAAATACAAGTGAGGTAATAATATGTAACCGATTGGAAGCACATTTTTGAGAAAATAAAGATATACTTGAAGAGTATCAAACTAAATCTGGGCCAATTAATGGCAAATTAGCTCAAAAAAGCTTGAATGAAGCTCTTAAGAAATATTTTCAGCACGAAGCAACTAAAGTATCATTTTATTACTATATAGAGTTGATATTTTTAGAGCTTGATCCAGAAACTTTACGTAAAAAATTCCGGTTTGAGTGTTGTGAATTAAGGGATCATAGAGTATTTTGCACTGAAAAATGGACGGAACTTAAAAACTACTTACAAAGAACTATGTTCACAGATATAGGAATTCCCCTTTGAATTCCTATTAATGAGGCTCCACCTACTATTTCTGCAAATGAAAGCAAGAATTCAATGGATTATTTTCCATAAATATATTTAAGCAAACTGATCATGATTAAGATTGGCAGTTTCTGATAATAGCAAAATAATTAAATTATTAATTTTTATCTAAATAAATCCTTCCATAAATGAAATGGTTTCTGCTATTTTCGAGATAATTGTTGAGTAACTATTTAAGAAATCTAATTTCTGATAATATTCTTGCAATTATTATGCGAAAAATACATAAAAATAACTTCAGTATAAGTAATAGAGATACTGTAATTCGAGTAAATATAGATTATTTTCAGGCATATTTTACTGTGATTGAATATAAAATTTTTGGTATTTGATGTTAGTAATCGATAAAGATATAGAAAACTTAATTCAAGTAAAAAAATCTAAAAATTCATGAATTGCTATTATAAGATAAAACAATTAAGCAGATAGAGTAGTAACTTGTGAAGAGACACAATTAAAATAAAAAATTTGATGCGCTCTTATTTAAAGTATAGCGCAATAGTATAACTAATTGTGCTAAAGGCAACATTTTATTAATAAAATTTATAGAATAAATAAATAAAAACAATGGTTAGGGGAAATAAATATAAAATTTTAGCTCATATTTGCTCGCCTTCATTTCATTATCTACCATTACTATTCCACTTAATTCAATATTTCTTACCTTTTAAATTTTTCTTCAGCTCTTTTTAAATCTAAGCATTTTTATTATAATCGAAAATGGCTAAAATTTTTGTCATTGCAAATCTAGACTCAACACTCCATCTTATCCTATTAATTTATACTTTTCAAAAATTGTAGAAGGATATCAAAATTATAGAAGGAATGCTTCCTTTTTATAAATTAAATACTCCTTTTATGTAAATTTATTATTTGAGCGCAAAAAACAACAAAAAATAACTTCCTAAAGCTTAAACTATTATTTATGCATCTAAAAAAGTAACACAAAATAAAAGATAATATTCCCAGTAAAGGCTACAAAAACAGGTGATTTAGAAGACTTTAAAATGGATAAAGTGAAACCATGGTTTTCTAATAAATATATAAAGAGTGAACTATGGAAGCGAATAGGGAAACGGTGAAGCAAACTGATGCCACTGCAATAGGCACTCCAAAAATTTCAGCCCTTATGCAACAAGGATTCATACCACTTGATCCTAATTACAATTGGGCTGACATGTGCATTGATGAAAGCAACGGCGCCTATGAAAAAGACTCAGACAGCTATGAAAATTGAAGCAGCTCAATCGTCGAAGACTTAGTTTGAGAAGTGAAAAGGCCAGGCCGCAAAAAGGAGCCAGATTCCGAGCTACTTTCCCGCTTTAAAACAAAAAAAGGCATTCCTCCCAAAAAGGAGTATAGCACTTTCCCTTGAATAGCCCGATAACGGATGAAGCCAGCCCGTTACCGGCTATTCAAGGGAAAGAGCTATATCTAAGATGCAAGCTAATAAGAGGGCACAAAAAGCTCAACCGCCAAATCCAATCAGGGAATCTTTCAAGCAAGCACATCTGCGCTTTTAAGCAAGAAAGTCAAAGAGGGTTATTAATATGGAACCGCTTACAACAGCATTTTTTTGCAAATAGAAACGTATAATTAAAATATGGCGTCTCCACCTGGCATGGCCTCCGGCCACGCAGCTTCCGAGCACATATTTTAATTATATCCGGCAAGGTTTTACTAACCCAGAAATGGACAGCAATGCTAGGTAAGCAATTCTGGTACTGTACAGATCCTAGCCCTCAGTCCAAATTCAGGATTAGGTTTTTACCTCGAAGGGGAGGAGGGGTTCAGGTTTGGAAAGGGCAAGCCCAGCTAAGTCTACAGGGAGCACCTAGACCAATCGGGCAATTGCCTAGCGTGAAACTGGGAGTTTTACGCCCCAGGACTTGAATTTTTCCTTTTTGCCGAGAGGTCACCAGAAATTCCATTTTTTTGGGATTTTTGAGTGGTCAACTTCGTCCACCCAAGCAGCAGCCGCAGAAGTCCATAGCCCGCCCACTCAACACTCAAGCCGCAAGGAGAGGAGTAGACGTCCAGGTGAAATCTCACTTCAGAATACCATGCCACCAGGAGCTGAAGAAGGGGAAAGGCAGTGTCAGAGCCGAGCTTGGCCGGCGAATCATTGTCCCAACTCGAACAAGGTGAATCCGAAGACGGCGCAAAGCAGGTGAACCCGACTTTAGGGTCCGTGGTGACTGCGTAATCAAAACGGCAGACGCCCTCTAATTTCTAAGTTAAGTTAAGTAAGCAAATAGAAACGTACTTGAAGTAGAGTCACAAACCGAATCTGGGCCAACCACTGATGGCAAGAAAAAAAGAAGAAAAATTGACAAGGCGACTCAAAAAAGCTTTAACGCAGCATTTATTAGGCACTATTTTAACCATGAAGCCACAAAAGTATCATTCTATTATTATATAGAGTTGATATTTTTAGACCTTGATCCAGGAATTTTATGTCAAAAATTCCAATTCCAGTGCTGTCAGTCGGAGAATCATTTCGATGCCTGCAGAGAAAGCTGAATTGCACTTAAAAGTTACTTACAAAGGACTATGCTCACAGATTTAGGAATTCCGCCTTATATTCCAAAAGACGAATTTCTTCTATCTGCTTCTGCTCCTACTTATGAGGATGAGAATTATAATGGATTATTTTCCACTTGTGCAGAGTTTCAAGACTTTGAATTAGAAAACCATTCGATTATTTAAGTAAATGGCCATGGTTAAGATTGTTAATTTCTAATAATAAAAGCATTGCTAAATCTTAAGTGCTATTTATCTAAAAGGATTTTATTAGAATAATAATTAGTTTGCTTATTTAATAAGTCTAATAATATCTATATTGAAAATTATGGAATGGTATTAATTTAATATTTAAAAAAGCAATAAATTGAAAGAAATCCCTAAAATAATCAGCAGTCTTATGTGCTTATAATTTTAAAAATATTAATACGACAAAGAAATTATAGGAGTTATTTAATAGGTTCTTAGTTTATACAAATTTATTAAAATATTTGATACTATAATTAAACTTGCTAAAAACATTTTACTCATGCCTATATATAGAAAAAAATGCTAGACCACGATGAATCAAAAGCAAAATTTATTAGACTGGGTATTATAGGCAATTGTGGCTGTGGTAAATCATCATTATTAAGACGAATCATTTCTGATGATTTCACAATATTATAGTTAGGGATAGGTCCTAACACCTGTCACCAGCAGGTTGAGCCTATAAACCAAGCTTAGTGAGATAAGTCAAAGTTTCTTAAGAGTCTTGGCTTGACGAGAAAAGGTCGGTGCTGAGGCTGGTATTGACTAGAGAAGTCTGGAAGGGCTTATTAACTTTAACTGTTTGACGGTTAGGCCGGTCCACCTACCGCTATTCAGAGCTGTTAATGTAGCTGGACTTCAAGTAAAACAAGATTTATAGCACTGATGTGCAAGAGTAATTCTATTAAACTTAAACTGATGATTTTTCTCTTGAGCGGTCTAAAACTATTTATTGTGATTGGCCTAGGGTATCCTTGTTTCATTTGAATCGTGAACTTATATCCATAATAAATCAAATAACGTCCTAATATATAGCAAGAAGAGTATATGATATAAACAAAATTTGTACGGTTAGCTACTCAGGAGAGGTTATTTAAGCAAAATATTATATTTCAAATTAGAGATACTGCATCTCAAGAAAAATTCGGGCCAATGCCTCGTATGTTTTACTATAACTTGGATATAGTTCTAGTATTATTTGATGTTTGCAATCGTACATCGTTTGAAAATATTGAGACCTGAATTAAAGAGGCAAGAAGAAATAATTCAAAGGATGCAATAATGATTGTTATTGGAAATAAAACCGATAAAGAAGATAGAGAAGTAACTTATGAAAAGGCATTTTTAAAATGCCAAGATTTGATGTGCTTTTATTTAGAGTATAGTGCAAAAAACAGATTTAATCATTCTAGCCTATGAAAAGCTATATGTGAAATATCATTAAGGCAATTGTAAAGCAATAACTTAAAAAAATTAATAAATTAAGATCATAGCTAAGATAAAATTTAAATTAAATTATAAACCTCATTTTCACGCTTTTTATTTGCTATAAATAAATAATTTTTAAATAAGAAGCTGACACTTTTATTATTAGATTTAATTTTAAATAAACTTATTTTTATTGAGCTGTCTTTTTTCATATTTCTTCTGATGATTTAAGCTATTTTTCGATAATAAGTAATTAATAGTATTTCCTATCTACCATTCTATACATTTCCTCAAAATCTCGGATTTAACCTATTGGGAGATCAAATAGTATCAAATAAATTGTATAATTCTGAATTAATGCAATGTGAAGCTCTGAGAGCGAAATTTTTAATTGGCTGCTCTCAAAAGTTTATTAAAATAGCAATGGAAGCATTTTACCTTTTATTTTTTAGTTTTTTAATTCGATACTGGGCTAATTTAGTAAATAAAAAAGAAACTTATAAATTTAATGGAAAAATTAGAAAGCTTATGTTGGGAAGAAGAGGTGAATGAGAAGTTTCAAATCCTTAAGCAGTTTTTTTATTATGTAATGGGCATTATTCTTTCATACTGAGGATTTGAGCTCGTTTTATCACTGCATCAGCATTCACTGATTATCTCAAACGTTCCCTTTGGAGTTGTTCATTTACTTACCTGCCTATTATTAAGCTATACTGAAGGGAAAAATATGCGATGAAAAACAATAGTGCCAGTTTTAGTCACCGAATATAATTGCCTTATGTGGAAAGTTAAAAGTATGAATGAATCTCATAATATTGAATTACTTTTTGCATTGTTGTCTTTTGCGATAGTTAATATATGTGAGTGACCATTCATAAGGTCTTCTCTTATAACTCTCCCTTCCGCTTTCAAATTATTAAAAAAGACGACTTTTTGAGATTAACCTCGTAAAAGAGCAAAAAATATTTTTATACAAAAATCCTTTGATATATATATAAATAAATAAGAATTGATAATCAAATCTTTGGCTAATCCTATAAATTTTAAGCATGCATTTTGAAACATTAGCTAATTGCTATGAAACCCCATCAGGATTGAATTTCTCATTGGCAGCCTAACCTGCTCGACCAATTTTACTTGGCAGGGCCAAAATTGATTATAAAAAATCAATTTCGTCCCACCAAATAAATTAGTCAGACAAAAAGGCAACCCAGCAGGCAATTCATAGCCTAATGGGTCGTTTTATAGCAAAAACCAAAATATTTTCTAATTTAAATAAATGGACTTTTAAATATCTATGATTTAAATCTGAAAAAATAATAAACCTTTTTAAAAAAAATATAAGCCCCTCTATGAGAGAAAAGGCTTGTATGCACTCAGACAGAAGGTAAGAATATTGGTTTTATGCAAGGACTTATTTATATGGCATTATCATAAATATATAACAGGTGAAGTAATATTGACAACTAACTTAATGCCTCACCTTCTAGGGTTTTTAATAATTTTTTTGTGCGAACTGCGCTGCAGACATGTAAAAGCAAAAACCATTGAAAGATTTCTTATAAGAAAAGGCTTCGAAAGTGCTGAAAAAAGGCTTAACCTTATTTTCAACTTATTTCCTGAAGGGATATTAATCTTATCAGAAAGGAAAGAAATTTTGTATTCCAATGAAAATCTTATGAAGCTACTGAACTGTAATATTGGTCAAGTTGTTCCAATAATTTCTTCAATGGAATATTGCCATGGGAGAAAGCATTCAAATTTGTCAAGTACAAACAAGTTAATTGATGACATTAACCTAATTCCAAATTTGGCAATAAACCAAGAAATCGTATTGGGTGTAAGCGAATCTGAAAATTTGAGCATGGAATGGAAAGGCCAAAGGGTTTCTTGGGAAAATCAAAACGCAATATTGCTGACAGTAAGCAACGTAAATCATGTAATTGAATTAGAAAAAACAGTTTCTGACAATAAATTGAAAAATATATTGCTAAGGTCTGTTTCTCATGAGCTAAGGACTCCTATAAATGCTATTGCATTTATGGCTGAATCATTAAAAGAAGAACCAGAAATCTCAAGCAATAAGTCGTGGAAAGAAAATTTGGACATGGTCTCTGTTTCATCTAAGCTTTTACTTTCATTAGTAAATGACCTGCTTGACTATTCAAAAATACTTGCTGGAGCATTCTCTATCCAAAAATCAAGCTTTCTACTGTGAAATGCAATTCATGACACTGTCCAACTTATAAAAATGCAGGCAGAAAAAAAAGGCTTGAAGATTTTTACCAGAATTGATCCTCAGCTTCCGACTTTGATTTATACAGATCCTTTAAGGCTGAGCCAAGTTTTACTTAACCTTTTAAGTAACGCACTTAAATTCACACTGAAAGGCTCAATTGAGATCTGCTGCATGTCAAATACAAAGCAGCAATTAAGAATTACTGTTAAAGATACAGGAATTGGGATTCCTAAAGATAAACTGCAGGATTTATTTAAAGAGTTTAATACTCACCACAATAGAAGCTTAAATCCTTCAGGATGTGGGCTCGGGCTATTTATTTCTAACATAATCGCACAAGAATTAGGTGGGTCTTCAATTGAAGTAAAATCAAAGCAGCAAGTAGGGTCATCGTTTACAGTCTCAATTGATATACTAGAAGACCAATCTGAACAGCCAAATCTCATTTATGAAGAAAATCAAGAAATATCAGCAACTTTATCAGAAGAAAGCGAATATATTTCTATAAAAGATTTTAATGCTTTAATACAGTCTGAAGTCACACAAGTTTTGGTCGTCGATGATAACGATTTTAATAGGATAGTGATGGGTTCTTTACTTGGAAGCCATAAAATTTTATTCAATGAAGCATGCACTGGGAAACAGGCCGTCAAGATGGTGGAAGAGATGAGTAACAAAAAGAAGCCTTATAAGCTTATCGTAATGGATGGAAGCATGCCTGAGATGAATGGATGGGAAGCAGCCAAAAATATAGGAGAAATGTATAATCAAGGCATTATTGATTATCTTCCTACTATTATTGGATACACTGCTTTTACTTCAGATGCGGAACTTTCTCTTTGTATAGAGTCAGGGATGAAAGAATGCATCATAAAACCGTGCAAAGCTGAAGTCCTGATTGATAAAATACTCAAATACTTGTCAAAATAATCATCATACAATTGACTCTATCAATTGTAAATAGTTCAATATATAAATTTTCTTTAAAAATTTGGTATATTTCAGAATACATTAAAATGGCGACTTGCTCACCCCTCCGTGAGCGAACAAAACTTAAATCCCTATTTTTTGCCCAAAAGCCACCCTCCGTAAGCGAACAAAAATTTTTTATGAAAAAATTTTTTTTGATATATAAGTGATAATTAATATAAGGAAATCTCTGAGCTAATTCTGTTTAATTCTAAACAAATTGCGTTTTAAAACATAAATTTTGCAGATTAAATTAATATTTGCAATCCAATTTTACGAATTGGGCATTTTTAAATTTTATAGAAAAGCATTTATATAAAAAATATATTTATAATTTTTTATTTAAAAAAAGAAAAATTAACCCTTTTTGTGAGGGAACAGAATTTTTTTGTTCGCTCAAGGATGAGGGAATAAGGAACAATTTGGATCTTATCTGGAGTATTTATCGACTCCTGAGTTTGTTTTTCTATTTCAACTTGATTAATTGCAAGGGATTTCTTAGTGCGAACCATCAAAATCGTTCCTGGGCTATATAGATTGTAAGCTTTAGAACCAAAATTGCTAATTATAGGCACTATAACATAATTAGTAATTTCCAAATAAAAAGAATGTCTTAGATACACCTAATATTATTTTTATAAAAATTACTTTTGAGATGAATTGTACGACGATCTCGAAATTGAACTCATTGGCCTAGGACGAGAAACAGGAGTTCCAGCTTTCGCCTCTGTCTGTGATAATATATTATCTGAAGGTCTACCTATATCAGCACGTGAAAGCCCAAACTTGTAATTTTTCTGGTCAATGCTAAGGGATGATTTCGGTCTTGATCCTGCCGAATATAGCCTTTTGCTTTCCGAAGAATTATTGTTGCTGTGAAGTGAGCCATTACTTTGGGCATCAAAAAATGCTGCAGAGTTCTTTTGATACTCTTCAGACTGAAGGTCTACTCTAGGTATCGGAGGTCTTTGCTTGTTTATTAGCGGAAGATTATTGATTGGAGAGTTGGGGTTTATATCTTTAGAGCCACTATTGTTGAAGAACTTTTCAGTGTTTATTTTTAGCTCCTGCTCCATAACAGCTGGAGTTCCTGTTGGACTTGCCAAATAGAACTTATTCAAATTTCTAGTAAAATCTGGATCAATTGTATGGGTCGCAACCTGTGGTGCTGCGGTATGCGGTCTTGCAGAAGGCTTTGTAGAAGGTGAAGGCGTTACACCCCAAAAGTTTTCTTCACATCTCTTGTATCCAGGCTTTTTTGAGGCTTCATTAACTGGCAAATTTGCTTCTTGGTTGACTTCTTCAGTTTGCCAGGTATAAACAGGATTCAGCGGATTTGTTTTTCTATTTGTTGATATTCCACGTTTTAAGCTTCCAGATTGAGACTTATCAATGTCATTGATTCCGATTCCATCTTTTTGTTGCCTTCTTTCTCTTACTAAAACTCCAACAGTCCCTGGCCTTGCTCCGTCAATATCATCAGTGTTTAAATTTGAACGGTGAACTTCTATTTCTGTCTTAATGAGTTTTCTCGGCTTGCTCCCATCCACAAACCCATAAGGCATTACTTTTCCTTCTTCATTTTTAACTATATATTCTGGGTCAAGAGGGTTCGTCACTCTATTGCTAATTGAGCTGTCACTTTTTGTTATGTCTCTGGTGTCCATAAAATTAGGCTTAACTAAATGCCTTTCTGGCTTTGGCTTGGCCCCTTCAATATCTCTGACATTCATATTGTCACGTTGAGCCCATTTGAAGTATTTTTCGGGTTTTGTGCCTTTAATATCGTCAATTGCTATTTGGTCTCTGACGAACTTTGGAGGAGTTACTGGCCTTATTTCAAAGCTTGGTAGGTTATAGACTGGCTGAAGCGGATTTGTCCCGATTCGAGTAGTGATAAACTCACCTTTTTTAGGGGTTGCTTTATCAATATCATGAGTCATCAAGCTAAAATAAGGCTTATTAAGCGGCTGGTGGAGTCTGGCTGGCTTCGTTCTGTCTATATCTTCTGTAAAATTTATAAAATCTGGCTTGTTGATGAATTCATAACCTCTTAAATAGGGTTTTGCTCCATCAATATCGCTTGTTTTTAAAGAAATCTGTTCTGACTTGAACCACCTTTTTAGCTTTTTCGGCGCATCAGCCTCATTAATTGTAGAAAGTGACATCAAGTCCTCTAACTAGGTATTACTTCGATTTGGGAATGGAAAATAACTGCTCAATTGGCCGAGCATTTTTAAATTATAGTTATGAAATAAAAACTATTGAATAGAAAGATTTGAGGTTGAAAAACAAGAAAAATGATAAATACAGAAATTGGAAAGGAGAGGGAATTATCAAATAAAAAATTATCCAAAAAATAGTTTCAGCTTCAGCATTTGGCAAGTGCTCACTCCCCGAACGACTCGCCATCGTTCGATCAAGAATGGGGGTTAAAAAAAATGTTTTGGGGGAAAAAAATTTTTATATATAAAAATATATATATATATATATATTTTGTTTTATTTACTTTTAAATAAGAGGGTTAAGAGTATTTAATAATTATTTTTACAGCAAAAAATTGAATTATTTTCATAAAAATACCAATTTTTAATATTTTGATTTTTTGGTTACCCCTTTAAACTGTATAAATTTTAATTTGTTCCTTATAAATTAATTTTTTTTTTTTAAAATTTTAAAGAATCTCTATTTTATTAGATTATTGAGTTTTTAAGCCTAGGTTTATGACTAAATCACTTCAGATGGTTGATTACAAAGCTTTTTGTCGTCTCAAAGTCTCTGAAAGCAACTTCATTATGTACATCTTCCCAGGCTTTTGATAACTAATATATTTTTATATATATAAAAATTTGCATGATATGAAAATCGTTCGATCAAGGATGGGGGTTAATTTCCCCAATTTTTAGGAATTTTTACAGTCAATCGTTTGATCAAGGATGGGGGGGGAGTCAGTGCTTTTCTTCATGTAAAAGATAATAAATTTCATTCTCAGCTATTTAATAGAATTCATAAAAGTGTGGGTACTTTAAAATAATTTTTGATTAATTTATATGCATAAAGCTTTTAGATAATGCTTATTATTTAGGATCTATTTAATTAACTAAGTTATACCATCTATCAAAGCATCCAGGACCTTCAGTTTGTACATCTGCCCTTCCTGTTCCTTGTGCAAGAGTTCCATCCTTATTAAGCAGCATTAAAATCGGAACTCCTTGGACCTTGAATCTTTTTCTTACTTCTAAGGCTGCAGTTTTGACCAGTCAACTTAAGGAGTTTCCAACAAGTATTTTAGATTTCAAAAGTTCTCTGTTAATAAATTAAAAATCTAGTTTAAATTTATAAATCTTATATCTTAGGACTCAATTTGTCTTAAATTTGATATATTATCTGGAGATGCATATTATTATAATTATTAATAATGCACCAAAATATTTAATAAACAAAAACTTTTTATTTAAAAAATTTTCACTAATAAAGACCAAAAAGGTTTATTTTTCTAATCATTTTGCTGGTTAACCAAATATGGGGAAGTTAAAGAAATATTTCTGCTGTCTCCATAGGGAATTGCAATCCAAGGCACTTGGTTAAAGCTGTCCATAAACATCTGCTCATCCTTATCTGAACTGATTTGTATAATCTCTAATCTCTTGTCTGGATAATTAACATCATTATAAAATTCCACTAAAACTGGAGTAAAAGTTCTGCATGGAGGACACCAATAGGCTGTAAAAAACAGGCAAACTACCTGATTTTTCTCGACATCTGAATAAGTTATTTCTCCATCACGGCTAATAAATGTATCCCCGATTACAGATTGCATTTTTTATAAGCAGTTAAATAATTGTTTAGAAAATATACACTACCGAGTTGTTAAAAAACGTTTTTAGTAAGAGTTTTAATAATTCTAATAAAATATATATATTTTATTTTGGATTTATATGTCATTTCTCATTAATATATATAAACAGAAGTATTGCTAAATGGCTAGCAACGCTATAACAATAGGAATAAGTGAAGCTCTTCAGGCAGGTCTCTAATAAAATCTGAAACAATTCTGTTATACATTTTAATTAATGATGTGCTTATTCTTATGAATCTTTATCTTATAGCTACTAAATTTTAATAACTAATATGTTATAAAACTCTTCTTAAAATGATATCTTTTACATTTGGATATATATCCTTCACTTAATAAAACTCTAATGAATCACTGAAGGATTGTCCAGCTACTTTAGTTGCTATTTTCATCACTTATTTTCTCTATTAGCGCCATTCATCACCTCATAGAATCATAAATTATCCATATATAAACTAAAAATTAATGCAATGAACCAAAAAGAGCCAATAAAAGTTACTGAAAGAAATTTCGGAATTAACAAAAGGATTCCACCAATAAACCTCAACCTCTCAAAGTTATCAAATTCAAAAAGCACCCAAGATAACAAGCAATACTCTCATTCTCATGCTCCAATAAGGAACTCTCTCCCATGTTCATCTTCTCCTCATCTTAAAGAAAAATCAGCAGTAACGGAGCGACAAAACTCCTTAACCCCAATTCTGAACCCTAAAGAAATATCTTCAAGGCTGCTCACAACCAGAGTTTCATTGAACCCAAAATCTAAAAGTGCCTTCAGACTGTTGCCTTTAAGGGTCAAGCTTCCAACTGACTATTTCATAGCTTTGACATCCCCAGAAAATGTGACTCAAGAAAACAGTAAAAATAAGCTTAAGGCACTTGATTCATTATGTGATACAGAACGGAAATTTTTAAAAAAAGCAAAAAATGAATGCAGAGCTGAGAAAAAAAATTGTTTAAAGCAATATCGCAACTGTGCTAGGCTGGCCAAGCTTGCTTATGAGTCAAGACTTAAAGAAGCAATTCCACCTGAGTTTTGAGAATTCAGGAAGAAGATGGCTGAAATGAGGAGGAAAAATAAAGAAAATAAGCATAAAAAAAATATATAATCAGTTGCTTAAATTTCTGATCGTCTCCCACGAGCCAAAGATGGATTTCACGAGTGAAAATCCAGAAATTCCACGTGGAAACCCATTTTTGGCTCATGGGAGCCGATCAGAAATAACGCCAAAAGATTATATGATTTATTTGGAAACCGAGACTTAGTTTCAGTGTACAGAAATGAACAGCTTTTTAAAAAGAAATCAGTTAACACGGCTGAAAAGCCAACAAATTTTGCAGCTGGGGAATCATAAGTGTCGATAATTAATGTCAGCAATAATTAAATGAAATATATTTACTAATAAACTCAAATTATTTATAAAATCTTTATGTTGAATTCAGTTTCTTTTTTGAAATTTTGGTAAGTTTTGGGAGTACATGCCTTCAGCTCATTTGTTTATCATGATGAAGGTTCAGAGGATACAGCCTATTTTCCCACCTATGGGTAATCATTACGTCCTTAGGACGAGTTATTCCTCATTCGTAGTAAGAAAACTTTTCTTCTTTGAATTTGATAAATTCAATCTTTTCGAGAACTGAATCAACAATGGACTCCATCCCATTTTGATATTCTTCAAGCTTAGCGGTATTTTGGCCTTTTGTTATGCTGGAAAATAGACCTCTTCTTATGATTTTATAGAAAACTTTGTCAATCCTCTTAAGCTGAGCGCTGATTTTTGAAGTTATAAAATGTATAAACAAAGCAATTATGATGAAAACAGTGATTGCTATTGAAAAAACGACTCAGAATATAATTTTGTAACTTTTTGTAAAGTTGTTAGAAAGATCATCCCTAGGCTTCAGGGTATTTTCTTTCTTGGCACAGACCAGCAAATAGTGAGTCACATTGGTTATATCAGCATAGGGGCGAACTGGCTCAATAACATAGTAATAAACAGTGCCATTTATATCTTTAAAGGTATTCAACTCAGTGTCGTCAGGGTTTACAACTAAATCGAGCCACTTAGATTGGCTAAGCCCAAGTGTGACTTCATAAATTTTAGCGGTGGTCCCTAAATAATCTCATGTGGAAGGCTGTATAATATTTATTCCTTTAGGATAGTCTTATCCTTAAACTTAAATTGCAGATGGGTGAAGTCAGTATTAGCTACTCACTGATCAAGGACTCATAAGCGTTCATCCGCTTGCGAGGCCATACTCCTCGGCTTGGACGAATGAGATTATGATTCTCCTGCGAGAGTGCTTGAATGCCTCTTTCTTCTCCTCTAGAATCTGCCTAATACCAGGTAGATGAGTGAGCACAAAGGAGGCACGTCTGCTCCTTGCCTTGCTAGGCTCCAGCGTTGAGTGTTGAGTGACGGATTATTGATTTCTGCGGCCCTGCTTCGGATGTATTTGAAAAGTAGCTTGATCCGGGAAAATCCCGGAGTCCAGCTGGTGCTAGGTGCTTGCCGAAGCAGATAAGGGAAAATGATTTAATTAATGGGCCATGCCGCAACGATGAAATCGTGGTGAAGTCCACCTATAGTCCCGAAGGACATTGCCGGATTTACCACAGAAATTAAGCCAAAGCCTACCCGGACATATATAAGCACATATAAGGCCGAAACCTCGCCCCCAATTCGCTTTTGCCATGAGGTTGAAAAAAAATTGCGTCAAGATGTCGGTTGGGCAGGCTTAGGTCGCCATTTTATGTATATCCTTTAGGGCTAGTTAGTATGATAAATCCATCTTCCAATACAGTTACATCCTTAAGTGCCTGATCTAATTCATACAGTGTCACATCTACAGCTGCAACGCTATAAGTTGAACTATTTACTACTAAAGCGGTTGAAATTGTAAAAATAGTCGTATTCGTTTCAGTATTCGTGTAAGACTCAGTGACAACTGGGTATCCTTTATATTCATCTGCTTTATAGTACCATTCTTCAACAATTGGCGTATATGAGGTGTCTGTGAAAACTTTCCCTGGATATTCATGTATTATTTCATCAGTCGCAAAACCTGTATAAATTGCATAAATTGTGTTGTTTCTGAATAGAGTGGGATAAAGCTGATCCATTGCTGCATGGTCATTTACAATTTCAGTGCCTTCATCTGATAAAGAGTTTTCGTTAGGAGACATAAAAACTCCTGTGAGGTAATCTACTGTTTCTCCATACTGATTTTTCACCATCACGTCTGTATTTTTATCATGTCAGACTGGGCTATTTGGCACTATTATTGGCTCGCTGTAGCCTCTTAATCCTAGCATCATGGCATCTAATTCTCGAATTGAGTAAGCCAAATCAAAATAATTGTTTAAGTATTGCTCTACAACCCTGCCTTTTTCTCTAGCTAAAATTGTCATTTGATGACTAACTCAGGCATTTTTAATAGCAAAACATATTATTTTAATTTTTAATTACTATCTGATTTTTGTGGAATAATAAATGGGGGATAAGAGAACTTTTGAGAACTGATTCGGATTTGTCTAGCATTTTAGACTTTAGTCAATCTAATTGTGTTTGGGTTATAATAACAACGATCAATGATATTAAGAAACCTGTAGTGATGAATGTAAGCTGCAATTGCTGACCTAAAGGTCAAGTTATGTATCTAGCTCTTAGTCCCATTTTAATTGATAGTAACTGATGAGTAAAATGATGAAATTAAACCAAAAAACATAGAATTCATTGGCCTTGGTTGCCTTCAAAATTTTATAGCAAATTATACTTGGCAAAATAAATCCCATATTTAAATGAAAATATTAAATTGTAATAATAAAAAAGTGAAATAAATGATGAAATAATATCTCTTCTGATAATGAAGATTAATCTTCTCTCTGAGCTTTATTTGACTTTTTTATATTTATTTTATAAATAGTCATCAAAAAGGCAAGGGAATCAAATTTTAATCTCAATATTTAATATTTACATGTCTCTTAATAGTGATTTGAAATTAGAAAATAAAGACTTTCTTAAAAAACTGATAAAATACCAATAATGAAATAAAGGCTAAACCATAAATCTTAGGTTGTAATAGTATAGAAATTTGATCAATTAAATCACTGATCATATAAAAAAATTTAAAATTTAATCACTCGATTATAATAAAATATGGATTTTATCACAAATTCGATAATTGCCATAGCTTTTATTTTGGCATTTTCAGTGACTAGCATGTAGTTTATCGGGGGAAATTTACTATCTTACTTAAATCAGGGATTCAAGATTAACTCTTTTCGCTTCAAGGGAATATTTTCAACGATTCCAATTCCTCCCTTAGTAAACAATAAGCAGCTTGGAATGATATTAGGTGGGATCCTAGTAGGCAACTTGCTTCACAGCACGGTCTCTAGTCTTGATAAAGCTGTGGCATTACAAATCAGAAACATTTCAATTGCTGTTATCTTAATGAAAGCAGGTCTGGGTCTTGATGTCCAAAAATTAAAAGCCTCAAGCGCAGGCATTCTTCGTCTTTCAATAATTCCGCAAGCTTTAGAAGCCTCAGCAATAGCTGTTTTATCATATCTCATTTTTGATATGTCTTGGGCTTTCGGCTATGCTATGGGCTTTATGATTGCTGCTGTATCTCCAGCTGTGCTCATCCCGTGTTTAAGTGAACTAATCCGCGAAGGGTATGGTCTGGGCTCTGGAATTCCAAGTATTTTGATGGCCGCAAATAGTCTAGATAATGTAATAGCCATTGCATGTAACTTTAATTTAGTATTTGGAGTGCTTCTTAACATCGGGTTGGGAGGCTCAGGAGATTCTCTCATTTTTGGAGACAACAATACGGTATATTATACATCAATTGGACCTATAATTGTTTTTGGAGGGATAATTGCAGGACTTATTTTAGGAAAATTTTACTCTCTTTTAGTGAAGCTAAATGATTGAATAAAAGGAATTATCACAGCATTGGTGTCATATGGACTTGTATTCGTTGCCTCTTACCTCAGCATATCTGGCTTAGGATATCTAGGAGTTGTAATCAGCTCAACATTGGCAGCAGCAAAATGGGGAAAAGACTCAACAGCCAAAGTAGCTCGGGTGATAACGCTGATATGGAATGTATTTCAATATGCCTTATTTGGATTGGTAGGCACCACTTTTTATTTTCCTCAATTAGCTGGTGACACAGTCGGTAAATGTTGTGCTATAATCGTTGCAGGATCATTAGTGAGGATTGCTGCTGCTTATTATTCGGTTAGTTGGTGCAAGTTAACAAATAAAGAAAAAGGGTTCGTTGGGATTGCGTGGCTGCCGAAAGCAACAATTCAAGCTGCATTAGGAGGGGTTTTATTAGCAAAAGCTCAAAGTGATGATAATTATAAGCAATATAAGGATGATGGGCTTATTATTCTAACTGGTTCGGTGTTTAGCATTCTTCTGACAGCCCCTATTGGCAGTATTCTGCTTACATTGTTTGGACCAAGGCTGCTTCAGAAGTCTGCAAACGAATTTGAAACTAGCAAAGAAGCTTTTGCCCCTTTGAGAGAATCTGAAGCAAGCGCACAAAGTATCCCAATAACTAGAGAGAAAAGGATGAGTGAAGAATATATTGAGCATAAGAAATATTATTATATGAGCTCAGAGGACTTAGTAAGATCAGATATTGACTCAATGATGAGAAATAGCGTGTAGCTAGAGCTTTATAATTAAATCTTTACTCGTTAAATATAGCTTAAACCCCGTTTTGGATCGGCCTTGAGCACCTCCTCCCCATGCCACCCCCCTTACGATACCAAAAATTTTAACATGTTAAATATTAATTTGACAAGTTGAAATATTTTAGACTTGTCAAATAATATTTTGACATTTAAAATTTTCAGGACAGTCAGGGGGTCGGTGACATGGGGAGGGGGTACTTAATGGCGAGCAACCACGAGGGGTGTGCTATAATGAAAAATTTCGGTTTCATTAGCAAAATAATTAAATTCCTCTAAAGAACGCAATAAAATAAAGCATATATTTAATCCATTTAAAATGGAGCAAATCGAAACTCATTTTCAAGAAACCACTGATAATTTTCATAGCACTATAAGCTCCCTAAGTTCTGCATGTGAGAATACATTTCTTAAAGAAATTGATCGTGATTCAGACATCGGCGATTCCATTCGTGAAGAAATTGAAAAAAAGTACAAGAAATCGTCTGTCAATTCTAACTACATATTCCCTAGGCAAAAACGGCAAAGGTCTAAAACAAGCATCCATAAATTTTTGCCGTCTCCAAATTCAAGTTCAATCAAGCAGCATTTAACATTTGAGAAATCTCTCCCCATCATCAATAAAGGGCCAAAAACTCAAAATGACACAATCCCTCCTTATCCCTCAAATAAATCAAAAATGATCCTTTCAAGCTATAAAAAAACAAATTTGATTGATAAAAGAAATTATGCGACAATCTATGATAATTCAAATAATTATAAAAAAATAAGCATGAAGCAGGCTTCTCAGAAACGAATACCAATTCATGAAAGAACTAAAAGTGAAGCAGTTAGATCTAGAACCCCTGCATATCCTTTAAGAGAAAAATCACCTGAAAAGTCTCCACCGAAGTAAAATGTATTTAGAAATATCCAAATGAAATCAAGTGTTAAGTCTTTGTCAAAAGAAAATCCTTACAGAATAACAACTAAAGTTTCACGAGTTTCAATGAAATCTTCTCAGCATCACTATGCATACTCGGTGGAGGATTTTGTGTATGTTCCTGCTGTGTATTATGGGAAATAATTAATTTGTTTTTATATAGATTATATAGAAATAACTTATAGAACTCTTTATTTGCGTTGCAAACTAATCATAATTAGTTATTGGGAGCGTAAGTCCCTTATATCCAGGGGTTCTTAGTTGAGTCATATTGTTTATAAGTCTTCTATGCTCCACTCTGAATCTTTGAGCCCAAGGTTCCTGCATAATTCTGTCGAACCAAGCCCACAAATTAGAAAAGTCTTCTCCTTCCACAAGAGGACTCCAGAACTGATCTTTCCAAGCAACAATTCTTTCAACAAATGGAAGTAAAATAATATCAGCAAAAGTTAATTCATTTCTTCCCAGAGTTTTGGTCATCAGATATCCGCCTCCTTCAACAAGTCCATTAATAGTTCTCAATATTTTCTTAACTGCTTCAATTTGTTCAGGAGTTCCAGTTGTTTTGAAATGAGGGAAAAGAGTGGCAGGCAGCGCATCAGCAACAAGTTTTACGTTAATGTCAATTAAGGCTTTTTCTACAGGATTGATTGAGCCGTCAGGTCTTCTTGGGTAAAGAGCAGGGCCTGGGAACGAATCGAAATATTCAGCAACATTGATTGACTCATAAAGGTGGTATTCTCTTCCGTCCTGAATAACTTTGAGAGATGGGACTTTTCCTAATGGATTGACTTCGAGAAGGAATGATGGCTTATCTTAATCTTAAGCTATTTATAACGTTTAGCATCCACTATGGGGTAGCCTTGTCCAGAACTCCCACAGTATTTATCCACGCGTCGGGCCCATGGACCTCTGGATCGATCCACTTTGATTCGCCAGGGCACGGGCAAATTAAGCGCTCCGGTTTGCTGCTGCCACGATTTATTCGACTCAGCTTCTGCTCGTGCTCCGCCTAAGGGTTACCTTCATCGGATGTACTGAGGGGTAAAGACCTAAACCTCTTGAGCGTACTGAGGAGCAATTCCTTTGGCTATCCCCAGAGTTAACCCGCTGTTGCTGTGCAGAAGTTCTCGAGGTAAAATACAAACCCATAAATAAAATTGCTTGAGGAAGAAAAAATTAGCGGAGCTAATTTTGCTCGAACCGAATGCCATTTTATTTATGAATGATGGCTTTATCAACTAAATCCGCTTCTGTTATCTCACATTGTATCCCTTTATAGGCTAGTGCGTATAAAGCTCTCTGAGCATAGGGGCACAAATAATGAATAATCAGCTGTATTCTTTCAGGATTAGTTGTCATCTTTATTATTATAAAATTGTAATGGATGCCCTCCAACATTTATCATAATAAATTTGTTGACATATTTTAATATTAAAATTTTTCTTGATATTGGTTGGTTAAGAACTAATCATAGTTAGTTAAAGGAAGGCTAAGACCCTTATATTCTGGGCTTCTTCTACCGATGATCCATTTTGCGATCCTTCTCGGGTCTGCTCTCATAGCCTGGCCCCAAGGCTGTTCTATTAGGTTTTCAAACCAAAACCATAAGTTCGATAAATCTTCTCCATCTACAAGTTCTCTTCAAGCTCCGTCTTTTAGTGCATGAAGTCTCTCGACCATAGGCAATAAAACGATATCTGACAAAGTCAATTCATTTTTCCCTAAAATCTTCGTCATTAGGAATCCTCTATTTTCAAGAATTTTATCAAGATTTTTTAGTAATTTTCTTGTCACTAAGATTTGTTCTGGAGTTCCAAATCCTTTATAATAAGTCGCAAGATTTTGAGTAGCTGCATCAGAGACCTGCCTAATATTTAAATCTACTAATGTTTTTTCTATTGGATTTACTGTACCATTTGGAAGTCTTGGGTATAGAGGTGGGCCAGGAAATGAATCGAAATATTCTGAAACATTTATTGACTCACATATATGATACTCTTTTCCAGATTGGATAACTCTTGCAGCTGGAACTTGTCCTAAAGGATTAACCTCAAGGAATCATGATGGCTTTTTCGTAAGATCTACTTCTATTATTTCGCATTGGATACCTTTATAAGCTAGTGTATATAAAGCTCGCTGAGCATATGGACACAAATAATGAACAAACAGTTGCAATTTCTCAGGAGTAATTGCCATTCTAACTAAATTTTTATTGGGATTTATTTCTCCAGATCTGTAATTTTAAAATTTAATAGTAAAGTGATTTTTGAGGAATATGGATATGATAGGGATTGCAAGGAGCAAGCTCCTAAGGGATCTTGAAAACCAAAAAGGTAACTCTGAGTTGTTACTGCCAGACCTTTTCCTTGGAGATAATGCTTGTGATGCTATTGCAAAATTCATTATAGAAAATCCAAAGATCAAGAAGTTGGAGTTAAAAGGAAATAATATAGGATCTGAAGGAATAAAGCACATTTCAGCTGTATTCCAGCTACCAAATGAAATTGAAAGTGCTAACTTTCAATGGAATAATTTAGGCTCAGATGATTCCTTGAAACATTTATGCAGTGCACTATCATCAAATAATTCATTGAAATTTTTGGATTTGAGAAACAATAAAATTACCTGTGAAGGTGCATCTGAAATAGCTGATATGATAAGAAATAATAGCACACTTATAGGAATTGATTTAAGGTGAAATGACATTGATAGGCAAGGAGGAGAAGAACTTCTTTCATCAATAGATGCACAAAGTACTATCCAATGCATAGAGCTGTCAGGAAATCATATCCCATTAGATATTCTCGGAGAAATAGATGCAAAACTACGTGCTCGGCGTAGTGAAGGAGTTTCCATCATAAAAACACCTGAAATACGCTCAATAAGAACATCGAGAACTCACAGCCCATGCCCAGAAAGCAGAAGATCTGAAAAAATCCCAAGAATAGACAGTCTAATTGAAATAGAAAAAAGAAAAGCAAACGAAACAAAAATTTTGATTGAAAAAGAATTAGAAGAACAGAAAGCTATGAGAGAATTCGCAGAGAAGAAAATGAATGATCTGCGAGATGAAATCGCTGAAAGAGAAAATAAAGACCGTAGAAGAATTGAGGAGCTAGAATTTAAGCTCCAAGCTGCAAATGATGAAAAAAATATACTGAAATCTGAGCTTCTTAAAAGTAGAGAACTGCATGATCAGCTTGTATCTTCATATGAAGACAAAATCGCAAAATATGAAGAAAGGATAAGCCAAGCTAAAAATAGCAAGCAAGAGATTGATAACGAAGAATTCAGAGAAATCGAGACACTTAAGCAGGCTCATAAAATAGAGTTAGAAGAAAATGCAACAGCTTATGAGCAAAACTTAAATTCGCTTCAAGAATCTTATACAAAGGCTAAAAGAGAATATGAAAATGCTCATAAGGAACTTAAACAACTTAAAACAGATATGCTTGATATGAGGATTTCACATGAAACTTCACTTAAAGAATGTGAAATACAAATTCGTGAGGAGATAACGCAGCAATACTCATTGGATAAAAAATATCTTGAAGAGAGGGTTAATGTTCTCCAAGAAAGAAATGATCAGCTGATGAAGCGAGAAGAAGAACTCCAAAATGATATTTCAGAAATGAGAAGTGAATTTTTGCAGAAAGAATCAAATTTAAAGCAGCAGCTTACAGTTAAAGATAAGCAAAGCTCGGACTTGCAGTACCAACTTAAATCTCAAAGAGAAAAAATTGATGTTTTGAACTCTGAAATTTTAATATTGAAGGCAAAATTAGGGCAGAGCTAAATTAATCGAGTATTAAAGTATATATAATTTTCAGTAAATTCAGTCTTTTGAGTAAAAATTCAAATGGAGTTCCATGAAATAAGTTATCATATTAATAAAATAGGTAAATTATAAATGAAGGCAAAATAGGCTCTTTTGTTAATAGATAATTCGAATATTAGGAAAATAAAGAGCACTTTTACAGCAGAATAAGATTAAATTTTTGTATTTATATTACTTAACGTAAGTTCAAGAAATTCATTCTAACAATATTTCGCCAACAAAAATTTATCTTTCTAATTATTGCTAAATAATTATTATGTAAATGAAGATATTAATTTAATTTATCATTGATTTAATTTTATTTGTGTAAATTGCTTTTAATCCTTCGATATCTGCGATTTAGGATGCAAACAGATTATATATCTTGATAATTTATCTCAAGATACAGTATCTATCTAATATTTATTACCAATGATTGATGAATTTACTTTTCGTGAAAACCAAGTCCCTTTAAATTCTCTAGATGATGATAATTCTGCATCAGTCCCGACAACAGCTGCTCATTCAAGGCAGGTTTCGCAAGATTTGTCGAAAAAAGGGCTTAAACGTCTTATGAACGTTGGCAAGACCGTCGCTTATGAGATTAGAACTAATAATTTTAAACCGCCCCCAACTAAAACTTATAGAAATTTCGTGTCGAACGACTACGAAAACCTTGTCCTTGAGCAAACTGGGATCAAGTTGAGACAAGGAGAAATTAAGATGGCTTACCCAAAAGATGTATTATCAAGTAATCAGATTAGGGAGCTAAAGATAAATAATCCAGCAGAGTATGAAAGGTTAAAAAGAAATCAATTCAAGACCGTCGCTAAGTCAAGAAAACGAAGGTCTTGTGAGATTTTTTAATGTGTGTACTCAAAATTAATTAATTAATGCATTGCACTTGTTAATTGTTGACAAAATTGATAAAAATGTATTGACTTAGGTTGCTTAATTTAACTCCGCCTCTAGCTGGGCATTTGTATGCACAGGACAATAGAGAACATTTTCCACTCTGTTTTGACAGTACCTTGATTGTTCATACGGCTTGTCGACAAGTATCACTCCTTCTAGCTACTGTGAAGCAATTTGAGAGCTAAGTCCCAGGACCGCCAGCGGCTTGGTGCGTTGCCTTGGTCAATGACTTTCTCCAACGTCTACTTTAGAAAAATTCCATTTCTTCTCTATCAGATAGAATCGCACGTTTACAAATTTAAACATAATAATAATAAAAGTTGGGTAAAGGATGAATTCACAGAGTGAATTAATTCTCCTCTCATCCGAAGCCATTTTTTTATGATAAAGATGTTTTGCATTTAAATTATTAGTTATTGGAAAAATAGAAAAATCAACAGAAGCTTTATAATAATTCAAGCATATTTTTATATTATACTTTGAAATAAGTATGGAGTATTAAAGGGAGTTTTTGAAAAATTAAGTTAATGAGCTTGAATTTTTTCTAAGCTAAGCTTTCGGGAAATAATTATATGAAGCTCAAATTTTATATAATTATAATCAAATTAGATTCAATTATATTTCCTAAAATAGATGATATATAGGCATTCATATGTCTAAATCGTGCTTTGGCCTTCTTCATTAAGATACCCTAAACTTTTGAGCATCTCATCCATACATTGCTGGAACGTGGAATTCCCATCTTTATCTTGTAAGAGTACAGACCTCAGGGCTCCCAGTCTATTTTCTGATGAGTCAATTTCATTTAAAAGTTTCCTTACTTCTTCATTTTTTAGCATAGTTTTCAAAGTTTGATTAAGCCCTGATTAGCAATTACTCATTTGCGATAATTCTTCATCCGTTAATATTGTCTCGTCTTCATCTTCAAGTAAAAAGTTGCGATGAGGATGCCGAACTATTGGAGTAAATTTCGGCTCTCGCTTTCGTTCGCAGCCAGAATTTTTATGAGCAGAGTAGCAATCTTTGGAGCAATATCTGATAAGGCATCGAGGACACTTGTATTTTCCAGGATTGCCACAGCTGCAATCCATTTTATAAACTAAAGAAAATGGGAATTGGAAAAAATATTTTATTTTGCTTTATAAAGATGCTAATTGGCTTACAAGAGAATGTTTAAAAATTATATAACTAAAAATATAATTAAAATTAGAAATTAGTTACAGAAATTTATTTATTTTATATTAATCGATGCTATATGATGCGTTGGCATTATTGCATTATCTAATGAGAACCAAAATTCTATTATTTATGCCAAAATCCTAGATTTTCGTGTTGGATTGCTTTTATGCTCTCAAAAATAACAAATATTATTATTATTAATCTTTTTTACGTATATAAAAAACTGAAACTATGTCAGCTAAAAAGAGTGGGCTAAATAGAAAAGTTCCACAGTTTTCTGTTCCTTTACCTCCAAGCTCCTTACAACAAAGATCTCAAAACACATATAGCTCATACCCCTATATAGATTTCTTTATCGAGAAAAATGTAATGGACTCTTGAACGAGCAAACAGACTCTCTCAAATAGATGAACTCTATCTCTATATCAGGAAGTGTTAAAAAGTGGCATGTCAAAAAATGGTGACAAGTGTGAAAAAGTTGACATGCAAACGCGCCAATTTTAAAAATGGCTTTTATTATTAAATTAATTTAAAATTAAAGATACCCAATCAAACTGAGATTAATTAATATTTTTAGATATATTTTTACATTTGTTCGATAAATGAGGCTTAGTTTTTTAAAAAATTATTTGTTCGATAAATGGGGCTTATTTTTTAAAAAATTAATGCAAATATAACGAACAAAAGTTAATTGCGGAAACGAGATCAATATGATGCAAGAGTACTCAAAAGAATTTCATTGGGAAAATAAAAGTTCAAGTAAAATAATAGAGATTTGCAGTGGTTTGAAGAACAGATGGTCCATCGCTGTTTGCTCCGCGCCAGGAGACATTTTTTGTTTGATTAAAGGGGCTTATTTATAGAAAAATTATTTGTTCAAAAAAGGGCCTTATTTTTTAAAAATTAGTAAAATATAATGAACAAAAAGGGATTTGCGAAAATGAATTCAATATGATGCAAGAGGACTCAAAAGAATTTCATTGGGAAAATAAATATTTAAGTAAAATAATAGAGATTTGAAGTTTTATTCTAGACTTAGTGCTCAATCGCTGTTTGCTCCGCGCTAGGAGACTTATTTTGTTCGTTTAAAGGGGCTTTTTATAAAAAATTATTTGTTCGATAAATTAAAAATTAATAAAAAAAATAACGAACAAAAATAAAGAGCGAAAACGAGTTTAATATGATGCAAGAGGACTCAAAAGAATTTCATTGGGAAAATAAAAATTCAAGTCAAATGATAACGATTTGCAGTGGTTTGAAGGGAAGATGTCGCATCGCTGTTTGCTCCGCGCTAGGAGACTTTATTTTGTTCGTTAAAGGGGCTTATTTTATAAAAAAATTATTTGTTCGATAAATTAAAAATTAATAAAATAATAACGAACAAAAATGAAGAGCGAAAACGAGTTTAATATGATGCAAGAGGACTCAAAAAGAATTTCATTGGGAAAGTAAATATTGAAGTCAAATAATAGAGATTTGCACTGATTTGAAGGACAGATACTCCATCGCTGTTTGCTCCGCGCTAGGAGACATATTTTGTTCGATTAAGGGTATTTATATTTTTAAAAATTATTTGTTCGATAAAAAACAAATAATATAAAAATAATGAACAAAAAGTGAGTCGCGAAAGTTAGTTTAATATGATTCAAGAGAACTCAAAAGAATTTCATTGGGCAAATAAAAATTTAAGTCAAATAATAATGATTTGCAGTAGTTTGAAGGAAAGATGTTGCATCGCTGTTTGCTCCTCGCTAGAAGACATTTTTTGTTATTTGTTCGATAAATAAAAAAATTTATAAAATAATAACGAACAAAAATAAAGAACGAAAACGAGTTTAATATGATGCAAGAGGACTCAAAAGAATTTCATTGGGAAAATAAAAATTCAAGTCAAATGATAACGATTTGCAGTGGTTTGAAGGGAAGATGTTGCATCGCTGTTTGCTCCGCGCTAGGAAACTTATTTTGTTCGTTAAAGGGGCTTATTTATAGAAAAATTATTTATTCGATAAATTAAAAATTAATAAAAATATAACAAGCAAAGTGAGTTGCTGAATCTAATTCAATATGATGCAAGAGGACTCAAAAGAATTTCATTGGGAAAGTAAATATTGAAGTTAAATAATAGAGATTTGCACTGATTTGAAGGAAAGATGTCGCATCGCTATTTGCTCCGTGTTAGGAGACTTATTTTGTTCGTTAAAGAGGCTTATTATAAAAAATTATTTGTTCGATAAATTAAAAATTAATAAAATAATAACGAACAAAAATGAAGAGCGAAAACGAGTTTAATATGATGCAAGAGGACTCAAAAGAATTTCATTGGGAAAATAAAAATTTAAGTCAAATGATAATGATTTGCAGTGGTTTGAATGAAATATGTTGCATCGCTGTTTGCTCCGCGCTAGGAGACTTATTTTGTTCGTTAAAGGGGCTTATTTTATAAAAAATTATTTGTTCGATAAATTAAAAATTAATAAAAAAATAACGAACAAAAATAAAGAGCGAAAACGAGTTTAATATGATGCAAGAGGACTCAAAAGAATTTCATTGGGAAAATAAAAATTCAAGTCAAATGATGACGATTTGCAGTGGTTTGAAGGGAAGATGTTGCATCGCTGTTTGCTCCGCGCTAGGAGACTTATTTTGTTCGTTAAAGGGGCTTATTATAAAAAATTATTTGTTCGATAAATTAAAAATTAATAAAATAATAACGAACAAAAATGAAGAGCGAAAACGAGTTTAATATGATGCAAGAGGACTCAAAAGAATTTCATTGGGAAAATAAAAATTTAAGTCAAATGATAACGATTTGCAGTGATTTGAATGAAAGATGTTGCATCGCTGTTTGCTCCGCGCTAGGAGACATTTTTTGTTCGATAAAGAGCACTTATTTTTAAAAAATTATTTGTTCGATAAATAAAAAATTAATAAAAATATAACAAGCAAAGTGAGTTGCTGAATCTAGTTTAATATGATGCAAGAGTACTCAAAAGAATTTCATTGGGCAAATAAAAAATTTAAGTCAAATAATAGAGATTTGCAGTGGTTTGAAGGGCAGATGCTCCATCGCTGTTTGCTTCGTGCCAGGAGACTTTTTTTGTTCGATGAAGGGCTTATTTTTTAAAAAATTATTTGTTCGATAAATGGGATTATTTTTAAAAAATTTAATAAAAATATAACGAGCAAAGACAAAGTAACAAAATCAAGTTCAATATAACGCAAGAGGACTCAAAAGAATTTCATTGGGCAAATAAAAATTCAAGTCAAATAATAGAGATTTGCAATGGTTTGCAGATCAGATGCTTCATCGCTGTTTGCTCGGCGCCAGGAGGCATTTTACATTTGGTCGATAAAGGGGGCTTATTTTATAAAAATTAATTAAAATAATCCCATATTTATTAAAAGATATTTATCAAGAAATTAAATTTTAAAAATTGGCGCGTTTGCTTGTCAACTTTTTTTTACACTTGTCACCATTTTTTGACATGTCACTTTTTAACTCTTTCTGTTATACAAATCAAGCTCATTTCTTTGAGCGAATCTTTCTTGGTCGTTCAATAATCCATTACATTTTGTTCGATATAGAAATCTATATAGGGGTATGAGCTATATAGGCTTACTCCAGATTTATTACTAATGGATCGTGAAAGTGCAAAAAGTGATAATTATTTCAATACAATGGAAATATACTCAATGCCTGAAACTGCTAAACTAACTGTTCAAAATCCGCCAACTATGCAAGATTTCATGAGACAAACGACAGAAATTGGTGAAGAAATAAAACAAATTTCTGAGCTTTTCAAGCAGATTTCTCCTCAGAGATCAAAAAAGGCCAAGACACTTAAAGATGATGAAGAAATCGTATGAGAAGATATTGATAAAATTCTGGTGCAGAACTCAATACAGCCTTTATCAATGGTAGCAGATAGCGATCCTCCAGTTCCTGAATACTCATCTCTTGCTAGCACTGTAGTCAGCCTAGCTAGATTAGTTTCTCAATCACCTTACATTCAAGATTCCCTCAAATACAACAATTCAATTGTTTCTGAACTTAGGGCTGATGTCACGAAGCTTAAAAAAGAAAATAAGTCACTTAGGCATGAGCTTAGAAAGATAAAATCAGAAAAAGTCTCTCTTTTAGAAGAAAACATGAAATTAAAAAGCAACACAGAAATGGTCTCAAGAAATGAAGGCGAAATCTTCAAGACGTTTATACATAGAAGCTTTGACCCAAACCATTACACAGATAGAAAAATTATGTCGCTAATTAGCATGTATGAGAAAAATAAACTTGAGTTTGAAAAGGAGTTAATTGATTTAAAAAGTCAAATTTTAGCATATCGCTCTCAAGAAGCATATTCGAATAGAAGCAGTGCTCAATATGATTGAAATGCTACCCGAAGCAGCACCAATTCTCCAGATTTTTTGAATAATTCGTTGAAATCGATTTTTGAAGTACTCACAGTATAGCGTAGACGCGCTTTAGCGTGCCCTTTAGCTAAATCTTTAAAGAAACTTGAAGCCTTGAGTTGCTCCATTCAAGTGGAGAGCCAATAAAGTTGATAAATTCACACATAAGGATCTGGCTCTGTTATAGCGCTTTCCCGAGGATGGCGCGGAATGGCGCCATCCTCGGGAAAGCCAGGAAGGCATCCACACGGGAACTGGGAGTTCCACGTGTGGATGCCATTTTGACATGTGGAAGTTGGATCCCACATGTCAAAAATGGCATCCACACGTGGAACTCCCAGTTCCCGTGTGGATGCTTAGTTGACTTTCCCGAGGATGGCGCCATTCCGCGCCATCCTCGGGAAAGCGCTATAACTTGGATTTTATGAATCAATAAAGGTTATGTGCCAAAACTCCAGGTTGCAAAGCAACTGCAAGACGTAAGAGTACACTAAAAGTGTGTCCACACTATATCAAATACACAAGAAGCACTTCATTCAATTGAAAAAATGCAAGATGTTATCAAAGTTATCCCGAATATTGAAAAATTTGTAAGCCTAGTATATAATGAACTACTTCCATCATCATCATCATCCTCTAATACACATGACATTGGATTTTATATGGAACGAATCATCCCAAGTATCAGATCTATGAAAAATTCTCTAGACTCTGCTAAAAAATTAAGACAAATTTTATGCGAAAATTTGGATTTATCACCAGACACTACTGATGAGGTTATTGTAAAATTTATTTAGGTTGATAAAACGCTGGCTATTAAACGGTTGATGCTGAAAATACCCACAGCAGAGTATTTTCAGCAATATTTCTAAAATTAAAAATATATACAAAATTGGGGTTTCGAGGTATTTTCAGCTAGGGAAAATTATTTTGAAATTTTGGATTTTTAGTCCGTTTGAGTCTTTATAAATATATTTTTTGTACCTTAGAATCAGCAATGAAAAACTCTACTGGACATTTTCGAATTAAACCTTATTAAACACTTTAGGAAATTATTCGGAGAAACTGAAAACGATTTAGAAAACATTGAAGAAGTTTATATCTTTGTATATGAAATGAAAAACTTTTTGAGTGTAATATATATTCAGCATACAAAAGAATTGTTAGGTACGAAAAATGACATCTCAATCAATCTATTAATAAATGAAATCATCGCTAAATTAACTGATAATTAAACTGATAAATCTTATTTTAACTTTTAAATAGAAATTAATATGCCATATTTCATATCCTTTTTACTTAATTGCTTACTAAATAAATAAATTTTAGCTAATTTTCCATCAAAAAAGCCAATTGAATAATAAAATATTAAGTTCTCTATTTATTTAAACCTTTCTACCTGCAATAGTGCAGATTTCAATTTATAAGTTAAATCAGCTAATTGTTCACGATTGCAAGTGAAAGATAAACTTGAAAATTCTCCAGAAGCTTCTTGGATGTTCAAATTGACTGATAAAGAAGGCAAATGAATTCTCTTTTCCTCAGATGTAGAAATTACATGTGAAGATTTCCAGTTCACATCCACAAGCTGTGGGAAAACAACCCCATAGCGTGGCTTTGGAATATCATCCCAGCTTTGCAATATTTCTGATATAAATTCCTCGCCCAGTTTTATGGAAGTCAGTATTTCAGAGATCTTTGATTTCGATGGATTGTTGACTAATAAAGCTTGAAATACCAAGTACAAGCTGCTTTCTAAATCTCCATCAATATTTTCACCTTTTATTGCTTGGCGAAGAACTTTTCTTGCAATATCAGTTGCAATTGTTTGGGTTTTGAGGAACTGGGTGATTTCTAAGGGAATGAGGTGACTCATATTTAATTGAGATATAGGATTTTAATTATCAACAAAATAGTGTCACTTTAATTTTATTAAAATAATTAAATTAATTTAAAATTTGACAGAGAGCATAAATTGGTAGATAAATAGTTTGTCATTATATTCTCAAGGAATTAAGTTTTATAATAAAATTTGACAGGCAGCATTAATCAATTAAAGGAAGAAAAGAATTAATTGCTTTTAGCGTTATTTCAAAAAGTTAAGTAATTAAAATATTTCCAAAATAGGGTTAGAGCATCAATTTCTAATTATTACAATAATCTATCAATAAAAATGCAACTGCTGTGTCCAAAATCAGATCAGCCACTTCTGATCAGTTTTATGCCTCTTTTTGAAATTTCCTGTCAGATACTTACCATGATTGGTCATTAATTTATAAATATAAAAATGGCATATCAATGTTCTGGCAGCATCATCATCCACCCCATCAGTGCTAAGCTTGAAAGAGATCTCGAGGCACTAACAACAATGGATCCTTACGTTGTAGTCAAAATTGGTAATCAAGAGATAAAGTCTTGCATTTGTGTTGATGGAGGAAGAGCACCTCATTGGGACGATCAATTGAATTTTATCATAAGTGGAGAAGACACAGCTTATATCGGCGTGTGGGATAGAAGAAGTCTTAGATCAGACCAAGAGGTTGGGAGTCTCGTCTTCCCTCTATTTAAATTATTTGAAAACAGACACTATGAAGACTGGATTGAGCTTCTCCATAATGGCCAAAGAGCTGGACTTTTGAGACTTCACATGGAATTTAGACCTACAACATCGGCTGGACAGGCTGCATCAACTGGAATCTCATCAGGCCAAACTGCACAAACTGGGTATCAAACTGGGTACCAGACAGGAGAATTTGCAGGGTCTTCATTGCAGCAGCCAGGAGTGACAACAGGGACATCTTTGCAACAGCCAGGATTGACAGCAGGAACTTTTGGGGGTCTAGAAGAAAAGCAGCAAGGGTACTCGGAATTTGTGTCAACGAAAACTGTAGGAAGCACCACAGAAGTTATTTCAGGAGTATCAGAACCAGGATACACTGAAGTTGGCTATGCTAAAATCTCAGAAGCGACTCAACCAGGGAGTTTTGGAGAAAAAAAGGAAGAAAAAGGAGAAATTAAAGGTAAAAACTACGAAACCACTGAGCAGCAACGTTCAGCAAGCGCTCCTCAATAGCTAATAAAACTTAATTAAACTTATTATGAGTATTGATTTTCAAGTAACAAGCTTCCATTTTAACGCTAATTCACACCCATATAAATTATATATCAAACAAAAATTTCGTTTAATTTTAATGTTTTCGCCGGTATTTAGTTAATCAAATTCCCATAAACTTCGAAGATTTAACAAACAGAAAGATCTTATTTCATAAACCTAAACAGAAGTAAGGCAATGAATGAGGATCTTCAAAGAGTGAGTTTAAGGTTTAAAGATAATACTGAAGGAAAACAATTGGAGCCATTTCAAGAAGATAAATATAAAAATTTGAGAATTTGTTAGAAAATTTAAAAATAAGACATACTCTAATTGGCCTATTATAATGGGTAGTAAGCTAATAGCTATTATTATATTTCAAACGAAGATTAAAATTTACAAATTTAAACTTCTTTTTGTTCTATTGTAAGTCATAATAATATGGATCAGTGCGGAATTAGTTCTCTCCGAGAACTATTCCTTCCTTCGCTTTTATTATATGGGGCTTAGTTTTCCACGTGGATCTTTATCTGCAACACCAATATGGAATACCGCATAGGGTATTTTCTTCGGTCCAGGGTATTAGGAGACATGTGGTTTTTGTGCTTGACACACCCGGGGAGGGTGATCCTTAGGCGAATACACGCATGAGTCAAGTTCGGGCGAGGCAACGCGGCCAGTGCGGACCTTCTGGCCTGACGAGTGAAATCTTCTGGAATGCCTACATATAGGGAGGATCGCTGCTGACGTCACTAGTTGGGAGTTAAAAGGATGGGCTTATGCATGCCTAAATCATCCTGCGGAAGAGGGAAGACACTTTAAACACCTACATCCCCCCTCCGTGAGTGAACAAAAAAAATTTTGTTCACTCACGGAGGGGAGTTAATTTTTTTTTTTTTTTAAAAAAATTTATATATAAATTTTATACAAAATGTTTGTTTTTAAATTTAAAAAAATCCTAATTCGCAAAAATTGGAAAGCAAATATTAATTTAATTTATAAAATTTATGTTTTAAAAAAAGCAATTCGTTTAATTAAACAGAATTAGCTCTAGATTTAATTATACTAATTATCATTAATATATCAAAATTTTTTCCATAAAAAATTTTTCTATAAAAAAAATTTTTGTTCACTCACGGAGGGTGAGGTTTTGACAAAAAATAGCGATTTTTCTAATGTTTTTTTTTCACTCACGGAGGGGGGGAGTAAGTAAATAAGTAAGTAAGTTCTATTGTAAGTCTATAGTGCAGTAATTTATGCCCTCTTTCAACTTTATCTTGAAAGGCGAATCGGTTAATCAGACTTTCCAGATCTAATGCTACACATTGTTTTTTCTCTCTTTCTTCATCTAAGCTGCTTTTCGCAGTTTTCGCCATCCCTGCAATGACAATTTCATCATTTTCATCAGAATCAGTATTCCAAATTTTCAAATTGAATTTTGCAGGACTTTTTCCTAATGTTCTAAACTGAGGATAAAATAAATTTTTCATAGAGTCCATAAATATATAAGTCAAAATTGTACAGGTTTGGTCCTCAGCTAAATAAAATGTATGCAAAAGCTTCACGCATCCAGCAGTTGGAGGGAGTGAGCTGGATCTTAATCTTGATGAATATTCAGCTGTATTTCCTGTGATATCATAATGAGGGATTTTGTGCTTGCTATTTAAATGAGTCAATAACGAGTCGAGCTGTCCTTTTCATTTGCAGTTAGTCAATAAACATTGAAAATTAGGGTTGTGTCGGCATTCTTCTTCATGCTCAAGCCTTCCTGAAAGCTTTACTCTTTCATTGCAGCCACTGAATTGGCAGGTATATTCACATTGGTAAAGCTGCTGCTCCAGGTGATAATTTCGAAGTTTTCGGCCTATTGGCTCTCGACATGAAGGACATTTTTGGGTTCTTTGAGAACAGCGATCACAAATTGAGTGTCCGCTGTCGCATTGATATATAGGGATTGTGAAATATTCAAAGCAAATTGGACACTGTAAACAAGATTCTAGTAGCTGCTTATCTACAATCAAAGTCGAACTATTGTCTACCATATAGTAATATATTTATATAGTGAAATTTTGGATTTAAATATATTTGAATAATGCTTTGGTGTTGAGATAGATACTTAGGCGGCTTATATGCATTAAAATCAATTGTTTTTTAGGGAAATTTTAGAAGTTTTACATTGGTTAAAGAAAATAAAAATTAAGGAAACCTAGCGAGCTCTTTTTCAAAGATATTTAAACGTTACTTTAATGCATTTAAATGCAAAAAATTGATAATATTGAATAAAAAATTTAATAATTAATTATAATGCTGATCTCGAATTCAAAAGTAATTTTTCAAAGAAATTAGCAAGTTTCAATTTTTTATGCTTGAGAGCTAAGTGATTAATTCTATAATAATAAATAGAATTTATTAACTTCTATTTAATATAAAATGGAGGTATCATGGATGTGCGACATGATGTGTGGAAACCCCGCAATTCTGATTTGTCATTGTGACTCGAAGTCAACTTCTCTTTGCATGATTTGCCTCTCAATTCATTATTCAAATAACCCCAAAGCAATTCATGTCCAAACTCCAATTTCTTCAGCAACCTTGCAAGGAAACTCGCTATGCGAAATCTGCAATGGAGAGCCCGAATTTGTTTGTCTCTGTAAAGGCAACTCAAAATATCTCTGCCGAGCGTGCAGGATTGTCCACATAGATAATGAGCCTACAGCATCCCACTATTTTGAAAAAATTGACAGTCAAGAGTTCATTCATTGCCGAGATGATATCGATCAATATTTGAAAAAGAAAAAAGTGCTTGAGAATATCCAACTTAAATTGAACAAAAATATCAAAAAAGTCTCTAATTATAAAGAAGAGCTAGAAACGGAGAAAATAAAAACCTTGAAGCTGATTGAGAATATTTTCAGCAGAAAATTTATGGAGGCCGATTCAATAGAAAATGAATTAACTGAAATGAGAAAAAATATTTTTGCAGGGCAAGTAAAAACCAAGGAGAGTGGAAATTGGACATATCAGCCAGCTTATGAGATTAGCCTTGAAACATTAGAAGCAGCATATGAGAATATAAGAGATATATATTATAAAATTGATGCTGAAAATTTAACTAAGCACATAGGATATACATCGCAAATCTTCTATGAAAGGTATGAAGAAATCCAGACGGAGCCAGTTTTTTTGCAAGGAGCCTCACACAATTTGGCGAAATATGATATAGCAAGAAATGAAATGAATATTTCAGAAATTGAAGGAGAGCCTTTTAATTATAGAAGTGCCTGATGCGTTTTGCCTAATGGTTCAATTTTTCTTTGTGGTGGCCAAAGTAGTGAAGGTGAATTATCATCTACTTATATTTTAGATCAGAAATTAAAAACTTCAACTCCGGTTGAAAGCATGATATCACCACGAAAATATCACGGAGTTTGCTATCACAATGACTATATTTATGTGTTTGGAGGGAAATTTGGGGGGAAATTAAAATCATCAGAGCGATTTTCTCCTACTTCTTACTCCTCCCTCTGTGATGAACAAAACCGTTGGAAAAAAAATCCTATTTTTTACTCATAACTCACCCTCCGAAAAAGCAAATTTTAATATAAAAATGCTTTATGAAAATATTTTGATATAGTTGATAATTATTATAACGAAATCTTTAGTTAATTCTGTTTAATTTAAAAAAACTTACATTTTAAAACATAAATTTTGCAAATTAAATTAACAGTTGCTTTAAAATTATTCCGAATTGGAATTTTTGGAAATTCAAAAAACAATATTATATAAAAATAAAAATTAACGTGATCAACAAAATTCGATGATGGAGGGGGAGTTAGTATTGGGAAAATTAATTCCACTTTGCCAGAGAAAACAAAATTTCTAATATAATTTTTTGGTATATAATAATGAGGTCTCCTGCAAATTTCTTAAAATTTACAAGAAACATTAATTTTTAAAATTTTCATCCAACCTTAAAAATTTAAAACTTTTATTTTTATATATTAAAATATTTTTACAAAGGTAAACCCCTTGGCTAGTGAGACAAAATTTTTGCACGATAATCAATGGGGAAAATTATAAAACAAAGATGAGAAATGCTTCCAAATTCGCTTTATCCACACTGTCATGTATCTACTTTGGTTCTTGGTAATAAAATTTTAATTGCTGGATATTCAAGGTTTATTGAAATTTTTGATACTGATTCATTATCATATGAAGAGACTCTTTATCTTCCAGAAAGTACTTGCCGAATGAGCATGTTTTCAATGAAAGGAGAAATATATTTGATGATAAGGAGCTCTCTTTACAAAATAGATTTACTATTGAGTGAACTTACTTTAATCCACGTATTTGATATAGATATCATTTTATGATTTCCATCAAAACCTATAGAGAATTCTACAAAGATTTATTTCTTTTCTGTTAGTCCAGCAGTGGTCAAATTACTCTCTTGGGGATATGAAACTTTATATTCGCTAGACTTAGAAAATTACAATTTAAATGAGTTGCAAGTTTTAGGATAATTATTAATTATTTTATAAAATCTAATAAATGTTATCTAGAGGAAACAGCAATTGAAGAGATGCAGGTAAAGACCCAGCTCAAAAAAGTGAATTTCCTGCAGATAAAAGGAGTAGTACTGATGAACTGTTTATAAAATTAATTGAGATATGCTGCTTGAAGTATGACTATTCAAACGAGTATAAAGATATCAAATCTAAGGCTTTACGTAATGCAGCTTTAAAAAAACTATTAGAGTTTTTTAGTGAGCCTAAAAACTCTGCAAAATATATCATCCAGCATTTTGATCGTTTGATTGATATGATTAAATTGAATATATTTCGGCCACCTTTTTTAAAAAGGCAAAAATATTCAAAAGCTGATCCTGATATTGAAAATATTGAAAAAATAAGCATTTTCATAGACCCAGCTTGGCCTCATCTTAAAAATGTATATAAAAATTTTCTTCAACTAGTTATAATTGAAGAAATTCCTTTTAGGATATTGAAAAGCTATCTTAATTATTCTTTTATTCAGGATCTCTTAGAGATGCTTAACACTGAAAATTTCAAAGAAAAAAAGTACGTACAAGTAATTTTGGTAAGGCTATATGCAAAAGTAGTGCCAAAAAGAAAATTGATGAGAGCTGTTATGGAAAACTGCCTTTTAGAAATTATTCATGAAGATCGAGAGTTTGAAGGAACTAATGAGTTGCTGGAAATTTTAGCATCTATAATATCTGGATTTGCTACTCCATTAAAAAAAGATCATGCAATTTTCTTCATAAGAGTGATCATTAAACTGTATAAAGTTGAAAATTTAGAATCTTTTTATGCAAACTTATCGAGGTGCACTATGATGATTTTAAGCAAAGACAGTTCGTTAGTGATTCCACTAATAGAGGGGCTATTGAGGTATTGGCCTTGCTGAAATTCTCAAAGAGAAGTTTTATTTTTGGCAGAGCTGCAGAAAATCTTAGGCATTTACAAGAGTATGGAATCCGAGGCTATGACTTTAAGGATGCTCAAAAAGATATCAAGATGCCTTTTATCCCAGAATATCCAAGTTGTAGATGGAGCAATGTGTTTCTTTGAGTCAGATATTTTTTTACAAATTCTTAGAGAGTCCAAAGAATGGACTCTTCCTATATTTGCACCAATTGTAGCTGAGGTTGCTGATAATCACTGGGATAAAGAGATAAAATCTTCTTCTGAAGCCATTAAAGAAATTCTCATCGAAATAGATGCTTGTGCTTTTGATTTGGCTCTTCAAAGTTATTCAAAATATAATTGTGTTAGCATTTTGCATCATTCTCAAAGAAGAATAGAAGCTGAAAATAAGTGAGAAGTTTTAGCAAATAGAGCAAAAACTATTAACCCAGATTCAATTAATCATATTTGTTTAATACAAACTCGAGCGTGCTTAGCAATTAATTTTAGTAATCAGTATCCAAACTATTCAAATTCCAAATTAAGCACAAATTATTATTAAAATTAATTCATTTTATGCAGCATTTTAAAGAAATCTTTAGTCAGCATAGATTCTCATTATACTAATTATTAAAAAGAGCTTATAGTCTAATATAAATTACTGTAAAATTCGATTAAATATTATCGAATAACCGTGCATAGCAATATCCAAATATCTCACCATAGAGGTGATTTGGAGGATGCACAAAACTTAAGGTAGCGCTATAAAAATAAAAATAATCAAATATAAGATACATGTAAAATTAATCAGTTCGGAATTCATTGAGATTCAGATTTATCATAAGTGTTGCTAAATAGCATATTATGATAAAAATAAAAATTGGTTTGGTGTAGCAAATAGATATCGCTATACACTATTATTCAGTGATAAGAATTATTACAATTTTCTGAAATAACTTAAAGTCATTTAACAAGATTTATTTTAAGAATATGATTTATTGAATTCTAGACTAATAATTTCTGCTTTAAAAATAAGATTTCTTATTTATTTTTGGCTTATTCTTTCATAGACACGATGCAAATTGCTATTAAAATTATTTCTATCAATATCTTTAAATAAACTTTTAGAGCAAAATCAAAGCAGAAGCATCTACTTCTATGAGGATTTCTTTAATGGCATTAAACAAATTTATATTCTATACTAATAAGTACAAAAATTTTTCTGGAAAAATATTTTGATAAAGTTTATTTATTCAAAGTGCTAACTTTATTGAAAATAAGCAGCAAGGGGAATAAGTAAATACAATTATTCGAACAGTCTTATTCTTTATATTAAAATGCCATAAGGAAACCCTTTATTCATTTTATTTACTCATCTAGATATCGGCGAATAGTTTTCAGGAGAAGATCTTTTGAAGCAGGCTTTGCAATATACTCAGTCATTCCACTTCTATAACAAAGTTGGACATCCTCATCAGCAGTAAATGCTGTATACCCAATTATCACAGGTAAATTATTTATTTCATATTCATTGTGCATTTGAATGATTTTACTAGTGGCTTCTCAGCCATCCATCTCTGGCATGTTGCAATCCATCAGAATTACTTTAAATCCGCCTAGTTTATCATATTCAGTCACTCTATTAACTGCTTCTTTTCCATCACAAGCTTCAAGAAATGAAATGTTTACTGATTCAAAAATGGCTGCTACGACAGCCCTATTCAGTTCATTATCATCTACAAGCAAAACTTTTTTCGCTACTTTTGCTGACCTTTTTCTGCATCTAAGGTATACTAATACCTATAAATTCATTGAAATCCAGCATTATCGTAAAAATTCATTATAAATGGGTATATCTATTAATATTTGGGCAAGCTTTTTCTGAAGGAATTTTTAGGGTGGCTTCTTCTGTACTAATATGGGGAATTGGTAGGCCTATATCGATTGTGAAGCTAAAAGAAGTGCACACACCTTGCTCTGAATGAATATGTATGTGACTCCCAGATAATTGCTTTACTATCATATTTGAAATGTATAAGCCTAGTCCTAAGCCTTCTTTTCCTATATCATTTACCTTCATATTGATGAGCATTTCGCGAATCCATTTTAATTTATTTTTTGAAAACCCAATTCCTGTGTCTTTTATAATAAATTTTAATTTGTTTTGATGAGTCAAAACTGCGCATACTTCTATGTAGCCTCTCTTCGTAAATCTATATGAAAGTTACTTTAATGCATTATTTAATAGATTCAGCAAAATCTGGGACAGCCTATTTGAGTCTGAGCTGATGACATTTGGAATGCAAGGATCTACCCTGCAGCAAATTTCAATATTTTTTTGCATTGCTAAAGTCTTTATGATAAAATGAAGCTCATTAATAACTTTTCTTACTGAAAAATTAACTGAAAGCGGTTTAAATGTCCCATTAATAATTCTTGAAAAGTCAAGCATGTCATTAATCGATGAAAGCAAAAGCTTAGACGACACATTCGCGAGGGAAAGCCTTTCTTTACTTTTTTCATCGAATTTTCCTAAATTCTGTTCTAAAATTGAAATTATCGCATTTGTTGGGGTTCTCAGTTCATGAGATAATGAATGAAAAACAGCGTTCTTAAACCTTTTTTCAGTCAAATTTTGCTGCGAATTTATGATATGATCAATAGAATGGACAGTTAAAATTAAAGCTTCTTGGGATCCCCATAAAATCTTTTTTGCCTTTCACTCATAGCAAATGTTGCATATTATTACAATCCCCAGTGAAATTTCTTGTTCCATGTCTAAATCAAAACTATTCTGAATATCATCAATTAAAAAGTGATTCCCAAGAGAGCTATTTTCTGGCTCATAATATAAAAGTGACGAAATGGTTTCTAGAATTTTGTCCTGTTGACAGTTTAAAAGTTCTGGAATTTTTTCATTAGTTAACTCTATTTTTGAGTCATTTAGCATCACTATTAGTCCATCTGGAAAGGTTTGTAAGACCACAAAAAATTTTTGCTTATTCCCCTTTAAATTAGAATAAAAATCCTGTTCCAATTGAGGTTAATTTTCACCATATAAAACTTTTTTTTAATATTTATAAAATTAAAGAGATGTAAATTGAGCCCAATGTTTTTGAATCTAATGAATAATTATTTAAAAATTAAATTATATTCTGCTTGCACTTTTTCCATTAAAATTGGTCAAATTAATTTTATAAAAATTAGTATAAAATTTACTATTAGAAAAAAAAGTTTCAATTTAAAGGGGGTTTAAAGCATTCAAAAAGTGGGAAAACTTCATCTATGTTTTGTTCCAATTTAAAGGTGGTGAGTTAGTTTCTTCAAGCTGTGTTTTATAAGCGAATCTCTCATATTCAAGGCTTCTTTCGTGAAATCGATTTTTATAATTAACCAATAAAATACCTAAAATTACAATATATGGCTTTAGATCATAAGTATCCTTGATTAGACCTAAAAAAATTGGTAAATAATATCATTGGATTATATGTTTTACGCCGATAAAAAATACCAGCAAAGATGATCTTATATACTGTGTTTGGATCACCAAAATCATATACGTTGATAAAATAATAAAAGGAGAATCAGCTTTAGTATAATGTGCTCAGAGCATTAAATCAATATCAAGGGCTTCTGTTGTTATCAGGGCGACAATAATTTTTGACTTGTGGGAAAGCTGAGTTTTCCAGGTAATAAAAAGAGCAATCACCCAGAAAATGTAGGAAATACTCATTATCTCATTGAAGAAAGTTCATGTGGCGATCATGTAAATGAGTCTTATAATTGCAGAGACCGAAATAATTGTTGTTATTATAATTTTCAAGCCATTGAATGAGCTCTCAATTTCTTGGATCCACCATCTGTCAAGTAATTTTTCCATAGTTATTTATAAGAAAAAGAATAGACATTTAATTAATTAAATTTTGAAGGAGTTTAGAGCAATTTAGTTGGCTTTGCAATTGCAAGGAAGTGGAATAACTTCATAAGATAAAAAGCTTATTATTAGCAAAGCACTGAGAAAAGAAATTGGAACATAGCAGGGTAATATCTGGGATGCGCAATTTTTTGAGCCAATGTAAACATTTAAGGCAAAGCTAATACAAAATTGAAAAAGTTCGATATTATAATATCTCAAAATTATTTTATTAACATATTTCATTAAATGTATTTGAATTAGTATCAATCTATGTAATAATTAAAAATATTGAAGCCTTCTCTGCTAAAATACTGTTGTTTGCATCACCATACAACTCTCAAATATTTAATAAAAATTGTATTTATTTGCTTTAAACCAGTTATTTTTCAAATATTTACTAATTCTATCATTAATTTTTCTTTTTTATTCTTATTTTGGTATTAATTAATTTCTCTTATACTGCAGCAATTAAAGAATTAATAAAATTTTTAAAGTTGGTTAATTGATTACGTAATAAGTTTAAGTTAACGAATTACTCTAGCAAATTGCCATCAGTCTTCTTTTACTTGAGGGTCCAAGCTACATTAACAGCTCTGAATAACGGTAGGTGGACCGGCCTAACCGTCAAACCGTTAAAGTTAATAAGTCCGTTAAGACTTCTCTAGTCAGTACCAGCCTCAGCACCGACCTCCTCTCTTCAAGCCGAGACTCTCAATAAGCTTGACTTCTCTCACTAAGCTCGGATGATAGGACCCGGACCTATTCCTAACTGACATTTTTAATATTGTGTTACCTAATAAGAACTTGGGCCAGGCTTTGGATCTTTTGAAGTTTGGCTTATCGATTTTTCCTTTTCAACTTTCCCAATCCACTCTGATCTCCCTTCAATTTCTCTTGCTTTCGTGTTATCCAAAGGTCTTATTGGGAAATCTGCCAAGTTATCAGCAAAAAGTCCTCTCAATTCGAAATAATACTTGGCATAAAGTGCTGCTTTTACTGTGACCGAATAATTGATGAGCTCTAAAAATCTCTTCTCAAGAGTGTTTATTTCTTCAGTGTTGAAAAACGGATAGATGTACGCAAAATCAGCATTGCTTAGATATCTGTCATCCCACACTTTTTGGGCTATTAGAAGAGAGCATAGAATAATTGGCCTCCAGTTGGTTGGGTGTAATGGAAGTCCTGTAAAAGCAATAAGTCTGTTTATATAAACCAAACAGATTATGCAACACTCAGGGCTAAACTGTGCACAATCATATAAAGCTCGCATGAATTCATAAATGTCATCAACTGTAGGCATCTTTCTGAGCAAAGCTAAACGCGCCTCATCGAAGGCGTCAGGGTTTTCTCTGATATATTTTTCCTCACTGAAATAAAAAAGATCTGAAGATGACTGAATTTCTCGCCCAAGATTGACATCTTCAATCATTTGTGAATGAATTATGGTGGCTACAGATTGTATCATTGTAGAAACATTTGGCTGATAAATAGTGGAAGTTGCGTAGACAGAAGACGTTGTACTTGCTCTGCGGTCTTCTCCTCTCCAGCTGTTTTCTTCAGAATTGTCCATTTCTTTTTTCTGATAAAGGTAGTGGGTTAAATGCTTATGATAGGAATAAATTATTTCTCACTCCCCCCCCCCCCCCTCCGTGAGCGAACAAAACCATTAGAAAAATCGCCATTTTTTGACCAAAAAACCCACCCTCCGTGAGTGAACAAAAATTTTTTAATAGAAAAAATTTTAATGGAAAAAATTTTTGATATATAAGTGATAATTAGTATAATGAAATCTAGAGCTAATTCTGTTTAATTTTAAACAAATTGCGTTTTAAAATATAAATTTTGCAAATTAAATTAATATTTGCTTCCCAATTTTTGCAAATTAGGATTTTTTTAAATTTCGAAAAAAATATTTTTTATAAAATTTATATATAAATTTTTTTTTAAAAAAAAAAATTAACCCCCCTCCGTGAGCGAACAAAATTTTTTTGTTCGCTCACGGAGGGGGGGGGGGAGTCAGCAATAAATATTTTATTGATTTCGAGATTAAAAAGGTTTAAGGGATGAAGCTTTGGCTTAAAAAGAAATTTATTGTATTTATTTTTAATATAGCTCGATAAATACTTTGGCTCGAATTTCACGATCTTTTTGATAGGAAAAGGGGGAATTGGTTTGAAGAATCAAATCCCCTAATAGCAGGACCAATTTCAGTTGATTTTCTTTCAATTGGGAGAAGATTTGGCCAACATAAGCTGATCGAATCATCTCCCCTTTTACCCATCAGGAAAGATCAGGAACCCTAAGCCAAATTGTGCTGAGGCTATATATTTATGTAGAATAAATTAAGTAAAAATTTAATAAAGTGAGTTATAAAAAAATAAAAATATTCTGATTGAATATAATTTTGGTTGAGTACTATTACTTAATAAAGACCAATGACTATCCTAAGAATGATCCTTACCTAGCTATATAGACTAGAATTCAATTGAGAGCGCCATAATTATAATTAGATTCATAACAAATTTTATAAATTAAAAATTTCTTAATCTTCACCTATCAAAAGCATAGCAGCAGAACCTGGCAGCTGGATTTCAAGAAGATCCTTAGCATGATTTTGCAATTTCTTCCTATCAATTCCTCTTTCATTAATTGACGGCTTTGATAAAAACAAAATGCCTTTTTTCAGTTCTGCAATTTCTTTTGCAATTTTATTCATCTTATCTATTCTTTTCTTTGTATTTTTTTCAAGTGGCTCTAGATCTTGGCTGCGAATTCTGCCTTCCAAAATTTGCTTGAATGCTAATTTTGAAATTTTTTCTTCTATATAATTTCTTACGTTCTTCAGCTTTCCCAGATATTCTCTTTCCAAACTTCGGAGAAGATTCAACAGGCGCAGTTTGCATTCGCTTAAAGCTTTTATCTATTGACTCTTCAGGCTCAGTTTGTTCTTTTTGTTCTTCTATAGTTTCTATTTCTTCTTTTTCGTCTTCATCTTCTTCACTCTCTGACTCATCTATTTTTTTTACTGGCTTTTCACTGACCCCCCGCTTTAAATTGGAACAAAAAATTTTATTCCAATTTAAAAGGGGGTTAATTTTTTTTTTTAAAAAAAAATATCAATATAAAATTTTTTATAAAAAAACAAATTTTATATATAAAATTTAAATAAAAAAAATTCAAAAACCTATCGAATTAGATCACAAAATTTTGTTTAATAAATGCTATTTACTCTTTATCCTTTAAAAAAATGCAAGATATAACTAAATTTTCATTATTAGTTAATACTCCACTATTAATTGGTATCAAAATTATTTACACAAAATTTATTATTTTTTTGTTGATAAAAAAAATTTTAGAAATTTATCGATCAAAGTGCTAATTTTGCTTAAATAAGATGTTATTTATACTCTTCTCTTTAAAATAAAGCAAAAAATAAGTAAATTTTGAAATTTTATAAAGAATTTCTATTGAATTTATATCAAAACTATTTAAATAAAAAATATCATTTTTATCGAAAAAAATAATAATTTGTTTTTTAAATAAGATGATCTTTATACTCTCTCTTTAAATAAGAGCAAGATATAACTAATTTTGAATTTTAGTTAAGAAGAAACATTTAACTTATATCAAAACTTTTTACATAAAAATTATATAGTCAACTAGGTTGACTATATAAAATTTTTTATTATAAAATAAAAATTTTGTTCCAATTTAAAGGGGGATTAATTTACCAAAAAATGGAAATTTTTACCTATATTTTGTTCCAATTTAAAGGAGAGGGGAGTGAGGGAATTAAACCCTTCTTGAATTATCGCAACAAATAAATTGTGCACACAACTATCATAGAAATTACTTGATAAAAAATATGATGAAAGCAAACATGTAAATCTGTCCAATCACTATGTCTTCTAAAACAACACCATCGAAGAAAAAGTAGACAGAGTCACCACAAAGTAGGGCAAATAAAGCCATCATAGAAGAAGTCGTGTTAGGGTAGAAACCACAATTTCAAAATAAACACATGGCAAGGAAGGTGAAGCCCATAAAAATAGGGAGAATTCCGACCATGTAGGGAAGCAAAGTGGAAAAGCTTCGCTTTAATGTATTGGCAATTGTGTAGGTCTGTGAAGTATGCTCAAGATATTGAATTATGCCAACCCACGCTGTAAAGCAGCCAAAACCAATGAGAGTTTCATGGAGATTCATAGATCGGCCTTGGTCAACTATTGTTAAAATCCCTGAAAACATTTGGCAAATATTTCCAATAATATTAAAAATTACTCATAAATTCAAAAACTTCAGCTTCTCCCGAGTTCCTAAATAATCCCAAGCAGATCTATATCCTCTAGGTCCTCCTCTCATTTTAGCAATTAAAAGCGCCCTCTTCATGAAATACAAAAAAATAGAGCACAGCGAGCATATTGACAAAATTAAAATCGCAACCCCAAGCCAAACGAATTTTTTCATAGGGTCATCTACATATATTTCTTACAAATTTCATCGCCGCAGCTGCTTCTATCAATATCCATTACCACATTAACAGGTCCATGTACAGAATAATCATATTTTTGATTTAACACTCAATGATAGCATGTTGAGAAAAGGTCTAGCTCATCATCTAAATGCTGGTTGAAAATCATTTTAATCTCAAATCTGCTTACAAGCTCCAAGTAATTTTTTGGATTCAGATGTGAAAAAGGTCCAAGGTCTTCAGGACTCAGTTTGTATTCCATTTCATAGCCTTTACTTTTTGCATCATCATAATCTAAATAATCCACTAATAGTCTGGGTTTTTGAATACTCCCATCATCTTCGTATTCGTAGGAATAATTATCTAATGTATGGGAATTCACGTGATAATATCTATCAACTGTTTTTTGCAAAAAGTGAGTTAGATCTCTGATGCTGAAAACATTATAAGAGTTTGTAATTGTTGTGTCAGAGCCTTGGACGTCTGGGTTCAAAAATAATTTATTTCATAAAGTATATTGAGTATATGAGTATGAAGCAGAATTAAAAACGGGATATTAAATTAAGTGCTTAAGGTGTACAGTGCCCACTCCCTATTAAAGAGCATCCTATCACTTAAAATAGCACAAAATATGGGAAGGGATTACTTGACATGTCCCCTTAGATTAATCTCACTTCTCACTCATGTCAGGCTCAGCTCCTGCGTATTTCGTCTAAGGGTCACCCTCTTCGGGCGTGCTGAGTGGTTAAAATCCTCTTGAATGCGCTGAAAAGCAGCTGCTCTACACCTATGCAACTACTGCCCAAAAATTCTCCAGTTAAAGCCAAATCCCATAAATGAAATTAAATTAGCAAATCTAATTTCTCTTGAGCCAAATGCCATTTATTTATAGCTTAATTAAAAACAATTATAAGGACTTGGCAAGTGGTGGTGATAAGAAGCAAGATCTGGATAACGATTTTTCAGGGATATATACCGAACCTCTCATATTTCTCTAATGGGTGCATGTATAAGCTATCTCTTATACTCATATTCACCATGCTCGCTCGATGAGAAGCCATATTGTATTAAATCACCTTTAATTGTGAATAGATAAGTAATGGACAATTATAAATTCATTCTCATTAATATTGATAAAGTATTAATTAACAAAACTTATATGCAAAGCTTGATCATTATATACTTCTAGGCAAAAATCCAAATTTTGATATATCTCAAGCACTATTTTAGCTTGGGCTTTCCGGTAGTAAAGAGGCGAGCTGGAAAAACTAACTCCTCAAATTGCAGACTATGATATAGGGTTTTTGCCATTTGGGGAGTTGCCCAAACAATCATTATTTGGCTTCTCTAACACCCCTCTTTACCATAGGAATGATCGGGAAGCCCAAGTTAAAAAGATGCTCATGCTATACTTGCTTGAAGCTATTTAGAGAGCTATGAATCTTAGAATGATTTAGCTTAAAACCGATTCCAATCGATAATAAAATATTTTAATAATTAAGTTAAAATTATTTGCTTTACTATTTTCTTCATCTCAAGTATAAAACACGTTTGATAATTTTCCATTTTTTATTGCTCAAAAGAATAAGCCTTCTATTAATCTAGTTGTTAATGCATAACACGCTGAAATTTAAATTAAAATAAAATAGCTTTTATATATAATGAGTTTTTCCGTGCCTAAATATCAGATCAGCCCTTTGCCTTCAAGCTTGAAATTTACCCCACAGCAATTTGAGCAACTAAAGCACCAAATTCAAAGCTACACCATTCTGAACAGGGGCCAAGAGCTTTCCCAAGTTCAAATCCAAGCAATCCAAGGTATAAAACTCCAAGCATTTGACTCATACCAGACAACTGGCTACAACACTCAAATGAAAACAAAATATAACCATTCGCAAGATATTAAAGAAAAATCCAATAGCCAACTCCACTATGAACAAGAACCAAAATCAATAACTTTCTTCTATGAGAATCGTGCTAAATTACTTGAAAAGTTCTTACAGTCTGACTTAGACGAAGACACCAAAAACAGAATTTTGACTGAAAAGTTTCTGATTGAATTAAGGGATCTTCAAAATCAGACTAGAAGTGAAGTAATAAAAGAATGAAAAGAGCAGCCTGATAACAACTATGACCAAAGCCATAGACTTCTAGAAACCACTCTTCTTGATAGGGACTTTTTCAAGAGAAATTTCCCAATGTTTGATTTTAGAGCTAAACAAGAAAACAGAATGCTTGGAAGATATGACTATGAAATGAGAAATGGCCAAGACACCAAAAGAAAAAACCAACAAATGATTTTCTTGTCAGAAGTCCTTAATCATCAACAAGATTTTTTTGATTTTCATAGAAGAAATCACGTAATTTTAATATAGGCAAATCTCCGCAAAAACATATATGGCGGCAAAGGATATTTGGATTATTTAGACCGGCAAGAAAAGGCAAAGAGAGATAAGGATGAGAAAGAGAGGCTTAAAGCGCTAAAGGACAACAACATGGAAATTTATGTTGATTTGTTAGCCAAAACAAAAAATGAGAGATTGCTGAAAATTTTACAGCAAACTGACAGCTTTTTAAGAGAAATTGGAGCAAAAGTTTTACTTCAAAAGGGCGATAATGAAGCAGAAATTGTGGAGCAGGCCCCAGAAGCACAAAGCGCAGGCGAAATAATAGCAGACAGTTTAAAGAAATCGTCAAAAATGTATTATGAAATCACTCATGCTGTAGTTGAAGAAATAAAAACTCAGCCTGAAAATATAGAAGGAGGAATGCTTAAAAGCTACCAGCTTATAGGATTGCAATGACTGGTTTCTTTATATAATAACAATTTGCATGGAATTCTTGCTGATGAAATGGGGCTTGGGAAAACTATACAGACAATAGCATTGTTTCAGTATTTAATTGACAATAAAAATAATGAAGGGCCATTTTTAGTCGTTGTCCCTCTATCAGTCCTCTCGAACTGGGTAATGGAATTCAAAAAATGGGCACCAAAAATAAAATTTATCGTATATAAAGGCCCTCCAATTCATAGGAAAAAATTGGTTTCTAATGTATTAACAATGAAAAAGTTCAATGTCTTAATAACAACTTATGAGTATATAATTAAAGACAAGCAGCAGCTTAGCAAGATAGCATGGTCTTACATAGTTGTAGATGAAGGCCATAGAATGAAAAACTCCAAGTCAAAATTCGCTCAGATTTTAGGTCTTCAATACTCCTCTGATCATAGAATTTTGCTTACAGGAACTCCACTACAGAATAACTTAAACGAGCTCTGGTCTCTTCTCAATTTTCTGCTCCCTAAAATATTCCATACACTGGACGACTTCGAAAAATGGTTCAACATTCCTTTTTCCAAAATCCCAGGCGAGCAAGTCGAATTGACTGAAGAAGAAAGCTTGCTTCTAATTAACCGCCTCCATCAAGTGCTACGTCCATTTTTATTAAGAAGGGTCAAAAAAGATGTAGAAAAAGAGCTTCCAGATAAAGTGGAATTTGTATTAAAAGTCGAGTTATCTTCGTGGCAGAAAAAGCTTTATAAAGATATACAAGAAAAAGCATTTTTCAATCGAGATGGAGGACCATGAAGGTGCAAAAGTCTTAATAACTCAGTTATGCAGCTTCGAAAGGTGTGCAATCATCCTTATTTGTTTTTGCATTATGAGCAACTTCCAATGGTGACTGATGAAATATGAAGATGTTCAGGAAAATTTGAAACCTTAGATAGAATGCTGCCAAAGTTCATAAGAATGAACCATAGAGTTTTGATTTTCACCCAAATGACTCATTTGATGGATATTATGTCAATGTATTTCGAATACAGAGGCTTCAAATATTTGAGGCTGGATGGAACTACAAAACCTGAAGACAGAGACTTAAGAATGATGCTCTTTAATAGCGAAAACTCCGAGTACTACATTTTCTTACTATCCACTAGAGCAGGAGGGCTCGGATTAAATTTACAAACCGCTGATACAGTTATCATTTATGACTCAGATTGGAACCCACAAATGGATTTACAAGCTCAAGATCGTGCACATAGGCTTGGACAGATGAAAGAGGTTCGAGTTTACAGGCTTGTAACAAACACTAAAATTGAAGAAGCAATTCTAACCAAAGCTGCCTACAAAAAAGACGTTGATGCCAAAGTAATACAGGCTGGCTTATTCAATACAAAGTCTACAGAGCTCGAAAGAAATGAAAAATTGAGAAATCTATTAAAAGCTGAAGAAAACGAAGAAAGTGAAGACGAGACTGAATTTTTGACAACCCAGCAGTTAAATGAAATCATTTCACGCAATGATGAAGAGTATCAAATTTATGAGCAAATGGACGCAGAAATGATGAAAAATGAAAATTATAAAGAAAGGCTAATTCAAGGAGATAAGCTGCCGTTTTGGCTGGAAACTCATGAAGAAGAAATCAATTTGGATCAGTTCATGTATGGGAGAGGAATGAGGAGGCATAAAGAGCTTTATTATAGAGAAGAAATTGAATTAGAAAATCAATATTTGGGGATGAAGAGGGTTGGATCGCCTATAGAAGATGAAATTAATAAAAGAGCTAAATCGTCCTCTGAGTCAGAAGCCGGAATTGAAATTGGAGGGCATGGGACAAAAATTACAATTTCAAGTGGAAAAATGCTGGGATCAAATGAGAGCTCGTCTGAGACAAGTATACAAGATTTAGAAGAAGATGAAGTTTTTAAATCAGGGGAGGAAGATGAGGAGGATTATGAAAATTTCAATAACTAATAGAATTATATGATATAAATAAAGGCAGATAAGCTATCAGCTTGAATCGCTTTATTAATCTTTATAAATGCTCTAAAAGATAAAATCCAAATTGAAACTTAAGCATATTTAAATGGTGAAAAATTATTTTCCAATTTTATTTTTTTTATCAGAGTTACTAATTTTGATCTATTTTACGTGTTTTGTTTCCCGAAAATGTTTATCAGATTTTCTAGAACAATTAAAAATTCCCTATATAAAAATGGCCACTATTAAGTTATTTATAAATATTATACATCAAGAAATGGGTTGTTATCCAAGCAGTTCAAAACTTACAAGATTTCCAGGTTTTATTATAAAGAAAAAGCATCACAGAACACATGATGAAATACAGACAGTAGCATCTGAGAGCTTTATTAATTATATGTCAAGCTTAAGCACAATTTTAAACCAGCACAACAAAAATGTGCCTTTTTAAGTTGAGTAATCACACAATTATAAGTAGAAGATTCAATGTAACTTTAACTAATAAAAGTAGGAGTAAGAAAACCTTAGTTTTTAATAACTAGGCATATAGGTGGCAACATAAGAAGAGCCTAATGCATAAATCTGAAGATTGCCTAATAAAGGCTGCGAGTAAATTAAAGATAATGCGCGCATTGATAACGGTTGAAACCACAATATCAAGCTATCATAATCCTTTAACGAGGAATTAAATTTATTATTAAAATAAGAAGACAAAGAGAATAGAATTATTTTCTCAATAGCTCTACTGATCGAATTTATACACTCCTACTCTCATGCATAATTGAACAAAAAATTTTTTTTGATATGGATAATTTTTTTTAAAAAGTCTGTGTGGATTTTTAAAAAAAGGAAAACAAAATTTAATTTAATTTGTTTTTAAAACATAATTTTTAGAGATTTAATCATACTGATTTTCATTTATATATCAAAATATTTTTAAAATAAAAATTTTTTGTTGCTCGCTAAGGTGAGTTTTTTGGATAATAAATAGGGATTTTCCAATGTTTTTTTTCGCTTAAAAAGGAGTGAGAGAGAGTTAAAAAACTTCAATTCTTAATTCTGCGTGCTATATAAGCTCTAAAAGTTTTATCAGAGTTATAAATTTTAACTTCAATTTCATAATTAGACAATTTCTAGAATATTAATCGCATGGAAGAATTGCTTCTTCCTTTTGATTCTTGTTTTAAAGGGAATATAATTTTAAAATATAGGCTTATACTGCAGCAAGTCTATCGTAAAAATTATTTGCTCTACCCTTTTAAATTGGAACAAAAAATCCATCCCAATTTAAAGGGGGTTAAAATTTACACTAAATTGCTCACTATAAAAAAAAAATTAAATTTTATAATAAAATATATAAATTAAATTCGATCTTTTTGGATTTTAATTTATTTTATAGAAAAATAAATTCAAAAATTAAGTGACAGTGTGAAATTTCTTTCTATTAAAAAAAATTAATCCATTTTAAAGATAGGCTAAAGTACGCCTATTTTATTCTAAATTAAAAGGGAAAAGTTAGACTTTTTTTTTTATTTTGACTGGTTTCTTAAAAAATTAATATTAAAATTGAATTTTTAAAAATTCGAGATAATTTCAACCCAAAGCTCAATACATCTAGAAAATTAATAATTATAATATCCCCAAAGGTTTTTCAATTTTAATTAACTAATGCTAATGGTAATCTAATTTAAATCTTGATATGGCTGAATAAGCTTATCATCTGCATCAAACTTCTCGCTGCCTCCTTCTGCACCTTTTATGATTGAAGAGAGCAGATCTTCAAGAGAAAGTCTTGTCTTTTTTACTTCCCTTAAATTCAATGAAGTCCTTTTGCTATTTTCTATTGATAAGAGCCACGACAGAGCTCATCAATCCAAGTGCAGATCCAAGTAATAAACTAATCAAATATTCATTGTTCGCTTTGGACTTCTTTAATAACTAAGGATTTTTGCAAGATTAGTCTATTGATAACGATAAATTATCAATGATGGATATAGAGAAGGAGATCCGAAAGAATTATATAATGAAAGACACATTGAAATATAGTAGCCCATGTTATTGCACAAATAATCTGCTAGAGCCCATATTCCTATAAAATTGAAATAGGAAATTATAAACTCTAAATAGTTATAAATCTGTTAGCAATAATTTTATTTAATTTATATAAGTATTTTTGACCAGCTTAAGATAATATTGTGATAATATGAATTAAGATGCAAAATAGAAGATCCGCTTCACTTTAGCAATTATTTTGCTGCTAGACACCCTTCTTCAGCTTATCCATAAAGGTTAAGCTTTAATTCTAATGGCGAAATTAAAGTCTGCCACAAAAATGCTTTATTTATTGATAATTTATATGTTTGATTTCCAACCCTTTGCATAATAAAATATAAATAGCTTAATAGAATTTGATTATTTTTCCTCATATACAAGAATTTATTGTCGAATAAATGAATTTTCTTTATGCTTTAGTGTTTTTGACTTATTCAGTTTCAAGTGATATTGAGATTCTTCGCTATCCTTCAACAGATCCTCAGCCAGATCCAAGAAAATTCATAATTATGAATGGTGTCTTTTCACACAACTACTTTATTTTCTTTGGTGGGTACAATAACCGTGACGACATTTACAGTGACATATGAAATTTTGACCTGAGTACCAAGAGGTGGTCTCAAGCATTTTCTTCAAACGGAAACAACCCCAGTAAGAGCTATTTAGTTGCAAGATATAATGGGGGAGGCTTCTGAAATTATCTGAGAGATGAGTATTGCATATGAGGCGGAATGTCGATAAGAGGTCAGCTCAATGATTTATGATGCTTCCATCTAACAGATTTTTTATGGAGGGAGGTCGAAGTTTCAGGTGATTTAATCAAGCCTCGGTATAGAATTGGTTATACAAACTGAAATGAGACCAGCACTGTCATGTTTGCAATTTTTGGAGGTATTACGATTGAGCATACCAGCTCTGATCTTTATATGTAATTTTTATTCAGAATAAATACAACTTCTTATGAAGCTATTAAGCAGCCTTATCAAGGAGACCTCCCAGGAGCTCAAGAGGGTGCAAACATTTTTTATTCAAATGGATGCATTTATATGGTAGGTGGGGTTTCTACTTATGATGCAAATCCATATGCTCCGAAATTTTTTAGATATATAGTCCAAGACAGCTTTTGGCTCACCATGAGCTTGCAACTTACCATCCAGCTCGTGGAGTTGGTTTAAAGCCAAAAGTTTTCAAACTCCACGAGTTAACAAATGGCAATTGTATACTCACTTGCCAACTTAAATCAATTCACAAGTCAGAGGAAAATTGATAGCTAAAGGCGAGCTAAACGCCATTCCGGGAAATAACATTGCTGATCAAAAATGGGAAAATAAAACAAATCCGACTAATATATATAAATTCAGAAATTATGCCCAAGCCAGAGTTAATAATAATATCTTATATCTATTTCCAGGACAAAAATCAGACCGGTCAGGAAATGAAATAAGTATATGAGCTGTATCGCTTCTAGACCCAGATTTTGCGTGGTATGAAGTCCAAGTAGCAAACGATGTAAATGGCATTATATCACGACATTCCTATGGCATTACCAGAGTAGGAACCGATCTTTTCATGTTCGGAGGAGATATGAATGGAGAAGTTAGAAATGATTTTGTGAAATTTAATCTATCATCAAATCCATTGAGTTTCACGTATTTTCCTACTTTTCTTTCGCCATCTCAAAGACAATATCATTCCTTCACATTAGTAGGCGGATATTTATACTTGTTTGGAGGGGATCATGAAGGGACAAAATTGAATGACTTATGAAGATGGGATATAGCGAACGAGCAATGGCAAGAAATTACTCCTGGTGGAACAATACCTGACCCTAGGTCTCATCATGCATGCTCCTCGTATGGAGATGTGATGGCAGTTTTTGGAGGAATTGGCGAGTTTGGGTACTTGAATGACGTTTTCCTGTATAATTCTTTGACAAATGTATGATATCAAATCGAGTCAGCTTCTCAAATAATTCCAAGTATTAGATCTGGAGCATGCTTGGATATAAAAGACTCCGAGATTGCAATATATGGAGGAAAAACGCGATCTGGGCTTTCAGATGAATTATGGATTTTAGATTTAGGTTCCCAGCTTTTCACCCTAGTAGACAGTGATAACTCAAATGGTCCAGGTCCTCTTTATCTGTCTTCATGCAGATTTTCATCTGATCATCCTCATATATTTTACGTAACCAACGGAATAACTACAACTGAAGATCCATCAAATGGATTTTACAGTTTTAACCTCACCAAATCTAAATGAACAAAAATATATCATGGCCCTACTAATTCATTATATGATAGAGCCGATATCAAGACTTTTAAAGTTAGAAGCAGGTATATCTACATTGGTGGAGATATTTATAATACTCCAAGTTACTCTATTACTTATTTTAATACAACCTCAACAGAATTCGTAAATTTCGCAGAGCTTCCTGAATATATTTATGCAGCTGCCCAAACTTATTTTGGGGACTCATACTATACTAATGGAGGAGGGAAAACAATAGGAAATAATTTGAGAAGAACTATTCCTACTGGAGTTTTATTAAAAATAAATTTACTTTCAACTTGTGAGGATTCTTCCAATTGCGGGTGGAAATGCAGCCCTGGCTCATATTTATCAGAAAACTCATGTGTTTCTTGTCCAGCTGGGACCTATCAGCCTTATTTTGAAACTACAGAATGCGATAAATGCCCACCTGGAACTTATTATTCAGGTACAGCTGCTGTAACAATAATTCAATGTTACCCCTGCAGTGAAGGAACCTATAGTTCAGAATATGGGACAGGATATTGCATAAACTGTCCAGCGAACTCATATTGCCCTGCAGGAAGTACAGGCTATTCGTTTATAGTTCCTACGTTTTCTGACTCCTCAATTCAGCCAAATTTATTTAAAGAAGGGGATTCGACTGCAAGCAATTATTCTTCATATGTATCCATAGCATTAGGAATTTTTGGAGTTCTTATTATAATTGTCCTCATAATTATCGCTCGAAATAAAGATATTTTAGTAAAAATTGATCTCTATTCTGCACAGCACAATTATTTATTAGATGTGCCAATGATCCTAACAAAAACCAAAGTGGGAGGATTATTCTCAGTTATTTTTATGATTTTAGCAATAATTGTCATTGCTTCCACTTTGATTAATTTCGCTGAAAACAACACTGTAGAGACAAAAACATTGGTGCCACTCGTAGTTATGGACGAAAAAGTCTCGGTTTACAAAACAGATCTGAACGTTACATTAACAATCATAAATTATGGAGGTCCTTGCACTGACGAAAATAAATGTGCTGACACGATAGGCTTTACATATGAATATTTTTCAGGAGCGTGGGACGATCCAAAATGTAAAAGCAACGGTAGAGACTGCGAAGTCTTTCTTTCATGCATTGACTGTGTTATAGACCCAGGTGCTTATTTACTTTATGAGTTCACAAATAGGTCAAGTTTTGCCTCAGGCTTTACTACTAATGTGACTTCAAACAGCTCAGTTCCTAACTCTGTCAGCAGCTATAAAACAAGTTTGCTCCCTACAAGTCAAAAAGTATTCAGAGGTGAGCAATATTCTTCGATGTACTTTGATCTGACTCCTTCAGTAATTTTTATTTAGTATTACCAAAATATGGATTCAGGGCTCGATCTCACTGGATACCACATTTCGAAATCTAAAGACTCTGAAAAAGGCACTGAATATTTAACCAGCGAGTAAGATTAATTTAGGCTTGCAATGTCTTATAACTTATACTTGAAAATTTTATTCAACAGAAATTCCAATTGTTTGATTACTACAAGAAGTAGTAAGCAAACCGTTTTGATTTTAATAAGTGGACTTCTTGGATCTGTTTTTGGGGTTATGGGGGCAATTGGAGGAGCAATGTCTTTTACAGAAGGGCAATTAAATAAGATGAAGGAGCGTAAAGATAGAATCAGATTTAGAGAAAGTATAGCTTATGGGTCTGATATGATAAAGAGTAGCATCAACGCAAGCATTTTTTTAAAAAAGACATGAGAAGATGAGCCTACCTCCAATAAAGGCATTTATGATGATGAATTATTCGAAATGGATTTATCCAATTTCAGGAGGCAATCACTTGCTGATGGAAAAAATATACACCAATAGCAGCATAAGCTCTTTTCATATTATAAATAAGAATAAAAAATTAAAATTATTTTGATAAACATAAAATCCAAAAACGAAATTTATTAAAGGTAAAAAAGGGAAAATATAATCTAAGTCCTTAACTAAGGCTATGGAAAGCTCCATGCAGGCCAATAATCTCTTTCATATAGCTCCTTCAGTTTTTTGCCACTCCGAACACAAGTTTCGCAATATTACTTCTCCCAAACGAGGGCTTTCACCAACTGTCCAGAGCCCTAAATCATTTTCATTCGCTCACGGAGTGGAAGCAAGGATTCTGCGAGATTAAGTCTATTGATAACGATAAATTATCCAATCATGGATATAGAGAAGGAGATGCGAAAAATTATATAATGAAAGGCACATTAAAATATAGAGGCCCATGCTAAAGTAAAAATAATCTCTAATAGAGTCCATGTTCTTATGCTTATAAAATTGGAATAGGAAAATTATAAACTTAAAAGTAGTTTGACAATCTTAGGGTAATACCAATGATAATATGAGTTACGATATAAATAAAATATCCGGTTTACTTTAACAATTTTTTTGTTGCTAGACACCCTTCTTCAGCTTATCCATAAAGGTTAAGTTTAATTATAATGGTGAATTTAAAGCCTGCCACAAAAATGCTTTATTTATTAGTAATTTATACGTTTGACTTCACCCGTTCTATAATAAAGTTTAAATAGTTTAAAAAGAATCTGATTATTTTTCTCATATACAAGAATTTATTATCCAAAAAATGAAGTTTCTTTATGCTTTAGTGTTTTTGACTTATTCAGTATCAAGCGAGATTGAGATTCTTCGTTATCCTCCGACAGATCCTCAGCCAGGTCCAAGAAAATTCATAATTATGAATGGTGTCTTTTCACATAACTACTTTATTTTCTTTGGTGGGTACAATAACCGTGACGACATTTACAGTGACATATGAAATTTTGACCTGAGTACCAGGAAGTGGTCTCAAGCATTTTCTTCAAACGGAAATAACCCTAGTAAGAGCTATCTAGTTGCAAGATATAATGGGGGAGGCTTCTGAAATTATCTGAGAGATGAGTATTGCATATGAGGCGGAATGTCGATAAGAGGCCAGCTCAATGATTTATGATGCTTCCATCTAACAAATTTTTTATGGAGGGAGGTCGAAGTTTCAGGTGATTTAATCAAGCCTCGGTACAGAATCGGGTATACAAACTGAAATGAGACCAGCACTGTCATGTTTGCAGTTTTTGGAGGTATTACGATTGAGCATGCTAGCTATGACCTTTATATGTAATTTCTATTTAGAATAAATACAACTTCGTATGAAGCTATTAAGCAGCCTTATCAAGGAGACCTCCCAGGAGCTCAAGAGGGTGCAAACATTTTTTATTCAAATGGATATATTTATATGGTAGGTGGGGTTTCCACTTATGATGCAAATCCATATGCTCCGAAATTTTTTAGATATAACATTGCTGATCAAAAATGGGAAAATAAAACAAATCCGACTAATATATATAAATTCAGAAATTACGCCCAAGCAAGGGTTAGCAATAACATCTTATATCTATTTCCAGGAGAAAATTCAGACCGGTCAGGAAATGAAGTAAGCATATGAGCTGTATCGCTTCTAGACCCGGATTTTGCATGGTATGAAGTTCAAGTAGCAAACGATGTAAATGGCATTTTATCACGAAATTCCTATGGTATTACCAGAGTAGGAACTGAACTTTACATGTTCGGAGGAGATATGAATGGAGAAGTTAGAAATGATTTTGTGAAATTTAATTTATCATCAAATCCATTGAGTTTCATGTATTTTCCTACTTTTCTTTCGCCATCTCAAAGACAATATCATTCCTTCACGTTAGTAGGCGGATATTTATACTTGTTTGGAGGGGATCGTGAAGGAACAAAATTAAATGACTTATGAAGATGGGATATTGTAGAAAAGCAATGACAAGAAGTTACTCCTGGTGGAACAATACCTGACCCTAGGTCTCATCATGCATGTTCCTCATATGGAGATGTGATGGCAGTTTTTGGAGGAGTTGGCGAGTTTGGATACTTGAATGACGTTTTCCTGTATAATTCTTTGACAAATGTATGATATCAAATCGAGTCAGCTTCTCAAATAATTCCAAGTATCAGATCTGGAGCATGCTTGGATATAAAAGACTCTGAGATTGCAATATATGGAGGAAAAACGCGATCTGGGCTTTCAGATGAATTATGGATTTTGGATTTAGGTTCCCGGCTTTTCACCCTACTCCCCTTTCCTTAATTAAGTAATTATATTTCAAAACTGGAAAATATTTATTTTCATCCTTGATAGATCGACGTCTGATCATTTTTGATTAAGGTTAGGTAAGTTAGTAGACAGTGATAACTCAAATGGTCCAGGTCCTCTTTATCTGTCTTCATGCAGATTTTCATCTGATCATCCTCATATATTTTACGTAACCAACGGAATAACTACAACTGAAGCTCCATCAAATGGATTTTACAGTTTTAACCTCACCAAATCTAAATGAACAAAAATATATCAAGGCCCTACTAATTCATTATATGATAGAGCTGATATCAAGGCTTTTAAAATTAGAAATAGGTATCTCTACATTGGTGGAGATATTTACAATACTCCAAGTTATTCTCTAACTTATTTTAATACAAGTTCAAAAGAATTCGTAAATTTCGCAGAACTTCCTGAATATATCTACGCGGCTGGTCAAACTTATTTTGGGAGTTCATACTATACTCACGGAGGAGGGAAAACAATAGGAAATAATTTGAGGCGAACTATTCCTACTGGAGTTTCATTACAAATAAATCTACTTTCAACTTGCGAGGATTCTTCCAATTGTGGGTGGAAATGCAGCCCTGGCTCGTATTTATCAGAAAACTCATGTGTTTCTTGTCCAGCTGGGACCTATCAGCCTTATTTTGAAACTACAGAATGTAATAAATGCCCACCTGGAACTTATTATTCAGGTACAGCTGCTGTAACAATAATTCAATGCTACCCGTGCAGTGAAGGAACCTATAATTCAGACTTTGGAATGGGATATTGCATAAACTGTCCGGCGAACACTTATTGACCTGCAGGAAGTACGGGCTATGCTTATATAGTTCCTAACTTTCCGATGAAGAAGTATAGTTAACAAATCTAATTTTTAACGGCAAAAAAGTTTTTCTATAAAAATTTTTATTCTACTCAACAAATTTTTGATAATTGCATTCCAAAACTAATTTATAACTAAATTAGTCAAGTTTTTTTCACCTTGAAGTTTTTTAAGATATAGATTTTTTGAAGGTTGATAAATAGTATTAAATTTTCTATCATGCGGTGGGTTACGTTTTCTGACTCCTCAATTCAGCCAAATTTATTTAAAGAAGGGGATTCAACAGCAAACAATCATTCTTCATATGTATCCATAGCAATAGGAATTTTTGGAATTCTTATTATTATTATCCTCATAATTATCGCTCGAAATAAAGATATTTTACTCTCCTGATTCCTGTTTGAAAAAAACCTTTGCAAATAATCATAAAAGACACCCTTCCTATTACTGCCTTAAATCTAACTACTCATTTTTAATAGTAATAAATATTAAAGATGTTAATGAATAATAATTAGGGTTTTAACGATAAAATAGGATTTATAGTATATTTTTAAAATATATTAGATACTTCATCACTTATGTTAGCACTTAAAGTATTTTTACAAGGAAAATTCTTACTCCCCCCTTCGTGAGAAGAAATATTTTTTAATATAAAAAATTTTTAAAGAAAAATTATTTTGAATATAAGCAATCTCGAGCCTAATTCTGTTTAATTTTAAACAACTTGATTTTAGAAATAAATTTTTCAAATGAAATTAATATTTGCTGTAAAATTATTTCGAATAGGGATTTTTTAAATTAGAAAAAAAATAATCCCCTCTATAAGTGAGCAAAAGTTTTTGTTTGCTGATGGTGGGGAGTTAATATAAAATTTTTATTTATATAAAATGTATATATAGCTTATACCCATAATAGATTGCTATAACTAGGCAATATAAATGTCAGAAAATAGAGTCATGGATACTTGCTTTATAAAGTCTGAGTATTTATCCGATATCTTGTAATCATAAATAGTTATTACTATATTGATTTTATTCTTTAAAAAGATAAGAATTACATTATATTAAAATTAATATGGATTGCCCATAATGATCTATTAAAATACACAAAAGATATTAAATTTCCCCAAAAAAGCTTTTTAACTCTGTCCTTAATTGAACAATATGGATCAGTTCAGTCAAGGATCAAAAGAATTAGTAAAAATTGATCTCTATTCTGCAAAGCACAATTATTTATTGAACGTGCCAATGGTCCTAACAAAAACAAAAGTGGGAGGATTCTTCTCAATTATTTTTATGATTTTAGCAATAATTGTAATTGCTTCCACTTTGATTAATTTCGTTGAAAATAACACTACCGAAACAAAAACATTGGTGCCGCTAGTAGTCATGGACGAAAAAGTCTCGGTTTACAAAACAGATCTAAACGTCACATTAACAATCATAAATTATGGAGGGCCTTGCACTGACGAAGAGAAGTGTGCCGACACGATAGGCTTTACATATGAATATTTTTCAGGAATATGGGACGATCCAAAATGCAAAAGCAACGGTAGAGACTGCGAAGTCTTTCTTTCATGCATTGACTGTGTTATAGACCCAGGTGCTTATTTACTTTATGAGTTCACAAATAGGTCAAGTTTTGCCTCAGGCTTTACTACTAATGTGACTTCAAACAGCTCAGTTCCCGACTCTGCCAGCAGCTATAAAACAAGTCTGCTCCCTACAAGTCAAAAAGTATTCAGAGGTGAGCAATATTCTTCGATGTTCTTTGATCTAACTCCTTCAGTAATTTTTATTTAGTATTACCAAAATATGGATTCAGGGCTCGATCTCACTGGATACCACATTTCGAAATCTAAAGACTCTGAAAAAGGCACTGAATATTTAACCAGCGAGTAAGATTAATTTAGGCTTGCGATGTCTTATAACTTATATTTGAAAATTTTATTTAACAGAAATTCCAATTGCTTGATTACTACAAGAAGTAGTAAGCAAACCGTTTTGATTTTAATAAGTGGACTTCTTGGATCTATTTTTGGGGTTATGGGGGCAATTGGAGGAGCAATGTCTTTTACAGAAGGGCAATTAAATAAGATGAAGGAGCGTAAAGATGGAATTAGATTTAGAGGAAATATTGCTTATGGGTCTGATATGATAAAGAGTAGTATCAACGCAAGCACTCCTTTAAGAAAGACATTAGAAGATGACCCTGCTTACAATAAAGGCATTAATGATGATGATTTATGTGAATTGGATTTATGTAATTTCAAAAGGCAATCACTTACTGATGGAAAAGTTTTACATCAATAGCAGCATAAATTCTTTTCATATTAAAAATAAGAAATAGCCATAAAAATAAAATTATTTTGATAAATACAGAATCCAAAAACAAAACTTATTAAAGGTAAAAAAGGGAGAATATAATCTGAATCTTTATTTTAAGGCTATGGAAAAGCTCCATGCAGGCCAATAATCTCTTTCATATGGCTCTATAAGCAGTTTGCCATTCCAGATACAAGCTTCTCAGTATTAAGCCTCCCAAACGAGAGCTTTCACTTAGCAGCAATTGGTCATAAAATTTTTTACAAAGGATTTTAAATTAGTTTCTCTGAGCCTACTTCGGCTGGCTTGTTGCTAAATTTATTTAAATTTTATATACAGGCTAAGAAGTTTTTAATACATAGATTTTAACTCATGAAATTTATTTAATTAAAAATTCTTGAGTTTCTCTTGCTTATATTTATTAAGTTTTAGACTTTTCTATCAATATATCTTTGCTTCAATTTTAGTTATCCGTTACTCTGGAAGGTCTCATTTTGGCATTATGCCAATTAAAAATCAATAAAAGCCTTTACATCTGTCCCTTCACCATTAAGGCAAAAAGCTTATAAACTTTTAATAGTTATAAATCTGTTAACAATAATTTTAAATAATGTTATAAAACAGCTTTGACCAGCTTAAGTTTAATATAAGTGATAATATGAATTATATTTAAATTAGAAGATCCACTTTAATTTAAGTCTTTTATTGCTGCTAGAAGCTCTTCTCCAGCTTATCCGCAAAGGCTAATTTATAATTTTAATGGTGAAGTTAAAGTCTGCCACAAAATGGTCTTTTTCATTTATAATTTAGATATTTGACTTCCAACTAGTTGTAGTATAATAAAATATAAATAGTTTAAAAGAATCTGATTATTTTTCCTCATATACAAGAATTTTTATCCAATAAATGAAGTTTCTTTATGCTTTGATTTTTATGACCTATTCAGTTTTAAGCGATATTGAGATCCTTCGCTATCCTTCAACAGATCCTCAGCCAGGCCCAAGAAAATTCATTATTATGAACGGTATCTTTTCACACAACTACTTTATTTTCTTTGGCGGATACAATAGTCGTGAAGAACTTTATAGTGACATATGAAATTTTGACCTGAGTACCAAGAGGTGGTCTCAAGCATTTTCTTCAGACGGAAGCAACCCTAGTAAGAGCTATTTAGTGGCAAGATATAATGGGGGAGGCTTCTGAAATTATCTGACAGATGAGTATTGCATATGAGGCGGAATGTCGATAAGAGGCCAGCTCAACGATTTATGATGCTTCCATCTAACAAATTTTTTATGGAGGAAGGTCGAAGTTTCAGGTAATTTAATCAAGCCTCGGTACAGAATCGGCTATACAAGCTGAAATGAAACCAGCACTGTCATGTTTGCAGTTTTTGGAGGTATTACGATTGAGCATGCTAGCTATGACCTTTATATGTAATTTCTATTCAGAATAAATACTACTTCTTATGTAGCTACTAAACAATCTTATCAAGGAGACCTCCCAGGAGCTCAAGAGGGTGCAAACATTTTTTATTCAAAAGGATATATTTATATGGTAGGTGGGGTTTCTACCTATGATGCAAATCCATATGCTCCGAAATTTTTTAGATATATAGTCCAAGACAGCTTTTTGTTCACCATGAGCTAGCATCTTTCTATCCAGCTCGTGGAGTCGGTTTAAAGAAAAAATTTTCATACTCCACGAGTTAGCAAATGGCAATTATATGCTCACTTGCCAACTTAGTTTAGCAACTTTTGGCTCTAGGGCAATTCTACTATTTGAGGGAAGCTACTAGCTAAAAGCAGCTAAACACCATTCTGGGACATAACATTGCTGATCAAAAATGGGAAAATAAAACAAATCCGACTAATATATATAAATTCAGAAATTACGCCCAAGCAAGAGTTAGCAATAACATCTTATATCTATTTCCAGGAGAAAATTCAGACCGATCGGGAAATGAAGTAAGTATATGAGCTGTATCGCTTTTAGACCCGGATTTTGCATGGTATGAAGTTCAAGTAGCAAACGATGCAAATAGCATTTTATCAAGAAATTCCTATGGTGTTACCAGAGTAGGAACCGATCTTTACATGTTCGGAGGAGATATGAATGGAGATGTAAGGAATGATTTTGTGAAATTTAATTAGGGTGAATGCGTTTTTCTCTGGACTTTTTGCTATTGCGCCATTTCTTCAAGATTGACCGAAAATTTTTCCTCATTGAGAAATTTAACCGCTTTTTATGAGTATATGTCCCGCGAGGAAATACTTTTGATCAAAACTCTCGAGAAGTAGAAAAAATTCTAGAATAAAAGGTATGCATCCAAATTTGATTTAACATCAAATCCATTGAATTTTGTATATTTTCCTTCTTTTCTTTCGCCATCTCAAAGACAATATCATTCCTTCACATTAGTAGGCGGATATTTATACTTGTTTGGAGGGGATCATGAAGGGACAAAATTAAATGACTTATGAAGATGGGATATAGCGAACGAGCAATGGGAAGAAATTACTCCTGGTGGAACAATACCTGACCCTAGGTCTCATCATGCATGTTCCTCATATGGAGATGTGATGGCAGTTTTTGGTGGGGTTGGCGAGTTTGGGTACTTGAATGACGTTTTCCTGTATAATTCTTTGACAAATGTATGATATCAAATCGAGTCAGCTTCTCAAATAATTCCAAGTATCAGATCTGGAGCATGCTTGGATATAAAAGACTCTGAGATTGCAATATATGGAGGAAAAACGCGATCTGGGCTTTCAGATGAATTATGGATTTTGGATTTAGGTTCCCGGCTTTTCACCCTAGCAGATACTAATGACTCAAGTGGTCCAGGTCCTCTTTATCTGTCTTCATGCAGATTTTCCACTGATCATCCTCATATATTTTACGTAATGAACGGAATAACTACAACTGAAGTTCCATCAAATGGCTTTTACAGTTTTAATTTTACCAAATCTAAATGATCAAAAACATACCACAGCTCTACAAATTTATTATATGATAGAGCAGATATCAAGACCTTTAAAGTTAGAAGCAGGTATATCTACATTGGTGGAGATATTTATAATACTCCAAGTTACTCTCTTACTTATTTTAATACAAGTTCAAAAGAATTCGTAAATTTCGCAGAACTTCCTGAATATATCTACGCGGCTGGTCAAACTTATTTTGGGAATTCATACTATACTCACGGAGGAGGGAAAACAATAGGAAATAATTTGAGGCGAACTATTCCTACTGGAGTTACATTAAAAATAAATCTACTTTCAACTTGCGAGGATTCTTCCAATTGTGGGTGGAAATGCAGTCCTGGTTCGTATTTATCAAACAACTCATGTGTTTCTTGTCCAGTCGGGACCTATCAACCTTATTTTGAAACTACAGAATGTAATAAGTGCCCACCTGGAACTTATTATTCAGGTACAGCTGCTGTAACAATAATTCAATGCTACCCGTGCAGTGAAGGAACCTATAATTCAGACTATGGAATGGGATATTGCGTAAATTGTCCGGCGAACACTTATTGCCCTGCAGGAGGTACGAGCTATGAATATATTTTCCCTACGTTTTCTGACTCCTCAATTCAGCCAAATTTATTTAAAGAAGGGGATTCGAAAGCAAAAGATCATTCTTCATATGCATCCATAGCATTAGGAATTTTTGGAGCCATTATTATAATTGTCCTCATAATTGTCGCACGAAATAAAGAAATATTAGTAAAAATTGATCTCTATTCTGCAAAGCACAATTACTTATTAGACGTGCCAATGGTCCTAACAAAAACAAAAATTGGAGGATTATTCTCAATTATTTTTATGATTTTAGCAATAATTGTTATTGCTTCCACTTTGATTAATTTCGCTGAAAACAACACTACCGAAACAAAAACATTGGTGCCGCTAGTAGTTATGGACGAAAAAGTTTCGGTTTACAAAACAGATCTGAACGTCACATTAACAATCATAAATTATGGAGGGCCTTGCACTGAGGAAAACAAATGTGCCGACACGATAGGCTTTACATATGAATATTTTTCAGGAGCATGGGACGATCCAAAATGTAAACTCAACGGTAGAGACTGCGAAGTCTTTCTTTCATGCATTGACTGTGTTATAGACCCAGGTGCTTATTTACTTTATGAATTTACAAATAGGTCAAGTTTTGCCTCAGGCTTTACTACTAATGTGACTTCAAACAGCTCAGTTCCTGGCTCTGTCAGCAGCTTTCAAACAAGTTTGCTCCCTATAAATCAAAAAGTATTCAGAGGTGAGCAATATTCTTCGATGTTCTTTGATCTAACTCCTTCAGTAATTTTTATTTAGTATTACCAAGATATTGATTCAGGGCTCGGTCTCACCGGATACCATATTTCGAAATCTACAGACTCTGAAAAAGGCTCTGAATATTTAACCAGCGAGTAAGATTAATTTAGGCTTGCGATGTCATATAATTTATATTTGAAAATTTTATTTAACAGAAATTCCAATTGCTTGATTACTACAAGAAGTAGCAAGCAAACCGTTTTACTTTTAATAAGCGGGCTTCTTGGATCTATTTTTGGGGTTATGGGGGCAATTGGAGGAGCAATGGCTTTTACAGAAAGCCAATTAATTAAGATGAAGGCACGTATAGATAGAAGAAGATTTAGAGAAAAAATACCTCGTGGTTCTGATATAATAAAGAGAAGTTTCAACGCAAGCTCTCCTTTAACTAATACACCAGAAGATGACCCTGGTTCCAATAAAGACATTAATGATGAATTAGATGATCTGGATTTACGCAATCTCAGGAAGCAATCGCTTGCTTATGGAAAAGGTTTCCAAATATAGCAGCATAAATTCTTTTAATATTATAAACGATAAGTTAATTAGTGATGCGCTAGGTATTTATAGCTACCAGTTTCGATGGCACCGTTTCACAATGATAATGCACATGCTAGCTTGAGGGAGGAATAACATCGAGTTAGTTTCCAGTTAGTGATGAGAAAAATCCAGGTCTCAGTAGACGATATTTTTATCAACCCACTTCATGAGGATTATGGAAGAAAATAATGAGAAAACTCCTCAAATCAGGCCACTAATCGTGGAAATAGTACTGGTTCTCTCCAATTTAGAGGCTAAGTAGACATTTGGCAACTTCTTGCACCATGAAAACAGCTTCTGTATATAACGATGACCCCCCCTTCAATCTTCATGTCTATTGCAACAAAAATATATATAAAATTTTATATAAAAAAAAATAATAATTTTCATATCTCTTGCAACAAATTATATAAATTAAAATGGCGACACATGTCAATCTGCCCTCTTGGCGCAGCAGTCCAGACCTTATGGCTACAGCGAATTGGGATGGACTCCGAGCCAAGAATCAGACGCAGGCTCAAGAAGTGTGTATCCGGGTAGGTTTTGGCTGCTTTCCTGTGGTTGGAAATGGAGGTGTTCAGCAACGTCCTTGGATCCGAGGACCTATGGGTATTCCTCTAACGAGAAAACTGGGGGTTTTGGCCCAGGCCACAGGGGAACAGTCTTTTTCCTGTAGCTATCGAAGAAAGGCACTTTGATACCCAATAGAATCCAAGAGCTGATCCTTGGAATCAAGCTACTCCAATCGCCCAGGGCCACAGAAATCCATAAGCCGTCCACTCAAGACTGAACTCCCAAGGCAAGGAGGAGACAGAAGGTACCGGAAGGGCACTCGTAAGAGGGATAGATTCTCTGGGCTGGAGTCGAAAAGCGGTAGAACCTTCCGTACGGGAGGTCTTTGTTGACTGCGTCGCCAATATGGCTAGCGCCTGTCTGTAATAATCCTAATCCTCTTGCAACAAATTTTCGATGCGCATCTTAAATTTTTCCGTACTTTTTAGCTAGATAAATTTAATAAAATGGCGAGCGATAGCAATAGCCGTCCAAATCTCGATGAGAAGGTCATTACACCTACAGTAGCACTGTTTTATGGTTTTTTTGAGAAACTCACCTAGAGAAAAAATGCATTAATTTTTTTATAAAAATGTTGTGCGCAGTAGGCATGAAGATGTTTTCGAAAAATTTTTGTTGCAGTAGACATGAAGATTGAGGGGGGTCATCGTTACAAAATACATCCTCAGCAAGGGGGACAGGTTGTTGGGCATTTTATGTAGAAAAACTCCATGCAGACCAATACTATCTTCCATATTACTCCATCAATTTTTTGCTAGTCGGATATAAACTTCACAGTGTTGCTCCTCAAGAAAGAGGGCTTGCATTCGCTTTTAGCGAGAAACGCTGATCACCATGCCATATGTCAACGAGGTTGTCATACAGAAAAATTAGAAAAATGAATATTGTTGTCGGGGGGTTGACCGAAATGGAACACGAGATCATCGGCACAAGACCTAGTATTGTGTAAGGAATTGCCTGATTAGCCAAGCGATCACTTATGGTTTTGCTGGGTGTTCATTTTCCAAATATAAAGCATTATCTTCCACAGGGTAAATACCTAATATTTAAGCACGTGGTCTGCTAGTCCGAAATGATGCTTCACCGAACCAGGAAAGCTCAAATAGATGCAAGCTCCAAACTCTGACTTCCTTCTACAAGGTCCTCAGTTTACCTGCTACAAGTGTTAAACTCTATTTTAATATATATTATAAAAAAGTATTCATTTAATAAATTTTTATTAATTCCTCTTTTTAGAATTCTTATATATCGATGAAAAAATACTAACTCCCCCTCCCCTCCTAAAAATATATTAAAATGGCGATATATGTCAATCTAATCTCTTGAAACAACAGTCCGAACCTTATGGCCACTGCGAACTGGGACTGACTCCGAGCCGAGAAGAATCGAGTGAAAGCTCAAGATATGTGTATTCAGATAGGTTTTGGCTGCTTGCCTTTGATTTGAAATGGAGGCGCTCACAAAGTCCTTTGCATCCGAGGATCCATGGGCATTCCTCGGGGTTTCGGCCCAGGGAGTAGTCTTTTTCCTGTAGCTGTCGAAGGAAGGCACTTCGTCACCCGACAGCTCCAAAGAGTTGATCCATGGAATCAAGCTACTCCAATCCCCTGTAGCAGTAGAAATCCATAAGCCGCCCACTAAAGACTAAAGCGTACGGGAGGGGAGGCTTTGGTGGCTGCGTCACAATATGGCTAACGCTTAACTTTAATAACTTAACCTAACCTAGCCCCTTCCCTTCCTAAGCAAGATCATTGTAGATATCCGTATTTTTTTCCCCTAAAACCCTCCTGAGCGGACAAACAATTTTTTATGAAAAAATATTGATATATAAGTGATAATTATTAATTATATATCTGTTTAATTTTAAACAACTTGCATTTTCGAACATAAATTTTACAATTAAATAGATATTGCTTCCAATTTTTGTGAATTGGGATATTTTTAAATTTCAATATAAAATTTTGTGTTCGCTAAATAGGGGAAGTATATATTTTGGCAATAAATCTACCCAACCTGAATTTTACAAAAAGTTGTTTATTTATTCTAAATATTCTGTGGATGCGATCATTTTATATTATTAAGACAATATTATGAATTAATTTCATATTAAATTATCTGCCAGTAAAGCATTTCATTAATTTAATTCACCACATGGGAGCGGGGTGTAGTAGTGTTGAATATAGAAAATATAGTTCTTTATTAGTCAAAAAGCACCAAAGAACTTCAGTTGGTGACAAAATCAATGAAGCAGCAGCTGCAAAAATTGAGGACAAACCTAAAACACAAGATGATTTTAAGATGATCATGAATGCCTTGGCAAATCATTTCATACTAAAAAGCCTCGATGAAGACTCGAGACTTGAAATTGCTCGTGAAATGAAACACTATACAATTGGCCCTAGAGAGTGCATATTTGAAGAAGGCAAGCCTGGCTCATCCTTTTACATCTTGGCAAGCGGGAGACTTGAAGTAGTTATCAACGGGGTGAAGAAAAACGTGATTTTCCCAGGATTTGGGTTTGGGGAGCTAGCTTTATTAGATGATAGACCTAGAACTGCTTCAATAATTACTCTCTAATATTCAGTTTTTAACATGTCTTCCTCTTCTATAGAGTGCAATATCAGAATCACTCTTTTAGCTTTGAATCACTCTAGTAGAGCACTATAGTGGCTTAGGGTAAACAGAAACGGGGCTTTTTTTGGCTTGCCAGCAACCAAAAACGCCCCGTTCCGTTTACCTTAACTCACTATATAAAACAATGGTACCTGCTCATCCGAAGGCTTTCAATCCTGCCTTATTCCGCCTAAGAGAGTCTCTCCTCCTCAAAGTATTAAGAAGTAAAACCTTATCCAGCCCTAAAACCTGAGTGCCAAATCTTAATCTGTATTATTATCTCAATAATTACAATAGAAAGATGCACTCTTTGAGGAGTTGATCGTGAGACCTTTAAAGAAGCAGTTCGAAGAGTAAATATCCAAGGCCACGAAGAAAATAAAGCATTTATAGACAACATCTCACTTTTTAAATCCCTCACTCAATCCCAAAAAAGCCGCATTTTAGCTTCACTTAATACCCAAAGGTGAGGAAACGGGCAGAAAATCATAAAAGAAGGAGATGTTGGCACTTTATTTTATATCATAAAAGACGGGATAGTTGTATGTTCAAAAAATGATATGGACGTAAGGCATTTAGGAAGAGGAGAATATTTTGGTGAGCTGTCAGAACTTTATGACCAGTCTCGATCCGCAACTGTAACAGCAATTGGCGATGTAAAAGTTGTTTCCATAAGCTGCCAAAATTTATTCGAAATTCTAGAAGATAGCTTGCAGCAAATTATTTATAAAAATTCACAAAGAATTGCAATTGAAAATAGTTATGCTTTATCAGCGTTAAAAACAGGCCAAATTGATAAATTGCTTGATTATATGGAAACTACCAAATATTATCCTGGAGAAGTTATTATACCTAAAGGAACAATGAAAGGACTAAAGCTTTGAATAGTGTTGAAAGGATTAGCAGCAACTGCCTCAGGCTGGAAATATGGAAATTTAACGTGTATTGGAGATAAAGAGTTACTGATGACTCCTGGATCGGAATTCAGTGATGATATTGTAGCTGAAATAGAGACCGATATCTCGGAAATATCAAAAGAAACAATAGAAAACTGTATAGGTGGAAATCTTAGAGAAATTACTACAACAAATGATCTACAAGAAATTTTGCAAAATGTTTATTTGTTTGCAGGGTTAGATTTTTCAAAGCATAAAGAATTGAAAAATTCTTTGAATACAGTGTTCTTCAATGATAAAGATTTAATTGCTGTAGAAGGTCATCCTGGTGAATATTTATACATAATAAAATCTGGGAAAGCGATTTGCAGAAAGGAAAATAAAATTGTAAGAACTATTACTAGCTCCCTCCCCCCTCTGAGAACGAACAAAACCATTAAAAAAATGCCTATTTTTTGTGTAAAAACCCATCTGTGAACGAATTTTTTTTTTGATATATAAGTGATAATAATTATTATTATTATAATAGCTAACCTCTATATAATTTTGTGTAATTTTAAACAGCCTGGATTTAAAATAAATTTTACAAAATTGGAATTTTTTTTAAATGTGAAAAAAAATTTTAACATATAAAAAATAATTAAACCCCTCCATTAAGCGAACAAAATTTTTTTGATTACTAAAGGAGGGAGAGGAGTAAGCATGATTATTTCGGAGAGAGAGCTCTAATATTTGACAGTCCAAGAAGTGCTTCCATAGAAGCTGATGGACCATTGATATGCTGGACTATCATAAAAAGCGACTTTTTGAGCTTAATTAATGACGAAATCAGATCAAGAATATATCACAGAATCGAGATGCAAGATATTTCAATTTCTCTATCAGACTTAACATATATAAAACCGCTAGGCAAATCCATGTTCGGAAATGTCTTTCTCATGGCTCATCAAAACAAATCTAGACTATACACTGTAAAAGCAATACTCAAAGAAAAAATTGAAAATTTAGGAATTCAAGTAAATTTGAAAGCAGAGAGAGAAATCGGACTACAAGTTAATCACTGAATGATGATGAATATTTTAAAAACCTTCAAAGACGATAAAAGAGTATATATTATGACAGAATTTATAAAAGGAAAAGATCTTTTTATGGTTTTAAGAGAAATTCAGATTGTTAACGAACTTCATGCAAGATATTTGTCAGCCTCAATTGTGTTGATGCTGGAATATCTTCATGAGAGAGAAATTGTATATAGAGATTTGAAGCCAGAAAATATCATTATTGATGAAGAAGGCTATCCTATTTTGATTGATTTTGGGACTGCTAAGATCGTTAAAGGCCGCACTTATACAAGATTAGGGTCTCCTCATTACATGGCTCCTGAGATTATTTTAGGAGCAGGATATAGCTTCAATGCCGATTGGTGAAGTTTAGGAATTATTTTATATGAACTTTTATACGGAAAAGTTCCTTTTGGAGAAGATGAAACTGATACGCATGCTATATGTGAAAAAATCATTGAACATAGAATTTCATACTCGCACTCAGCACTGAAAACTCATTCAGCAAAGCCTATAATTCAGCAGTTGCTTAATAATAACCCTGCAGCAAGAACTGGTGGAGGAATTAAAGCACTTAAGTCCCACAGGTGATTCGAAAATTTAAATTGGGATCGATTAAGAATAAAAGCTTTAAAAATGCCTTATATTCCAAAATTTAGAGATTGAGATAATGAGATTGAAGAAGCATTGATGGACCCAAAAATTATGTATGAATGCTTCGAATTAGAAGAATCAAATGATCCTTATAAATTAAAACTCTATGATAGGGAGCCTAGTCTTCATATTGGATGGGATAATGATTTTTAATATATTCATATATTTTTATATTTTTACTCATAAAGAAGCTTTGTTATAAAAATTATACAAGTCATACATTAAAATCTTTGCATAGAAATAAAATCTAGGGAATATATTTTTAGCTGTCTGAAAATTTATTTTTTCCTTTTAATTATTTTTTTAATAATTTGAAGGGCTTAATAATTTTGTGAAATCTTTTTAATTTCAACTCAATTTTATGTATTAGACACTTACAAATATTTAATATCTACTTCTAGTTTTTTTAGGCTTTAGATGCTTCTCCTTCAGCAGGATATTTAAAATCTAAGCTGACTCTTTAATGCCCAATTAGTATGTCAGCAGCTGTTTTGTCTAGCATTCCAGAAGACCAGCAAAAAGACCAGAAATATTTCATGGGTTGCATCTTCACTCGCCTGAACCTAGCTCAAGCGCGCATTCCGCCTGAGTTCACCCTCTTAGGGTTTGCTATGCAGTAAAGCTATACCTCTTTCCTTCGTTCCTAAGACTACTGAATAATCCTATATGGTAATCTATATCGAAATTGTGGATAAAGGCTTACATGGAAACTGAAAACCATAATAACAAATATCGCAGAAGAGAAATAACTATCAGAGACAATTACTTCCGCATGTAGCCACTTTATTGCTATAATACAAATATTTAATATCAACTACGATGCTGCAGCAAGGCTAGAGAATAAATCACAAGCCAATTGTTAATGTCCCAATAAATGGTAGGAGGACTAGTTCCAAAATTCCAGACTTATGTCTTGAACAGCTTTAGTTGGCCACCCATGATGAGAAAGCTTTTAATCCATCCCGCAGGGCCTTTTACAATACACTTTTGGTGCCCATGGGCCAAATGGGCAATAGTTGTTGCGAATATTGCTGATTTGAAAGTTCCGGCTGAGAACATCTCAACAGTTCAACAAGGTGTAATCATGCTTACAGGTCTAGTATGAACAAGGTATTCTACCCAAGTTAAACCATTCAATGTAAACTTGATGTTGGTCAATTTTTTCATGGCTTGCTCAGCAATTTACCAGATCAGCAGAAAACTCAGGTTGAATAACTCGAAGCCAAGCTCGGCTTAGTCAATTTAATTGATTTAAATTATGAAATTAAGCTATTTGATTAAGGATGACTCGCATCTCTTTATTTATTAGATGGTTAATTACTCAAAGATTTAGGCATTGTATTAAATTTTTTAATGCATCTTTAGAAATTGCACCATAATAAATAAATTATTAGCATTGCCTGTTTTCTTCATGCTGAGAGATAATAAATGCATTTAGTAATGGAATTGGAGAAAACGTTAAATATAAATCTATATCTTAAAATATTTAGTATATTATTGCTTTATTTCAGCTAAAATTGAGATTCAATATAATTAAATATAAAATTCTGCTAATATAAAATATAAGTTTTATAATCTCTAAGTCATTAAGACAAGAAAATATTTAATATCAAAAATTTATTTGTGAAGAAAAGATTCAAAATTTAAAGCTATCTAGTTAATGATCAAATTAATATAATACCTAAGATAAAGTAATTTTTAGAGCCACATTTCACTCAGATGAGGTAATAATATATCGATAAATGGTTGGAGGACTTGTTCCAAAACTTCAAGCTTACGTTTTAGCCCGCTTTAATTGGCCACCAACAATGAGAACCATATTACAACACCCTGCAGGACCTTTTACAATACACTTCTGGTGTGCATGGATTAAATGGGGAATTGTAGTTGCAAACATTGCTGACTTAAAAGTTCCAGCTGAAAATATTTCAGCAAATCAACAATTTGTATTAATTCTTTCTGGAGCAACATGGACTAAATGATGCACCCAAGTTACCCCTTTCAACGCTAATCTGATGGCTTGCAACTTTTTCATGACATGCTCAGCAATTTACCAGATGTCAAGAAAACTCAGAGCTAGTTATTCGAAGTCAAAATAAATTAAATGAGTCATTAATCCAATTAATTAGCCTCAATAATTTTCAACTGAGAAATATACTTATATAGTGATTCAGCTTTAAATGCTCTAATAGTTTTATATTTAAAATTAATTTATAAAAAGACTGACTTTTATTGTTTTGAATTTAATTTTTGATTTTTTCGCAGTGATTTTCGATCTTAATAATCATATCTATTCGATTTTTAAGAATTCTTGAAATCATATATACAATTTTCTCGCAAAACCTTTTGAATTTCTATCCTTATTTTTACTTTTGATAAATATTAATTTCATAATTTTTCTTTGTCTTATTTTTTAAATAAGCAAAATAATATTAAACGGATTTAAAAATTGTGCTATTGACTTTATTTTGTTAAATCGCTTGAAAAATTTATATTTAGAAGCCATTTCTATTTTCGAGATTTTCCATTTGCATCTATTTAAGTGACTATTTATTAAGTCATGGAAATAATGAAATATGGTAATCAATCATATAATCTCAATTCTTCAAAATTAAAGCCGAAAATGCCCTTAGAGAGCTGAAATGATGAATAATTTTATCCTCTACTTTAAATCTTTATTTAAAGTTATTTTTTTAATATAATCAATCTCCTAAATTTAAAATTGGTAGCTTTTATTTAAAAGCTACTTATTTTTTTATCATTAAGAATTTTAATTTCATCAAAGAAAATTTAAGAAATTGCCAGCTCTTCCTTAAAAATACATAGAGTGTAACTGCAATTGAAAAAATCAAAAATAAAACACTTTGATTTTTCTTCTCTTCTAGACTTAATCTCTCTAGTGTGATGCTTTTAAGAGATAAAATATTTAAGTTGTGCTTTCTTTTTATCTTCGAAGCTCTAGAAGTAAGCCATTTATTCGGAAAGCTGATATCGACTTTACTGACATTATTTAATGTGCAGATTGAATCAAAGTTGCAGAGCTGCAGATGGCCAGTGCGTTTGTCCTTACCTCTGTCAAATTTCAAAAATAAAAAATTATTCAGCAGAAGTTCCATTTTCGCCTCAAATTTTGTCTTTATTCACTCAAGCAATGTGCCAGCAGGCAGAAATCATAGTTCTCTTGTCAAACCAGACAAAGATCACAAATGAAAAATTAACTCCCCGCTAAGCAAAAAAATTATGTTCGCTAAGAAGAGGTTAATTTTTTTTTTTAAATTGAAAAAATCCCTAATTGTGCAAAATTATGCTTTATAATGCATGCTGTTAAATCAAACAGAATTAATTAGAGATTTCATTATGCTAATTATCACTTATATATCAAAATTTTTTGTAAGCTCCACTAAGGATAGGCTTTTATCCAAAAAATAGGTATTTTCCCATATTTTTCTCGCTCAAGAAAGTGGGAGTAAGCGAAATTTCTAATGAATTAAAAGATTTAAAACGTCCAAGTAGCAATGTGTCTGTAATTATTCCAGATGATAACTCCACAAGTAACGAAGAATTACTATCTGTTATAAGCGGAAATACCACGAATTTTAGGTATAGAATTTCCTTGCTCAGCACTATTCCACGCCCTGTATATAAGGAGCGGGCATTTTGCCTTGTGTCAAAATTAGTGGATTTACAAGGAAACGAAGTTACGCTGCAAACGCCAGTGCGTTTCAAGATTATGCTATTTACTACAGAAAGACCAGCAAAACTCTTGATAAACAACACATCAGGTGACAAAGTAATGAGGGGTACAACTGAAGTGGAAGCAGATTCTCTGATCACTTTTAATAATGTTGTTATCAAGGAAGTCACATCACACTTTAGACATGGGTGCGTTTTCTTGGTGGTCGCACCTATAGATGCAAGCTTTATTCAGCCTTTGATTATTGGAAACGTTGTCATTAAAGCGAGAAAGGTGATTAATGAAGGAAATCCTCGAAAGATTCCAAAACACTCGGAGGATGAAATTTAAACCTAATGAACATAATATAAATAGACTATTAAGCTGCAATTGCTGATGATAAATTAAATTTGTTGATTTGATCTTTTTCTCTAAAATTCACTGTAGCATATAGATTTATCAGGTATCATTTTTGTCATACCATTTGTGAAATGTTTAACAGAGTATATTAAGCATTCATTTAGCATAAAAGCAAATAAGAATTTACTTAATCCTCATATCTTTATGAATATATTTGTAAAAACAATATGCTGAAATTTGTGTTAAAAAAATGTAAAAATTTAACTTAAATGTATAAATATTTATAAAATCATGTTTTCTACTCTATACTATACTTTTTGCTTATGAATAACTCCATAAGGCAATGATTTGAGGTAATATTTTGGCCTGACCATGATTTTACCCTGTTGGTAAGCCATGGTCCTTATGATTATTTTTAATTAGATTATCACCTGTGCATTTACAGATCAACTTTCGATCTCCTCAAAATCTCTTTTCTGATATCCAGCAACCGTATCAAATATTTTATTTATCAACTCATCTAACTGTCTCTTCATTTCAAACTTCTTTCAACAATCATTTCGTCTAATTTTTCGTCTTTCAGCGCTATGCCTAATAATTCATCCCATTCTGTAATCATTTCTCTCAATTTCTTTGAAATTCTTATTTAATCTGTCTGTTAGCTGTACACTCCGAAATTGTATCCTCTTAGTCTTCCACAGCCTATTCGCATGTTGAAATTTTCGATTAAAAATTAAGTGCCTAATAAATCTGCATTGGCTGAGCTCATTGGAACCAACAGTAAGTCAAAACTTAAATTGGAACAAAACATCAGTAATTTCAGTTTTTTGGGGACTTTAACTCCCTTTAAAATTGTAAAAAAAAATATTTTTAAGGATTTTTATTCAATGAAAATAATATTTTTTATAAAAATCGCATTGACCTAATTTATTTAAAATGCAAGAAGATGCTATTTAAATAGTATTCACACTGAATTGATTAGTTCTTCATAAAAATAAATTAAAATTCAAAGTATTGCGGTAAATTTTTAATTTTTATAAAAATTAATTTAGACCTCTTTTAACTATTTTTGGCATTATATGAATAGATTTTTTTAATTGTTTCTTCAAAATTGAAATTTTAAATATATTTGTTTTAAAATTTAAAAATAGTTTTATAGAAAAAAGGAAATTGCCCCCTTTAATAAAGCAAAATTTTTTTTTCCAATTTTAAGCGGGGAAGTTAGTTATTTTCACAAGCAATATTAGTAATGGAAAAATTATACGATAACACGTTAAGTGCTTTATGAAATTTTTCTTTACTCCCCCCCCCTCCGTGAGCGAACAAAACCATTAGAAAAATCACCACCATTTTTTGACCAAAAACCCACCCTCCGTGAGCGAACAAAAATTGTTTTAATAGAAAAAATTTTAATGGAAAAAAATTTTGATATATAAGTGATAATTAGTATAATGAAATCTAGAGCTAATTCTGTTTAATTTTAAACAAATTGCGTTTTTAAAACATAAATTTTGCAAATTAAATTAATATTTGCTTCCCAATTTTTGCAAATTAGGATTTTTTTAAATTTCGAAAAAAATATTTTTTATAAAATTTATATATAAATTTTTTTTTAAAAAAAAAATTAACCCCCCTCCGTGAGTGAACAAAATTTTTTTGTTCGCTCACGGAGGGGGGGGGGGGAGTTAGATGATTTTTTAGCTATATTATCTCCCAAGATAATTCGGCTACATCTTTGCTGATATCAATTTCTCCTTCTTCGAGCCAGTCGCTTTTTAGTAAATCTTCAATAGTCATTCTTCCTTTAGGATTTTTATCTAGCAGCGATCTGATGATATCTTTTGCCTCTGAACTGATACCTTCCCAATGTTCTCCAATCATTTCTATATCTTTGTTTATTATTCTTGATGCTATTTCTTGATCACTTTTCCCATAGAATGGCATTTTCCCTGCAAGAAGAATAAAAGCAGTTACTCCTAAACTCCAGGCATCAGGAGAGTGTCTATAAGGGATTGTTGAAAGGACTTCTGGAGAAGCGTATTTTAAGGTACCAACTGACTCAATGGAATTTTGACCTGGGCCTAGCATGCAGCTTAAGCCAAAATCAATGATTTTTACTCGAATACCTCCACCACCATTTGGAGCTCTTTGGACAAGGACATTTTCAAGCTTGATATCTCTATGAATTATTCCATGAGAATGCAAATATTGAAGAGCACTTGCGATTTCTTTTATTATTTGTTTATTCTCCCATCTTTAAAGTAGAACAAAAAAGATTTTCCCAATTTAAAGAAGGCCAAATTAATTTTCATGAAAAGCTAATTATAAAATTCACCGATTCATAATATTTATTTTGTTTTAATAATATTCTAAGTGTACTCATACATTTATAGAAGAAAAAGCTATCAGTAAATTTTTTTATTTTAGCAACATTAAATCAGTATCAAAATATTTCCATATAAAATTTAATTTATAAAAAATTTCAATATTTTCCAATTTAAAGGCATGCCAAAAAATCGAAATTGCCAAATATTTGTTCGATTTAAGGAGGAGAATTAGCTGCATTTTCCTCAATCCTGAAATTCCTTTTCTTCATCCAATTGAACAGAGTGCCTCCAGAAATATAATCGGTGACAATATAAAGCATATCAGCAGTCTCATAGATATCTTTAAGTTCTAAAAGACCTTCATGCTTACAAAGCTTGAGAATCCCAATTTCACGACGAAGACGAGTTTCAGCAAGATCGTCAAGAGGAGCTTTTGAAATAATTTTGACAGCGAAGATTTTCCCATTATGCTTAGATAGGGCAAGTCTTACGTCACCATGAGCTCCCTTTCCAATTTGATCAAGGATTTCATAGTCATCATAAAAATTTTTGAAACAATTAGCTTGCTTGATTGTTTGGATTCACTCGTCTCGTTGCTCAAGTGAGAATGTGCTGATTTCATAGCGGAATTTTGAGTTCCGAAGTACAAAGCCCAAAGGACCATTCTCTTCGACAAAGAGATCTTTAATAAGGATGATTCCAGTTGGGTTTGAAATATCTTCTTTGAGAGTTGAGTAATACAAGCTTTGGTTTTTCAGCTGAAAATAATAAGTTCTCCCTTTGAAACCTAGCATTCCTTCAGTGATTTCTAAGTGGGATTCACAGACAAGTCGATTGGGAAGTAAGCACTCATCAACGATTATTGGAAGCGCGTTTGAGATGCATTGAAGAACGAGCTCACCGATTTCACTATGAGTTAAAATTAATTCTTTAAACTCCTCCAATTGAATAAACTCTTTTCCATCAAAGAGCTCTTTTATTTTTTCTTTTAAATTTCAATGAACCACCAGCTTTTTTTGGCACTTTGAGCAAGTCGTCGGAAGGTAAGAAATTATAAAGAGGATTCCTTCTGATGTGATTTCGCCATTTTTACTAAAATCGAATATTTTGAATAATAGCTCAGCTTTACTCTCTATTGTCCCTTTATAAAGAGTCAGCATGCCTCTTAAGAATTCTTTTATATCAATTCGGCCATCTCCATTCCTGTCTAAAGCACTGAAAAGTTGCTCACCTAACAGCCCTGGGAGCTCAGTAAATCGTAAAAATCCGTCTCTATCTATGCCAGGATCAAGAAGGGCACATCGGCTAGAAAGCTCTTTGAAGATTTTTTTGAGCCTTCTGCGCTCTCTTTTGTTGCCTTCCTTTGCAGATAACTTTTGAATAGCGCATTTTGTTAATAATGCGGAAGCCGTACGACACATATTTATTAATGGTTATTACTTTAATTATAAATGCTTTATTATTATAAAAATAAATTAAAATCAGAATTTGTGAATTTAAAGTAAATTCGAATTTTCCAGAAAATTAGAAGGCTTATTATAATTAATTAGATTAACACTAAAACGCATAATAAATGGAAAATGATTCTGGATTTAATAAAGTATTTGTTGACAGAAAATAATTTTTCTGAACAGCTTTACTTTTATAAATAGGAGTGGTTAGGCAGTTTGATTCATAAAATTTTGACTTCTATTCTGAGTAATAGGCTGATTTTTACTTAATTCTAAAATTGATTTTTAATTAAGTTATCCTGAAAATTGAGAAAATTTTTTTTGGTCTCACAAAAAATAATTGTTAAGATATTAAATTTCAGAAATTTGGAAATTTAATTTTAATAAGAACTAATTATAAAATTTAAAAGAACATCCTGAAGAAGTACTTGTATAAATTAGCGAAACTAATTACTCGCCAGAAAAAATGACATAAGACTAATCATGTCAAGATCATTACCCAAGAGCAGAATTTGATAATATTCTATTAAAAAATAAATCTGTTCATTAATGATTTTAAAGATGAATGACTATTACGCCAGATAGTTATTAATATACATTCTTTTGGCAGATATATGCCAAAAACAAATACAAACCTACACCCTCATCCTCTTATTTGCACCCCACTTCCAATCTTTTTCTTAAATTGTATCCCTTGCATCTCTTTTTGATAAGCAAGGTTAAGATTGCAATATTTTTAAAGTAAAAAATAATCTTTTATTTTGTCCTTAAAGTTTATGTCACTGTATGATTGTTTAATTTTTCTTAAAATGGCAAGAATTAGTTGACAAATATTGAGCAATATCCTAAACCCAATAATCATTTATAAGCATTTAGTTTAAAAAAATATTTATCGGTTCTTTCCAAAATACCTATCATTTTTTTTAAATTATTTTTTACTTATTTTACTTCTAGGTTTCAATATTCAGTTTGGTCGAATACTTGATATTAGCAATGACCTCCAAGCCTAATTACTAAATTAATAAAATGAGAAATAATCCTGAGTCAAAATACTATGAAGTCCAAGAAAATACTTTGAATGCCTTTCATAAGTGTAGAACAGACGATCTAACGAATCAATTTTTCCGAAGAAATCCAAGATCAAGGGCAAATTCATCAATCTCGAATTTAGATATAATTGATATAGAAAATGCATCTCGTAATGATAGCAGGCGGTCCTCTGGAAATTTTTTGCAAGTAATTCATGATTCAAGCCAGCAAGCTTCATTTTCTGAAGTCTCAAGAGAGGATTTTCATAAGCAGATAACTGCATTAGAGCAATCCTTTCACAAGCAATTTCATAAAGAATTTACACAAAATCTATTCACATCGATGGAAACACTTAGGACTTTAAAATCATTAGCAATGAACCCGGACAACATGAACTTTGATGATCAAGCATTATTAAAAGGATATATAAAAATACGCGAACAGAATCCGTTTGAATATATTGAAAACATTCGTGATAAGTTTCCATTAATTCTTTTAAGAAAAGCGCTGCTACGTATTAAAGCTTCAATTGCTCAGCTTTGTAATATAATCGTCTCAAACCCAATTTTCGAAGTTTTAATTGTACTCGTAATATTATCAAATGCAGTGGTTTTAGCAGTCGAAAATCCCATTTCAAATAACAATTCTTCAATCCTAACTACGATGGATACTTTATTCCTATATATCTATACATCTGAATGCGCTATGAAATTAATCGGAAAAGGAGTTATTTTTACAAAAGAGGCTTATTTTAAAGACCCGTGAAATATCCTTGACTTCGTTATTGTTGCTACGGCTTGGGCATCATATTATGCGAATCAAGGAGTAAATTTGAGCGCTTTGCGATCTCTCAGAATTTTGCGTCCTTTGAAGACAATTTCTTCAATTCAGGGTTTACGAGTTCTATTTTTAGCTTTTTTTGGGTCTCTACTCCCTCTTCTGAATATTTTGGCTATTCTATTCTTTTTTCTTTTGATATTTGCGATTGGCGGGGTGCAGCTATTTATGGGATTATTTAAATACTCATGCATAAATTCAGAAACAGGGCAATACCTATATCCAAAAAGCACTGAGCAAGTATGTGGGGCTCTAACATGTCCTTTAGGCTATTATTGTGTAAATAGTTTGAACAACCCTCTTTATGGTATGATGAATTTTGATAATGTGATATTTTCTTGATTGCAATGCTTTACTGCAATAACAGAGGAAAGCTGAGCTCATATGATGATCATTGGAGAAAAATCACTGTCACAGCCAATATCAATTATTTTTTTTGTGTCTTTGGTTTCACATAATAAAACGGTTACGTACGTAAGTGCTTGTTTGTGACAAAAATTCATTCTCTGTGATATTTATTATTATAGGGTTCAGTTTTTAAACGTCACCTTTATCCACAAACCAATATGGGACTACTGCATAGGGTAGCTTATTGACCCAAAGAACAAATGAGACTTATACCCGAGGAGGGTGACCTTTAGGTGGAATACCCGCTGGAGTCAGTTTTGGTTAGGCCAAACGCAGCCTGTGAAGAGCATCTGCCCTTTATCATTTTCTGGAATGCTTGCTAGAAAAGATGGCTGCTGACGTCGCCACTTGGAATCTAACAGGGGCTTTTCTTCCTGCTGAAGAGGGAAAAATGCATAAATTTAAATAATTAAGCAATTGTCTTTGGTTCACTAGGAAGTTTTTTAATGCTTAGCTTAATAGAAGTTATTTTATATTCGAATTTTTCTCGTGAAATGGAAAAGGTTAGGGTTAAACAGTCAGCAAAAGAAATTATAGAGGAAGAATCAGCTGACTCTTCTGTGATAGAAAATTTAGGCATTGGTCAAGATTCACCTCTTATAATTGATGAGGAAAATGGGTTTCCCGAGCATATAGTAAACGATCCTGGAGATAGCTTATTTTATAAAAATCCAGGAAATAATGAAGAAAATAAAAATATTGTGAAAAATGAAGGATATCAGGGGCTTGCAGATGACGAACATAAAAATGAAACATTTGGACCATCAGTCCACGATCCTATGTCAAAAAGCTTAAAAATCAATCTTAACTTGGTGGAGACTTTTTATTAAAATGGCAAGAGCTTTTATCCACGTCTCCAGTGGCTGGCCTTAGTCTGAAGATTTTGGGAATACATTTTGGGTAGATTGTGGGTTTTTAGTTGCCTTTTAAAGGCAGCATATTGATCCTTCAGAATTATTAGTTGTGCTCCATCATATTGTCTTGTGATTTGAGGTAAACAGCTTAGGCTAGCTCTAGAACGAGGAAATAGGTGATTCTTGCATTCTAAGCACTATCAGGGTTAATGATAGTACTTTGTCATACAATCTGATCCAGCAGGATTAGGCTTGTCTCCCGACTAGACTGTTGATGCTACCATTTTTCATGCATTGAGAAAAAAGAGTGCAAGAGTAAGCTGGTGGCTAATTCCACTTCGAGCCCGAAGCAAGCAAGGCGGAAAAAGGCTGAAATAATTCTCCAAGATCCACTCTAGCTTTAAATTAATCTATTTAACTTGGTAGAAGATTTAAGTAACGAAGAAATCTCCCAAGAAATAGATGAGCCTAATGAAAATGAACTAGTACCTTTATCAAGGCATCAAAGTATTGACGCATCTCCTCGAAGTTCTCACGAATATGAAGAAAGAAATGTAAAAGGGCTTATCCAGCTAAGATTAATTCCAACCCGAAGAGAGAGCATTAATTTTTTAAGGCAAAACTCTTCAATTGAAGACTATGAAAGCTCTGTGAGCCTAAGCAAGCTCCCATTATTAAACCAAAGTGTTGAAAACACTGTTTTAGTTACAGATTCAAAAGATAAAACAATAGTCAATGACAATAAAACAGACTATGATAAAAGGAGGTCAATTACTACCAAAATTAGTTCTTTGGCAACAAATAATATTAGGGAACAACGAAGAACTTCAGTTGACAGCACAGTTTTTCCAATGATTAATAGAGTAAAAAATATCAAAATAAGAAAGGATTTGCTTCGACGAATGAAGCATGGCGAGCATCGAGCCAAAGTAAAAATTTCAGTTGATGAGCATTATGAAGTGGAGATGACGTCATTGAATGATGTAATTCCAAAAGAACCCAAAAAATCAACTCACCAGAATCCTTTTGCTGTATATAGATTCTCGTATAGAGGGGGAAAAAATGTTTTAGCTGACTTAGAAAAATTAACCCAGCGCTGGGATAACAAGATTTGTGATATTTTAGATAAATACAAGAATAAAGGCGATAAAACAGAGATATTTAGATTTTTGTGTAAAAAATACAAAATTAAAGAATCTTTTTACATGGTCTCATTACATGTAGAAAAAATTGTTAAAAAAATTCGTGAGTATGATAGAATTACTCAAGACGTAAAAGGAGATTGATCAGGATATGATGTATATAAAGAAGGCCCGATTAAATCACAAGAATATAAAGATGAGCTTGATAAGATGAATTACATAATTTGGAGTTCCGGGATATGAGGGAAAATGCAGAAAATAAAATATCCTTTGTTTGTTCTAATGAAGAGCAAACTTTTTAATTTCATTATGGTGCTTTGTGTTGTTGCTAATACAGCAGTTTTGTCAAGCAATTATTATGGAATTGATGAAGGGACTGACGCTATTTTGACAAAATTTAATACTGCGTTTGCATATGTTTTTGTAGCTGATATGTTCTTGAAAGTAATTGGTCTTGGCATAAAAGAGTACTGCAGGGATAAAATGAATTATTTTGATGCAATAGTAAGCATTTTTGGGTTGCTTGAAATAATATTCTCGAGCTCTGGGTCAACAATTAGTGTGCTAAGGGCAATAAAAGTGTTGAGGAATTTGCGAGTAATAAGAGTTGTTAGAATGTTTAGATATTTACAATCAATGTCACATATAATTAACAAGCTCTCAAAAAATATCGGCAACTTATTTTATTTGCTGCTTTTTGTTATGCTTTTTTTATTGATTTTTACTATCATTGGGATCCAAATTTTTTCAGGGAAGCTTAATTTTAAAGAAAACTACTACAAATATAATTTCGATAATTTCCATTTTTCTTTTTTATCAATTTTTCAAATAATGACAGAAGAAAACTGGAATATAATTGAAGTCGCTGTAATGCGCTCTCAGCAAGGATATATTTCAGTTATATTTCCTTGCATATGACTAGTGTTAGGAAATTATATCCTACTTAATTTATTTTTGGCGCTTGTGCTAGAAATGTTTGCAAATGAAGAACCTGACGATTATCTATCGACAGTGCACTTATCGCCTGCTAATTCAAAGAGCAAAAGCTTTTTGTCTTCGATTTCGTCAAGGACTAAAAAGAGGAAAGAGCAAAAAATGAAAATGATTGAGGCATTAAATCTAAGTGAGAGCGGAGAATGAAGCAAAACTTTGGAAGACTTGAGAAGAGCAAGTGTAAGGAGAAAGGAAAGAACTTTTTATGTTGGAATTGAATGCGAAAAAAGCTTTTATCTTTTTACCAAAACAAATCGATTCAGGCTATTTTGCCACAGATTATCAAGTAGTCAAAGTTTTGAAAATTTTATATTAGTTATGATATCTTTAAGCACAATTTCCTTGATTTGAGATACTTATTTAATTGATCTCCCAGAAAATGACCCAAAAGTCGAAGTTTCAGGTTTTTTTGATATAATTTTTATAACGGTATTTGGATTAGAAATGATAATAAAGCAGGTCTCAATGGGTGTCCTTTTTGATAAAGGGTCCTACTTAAGAAACTCTTGATGCCAATTAGATCTGTGCATTTTATTATTATCAATCACTGACCAATGTCTATCAACTGTAAATATTTCATTTATACGTGTTCTAAGACTTTTAAGAACTTTACGGCCATTGAGAATTATTAGTCATAATGTTTCAATGAAAATAATGATAAATGCCCTCGTAGAATCTTTAGTTTCTGTATTTAATGTAGCTATTGTCATGCTGGTTTGCTGATTGATTTTTGCCATCCTTGGTGTTTCTTTATTTGCTGGAACGCTGTACAGCTGTGAAAACCCTAATATCGAAAATCAAGTTGATTGTGAAAAAAACGGATATAACTGGACTGTCTTTGACTTTAACTTTGATAATGTTTTGGAAGCCATGGTTTCTTTATTTGTTTTAACTTCCCAAGAAAGTTGAACAGATTATATGTATGCTGGCTGCTCAGCTTATGAGCCAGGCCACGCTCCTATAGTTAATTATAATCCGGGCGCTGCTTATTATTTTGTAGTCCATATGTTTATTTCTTCAATATTTTTTATCAATTTATTATCTGGTGTAATTTTCGAAAAATTCAACGACGCCAAAAGAAATGAAAGCTCTTTAGCTGCGCTTATTTTAACAAAGGACCAAATGCTCTGACCCATCCCCTTTAAAATTAAAAGACATATAGCAAATTCTCCATTTTTTTGGATGAGAAAAAATTTTTTAGGTGAAAGTACTAATTTTTATAAATAGAATGCTATTTGAAGAGTTTTTACAATGAATAAATTAATTTATTTAATTAATTCTTCATATAATAATAAAATGGCTTCGGCGGATAGGGTAATTCACTCCGTGAATTCCCTCTCCTTCTCACCCGCTTTTATTATTATAGGGCTAGGTTTTTACACGTGGACTTCTGTACAAGGTGGTGTAAAATGGCGAGGACTTTTTATCTCGCCAGCCTTATACAGCGTGTTTTTTACCTCTTTCCCCTGCTGATATAAAAGGCAGGACCCTTAGGCCGAACAGGCGCTGGAGGAAGTCGGACAGAGCGAGGAAACGCGCCAAGCCGCTAGTATTTCCCGTACTCCTGAATTCCCAAACGACTTCACGGGGATTAGAAGGAGCGAGCCGTACGACTCGAGTACGCGAGTAGCGACAGGACGGAGAAAAAAATATGCCCTTGCGGCATTGTGCATCTAGGGGCCCAACTAGAGGTCGAGTTAAATTAAGTAATTAAGTAAGTAAGAATTAATTCTTCATAAATTTATATCTTGTACAATTTATATTTATTTTAAATTTAAAAAAAAAAAATTAAACCCCCATTAAATTGGCGCAGAATTTTGGTTCTAATTTAAACGGGAGAGTGAGTGGAAATTCAATCCTTAATAGCTCAATCAAAGCCTCAATTAGACACCCCACAAAAGCCCAAAAATAAATTTCAAATATTCTTTTACGTGATTTCAACACATTGGATTTTTGAATCATTCATTCTTGTTTGCATCATATTGAATTTCATACAAATGTCATTATATTACGATGAAGCCTCAGACACTTATAATTATGTGCTAGAAATATTTAACTTTATATTCACTTCTATTTTTATAGTAGAAGCAGTAATTAAAATATCAGGCTCAGGGATCAATTATTTCAAAGACAGGTGAAATAGATTTGATTTTCTAGTCGCTTGTGTTTCGATAGCGGATTTAATAATGGAATATATTGTGAATAATGGAAATAAGTATATGAAAATTGCTCCCCAGTTGGTAAGGGCATTAAGAGTTATAAGGGTAACACGAGTTATTAGGCTAATCAAAAGGTTCCAATCTCTTCAAGATTTAATTACGCTCTTGTCTTATTCGATCCCTTCTATTATGAACGTGACAGCAATATTGTTGCTTATTTATATAATTTATGCGATTTTAGGTGTTTATCTCTTCCATTCGATTGACAGTGGCCAAAATTTCGATTCTTACAATAACATGCACAATTTTGACAAAGCCTTGGTTAAACTATTTAGACACTCCACTGGTGAAGACTGGCCATTAGCTATGTTTGATTGTGCTCACTCTTCAGGTAAAATTGTATCATATTTGTATTGGATATCCTTTATTTCTTTAACAACATTTATTCTTTTGAATGTTTTTGTGATGGTGATTATCCAAAATTACAATGATTTTAAAACTGATGCTAAAAGTGTAGTTGCGATATTTAATAATGATGTAAAAATTTTTAAGAAAATTTGATCATTATTGACAGTTACAGATTTAGGGTTAAGAATGCACTATAAATTTTTAGTTGAGTTTATGTATAGGCTAGGCGAAGAATTAGGAGTTCCTATGTATTACCCACATGAAAAAGTCATTAAATTATTATCAATTATGGATTTAGATATAGATGCTGATGGATATGTATATTACAACGATATGCTCTTTGCTGTCATGAAAAGAAAGCACACAAGAGAATTAATTAAAAATTTGGATGAAAGATCTAGAAAATTGATAAGAAAAGAAGAAAATTCAACATGGAAAAAATTAAGCCAAATAAAAGAAAAATCAATGTCTCATTTTTATAGTGAAGCTCATGTAAGAAATATATAGAAAAACAAGCTGAAAAAAATGAAAAAGACAAACCTGTTTTTTGCCATGATTTATGCAAAAAGTGTGTTTAAAAGCTGAAAAAACTATACTATGAAAAAAAGAAATAAAATATCCGGATCGGTTAGTATTACACCATTGTTTTCAGAAGTAGTGTATCCTGGAGAAAATTCTATAAGCTCTATTAATGATCTTACTCCCCCCCCCCCTCCGTGAGCGAACAAAAAAATTTTGTTCACTCACGGAGGGGGGTTAATTTTTTTTTTAAAAACAATTTATATATAAATTTTATAAAAAATATTTTTTTCGAAAATTTAAAAAAAATCCTAATTTGCAAAAATTGGGAAGCAAATATTAATTTAATTTGCAAAATTTATGTTTTTAAAACGCAATTTGTTTAAAATTAAACAGAATTAGCTCTAGATTTCATTATACTAATTATCACTTATATAGCAAAATTTTTTTCTATTAAAATTTTTTCTATTAAAAATATTTTTGTTCACTCACGGAGGGTGGGTTTTTGGTCAAAAAATGGCGATTTTTCTAATGGTTTTGTTCGCTCACGGAGGGGGGGGGGAGTTAGTAGCGAGGATAATCAAATAGGCAACATAGGAGAATAAAATGAAGCGTTAGAATTAAATGTAAATCGTAATTAAAATATGTATTATAATAAATATTTGTTTAATGCTATTTTTTAAATAAGAAATTCACCCCTATAAAAATTTACTTAAAGCGTTTTGCCCTGCCAAATATTGACTAAATCCTAATCATTAATCTTAATTTATATTAATTTTTATCCAAAATCTTAGTATTTGTAGCCAACTCTTGAGCCTAAAAAATTATGCTTTGCAAAATTAAAAATAATTCGAATAAGCTAATAAGTTACCTAATTTAAATAATATATCATCCTTTAGTTATAATGGAAAGAACTATTAGTCCTTACTCCCATATGTCTGAGCTCGAATCTGAGGAGATTTCTGGAGACTATTATAAGGCAAACGAGAAAAGACCCTCTGAAAAATCAAAAAATGTAAATAAACTTCGCAAAGTTCCAAATGACGGAGATTATCGTAACGATACTTTTTCATCAGCCTACTCAAGCAGGCCTTCCACAACTCAATTCCAAGCCCTTGTTTTGGATTCAAGCTTTAATGAAACGATTTATACTCCAAAGCGCCAGAGCATTGAGCCGTGCGCACTACACCGTTCCTTTCTAGAGCGAATTGACGAGGATAATGGATTAAACAAAAAGCTTTTTTCAGCTTCGAACACTTTTCGAAGCTTTAAAACTTTATCTATAAACCAGCCAGAAGTAAATACTCATGATCCTGAGCTATTAAAAGGATATATTAGGATTCGTGAGCTAACACCTTTTGAAGTTATTGAAGATATGAATGACGATTTTCCCTGACTTGATCTCAGAAAAGCATTTTTGCGTGTCTGCTACGCGATTTCTCAATTTTGCTTGCACATTGTATCAAATCCTGCATTTGATATATAGAATTTTCCCATAGATGGCGCTGTTTGCCTTTGATTTGCCCACTGGGAAAATTTTTTTGGTTCGACCAGTGCCATATGGTTTGGTCAAACCAAAAAAATTTCCTCATAGGCAAATCAAGGGCAAACAGCGCCATCTATGGGAAAATTCTATAATAATTCTGTGCTTTATTTTTGCCAATACAATTGTTTTGTCAATTGAAGACCCATCAGCGAATATTCAGCCACCCTCTTTGGCTGCATTAGACAGCATTTTTTTATATGTATATACAGCAGAAGCTGGGCTGAAAATTTTAGCATATGGATTTATATTTAACAAAGGAGCTTATATTAGGGATCCCTGAAACATACTTGACGCTCTTATTATTAGCACTGCTTGAGCCTCGATGCACGCAACGACGTCAATTAATTTGAATGCATTGCGTTCCCTGAGAATTCTTAGGCCATTGAAGAGTATTTCTTCTCTCCCTGGACTGAGAGTCCTAGTTTTGGCCTTACTGAAGTCTATTTTGCCTTTGTCAAATATTATATTAATACTGTTTTTTGTCCTGCTTATATTTGGGATCATTGGGAACCAGCTTTTTGGTGGGCTGTTTAAGTATCAGTGTATGGACTTGGAGACTGGGAGATTTCATATGGCGCCAGGGGATGACGAAGTCTGTGGAAGCAGGTCTTGCCCTTGAGGATATGAATGTGTGAAGAGCTTGAATAACCCTGTCTATGGAAAAATCAACTTTGACAACGCTTTGATAGGACTTCTGCAATGCTACACTTCAATTAGTGAAGAAGGATGGACTCAAATTATGATAATGGGCGAAAAAGCTTTCAACCAGCCAATCGCTGTCATTTTTTCAATCTCACTTATTTTTATTGGCACTTTTTTGCTACTGAATATTATGGAGGTCGTCTTGTATTCGAATTTTTCGAAGGAAATGGACAACTTGAGGCTGGAACAAAAAAAAGGAAATATCATTGAAGAAGAATCAGCCGGCTCTAGTCTAATAGAAAACTTAGTCAGAGACCATGACTCATTTGAACAAGGGATCAATAACTGCATAAATGCTGACAAGACTGGATCTGAACTAGGCGTAAACTCAGATGAGATTTACAAATATAAAAACCCAGAAACTAACAGATCACAGCTTGAAGATGACAAAATTTTATTTTCCAGCAACAAAAAACTAAAAATGCATGGGATTTATAAGCAAGCCAAGCTCAGCATGAGAAATAAAGTCACTGAGTTTTTTGAAGTCTTTAACTCTATGGACAGCAGCATCAAGCTTAACGATGAAGATTTGCTTGTTAAAGATCTCGATGAAAGCTTGCCATCTCCAAAGTGAGATAAATCTAAGAGAGAAAGTGCAGGAGAGCAAAACACTTCAATAAATCATGGGGAAGAAATCTTTTTAAAAGCTGGAGCTGCTGCTCCTCCCAAGCCAAGCATCGGAAACTCTCCTTCAGCAACCTATGAAACTAAGCAGGAAAGTTTTTCCAAAAAAGACTCAGTGCTCTCAAGAATGGCTTCTCTTTTTAAAAACTCTACAAAAAGAGAAACTGCTTCCAAAGTTTCTGAAAAAGCTATTTCGCCTATATTGACAAGAGTAAAGAATGTGAAAATGGTTCATGCAATTTAAGTAAATTATGGAGTGAGGTCTTTACTCCCCTCCTGAAGTCAGAAAGCGGATGAACCTTTCCTATAGGAGGTCTTTGGTAGCTTTGCTACCAATATGGCTAACGTCTGGCTTTAAATAGCCTAGCCTAACCTACATGTCAAATTTTGCAGTAAACATTAAAATGATTACTATTTTTTTCTTAAAATTACTATTAAAATTATACATAATATTTTTTTGGGTTACCTGCATGCTAATCTAATAAATTCCACAGCTCTATACAATTATAAGTTCTATCATATTCGGTGTCTCTAAAGACCTCCTCCACAATTTACTTAAATTGCATGAATCTGTGAAAATTAGAAAAGACCTGGCACAGAAGCTGAAACATGTGAAGGAAACTACCAAAATAAAAGTCTGCATTGAAGAAAATCATGAAATAACGTCAAATTCTATACGTGATGTATTTCCTGAAGATTTTATTTCTCATGATAGAATTCACATCGAGTCATTGTATGAGTATAGGTTCACCTATAGGGGGGGAAAAGATGTCCTTTCCAATTTGGAAAAACTAACCCAAACATGGGACAACAAAGTGTCTGATGTTCTTGACAAGTATAGCGAAAAAGGGGATAGAAATGAAATTTTCAGGTATTTGTGCAGCAAACTAAAAATTAGGGTGGCATTCTATATGACGACAATTGAGGTCCCAAAAATTATTAAGGCTATCAAAGAGCAGGATAAATGGTGAAGGACATTTGATCAAAACATTTCCCTTGTGAAATTTACTTGGGATTACTCGAAATTTTTTCCTCTCTGAGACATTTGCTCTTTAAAAAAATCTAATGATTCATTATATATCTTGACGGAAAAAGTTCGACTAAAATCTCTGAAGGTGTCAAATGAGGAAAATGTTATAACCAAATAACATTTAGCCTGATAAAGTAACAAAAAACGTGGTTGGGGATTGGTCAGGGTATGATGTAAATACCAATGATGGATTAAAAACGCATGAATACAAAGAACAAATGGACACTATGACCTATAAACTATGAAGCAACGGTTTCATTGGGAACTGGCAGAGACTGGTGCACCCTTTTAAACGAATTGTGAGACACAGGCGCTTCAATTATGCCATGATCCTATGCGTTATAGCAAACACAATTACTTTATCAATAAACCATTATGGGATTGATTCAGAAACAGACACAATATTGACGATCATAAACTCGATTTTTACTTTCACTTTTGTAGGAGAAATGACCTTAAAGATCTTAGCACTTGGCTTGATAAGCTACTGCAGAGAAGCCATGAACCTATTTGATGGGTCAATCACTATTCTTGGCCTAATTGAGTTTTTATTTTTATCAGACACAGGGAACTCATTCCAAGCCCTCAGAGCAATCAGAATTTTAAGGATTTTTCGAGTAGTTCGCGTCCTAAGGCTTTTCAGATATCTCCAAACAATGACACACATCATAAAAAAGCTTCAAAAAAACATCATGAACTTTTTCTACCTAATCATTTTCCTATCACTTTTTATCCTGATTTTTACCATTGTAGGACTACAATTATACTCAGGAAAGCTTAATTTTACTGAAGCTCACAATCAATATAACTGGAACAATTTTTATTTCTCTTTCCTTACCACTTTCCAAATCATGACTGAAGAAAACTGAAACAACGAGGTCTACCTCACTATGAGGTCCACATATGGATATGTTGGGGCTTTATTCCCTTCTATTTGGATTATGGTAGGGAACTATATTTTACTGAATATTTTTCTAGCTTTAGTTCTTGATATTTTTTCAACTGAAGAAGAGGATCTGAGCTGACAAACGACAGGGTCATACACAAATGAGAGCAGGAGGGAAAGCATTTTTTCAATTTCGTCAAGGATTAAAAAGAAAAAGGAGCAGAAGCTTAAGATTTTGGAGGATCTAAGCGAAATTGAGAGTGAGAGTGAAAGCGAAAGCGAAAATGAGAATAGCAATTTGAATGAAGAAGAAAGGAAAAGGAGCCTTGATGAACTGAAGCGGCAAAGCGAGATGAAGAAAATAAAGACTATGTTTGTAGGAATTGATTGTGAGAGAAGCTTTTTTGTATTGTCTAAGCAAAATAAAATAAGGAAGCTGTGCTATACTCTGACGAGCAGTCCGAAATATGAAGCTTTAGTTTTGGTTGTAATTATTGTAAGCACGCTGAAGTTAATATGGGACACTTATCTGTTAGACTTGCCTTCAGATTCCACTGAAATTGTTGTGTCTACTTATTTTGATCTTGTATTTACTGTGATTTTTGGAGTAGAAATGGTTATAAAATCAATATCAATGGGTTTTTTGTTTTCTAAAGGATCATATCTTAGGGACAGCTGATGCCAGCTTGATTTTATTATTGTAGTTCTATCAGTTATCGATCAAGCATTGACATCTGTGAACATCCCAGTTATCAAAGTGCTGAGGCTGCTTAGAATTCTAAGACCATTAAGGATTATCAGTCACAATCTTCAAATGAAAATTATGATTAATGCTCTAATAGAGTCCTTGATCTCAGTTTTTAACGTTTCTGCAGCCATTCTTCTCCTTTGGCTGATTTTTTCGATTTTAGGAGTATCACTTTTTGGAGGGAAGCTCTATAGTTGCTCTAATTCCAGCATCAATAACAGAGCAGACTGCGAAAAATTAGGCTATACTTGGGATGTCATGGATTTTAACTTCGATGACGTTCCTAACGGAATGGTTGACTCCTTTATCCTAACAACACAAGAAGGTTGACCTGACTGAATGTACCAAACATGTGCAGCATATAAAACTGACCATGCCCCAATTTCTGGATACTACCCAAGCGCAGCAATATATTTTATCATCCATATGTCCTTATCTTCTATTTTTTTCATCAATCTACTAATTGGTGTTATGTTCGAAAAATTCGCTGAAGCCAAAAAAAACGAGAGTTCAATAGCAGCGCTCGTTTTATCTAAAGAACAGATGGTATGGGTCGAAATCCAGTCTTTAATTGCCCAATCAAAACCTCAGATTGACCAATCTAAAAAGCCTGAAAATAATTTCCAAAAATTTTTCTATGCAATTCAAGACCATTGGTCGTTTAAAATATTTATTAGCATTTGCATTGGGTGTAATTTTATTTTGATGTGCATGTATTATGATCAAGCTTCTGCAGAGTACACAAGTGTGCTTGAAAATTTTAACTCAGCATTTACTTATATATTTATTGCTGAAGGTGCTGTTAAAATTACAGGTATGGGGTATTTATATTTTTATGACGGGTGGAACCGGTTTGATTTTTTTGTAATTATTGCTTCTATTATAGACTTGATTTTTACCTATATAATTACATCAGGGATCCCTCTTTTAAAAACAGCGCCGCAGCTGATAAGAACGATAAGAGTTTTAAGGGTGACAAGGGTCATAAGGCTGGTAAAACAGTTCAACACTTTGCAAGAATTGATCACTTTGGTTTCTTATTCAATTCCTTCAATTTTGAATGTATCATCGATTTTGCTGCTAATTTATGTGATTTATGCAGTCCTTGGGGTTTACCTTTATCATTCTATTGATTCAGGGAATAATTTCAGCTCTTACGACAACATGAATAATTTTGGAAGAGCAATCATAAAGTTGTTTAAGCATTCAACAGGAGAAAACTGACCAGATGCTATGTTTGACTGTGCTAAATCATCAAGTGGTAGGGTTATAGCTTATTTGTATTGATGTACCTTTATATCTGCTACCACTTTCGTCCTGCTCAATGTGTTCGTTATGGTTATTTTGCAAGACTATGAAGATTTCGCAAATGACGCTCAAAGTGGTGTGATTATTTTTAATAAAGATGTCAAGCAGTTTAAAACTGCTTGGGCAACATACTCAGCTACAAGCCAAGGATTGAGAATCCATTACAAATTTTTAGTTGAATTAATGTATTCATTAGGACCAGAACTTGGCGTACCATCAGATACTCCACATGAAAGGGTAGTCAAGCTACTGTCTATTATGGAGCTACATATAGATGATGAAGGGTATATTTATTATAACGACATGCTTTTTTCTGTTATGAAAAGGAAGCATGCAAAGGATTTAGCAAAACATCTTGATGCAAAGTCACAAAAATTGATAAGAAAAGAAGAGCATCAGACTAGTAAAAGATTGCAGCAAATGAGGGAAAAAATATCAATGAATTTCTACTCTGAAATGAGGACAAATAGCCAAGTGAAGATGAAAGGTAAAACTAACTTGTTTTTTGCGATGATTTATGCGAAAACTGTATTTAGAAGCTGAAGAAGATGGACTAAATCTGCCTTTTGATTATGAGAAAAACATTAGAAAAATCCCTAGTTTCGAAAATGACCAACGATTTTTATGCAAAAAAATATTTTGAGATGTGCAATGGTTAAAGTTACAAATCTTCGACTATTTCTATTAATGTACAGAAAGATATGCGCTAAAGCATAATTTTACAAGCTAAGTTATATTTACTTTCAAATATTTACAAAATTTTTAATATGAAAAAAATTATATCCTTCATTGAAGAATAAAAACTTGACCACTAGCAAGGGAGGATAAGAAGAAAAAAGAGGATGCTAATAAATCAGGCGATCTTAGCATTACACCAAGGTTCTCAGACGTCGAGTTCCCAGGAGATAATTCTTTATTGTCATCTGAAGCTGAGATTATATAGTAATTTTAAATATTTAACCGAATAAGGTTGAAACTTAATTTAAATGCATTTTTTTAAAAATGTTAACTCTCCCCCCCCCCGTGAGTGAACAAAACCATTAGAAAAATCGCTATTTTTTGCCAAAAAAAACCCACCCCTCCGTGAGTGAACAAAATTTTTTTTAATACAAAAAATTTTTATGGAAAAAAAATTTGATATATAAATGATAATTAGCATAATGAAATCTAGAGCTAATTCTGTTTAATTTTAAACGAATTGCTTTTTAAAAACATAAATTTTACAAAAAAATTAATATTTGCTTTCCAATTTTTGCAAATTCGATTTTTTTTAATTTTCGAAAAAAAAATATTTTTTATAAAATTTATATATAAAGTTTTAAAAAAAAAAAAATTAACCCCCCTCCGTGAGTGAACAAAATTTTTTGTTCACTCACGGAGGGGGGGGAGTAAGACAAATATTAATTTAGGGTAAATATAATGAAAGATCAGTTTAATCCTAGTTTTAAGGTTCAGTATATGGAGAAAAAACACAATTTTCAGCACTTCGCAGAATTACCTCCTATAAAGCATAAAAGCCGCTTAAAGTATTATAGCTCAGAAAAATACTCAAATCCAGATGATGATAGCATGAAGTTTCATAATGAAATGTCACAGTAAAGCGTCTGCGCCTCTATAGAATGCTTTGGCGCTGGGTTTTCCACAGCAACTTGTAGCTCTGACTAGCCGCCTAAAGGTGACAAGTCAACTCAAAGCTAACAAAAGCACATCATTTGAATAATCTGTCAACTTTGACACTGGCTTGCCGCCTTTAGGAGGCACGTCAGAGCTCAAAGTTGCTGTGGAAAACCAAGCGTAAGGTACACTATAGCAATGCAGACTCTACATCTAATGTCAGAGCAAACCCCTAGCAACTCGATATCTAGCTTATCTTTTGAAATCCGAAAAGCAAACCCTGAGGCTTTAAACATGTCTTTTCACGAAAGAATTGACAACGAGCTGTATAGTCTGAGCAACCATATTGCTTCTTTTATTTTAATAGAGATTTGAGGCTAAACTAGCTTTATTTGTCAATCTAACTCTCCAAATAGCAAATTTCTATTATAAAGTGAGCTTGCTATTTGGAGAGTTTCTCAATATTCAGGAGCCATATGATACGCAAACTATAAACTGATTAGAAAGGCTGATTTATAAGGTGGCTCAAGCTATACCATGCAAAATTTTCTGAAACAAAGTTTAAAAGTCTGAAGTCATTAATTTTACTCAAACCTAGAGAAGAAACTGATGACACAGAGTTGCTCCAAGGATACATGAGGATTCGTGAATGAACAAAGTTTGAAGAAATTGAAGCAATTAATACTAAAAATCCATTTTCAGATACAAGGAAAGCATTTTTACGAATAAAATGAGCTCTAATAGAACTTTGTCGAAAAATTGTAAAAAGTTCAATTTTTGATGCAATTATTTTGTGTTTTATTATTGCAAATACTGTTATTATAGCTATAGAAGACCCGGACACGTCTGATGAATCTAGTATTTTGAATAATCTAGATGATATATTCTTATATGTTTACACAGCAGAATTTGGTTTAAAAATCATAGCTTATGGTGTCGTGATTTCTAAGGGTTCATATTTTAGAGACCCATGGAATATTTTTGATTTTATTATATTAGTTACAGCTTGACTCGCAAATATTTACTCAAGCAGCTTCAATTTTAACGCTTTGCGCTCTTTAAGAATTCTCCGACCTTTAAAAAGCATTTCTTCTTTAAAGGATTTAAGAATTTTAGTTTCAGCGCTATTTCAATCTATAGTCCCGATTGCAAATGCACTAATGATGCTGTTTTTCGTGCTTTTAATTTATGCAATAATAGGAAACCAGCTGTTTGGAGGATTATTCAAATATAAATGTATGGATTTGGAAACAGGAAAATTCCCAAGTGCTCCCGGAAGTGATAGTGTCTGTGGAGGGGTGCAGACTCAATGATCGTGAACCTTTGATAGTGTACATTTTACCGGAAAATTTAGACCAAAATTTTGAATAGTTAGCCAAAATATAACGGTTTTTCGGTCAAATGTCTATATATTAGAAAATTTCGAACAAATAGCCCTAGGAAATCTAGGAAATGTTGCACTATAAAAAAATAAACGATCATTGGTATGAAGCTTCTGTGGAGATCTAGGGTGTCCAGATGGATTTGTATGTGTGAAAAGCTTAGATAACCCTGTCTATGGAAAAATCAACTATGACAATGTTTTAATTGGAGCTTTGCAATGCTTTACTTCTGTGAGTCTGGAAGGATGAAGCACAATTATGAAAATTGGTGAAAAGACATTGAATAAGCCAACATCTATTATTTTTTCAATAACACTGATATTTATTGGAGCCTTTATGATGCTGAATATCATGGAGGTCATTTTGATATCGAATTTGTCAAAGGAAATGGATAAATCTCGTGCTAAGCAAAAAGAACGTGATCTTATCGAAGAAGAGCTTGCAGATAGCTCTGTGCTCGACAACTTAATACAAATCTCTAACTCGCAGACGTCTAGCAAGTACCAACTAATGAAGGATTTATTGATTTTTAAATATATATGTATAAATATTAATTATGTTGAGAATTTAATTAAATCTAAATTTTTTGAAATGAAATAATATAAATATTTAATGTAATTTGATCAATTTTTATGATTATAACATTAATTATATATATTAAAGTTATTTTATACAAAAAAAATTCGAAAAATGTTGCTTGCTATTTAATAGCGGAGTGAGGAAGATGATGAGAATTGAAAAGAGAGTTTTGAATTTAAGTATAATAACAGTGAAAACTCAAAGAAATATAGAGGTTATACAGATAGCAGCCTGATCAGAGATTCATTTAAAACTTCTGTAAGAGCCAATATTATAAAGCCACCATACAGAATGCATGAAATTTTTAAAAATGCAGAAATTATTGTAAGAAATTCGAACTTTACAGATCGATATGAGTTGATTGATTCTTCAGAAAATATGTCTGAACAGAACCAGGAAGGCAATATTACACCAAATGAAAGTTTGCCGACACCTGTTTTTGATTGAGAAAATTATAACTCCCCTTTAAATTGTAAGAAAAAATATTAGCAAAATTTTTATTTGTTTATTGTTTGAAATCAATAAAAATAATTTTTTATAAGAAAAATGCACATAGAATATTATTTGAAAAATTTTTACGCTTTATGAATTAATCTTTATAAAAATATGATTAAAATTTGGGAGTGCGATATTTAATTTATATTTTAAAAATTTTATGAGCATTACCTCCCTTTAAATTAGAACAGACTTTTTTGCTCCAATTTAAATAAGGAGTAAGCATAGAACTTCTTCCATCCAAACAAATCATGAATATAAAAGTATTGACGCATTAAAGCAAGATATTTCTGGAAAATTTGCAGATAATAGTTGGTTAGATTTCGAAAAAATAAATAAGCATACTTCATTTAGGTATAGAAGTTTCCTATGTTTGGCGCTGTAAGGCCGATAAATTCTGATCGGAATTTATCGGTAGGTTGCACCAAATCAATGCCTTGGTCGGACCAAAAAGCGATTTGGTCCGACGAACTTGGAAAGCTCCTGGGAAAATGTCTGCGCTTTTAGCGCTATATAGAGGAAACCTCTATATCAAATACCTTCCACAAATGTTTATGATAAAAAAGACAATGAAGGTGGCAATAAATCAAGTTTAATTTCTTGAGCGACTCCTAGAACGACTGCAAGAATTAAAAATTTGAAATTAACTCCCCTCCATCCTTGATCGAGTGACACCGTTGAAAAACCCTAAAAAATGAGAAAATGACACTTAACGACTTTCTTATTTCATCATAAAACCTATGTCCCAACCATTCTTAAGGTCTAGCTGCCTATCTTTGATATAAGCAAATTTAGAAATTATGTAAAAGTAATTTAATAAAAATTTTAAACTTAACCTAAAATCTCAATCAAGTGAAGACGATCGGTTCGATCAAGGATCAGCAGGATTAAGAAAAGATTTATTGGGTAAATTAAGAGACGTTAATGACAAGACAAAAATAAAAGCTTTTATAGAAGAATCTTATGAAATTCATTCAAATTCCTTTATTGATGGAGAGAATAAAAAATAGTGATGTCTATTGAAGATGGACTCTGATAAGCACTCGCTATTGAGAAGGTAAGACCTGTCCCGATGAAGCTGAAAATAGTGCCTCTGTCACTTTTTGAAGTAGGCTTTCAGGATTGGGGATGCTGAAGAGGGAATTTTTGTTCCTCTCCCGAAGGTTTTCCAATCCCTGCCAGACGGGCTTAGTCTTTGCCTATCGGGACTAGTTGTGAACCCTCAAGAGGTGGCTCTAACCTAGAGAGCTAATCCTTAGGCTAGGCGGGTTTACACCAAATAAGTAGGCTAGAGGTGCATCCGCTTGCCTTACAATTTTAACTTTAACTTTATTGATGTCATTCCAGTCATAAATAAATCATCCTATTCCAAACCTTCAAATAAGTACAGATTTTCTTATAGAAATAACAAAGACATATCATCATCAATTGAAAGTTTAACACAATCATGGGATAATAAAGTTTCTGATACCATAATGAGATACAGAGAAAAAGGAGATAGGTTTGATGTGTTTAAATATCTTTGCCAGAAGCATAAAATGAAAGCAGCCTTTCATATGACTGCAATAAAGGTCCCAAAAATAATTAAAAAAATCAAAGACAACGATTTTTCAGCACGAAATATAGTTGGAGACTGATCAGGATTCGATGTAAACTCAAAAAGTAAAATAAATAAAAGCATCGATATTGTTGAAAATATGAATTTTCGAATCTGAAGAAGAGGAATCTTCGGGATTTGAAACCAGCTAACCTTTCCCTTATTTCTCCTTGCAGGCAGCAAATATTTTAATTATTTTATGATATTCTGTATAATAGGCAATACTACAGTTTTATCTGTAAATTACTATGGGATTGATTCTGATACAAGTCTCATCTTGAATCAAATCAACACTGTTTTTACCATAATTTTTGTGTGTGAAATGGGGATAAAAATACTTGGACTTGGATTGATTAATTACTGCAAAGAAAAAATATAACTATTTAAATATATGAAATATTTATAGTAATTTTTTATTATTACGAATATAAATAATAGAAACCTTTAAGTTTAAGTTTATAATAACTATTCAAGTCCTGTACTTCTTGGCCTCAGCTTGAACTACAGCTCTGTATGGGGCGGGCCGGCCTAACTGTCGACATGTTTCTGTCCCTAAGCCCTTAAAACCTCTCTGATTTACCCAGACTCCGCGTAGACCCATATTCTTGAGCTGAGACTCAAAGAAGTTGTGGAATTCTCTACTGAGCTCGTGTGTAGGACCTGAGTCCTACCCCTAGCTGACATTTTTATTTGTTGATAGATACCTTAAATTTAAACTTAATTAAATTAATAAGAGAAGTCCCTGCAGCCATATTTTAATCAATACTCACCTTTGCAGAACGCTTTGCCGCTTGCTTGCCAGTCAGAAAATATCCTCTCACTGTGTTTTCCCTCACGGATAAGGCTTGTGCTCACTATCCGTGATTCAGAAATGCTGGGTTACCATCCGTGCGTAAACGGGATATACATTAATCTATCGTTTAGCGTTCACTACGAAGCTTATCGACCAGAGCTACCTCCAACATCATTCTGGGGCAAACTCCGCGCCATTTTCTCGGGCCTGCCAAAGGTGTGGCGTTGTCACCAAAGAGGACGCCAGTCTTGAAGTTTTGTGCCCAGCAAATTCAAAAAAAAGAATTTTTATCCCCTTTCAGCCAAACTGGATGCGCGCAGTCCAGGACTCATCGTCTGATATCTTGATGGAATAATCCAGATTAACCAATAGGAACGTCACTGATGTTTCTGGGCTTTCCCTATCCTACTCTGAGATCCATCTTCCCACAGGGTGAATCCTCCCTTCCACAAGGTCTCTGGTTTACGTCCGGCTACAGCTACAAAGAGAGCAAATTGCTATTCTCTTTATTTTTATATATAAATAACAGAAACCAGCAGGAATGTTTCTATTCTCATAAATAAGTATAAATTTATTTGACGCCTCTATTACAATTCTTGGGCTTGTTGATTTTCTTTTAATAACGGGCTCTGGTTCAGTCATTAGTGCAATCTGAGCGATTCGTGTATTTAGAATTTTTCGCGTTGTAAGAGTTGCTAGACTCTTCCGATACTTGCAAACAACAACACATATTATTGACAAAATTTCAAAAAATATTTACATGTTTTTCTATCTTACTATATTTCTCAGCTTATTTGTGATTATTTTCACGATACTAGGAGTGCAGCTTTTTTCAAATAAATTGGATTTTGCTGAGGCTCATAACCAATACAATTACAATAATTTATATTTTTCGTTTCTTTCTACCTTCCAAATTTTGACAGATGAAAATTGAAATAATGAGGAATATTTGACGATGAGATCTTCCTATGGATACCCAGGAACTCTTTTTCCAGCTGTATGGCTTATGCTTGGGAATGAAATCTTGCTTATTCCTCTTGGCTAGCGAGAAATCATTTTAAAACTCATTTTTGGAAGAATTGACAATATCTAAATAATCCTAGATTGTCTATGTTCTAAAATAATAAAAATTTTATAAATTAAATTATATTTTTCTACAAATTTTGAGTTTAAATAATTTATTAAAAAAATCTACTAGCAAGCAAAAAGTCTTATTTATTGGCGAAGGGAGTTAATATCTTTTTGGCTTTAGTTCTTGACATATTTTCTGTAGAAGATGAAAATTCTGAATCTTCAAGCTTAGATGGTAAATCAGGACTGACAAGCAAAAATGGGCTTTTTGAGTCAAGAAGTAGAAAGAAAAAAGAAAAAAGGCTCAAAGCTTTAGAAGAAGCCATAAATGGAGATTTTGAATTTGATGAAAACATATCATTAGAAGAAATAAAGCGTCAAAGCATGCTGAAAAAGCAAACCTCATATTTCACTGGAATTGAATGTCGTAATAGTTTTTTCATATTTTCTAACTCCCCCCCCCCCCCCTCCGTGAGCGAACAAAAAAATTTTGTTCACTCACGGAGGGGGGTTAATTTTTTTTTTTAAAAAAAATTTTATATATAAATTTTTAAAAAAAATATTTTTTTCGAAAATTAAAAAAATCCTAATTTGCAAAAATGGGGAAGCAAATATTAATTTAATTTGCAAAATTTATGTTTTTAAAACGCAATTTGTTTAAAATTAAACAGAATTAGCTCTAGATTTCATTATACTAATTATCACTTATATATCAAAATTTTTTTCCATTAAAATTTTTTCTATTAAAAAAATTTTTGTTCGCTCACGGAGGGTGGTTTTTGGTCAAAAAATGGTGATTTTTCTAATGGTTTTGTTCGCTCACGGAGGGGGGGGGGAGTAAAGAAAACAAATTCAGAAAAATTTGTTATTTCTTATCCTCAAATCCTACAATGGAAAAATGCATTCTTGCAATTATTCTGGTGAGCACTCTTAAACTGATATGGGACACATATTTGCTTGATTTTCCTTCTACTGATATTCGAATTGAGATATCTAACAATCTCGACACAGCTTTTACCTGTATTTTTGCATTCGAAATGATTATAAAATCTGTATCTATGGGTTTTATATTATCAAAAGGATCTTATCTTCGAGACAGATGATGCCAGCTTGACTTTATTATAGTCATTTTCTCGATTGTCGATTTGGCTTTGACAGATATCAGTTGGCCTGAAATTAAAGTCTTGAGGATTCTCAGAATTTTGAGACCATTGAGAATAATCAGTCATAATGTCCAGATGAAAATCATGCTCAATGCACTTATAGAATCCTTAATAGGAGTTATTAACGTATTTGGAGCAATATTGATCCTCTGGCTTGTTTTCTCTATCTTAGGTGTCTCATTATTTGCAGGAAAGCTTTACAGCTGCTCTAAGAGCAATATAAACAATAGGAATGAATGTGAAAATTATGGGTATAACTGGGATGCATATCATTTCAATTTTGATAACGTCATTGAAGCTATGGTAGATTCTTTTATATTAACTACTCAAGAAAGCTGGCCTGACTATATGTATGCAGCTTGTTCTGCATACAAAGATGGATATGCACCAATCTCTAACTACTACCCCAACGCAGCAATTTATTTTATCGTCCACCTCTGCTTGTCATCTGTGTTTTTTATGAACCTCTTCTCTGGTGTTGTTTTTGAAAAGTTCATTGAAGCCAAAAAGAACGAAAGCTCGTTGGCATCATTAATACTTTCCAAAGAGCAGATGGTATGGGTTGAAATTCAGTCCTTAATTACCCAATCAAAGCCTGAGCTTGATATTGCAAGTAAGCCAAAAAACAGATTCCAAGCACTCTTTTTTATCATTCAAAACCACTGGATCTTTGAATCTTTTATCATCCTCTGCATCATTTTAAACTTCTTTCTAATGTGCCTTTACTATGACCAAGCTTCTACACGTTACACTGACTCTCTTGAAGTCTGCAATATGATTTTTACATATATTTTTATAGGGGAGGGTGCGATAAAGCTGATAGGTTTAGGAAAAAATTATTTTAAAGATGGGTGGAATCGGTTTGACTTTTTTGTAGTTATATCATCTTGTGTTGATTTAGTTTTCAGCTATATGACTGTATCTATTGATCATGTATGAAGCAAAGCACCTCAGTTGATAAGAGCAATAAGAGTTTTAAGAGTTACAAGGGTGGTTAGACTTATAAAAAAGTTCAAGACTTTGCAAGATTTGATAACTTTGGTATCCTATTCTATTCCATCAATTTTAAACGTGTCTGCCATTTTATTATTGGTATATGTAATATATGCGGTATTAGGAGTTTACTTGTTTCATAGCATAAATTCAGGAGCTGTATTTGATGACTATAGTAATATGAGTAATTTTGATCAAGCCTTAGTAAAGCTATTTAAACATTCCACTGGGGAAAATTGGCCTGATGCGATGTATGACTGTGCTGATAGTGTTGGGAAAACTGTGTCTTATATTTACTGAATCTCTTTTATTGCTTTTACAACGTTTATTATGATCAATTTATTCGTTATGGTTATCCTTCAGGATTATGAAGACTTCGCTAATGATGCAGAAAGCGGGGTTATTCTATTCAATAAAGACGTAAAAAAGTTTAAAAATGCGTGGGCTGTATATTCTGCTGAAAGTCATGGCAAAAGAATCCATTACAAATTTTTGGTTGACTTTATGCTTGCTCTTGGAGATGGCTTAGGAGCTCCTTATGGCTTTACACATGGCCAGGTTCTAAAGATTTTGTCGACTCTTGATCTTGATATAGATGCTGATGGATATATTTATTATAATGATATGCTTTATTCTGTCATGAAAAGAAAATATGAAAGAGGAATAGATGCAATTCTTGATGAAAATTCTGAAAAACTTTTAAGGAAAGAAGAATCGTCAACAACTAAGAAACTCAGAGCGATCAGAGATAAATCAAGCATGGATTTCTATTCCTTCGATAAAGTAATTTTCAGATAGATAAGCGAGCTGAAGAATAAAGGAAAAACTAATTTGTTTTTGTCGATGATTTATACGAGGACAGTCTTGAGAGCGTGAAATAATTGAACAAGGAGAAAGAAAGCGAAAGGGAATGCTTCGATCAGCATTACTCCAAGAATGTCAGATGAAGATTTTCCAGGTGAAAATTCTCTTATGTCAGAAATCGAATAAGACTTATTTTTCAATTTTCTGCGAAAGAAAATTTAAGGAGATAGTTCTTTACAAAATAGATAGATAAATAATCATTGAATTTATATTGCTATTTAACGGATGATAAATAATTTTTATTTAAAAAAATTTCTTCATTATTTTCGACAAAAAAATAAATATAAAATTCATTGCTATTATCAAGTCTATTCATTTATTTTATATTCTCTGACTTCATTCAAAATATGAATAGCTCTCCTCAACCCATCTACAGCTTGTGAAGCCGTTTCTCTTTCCTGAGCAATTCCATCAGATTCTTCTAACTCCCCCCCCCCCCCTCCGTGAGCGAACAAAAAAATTTTGTTCGCTCACGGAGGGGGGGTTATTTTTTTTTTTAAAAAAAATTTATATATAAATTTTATAAAAAATATTTTTTTCGAAATTTAAAAAAATCCTAATTTGCAAAAATTGGGAAGCAAATATTAATTTAATTTGCAAAATTTATGTTTTAAAACGCAATTTGTTTAAAATTAAACAGAATTAGCTCTAGATTTCATTATACTAATTATCACTTATATATCCAAATTTTTTTCCATTAAAATTTTTTCTATTAAAAAAATTTTTGTTCACTCACGGAGGGTGGGTTTTTGGTCAAAAAATGGCGATTTTTCTAATGGTTTTGTTCGCTCACGGAGGGGGGGGGGGGAGTAATAACTCATCGCACTCTTCTTTGTATAATTTTTTAACCAATTCTCTTTGGAGCTCATCTTTTGACCTATTAACTAGAAATCCCATAATAGTTTTTGGTACCAAATCGCCAATATTAACCCTGACAATATCAAAATACGATTTTATCAAAATTTTAATCATTTCTATTTGCTCTTTTTCGTCATTTGTCATCTTTGAAGATGGCTGCAGGCTTGACGGAGGACTCATAAAGTCAAAGCTGATTTTTTGCCTTTCAGGGATTTTTTCTTCTTCCTGCTCAATTTTTGGGGTTTCTTGAGATCTGAAGGAAAACCAGGAAGACGAGGTCATAATAGTTTCTTCTTTTTTCTTTTGTATTAGAGGGGGAGGAATAATACTTTTATCGATAATCGGCTCTTGGGCAACTGGCTTAAGCTGAGTTTGGGCTGCAATAAGAGCTTTAGAGCCGCCTATAAATTGAGGATGGTGTGTGTTAATGTAAGCTCCTTCCACATCTATTAGCCGGTCTATCATTTTTCTGGTAGGCTTCAGTCTAGATGCCAACAGTTGATTTATGACATCTGAAACCGCGTCTTTTAACTTCTTAAATCTTTCAAGCTCAGGGATTTCTATTTTATAAATAATATTCTTTAGCTCTTCATATATCAAATTCATACAGTTTAAGCTTGGTTCATGGAGCTTAGGAATTTGGCTTTTAATTAATATCTCAAACGCTGATTCTGGGATAAATAAAGAGCTTCCAAGCCCAGTTGCATTCATAACTGCAGTTCGGATATTTTGGTCGCTTAACTCTTGTAAAGGATCAATTTTTGCAATACCACTGACAAAGATCTGATGGAAAATATAATTAATCCTGGCGCCGCCCATAAGTTCTTCAGTAACGTTTCTTACATTTTTACCTTCTATGTTTTCTTGGAAGCTTTTGGCTACCTTTTGGATAACACTAAGCAGGACACCTGTCTTAGAATCTCTAGTTGACAAGGCTTCTCCATATTCTCTTAGCTTTGATATATTAGCTTCCAGCTCGTCATTAACCTTTTTCTTTATTGTTGGAATACTATTATTTATATGAGTTTGCAAAATCTTATTCAGCCTCATTGTTAAATACCTGATTCCTAGCCTATCTGCATATCTTGCATAAACAGGACTTTCTCTAAAAAATTTTTCTTCCTTTGCCAGGTGTTTTTTCATAGGGACATTTTTATTGATATCTTCTTGGCTTCTACATACAACTCCTACATATCCAAGCCTAAGTGGGAAAACTGTGCCATTCAGCATGTCAACAGCGTCAGTTCCTCTATCCATAATATCAATTTTTGTAAGTACACCAATAGTTCTTTCTCCATTTGGATCTACCAAATGAGCCAACTGTAAAGCATCTGAGTTCGCTAAATCATTATTTGCTGCTGAGATAGCAAGAATAATAGTGTCAGGGTTCGAAATATATTGTAGAATCATATCACGGATATTTGTCTCAATATCACGGCTTTGTCCGGAAACTGAAATTTTTACGATCCCTGGCAAATCGACCATAGTGATATCAAGGACGTTAGGGGAATAAATAGTCAAATCAATAGGCTGGGTCGATATAGATCTGCCATTACCTACAAGATCGGTCGTTCTATTCTTTATTTCTTCACGAATATCATCAAAGTTATCGAAAAATGAATCTGGGATGTGAGAGAAAATGCCGTATTCTTGAGATTCTTGGGTTTTTACCAGCTTTAGACGCAGTGGGCATTTTGTGACAATTCCAGAGCCTCTAGGCAAGAAATCTTTACCGACGATGCTTTCTAAAACACTGCTTTTACCTGAGGACTGAGACCCTACGACTACTATTTGAGGTAAGCTGATGATGTGGGAAATGTTGGCTGAAATGAGGACCTCCTGAAGCTTATTGAAGAGTGGGATAAGCTTTTCCATTTTATTATAGATTAGATATTAACAGATGTGTAAGCAATTAAAATTTCAGTTTAATTATTATCTGATTGAGTGTCCATTGCTAAGTTAGCCAACTGGTCAGCTTCTGTATTGAGGTGATGGGGAATTGAATAAGGATTAAATGACTTGAAATTTCGAAGGTAGTTTATTGCTTTATCGAACTGAACTTGAAGTGTATGATTTTTGCATCGATATTTACCATCTATTTGGTTTATTACGAGCTCTGAATCGCCATAGATGTTTATGCAATCAATTCCTAATTGAAGAGCTCGCTCTAAACCTAGATTTAAACCAATATATTCAGCTTCATTGTTTGTTTTTATGCCATTGAATACACAGCCTTGGTCAATAATATCACCGCTTGGCGATTTTATTACAAAGCCTGACCCTGAAAGGCCAGGATTTCCTCTTGAGCCGCCATCAAAATATAAAGAATAGCATGTCTCTATTTTAGGCTTTGCAGGCGGTTTTTCTTCAATAAATTTCTTTTTAGGCCGATTTTTGACAGAATTCTGTGTTCAGTATGTTGATCCATAATTTTGGTTGTTTTGAGCTATTTCTTGAAAATTTTTCAAAGGCAATTGATAAGTCTTCTTTGAAACCTTTTCTTTTTCATCTCCAGAACTTCTTTCTGAATTGCTATCTGCAATCACAATAGGTCCAGCATTCAAAAATCTATTTGCTTCCTCTTCTGTAGCAAATTTTTTATATCTCGCCCCCGAAAATCCTTTTACACTTGCTTCACAATCCTCCCATTCCCTAAAAATCCCCGTTTTCCTTCCTTTTCTAACAGCATAAAACTTCATATCCAATTTTTCTTAAAATATTTACTCTGGGGAGCTTATTATTTAAATAATCTATTTAACTGCGTAAAATACTTATCTTAACTTAATGCTTGTGCTTTTTATCCTTTTTTTCTTTTTTGTTGTGATCGTGGTGCTTGTTCTTTTTCTTTTTCTTATCGGTCTTAAACATGCTGAGCATTCTCTGAGTCACAGTGAAGCCACCAAAAATGTTGATGCTTGCGAAAAATACTGAAGCGATAGCGATTCCTGACCCTTCGTAAGAAATATAATGGTGAAGTCGATGGAAGATGAATTCCGAGACACACTCACTATGGAGTAGGTAAAACCCGTCCAGATGAAGCTGAATAATGTGCCTCTGCCACTTTATTAGCTAGACCTTCGGGCTTCAAGCAGAGAAAGTTTTGTTTCTCCTAGGAGGTTTTTCCTGTCCCTGATGGGCTAGACAGATTTTGCCTCCCGCTCAAGATTAATCGGGCATATGCAAGAGGTGGCTCTAAAATAAGGAACTGATCCTTAGGCTAGGTGGGTTTACGCCAGATAGGCAGGCTAGTGGTCTATCCGCTTATGGCCTTATAACACTTAACTTAACTTGACCCTTCGTCAATAGTACCTTCGGTTGGATCTAAAAGAAGCATAGATCCAATAACAATGATTCCTGAAATGGCATTAGTAACACTCATTAGCGGTGTGTGTAATGCTGGGGTAACATTCCAAATAACCATATATCCAATAAAAATTGCGAGAACAAAAGTCATGAACAGTCTCATAAAGGTCCCATATGTTGCATAAGACAGCCCAACGAAAAGACCAATGGCCACTGCAGCAACAATAAACATTTTGAAGTCTCTTGACAAGTGGTATATACATTAAAATCATGACACACGTCAACCTGCCTTCTTGGCGCAACGGAACTGGGACGGACTCCAAATATCCGGGTAGGTTTTGGCTACCTTCCTGTGGTTGAAAATGGAGGTGCCGGGAATATCCTTTTTTGAATTCAAGGACCAATGGGCATCTTTTCCAAGAACTGGGGGTTTCGGCCTAGACCACAGTGTAGTAGTCTTTTCCTGTATATAGAGATTTCAGGTAGATGGCGCGGAATGCGCCATCTACCTGAAGTCACTATATGCTAAAGGAAGACACTTCGAAACCCGACAGATTGCAAGGTCAGATCCTAGGAGTCAAGCTACTCCAATCGCCCACCAAAGAAATCCATAAGCTGCCCAGTTAAGACTGAAGCCTCAAGATAAGGAGGAGACAGAAGGAACTGGAAGTGGCACCCATTAATGGGGATAGACTCCTGGGTAGGAGTCGAAAAGCAGATGTGAGTCTCCCGTTTGATGGCGCAGTCACCAATATGGCTAACGCATGACTAAATAGCCTAGCCTATTGACCAGTGGTGCTTTTGCTTTTTCTTGCTTGGATGAGCTCCTGGGGTCTCTACATTTGGCTTAGGAGGAGCTGGAACTGCTTTTGGTGGCTGGTAGCTGTACTCCCCTTCATGTATCACGACCATTGGGCCGATGATTTCGTCATCTAAGTTGACTTTGAACTTGTGTGTGTTTAAAAGGTCATCAAGGAGGTTGTACAAATTGTTTGTATAGAGTTCTGAGGATTGAGGAGCCATTCTGCTTGTTAAGTCAGTGAAGCCTACAATTGTTACACCGTTATCAGTGAAAACAGCTTCTCCAGCTCTGGTTCCTTCTACATTGCCTCCTTGTTCGGCAGCGAGGTCTACAATGACACTTCCGTATTTCATAGATTTGACGATTCCAGCGTCCATCAAAATTGGTGCTTTTCTGCCTGGTATGAGGGCAGTTGTGATAACTATATCGCATTTTGCGGCAGTCTTTTTGGTGACGTCGTATTGAGCCTTTTGGTAGTTTTCAGACATCACTTTGGCGTAGCCACCGACAACAGCGCCTTCTTCTTTGATAGGGACTTCTACAAAGTGAGCACCCATAGACTCTGCGTCAGACTTTGCAGCAGATCTTGTGTCCATAGCACTTACGATGCAGCCTAAGCTTCGGCTGTAGCCTATAGCAGCGAGACCAGCAACACCGGCTCCAATAACAAGAACTTTAGTAGGAGGAATTTTTCCAGCTGCAGTGACCATTGGTTTTGGAGTCTTCTTGTAATAGTGGAAAGCTTCAACAACTGCTCTGTAGCCTGCAATGCTTCCCATTGAGCTTAACGAGTCTAATTTTTGTGCTTTAGTAATTCTTGGGACACAGTCCATTGCCATGTAAGTCAGCTTTGGATATCTCTTACTCCCCCCCTCCGTGAGTGAACAAAAAAATTTTGTTCACTCGTTGAGGGGGTTAAAAAATTTATATAAAAATTTTATAGAAAAAAATTTTTTTTTTTGAAATTTTGAAAAAAAATCTTAATTTGGGAAGCAAATATTAATTTATTTATAAAAATTTATGTTTAAAACGCAATTTGTTTACAATTAAACAGAATTAGCTCGAGATTTCATTATAATAATTATCACTTATATATAAATTTTTGTTCACTCTCAGAGGGTGGGTTTTTTGGGGAAAAATAGGGATTTTTCCAATCGTTTTGTTCACTCACGGGGTGGATTTTTTGGGGATTTTTCCAATGGTTTTGTTCACTCACGTTGGGGGGAGTTAGCAAGATCTTTTAACCAATCTGCATTTGATGCTGGGTACACATAAGAGACAAGCAATCTTGTGTTTTCCAGTAATGTATCTTCATGTCTTCCAAGAACAGGGTGGTAGTCAGGCTTCCTAACTTTTAAGACGATTTCGCTATTCCAGACTTCTTCTGTGCTTGAAATAATTGCACCTTCTTTTGCATAAGCTTCATCTGGGAAATTAGCCCCTTTGCCTGCTCCGGATTCGACAAGAACTCTAAATCCTAATCTTCTGAACAGTTTCACTGAATCGGGTGCCATTGCAACTCTATTTTCCAAAGGATAAATCTCGTTTGGAACCCCAATTTGTTTAGTTGGCTCTGGGAAAACTTCTTCTGGCTTATTTAAGGCTTCTTCTTCATCAGCTGAGTCATCATATTCAACCCCACCTCCAGTTTCTATGAAAACTTCTTTTAATGTAGTCACTTGGTTTAGGATTTCTTTGATTGACTTGTCAGCGCTTCCATAGAACATGTGAGTGTTGTCTTTAAAGAAGAGAGGGTTCTCGATTCCAGCATAACCAGCTCCACCTCCACGCTTGAAAACAACAGTGTCTTTGGCGTTCCAGACTTCACAAACAGGCATGCCTGCAATTGGAGACTGAGGGTTTTCTAAAGCGTCTGGGTTCACAATGTCGTTAGCACCAATAACAAGTGCGAGGTCTACTTCTGAAAATTCTTTATTTAAATGGTCCATCTCTTTGACAATTGAATAATCAACATCAGCTTCTGCTAAAAGGACGTTCATGTGTCCAGGTAATCTTCCAGCAACTGGGTGGATACAAAATCTGACCTTTCTTCCTGTTTTGATTAAGAAATCTGCAAGAGTTCCGACGTCATGTTGGCATCTGGCAACAGCCATCCCATATCCAGGGACAATAATGATATTGTGGGCATCTCTTAATAAGTCAACCATCTTGTGAAGGGTAATTGGCTTTAAAGTGCCAGTTACCTTTGTATTCTGTGCTGCTTGAGCTGCAACAGCTGTTCCTTCTCCGAATCCTCCTGCAATGACGTTGAAGAAAGATCTGTTCATAGCTTTGCACATAATGTAGCTTAGAATGGCACCAGAAGAACCTACAAGAGCGCCTGTTATAATTAAAAGTTCGTCTTGAAGTAAAAATCCACTTGCAGAAGTAGCCCAGCCTGAGTAAGAGTTCAGCATTGAGACGACCACTGGCATATCAGCTCCTCCAATTGCCATAACTAAATGCCAACCGATAAAGCAAGAAAGTCCAGCATTGGCTAATAAAGCGTAAAGTCTGTAGTCATGGTCTTCTTCAATGGCATAGTAAATTGCACATGCTAAACACCCTAGCGCGAACATCAAATTGATAACATGTCTGAACCAGCCACAAATGATGAGAGGCTTGCTTCTAATGACTTCTTGTAGTTTTCCCCAAGCAACCACGGACCCTGAAAATGTGATTGCGCCTATAAAAACTCCTATATTTATTTCTATGATCTCTAACGTTCCCTTTGATTAGAGAGTTAAAAAATCTTTAAGTTATTTATTAATAAATTTCTAAAATTAATATTTAAGAATGCGATTTGTTGTAATTTAATAGAATTAGTTGAAGATCTCATTATAATAATCAAATTATTATTTGTTAAAATGTTTTACTCGCTAACTAATGGGCTTTTCCCAAATATTTAGATTTTTCTAATTTTTTGCTCGTCATCCAAGGGAGTAAGTTTGTTTGATCTGGATGCAAAAGATAGCTGGCAAAGGAAACCATAGTAGCCGCGAGACCTACAAAGGAATGCAGAGCGGCAACCATTTGAGGCATGCTTATCATTTCGACTTTTAAAGCCATTCCGAGACCTACTACTCCACCAAGGACAAAAGCTGGGAAGAAGAAAAGGTATCTTCCATTAAACTCTTCCACGAATAATGTTGCAGTAATTGCTAAATCCCCTAATATTATTTTTATCTATAGGAGTTTTCCCTATATGGCCCGATAAGGACCATGGGTTCCCGTGGAATCCCTTTGTTGGTCAAACCAACTCAGTGCGTTGGTTTGACTAATTCACTGGTTGGCTCAACCAGCAGAGGGATTCTACGGACAACCCACGGCACTTATCGGGTCATATAGGGAAAACTCCTATATTTATTTGGGATATGACTAATAATTCTTTTAAAAAAATCTGTTAGATTTGATAATTATTTATAGGAGAGTGATTAAGATCATTGCAATTACACCATAGAAATTACCTCTCTTGGCAGATTCTTGGTTGCTCAGGCCTCCTAATGATAAAATAAAGAAAACGGCGCATACCATGTATGCTCCGACTACAAAGGCTTCCATTTATAAGAGATCTTGGTATCTGTGGTTAATGTGGAAAGATAAAGGAGAATGAATGAAAGATATAACAGCCCCCTTTGCTAGCAAGCAAAAATTTTTATTCGATAGTGAGAGTTTTTATTAAATTTTATATAATTATATAAAAAAAATTTTCAATATATATTATATTTCTGTTTAGGCTCTAAGCTGACTAAAATGTCATAGAATGCTTGAGATTTCATAATAATCATTCAAATTATTATTTCTATAAATGTTTACGACAAAAAATTGCTTGCAGCCAACAAAGCGAGTCTAATTTTTCTAATGGTTTTGCCTGCTAAACTAAGGGTTGGTATAAGTATTTTTTAGAAAATTCATCGTAAAGGCTATAGGTTAAGGAAGAAAAAACAATTATGAGTGCAAATTTAAAAGAGAATCAATAATTTACTGTTGAGATAATTTGGCTGCCTAAATTCAGACATATCGCTGATAAAATATTTCTGATATTATTAGCTCTTCTAATATTAAAGATTTGCAAATGAAATGAAGGAAAATTTCAAATCATATATTGTCCTCAAAAATTGTGAAAAGAAATGAATATGGCTTAAAATACTTAAATTAATTAATCAAAAAATAATAGTAAAGTATTTAAAGTAAAAGTAAGTAAGCAGCTTTATAATAATTGCGTATGCTCCTATCAGAAAAGCCAACAAAACATTAAAAATTTTCAATATAACTAAAAAGTAAAAGGTATATCTGATAATAAATACTTAACCAAAAATTATAGGAGCAAATTAAATTTCATACCAATATGTCTCTACATATTTAAAGTTTGGTAATTAATAGGGATATGGAAAATATTATTTCTATTTTTATTTCCTTGCATCTCAAATATTTTTGAAACAATTCGAAGGAATAATCACAAACTGTGAAGTTTATATTTAGACTGTTATTCTATTCAAAAAATCGCTAAAGAATGAAGTAAAACTAGTAGCTATTTGAATGAATGCCTATTTTATGTTTTATTTTTCTTATATAAAATTGTTGAGCATCTATTTAGTATTATGCATTTATTCCTCTTTATACCCACTACTTTATTATGCTAAATCAAACAAATTTATTCATATGAGCAAACTTAATTTAATTCATTCTTATTTACAAGCCAATATATCGATATCTTAAATCTTTAGTCAATTATTTTTATTAATCTAAATAAGAATTTTAAAAGATATATAAAAATAAGAAGAGAAAAGAAATTAATCGCACCCTGCTTTTTTGATTATCAGGGCTAAAATGATTTATAAAATTAAGCCATAAATGGGCTTACTAAAATTTGTTCTAGGTGGAGCTGGGGCATATGCAGGCATGAGACTATATTTAAACAAAATAAAGCTTCCTAGTGAAATCACTTCACCATTTGAAGAATATTGTCAAGGTAAAGGGTATTTTGTTCAAAATCATTGGGTAGAAACCAAGGATGGATATTTTCTTCGTTTATTTAGGCTTAGTAAGGCAGAAAATCAGTATCCAAATAAATCCCCAGTCTTAATTGTGCATGGAATGACAGCGAACTCAAAGTGCTTTGTAATGAACCAAAGTGTTAAGCCTCCTGCTTTTGAATTAGTAGACAATGGGCACGATGTTTGGCTTTTGAATTGCAGAGGAAACATTTATAGCCGACTCCATAAAACCCTGAGATATGAAGACCCAGAATTCTGGAATTGGTGTGCTACTCATATAGGAGATTTTGATGTTCCTGCTACAATTGATTATGTTTTACATAAAACAGGTCAGAAAAAGCTTAACTACTTAGGCCACTCTCAAGGATCTTATGCAGCTATTCACTGTTTTTCAATAAACCCTGAATATGGTGATAAGGTTAATTTAGCAGCATTATGGAGTGCTCCTTGCGGATTTTTATCATTATCTCCTCTACATCGTGCTATAGGCAAATCTTTTGAAAGCTCCAATAATCATGGCCCTATAGGAATTTCACTTAAGTCTACAACTAATTTGAAGCTTGCAGCTGCGTTTCCTTCTGTAACTTTGGCTGTTGGTGAGTATTTACTTAAAATGAAGCATGAAGATGACTATTCCAAATATTTATATTTTTTAATAGTGAATACAATACTTTATATATAAAATAAATAATTTTATTATATTTATAGACAAAAAAGGTACCAAATTATCTTTACAATTTGGTTGGAAAAACAAGCAGACTGAACATGAAATTTTGAATGCAAATGGAACATAGAAAATCTCCGATCCCAACATACTTCGACTATGGCGAACAAGAAAACCTTAGGCTTTATGGCAGCAAAGTGCCAAAATCTCTTGATTTTGATAAGATTAAATGCAATTTAGCAATATTTCATGGAAAATATGACCAGATCGCCTCTGTCAAAGATTTAGATCACTTAAGAATGCAGCTTCCAAAATCAAAAATCGCGTTTTTCAAAAATGATTATGATATCGATCATATGGGATTCCTAGTCTCAAAAAACCAAAGTCATGTCAGTGACTTGCTGGGGCTCTTAAAATAATCATATTTAATAAAATTCAACCCATAAGATTTCATAAAAAGGGCCGTTCCGGGAATTGAACCCGGGACCTCTCGCACCCTAAGCGAGAATCATACCACTAGACCAAACGGCCTTGAAAATAAGATTAATCAACTGTATTTAAAGATCAAGTGTTCACTATAAAATGCCTGACCAGGAAAATCAAAAATTTCAATGATTTTTACATTATTTAAAATCTTAAGACCATCTACTTCAAAAATTATTAAATCTATTTTATATCATCTCATCGTTTAAGAATGGATCAGCCGATTTCGTGTTAAATCCGCTTGATATTAGAAGGTTTTCGATGTCCACAGTGAACTTAATTGCATCAGCAGCTGATCGGGACCTCATATAATACATGCCAGTTTTTAATCCTCTTTTCCAACAATAAAAATGCAGAGATGTCAGTTTCCCAAAGCTAGGCTCAGAAATATAAACATTCAAACTCTGGCTTTGGTCAATAAAAGGGGATCTACCAATGGCTAAGTCAATCAGCACTTTTTGTGGGATCTCCCAAACTGTTTTATAAAGCGCTCTTAAATCATCAGAAATTTCATGCAGATCTTGAACAGAGCCATTATTCGCTATGATTTTGTTCTTTATATTGTGCGTCCATAATCCTTTTTCGACTAAATCTGATATTAAGTGAGGATTTACACATACAAATTCTCCAGCAAGAACTCGTCTTACGTAAATATTTGACATATAAGGCTCAAAGCTCTCATTGTTCCCTAAAATCTGTGAAGTTGAAGCTGTAGGCATTGGGGCTACCAAAAGTGAATTTCTTACCCCAAACTCAGAAATTTTTAATCTGAGGCTATCCCAGTCCCACTTATGTGAAGGAATTACTCCTCTCATATCGAATTGGAGAATTCCTTGTGATATAGGCGATCCTTCATAACTTTCATATGGCCCATAAGTCTGAGCAAGCTTATTGCTTGCAGTTAAGGCTGCAAAATAAATGGTCTCAAAAATTTGTTTATTAAGAATCATTGTCTCCGAACTTTCAAATGGCAATCTCAATAACAGCAGAGCATCTGCAAAGCCTTGGACTCCTATTCCAATCGGCCTATGTCTTAAATTTGATCTTTCACACTCAGGCAATGGATAATAATTCCTATCAATAATTTTATTCAAATTATACGTAATAACCTGAGTCACTTCATAAAGTTTTTGAAAGTCAAAATATTCTCGATTGACCACAAACTTATTTAGCGCAATTGAAGCCAAGTTGCATACAGCGATTTCGTCCTTTGATGTATATTCTACTATTTCTGTGCATAAATTGCTTGATTTTATAATCCCTAAATTTTTTTGGTTGGAAAATTTATTGACGTGGTCTTTGTAAAGCATGTAAGGGCCTCCTGTTTCGATTTGACTATCAATAATAGCTGATCAAACTACCTGAGCCTGGACTATTTTTCTTCCTCTTCCCATGTTTTCGTATTTTACATACAATTCTTCAAACTCGTCTCCTCATACATCACAAAGTCCAGGACATTCATCAGGGCACATAAGAGTCCAATTTTCATTATTTTCGACCCTTTTCATGAACAAATCAGGTATCCACAGTCCATAAAACAGATCCCTCGATCTCTGTTCTTCTTTTCCTGTGTTTCTTTTCAGCATTAAAAAATCAAAAATATCAGCATGCCAAGGCTCTAAATAAATTGCAAAAGCGCCTTTCCGTCTTCCACCGCCTTGGTCTACATATCTTGCAGTGTCATTGAACACTTTAAGCATTGGGACTAAGCCATTTGCAGATCCATTGGTTCCTCTTATGTAAGAACTGCTGGCTCTTATATTGTGAACACTTAGGCCGATTCCTCCTGCACATTTACTGATTATTGCACACTGTTTTAAAGTGTCATAGATGCCTTCTATGCTATCCTCACGCATGGCCATCAAGAAGCAAGATGACATTTGGTTCCTTGGGGTTCCTGAGTTGAATAAGGTTGGGGTTGCATGGGTAAATCACTTCTCACTCATCAAATTGTAAGTTATAATAGTGGACTCTATATCATTCGTATGGATTCCGGCAGAAACCCGCATAAGCATATGCTGGGGCCTTTCAACGATTTTTCCATTTATTTTGAGTAAATAGCTTTTTTCAAGTGTTTTAAAGCCAAAATAATCGTAAGTGAAATCTCTAGAAAAATCAATAGAATTTTCTAAAATAGCGCGATTTTCTTTGATAAATTCATATACGTCTGTAGCAATTAGAGGAGCAGGCTCGTTCTGAGATTCTTTCAAGGTGTAAAGATCGTGGATTATTTCAAAAAAGCTTGTTTTGGTCATTTTATGGAGATTTGAAATAGCAACGCGAGCAGCAAGCTTGGAGTAGTCAGGATGAACAATATTCATATAAGCACAAGTCTCTGCAGCAAGATTGTCTAGCTGGGAGGTAGACACGCCATTGTAGATTCCTTCTGAAACTTTTTTGACGATCACATCAAGGTTGATAAATTCTTTGTTAAGGCCATCTAGAAGTGTTTCTAGTCTTTTTTTGATTTTGTAAGGGTAAATTTGCTGTCTGGAGTTGTCCCGCTTTATTACATATCTTTCTGTGTCATCCATTTTTATAGGGGGTTTGGGGTTGTCATAATCAAGAGTTTAATTTTAATATTTTTGAATTTTGATAATATATTTGAGAATTCTGTCATTAAATTTGTTAGTATGCCAGCCTTTTAGCCTTATATTACCATCTCTAAAATTTTCTTTGAATTTTGCTATCTAAATTTTATCTCTAATTTCTTTATTTATTCTTACTTTAACTTAACTTAATTATCTGGTGTTTAAGGTGTCTAGTGCCGCAGCCCAAAAGGGCTATGACAAATTAGTGACGTAGGCGAGCCATCTTGGAACAGGTCAGCCCTGGCCAAGCCTTCTATCAACTCCTGCTTCACCAGCCTTGCTGCACGTCTCACCTGGCGCGATGCCGTCGCCCTTGTCTCTCGACTCAGCTCCTGCGCGTGTTCCGCCTAAGGGTCATCCTCCCGTGGGGATGTGCTGAGAGATAAAAGCCCGAAATCTTGAGAGGACTGAGGAGCAGTTCCTCTGGTTATCCCCAGAGTTAAACCGCTATTGCTGTCCAGAAGTTCTCGAGTGAAAACCTAAACCCTATAAATAAAATTCCATGAGGGAGAGAAAATTAGCAAAGCTAATTTCTCTCGAACCGAATGCCATTTTTTTATTCAGAATTATCCAGCTAATAGCCTAATAGCTTGATATTTTATATAAAAATTGCACCTATACATACTGAGTCTAAAATTTATCAACTTTATTTATCATTACCTTTTTTCCAACAAAAGCATAAAAATATGCATTTCCCCTTTATAAATTTATCTGTGCATTAATTTTAAATTGGCGAATTATAATCAATATCAAAATAAAATATTTAGTGCAATATTTAATAAATAAAAATTTCATGAAACTCTTTGAAAATCCTTTAATTCAATCTTTAAACTCATAAATGGTTTCAGCCCAATACGGAAGACTCGGCTATTGGCAGGAGAGATATTTGCACAAAAAGGAGCAGTTTGACTGATATGAGAAATGGGCTGGCATAAAAGATATCATAACCCAATACATCCCATTCGATCAAAAAATTTTAAACGTAGGCTGTGGAAATTCAAAACTTGCTGAAGACATGCAAGAAGAAGGCTACATTTCCATCATGAATATCGACAACTCCCAAATCGTCATTGACGATATGAAATCCTATTACCAAGACAAAGAAGGTATTGAATTTGCTTGCAAAGACGTGATGTCTATGGATTTTGCAAGCGGCAGTTTTGATGCTGTTATTGATAAAGGCACTTTAGACTCCATTCTCTGTGGAGACCGTTCTAATATTATGGCTAGAAGAATGCTTACCCAAGTCCACAGAGTATTAAAACCACAAGGGATTTTTGTCTCAATAAGTTATGCGCCTCCTGAAAACCGAAATCGGTACCTAAAATTGCCAGATTTTACTTGGAATGTATTTGAGTATAGAATTTCGAAACCTGTGCTCTCTACAACTGCAGCAATGACAAAAGAAGATGGACAATCAATTCACTATGTGTATGTTTGCATCAAAAAAAGAGTGAATTTTATCGATGAATAATTGAGTTAAAATAAAGCTGAATTAACCTATAATTTTTTAATAATGGCAGAAATATGGAAAGGCCCTGCTTACGACTTAAGGAAGCAGCGGAAACGTGTTACAATCAAAGGAAATTCAAGCCCTTTTGAATTAAAAACTGATAATTTGCCACAGATTGTGAAACCTTGCAGAAGTTTTAAATTGCTTACTGCCCCTTTTCGTAAGAAAGCAAAATTTTTATCTCTTTTTAAATCATTGCAAATATAATTTTTTTAAAATTTAAAAATTCCAATTCATCTAAATTGGTGCTTCTTTTTGAATGCAACACTATGAATTAGAATAATAATTTATATATATCATATAAAAGTTTTATATTAAAAAAATTTTGAGAAAAGATAATTTTTCCTCAAAATAATAGGGTTTTTTAGTAGCTTTGCTCCCTCACAAAGGGAGGGAGTTAAAAAAGTTAAAAGCAGCGAGAAGAGCTTCCATAACTTATGTTCAATAGAAGAAGATTTCACCCTGGAGCGTGAAGGAGATATCACAAGTTTTTTAAAAGAAAAATCCCCAACTACACCTCAAATTAATTTTACCCCGAAATTTGATATTAATGGAAACCTGCTTCAATATAGTGTTATAGGGCCGGTAAAATTATTTACAACCCCAAAATCCAATGATTCTTGAACTCCTATTAAACCAAACCAACAGTCTTTAAATAGAACTGCTACAAATTTAAATTTTAGTAACAGAGATAATACAAACTATCAAGAGAAATTTAAAGAAAGGCTTATAGAAATTGAAAATAACTCAAAGTTGGAATTGAGCACGGATGTAAAAAAGGCGTCAAGCATGATACTATATGATAGGATTAGAAAAGGAAGAGAAGAAAGGAAATTAAAGCAATATGATGCAATTCAAAACGAGTGAAAATTAATTGAAAAAGGACTGAGTTTTAAATCTAAGAAAAAAATGCAAGATTTGATGCCAAATAGAGCCTTTGAGTATAGAGAAAAGCTTGAAGAACTGGAAGAGCTTGACAGAAACCTGCCAGATAAAGAGGAATCAAATTCATTATCTTGGTACATGTCATTGAGGGAGTCCCAAAACCAGAAATTTGAAACCTATATCCCTATGGGACAAAAGCTTTTAGGTCTCTATACAAGGATTTCTCAAAAACCTAAATCCCCTATAGAAATCATAAGAAAGCCAGGGATGGTCAAGACTTCCAGCAAAACTTTCCGTGACTGAGACTATTTCCTAACGAAACTAGGCAAGGAAAAAAGCAACTCAGAAACAATCCCATCGTCTCAAGCTAGTCATAGTGATCTACTTGTTATAGGACTCGCAAAGCTACCATTAGAAATTGATGCAGTCAAAAATGTAGGACCAGAATTCCTAAACCCGAAACTGATTCCTAACTCATCTCTTCCGTAAGCGAACAAAACCATTAGAAAAATCCCCATTTTTGCTTAAAACCTCCATGAGCAAACAAAATTTTTAAAAAAAATTGATAAGTGGTAATTATTATAATGAAATCTTTAACTAATTCTATTTTGATTTTAAGCAGCTTGCATTTTAAAACATAAATTTTGCAAATTAAATTAATTTTATATCAAATTTTTACAATTAGAAATTTTTTAAATGCAATTTTACTACAAATTTATATATAAATTTTCAAAAGAAAAAAAATTAAGCGAAAAAAATTCTTATTGGCCTCCGAGGGGATTAAGCCATTCAAAGATGAAGTTTTTGCAGAAGAATACGACCCAAGAAATAAAACACATAAAGCTGTCTAGTGTAATTTTTAATAAACATTTATTTAACGATATTATGCTACCGTTAGATCCAGAACTATCTTACTTGCTTACTAGTCAGAACGTATTTATTATGTAGATGCACAGAGGAGAGTTTATGCACTCAGAAAATATGACTCCATATTGCAATAAAAAATCTATGATTTTTGTTATAAGACTTATGTTTAATTTTTGAAAGCTCCTTTTTCAAATAGTCGTTAGACATATTGATAAAGACGATTCTGAGCGTCCGCTGAAACTTTGGCTTTCAATACATTTATTTTTGGATATGCTTTATATGATACTACTCGTTATAAATGTGCCACATTTAATTGGAAACTCAAGAGTTTTAACAGAATTTTCGCAAAATTCTTTTCATAAGTTTGCTTTGAAAGTACAGGCTAGCTTATATATTTTTTGGGTTTTAGTTGGGTTTGCACTATATTGGAGGTGTGAGAATTGTTATGAAGAAAATTTTGTGCAGACTTTTACGGTTTTGCTACTAGAAATTTTAGGATTTTTTAATCTTATATTGCCGATGCTGGCAATATTTGGAATTTGTGTACTTTTGCCAACAACATTGCTGTTGATGGAGATAGCTGAAGATAAATCGTGAATAGAAAATAAAGATCGGAAAAGCTTTAATCTAGAGACTGTGAGCTTTATTAAAAATGGAAATACAGGCGACCACTCTTGCTCAATATGTGCTATAGATTATGAAGAAAATGACAAGATAATCATTTTACCATGCAATATAAGACACTTTTTTCATGAAAAATGCATAAATAAATGATTGTCTATCACTCCTAAATGCCCAGTTTGTAGAGCAAGAGTATTATCTTAATTTTAAACAAATTTAGATATGTCCAATAATTCTGCCTTAAAGCCATTAATTTTATAAATTATCTATATAAATAAACAATTCTGCCTATTTTAATTACGATACTAAATAAAATTTCTCCCTATAGCATATGAATTGTTCTTTTCTAGTAAAATAAGTTACTTATATTAGCTATGCTTGCTCATTATGTCGATGATTAATTTATAAAATCAATATGAGCTCATTAGCTAGAAAAAGCGAATTCGATCAGCCACTATTTGGCTGCTCAAGTGATCCCAAAAGCTGCTTAATAGTTCTTTGTGTGCCATGTGGCAGTGCAATCGTCCAAGGTCTTGCTGTGAAAAATGCGAGAAACGAAGGATTCATTGTGCCTTACTGCATCAATATTCTCCTAGCATGTATTGGCGCTGCAATTAATAGAGGCCAGATAAGAAATAAGTATGATATCGAAGGAGGATTTATAACAGACTTTTGCTATCATTTGTTTTTCATGCCTTGCTCAGCTTGCCAAGAGTACAGAGAAGTGACTTATAGAAATTCTTTACATCAGCCTTAAATTAAAATACATTCAGAATAAATAAACTTAAGTTAGAGATCAGCCTGGGTTATTCTCTGTTGTCCGATATTTCTTTAATTGTAAATCTATAAATATTAATTATTGCTTTATTGTTCAAAAAACTCAAAATCTGGGGTGAATTGATCTTTCATTCTGTTTTCTTGGAAATGTTTTAGGAGCTGGTCTAAAGCTACTTTTACTTCTATTACCTTTTTCTTGACTTTATTATTAGCTTTGAGTTTATAATGTAACCCAATATATGGTTTATCATATAAAATAAATCCCATATACTTCAATAGCCCGATTTGGCTGCATGTCATTTGATCGGAAAGTTTTGATAGTATGGCATTTCCAAAAGGAAATTTGGTTTTAAAAATTTTAAGACCAAAAAATATTACCTGCCCGACTCCGCCTTGATAGCCTCCAATTCTCCCTACAAAATAGGCAGAAAGTGCAGGAAAGTCCATCTCCTTTCCCTGCTTAAAGTAATCTTCTAAATAATAATCGCACAGTCCTCTAATGCTTCCTAGTGACGAAATAATCTTATCAGTGTCTTCTTCTTCATCAAAATACAGATTTACGCACTCTCTTATATCCCCATTCAAAAATTCCAATTGATTTTTAGGTTGCAGGTCAAATGACTTTGCCTTTTTGATAGTGTCCATTTCACCGAAGTGCTTTTGGTCGAAAATTTTTAAATAGTGTATCCATTTGGCCGAAATTTGACGGTTTTTTCGGTCAAATGTCTCACTATCAAAAATGATTCGAACAAAGTTTCCCCTATGAGATGTCGCACTATCAAATTTCCGCAGTCATTTGACATGGAGCCGATTTTTAGTGTCAGTATAAAACACTTTATTTATCAATTCAATATTTCTGATATATTTTTCTTTCAGCTGTTTTTGAAAAATAACAGGCGCCCCCTCCGGCTTCTTCTTATTTTCAGTTACATTTTCTTCAGTTTTTGTTTCTTCTTGATCTTTTTTTTCTGTCACAATTTCTTCTTGTATAGGTTTCAGTTCTTCCATGGACTGTTTTTTCTTGAATTCTTTATCAGCTTCTATAAGCCATTCTTGAATCCTTTTGAGGCCTTTTACGACCACATGCATAGGTGGGGTTACCATGATGTTATTTTCTAAGTTCAAGGTTTTCAGCTTTTTTAGGTCTTTTATTGAAAAAGGCAGGCTTTTGATTTTGGTAGATCTTAAATCTAGTTTTATTAATCCTTTTAATAATGAAATAGATCCACTGATTTCTTTTAAAGGGTTGTAGCTTAAATGAAGATAGGAAACTTCGGAGTCTTCATGGAAAAAGTTGTCAGGCAGCATTTCTATCCCATTGTTGCTTAAAATTAAAACTTCTAGTGAAGACATATCACCTAATACAAAAGAAATTTCTTTAAGCTGGTTAGAAGCTAAATTCAGAGTTCCCAAACTTGCCATACCATCTAATGGAGAGTGATCTACTTTGGAAATTTTGTTATTTGAGAGATTCAATTCTTGCAATTTTTTAAGGTTTTTGAGTTCATTTGGGATTTCAGTTATTTGGTTATAAGCTGCACTCAACACTTCTAGCCCGGCTATTGCTGGAATTTTTTCTTTTAAGGAAAAAATTTGGTTCTCAGAGAGGTTTAAATATGTAAGGGTTTCGGGAAGGAAAGGGATGTACCTTAAATTGCAATCTTTTAATGAAAGATGCACAAGATTGGTTGCTTTTTCGAGTAAATAATTCAGCCTAGAAAATTGTTTTGGTAAATTTAATGGGCAGTGAATAAGCTCAAATTTTTCTTCTAATTGCATTTGATCTTCACTGATTTTTCCAAGTTCTTCTCAGGAATTTATTTTTGGACCATGCTCAGCTTTAAGTCTATCCATCAGTCCTACTCTGATCGGTAATTTTGAGTTTTCATTTGCTTTCCTTATTAATTCTCTTATATCTTTTATATCTTGCTCTTGCCGATTCTCGGTATCAAGATTAGTCTCTTGAGGGTTTGAATTTTCTTTTATTATTGATGTCTCTGAGATAAGGATTTTAGGATTTTCTTGCTCGGTGTCAATTCTTGGCTCACTTTCCTCTCTCATTATGTTTTCTTTTGAATCAGATTGCTCTTTTTTCAATTTTTTGCTCTTGCTAGAAAAGCAACCCATTTTTGTTCTTAATAACGCTTATATTTAGAAAATTAAATGCTATTTTACTTAATTTATAATTGTCAATAAGGAAGACGGATTTAATTTATTTAATTTAATCTGCGAATTCCAAAAATTTATTGAATTTTCGGAAATCTTTTTGGATATTAAAGAATTTCAACGAGAAATGTCGCTTTAAAGATCGGGTTTGTGAATGCAGCTGACTTGCACCAGAAATAATGCTCTCAAGCTCTTGATTATCTGTGCGAGGATAAACATTAAATAGTGGAGGCGATCACCCGCCCTCTTGACGCAATTTCCTCAACACCTGCTGGAAACAGCTAGGTGGAGGAACCAAGTTGAGATGCAGGCCCAGTATCCATAATGTATTCCGGCAGAGGTTTTTTTCTCGTGCCACAGGATATGATACCTGGGACATAGGATTTTTCCTTCTTACACGGAGCTGGAAAGGGCACAGTCGGCATCGTCCCCGAGATTAGCTATGATCCTTACTCGAATTAGGGACCCTGAAGACAGCAGGTGCCTAGCGTGAACTGGGAGTTACGCCCCAGGCTCCAGCTGATAGTGAACGGACGCCCCGGAAGCAGGCCAGGTAGCTGATGCCTAAGTGAGGTAGATGGTGTCAGTCAGGCCTTCTTAACTGATGTGGATAACTTTTAGAGGTGGAAATCCTCAGCCGTCTTTAAACAAAGCTGTTAATTTAATTTAATTTAATCTGTTCGAGGAGATATAGATTTTAAGGTATTTGACCGTCTTACCCTTCTACATGATGTAAGCTCAGGGCTTGAAGATGTAGGGAGCTCTATTAAAGAGTTTAAATTTGCTCTTATAGTTTTTGGAGGAGAAAGACTAGGAGTTGTAGATAGCGGAGAGTTCACTTTTTCTTTATTTTTTAACGGTTTTAGTTCTATGCATGTTCTAGTTCTTAAGTGAGTTCTATTTTTAGGCTGAAGATGCACTAGATCATAATTTCGGTCCCTTGTTTTTAGAAACTTTTTGCTTTTGCGCACAAATTTTGGATCGAGCTCAGGCTTAATTGATAATGAAATCCAAGTTGATTCTTTTGGTTTATTTAAATTCGCTTGCTTAGAAGCTTTATGAGGTGGCTTGGGAAAGGTAATCATTTGTGATTTTTTCATGCTGGCTCAAAATATAATGGCTCAGAAGATCTGACTCCCCAATTGGAATAAAAAATACTGTTCCAATTAACTTTTTAAAAAAAAATAAAACATATAAATTGAAAGCAATATTTTTAATTTTATAAAGAAATTAATTTAAGAAATTTATCTGATAGTTTAAATAATATTCTGTTGCATTTTCCATTCAATTAGGTCAAACATAATTTTATAAAATTTATATTTCACCTATAAATTTTCATATTGAAAAAATTTTGTTCCTATTTAAAAGGGGCTAAAGTACCCAAAAATTGGAAATTTTACCTATTTTAAATGAAGGGATTGAGAAAAGATTATTTCAAAATGCAATTTGTATAAATTATATAGAAGTTTACTGTGAATAAACCACTAAGGGGTGTTTTTGTTAGTCAGAAGTATCGCATAAAGATATCTGGTGCACTCAAAGGAGAGGTCTTTTAGCTAAAATTATTCATATATTAACAGCTAATTTTCAGCATTTTGAGCAACCTAGCATTTTACCTCCATTGTTCCACTATTTAGACCTTAGAATTACTTAACTGATTTTCCATTATTATATTTCCTGATTAATCCTGTCTCTATAAAATATATATAAAGCAATTTAACTAAGACTGATTAGTTTAAAGTGGTAATAAGGTGTTTGGCGGCAGATCAGTTTCCAATTTCAAGTTAATTTGAGGTTGATCATGATACACCGCATGAGCTCCTGCAAGCACCATCGAGAAAAACAGCGTATAGATGATCATATTTCCAGCCAGCATAAAGGTAGATAATACTAAAAGTGCGAGAATTCCCATATTTTTTTGGAAATCTGTGACATCTATACCATATACTTTCATTTCCTTCTTTGAGAGGTAAACCCAAACAGCCCCAATTGCAACTAAAGAAATAAGGAAAGATGGCTGTGATAATCTACATAAACCTTACATTCCTAGTACGAGGAGAAGCATAGTCAAGATGACGTAGTTGGATATGAAATAGACCAAGTTTTCACCAAGTCTGGCTGGGATTTGCTTGACTGAGGGCTTGGAAAACAAGGCTGGGTTGAACATATCAGTCATCCATGGACGAATGTTGGACTTCAAGCTTGTCAAAGTGACCTTGTATTGGAGAGCAACCCCGAGGTTGGAGTTTTGGACGTACGATATCCACTTCTTGATCGTCGAAATGTTTTGGTCTTCCATATTATTCGACTTTATTGTCACAGGTGGAATCTGAGTTGGATGGGAGAGAAATGAAAAAACTGAAAATAAGAAAGAAAACAGTGGAGGAAGAGAATTTAGGGAAGATGGTAGCAGGAAAAGAAAAGAGGAAATAATTATTAGGTAGAGAGATAGAAATAAAATGTAATGGCTAATTTAATTTCCATGATAACAAAATTTATTCGTATCTAGACAAATAAATTATTATTGGAAAATATAGAAAAGATATAGAAAAGCGAACTGAGATTATAAAAAACAAAACAATCTTTGAATAGACTAATAATTAGAAATTTTCTAGAAGAAGGGATTAAAAATATTTAATATCTGAATAAATTAATTGAAGGATAGGTTTAAAAAATATTATCATTATTTGCAGATTTTTGAACTTTACCACCTAAGTGTGGAATCTTTTTCCGTGTGTGAATAGAGGATTCCACATGTGAAGCACTTTTGATTTCACATGTGGAATCCTCTTTTCACACACGGAAAAGATTCCACACTTAGGTGGTAAAGTTCAAAAATCTGCAAATAACGATAAAATATATCAAAAAGGCGCTAGATCTTAAATTTAAAATATAAATGGAAGGCGCTAAGTACACAATTGATAGCAACTATGAGGCTGAATTTGTAACCAAAAAGAAAAAAACATCAAGCATGAGGCCTATCAAGCTGAATCGATCTAGAGGTCACATCAAGCTCGAAGAATTTGAAACTCCAAACTCCAACATTCCACGGCTTTCTCTATCCCACCAGCCAAGCCCTATTCTTTTCACTCCAATCTCATCCCAGATCACAGACAACAATCATTCACAGAAATTACCCAGAATCTCCTCAGTTAATAACGAAGACTATTCCACAATTTCCTCAAAACAAAAATTTTTAGGCCGTTTGGTATTAGAAAGATTCCAAAACTCCGCAATGGCTCAATACTTCATCTGCCAGCTCTGTGACTGCGTTTGCAATATAGGTTTTCTAGAATGCCAAGTCTGCTCCAGTTTATTCTGCAAAGAATGCTTATATATTTACACCCACCAAAACGCTCCAAATACTTGTCCGAAATGTGAGACCTCCAATCAGCTAGCCTTGAACGAAATTGAGTCTTGCTTTTCAGGACGTTATGTTTCCAGCCCCAGTTTAGCTATGATCCATAGTCTTTTAGAAGTTGAATGCAAACATATAGGATGCTCACATATAGTGATTTTGAAAGATTTGGCAGAGCATGAAAGAAGATGTGATTGGAGGTATACGCCTTGCAAATTGAAAAAAATTAAGAAAGACGTCCCAGGGTGCTTGGATTTAGTTAGGGCTAATGATGAAATGGAAGGATATTGCTCAGTTAGGTGTCAGCTTTTTGGAGATTTGGTGGATGGGAGAACTAATCATTCGTATGATGAGCATACTGCGAAATTAATTGAATTAATTAAAATGCATCGAAATTATTAGATTTAATGAAAATTAGTCGACTAGGATTAAAAAAACGTGCTTCGATATCTATAGGAAATTAGATAAAAAATAAATTAGGAATAGATTATTTAGCTCAGCTCGGCATAAATTTCGAATAAAATGTCTTTATATTCCATTAAATGCAAGGCAAGTCAAAGAGAGACGATGTTGTAGAGCTCAGATATCAAAGATATTATAGAATAGCAACTGAATCAAAGGTTGGACAGATCATAACAAATCTCTGGAATAATTATATTTGGCATTACTCCTCTAAAGCACTAACAGGATCCAAAAAAATCATATGGACCCTTACTAGTCTAGGAGTCATTCTTCTGCTCCCTATCACAATGCAGGCTATATTAGAAGCTGATGCCCAAATGCAAAATTTATCATCTCAACTTGACACTGCAGGCCAAGCTAATTACCGTCCTTACTAAAATAATCTTATCATTTCATTAATATAAATTGAATTCCTATGCCTAATTGAGAATCAAACATTGAACTTTTTGCTAATAGAGCTGGCAAAGGATAAGGAAAACCTAAGATGAAATGGTGACCTTAAATTTTAATAGGAAAAATGAATAAAATATGATTTAAGTATGAAATAGAAAATCAATATTGTTGCTTGATTGTTTTGGAGCGACATCACCGTCAAAAATATTCATCAGGCTCGGATTTTGATTATTATTCTGAGCCCTGGTTTGAGGTACTGGCTGACTCGTCTGACTTGATTGCTTGACAAGAGGAATTGTTTGTTGCGAGGCCGTTTCCCAAGCTATTCGATTAGCTTTTATGATGATTTTATTCTGAAAATCAGGAACCTTGCTCTCTTCACTGTTAAGATCCATTCAGACTTGAACCTTGCCATTTAGATATTTGAACCTGAAATGATATCGGCCTTCTATTGGGAAGCATTCCCTAATGTCTCTTAACTTAATATCGCTCAAAGGCTTTTCTATTGCAAATGCATTAGGCTGCTCGGGATTATCAAAGTCCTCTGGAATATGATAATAAATCAGAGTATAGTGACTCATATTTACAATCGCCTATTAAATTTAATTTTCTTAATATATGAGTTTCAATAAAATAATTAATCCTTAAAACTAAAGATCTTCGACATTTGTGCCGTCTTTAGGCTCTTCATTCATTTCTGATGTCCAAAGTGTCAGATTGTCTCTAATAAGCTGCATAATGGTGGTGCTGTCCTTGTATTGGTCTTCGTCTAAGTTATCAAGCTCTGCAATGGCTTGGTCAAAGGCAGTTCTCGCCATGTTGCAGGCATCAGTAGGGTTTTCCTTGACTTCATAGTGGAAAACTGAGTAATTCAGTGCAAGTCCTAACCTAATAGGATGGGTTGGGGGAAGTTCAGCACTTGCAAGATCCATTGCTTCTTGATAAACACGGTGAGCATTATCCGCAGCAGTGGTCCCGTACTTAGCCTTATTTCCTCCAGCAGTCTGGTACTCTGCCATGTACCTGTAGTAATCTCCTTGCATCTTCAAGAAAAAGACTCTGCCTTCATTTGTGTTTTGTTTCTTGCTGAGGACCTCAGTGATCAGATCTAGAATTTCTTGACAAGTTCTATTGAGTTCTTCTTCGATTTTCAGACGGTATGCACGGGCTAATTCCACTCTTTTAGCGTTTCCGCGAGATTCTTCTTTTTCTTCAAGGGCTGAAATTGTGCGCCAAGCTGTTCTTCGGACTCCTACCACGTTTTTGTAGCCAACACTAAGCAAGTTACGCTGATCTACGTTGAGTTCGGTGGCTTGCCTTATCACGTTTTTCATAACGTTGATCATGTCGTCGTACCTTTCTGCTTGTTCAGCGAGTTTGGCTTTATAGGTTAAATCCTCCATTAATTTTATCGAATGGCAAGTTTAAGATGGAAACGATAGTTTATATTAAGGAAGCTCAGAAAATAGATAATTTAATTTTTTTAAGGCGAGGTTTAGCTTTATATTTGTGCAAAATAATAGAGTTAGAGGTTATGAAAAAGAAAAAGATATTTTGAATCGCATTTTTGTGATTTAATTGGGATTTTGAAGTATTTGTTTGAATGCAAAAAGAGGCTGACATATTTTAGTGAAATATAGTCTCAGATATATCTAGGATGCCTTAAAGTAGCCGCTGTATTGAATTTTCTTATGTAAATGTCTAAAGCAATTTAAAAAAAAACTATCCAAAAATAAAAATAATTTCATTAGTGTTAAGAATCCAAAAGAATTTCAGTCTTATTTGGAATTATTCTTTCTCCCTATGATCAGAAAGTATTTTTAAAATATCAAACCAAAATTTTGTTTGAATTATATTTAAGAAAAATTCTATAATTTTATTTCTTATATATTATAAAAGTTTCAAAATTATAATAAACGCTTTAGTATATATTGTTTTCAACCTTAGAATAATAAAGTTTCTATTAGATAAAATCAAATTTAATACAAATATCTAATTAAATTAAAATTTAAAGATTCAGAATTTAAGAAAAATAAATATGAAGATTCAAATAGCGATGCTACTTTAGCAGTTCTAAGATGAAAGCCAAAATTAAAATATAAAAAAAATTTTCCAAAATAAGTCAAATCTAAAGTGAGACTAAATTGACGATTACAAAATTATATAAAAAATAACAAATAATTGTTTTAAAAATAATGAATGAAAGTAAATAATCATCCAGAATGACTAATTATCATTCAAGATATTATTCTTTAAAATCATAATTATCTTCCATTTATAATGCTAAAAAGACTGTTTAGCCATACAGCGAAAGTATTCGTTGATAAGAACACCACAGTAATTTGCCAAGGCATAACAGGTGCTCAAGGGACTTTCCACACAACTAAAGCAATTGAATATGGTACCCATGTTGTCGGTGGGGTGACTCCAGGCAAAGGTGGCAAAATCCACTTAGGAGTCCCTGTTTTCAACACAGTAAAAGAAGCCAAACAAGCTGTAAATCCATGGGCAAGCTCTATATACGTCCCTCCTTCTTTCGCAGCCCAAGCAATCTTAGATTGTATCGAAGAAGAAATTCCTTTAATTGTCACTATCACTGAAGGAATTCCCCAACACGACATGGTTCGTGTCAAAGACGCTTTAAAATCAAGCAAAAGCAGACTTATAGGGCCAAATTGTCCAGGAGTCATTAAACCAGGAGAATGTAAAATCGGAATTATGCCTGGCTATATCCATACTCCGGGAAAAGTCGGAATTATCAGCAGATCAGGGACTTTGACTTATGAAGCAGTTGACCAAACCACAAAAGAAGGCCTAGGACAGTCCACTGTTGTTGGAATTGGAGGAGATCCATTTAAAGGCTCTGACTTTATTGATGTTTTGGAAATGTTCATAAATGACCCAGAAACTGAATCTATTGTATTGATAGGAGAAATCGGAGGCACAGGAGAAGAAGATGCGGCTGCTTGGCTGAAAACATATAATGTTCAGAAAAAGCCTGTCGTTTCGTTTATTGCAGGAATTAGTGCACCGCCTGGAAAAAGAATGGGACATGCTGGAGCTATCATATCAGGAGGCAAAGGAGGAGCTGAGTCTAAAATCAAAGCGCTAGAGGATGCTGGGGTTGTGGTGACCAGATCACCTGCACAAATAGGGAAAACGATGAAAAAGCTAATGCAGGAAAGGGGATTAGTAGATTAAATAATATTTATGGCAAAATCAATATAATTTTTGGTTTATTTAAAAGAAAAGGCTTTTTAAAGTGAAATATAAATTTACTTATAATTATTCTTGCTCTAGCAGTTTATCCTCAAGCTTTCTTACTTCTTCTAATGTTTCTCTAAGGACTCCATGAGGGTCCTCCAATTTTAACTCAGGCAGTGGAGGAGCTGTATTTGGATCTGTAAAATACTTAGGTCTGCACTGCTTTACGACGTCATCGTCTTCAACCTCTGTGAATACCCCACATTTTGGAGGCTGCATATCATTTGATCCGAATTTTTTGTTAATATGAAATTTGCTAGGGGAATTTGGTTGAATGTTTTTATAATGTGATTGCATATAGGGGTTTTCCCCTAGATAGCCCTTACAGGGCTGTGGATTCTATCTGGACTCCTTTGGTTGATGGAACCAACAAGTGAGTTGTTCCGACCAAGTAGTGAGTTGGCTCCACCAACCAAAGATTCCGGACAGAATCCACAGCTCTGCAAGGGCTATCTAGGGGAAACCCCTATATCAAGAAAAGGTCAAATTTCAAAGGAAATGTCGTAAGATAAAACAAATTTCTAATAATTTCTTGAGCAATTGCTACACTATAGCCAGGACGGCAATTATTTCGCACTAAGTTAGCAACTTTCGCTGAGTTAGCCCAGCTCAATAATTTGCAAAACCAACTCGAGTTGGCAAACGGCAGACATATGCTCACTTGTCAACTCGTGGAGCTAGTTTGGCAATTTATGGAGCCGGATCAACTCCAGAGTTGCAGCGAAATTTGCTAGCCCAGGGCATTCTAAATACAGCTATGCCAAATGGTTTCGATAAAAAGCATGCACCATTTTGGGATATCCTCTACCCACTCCCCAACATAAATTTTACTTGTGCTTCCAAAATAAAAACTTCCTTGCCCATGCTTCATATCTTTCATCCAATAGCCTTCATACGAGTCTCCATTTGCCTTGGTAAAAATCCCATACCCATCTTTCAAATCATCAACCCATTGCCCTTCATAGATATCTCCATTGGCATAGATCATTCTTCCTTGTCCATGCTTTTTGCCATTCAGTCAAAATCCATCATATCTATCTTCATTATCATAAAAATAGCTCCCTTGGCCTGACATTCTGTCATCATTTCACTCGCCTGTATAAATTCTTTTATACTTATCCCCTTTTTTTGAAATCAGTTTCCACAACGTCCCGTTTCCATTTCTTTGATTAGCTTTTCAGCTGCCTTCATATTTATCTCCATTTGAATAATACATGATTCCATACCCTTCTTTAGCGTTATTATTCCACTCTCCTTCATATTTAGAACTATGAAACCATTTTTCGCCTCTGATTTTGCCATCTTCATCAGCTTGCCTTTTCTTTACCCAATAGACTCCTTTATGATTGCCGTTTTTTTGAGCCCTTTTATTATTAATCTTCCATAGCTGCTCTGGAGGTCTGGATTCTACTGACTCACCCTCTGTGAGCGAACAAAACCATTGGAATCTAGCTAATTCTTTTGAATTTTAAACAGCTTGCATTTTTAATACATAAAATTTGTAATTAAATTAATTTTTACTTCATAAAATTTATATATAAATTTTTAAAAAAATAAGCTCCTTTTTAAGTGAAGTAAATTTTTTGCTCACAGGGAGTGAGGCGCTTTCATTTTCTTCACTCATAATAAATAACGATTGCCATATTTAGAAAAGACCTTAAATTATTAGCAAGAAGTGAACTTTGGGTTGATGAAAACCGTCTGGTTATGAAGCGCATTGGAGTACTCTGAAATGACAGTTCTCCTCAAGTTAAATTTTTTGTCTGGCTCTTCACCGTTAAATTGTTCTTTGCAATGCTCAGCATGTGTAGTGGAGGTTAACACGTCAATTTTCCAGTCCTCGTTTTGGTAGGTGTTAGGTCTAAAAATGGTGTTGCTAACTCGGCTCATTTTTTCGATGTTCATCATTTCTTCTTTCGTTAAATTTTCAGGGTTGGAGTCTTCATAGAAGACTCCGACAGTACGCTTGTCTGGGTTGTGCCATGAATCTGATCTAGTAAACATTGCTGAAGTTTGCTTAAGGATCTCTTGTTTTCTTAATTCTTTTTCAGCTGGTAAAGGTCTCTTTAATGGGGAGTCTGAATCATCAGCTCCGTAAAATTTAGATAAACTTGTTTGGAATGCTTGCTCTTGTGCGAAGGAAGGGTCTTTCTCAGCTCTCCACTTTTGGTAATACTCCTTGTCCATTTTATTATAACTGATCTCGAAATAATTGAATTTCTTCTTAAATTTTGATTTGCTTATCACTCATATGAGTTGAGTTTGGGTATTTCAAGAGATTTGTGAGAAATTAATACAATGCTTTAAATAAAATAATTAAAAGTTTTATAGAGAGATTTTAAATTTTTTTCGAATTTGAGATTACACAGATGCCAAATTAATAAATTTGTTTAGTTGTAAACTTGAATAGAAGCATTTGCTCTTATTTGGAGTCATAATTTTCTGACAAATTAAACATTTTAGGAAAAAGTTATAAATCGATTTTTAGTGTATATTTAAGATTGAGTCTCTGAGTCACAAAGATATTCTTGCATTTCCTCCAATATTTCTCTCTTTTTATCGACAAAAAACCATTAATTTCTTGATAAATTAACAGCACTGACTTTTGCCTTAATAAATAGGGAATATATCTGTAATTTAATCTCCTTCTAAATTAAAACAAAATTTTTAATTTTAGAGGTAAAAATAATTATTTATGTGGCAAAACGAAAATTTACCTATAACTGCTCAATTTTAGATGAGAAATACCATTAATATTTAAATTTTTTTTCCAAAAATTCGAATAGTTTTTTTGCTTCAATTTAAAGGGAGTTAATAAAAAAAAATGGACCTAAATCTAAATCAAGCTGACTGCTCTTCTCAATCTCAAATTTTACCACTAGCGCCGCTTTTACTTGAAGAAACTTCAAATGAATTCTGCTTTAATTACTATCAAAATTTTTACTATAAGAGCCTGACAGAAATTTCAGATGAGCGTAGCCTGATCCCGTCAGATAATGAAGAAACCTTTCAATGCAACATCTGCTTTGCAGATTTTTCATGCAAAAAAGGCTTGAGCCAACATATAGGTAAAATTCATTCGACATCTGATAAAAAGGCATTATGCAAACAATGCAGTAAGAAGTTCAAAAATGAGAATGCTCTAAAATCACATATTCTCATTGCTATATATGAAAATTTATATGCAAACATATTGTATAATTTTTATGTAAGAAAATAAAATAAAATTTGTCAGTCACCCATATAAAAAAGCATATAAAACAAGTACACGAAAAATCAACCAGAGTTCCATGCAAAAAGTGTGGCCAGCTAATATATAATAAATATATGATGAAAGCGCACATGGCCCGGGAGCATCCTGCTCAGGTAAATATATAGAGGGTTTCCTCTATATAGCGCTGAAAGCGCAGACATTTTCCCAGGAGCTTTCCAAGTTCGTCGGACCAAATCGCTTTTTGGTCCGACCAAGGCATTGATTTGGTGCAACCAACCGATAAATTCCGATCAGAATTTATCGGCCTTACAGCGCCAAACATAGGAAACTTCTATAAGTTAACTATTTTGTACAAAAATAAAATAGTCAGTAATTTTAAATTCTTTTTTAGCTGTTACATTTTTGTTGACTTACAATTATAAGTTGGTACAAATATTGACCCAAGTTATTTTGAATTTATATATCTCTAAGGAATGTTATAATGAATTCTGAGGGAATTTCTTAATTATTTTATCACCAAATTATAAGTCCGCTGACAAAAATGAAAGACTGCTAAGAAGACAAGCCAAGCTAAGAAATTACAATCATAAACCTTTTCTAGAACTATTTAATAATAAATGAAACATTGCCCTTAAGATGATAGAAATTTATATATATCTTTTAAGTGTTTTTAATAGCTCCCCTTCCGTGAGCGAATTAAAACATTGGAAATATTTCCTTTTTTTTTGGTAAAACCCCATTCTCCGACACATCAAAAATTTTTTCATATAAAAAAAATTATGAAAAAACTTTCAATATATAAGTGATAATTAATATATGAAATCTTTTGATTTTTGAACAACTGTGCTTTAAAACATAAATACGCAAATAAATTAAATTGCTTTATTCAAATAGATTTTTTTAAAATTTAGAAAAAAAATTACTATAAAATTTATATATAAAATTTTAAAAAAAAAAATTAATCCCCCTTACTTGAGTAAGATAAAAAATGAGTCTTTTAAGAAGCAGATCATTGAGACCTCAATCTTTAGTAATTCTACCAGGCAACGACAGATTAGTTCGAAATCAGCCTGACTCTCTTTCAAATAAAAGGTCTGCAGTTGAAAACTTATTAAACTTAGTTAGTTCTAGCTATTCCGACTGAAAAGACAGCTTTGCATTTTTAGATAAAAGAAAAAGGGGCTGGGTAAGTGATGCAGAGCTTAAAATGATTTTTTATAGGCACGAATTTAATGCAGATACTACTGCATACCAAGAAATATTCAACGCATTTGCTAACGGCAATACTTTCAATTACATCAGATTTCTCGAAAATGCGAAATCCAAAGCTCCTTCAAAAAATTCCAACGACATTAAGCTTCTTCAACGAAAACTTCAAGAAGTCATTGAAATCCGCGGAATTAGCCCTACAATGCTATTTCTTCAGTTCGATGTTAACCAAAATTCAAGAGTGAGCTCTGATGAAATTACGAATTATTTCAGAACTTTAGGATTAAAAATTTCTAGAAGGGATATGAAAAATTTAGTTTCTCAATTTACGTCTGATCCTAACGGGCTTAATTATAACCAATTTGTTTCACTACTTTTGCCAGGGTCAAATCAAAAGTCTGAGGGGCAAAATAATTTGATTTTTGAGCTAGCAATTTTGTTGCTACCTATGCAGTATGATCTGCTTGAGCTGCTGAAAACTCAAGATCGCTATGAAACTGGGATACTAAATAAGCAAGAATTTGAAGCTGCAGTTATACATGTTCTAGCGTTTTTTACAAGCCAAGAGCTTAGTTTACTATTCGATGTTTTAGACAAAGACCAGACTGGAAATATTAGCTATAGAGATTTATGAAGCTTAATAGAAAGCATCTCAGCAAGACTCGAAACTCTTTCAACTGAAGAAAAAAACGTTCTTGAGGAGTCAGCATGAAACCGCCCCTCAATACCAAACTAGCTAGTCTTGGTAATAAGAAATATAAGAGATAATTCAGTATTTGTGCTTCTTCCATTATTTTACGTTATTTCATATCTCTGTTTAGAGCAGTGATATGAAATAAAATATTAAATATATGGGTAAACATACTATGTTTAATATTAAATAATTTTAGAAGGGCAAGTACAGAAGTATCTCTTATATTTCTTATTATCAAGACTAGCGAGTTTGGCATTGAGGGATGAGTGGGGGTGAGCTTTATGTTTGGCCACTTGAGCACTTTAAAGATGAATTTTTTGACGAGACTGACAAAGTTGACAGATATTTAAGAAGATCTGATGCAGACAGCGATGGTCTCATCACAATTGAAGAATTTTCTCAAGCTCTACAAAGGCTTGGCGTAGCCTTCGAAAGAAATAAAATTGACCAGATTTTCAAAACTCTTGACTCCAAAAAAGCCAATAAAATCTCTACATTAGAGGTCTTAAGAGCCATCCAAAAAGGTATTTGGGAATCTCCATAATTTAACTTACTCCCACCCCCTCCGTGAGTGAACAAAACCATTAGAAAAATCCCTATTTTTTGCCAAAAAAACCCACCCTCCATGAGTGAACAAAAATTTTTTTATGGAAAAAAAAATAGATATATAAGCGATAATTAGTATAATGAAATCTAGAGCTAATTCTGTTTAATTTTAAACGAATTGCTTTTTAAAACTTAAATTTTATAAATTAAATTAATATTTGCTTTCCAATTTTTGCGAATTAGGAATTTTTTAAATTTCGAAAAAAAAAAATTTTTTTTTATATAATTTTTTTTTATATATTTTTTTTATATAATTTTTTTTATAAAAAAAAAATTTAACCCCCCTCCGTGAGTGAACAAAATTTTTTTGTTCACTCACGGAGGGGTGGGGGGAGTTAATAAATTCTAGCACAAGATTTTAATATACAATAAGATGCTTAACACTAATGGAAGACAAAGGAATTTAAACACACTGATGCCAATGCAGCTAAAAGGACAAGGACTTTCAAGAATCTCAAGCACTTGCACAGACGAGAGTACTAATAGTTTTTTGGTAGAAATTGACTATAATCATGATGTTGATGGAAAAATAAGAGATGAAATTGATGCAAGATTTAATCGATCCCCGACAAATGCACATTATAAGTTCCCAAGAGAAAAAGAAAAAATCATAAGGCAGCTGCCTGTAATTAATTACCGATCCTTAGCCCGAGAAAAAACAATTGAAATTAATCGTAGAAAAGATTCGCTGAATAACAGTTCTCATAGGATGGGAAATATAATCTTAAGCAAATATATACGCATTCAACGTCCACTGCCAGGTTGCTTGACCACAGCTACCTCCAACACCGCTCTGGGGCGAATTTCGCGCCATTTTTCTCAGGCCCTACAAAGGTGCGGCCACCTCCAGCTTTGATCACCGAAAGAGGATGCCAGTCTTGAAGTTTGTTCTTCGACGACTCTTATTTGAGCTAAAGCACTTACTTGGATTTTTCAGGCACCCTAAAGGTCCCAGTTTGCAACGTCTGGGGTAAATGGCACCCTTCTGGAAATTCGATTCCCTAAGGTCAGGAGTCCAGTAAGAAAAACCTTCCAGCTCTTGCTTCCCTGGCATAGCCGGGATAATTTGGCCAGAGGAAATCAAACCTCATAATTAAAATATGCAAGAGATGAATTTTCGGTTGGGAGACCAAAATTTAAAATGACGCCATATTTTAACTATGATAGGAAATATAACAGAATTTTTAAATAAAAGCCTTAAAAGCAGCTCGCCGACAAGAATGAAAAAATCAAGCCCAAGAAATAGAATTGGAAAGACCCCAAGTCCATTATCAACTGTCCTTTTTAATTTAGCGCCGATTACCTCAGCCACACCTAGCAGTTTGACATCAAAACATAGAAATAAACACTCAGGATTCCAAAAATTGCCCAAAGAGTTCCGGCATAGTGTTAAATCTCCAAGCCCAGCTCCTATACATTTGTATTCTGTAAGTCCAGATCTTAAGAAATTATAAATAATTTAATGTAATTATTTCTTAAGACTTAATTAATGGCTTAAAACTCCCAATGGCTAATTTTTGGTATTTGTGTTCCTAGTAAAATGTTTTTTATAATTGTAAAATTCAGAAGATTCGCAGCAACTAGTTTTAATCTTGAGGTAAAATCATAAAAAATTTTGGAAATTGGGACTTTTTGGGTGTGCAATTTCATATAATTTGTAGGAAAATAGACATTTATTGGTGTTTGGACCATCTCGAAGTAAACTGATCTAGTGAAATATGTGGGATAGATAAAGTAAGCCCAAAGCAAAAAGCAGGGAAAATGATTTAAAAAGATCAAGGCGAACGTTAAAATAGTTTGGACGAATTGGACACTTAATCAGATACTTACAAAACACAAGTAATACATAGCAATTGTAGGATACAGGAAAATTAAGCCAGTAAAAATAAGAGTTCCTAATAAAATTTCGTCAACTGAATAATCCCCTTTGTCGATTCTCTACATAACTTTTACCCCTTTTAATACGTTCTTTTTATTTCCAATTATAAGCCTACACAAAGAATGGATAATTTGTATCTGCAGACTATAAACTTGCCCAACAAATACATAAATATAATGTCTATATAATATTTACATATGCAAAGTGCAAAAATCTACTAAATCTGATAATAGAGCTGTTTGGAAACTGACACCAAAAACGCCGAATATTGCAAAAAGCTGCACTATTTCAGGCTCAAATTTTGTTAGAAAGGTAGTTACATAGTTTCAGGAGTCTATAAGGATTAAAATGTTTTTGCCTATTGTGTTGTCTAATGCCTCGTTTGGCTTAAAACCTGCAGGAAGGCCCATAAGTCAGGTAATTTCTGATTTTAAGACCTCGATGTGGACTGTTGAGCCCAATGTGTGGAAAACTAATAGGGTGTCTGAAGCAAAGTGGTGCAGGAGAAGCAGCAAAAATATACCGATCAACCAATCAAAAACTGCTTGCATTACTATTGCTCGGGAGGTAAGATAATCGTTTACAAATCCTCTTGCTAAATATGGACATGGGTATTTTGGCTTGATTGCCATATCATTTAATTCCCAGGTGCTCAAAATATTTAATCTTTTGCTTAAATGCCAAAAAAGTTTGCTTTTAATTGGCAGATCGCTGATCCCTTTTTGGATAATTGGAATTTTACTATATAAAAATTACAAATTATAAATCGCCAGTATAAATTCCCCTAAAACTTGAAAAATTAGCATAATGACTACGCATCCTGAATAGAACGAGCTTTTGCTTCATTTTCCTGCAGGAGGCGGCTCAAGTTCTAGCTTTGTTAATATTCTTTTTTCAATAAATGCACACCGATTAATCTGATTGCATACAAGCTGTAGAGTAGAGGGTTCCATTTTCTGCAGTTTTTGTGGCTGGTTTATGAGTTTTCTGTAAAAAATTTCTGGACAAAGCATATTGCAAGTGTCTATATTAACCTTTGAGTTGTCATAAAATATTATGTGGGCACTAGCTTTATATCGATATCCACAACAATGAAGATCCATAAGTCTAATGCAATTAGATTCCACAGTAGCAGAAAATCATATATCAGAAACCGCTCTTTTCTCAATGGCTTCTTGAGGTTCTTGTGTTCCAGCACTCACAATTCCTAGAACCTCTACCTTTTCTCCGATTTGCTTAAGTGTATTTTCTATTTTAGCCAAAGGAAGATCAAGGACAGTTATGATACAGCAAACAAAGCCTCGAATAGACCAGCCTATTATATAGCCTTCTTTATTTTGACATTGTGTAGGCCAATATAGTTGTGTAAGTGTTGATGCCTTCATTTATGTCTAAACTAAATTGACTTTTCATTAAAACTCTAAAGCATCAAATATAGAAAAATCCTTAATCCTCAGAAAACAAATAAGCGATAGTGACAGTATAAAAAATTTAATTTTGAAGCAAATTTTAATCCTTTAAATTTTTTTCATTGTAAAACACTAAAACTAGTGGTTTAACTTAATCGTTGCAAATTGGAATTCAAATTAAAAAAAATAATAAAACTCTTTGCATGCTCTGAAGGGAGAGTCATGATATTATTTAATATAAAAAAAAAATTGAATTGGGATACTATAAAACTTTGCTTCATTTAAATATAGAGTAATTAATATGGAATGCCCTATATGCTCAGAGCTATTCAACGAAGGAGATAATTGTCCTCGTTTGCTGCGATGTGGTCACACATGCTGCGAATTGTGCTTAAATCAGGTTATTGACGAAAATCAAATAACATGCCCAACATGTCGAAGTATTTCAGTAACAGCAGGAACTTCAAGTTTACCAAAGAATTATACAGTTCTTGAGTTCATAGCAAATACTAAATCTGCTGAACTCGTAAACTGAGCAAAATCAAAGCTTCCAAGTCAATGTCAAGAGCATCCTGAAGAAAATGTTATCAGATATTGCATTGAAGATTCTAAGCCAGTTTGCGCTGAGTGTATTTTATTGCTCAGATTTTTTATAAATTTTTTTAAAAAAAAATAAAACAATATTTTTTATGGCGAATTTTATTGCATAATGGACATAAGCTAGTTAAATTAGACGATCCAGTCCTAGAACGAAGATATGAGGTTAAAGGGCTCATAGGAAAAGTTGAAGAAATGCTAGATACAGCTCAGAAAAAAGAAATCGAAATTGAGAATAGAAGAGAGCAACTAACTCAGTCAACAGAAAAAGAATTAGGGAGAATTGATGGATATTTTGCTAGAATTTATGATAAACTGGAGCAGAAAAAACAATTTTTAAAAGAAAAAATAGAAGAAGAGTCCCAAACTTGTGGGGTGAGACTGCAATCAGATTTAGACGAAATTTCACAGTTTGTTATACAAGTTCAACAATATTTGGAAAATTTAAACACTTTAAATACAAAAATCGAATCAATGAGTCCGTTGGAGCTTACTAACTCCAATTGATCCCATACAATAACTTCAAGTAAGCGCGAAGTGCACCTGCTTCTCTCCCAATGCCAAAAAATCTCTATGATTGATTCTACTTCAGTCATATCCTCACGAGCACTTTTTAACCCAAAGCCATTGGAGCAAGAAATAAATAAATTCGGGATGATTTCTGCTGGAGTCGATTTTAACAACCCTGCCATTTATTGTTTTGGGACTCAAAACACTGTCCTTAAATTTAATTTAGCCACTCAGCGCTGGTCTCAAACTGTTATATTAGAAACAAACGGCTACGATTTCAAAAATTTTGCCTCAGCCGCCGCTCTTCCTAATGGAAGCATTTTAATTACAGGAGGCACAAAATCTAACGAAGTCTACGAATTTAAGGAAAATCGTATGATAAAAAGAAACAGCATGCTGCATGTAAGGTCATCTCATAATGCTGTATATTTTAATGGTTTTGTGTACTGTATAGGTGGGTATAATGGCTCATCCTGGCACGATAAATGTGAAAAAATTTCTATAGAGACCTTTGATACTTTACCTATTGCAAGCTTAAATTATAGAAGATGCGCTTTCAGCTCTACCATATCAGGGAATGATATATATGTATTTGGAGGGTATGATGGCACGAAGTATTTGGACAATATTGAAAGATACAGCGTGATTAAAAATAAATGGGAAACTTTTGCATATGCATTAAAATGGCGTGGTGAATCAACTACCCTCTGGAGCTGATATCCGAAAGGTGCAGGGAACCTTGAGGAAGGAGGCTGGCATTCGATATATTTTATCCGGCTAAGTTTTACTTGGTTTGGTGAAGCGCTATGCCGTGTGGTCGACTGTAGGCCTTACTCAAATACCAAGTTTTTACTTCAGAGGGAGATGGGTCCAGAAGTTGGAAAGGGCTTCCCAGAAGTGTCAATGGCGTTCGTCTTGACCAATCGGGACTGTTCCCCAGCGTAAAACCAGGAGTTACGCTCTGGGCTACGAATTTAGAGTCGACCACGAAATTCAACACTTTTGAATTTTCAATGGTGGGCAGCCCTGTGACGACAGCATGGCGACCCAAACTTTCTGACTACCAAGGAGCAGGCCTATGTCTGGTAGGAGCAAGACTTTTTAGATCGTGTTACGATTTTCGGCAAAGCAGACGAGTGGAGCCTTATGGAAGGGGAAAAGGATCTTCGGATGCCAACAAGGAGCTTTTCTATAATCTAATTGAGTGTAATTTTAAGGGAAACTTTGCCTTGCGTTTTGCATAGGCCGCTTCAAAACACTGGGGCTGCTTATTATTCTGACAATAAAATTATGATTGCGGGAGGATATAACGAAAAAGGAACACTCAATGTAGTAAGAAGCCTAGATTTAGAGACCTTAGAATGGACTACATTGGCTAGTATGGCACATACAAGATACCTTATGAATAAATTCCATTTTTGCTCTGGCTGCGTATTTGCTATCGGTGGGTCTGCCCAAGGGCAAAATATTGAATATTACAGCATTGCAGAAGGCAAGTGGACATCCACTAAACCATATAAAGATTTCACAGAAGACACAATGTACAAATGGGCTGCTGTCATAACTCAAGACTCCGAAGTCCCACGAGGTCCTTAACCTAATTAGAAAACAATTAAATCTAATTTCTATTAGAATTCCCTAACTACCCCCTCAATGAACGAACAAAAAACTTTTTATGGAAATAAATTTGATATATAAGTAATAATTATTATAATCAAATCTCTAGCTAATCTGCTTAATTTTAAACAAATTGCGTTTTTAAAATTAAAATAAATTTGTTTAAAATTTTCAAATAAAATTTTACCCCCCCTCCGTGAGCGAACAAAAAAATTTTGTTCGCTTACAGAGGAGTCCCTAAGAAATCTGAAAGGCCTTTTGTTTTTACACTCAATTCTGCGGCCTTTAGTCGCAACACAAGTCAAGGAAACATAAGTCCCTTACTCTTGAGCACTCAAAGTTGGAACCCCATTCCCAAGCGTGCCCTGGACAATCAAATAAGGTCAGCCCAGTAGCCTGTAGGCCCAGCACGTGTAAAAATGGCTGCAGCTATGGTGCGGCCATCCCTTAGCAGATGTTAAGTAGGACGCTCAAATCTCGATTTCTTTGAGTTAAGTATATTTTCCTGAAAGCACTTTGGTTCACACCTTTTTCGGATAATTAAATATAGGTCTCTCAGCGCTTCGTGGTAGGCCATGCCAACTTTCTTCGAGCACATATTTAATTATATCCGATAAGATTTTGACATGGACGGTAATTCTAGATAAACAGTTCTTGGTGTATCAGAGCTAGCCCAATTTCGCTTTCAAGGATGGGTTTTACATCAAGGAGAAGGGTGGCACGGAAGTTGGAAAGGGGTCGTCCAGGAATGTCTACAGACAGCCTAGATCAATTGACTTCACCAGCGTGAAACCAGGAGTTACGCCCTGGACTATGTGTTTTCCCTTTTTGCTGAGACTCAACCAGAAATTCCATTTTTTTTTATTTATGTGTGGACAATCCTTGCTTCCCGCCCAATAGCCTCTAGCAAAGCCGCACAAACCGAAGACTACCTGCTTAACACTGAAGCCGAAATACAAGGAGGAGACACTGCCATCCCTGGTGGAAGACATGGCTGCAAAGCTGTTAACCTCCCGTCTCGGACTCCTCAGTGATTGCGTAAAAATTATAGCGAGAGCCTGTCTATTAATAATTTAAGTTAAGTTCCTCCTTTTTCGCCCTTTTGGATTATGGTTTTATAAACCATTAAAGATGCCAAAGAAGCGTAGGAATAATGGAAGAAGCCTGAAGAACGCTGGTCACGGAACTCCAGTTCACTGCACACACTGTGGTAGAATCGTTCCAAAAGACAAAGCTGTAAAGCGCTACACTGTCAGGAACATGGTCGACGCCTCATCTCTGAGAGACATCAAAGATAACAGAGCCATTGAGAATTTCGTCATTCCTAAGTTCTATCTTAAGCTCGCTTACTGCATTGCATGCGCAATTCACCACAGAATTGTAAGAGTCAGAAGTCACGAGTTCAGAAAAATACGTAAAGTCCCAAGAGTTTTTGTCAAAAGAGAAGAGGACAAGCGTCCAGCCCAAGCAGCCAAACCACAAGCAGCACCAGCAACCACCGAAGCTGCTCCAGCAACCACTAGCGCTTAATCTTAGATAAGACAAATTCTATTAATTCTTCTGGTAAAAGAGTGGTGGAAGTATTAAATTTTTGAGATTGTAAAAATAGCTGAGATATAGAAAAGATCAATGCTCTTGCAATATTTTATAAGAGAATTAGTTGAACTTATCGCCAATGTGAGAAGCTTGAGAATTTTTTTAGATCTTTTGTCACATCAATTGTTTGCAAATTTAGTTAGTAGGTTAACTTAAGGAAAAAATGTGCAAAAAGATCGCAAACTTCGAAAAGAAGTTGAAGATATATAGGATTTTTCAATTCCGAAATTCATATAAACTCATATATTAAAGAAAATAAATTGAAATTAAAATCAGAAAAAATTAATTTATGATATAAATTTTTGAATCTCAAACAATAAGACCCATTACAAAGTCACTTAGATTGGGCTTTCTATCTCTAAATCGACAATTAAAGCTTCCTGAGCTGTTTGGAATATAAATGGGGTGTGGGTCATCAAACGAACCTAAAAAGCAGCCGGAAGGCTTAGTCGTAACCAGCGACAACAAAAAAGCTCTAAATCTCGATGCCAAAGTAGTTCTATTAGGAGATTCTGGTGTTGGGAAAAGCTCAATCGCAATGAGATACGTAAATAACACATTTTCCGAAGCATTTGAAGTTATAGGAGTTTTCCCTATATGGCCCGATAAGGGCCGTGGGTTCTCCGTGGAATCCCTCTGCTGGTTGAGCCAACCAGTGAATTGGTCAAACCAACGCACTGAGTTGGTTTGACCAACAGAGGGATCCCACAGCCCTTATCGGGCCATATAGGGAAAACTCCTATACTATTGGAGGAGGATATCTTCAGCAAATAGTCAGGCTTAAAGACGGCTCCAGTTTAAAACTCGATATTTGGGACACAGGCGGCCAAGAACGATTTAGAGCTCTCCTGCAGCTTTACTACCGAGATGCAAATGCTGCTCTTATCACATACGATGTTACCAACGAGCGTTCCCTTGAAAGCTGTGAATACTGGGTCAACGAATTAAAAAACACTGAAGAAAACTGCATTTTATGCCTTGTAGGAAATAAATTAGACATCCCAGCCCCTGAACGAAAAGTTGACGCGAAAAAGGCTGAAGCTTTCGCAATAAAGCATGGGATGGTCTGGTTTGAGACTTCAGCTAAGACTGGAGAAAATATCAACAAACTGTTTGAAAGAGTAGCACAAGAAATAGTGAAAAGAAAAACTGAAGGATAATCAATTATTATAGATATTATTGAGTTGTACATTTTTCGCCACAGTGTTCAGCGTAAGCATCAGAAATAATGCTCCTGAGCTCTGAAAGGTCTTTTCTGATTATAGCGGTAATTTCTTTGCATTGGTCAAGAGGCTCCCCTGTGACTTCTTGGATCTGTTGAGCAACGCAAAGGATAATAGATAAATCTACTCGTTGGCCAGTATGCATTATGCTTACTACTCGTACAAGCTGAGTCAGCTCTAGCATTATTTTAAACAATTCGCTGGCGAGGTCTCTTGCTTCGCCTCGTCCGCTGCATTCTTTTTCTAATTTCATCTGTGCCAGCTGCAGCTTCAGCTCACTGTTTTCTTGAATTAATTTATTTTGTATTTCTTCGATTTCAGTAAACTGTTTTTCTATTTTATGCATTTCTTCATAAGTGATATTTCTGTATTTTAAAACTTTCATAATTTTCATTTCTTTGTTGTAATTAGAAATAGCTTTTACCATACTTCCTTGTTTTGTCTGCAGTTTGGAATTTATTTCATTAAGGCTCTCAATTTCTTTTTTCAAAGCTTCCAGCTTATTATCTCCTTCTTTTAAAAGATTTAAAAGCCTTTGTGTTTCTTTTTCTAATTTTTCAATGCATTCTTTTTGGTTTGTGTTTAATTGCTCTTTCAATCTTTCGCATTCTGCTTCTTTTTCTTCAAGTTTTTTCTTAATTTCTTTTAATTCTCCATTAGAAAGCTGCTCTTTTAAATTTTTTATAAGGATGTTTTTTTCGTGCAGCCTTAAATTGAGATCGACAATTATTGAGTCTTTTTTTGTTAATTCTGATGTGTAAGCTGAAGCTTTGGTTTGGGAATAATTTAAAGCTGAATATTCATATTTTACAGGAGAATTGCATTTTAACTCGGAAAAGCTGAGGTTGCTGCTTAGGCTTTCAGATTTTTGGTGGAAAGAGGCACGGTGTTTTGGGGTTAGACCTGCAGATGTTGTGGCTGATGAGTCTGGGGTTATAAAGGAATTTTTGGAGGATCGAGGCAATGCAATTGGGATATATGCTCTTGATGTGGATTGAGACAAAGTTTTAAAAGGTTTCGCAGTTTCGTTAAAGCTATATTTTCGAGGAATTCGTGATTTTGGGCTGTGTGGGTTTGGGTTTGCTTCTGTCATTTACAAAATATATTATGGCGAGTTCCAATAAAAGCTAGAAATTTGCAACAGGTCAAAAATTTTAATTAAAATAAATTATTATTATTATTATAATAATTTCCTTAAATAATTGCTGTTAATAAAATAAAATAGATCATATGACTATTAACTATGGTGAGAAAATTATAAATGAGTTTATGTATTCATAATCAAAATATGGCGTCATTTGAATATTCTGTTCTCCTGAACAGAATTCTCCTGAGCAGAAATTCTCCCTTTGGCCATTTTGATTATGAGATTTGGCTTCACCAAGTGAATTTATCCCGGCAATGGTGATGTAACATGCCCAAAGGTCCGAAACCTTGGACAACCATCCATTAGAGAATTCGAAATTTTCTGAAACTGTGCCAACAACCCAGGCGTTGTAGACTGTGACCTTTAGTGTGCCTAATCGGCGCAAGTTGCTTTTACCCGAGAGCTTTCGAAATTCGAACGCCTAAAGCTGAAGGACTATTCAGATCAAGATCAAGTGGCAGACAATGTGCTGTTGGCGGGGAACCTCAAAGTAGGAGTGGAAGCCTGTCCAGCTGATGAGGTATTGGACGTTAAACGAAAGTGAAGTATAGCTAATTAAGTTTATTTAAGAATTTATTTTATGCATTCAAGCTGACATAATATATATTAAAAGCAATTTAAATTTATTTTCATTATTATATTTAAAACTTGTTACTGAATGCAAACTTTTAATTACACATGTAATACTATGCTATACAATTAAATAAAAATATTTTAAAGCCTGCTATCTATTTTCTGTAGAAATTAATACTGATCTTATTATTATTTCTATCCATCAAACTTTCAGCATAATATTTTTTTTATATCGATATTTAAATGTCTAAAAGAGTCCAAAATGAGCTCACCCCAAGCATAGAGCAAGGTAATTTTGAAAGAGTCTGCAATTTATTAACCAAAGCGAATATTGAAGAAAAGAATCATATTGGCTGCACCCCTCTTGCAGTTGCAACTAGATCAGGACATTTAAAAATCGTTGAATTACTTATAAAAGAAGGTGCCAATATTAATGCAGTCAATGATGTAATTATTACACAGTAGGCAGGGCAAAGCATTCTTTTTATAGCTTGCTGACACAATCATAAGGACGTTGTAGAATTACTAATAAATCAAGGTGCTATTGTGGATCAGCCTGATCAACGTGGATGAACTCCATTAATTATAAGCGTTTACCACGATTATACAGAAATTGTTGAGTTATTATTGCAGGCTGGAGCAGATATAGAACATCAAGATTCTGTAGTTTTTATATAGTTTGGGAAGAAGGCAATTGACAGAGCAAAAAATGTGGAGATAATTTCGTTACTGAGGAAATATTCAGAAAGTGAAAAATTCGATAAAAAAGTACCTTTATCCTTGCCTGGCACCCCGTATTCAATTTCTACGTTACAAGATCTCTTAAGGCCTAAAAGCAGAGATAGCTTAATAAATCGAGAATACGAGCATCCACAAAAGCCATTAAATTCATCTAGCTTAGAGGCAAGACAGCCTACTCCTTTAAAACAAAAATCTACTCGTTTTGAAATACCAGAAAATCCAGTAGACATTCTGGAAAATGACGAAAAAGGATTCTTGGATATGGACTATAAAATAAATGAGCAACTTAATCAAGCAATAGATGTCCTTCAGCAAGAAATAGAAGCTCTAGTCAATAGATCTTCAAGAGAATTATTTATAAATCTCAAAGAATATGTATTTAAAACTGTCGAAAACCTATTAAGCAGTAGAAACTATAAAATTTCAACGTCTAAAATTCAAGTTGATTTTTCTGAAAATTTTGAGTTTAAAGATCAGCTTGTAAATATTTCTACTTATAGGTCACAATATAGCGAAGAGCCATGATATTCAAGTAATAATCAAGATAAAAGAATTGACGCGATTAAAGAAGATCTCTATAGAAATGTGAATAAGCATATTGGAGAATTAGACAATAAAGTAAATGAGCTTTCTGGGAATCATATAAGCCTAGAAGTTAAAAATAGGATTTTTGCAGTTAAAAATGCAATAAACTCAGAGCTGAGTCAATATTTGCTATATTTAAGTGGCAGAGTAAAAAATATTCTTGAGGAGATTGCATCAGAAAGGATTAAGGAGATATGTGAAGACAATAAGGCTGCTTTTCCAACATATGGGAATAAAATAAACAAATCAAGCACTTCGTCTGTTGAGGATTATGAAATCGCTGAATCTTTAAAAATTCCGAAACATCGCTGAAGTGGGCATAAAGAAAAAAGTGAATCTCAAGGGTTTTCTAGTGGATTTTTAAGCAATTTTTCACAAGACTTTACAAAATATAAAAACCCTCAGATGTCTTCTGCATTTCAAAATGATGAATTAAGTCAAAGCTATTCGAAAGAAACCTTGAGAGCGATTACCCCAGTTAACTGATCGAAATATTCCAATGGGGATTCCAAGCATGCTCCGCCCTCAACCAACATTGCATCAGCACTGCAAGGATTTTTAAACTTTGAAGAAAAATTTGGAAAATAATTTTAAATTATTAAATAAACACTGGGCATTTATATTTATTTCTTATTACAGAGACTAAAAGCATCCTTTAATTGCTATTATATTCAGCTTATATATAACAGCACTTTAGTCTATAATTAGGAATAAATATTTATTTTTTACCATACTATTATTATCTACACTATTGGCCATCATTATTAATTAACCTCACATTTGAATGCCCATGCCATAGTCTAACCTTATCTTGAACACTTCCATCAGAGCTCCTCAAGGTTTCTAGCTCCTGCAGTGCATTTATTAAATGGTCTCTATGCTCTTCTTGTTTATAAGTGTACCCAATAAAATCAAAATCTTTCCTTAAGCTCCTTTCTGTTGGCTCTGGATAAAACGGCTCATCTTCTTTAAAATTTTCAAAATTTCTGGTATCCACTTCTCCCACAACTTCAGGGATATAAGGAGCTCTTACATTTCTTAAATTATCCCAATTAATTCATATACATAAAATGGCTGACGGCGACCGACCCACGATCTCAGTGGTGGTTACCCATGTATATCCGGGCATGGTTTTTTGGAGCCAGGAGTTAGCCCAACAACGTCTGGGACCTCGAAGCGAGAGGCCTAAGCGCGAAAGCCGCTATTTTTGCGACCAGACCCATGGGCAGTTACTCGTGACTTCTTTTTGCCAGTAGCGCTCAGCCCAGTGAGTGCCCGAAATGAGGCAGGGCGACTTACCTGCCTAAGCTGCTTTTGTGGCTCGCCCCGAATGGCGAAAGCTGTTGAGTTCTTACTCGGGATGACCGGAAAAGAGGGGAAGGCCAGTTAGACAACTAAACGGGGGTCTCTCCAGTTGACAAGGTGCCCTTCAATGGGTAGATCTGGCGGACGACGCGGCAGTGTGTTGGCGTAAACTTAGGCGACGACCCAAGTTGGAAATGGAGGCGGTCAGCGAAGCCGGTATAAGACGGCCCTTGACATTGCCTCTACCGAGAAACCGGGGGGTTTCGGCCCGGGCTTGGTGAACGCTCTACCACCACACGGGAAACCGTGGAATGCTTCCTCGGACGTAGTAGGGACCTTAAATACCCAGCGTAATCTAATCTAATCTAATCCCAATTAATTCCATTAAAGAATGGATGGGATTTTATTTCACTAACACCTCCATTCCCCAATCTATCATTTTTATCTCTCAAAAGCCTTAATATTAAGTCAGCAGCTGCAGGGCTTACATTTGACTCAGGAGGGATTCTTAAGGTTTGCCTCCAATGCATGATTTTTTGGCATGTCGTAGAGGCATCGTCTGAGTAAAATGGAGGGTAGCCTACAAGCATTTCAAATAAAATGACGCCGACTGACCACCAATCTACAGCTTCGCTGTAGCCTTGCTGATTAAACACTTCAGGAGCAATATAATCTGGAGTCCCTACAGTGGAAAATGCTAAATGCCTTTGTCGCTTGAAATTTGGCTTTTCACAAGATATTGTTACAAGGGAAGGCTGAGGCAAATCTGGATCTTCTTGAGATCGAATTAATGAAAAGCTTGAAGGGATGACTTCCTAAATAAAGATTACTGCAAATGTGCATAGCCCGAAATCAGAAAGCTTTATATGGCCAGTTGGGTCCAATAGGACATTATCTGGCTTGAGATCTCTATGAATATAATTCAACTGATGAGCTGAGTCGACAGCTAGTATAATCTCTGCAATATAAAACTTAGCCTCAGCTTCTGATAAAATATCTTTTTTCATCAGCAAAGTCATCAAATCTCCTCCTGGCAAATATTCCATGCAGAGATATAAATAATTTTCATCTTGAAATGAGTATAATATTTAATGCTAATAAATGATTTATCTAATGCCAATATTTTTTATTTAAAAAAATCTAATTAAAGCATTCAATCTTTCTAAATCTCATATTTCAAATTGACAATCCAATCATTATTCGCCCTCGCCAATATATCTCTTTCCGCCTTTATATGTTTGACTTGGTTTTTAAATTTCATTTCTGATTTTTTCATTTTTTTCATTGCTACAATTTCTCCTGTCGCTTTAACCCTGCACAGTCTGACTTCTCCATAAGCGCCTTTTCCAATGATTGCAATTGGCTCAAAATCGTGAACCGTGATTTTCTGGCGTTTGATTCTTAAATCTTCAGCTTCTTGGTGAAGGATTTCTTGTTTAATTATTTCTTGTTCAGTCCCAGAAAGGCTCATTTCTTCCATTCGTTTTTTCAAGAGTTCTCATCTGCATGAAAATTACTCAGTTCGCTTCTTCTGTTCTTCAGATTTCAGGCGATTAATTTTTTGCTCGATGTAGGCTTTGGCTGTTTCTGCACGGAGACGAGTAGAGGTGGAGATTGTATCTTCAACTGGTTGATTTTCCATTGTAATTTAATTTAGGTTGGATAGGATGGTTATAAATATGAAGAATTACGAAAATAAGGTAGATATAATAAGATATTTTCATAAAAGTAACTAGGAAATTTAAACTTATTCAACCAATGTAATATCAATTTAAAGATAATATTATGCAATAATTAGTTAGAAAAGAAATTAAATTAAAGAGTCTTAATGTCTTTAAGATTTGATGCCTCCACACGCTTGTTATCACCGGACCCTTGCTTGTCAGAGGTAGCATCAGTTACCCGAGTCCCATTCAACACAGTCTTTTCCCACTACTAAGGGTTTTTCACTAAGTCCCTGAGTTTTGGCGGGCTAGAAAACCCCTCGGTGCAGTACGTCTTGCAGGCTTTACGGAGGAAAAGGTCAGTCCAGTACCTCCTCTCACCCACCTTGAGGAAGGGTGACACCCAGGAAAAAAAGCCACAGCCTCTGGAACGGGCAGGAAAGACTAGACCCAAAAATCATTCATAACTAATACTTGGACTGGAATGGCTACCCAGCTGACTCCTAAACCATCCACCTCATGCAGCAGCTTTACAGTGTGTTTATTAAGCCTGAGCCCTGATTTAGGCTATGAGCCATTAGTGCCCACTGCTGTGCATAGCCAAAGGACATATTTTGTCGCCACTACCATATTAATCATTAGAAAAGAAAGGGAAATTATTTTTAAAGAGGACTAAATTTTGAAAATAAAACACTTTATCTATGCGCATATTTATTAATTTTAGAAAATTATTACTCAAATGATATACTGAATAGTTCTCACAAAATTAAAAGGCAGATGAAGCACCAGAATTGATTTAATTAAAAATAATGAAACTTAAATAAGCCCTTAATTCTTATAACACTCCACTGGTTCCTTCACACGACGACTATTTCATAACGACTATTTTTTTTTTGGCCTATTTTTTTTTGGCCTATTTTTTTTTCACCTATTTTTTTTTGGCCTATTTTTTTTGGCCTATTTTTTTTTGGCCTATTTTTTTTTGGCCTATTTTTTTTTGGCCTATTTTTTTTTGGCCTATTTTTTTTTGGCCTATTTTTTTTTTGGCCTATTTTTTTTTTGGCCTATTTTTTTTTGGCCTATTTTTTTTTGGTCTATTTTTTTTGGCCTATTTTTTTTTGGCCTTTTTTTTTGCCTAGCCTCATTCATGAAGCTGCTGAGAGGACTACAACCTTATTGAGAAACAGAGACCTTTCCTTACTCGATTAATATTGAGTAAATTAAGTTAAAAACTCCTAATTAAACCTAAAATTCTCGAAATTTAAAAAGCAATGAATTAGTATTCATGGAGTAAGAGATCTGTTAAGGGTGCATTTTTTGTTGGTTAAATCGTTTAAGACACATTAAAAATTAGATTAAAACAATTAGTATGGAATTATGCCCAAATATTAGTAAAAAATAGTTAAAAAATTGTCAAAAAAAAGCCAAAAAAATAGGCCAAAAAAAATAGGCCAAAAAAAAATAGGCCAAAAAAAAATAGTCGTTATGAAATAGTCGTCGTGTGAAGATACGCACTCCACTAACTCCTCTTTTTTCACCAGCCAGGAAATTTATTTTAAAAAAAAATTGAATAGAAATTATAGAAAAGACAAACTTTCTTCGAATTTTCTAAATATTTGAAATAAAAAACTAATTTATTTACGCTTCTGTCTATTATTTAAATAAACTTTTTAGATTTCATATCATAATGATTATTTATATATAATAAATAAGCTTTTATCAAGCATTGGAATGAAAGGGAGTAAATATATATTTCTACTACATCAAGAAAAATCTCCGATTTCCTGATTCTATTTCTCTAACTTATGGTTTAATTTGTTTCGATTAAAAATTAATCTAACTCTTCAAGTCTCTGTGCATTTTCGATTTGTCAGTTATTTTTCATATAGCTATTTTCAGGTTCCCTTCTCAGATTATCAATGTCTTGTTCTTCTATTGGCGAATTATTTTGTTTTTCATAATTATAATCGATATCTTCAAAAGCGTCTTCTTTATTTCTATCATCGTTTGTGTCCATGTAATGGTCAGTCAAGTCAAAACTCATTATTCGAGATCTGCCTCCAAGGACTCTAGACTCTATTTCATTTTGAAAAGAAAGATAATTGTTTGCAAAATAAATCCAGTCCTCGTTTGGAGGGTTTTCGTCTTTTGAAAAATGCTTGAGAAGGATGTTGCCTATTCTTGTTACGTGGCCCATCAATCCGATTCTGTTTTCTATTCCTGATTGACTAAATTTGATGAGAATTTGTGGCAAATTACTCTTTCGAATTAGCTAAATATGCTTTACAGCGTCTTTGAGCCCTGAATGGCCGGATAGCAATATATTCTGTACAAGTTTTTCATATGAATTGTGAAGAAAGCTGTTTCAATGATATTCTGCAAATAATTCCTTACCATCTTTCTCTTTGAACGAGCAAACAAATTTTGTTCGCTCATGAAGGGGGGTTAATTTTCCTTTATATAAATTTTATTGAAAATTTTTTTTTTCACCATTTAATAAGCCCATAATTTTAAAGTAAATATTGATTTAATTTATGAACTTTATGCTGTTTAAAATGAAATAGAAGTAGCTAGAGATTTTATTATGCTAAAATATTTTTTCATAAAAATTTTTTGTTTACTCACGAAGGGTGGGTTTTTACTCAAAATAGGGATTTTCCAATGATTTTTTCATGGAAGGGGAGCTAATAGAAATTACTGTAATTATCGGTATCGCTAAACTTTCAGCAATTTTATCTTTTAATTTTTCATTTGATAGCCTAACAACAGATCCCAGTATCTCAATAATCCTTAATCTTAATTCTCCTAAAGGAATAAACTCAATTTTATTTGGAAAAGTAAAAGGCACATTTGATTGCTTTTTCAAAACCTCTGTAAAATGATCAAAATTGTTTATCATGAATTCTATCATTGGTATCACGTCATCTTCTGCCATACTTTCTTCATCATTTTCTTTTTCCAGCAAAGCATTTATAAGTGCTTGAATTATTAAACTGACACTTCTTGATATATGAAATTCTTGGGTGCAGGCCAAATGACTTTGCCTTTTTGATAGTGTCCATTTCACCGAAAAATTTTTGGCCGAAAATTGATCGAAAATTTTTGATAGTGAGACATTTGACCAGAAAAAACCTTAATTTTCGGCCAAATGTCCGCACTATCAAAAATTTTCGACAAAATGGATTTCGATGAAATTTACACTGTCAAAAATCCATGGTCATTTGACATGGAGCCGAAATTTCTTCATTAAGCAGTTTGCTATTAAAAAAATTTTTGTTCACTCACGGAGGGTGGGTTTTTGGGCAAAAAATAGCGATTTTTCTAATGGTTTTGTTCACTCACGGAGGGGGGGGGGAGTAAATAAAAATTTCACATTTTTTTCGTTACCTCACAAATATTCAGAAGCCTCAAGTGCACATGAAATTCCTTGCTTTTTAGTAACTAAACTGGCTAGCAAGCTACTTGAGTTAATTACAGCTTCTGGGGAATTTGTAGACGAAATATTTTCTAATATTAGGCCGATTATTTCGTAGAGTTTTGGCTTAAAAACTGGATTTGTGTGTGTTTCGCAGGTAAGAATTCTTTCTAGAATATCAGAAATACTTTTACTGTACAGATGTCTTGCTAAGGCTTTTCCATGTCCATTAGTGTCATATAAATAGGATAGTAGAGCATAGCTATTCTTCACCAATAAACTGTGTAAAGTACGTGAAAAATACCCAGCAAGTATAGGATTATTAGGCAAATCTGCAGATAAAAATTTGAATAGACGGTCTAAAAGTGTTGTGTCAGCAAAAATGGCATTTAAAAGATCAGGACATTCACTGTTTAAAATTTCATTTGACACAAATGGATATTTGTAGCATTGGTTTTGATTATTTGTGTCAATAGGATCAAGAGTGGTATAATCAATTAGTTCTCCTAGGTGGCTTGGGACTAAAAATCCTATCAATTTTTGATTCCCTTTTTTTAGCTCTATGATGGCTTCTTCATTGGTGTCAAGAATTTCTTCAAGCTTGAGGCCTTCTTTAGTTAGCAAACTATCAATGAGTTCTGAATCCTGTAAAAATTTAAAGCTGTTTAGGAGAGATCCAAAATTCATTATCATCCGCTCTCTTTATTATGATAATTTCATAATAGTAGGGACAATTTTGAAATACCCACAAAAATTTTAAAAGGTTGTCGATTTTTCCCATATATTTGATAACTAAAGCTAGATCTATCAGAAAAATAGTTATTAAAAAGATATTTTTCATATCTAGAAGTAATCAGAATAATTTATTAGTATTCTTAGCTCATAAAGACTATAAGTCAATATTTTAATTATTTCTGCTTACTTTATCGATTCATACTCAATTTGTTTTGTGGGCTTGCATTCTACAGTAATTTGTGTGTTTGTTACGTTCGAAAGTGCAAATGGGAAAAAAACTGCCAAAGTGACTACGAATCATTCACATAATGCTTCCACTACTTCGTTAATAAAAAAATTCGAGTATATTGAATAAGCAAGAAACCATTCAGTCCCAGTAACAGCAAACATTATATTTGCAAGTCTATATAGATTATTGCATCTTCCCAGCCACTCCTTTTCTGAATATTCTAGAGGCACGTTTTCAAGCCCAGTTAGAGCTATATAAAGAAATAAATTAAAACATCCATATAGGAAAAGAGTTAGCCATGGATGCATCCGGTCAAGTGGCAAAATATAAAGCCCGTTTACTTCGTCAATAAGTCCGATCAGTATTAAAGTTGTGCAGCCCATAAATCCAGCCAAAATCATGATGATTAATGAACACTTTTTGACATATTCAGCCAATTTCACAGATAAAGACACAACAATCAATGGCAAAACACCTCCATAAAAAGCCAAAGAAAAATTCAGTCATCTATCATGATCTCTATAGCACCCAAGATATGAAAATGTAGGTAAAAATTTCAAACAGCTAATGCTAAATGTGCAAGCCATAAAAACGTTCCCAAACATAAAAGCAGACATAAGCGAGCCAATGAGAAGCCAAAACGATGTTTCACTGAAATGGATGAACTCTTTATGGCTTGACGACATTAATAAAAACTATTGCTTGTTTATTTCATATACATTTTGCTATAAATAAAGTATCAGCATTTTATTAAAAAAATATTTATTCAACTGATAGAAATAGGATAAAATGGATTTGCTGTCTGAACTAATAAGAGAAAAGCCAATTAGTAATTTTTTGAAAAAATTTCCAGAAAAAGAATGACTAGGCGTAATAAAGAAGACGCTGATGTACGGAATTCAGACATTTGAAATTATTAATAATGCTGGGATTGTAAGCTTTATTACTAGTCATAAAGAAAGGGAAAAATTGGCGGATATCGAAAATTTGAACATTCATGAAAGGAAAATTTCTCAACCTGAGGTAGGAATTGGAGAAAACCAGCCAGAAGATGCCAAAATTAAGAAGCAAATAAGCAAGCTGCGTGTAAATAAGCCAGCTTCTACACCAAGAGCGCAAAAAATGACACCCAAGGCACAGAATGTGACAAGTCCGTTAAGGAAAATGACCTTTGACCCTCCACTGACATCAAGAAATAACGCACGAATAAAAACAAGCAGAAATAGCTCAGAGTCCAAGGCAAAGGCAATTAAAAAAAGCTCAAACGGTAAAAAATCAAGCCCAAGTAAAGAAAAATTGAATTTGAAAACATCTAATATTCTGATTGATAGCACAGAGCAATTAGATCTTTCAATGAAAAATAATGATAAATCTACAAGCTCAAGCAGCACTATGAATTTCAGCCAAATTTTGAGAAACGAGTTTGCGAATGGATTGCAAGAAAATGTTAGGAAAAAACTGATAAATATTGAGCTGAATTTGGATAAAGTTTCGCAAAGTGCTCTGAATTACACAACTAGCCCGAGCGATGACGATTAAATTTTATAACGGTATCAGACTCAATAATAAGATAATAAAAGCTAGCTCCCCCTTTTTAGGCGAACAAAACCAATGAACTAAAAATTGTTTATGAGAATTTATTTTGATATGTACATTATAATTAGTATAGCGAATTCTCGAGTTAATTTTGTTGAATTTTACAACTTGCATTTTAAAACATAAATTTTATATAAATTAAATTAATTTTACTTTCGAATTTTTGCAGTTGGACAAAAATTTACTAATCCTGCTTTGATAGCAAACAAAATATTTTATTCGATCACTAAAGGGGAGCAAGATATTTTATAAAAAGTTTCAGTAAATTGTTTTAAATGTGAAATCTAAGACTTTTATGCTCCAAAAGACTCCTTGGCTAAATTAAAGGCTCTGAAATCCTCTATTTTATAGATTAAAGAAAAATATTATAGCTGATTGTTGCATAACTCTATTATAATAATAATTCAATATTAATCATTAATTATAATGTCAATTTAATGAGTAACTTTTATGAGAAATCCATTTTCAAACAATAACAGTGATATTTAAAATATAAGAAATTAACATAATTTTTACTCAATATCTAACCAATTTTCTTAGCTTTCTTATTAATAATAACCCCCTATAGTTTTGCTCACTCCAATAATCTAAAAAGCCACTAATTTCCATATTAATTACAGATGACTTCCAATCATAATTTTTTCGGAAAACACATCCACTCCAAAAGTTCAACTGACTCAATAAACACCCAAATATCAAGCTTGAATATAAAAACAACTGGCAATACTCTACATAATTTTGATTCCAATAAAATAAAGAGCTCATTTAAAAGCGACTTAGGAGAAGAATTTCACTCAGAGGCTAACAATCTAAGCATGGATATCAGCTATGATCCCTTTGAATTCCCTCTGAAAAGTATTTTTCCAGCCACTTGTCATTTCTCCAAAACAAAAAGAAAGCACAGACGATACCTTTCAACGCCCATGAATTTCGTCCCTTCAAACTTTTTATTCAGTTACACCAAAAGACGAACAAATTCAAAAGATCGGGAACCCTCAGAGAGATCAATATCCCCAATTGTGAGTGACTTAAAAAATTTTGCATTTTGCGCAACAGATGATGGATCTACGCTAAATTCAAAAAGACAAAACGCAAATGAGGATGATAAATCAAGCGAAACCTTTAACGTCGAGCCCACGTTTAAAGTTCCTTTTAAAACAGTGCTGCATAAAGGAATTATACAGAAACGCATGGAGAGAGAAAAAAATAATCCTATTTTGCCAGTATTGTGTAGCATTTATACTAATTTAATAAGTGCTGGCATGTCATTTTAATATCCAGAGCAGTATAATTAAAGCCCGCCTATTTAAATTCAATTATTTGTAACGCCGCAGGCCCTTTATCGGACAATAAGGAAGTACTTTAAGTGCATAACACTTGTCTAGCTACTAACCTCACTGCCTTTTGCCTTTTTCTTTACTTGATTTCTATCGATGTTAGCCTAAGGGTCTCCGTATTCAGGAGCATCAACAATGAAAACCCTACCCTCTAAAATCCAAGAGCCAACGCTCTAGCCATGCCTAAGATATTCCTAAAAGATCACTGTAAAAAAAACTGAGCCTATAATAACAAAATTGCCTAATCATGGAAAAATTTTGTATATAACTTATTCCGACAGCACCATTATATTATTATGCCAGTATTAGGGAGCAATCCTTGCACTGCATATTGCGAATTTTGCAAAATGGATGTACATACAACTGTCATTCTGAGAAACAGCTCTGTGATTGTGGCATCGTTTATGGAGCTTGTCCATAATTTATTTGGGTGTTGCAGCAACTCGATTTGGCTTAATAGGATGAGATATCACAGATGCAGTAATTGTGGAACAGTTTTGGGGAGGAGTTGCATTTAATTTCTATAGTTAATTTATAATGATTTTATATAAAACTACACCTTAATTATTACTCTCTTCTGTGCTTTCTCGTTTTTCTCTCTTTTTTATCATATAATTTTTGAACCCTTTCTTGATAATATTTGCTTTTTCTATCAAAATTTTCAGCTGCTGATAAGCAACAAAGGCTTTATACCCTCTCCACGCGCTCTGGATTTTTACACAGGCTAAATCTTTCCCTAAAGGTGTTTTGTACTTTATATTAGGATTCTGGATAAACGGGACTACACTTTTGGCGTTTATGATACAGCTGATAATTTCATGCTCTTTTAGTGTCCTTAATTCATCTTTAGCCAAATCAGCTAGTTTTTTTCCATCTAAATACACAATCCCAGCACCATATTTTCCAAAAATTTCTTCTGCCATCTGTAAGGCTTCTGCTATGTTGCTCCAGACTTCTGAATAAATTCTTTTAAATGACAAAAATTCAGGAGTAACAAGGATTTTGCCTTTTCTTATCGTAATTTGATGCTGTGAATAGGTGTCTACTATTTCTTCGTAATTTTTTATGGCTGGTTTTTCTTGCTGAGCGATTTCTTGAATTTCTCCTGGACTTTCAAGGGTAAATAGAGGTCTTGACTGGTCATTGATTTTGGGCTCATATATGGCAAGCTGCATGTTTGAGCTAGAAATTGTTGGGGCTGGTGGAGCTTTATCTCTTCAGTCATGAATAGCTGCAGTTTGCATTTTAAGGGGAGGGACTCCTCGCTCAAAAGCAGGAGATAAATCGACGTCTTTTGGTATTAGCCCTCGGGTGATTAAGTTCATCATACCATCTTCTACATCTTGCTCAGTAATAGGAGGAGGGTCACTTTGAGGGTCTTCTCTGTATTGTCTTGGCAATACTTTTGCTTTATAATATTTAGCAACTTTTGGCTTCGAGTATTTTTTGGTTCCAAGTGCTCTGAAGTTACTTTTTGTAGGCTCTGGAAGGTTATAGTACTTAAATTAAATAATAGAATAATATTTTTAATTGATGACTATAACAAAAATTAATTAAAACAGCATATAACGATTATTGAGCCAAGTTCTCCCATACGAATTTTGTGGGTTGATAATTGAGCTTCTCGTTCTTTGCTCAGAAAGCACTGAGCGAATAGGTCTTCTGTAATCTTGATTTGACGTTAAATTTGCTTGCGAATTTGTAGTCTTAGCAAGAACTGGAAGCTTGATAACAGCAGAGTTTTCATTTGGTTTTAAAGATTGATGCATAGAGGTAAGCTGTTGTTGAAGTTTGAAAAAATCTGAAGGAAGCAAATGAGACGGAAGTTGCGTTTGAACTTTGGAGAGGGAGTAATTTATATTTTTAAACTCACCCTCTAGACCTTTGAGTAAAGAATTAAAAGGCTCTTGTGTTTTTCTCATTTTTATTATCAGTTATGTAGCTATGTGCGCAATTATTAGTTTAATTGGATTTATTATTGGAATTAGTATTTTGAAAATACTGTGGAAGATATAAAGCTTAAGAGCTTAAGGATAAATTAATTAGGCTATAATTGGAACAACAGTTAAAGGGCTTCTGGATCAGTGCTTGTCAAAAAGAATCCGTTTCCAGAAGAATCTTGGTCAATTTGTTCAACTACCTTTATGCTTAATGGGGCAGCTTCGACATTTGGCGAACTTTTAGCTTTTGTTGTAGGCTTGCTAGTCCGAGAAATCTCAGGGAGTTTTGGAAGTTTGATTCTCCTCCTTAATTCACTATATTTAAGGTGATTTTTGAAGTCTTTTTCATATTGTTCAAAGCATAGCACACTGTGTGTATTAGACAATCTTTGAGCAAACGAAAAATTATCAGTTTTTATTCGATTTTCTCTTTCAATTCTCATACCAGCATTTCCAACATTAATTGGACTGCTTGGCTCAGTAATTCTAAGCCTTGGAGGCGATTTTATAATAAATTTCAATTTTTTCAGGATTTTTGCATTTTCTTGCTGTACACGCTCCACAAATTCTTAATGAAAATTACCTTTCTCTTCTAGCAGCCTATTTGTTTTAAAATGCTCATAGTAAGGGAAATACTTTGGCTTTTCTCCTCCTATACTTGAGTGGGAGGATTTTATAAATGATATTTGCTTGTGGTGGTTTTCTTGGGCATTTTTCCATTTCAATAAATCATTCAAGCTTAAATAGTTTAGATCCTTCTTCATAAGTGTATATGGTATATAAATGGAAGCTAAAAATTTGAATGTGTTAAGTGTAAACACTGATATTAGATTTTTATATATTTTTGATTAAAAATTATAATTAAATGCTTTGAACTTATTATTTTTAAATTTTTTATTATTGTTTTTGGATTCATAGCAAATATTATCAAATTAAAATAATAAAGCTTGAAATTAAGGTATTTATTATATCTTTATTATATATTGAATATTAATCTACATGAGATAACGCATAACTCTCTCCCTGATTAAAATGGATATATATGTTTATAAATCACGCATATACAAGCAGCTGATTTAAAACTAAAAAATCAGTACAAAGAGCATTAATAGCAGTCATCTCAGTTTCAGCAATTTTTATATTCCTCGTGTACAGCTATTCTTCAGACCCAGTCGCTCTTCCTTCAACTACATCTCTATATCGCCCTCCTATGCCTTATAACCCTCCCCAATATCAACCTGAATCTACTCCAAAGCAAACCCCTCCTATAAATTCATTCCGAAACCCTTCTAAAATCGAAGATAGAGTTGAAGATGAAGAAATTGATCAGCCAGCTATAAAATCATTGGCAGCTGTATATGAAGATGCACCAGTATATCCTTGGGAGCTATCTATTCCATGGGACGATTATTTAGCATCAGGAAACTTCACAGGAACTTTTGAAAATTTCAACAAAAATTCAAGCTACTGCAAATCAATTTAATTAAATGCATTATTTGTTTAACATTCGCTAACAAGCTGCACGTTGCTGCCTCCAAACCGCTCTGAGGCGAAATTCGCGCTATCTTCCCCCGGCCCGCCAAAGTGCGGCCACCTTGACTTCATTACACGACGAGGACGCCAGTCTTGAAATTTGGGCTTCGATGACTCTTCTTTGAGCTCAGGCCACCTACTAGGTTTGTCTGGTACCCTAAAGGTTTCAGTCTCCAGTCCTTGGGCAAGTGGCACCCTTCTGGAAAAATTCGATTCCCTAAGGTTAGAAGTCCGGTAGGAAAAACCACCCTGCTCTTGCTTCCTTGACATAGCTAGGATAATTTGACCAGGGAAATCAAACCTTACAATTAAAATATGCAAGAGATGATACCAATAAATTCGAGCGACGCCATATTTTAATTATCAAGCTACTGCAAATCAGTAGAAGAGTTTCGTAAAAAAAATAAGCCATTTTTAGATGCAAGAGGAGTCCCTATGAAGTCCTCAAGAGTCGCTTTTTCTGACTTCTGGGCGAACTCATTTGTGAAGAAAGTGATGAAAAATATTACAACTTGCGTTCACTTGGAGCATTATAGCCATGTAAAAGAAACGCCGAAAAAGGATAATTTTAGGGCTGATATTGACTTATTTTTACTTGTAGACCCGCTGTGGCATAGACAAATGAAAATAGGAAGCCAGTTTTTCTGTCCTCAGCAGATGTATAATCATATACCTGGAAATATTAATATGAATTTTAAAGATACTGCAGCTTTGACCTTCAGAGAATACGGAAATTTATATAAAGGCAGAGAAAAATGTTTTAATCCATGGGAAATCATGCCATACACCCTTGTTTTAAATGATAAAGACCAATGTGATGAGTTTTTATATAGCCTGAAAAACGATAAAAACCCAAAAGAAATAAAATGGATTCACAAAAAGTCCAGATTTTCCCACAATGGAAAAGGGCTTACAGTTATTGACAGTAATGGATCAAAAAAGATGATAAATAAATACACAACCCAAGGCTGCCCTGACAAAGAGTCTTATCTTGCCCAAAAATACATCAAAAACCCCTTTTTGCTTACTCCCCCCTCGAAGTTCGACCAAGATATAGGGAAAAATTCCTATTTTTTTGGAAAATTAACCCCCTCAAAGTTCGACCAAGACCTATATAAATTTACTAGGAAAATATTATTTTTCGATCTTATGAATTAGTTCAAAAGACCAATTGTTTTAAAAGGCAGTAGATTAATTAAGGAGAGAGTTAGCTGAATTTTCAATTCTGAAATTAGAGCTCGAAAACTTGACCCCTTCACCACTATAAAATTTTTTCTCATGTGTTTTTAAATTTTTAATTTAAAATTAATTTTTTAAGAGTTTTTTTAAATAATTAACTCTTTAAGCATGGATTGGTGGCGAAGAAACTTGGGGTGATCAATTCCATAAGATCCTGTCAATTGAAAGCCAGTTATGATAATATCTGGATGCAATTCCTCCCAAGCCTTTGAGGCCAAGTTTATCATTTGCTGTCTATCAAGAGCCTTGATGTTTCCGCTTCTTTGTGATCTTCTTTCAACTTGCTCGGTTTCGTACTCAACCCTAAACTGAGTTGTCTTTCTCTTAAAGTTGGCTATGGCTATGGCATCAAGTGGCTGGACATGCTTTGTGCATCCTCCTGGGATAATGATGCTTTGAGCTTGCAAGTCAGATAGCGCTTGAACAATTCTATCAGTTTTATGACTAGTTGCTTGGTCCATTATGATGAGCTGCCTTTCCTTTGTCAGCACTGTTCTTAGATAGTCGCTGATCATATCATCAGTGATATAGCCAGTCCTGTTAGCCTTGACAACGATGTTGTTAGGGATAGTTAAGTGCTCATATACACGAAATGGAATCTTGCCAGTTTTCTCTTGAAAGATCAACAACGCAGGAAACTTTTTACCATCTGCTCTGATCAAAAGCATCACAGTGATTGAGTGTTTGGCTTTAGCTGATTGGATACCCACAACTCTTTGAGCACCTTTGAAATCATAGGTATGCTTGCTACAGACATCCCAGTCGAATCTGGTTTCATCGAAATTATAAATAGTAGAGGAAGGATAAATGTCGAGAAGAGGCATCAGCTCGTCCAGATAGTCTCTAAGAAGTTCTGCTTCTCGTTCTAGGGGCTTAAGACTGGATGCGTTGACCTTACGGTAGGCCAGATTATTTCTTGTCTTGAATCCTTCCCATCTTCCTTGACCGCATTGGAATCGCGGCAAGCTCAATTCTCTCGCCAATTCTCTGGCCAATTCTCTGGCTTTCTTTTCGATAGTCACTCTTAAGACAGTATGACCCTGCTGTCTCACAGCAATCAACCAATGAATCAGCTCTTTCTCTAGAATTGGAAATTGCGTAAAAGGCTCTACCTTTACCCTTTTAGCGGCTGGCTCTGATTCCCGAAGCTTGTCAATGTTTTTGATTCAATCAACTAGAAAGGCATGAGAGTTCAGATGGAATTTCTCTGCAACCTCTCTCATAGTAACCCCCTGGTCCTTGTGGCTAAAGTAATAGTCGACGATTTCAATTTTGGCAGAGTTCGTTGTAAATTTGCGCTTCAGCTCCATCAAAACTTTTATTAAAAATGGCTTTTTTGACATTTAAGCAATTTTTCAAACATTTTAAACTATGTGGGGGTGAGCTTGCGATTTTTGTATTCAAGTTCTAAAAAAGCGTTAAAAAAACCATCTTGCACTATTTTTTCTAACCCTTACACCCTCTCAACCATACAGAAGAATATGATAAATTTTTTTTTTTTTAAAAAAATTTTTCTTAACCCCCCTCGAAGTTCGACCAAAAAAATCTTGGTCGAACTTCGAGGGGGGAGTTAAAGGAAAAAAATTTGATTTCCGAGCTTATATGTTCATTGCTAGTCTAGACCCTTTGATTATTCTTTATCATGACGGGTTTTTACGTATTTCTCCTGTAAGATACGACGCTGACACTACAGACCCAGAAGCCTATTTAACAAATACCCACATTTCAGAGGACTTTTTAAAGTCAAAAAACATCACCCGTGATGAATACCAATCAATGATGGAAGACCAAGGGTGGAGCTATCAAAGATTTGAGGAATTTATGATATCGGAAGGATATGTGCAGCCTGGCTGGATGGACTCCTATGTGAGGACTCATATTAAAAAAGTTATGTTTCATGTGGTAAGGATGAACTTGCATAAATTTGTAAGGCATCCTCATGCTTGGGAAGTGTGTGGGCTTGATTTTCTGCTAGATGAGGATATGAAATTGTGGTATTTGGAGCTGAATTTGTCGCCTTCAATTGCTGATACGAGCGATGATAAAGAGAAGGTGAATTTGAAATTTTTAGTGGATCAGGTGGATTTGTCGTATGCTTTGATGTATAGAGGAAAATTTGATGAAATTTTGGAAAAAACGAATTTCCAGTGGATTTTTGATGGTAGAAAACAGGGGCTAGAAAGATATCATGACGTAATAGCGGAAGAATGCGTTTAGGATTTAAATTAGGAAATTAGAATATTTATTTAACTAAGATTGGCAATAAGTTAATTAGCTCCATTTAACTATAGTTCTCTCATATAGAGCTTATGCTATTAATTGTTTTTTATTTTTTATATATTAGTTGAATTATTTCACATAAGAAATACTTGTTTATCTTAAAGCAAATACCTTGAAAGCATCTATTTTTTTAATTCATTAATGGCTTATTACCCCCATCCTTGATCGAGCAACCCACCCTTATTCGATCAAGGGTGAAGACTAAAAATTTTGGAAAAACATTTTATCATTGCTTTTAATGATACTTGCAATTAATGTAAAAACTTTCCCATATAATAAATTTTATGCGCTAGATATAAGAGATAATATAATTAATATATTATAAATAAGGTAAAATCGCATTGAAATTGTTTAAAAGTGCTTATACTGTAATATCTCTAATTTTCATTATTATCAAATATAGATAGTTAGAATTGCTTTAATAGAATCGCTCAATCAAGGATGAAGAAAATTAGTAAAATAATATTGAGAATGTTTTCAGCAATAGCCTTTTAATAGAAACATTCTTATTTAAATTCTCTTAATTAAAATAAGCTAAACTGCTTTGATTTGAGTGCAAACTGTTTGTAATTTTAAATGAATTTTGGTGCAAAATATGGAAATTAGACAAAGAAGTTTAGTTCAGAGACTTGACCTCTATTTTTGGCCTTACACTGCAAATAATTATATAAAATATACGATATACTTCACTCCCAAATGCTGACTCTTCTTCAGGTTTCTTGGAGCAGCTTTTTGCATTATGACTTTTGCATTGTCAATTGTAGAGACACCTACTTTTGATTTTCTTGTAATTTTAGCTGACTGAGGCTGTGTTATAACCTCACTATACTTTTCCATGACTTTATATAACTACAAATACTCTAATTGCTGAAAAATCACACACTTTTTATATGAACTGAGCTGATGCATTGATTGGACGGTTGTTCTTTTATTTTGGGGAATTATCTATCCTACCCAAACCTGGGGGCAAAGCATTCAAGTTACTGTTTTAGCAAATGGAGGGGTGTTTATATTTATCCTAATTGATTCGATTAATAACCAAATTTGGTTTTTCCGAAAGCATGTTTATCTGATAGTAATTATTGGCTTTTTATATACACTACTGCATTTGATTTATACTTTAGCTGTTAGGAAAGTATATGATATAGTAAATTATAAGAATGCTTATACTTATCTCATAATTTTAGGAACTTATCTGATGCTAATCATCATCTTTATTCTAGGAGCGTTTTTAGACAAGTTTAAATCAAAATTCGGATCCTCAGATCTTATTCCTGCCACATCCAGCTTTGCAAGCTCAATTGCTGACGACCGCAGAGAAATTTCTTTAATGAATCAAAAAAATAAGCGGTAAAATTAATTATTATGATAATAATGCTGCCACCGTTGTTCTTCAATAGAAAACCCAGTCTCAGAAACCTCCTCTTCTTCTTTTACATTGATATTTATTTTGGTTTGAATTCTATTTCACTCGAAGTTCAGCTCCTTAAGTGGGCTAGCTTTTCTATCAAATTTATCTGAATGGTAAAGGACTGCTAGGTTACTGTTATGTCTTGAAATTTCACTTTTGGTTTTTATCGCGTTTTCCTTTTCTTGCTCATGTGCTTGTAGCAATTCTTTTAATTTTATTTTGTGCTCTTCTACATCCTGCATATTTAAATAATCTTATCAGACAATATTTATCTAAAAATTTAACTATTCTTATGAATAAGTATATATCTGATTGATGGCCGCATTTTATATTCCAGTTCTTGCTCCTCTATTTTCCTTTTCTTTTCCAGCTCTTCCTTTTTACAATTATATTTTTCTTTTAATTCCTTTTGTGCTGCTTTTAAAGATTGTGCTATTAATTCTTGAGCTCTTTTGACGTCTTCTATTTCTCTTGTTAATTTAGAATAATTATCCAGGGTTGTAGAATAGTAGCAATCGAAATTATTTTTTAAATCTTTGACTATCGTATCAGCTTGGTCAATGTCCATATATTCATGTAAACTGTGCTGCATAATGCATTTAGGACAAAGAAGTTTGCGACAGGGAACACAATAAAACTCAAGAGGACGGCTGTGAGTAAAACAAGTATAATTTGGCTTTGCATTTTGAAGAAACTGCAAGACTAGAGCTGATGCTGGGATTTGACTGATTTCGCGTGTTTCTGTAATTGAGTCAGATGGGCATGTAAAGTGCCCAGAAGAAGACAAGCATGCTTTGCAGCATGTATGCCCACAGATTAGTGATAAAGGGACCATTGTGTCTGTATTAAACCGCCCTCCACAGTTTTGGCAGCATAAAAGGGAAATCAAATCCATATTTATAGCTTAGCTTTTAATGTCACTTATTTCAAAATTAAAGAATTTAATTAAGCTGTGGTTCCTAAACTAGTTTCTGTTCCAATTATTTCTATATGGCCTTCCCCTATAATCAAACCTTCTATTGGTTATCACTGTTTTCTGATACATTTCGTCAAACCAATCTGGGAGATCTTGCTTTGTTTCTAATAGTAAACTGTAGAGATCTTTTATTATTGGCTTACTTTTTTCACTGATAAAAGATATTGCTAAACCTTCTTTTCCTACTCTGCCCGTTCTACCAATCCTGTGGACGTAGTCTTCAATTGAATTTGGGGTGTCAAAGTTGATCACATTAGTGACGTTTGGAATGTCAAGGCCTCGGGCTGCCACATCAGTTGCTACTAAAATTGGTGTTTTTCCTGACTTAAAATCCCTAATCCTCCATATAAAAAAAAATTATTGCTTTTTATTAAATAATTTATTTAATCTAAAAAATCGATAGTATATAGTAAGAACTTTTTCTCTTTGAGGCTGATCTTTATCCCCGTGAATTGATGCACATCTATGTCCTCTTCCTATAAGATAATCTTCTAAATTATCAGCAGTTCTCTTCATTTCTACAAAAATTAGTACTAGCCCTTGCAGATTTTGCAATTTTTCATGAAGAAACAGTTTTTTATCAGGTTCTTCTACTTTATAAAGAGTTTGTATAATATTTACTGTAGTAGACCCTGCCTTCCCAATTGACAAAAATATATAATTTTTCATGAACTGTACTGCGAGATCTTGTGCTGGCTGAGGAAAAGTGGCAGAGCACATGACTGTCTCTTTGCCTGGGTTTGTGGTTGACTCTAAAATAGTCCTAATTTGTGGCTCAAAGCCCATATCGAGCATTCTATCAGCCTCATCAAGAATCAAATATTTCGTTAACGAAAGATTCACCTTCCCTCTATTGATGAAATCAATAAGTCTGCCTGGGGTAGCCACAATGATATCAACCCCTCTTTCAAGCTCTTTAGACTGTGTCCTTGGATCTGCCCCTCCATATACAACAGCAACCTTAATTCCTGTCTTATAGCAAAATTTCAATGCTTCCTCATGTATTTGTATTGATAGCTCCCTAGTCGGCGCCAGTACAAATCCTAATGGATAAGATCCTCTCCCTCCATGAGGCGCTGGCGGTCCATCATTAAGCATTTTTGCAACCATTGGGAATAAATATGAAGCTGTTTTCCCTGATCCTGTCTGTGCACACACCATAAGGTCTCTTCTTGCAAAAAGGCAAGGAATTGCATATTTCTGCACAGGGGTTGGGTTTTCGTATCCCATTTTTCTGACATTTGCAAGGAGCGTTGGGTGAGCTTCACAGTCAGAAAAGTTTGTCATTGAAAAAGAAGATTCGCTTATTTCTACTGGCATGTCTTCGTAAGACTCAAAGTCAACACCTTCATGTTTTTCTTGTTGGAATAGAAGCTCTGCTTGCTGAAGGTCTTCGCTGTCTAGAAAGCCATTTCGCCTGTCTCGTCGACCCCAGCTGCTTTCGGCTTTGACGGAGGCGGAATCGTTTCTGTTTTGTAGGAATTTTTCAAATTTTGATGCTACTGGAGGATCTGAAGGTGAGGCATTGGCTAGCTGTGCGCGTTTGTGTGGTGGTATGTATTTTCCTGTTTTAGTCCCATCCATTTTATGGATAGCTTTATTAGCTTCTGCAAGATTAATAAGGAAAAGGTTATGCTGGACATAAGTGGATAAACCTACTAGCCGTCTCCCATTATGGCTCTAAAAAGGTGCACCTTTGATTTTCGAACTGTCAAGGTATCAGCTTAGAGCAGTGCCACCTTTGTGAGGTGCCTAAAATACCTCCGATGAGAAGAGAAAGTGTGCTAGACAAACATTGTATAGCCCATCTGGCAGGGAGAAAGCTTCCTTTTGAGAATGCATCCTCAAGCCTGATGGCCTACTAGAAGAGTGACATAGATACTGTTTTACGCTTTATCAGGATGAAACCTACTTGTTCCATAAGAGTGTGCCTCTGATCCAGCTTCTGACAACGTCGATATTTTATTTATTTTCAGGATTAATAAGGAATTTGAATTATAGCGAAAAATCCATAGAGAAAATAGTGGAGTAAAGCTCAACAGTAGATGGATTTGACATAAAAACACTCTGAATAAGCTTGAAAATTCTAAAAATAATTAAATTGTAAACTAATAAAAAAGATATGAATATTTAAATAGAATATGAACTATGGCGGTAGAACATACAAAAATCAGGAAACATTTTTCCACAGTATTGATAAATTTATATTTGAGTAAAAATATTATTATAATGTCAGACAATAAGAGCGATATTCCAATTGTCAAATCATTGATTTTACCCCAATGCAGACATATGATTTGTGGAGGCTTTCCTTTTGCTATGCTTTTCTCAATGCCTTTTATTCTTATTTTTTCATACTACAACACACAAAATCAGAAACCTTTCATGAAGTGAAATGCGAAATCTTTTGGCAAAGATATTTTATTAGGCTGGACAATAGCAATTTCATATGTCTCCCTAATCCCCTTTCTGTAAAAAAAAAACAGTATTATTAATTATTTTTACTGTAAGCGAATTTTTGTTCAATGAATTATTAGTTTATAATGATTTTTCGTTGAATTAGTAAATTTATATTCTATATAAAGTATTGCAATTTCCCGTGATGGAGCTGTTTTCGCCTTGGTTTTCCCACTGAAAAATTTTTTGGTTCGACCAGTACCATATGGTTTGGTAGTGTGAAAATCAAGGCCAAAATAGCGCCATCCATGGGAAAATACCATATCTAGAATCAGCAAGTTTTAATTAAAACTAGTGATTAAATATATGTCGAAATATTATATACAAGAAATTTGTTCCTATACCAATGATTTTTAGGATTTTCCCTATATATTTTGTTAATTCTATTAAAAGGGCTAAGAACCTTATTTTTCGACCCATATTGTGATCCAAAATCAATTCATTATGATAAGAATCTCAATGCTTTTGAAAGAAAGAAAAAGGCATTTGATGAGGTACAAAATATTTTGAGAAGTGAAGGGAAAAGAGAGTAAATAAGCTTTATTCAAATAAACTGGTTAGATTTATATACTTTTCTAATATCTTCTTCTATAATTATTTTGAATAAATATACTTAAGCAAAAAATATTTTCTTATCAAGTGAGTGACTTATTTTTATAAAATAAACCATTTATTTTGAAATTTTTATACAAAATTTAATCTAAAGTACTATATACCTGGCATTATAGTATTAAGCAGCCCAAATCCATATCCCATATATAAGCTTCCAAGTCCTGTGACTCCTTCAAAATTCGTCGAATACAGTTGTGACTGCAAGAACTCCCAAGTCTGTTCAAACTCCTTGCTCGAATCATAAACCATGCATAGTTCAGTAGCTGTAAATACTTGTCCGAGCCCAACTCTTTTTGCATACCAATCAATCCCAGTTGAGTGGTCTCCCACAATATCGCACATAAGGTTCATTGTTGAGTACAGCCTATCACTAATGCTCGTCACATTTCTTGGGTATATCCCTAGTTTCATAGCAGATCCCCAATGTGGCATATATGAGATTTCATATGAAAGCCTTGCTTTTAGCATAACAAAATATTGGTCGGATAGCTCTTTTCCTTCAAGCTGTTGTAAAGTAACGTCAGTCGATAGCTTGTCTTCCCATTCTTTCATTAAAATCTCAGCGATTTCGATCGGACCATTAGGAAAAAGAGCTCTTGAAGTTGCCTATATAAAAATTACTGGTGACAGACCATTGTCCTTGGCAGCTTGAACAAGCATAGCATCGGTTCATCCCAAAGTCTTTGCTAAATTTTTAGCAGAGTTAATGAGTAATTCACGTGCTTGCATTGTGTTTATAAAAATGGAATCAAGACCATCAGGGAATTCGAAGAAACTGAGAGATAAAATTAGTGAAAAGCTAGAAGAGTATGGAGAAGCTATAGCAAATGAAGATTTGCTTGACTATATTATGCTGATCTCTACAAAATGTAGGAAGACCAAAGAGCAGCTCTTGGTAATATTGAGGGAATTTTTTGAAGATCAAACTGAAGAGTTCGTTGACTGGCTGAGAAATATGGCTGCATGCATTTTTCTGAAATTTTTTTACAGATTATATATGCAGAATGGCAATTTTTCCAATTTTCAATAGTCAAAATTTGCTTGACAAAAAAATGTAATTTTTCTGGGAAAAAAATTCTACAGAAATTATTATTACAGAGCAAAAACTACCTATTAAAGAAATATTAGTTTTTCTACTGAAAAGAAGAAAAAATGCAAATTCTGGCCTAACTGCCCAGACGAAGAAGAATGCTCATACTTTCATCCCCACGAACAAGTAGCCTCTACATAGTGTCCAAGATGGCCAAAGTGCAAATTCGGAGCTCAGTGTTTATTCATCCACCCAACAGTATTCCTTATATTCTAGATTGCATGTAAATTCGGCGAAAACTGCTCAAGACCTAACTGTGCATATGACCATCCTCATAAAAAGCAGAAACATAATGATAATAACTAATAATATTTATAATTAGGGTAAAATAAGGTCTTTCTGGCCTTAATTTATAGACACTCTTGACGTAAAAGACTCAATTGAGGATCCTCTATGGCTTAGCCTTCTTACAGGAGTTCCATCCTCTGCTCTTGGGGCTAAATTGTCTTCTTCAAAATCTACATAAAATTTACTCTGCATTATCATTTTGAAATCCTCAAAAGTAAATCCCTTGGCAGGGTCAAATCTGATTTCTGCTAGCAAAGCTGAAAATTCTTGCTCTGAAAATTCGCAGCCAAATTTTGTTAAAGCTTGCTTAAGGGCGTCTAAATTGAGAATTCCTTTATTTTCTGGGTCAAAATCTCGGTATGCGTCCCACATAAGCTCTTCATTCAGCAAATATTTTCTGTCAAGCGTGGCGATTAAGAAGCTTGTATAGTTAATTTTCCCTGGCTCTGTGCCATATTTTTGGAAAATTTTAGCGATTTCTTCGTTTCCCATCTCCATTCCGCACTTATTCATAACCTCACTTAGCTTGGAATAGGTGATATATCCTGTTCCAGCTGTATCTAATGTCACAAAAGTAGTTTTTAGCTCCCTTATTTTGTCGGCTGACAGATATCTGAGGATCGATTTCATACCTTCGACCCAGAGCTTGCTTTCTTTTTGTTGTTTTTTGATTCTTAATAGAACATCTCTAGAGACGATATTGCTTTGGGTTGAGTCACATTCCATATGAAACCATTCATGCTGCAAGGCTGTGGAAGCGTCAATTCTCAGTATTGGGTTTTTTTGAAGCATCCCTGAAACTAAATGCTTGGATTGAGGGGAAACGTAAAGCCATTCTTCGTTATTCAAATTAACCTCACCTTTCATGACCTTTTTCAAAGTAAAATCTCTCGACTCACTTGCAAAAGGGTTTCGGCCTGTTAAAAGCTGATACATAATGACGCCGAGGGACCAAATGTCGCATTCTCTGCCATAGGTTCCTGATAGCACTTCTGGAGCCAAATAGCTGAGAGTGCCTACAACAGTTTTCATCTGGTCTCCTGGCTGCACGTACAGGCTGACGCCAAAATCCAAAATTTTGAGTTCACTCCCCCTTCTTAAAATAGAACAAAACATTGAATTTTTTTTTAAATAGGAAAATTTTATCGATGAAAGTACTAATTTTTTATAAAAATTATTTTTGACTAATTTAATAGACAAATGAAACTAGAATAATATTTAAACAGTTCTCAAACTAAATCGAGTAATTTATTTTATTTAATCCTTCATAAAAATAAATTATATTCAAATATGTGGTCAATTTTATTTTTTTTAAAAAAAAACTAAAAGTTGAAAATACAAAGTTTGATGGATCTAATTTAATAGAGACAAAAGGTAAGTAGAATGCTATTTAAACGTTTTTTACACTGAATTGATTAATTTTTATTTAATTCTTTCTAAAATTAAATTAAATTTCAAAGTATTGTTCTTTATTATTTTTTAAAATTTTATGGAAATAAAAAAATTAATAATGAAAAATTAATTTTATAAAATTAGTTTTAACATAATATAATAAATAAAAGGCAAGTAGAATGCTATTTTTAAACATTTTTTATAGTAATTCGATAAATATTTTTAACTATTTCTTTATAAAAATAAATTAAATTAAAATTATTTTAGTCAATTGATATTTTTTTAAACATTGAATAAAATTTTTTATAGGGAAAATATTAAATATACATTTTTTTAACCCCCCTTTAAATTGGAATAGAATTTTTTTGTTCCAAGTAAAAAGGTGAGAGTCAGCGTCTTCATCTTGTGAAGAAAACAAAAAGTTTTCTGGTTTTAAATCCCGATGGCAAATATTCAAACTATGCAAATAATTTACTGCAGAAAGTAACTTCCTCATAATAACCCTCGCTTCTTCTTCACTAATATAATCTTGCTTTATAATGTACTCGAATAAATCACCGCCTGTGCATAATTCCATCACAATATGTAGGTACATTTGGTCTTCATAAATTTCATGGACTTGTATTATATTCGGATGATCGACTTGTCTAGCTCCCTCAAGAAAGAATTATGAAAATACTTCTATTTAGGAAAATTAACCTCATTTTTAGAAAATCAATAAATTTTGCTCACTCACAGAGGGGTAAGAATTTCTAATTCTCTCTTTAGCATTGAAATTTCCTTGCCCAGCTTTTTTTTTGTGATTGATTTTACAGCAAATTTCTTTCCGTCAGGAATTTGCCTTGACGATAGCAGTGAACTTACGTGGGTCAAAGAATTTTGCTTAACTGTATTTAGCTTGACTGCTTCTCTTACAGTTCCGAATTTTCCATGCCCAATAACTTTGACAAAAGCATAGTGGCTTCTTATGTCTGATTAAGGGTTACTTTCAAATATGATGAAATCTCCTTCCATAACTTCAGATTTGACGATCTTGGGGGCATTAATAGGTAATCGAAATTGATGCTCACTTGGACAGCAAACTCCCATTTTTTTATAATTCAAATTATATATATGGATTATCCCCAGGCTCCTGAAATGAAACCTCTTTCTTGTTTTATTTGTTTTCTCGCGTTGAATTCAGCTAATTTTCGCTTTTGTTCCAAAATTTTTTCCTTTTTTTTTTCTTCGTTTCTTTTATTGTTTTCTTCAATCTTCATTATAGCTTCTAGTCGTGCCATTTCTTCTCTTCTTCTTGCTTCTTCGAATTTTTTGATTTTCTGCATCTCCCTGATCCTTTTTTCTCTTCTTATTTGTCTTCTTCTTTCTTTTTCTGCCAATTCTAGCCTAATTTTGTCTTTTTCTTTTCTCTTTTCATAAGTAATTCTTTCGAAATCCATTTTAAATTTCATTTTTCTTTCAGCCTCAAGCTCATCTAGTCTAGTCAGCCTATGATGGACTTTTCTGAGTTTTGCTTCAGCTAATTTTCGCTCTTTTTCTTCATCCACATATTTTTCTTCAATTAAATCATCTAATGATCGAAGATTTTTTGTAGATTTTGCAAGTGTGCCACGACCTGCCGGCGAATTGTCTACATTTTTTACATAGAACTTTTCGTGCCTTATAGGTGAGCTTTCAGATGGAAATGTACCGATATACGTTGAAAAATTTTTGGTATGGGGAAATGGAGAGTCGGTTTCACGTTTGTTACAAAAATCTAAATCTTCAGAAAATACATATCGCTTGGTGTTTTTGCCAGTTTTAGCTGGCAAAAAGCTATAATTTTCATGATCTGAAGGCTCTGGAGAAATTTTTTGAGATTTTGACGAAAAATAGTCAGGCAGCTTGAGAAGATTTTTCCCTATGCTTGGAGATAAACCCAAGATATGATTTTCTTCTTCGCTATCTTCTGATACATCAGTATATTCAACCTCTTGATTTTCCGTAATTCTTCGCAAATATTCGTTCTCTTGTTCCAATTCTAAAACTTTTTTATTTAATTCTGACGCCCCATTTTCGACTCTAACGACACTTAAAAGACTTTTCAGTTTTTCAATTTCTTGCTGAAGATTTATAATAATTTCAGTCGAATTCATGGCTGCTGGCTCATTTCTCTTGACTCTTACCATTATTTCTTTCGCCCTATCTGCAAATATAAGTGTATTTATTGTTGTATCAACATGCTCTATTTGTGGAGAAATCGTGGCAATTAGTATTGTTTTTGTGTTGCCACCTAAAGAATCTTGTAGCAATCTAGTAAGCTTTGAGTCTCTATAAGGTATGTGCTCTTTATTTCCGCTTGCCAAGGCATGAATTACCATTCCTAGAGTGCTTAAGCTTTTATTGATATTTTTCAACTCATTTATATGGCCATTATTCATCTCATATTCTTTATCATATCTTTCGCATCCAGCCAAGTCACAAAAGCTGAGCTTGCTTCTTCTGAAACCTCCCTTTTTATTAATCACATACAACTGAAAAATTGAATGAGATCGGCTACTCTGATTATTTAGCCTAGTCTGGCGGACTGCTCTGTTTTTAATACCTTCAGATAGTAGTAGCATGCATTCGTTAGCAGAACTAATTGATGTTTCTTCAAGTCCATCTATAAAGATCTCGCTTTTGTACTCTCGAATTCTTAAAGATTTAGCTCTGGCTGGGTCTGATAAGAGATCATATAAGTGTTCGTTGTAAATCTGCAAAAAATTTAAATTGAAAGATATTTAATATTTTTTGATTAAAAAAGACAGCCATTAAGTTGCTGCTAATAGTTATTGAATACTGAATAAATGCTTTTATTTAAAATAAACAGAATATATATTCGTTTTCAATGCTAAACAGCTTTGAAATTGCTCTTGGGATTATACCTTGATTTGAATTTTCTGTGAAAAGCTCATTATTTTCTCAACCAACACCAAAAATAGTGTGTGTTTTTCCTGATCCTGTTTGTCCGTATGCAAAAATTGTTGCATTGAACCCTTCTAAAGTTTGTAGGACTGAAGGGCAGACAAAGTCAAAAACATCTTTTTGACTTGAATTTTGGGAGAAAATTTTGTCGTAGTGGCTTGTTATAGTGTGCTCGCTATCGTCTATATGAATAGTTTTTTCCTATATTAAAGTCACATCGTCAATCCTTATGATTTGAGGATGATAATTGTTATAAGATAGAAATGGTCGCACTCTTATTGATACCTTTATATGTTCTTCTTGAGAATCCATTTTTTAAGAAATATGAGTTTCTTTGATGGTTTGGAGATAAGAAGATTGGAATTAACAAAAATTAATTAATTCTAGGCTTATATTTATTTCAGAAAGAGACTGTTTTGTTTTTACTTCCCTTGATTAGCAATAACAAATTTTTTAATATAAACTTTTTGGGGTAGACAATGATTTAAATATAATTAATGTTTATAATAATGAAACTTGAAGATTAATATTAAATTTTAAATCTTAAGCCTATATCTTATACATTTTTTATTTCAAATATTTTCAAAATGAAAAGAATTTTTAAATAATTTTTATTAATCATCCCTTAATTGGCAAAATTTGTCTTGCTAACGATAGGGAGCTAGAAAAATAAGACTGTTTTAAAAATTATCTTTATAAATTATTGCATTTAACTAAATTATTATGCTATTGTATTAAAAAAGTTCTAAAAGACGAATATATTTAACGATAAATCTAAATAATTATTGGCTAAAATCATCAAAAGGCTTATTACCTTCCCTTTAAATTTGAACAAAATATAGGGAAATGTACAATTTTTTGAGTACTTTAACTCCCCTTTAAATTGGAACAATTTTTTTTAATTGGAAATTTATAAGAGAATAAGCATTTTATAAAACTCAAAAATATTTCATTCAAATTATATTTTTTAAAATTTAATAAATTTTTGTTAATCGAATATAATTTTTTTTTCAAAATATAATTAATCCCTTTACATTGAACAGGATTTTTTTTTCTGATTTAAAAGGGGACAGCTATATAGCCATTTCTTATATATTTTTGTAATAGGAAAATGAGAGCTATTGTGGCAATTTTAATCCTATCTGCTGTTTACGCTTTGGAATGGGTCAATTATACAGTTACCTCTCTGAACACAGAATATAAAGAAATCACTGGAAAATCCGCAAATCTCTATCAATTAATAGACACATTACACTCATACGATCAATTAGTAAATGGCTATAATCATCATCTTTTGCTTTTACTTACTCCCACCTCCTTGGGCTAACAAAAAAATTTGTTCGCTGGGGTTAATTTTTTTTAAAAATATTAATATAGAAAATTTTTTCTCTCAAAATTTAAAAAAATTCCAATTTGGAAAAATTGAGAAGCAAAATTAATTTAATTTGCCAAATTTATATTCTAAAACGTAAGCTGTTTAAAATTAATCAGAATTAGCTAGAGATTTTCGTTATAATAATTATCATTTAATATAAAATTTTTTTTGTATCATAAAAAAAAAACTTTAAATTAAAAAAATTATGTTCATTTTTCTAATGGTTTTGTTCGCTCACGGTGGGGGGAGAGTTAATAACACAAGCACTGAAAGTCTTTCTATGCATTTCATTTGTGTATACAGCGATTTCAACGAAACAGATATTGAAATAACTGATCACACAGTCCCTGAAATGACCCTTGATTCCAAATCTGACGACATAATTGCAAATGCCCTCTCAAAAAGCATTAAAAAACCAAAAGCCAAACTCTCCAATCTTACAGTATACAGACAAGATATTAAGTTCCCTTCCTATGGAGTTGGTAATATGACTGAAGCAATTAACTACACCTTATACAGCTCAATCGCTACTTATCAAGGAAACGAATATATAGTCTACGCCTCAATCAGCAAAGACTCACTCCCCCCCCCTTTAAATTGGAACAAAATATCGGTAAAATTTCCACTTTTTTGGTAAATTAACCCCCCTTTAAATTGGAACAAAATTTAATTTTATAATAAAAAAATATATATAATTTTTATCTAAAAAGTTTTAATATAAATTAAAAATTTAGTTATATCTTGCTCTTTTTTAAAGATAAAAGTATAAAGAGCATCTTATTTAATAAAATTTATTATCCTTGATTGTAAATTTTTAAAAAATTAATTGTTTCTTTTTAAAAAATTTTTCAAAAAAAATTTTTGTTTTTTTGATAAAAATGATATTTTTTATTTAAATAGTTTTGATATAAATTCAATAGGAATTCTTTATAAAATTTAAAAATTTACTTATTTCTTGCTTTATTTTAAAGAATAGAGTATATAATAACATCTTATTTAAACAAAATTAGCACTTTGATCGATAAATTGTCTAAAATTTTTTTGTTTTAATTTTTTTTATCAATAAAAATAATAATTTTTGTGTAAATAATTTTGATACCAATTAATAGTGGCGTATTAACTAATAATAAAAATTTAGTTATATCTTGCTTTGTTTTAAAGGATAAAGAGTAAATAGCGTTTATTAAACAAATTTATTAATCTAATTCGATAAGTTTTGGAAATTTTTTGTTTTTAAATTTTTTATATATTTTATAAAAAATTTTATATTAATATTTTTTTTAAAAAAAAAAAAATTAAACCCCCCTTTAAATTGGAACAAAATTTTAGTTCCAATTTAAAAGGGGGGGGAGTCAGAAAAATACTACGCTTGGCAAACTGATAACTCCTCCTCAAAAAAATTCGGCTCCACTCTATTTCCTATCACAATTACAGTCATTATCGCAGTCGTTGCTACCTTCCTCGCTCTTTATGCTTATGTCAGCCGCAGAGCAATTCCTTTTGAAAAGCAAGTAGACACAGACCCCAGGACTCTCGGAGTAGAAAAGAACATTGAAAGCGACAGATAATTTAATTCAATATTATAGAAATTAATTAGCCAAAGGAATCCATGTATTTGTAACAATGTTGTATTTCAACACATAATTTTCTTTATTGATGGAGTATAACATGTGGCCTTTTCTTGTGACGTGAAGTCAGAAAAATAGCCATGTGGAGGTTAAAGGAATGTTTGCGGAATTATAAAATTCGTCTGTTATTGTATTGTAGACATAAGACATCCTATGTGGCTCATCGCTAGGGCCTTCTCCACCGAAAATCAAAATTTGAGAGGAGTCAAGAGCGTAGCAGCCATGCTGCCACAGCTTGTCAGGAAGAATTGTAGGCAAGAGCTGCCAGTTGTTAGATTCTATGGAGTATCGCTCAATTGTGTTGTTGACTGTAGTTTGATAGCCTCCGAATACATAAATACAGTTTTTGATGTGGACTCCTGATGCGCAGGTTCTTCCGTATGCCATACTAGCAATGCTTCGCCAGTTTTGGGTGGCTAAATTTAAAACTTCACAATGGTTAAGGGTTTGATTATACTGTCATAGGTTAAATTAATAATAAATCATTATAAAATAATAGACCGTAAGCTCAATTTGGTATCCTTTATTTCATTTTTCCCTGAAAGAACATACACTTCATTGTTTATTAACAAGCAGATATGTGAAGAATGCCCATTTATCATACTCGGGGCTGGTGTAGTTTCACCTGTTTCTGGGTTCAAATAAAAAGCAGTCAATTTTGCGCCTGACTCTTTGCTTGGTTTTCCTCCTGTAATTAAAATATTCCCATTCGGCAATAATACAAACCCAGACCATCTAGGTATTATTTCAGCAGACCTTATAGACATAGTAGAAGTTCTTTGGCTTTCTAAATCATAGCGCACATATTCCTTGCTCCCTCGGCTTAAATAATACAGCTTATTGCTTTCTACAATTTCTGAAGTTTTTAGCTCCAAAGTGCAGAGAGACTCTAACAAATTATTCAGCGCGCTTTGATTTTTAAATTGTAAAATCACTTCTGGCTTTTCCCCAATAATCAGCTGTGGGTCAATAGTCGAAAGTTCTTTAGCTTTTTGATAAAGCGACAAATCATCTGTCAAATTTGACAGCTCTTGTGCTTGTTTTTGTACCCCATCCAGTGTGACGACTTTTTCAATTAAATTTTGTTTTAAAGTTTCATAGCTTTTGCAGATTTTTGATTTTGTGCTGGACCGAATGGCTTCAACTTTAGTATTTAATTGGTTGCAGACCTCGTCTAATTCGTTGGTGTTTTTTTGTTGCTGCTCTACAAGTTCTTCAAATTGACGCTTGATTTCGTCTTTTGTTAGGGTGATTCTTTGGTAGATCTGGGGAAGAGTTTCTTTGGTTTGGATTATTTCAGCTGCAAGCCTAGCTTTGGCGTCTTCTCTGGTCAGAATGGTATGACCGTTGTGGAGTGATGAAAATTGGGCACATTTCATGCAGCATTTTACACAGTCTGTCATACAAAATAGATCTTCTTCTAAATGATGCTCCATGCATAATTCTTGTTTTACTTTACTTAAATGAAGGATTTTATGATGTGCAAACCTGGATTTCGATAGGTGGGAAACAGAGCAGTCTTGGCAGAGGGTAGATTCACAGGTAATGCATTCACTTGTAGCATACTTTGGGTTTTCTACACAAAGTTGACAAAGGATATGGGAAGACGGCTCTTGAGCTGTTTTTCAGTTTTCAATTATGTTCTTGAGCACTATGTTTTTCGGCAAACATTCAGGAGAAAGCGAAGTCAGAAATGTGCAGCCTCTGCATATTGGGCATGAGAAAACTTTTGACTATATAGAGATTACATCTTTTTCTCTGAGGCTAATCACAGTAATAAGCTGTGAAGCACATTCATAACAGAGATTATGAGAGCAGCTTAAGATAATCGGATCTCTAAGAATATCAAGACAAACTGGACACATGCATTCTTTGTCTATTCTTACTCCCTGATCGAGTAAGTTGTTATCAGGCTCAGAATCAAATTTTTCGAAATTTATTAAATCCCATTTGTAAAAAAGGAAAAACTTATTAGTCATGAATTTATGTGTATTAAAATACAAGCTGCTCAAATTTAATAGGACTAAATAATTATCATGCCTTATAAATATTTGGGGATCAGTATACTGCTATTACTGACAGCTAGCATCGTATTTTCAGAGTTTGGGATACAAAACTGGCCATCCGGTAAGGGTCTATACTGGTGCCTAAATATTTATAATGCACGATATTAATTATGTATTATGCATTGCAATAATTTCTTATCATGCATATGCATGTCAATTTGAATTTGGTATGTGAAAACCAAATATGCGTTTCAAAACGCAGATTTTAGTGCGGCAAATTCATAGTTTGAAATTTCATATGAAAATGGAGCGTATAATGCCTATAAGAAATTTATGCAACGCATAATATCATTTTTAAAAACTAAAAAATCTTGTTTGCTTATTGAGAAAAGTTAGCATTTTTTAATAATTTCCATATAATAATCCTAATTAAAAGCTGTTTCCAACTTAAACCCATAAATAACTAAAAAAATAAAGCAAAATTTAAAGCTTGATTAATGGTTGAGTTAATAAAAGATGCAGGACTCCAAAAGCAACATCATGTTCCGTAAAACCCGAGCTTACAATGGCCGCAACGACAGCTCAATAGATTCTGACTTTTCCCAAGAACAAGCCAAGTACGACCAGCAGCGCCAGCGTCGTCAAGAAACCGAAGAGCAGCGAAGGGTCATGCTATTTGGCAGTTCTGAAGAAAAAGCTGCCCATCAGTCCAAAGTGAAACAAGATGCAAATCTTCAGCTAATGATGAGAGAACAGCAAGAAAAAGAGCGTCGCGACAGACAGAGAAGAGAAGACCAAAGGGTAGAAGAGCACAGGCAGATGATGGACGACATGTATAACCAAAGAGAAAGAGAACGCAGAGAAAAAATGCGACAAATGCAAGAAGAAAATAGGATGGCAATCATGGCAAAGAACTCAGAAAGCCTTTATAGAAAAGTGAACCAAGATAGGCAGGATAAGGACTCAATCAATAGCAATATCAGCAACTACCAGCCTAACGTATTTTAATTACTTATTGAATAATTGAGGAATGAATGCTATTTATTAGGTTCTTATAAATAATTTGCATTAAAATGATGAGAGCAGTAACTTTATTGAGATATGGCGGGCCTGAAGTGCTTCAAATTTCACAAATTCCGATCCCTGTACCAAAGCCTAATGAGGTATTATTGAAAGTTCATGCAACTGCTCTTAATCGTGCAGATCTCTTGCAGAGAAGAGGGTTTTATCCTCCTCCGGCTGGAGCTTCTGATATAATAGGTTTGGAGTGTGCGGGAGAAGTAGCACAGTCTACAAGAAACTGGGCTTCAGGACAAAGAGTTATGGCAATTCTTCCAGGTGGCGGCTATGCTGAGTATGCTGCTGTTAAATCAGATCACCTAATGCCGATTCCTGAGAATTTATCTTATGAAGAAGCTGCTGCAATTCCTGAAGGCTGGGTTACAGCTTATCAGCTATTATTTTATATAATACATTAGATTTTTTCCTTCCTTATCCCCGATAATAAAGCTAAAAGATTTTACTATAAATATTATTTATTCCAAAATAGGGAAAATAGGAAATTATTTATATTGCTAGAGGAAAAGCACAAGAAAAAGTATTAGTTCATGCTGGAGCGAGCGGCGTAGGAACTGCACTTATACAATTAGCTAAATTAAAAGGCCTTAAAGTTGCTGTCACTTGTGGTAGCCAAGAGAAAATAGAATTCTGCAAAAATTTAGGGGCTGATCTTGCTATAAATTATAAGACAGAATCATTTAAACAGAAGGTAAAAGAGTTTGGAGGAGCTGATATTGTTTTAGATTGCATTGGGGCTAATTATTTTGAAGATAATTTAGATGCAATTAGGCTAGATGGGAGATGGGTTATTTATGGGACTATGGGAGGACACCAAGTAAATCAAGTATCTCTAACTCCTATCTAGAAGTGAGAAAACCATTAGAAAAATTCTAAAAATTAGTTCCCCAAGTAATTGAGTAAATATAAAATTATTTTTTGATAAATAAGCAATAATTATTATAATAAAATTCTATTATTTTTATGAAATTTTATAATTAAATTCAACTTATTTAATATAAAAAGATTAAAAATTATAATTTCATAACTTAAGCAAATGTTTTGCAGAAGAGGAGTAAGAGGAATGATGGGGAAAAGAATTAGCTTGATTTCGACAACATTGAGAAATAGATCTGATGAGTATAAAGCTGATTTGGTGGGATCTTTTATAGATGATGGAATTTTAGATGCCTTTAGGAATAGAGTTTTAAAGCCTATAATTTACAGGACTTTCCCAATTGAAAAAATAGCGGAAGCTCATGAGATTATGGAAAAAAATGAAAATTCAGGGAAAATTGTACTGAAAATATCCAATTAATTTAATTATGTGCTAATTGATTTAAAAATTATAATTTCAAAATTTATAAATATTTATTATTCACTCACATATTCTCTTAGCTTAAAAACAGAATTTTTGAAATTTTCAGAAATTTGCCCTTCAACGATCTTCCCCTGCATTTTTACATCTAATTGTTGAATTATAGTTACCTTTGTTCCAGCATTTATTTCTTCTATATTTATCGTTTGGAAAACAGTTTGTCCATATTCTTCCAGATCAGGTACTTCTTTATCAGCCATTACAATAGAAATAATTACTCCATTATTTGTTCTTGTCGACCATCTGTCTATAAATTTCCTTTCTTTCCCTTTAAGCGTCCTCGTTACCATCACAACGGAATCTTCATACGTTTTTCCAGTCATCAAAGTGATATCATCAATAGAAACATCGCACTTTTTTATAAGTTCAGGCTCATGCAAAGCTTCGACAATCTTAGCAAGTGATATTTTTTGGTCAAAAATAATTTTGCATTTCATCACAATTCTTTCCTTAAGCATACTTGTAGGCTTCTGCTCGATTTTTAAATTTGGCTCAGAAACTATTTGAGACCATTCATGATTTTCTGATAAAGTTGTTAAAGAGTCTAAAATTAAATCAAATCTTTTATCAGGAAATGCAAAGTCGTCAAGCCTTTTAATAGAAAATTTTTTACAGACTTTATAGAATTCATCACTTTCTCTATGATTTTCTCGCTTTGAAGACACATCAGAGGATTTACTTTCTAAAGGAAATTTTTCGTGATTTTGATTATTTGTGCTTATGGATTGGCCCTGATATATTTGTTGCCTGTCTTTTGGTGCTTGTGGGTATTTGAAGATATCTTTAATGTTTTTTTGTTGGCATGATCTTTGGATCACTTCAGGGTACTGTGTTGATGGCTCAGATTCTTTACTTTGGTAGCAGCCCATTTTAGAATTAAATATTAGCCATTAATATTCTCCTGATAAGAATTTTTACATTTTCAATTACTGCTTTTTCAATGAACTTATTCAATTATTTTTGCAGCTTAGCAAATACTTTCTATTTACAATTAATTGTGATTACATACATTATAATGTAGGCTTATTCATTTGATCATACGATATACTAATATGCCGCTGCCACTCAAAACTCTCCTGACTGTTTTCATCTGATTGGTAAATTTTTTGTGTTACTCTTCTCCCTACTGATTTATGTTCCCACATTGCTAAATTTTTTTTCATTTGCTCAAGTACAAGGGTATTAATTATAGCTCATGCACCTTAATAGATCTCTATACCCCAGCAGAATACCGACCAGAAAAAATATGGTACAAGGCACCTTCTTTATACAGTATAAGTCTGATTAGGCACCTTAAAACCAAAACGGAGACTTGTCATTTTCGTTTTTACTTTTCAAAAAAGCTGACAAGTACAAATTAATTTTGGAAATTAAAAGGATGGCCAATAATGATCTAAATAATTTCAGGGGCTATACGTCAGATTTCAAATAACTGCATCATACTTCAAATAACGGCAGACAGATATTTTTTATAAATCCAGCTTGGCTTTTTGGTATATTTGTGGTATCTCTGTCACAGTACATAGAAACTGGCTGCTTGTTTTTCTTCTCTAAATCCCCTTGGTTGAAAAATTCTTCACATACCAGCTGGCTTCATTTTTCATGGAGATCTTTTACCTTGGCACTGTGGCCTATGTCTCCACATTTTAATGCCATTGCTAGTATCATCACTTTGTCATCTGCTTTTTCAATATCTAAATCTGATAAATTAATTGCTCTTGTCCTAAATCTGCCTAAAAGCTCAAAATGCTTCGACATATCAGTTCCTAATATCATGTCTATAATAAGTTTTCTTGCCTTAAATCAATCACTGCTCGTAATTCCTTCTAAAACATTGCATCCTGATTTTTGCATTATAGTAAAAGTATTAGAGCAATGCATATTTTCTAGCACACTTTGGTCATTATATTGATATGCAAGCTCATCATGATTATTTATCAAATACCGATTGGTTAAAGCAGGATGTCCAACATCATGGCCTAATGATGCAATAATTGAGGATAAAATATCAAGTGCTGATAAATATACATGAAGACTACTATGCTGGATAAAAAACAGCACACAATGAAGCACATCTGCTGCATGGCAAGCATTGTGATAAGGGTTTTTATTGTACCCTTTTTCAATTGTTTTGAAGTACAAGTCGCTCACGCTTTCTGGAATATTAAAAGTTTCGTTTAAATTCCATTTTTTTAGAAGGTATTTTGCAATTACAAAAATACTGCTTCCAGTAGCGTTATAGATAAATCATATATCAAAATTTCAGTTTCTGCCGATTGTGGATAGGACACTTTCAAGCTCAGAAGCGCCGTAATTTCTAAAGGGAAAAGCTTTTTTATTTTTGGTTTCATCCTCTGTAAATGTGAACTTTTTGGGGACCATGATTTCAAAAGCGTCTTGGGTCTGACGGACTTCCATGTAATTTTGGTTAATAAATTCTATGTCTTCTTTATCAATGTCTGGGGCTTCTTGAAATCTGATTTCTTTATAATAATGCCCATGGGCGATTCTTCTTTTAACTTTTTCTACTTCAATGCTTGCGTTTTTTAGTCTGTTTTTAACGTCTTTGAACATAACAACAGAGTAGCCGTATTTAATATTCCAAATCTAATGCTAACTCCCCCCCTCCGTGAGTGAACAAAAAAATTTTGTTCACTCACGGAGGGGGGTTAATTTTTTTTTTTTAAAAAAGTTTATATATAAATTTTATAAAAAATTGTTTTTTTCGAAATTTAAAAAAAATCCTAATTTGCAAAAATTGGAAAGCAAATATTAATTTAACTTATAAAATTTATGTTTTAAAAAGCAATTCGTTTAAAATTAAACAGAATTAGTTCTAGATTTCGTTATGCTAATTATCACTTATATATCAAAATTTTTTTCCATAAAAAATTTTTCTATTAAAAAACATTTTGTTCACTCACGGAGGGTGGATTTTTAGGCAAAAAATAGCGATTTTTCTCACTCACGGAGGGGGGGAGTAAGTGCTTTATTATTTGACCACTTTTACTATTTTTTACAAAAATAAGATAAATCATTTATATAAAATATGTGTGTTCTCTTTTAAAATATATATCGTTTTTGATTGAATCACAAGAATTTACAAGGTGCTCAATTTCTGACTTAATCACATCTTGCATACTCACATCGACTTCTGGTATATAAAAATTTTCCCTTTCTCTCTCAGCTCTGTAAAACAGTTGCCTTGACCTATAATCAAATTTATGTGCTTCTATCACTTGTAGCCCTAAAAACAAGACCATTATTGCACATTCCGCAATAATAGAATAATCATTCAAAGGAGAATACGAAAGCGAAAACGACAAAAACAGCACTATACTTGAAACACAAAGAATCCCTACCAAATAAAAGCTATCAAATAAAATATTTCTCATCATAATAATCCAACAAATAACCCCAAGTGTGCTTGGAATCGAGCTTTTATGATAATCTTCTGATAGCATCCCGCTTAAAACCCTTTCATCGCCTACTATTAAATATATCAAAAACAAAAATCCCAGTAACATTAAAAAAAATCTGCAATGGTATAAACAAAAAGTGCTTTTATGAAAAGAATATAAAATCATGTAAGAAATAATCAGAATAGCTGATAGGAAAATCAGTTGAAATCTTAAATTTGAGTCAGCCATTTCGTTATCTGCATTCAGTAAAATAGAAAAAGCTATCAAGATCGTGATATAAAGGGTTAAATATAAATAAAACACTAGTAAGGTACTTCTGAACTCTAATGAAAGTGTTTTATGGTCCTTACGGTCGCAATAAATGCTTTTGATGAATTTATCTTCCATATATGGGCTGGTAAACCAAAGTAAATTTGGGTTAATAGGGATGGATTGGTTTTCGTGGTTTTCGTGGCCTAATAGTCCATAAGTTGACGGCCTGTGGTGCAAGAATATAGATGGAGATATTGGCTCACTTCTACTTGACATAGACATACTTTAATTTTAATTTTCAAATGTTACTCGATTTACTAAATGCTCTTTATTAAATTTAATTAATATGCATTAAATATAATCTTTAAAAAAAAAACCTTTTGGCTGGAATCGTAAACATCATATAAATTATGTTTTTCTAATGAAATTTGAATATATAAAATAAATGTAATATGAAAACCGTGTAATAATTTTAAAGAAATTAAAATTTTGAGGCTGGATATTGAATGAACAATTGAAAGGATTTATTGAATTTTTTGAGGTAAAATAGTTAAACGATAAGTTTGAGTATAAATTAGCTTTTGAAGACTGGATTAGGAGTGAAATTGATGAAAATCAGATAAAAGTCTGATAGCATTGGAAGCAAGCATTATTTTTGCTTTTTATTGCTTAATTCAAAGAATTATTTTGAGATAGAAAGTTTTTGTTTTTGTGATAATTAAAAGACGCTTTTGGCACAACCCATTATTCTTATTAATACATAATGCTTAAATTCCAAATTAAATATAATTTTAATCACATAGTTTTTACCCCCTCCGTGAGCGAACAAAAAAATTTTGTTTGCTGACGAGGGGGTTATAAATTTTATCATAATTTTTTTTTTAAATTTAAAAAAATCTTAACTCTTTTTAAAATTAGAAAGCAAATATTAATTTAATCTGTAAAATTTATGTTTTAAAAAAAAATTGTTTAAAATTAAACAGATTTCATTATATTAATATAACTTATATATCTATATTAAAAACATTTTTGTTCGTGTCGAAGGGTGGGTTTTGGCAAAAATAGATGTTTTTATTCACTCATGGATGGGGAGTTAGTAAAATTTTATGTTATGGTTTAAATAAATTATTGAATTTCAAGTTAAACAAATAAAATTGAAATGTAATTGAATAATTATTTTATCGAATTTATTTGTGGCCTTGCGCTTTGATGCCTTTCAGAATATACTCTTAATATAAATCTTGCGATTTTTATTAAAAAATAAGTATGGCAGTTTTAGAAAAATCTCCTATAGATGATCGCCTCTACAAGTATTTTGAATTGCCAAACAAAATGAAATGCTTAGCAATAAGTGACCCCACAACTGATATTTCTGCAGCTGCAGTTAACGTTGAAGTTGGAAATATCTCAGATCCTCCCGAATATCAAGGATTAGCTCACTTTTTAGAACACATGCTATTTATGGGTACAGAAAAATATCCAGGAGAAAATCACTACAAATCTTTCATTTCTAAACACGCTGGTTACAATAATGCTTCTACCTCTCAAGAGAGCACAAGATATTATTTTAGCGTTTCTTCCCAAAATTTATATGAAGCATTAGATATTTTTTCTCAATTTTTTATTCAGCCTTTATTAGGTGAGGATGCAGTAAGCAGAGAAATGAAAGCTGTAGATGCTGAGCATAAGAAAAACTTAAAAAATGATATCAGGAGATATTTTAGACTGCTGAGGATGGCTTCAAAACCTGGGCATCCTTTTGGGCTATTTGGAACTGGATGCTTTGAGACGCTAAATAAACCAGATATTTATACTGAGGTTAAAAGGTTTTATCAAGAAAAATATTCAAGCAACTTGATGAGTGTAGCTGTCTTAGGAAAAGAACCGATTGAAATACTAGAAAAATGGATTGAGGACTGTTTTTCTAATATCCCTAATAAAGAATTAATTCCTGATAAACTTGAAGAACAGCCTTTCGATGAGACTACTAATGGTTTTTTAACCAAAATAATTTCAGTGAAAAATAAAAAAGAAATAAAATTCGTGTGGCAATTTCCTGGCCTATCTCAATATTACCTCAGCAAACCTGGAAAATACTTAACTCATTTAATAGGCCATGAAGGAAAAAACAGCTTATTATCTGCCCTCACTAATGAAGAATTAGCTAGTTCTTTGGTCACAGAAATTTCTTTTGATCTTTCCTCTTTTTCTTTATTTGTAATTACTATCACTCTAACTGACAAAGGCTTTGCCCATTACGATCGTGTTGTAGAATTGGTGCACGAGCACATTGAAATTTTAAAGGAAAAAGGAATCCATTAACATTAGCATTAACTTAAATATAGAGAAGTTCGCTGTAATTCCCACTTAAGGGCCTACCTCCACCCGTCACGCTCCACTCGGCTGCTCACCACCGACCGACCACGACCTTCTAAAGTGTTACTCCTTCTGGACGAGGATGTGCACTCGCTACCCGAAGTTGGATGAGTTGCGTCACCGTGCCGTACGCCAGCAGAGTTGTCTTTTCCGAAAATTTGAAAAACAAATTTTCTGGTCAGACTCACGGCCAAAATGAAAATCCAAAGCCTGGGACGTAACTCCCAGTTTCACGCTAGAGAGTTGCCCGATAGACCAAGAGGAACTCATTGGCGCTGCTGAGCTTCTCCTTTCCAACATTGGAATCCATTACCCTGAGGTAAAAACCTTGTCATCAGAGTGAACTGCGGTCGACCAAATTCGACATTGCGCTCCACTGTGCCAAGGAAAAACCTAGCCGGATACCTATACCGAGCGCCAAATTCCCTTCCACAAGGTCCCCGAGTCCTAGAAGGAGCCCGGCTACAGGTGTTGAGAAAAAGGGCTGGTTCGCCGTCGCCATTTTAATAAGTATATGGAAAAAGGAATCCAAAAATGGGTATTCGACGAGCTGAGATTTATGGATATTGCAAATTTCAATAATAAAAGTGAAAAGAGCCCTGCTGATGAAGTCATTGAGCTTTCAAGAAATCTTCATAAATATCCTCCTGAAAAAATAATTTCAGGGCCATGCATTAGGGAAGAATGGAACCCAGAGCTTATAAGGTCTCTGTTAGATTTGATGAGACCTTCAAATTTACAAATTTATTTTCTTTGTCAAAAGTTTGACAAAACTAATATGGCTGAAGAAAGCTTTTATGGGACTTTTTATAGCAGAGAGAGATTTTCAGATGAATTGTTAGCAAAAATGATATCACCAAGAAGAAATAGCAATAAAGAGGTAATATTAGACCTTCCTGTTCCTAATGATTTTATTCCAACTTTATTTCATATAGAAGAACCTCAAGATTTAAAGTTAGTCCCAAATTTATTGCTAGATGACGAGAAAAATACAGTCTGGCATATGTTTGACAATTCATTTAAGGCTGATAAAATAATAGCTGAATTGATGATTTATTGTGGAGATTGTGCTGTCCATTTAAATCCATTTTTCCATGTTTTGGCTCAGTTATGAAACGACATGTTTTATCATAAATTCCGAGAAACTGATTATATCTAAGGACTGGTTATAGCTCTATTCTATCAGCAATATTTCCAACTAGGTAATAGTTACTACGACCAGCCAAATAAGCTCAAAAATGCTTTAATTTTCACATACTGATTCGCTTAGCTAGCTTTATAAGTTTTGTATTATACTCCTCAAGTTAAGACCCATCATGTGCTATAAGCCATCCTGAACTATATCTTGCTAAATGTGCTGGGCTTAAATTATCATTTGACTTTACATATTATGGGCTAAAAATAAATTTAAATGGCTACAGCCAAAGATTCGCTAATTTTTTCGAAACTGTTATCAGTGCTTTATCATCTTTTGAAATTACTGAAAACGACTGTTCAATCTTTGATATTTACTATATAAAGAAAAAATCTGCTCTTGAAAGCCTAGCATTGTCGCCGGAACCAATAGATGAAGCTTTTAACATGTTTAAAGACTTGGTGTCTGTAAATGGATATTTTTCACATCAGGAAAAATTAGAAGTATTAAGAAATGTTACTTTTCAGGATATTCTCTGGTTTAGCAAAAAATGGTTAAAGAATGTCAGATTTGAGTGGCTTATCTTAGGCTGCATAAACGCAGAATCAGCTTTAAATATGGCTCAAGCTGTAGCAAGTATATTTGAAAGCAAAAGAAATATTCAATATATTTCTAAAGAAGATTATCCTATTAATGAAATTGTTACGATTCCGTCAGTTTCTACAGATAAATCACTATCAAATTTAGTCTATTCAAAACACATATAGGATTTCCCCCTATATTGCTCTGTAAGGGCTGTGGATTCTGTCCGGAATCCTTTGGTTGGTGGAACCAACAAGTGAGTTGGCCAGACTAGCGTACTGAGTTGTTTCCACCAACCAAAGGATTCGGACAGAATCCACAGCCCTTACAGGGCTATATAAGGTAAAACCCTATAGAAGATAAAACAAACAAAAATTCTGCAGTTGTCGCAATTTGGCAAATAGGAACTGAAGACCCAAAAGCTTTTGCAGGCATGCACATAATTTTAAAATTTTTAAAGGAGCCTTGCTTTACAACTTTAAGGACAAAAGAGCAGCTAGGGTATATTGTATCTGCAAATCACCGTAGAATTCGAGGAAATTTATATCTTTCAATAGATATTCAATCTTCAGTCTCCTGTTGTGCACATGTAACTGAAAGAATTTCATGCTTTATTGATGCAATGAGACAAAAAGTGCTAGAGATTACAGATGAGGAATATGAAAAAATTAAAAATTCTGCTAAAAATGCCTGGGCACGGAAAGATGTGGCATTGATTGGCAAATTTGACAGATTTATGACGGAAGTTGTGAGAAGGTCATATCTTAGAACTTAGAATATTAGAGTGTTTAAAGTGCAATTCAGTTCTCTAGGGAATTATAAAGACGCATGGCTCACCCCAGTAGACACACAAGCAGTGGCAGGCATTTCCTATGTTACCCTTTTTATCGGGTCGAAGGACCCTAAGCAAATGATAGCCACTAAGCCAGGACGCGCTATCTATTTCTACGCCTTTTCTGTCTAAGAGTCTACCACTCGGAAGTGTCAAGTGGTAAATTCCATGCTAAAAATCCAAAGGGCCTCAGTCCACAACTTATCCTACAGGTTTCTATAGATAAAGATTTACTAGATAGCCGAAAACCATAATAATAAATATCTTGGAGAGAGTGTATTCCGATGGTAGCCATTTTATTATTATCTTTAGAAAGTCATATCAATTTACAAAAAAGGAAGACATCGAGCAAGTTATGCATTCTTATACAAAGGAGGAGTTTCAGAATTTATTTGAGAGGATCTTTTATAAGAATTCTGCTAGGGTTGATTTGGAGCTTATAAGTGAAAATCTGAGAGAAGAGCAAGAAGTTCTGGAAAAGCAATGTGAGAAGATGAAAATTCAAAGTCCAAATTATTTCAAAAGAAGCAATGCAATCATATATAATAGTAGATAAATCAATTCCTTTAGCAAATCTTGCTATATAAATAAATAGCATAGTGAATCATAAGTTTTAATTTTTGATGGCCAGCCTGCCCTCTTAGCACCTGTAGCCAGGAAGTTTTATGAAAGCCATGGATATTGTGGAAGGGAGGACAGCGAACGAAAATGTCTATCCGGATTTCAATTGTTTTGGTGGAGCGCAATGTTAGATTAGTCAGCCACATAATCATCCAGGACTGTAGAGGCAGTTCGTAGAAGCTGGAAAGGGTGCGTTCCACAAGGCCAGAACGTGGTTACTTTACCAATGGCAAACTATCCAGTGAAATAAAACTTTGCGTCTTGGGAATCGAGTTCCTTTATAGTCGAAAAAAGGACCAGAAAATTTGATTTTCGACTTTTCTGGAAGGCAAACCCTGCTGACGTGCGGAATGATGGCCCACTCTGACTCTAGGTTAGTGAGTGTAAGTTCTCGTCCATTCGGAGAAGCACAGTTTAAGGCCATTTCCAGACTGTCAAGCAAGCGATGGAGCATTATACGGAGGCTAGTAATGGCCTGTAGCTAATTTCTCTATAAATGATTAAGTTTTAAATTATTCATATATTTAAATTTACTGTAATTAAATTTTAAACCAAAAATTGAATTAAGCTCTTCTCCATGAATTTGATAGAACCTTTATTTATTTGCAAAATTTGCACGACTATAACTCTTCAAGTCCTCAAAATTATAAATTCCGTAAGATATTTTAAGTTACCTAAATGGAAGAAGAGCCATATGAAATTAATGAAGAACTAGACATCGCTGAACTTGCAGCACAAGAAAGCCTTGAAGCTCTTTATGAATGTGGAGCCCAAATATTATACGATCACTATATTCGTGATAAATCAGTCCCATTTGCAGCTCAGCAAGCAGTTTCTATCATAGGAAGCACTGTTGAGCTTTATTATATCCGCCAAGATACAGGAGAGCCAGAAATATGAGAAGAAATCCCTGAGCCTAGTCCTTGCGTAATAGATCCATGGATGAGAAGTGTCGTACCAGTTAAGAAAAAATTCAAAGAGCCAGAGCCTGACGAGCCTTCAGGACAGTCTGTTATTTCTGTCGAAAAAAGCATGAGAAGTCATAAAAGTTTCCGGTCATCTCGTTCAAGTTTCAAAAAAAAGACAAGCCCAACTAAGTCAACCCGTGGATTCCAAAACAATTTAATCACTGAAGAAATCAAGCCAGTTCCTATTCCTAACGTTGTCTCTGACAGCTTTTAACTTATTTAAGTTAAGAGGTTATAGGGAAAGTTGGCAATAAGGGCCATAATCTCTGCTTCCATCGCTTACTTGCCAGTCTGAGAATGACCTTTCACTGCGCTGCTCCTTTTGGACGAAGGGTTGCATTTGCTACCCAAGAGTAAGAGACGCTGGATCACCGAGCCACATGTCAATGGGATTTACCTTTCCAAAAAATTGAAAGCGCATTCTGGCTGATAAACTTGTAGCCTAGGGTACAAATTGGCATGGCGCTGGGAATGTATCCAATTGACCAAGTGACTGCATCTTGCCTTACTGGACTATCCCTTATAAGTCCAAAATTCCATCTCAAACTATATGGAAGTTTATCTTAGCAAGAGCTTATTGTCAGTCAGCTCACCAAAGCAATAAAACCATCCGGAAACACTCATCACACACTACTCTCCTTCTACAAGGTCTCCAGAATTCCATTTACCTACAGGTGTTATAGAAATTGCCCGAGGATGGCGCTATTTTGCGCCATCCTCGGACAATTTCTATAGACGTCAAGCTGACTTTCAATCCATTTTTATGTGTGCTCTGACAGTTCAGAAGATGAAGCTGAAAACCAAATGAGGGAAATGAAAGAGAGACAAGTAAAACGGAAAAAAGAGGAAAAAGAACGGCTTAAGCAGAGAAAAGAAGAAGAAGCAGCAAAGGAAAGGGAATATCAAAGGGAAGCTGAAGATTTGAAAAATAAAATGTTTACTTATGATTTTGGAGGAAAAATTATGATTGTGAATCCAATTAACTTTGAAAATGTTAATGCATATAGCACTTCTACGATGAAATATGCAGTTCCAGAACCGATTGCAGAAGAGCTGACAATGAAAGATAAGAAAAAAAAGAAGGATAGGACGGCAGTGTCAGATTTTGGGATAATAAAACCAAAAAAAGTGCCTCCAGCAAAAGAGCAGGAGTGGGTAAGGAATGCGACATCACTTTCTGCATCAATTTTCGATATACTATTTTGTGATAAACCCAATAGAATGAGCTTATAAACAATATATATTTGCTAAAGATTTATTATAATAAAAATCAATATAAATCACCTTAATATTAATTTGAGCCTTGGAGTCACAATTTTTGACGGAAATCGCAGCAAACTTCCTCTATCAAGTTCTCAGTCAAAGCTAAAAACTATGAGCAGGAAAGAATATTTTGGGATAACGGCTAGAGAGCATGCATTCAGAAGTACTGGAGATCTACAAATAGCGAAACAAGAAAGCTTGCACTCTTCATCCGCTAGCAGACAAAATACAATATATAAGCTGCCATCAATAGCATCTGCAAGAACTAACAAAGATTTGCTTGAAAATATACCTGATAATGAGACTCATGCTGAAGTTGAAGAAAATCCTCAAAATTCTCTTAAGCGGGCTCCAACTGAAGATATTCCTCAGATTTCTGTCAAGGAGACTCCTCAAATTATTTTAGCTAAATCCCCGCAGTTAGAAAAAATAAGGAAATATGAAAATGTTGAAAATATCAAAGAAATGAGTCCAATTGACAAGTTCAATGTATACAAAATACCTTTAAATTTAATACCGTATTTTATTGCCAATATACCCTGCTTTATACTTTAGCTTCTTTTTTGGTATAAAATTAATCTAATTTCGTATAGAAATTTTGAAAAATAAAAATTGGGGATTAAATCCTCCTTTTAAAGGAGCGAAACTTCCTGCCAAACTTCCTAATAGGAATATATCCCCTCGGCAACAATATGGAATTTACGGAGACAAAATAAGAAAACCCAAAGACAACCCATTTGCATCTGCAGAAGAGCTCTGGGAATCCCAGAAAAATTCCATCAAAAGGCCAAGAGACCGTAGATTCATTGAGCGAGTTGAGCACAAGCAGCGAATGCCTCCCCCTCCTTTTGGACAATCAATGGTCGACTACTCAACCCTAGCTTCCACAATCCCAGAAATGCAAGAAAAATCCAATAATTAATTTTATTTATAATTTATCAGCTGCAGTTTCTTTGTAGTTTTCATCTTCAATTCAAGCGTTGGAGTCCTTTCTATCACATTGGGGGTAGCTCTTCTTAATAGTTATTCTTGCTTATCTTCTTTCAAATCCTCGAGCTTCATATTCTATTTTTTTGATAAATCCTTCAAATCTTTATTACTTATATTGAAGCCTGATTTTATTAAATTGAACTTTATTATGTAAATAATTAATAACAGATAGTATTATAAAAATACTTTACTCAAGCAGATATTTTAGCACTCTCAAAATTTACTTTTAAAAATTGAGCATAATTTAAATTTCACCTCCAATATACTGGACATTTTCTATCAAAGTCTCAATTCGATCCATAAGAAAATAAAACCCATATATTCTAATTACATCATAATGGCTTGGTGTCTATAAACCTGTATTTGACTGATCAATAATTATAAAATGGAGTCGAAACTTTTTCCTTCTTTGAGATGGGGTTGAATTTTCCTGGGCTATATCAGCATCAACCGAGCGCATAGGCTGGAGCGCCTGATCCTTGGGTTTTAGAAGTATAGGCTTTTACCATTCAAAGCACTTAGTAGAGATACTCTTAAGTAGAAAATACGTAGGAGTCAAGTTTAGCTGTATCTATTTTGGATTGTATTAGTATGTCTGATCTAAATGGGTTGGGGAAGAAATTCTCGTTACAAGCTGTAGTAAAATTGGGCATCGATCTCTGGGAAGAGGAACACATTAAATATTAACTCCCCCTCCATGAATGAGTAAAATATTTTTGTTCCTTTACTTAAGGGTTGATTTTTTTAAACCTTATAGCAAATTTTTTTCGAATTTGGAAAGTATAATTTATGAATTTTATATAGGTGGGGAATAAGTTAATAAGTAAGTATTATGATAATTGAATTTCATTGATAAAAGAGTTGCTTACTCCCCCCTCCGTGAGTGAACAAAAAAATTTTGTTCACTCACGGAGGGTGGTTAATTTTTTTTTAAAAAAAATTTATATATAAATTTTATAAAAAATTGTTTTTTTTTCGAATTTAAAAAAATCCTAATTCGCAAAAATTGAAAAGCAAATATTAATTTAATTTATAAAATTTATGTTTAAAAAGCAATTCGTTTAAAATTAAACAGAATTAGCTCTAGATTTCATTATTCTAATTATCACTTATATATCAAAATTTTTTTCCATAAAAAATTTTTCTATTAAAAAAATTTTTGTTAATGGGTTTTTGGGGTAAAATAAGGAATTTTCTAATGGTTTTGTTCACTCACGGAGGGGGGGATTTAGTAATTATATATAATCGAGAAACTTTATTGAAAACTCTAAATCAATTTGACGATGAAATCCGATCAAGAATAAATTCATTACTCAATCATAATTATAAAATTATGTCATAAATATAAAAATATGCTATATATTGTCTATAATTTATATATAAACCGCATTTAGAAGTTAAATTAGCATCTAAAAGGATATAAAATGAGAAATATACAATTGAGTCCTTATAATTAATTTTCTATGGAAATGGAAAAAAGACCCAACCCTGAGTCTTCATCTCAGCCAAACCAAACTCTTTATATAAAGAACTTAAATGATAAGGTAAACAAACTTGAAGTGAAAAGACTTTTATATCAGCTGTTTTCAGCATATGGATATATTTTAGAAATCTATGTAAGCAAAGCTCCAAAAAAGAGAGGACAAGCCTTTATTGTTTTTGATACAGTTCATGATGCAGCGCTTGCCTTGCAAGCGCTCCAAAATTTCAGTTTTTTAGAAAAAAATCTTAATATAGACTATGCGAGAGACAAAAGTGATGTTATTGCTAGAAAAGAAGGGACTTATGAGAAAAGAGCAAAACAAAAGAGAGAGGCTGAGAGAGCAGCGAACACATAACCTAGAAAAATTAACTTAATTCTTTACAAATTTTATTGTAAAAGTTTATTATATTCTAGGCAATTTTGCTTAAATTTAATGAAAATCTCTTCCAAAGTTTTATAGCATGAATAAGCATTAAATTTCTTGAAAAATTAATGGAAAATAATCTAACAGAAGTTGTGTTATTTGGCTGGAGATTTGAGGAATTGTGAAGAAGAAATACGGGAACTATGTTGGATTATAAATCGAGGAAATTGTAAAAATCAGAAGAGAATTGACTCCTTAAGTAGTGAAACCGCTAATTATTATTACTATAGCATGAGAGTGCAAATTCTTTGCCCACATAAGGTGATAAGAGTTAATTATTAAAATAATTGAATTTATTTACCCTTAGCAGCAGCCACTTTTCTTTTGGGTCAATGATTTCCCACCCGCCAATTTTTGTCCTTTTGGTTGAGTACTTGGTACGCCTTTTGCCGAAGTTGACGCAATTCTTCCTTTGATTTCTCCAGCCATTCTTAAAAACGATTGTTCTACATTCGCTGAAGTTTTAGCTGAAGTTTCAATAAAATTAATCCCCATTGAATCAGCTAATTCTTTTCCTTCATCATAAGTAACAGCTTTTTTGCCTTCTAAATCTGCTTTATTGCCCACTAATAGGCGGTTCACGTTTTCGCTGGCATATCTTGTAATTTCGTTCATCCAGTTCTTGACATTTTCGAAGGACTCTCTGTTTGTTACGTCATATACAACGATGATCCCATGGGCGCCTCTATAATAAGATGAGGTGATAGTTCGGAATTTCTCTTGCCCTGCAGTATCCCAGATTTGAAGCTTAACCACTTTGTTCTCCACCTCTACCGTCTTTATTTTCTACATGAACCATACAAAATCTACTCCAATGGTAGCAATGAAGCTCTCTGAATAGCTGTTGTCAGCGAAACGAAGGAGTAAGCTTGATTTTCCGAGAATTTTTAAAAAAAATTAAAAAAAAAAAATAATTTTATTATTTTTTATATAAAAATTTAAAAAAAAATAATTTTCCGACTCCAGAATCCCCAATTAGAAGAAGCTTGAAGAGATAGTCACTTGATAAAAATTACTATTCAGGGTTTGCCATTTATTATAAAGGTCCTAGAATGTCAGGTGCTATCAGTAATAAAATGATATAATTATCAGATTTTAGAGCTGCTAGGGATAAGGGTAGCTATGGTTTTGAAATATGTAAAAATTATAGTAAAAAAATGTTGAAATTAGATGATGGTGATTCATATAGTCAGAATAAAATTTCATATTTGCAACGATTAAAATACAAATTTACATTAAATTCAATTTCTAAAGCCTCCACTACAATGATCTTTAATATATATCCCTGATTTCCTTCCAAAAATGCAGCGATCATAACCTTTTAAGAAACTATCTAATCTATTAAATTAATGCTTAGGCTTGAGTTTCTTGAGTTCTTGTCTGACCAATTGCGACTTTTTCTTTTGGTTGACCATGAGTTTGAATCTACCGAAATCTGTGAGTTCTGCTCTTCTGAGTCTAGATGCAATTTGTTTACCATGAGTGCTTTCTTGCCACTTAGATAATATGTTAGAATCAGTGAAAATCTTTGCAACGTTTGCAGAGGTCTGATTTCTCTTAACTGGAAGCACAAACTCAGTCAATGAAAGTCTTGAAAAAGGCATTTGCTGACGAAGGACTCCTGTAGCTGCACCATCAACTAAAGCTCTTTTCCCGTCTATTACGTCCACAATCACGCACAATTTGTCTTTTTCAGGTCCAAAATTAACGTATGCAACTCTTCCAATTTCGACAAATCTGGAGTGTACCTATGGTAGCCATTTACCATTTGAGCCTTGAGTTAAGTATTATATTACATGGAAAGGGATAAAGAACTGGAGAGAAATGAAAGTGGTAAAAATTAATTTAATGGAAAAGAATAAGAAATTGATATGCAAAAGAAGAAGATTATGGTGATAATGAAGATAAGAAATTGGATTTCAGAGTTCGGATGAATTGTGTGGTGGAATAATTTTCTAACTGAAATGTATAAGGGAGAAATGCGCAGTGTGTTTATGACACAAAATTCATTTACTTCCTTTTTAAGTAAAAAAAATTGTTTATATATAGTTAGATTAGATTAGATTAGATTTAAGATGGGTATTTATAGTCCCTACTTCGTGGATTGCATGCCGCGAGTGCGAACGCACTCGCAGGGTGGCAGAGCATACCCACAGCAAGCCCGGGCTGAAACCCCCGTTTCTCGGTAGAGGTGAAGGTCAAGGGACAGAGTCATACTGTCTTTGCTGACCGCCTCCATTTCCAACTTGTTGTGTCGCCAAAGTTGACGCCAACACTGCCCTCTCCTACGCCAGATCGCCCCTTTTGATCGGGACCCTTTTAACTGGAGAGACTTGCGCCCTTGAGATTCTAAGTCGAGCTTCGCCTCCCCTCTTTCCCGGATCATCTCCAAGAAAGAACTCAACCCCTTGCAGGATTCGGGGCTAAGCCACCAAGTAGCTTAGGCAGGTAATTCACCCTGCCTCTTTCGGACACCGAGTCTGGGCCTCGGCGCTACTGGCAAAAAAGATGCGAAAAAACTGCTGCCCGGGTTAAGTCCCAAAATCAGCGGAGATTGGGCTGAGCCTCTCGCCTCGAGGCTAACTCTTCCCTTGAGTAGCTCTCCGCATCCAAAAACCACGTCCGGTATACATAAGGACACCCGCCACGGGAGGACGGGTCGCTCGTCTCCGGCCATTTTATGTATATGCTTATATATAGTTAATAATTAAATAAATTAATAATTAAAAAATTTGAATTTAAAAAAAAATTTCCTTTTTAAAATATTTCTCGCTTTTAAAGTGGCATATGTGTTAGAAAATGCATGTTGCATACCAATCTTGCAATTTCTCTAATTGTTTTTCCAATTCAAGCTTGAGAAAACAATTTGAAATTTGATCCAACATCTTACAATACATAAGGTGTTAATTGCTATATTTGCATCTAATAGTTTTTTGAAATTCATTTGCAACTCTATTATAATAAGAAATACGTAAAAAATTGCATATAAATCATAATTAAATTATTTTAAAGTAATCAGAGATTGCATCAATCAATAAATTCTTCAAGCGATTATTACTTCAATTATCTGCATTTTTAAAGAACATAAATTAATCGAAAAAATTAATATTTAAACATCATGTCCACTGCTCAAGACTATGATGTCGACGAAAGAATTTCCACAATTAAAAGTTCTTTAAAACGAATCCAAAGCTCATTTCTCGGAGAAAGCTCTTCTTCTTATATCCCTGACATATCTCAAGCAAATTCTCAATACTCAATCAAAACTCCAGAGCCTAATGAAAAATACCCACCTGAAAATATTGACAATACTACTACCACGAAGCCAAACTCAAACTATCACACGCCTTATGTTTCAAATTATGTCGCATTTGGTGGAAATTCTAACTCCCCCCCCTCCGTGAGCGAACAAAACCATTAGAAAAATCGCCATTTTTTGACCAAAAAACCCACCCTCCGTGAGTGAACAAAAATTTTTTTAATAGAAAAAATTTTAATGGAAAAAAATTTTGATATATAAGTGATAATTAGTATAATGAAATCTAGAGCTAATTCTGTTTAATTTTAAACAAATTGCGTTTTAAAACATAAATTTTGCAAATTAAATTAATATTTGCTTCCCAATTTTTGCAAATTAGGATTTTTTTAAATTTCGAAAAAAAAATATTTTTTATAAAAATTTATATATAAATTTTTTTTAAAAAAAAAAATTAACCCCCCTCCGTGAGCGAACAAAATTTTTTTGTTCGCTCACGGAGGGGGGGGGGGGAGTAAAGAAGAAAACAGCTCATTCAGTGATACTCAATCGCCTAAGCGCCAAGACTATATTCAAACTATGGATCCTACATCTTCAAGCTGATACCCAAAAAAACTTTCTATAGATGAGGTAGAAATCGATAATTTCCCAGAATTAAGCAAAGTAGAACAAGAAATAGCCCACAAGCAAGACCAAATTGATGAATTATTAGGCTGAAAATCAGAAATTATCAAAAAAATAGAGAAATATGAAGACGAAATAGCAAATAAAAATGATTTAATTGCAGAGCTCAAAGGAGAACTATTTGAAGCAAATTTACAAGTAAAAACTTTAAAAGCTAAAAATGAAGCAATTTTAAGAGAAATCGAAGAAAGCTCTATGAGGGACTCTGGGAGACTAGACAAAAGTGATTTAAAAAATAGAATTGCTGAGCTTGAAAAGGCTAGAGTTGATTATATGCAAGAAAAAGAAGAAATTCAAGAGGAGCTCCAAAGAAAATCAGCAAAAATCAACGTACTAGAACAAAATTACCTAACTGTAAAAAAAGAAAGAAATTATTTTGCAGATAAAAGCAAAGACTTAGAAACTAAATTAACAGCAATTTCTATAGAAAACTCAGAAATCAAACGAAAATTATCACTCCACTCCACATTAAGTTTAAAAAAATTAAAAACTATTGATAAAAATATCCCGATAAAGAAAGGACTAAAAACTTTGAAAGGAACAGAAAAATTGTATTGGCATAAAGAATTAGAAGGCACAAATGAACATAAAGAAAGGCTTAATTCTCCGAGAGCTCTGTCAAAACAAAAAAAATCACCACAAAAAGAATTAACAGGGACATTTATGAGGAAAATTATTGGGCAGCTTATGGTAATATTAAAGGTGGAGCATGCAAATGAGCTAGTAGAAGCTTGTACAAATGCGGTAAAAGATGCAAAATTGTCACATGATGCACAGAAATTTCACAAAAAAATAAGCTCGTTGATTGTTAAATATTCGCCTCCAAATTCTGTTGAGAAACCTAGCCTCAATAGAGTATATAAGTGGATAAGGAGATTAATAGAGGAATATTTATTGATTAAAAAGCAACAAGAAAATACTCAAAAGCATACTCAAATAATACAGATGTTGATGAAAATGCTGAATGTCAATTTCCCAGAAGATATATTGACTGAATTAAAAAGAATTATGAATTATATCTGACTCGGTAAATTTTGATTATATAAAAAATGATTAAATCTCTAAAAAAATATTTGGCATTGTATATATTAATATGCATACATTAAAATGCCATGGAGATCCAACCCACCTTCTTAACTCCTGTAGCCGACATCCCAAAGGAAGTCGGGACCTGAGGAAGGGAGGCTGGAGTTTGGAATCTAGTTTTTCTTTGTTTGGTAAAGCGCAATGTTGGGTGGCGGCCTTAAGCTTTACTCCAATGCCAAGGTTTTACCTCAGTGCGAGATGGGCCTGGAAGTTGGAAAGGGTTTATCAGCAGTGCCAATGGTGCTAGTCTTGACCGATTGGGACTATTCCCCCAGCGTGAAGGAATTACACCATAGTCTATGGATTTCCATCTTAGCCGAGAATCGATTAGAAAAATTGACCATTTTAGAATTTTTCAATGGTAAACAACCCTATTGATGCACGGTGTGGTGACAAGCTTTCCGACTATCGGGAGGCATGGCAGCCATGTCCCGTAGGGAGCAAGACTTTGAATGTTGTGCTACGATTGCCGGCAAAGTAATGAGTGTAGTGTTATGGTAGGGAATAAGGATCTTCAGATCTCGACAGGGAGCTTTTCTATAATCTAAGTTAATGTTGATGTAATGCACATATTAATATGCTAATAGTTTGATATTCAATCAAAAAGATTTTAATTTAATTATTTCTAAATTAATTTCTTGCCGTAAGATAAACAGATAAGATATCATCTTTATTTCTTTTCATTTCGTGGCATCTTAGCCTCTTTTTGTGAAGTTTTGATAACTTTGTTTTCAAAATCTCATTAAATTCTTTGTTTTCTTCAAGATTTATCCCTTTAGATTTTAAGATTTTTCCTATTGGGTTTAATAAAGAAGTTGAGCTATATCTAACCCTTTCGTTTTTAATCTTGATTTCTCTATCTTTTATAGGTGTATTTTGGCTTGAAAGAGATATCCGTGACACTGGTTTAGATAAAGAATCTATCCTTGACGAATTTGGCGTTTTTTTCTGTTTTACAATTATTGGATTAAGATCTTCAGAGCTGCTGTGTGGCTTTATTTTAGGTAGCGGGATTCTTAATTTTCCACGATTTAAATCGTCATCAAAATCAAATGTATCAGTTACTATAGGTCCTGGTTTTTTAAATTCTCTTTTTTTTGTATATTTTTCAAAAATCTGTTCTGATGGCCTAATAAACGCAGATAATAAATTATCTTGCTTATTTTTTGGCAGTTGAGGACTTTGATTTGCTTTTTCTTTGATGAGATTCATAACAAGTGCATTAAATGTTTTAGATTTTCGATGACGAAATATACCTTTAGGCTTGCTTTTTCTGAAATTTATATAAGGGATGATTTCATTTGTTTTCAGTATAGGTTTGTAGCTTCCCAAGCGAATGTTCATTGATAAATTTATTAAATCATTTAATATAAAAAGAAATTTTTTAGAGTACACTAAATTAAAGATTTTTCGATATTTTTTTAAAATAATTTATTGATGGCAAAGATCATGAGTAAACCCTTTTGATTTATTTTTAATACATAAACTAGCTTGCTTTTTAGGTTTTAAAGTGTTGCTCGTTCTTTTTTTCAGCAGGTTGATTAAGAAATGCTAGGGCCTAACCTTTAACTCTCAAGTGCTAGGTGTGCCTAGCAGTTAAAAACATATATCTCCTTTCTTTCTTGAGCCCACTGAATGCTGTTGCGGTAATTCCATACTGGTATTGTGGATAAAGGCCCACGTAGAAAACTGCCATATAATAATAAATATTGAGGACCTCTAAGAGAGCGAATTTTGAATCCAGCCATTTCATTACTATAATACACAAACTAGCACTTTCTCAAAAGTTAGACTTCAATAATCTTATACAAAATATTTTTATGATTTTAAATTGCTAGTTTACACAAAAATTAATTTTTCTTTTTAATAATTCTTATAATTGTTTAATTTATTATCTTTTCTACATAGAGTGATTTTGTTACCTTTTCATCAAAAAATAAATATTCAGCTTTTATTTTTTTTGCTATAAAGAATTTTATTTACTTTTTAACCTTTATCTACTTATTGTAAATTCAAATTATCAGCACAATAAGCACTTCTAGCTTCCCTTCTTGCATTTTATAGCATAAGCTTTGAAAATTGTTTCTTCATTTTGAAAAATATAATAATTATGCAAGAATAACTGTTCAAGTACTAGCTAGACTCACGTCTTGCAATTTTATATTTTATTTGTGTGATCTTTTATTATCGAACTTACACATTTAGAATTTCAAATTCAAAATTGATACAATTTTGTATCAAATTAAAGTTTCACCAATAGTAAGACTAAATAAAAGTAATTGCATTTATTTCTGCTCTCTAATAATTTTATCCGCTTATCAAAACAGCATAATCATAAAGTAAAAGCTTATTGCATGAATTAAAATCCAATAAATGCCGAATTAGCTTATCATTAGTATCCTTTTCAATATGAAATCTTCGGTTCAGTAAAAACCATTATCTAGAATTTAAAATTCAAGATTTTTATCATATTTTTCTTTATCTTAAATTGCCTGTTTAATTTTAGGATTTTCATTTCTCCAACCTCATATAAAAACTCTTCATATCTTCATTAAAAAACGATAATCATTCAATTTTTGACAAAAAGTCGACTGTTTTGAAAATTAATCTTATGCATAATTCTTTAGATATTTGTTCATATGGGTTCTTATCCAGTTTTAAGTATTCCCTGCGATTGTAGGTAGCTGAATTAATTTATGTAAAGATTTGGTAGTTAATAAAAACATGAAGCCAGATAGTCCAACAGCCACAAACCCTATTACATTGAGATATGCAGAACAAACATTACCCACAGATTTCAACTCTGCACTCCCGAAGTTTTCTTTGAAATTCCCGAGTAAATCGATTGAGGCGGCTTATAAAGAAGCAGTGATATTCGGTCGCACAGAATCTAAAGCATCATATGAAAATCCTTATATTCTATATAAATTATATAATGCCCACAATTCCAAGAGTATAAGTCATTATTATTAAAAAATATCCTGCTCTTATTAAACATAAAAAATAAATATTATTATCTTGGCTTACATCAAGACACAACTTTTTTATGTGCTATTATGGAATAGTATTTCTCTATATATTATTTTATATTTTCAACTATGTGGCTGATCATGCCACACAAGAAATTTTCAAATTCCAAATGTGCTTTATGCTTGCAATCGTGTTTATCAATTCATGCACCTTTCTATTGGCCTTTTTAGGAAGATTTTTAAGTAGGTTCAGATCTGATCTACTACAATTCACGCATATCTCTACAGCTCTTGCCTTAATTCTGAACGATACCTATGTTCAAGAATTGATCTTTGATGATGGCACAAGTAACTGTTTTTCAAGTATGTTTGGTCTAACTGTGATGCTAGCAGTGTCACGGTTTATTTTGCATACCAATTATTTGGAATATGCATTCTGAAGTGCAATAATCGGCATAATTTTCCTAGTAATTAGTTTGCAGACTGAAAAACCAGTCGAAATCACACTATTTGAATCTGGATGCTACATGATTATGGTAATCTTTGAGACTCGGAACTTCTATAAAGAAGAAGTCCAAGTGCGAAGCAATTTCAACACTATTAAAAGTTCTGCCACAGCTCCTGAAACCGATTTAAAAAAACCTGAGGAAGAAAAACCTAAAACAGAAATTGAAGAAGTAATGATTGGTGTAAAAGATTCGATAGTTGCCATCCAAACAATGATCACTAAATCCTCGTCAGAAAACCAGCCGAAGCTTTCACAAGTTTTTGATATTTAATTTTCCTATAAATAGCCTATTAAAAAAATTTTAAAAAGAAAAATAATAATTCATGGAAGATTGGAATAATTTAAATAAAGTTATGAAGCTAATAGGCTCAAAAGCAAATATTTATTATTCCGGAAACATGTCAAATGACTGTGGATTTTTGACAGTGTACATTTCATCGAAATCCATTTGGTCGAAAATTTTTGATAGTGCCGACATTTGGCCGAAAATTAACGGTTTTTTTTTTAGGTCAAATGTCTCACTATCAAAAATTTTCGATCAATTTTCGGTGAAATGGACACTATCAAAAAGGCAAAGTCATTTGACCTACACCCATTTATTCCTCTGATATTGAAGTTATAACTAAAGGACTCGATAAAGAAGACCAACTTTTTATACAGCAAACCTGGAGCAACCATAATAGACTAGAAGTGAGAAGACCAAAAAAATTCAGGACATTAAAAACATCCGAAGTCGCTGTAAAATATGACGTTGATGAATTAATCGGAATACTTAAACAGGTGGGAAAACAATGAAATTTCAACACATTTTTCTTAAAAGATTGCACAGATGGCAGGCCACTTGTGATTATTGGGAAATATTGCATACAGAAATACAGGCTTGATGAAGCCTTTAATTTAGACGAGGATTTATATATATAATTTTTATCAAAAATTTGCCTATAAAAAAATCATCCTTTTTTTCCATTGGAAAACTACAGGAAATTCATAATAACTTTTCTAGAAGATCTAGAAATAAAATATAAGAAAAATCCTTACCATAACTCCTCACACGCAGCCGATGTTTTGGCTTCTTTTATTTATTTTGTAAGCAAATCCAGACTGGCTGAATATCTTACTGAAATAGAAATCCTTACATCAGTTATCGCGAATTTAGGGCACGATGTAGGACACCCTGGGTATACTAATCGTTTTCTTATTAATAAAAGAGACAATTTGGCAATAAGGTATAACGACGTTTCAGTACTAGAAAATATGCACTCGTCAATAGTGTTTCAATTAATGCAAGAAGAAAATAAAAATATACTAAAAAGCCTGGATGCTGAGCACTGGTGTGTGGCCAGAAAGCAGATAATTGATATGATTTTAGCTACGGATATGGGAAGACATTTTGAGCTTCTTGGGCAGTTTAGAGCCAAAACGATGAATAATTCGTCAAAGCCTTTAGACACCCCTGAACAAAGGATGGATGTTATGAAAATTAGCATAAAAGCAGCTGATATAGGCCACGCAGCAAAAATTTTGGAAATCCATGAGAGATGGACTCTTCTTGTATGTGAAGAGTTCTTTACCCAAGGAGACTTGGAAAAGAAAAACAACTTGCCAGTGTCAATGTACTGTGACAGGGAAACAACAGATGTATCAAAATCACAAGCTGGGTTTATCAAAAATATTGCAATGCCGCTCTATATGGCATTAAATGACTATTTGGAATCACAAGATATAGAAAACTGCTGTATCCAGCAGCTATAATTATTTTAATTAATTATAATTCAAAATATCAAGGATATTTTTCTATTTCTAATAAAAAATAAATAGTAAGCTACCTAATATAAAAGGCTATTTAAATTATCACAATATAAGATTTAACCTGGAACATTGGGAAAACAGCTACAAGAGATATCGCCAAGTAACCACCTGTGATGATGAAGTTCCTAAATCTGAGTACGAAGATCTAATTAAAAGGTACAAACGACAAAAAAGATGCGGAACACAAGCCCCCAGAAGGAGCGATATCGAAGTTGAAGAAGTTGTCTAAATTTAAGGTAATTTAAAGATATAATACAATGTTTCATTATAGCCTACGCTATTTTTGTAACTTTTAAGAATAAATTATAATGGAAAGTGATGATATAACCCACGCGAGCAAAAAGAAAAAGACTGAAAACGGAGAAGCCATCACAGAGGTTGCAGACTTGCCTGAGCCAGAAGAGCCTGAAGAAAATGATGAAGCTGTCAGCGTGTTCCCTTTAGCAAGAATCAAAAAAATAATGCAGCTTGCCACAAATGAGACTATAAGGCTGGACTCAATTAAATTAATTGCAAAAGCGACTGAACTTTTTGTAGAAGAATTCGCAAAGAAAGGATTCCAATATACACTGGTTCATAAGAAAAAAACTCTTAATGCAAATGACTTAGTTGAAGCGCTGAATGTGCACTCGAATTTGGCTTTTATAAAAGAGGCGGGAATTATTATGTCAAGACCGCGGTCGTCAGTGAGCCAAACTGCTATGGAAATTGAAGAAAATCTTGAAGAAAACCTTGAAGAAAGCCAAGTGGTATTAAGTGAAGAAAATAAAGATATGATTATTGAAAGTGTGGAAAATAAAGAAAATACAAATGATAATTAATAAATTGAATTTTCCTAATTATTTATTTTATAAAAGAAATCAGATTTAAATTGAATAAATACTAATTATTTGCAAGGCAAGCTTATCTATGATTTATTTAAATTCTTCTAATTAATTATATTTCTGCATGCTACCCGTTTTTTCAATCCTCTCTTATCATCAGTTATCAAATCTTATTTATTTCACGTTTAATGAACGATAAATATGTGGAATTCTGTCTCTTGCAACGTTGTTTACAAAAGATACCTGAAGGAAAAACAAGATGAAAATTTAAGGAAAAATATAATCCACGCAAAACCTATGATAGACACAAAGCCGCCAAAATCTTTTACACACTCTATAAACTTTTCAAAGAAGCATAAGATTACAGGTAATTCTCAAATAGAAAAACAAGAAAAAATTCACATGGAGAACCAAGTCTTGCTAAAGAAAATGCTCACTATTGACTCAAAGCCTTCTGCTTTAAATTCACAAGAAATCGCTCAAGCCGTCAGATTCCAAGGAACACTTAATCTTCCTCTCAGAAACAGAATATTAAGCGAAATTAAATCAGAAAATACACGATTATTTAAACGGATCCGAAATGCGCAGTCACAATATTCAATTGTTAAATGGGAAGAGTCAAATGCTTATTTAAATTATATAAAAAGCAATATCAGAAGAAATTCTGGGAGAATTGATAAAAAGTACTTTGAGCAGCAATATGAAGAAGACAGCGAATTTTATACAAATAAAGTGCTAAGACCGCTTACATCACTACACAAAAAAAAATGAATCGAAATCCAGCGTCCCAGTACAAAAGCAAAATCTGATGTTTAATAGTTTTTTATTTATCATAGCTATTTCCTAAATTAATTGAATAGGCTTAACTTATAAATCCTTTACCGCCTCCTCAGCAGCTTTTTCTCCTCCTCCAACTATTGCGTCAAAATCATCTAAACTCCTCACTTCAGCAATTTCCATATTATAAGAGTCTTCCAAAGTCTTCAAAGTAGCCAGCTCTTCATCAGTTGTGACCAAACTAATACAAACCCCATGTCTCCCAAACCTCGAACACCTACCGCTTCTATGCAAATAAAGAACGTCATCAATATCTCTTGATTTTGGGATCCTTGGCAAGTCAAAATTAACGACACATTTCACCTTGGTGTTATCAATACCTCTTGCAAGCAAGTTTGTGGTTATCAAAGTCGCGTATTTTCCTTCAGTAAAATCGTTCATGGTCAGGTTTCTTTCGTCTACAGTCATATCTTGTCCCATAAGTAAAGCGCATTTCCATTCTTTTTTGGAGACGACACCATAGACAGTTCTAGCGAAATTGCAGGTATTGACAAAAGCAATGGAAACTCCGCTAGTGATTTTTCTTAAAATCTGCTCAAAAGTGTCTATTTTTGTGCTTTGAGGAGTTCTGAAATAATAGTGGTCAATAGTGTCGAGCATTAAATCTTCTTTTTTGATAGTAATTTCGTTAAGGTTTCCTAACTCCCCCCCTCGGTGAGTGAACAAAACCATTAGAAAAATCCCTATTTTTTGCCCAAAAACCTATCCTCCGTGAGTGAACAAAAATGCTTTTAATAGAAAATTTTTTTATGGAAAAAAAATTGATATATAAATGATAATTAGTATAATGAAATCTAGAGCTAATTCTGTTTAATTTTAAACGAATTGCTTTTTAAAACATAAATTTTATAAATTAAATGAATATTTGCTTTCCAATTTTTGCGAATTAGGATTTTTTTAAATTTCGAAAAAAATATTTTTTATAAAATTTATATATAAATTTTTTTTTAAAAAAAAAATTAAGCCCCCTTCGTGAGTGAACAAAATTTTTTTGTTCACTCACGGAGGGGGGGAGTAAGAGCTGCACTATATCAGTTTTTACACTATCTGTATAAGTAGCTGAAAACAATAAAACTTGGACTTGGTCTCTTGGGAATCCAGTTTTAATGAAATCCTCAATTTTCTTAAAGTTTTCAAGATTATCTTTTTTGTTCAAAATATGGTCAGCTTCATCCATAACCAGCACTTTTAGTCCTTCCAAATTAATGCTTTTTGTTTTCAACGCTTTGAAAAATGACCCTGAAGACGCTACCAAAACTTGCCCATCAATTCGTTCTCCACCTTTAGACAGCACAGACACAGAAATTCCGCAAGGATCCGCAAATCGCTTATATTCTTGGAAATTCTGATTCGCCAGCTCAATGGTGTGGTTAATGCAGATTACTTGTGTTTGAGGGTTATTTATATCCACCCTGCATAATGACCCTATTACAAAAGTCGCTGTTTTTCCTGACCCATTTGGTGCTTGGGCTAACAAATTTTCGTAGCCTTCTTTTAGTATCACTTCAATGCCGAAGTTCTGGATTTTTGATGGGAATGGGAATCCAGCTTGTTCAATAGCGGCTAAAAGATTTTGTGGGATCGGCAGCTCGTCCCAGTCCTTATTAGCTCTGAAATGGGTTTGGGCAGAATGAGTTTCTGGGTCGAATTGCTCGTCTTCTTCTCTATAGAGGACTTCTTTGCCGTGGCTGTTTTCAAAGAATCTGCGGCGCTTAATTTTGACTTTTTCGAATTCGCCACGTTTGGGACCTTTCTTCCTTGGGGTGTCTTTGTATGATCTTTTTCTTTCTTCGTGGGGATGATCGTGAGACTCTTCATGATGCTCTGAGGTTTCTCGAGGCTCTTCGTCATGGTCGTGCCTTGGCTTGAATTTTCGTTCTTCGCCGTGGCCTCGTCTGCTTCTGGAGCCTCGTGGATGTCTGTCAGTGTGGCTATAGTCTGTCGCTTCCCATGATTGGCCCCTGGATTCTTCTTTATGGGACTCTTCAGCAGTCCAAGGATCTGCTGATGGCTCTTCTTGTCTTGGCTCTCTGGATTTCCATGGCTGACCTTTGGATTCTTCTCTGGTAGAACTTGGGCCCCTCCAGCGACCTCTGGATTCACCTCTTCGGCCGCCTTCAGTTCCTCTTCTGCCTCTGCTTCGTCTTGGACGTCGTTCAGTGCGGGCATAATCTGCAGTTTCCCATGATTGGCCTTTAGACTCTTCAGCATCAGGCTTTGCAGAAGAACCTCCTTCAGCACCCCAAGGGTCAGAATTGTCGTAGATCATATTTATTGGATTCTACTTATTGAAGATGGAAGAAAATAAAGCTAAGGAAAAATTTTCAATTAGGGAAGAATAACATTTTTGCGCTTCTTTCAACAGATTAAAAAATATTAAATATTTACAGAAAAATGAAAATATATATGAGATAAAAATTTTTATGCATATAAATTCTAATAAATATTAATTTTATTTTTTCATTAGAAATGGGTTCGTGCTTGCTTCTTCAAAGGTATTTCTCGATCTTTCTACTATAATACTTGAGCTTACACTTTTCTTATGCATAGGAGCTGTTTGCTGCCTAACATGAGTTGGGCTTTCTTTTAATAGCTCTTTTAATGCGTCTCTCGCTTCTTCTAATTCTGCTTGTATTTGTTTATTATATTCATCACTTAAATAATTTTCATACATGCAGTCCTCTAGCTGTTTTTCTAGCTTCTTTTCATGCTTTTTCATTAATTTTATAGTCTCATCCAGCTTTGAATTCGCGTTTTCCATATATGACCGTTCGTCTTCTTTTTTCCGTGCGGCTGTATTAATTTTGTTCAATTTATAAGCAGTATTGATATAATTCAGCTGGGTTTGGAACAATTGAGTTTTTATATTATGCGTCTTGGATTTCCCACAAAAATGCAAAAGTGTAGCTACTAATTCTTTGATTTGGATTGGAGTCATATAAATCGGTTCTGCTTGTGATGAATAAATCATATTTAAAATTTCGCCTCAGCTCCTATTAACTGGCATACTTTGGCTAACCCTCATTCCTCTGATATTTTCTAAGCTTTGCCGAGACCTAATTGATTCTCTATTAGTTTTACACTGAAAAAGCAAGTCAGCTAAATCTCTCGCTAGTTGTGCTTTTTCATGAAAATTAAAAGAATTTAGATCTGGCAAGCAAAATAAGGTTTCATCAGTTGTCTGGGCATTTTTATTGAATTCTTCGTTGATAGCAGAACTTAAGTTTTGAATCATTTTTTCAAGAAGATCTGATAATTGCTGCTCGCTTGACATTTCTGAGATTGGCGTCATGTCTGCAATTGCATCTGTTGACGGCCTTGGTCCTTCAATTTTCTCAGTTTTTGTATTCAATGGCTGTTTATGAGATTCCATTATTATAGCAAAGAATTAAAATTCTTAAACAGGGAGTCCATTTTTAAATATTCTATAATAAATAATAATTTTTGAAGGCGATTTTATTAATTTTTTATATAAAAATAGCCATCAAATTTCTTCATTAATCAACAGAGAATAGTTAATCTTGATGGAAAACAATAAAACTTCAAGAAGAGTTGAGTTTGCGCTATCTGGGCTACATCCTGCCTTATTTCTAACTGACGTCGATGAATATTTTATCTGCAGGATTTGCTATTTTGTTGTCAGAACACCACTTGCATGTACAGCTTGTGAAAACCTTTACTGTAAAGAATGCGCTGAAAAATACATAAGAATCCGCGGCAAAATCTGTAAATACTGCAAAGCTGAGCTAAACTTACTAGAACTCAGAAAATTCCCTTTGAAAATTTACAGCCAATTTACTTTATTTTGTGAAAATTATAATCATGGCTGCCGCTTTGAAGGGAGCATTGAAGAAATCCGTGCCCATATTCAAGAATGCGAATTTAGCTTGATTCACTGTTCTAACCCTCTGTGTACCAAAGAATTCTTATTAAAAGACTGCACGTTCCTTGACCTAAGAGTTTGCTCTTTAAAATGTAATGAAGCAGTCCAATTTTGGAATATTCTTGGCAAGCAAAATAAAATAGACTATATTAAGTTCTTCTGGCAATGCTTGGATGCGTATAAGACCAAGCTACAAAATTCTATTGAAGAAGAGTCTAAAGATCTAGCTGAAACTGGGGACGAAAAACTAAAGCAAATACAAGAGGAAACTGAAAAACTGAGGCAGCAGCTTTATGAAGTAAAGCATTTGATTCATAATGGAAAATTGGTGCACTCAGTGTGGACTTGTTGTAAACAAGAAAAATATTCACAAGGATGCGTAAAAATTTAATAAAAATTTCGATGTTTATGATGTTTTTTTTAAAATTCTTTAATGGAACCTCGATCTTTGAATATGCTGAAGGCTGTTATAGAGGAAAATATAAATCAAAAATTTTCTCTTATAGAGAAAGAAGTAATTGGACAGCAAGAAATCCTAGTAAAACTTATCGAGCAAGTAAATTCCTTACTCCCCCTCCGTGAGCGAACAAAAAATTTTTTTATGGAAAAAATTTTGATATATAAATGATGATTTATAATGAAATCTCTAGCTAATTCCGTTTTATTTAAAAAGCTTCAATTTCGGAAATTAAATTAATTTTTGCTCCTCAATTTTTGCATATTGGAATTTTTTTAAATTTTAAAAAAAAAAAATTTTTTATAAAATTTATACATATATTTTTTTTTAAAAAAAATTAACCCTCCTCCGTGAGCGAACAAGGCGTTTTTGTTCGCCCACGGAGGGGGGAGTTAGCTGATCTGTTAAAAATCCCGATCCCTGAGATTTCTTTGCCTGAATTATCAATTCGCCCTATGCAAATTAAATTTCCACAAGAATCTGACACTCACCAAATTAATCAAGATCACTTACTTTCCTATGCTATAGAGCAAAAATTTTTTTGCTCACTAAGGAGGGGGTTAATTTTTTCTTTTTATATAAATTTTATATTAAAATTTTATTTAAAAAAATCATTTAATTATGCTTTAGGATGTAATTCATTTAGGATTTCAGAAAATAAGCGAGATTTAATTATAATAGTTTTACTTATATACCACTTGCTCAAGGAACAAAAAAAATCCAATTTCCTAATGGCTTTACTAATTACATCAGAGAAAGTTAGAAAATTTGCCATTAGCCAAGCGGCTTCAAGAAGAGCGAAAACTTGAAGCTCTTAAAAAGCAAGAAGAAGCAAAAAAACGATTAGAAGCTCAAAAGAAAAAATTAGAAGAAGAACGCGAAAAAGTAAGAAAATTAAAAGAAGAAGCTGAAATTAAAAGGATTGAGACTCATAAAACCAATGGAAAGCCTCCACGGACAATTTTAAAAAATACCCAAGAAATAATTATTAAAGGAGGAAGAAAAAATTTATACACTGAAGCTGCTACTATTAACTTAACAGCAGCAACTGATGATATAGACGAGAAACGCGAACTTTCAGCTTCAGACATGAACTTTGACCAGCTCAGTGGCTTCGGGAGCCGTGAACCTGAAGAATTTTCACTTTCTGACGAAATAATATCCTATTTCACATAGCTTATATATTTCAAAAAGCCAATTAAAAAATAATAATAATTATAAAAAAAAGCATAGAAGCGTTAGATTCAATGCATGATTTCGACTGAGGAAATGACATTTTTAATCATATTATTGAATCTAGCTAATTTTTTTACAAAGCGCTTTATAATATAAAACATTCTTTTTCTTTCATTACAAAAAAAAATTAACTATTGTTACTGTAACATTTTATAATAATTATGGGCGTTTGTATAAGTAAAGAAAATAAAGCCAAAAAGCCACACAGAGCATCGGTTTTATTGGCACCGGAAGTGTCCAGCAGCTCACGTTTGGAGTCAGTCAGAGATAAATTTGACTTTATTAAAGTTTTAGGCTATGGGCAGTTTGGAACTGTAAGACAAGCAGTCAAGAAAAATGATACAATGTCACAAAATAAAAAGTTATACGCAATTAAATCAATATGCAAGGACAATGTGAAGAAGAATTTGGAGTCCATGAAAAGGGAATTGGAAATTCTAAAATTAGCCGATCACCCGAATATTGTAAAACTTTATGAAATTTATGAGGATAACTTATAGCAACTTAATATAAAAAATTTATAAATAGCCTGATTCCTTATTTTTATATAAAAATGAGATTTTCCCTAAAATATAAATAATTACTTAATCCAGCAGATATAGTAAATACATCCATCTGGTAATGGAATATTGCTCAGGCGGCGACTTATGTGACTATCTTATTCATAAAGAAATTTTAACTGAAAAAGAAGTTTCTGTATTAATGAGACAGATGTTTTCAGCAGTTAACCATCTTCACCATTTAAAAATATGCCACAGAGACCTAAAGCCTGAAAACTTTTTACTGGCTAATAACAGCGACACCCCAGAAGTAAAATTAACTGATTTTGGGATGTCAGTCAAATTTGGGGACGATAAAATGAAGTCAATGGTGGGCACTCCATATTTCGTTGCCCCAGAAGTCCTAAAAGGCCGATATGGCAAAGAATGTGACATCTGGTCTTTAGGCGTCTTCATGTACTTTTTGCTATCAGGACATCATCCGTTCAAAGGCCACGATTTAAAAGAGCTTTTCCTTCATATCACAAAAGGTGAGTTTTCCTTCCCAGAGAAGCCATGGAGCAAAATTTCTAAAGAAGCCCGACACCTTATCCAGCAGATGCTTAACACTAATCCAGCTAAAAGAATTTCAATATCTCGAGCCTTGGCTCATCCTTGGTTTTCTACTCTAGATGATCCAAATGAGCATCCTCCTCTAAATTTAGAAGTTTTATACCATTTTTATAGAAATATTTAGTTAATTTATATAGGAAAATAAATGGAGCCTGGCAGCAGAAATTCATATAAAATGGATATAAATTCTATGAAAAAATTCCAAGCCCCTAGTAAGCTATATCAAGAAGCTATGAAAGTTTTTGTGAGGAATATTTCTGAAGAAAGATATGAAGAATTAGGAGCTGCATTTAAAGAAATTGACCAGTCAAACACAGGATTTGTAACCGCTCAGGACATTGTAGATGCAATGAGAAGAAATGGGTACGATTTACTTGTGGATGAAATTGAGACTTTAATGAAAAATGTTCAGTATATAGGAGGAGGAAAATTAAATTATACGCAATTTTCGTTACATAGCTTTTTGTAATTATTATAGCCAGAAATTTGCTTGGGAAAAAATCAATGAATTTTAAGAAAAAATGCCTGATTTATAAAAAATTTAGGTAACTTGTCGAAGTGAATACCAAAAATAATATCAGATAGCATGAGGCCGCAATTTTTAATCGCAGCATTAGCGAGAAAAAAAATTATGGATGAGGAAGCGTTGTGGGCAGTTTTTAACCATTTTGATAATGGCCATACAGGGACTATAAGTTTAGAGAATTTAAAGTTTGCTTTAATAAAAGCAGGCTGCTTTATAAGTGATAACGATTTCGAAGAAATCGTCAAAGAATTCGAGCTAAAAGCTGGAAAAAACATGAACTATGAAGAATTCAAAGAAATTATGACCTGCTTTTCTGAAGAAAACTCATTTGTTATGATAACTGATGAAGATGAAGCTCGAGGAACTGAAAGAAGACAAACTAAAAGACTGTCTGTAAGAAGAATTACTATCAGAAGAGCTACTCTCAACGTGATAGAAAGCACACCAACGCTTGAAACAAAAATGGAAACTATAAAAGAAACCGCAGCTGATACCAAAAATGAAGAAATTAAATTATAACTTCCCAATTTTAAATCGGAACTAAAAATTCTGTTCCAATTATAAGGGGTTATTTTTTTTTAAAAAAAATTAAAATGATTTTTCATAATAAATATTTTTTAAAAAAAAAAATTTTTTGAGTTTAATTTATTTTTATAGAGATTAATTAAAATACTAATTAATTCAATGTGCCAAATGTTTAAATATAATTCTACTTGAGCTCTCATCATTAAATTAGATTAAAGCTATTTTGTTCGAGCTTATAAGGGCATGTAAATAAAATCAATCATTGGATTTTTGAAATTGTAGTCGACCATGTATTGTCTGAAAGGAGGCATTCGCTGCTTAAGCTCAACCCTTTCAATAGATCTATGTCTGATCTTCTTTTCTCTTTTAATGTTAATTTAGCTTTCTAAATGCTGATTCTTATATAAATATAATGAATATATAGCAAATCTTTATATGGCATAATTTCATAATTATGATGTTAATAACGAATTTATTCTTGATTGGATTTCATTGTCAAGCTGATTTACTGTTTTCAATATAGTTTCTTGATCATACCTATACTTTGGCAAGCAAGCTCTTTTTTCTTCAACTGAAATACAGTCATCAGAATATAGCCAAGGGCATACTTTGGATCTCCTCGGGCTACGGCTTGCTGCCTCAACCTGTGGATTTGACGAGCGGCCATAAAGTTGTACTCGTCAACCTGTGGAGTTTGGCTTGGCAACTGATACTGCCGAGTCAGCCCACTAATTAAGGGGGCAAGCTGTAGCCCAGAGCAATCCAAAGCAGGTCCTGGGCTATACACAAGCTGAGTTGTATCAAAACTTGTTGAAAACACTGGCAAGGGTCATGATGTAAAAATTGATTGAGGTCCTGCAGCTTGTTCCGGGACTTCAATATCTTCAATTTTCTGCTTTTTATGTGCCATACTCATAGCTCTTTGTTCGACGAGTTGTGGAGGTACTCCTTCCATTCCAAAAATATACTATTTCATAATAATCTTCTAACTTTTAAATTATTAATTGCCTTAAATATTCTAAATTTTAATTCATATATAAAAATCATATCTAATTCAATAGCATCTCTTCCTGTCTTTGCATTCGGCACTTTCAGCACCTGTTCTTTATGCACTTGCAGCACATGTGTCGCCATCGATGCTGCAGTACTAAACTTCTTATGGCACGTATGACACGAAAAATGCCTGGCTTTTTGATGCTGATGCAGTACAAATTCATCATCAAACTCTCTATCACAATAATAGCAAAAAGGCTTCAGGAATCTAATTTTTTGTCTATTCTTACGACCCATTTATAAAATGGAGTTCTTAAAGAGGGAAGCTCTATTTCAGCATCTTCCTTTGTTAAATAAAGAAATGCTTTTACTGCTTATTGACTCAGCTCTGCTTTATTTAACTCATAGAAAGCAGTATTTTGACTCAGGAGAATTTTATGAACAAGCATTAGGCGTAGGCTGCCAGCTATCTAAAAATGAATTTAAGTCAGCTTGTGAAGGCTTGACTGTACTAATAGAATGGATGCTCAAAAACAACCCAGAAAATGCTGGAAGATTTACCTTTCTTAATATTTTATCTACCCATTCTGCCTTAGGTGAAGATTTGTTGACTGAAATCGATGGATTTTTCACAAGAAAAATCAAAGAATATGCAGACAAAAAGCCTTTATTTGGGAACTTGCATTTAATAGACGTAGACTGGAATGCAGGGATTACGGTAGCTACAGACTCTTCTAATGGGTTAAATACTCCCTATGTGAAGCTCCAGCTGAATTTAGCAAACCCACAGACTGGGCTTTGCAGCAGAGAGACTATATCTCTTGACTATTTAGAATTCAAGAATTTATTAAGAGAAACTCGAAAAATTAGCAGCATAATGAACACGCTTTAAATAAGTCATAAATTAAACATCATCTTTGACTGAATCCTGAGCCTCTTTCCATTTCTTAGCCATTTCTAAGATCTTTAAGTTACGAGCTTCAGTGGTTTCGTCAGGGAAAATATAGTCTAAATATTCTTCATAGCCAGCTTCTTCTTCACCTTCTCTTTCAACTTTTCGCTTTTTCTTGACTTTTTGTGGCATTTTTTTCATTACTTCTTCAACTGATTTTTCGTCACCGTGCTCTTGCTCTATTTCTTGTCAGGCTTCTAATAGTAAAAGGCGTGACTCTTTGTCAGAAATTTGTTTAAAATGATTATCGCCTCTTTTGAGGACATTTCGGGCATCATCGAAATTTTGGTAAGAAATTTCGAATTGGGCATAAGAAACCCAGACTTTTAGGTGCTTGGTTTTGGTAAGAAGTCTTTCATATAAATCTTTGGCGCCTTTGCAGTTATTTAGCTCAATTTCTGTGTCAATATATGCTTTTCAGGCTAGTTCTGGCATGTCGAGATTGGTTTGAGAAATCGCAATTTCTAGGATTTTTCTACACCTTTCAGTTTCTTCTAATGTTTTTTCGAACTCAGAAAATTTGATCCAGGCTTTGCAGTTTGAAGGCTGCTTTTCTATTCATTTAGTATATAGGTTTCTACATCTGTCGATTTCTCCAAGCTGCATTTCTAGTTCAATATAGGCTTGGAAGATTTTTTTGCTACCGTATTTTCCAATTCCTGTTCCTAGTATTTTTCTGGCTTTTTCTAAATTTAATTGTCGGATTTCAAAAAACGCATAAAGAGTCCAAAGTTTAGAAAAGCTGAAATATTGGTGTGGGACAATTTTTAAAGCATTTTCATAGACTTGTCGGGCATTTTCGATTTCTCCAGAGCTTTCTTCGAAAACTGCATAATTAATCCAAAAATAAATGTATCTTCGCCAATGTTTTTTCTCATTAGAGTTTGGTATATTTGCAATAGCTCTTTCATAGGTTTCTCGGATTCTTTTTAAGTCTCCTTGAGATTCTTCGAGCTTTATGTAGTCAAACCAAATATCATATGCCATTGGCTGCTCAGAAAGAGATTTTTCGTATACCCGCTTTTATAAATAGCACTTCTAGTTATATAAAAATGAATTTTTTGATAAAAAAATTCATTTATTTTAAATAAACATACAAAGCCCTTCTTTTATTGAGTACCACAATCTCTATATTTCCTTTAGACCCATATTGTTTTTCAAAATTAATATAATTTTGATACAATTTAGGTGCTTTTTCCTTGGGAATCTGCTCAATCGCGTACTTAAAAAGCTCCCTCGCTCTTTCATACTCATGGCATTTTATTTCAAACTCTGTAAACTCCAAAAAAAACTCCTCCACATTTGCATGTGGCCCAAGCTCTTCTATGCATTTTTCAAAGACTTTTCTTGCTCCTTGCCTATTTTTATGTTTTTCTTCAAATTTCGCCACTTTAATAAAGCTTGATACCTCAGGATGGGCTTGTATCATCCTATATATAATTTCTCTGGCCTTGTCAGTTTCTTTCATCCTTTCTTCAAATTTTGAGTACATAATTCATGCAGACTGAGGAGGGTTAATTTGGGTCATAATTTTGCTCTGCATTTTTGGTAGCCAGAGAGAACTTATTGAAAAATTAATAATTTTGACAAATTTTTCTATAAAAATCAGTTTTATTAGGTAGATAATGACTTACCGTTAATTTCCATTCATCTTTCAAATATCTTCCTCGCTCCTATGTAATTTCCAAGCATTTCTTCCATATATGCATACTTATACCAAAGCTGATCTACCCTCGGCAAATAATTAATTGCCCTTTCCCATACATTTCTGGCGTTATTCACAAATTTGTGCCGCATTTCCATTTCTGCGTATTTCACTCATAATGACGTGTTTTTATAGTCTACGTTGATTGCGCGTTCAAAAACACTCCGGGCTCGCTTGAAATCTTGGAGACCTTCTTCAAAGGCAGCATATTTAAGCCAGGCAGAAATTAAAAATTTCTGTTTGCGGACTGTGTTTTCGAATTCAGCTGTTTTGCGGTGGAGATAGTCGGTAAGCTCTTCTTCGTCGTTGATTTGGACACGAGGTGGGCGAATGTCGTCAATTTGGTTTGCCAAAGCTTCACGAAGGAGCTGTTCAGCAGAAATTTGGATATCAGCAGGAGCCTTATTTTTGGTTCGTGGGAGACGAACACTCATTTGGCTTGGAGGTAAAGAATATTCAGGTCTTTCTATAGGATCCATATTATAAAAAATTAAAAATTTTATTTTTTGATAGAAGAACTATAAAAGATAAGCTATTAATGCTGATTTTAATAAAAAATCTAAGGGATGGATCACAAAGTGAATTTTAAGGAAAATAATATAAAATGTCTGAAGACGATAAAGGAAAAATCAAGGTAAAAAAATCGTGGATTGAAAAGCTCTTTTCACCTATCATTCCTGGCTCTGTAAAAAGCTCAGTTCTTAGCTTATGCAGCATCACTTTAGGAAGTGGAGTTTTAAGCTTGCCATTAGCAGTCTACACTTGTGGGCTTGCCCTGGGTATGGATCTCCTTATAATTGGAGGACTCATCTGTAGCTTTTATTACAAAATCTTAATAAAAGCCAGCGACATGACTAAACAATACACCCACGCTGGCATTGCTGAAGCTTTATTCGGGTTTTACTTCAAAAGAGGACTAGAAATAGGGATAATTTTGCATTGCTTTGGAGTAGTTTGTGCATATCAAGCTATAATGAGCTCATTTTTGTGTAGTGTTTTGCATTCGTTTGGGGTTTTAGCTCAGCCTGACGATGACCAATTAAGAGTGACAGCAATAATCCTTATCAATATTTTCGTGATTTTCCCTTTGTCGCTATTTAAAGAATTCAGTGCATTAAGATATGCGTCCTCAATTAGTGTGATTTCTTGTATTTATATTACACTTGTGATTCTATTCCAGACTCCAGCTTATTTAGCTACAAATCCAGGGTTTATGAACAATATTCTTGTTAATATAAGCTCAATGGCTTGATTTTTTTTTTTAAAAAAAAATTTTTTGTATGTATTTTAGCAATTAAATTATCTAGAAAAGTATATAAAACTATTTGATTTTAATATATACGTAGTTGACGCTATGAGCATAACTCTTTTTGCTTATGAGTCTTCAAGAGCGATCCCTATCATTTATCAAGAACTCAACAAAAGAAACTATAATAGGATGAGCAAGGTTATTGACAGAGGAAATGGCCTGATGATTGTACTTTATACAGTAATTGGCGTTTTTGGGTTTTTTTCGTATATGAATAAAATGCCTAACTTGGTGGTCTTCAGACAGACATTAGATGGGACGCCCAATGCTTATGATTGGCCAATGGTTTATGCAAGACTAGGAGTTGCCATGACGATTATGATGAGCATTCCTATGAATATTAATCCAACCAGGTTAGCTTTGACACAAATAATTTCAGGGACAAATTACAAAGAAGATTTAGCAAGACATGTAGGACTAACCGCTATGCTTTTATTTGGGTCAGTTTTGGTAGCAATAGCCATCCCTGACGCTATTTTTTACTTCAAAATATTAGGAGGAATTTTTTCAGTGATAATGGGAGTTATTTATCCGTGCTTAATACAAATGTATTTGCCTGAAAGTTTTACAACAAAAATAGTGACAGTGGTTTTGACAGTAATCGTGAGCTTGATTGGATTTAGCTCAGTAGTGATAACGATTAATAGTATTTCTTAATTAAATTTTAGTCATAAAAAATAGAAAATTCAAATTTTTAGAGTTGAGGAATTATAATGGCAGAAATCCCTAAAACATCTTCACAAATTTCTAAGCTCGATATCCCTGGGATGTCCAAGCTCCGTAAACAACTAGCGAAAATCCCAATCGAAGTGCCAGATATTTCATTAAAACTTGACCACTACAAAAAATCTCTTGATTTCAAGTATTTTTAACACAGATCTGAATTTCTTAATAGCCATATCCTAAATAGCTCTTTTTCTCCTGAATTAATAGAAAGAGACAAAATTTATACTAGCAAAGCTATAGAGCTCCAACAAGTAATTGGTGTAGAAATTGGAAAAAAGTTCAGACAACGATATATAGAAGAGCTTTTAAAACATGATAGTGAGGTCCGAGATGTTTTATACCCTTCTATACAAATTTACCATACAAAATTTATTGATAAATTATTAAAAATAAAAAAAAATTGTTTTAATAAAAAGATTATCTAATTTTGACAGCTGGGAGCTGAAAAACACTTATAGAAGAATGAACAGAAATAAGCTAAAAAGCAAATTTGAAGTAGAAAATTTTCGATATAAAACACAGCGGCTCAGTGTTGATGTGTTGAGAAAGAAAGCAAAATCAGAAATACAAAAAAATGAAAGAGAAATTTTGATTAAAAGAAATGATTGGAAAGAAAATGAATTTGTAAGAAGAAACAAGATCAGCGAAATGAGAGATAAAGAGACCAGCTTTTTAACACAAATGGAATCTTTATAAGGATCTGCCAGAATTTATTTAAAATAATTAGCTTAATGAAATTAATTGTGCTGATAAAAATCAATTAAAATAAGTGATTAGCTATTTTTATTATTCTAAAGATCTGGCTTTTCAGTAGCTTTTTCAGCAGCTTTTTCAGTGTCTTCACTTGCCTTTACCTCAAACTCAATAATCTTGATTTTCGGTGTTTTTCCATGAACTTCAGCATAGGCATTAGGGTCATTAAAGTACTGTTCAGCGAAGTGTGGCTTTAAGTACCAAAACTCTACAGGTGTAGTTTCTCCAACTCTAGCTCCACTAATAAATGTGAAAACTTGTACCCAGTAGCCGTCTGCACCTTCCCCTTCTCTTTTTCTGTCTCCAAATCGACCTTCTTTAACAATGATTTTGTCTGATTGGAAATGTCCGACGACCCACATTTCTTGGCTGTTTGGGTCTTCTTTGCTTTCGATTGTGACGTCTTTCATACGATAAATTGGCACTTTTTCAACTTCTTCAAGCTGGAAAGTAGAAGCCGCCAAGCTTAATGATACAAGTAATGATATGAAAATAAGACGTGCCATTTTATTATTGAGTTACAATGAAAAGGAAAATGGAAATTAAAATTAAAAGGAAAATTATAGATAATAAGCAAGGTAAATGTATGCAAAAAGGAAATTTTGGAGTTAGATTTGAAAATGGTATGAATTCTTTATTAGCCAGAATTATAATACGAATATTGCCTATTCACTAAGCCAACTCTCTAAAATTCCCTTGTCTTATTAATTTCTACAATAAACCTCTTTGTCATTCATGGACCTCCCTTTGCCTTCTCTGCTATGATTTTATAATAGCAATTTAATTAGCCAGTATTAAATCCCTTTATAAAATTAGCATCAAATAAACAAAGCATTTTATTTTACCCACCTAAGTTATAATACAACCCTATCAAAACATAACTTTTTAATTATTTCCTAATTTATTATCCATAAAATTCTAAACATCGTTATACCCATCGCTATTTCTTTCCTCTTTTTCTTCATTTTCATAATCCGGGATAAACCTCAACAGCGGCAGCGGTAGAAGCATAATACAATTTGTAAGCAGCAGCATAAGCCACAGCAGGTTAAAATTACTTTCAGTAATTCCAAGCCCAATCATAAGCAGAGCTCCTAACTGGCTTGAAACTAAATTCCCAAAATTCCACGTAGACATCAGTAAAGCATATAAAGAGCCTTCAATATTTTTCGGGCAAATTCTGCAGCAGAGCACTAGCAGCGGCATTGCGTTCAGCTCTCCAAGAGCTTGGACCAAAAAGTTGCTGCTTAATGCAAAAACTGTGTCAGGGATCCCCAAAGTGACATTAAATCTCGTGACTAATAAAATTTGTGTTAAGCCCATTACACAGCCTATAATGCATGACGACAAAAACATTGGCTTGAACCCGATGCCTTTAAGCCATTTATTATATACGAGCATTCCTATTAAAGTTGCTAAGCCCCAAGCCATTTTCATTCTTCCCATGAATTCATACTCAAATCCTAAGTCGTTAGTATAGTATTATAATATGAAGGATTTTTTAAAAAAAATTATTGGATTTTTGTTATTAAAATAAAGAAAATTTGATTTTCAGGAAAAGTAAAAGATTTTGAGGCTAATTCAAAAAAAATATAGAAAAACATCGCATCCCCAGAGGACGGAGTACACATAAATAAGAAAATAAAAGTGATTGGTCACGCCACCCTCGGCATTTTTACAAATTGCCAAATTTCTTTAACTTGGGTATGAACAGTTGGATTTTCAGTCACTCTGCGTTCATTCATTAATAAAGCTGCTACACACAGCAGCAATGGAAAGCAGGCAGTAATCAAAAACACAGTCCTTTTATCAATATATTCCAATAAAATCCCACCAGAATATGCAGTCACCAGCATCCCAAATGCCCTAGTTCCAAAAAACAATGTTACATATTTTGAAGCGTCCTCAGCGCTGTCCCCATGTTTTTGGCTTTCTTCCACTACAAGAGCTTCCCCAATTACATTGCAAAAAGCTGTGCAAATTTGTATAATAAGCATTGTCACAATTGCAGAAATCGACGAATTTACAACTGATGACATTACAACCCAAGAGCACATGCCAATTATCCCAAAAACTGCAAGATAAGGGGATCGTCTTCTTCCGAAAATAGGGAAACAGTCAGAAATAAAGCCCCATAGTGGTTTGATAATTCAAGGAATAGACGCAAGTGAGGTGGCAAAAGCAACTTCTGAAGGGCTCATTTTGAAATCGTCTTTATATAGATAACTCATTGATAAATCTGATAGCCCTAAAAAACCTTGAGAAATTGCAACTAGTATAATGACGAGGCCGGCAATGTTGTATCTGGAGGAAAGCCCTTTTAAGGGTTCTTCTTCTATGTCTGGTAAAGCCATTTATAAACGGCTACACATCAAAAAGTTAATTTTTGATTAGGTTTGTGTCATTTTAATTATGATTATTTTGGTATTTTAAAGGTAATTGTTTTAAAAAAACTGTGTTATAAAGCTGGTATATTAAATAATGCGTAATTAAAATTAAAAATAGTGTATTATTATTACTCACTCCCCTCCTCCGTGAGCGAACAAAACCATTGGAAAAATCCCTATTTTTTTGCCCAAAAAACCCATCCCCGTAAGTGAACAAAAATTTTTTTAATAGAAAAAATTTTTTAGATAAAAAATTGATATATATAAGTGATAATTAGTATAATGAAATTTCGACCTAATTCTGTTTAATTTTAAATAAATTGCGTTTTAAAACATAAAATTTTATAATTAAATTAATATTTGCTTCCCAATTTTTGCAAATTAGGATTTTTTTTAAAATTTCGAAAAAAAATTTTTTCTATAAAATTTATACATGAATTTTTTTGTTCACTCTCTGAGGGGGGAGGCAGGATAATAATTAAAGAAATTGATTAGTAATTCATAAAAGGATTAGCTTGAAATAGTCATTGCTTTATCAAGTAGATCTTTTACTTCTTGGACATGAATATAATGGTATCCAGTTGCTACTGCTCCTGAGGGTTTTCTTGAAACAACAGAAAGATCTGTAGAATTAAGCCCTAAAATGGTTAATATTCTTGGAGAAACATAACTCCATGCCCCATAGTTCAAGGGTTCTTCTTGAACCCACTGTAGCTCTGCTTCATGATATTTTTCGTTAATTTCTCTGATTTCGTCAAATGGGAATGGTGCAAGTTGTTCAAGTCTTATAATTGCAATGTCTTTGATATTCCTTTTACTCTTTTAGGATTTTATGGATGAAGCTCATAAAAAGAGTCTTTAAGGTGATCTTTAAGAACTAAATAACTTATGGGAAGGCCTGAAGAATATAATTAGTTTAGTTTTTGTCCTTCAGATTAGATGAAATCTGAAAAGAGATTGGAGAGGCCAAGCAACAAAAACCTGAAGACCATTGGAAGAAAGCCAGACTGCAAAGTCTAATGGCCATAATTTAATTTATTGTTGTTTACTCCTTTCAGAAACCAAATCATAATAAACCTGCCCAGTGCACAAAATCACTTTTTTTATATTTTCAGGCGCATCAATCTCACTTGGATTATCATCATAAACAATTTTTGGAAAATCCTCTGAAAACTCATTTAAATTTGAATTAGCTCCTTTATACCTTAATAGCTTTTTTGAGGTCATCACAATTAAAGGCTTCCTGTAAACATTAACGACTTGTCTCCTCAAAAAGTGAAAATAATTGGCAGGTGTCGAAGGATACACGATTTGCAAATTTTGCATTAAAATTTTGATTTTTTTTTCTAATTCGTCTTTTGGGTAATGATACGGGTCTTCCATTGATAACTGCAAAAATCGCTCTAGCCTTGCATTGGAATGTTCAGACCCTTGCCCATCATATCCATGTGGTAATAATAGCACAAGCCCACTTGGCTGCCCCCATTTTACTTCTCCGCTGGAAATGAACTGGTCGATTACTATTTGTGCACCATTTGCAAAGTCGCCAAATTGAGCTTCCCACATAACCAAAGCATTTGGGTTATTCAAAGAATAGCCATACTCAAAGCCAAGAGCTGCGTATTCTGATAGATGGGAGTTTATTGCGTAAAAAAGAGATTGGGAGTCATCAATATGGCGGAGTGGGATGTATTTTTGGAGGTCGATCTTTTGGTCTTGGATTATAGCGTGCCTTTGCGAAAATGTGCCTCTTTCGACGTCTTGGCCACTCAGTCTGACTGGGTATTTTTCTATAGTTAAAATACTGCCCCACGCAAGGGCTTCTGCTGTGGGCCAGTCAATATCCTGGCCTTTTTCTATTGAAGCTAATCTGTTCTTATAAAGTTTTTTGACTCCTGGATGTGCATTTATGGACTCAGGAAGACTGCTGCATTTTATTCCTATTTCTTTTAGCCTTTCTACTTTTACACCTGTCGGTTTAAAGCACTCAGTGCTGATTCCTATAAGATTTTCAAAATAAGATTTTTTCGCCCCTTCAGTGGTTCCTACTTTTTGTGCATTTTCAAAAGCTGAATTATAGCCATCGTTAATTGACTGCTTAATATTAGAAATTTCCTCATCATTTAAAACCCCTTCTTCTTTTAGTTTTTCGCTATAAATTTCTAATACAGTTGGATGCTTTGCTATAAGCTGATACATTTTAGGGTTTGTAAATAAAGGCTCGTCTAGTTCATTGTGGCCAAATCTCCGATATCCGATAATATCAAGGAAAATTGAATTTTTGAACTCTTCTTTTCAGTCTACTGCCAATCTTGAAGCAAAATCTATCTCTTCTGGACAGTCCGCATTTACATGCAAAATAGGCGCCCCTATTACTTTTGCAATTTCTGTTGGAAATAGCCCTGTTCTCGCTTCTCTAGGAACTGTGGTAAACCCAATATTGTTATTTAGTACCAAATGTATGGTCCCTCCTGTCTTGTAATTAGTTAGGTCTTCCATTTGTACAGTCTCATATACAACACCTTGTCCAGCCAATGCGGCATCTCCGTGTATCAAAATACATAAAGCTTTTTTTCTTTCATTTAGCAGAGCTTTGGTTTGGCCAACTGCAACAGGGTCAACTGCTTCTAAATGTGATGGATTTCCCATCAATCTTATAGTGACTTCTTTTCCTTTTACAGTCCTTTTCACACAGTGACCTAAATGGTATTTCACATCTCCTTCTTCATAATCCTTGCCTTGGGTTTCAAAAAATAATGATAAAATATATTTTAGGTCACAGTTTAAGGCATTTGCCATGATATTGAGTCTTCCTCTGTGTGGCATGCCAATGATAAAATTGTCATAGCCATAGGAAACTGCGTTTTCAATAACTCCTTCTACAGCTAAAACTGCAGTTTCTAGGCCATCCATTCCAAACCTTTTGTGGGAAGAAAATTTCTTATGAAAAAATTCTTCCAAAAGCTGCGTTCTTGCGAGTTTCTGGAAAATTTCTACTTTTTCTGCAGCGGAATATGCAAATAATTGGTCTTTTTCTATATGCATTCTCATCCAATTGCACTCATCTCTATATGGGATGTGCATATACTCAAAGCCAATTTTTCCACAGTAAACTCTTTTACAATTTTCAATTAAATCTTTTAATTTTCATACCCCTTTTTTAGGACCAGTCTCATCAATAAAGCCTTTAATTAAATTGCTGCCGAGATCGTATGATTTTTCCATGTCAGTGTCTGTGAATTTAAAATTTTCCCAACGAATAAGACCAGGAATTCTGGTTTTTGCTAAATGGTGCTCTATATTGATAGTTAATTTTAATGGGTCTACATCTGATAGCATATATCCATATAATTGATAAGCCCTATATAAAAGCAAAACTTTGTGGATTTCTTTTGAATCTGTTGCTGATAATAAATTGTCTTTTATTACTGAAGCTGTCGGGACTGGGATCTCTTCTGAATCTAAATTTTCAAAGTAAGATTTTCATTGAAGGGGTAAGGAATTCTTGTCAGATTTTCATAGGTCAAAAAGAGCTTCGAAATAAGATGAGCTTACTGCAGGATTCACAGAGCTGCCAAACAGTCGTTTGGAGTATTTCATAAATCTGAGGGTATTTTGGGTAAACATTTTTATTGTGTACTATTAAAATTCATCTTGATAATTGGATTATAAATAGTAAAGCCGTATAGGTAGCTTTAAGGGCTTTAGGTATAATCATACTGAATTATATTTAAAATAAGCTTTATAGTGGATATAAGCCTTCTAATTAAAGGTACTGCACTATCAGAATTTGTGTATTTTTTTCTAATAAAATTAGAATCATAATAGTGAGTTCATCTTATTGGCTCATATAGGATATCATTAAAGCTATTTATATACCTTGCACCGTCTTTACTAAATCAATCTGCATAATAATGATGTCTTTATTAAAATAATCTTGCATATATCAATTCATTTTTAAGCCTTTAATTTCTATTTGTTCTTGAGCCTTCATTCACAATATCTTTTTTTTAGAAACTTCTAATTCGTTACTCCTTTACCCAGCCTTGCCTTTCACTTCGACATTTTTAGCTTTTATATCCTATGCTAGATTTAAAATTTGTCATGAATTAATATAAATGCATTCAAGAATCATCGAGCGGCTTGAAAATTCTGATAGTGGCAATACAAGTACCGAAGACCTGCTCATAATAAATAATCTCGCTACCTCACTTGATACCACCCAAATGCCAATAGCAATCCGAGTTCCTCATCCTAGGTCCTTTTTAGATGAGAGCTCCAGTGAAGAAGTATCAGAAAGACTGATCAGGACGTTTAACCAAGACGTAATCAGAATTGACGAAACACTGGAATCTTTATTAGAAAAAACTTTCACTCCCCCCCCCCCTCCGTGAGCGAACAAAACCATTAGAAAAATCGCCATTTTTTGACCAAAAAAACCCACCCTCCGTGAGTGAACAAAAATTTTTTTAATAGAAAAAATTTTAATGGAAAAAAATTTTGATATATAAGTGATAATTAGTATAATGAAATCTAGAGCTAATTCTGTTTAATTTTAAACAAATTGCGTTTTAAAACATAAATTTTGCAAATTAAATTAATATTTGCTTCCCAATTTTTGCAAATTAGGATTTTTTTTAAATTTCGAAAAAAATATTTTTTATAAAATTTTATATATATAAATTTTTTTTAAAAAAAAAAAATTAACCCCCCTCCGTGAGCGAACAAAATTTTTTTGTTCGCTCACGCTCACGGAGGGGGGGGGGGGGAGTCAGTGAAGGAAGCCAAAGCAATTCTTTTTTAGCTGATATAACATCGCAGAGCTGAAAAATGCAGACTTACTCTATATCAATAGATGATGGGAATTCTTCAATTGTGTTTAATGCCTATAGCTTTAATGATATTTCTCAGCCTAAAAGCCCAAAAATAAACAGTCCGAAACATGAAGGTGCTGATACATTAAGAGAAGAGGTTTATTTTGAACAGCCATTTACGCTGATTACATTAAGAAATAATGAATTGTATCTGTATCATATGATTAACGATAGAGAAGATCATATAGAATTGCCGACTAATATTATGACTCATTCAGCTTGTGTTCTGCCTGATGGACAAATTATTGCTACTGATGATGGGAGCATACCGAACTCTACGTTTAGGTACCAAAATTCTGCAGGCTGAGCTTATATAAGTGAACTTATATACCCTAGAAATGGCCATTCTATGATTTTCCATAAGGGGACAGTGTATGTCATTGGAGGACTTTACAACGGAAAATTGCGAAATGAAGTAGAAAGGCTAAATAAAAATGACAGTTGAGAAGAAATCCCTAGCCTGCATAATCCTAGACAAAATCCAGCCTGTGTGTCTATGGAAAGCAAACTTTATGTGACTGGAGGAATCTGTGAAGTCCCAGATTTTGCTTTTATTGAAGAAGGAATTTTTAATTATTTTTTTTGTAAAAAATAATTAAATTTTGTTAAAAAATTTTTTTTATTTGAAGTATTAATTGGGAAAACATGGAAAATTTTAGATGTAAAAATCGAAGGAAATCTGCATGGACATGCTTGTTTTTTTACTCCTGAGCATAAATTAGTGGTGCTTGGAGGAGTTAAAGGAGATAGCCCTGCCTGCCATATTGCTATGATTACAGATGAAGATGGAGTTGTAAATGAAGGGTTTATTGAATGTCAAGACAGCTTTCCATTGAACTCGTGGAGCTATATAGAAGAAGAAGGCAGTATTATTGCATGGGGGACACAAGCTCTTTGAAAGTTTGATATTTTGACCACATCGCTAAAAATACAACAAATTTTCCCATTAATGTAATAAGTTTTTATGCACATCTATTTCTCCTATTAAGGATCCCCCCCTCATTTGTCCAATTTTCTAGTCTTATTTTTCTAAGAAAAAAAATTTTCAGGACCTCATTTGTCCCAAAATCTAGTCAAAAATGATTTGTCCCATTTTCTAGTCTTTTTTGGATTTTTTCGAATGTCTTAAATTTAGTATTTTACTTACTCCCCCCCATCCTTGATCGAACGATTGACTGTAAAAATTCCTAAAAATTGGGGAAATTAAACCCCCATCCTTGATCGAACGATTTTCATATCATGGAAATTTTTTATATATATAAAAAATATTAGTTATCAAACGCTTTGGAAGATGTGCCTAATGAAGTTGTTTTCAGAGCTTTGAGACGACAGAAAGCTGCGAAATCAACCATCCGAAGTGATTTAGACATCAACCTAGGCTTAAAAGCTCAATAATCTAATAAAATAGAGATTCTTTAAAATTTTAAAAAATATTTATTTTAAATTAAAATTTATACAGTTTAAAAAGGTAACTAATAAATCAAAATATTAAAAATTGGTATTTTTATGAAATTAATTCAATTTTTTGCTGTAAAAATAATTATTAAATACTCTTAAACCCTCTTATTTAAAGTAAATAAAAAAAATCTATATATATCTTTTCATTTTATATATAAAATTTTTTTCCCAAAAAAATTTTTTTTTAAACCCCATCCTTGATCGAACGATGGCGAGTCGTTCGATCAAGGATGGGGGGGGAGTTAGAAAATGAGACAATTGAGGTTCGAAATTATTTTTTTTATCAAAATTTTGACTAGAAAATTGCTAAAAATTTTTTTTTTCTATAAAAAAACTAGAAAAATGGGCAAATGATAAAGACTAGAAAATTGGACAAATGAGGGGGGGATCCTTATAAATATTTATATAATATTTATTATCACAAACATATTTTACAAAACAATTGTCGCTATATATTTCTAAATATAATATCTAAGCCTCTATGAATTCCTATTTGCAATTACTTATCCTTTTCTTCTAATAATAATCTACTTCAAATATTGAAGTTATTATATCGTCATATATTAATATTCAACAAAGCTATTATGAGCTATTCAGAGCTATGGAATAAATTCAAAGAAGTCCGCGTTCATTATAGAGAGTCCAAAAAAACATGCGACGAATTTATAATCTTTTTACGGGACAAATCAGAACTTGATAGATCATACGCGAGAGGATTAGAGAAACTTGCCTTAAGCACCTTTTTTGAATTAGGAAAAGGCACGCTTGACCCCTGCTTATCATCTCTTAAGCAGCGGCTAATAGAGTACATTTCTCTATGCAAAACCCTCGCAAACCAATTCCACACTGACCTTGCCCTAAATCTTCGGCAGCTTCTAGTCCATCAAGATCTCTTAATTAAAGATAAACGTGACCAAGGCAAAAAACTGGTCCAAGAGCGAGAAAAACTAATAAAAATCGCCCAAAGAGCCAAAGAAAAGTACATAAAATCTTGCAAAGAGTCAGAAGCCTGTGCGCAAAGTAAAAGCAGGTTTGAAATTGCGTATAAGCAAGAAGAAGAGTTATCAAAGGCTTATCAGGTTTCTATAGAAAATGCTAATGCATTTGCAGCTCCCTTTAGAGAAGCCATGGACAAGATTTTGAGCACGTATCAGATTCATGAAGAAGAGAGGATGAAGCTGCTAAAAGAGTCATTGGCGAGGATGGTGGAGTATGAAAAAACGTTTTTTAAGTGCTTGGAATATACTCTGGATGCGTTAGCTTTGGTAAGGGTTATGTAGCCAATTGAAAGTTTTAATCCAAGTGTAGATTTAAAGAAATGGGTAGATGATACGTATATAGAAAGCGTTATAATTAAGGATGGCTTTTAGCTTGCCCTAGACTATTGATTGGTATTGGTAAATGATTTGCTTATCATTTAGTAGATTGGTTGAAGTACTAAAGAAACTTCGCAATTGGGCTAATAGCCTATAGTCAGAGTGAGCTATAAGCCTTCTTAGGCCATATTGAAGAAATAGTTTTTGAGCCTTTTCATCATAATATGGAATTTGACAGGTTTTTGGTTGAATTAAAATCCTCACACCAAGGCGACATTGTGAAAAAAATTATTGATAAATGCTGAAAAGGCGAGGTCATCGATTTTGATCAAAGATGTCAGTTTTCACAAACTATTGCCGAGCCTGAAGGGAAAAAAGCCTGGATCGCTTTTCTTAATGAAAAGCGAAATCAAGGCCAATTTAAAATCCCTACTGAAACTTTTGTTATCATAGGAGAATTATTGCACGATGTCTTGACAAGTATGCTTAATTCTTCCGCGTACAATTGTGCAAGCCAATGTATCATTTTATCACAAACATTTTACTATGAAAATGAAGGCCAAAAAAATTATTTGCAAAATGAGGTCATAGATCATGCATTTTGGAAGCAAGAAGATGTATGGAAAACTATTCCTTATAAAAATAGCTTTGATACCAGCTTAATTATAAAAAATAATAATAATTCATTAGAATGTGACATATTATAACAGAAGCTATTGACCACGAAATAAAAAAATGCAATGAATACTGCAAGGACATAATGCAGAATGATGAAGATTCCCATGAAAGATTAGGAGAAGTCGTTGTTTCACAGCTATCATCGTATGCACATATAATGGAAAGTTTTCATGTCCCTGAGCACGAAATCCAACAAATTCTTAATACATTTGTTAAGAATTATAATTTGCCTGATGATATATTAATTACGTTTATGGCTTAATTGCTTAAATTCATATTTTTAGCAATTCTGGAAAATAATTAATCAAATTTATATTTTTTCGTTGGGCATCTTTTGGTTAGAAGAATCTCACAAAGAGCTTGATACTCTGGGGAAGGCGCGTTCACAATTTTTGGCTTTACGTCTATTTCTTTACTCCCTGTTTAGTAAAACCATTGGAAAAATCCATATTTATGGGCAAAGCACCCTCTGAAAATGATGAGCAAATGCATTTTTAATATAATTTTTTTTATATAAAAAATCTTTTGCTTTATTAGTGAAATCTCTTATTAATTCTATTGAATATAAAATAACTTGCATTTTGCAAATTAAATTAGTTTTTGTGAATATTTTAATATTTGATACGAGATATTTTTATACAAAAATAGAAATTCCCTCCTTGAGCAAAACCACTTTGCCCTCTCTGAAGGGGGAATTAGACATCTGTTTAAGCTTTATAGGGGCATGGTGGTGGGATGGAGTATGGTTTTCTGCATTAGAAATCATTGGAAGATTTATTGTTAATAAAAAAGACTTATCAATGTGAGTGCTGAGCTTGGAGTCTTCTTCTATGATTTTTGATAGAGATACACCTTCAAGAGGAGTTTGTGTTTTTGAGCTAATAGAAATAGGAGGGCATTTCTTTCAAATACCTGCAGTTGATATAGCAAGTGGAGGCTCATTATCCATTGATATGGCTTTAGAATGGTAAGATTTATGTTTGAGAGTGGTAGTCGGTCTTTCAATTTCTTCACTTGTATTTTCATATATTAAGAAAGGGTTTGGGGATTTTTCCCGTTTTTTGCAGACTGAGCTAGACACTCTGTGATGTATAATTTCATTTAAAAACTTGGGCAATTTAGCTGATTTTTCTGGAAATTCTAATATTCCTAACTCCCCCTAATTAGTGAATAAATGTTTTTTAGCTTGCGCAGGGGAGTCAATGTTTTTAAAAAAAATTATAAATAAATTTTATAGCAAAATTTAAAACAATCTCAAGTCAAAATAATTTTTTAATTTGCAATTAATGCAAGCTGTTAAAAATTCAACATTATTAGCTAGAGATTTCATTTAATAATTATCACTTATATATAAAAATTTATCATATAAATATTTTTATATTAAAACCATTTTAACCTTCAACGGAGGGTAGGTTTTAGGCCAAAAAAATAGGGATTTTTCCAGTGGTTTTGTCTGCTCTCGGGAGTAAGGAGTGATTTTTTGTCTCATCATTTTTTGGTGACAAAATTGGACTTTTTTCTCTCGAATTCCTTGGCAAATAGTCCGCTACTTCGATCTCAAAAAATGTTTCTGAGATTATACAAGTATTAGAGGGGTAAAGCTTTATTATATAAACAAAAACAATTTCTTTTCCATTAGCTATCTATCTAGAGCTTACTTTGATATCTTCCCCTTCTTTTAGCACAGAATAATTTACTAATCCTCTCCTTATTCTCTCTATTGCTAACGTTCTAGATACAAACACTTTCACTTTTTGGCATCTCGGCAAAACATATCATAATGAGTTTGAAAAGCCTGCAGGATCTATAGGCTTTAAAGGCAAAGATTGCAAATAAATCCCATTTTTCAGGTTATTTTGATGTTTTTGGTGCTTAAATGCTTTGAAACCAAGGCGTTTTAGCAATATCATTGGCAGATAAATGATGTCTTCTTCAGAAGTGAAATATAGAGGAGCACAATATATAGGGGAACGATAGACTCGCTCTGGTTTCAGTATAAACAAATAAGGGCTCGGAAGATTTAATCTTGAGATATCCAATAAAACTGATTTCGGCAGAATTATTCTATCTGATAATTCTAACTCTGAGCTATATTGAGGATAAAATGAGATTGGCAAAAAGCTTCTAAAATATTTAGAATACTGCGGAATACTATATAAAAGCTACTTATCATTTCGCGGCGCAGGTCCATTGATCATGCACTTAATAGCGTACATTTCATCAAAGATTTTTTTTTTAAATAGTGTGCTATTTAGTCAAAATTATGTTTTTTGGTCAAATTTCTCACTATCAAAAATGCTTCGAATAAATTTTCCCTTACTCCCCCCCCCCCTCCGTGAGCGAACAAAAAAATTTTGTTCGCTCACGGAGGGGGGTTAAATTTTTTTTTTTTAAAAAAAATTTATATATAAATTTTATAAAAAATATTTTTTTCGAAATTTAAAAAAATCCTAATTTGCAAAATTGGGAAGCAAATATTAATTTAATTTGCAAAATTTATGTTTTAAAACGCAATTTGTTTAAAATTAAACAGAATTAGCTCTAGATTTCATTATACTAATTATCACTTATATATCAAAATTTTTTTCCATTAAAATTTTTTCTATTAAAAAAAATTTTTGTTCACTCACGGAGGGTGGGTTTTTGGTCAAAAAATGGCGATTTTTCTAATGGTTTTGTTCGCTCACGGAGGGGGGGGGGGAGTTAGGAAATGTCGCACAATCAAAAATGCACAGTAATTTGACATGGTGCCCATTTCGCTTGCTGCTAGAATTCATTGCTCTCCTTTATTAAAATTAAAAGAATGAGCAATTCCAATGACAAACTTTTATTTTTAAATCTGACTGAAGAATCTGAAAGATATCCATACACGCCAGCAATAAGTGATTTAAGCAGCTGAAATGATAATAAACAAATGATTTTTTTGAAAAAAAATATCCCATCGCCTAGGTCTCCCTTATCTTTAAGAAAAACTCCAATTAAAATAAATACTGATTTTAATGAAAAAACAAATGATAGTCTGCATGTGAATTATTTAGTGTTTAGCCCAGCTGAATCTTCAGCTTACAATCCTACCCCAAAGATGCGTAAAACTACGCCTATGAAATTTAGCTTGAAAAAAGAAGATTGCGAAGGGTTTTTAATTGCAAAATGCAATTGTATAGCTGTTGGGAAGTTGCCTGAAAATGATCTTATAAGTTTATACCCAAAATATATGATTGCTTCAGTCAAATAAAATTTTTTGCTTATTAATCAAAAATAAAGTACCTTGGCATATCATTTTCTGGGTCTTGTGGCTCACCTAACTGCATCAATAAAAACAAAGTCGAGATAATTCAAAGGCGCACTAAAAAGCTAAAAACTAAAAGCCTTGAAAGGAAAAACACCAACCAAACTGACCTCAATAAGCAATCCCGCACAATGAAACTTCGTAAAAAACTAATAGAACTAAACAAATCAGTCAGCCCCAAAAATGTAGTAATTAGCATAGAAACCACAAAGAAAAATGATTTTTCTAAATCCAGCTCAATGAGAAAAGCATTTTCATCAAATGTAAGGCTTCCTTATATCAGGGTAAAGCCAATTTTTCATCTTGGGACGAGTATAAGAAGAGATTATCATAATTTAAGTATGATAAATTAACCTTTTCCATTTATTCCCTAAATAAATATGCTTATGGATAACTTTACAAAGACCTATAAAACTAAGCAATGCAGGAACTTTTCAAGCTCGATAGGCTGCACCTTAGGCCTGCTTTGCAATTTTTATCACACAGAAGAGGACCGTCGAAGGCTTCCAGATCAAACTTATGAGCCTATCCTCTGTATAGAAGCTGTGATCTCTGATGTATGTGCCCATGAATCTTGCCAATACTGCAGAAACCAAGTGGAGTATTTATTCCACCCTTCAAATTATAAAACTAAAGAATGCATATATAGAAGGGCAAGCCGTGAATGTATTCATAAAATGTGCCCATATACACATCCTGAAGATAAATCAATATCTCAGCAAGTCGAAGAAATTAAAGCATTTGAGCCGTCTATTATAGTGCCAGCAGTAGAATTAGCCTCACCTGAAGAAAGAAAGTTTTATATCTACAAAGAAGAAATTATTACCTATATGATAAATATAAATTTATATAAAAATAATAATAGCCTAATCTCAAATAAAATTGAGGGTTTTCCTAATAATTTACTTGTAAAATTTATACAAAAAATAGAAAAAATATGAAGATCGAAAAACTGAATTTAAATCTTGCTCTTATAAGTCATTTAATGTGGCCTACGCTGTAGATCTCGTAGTTCCATACGTCAGCGCATTTTTAAATACAGAAGGAGGGACCCTTTATTATGGAATCAGAGATGATGGAATGGTGACTGGCGTCATTTTAACGAGAAAAGTTAGAGATAATTTTATTGTCACTTTGGACTCAAATTTAAATAGATTTAGCCCTCATTTGACTGGGGATGAATATGAAATAAAATTTGTGGACGTCATGAAGAAGGAGGATTTGAAGAAAATCAATGATATGTATGTCATTGAGATTAAAGTGGAGAAAAGCAAAAATAATGAAGTTTATTTTACACATAAGAGTGAAGCTTATATTAAAAGAGATGCAAGCATCACACAGCTGAAAGGATTGTCATTAGTTAAGTTTTATGAAAAACGAAAAGGAGCGGCGTCTGGAGGGGCTACATCTGAAGGAGCTGCGCCATAGAGAGTTTTGGGGGATTTTATTATTAAGTTTCAAGAATATTAATATAAGGAGTTTAAGCCTAATTAATTGAAAAATTTAGACTGAAGTTAATAAATATAGAAAATAATGAAAATCCTTGAAACCATGAGCTAAGAAAGCAGATTCAAAGTATTATCAACTTTTGATGGGTAAAAATGCCATAATTCTGTCAATGCTTTAGAAGAATTATTTTGATTGACTATAAAATATGCATAATAAGAATTATCAGACACATATCACTACCAAAAGATTCATATACCTAAAATTTGTCTCAAAAATCCTATATCTATACATCCTCTAATTTTTCTTCAAATTCAGACAAAGCATTATTATTAATCCAATGGTTAGACCAGGACTATAAAGTCGCTCTGCTTGTTTATATTCTTCATCGGTCTTAGTAGCAATGATCCCATTCTTAATTGAGGCAGAAAGGAGAAATTTCTGTTACAATTTTCAACCCTAATAAAACCTTCTCAAAAGGTAGAAAATTCCTCAATTCTTTATAGTAGTTAATTATATAATTTTTCAATAAAACATTATAAAATACAAATTTTGATATTATGCTTTTGCATAATTTCTGGAAGGTCCCCACATATCGGGACATTTTCCCACATGTGGGGTTCTAAACTTGAGTGGCTCCTATATGGGATTTTGTTTCCGCACATGGGAAATGTCTCGATGTGTGGAGACCCTCCCGAAATTATGCCAATGCATAATATTAAATTTCGATAAGTTAGAATAAAAATTATAATAGAGATTGCTCGTATGTTTGGAATAATTTTATTAGAAATTGTCCTGCTAGGAAACTTTACATTGTGGTGCACTAAATGGGATGAAGGTTGACTAAAAGTTTACTTCATTAATTTTACGATGATTTTGTAAGGATAGTAAAAGGAACTGCATTTATGACTCAGTTCATATCGTTGAGGGGCTAGTTTTTTCTTAAAATCTGTTCGTTTTTTAAAAAGATTGTTAATTAGGCCGTTTCAAATTGCTTGTTATACTTTAATTGCAGAAAACACTTCAAATAACTGCATGAATGTATCAGTAGATCATCTAAGGCTTTATTATACAACAGGATATGGATTTCCTTAATGAATCAATTATTTAATCTGTGCCAAGAATTAGGATTACATCAGCCTAAGTTTTTAATAAATTGAATACTTGTCTATAAATAAATATTAGCTTGAAAGATTAAATTTATTTTACACAAATAACAAAATAAAATTAGTTTAAGCATTAATAATGATAATAAAAAGCTTTTTAATTATAAAATTTTCATATTATACTGACTTAATATGAATAATAATATTTTTATGAAAAGATAAACAAATACCGCCAAAATAGAGATAGGCTATAATTTAATTCTGTGAAGTTTAATAAAATATTAGAACGATAATCAATCCGAAAAGTGACCGCATATAGCTTTACAGATTGAATTATATGCACTAATAGGCTGATCAGTTAATTTTTTAATAGCATAGCTCAAATCTTTAAGCTATAAAACTGTTTAAGTAAATTTTTTAGCATTAAACATAAATGATCACTGTTGTGTCTTTAAATTGCTTATCAAGTTTCTGAGAAATAGATTTAGATTTATTACTAAAATTACTTAGCATTATAAATATATATCTGCTATGCTTAATCTTTTTATTTATTTAAAACAATTTATATTGATTTAGGCTATGATATTATTAGACTTTTTCTTATAATATCAACGCATTATAAAACATTAGCGGCTTTATTGTTAATTAATCACTTTAAACAAACTAAAAACCTGCCGTTAAGCATCATATTTAAATTTCAAATTATGTTGAACAAAAGTTTTATAAATTATAATGGCTTTCTATTTAGGCTTCATATTTTAAATACTTTAAAATTCAAAACCTAAATAAAAATAATTTCGTTAGCAATAATTATATATTTTATTTGAAATTTTGGTATTATAGGCATTATAAATTTATTCTATAATGAATATTTATAAGAAAAAGCCTAAATAGGTATTATTAAAGCGGGCTACTATTATGCTTAAGTTAGCGATTATTTGTCTTAATTTTTTGTTGTCTCGTTCATGAAATACAAAATATAAGTATTTTTGCCAAAGAAAGTCACGGAGATACCCTAAAAGCTGAATTTAAACTTATAACGAGTTATAATAGACAGACTGACCACCATCTTTTTAATGAATCCATTACTGACTATTCATAAATGGAACGAAACAATAACTTGATCAAATTTTCCACACAAAAAATCCTGCTTAAATAACTATTTTAAGCAGTAGAATCCAAAACTTTTAAAATCTAAATTTTTTTTCAAGCAATAAGTTGCATAAACATCTATGATATAAATGTAATTAAACTATTTAAATGAGATATTCAAAATTCATCAAATCAATACTTTACATTAAAAACGAGCAAGCTTATGATTATAAAAAATTATTATATTGAAAATACACTGTGCTATTAAAATTGTTGTAGGCTTTACAAAGCTCTTATAGCGAGCCCTAATAGTTTTTTTATTTATCTCATGACTGACGTTGCTGACTGATTAGCTATACCTTCCTGGATAAAAATGGTGACTTATAAATGGGTTTTAATTCAATAATAAAGTTTCAAAAATGCCAGATGAGTAAATTTAATAACTCAAACTGATAGTTATTTTTCTATTTTCTTCAAAACTTTCCTTCTTCTCACATTTTCGTGATTGTCAGCATCTTCGCTTCTATTTTTGCCTCATATCCTATCCATTTTGAACTTAAAAAAAATTGAAATCAGAACTTTTTCTCCGATTTTTGGTGCAATTGTTGATTATGGTTTTTTAAAGCTATAGGATCTTTAATTTGCTTTAAGATCTCATTCCCTTCACTCGCTTTCTGCCCTCAAGTCTTTTTTTGCTAGTTCATTTTTGTCAGTAACGTTTTGTTATAATATATAATATAAATGTCCGCAGCATCAACCCTCACTTTAAGCACTTCTGATCTATATAACTGCATTAGGCAGACTCAAGAACAAGTAATAAGTTCAACCCCACAATTCAGTCCAAAATTTATGTTCACTGTACTCATCACAAATGACCTGATTTCTCTGCTAGGAAAAGTTCCTAATGAACTTTTACTTACAGGGCTTTCCAATATTCCACAGATCGCAGAAAACATTTCACCTAAATCATTTTACCCATCACCTCAATCACTATTTACAAAACGAACAGCACCATTTCTTCCAAATTATTCACATAAAAGGCTTACACTTGTTCTAGATTTAGATGAGACTCTAGGACACAAAATTCAAGAAAAATACTTAGTAAGGCCTTTTGTGTCAGAATTTTTAAGTACACTCAGCGAACACTTTGAAATCATTTTGTTTACTGCTGCTTCACAGAGATATGCCGATAGCGTTATGAACTTTGTTGATCCAGAACGAAAAATAAATTTAAGGCTCTATAAGCACCATACAATTGAAGTAGACGGAGTCTTGGTAAAAGATTTAAACTGTCTTGGCAGAGACCTTTCCAAAGTTATTATAATTGATAATTTTGCGAATAGTTTTCAAAGGCAGTCAGAAAATGGCATCGAAATTCAGTCTTGGCTGGGTGACCCAAACGACCATGCTCTAAAAGACCTGCTACCTTTTTTACTAAAAGTGGCTAATGAAAATACTGAAGACGTAAGAATGGCCCTTACAGCATTTAAATTGACTAACTAATAAAAATGTAACATTAAAAAATACTTGTAAACTTAAATCATGTCTGATGCAAGAAGTAGAAGGAATGAGCACTTTCAATCGTCAATTTTTGAGCCTGCCCCTATTTCTAATAAGAAAGAAATAAGTGGGAGAGAAAATTATAACACAGGACAACAAAGACAGCGATCATGCGATACATTTAATTCAGAATACAGTAAAAGTAGACAAGGGGAATATAGAAAAGCGCAGGAAAATAGATTTGATGAGTATGAGACAGATAAATATAGCAGAAATAACAAGGACGAGCGCCAAAATTTAAACCGCTCTCTGTATGAAGGGTCAAATACTTCTTCATATAAGCCAAATGATACACGAAACTTGTTAGGAAACGACCAAACTAACTATTATCAAAGAGAAAACAAAACAAAACCATTTTATGATTTTGAGCCAAAATATGCAGAGACTTCTGCATTTAATCGAAAATATGCAGATTTATATGGAAACTCACAATCCTCGATTCCAAGCTACCCTAGAGAAGAAGCTCTATCAGAAAGCCGAGATATCTCTTCAAGGCAACGAAAGCAAGATAACATGGAATCAAATATTTTTTATCCTCCACAGTATCGGAATTTCAAACAAGAAGCCCCTCAAGAATCCCAAAGTTCCCAATTTTCCCCAGAGTCCAGAAGTGCTGAAATGAGGGAATCTTCTGTATTCGGCAAACAAGAGCCTCGACAAATCCCTAATCAAGCCATAGAAACATCTAATGACGACAAACGAAGAAAAAACCACATGTACTCAGACATTTTTGGTGAGCCAGAATACGAAACTAGTAGCAAAAAGCAAGATAAGCTAATCGCAGCTACTCAAAAATGAAGTGAAAACGACGCAAGAACTTATACAAGAGAAGAAGACTATGACGTCCACAAATTTAAATCAAAAAATCTCTGGGGTGATGAAAATTACTATCAAGAAAGAAATTTAACCCCTAAGCCAGCCAGAATGCCAGCACAAAATCCGCAGCAGTATAAAACAAGAGAAATGACCAGCTCTATGCAAGATTATAATGAATTTCCTACAAAGCAAGCCCAAGAGCCTGCTATAGCTGAATATGATTTAGAAAACCTCCCACGAAACACTACCAAAGATAGCCTAAAAAGGATTTGCAGCAGCGTCCATATTGTTTCGATACAAATTGATACTGATAATCTTACAGGATTTTGTAAAGGAACAGGGAAAATGATGATAAGGACTTCAGCTAACGCCGAAAAAGACTTGCAAAGGCTGCAGCTAGATTTAGCAGACGAAGACATTGTGCTGAAAATCCACAGAGAAAATGTCGGGCTAAAGTCAAATTATTCAGAGCTGAGTGGGCTTAAATGGAATGACCCACATATAGTAGGAACCCCATCAGAGCATTCAGTAAAAAGCAAAGAATCATATAATAGGCCTGCATTGGACGAAACTTATATGGCAAATATACAATGGCAACGGACTAAAAATCCAAGATATGAATATAGGTAATAATAAAAAATTCAATTAATTAAGGAGATTCGCCATTTGGCCTGCTTTTAATTTTTGCAGCAACTTTTTTGGCTTTGATGACTGCTTTTTGAAGCCTGTCTATATTAGATTTAGTGTCTTCTTCTTGGCTTAATAGCTGGACAAGGTGGCTTTCTTCTCTATCAACGCGTCATGTCCAAAATCTATCATCTTGTACATCTACAAATCCTCGTGTCGGCTTCTGTTGTCCTTTTTTCATTTATTATTAACTGATTCTAGATTATTAGTTTAAATAATTGCAAGTAGAAATATTTTATTTATTAAGAATATGCATATAAAAAGACTTATTTTACAATAATTTTCAAATAATAAAAGGAATCGTAATGTTCCAGTTTTAATTTAAATTCCTAACTAAATATATCTTCTTATTGAGAATATAAAGCTGCCTTTACAGTATTTTTACTCTCTCTGTAATTATGTTTAGAAACTTTAATTGAAACCAGTTTCATATATAAAATTATGGAAGAAGGACCAAATCTTAATCCCCACAAAAAAATTGTCAGAATAAACAGCAACTTTCGTATCTGGTGAGACGTCTTCATGATTTCTATGGCGCTTTTTGAAATGTTCGCAGTTCCTTTTTACGTTGCATTTTTTGAGGCCGAATTCGATACTTTCTTTTATTGAAATTTCCCTGTAAACATGATTTTTTGCAGCGATGTTTTGTTGAATTTTGTGACTACATATATCGATGAAAGCGGTGAAGAAATTTTTGATTACAGAAAAATTGCAAGGAACTATATGAGATTCAATTTTTGAATTGACCTTATTGGCTCATTGCCACTTGGCGACATTTTGGCTGCAGCACTCAAAAGCCACCAGGAATCCTATTGGGCACTCGATAACCTGCTGCAGCTAAACAGAGTTTTGAGAGCTGGAAGAATAATCCGGTATATCAGGACAGTCAAGACAAAAGTGATTTACAAGCTAGTCCGTATCATTGTTTATCTTATCATATGGTTTCACTTTTCTACCTGCTTCTGGTGGATTACTGTCAGTGTCCACGGCGATTGAATACCATTCCCTGATTTTCTCCCAAGGAAAACTGACGTCTGGCATTCAAATATCTGATATCAGTTTTGGGCTGCATGGTATCATGGCTCATTTCTGGTAAGAGGCGGAGAAGTGGCTCCTATTCATTTTAACGAGACTATGTTTGCGTCAGTTTTTATTATGCTTGGAGGACTCGTGACTGCTTTTTTGTTCAGAGAAATGATGTTCTTGTTGACAATTTTAAGGCAGAAAAAGACCAATTTTTATGGAAAACTGGACAGGTCAATAGAAGCGATGAGCAATATGCAGCTTTCTGAAAGTTTGAAAAGGAAAATACTGGACTATATAATATCAACAGAAGTATCATTATCAGCCCAAGAAGAATATGAAACTTTTCAAAACTTTATTTCGCCGTCCTTATTAAAGGAAGTATCGGCATGTATTTATTATCCTATTATATCATTAAACCCAATTATGAGCAATGAAGAAGGCACAGTTGAAATGATTGTTAAGCATTTAAGCAATATATTTACAAGGCCTGAAGAGGAAATTATAAGGGTTGGAGACCCAGCGGATGCTATGTATTTTTTAGTGCATGGAGAATGTAGCGTCAGTATGCACGATCGCTATGGGTCATTTAAAACTTTATCAATTCTTACCCCTGGCTCTCATTTTGGAGAAATTGGGATTGCTTTTAACTCTTTAAGAACTGCTAACGTCATCAGTCTTGGCTACTGCACAATTGCAAAATTAACGAAAACTGACTATAACAACTGAATAAAAATGTTTTCCCATTTAGAGCAAAAAGTAAAAAGCTACGCATTTAGTTATAAAGACCCTTGGAAAGAATTTATTATAAGCTGCTTAAAGCAAGCCAATTTTTTAGAATTTTTGCATCCAGACGCCCTTACTCCCCCCCCTCCGTGAGTGAACAAACAAATTTTGTTCACTCACAGAGGGGGATGAAATTTTTTTTTTTAAAAAAAATGATATATAAATTTTATAGAAAAAATTTTATTTCGAAATTTTAAAAAAATCCTAATTTGCAAAAATTGGGAAGCAAATATTATAAAATTTATGCTTTTAAAACGCGATTTGTTTAAAATTAAATAGAATTAGCTCGAGATTTCATTATAATAATTATGCTTTATATATCAATTTGTTTTCATAAAAAAAATTTTCTATTAAAAAAATTTTTGTTCACTCACGGAGGGTGGGTTTTTGGTCAAAAAATAGGGATTTTTCCAATGGTTTGTTCACTTACGGGGGGGTTAGCGAAATTGTCTATAGTGCTGAAGTGACAAAGCTAGAAAAAGATATGTATTTATTCAAGCCTGGAGACCCAGTATCAGCAATGTATATTATTGCTGATGGTGCTGTTGATTTATCAATAACCATAAATGAAAAACATATTCACACTCTCAAAAAAAGCGAAAATATTTTGGGAATTGAAACCTCTCCAAGGAAAAAAACCAGAAGGCCAGTAAAAAATACGGATTATGGGAAATATTATATGGATATCGGATTTATGAAAAATCTGAAGCATAGGGCTGAGGTCATTCCTATTATGAATGATAAAGCTACAGTAGGGAGCATTGGCCCTGGTGAAGCAATCCCTGATAAAACAAAAGCAATAGGAAACTACCCCCAGGAAATTATAATTGACACTTTAACACAAGGAACCTTAATTAACCCTTACCTCATGCTGTACAATGAAACAAATGAGCTCCAATGCAAAACAATCCAGCCCTCCACGATATATACTATAAAAGCCAGTTTATTTGAAAAATTATCAGGAAATAACAATACAGACTGCAAGCGAGAATTCAAAAAATTAACCCAATCAAGGCCGAGGACTGTAGATTGGCTTGATTATTATAAGCTTGATATTAAAAACGAAGACGCCAAGCAAAACTGGAAATCGGCTATAGTCAGAGTTATATTGGAAGAGAGAAAAGAAAGAAAAAGATTTTTGTCGAGATTTGGGGTTTTATTATCAAAACTTCACGCTGTAAAAGCTTGTGAAAATGCTGGGAATTTGGATTTAGCTGATAAAGTAATCAGTGGACAAATAGACCCAGAGTTGATATTAGATGATGGGACTTTGGATATTACAGATACGAAACAGATGATAACTAATTATTTGCCGAGGAGTCATCCTATAATGAAAGCTTTTAATACTGCCATTTCGTCAATTTCGACTGCTGAAGGGCATATATTAAAAGAATATAACACTTTGGAAGCTCATATTGACAGACAGTCAAAAACACTTAACAGTATTGGGAACCAAATTGAAGATTTACAGTTCAAAATGTCAAAAATTAGCTTAATTATTTATGGTCTTTAACTGATGTCTGAAGTCATTATTTCCTATAATTTTAAGTAATAAAATGAAAAAAAACTTGTCTTTTTTTTTTGACATAAATCCTCCATTTTAATGAAAAATGCCAAAAATCAATGATGTGCTCCATCGAGGAGGGCTTCACAAGCCAAGAAACATCAAATCTCCTGATATGAGAAAATCAATTGATGGGAGAAAATCCCCAGGCCTGGCACCAATCAGAAAATCAGCCCCAACTAGTGAAGATATATTAGCTAGTCCAACCGACGAGCAGATTCCTTTCTTTGACTATGGCGAGCAATAATTATTAATCTTTTATAGCTAGACAATTTAATGTAATTATCTAGTATCCTATTTTCTTAAGTAAATATAAATTTAATTCAGATTGAGCGTCCTTGCAGAATGCCCTACTTTGATTAAAGTAAAGCATGCTATGAAGTCAGCGTGCTGCTTTTTGCAGTGTTGTGTGATAATTTTCCATCAGATTAAGATAGATTTGAGTAAGTATAGTAAAGCCTGTAAGAAGGGCCGGAATCAGCATTTTTGCAATCGAATAGCTCCATTCCATTTTATTAGTTCATTTTTTTTTAAGTTTTAATTGATATTTAAATGCAGTTTTAATGATTATTGTTAGAAAATTTGAGTAAAATTATTGGAAGTTGAGTTTATATAGATACTTAATTTTATTATTAAATATATCGCATTCTGCAGAATTATTCCACCCTTTAATCTATCCAATGATGCCAGGCAATCCGTAAATCATATTCTTTTTATGGCCTGCGGACATTCCTAGGCAGTGGTCTTGACAAATATGAATCTCATAATCAAATAGCTTTTCTGAATTTATAAAAAAAATAAAGAATGATCTATAATAATTTTTATTATGTTTATTTTAGAAATATAAAAATTAAAGAGAATGATAATAAAATGTAAAAATCAAAGAGAAATTTAAGTAAATTATTATTTTAAAATGATTCTTTATTTATAAAAGTGAGATTCTACCATTTTGTGCATTTAAATATATTAGCTGGTATAAATTTAACTCAGTCAATTCAAGTAAAATAAAGAGTCCTTATTTAAATACCTATAAATTAAAAATTTTTGTGCGGTAAAATTAATTAGACTTTTTAAGCTGAATATTTTACATCACAAACTCGAAATAAAAAATAATCAGATTGTTTTGAAGCTGAAAAAAATTATTTAATTATGAAAATTCTATTATTATATTTCATAAATTTCTTTAAAGCTTTATTAAGTTAATTTTATTTTTTGAAATTCCAGTCTATATCCGCTCTCTTTTTACAACTTTTCGAATTAAAACATATTTTTTTTATAATCCTTAAGATTATTAAATATTACTTACTAAATTTATGGCTATTCCTAAAATCCTTACATAATTAATTATGTCTCTTTATAAAACCTTTTCACAATCATGCAAAGCCAGCCCACAGGCTACTCCAGATAACCCAATTTACCACCAAAACCAATCTCCAATAAATTTGACAATCAGCCCATCATCAATAACTCTCCCCAAGCATAAAAAAAATGCGCATTCTACAACCTCCCCATACGAAATTCCACTTTTAATAAAGAAAAACAAGCCTAAAACACGTACAAAAATAAACTCAGATTTCAGTAAAAGTTTTGCATTTTCAAAGCTAAGCAGTTCTTCCCATTCTTTAAATGCAAGTTTTATTATGACTCCAGACCCTTTTCCTAATAATCAAAGAGGGGATTCAACTGATTCTACCTTATCATCTATTGACAAAAATAGAGAAATTTTAGCTTTAGAGTACAGATTATTTGAAAAAATAAATAATAACAGCCCAATTTCCTATGGAAAATTTCAGGCCTATCAAGATGTATGAGATGAGTTACTACTTATTTCAAACCCATTAACCAAAATTTTAGTTAGCATAAAAAAAGGCTATGAGGAATGAATAGAATACCAAGCCAAAGAGCTAAAAATTAAAGCTGATTTATTAAAGTCACACTCAGAAGATTTAGAACAAGAAAAACTTTCAGTTAAATTACTCACAAAAAGGTTTAAAAAACTTGCAAGCGAAAATTTAAATTTAAATACAGCATTAAAAGACAAGGACATTACTATTGAAGAATTAAACGTACAAATTGATATGCTGATGAGGAGCAACAGAAAAATCAAAAGTAAATTAAAAAAAAGTACTGAAAATTTTAAAAAAGAAATGGACAAAAATAGAGAAGAAAGAGACAAAGTTGAGCAGAAAATTAAAGAATTGTCTGAGAACTTGCAGTTTTATAAGAATTTGTTGAAGAGTATGAAACCTGAAACTATATGTGTAGAGGAGGGTTGTGATAATAAAATTTCAAGGAAATTTTCAAGCCAGTCTATGATATCAAATGCCGATTCTTTGAATCGGCCTTTGACAACAAGTTTTTCAATAGAAACATTGAATGATATTGATAGAATGGGTTCTGATTTAATATACAGCCCTACTCTAAACAACAGTCCAGACAGAAAAGATTTTGATACATGTGTTTCGGGCGATACCTCATTCCGAGAGCAAAATCTATGAGAAAATTCTAGATACCAATTTCTCTATAAAAGAGATTAGCAATGTAAACTATTCTTATAATTTAAAATTTAACCAAAAAATTAATAAAAATGCGCAGGTGCTTTTCATTCCTAGCTAATGCACCATGGGTATTCAAAAACTCATCTGCCCCCAGCATACTCAGAGAAATGGACCCAAAATTCAAGCAAGTAGTCGAAGAAAATCTCACTGAAGGCTTTACCTTTGCTTTTAGATCTATATGTGAAGCCTTATCTAATCATGATAAATCTATACTCTCAGAGTGCTTAGAAGGTAGGTTATTTGAAACGGTCAGTTCTCGTATAGATGCCTTGGAAAATTCAGGACACCAGTTCAAGCTTCTTGACACTGAAAATTTTGATTTAAAAGAATATAATTTGTGTATATCCATGGGAGTTGAAATAGAAAGAAAAAACAATAAACCGAAAGAGGATTACGTAAAAATAGCTAGTTTAGAAGAGATTAAACCTATGGCGTCTCTTGGTTCTATTAAAGAAGAAATAGGAAAAGCAGGTCTCCCATGGAGTGACGATTTATGAAAAAATAACATGGACTATATTTGGGTGTACATAAGCCCTTCAGCCCCAGCAAATATAATATTTTCGATAGACGCTGTTTTTTATGGCCAAAACCCTTTAACTTTGATTCATAATTCAAAAGACGTTGTGTATAATGATAACAGAGAAAATGAAATACATGTCTTGAAATTCGAGTCTTGTGCTATAAATAAAGGCTTACAAAAAAATATTCTTTTTACAGGAGGGTTTCAGGGTTTAATTGAGCCTTTGAAAAGATTAGGATCAGAATTACTTAAACAGTCATGGGTTGTAGTTGACATAGACAATATTATGGGAGGAAATCCTTATGTCATCTCAAAAAACAGTAAAAAATTATCATAATTTCTAAAGGTTATCTAAAAATCATTAAATTGTTCTTGATTTTGCATGACCATTCTTAGCCTGTGTTCAGGGACAACTGAATTAATAGCCTCTTCACTTGTAAACTCAGTATCGAAATTTTCTGCGCTTAATACATTGGTGATTCTCGGTGTAAATGGAGTTGGTAATTTTTTCTGAAGTAATAAATCCCAATTAATTGATGCAAAAAAGGCATGATTTTTAATATCATCGAAACTTCTAGCTCCAAGCCTCCTTGTCGGATCTCTATCAAGCAGTCTTGTAATGATATCTTGGGCTGGCTGAGATAAAGGAGTTCTTTGAGGGAATCTTAGATCCCCATGCTGGATAAGTTCGTACATTAACTGGACGTTTTGGTTATAAAAAGGTGGGATCCCGACCATCATTTCATAAAGTAATACACCAAAACTCCACCAATCTGCTGTTCCATTGTGTCCTTGGCAAGCAATTACTTCTGGGGCTAAATATTCAGGAGTTCCCACAAAGCTCTGAGTTGATCCTCCTTCAGGTAAAAATTTCGCCATACCAAAATCAGTTAAATAGACATTTCCAAACTCATCCATAATTATATTTTCTGGCTTTAAATCTCTATACACTATATTCTGCTCATGTAAATGAGCTAGCCCTAACCCGATTTGGGCGCCATAAAATCTTGCGCGGTCTTCACTGAATTTTCTGGCTTCTTTTAGATGGAAAAATAGTTCTCCTCCTTTCATAAATTCCATCACAAAATAAATCTTCGCAGGGTTTGTAAACGCGTATTCTAGCCTGACTAAAAACGGGTGATTAATATGCTCTAAAATTAATTTTTCTGTCCTTGTATGTTCAACTTGTTCTCTTTCTAATAAAGCATCTTTTCTTAAGCTTTTCATGGCATATAATTTTTGGTTATCTTTTTTCTGCACAAGCATCACTTTTCCAAAACTTCCTCTGCCAAGGACTTTTAAAATCGTAAAATCATCAAGCGTCACACTTGTAGAGTTATCCTGTGCCGCAAAAATCGTCCTGCTTCTTTTTCCTCTCGTATCTTTGCTTTCTTCTTGCCCAATATTATTATTTCTAAAATTCACCGCATTTTCAGGTGCAGGGATTCTGCTGACTCCTTTTTTCTTGTCATTTTTTGTAGTAGTCAGATCTTTCAAGTTAATTTCATTTGTTTCCCACAGGTAAAGCGTCCTTCCTGTTATGTCCCTAAAAGCTTTGGACATGGTTTGTATGGCTTGGTCTTTTAGAGGTGAAGAAAAGCGATAGTCGTATTCTGTTGCACAATGCAGGATAAATTCGTCACCATTTCGGCTGCGAGTGATGCCGCTGAGGATTTCGTACTCCATTCGTCGTTGGAGCTTTTTGCCTTTTAAGTTTAAGATTCCAGCAGTTGTTAATGCTATTGTTCGCTCTTGGGCTTTGTTTCGCTTGTTGAATTTTATGACTTTGAAGCTCATTAGTAAGGTTTCGCCTGGCGAAATGTGCTTGGTGAAAGCTTTGTCGCCGCCTAAGGACATGTAGTCGTGTGACTCCATTAGAAATAATAAGAATTATTACCACTTATTAAGAATAATAAAATCAGTTTCAGTAATGATATGAATAGATATTTATGATAATTTATGATAATTTATAAGGATTTTTTCAGTCATTTTTTGTGCAAAGATAATGATCTTAGAATTATGGTAATTATAAAAATTAATTTAAATTTATTCCAATAATAAATGGCCTAGCTTCCAAAATTAAGGATATAGAGATATATAAAATTAAATAAAGGCAATATTAATTAAAATTTTTACTGTTAATCATAACTTTTTTGTGATACAACTTTTACTGTATCTTTTACATGAATTTTTCCGTTATTAAGCTCTTGTGCTAAAATACCAAAATAAGCTCGCAGCCTCATGCTATGAATTCTTCTCAATGTATTTAAAGGGTCATTGTGTTTATTAAAATCAAGTGTTCGTGGGTTAATAATACAAGCTTTTCCGACCTCACACATTTTCAATGTCCTAAGCTTGATCTCTCCTATTTTAAACTCGATTCACAAGTCTTCTTCAAACTCCAATACATTTTTCACAATAATGTTTGGTCTGAATCCCATAAGGCTCACATCGTCTTCTCTAAACCCCGGAATTTCATTTAAAATTGCTTTAAAACTTGCTTCACCTACAATTAATGCATTATCTTCTGCTAAATATAAAGCGTGTTTATCAAAATTTTCTTCAGTGTTTTTCTCATCGTCCCCAGTTTTCCATTTTTCACAGATTTTCATCAACCTGTAATCTCTTTCAAAAACCATTTCCAGTCACCTATTAGCTTCCTCCCCTGCTTCTATTCCTTTTCCTTTGATATTAAACCCTTCAAAATCAAATTCTTTGCTATGATTGCAATGAAAATTTACTTTTAAATCAGGAAATCCTGCATAAGTTAATGTAATATTTGTGGGTTCTCCATCTAAGCCAAATTCAAACCTTGGCTGGAGTTTTATAAGCCGAGGATCATCTAGTTGGTCAATTATTGTTTTTTTTGGAGAAATTATAGCTCATTCCCCGTCTCTTTTCAGACCATTTTCCACAAACTCAGCTTCAAACAGATGTATGCCGGCACAGTGTCGTATTGGGTAATAAATGATATCAGCTACTTTTATTCCTTTAACTGGTTCTTCGTTGAAATAATAGATAATCAGTCCAACCACAATTATAGATAGATAGAAGAATATTTCCATTGTTTATCGCGTTATGGAGATTCGTCACATTTTATTCGTAAATTTAATATATTAAGAGGATTAGCTTTATATTGAGCATTGTCGTTGTAAAAACCCTTCCCAAGTGTTCAGACTTTTGATATCGTAGAATTTAAAGAGCTTGGTAGAATTCGTTAGAACTACTTCTAAGAGAAGATTTTCATAGTCTTTTATCTTGCAAGATACAATCTCGTCACTTATTGTTTTGTCGTCGCCTTCAGCTCGCCAGATTATGTGCTTTTTCTTGAGGTCAAACCAAATGTTAAAGGCGAAAAATCTGTTGCTGCCTTTTTTCAGCTGCATTTGGACTTTGGTTTTCCAGGCGGTTTTGATAGGAGATTTAGATCGTTGGGATTGAGAAGGAGGGTCTGGGCTTGGAGGCCTCAGTTTTGTTTTTTTTGAACTGTCTATCATAGCTAACTGCTTAGTTTTAGCTCTCCTAATTAGTAAAAGATAGCTGTCTACTATGCTGTCGATTTCTTTCTTTTGGTCGTCTGTTGCAGCTTGGATTATTCATTTGAAACTGCTTAATAAGGATATAAGAATTGGATAAAATAGAAAATTCAAGCAAGAATATAAAGCATATTGGGTTTTATCAATAATAGTTTCAATCCGATCGATATGATTTTGAAATTTAAATAAAATTTTGATCGCTATTGATTTTTCTATTAGCAGAATTGAGATTAGAATGCTTTTTCATAGATAAAACCAAGGAATTCAGCTTTCAAAGAAGTAATCTAAAAGGTCTTTGTAGTAAAGTAGGCATGTGCAAGCCACCCATTCCAAAAGGACTTTTTTGCGGATATGGAGAAGGTCTTCACCTGCAGCTTTGAGGGCTTTAAATGATAAATACCCAAATCTCGCATAAATTATGTAACTAACTCCCCCCCCCCCCCCTCCGTGAGCGAACAAAACCATTAGAAAAATCGCCATTTTTTGACCAAAAAACCCACCCTCCGTGAGTGAACAAAAATTTTTTTAATAGAAAAAATTTTAATGGAAAAAAATTTTGATATATAAGTGATAATTAGTATAATGAAATCTAGAGCTAATTCTGTTTAATTTTAAACAAATTGCGTTTAAAACATAAATTTTGCAAATTAAATTAATATTTGCTTCCCAATTTTTGCAAATTAGGATTTTTTTAAAAATTCGAAAAAAATATTTTTTTATAAAATTTATATATAAATTTTTTTTAAAAAAAAAAAAATTAACCCCTCCGTGAGCGAACAAATTTTTTTGTTCGCTCACGGAGGGGGGGGGGGGAGTAAGTAAAAATTACATGATAATCTCGGAATAGATGAGTACCATCTTAGATATAATTTAATGTGGAATTGAAATCAATTTAAACGAAGCCCTTATTTAGACTTATAATTTTTTGCGTATTTTTTAGCTTCTAGTGTATTTTTATTAGTCATCTATTGACTAAAAATAAAAATTTCTAAAACTGTTATTTATTGTTTTATTGATTTTGTTCAAAGCTTTTATATTATGTGATTAAAGGAAGATATGCTATTCTTAAGAGTTAATTTTTTATAATTTATATTTCAATGCTATGCTTACTATGGTGAGGTCTAATAATAGTTAATTGCTCTTCAATACAATACTTATGGAAATTAACTAGCCTATTGCTATATTCTAGGTTCAGAAATTCTAAATATTTAATTATATTTAGCTATTTATTTATTTAAAGTCTAATTAAAATAATGCATTTTTTTAATAAATTAATAGTTCTTATTTATGTTCTGCCATCTTTTTAATTTTTCGTTTATCAAACAAATGACATATTAATCAACAATATCAGATCATTAGGTATAAAATGTACATATATTTGATAGTTATGCATTTAGAATAATTTTGTCTAATTATTATTGGCTTTTAATAAATTAGCTTAAATTAATGAAGTGTGCTTATTTTTAAAATAATAATTTATTTAATTTAACAAATGTGGCCATCTCCACAAAGCTCAAAATGTCAAGCCTTTTCACCTAACTTCCCACCCCGTGAGCGAATAAAAAAAATCTTGTTCGCTCACGGAGGGGGGTTAATTTTTTTTTTTAAAGAATTTATATATAAATTTTAAAGAAATAAAATTTTTTCGAAATTTAAAAAAATCCCACTTTTCGAAAATTGAAAAGTAAATATTAATTTAATTTATAAAATTTATGTTTTAAAACGCAATTTGTTTAAAATTAAACAGAATTAACTCGAAATTTAATGATACTAGTTATCACTTATATATCAAATTTTTTCCTAACTCCCCCCCCCCCCCTCCGTGAGCGAACACAAAACCATTAGAAAAATCGCCATTTTTTGACCAAAAACCCACCCTCCGTGAGTGAACAAAAATTTTTTTAATAGAAAAAAATTTTAATGGAAAAAAATTTTGATATATAAGTGATAATTAGTATAATGAAATCTAGAGCTAATTCTGTTTAATTTTAAACAAATTGCGTTTTAAAACATAAATTTTGCAAATTAAATTAATATTTGCTTCCCAATTTTTGCAAATTAGGATTTTTTTAAATTTCGAAAAAAATATTTTTTATAAAATTTATATATAAATTTTTTTTAAAAAAAAAAATTAACCCCCTCCGTGAGCGAACAAAATTTTTTTGTTCGCTCACGGGGGGGGGGGGGAGTAAAAAAATTTTTGTTCGCCAAGAGAGGGTGGGATTTTGGGCAAAAAAATAGGGATTTTCTAATGGTTTTGTTCGCTCACGGAAGGGGGGAGTAAGATAAATTCTCGGCTTGTAGCGAGGCGTGAAACATCTTTATATACAGCTGATTCCTTTACAAAATCAAGAATTCATTCACGAGATTTATCTGAATTTTCAAATTCATTTGATATGACTTATTCAAATACTTCACATACCCCAACAAGTCGGCAAAACTACGATTTAATGTACCTGAAAGAATACAAACAAATTGAAGGAGAATTAGATAAAGACGAAATTGATATGAAAACTTACAATTTCTCTGATAAATATGACTATGAAAATGCAGCTAAAGAATTTAATGCTTATTTTCGCTTTTTAGAAAATCTTGGGTACTTAACAAAGAAAAAAGACCAGAGATTAAGTGCTAGTCTATTTAGAGGCTTATTAGGGGTCGAAAAAACATTTAAAAAATTAATTAGCCAAGAAAGCACACATATAAAGCCAGCTGTAATTGAGCCAAAGAAAAAGATAAAGTTAAAAGAAATCTCGACGCAGACTCAGGAAATAATAATAGATGATACTATTGCGATGACTGAAGAAGAATTGGAAACTTTGAAAAAATTAAGAATGAAGCTTGAAAAAATTAAATTTTCCAAAATAAGTCTTAGACTTTGTGATTTATATGACTCTCTTATAAAAATAAACACAGAAATCCCTGAACTATCATTTGAGCCTGAAACTGTTGAATTTGAGAGCTTAAATATCATAAGAGATTTAGAAACCAACGTCAAACAGTTCCAATCAGGAATTAAAAATCGGCTTTCTCAGTTATGAGCAAAAAAAGTCTTTGACATAGAGTGTCAAACTGAATTTATTGAGCAGACTTCTCAAGCAATTATTCCTGACAATAAATATGAAGACCTAGAAATTCAAATCGGGCATCTTCGACAAAGATATGATAGGGTTGTTCATGATAAATCTAAACTTGAAGAAGAATTTCATAGGAACAATTTAATCTGCCAAGACATTGCTAAACGTTATAATGATTTAGAAAAAGAAAGCTTCACCTATGAAGAGAAAAAAAAATATTTAGAAGACGCAATAAAATTATTAACTCCCTCCCTCCGTGAGTGAACAAAACCATTAGAAAAATCGCTATTTTTTCTCAAAAACCCACCCTCCGTGAGTGAACAAAAATTTTTTTATGGAAAAAAATTTTGATATATAAATGATAGTTGGTATAATGAAATCTAGAGCTGATTTTGTTTTATTTTAAACGAATTGCTTTTTAAAGCATAAATTTTATAAATTAAATTAATATTTGCTTTCATTTTTTTTGCGAATTAGGATTTTTTTAAATTTCGAAGAAAAAAAAATTTTTATAAAATTTATATATAAATTTTTTTAAAAAAAAATTAACCCCCCTCCGTGAGTGAACAAAATTTTTTTGTTCACTCACGGAGGGGGGGGGAGTAAGGCAAAAAATTACAGACCTCTCAGAAAATTTAAATAGAAAAAGAAAGAAAAAAATTATCATTAAGAAAAAAATAGAGGACCTTAATGTAATTTTGACTGGAAAAAGGACGAGGCTTAATCATCTGCTTAATGATATTTACCAAATTAAAATCCATTGGAGAGTTTCTCAAGAAAAGTTACACCAAATTATGGAAGCGTGAGAAAAAACGACTGGGGTACCATTTGATTTTAATGTAAATATAGATCAAATTATTGAGAAGTACAATATAAAGAAAAGTGACTCAGAAGCAAGTATCCACTTGTCAGATGACGATGAGGTAGAAAAAATAGGCCCACAAAAAGAAGTAAAATCCATTAAAAAAAATAAAAAAATATCATCACCTGAGTCTTCTGGATTATCTCAAGAAGAAAGTATCAGCAGTGAAGAAAACAAAAATTCTGCTGAAATCCCTGAGAAAATTGGAAAATCTCGTCGAATACAAAGGAGAACCAGAAAATTCGCCCAAACTCAGCCTGAAAAATTAGCTTCTCGGCAAAACACAAATGAGTCAACCAGACATTCTGAAGAAAAAAAAATAATAAAAAAGCCATCAAAAATATTTTCAACACCAACTTCAAAAGAAGGAAATTTAAATGCAGATTCTAACAAATTAGCTACACCCCATCATGAAAATAATTTAAATACTAGCAAATTATTATCTAAAAGAATTATAAGAGAAGAAAGTGCAGAAATTTGCCAAAATACTCCAAGCACTTTTGAAAATACTAATAGCCGGCTCATAGAAAGCCCTGAAGATTTATTTATTTCTTCTTTAAATGAAAATCAGCTTCAATTATATTTAAAGTTAAAAGAGCAATTAGAAAATGACGCTTTGTATAAAAAACAACAGAAGTTATTGCATAATTCAAAATGGACTCAATATATATTGTGCTGAATTAAGCATATTAATTTAGCTGTAGCCATTTTATTAATAAATTTAAAAATAAGGTATCTTATTATTACTATAGAACAGTGATGATCTGCAGCTTAATTAAATGCATCATACCTGCGAATTTACAACTTTATACACCCCAAGAAGCCGCTCCAAAAGTCGCTCTATTTCACGACCCAAGAGGCCTTATACAAGAGCTGAAGGTGACACCTTGTTTGTCGGAAACCCCAAAGTACTTATCCATAAACCTGCCATTCTAGATAACTTCAATATAGAATACCAAGGAAACTTAGACCCAGCAAAAGCTAAAAAATTAAGAGGGATAGGCATGCTTATCAGCATATTTAAAGGTGACCCAGATTTTGAATTTTTATCACCTAATATTAAGAAAGAGATGATTAAATGCTTAGATGGACACGATGATAAAAGGTGTAGTGAAGAGTGCATTCATTTAAAAAGAGTTTTACAAGTAAGGGCAAGGTCACGAGGAGTCCCTTATCCGATAAAAACTTCATCAATTGATGCTGATTTATAATAGTACCTATAGGTATAATACATTTAAATTTAATAATTGCGAAATATAAAAAACTGCAGAATAAGGTAGGAGCTACTTAGATATTGGTTATTAGAGAATGCTAAGCGTAATCAGATATCATTTATTTCCTATGCAGCCATATATAAAACTTATGATATGAGCTTATATCAATAAAAATAAGGCAAATATTTTAATTTATCTAAGAAGTACTTTTATATTTGTTCAGATTTGCTTAGCCCTATTAACTTTTTATGATTTTTCAAAAACTGTATCAATCCAAATTATTATGCAGAATTATTTTTTATCGTAATATTTTAAGTATCATGTCTTATGAGCTTATCCTTACTATTATACTAGTTAGCTAAAAATTAAGATATAACACCTAAATTTAGGAGAAATTAAATAAATATGAAAATTTAAGGAAGCACAGGCAGTAATAAACAGAATTAACGAAATTTATAAATAATTCATTATATATCTTGCATATACTCATCACGAAGCCTGGCAGGAAGTGAAATAAAATCTGGGAAATATTTGCTGTTTTTTGCGCATATTCCTTTGCTCAATTCATTCATATAACTTTCTAACCCAACTTTTCTTTCCTCAATGTCTTCAGAACTAACTTTACGAAACAAAGTCTTAAACAGCATTTGGCCAGGGAAATGAGGAAGTGGCTGGTTGATAGAAATTCTAATTAATTTCATCACCCTATGAAGTTCTAAGAACTCTGAATAGCGTTTTTCAAGGACAACTTGCCAATCCTTATACTTAACCTCAAATTGGTATATGAAATGCTTATCGGATTTGTCACTTGCTTCTCTTATGGATAGGAATTTGAATTCCATTGGTTTTTTTAATATTTTATAATAATCATGCAATTTTCACCTCGGAATTTATTGATAAATATTACGATAACTAAGGAAGCAAAGAATTAAAATTTTTTGGGCATTTAAGATAAAATTCCAATTTATACATGAATCTTAAAAACTTATGAAAAAATAAAGTAATTTTTACAAAACTGTTTTATAAAGAAGAGCCATTTTTACTAAGCCCACTTCTGGAAACAAAAAGCATTACGTCACCAGAATATAATGAAAGAGTTTAAAAAAAGTACTAATAAATTAAAGCACAAGTGTCCATCCTCATTCAAAATATCTTATAGTGCCTTGAAATTCCACACGTGGACTGCCCTCTCATCAAAATTTTAAATAATAAGCATTTTTTAATAAAAATGTTCAATTTTTGCTTATTAATTCTATCAAAAAATTATTATCAGCTAAAATATATCAGGCAAATCAGAAAAATCTCCTATCTCTTTAGCTTCCCAGTAGCCACCTTTATAAACCCATTCATCATCTTGATACACAAACCACCTTGGCTTATACTCAATCCCTCTATCTTCTCTTCTCTTTCTTGCATCTCTTTGCTTTTCTTCTAACCTCCACTTTTCACTTGCAGCTAATTTTAGATTTCCATTTTCCAATGCTCGTTGATCAGGCCTTTTTCTTACATCAGTTGGCGGTAAATTATTAAAATGCTCAGGCAATATATTTAACTGTAAAGCAAAATCAGAAAAATAATAGCTCATTTCATGATTGTCTGGATATGGGGCCATTTCGAATCCCTTTATGATTTTTCCTGTCGAATTTTCTTTGATGTTTACTTCCTCATTCCATTTTCCTTCTAAAGAATATTTTTCAACTCCATAATTATCATAGACCCCTCCTTCAATCTCATAATTGACTTTTTCAAACATCCCTCGTTTTTTATATACAACAGTCGCCCTATCTCCTGTAGAAAAATTGGACATTTCTATGGTCCCTGACAAATCAATATAAATTTTTCCCATAATGAAATTATATATATTTGTGTTTGGCTTGTGGAAAATAAAATGGTCGTTGAATTCTTTTAAAATTAAATGGAAAGCGCCGACAAGGTTTGCCTGAATATAAGTGCCTTTAAAGCGGGTTTTTACTTCGGTGTTTCCTCAGTATATATATTTAGGATGTTCTGTGTGCATTGCTGCAATAGGTGGATGATGGCTTACTTGTTCAGAAAGACAGCGAAAGCCTTTGGTTTCTAATTCAAAAGTTTCCCCTAACAGAGGGTTAAATGGCTTCATTGTCCGATTAATACACATAGAAAATTGACTTATAGCAAAACACGCTACAAGAGCAAGGCGCAGCTGAGGATCTTTTTCTTCACAAGCCCTTTCTATAATTTCAGAATAAGTCATATCTTCAGTAACTCTTTGAATAAAGCTTAAAGGCTCGTTAAAATAAACCGGGACAGTAATTTTATAAAATTCTTTTCCAATTGAATCTTTTACAACTTTCCAAATATTCATCCTTTGGTTCGGGTTTCTTAGGACTGGCAATGATTTTCTATGAGGAATTATTTTTAAATTATTTTTTTCAGAATCATCAGAATAATGACTTTTGGCGTCCTCAAATTCGATTTCTTCAATCTCTTTGCATTCTTCTTCATATATTACTTTTTGTAAACCTACAGGCTTTTCTAGCTCAAAAATAGGCTCAGAATAATTCATATCCAAGCTCTGCCTTGGAAGAAACTTTTCTTCGTCAATAACTGTGCTATTTATACTAAGCCTCGGCTTATGTTCTTCTTCATCAATCATAGCAAGAGCTTCCGAAGCTACTTTTTTGATTGCATTAGATAATGATAAAACTGAGTCTAAACCTGGGATACTTTGTATGACTAATGGAGGAATCATGTCAACTGCTTCCTGCATTTGTGCATGAATCCCTCATATTTCACTTAATTTTAAGGCTAAGGAGTGAGTGAAAGCAGAATTGTCAGGGAGAATTGGGCTTCTTGGAGATAAATTTGACAGAGATGGCGGCAATGATAGGTGGATGTGGGCGTCCCGTTGGGCTTGTTTTAAAGCTTGGATTCATTGAGAAGCTTCTTTTGGAGAAGAAGCTTTAAGGTAATAAGAAATTGTGTCCCCTTCTATAGAAAATCTTTTGGGATCAGCTGGGTGCTTAACGATCTGTGAGCTTAATAGTCTCATTTCTCCTTTCTTTTTGGAGTCTTTATTTTTAGAATAGCTTATAAGCCCATTTTTCACAGAGAAATATCTTCTTTTCCACCCATAAACATAATTAGTCCATTTCATCAAAAACCCTTCCATTATATTTGCTCCAATAAACGTGAGAAAGCAATTTTTGTGATTTTTGTTTATTTAATATTATTTTCTATACATAAAATGGCAGAGAAGAGTGACTTTCACCTTAGTGGCAGAGGTCCTTATGTATACCAGACATGGTTTTTGAGCTGTATTTATGGCTCTGCTATAGTAAGTAACCTCAATGAGGCAGGGGAAAGACTGAACGCCCCTGTTTTTGGTCCTGACTCCCTGGGCAGTTAAATACATCTCTCTTTTTTCCAGTAGAGCAGCATAGTAGGTGTCCGATGTGAGGCAGGGTAACATGCTTGCTTTGGTTGGCAAAAGTTGTTGAGATCTTTCTCGGGATGACCGGAAAAGAGGGGAGGCAAGCTAGACAGTCAAATGGAAGTCAAAAAAGGTCATAGGAAGGCGTAAGGTTGGTGTAAACTTGGGCGACATATTGGATTGTAAATGGAGGGGCTAAGCTAAACCAGTAAATGGCCTTAGGCCTTCTCCTCTACTGGTAACCAGAAGTTTCTGCTGGGGCTCAATGCGGGCATGCTCTGCTACCCCATAGTATATCACTGTGAAGCCGCAGCTGACGAAGTGGTACTTACAAGACTTTACTAAATCTAATCTAATCTAATCTAATATCATTTTCTGCAAGAAGTTAAGCATCTTTCTAATGAAAATTCATCAGGTGCTATAATCAACTAATTTAAATATATAATTCGATTGAGTTAAATAAGTAATAAAGTTTGAATTATATCAAATTTATATAAAACTTAAGAAAACAAGCAAAACAGCTTAAAAATACTGCAATTTTTAATATAAAAAGCCTATCTGATACTTAGCAGGCTTGATATTTGTTAAAATTTGGTAATTTTTACTACTAAGAATTGATTGTGAGCTGGAATTCAATTATACTAATTGCCAGAGAATGGCGCTATTTGCGCCATTCTCTGGCAATACGAAAAATCGGCTCCACACGGGAACGATTTTCCACGTGTGGAGCGATTTTTTCATACGTGGAAGTCGTTCCCGTGTGGAGCCGATTTTCGGTTGCCCTAGGATGGCGCTATTTGCGCCATCCTCGGGCAATTTCTATATCTAATTTAGACAGCAAAAATCCAAGAGAAATAATTGGCATAAGAGTTTTACCACTTATGGTTTATCAGCTTAAACGCCACCAAATGATTTAAAATTTTAGATGCTTGGCAATTAATTTAATTTTTCATTGAAATAGTATGTGTGTTGCGGACTTTGACTAAAGAGAACAGTCTCTATAGGGAGATTTGCTACATTTTATATCTCCTTCTTTTGACCCTCATAAGGACTGCCTTACCAGGAACACAAGAAGGATAAACTTTGATCCCATATTTATTTATGATCACTCATAAAAGTCATATAATAACATAAAATAAATAGAAAAAACTTTATATTTCTCTACTGATATTCTCTATTTTATAAAAATGTTTCTATTTATTATAAATAGGCACATTTAAGATTAAAATTAGCAATTTTATTAAACGTTTTTAAGCTTATTTGGCTTTTAACGATTGAACTTTAAAATATAAATTTTTACGCAATTAATATATTTATTGCAAAATAGGAAATTTATTTTTGGGTCATTAATTTTTAAGCTCCTGATTTACCAATCAGATCGTAAAATATTCGTATTGAATAATTGAACTCTATTTCATATTTCTTATGAATCTCTAGATAAAATTATAATAAATTATTTATTATAAAAATTTTTCTTTCTATTTATATATTTGCATTATTAAATATTTAGCTTATATTGCACATACTTATTAAAATCTCTTCAGATGTCTTTAAAAAAGACTATTTATTGTTTATTCAATATAACTTATCCCTAAAATGATATGATTACAAACTATTATTTTCAAAATAGTTTATATTAAATTATTTAATAACTTTGACCACTAATCAATTAGAAAGTAAATAATCTCAGAGCTGCTTTTGGGTCTATTTAGAAAAACTCTTCTATTTTTTTGTTGACATAATGAAATTAGTAAGAGGATAATATTTTCAGCCATGGTTATTTGCAAGCTCACAAAATGCCTTTTTGAACAAACTATAGAGTGCTGTGGTCAAGGGTGATGCAAGCGGCATTATATAGAACACTCTTCAGTAGACCTACAAAGTCATAAAGGCAAAAAACTTTATCATGCAGTTAATGTAGAATCTAAAAATGAAATATTAAACTGGCTTTACGAAGTAAAACGCAAATTATTAGGATTGCTAACAAAAATTACAATTAAATGAATCAAAAAATTTAAGAAAGGCTATCCAGGCTATTTTCTTATCAAAAAAATCAGAGATGTTATGATGAGCTGTAGAGAAATAGAATTAAAGGTCATATATACTTTTGAAGTTCCTAAAAAAATTTGCTACAATCCTATTGAGTATTTTTTGACTCAGCCTTTAGATAAGACGAAAATTTATTTAAAGCATCTAAATCTTGACTTTTCTGATGTAGAGCATTTGGAAAAAGTTCAAAATCACCTTTACAACTATAATTATTTAGCTGATGTAGAGGATTTCCATGGTGGAGAAATTATAAATGAAGACCAACTTCTAACAGAGCTTTTTAATCTTGCTGGAAGCTTACTTTATGACGATGAATATTATCAAGCTAAATGCTTATATAAGGAATGCAGAAGAATTTTTGAGAAAATTAAATACCATAAAAAAATTGACTTATTTTTTATTGATTATTACATATTTATGATTAATCACAAAATAAAGGACTACCCAATTAATTCTCAACCTGTCCCAAGACCAGAGAATTTTATTAGTCCATACTTTGTGGAATTTTTGGAATTTATTTCATGCATATATTTAGATTGAAATGAAAAATATGAGCCAAGAAGGTTTCTTAGAAATACAAAATCAATTTCTAAAGAAGCTTTTCGCAAAGATAATGATAATTATGATGAGTATGGTTATATTAATTGGATGGCATTTTGAAAAGGAATAATGTATCTCTATAGGACTAGTTTAAAGAAAGCACTTAAATTCCTAGAATCAAGCGAAATTTATTTTCAAAATACTGGCCAATTATCATATTTAGCTCTTTCTGAGTATCTATTAGGATATTTGTACATAATAAAAATAAAAGCTGGAAAAGGCAAGCCTTATTTAAAAAAAAGCAAGAAAATATGTAAAGACCTAGGAATTTGATCTCTACTGGATAAAATTTATTTTATTCTTGGGTATTTTTCTATATTTGAATGCCTATTTGACATTGCAGAAAAATATTTGAAAAAGGGCAAACTGATATCAAAAGGATCTGGAAAGCATTACGATATTGCTCTCTTAAAGCTCGATATTTTAAAAGGTAATTTGGTAAGTCCATTTGCTTATGTAGAAAAAATTAAAGGAGGTTTCATTATTTTTCCTATTCAAAATCGATTGCTAGCGTGACTTTTTGCGGAAATTGGAAGCATATACTTTTTGCTGGGGTCTTTCAATCAGGCTGAGATATATTTTGATAAAGTCAAAATCACAACACTAAAATCATCTGATGTGCCTAACTTCATAAATATTGCATTGATACTGATGATATATTATTCATACAATTTTAAACAAAAAAAAGTTGAACTTGAAGAACTCCTAAACATATTTAAAAAACAAACTGCCCATTTTTTACACAGATTTGAATTTTATTATTTTTTGTTCGAAGTAATATTAAGAGCTATTTTTAAGATAAAATTTGAAAAAAATGATAAAAAATTCAAAGAGCTCACTGAGAAGATAATAGTTAAGGAATTGAAAAAAAGCGAATATATTTACCACAAAATTATTAGAATTCTCTTATCACTTTTAAATATCAATGGATGGGATAGTATAGCAGAAAAAATTATTGATTACGCAATTTATAAATTCGCTTATTCTGCAAAAAGTCCTATTTGCGCCTATATCTTTAATGCAAAGTCTAATTGGGAACGAGATCATGGAAATCATGAGTCTGCAAGAGCATATTTGATAAAGTCTAAGAAAATGCTAGGACGTTCTATGTCACAAAAGAATAATCAAGTAAAAATGATTGAAAGGCAGTTAATTGAAGTTGAGGAAGAAATTGCAATGAAAAACAGCGAGAAATAAAACTATTTTTAAATAAATAATTTACCTAATTCAAGTAGATTTATATTTATTTAATAGATGTTCCATAATAGTTTGATAATTATTTTAGCCATATGAGATTTAAAATCTTTTATTTTCAAAATAATTTAAATTGTGTTGGTGAGTATATAATTTATTGAATATATCGATCAACCTCAGCTCACTATGATTGCTAATGAGCTAAAAACTCAGGCACTTAATTCTTACCTCAAGTGTCAGCAACAATTTTTCAATTCAGATTTGAAATTATTGGCTAAACATTCTCAATTTTATAATATTTTGTTAATGTATTAATAATTGAGCTTAAAAAGATCAATTATTTTTCAAAAGGACTTATCATATACAGTTGAGCAGCCACAAGGGGCTAATCTGTAATATTGTTATGTATACATTGAAATTTAGCATGAAGATTAAAATTAAACTAGTTTCATGTCAAATTTTCATCAAATTAATTTTTTTTTTGGCGGATGGCCTTCCTTGACAGTATTTCCTTTGATTAAGTTTTTCTCAGCCTTTCAGCCTCTATTTTATAAAATTTCGAGAATTTGGAGTAAATAGGTTATGAGCTTGATGCCCACTCTTATATTATAGTTTCAAATATGAATTGTTCCCATTTAATATTGACACCAACCATGCCTTCAATATCAGAAATAGTAGTATAGGGTAAATAGTCATCATTTCAAAATTTCCATCAGAAAGACATGAACTCATTATTTTTAGGGCCAGAAATCAAAATTAGGAATATAATTTTCATGCAACCTTAAAATCTGTTTCCTTCTCAATTGTGAAATAAGCCTAATCAAGGTTTCAAAATCTGTTTTATATCTTTTTTTAAAAATTTTTAAATAATTATTTATTTAAAACAATAATACCTAGATCAATGTCTATTAAATGGTAGATTTTACGAATCAAAATTCTAGCGCATTTACTCTGTTCTAATTTAAGCTGCCATTTTTATCTCTAACCTTAGTAACTTCACCATTTCCTATGCATGCATTTGGGCTTTTTTAGTGATGCTAAATAAATTTTAAGAGCTTCATAGTGATAGGCTTTTAGGAGTTATTATGGCAATCTTATAGTATTTTATATGGAGTTATGTGCAAAAATATTTTAAATTTATTTCTATTTTCTATTGCTAGTTAGCTTTTAGTAGAGTATATATATTTTTCAACCATGGATTTATGCAGTTTCAATTTCGGAAAATGCCTTTTTGAGGCAGGCATAAAATCTCAGTGGCAAGTAGCCCATATCCCATAGTGGTTCTCCTGTTTATATGAGGGCGTGTTTATTTAGTGCTGATAGCTGTTCAAAGATTTGATTAGCCTAGATTACTTAGTGCCTTGCCTAGAATGGCATCTTTTTGGAACTAATCCAGGAGAAAAGGGGAAGATAAGGTTTGCCGAAGATCTCAAGGGATGAAGTTTCTCCGGCTTAAAGTAATCCTGCTAAAGGGGCAATGGCTATGAACTAAGCATAATTAATATGGTTTCTCGGCCATGCAGCCTAGAGCAAATATTTAATTATTTCTTAAAAATAAAGATATAAAAATCTGAGAAAATTTAAATGTTATATACAAAGGAAAGCACTCCTGGAGGAAATCTTTCTAAATATTTGAAACGAGGAAAATTACTAGCAAAAGGACAAGGGAGGCATTATTCCGTTGCTATCCTTAAGTCTATATTCTTAAAGGTGATTTGCCAAGAGCTGAAAAATATTTTGAAAAAATTAAAGCAAATTTTAATACTGTTTTTCCAATGCAAAATTGGTTAACGTCCTGACTGTATACAGAAGCTGGGTGCTTATACTTTTTTTTTGGGAAATCAGAAATTGCTGAATACTATTTTAATCTCGTGACTATAAGACGATCTGATGTAATTTGAATTTTAAATGCATTTTATATCGGTTTTTTCTTTTATGTATATAAATTGAAACGCGAAAAAGCTGAAGAGGTCTTGGAATCTTTTAAGAAGAAATATGCTCATTTTTCACATGAAGCTAAATTTCATCTTTATATGGCAGAAATAGGCTATAAGGTCATTTTTAATATAAAATATGAACAAAATGACAAAGAATTTGAAGAACTCGGAAATAAACTGAAAAATAAAAAATGAAGTGATGATACATTCTTTATGGGTCATATGGGCGCAGTGTTCAGATCTTTTTGGAGCGAAGGCCAAAGCTGAAATAATATAGCAGAAATAATATTTAATTGAGCAATAGGAGGAATGATTGGGAAAAGTCCATTGTTTGCTTATACTTATATTGCGAAATCTAATTGGGAGCGAAGTCTTGGGAATCATGAAGTATCGAGAGAATATTTGGTAAAGTCTTTGGGAATGTTAAAATCTGTTATGTCGCAAAAGAATGATCAAGTAAAAATGATTGAAAACCAATTAATTGAGGTTGAGAAAGAAATTGTAAAGAAAAATAATGAAAAATAAGAGTCTTTTAATAAATGAATGAATAAAATTAAAACGAAGATAATTAAAACACTAAGAGAGGGAGAATTATTGATTGCTTATTGCCAATTATCGCACAAGTAATCTATTTAAGGCTTCTTTTCTTTTCTTGGTTTCCATATTCTGAATAAATTTCTTTTAAGGATCTTTTTCTCTTCAGTTTTTTCTTCCTACTTTACCAAATTTAGATGCTAAATTGAATTTCTGCTTAGCTATAATAAAAACCCATTTATAGCAAAGTTTTGAAAAATCATGAAATGTCAAGAAATTTTTTGGGTATGAATTTAGAACTGCTAGAATCTGTTATGTCTCAAAAAATATTAAGCAAAAATGATTTAGAAATACTTAACCAGGAGCTATTTAGATATTGCAATGAAATAAATAAATTATTAATTTAAAACTAATTAATAAAAACTGAAAGTAAAGATCTAAATAATAAAAAATGTAATTATATAATGGAATAAATAATTTGTCTATACATAATTAAATATATAAAATCTATTATTTTTTTATTAGTAGTGGCTGTAACTTGCACATAGTTTTAGCAGTTTATCTATCTTCAACATAAATTTCCGACGAAGTCTTTATAATTAGAAATGGAACCTAGGCCGCAGGCAGGAGGCCATGAAGGCATATTAATATTCAGGCGTGATAAAGTATTAAAGAGAGCTCTCCCCTGTGAGCTTAATTTCTATACAAACTTGTTTAACCCAAATAATCAAATTCCTATTTTGCTAGAATTTCAAAAATTTGTTCCAAAATTTTACGGATCCCAACTAATAGATGGGAGTAATTACATAGTTTTAGAAAATTTATTATGAGAATATGAGAATCCTTCAATAATGGACTGCAAAATCGGAAGAGTTACGTGAACTCGAGATCATTCACCACCAAGATGTGTAACTCAGCAATTACGAGCCTCAAAAACAACCACATCAAGTTTAGGTTTTATATCATTTTATAATGAAATTCTATATTTTATATTCCCAAAACATAAAAATCAAATTTTAAATTAAAATACTTGAATAGAAATCCTATAAAAAAATGGCTGCAGTTTTATAATATTTTAAGTATATTTTGCAATATATTATATATTTTTTTTTAAAAAAATATTTATTTAGCGGAAAATGAATAGAATAACGGGGCTTTTAATTAAAGATCGCGAAGGACATGTAACTGATTCAATTCGGAAAAAACAAGTATTTGATATCACGCCCGATAACATTTTGGACTATTTTGCAAGATTAGTTATAAGAGACGACGTTTTTCAAGAAGAAGTGGTTGACCAATTCATTATGGAAACTCAAGAAATCCTTGATTGATTTAGAAAACAAAGAGTTAGTACATTTTTCACATGCTCTGTATTATATGTGAACGGCTTTAATAAAGCGCAAACGAAATTTATCGATTTTTCTTATGTATATGAATCAGATGGACAGAGAGATACCAGTAAGGGTTATTTAGATATGATTGAAGGGTTAGAAAGCTTAATTAATACCTGGGAGAAGCTCAAAATGAAGTATGCTAAATCGTATTATTTATAAAAGATTAACTTTTATGAATTTAAATTAAATCTAATATACATCGGGAAGGTTATTTTATATTTGAAATGAAAATGCTTACTCCCCCCCCCCCCCCCTCCGTGAGCGAACAAAACCATTAGAAAAATCGCCATTTTTTGACTAAAAACCCACCCTCCGTGAGTGAACAAAAATTTTTTTAATATAAAAAAATTTTAATGAAAAAAAATTTTGATATATAAGTGATAATTAGTATAATGAAATCTAGAGCTAATTCTTTTTAATTTTAAACAAATTGCGTTTTAAAACATAAATTTTGCAAAATTTAAATTAATATTTGCTTCCCAATTTTTGCAAATTAGGATTTTTTTAAATTTCGAAAAAAATATTTTTTATAAAATTTATATATAAATTTTATTTTAAAAAAAAAAATTAACCCCCCTCCGTGAGCGAACAAAATTTTTTTGTTCGCTCACGGAGGGGGGGGGGGGAGTTAATAAAAATGAAATTTTGATCAAAGCTCATGTTTTTAATTATAATAAATATTGGAATAGGTTTAAATGCCATTTTAATTAAAATTAAATGCTAAATCTTACTTTTAACATAAAAAACAAATTATCTAACAATTTCATTGCTACATTATTTTTGAATATTATAGACCTCATTTTTTTCCCCCATTTTCTTTAAAAATCAATATTTATGCTGATATTTAGAATCATATAATTTTGCTTAACAACTATGGAAGGAAAATAAAACCCTGGCTATATTAAAATAAATATCAAATTTTTGCTTGACCCTCTGTAACCTTCTTAATGAACCTAATAAACTATTTTTATGTGCCTCAGTAGCATCCCTTATAAGGTTAACTTTTTTCTCCATAATATGCTCTGCCGTATCAATTTGATATACTCCTTTTCGTTTTGCTCTGGTAGCTCTAAAGGCTGCAATACTTTTAACTATTTTTCCAGATTGGATTAATATTTGTTTTGGAGTTGCGCTGCCTTTTCTCAATAGTACTCTATACCGAAAAGCTGAAGTTAATAGCCTAGCCGCACTATGCTTTAGCTCGATTTGAAAATTATTTTTTTTAATAAAAATTATTTATTTAAAAAAAACTTCGTATTTTTCTTATTTCTATTGAAAATTCAATCTCTCCAGCAGCTCAACAGCTTTACGCTCCCCGATCTCAAAATTAAGCAATGTGGTTAATGACACAATCATCATTGATAATAGTATATTTCCATATATCGAATTAAAAACCTCAATTATTCTCCCAGGAAGAGTTACAGGAAATGTATCTCCGTATCCTACTGTAAAAACTGTGATTATAGCCCAAACCTCCTTTTGGCTCAGGCTTTCCCAAAAATTTCTAGAATTTAATCGGGGAATTGCTTTATATCAACAGATGTCGTAAACCCAATTTCGATTGAAATCGAGAGAGGGCTCGGCCTATACAACATTTCACATGGAATTATTAAAATCACCAAAATTTTGATTGTTATTTTTCCCTGCAAGAGGAGTTTCAAAAATTCTTAACATATAGCTGAACATCATTATTCCCACGAATAGCATTATTCCGACAAAAGGCATAGGGTTGTCAGTCATCATTCCTCTGAAGAAAAACAATGCACCTCCTTCAGTTCCGTTCATTTTGCATACTCTTTGGGCTCTAGGTGCGTTATATTTGCTTCAGAAGATCCAAAGTCTCATTAAATGATAAACTCTGGAGACTTGAATAACAGAAAGTAAAGTATTTCATGGGTATTCTATATAGCTGTGAGTGTATTCACAATAGTATTCATATGAAGAGTCATCTAAAAACCAAACTGGATGAAAAAGATTATATTTTCTACCTTTTTGAATATAATTTTTATTATATAATAATTATATTATAATTAATTTTATATAAAAAGGTATATGCCAGTTCAACTATTAGTTTAGGTATATACCCAGCCGAATACAAATTGTCTTGCTTGCTATATATAAGTCTCTCTTTTTTCCATTCCAAATCGAAATAATTTCTAATAATTAGAAATATAAGTAATATAAAAGTAGATAAGCTTGATAAAAAATATAAAATTTTCATCCCAAATTCTATATCAACATCAACCTGCTGATGCTCATTCGAATCAGCTATTATTGCACCTACAATAAATCCTGATCAAGCAGCTATATACCTATAAGCATAGGCTTAAAACTATAGAATAAGCTGAAATTTCGATTTGAATATAAACTCAAAAATATGCATTTGTTCAATTCATCATGCTGATAGCCAGCTGATATCATATTAATCTCTTTAAATAAGCATATTTATTAGCAGCTCACTAATTTTTAATCTATTAAATTGTTGCTCAATTTTTTTCTCATTTTCAGAGACTGAATGAAACCAAGATTTTTTTGCATTTTTTGAAAAAGCTTCAATATAATCTTCTAATTTCCATAAAGTTGGAGTAGTTTGGCACTGAAAAGTTGGGATATCAAAAGACTCATTCGCCAATTTTTTCCTTCTCATGATTTAATTATAAATAAGAAAATATTTTTGCATGTTATTTATTATGATTATAATTGTTTATTTCCGTATATTTCTGCAACCCTGCTTTTTATGTCTTTAAGGCTTTCTAATGACTTCGCCCATTCTTTTTTATTACCCTCAGTAAGTTCTTGCATATAATTAACTTTTTTTTCGATTAAATGCTCAGCAGTGTCTATACCGTAAATTCGTTTTCGTTTTGCTCTCGTAGCTTGGAAGCCAGCGATATTTCTTCGAATATTCCCTTGCTGAATCTTAACTTCGAGTCTTGAAGAGTTTTTAGATTTTTATTCCTATAGAGAGGTCTAAGAGCTTATAAGAATCTTTCTTACCCCCCTCCGTGAGTGAGCAAAACCATTAGAAAAATCCCTTTTTTTGCCCAAAAACCCACCGTGAGTGAACAAAAATTTTTTAATAGAAAAAATTTTTTACGAAAAAAAAGTGATATATAAATGATAATTAGTATAATGAAATCTTAAGTTAATTCTGTTTAATTTTAAACAAATTGCGTTTTAAAACATAAATTTTACAAATTTAAATTAATATTGCTTCCCAATTTTTGCAAATTAGGATTTTTTTAAAATTTCGAAAACACATTTTTTCTATAAAATTTATATATAAATTTTTTAAAAACAAAAATTAACCCCCCTCCGTGAGTGAACAAAATTTTTTTTTGTTCACCCACGGAGGGGGCGGGGAGTTAGCTTATTTTTTATATTAAAATTAGTATTTATATTTAAATTTTTACTATTATTAATTCTAATTATTATAGTAAATTCCTATAAACAACAGCTGACTGCAATACTTTAGCTGCTTCTTTTTTCAGCTCTTTTTGGAACTCCAGTCTCTCCAACAAGTTTTTCGCTTTAAACTCCCCTGTTTCTAGCTCCAGCATATTCGTGAGCGTCACAATCATAAGTGATGTTGACAAAATCCCATAAAATGCGTTAAAAAATTCCAAAATCCTCCCAGGAAGTGTTACAGGAAACGTGTCTCCATACCCAATCGTCAAAATCGTAATAACCACATTCCACATTGCATTGTTAAAATCCCCAAAATTCTGATTTTCATTCAAACCTTCAGTAGGGTGCTCAAAAACCCTTATAGAGTAGCTAAACATCATAATTCCTATAAGCAAAATAGAGCTCACAAACTGCCAAGGCGAGTTTTTCATGATTCCTTTGATGAAGAATTCTGTATTTCCATATGTCCCGTTCATTTTGCATACCCTTTGAGCTCTGGGAGATGTGTAATGGCTTCAGGTCACCCACAGTCTGAATAAATGGTAAACCCGACCGACTTGGATTACCGATAATGTAGCGTTTCAGGAGTAATTTATGGTCTGGCCTGTGAATTTGCAGTCGTATTCATAGGTATATTCGTCTAAAAATCAAACAGGGTGAAAAAAATTGAATAAGCATTCTATAAAAAGAATAGGGACATATCCAGCGCTTCATAAGTTGTCGTAGCGACTATATAAAAACCTTTCTTTTCTCCATTCTAGACTTAGGATTACTGCGAACTTGATAGGCTCCAGGTGAAGAATCAAAAGCTGCAGATATGTATCTGGGTAGGTTTTGGCTACTGGAAATAGAGATGCCTAGCAGTACTACTTGGCCTCCTGAGCATTCCTCTATCAAGAAGCTAAGGTTTTCGGCCTGAGCCGCAGGAATAATCTATTTCCTGTAGCTATTGAAGAAAAAACCTTATCAGCCATCAGGCTTCAAGTTGCTAATTGTTAGTCGAAGAAATGCACAGTTTTCAACTCAATGATGAGACTTAAGGCGAGGAAGAGGCTATGCTGTACCTACTTCCAGAGTTTGTGAAAATCAAGTCCCAAAACAGAGGAACCTCTGGAGATCTTTGGTCCTGCACTGCCTTAAGTAACTAACTCCATTCAAGGTCAGAATATGACCTATAAATTATAGCAAAAACTAATAAAAATGCTGAAAGAGTAGACTTACTTACTTATTACGGGCGGGTCACGCTAAGGAGTTGCCCGAATGTTTCAGAGGACTCTGCTGGGCTTCCCCTTTCCAATTTCTGTGTGTCTTTCTTCCCTCGAGAGAAAACCATCCTAAAATTAGACTTGGGCTAGGCTCTGAACACAACCAGAATTGCTTACCTATCATTGCTGTCCATCTCTAAAATGGCAAAACATTGCCTGACATAATTAAATATGTGCTCAAAGGTATTCAGCGAAGCCGACCGCGAAACGCTGAGACTCCATATTTATTATTCTGAAAGAGTAGACAAAGTATATAAAATCGGCATCCCTACCTCTTTATCTACATTATAATTTAATCCTGCATCTACATCAGCTATAATTGCTCCGACAATAAACCCTGAAAATGCACATAAAGTAATAACTACCTCAGACCATTGTAAATGCAAATATCTTTTTTTGATTTTCTCTTCATCTTCTGGCTCATGGTCAAACCAGGATTTTGTTAATTTTTTTTTATAGCTTGAGGCTTCTTTAAAAGCATCAACGACATGCATCATTTTAAGCTCAATAGCATTAGAATTGCCTGATAAAGCAGCTTTTTTGTTATTTTTGCTCTGGGCCATTTTAAATTTTATCACACAAATGAATTGATTTTTGAATTAAAAATATTTTGAGACCTTGGCGTTAATTATATATTTTAAAGAATCAATATTTTTTTGGGTTAATGAATTTTTTTATAAGAAATCAGGGATTTTTCTTGCAGATTGATCAGTATTTTATATTATTTTTAAGAAGAGGAATTTTTTATCTTCCTTGGAAATTAATTTAATAATTTCTTATTATTCTTATGCATAAATAGAGTCCGTTCTTAATTAGAAAAAATTATTTTTCTGGTAATTTAATTAGGAATAATTAATGTTCTATTAATTTCTATAACATGTCTTTATCTTATCATTCTGAACACTTGGCGTGGCAGCAGCGTATTAATCAAGAAAAAACTCGTGCAAGCGATTTCAATAAAACTTTCAGCAATTTTTCCACCTTTAACGAAGCCCTTCAAACAGGAAAAACAGTTTTTCCTAAAGCAAATCAATTAGACAAGCCTATAAATTACAACACTCTTCGCTTCAATCTTGCTTATTCTTTTGGGGGAACAAAGCCAATACGCCATGCATTGCAAGATCAAGACGTTCGGCATAGCTTAAGTCCTTCTAAGCGAGTTACTACTGATTCATTTAATAGATCTTCTATTAAAACTGCTTCAGAGTCCCCAAGAAAAAATGCAAGCAAAGATGAATCAAGCCCTAAAAAGTTAAAGACATTATAGTATTTTAAATTAAATTAGAGACAGGCCGTTTTTTACAAAATAAAATAATTAATTGAAAAACAAATCAATTCAGTAAAGCATAAAAGAAATTAACCCAGAACTAGCCAAGCTAGAAGAAGAATTAACTGAAATGAAATTAAACGCAAGCAAAAGCAGTTTTCAAGATGCTGGAGATATTTATATGAGAGACCTAGAAAAGAAGCTCTCAAAAGAAAGAAAAAAGAGGATTCAGGTTGAGCTGGAAATTGAAAAAATTAAAATAGCAAGAAAATCATAAATTAATTTGCATTAAAAAGCTGAATATTAAAGATCAATTTTTCTTAAATTAACATAAGGTTTTGTGATAAAAAATTCATGAAAAGCAGCTTGCATTGAAATTTAATTAAAAATAGCCTTAAATTTGGTGAATAAATATTGCAATGGAGCCAGGACTTCTTTTCACTCCTCCATCTTCAAATAAAGCTCGCAAAACTCTGCTTGCGTTATCAGGCATTCTTGGTGTGCTTTGTGTAATCTCAGTAGTTTCTTATTGCAACCAGCCTTCTCTATCAGCTTCTGCAACAAAGCAATATCAGTTCGAAGAACAAGAATTCCAAGACTACATGAAAAGATACCACAAGCAGTATACCCCTGAAGAATATGAGAGCCGCTTCTATATATACTTTCTAAATAAATAAGTACTTTTAAATATATACTAAATGGCCTTATATAATCTGCTTTATTATTCCTAATTTTTCTATTAGAAATTTATGAAAATACAGTATATATTATAAAAAAATAAAAAAATAGCAAAAACAGCTTATTTTCACTCAAAATTCTGCCTTTATTCGCATCCACAATTCCCTCAACAAATCCTGGACACTAGGCTACAATGAATTTACAGATCTTTCCCCAGAAGAATTTAAATCAATTTACTTACAAACCACACCAGCCCCTAGAATCCCAGCAAAGCCTTTATCTTCTTCTTTTGAAAAATCACTGAAAATCCCGCTAACTATCGATTGGAGAACACAAGGAGCTGTTACACCTGTAGGAAACCAAGGATCTTGCAAAGGAGGCTGGGCATTTGCAGCAGCGGGCGCTATTGAAGGAGTCTGGAAAATCGCAGGAAATCCTTTAGTTGCCTTATCAAAAGAGCAGCTTGTATCTTGCTCATCATCTTATGGAGCCGACGGCTGCAATGGTGGACTTCCAGAACAAGCTTTTGAGTACGTAATCGGAAATCCTGGACTTGCTAGCGATAAGGTCTATCCTTTTAACTCCGGAAACGGAATTGTCAACAACTGTGTACCTACCTTAGCAAGCCAAACTGCAGCCTCTATATCAGGATATGCAAATGTCGCACCAGTTGACGATCCTGCAGCTTTGAAAAACAATATTTAAATTTTTTTTTAAAAATCAAAAAAAATAAAAAAAAATTTTTAAAAAAAAATTCAGCTTTGATAGCCGCCATAACACAGCAGCCTATTGCAGTTGGTGTAGAAGCTGATCAATATGTATGGCAATACTATAAGACTGGAGTTATCACCAATAATTGTGGAACTAATATTAACCATTTTGCGTTGGTTGTAGGTTACAATAATTCAGCCCAAGTTCCTTATTACATTGTGAAGAACTCATGGGGTGCTAATTGGGGAATGAGCGGGTACTTATATATTGCAATTGGAAGTGATACAGGAGTTTGCGGAATCCAAATGCTTTCGTCTTATCCAACCTTATAAGTTAACTTCAATTTCGTTAATTTAGATTTATAATTCTTTATTAAATTTGATATTAGCATAATAAACTAATTGCATATGCTATTTAAGATTGTTGTATACATAATAGTAATTTTAAAGTACTATGGAATACATATAAGGATAAAATATTGAGGATGGTCAGTTATTGAAAGAACTATTTAGTATATTTTAAGCTGAAAAATAGCCTGAAAATAATAAAATTATGAATACTAATGCAAATCTCATATATTTTCACAAATTGAAAAAAATAAAAAATTATCTAAATAATTATGAGGAGAAGTCTTATTCCCTGTGAGCGAATAAGAAAACTTTGCTCGCTTATAGACGGGGTTAATTTTTAATTTATAAATAAATTTTATTTTTTGTTCAAAATTTAAAAAATTGCAATTCGAAATAATTTTGAAGCAAATATTAATTTAATTTATTAAATTTATTTTTAAAATTCAAGCTGTTTAAAATTAAACAGAATTATCTAGAGTTTGATTATAACATTATCTCTTATATATCAAAATAATTTATCATAAAAAAATTTTTGTTCGCTCAAGGAGGTTGGGCTTCTGGGCAAAAAATAGGGATTTCTAATGGTTTTGTTCACTCATGAGGGGAGTTAGTGTCAAATCAATTGACGGATCTGTAGCCTCTTTCTCACAAAATACCCCAATTTTAAATTACCTACTAGAAAGAAACCAGAAGAAAAGAATAAATTCGGCTTTATGTCAAATGACTTTGTATTTTTAATTGAGCGACATTTACTAGGGGAAAATTTGTATGAAGAATTTTGATAGTCCGACAAAACGTAAAATCTCGGTCAAGTAGTACACTATTTAAAAATTTGCGATCAAATTTTCTTCATGAAATACACACTATTAAAAGCATATGATTATTAGACCTGCGCCCATAAATTCAACTAGCCAATGAGATGGATTCATGCTTAAAAAGTTAGAAAACGGCCAAGAAAATACTCGAAGGATTAAATCCCCTCAGAGATGAAAAGAATTCACAAACGGTATAAGAACAGTCGACCCAACCTACCCAGTGCAAGAAGACAAACCAATCACAAACCCAAAATCTGTGAAAAACCTAAACTCAGGAAACTTGACACAAATGATTTTTCAAGGGCATTCTAAAGATGAACTAGGGAATATGCATAAGCAAGTATTAAAGGAAGGGAAAAGAGTCCATAATAACGCAAACAGCAGTGAAGATTATGTTGAAAAAAGTATTGTTGATACCTATAATAATTTATAATAAATAGGCTATTTATCTAAAAAAAATAATTATTTAAATAAAAATAATAAATTGGGATATATACTATAGTAATTTAAATAGGCAAAAAATATTTATTTTATTAAAATATTAAATTCAATAGAATTCTATATAAAAAGAAAAATTTTTATTTTGGCAGCAATAATAAAACTGAAAAAAGATTAAGAAGAGAAAATTCAATCAGCGTCGATAAGAAACAAAGCCAAATTACTACGATACCAGGACCACATAAACCATTCTATGAAAGACCTCAAACTGTTAAAGTTAAACGTGATTTTATATCACAGATATCAGAGCTTCCAGGCTCTTTAAAAAGCTCTGAGCCAGATTTAGATTCTTATAATCCTTGGATTAAATTGTCAAGGCAAACCATAACCTCGGTCGAAAGTGAAAAAATTTATGGGACTCCTAGAGCAAGAAATGGACCAAAACGAGAAATTTTACCAGGGAATATTCAACATTTTTCTAGCTATAGTTCAATAGGAGAACAAATTGAAGTATTTTTTATATAGTTTCATCCACATTACAAAGGCAAATTAACAGATAAAGAAGCGTCCAAAAGACTGCTCAGCCCAAGTCGTATGGAAGATTCAGGGTTTACTAAAAGAAGTAAGCCAGAAAACGCTAGAGATATGTTCAGGAGCTCTATATCAATTTTAGGCTAATTACTAAATTAATCAGAATCTCTACTAAATTATTTCTCTTTATTTTGATAAATCATCTAAATCTTCCCATTAAAAATTAGCTCTTTATTATTAAATGGAGGAATTTTTTCAACACAAACAAATTCTGTTAGAGAATGATCAAAAGGACTTTAATTTTTTATCCCCAACTGATATTGAATTGCAAGCATCCCAAAAATTCAATTGATTAAAAAATGATTTTTTAGCAAATTTCACTATAGAAGAAATGCTTGATTATTGAGATGTCAAAGATTCAGTTATTCACACAAAGCTCTTTGAAGTATTGAAAAAAATGCCAAAAGGAGCTTTATTGCACATTCATAGCAGTACAATGATGCACTCCCAAGAGTTTATAGATTTTTTGAAATCTGACTCACAAATTTATGTGCAATTAATAGATGAGAAAATAATTTTATTACCAAATTTTATTGAAAATTCAGTCCCATTATCCGAATTTTTAAAAATTGATGGGAATGAAAAAGCTTTATTAGACTCACTAGAAATGACACGAGGAACTTCAATGGGCTTGCCTAGCGAGCGTTGGATTAAATTTGGTCAACTTTTTTCTACTTCAGCAAAATTATTTAGCGAAAAAAGATTCCGAGAAAATTATTTTAACTTGGCATATTCTCAATTATATGAAGACAACATCCAAAGGGTAGAAATAAGGACTAACTTCGGGAGAACTGGCTATATTGATAACGGAAGAATTCTGACTATTGATGAAGCTGCAGAATCATTTAAAACTGCCACTGATAGATTTCGGTCTATTCATAATGATTTTTCTAGCGGGTTTATTATAGCTTGCCATAAACTTTTGTCTCGTCAAAAAGTTATAGAAGCTGCTGAAGATGCCTTGAGGCTTCATTTATTATACCCAGATTTTATTTTAGGATTTGACATAGTAGGTGAAGAAGAACAATATAATGAAACAGAAGAAATTTATGAATGTGTTTACCAGGTAAAAAGCAAAGCCAAAGAAAATGGGCAAGATTTTCCTATGTTTTTTCATGCTGGAGAAGTAGTAAGCAAGCATGCTCCGACTATTTATGATGCTTTTGTACTGGAAAGCAAGAGGATTGGCCATGGAATTTCTTTGATCAAGCACCCAGTCCTTATGCAGATTGCAAAAACTAAAAAAATTACTATAGAGTGCTGCCCTATTAGTAATATGCTGCTTGGGTATGTGAGAGATTTAAGGGTTCACGCAGGCCTTGCCTATTTAAATCAAGGTCTTTCAGTCGCTATTGGCTCAGATGCACCTGGATTATTTGGGTATAGAGGAGTTACACATGATTGGTTGTGGATTTGCATATTATGGGGAATTGATTTAATGCAGGTTAAAAGATTGGTAAAAAATAGCATTGATGGGTGTACAGAACCTGATGAAACTAGAAGAATTTGGGAGCCGAAATGGGCTGAATTCGTTAATTATTTAGCTAATTTAGAGATTTAATTATATTTTAGTATAAATTAAATTTGTTTTCATCGTCTTGACATAAAAAATTAATTATCTATTATATTTAATAATAGAAATTCACAATTTATACATTATTTCATAGAAGACTAATTAAAAATGTCTAGATATTTCGGAAAACTTAAAGATTACCTATATGGCTACTCCAATTGCAGCACCCCAGAACCAGAGCCCACTCCTTCCGAAAATTCCAAAAAAGAAGAAGCCGAGCCTATAATTTTTGATGAAATGGAAAATCCTGCTCTAATTGAGCAAATGCGTAAACATCCCTTACGTCCTACAAGAAATAAAATGGTGACTTTGAACGAAATGGCACTCCCTATGGAGCAGAAGTTGAAAGCAGGGCCTCTGTCTCTTTTTGAAGTAGGTCTTTAGGTTATGAGATGCCTTGCCGAGCAGATAAGTTGTGTTTCTCGAGGATTTCCAGTCTCTGAGAGATGGGCTAGACAGATTTGCCTACCACATTGTCTTTCCTCATTGGGGATTGAGGTACTCTCATGTGGCTCTGCCCTAGGGAGCTGATCCTTGGGTATGTGGTTCAGATCGGAAATCCAAAATAGCGAGATTTTTTGAGCCAAGATGGGCGATGGCTAATAGTTTTATCCGCTTATGGCCAGTAAAATCATTTAAATTACGTCCTTCAAGCTTCGAAGCTCTTGTGCAGCCTCTTAAAATGGCTACAATGGTAGAGCCATTAGAAGGTTTTAAATGTGACTTTGGCATTGGGCTTTCTCCTCATTTATCAATACAAAACTCAATCACTTTGAATCAAGGCCCAGGAGGCAATTATGAGGCCAATTTTATGTATGTAGGAGGCCAAATGGCCAATGCTTATGACTATATATCTCCAAGCCCTTTTCTAATGGCCAGAGTTACACCTGGAAGCGGAAAACAAGATATTAAAGCAATTTTTAAAGGAGAAAATGATATGGAATACAGACTTACAGCTAATTATATGCCGGAATACCAAAAAGATGGCCAAGTTATGTTAGAAGTCGACAAATCTGGAGAAGATTATGTCGCAGGCTTCAAATTTGGCATCGCTGGTGAGCTTTTTTCATATCATTACACACAAAGTTTGACGAAAAATCTTGTAGCAGGCATTGATGTAATGAGTATGCTGAAACCTCGCTCAGTGGTCTTGTTCAGCTATGGAGGAAAATATACCTTTGGATCCACATCTTATTATTTCCAACATTTTGCGCCTGCCGGAATCTACCAGTTTGGTGCCTTAATAAAGTCTACCAATAATATAACTTATACTACAGAGCTGAATTACAGCAAAATGGGACAAGAAAACTTTGAATTTGTAGGAGGGATTAGTATAAGGTTTAGCAGAGCCAAAATGAATGCTCAATTTAAGAGCTCTGGAGTTGTCTCAGCCGTATTAACCCAAGTGATAAACCCAATTATCAGAATTAGCTTACATTCAGAAATGGATTTAGCAAAAGGAGGACAGAAGTTTGGGATTGGGGTAGCTGTAGGGCAATAATTTAAATAATATAAGTTACAGAAATATTTAATTTCTAAATCCCCCCTCCGTGAGTGAACAAAGCCATTAGAAAAATCCCTATTTTTTTGCCCAAAAACCCACCCTCCGTGAGTGAACAAAAATTTTGATATATAAATGATAATTAGTATAATGAAATCTAGAGCTAATTCTGTTTAATTTTAAACGAATTGCTTTTTAAAACATAAATTTTATAAATTAAATTAATATTTGTTTTCCAATTTGAGTGAATTAGGATTTTTTTAAATTTCGAATATTTTTTTATAAAATTTATATATAAATTTTTTAAAAAAAAATTAACCCCCCTCCGTGAGTGAACAAAATTTTTTTGTTCACTCACGGAGGGGGGGAGTAAGAAAATGTCAACTCCTTCTCCTATAACCCAAACCACCCCAAATCAGCGTATCAGAGGACCTCCTGAGCTTGATCCGGATTTTGCTATGAAATTAATTGAAAAAGAAGTCGAACTCGAAAAAAGTTGACAAGCAGAAACTGTCCATGACTTAGTGCTTCTGTATACACAAATTATTGAGTATTATGAGTACTATAAGGACCCTAAATATTATGATTTTCAAGATAGGATGCATAAAATGCTGGTAAAGCCTAAAGTTATTGAAGCGATACAGGAAGAGAAAAAGGAAAAAATACAGGTTAGGGATAGGTCGATGTCTTCGTCACCAAAATTGACTCCGATACAAAGTAATGAAGAAATTATTTTGGAAAGAAAAAAAGAAGCTGAAAAACAAAAAAATCATTTGAATGCTGAATTATACGGCTTTATAGTGAAATTATATAGAATTCAAGCTTATAATTTTTGTATAAAAATTTAAAAAAATGCCGATCATTTATTATAACTTAAGATAAATAAAAATATTGTGAATACTTCTCATAAACAAGTGAGAAATGTAAATAGAATCATAAAAATCCATGAGACCAATACAAAAGAAATAGCAAGCAAAGCAATGGGAGATTTTAAGTCTCAAGATGAAGATTTAGAACGAAGGCTTGCTAGTAGGAAAAAAGTAATGACAGATCGAAGTATGGACTCTGCTAATGGGGATTATCAAAGATCATATTCCCCTCAAGCTCCTAAAGTTTATGATATTGATGAAGAGGAGGAATATAAGGGGGAAGAAAATGTGCTTTGTAAATCAATGGACATTGAAAAAAAATTAAAAATATATATCGATAAAATAATAAAAAAAAATATTTTATAATAAAAAAATACTTTTCATACCCATTGAAAATGAAGTAGAAGCAGCAGAAGAAGCTGCAGAAGCAGGAGCAGATGAATCGGGAGGATTAGGCTTAAGCTTTTCATTAATAGGCGGCCTAGAAGACCAGCTCGAAGACTTAATGGAAAAAAGTTTTTCTGAAAAAGCTGCAAAAATCGCTGAAGTCAAAGTAAAATACGAAACCCAAATTCGTGAGCTCGAAGGCCAAGGTGGCTTAATGAACTTAGTAATAGACCAAATGAAAGAAAACATGCGCCAAGAAATTGAAAACTTAACCATAGAGCTCGACAATAAAAGAAGGCAGGAAATCAGAAATTTAAAAGAAAGTTTCCAGTTAAAATAATTAATTAACGCCATGTGCTTCTTTGTACTTAATAAATTCCACCAAATTTTCTAATGCTTCCCCACATCTTTCTTTAAGTTCTTCATCCTCTAATTTAGCAGCATGTCTGAATACTAGATTTGAGCCGCTTTTCATAAGCCCAATCACTCTCAGCTCAATTAAAACACTATCATATCTTTCGTCATTAAAAATATCGAAAAAGGCGTTTAAGACTTCGCATTTCATGTTCATGTCTCCTTTTGTGGCACAGAAAAGAAGGGTGTTAACAATCATTCGGGCTTGGTCGACGGTGAGCTCTTCTTGGGCACAAACTGATAAAGCTGCGATTAGGTTGCTAGCGATGGGGATTGGCAATTGGTTTATTAAAGTACAGATTTCTTGGATATAGCTGACCTTGTTAGCCTACATATACTTCTGTATATGAATAGTTTTCTGGGTTATTAAAATATTAATGAAAATTGAGAGAAATTATTTAAAGGAAAAAGATATAAAAATTACAAATGCATTTCCATATTTTTTACCAAAGCATAATAAGACTTGACTTATAATATCAAGCAGTTCTTCTACGTTTTCTTTGCAATCCACATCTTCTTCAATAAAGTCTGCAATTTTCCGGATTTGTCCGAATAAAAAGTCCCAAAAATTTTGGGCTCCGAAAAGCTCCAGGTAAGTCTTCACAGCCCGCATTTATCTCTATAACGCTCTCTCCTTGTTTTCCAGTCCGTTCAAGACTCAATTGTCGCTCATTATGAACTAGGGCCTGCACTCACCATCTGTGAGTCGGAGACACTAGTTCACCTCTCCGAACGTCAACAATTAGCTTCCAGAAAATTGAATTTTCTGTCTCCTATCGGCCAAAATGGAAACTCAAAGCCCAGGATGCAACGCCCGTATCGCGCTTGAAAACGTTCCCTATTGACGAGGAGGAACTTCACTGGTGTTGCTGTGAATTCCCTTTCCAACCTTCAGTTCCATCTTCCCAGAGGTAAAACCTTGACCTAGAATAAGCGAGGTCAGTTTAATCCGACATTGGGTTCCGTCAAACCTAATAAAACCTGGCTGGATACATATCACCGAACGCCATCCTCCCTTTCACAAGGTTCTTGGCCACCCCAGCTGCAGATACTAACAAGATGGATTGCTCACCACACACCATTTAATGAATGGGCTCCGACAGTTTGAACCAAATGATCAGTATTTAATACTAAATTTTGGACACAATAAAAAGCTGCACATTGAAGCTCAAAAACTTTGCTTAAAATTTCTGGAAAAGCTTCTAAATTTTGACCGAATTCTTGTGTAAACCCATTGGCAGCTCTCATTATATCATTTATCAATGCATTATTCATAAATTGATTACCTATAGGGACTTCTTCATCTTCTACAGCTAATAAATTTGTAATTATTTCGAGTGAAATTTCTTGAGCTTTTACCCCATTGTTTCATATTTCTAAAGCATTCCCATTGTTTTCTTCATTAATTACTGACACAAATAAATGGCGACTTACCGACCGTCCTTCTTTCATACCCTCTTGAGCTTTGGATTTAAGAATGGAAACTTTTGGGGTTTTTATCCCTAGTTGGACACCATAACAGGGTTTTTTACCCCACACCATAGATAAGGAAGCCAGAGTCTATATGGCAACTCCAAACTTCTGGATGGGAAGGGTAATAGGGACCACAAGGAGGGTTCGGGGCCTGCCTATCTCTCATCCCAGATTGGTCATGCCGATCGCTTAGAAATCGTCCAAAAAAGTTCTTGGGTCCCCCCCTAGAGATCGAGAGATGACAACATCATCGTTTTTTGGTGACGTTGATAGAAAAGGGCTTAATTGCAGCCTGATGCCTAGAGCGAGGAGCCCAAAGTTGGTGATGTCAGATAGTAGCTAAAATAAGCCCCCCAAAACCCATTCTAATTTAAATCTACTCATTAATTACAGGTATAACATGATTCATTAAATCTGAATACACATCAACCTGCAAGCTTTTTCCACAGGGGAATATAACATATTCCCCAAGCAGCTGCGTTTGGTTTTTAACAATGCAAAAATTAGAGATAAGCAAGACTATATTCATTTTATTGTCTGGTGTTAAATCTCCATCAGTGACTAAGCTATATAAATTATTGAAAAAGGTTCCAATTAAGTCACAAGCTTGAGCATTTTCTTCAGAAAAAGCATTTAACAGATCCAAACAAGGCGAAATATAGCTCGCATTTTTTGCGATGATTTTATTTATGCATTCTTGGATTATTGGGGAATTTTGTAAAGACTGTATAAAAGTCTCGTTTTCTTGGCATAAAGATTCTAATAAATATAAGGTTGTTTGGACTATAGTAATGATTAATTGCTCTTCTTGTTTAGAATTAGGTAGGATTGGGTCTACTAGGAAATATTGATTTATGATAGGGTCTATTAAATTTAGAACTCCTAAACGTAATAAATCGCCTGAATATTCTTGTGTAAGAGAGATTGCTGCTTGGAGTGCTGAAAGCTGGACTGATAAAGATGCGTCTGAAATCCTTTCTACTATAAGCTTGACATAGCTAATATCAGGGATGCTTTTCATGTTAGCTACTGCAATGCAGCCGATTTCTCTTTCTCTTTCAGAAGTACTTCTGAGCTAAATTAGAGTTACATAGCCTTTTAAATCGCTTTCGGCTGGGAAATTCTCACTTTTAAGGGGATCAAAGCGGAAATTTTTGTTTCGTGAAGGCTTTGATTTTACCATAATTTTTTATTAATATTTATTGTGGAGAAGAAGAAATAGAAATAATAGTTATTATAGATGCTTTGCAGTAGGGGAGTATGAATAATGATTCGTTAATCGTTTTAGAGAAAAGAGTGTTTTTTGGACTATTTGGCTATTTATAGTTAGGGTAAATGTTTTAAATGATATTCTATTTATAGTGAAAATAATTATTCATAGTAACAATTCTATTTATAATAAAAAAATAGCACGGCTCATCTAAGGATATTTATATTCATTGTAAATAAATATAATGAATTTATGAACTTCAATTAAAATTTACCTTGGAATGTGTTGATAAAAATAATAATAAATCTTCATTTATTTACAGTTATTTTTCAATAAATAGATATGCGTAAATCCATTCCTCTCAGGATTTCCATAAAAATGGTTTCAGAAGCACCAAAGCTAAAAATTTCAATAAAAACAGAAAATAGAGAACAAGTAAAATCAAGAGAGCAAACTAAAAGAGAAGGTATCGTAAAAATTCTTGAAAAACCAGGAGCTTTAAAATGGTTAAAATCCACATCAGGTGCTAGATTCCAAAAAGTATGATCATCATTATCTCCTTCTCCTGTAATAAGTATTTCACAGTTAAATAACTGAGATGTTATCAATGGATATATTGGCCCAAAATTTAAAAATCGAGATTCTCAGCTCCCCCATGCACCTTTCACAAAAAGTCCTGGTCTTCAAATGGGGATGATCTGTCCAAAAGTTTTATCAGAAAAAGAGCCAAAGCAATCTTTAAACAAAGCATTATCCTATATTGGGCTAAGAAAAAAAGGGCATGATAGGGCTGATGCGATTTATTTGAGCTCAATACAAGCTTTTCGGGCTGAGAAAAATAAAGAAAAATGCTGCTCAAAAGAAATGCTGAAGCTTAAAACATTTGAAGGTTTTAATGAAAATAAGGATGAGGCTTATGGGTCGTTGATAAATGATTATGATGAATTTCGAAAAATGTTTGAAATTTCTAATGGAGCTATTAAAAAGAAAGAAAATTATGAAGAACTTTTTAAGCCCACACATGTAATGACTGCGAGAGAAAAAAAGAAAATAAATATAGATTGTGTGAGTGATGCTTTTTCCGCTGGATCAGCTTCGCCGCACTACTTGAGACAGTCTGATTTTATAAGTATTTTAAATAGTGAAAATAGCGTGCTAGAAGCGGAAACAGAGGAATCTTATAGGAAACCTATTAGGAAAGGGATTCCAAAGTCTCAAAGAATTTCTAACTCCTTCTCTTTAATTATTTTAAAAAAATTTTTTTTCTTTATATGAAAGATTTTATTAATATATAAATTCTATTAATATAATTAAACCTCTAGTCCTGTTAAATTTTTTAAAAAAAATCCTAAAACATAAATTTAATTTTTACTTCCAATTTTTAAAACTGAATTTTTTTAAAATTATAAATGCATAATTTTTTGCCCACTTCAAGGGGGAGAGTAAGCATATTGATAGGACTTTTAATAATAAAATTTCCCATGAAAAATTAGACGAAATAAAAGATGATTCCGTTGAAATTGCAGGAAAAGAATTAAAAGGCATTTTAGATGGAAATAGAATTACATTTAACCTTGATGACCTTAATCAAGAATTGATAAATGAGTTAAAAGAAAAAAAAAAGAGAAATGAGAAAAAGACAAAAGAAACCATAAAAGATATTAGAATAAAACAAAATAAAAAACTGAAAGGCAGAGAAAAATTAGGAACTTCACAAAATATTCATAATCAATATCACCAAAATTTAAATCTAATGAGATTATCTGTGAGAAAAAATAAAAATGAAGAAGAGGAAATGATCAGAAATATTCTTTTGGAAAAGAGTAAAAATCCAAAGAAAAAGGAGCTTTCACGAATAAAAAGCTCTGATAAGGATTTTTTCAATTCACAACTTGAGAAAAAACTGTCATCTATAAGCAGTATCAGTGAGCGTTTTTCTTAATTTTATATTATATTATATGAGGGGGTTATTAACAAGAAACTCAAGATTAAAGTGTAAAATAATATTAATTAAATATAATTTCCAGAGATAAACATAAATCTTACACATTTGCTTCTGAAAGATAATTTATATTAGTTATAAATCTACTGCTCAAAGTCTATAAATTATGTAAGCATAAAATGGCTAATCATTTAGTAGCTGACCTAACTAAAATTTTTTCTAAGATTATTTGAAATTCATTTTAAATGACTCTTAATCTTAAATTACATTAATGAGGCGACTGCCGTGTTGTTAACGCAGAAACCAAGGACCTCAATGTGAGGTTCACTGCTTTGCGACCATTCCCAACAAGCCATAAAGGCTTGCCAAAGGGAAATGCGTCTACTCCTTCCCACAGCGTGCTGCGGCTTAAGTCTTGAGTGGGCGGGCTATGGAATCCTGCGGCTGCTGCTTGAGTTACGGGAGTTGGCTTTCCGAAATTCCAAAAAATGGAATTTCTGGTCACCTTTCGGCAAAAAGGGAAATTCCAAGTCCTGGGACGTAACGCCCAGTTTCACGCTAGGTAGTTGCCCGATTGGTCTAGGCATTGCCTGTAGACCTTGCTGGGCTTACCCTTTCCAAACTTGGACACCCTTTCCTCTCGAGGAAAAAACCATTCTAGTCGTTGGGCATGGGCCAGGCTCTGCTCTGCAGAATTGCTTACCATGGCATTTTGCCCATTTCTGGAATAGCAAAACCTTGCCGGCATTTTAAATGACTCATTCATTCATAGGATTATTATAGAGAAACTCCAGCCCACTAATGGCTTTTTCACGTCCCTTGCTCAGCACCATCCCCATACTCGCCAGTCTGATTACTTAACTTAAGAATTGTGCTGCTCCTTCCATACAAGGCTTACACTTGTTACCCAGAGGTGAAGACGCTGGGTCACCATACAGTACATCAACGGTTACCTATTCCGAAAATTCAAAAAAAGAATTTTCTGGTCAGGCTATCAACCAAGATGAAACTTGTAGCCCAGGGCGCAACTCCTGGTATCGCGCTAGGAAAATGCCGATTGGTCGAGCAAGCACTCCCTGGTCTTGCTGGACGAATACTTACCAAGTTCCATCCTCCCTCTGGGTAAACCTTGCACTGGATGTGAGCCTGCGGTCACTACGCCGATATTGCACTCCACCATACCAAGTAAAAACCTGACTGGATTCACACACCAATCTCTGCTCTCCTTTTCACAAGGTCCCCAGAGTACAGGTGCTCAGAGGGCAGGTAGATTTTCCATGTCATTTTTATGTGCCATTTAAAATGGCTCAATTATCTTGTGGACGCTTAATTTAATCCTTCTTATTATATACATGATCAAAAACTTATTTCCATTTTGTAAACAATTCACCATTATTTATTTATAAATTCATTGATCCTAAATTTTCCAAATTATGTTAAAAATTTTCACTAAGAAATAATGTATGGTAAATAAAATTTCCAACACTCCTATTATCATCTTATCAGCTTATTATTTAAAATTTTATTATAATTATATTGAAATGGGCTTTTTAGAAGTTGGTGAACCTCCATTGTCCTTTGAAGAATCAAAAGCACTGGCTGAGTACATTCGAGAACATGGTGCTATCCAATTTGTGCAACTCTATAACGGTCATAAAGATCATCACACCCCAGCTCTCCGTTGGGGGGAAGAAATGGAATATCATGCAGTTCAGCTTGATGAAGAACATCATAAAGCCAAAATATTTCTCAGAGCAATTGATGTTATCAATGCATTAAACGCTGCAGAAGAGCTAACGAATGGTAGCTTGATTTGGCATGTGGAATATGGTGCATGGATGATAGAAAGCGTCCCAAAATTTCCTTATAATCATTACATTCAAGATTTATTAACAGTCGAACCTAAAATGGTCCTAAGAAGAATGAAAATGAAGACTATTTTGCAAGCTATAAACCCTTCCCTTTGTCCTTTATCTATACCTTGCTTCCCACTGCTTGGAGTTGGTGATGACTATTTTTGTCCAAAAGAAGGACCAGATTTTTTAAATAATGCAAGCCAAAGCTTATACCTTGACGATAGAGTTATATGCCCTCATCCTAGATTCCCAACACTTACTAAAGGAATTGTGACACGTCGAGGAAAACCTGTAAATATCAAAATTCCTTTATTTCAAGACGAAAATACAAACCCTCAAGATGAGCCATATCCAGGTTTTATTCATATGGATGCATGTGGATTCGGAATGGGTATAGCGCTTTTCCCGAGGATGGCGCGGAATGGCGCCATCCTCGGGAAAGTCAACTAAGCATCCACACGGGAACTGGGAGTTCCACGTGTGGATGCCATTTTTGACATGTGGGATCCAAACTTCCACATGTCAAAATGGCATCCACACGTGGAACTCCCAGTTCCCATGTGGATGCCTTCCTGGCTTTCCCGAGGATGGCGCCATTCCGCGCCATCCTCGGGAAAGCGCTATATGTGCTGCTTGCAGGTAACATTAAATGCTACAAGTCTATTTGAAGCAAGGTCACTCTATGACCAGCTTGCTCCTTTGACACCTGTTATGCTTGCATTATCAGCCTGCACACCATTTTTTAAAGGAAAATTAGCAAATACTGATACGAGATGGGAAGTTTTGGTTCAAGCTATGGACGATAGGACTGATGAAGAAAAAAATATAGGCTGAAGATCCCGATATGGAGGAGTTTCCCGATACATTTCTCAATGTGCTAAATTAAAGCCTGAGTATAATGATATAAATGTCCCTTATCACGCTCCTACCTATGATTATTTACTATCTCAAGGTATTGATGAAATTTTAGCAAAGCATATAGCAGTAATCATGATTAGAGATCCATTAGTTATTTTCCCTGATAAAGTATATGTAGATGATACTACCACTACAATGCATTTTGAAAACCTTCAAAGCACTAATTGAAACTCCTTAAGGTTTAAACCGCCGCCATCAATGGACTCAGATATCTGCTGAAGGGTAGAATTCAGGCCTATGGATGTCCAGATTACTGACTTTGAAAACGCAGCATATTCAATTTTCTTGATTTTATTATCCCGCATGATTGTAGCTTTAAAATTAAACTTTTTGATACCTATGTCACAAGTTGATGAAAATCTTCAAAGAGCTTCTGTTAAAGATGCAATTTTAAGCCAAAAATTCTGGTTTAGGCTAAATGTCATTGGAGCTGACTGCAAGGAGCGGCAATTTTTCATGGATTCTACTAAAAATTCTCAAGACAGAATTGAAGAGCTTACCATGAGAGAAATCTTTTTAGGGACGCCAGAGTTTGAAGGGCTTTTAGGCTTGCTTGAAATTTATGCTAATTTTCAATAAATTTAAAAAAAAAAATATACAATTTTTTATATAAAATAATTATAGAAATTAATTTATAAAGAAATATCTAAAAGAAGTAGTAAAATGTCCAGAAGAAGATTATAACCAGCTGAAAAAATATTTGGATTTAATTAAAAGAAGGGTTATTGGGGAAACCCCTACAGGAGCTGCATATTTGAGAAATTTCATTGTAAATCACCCGGATTATGCGAAAGATTCAATTATCAATGGAAATATTGCATTTGATTTAGTGAAAATTTGTGCTGACGCAAGAGTTGACTGGCTGCTGCCAAAAATAAATGGCACAAGTAGTTAGGTTAAGATAAAAATTTCTAATAAATATGATTTTTAATAAGAAAATTATTGGAAAAAATCGTGAGAAATATACTCTTTATTACAATCCGGGCATCTTGGGTGTCTTGCTGTGGTTAGTCATTGCTCTATACAATTTGTGTGAAACGCATGCTTGCATTTGGTAATCCTCACTGGGTCACTTGTTTTAAAATCTGTTAAGCAAATCGCACACGTAGGCTCTCCAGTGAATTCGGTATTTTCTGTGTATACAAATGTGGAGGCATCTTGATCTATTTGCTGCTTTGTTATATGATTTTCATCGTTTTCTTCATAAGAAGCATTTGGACTGATTCTATTGAACCAGCTGAAAAAATTGATCTTAACTCTTTTGAGGATTTTTCTTAAAAAAATTAATTAAAAAAATTATTTTTAGGTAAGAAATCTTTATAGGGGTTAGTTGATATATATATAAGGAGTGCCCTAAATATATGTTACAAAATAAAAATAATACCTATTACGCATCCAAGTATTATGCATATCTGTTTTCAATCAAATTCACTGTCAGAGCTGTTACAGCTCTTGTTATCATAATTGCATTCCTTTGTATTGCAATCTTTATCGCATTTATCATTATTAAGCTGCTCTTCTGTGCATAAACAGCCAGGCAAACTTGATTGTTGATAAGATATGTGAAGTATTGCCAGCGATATAATAATACCGAGTGACATTTTATATTAAATAAATTTGATATCTCATTAATCCTCAATTAAATTGTATTTTTATGAATTTGCAATAATAATTCTCCTTATTTTACAGCTAACAATACTTCTTTTTATTATCTGCTAAATATTATATAAAATTATCAATAAATCAATCTGAGCTCATCAAATATAGCCAAACCAGCTTAATTTAATTGAAAATCTATTCCTATAAAATCAATTCATATTTGAAAATATGGATGAAGTGATCAAAGATCGTCTTCACGCTGAACAAATTTTAAAGCGGCACGGTGTACAAGTCGGAGCAAAAGCTGCAGGCGAACTCATGATGCATAGCGCTAGACTCGGCCTTCGCAATATTTTAGAGTTTTTCGGAAGAACAGTCCAAGTTGACTATAAAAATAAATTCCACGATACTTTATTACATTATGCAGCCCGAGGTGGGAATATAGATATTGTGAGGCAGCTAATTGAATTAGGTGTAAGCCCACTAGCGAGAAATTTATTTAATGAAACTCCTCTGTTTTATGCTGCAGAAGAAGGCCACGTTGACGTTGTCGAAGTTTTAAGTGAGTATGGAGGAATTGATTACCAAGACAAATTTGGTGACACTGCTTTGCATTTTGCAGCTAGAGAAGGAAATGAAGCAATTTGTGTGATTTTGCTGAGAAAGGCTAGAAATGTAGTAAATATTGCGAATGATAATAATCAGACAGCACTATCTTATGCGCTAGAGCAAGGGTATTTAGACGTTGCGAAAACTATAGAGAGATATGGAGGAAGAGTTAATGCATAATGAAACATTATTTATCTTATAAAACAGCAATTTTAAACCATTAACATTAGCATTAACTTAACTTATTGAGAAGTTCGCTGTAATTTCCACCTAAGGGCCTACCTCCGACCGTAATGCTTCACTCGGCTGCTCACCACCAATTGTCTCATGTCCTGAAAAGTGTTGCTCCATAAATAAAATTCCATGAGGGAGAGAAAATTGGCAGAGCCAATTTCTCTCGAACCGAAATGCCATTTTATTTATGGGGTTGGGTTTTCTCTCGAGAACTTCTGCACAGCAATAGTCGTTTAACTTTGGGGATAACCAAAGGCACGACTCCTCAGTGCACTCAAGATTTCGGAGTTTTTACCTCTCAGCACGTCCCCACGGGAGGATGACCCTTAGGCGGAACACGCGCAGGAGCTGAGTCTGGACGAGCGACGGCAACGCGCCGGGTGAGATGTGCGGCGATTTATCTGGCGACTAGCCTCATAGAAGGCTTGGGTGTGGGCTGACCACATATTCCAAGATGGCTTGGTGACGTCACTAGTTGTCGCTTTGACCCTTTTTCATTAAGGGGTGTGGGCACTAGACACCTTAAAAACTATGTAACTAAGTAAGTAAGTAAGAAAAGTGTTGCTCCAACTGGACGAGGATGTGCACTCGCTACCCAAGTTGGATGAATTGCGTCACCTTGCAGTACATCAACAGAGTTGTCCTTTCCGAAAATTTGAAAAAATAAATTTTCTAGTCGAACTGTCGGCCAAAATGGAAATCCAGTTTCACGCTAGGAAGTTGCCCAATTGACCAAGTGACGTCCTTAGTATATCTGAGCCTCCCCTTTCCACCTTGGAAACCATTTCCCCTGAGGTAAAAATCCTGAAATCAGAATGAGCTCCTGTCAACCAAATTTGACATGGTGCTCCACTGTACAAAGGAAAAACCTAGCGGATACACACACCGAGCGCCAAATTCCCTTCCAGAAGGTCCCGACATGGCCGGCTACAAGTGTTGAGAAAAAGGGCTGGCTCTCCATCGCCATTTTAATATGTATACAAAAATTTAAACCAAAAATAACAAATTTTTTATATAATAAAATTTTCTGATAAGATTCTTATGGACAGCTTATTCTTTCTTCCATTTTGAATCCGCATTATTTAAATTTTCTTTATAAATTCTTATTTTTCTAACACCTCGAATTTTTTAATATAAATTTTATTAATTCTTTTTCATTTAACACCCCACCTACCTAAAACACATAAATCAGGTCTTTTCGCTATATAATAAATTCTCCCCGCCATTTATTATCTAATAATGAATTTGAACAGTCCTCCCTCTGATAGTGATATCCCTGAAACATTTGGCAGCTCTGCCATGCGCAGTCATCAGCGCCGTGAAAACCGCCGAACTATCCAATCAGCCCAACTTGATACTTCAGAAGCTTTAGACCGGTTCACCAAGGTTGTAGAAATGCTACATACAAATAAAGTGAACAAAAGCAATGCATTTGAATTAAGGATCATGGACTATATTTCTGAAGTATTTAAAGGTGTTGAAGCCCAGTCCAAAGATACTGAATTTGTATGGCAAAAATATTCTACTGGGATTGATTCTTGTGCAAAAATTTATGGGTATTGTGTTGATTTTATACACTCAGAAACCTTTAGGGTCTTAGGAGGGCTCAATCGAACACATGCCCCAGAAGAAGAGGAAAATGACGAAAATAATGAAAATCAAGATGAAAATGTTGAAGATAAACCCAAAAAGAAAAAGAAATGTCCAGGTGGGTCATCAACGCTAGAGAGAAGTGCTGATGCTATTAATACCACGAAATTTGAAAAATCTGATGACTTTGACCCTTATTTTAGACTCATGTCAGCAAGATTTGACGCCTCAAGTGCTGAAGGTCTTCTTATCAACAATTTGTCCATAAATGGAGCAATTGAACTGATTTTAGGAGACGATGATAGACTTGATATCACTGAACCCCTCAACCAAGAGCCATATTTGAATTTAGAAGGATTTTTTAAGAGTTCTTATGAAGAACTACTGGAAATGGATATAAGCCCTGAGCTTTCTGAATTTGAAAGAGTCAGACTCAATGGACAGCCAAGTGGAGCTGGCTTAGAAAAAATTTTAGAAAACATGAACGCTGAGTACGATCTTTTTGAAGCTTCAGGCTCAGAAGCGTCTTTACCTGAAGAAGGTCCACAAGAACAAATAGATCTTGCTGACCTCGCTGACTCAATTTTTAAGAAAAAAGAGAGAGACATGTCAGAAGCTTTTCATTCAGATGTAAATACTGCTAATTTAATAGAAAGGCTCAATAATATTGAGCAACGTGACGATTATCGCTATTTCTCCAACCCCAAACTCGGCACCTGGGCAGGTTTTGAATTTTGGAATCGCATCTCCAACCCTAACCCAAACAAGCCAAAATCTGAAAAAAAAATCCGCAAAAAAAAAGAGCCGACTGAGATAAACCTTGACTATACCACAATAGCCAATAAAGAAGAAGTTTTTGCACCTCCTAAGAGAGGATACCCAAATTTTTATAGTGACCAAGCCTTAAAAAAATGGGAAGAAAATTCTAATTCGATTCCTTATGACTATGGGTTTTCCCTTTTTAGGCTAACACAGCTATTTACAAGGCCACAGACCCAGGTGAAGTACTTAAAGCAAGGCTTAGACTTTGAAAATGTGATTGTTGATAATGTGGATGTCCCGACTTCTGGAGAAGAAGGACATGAAGCTGAAATTTTGTTTGCTGAAGAAATTGAGCCACTGCCAGGTGAAGATTATGCACAAAACTTGCAATTTGCGACGACATCGAAGACTATTGATATTAAGAGATTAAAAGAAACCATGTGGCATAAGCTGAACACGAAGACTAAAATGGATATCGATGATAAAGAAAATACAAGGGTTATTCATGATGAAAAAAATAATACATTTTTGGGAGTTTTAAACGCCTTGCCTGGGACATTGCCACAACAAGAAGTGTCTAATTTGTCAGTGCACTCGTGCTTTATTTCCCTTTTACATCTTGCAAATGAGCATAATTTAAGACTTGAGGCGACTGACGAATGCGATTTTACTATTATGGAAAATTAAGCAAACTAAATAATATATTTGGCTTAAATCTTAAAAGAATAACAATCTGCTCAGTTTTTCCTTATAAATGGGAATTTAGCTTTACCATTTATACAATATTTAATAAAAATATGTATTCCCTTTATAATATAGACTATTTTTGCATATTAGTTCAATCTCAATCAAGTCGAAAATAATTATAATTAGGGGAAAGCAAATTAATATCTGTAGGATTTTGAAACTAATTTTCTTATATCCTAAGATGCCTTTCAAAGTTAAGGGCTATTAGAATCCTTCAAAATTTACAAAGGATAAATTAAGAACTCTTCAAGCCCTTAATGAAATATAAATTCTAAAAGAGTCAAGAATGGTCGACTTTTTTAAAATATGAAAACGTATAAGCCAATGATTTGTAAAAGCATAGCTAGCTGCCTAATATAGTATTAGCATTAGCAAGATCTTTAAAATTTTGAAAATTTCCTCAATTTACTTCTGTAATTTTACTTAAAATTGCATTAATTCCTAAGTTTCTGCCATTTTTCCGAGGATAAAAGGCTGTCGGTCGAACAAATAATCTAAAATGGAAGGCTACTTCGCCCAAGGCTCAAACAGCCAAAAATCAAAAAAGACTGTATTCGCAGTCTTAGGTCTCCTAGCCGTTGTAGGAGTTGTTGCTACAGTTGCAGTTGCTTCTAGCTCTTCAGTATCGCCAGCATTAGCCCAATTTGTCATTGAAGAGCAAGAATTCAGAGAGTTTATGGATACTCACGGGAAATCATACTCATCCAACGAAGAATACCAAATGAGATTCAAAATTTTCCGTGACAACTCAGCCTACATCCGCATTTTCAACTCTTTCGGAAACTCCTGGGCTCTTGGTGTCAATAAATTCGCTGACATGAGCTTCCCAGAATTTAAAGCCAAATATCTCCCATACAAGTTCCCAGCCAAAGAAAACACCAATGTTGTCATGCTCGACGAGGTCTCAGTCCCAAGCGCAATTGATTGGACTACTAAAGGTGCAGTAACCGCTGTTAAAAATCAAGGACAGTGTGGAAGCTGTTGGTCTTTCTCCACAACTGGATCAGTTGAAGGTGCCTGGTTCCTTTCAGGCCATACTCTTGTATCCCTCTCAGAACAAGAGCTTGTAGACTGCTCAACATCTTATGGAAATCAGGGCTGCAATGGTGGACTTATGGATAATGCTTTTAAATATATCATTGCTAAAGGGATTACTTCAGAAGCGAACTACCCATACACCGCTAAAGATGGTCTTTGCAACAAAGCTAAGGCTTCCCAAGTTAATGCTACCATTAGCAAATACACTGATGTCGCTAACTTCCCTCATTAAAATATTCATTGCAAATTAAATAATATAATAATTGGCGTATAAATGGCCATTATTATATGAAATTTATCAGCTGCATTAAACCTTTGGCATCTTTTATTAACTTTTAAAAATAAATTTCTTTTTCTCAATTTAAATATTTGTAAACTGGGAATTTAAAATCTAAAAAATTAATTAAATTAGATAATGGAAGTAAGGACAATATTTCCCAATTATTTGCAGCTGTTGCCCAACAACCAGTCTCTGTAGCTGTTGAAGCTAATCAAGATTCATGGCAACTTTATAAATCAGGAATTGTAACCAAGGACTGTGGAACTGCTTTGGATCATGGTGTTTTGATTGTAGGATACAACCAGACAAGCACTCCTCAATACTGGAAAGTCAAAAACTCTTGGGGTGCAGATTGGGGTGAGCAAGGGTTCATCAGAATTGCAGTCAAGGCAGGAGCTGGAATTTGTGGTATCAATATGCAACCATCATATCCTACAGTTTAAGAATAACTAAAAAATTATGATAAAATGACTAGTCTATTTATTTGATAATATGAATAAAATTACCAAATAAACCAAGATTTCTTGTGCATAAATTATAAGTCCTCTTTATCAACAAAAAAAATAGGCCATCATGGCCGGAAACCCTTACCGGGCATTTGGGGCAACAGAGGAAAAGAAAAAAAACCAGAATTCTGGGTCACCGAAAATAAAAAAACGGTGGCCCCAAAGGGCCACGGAGTTGCGATGGCAGATTTTGCGGGGTGGGGTGTGGGCTTGGGCTGACCAGCCTCCCCTCGCCCACAGACGAAAGACCGACGGCGCAATACCAAGCAGGCACTTCTGGAGGAGCATTAGGCTGCCTGTAAATGGCGGAGGTAGTTCCAGAAGGAGGCTGTGGACGATCCCCTCATACCCTGAGCACTACCAGGGGTTTAAGAGAGTTCATTGGCGCAATTTTGGTCCAGCAGGTTCGGGTGAGTCTCCCCGAAAGATGTCGACGTCACACCATTTTTGATGACATCGACAGAAAAGGGCGTTAGGTGGCTTTAGTGATTGGCGCCACATGAAGCGTGAAGCTGAAGCTCGACTGGCTAGGGGCTGAAATAATCCTTGTTAATCCCCTCTAATATAACTCTCTCTCTCTTTATCAAAGCTGTATAAAATAAGTTTATTTTGATTTTAGTATTATTGTTTGACCATAATAAAAATCTTTCGAAAGAATAAAGCTACTATTACTTTTTCCCGTTAAGCAAACTTGAAAAAAATATCAAGTAGAAACTTATTGATTCAGAATCAGGCTTAGCAAGGTTTTTATAAAGATTTTTGATTGCTATCATTTGTAAAAACTCATAAATCAAAAATTTAAAAAATCGTTATTTTAAGATAGCCAAAGCTTCACTATAAGCCAGACATTAATATATGCTTAATTATATTCTCTTGATTCATATTAAGCTTAATTCTAACCAAGTAAGTAGTTTTTTACTTCATTAAATAAATGTTTCAAAAAGCAGCTTTTGCTATATTATAGTTGTCAGATTCTCATTTCACATAAAATGGCAGCTTATATAAGCTGATAATAAAATGTCTCAAGATCTCAAAGACTTCTTAGACAGAACCAAAAACCTAAGATCTTCATTTGCAAAAAGAGCCAATTTAATAGCATCTAGTGCCACTGCTCCAATATCTGATAACAATTTTGACGAATTAGATGTACAAATAACCAAACAAATCGAAAAAGCTAACTGTTTAACCTTGAATTATGACTCGTCAATTTTAGGCTACAAGCCACATACAAAATCAGCAAGCTCTAGAAGTAACTTGAAGCCATCTCAAGTCGAAAATTTTCGTCTCCAAAGGCTCGCTTTCTCTAGAAACCCTAAAGCTACAAGCACTGATATTTTTGAATTTTTAACACCTAGAACAGCTCAAAGTCCTATACATTTAAAGCTGCCGACGCTAAAAAATCCTTATTTGTCACAAACAACACCTATTATAAGGCTGAAGAAACCAAAAAAGATACATTTGATTGTGAATAAAGCATCGCCATCCTTAAAAATCTCTAGATTAGAAAAAGCATACAGTTAAAGAAATATAACATGATCAAGTATATTAATATAATTTTGTTATTGATCCTATGCTATAGAAGGATTTCTATAATTTTTTCTTTTTTGTGTATTTTGGTTTTCTTGCAGTTAAATACAAATTGTCGAGCAATTTTACAAAATTTTCACTTAGGCTTGAAATTATCTCTATTAAATAGATTTTGAGAAAGATCGGTTTTTCATAATATTGATATCGCTCTAATTTTACTATTTATATGATTTCACATATTTCCTAACACTACTCTTTAAAAAAGAGTCAATTTTTATATTTTTAAATTAATTATACCAAAATTCCCTTTGAAAGCAAAAGTGTAATTTAATTATGTTTTGGAACGCAAGATTATTAAATTTAACAAAGCCTGCTAAATATTTCATTATTATAACTGTAGCTTAAATATCATAATTATATTTATTATTAAAACATTTATTTTTGCTAATAGAGAGCTTAATTTCCGAAAAAAATATAATCTGTTTAGCTCGTTATCAAAATTAACGGAGGATTAATAAATATATTAACTCCCCCCCCCCCCCTCCGTGAGCGAACAAAACCATTAGAAAAATCGCCATTTTTTGACCAAAAACCCACCCTCCGTGAGTGAACAAAAATTTTTTTAATAGAAAAAATTTTAATGGAAAAAAATTTTGATATATAAGTGATAATTAGTATAATGAAATCTAGAGCTAATTCTGTTTAATTTTAAACAAATTGCGTTTTAAAACATAAATTTTGCAAATTAAAATTAATATTTGCTTCCCAATTTTTGCAAATTAGGATTTTTTTAAATTTCGAAAAAAATATTTTTTATAAAATTTATATATAAATTTTTTTTAAAAAAAAAAATTAACCCCCCTCCGTGAGCGAACAAAATTTTTTTGTTCGCTCACGGAGGGGGGGGGGGGGGGGGGAGTAAGGAATATTGCATATTTAAGTAAAATATTTTTATTATTTATTCCTATAAACTTTTTTCTCTAAAAAGGCCAGAATTTTTTCCCTTTTTTAAGTGCTTTTTGTTTTAGGTCAATTAAATTCAAACTGTCGAGTAGTTTTAGCAGCCTCTCTCTCAAGCCGATGTTCATTTTATCCTTACTCCTTCCACTTTAGTGATAAGCAAGATTTTTATAGTCAATAACTTGGGCTAGATTTAAATATAGGAAGGGGAGATTTTCAAATCCATTAGATTTAGGTTTTAGCTATTTAAAGTTTAATAGAATTCGTTAGAGATTTATTAATAATCAAAATAATGATATATAGAAATATTTTATATAAAACCTTGCTACTTCTTAATTTCCTAAAAAAATTCTCTAATAATTTTGCCCATTAAATCTCCCCGAATAAAAACATTTTCGCTCATAGAGGGGTTAATTTTTATCAAAAATTTATAGTAAATTTTTTTCGAAATTTATAAAAATAATCCCATTAATTTAATTTGTAAATATGTTTTCAAATGTAAGCTATATAAATTCAACAGAATTAGCTAGATTTTTACCCAAAAATAGGGATTTTTTCTATGGTTTTGCTCGCTGACAGACAGAGGGGGAGTAAAAAAGGTGGAGAGGAGTTAGAATTTCCCTTGCAGGCTTTTCTAACTTGGTTCGTTATAATTTCCAACACGTGCTTTGACTTGTTTACTAATTGATCTGAATATAGCCTGCTAGGCGAAATATTTTCATCAGGTTTAAACATCCAGTTTCTTACCTTTAATTCAATCTGAGCTCCATTTTTTATAGAAACTTTTGCAAAAATTTGATGCACAGGCTGGACATCAATAAACTCAGGAATAATTAAGCCGTTATACGTAATATAAATTTTATTTTGATGAGTCATCCCAATCCCTACAGTATCCCACGATCCATATCTAGGCCCTTTCATGACAGGCTTATCTTTTATTGTAACATTTCCATTTTTCCCACAGTAAAATACATCTAACCCTTCAAATCCAATAGAAATATTTTCATATTTTCCCGCTTTATGGACCCTTATTTCAAAATACGACACTGTCCCTATTTCTAGTTCATTTCTTATAATTAAAGGTTTTGTTGTCATAATTGTTAGCTCAGAATCTGCATAGAAAATATTTTCTTTTTTTTCTTCATATAAGGTTCCTTTTGAGTCAATAAATTGGATACCACTATAATAGGTAGGTAGCTTAAATTGAGAAATGTCATTTGGAGCGAAATCATGGATTTCTTCACAGTTGCAACGACTATGAGGACTTTGGTATAATAAGTAATTTTTCTTATGATCAATATGTTTAGGAGAATTCGAGCAGCTGACACATAAGGCTTGAGAACAAGTTAAACAGTTTACAAGCATTGGGTGCTTTCCTAGTAGCATTATAAACTCATTGTTAAAATGAGTGTTGCATTGTCCAATTAATTGAAAATATTGCAATGTCATAGGCAAGCACAGCAGTTCTTCCAGAATAAAAATTGATGCCTTTAAAATATCATAAGCACTGTCCGGCTGATTTTTTATGCCATTTATAATAGATTCTGCTAATATTTCTAGCAGTGAGTCTTCTTTTTCAAGCTTAAAGTAATAAGGAACTTCAACAAGAGCTTGAATTACATTAAATTCAGGAAGTTCTGCGATTTTTTGACAATTTGCTATAAATTCTATAGAATTCGGCCCAAAAAACGACATAGTTGACTTGATAAAATTTAAATCAATTCTGATGTTTTTTCTTGCCCCGCCCAGTGCAAAATCATTTAATCCGCTTTCCCAGACAATTTGAAGAGGGGTCAAAGTATTGGAATATGTAAACCTATTTATAAAATCATATAAAATATCACGATTTTCCAATGATAACTTCATGGCTACGTCCAATATTTCTAGCACCCCAATTTCAATTAAATATTCATTATTTTCACCTGCTTTGTCTTGCAGAATCTTAAAAACCGCGTTCATAAGCTGTGAGGATTCTTTTCAATCGTATTTTATGCACCTTTGCAAGAAAATTGGTAATAATTTGTAGCTGTTTAAATAATAAGCAACTTCAGCAGAATGGTCGTCTTCATCAGAAATTAATAAAATTTTTTTTAGGCTGCGGAATCTAGCGTGAGGAGATTCAAAAAGGAGCCCTGAATGCAAGCCGTCAAGGTCTTTAAAAGTGCAATTATTTAATAAATTTCAGTCGTTCAGCCATAAGCCTTTCCATATTTGGATTATTTTGTTGTCAAAAGGCGCGTTGTCGATACCATTAAAAGAGCTGAATAATAAAGATTCTAATGCAGGGTCTTCAAATCGAATTTCTAAATTTTCATATTTTTCATTATTTTCAAGGTCTCTAAGAACTGGCAACTCTGATAAATCCTTGATGCCTGCTAAGGAATATAAGCATAATCCTAATCCTCATAGTTCTCCAGCTAAAGTTTTATTGATTTTCTCATCAGGGTAAATTTTATCAAGTTTTGATTTTCCGCATTCCAATGAATGTTTAGTAGTTACCGAAATTTTGACACTATATGAATAATTTGATGTATAAATAACTGAGCGAGATTTTGTAGGCAGCTCTCTTATAACCAAAACCGAGTCAGGAAAAATGCTTTTAAGGCAGATATTTTGGCTCTGGGATGCCTGAATTATATCTAATAGATATAAATACAAATAAATCGATGCTTCTTTAGGCAAATAACTATAAATATTCTCAATTTTCATTATTTGTGATAACTCTTCTAATGAAAGACACTCAATAAACTCACTTACAATAATAAGTAATCATGAGTCTTCGTCATAAACCTCAAATAAATCTTGAACTTCCACAATTTTTCACGCTTCTTTAGACTTTTGGAGATTTTGGATTCACTGAAAATTCTCTTTTAAATGATCATAGCATTTGCAGTGGACAACTTTTATATGATGGCGATTACCTTCGAGGTCATTGCCAAGAAATGCGTTTGAGGAAGAAGAAAATTTGTGGGTGAGCTGGTATTCTTGCAGTGAGTAAGAGTTTGATAGGAGTATCGGCTGATCTAATGGAACTATTAGATTTGAGAAACGATACTCTAGCATCTCAATTCACTTACTCCCCCCCTCCGTGAGTGAACAAAACCATTAGAAAAATCGCTATTTTTTGCCAAAAACCCACCCTCCGTAGTGAACAAAAATTTTTTTAATAGAAAAATTTTTAATGGAAAAAAGTTTTGATATATAAGTGATAATTAGTATAATGAAATCTAGAGATAATTCTGTTTAATTTTGAACAAATTGCGTTTTTAAAACATAAATTTAATAAATTAAATTAATATTTGCTTCCCAATTTTAGCAAATTAGGATTTTTTTAAATTTCGAAAAAAAAATTTAACCCTCCGTGAGTGAACAAAATTTTTTTGTTTACTAACGGAGGGAGGGAGTTAGTGTCAAAATTTTCCATTTAGTAACTTATTAACAAAAATCTATATTATGCCTGCTTGCCAAGAAAACACACTAAGGAGCATTTTTTGGTTCGCCAATCTTAAATTTGGTTTGGCAAGCATCTATTTATCTGGCCAAACTAAAAATGCTCCTTAGTGTGGGCTATTCTTGGTAAATAAGTATAGCATATTATAAATTCTTGAAAAAATATTAATTATTTGTTGAGAAAGCTAAATGCCTATTAAAAATTTGTGTTTATTGCCAAATTTTATGATGACTGATTTTATCTTGGTTTTTAGGGGAGAGTTTTCCCCTTGGAAAGCTCCCTCTTCTTTTCAATGCATTTAGTGTTTTTTTGTTCTCCATATATAGATCGTCGCATTCTTTCATTATATCATTTAAAATTTGTAATTCATCTGCCCTTTTAATTTCTTTATAACTCCTAGCAGTAAATTTCGGTGTATCTGATTTAAGAATTTCTGTTCTGGAAAGGCTAAATTTTGGTGAATTTGCTTGGATAAAAATTCGTAGAGCTGTATTATCGTCCATTTTCTTAGGATTTGCTGGGGTTGTTAATGAGGATTTTGCTGAAACTTCGGCTTTGTATCTTTTAAATTTAATAACATTGGCTGCATCTTTCATATGCTCATATGACAGAAGCTCTTTTGTATTTTTTTCTCCTCAAAAATCAGATATAGTCAAGCTTTTTTTCCTTTCCATCCTTTTGCTGAATCCAATTATTTCTGGTTTGTAACCAACTTCTTGTGGTAGTCCTACACTTTCTAGAAGTGAAATTTCTTTTTTATATATTTTCTCTAGCCCTGAGTATGCTGTAGACTGTCTTTTTAGAGGCTTTTTAAGCGCATTTCCTAAATTTTCTTCATTATAGCATTTTGGGCTTGAAATTCCTGAATATGTTTTATAGTCTGTGCTCCTATATAAATTTCTTTATTGAAATAATGCAATGGACGGTTGAAAGACCAAGTCAGATTTTATCAAAGGACGAGCTGGATCTCTATAGCAGGAAGGGATAAAAAGTGACATGCCAAAAATTGTTGACAAGTGCGAACAAAATTGGCAAGCAAACGCACCAATTTTTAAAATGGATTTATTATAAAAAATTAATTTTAAATTAAAGACACCTTTTAGACTACGCTGAAAAGTATCTTACTTATTTTTTCCTATTTTCTATCGAATTAAATATTATTAAATTTTAAGAATTAGATATCGATAAGTTATTTTTCCAGAGTCGCCACGACCTTTAAAGGCTATAGAGATAACTATAGAGAGATGCTTATGTTCCAATTATATTTGAAAACTATCTATTAAAATTTGATTTTTGAAGTACAATACAAAAATCATATAAAGATGGTATTGCATCATAAGGAATTTTATGTCAATGAAAATTAAGAATCGCTGCGACCTATAAAGGCAGTAAAGAGAACTAATGGAGTAATGCTTCTGTTGCAATCTTTATCGAAAATTGCCTATTAATTTTTTTTTTTTAAATTCAATACAAAATCCATATTAAAGATGGTTACCTGATATAGGAAATTTTATGTCACTTAAAATTAAGAGTCGCTATGGCCTGCAAAGACAGTAAAGAGAACTAATAGATTAATTCTTATTTTGCAATTTTTATCGAAAATCGTCTATTTAAAATTTGGCTTTTTCAAATTCAATTAAAAAGCTATAAAACACGACAAAAACTTTTTTAAGATCACTATGACTCTTTAAACCTTTAGAGAACACTATGAGAGTAATAATTATGTTTCTATTGAAATTGAAATCGTCTATAAAAAGTTTGATTTTTTAAAATTTCATAGGAAAGTAATATTAAAGTTAGAGTTATATTTTGTATTAAGGAAGAGATTATAATTTTATTTTAGTGTCTTAAAAAAGAAGGAAAAAATATGTAAGATACTTATCAGCATAGTCTAGGAGGTATCTTTAATTTAAAATTAATTTTTTATAATAAAGTCATTTTTAAAAATTGTCGCGCTTGCTTGCTAATTCAGTTGACACTTGTCATTCAGTTTTTGCCATGCCTTCCTGTTATAGAGATCTAGCTCGTCCCTTTGATAGAGTCTGGCTTCATCATTCAACTGTCCATTGCATTTTTCTCGATAAAGAAATCTATATAGGGGTATAGGCTATATACTATTGTTTTAAAATTTGGTTACCTAATTTTAAGATAAAATTCTTAATTTTATGTAAAATGAAGGCTTTATGCTCTAATTATTCAAAAAATTGATTTAATAAGGTTTAAAAATATTTGAGTCATCATAGTTTTCTTTTAAGTCTTTTAAACCTACTTTATTCCGGCATTTTAGCAAATTGAAATTCATCTCAGAATTTATGTTCTTTCTATGCAAATTTTTCTTCAAAGCAAGCTGATATGCCTTTTTTTGTAATTTCTGTTGTTGTGAATTTTCCATTTTAAAACAGTCGTTAAAAATAATTTTAAAACTTATTAATTTTTCAATGAATTTTTTATACCGTAAGCTACTAATTGCTATATAAAATGTCAATTAAAAGTAAAAAAATTTATTTACCTCTATAAGATATAATTATTCTTCTTTATAGAATCTATAGAAAATAGCCATTTAGCTAAATATTATTTTATTTAGAATATGGTTTTAAAAAGCATAAAGTAAATCTTATACCTGGTGAATATAAAATTACCAAGTTATGCAGCTTGTGATAGAAGTTTGACAAATACCTCTAATCTCTTTTCAAAGCTTCCTGCACAGTGCATATTTTTTTCTATTTGAATTGGATCATCTTGGCCGACAAGCTGGAACCAGTTAAAATTCAAGTTATTCCACAAAGCTTCCAAACCTTGAACTATAAGTGGCTGGCGTTCTGTACCCTGCGCAAATGTTAATTCTGGACAAATTTCTCTATAATAAACTTGGTTTAAGTTTATTAGCCCTAAAAGGATTCTATTAATAATACCTATACTTTATTATATGAATTTTCCAGAAAATTTAATTATTTATTTTATCAGATTAATTAATCTAAAAATCATAAATTTTTAGCCTCACCTCTTAGAACCATCAGGAAAATGGTTTTGAGGAGTTTTTTAAGCGGCTCTGACTGAATCATTCTGAAGTTTAGCTTTATATCATAAGCAGGTGGTTCCTTTGGAAGACATAAATCTCTTACTATATTTTTCAGTGTCACAAGGGAAACTAATGCAATACTTTGATCAAGTGACTGTATTCCTTCATTTATGATATATAACAACTGTGCAGATTTATCATGTGGCAAAGAATAAAAAGCAAGCGCCCTAAGCTCAGCTGTACAGGTTATTAGCTGCAGCAGCTCAAACACAATTTTAAAGATTTTTACATAAGAAATCATATCTTCTATTGGAATGGTAACTATTGATAACAGAGCTAATTCTAACGTCTGTTTTATTGATAAATCTTTGGGTAAAGCTTTTAAGGAGATGCAGCCACTTGTGATGAGTCTAGTGAAAATTACTAAGGCCTGAGATATTGGTTTGTATTTATCTGTGTATAAATCAGCTGGATTGGCAGAGTTAAGGATTAACGTAAAAAAAGAGATAATGTTTTTTTCGCAGTATTTGAATAAGGAAAATCCTTTATGAGAGTCTATCCTGTTCTTAATTGATTTACTGAAATTATTTTCTAATGTAAATAATAATTGATTATATAATAGGAAATTTATCTTCAAAACATTCATTCTACTACAAAATATATAAAAGTTACCTTTAAATGCAAAACTCAGCCTTTCTGTTCTATTAAAAGAAAGTTCTTTTAAAAACTTCAAAAATGGTATCGCAATTTCTCGCTTATCTCAGTTGCTACATATAAACACACTTAGTGGTTCTGAAAGCTTAGGATAAAACCAATCAAAAAACTTTGTCATATGGTCGGAATCTAAAGACCCCTCTAAGACTCCTCTAAGGTCATATAAGGCATTTTGCATCATGATGATATTATTAGTCTGTAAAGCAGTTTCTATACACAAACTAATAGGCGAAAAAAGCACTTCAAAGCTCATAGACAATTTTACATTTGACATATAATAAAGTCTTGATATCGCCGTAATAAAATACCTGCGAGATTTATTTATAATCAGAGGATCCATAAAAGTAAACCTATTTTGGCTATAAGTGCTGAGGATTTCTATAGCGTTATTGTCAGAAAATCCTATATTTCCGCATACTAAAAATGTTGAGTTTTCTAAAGGGTGGGTAATAAGTCGTGTTCCGTCAATTATGTCTGAGAACATTTCTAAGCAGACTTTATAGGTATTTTGTGTGGCTTCTTGCAAGTGTGTAAAAAGCTTGCCTAAAATGTGGCTTAAGACTAAGCTTTCGTTTTCTAGCTGAAGCTTGGAGGCTAAGGCTGTAAATGTACCGCTTACGTTAGATGAAACTTCTTTATTGAAGTAAAGTTTAATAAATGACCGAAGGAAGGACAAGCAAGCTTTTACTATGCTGTTTTATATAAGATAGTAATAAATATAAAAATAAGTGGATTATTTTTTGTTAAAAAATGAGGGAGTTTTAGGTTTATAAAAAATGAAAAATTAATATATAATAGAATAGTCCAGTAGATTTTAATGAAGGATTTACATCAATATAGCTCATCAACTGTAAAATATGATAGGCAAGATTCCCATTTATCATGTGTTCTTCATATGTAGTCTCCGACGCTTTTGGCCTTATAGTCCCATCTCTCTTTGGTGCTACAAATTTTGAGTAAATTTTTTTATTTTCTATAATAATTACGCTCAATATATAAACCATAATTTCCAACTGCACCGCTGCTTCTTGATTTGTCAGTACAATCAAAGCTAATTCTTCAAATTTCATTATGATCCATGATGTTATGCCTTCAAAATCTGCCCTTGACAATGAACAAATCACTGATAGCTCAGCCAGAAGCATTTCTTCGTCGTCAACTCTATCGTCCTTAGTCAGCATTAAGGTAATATATAGCTGCTTATAGAGAATATTCAATTAGACATTATATAACAATAGGATATTTGGTAGGATTATTAAAAATAAGTATAAGATTTTGTAATTTCCACAATGCATTTTTTCAAATCCTCTGGGAATGTTTTTACTTCTGGGCATAAAAAATCCCAAAAAAGCAGTTGATAATGAATAATATTATCAGGGACATCAGTTTCTATAGAGTTTTTAGTGAAATAAAAAATTTTGCCTAGAAACTCTAACAAATTCATATGGTTTTTTACGTCAAAAAGTGCTTTACTGCTTGTTAGTTTAGCTACAAGTCTGACAAATTCATAAAGGATAGTTTCATCGTCAAGCCCAATTTTGCCTTGCAAAATTTCTCTGATTCCTTGGACTATTTGTATGATAATTGAAATTCTTATGTCTTGGGAAGTGAAAAAGTTTTTATTTATTGATAGGTATAACGCCTGGAATTTTAAGCAGTTTTGAGCAGCCTCTTTGTTAGAAAGCCTGAGCATGTATTGGTAAAGCTCAAAAATCTGCCTAGAAGTATCAATAGACTGCAAGGTGCCCCAGCCAGGATTTTGTGAGGGCGAAATTTCGAAAAAATCTGTATTTTCTGCATCATTTTGTCCGAATTCTAATATATTGACAAGGATTTTTAAAAATAAAAGGATAATCCCAGATTTATCAGACTCTGAATAGCTTTCGCTAACTCCCCCCCCCCCCCTCCGTGAGCGAACAAAAAAATTTTGTTCGCTCACGGAGGGGGGTTAATTTTTTTTTTTAAAAAAAATTTATATATAAATTTTATAAAAAATATTTTTTTCGAAATTTAAAAAAATCCTAATTTGCAAAAATTGGGAAGCAAATATTAATTTAATTTGCAAAATTTATGTTTTAAAACGCAATTTGTTTAAAATTAAACAGAATTAGCTCTAGATTTCATTATACTAATTATCACTTATATATCAAAATTTTTTTCCATTAAAATTTTTTTTCTATTAAAAAAAATTTTTGTTCACTCACGGAGGGTGGGTTTTTGGTCAAAAAATGGCGATTTTTCTAATGGTTTTGTTCGCTCACGGAGGGGGGGGGGGGGGAGTAAGAGTTAAAGCCAGAGCACTTGTGCAGCTACCAAAGAGTGCTGGGAGAGAGTCCTGCTGGAACTGCTTGGCATTTCTCTTATGCTGTGTTAAAGCATTTTCAGAGCTTGGGCTCATATCTTCGATTAGAGTGTCTATAAGCTGTAAGCCGATACATATATAGACTGGGGACTGTGTAAGAAACTCTAGGGCATAAGTCGGAAGCTTCGTGAATTCTGTGCTATCATTCCATGATTGTCTAGCAATCCTACATAAAAGTCTTAATAATGATAATAAAACCATATTTCCTGCTTTGTATATATACCTTTTATAAGCAAAATATCTATTATTGAATAATCACAGCTTAAATTTCTATAAAAAATAGGCTTTTTTTAATTATTTTATATTTTTAGCCTCTATAAATATAGAATATCTTCCCCTTTACTTACTAAATTTGATAAGATATGCTTGTATAAGCTCAGCCGACACTCGTGACTGAATAAGCTCCACTTTCTGTATAAAAATTACTTTGTAATAAGATTGAAAAGAACTTGGGAGGCAAGATACACAGACTGGTGAGAGGTATCTTGGAGTAATACATAGCTAGAAAGCTGAAGTCCAATAGGATTGTATACAAGTTCTTGGAAATAGGCGTGCGCTGGTAGCTGCTCTTCTGTGTTTGAGCTGAAAAAGCAAGAACTTTGCCTTAGAAATTCGCTGACTAAATTTTCGTCCATTTATTAAAGCATTTTATATTGATTTGACGCTTTGCTAGAATTTATACAAATAAATATAAAAATTAATTAAATAAGCGGAAGGTCTCTATTAAAAATTATATAGATTTGGGGGTTTTGATTGAAATTTCTGTTAATAATTAATTGAATTTTCATGATAATATGTTATTTATCCTTAAGGCTCGTTTCCCACCTGGTTTTCTAATTCTGAAATTCTTCTCTGCAAAGCGATCAGCTGCTGCTCTAATGCAGTTTTTTCACCTTTAAGCTGAGTGATTTGCTGCTGAAGCCGGCTATTTTCAGCTTTTTGATGAGAAAAATGTCTTTTCATCTCCTCTTCAACTCTTGAAATTTCGTTCATCAAGCTTTTTCTAACATCATTTATATTGCATTAATTTAAGCTCTCTAATAACTTTATAAAAATATAAGAGCCTTATTTATAGATATTTTTTTATGCATAGCCATTATTTTATATTAAAATAGCATACTTTCATATTCAGCACATTTTCCAATGTGTCTTTTTCTGATCTTATGCGATTTTTAATGATTTTGTAGATTTTTTTAAATAAAAATATGCAAATGGTATAGTCTGTTGGAAAATTTTCTTATCCCTCGTATTTTTGCCAATAAGATGTTTACATTAAATCAAGACATAATTTCTTTTTTGTTGTTCAAAATATTAAAACTATTGTAACTTATAATTTATTTTAAAATATTTTGACTATAAATAATGATTGAAAAGCTATATATTCTTTTCAATGTCTAAAATAAAGATCTTTGATTGGGTAATTATTTCTTGGAAGCTTGTGTTTTATTAGGCTAAAATAATTCTTATATGATTATTAATTTAGCTACTCAAATTTATAAATGGAGATTTCTGATAAAATTTCCTATTTTAATTTTTTAAAATTATTATAAATATATCTTATTAAATTTGTGCTCGAATCCAAAATGCAGAAAATGAAGATCTACTATAATAAAACTAAAAATATAAAATTTTTTAATAAATCGTATTATTGAGTTCTTCGAGTTTTAATTTTTTTACAGTCACATACGAAATTAAAGATGGCCAAAATTTTTTAAAAATGGCTGACATTATTAAGATGTGCTCAAATCCAAAATACGGGAAAATTAAGATCTACTAATAGCACGCTTAAATATGAATTTTAAATAAATCGTACTATTGTGTTAAAAGTTCTTTGAGTTTTAATTTTTAAAAGACAGAACACAAATTAAAAATGGCCAAAATTTTGCATGCTAAAAATATTGCCATTTTCCGAGAATTTCCATTAATTAAAAAATAAAGTACACTTAAATTGTTAAAGAGCACTTTTATAAATTTAGCACTCTGAGGAGTTATGGTAATTTAATTATTTAATTTATTAGTTTTGTACTAAATTATTATTATATCTAAATTTTATTAATTAAATGTATTAATATTGACGGATAAATGAGAATCCACCAGATAGTTTCTTATGTCTGGCCAAATCAAGCCCGCTAAGAAATTCTTCCAATGCATTATAATATCTATAAGCTAGGATAGGATTTGGACTTCTTTTTTGTGGAAATTCATTTCTTCAGTTATTTGTCTGATCATTTCTTCAAGACTTAAAAGTTTCCCCTTCAAGGAAGCTGAGCCTGCAGCAGTTTGAGTGCCGGAAAGAGAGACCATTGACCCTTGAGTTTGAGCCATCCTGCTTTGAGGGGAAGCTGTTTCTTCGAGACCTGGACGGAATGATCCTGTAGTGCTTCTCATATTTTTTATATAATAAATCAAATGGAGTATAAAGGAGAAATTACATTTCAAATAAATAGATCTTTTATATTTATTATACAGCTTCTAAATTGAGATTTTTGAATTGTAGCTAATTATTATTTTTAAGTAATTTTTACGTTAAATTATTAGCAGTTGTGCCAATAAGAAATAACCCGATATTTAGATTAATTTTAAAGCAAGGAAAAAAGATATATTTGCATTAACACGCCATTAAGTAAATGAAAAGTGTTTTGTATTATAAAGACAGATTTTATGATCACATCCACACAGTCCACAAACCAACTTACTACGATATTTTACCTGGAAAAAGACCATATTCAGTTCTTAGAAAAAGAGTTATTTCACTTATAAGGGAACCAAAAGAACTTGATCCTGTTAATATTTTAAGGTCACAAAATGAAGAAATCTTTATCAGTCCCCACAAGCCTGCACTATTTAAATGTGAGTTAAGACCGAAAATCAAGCGAAGAAACGTGCTTTCTTTAGATGGAAAATCTTACTCTCCCCTCTGTGAGGAAAAAAAACCATTCGAAAAATCCTATTTTTGTAAAGCCTATCCCTCTGTGAGATAACAAAAATATTTTATTATAAAAATGTTTTATGAAAAAAATCGAAATATAAATGATAATTTTATAATGAATCTCTGGCTAATTCTGTTTAATTTTTAAACAGCTTGCATTTTAAAACATAAATTTCGCAAACTATTAATTTTTCCTTCTTAATTTTTACGAATTTGGATTTTTTTAAATTTTGAAAAAAATATTTTACTTTAAAATTTATTTATATATAAATTTAAAAAAAAAAAATTAACCCCCTCCATGAAATTTTTTTTTCGTTCACAGAGGGGAATTATGAAAAATTAATACAAGATAGAAATAAAATCCAGGATGGAGCCATAACTGATAGATCTATAAGAAGAAGCATTTCGCCATTACCACTCAGAACTGATATAAACAAATTATGCAATATTAAGCCCATCCTCCCTAAGCGTTCACAAAGTGTAGGGAGAAAGTCTATGAAAATGATTATCCATGTTTAGGATAAATAACATCTTTTTATCCAAATAATTTATTACTGACTCCTGGTTAACCAAAAAATACTATTTTCCATAAATAGTATATAAAAATCCCTGTAGAAAAAATTAGAGAAGAAGTGCCAATTACGTCATGGGAGCAAAGTCCTCATGATATGAAATTTATATCATTAATAATATAGAATATCCCAAGATATTTTTCTAAAAAAATAAATCTTTTAACCTCTCATATAGGTATATACGATTACTACAATCTCCCAACCGTCAAATAACAATTTTCGATACTGCTTATTTATAAGCTAAATAATATTGCATGCACAAATATCTCTCTTAATATCTTCAATCTTTGCCAACCCTCCTTTCCCTTCTCCTTGCACAACAGGTTTAAAAGTTTTACTGTACGCTCTTCTTACATTCTGATAGCAAATTTGGCACAAGTTTTCTTTGATAATTTGTACAGGGACTTGGCTCCTAATAAACTCTTTCAGCTCATTCAGTTCATTTTCTACCTTTTTCTTCTCTTCAAGCATTCCATTAATTTTCAGTCTCATGATTTCTACCTCTTCATGGCCTCTAGCTGTTTTTTGTACAGTTCTTTCTTCTATAGACTGTGAAGCTTCTATAGCTGATGGGTGCTTATTTACCGATCCACCCTGCCAATCAGATTTTGACTTACCAAATAGGCTTGTATTTTGGATGCTTTTTTTTAAATAAGAAATTTTTTGGAATTAGGCTTATGGTGAGCTATAAGGGTGCTTGCCCTATAATTGTAATTTTAATTCTTTTATTTCTTCTTCCATCTTATAGTTATTGTCACATTCTTTTTGGAACTGCTGGTCTAGTTCCCATTCTTTTCGCTCATGATCAGCCTGCTGCTCTTTTTGTTTATTTTCAAGTTTGCGTGATTTTGAGATAAATTTTGTGAGCTGCTTGGTTTTGTCGTTGCGTTCTTCAATACATTTTTGGATTTCTTGGGCTATTTCTTGCTTAACTGCTTGGGATTTTGAATCAGTCTCTTCTACAAGCTTTTCGTGATGGCAGGATTCACTTACTTACTTAATTATTAATACACGCTTAGCGTCCAATACCACATTCCCTGCACGGGTATCCGTCCTGCTTCTGGGTTTTCCCGCTCCACCAAAATGTCGTGCACCGCCTGGCTTCAAGGCTAAATGGTCCCATCGGCTTCGGCGTTCGGATTTCGACGATCGTCCTTTCCGGCTCTCGGGCAAAACCAACTTGTGTCTGTCAGGCACCCTAAAGGTCCCAGTCTCCACCACCTGGGGTTGGTAGCATCTTTCCAGAAAATTCGATTCCCTAAGGGGCAGGAGTCCTGCGTCGCGCACCACAGGCACTTGAAGCCCTGTCATCGCCGGGATAAATTCGCTGGGGAAAGCCAAACCTCATAATCAAAAATTGAAGAAGAGAATTTTCGGTCGGGAGACCAGAAAAATTCGAATGACGCCATTTTTTGATTATGATAGCAGGATTCACAAAGACGCTCTTCTTCAGCACCCTTGGAAATAGAATGGTCCTTGCAGACTATGCTGGGAAGGATAATTAGGGATTAATGGAATTTTATTAAATAAAAAAATCTGTGAAATGGTTATTACACCATATTGATTTAAATCCTAATGAAATTTCATAAGTCACCGTAATTTTAACACACGATTTATTGTTGGTTTTTTGTGTAAAATCATAAACTATATCAGTTGCCTGCCATTGGCTTGCTGCTTCATAACATCCTTTGTAGGAGTCTAGAGATTATTTTACCAGCAAATGCCAGCCAAGGAATTAAAAATCAGCTCAAGTCTGCAATTTTGCGATTCCTTGAGTTTAATTCATAGAATTTGCAGATAAAATAACCCCGACTCTCTAGGGAGATATCAAGAATATAATGAGCTAACAGCGTGCTCACTCAATATAAGCTAAATCAGCTTAAGAGAGAATAACAGAAAAAGGATAGTCTGCCACAAGATAAGCAGGTATGCTTTTTTTGAATCAGTGTAAATGGGGTTTCACAAATATAACAAACTTCATTGGTTTCAATGACTTTATTGAACAGGTTAACTGATAAGTTGACTGGCTGGGTAATCAGACCTACAGTGCCTTTTGCTAGACCTTTTAATGCCCTTTGAGCAATATTAGGATCAGATGGAGAGCTTGAAGAGCTGTTGTTAGAGTTAAACTTTAAGAGATTGGTAAAGTTTTTCATGTTTTTATTACCATATTAAAAACTCTTTTTTAGATTTTATAATAATTTAGATTCCATTAGAAAATAATGATATAAAAGTTGATTTTATATAAAAAAATTTTTCATCATTTCACTATTTTTGAGATTTTGGCAATCATCCTATATTTTTATAAGACATTTGGTTAATAAGGCATGCTTACTCTCCATGAATTAGCAAATGTTTTTGCTTCATTTTCATATGACCTATAATTTTACTAATTAGTTTTAAAAAATATATTATTTAAATTAAATTTGATGAATTAGCATTATATTTATACATCAAGTATTTTATATAAACATAATATATCTAAAATTTTTATTGTTCTTGAGGTTTTAATTTAAAAAAACAAAATTTTTCAATGTTTTGCCTATTCGTGTAGTAGAGTTAGGAATATTTTTAATTGCTAGGGCATGTATTAGAGTTCGTAGGAGAAACTTCAAATTTCAGCTCCCTCCAGTTCAGCTGGGCTTCTGGAAATTCGTTATATCCTTTAGAATTTCGGCACTCCGATCTAGAAGTGTCATCATCTAATATACCACAAAACATATAGCTGCAGTTGGCAAAGCCAAATTTATTAGCTCTATAAATGTCTTGATTGCAGACAGGACACTTATGCTCTCTTCCATCAGACATCTCCAAAATTGCGTCGAACTTGCCCATACCCAAACAAATGCACACTCTTTGTTTGTAGGCAACACATTCATGATTCATGCAAATTCCTTCTAATTTTCCTTTAAAATATAAGTTAATTTTTTAGCATACATTATTAAAAAATAAAATAATAATTTTGTATTTTATAGACAGAGTAAAACCAATCCTGATTTTTTGATTTTTCACACCGGAACTACTGTATCTCTCCTCCCACTGTTATTATCACTAATAAGCACTGTAATAATTTCGCTTTGCTCAACTCCATAGTCAAGAAGCGTGTTGTTATCGTCCAGCTCAATTTCTTTATACAGGATTTTGACTTTATTTCGATAATCCCCACTCCCGCAGAACCTTTTCCTTAAATTCGAAATTTTTTCATTCCTTGGTAATGACGCTCTGAGGACCTTTTTGGTATTTTCACAAATCATAAAGGAAAGTGTTATTTTTTCAGTTAAATCTTCAGTAACTTCGAGCGAAAGAGAGTCTCCAGAGGTCAAGCCAATTTCATATAAAGGCACGTAGTGAGTTGATTCAAAGACAGCCTGCTTATGCTTGATTTGAAACTTTAAGTGGGATGTTGAAATCCCTTCTTTCAGATTTTGGTGAATAATTTCGCGAGAAAGCTCACAAAGCCTGGTGGAAAGCGGCTTTTTTACTTTTATTTGAGGCTTACAGAAGTAAGTCTCATCAAGATTAATCCAGAATGAAGTATTCGCGCTAGTTGATTCATTGCAACCCATTTTTAAGTATTTGCAACTAGTAAGACGTAGATATGGAGATTAGGGAAATCGGAGATTATTGGGATGGAAAATATTTTGAAAAAGTATAGCGAAGCAAATGAAATAAAAATAAGGACTCTTAGAGAACATTCAGTATAGGAAATTTGTTGAAATTTGTTGCCATTTACTTACTCCTCCTCTTTTTAAATTGACAAAAAGTTCTGTTCTTGTTTGGGGGATTTTTTAAAAAACAAATAAAATATAAAATTTTTAAGATTTAAAAAAAAAATTAATTTAAAGAGCTTTAATTTATTTTAATAAGAACTTATTAATTTATTAAGCGCACAAACAGTTTAAATAACATTCTAATTGCGCTTAATAGTTCAAAGCTATTTATAGAGAGATTAGTTTTCACTATAAATTCAAAAAATTTGTTCCATTTTAAAGGGGGAAGTTAGGAGATTTTAAATTAGATTGTTAATTTTATATGAATTTCGAAGAATCGTTATTTGACATTATCTATATTAAAAGCCAATTTTATAGAGAATCTTCATTTAGCACAATTAAAGACATGAGAATAATAAAGTCTCAACGGTCTATTTTTTTACTAGATAAATGTCCCATAATGATAATTTTATTTTTTGATCTCTTTTAAATTTAATTAAAAATTTCTCTCTTATTTTTATACTTTTTATATTATAATGAGAAAAATTATTTTTTCTTGCTTTGTGCATTTATTCATTAAGTATACATATAATTCCAATTAAAAAAAAATTATCATTTTTTGATTATTAAAGCAAAATAAAAATGTAAATTTTAAATGAAGGGTTTCGCAGACCCGTCAATTCAAATACAGGCACTTTATGGTGTATAGCTCGTAGAATTGACATTTGAAATAAAAGAAGAGTTGAGCCCTTCGGGTGCTCCTCTTCTCTGCCTCACATTCCTAATCCTAGGACATTCTATATGTCGACAGGAGACACCGTGGGCTGACAATTTTAAAAATAAACAGAAACTAAATCAATCTATTTATCCGCTTAAAAATTCTTTAATTTCTGTGTAAATTTCCTATAACCCTCAATTATTCTTTAAAAGACTCCAAAAATGTGCTTTTATAAGTTTCTTTCAAGCTTGAATTCATATCAATTAAATTCCCTAATAGCTTTTCATAGCACTTTTCTTCACAAATAGTCAGATCTTCTTCTCCGTATTTAGATACAGGGTACTCCGAAGCACATCCAAACACACATTTTTTGCATTGATTGCTGTCATTAGGGAATTTTTTGTTAAAAATCCCAAAAAAGGTATCATGCATTTCTTGGCATTCTTTTACGCAGTTTCCTCTAACTTTTTTCCAGTCTTCAAGCTGAATAGGGTCTCCACTATAACAGCTTTCAGCACATTTTGAATATTTTACCTTAACATTTCTCAATATTTTTAAGCCTTTTTCAAGCTCTTCTTCACACTGCTGTGTAAAGCTATAATAGCTGAGTTTTCTCTTAAGATCATCCATATTAATTATCCAGGAATGGCTTAATCTTTACTTATTTGAGTATTGAAGTAAATAATCATTAATGACTGGAGCCATCGGTGAATACAACTGGCTTACCTTCTCAGCTAAATTTTGCTTGCAAGTTTCGTAGCAGCCTTCTTCTTTGCATGCAGAAAAACAGTAAAAAGCTTGTTGTCTAGATCTTTTCATTTCATGCACAAACTTATCATAGATTGATCTCCCTTCTTCAATGCAGGCTTGAGGCTTGCTTTCTTTCTTGCATCTATGCTTATTCACTAATAAGTAATGTTTTCTGGGAATAATTTATTTTTATCATTATTAAAATAACTTCATAGGATTTTTCTTATAAAATTATCCATTTGGCATTTTAATCTAGCCCATATTTTCTCGCAAAATCAATATCATCAGTGTCTTGAATAATCGAAATTTCTTGCCTAAAAGCTTCTTCTCTAGTTGTAGGTGGATAAGACATTTTTATTAAATTAGGCTTAATTATAAAATTTTGTCAGGGTGCTTTAGTCTATGAGTAAGGATTTTTATTATTTGTGGACAGCGGCCACGAATTGGGCTTGCAGTCTTGCAAGGTGAGGAAGTTCATCCTTCACCAAAAGTAGATGATAAAGGAAGAAGATCAGATTTCATATAAGAATTCATTTCTAAAGTTTTCAGCGAAATATGTTTAAGTGCATTGCGATCTGTCCCAGATAGCATAAATGCAGGCAATGTTTTATCACATGGCTTGGTTGGAGACTTACTGAGATCTGGGCTTTGAGTTTTAGAGTCAATTTGTGAGTAGTTGATGGAATCAATTATTATATCACTTTTTGTGATCCTGTGAAATGGTGGCCTACCTTGAGCTTTATTGAATTTAATAGTACCTTTTTCTGTATTTTTTTTAACTGCACTGTAATTAGGGTCATAAGAGGCTTGGCTTGATAAATCTTGATAAGTCTTAAAAGTTTCCCTCCCAAGGTATTTCGACATATCAGGCGTCCTGATATTTTGGACTTTTGTCGATATTGGTGGAGAGTGATCAAAAGGAATAAATCGATTATGATGGACATCCTGGGCTCATTTGAGAAATTCAGGGCGTGCAAGCTGTTTTTCGAAAGAAATTGGAGACTGAACATGGGGTGATAAAGAACGGCGAGGAGCTGAAATGGCTGATAACGTTCGTTTATGATGGGTTTCTGTAATAAAAAAATTTGAAGGCATTGTGGCAGTTTTAGGAGAGTTAAGAGGAAATGATGATTCTGCGGAGTTTGGCTTGTGGCGAACAGATTCTATGGTAAGCTTTGTAGGAGCACCAATTTTGGAGTAGAGATCTAAGGACTGGGGTTTGAAGTGCCTTGCCATTAGATAAATGCAATTAATAGAAAATATTGTTTGTGTTTTAAAATTTATAGGCTTGTAATTACTGAGTGAATTATAGCAACGATTGAAATATTCCATTTATAAACCAGAAATGTAATAAAAGATCAATAAAAATAAACACAAAAAAATCTGTATAATTATTATGATTAAAAGCAAAAAATGCTCCTATTTTGCAAACAATTTACTCTTAAATTAATTTAAAAAGTTTTAACTTATACGATCAAATCCTATTTAAGTTATAAATAGACAATCATCCCAAGAATGATATTTAATGTATTTTCTTAGCTAAGCATCGATACTAGCATATATAGCTTATCAAGTCTTGAATAAAAACTTCTATATAATTTTAAATAATTTTTTGGGGGCTCATCTAATATATCATATATGGAAGCTAAAGAACTCGGCCTTTGTGCATTATTTCGAGGAGTTGACTATGTAGCGAAAGCTTCGAAGCGACCAAGAGAGCAGATAAAAGCTTTTACCTCTCTAGTTTCTAATAAGACAACTCCATGCCTTTCTAAGCTACTAGACTCCATTAAGAACGTGTCAAACGATATAGGAATTGAAGAAACTGCTGAAATACTGCGTCTTCCTACAGATGTTTTAAGACTTTTACTAATAAATTATGGGGTTCGGAAAGTGGATCGAGAGAGCAACAAAATAGCTATGGATAATGAAGATTTCAATGACCCCGAAGAAGATGAATCATACTCAGAAGCTGAAATAAAATTCGATAAAGAGCCGAAAGCTACTAAACACGCGAATTATTCTTATCAAATAATAGACGAAGATTAATTATAATATAAATTTTAAATGATTAAATTCGTTATAAATTGATAAATTTTATGGCCTAGTCTTACATAAATTATGCAGAAAATTATCAAAAAATAATTTACTAACTTTCTTAGCCTAGAAAATTAAAAAAATTATTTTTTTATTTAAAAATTTTAAATTTTTTTGGGGCTATTTTTAGATAACTAATTTAAATTTATAAAAATTAAAATGGAAGCAAAAGATCTCGGATTTTGTGCACTTCTAAGAGGAGTAGACTATATCGCTAAAGCAGCCAAGCGTCCACGAGAAGAAATTCAAGCTTTCACCTCCTTAGTATCCTACAGCTCAATACCTTGCCTAGATAAACTTCAAAAAACACTCGTAAACGTCGCAAATGAACTAGGCACAAAGCCTACAGCCCAGATGCTTAGCATATCAGAAGAAATTTTATCCTTAATCATCTCTGAAGAATTTTCCAAACCCTCCCCAAAGCCTACCACAAACCATATAAAACCCAATCACGTAAAAAAACCCAAACAAATCCCTACAAATAACATATCAAATCCTATAGAAATCGAAACTTATGAGCCAGTTACCGCAGAGGAGTCCAAAAATGTCTTAGAAGAACTCAAAAGGCGAATCACACAGCTTTATAGAGGAAACGTAAAAATCAAAGTCATTATGGCCTTATTTGATATTAGAAACTCCTGCTTTATACATAGTTTTGGGGACTGGGAACGATCTGTAGCTAGACAGAGACTTTTTGAACTAAGGGAAAAAATAACCCAGCTTAAATCTGAAGGAAAAACTGATGAAGAAATCAGCAAAATACTGTGTATGCGAGAAAACAAAATGAGAGAAATCATGGGCGACTTAAAAAGACCAAAATTAGTATATACAACACAAGATATCAAAGAAGCCATTTGCTTATATAAAACTATAAGAAATAAAAAAAGAACTGCAAAAGAGCTTGGGGTTTCAGTTTTTACGCTGGAAGAGTGGATAAATAAAAGCAAAACAGGGGAGCTGTGGTCGATTTATGATAATGATGAAGGAATTCCATCGACTATTATTTTAAATGCCTTGGAAACTTATTATTTGACGAAAAACCTTGAAGCTGCAGCTAAGGTTTCAGGGCTGACTATCCTTAAAGTTTCGAAGTTTGTGGAAAGGTGCAGAATGAGATCTTTGGAATTTAAAGACAAACGTAAAAACTCTGAAGAAAATCATGAAGAAGAATAAAATATTATTTAAATGTAAAAACATTAAAAAATATTAATATTGCATATTTAAGTTAAAAAGTGCTATAAACTATGGCTCATTTGATGACCTAATTCTTTATCTTTTTATTTTAATTAAATTTCATTTTCCTTAGAGCTGCTCATATATATTTTATCATTTAAAATACAGATTTAATCAGGAACATAAATTTAATTGCATTAAGCTATATTCTAAGAAAATGATATAGATTACAATTAGAAGTATATTATAGTTATTATCACTAAAACTAGTATAACTCATTTTAATTTAAACAATAATAATTTTTAAGCTTATATAAAAATCAGCAATCAAGAATTTTGACTATCGAAAAGTTTTCTTTAAGATAATTTATTATGTAACTGTTTGAGAAAATGTTATAAAAGAATAAATTGCTATGAGAAATTCATGAAGTGGAAGCCAAGTAAGCCGAAAACCTCTCTCAGATTTAATGAGAAGCCAGCAAGTCAGTATCGACCAAGATCAAGTTTCAAATGTCGCATCAGATATCACTGATGATTATACAGGGCCGTCATTAGCTTTATTTGCGAAAATTATACCTTCATAATTAATAGACATTTTCCTATAATAAGTTACTATATCTTAAAATTATTCAATATTTATAGGTTTATATGATCTAAAAAACTAGTCTTTACTCAACTCGCCCAACAAGGTGGATTACGGCCACGCGTAAAAATGAGCCCTTCTGAGCTACTATCATTACTAAAACGTTCCGGAGTCGCTACAAATATGCATCAACTTAAAGCGTTTCTGCGATATATGCAAGTTGAGAGTGCATCTCCGCTAGATATAGTTGAAGCTGCTAGAGCCCTTGGCAATAATGAGAGTGGCCTTACTTCAATAGAAGAAATCGACACAGGAGAAGAAAAATTCCCAGTATTTGTACATACTGATAGGTATTCTGAAAGGGTCAGAGAAGTATTAAAAGACACAGATTTAAAAGCATTTTTTAGAGAAGCCACACTTGGGACGGGCGTGATGGATATTGATAGCTTTGCAACAGCAATTTCATTGAAAAGTAATGGAAGGGTAAGACAAATTGAAGCACAAAAAGCGTTTGAAAAAATTGCGAATGGGAATGAAAATTTTACTGACTCCCTTGCTGTTATTAAGAAAAAATATATTTTAAAAAAATGAGAATGAGAAAAAATTTTTAATATAAAATTTTTATAAAAGATTTTTTGAGATATATAAATGATAATATTATAATTAAATCAATGCTAATTCTATTGAATGCTTACACTCTGTAACATGATAATTAATCTTTCATTTTCAATTTGGAAGAATTTGTGAATGCCTTTATACCATTATAAAAGAAATATTGATAGCCATTAGACTGATTTTATATAGTGAATAGATTTTTTTATTTATTAAAAATGACTATATAAAAATTACGAGAGACCAGGAAGGACGTTAACTCATTCAATAAAAATTTTAAAAAATTGGCTGAGAGACGAAAAACTCACTACTGAGCAAGGATTCGAGTATTTGCTAAGGATCACTGGAGCAAATAAAACTTTAAATTTTGACCAATTTGTGATAGGGCTAACAGAATTTAATTTTAGTCAATATGAGCTTTATTTGTTATTTAGAGAAATTGATTCGAAACAAGATGGAGTAATTGACTTGACTGAGTGGATGAATAAAATCTATGAGAGCTCTGGGCCTTATCAGTCACTGCGAGACATTGTCCTTGAAAATAATTTGCAGACTGATGATTTACTCATCAAAATGGATTTAAAAGACAAACAAAATATCGGCTTAGCTGAATTTGCAAGTATTTTACAAAAAATGGACCCTACTTTAACAGCTGGAAAAGCTGTAGATTTAGCAAAAATCGCTATCGGCAAACAAGGATACGTTGATTTGCAAGATTTTCTATTACAATTATCACAGAAACCTGTGGATTACGAAGGCGACTGAAAAGAACAAATTTTAAGAAAAATCCAAAACCATATTAAAGGAAACGTCGAAAAAATGAAAAAAATATTTGAAGACGCTGACGAACGAAACAATGGAAAATTGCCACTTGCAGATTTCCAGCACTGTTTGCATAAAGCAGATATTGGGCTTCCTGCGATAGAAATTGAAAGACTTGCCAGAATTCTTGATAGAAAAGGTGACCATTTGGTTGATTATACAGATTTTTTGGACCATTTAGAAGGAAAAAATTTAAGTCCTCCAGACCCTCTTAAAAAAACTATCCTCAGGCTTATAGTATTTCTCCGTCAAAATTCCCTCGCCCCAGCACAACTTCTGAAAAGACTAGGAGGGAACGTCACAATAGAAACCTTTGCCAAATTTATCAGAATAAAAGTAGATAAACGGCTTGACCGTGTCACTGCTTATGAAGTTTCTAATAAATTTGACATGAACCATGATGGAATTATTGATATTGTCGATCTTTCAGCAGCCTTAAATAGTAAATCCTATGCTTCTTTTTCGCGAAATTCTCCATTTCCAACTGATAAATTGAACCAAGAAAGAGCTAAAGGCATTATAAGAGATGTAAGAAATGCCTTGATACAGAAAAGGATGAATTATAAGGACGCATTTACTGCGTTTGATACAAAAAATAACGGGATGCTGACTTGCAAAGAATTTTCTGATGGAATTGATAAGGTTATAGAGCTGTCTCAGCCAGTCAAAAATGGGCTTTTTGCCATTATGGATAAGCAGGGGATTGGCTTGATTGATTATAAGGCGTTTTGTGATGTGATAAAAGAAGGGGATGTGCATGAGAAAGAACATGGAGATTCGTGGAGCTGGGAAACGAAAATTATTCATATGATAAAAAAATGGATTATAGAGATTTTTATTGATTTATTATTAGATTTATAAGGCCAAGCTCTGGTTTTTATAGAAAATAATTAATTTTATCATAAATTAGCTGATTTATAGAGAAAATAGAGATTACTCAAGAAGGAATTAGCATCGAAAACGCATTCCGGGCATTTGATAAGGATTTTGATGGGATGATGAGCAAAGAAGACTTACGACAAAGCCTAGTCTCAATCTTAAAACTTGAAGAAAGAGAAATTCCTTCATCAAGACTTGACAGGCTTTATAAGCTTATGGACAACTATAAGCGAAATTCTGTATACCTAGCTGACTTCAAAATATTATTTGAAGAAAATAAAGTCCAGGATTGGCGAGACTCAGCCAAGCAGCAGATTGGGCTTTATTTATCAAAAAAATTTTCTGATAATATAAGGTCATTTGAATTCGTGTCACAACTGACAGGGAAAATTACCTTTCAGCATTTTGATATACTCAGATAGTTAGTAAGATAATTCTGTTTAATCTTGCTTCTGTTTTCTGAAGCACTACACATGAGAATGTCTTCCGCTCTGAGCAGCAGGTCGGCATTTACAAGATTGTCAGAATTTCGTTCATCTCAGCTTCAAAAAACGCTCTTTTAACCACTATCCCTGCCTATGTATAGTGTCTCTATTGATCTAGACTCTTAGAAAAATCCAGGATTCCCTTCGCTAAGTCCTAGTAAGTGAACTACTCCTACCAGATCCCATTTTTAAATTGTGATAACTCATATAGTTAACATTATTATTAATTTCTGTAAGTTTTTTCTTTAATATAAGAATTCCTACAGAAATTATTTAGCACGTTTTTATTAAACTGTATAAATGAATCCAGAAAAATCAAATTTTGCAAGGATTTAACCTGACCAATGAGCTAAACCAGCAATTATTTGCAAGCTTAGATTTTCACAGAAAAGGATACTTATTACAGCATGACTGGGATTTAGCCTTTGGAAATATCAGTTGAAATAAGCAATGCTTAGACGAGCTAAAAGACGCTATACGCTCCACATTTACCGACACAAATAATGCATTTTCTCATTTCCAAAGATACGCAAAAGGCTCAGAGCTGACCATTTCTGACTTCTCTGAAGGAGTCCACGCCTTAATCCCTGACCGTTTTTCTAGCAAAGATATCAATGATTTATGGCAACAAATAGTTGGCCCCAACCCAGGCCTGAGTTTCCCTGTTTTTAAGCAGGCTTTTGAAGACGTCAAGTTTTTATCTCGCCTTTCTTTTTGTAAATCCTCTATGAAATCGCGGTCTTTAACAAGGGAGTCTCGAAGAGACCTAAAAACTCCATTTTCTACCTTAAGCTATAGATCTTATGAGGAAGACCCATTAAAAAGGCTACAGTCCATGATTTCTGTTTCTAATACCAGGATTGAAAATATTTTCAGCGAAATTGACTCGACTTCGTCTGGAAAAGTCTCGTCATTTGAGTTCAGAAAAGCGCTGAGGAGGCTCAATTTAGGCCTAACAGCAAGGGAAATAGATAATATTGTTATGAGGTGTGACGCGAATAATAATGGAATTATTGATTGGAAAAATTTTATGTAAGAGAGTCTAAAAATGGTAGAATTTTATATAGTAATGGACATAGATAAAATTTAATGGTAAATGGTATAACAATCAGTTTGTGAAATCTGGGGTTGAAAACCAAATAAAAGGAATCGCTAGTGAAAAAATAGAAAAATATACAGAAAACATGTTTTCTTATATGCTGTCACCTCGAGATGCTTTTAACCAATTTGACAAAGAAAGGTCTGGGTATTTAAGTTTTGAAGCCTTTGTCAATTTGATGACAAAGCTATGCAAACTTTCAAAAGATCAAATACCTAGCTTTACTGTGCTGAGAGATTTATTTGAAATTATTGACTTACGGAAAGACGGAGTCCTTGACGTAAAAGAATGAATTTCTACCTTTAAATCCCATGCTCCAATGCCATGGGAAAATTCCCAGCTATATGACGACGTGTGCCTTTCTATTTCCAAGCATAGAAAAGGCTTACTCCTTACCTTTGAAGCCTTATCCGGGACTGGTTTTGTCTCTTTCACCGAAGCTAAAAACATCATCACCAGTATCCTCAAAGGTACAAAACTCCCAGACATATTATGAAACCAAATCCTCAGAGTTGCCTTAAAAGATGGCAAAATTGACTATAAGTTTCTACTCGAAGTATACAAAAACCGAGCATTAACCAAACAAATGCACCCAAAAAGTACAGCGAAGCCAGAAGAAATTTCACTTAAAGCTTAATTTAATAGATGATGTAGGAAATTATATAATCTCTTGCCTATTTTATTGATGGGATTCACAAACTAATTCAATTTTGGCTCATAAAGCTATAGTCCTTTTCTTAATGTAGATCTCAATAAAAAATTAGACAAAATATAATATAATTTTGCCTGAATTTTCCATTAAAAATAATTATAATATGAATTCAATAGAAATCAGAATAATATAAATATGGATAAGAGAAGAGACAGACGAATTGAAGACCATGTAGAGGACGAAAACAACAAAAAAATAAAAGTTTTGCATTCCCAAGTATCAGAAATAAAAGCCGCCGCAAATAATATTTACCAAGAAACAAAAGACAGCAATTCCTTTTTAGATGTGTTTAATGGGCAGATGGAAAAAGGAAAAGCGGGTGTGAGAAATGTGTTTGATAGGTTTGAAGGGGTTTTAGCTGACAGGAATAACAGGCTGAGCATTTATATTGCAGGGTTTCTGACTATTCTTTTCCTTATTGTGTGGAAATATGCAATGTACAGTGGAGGTGAATCTAGCTAATCTATTATAGTAAATTTCTTTTTATTTTAGTAAAATTTATAATAATCCTTATAAAATCTTACAATTTATAATAAGTTAGCACTACTGTTTACAAAACTTGCTGATTTTCATATAAGTTTCTCGGATTCCTCGCATCCTCATCTGTAAATCCGTAACTTGTTCTGTAATATAAGCATTTTCTCGATGAATGTTAAAAAGTGGGGTCTTATTTATCTCAATCTCTCTAATTTCCCCTATATTCCCCAAACACAAATTCCCTATTTCTATCCATTTATAGCTTAATCCTTTTTTTCTTCCTCAACCCTATTTTCTATATAATATTTCATTGCATTTGGATTTATAGCACGCAATCGCAGCGTCTTCTGATTCAAAATTGCCATCATCATTAAAAGGAAATCTGTCAAATTCAATTCCTGCGTCCTCTTCTGGCTCATCTTCCGACGTCATTATTTCATCAATACATATCGAATGGGAAAGAGGGGTGAAGCCGACAGAATTTCGCTCATGGACACATCGATAACTGATAATGGACAGCTTGTCAATAGCCTCGTTGTTCCTATTCAGCTTAAAGCTATAAGTCCGCTGGCGATTCTCTCTGATGAAGTTTTCAGATTTTAGGTCTTTAAACAATCCTGGGCTTTCTGATGAAGAACTCCCACAGATGTTGTAGGCTTTCGCATCGTTGCTTTCTAAGGAGATTAACCGTGGCCTGGTATTGAGGTTTTTGTCTTTTAACGGAGTCAGAGCTCCACAGTTTGGAGAGCTGGACTTTGAGTAGTTGAGCATTTATAAATTTCTTAACGTGAAGATACAGTCGAAAAATATCGAGAAATTGGAAAATGGGGAGAGAAGAGAAAGAGAGGGATTAGGATGGAATACGATTAAATTAGATAAGTATTATATATATGCCTGACAAAATAGAAAAAAATCGAAACATATGCAGAATCTTGATTAAAATTGGAAATTGTAAGATGTGGATTAAGAGGATAAGGGTTTTCTGCATTCAATAGCTTGTAAACTGAAATTTAAAAGAAATATAAATTTTTTCACCCCCATTTTAAAATTGAAAGTTGTTGAGATTTAAAATCCCATAGTAAAATTTAATTAAATTTTTCAAAATTTTGCTAAATTTTACTAAAGCCTAATTTTATAAAAATCAAAAAATCTTTATTGATAAATATTTTAACTACGATTATTTTTGTTGAAATTAGCATCAAAATATTTTGCATTAATTTATTTATACCAAATTAGGCTGAATAAATTGATTATTAATAATTATCTTATCTACTATATAAAACTAGCTATATCTAATAATACTACCTATCACAAGCATAACTTAGGCTATTTTTATATTTTTACCTCTGGCTATTATCGATTCTTTATGCCGCGCATTATTATAATTTAAATATGCCTAAAAAGGGAAATAGTGAAGGCTCAATGAAATCCACCAAAGACAAAGCTCAAAAGCAAGTCACCAAGAAAAAAGCCGAACCAGAATCAGACCAAGAAGAAGAAAAGCCCGTAAAGCATGACGGTATCCAGCCTAAACGAGCTAGATCCGCCTACATCTTCTTCTCAACAGAAAAAAGGCCTGAAATTTCTGAAGAATACAAAGGCAAAGAAGCCATGAAAAAGCTCGGCGCAATGTGGAAAGAATGTTCAGACGCTGCCAAGAAGCCCTACATCGCCTTACTTCCTCCCTTTGAGAGCGAGCAAAACCATTGGAAAGATCCCTATTTTTGCCCAAAGCCCTTTAGGTGAACAAAAATTTTTGTAATATAAATATTTTGATGAAAACATATTTTGATATATAATTTTTTCCTATGAAAAGCACCATTTGGCCACGGGGTTGCTTTTTTGGTCCGACCAAATAATCTTGGTCAGACCAAATTAAAATTTTTAATCAATTTTGGTCTGACCAAGATTACTTGGTCGGACCAAAAAAGCAATCCCGTAGCCAGTTCATGGCCAAATAGCGCTATTCATGGGAAAAAATGCTATATAAGTGATAGCATTATAATGAAATCCCTAGCTAATTCTGTTTGCCTGCATTTTAAAAAAAAAATTACAAATAAATATTTGCTTTCCAATTTCGTGAATTGGTTTTTGTTTTAAATTTCGAAAAATAAAAATTTTCCCCTGTGCGAACAATGTTTTTTTTGTTCACTCAAGAGGATAAGAAGTTAGCTGAAAAAGACAAAGAACGCTTTGATCGTCAAATGGCCGAATTCGAAAAAACCGGGGAATTCCACGACGAAGATGGAAACGTCGTCACAGAGGACAAACCAATGAAAAGAAGAAGCATGAGCGCCAAGGAAAGTGCCGGGACCAAAAGAAAGGCAGGAGGGAAGAAAAAATGTTAATTAGATAAGGTTTCAATCCATATTTAAAAAATAGCCTCCAACTTTATAATCAGAACTTAATAGAAAATGCAGTCCACCACAGTCAAGCTTAACATTACACATAGCTCAGACTTAGATTACTTAATTTAACTTCACCTTCTAGTTTAACCTCTTGATTGATCGTAAGGCTCGTCGACAAGATCTCTACTTCTAGCTCCTTGAAAGCCATTGCCTCGTTCTATCCGACTTTCCTTAGCAAGTATTCAGTCTAAGAGTTCTGCCTTTATCGGCAGTGAAAAGAGATAAGCACGATGCTTGTCAGATACAAAGTAAGAAAACCTTCGCCGCTTATTCTCTATCAGACAGAAGTGCACATTTAACAACCTAGCCAATGATAATAACAGTTGAGCGAGGGAGAGGAAATTCGTGGAGTGAATTCTACTCTAATCCAAAGCCATTTTTATTATCATTAACATTACACATAGCAAGCGCAGCATGACAGCTATGGAAATCAGATTTGATACCTCACAAACCATAGCTTCCCTTAAGGTATTTTTCTAAATAGAACAACTTATCAGTCCGATTTGGGACAGCCGCTGAATATATGATGCTGAAACTTTTCAATGAGAACGGCGAGGTCGTCGCCAATATGAGTGATAATGATGCCCAGCTGGGGACTTATAACCCTCATGACTTTTATGTGATCCATATCATTGATTTGGACCCTTCAACTGTGAATATTGACAATCTAGAAGAAGTCCCGAAGTATCAGATCTCAGATGAGGCATATAATCAGAGAGATGACACCTTTAGGAAGTTTAAGGAGCAACAACAGAAATTGCACCCGGATTTGGTCAAGCCTAATAAGGCACCTGTGGATGAAGAGTTCCAGAGGGAGTTTATTGACGGGATTCAGGTCGGAAATAGATGCAAGATAAATCCTGGGGATAAAAGAGGGACTGTCAGGTATGTAGGAAAAATACCAGAGGCACAGCCGGGATATTGGGTGGGAATAGAGCTGGATGAGCCACTTGGGAAAAATGATGGGTGTGTAAAGGAAACGAGGTATTTCCAGACTGAAAAGAATCATGGAATATTTGTGAGGCCAAATAGTGTAGAAGTCGGGAACTTCAGACCTTATGGAGAAGACCCAGATGAACTTTAAATATTAGGATAAAAGTACTATCTATTAATTAGCATTTATTATTATAAAGATTCATTATTTAAATTCCTAAGCGAGTTTATTAAAATTTATAGCAAATAGCATTTCGAAATAAAAAAATTTACGATTTTTTTTACTTTTTTACTCACCCCCTTTTAGCAAAAAATTATTTTTAAGATAAAAATTTTCTGTGAAAAAATATCGAAATAGATTATTTTTAAAAATTTTTTCAATAAAATTTATATATAAAGTTTTAAAAAATTAGCCCCCCTTGTTAGCGAACAAATTTTTTTTGTTCGCTCACTAAGAGGAGAGTCAGCTCTTTCACAAATGCAGGCTTTCGGCTATTTTATTCCCAAAACTATTGTTTTTAAATTAAAAAGCCGATCCTCATTTATAAATTATGATAATAAACGGATAGTATAATTAATTATGAAGGCTTCATTGTTGATGATTCTTACTCTTTTTGCATTCTCATCCAGCTTAAGAGTATTCAAGCCTATGTTTTCTCTTTTAGAAAAAGAAAATAACTCTGCAGGAAATCTTGAAGACACTAATGGTACAAAATTAGCCGTTGGAAGCTTATTTTTAGAGACAAGCTCTGAGCTTTTAGGAAGCAGCGCAGACGGCAGCTCTAAAACTGGCAGTGACTCATTTTTGGAGATATCGAGAAAAGATAATTCCTTTTTACAAACTGAATTAACTAAAGGAGGAACACGGGTAGGTGATATGGTAACTAATGGAGGATATAATGGGAATAGTAACTCTTTCTTGCAAACAGAAATTGAGCTAACTAAAGGAGGAACACGCTCAGGAGACATAATGTCTGGGGATGGCTTTAAAACTAGCAGCGAAGATTTTTTTTAATGAATGAATTTTACTAATTATAAGTTTTATAATAAAATTCTGTATTTTTCTATAGAATTTAATAAAATTAATATTCAGAATCTATTAGCTTAAGATAAACTTTGCTAAAACTCCATATAAATTTCAATATTTAATTCAAATCATATTTATACTATTTATATTAAAATAAGCCTATCTCCAAATTTCTCCTTCTTATATTTTATTAAAGAAAATATTATATATTTTTTTTTTAATTTGTTATATAGCCTGCTATATCTAAATTTATCGGATTTTTTTCTTGACTTTATCCACCATATCATTAACGTGCTTCATCGCCTTCATCAGCTGATCAAACTGTGACGTATCAACATTTTCAGCAATTTTTTCTACCCTTCTCACCCTCTGCAAAATCTGGTCTAGCAGAGACATATCAGATTTTTCTCCATCTTTGCCCATTTCTACTCCAATTCTTAGGTTGCTTTCTACATCTTCTTTAGGCTCCCACAGCTTCAGCTCTACGCCACTGTAAGAAATAATTTTCAGCCTTTCTTGTTCTTCTTTGTCTTGTTGCTCAATAAGTTTGAGGTTTTCTTCTTTGTATTTCTGGATCTGCGAGCTGATTTTTTCTTGGTATTTTTGCTTTCTTTCGTCAAGTTTAGCTTGGAGACGGCTTTTCTGGCGTGTTCGCTCGTCTTCCATTGATTTTTCCCATTCGTCCATTTCTTTTTGGTGCTGTTTGAGCAATTCTTCCATTTTTTCAGGCGAAATTCCTCTTTCTTTCATGACTTCGACCATCATTCTTTGTCTTTCTTCCATAATTCGACGCTGTTCTTGGATTTCTTCAAGTCTTCTTTGCTTTTCTTCGACTTCTTTAAGCTGCTCTTGAATGCTGCTGATTTCGAGTTCTTTTCTTCGTTCGAATTCTCTAAGCTGTTGGTTTCTAAGGTCTAGTTCTCGTAGTTTTTCTGCATATAAGCGCTCGTTTTCTGACCTCAGTTTGTCGATATCTTTTTCCATATCACTTAAGTTAGCATTGGCCATTCTTGGGATAAATCAATTTACCTTACTCAGTCATCCTTGATTGAGCCGATTATATTGTTAGAGCAAGGATAGGTGTTTAAAAAATTTCTGAAATAAAAGTTTATATATGCGTAGTTCCTAATAGTCGAATTGCCCGCTAAAGCTACAATTTGGCCGCAAAAAATTATTTGCAGGCAATTTATTCGCTGAAGTGCATTAAAGGGAATTTCTATATAACTTGATAAAAAATTTGAAATTTTCAGTGTGTCGTACATAAGGATGGGAGAGAGTTAAAATTTTATATAATTTATTATTTTTAAAAAAAAAATTTCCATTCTTGGGTCGCTTTCACTGATTTTCTTGAAAATTTCAGCATTTTCCTTCATATGAGTGTCAGCCAAATTATTGAATTTTTCTCTGAACTCATCCTCGACGTCTCGCCAAGCTTGATCTTGTTCTGAATTGAGCTGAGCCATGTTATTAAATTCTAATTGGTTTTGAGCTTCTTTTTCTCGTGCTTCAAGCTCCTCAATTTTAGCTTGAAGTTCTTCAGGTTTAAGCTTGCGTTTTTTAAGAGCTTCACGTTGGGCTAAGTATTGTGCACGAAGACTGGCACGCTCAACTGCTTTAATGTTGACAGCCGCTTGGATTAAAGTGTTTTGGCGTTCACGTAGTTTTCCATGCTTAAGAGCCGTAAGTTCACCGATTTCTCTGTCGTGTTTGGCTTCAAGCAGCTGTCTTGCAAGACCTATAAGTTCTTCTGCAGATATATTTCCTGCATTTTCAAGGATTTCTTCCATTTTTCTCATCTCGATATTGCTTCTTGCATCTCTTTCAGCTTCTTTTTGTTGCATTTCTACGTCAAATCGTTCTCGATCTTGCTTTACTTTAATTTGGGCTTCTTTTTCAGCTTTCCTTCTCTTTCTATCAAGGAGCCTTTGTTTGAGGTCGGTTTCTTGCTTTCCTTTTTGAATACCAATAGCTTCATCGAGCCTATCAATTTCTTTCAATATTTGGTCTTTTTCAGTCTGGCTGCTTGCGTTTTCTAACTTACCATAATCCTGATAAAATTTTTAAAATTTTTTTTCTAAAAATTGTCACTTATATTACTTATAATAAAAAATTATGTGAATAAATAATAATATTGATCTGAAAAAGTAAGGGCTTTAATAAGTCTTTCTTTTTCTTCGGACTGTGCAGCTTCTTCTTGGTCTAAGATATTATCAATTTGTAAGAGTTCTTGCTGATGGGCCTCTTGAAGTCTTACTAGTTCTTGGTCATATTCTTCTCCAACGTCTTCTATTTCTCTCTTTTCATCTTCATTAAGCAATATTTCTCCATTTCCTTCAGCAAAAGCCAGCAGAGTATTTCTTTCAAGCTGGGCTAGTTCTTCTTGATGCCTTTCCTCCATGTCTTTTTTCTTCTCTTCATGGTTTGCGTTAACTTTTCCCAATCTTCCTTTTCTTCTTTCCTCTAGCCTTTTGAATAAATCGGCTTCTTGTTGTTTCTTATGAGCAGTCAGCTGGTCTTCAATTCTTTTTGCTTCAATTTCAAAGTTCTTCATAAGTGCATCTGTTTCCTGCTGATTTTTAGAGTTTGCTAACTCCGTGCAACAATTAGCAAGACCTGAAAAATATTTTTTTAAATTTTTAATTTATTCTCAAAATTTCTTTTAATTTAAAAAAAAATATTGATAAAGGAGTAAATCGTTTTGCAGCTGCGTTCGGATTTCTAACAGTCTCTGCTCTATGCTATTTTATAATGAATTTTAAATTAAATAATATATTTTCTTTTGCAAAAAAATGCTATAAGTAAGAATACTTCTTTTCTGGTCTCTTTTTTGTAGTTTTCTTTCTCATTTAAGTAGTCTTCATTAATATTTTCAACTTCATCTTTAAGCTCTTTTTCTATTGCTTCTCTCTCTTCCTTTTGTCTAGCAATTATTTCAGCTTTTTTAGGCTCGTAGTAGGCTTTTTCTCTTTGAGCTGCTCTTCGCTTTGCTGCTCTTTCTTGAAGACGCTTATTGAGTTCTGATTGAGAATTTTGTATATCAGCATTAAGGAGTTGGTCCAATCTTTGCATATTAGCATTCAGCTCACCAATCAGCTCTTGTTTATCATGTTCCATTAAATCTGGGTTATTTTGGATATCTTTGCTCAAAATTTCAGTATTTTTTACTTCTATCAGAGTCTCTTTTCTGAGAATTTCAGCTACAGCATCATTATAAGTCGTTGGAATTTCTTCATCAATTATGGCTTCTGGGATCCAAATTTTCTATATTATTTAATCGAAAATTTTACTAAATAAAATCATTTTTTTCAGTAATACATAAGCCCCACTTCTGGGAGCACAATTTCTTCATCTTCATCGAATTCTGCCTCCACAATTTTTTGTTTCAATATCTCTGGATCAATATCCGCCAATTTATCTGCAAGCTGGTCCTTCAGTTCTCTCGCTTGCTCCAACAGCTCATTCAACCCTATAGTAGCTTCTTCATCCTGGGCATCAAAAGCTGCCTTAACTCTATCATAATACTTGCACAAGTTGTCATACATATCTTTAAACTGTGACGGCTCCAACAATTCTTTATCAAAATCAATACCATCTTCTATAGACTCCTCAAATGCAGGGACAACTGGGACTAAATTTGACTTAAACCTGCATTTCTTGCAGCAGCTTCTCAACATCGCGTATAATCTTTCTTTAGAGTTCACAGACGCCCATGCTCTCCAGTGCAAAAATGATAAAAATCCTATGATAAGAATAATCAAAATAATCAGCGCAACAATAATGCCTGCAATAATTCCCCACTGTGGCTCAGTCATAAGGTTATCAGCTGCATATATATTTAAAGCGTCCAAATTTAAAGAAGTTCTAGCTAAAAATGTGACGTCTTGGCTTGGGCAGCTTTCACTGTCCCCAACCACAGCAATAATTATATGTTTATCAGAGTCTGCATTGTCTACAAAATCATAAATTCCAGCATCGGTAAAGGTAAAGGCAAAAGTGTCGACGTAACTTGAGGAAGATTTCATTCTCCATTCCAGTTCTTTGAAGGCCGCATAGTCAAAGTTTTTATTTGTGTTTAATAAGGAGTCTTTAAGGTAGACTGGGTAGTGAGAACGAGGGGTCAAGGAGAATAAGAAGGTGTCGTTTCGCTTTATGCAGGCAATTGGGTTGGAAAGACCTTCAGAAGAAGCGGCAAGGAAACGAGATTCGTCGTCAGTAAGAAGACGACGGTAGTAGGTGGAAAGGGAAGAGCCAGTGCCGTAGACTCCTTGAGGACCGTCTGAAGTCATGTCTACTGTATGGACTTTGGAAGAATCTGAGACTGAGGTAGCTCCAAGATAGTTGGAGCCTGTCATGGAGACTGGTCGAGACGATCCACTTGAAGGGTTGTAGATGTAAAATTGGCCATCAGATTTAAGGGTAACGCTGGCTGATGTGCTTCTACAAGTAGAATTGCAGACGTCTTCTTCACTAGGAGTATCATCACATATGCAGACACTATAAGTAGAATCTAAGTTCCCAGATCCTCCATTGCATTCGCTTTCACAGCTTCCTGAGCTTTTACAAGACCCATCAGCTTTTCTCACCTGTCCTGATATACAATTGGTATACTGTTTTGGTGTGCAGTCTTCAGCTGAATCTACTTCACTTTCAGTTACCCCTTCAATTACAAACTCATAAGTCGGCAAACATATGCAGCTTCCATCATATTTCTGATATCCACGGTATTTCCCTTTACATTGGCAAGTATCCTGTCCTGCGTCAGAATAAGCATGTGACCCACAGATTTTGCATTTACTCAGTCCTTCTTCGTCACCATAAGTATTTGCTGGGCACGCCAGACAGGCTGAAGCACTTTTTCCTTTGGTGGATGGGTTATAGGTCGTAATTGGGCATGGTATAGCTGATTCTGTGCCCTCAGGGCAATAATACCCGCTTGGACAAGGGTATCCGCCATCATTACTTAGTGTCTGAGGATTTGAACGTGTAGCGCCAGCCACACAAAGATACCCAGCATCACAAGGGTAGCATTTTTCTGACGACGTCCCATTCGCATATAGTCCTGCTCCACATTCAATACATACATTATCTGCCATATAAGTCCCAGGCTCACATGTTTCTGGGTAAAAGTTAGCTAATTGGCAGATAGTTCCAGTAGGGCATTCAATAGCTTCGTCTTCAGTGTAATATTTAGTAAGGTTTGTGCTATCATATAATGGACAATAATAATGCACAGGGCATTTTGTAGGGGTTTCTGTAAGGTCATTGCAGATATAGCCAGGAGTACATGGGATAGGAGCTGATGAGCCTAATGGACAATAAGTGCCAATAGTACAGGCCACTGGAGAGGTGGTAGCTTCTTCACAGTAATAGCCTCCAGGACAAGCCGGACAATCACTAGCAGAACCTGCTACACTTGAGCTGCCTACAGTGCCTGGAGGACAAGGAATATAAGATGTAGCTCCTAATACACAGAAGTAGCCTTTTTTACAAGGATATTGAGTATAATCGCCGATTCCTGTGTCATCACAATAATAACCAGCTGGACAGGGCTTGCAAGCGTTAATATCACTCATGGATTTGCTGCCATTATACGTATATTTAGGACAAGGTGTTGGAGAATTGACACCAGAAGGACAGTAATTCCCTTTAGGACAGTCAAAAGGTGTAGGGTTTCCTGTAACACAGTAGCTTCCAGGTGGACAAGTAGTACAGTCAGAAACCTGGGTAGCTCCTGTATCTTTTCTGAATTTTCCTTCAGGACATTTAGTCGGTGTAGTTGTTCCTAATCCACAATAATAGCCAGATGGGCATGGAGTACCTGTTAAATAATATACAGAAGGAGTGGAATAAGGACTAGACTTTTTACACCAAAACCCAGGGGCACATTGTCCTGAAATTCTTCCATCTACACAGTATTGTCCAGATGGGCACACACTGCATTCTGTATCCGCGGTAAGACCTTCACTATCTTTATTATAGGAGCCTGAAGGACAAATAAGCCCATACCCAGTTCCTTCAGGACAATATTTGTATTGTGGGCATAAGCTATTGGCATTTGTAGCAGCGTTGTTGCATTCTCGTCCAGCAGGGCAAGTATTGCATGTCTCTAAGTTTGTGACATCAGCATAGGTGCCTGGGCCGCATGGGTATTCATTGCTATAGCGGGTTCCGACAGGACAATGATAGCCAGTAGGGCAGTTTGTTTGGATTGCAGTAGAGCCTGTACAGTAGTAACCACTACCACACTGTGTGCAGGATGATTGCTGAGTTTGAGTATTATAATAACCCATTGCACAAGGTATTGGAACCCAGCTGCCTGCTTCACAATAGTAGCCTGTAGGACATTCGCCTTCTGGAGGAGTAGGAGTGGCTTTTCCAGGGTCACAATAGTAGCCAGCAGTACAGTCTCCAGTAGGCGAGCTTAGACCTTGAGAATTACAATATTTGCCATAAGGACAGTCAAGACACTGAGTATAGTCACTTAAGCCTTCTGAAGGACTATAAGTTCCAGCTGAGCAAGGAGTTACTGCAGAACTTTCTGTAGGACAATAATTCCCTTGAGAACAGATATTTCCTTGAGTTCCATCTGTCGGGTTTGCAACTGTAGATCCTGCCAAACAATAGTAGCCAGCTAAGCATGATCCTGATTGGGCTGGTAGCGCATATCCTGCACAGTAAAGTCCAGCTTCGCATTTAGTAGCTGCACTGCTCCCTTCAGGACAATAATAGCCAGGGCTGCACATTCCACCTGTAGAGTCACTTCCTGAGGGCTTATCCGTAAAAGCTCCACCAATGCAATAATACCCTTCAGCACACATTACATTAAATTTATAACGTTTAACGTCTACTATGGGGTAGCCGTTTCCAGAGCTGTCACCATATTTGTCCACGCATCGGGCTCATGAACCTCAGGATCGATCCAATTTGCTGCAACAAGGCATGGCCAAACAGCGTTCTGGCTTCGATGGGCTGCGTTGCCTTGCCTCCATTGACTAGCTCCTACACGTGCTCTGCCTAAGGGTTACCTTCCTTGGGTGTTCTGAGAGGTAAAACTTCGAGCCTCTTGATGCACTTGGAGCAGTGCCTCGGCTTATCTGCCAGAGTTAAACTGCTATTGCTGTACAGAAAGTTCTCAGAAGAAAACCTAACCCCATAAATAAAATTACTTAAGGGAGAGAAAATTAGCAGAGCTAATTTCACTCGAACCGAATGCCATTTTATTTATACCTTTCAGCGCACACACTTTGATAAAGCGCAGCTCCAAGGGTGGGGCAGTATTTTCCAGGGTCACAAGACACGCAAGCAGTGGAATCGCTTTGGCCAATCAAGCTATTATAAGTTCCAACTGGGCAAGGATAAGAATGATAGTACCCAGTTCCTGATGGACAATAATATCCCGTAGGGCACAATGTTTCTGAGCTAGCTCCTAAGTCGCAGTAATACCCTGGGTCACATGTGACACATGAAGACTGTTTGGTATTCATTTGATATTTTCCAGCAGGACACAAAATCTCATCAGCTGTGCCACCAGGGCAATAATAGCCTCTATCACATTCATAGGTAGGCGTGATGTCTCCTCCAGGACAATAAAAGCCAGCTGTGCAAGCTTGCCTCATATTTGATGAACTAGTGCTACCGTCACAGAAATAACCAGGGGAGCATGTAATACACTCAGTGTTTGCGGAGGCTCCGGAGTATGGCAAATAATTTCCTGCACTGCATTGGACTGGAGAAGCTGATCCTGTGCAGTAATACATAGGTGAACAAATATTTCCGGTAGTACCATCAGTTGGAGCTGGAGTTGTGGCTTTAGAGTTACAGTAATACCCAGCTTGGCAGCTTCCAGAAACAGCTGACAATTCATCGGCTGAGCAGTATTTGCCAGAGTCACAAGGAATGCTTGAAGTTGAACCTTGTGGACAGTAGTAACCAGGATTACAACGGCCTCCATAGGTTTGGCTTTCTTGAGGTCGGGAAGTTGTAGATTTTGAAATGCAGTAAAAGCCTGGGTCACATTGTCCAGCGACAGCTGAGGCTCCTAGCTGGTTGCAGTAATAGCCTGGAGTGCAGTCGATGCATGCAGCACTGGACTGTTGGCCTGAGTTAGGGTTGTAAGTGCCAACAGGGCATGGGAATTGCTTACTCCCTCTCTAACTCCCCCCCTTTAATTGGAACTAAAAATTTTGTTCCAATTTAAAGGGGTTAATTTTTTTTTAAAAAAAAAATATAAAAAAAAAATTATATATAAAATTTATATAAAAATTTTTAAAAAAAAAAATTCAAAAATTTATCGAGTTAGATTAATAAATTTGTTTAATAAAATGCTATTTACTCTTTATCCTTTAAAACAAAGCAAGATATAACTAAATTTTTATTATTAGTTAATACGCCACTATTAATTGGCATCAAAATTATTTGCACAAAAATTATTATTTTTATTGATAAAAAAAAATTAAAAAAAAAAAATTTTAGAAAATTTATCATCAAAGTGCTAATTTTGTTTAAATAAGATGTTATTTATACTCTATTCTTTAAAATAAAGCAAGAAATAATTAAATTTTGAAATTTTATAAAGAATTCCTATTGAATTTATATCAAAACTATCCAAATAAAAAATATCATTTTTATCAAAAAAAAAACAAAAATTTTTAAAAAAAAAAATTAATTGTTTTTTTAAAATTGAGCAATTAAGGATAATAAATTTATATTTAAATAAGATGCTCTTTATACTTTTTTCTTTAAACAAGATCAAGATATAACTAAATTTTGAATTTTAGTTAAGAAGAAACATTTAATTTATATCAAAACTTTTTAGGTAAAAATTATTATATAATTTTTTATTATAAAATTTTTTATTATAAAATTAAATTTTGTTCCAATTTAAAGGGGGGTTAATTTACCAAAAAAGTGGAAATTTTACCTATATTTTTGTTCCAATTTAAAGGGGGGGGGGGAGTAAGGAATAAAAACTCTAGCTTTTTAATAAAGGCAATAATATTTTAATATAGAAATAAAATAAAAACCAATCTCCATTGGAGAACCCCATCCGTTATCTAGCAAAGTGCACTTGATCTTGTTCGCTAACTCCCCCTCCGTGAACGAACAAAAAAATCTTGCTTACGAAGGGTTAATTTTTTTTGTTAAAAAAATTGCATATAATTTAAAGAATTTTTTTTTCAAAAATTTAAAAAAATCCTAATTCGCAAAAATTAGAAAGCAAATATTAATTTAATTTGTAAAATTTATGTTTTAAAACGCGATTTGTTTAAAATTAAACAGAATTAGCTCGAGATTTCATGATACTAGTTATCACTTATATATCAAATCTTTTTCCATAAAAAAATTTTTCCACAAAAAAATTTTTGTTCGCTCCCAGAATGTGGGTGTTTGGGCAAAAAAATAGGGATTTTTCTAATGGTTTTGTTCGCTCACGGAGGGGGGAGTAAGAAAGGACGAAGCTAGGATATGAAGTTCCTGATTCGCAATAATAACCTGCAGGGCATACATTTGCAGTGTAGTCTGATGTGCCTGGCGGACAATAATACCCAGGAGGGCATGTCTGACAACTTGCTTGATTCGTAAGATCTTGGTATGTTCCTGCTGCACAGAGCAAATCTACTGCAGATCCTTGTGGGCAATAGCTGCCTTCTGGACATATGCCAGAGCCTGGCTCTCTTGTAGTAGATGACTCAGTGCAATACCATCCTTGTCTACATTGAGTGCCCATATATGTTGATAACGCTGTGGTTGTGCATGCATATCCAGCAGGGCAAGGAAGACAATGGGAAGAATCACTTCCTGTAGTGCTTGGATTAAATGTGCCAGCCAAGCAAGCTGTTTGATCAGAACTTCCTAACTTGCTGTAACAGATTTTACGTAGTATTTTTTTGAAAATTGTAAATGGTAAAATGAATTATCCTCCTCAGGCTAAAAGTAATGCAAAAATAAATTACAATCTTTGGCACAAATTTTGTGTTTTGTTTGGCTTGTAGAGTCACTCTCCATGCCAAAAAAATTAATTCATGTAGAGTCTAAATAAAGTTATGGTGGGCATATGTAAAGTGATTCTGCATTCCAAAAATAGTTCATAATTTGTGCTAGGGATAATATAATTATGCGATACTATCTGATACAGAGTTAATATGAATATTGCATTAATTGGGGAAGTAAGCAATAATACCCAACTGGACATGGGCCGTAATATCCTGGGACATCAGCATAAGGTTGAGGATATGGAGAACTTGAGGTGCAGTAGTAGCCAGCAGAGCATGAACCTGCTACAGCAGTTTGGCCAGAGTACAAACAGTATTTGTTAGCGTTACAGAGAGTGCAATCATCAATACTTTGACCTCCTGTTGCTAATCTATACGTTCCTGGAGGGCAAAACTTTCCAATAAATGAGCCTTGCAAACAGTACTTTCCTTCTTCACATGGTGTTACAGATGTCAGTGTAGTAGTAGGACAATAATTTCCTGGGTCACATGAAATATGCTTTTTTCATTAATTTTACCATAAATATGATAGGATAAGCAGAGAAATCTATTGAAAATAAATTTTGTTTTATTTATAAAAAGGTGAAAGAATCTTAAAAAATATACAAGAAGACGCTGCTGTACTTGGATTATAAGTTCCAGCTGCACATGCAATTTGGGCAACACTTCCTGAAGGCGCATAGTACCCTGCTTGAGCAGCATGACTATTAGAAGTTGACTCGCCAGCTGGGCAATAGTATCCAGGGTCGCACTTTCCTGTTGGCGATGGGCTCAAATCAGTACCTGCACAGTAATATCCTGGCCAACAAGTAACGCAATCGCTAGACGACCTTCCTCCATCAAAATTGTTAAAAGTCCCTGCGCTACACTTTTGAGGTGAAGTTGTCCCTGCTGGGCAATACCCTCCTGCAGGACATTTTTTCCCAGTTTGGCCATCATTTGGTGTAGCAATAGAAGCTCCTCCTGAGCAGTAGAACCCTTCTGTACAGGTATCTGTGGTACCAGTTTGGCCTGGAGATTGACAATAGTGTCCAGCGTCACACGAAGTGCAGTCTGTAGAAGTAGCCAAGCCTGTATTGGCTCCATAAGTGCCGCTTGGACATTGTAAAGGAGTAATGGTGCCTGATGGGCAGTATGATCCAATAGTACAAATTGTTGGGGTCGTTGTGGCTGTTGTAGGGCAATAGTAGCCAGGAGTGCATGAGGCACAGTCAGATACAGAAGCTCCGCCAGTTTCCTCTCTAAATGTCCCTGCAGGGCAAGCCATAGCTGTAGACGTTGTTGAGCCTTTAGGACAATAATAACCAGCACTACAGAGATAGCCGGAGTAATCAGAGGTTCCAGCAGAGCTCACATAGTACCCAGCAGGCACTGTTTTGCAGTCTTTGACAGATTTAGCACCTTTAGTGTTTCTATAAGTCCCTGCAGGGCAGTTTGTGCCTGATGAGGAGCCTTCAGGGCAGTATTGACCAGCTGGACATCCATTTGAACCCAAAGTAGGATAACTGTTCATGCCTGATGTACATTTAAATCCAGCTGGACAAACTGATAAATACATCATAAGCTCTGAAGTAGCTACCTCAGCACAGAAAAATCCTGCCTTGCATGTAATTTGCCCTGATGCCCCTTCATAAGTATAAGAGCCTTTATCTGCATCAGTACAAGAACTTAAACCTGAAGCACTTGAATATTTTCCTGCAGGGCATCTTTTACAGCTGGGATAAACCCCTGGTCCTCCATCTTGAGCTCCTAATTCTTCCATATAGGTCCCAGCTGGACATGGTATAGGTGGTGATGACGAAGAAATATACCCAGGGCAAAAGTTTCCAGCAGTACAAAATGTGCATTCTCCTTGGTCACTTGCTGCACCTGCATTATAAGTCCCTACTGGGCATATATACTGCTTATCATAAGTAGTGCCTCTTGGACAATAATACCCAGCTGGACAAGTGTTTGAAGAATATGATGATGTCCCAGCTGGACAGTAATAGCCAGCAGGACAAATTAAGCACTCATGAACACCTTCTACACGAGTATTTTCGCTATAAGTGCCAGCAGGGCATGGAAATTCTTTAGTAAAATGAGTGCCAATTGGGCAATAATACCCAGCAGCACATACTACTGGAGGGTTATTTACATAGTTCGTAGCATAGCCACAGGCAAAACCAGGAGGACATTGGTCACATTGGGCTAGACCATAAGCTCCATACATGGTACCGACGGTGCCTGGAGGACATGGGTTTTGGGTTTTGCGGGTCGAGCCCTCAGGGCAATAATAGCCAATTTCACATTTCATGATAGCTTCTACCATGCCTGCTCCTGGGCATGCATAGCCTGCAGGGCAGACCCAGCAGCTGCTTAGAGGGTTTGCTTGGTATGGGCCAATTTTTCCTGGAGAGCAAGGAAGTGGCTGTGCTGAGCCCGAGCCACAGGAAGTCCCTGCTGGGCATAATAAGCAGTCTTCTATTTTATACTTTCCTGTTAATGGGTTATAAGTGCCTTCTGGGCATGCGGTAGCAGATGTGCTTCCAATCGGGCAAATTCTCCCTGCAGGACAAATGATAGGATTTCCGGTGCCTTCAGGGCAGTAGTAGCCTTCAGGACATTGTAAACAGTACCCTTCTGAAATAGCTCTAAGTTTTTTATAATAAGTACCTTCTGGACAATTTGTGCCAGTAGATACCCCTGCTTCACAATATTTCCCTTGAGGGCAAGGGGAGTTTTCATAGTTTCCTGTGCCAGCAATGCATTCATATCCTAATGGACAGTCAAAACAAAAAGTACTGTCATAAGCTCTGACAACAGCATTAAATTTTCCATCGCCGCATTTTGTCATTGTAGAAGACCCATCACAGTAGTTGCCTGGCCAACATTCGAATCCAATCATATCAGGTCTATCTGCATTATCTGGCAGCCAGAAGCCTATAAATGCTGGACTTATAGTATCTGAGCCAATATAAGAGTATTTGTTGGAAGTAGCATAATTGCCAGCGCCATCTTCTCCTCCTGGTATTGGATAGCACCATCCCCATCCTGATGAACAAATAATATTGTCTTTCCAAGCATCATAAGATTTCACATAATCATCAACGTCTGTAGATGTTACAACGCTGCTTCCACTTGTCGTCAAACCTGGATAACCTGCTAAGGTAGTAGTTGACTTGCAATATGCTGAGCCTTCAACTGAGTCATAATCTGTTGCACAAGCTTTTGGCCTAGCGCTTGATCCAGTGCCTTCGCTGGCAGAACAATAATAGTGAGCAGGACATAGCTTACACACACTTTCTCCTGAAGCTCTGTATGTCCCTTCTGGGCAAATTCTTGTAGGTCCTTGGAATGGGTCGCATTCCATATTGTCAGGACAAGTCGCACAACTAGCCATCCCAGCTAAAGAATAAGTCCCTGCGCTGCATGATGTATAGGTAACAGGGTTTCCGCTACAAGAAACACCAGCAGGACAAGGCACACATATATCAGGAGATCCTACTATTATATAGCCGCTCGGACATGCAACTGTAAAAGAGACTTCAGGGCCTGGAGCCATCTCACCAGAAGTAGGTGAACTGCAAGTACCTGAGCCTGGATCTGAGTACTGTCCTTGGACGCATCGCTGAATTTCATAGCCGCTTTGATTTGGGCATGAAAACCCACCAGGACAAGCAAGACAAAATGAGTAATATTCATATGAGTAAGTCCCAGAGGCACAGCTTTGTGCAGTTTGAGTAGGATCTGCACAATATTGTCCTGCCTGGCAAGCTGTGCAGACCATATCATCTTGAGCTGAATAAGTGCCAGGAGGACATGGGACTGGTGTAGACCCCATACAATTGAACCCAGCTGGGCATGTGCATTTCGGCCCATTTGGCCACGCATAAGGTGCATTTATACATATATTTGCCACAGAGACTACTATAGTAACACTGCTATATCCTCCACTAGAATCAGATAAAGTAACAGTTACTGCTGTGTAAGGTGTGCTTCCCATCGAGCCAGCTGCAGCATATATAGTGGCCTGTTTAAATAATTTATAATCAGACGTCGTAAAGCTTAATGAAGAGGTCGTCAACGATAAATTTGTTGTATCTGAAGATGATATAGTCACAGTTACTGTTGACGATGGTTGTGAGGATAGTCATACATCAAAAGTCGCATATTGCTTACTTTGAACCAAAATAGCTAAGTTGCTCACTTTTATAGTAGGAGTACTTGCTGGAAGAATAACTGCTGTGGTGGTTTTATCTGAAGGATAAAATATTGCACTATTATAACACCTTCACCACTATTGCTTGTCTTAAAGCAGATAGCTTGGAGCTCTAACGAGTCACGTAAAGGTAGCAAGTCAACTGCAAGCTGCCAAAGGGCGTCCTTTTCTAAAGATTTGTTAACTTTGAGTTGGCTTGCCACCTTTACGTGACTCATCAGAGCTTCAAGTCATCTATTTCATGGTAATCAATAACGGGAAAGCACTATAAAATTTGAATCTGACGTAGAGACTGTATATGTAATAGTAGTGGTCTGATAAGGAGATGATGCACTTGAAGGGCCCGTTATTAAAATCCTCTGTGTGCTCCAGCTTGATGACGTAAAAGTCACTTGGCTTGAGCTCAGTGTTATATATGAGTTACTTAATGTCATCGAAACTACTACATCTGACGATGGCGCAGCTCCAATTGAAATATAGAGCTGAGTGCTGTCTTTAGCTTGGAGGCCTACAGAAGAGTCTGCTTGAATATAATATTTAGTGCTCCCATATATTGGCACTGAAATTGAGCCTGAAGAAGCAGTTAAGCAAGTTTGGAAATTAGCAACACCGTTGTATGTGGAATCTGATGAAGAAATTGAGTGGATCACACCGATGTTGACAGGATAAGAAGTTGAAGCAAGCATCCCAGTATTGAAGTAAACTTTTTGAGCTGTGGCGTAGTTTGAATCTGTAAATGTAAGGGTAGTTGTAGTGATTTCTAAGGATGAGGAGTCTTTTGAGCTGATAGAGACGATCACATCGTATAGTGGTTTATCAGTTAAATATAAGCTGCTTTAAATTAGTTTCATATAAATTTTTTTTTTATAGCAAGTGCCTTAATAATTATATTAAACAAATAACCTGACAAGCTTTATATAAAACAGCTTATCTGGTAATATTGGTTATAAGTCCCTTCAAAAATCGCATCATTCAAATTTATAGCAAGCTCTCCATTAGAATATGACGTCGCTGTAAAAGTTGTCGCAAATGCTGAATATCCTGAACAAAGAGCTTCGACTTCAACTGAGCCAGTTCCAGTATAAATTACATTGGAAAACGACAGACTGCCCAGATTAAGTGTTGCACTCCCGCCACTGCTTATTTGCCCATTTCCTGATTTTGCTTGTAAGTAACACTTGATGCTGGAAACAACCTTATTTCCGCTTGAATCTGTAACAGTTGCCGTCACTGAAAATCCTGATCCTTTATAAATAGTAGTCGGATAAGAGTTAAACGTTATAGATGACGGGGTTCCTGAAGATATTGTAAAAGAGCTGCTATAAGCGTCGCTCAGGCCTGAAGCGCTTGCCTTTAACACAAAAGTCCCAGCTCCGGTGACAGAACATGAGCTAAAAGTACTTACACCATTTGTAGCTGTCACTGAAACGCTTGACATTGTACCATAGCCACTTCCAGGTATCAGACTCAACGTAATTGAGCTAGCAAAGGACGTATCCACAGTATTTTTACCTATAGGAGGGTTCAAAACCTGGACTATTACATCGCTGGAACAAGGGTCAGAAGCACTTGTAGGCTGAGCTGAAAAATAAAGCGTTTGAGAGGTGCCTGAAGTAATGTCAAAAGAGCTGCTGGACACAGAGCCGTAGCCTATTGCAGAAGCTATAAGTTTGTATCCGCTTTCGATCTATAAATAAAATGGTATTCAGTTCGAGAGGAATTAGCTTTGCTAATTTTCTCTCATGAAATTTTATTTATGGTGTTTTGGTTTAATCTCGACAACTTCTGCAATAGCGGTTTAAATTTGGGATAACCAGAGGAATTGATCTTTAGTGCATCAAGAGGAAGGATTTTACCACTTATCACACCAGAGAGAGGATAACCCTTAGATGGAACACGTGCTTTTACTAACTCCCCCCCCCCCCTCCGTGAGCGAACAAAAAAATTTTGTTCGCTCACGGAGGGGGTTAATTTTTTTTTTTAAAAAAAATTTATATATAAATTTTATAAAAAAAATATTTTTTTCGAAATTTAAAAAAATCCTAATTTGCAAAAAATTTGGAAGCAAATATTAATTTAATTTGCAAAATTTATATTTTAAAACGCAATTTGTTTTAAATTTAAACAGAATTAGCTCTAGATTTCATTATACTAATTATCACTTATATATCAAAAAATTTTTTTTCCATTAAATTTTTTCTATTAAAAAAATTTTTGTTCACTCACGGAGGGTGGGTTTTTGGTCAAAAAATGGCGATTTTTCTAATGGTTTTGTTCGCTCACGGAGGGGGGGGGGGAGTAAGTCTTACGAGAGCGACAGCGCTAATGACTGGTGATGGCATTGCTTTGGAAAGCCTGCCCATTGGTGTGCCATTTAAGTGACGGAATGGCTCTTGACGTCACTAGTTGGGCTAAGTCTCTATCTTGTGGAATTTAGAGGCACTAAACACCTTAAAATACTTACGTTAATGCAATTTATCCGGTTCCGGTCTAAATTAGATTTTACTGTTGTAATGTAAAGATTACTAAAGGTAGCAGTGCTTGAGCTCGATGAAAAGGTCACTGCAAGATTTCCATATAAAATGACGCTGCTTGATGCAGTTGAAGGATCCAAGCTCAAATAGACCGAAGCTGTGTCACTTTGAGATTTTGTGACTGTGACAGAAAATGTGGTATACGCCGTTGTCTACTTATAAAATACTGATGACGGAGTGCTAAATGACAAAGAAAGAGCCAATCCTCCTGGAACTAATAAGATCCAAAGAAAAAGAAGCATATTTATTATAAACATTTCGAATGTGATAAGATTAAAATAATCAGATTAATTAACATTGATTTTAAATCAGAAATGATGAGAGGGAATATAAATTTTGAAAATAGAATTGGCTTGCTTCTGTTTCTGAAGATAAACGATATAGGGGCAATGATGAAATATTTTTCTTGATACTAACTCCCCCTCCGTGAGTGAACAAAACCATTAGAAAAATCACTATTTTTTGCCCAAAAACCCACTCTCCGTGAGTATACAAAAATTTTTTTAATAGAAAAATTTTTTATGGAAAAAAAAATTTGATATATAAGTGATAATTAGCATAATGAAATCTAGTGCTAATTCTGTTTAATTTTAAGCAAATTGCATTTTAAAACATAAATTTTATAAATTAAATTAATATTTGCTTTCCAATTTTTGCGTATTAGGATTTTTTTAAATTTCGAAAAAAAATATTTTTTATAAAATTTATATATAAATTTTTTTAAAACAAAAAAATTAACCCCCCTCCGTGAGTGAACAAAATTTTTTTGTTCACTCACGGAGGGGGGGAGTAATAAGATTTTTGTATGAAGATCTGAAATTGGAGAGGATTAGTGGCAAATAAGCAGAAGATTAGTTAAGCAGATTTAAAATTTTCAAGTACAAATTTGAAACTGTTGGAAATTTATAAAATGTTTTTATGAATTTTAATTAAATATTGAGATTTATAGAGTCAATTTTTGGGTAAAAAGAATTAGTCTGTTGAGTAATAAAATAATTGGGAGAATAATAGTGCAGGATTTTATTTAAATTGTAATAATTTATTGTCTTTTATATTATTTATTCGCAAATTTATAAGTTTTCCTCTTCAAATTTATAGTAAACAGTCCTTTACTCCCCCCCCCCCCCTCCGTGAGCGAACAAAACCATTAGAAAAATCGCCATTTTTTGACCAAAAAACCCACCCTCCGTGAGTGAAACAAAAATTTTTTTAATAGAAAAAATTTTAATGGAAAAAAATTTTGATATATAAGTGATAATTAGTATAATGAAATCTAGAGCTAATTCTGTTTAATTTTAAACAAATTGCTTTTTAAAACATAAATTTTGCAAATTAAATTAATATTTGCTTCCCAATTTTTGCAAATTAGGATTTTTTTAAATTTCGAAAAAAATAATATTTTTTATAAAATTTATATATAAATTTTTTTTAAAAAAAAAAATTAACCCCCCTCCGTGAGCGAACAAAATTTTTTTGTTCGCTCACGGAGGGGGGGGGGAGTTAGTAATAATTTTAGTTGATATTGATTCAGAATATATGGATGATTTAAAATGATATCACTCGAAATTTTATGGTCTCCCGAACGAAATTCATCTCTTGCATTTTATTATGAGGTTTGATTTCACCTGAAGAAATTATCTCAGCTATGCCAGGAAAGCAAAAGAGAGTGGTTTTTCCCTATCATTTTTCTGACCCTAGGGAATTGAATTTCTCGAAGGGTACCACTTACCCCAGGAGGAGACAGGGACCTTTACGGTGCCGTTGGGGACCCAAGCAAGTGCCTGAGTTCAAAGAAGAGTCGTTTAAGCCAAAATTTCTAAGACTGGTGTCCTCATTGGTGATCAAATCCGAGGTAGCCACACCTTTAGTGAGCCCTAAGGGAAAAAAGCGCAAAATCGCCCAGAGCGGTATTAAGGGAGCTGTGGTCGAGCAGCATGGTAGTGGACATTAAATATGTATAAATTAATTAAAATTAAGACTATATGATTGATACGAAGATAAAGGATATAATAAAACTTTAATAAAAAGGGTTTCTTATAAGAAGCTAGAAAATTAAGAGACTTATATAGCTATTTCAAGATAAATTAAATAGAATTATTTTTTAAATTAAAATTATTGTGATAATTGTTTATATAGCTTCATATTAGCTATTTAAAAGAAAAAAGTGATATTCCATAAGATAATTTTAAGCTGAAATATATAATTTTATTCTATATAAGCTCCTTATATTTATATATTTAAAAATACAAAAATTAAAACTATGAATCCGAATAAAATATGGGAAATTGCTGCAATGGAGGAGTTGACAGTGCTCAACCAATCTCCAAAAACGAGCCAAAAATCACAGAAACCCTTCCTCGAGAAGAACAAATCATCATAGAAAACGAAAAAAAATTAGAATTCAGCAAACTCAACAGCAAAGACATCATAAAATCCCTAAAATCCGAAGGATCTCAAAATTGTTTACTACTTCTTTAAGAATAAGCAAAATTTTTTATCATATATCCCTCAATTTGCATATCTTTGATATGATTTAAAATTTATATTTTAGAATGCAAGCAGCTTAAAATTTAATGAAGCAGTTGCAGGCCTTTTTTTTAAAAAAATATATTTTATATAAAAAATGATTATATTAAAATTTTTTTGCTCGCTCTTATAGAGAAATTTAAGCATGCCTCAGCTAAAGCGAGCCTTTTTTGATCTCCAACTATCAGAAACTGACTTATCCTCCCCTGATTCCGCCTTTTATAAAATCCTAGCCAAGCTAAAAAACGATAAAAAACTTTATGAAATACGTAAACTTGTATTGCTTGCCTTACTAGTAGGTAAAGGAGCACCTCAAGATAAAGCAGTTTGGCTGTTTAAACAGTATGATTTAGACGCATCTGGGGTTATAGATGCAGAAGAAGTTGAAACTATGCTAAATGAGATGATAGATCTTGCTGTAAATATTTTGCCATTATCGGCAAGAGGGGATGAGGAAGGTTGTCTGACAAAAGAAGAGGAAGATACATATAGAGATTTAATAGGATAGGTAGATAAAAGAAATTAGATAACTCACCCCTTTAAATTGGAACAAAGAATCAGTAAAATTTGTATTTTTGTACTTTAGCCCCCTTTAAATTGGAACAAAATTTATTTTACAACAGTAGAATCTATGAAAGTACTAATTTTTATAGAATTAGTTTTTGATCTAATTTATAAGACAAAATGTATATAGAATGCTATTTAAATAATCCTCACACTGAATATATTAATTTTTTTATTTAATTTTTCAATTAAAATTAAAATTATTGTATTCAATTTATATTTTGTTAAAAGATTTCAAAATTTTGATATAAATTAACCCTCTTTTAGATTGGAACAGGATTTTTGTTCCAATTTAAATGAGAGGGAGTAATGTTTTGGAAAATTGAGGAAAAATGGTATATAAGAGTATGCTGCTGGCTGGACAACAAAGTATGGTTCAAGAAGTTATGAAGCTATTGCTGAATCAGAATGAGATTGGAGAAACAGAATTTGTGGCGAAAATATGCGACCCAAGCCAGCAACTGAATAAGTTGCTTTGGAGCTATGGGGTTAGGCTGCTTTTGAAAAATTATGGAAATCATAACAATATTGAATCTCATTAAATCGCCTATGTTTTTACTAACTTTAGTCTAAATTAAAAGGGTTTAATTATAGCGTGTCAATGCTAGTGGATCGATACCTCGCCAAGACGATCAGGCTTTGGTTCACCAACAATTTGTGGAGAAACTAGCCTTTGAAATGGAAAATCTGAATTATCTGGTGATTTGTTTGTTAAGCCAACTTCATTTGTCTCGAAAGGGATAAGAAAGATAGCGATCCACTAGCGTGGGTGCCCTCTATTTATTTTTCAAATATTGTTGGGCTAAAGATATTTTATTTTCCCTTTAATTTATTTGTCAAGCAGAGGATAAGAAAACCTCTTTATATATATAAATTAAGTTTTCGCCATATCAATAGGCTATTTATACAATTAAGCCTAGCATAATAGTTAGCTTATATAGCCCAGGCATAACATTAGATCGTCCTAGGCTCTTTTTTCTGAGCAACACCCCGAACTGGTTCTCCAACTCATATTGACGAATCAGTTGACAAATGCTTTTTATTGGGCGTATTTGTGAACCTCCGAGTTGGTTTGCCAATATGAGCTGAATAGCGATTTCCACGAAAAATCCATCCAAAGACGATCTTATATCGTCCCTAGGCTATATATTTTATTGAATAAATTTTTCATATACTAAAAACCTTGCACATAACTAGATCTTACTCCATTCGAAATTGACAAAAAAAGCCCAAAAGGGAAATTTTTTTACACTATTTTAAATTATTATTACGAAGACTCATTCAATAAGTCCATCAATTCAAATTCCAGACTGTTTAAGTAGCATTTCCTCTATTAAATTGGTCAAAGCTGTTTAGATTTTTTTCATTGATAATTAAAAATTAAATTTGAAAGTGTTAAATTTCCTTATATTAAAATTAATTACCCATTAAGCATCCTTCCAAAATCAGCTAAATAAAATATCATTTATATTTAATGGAATTTGAATAAGTAATAAGCAGTCAATAAAAATGGGAGCGTGTTGCGAAGGAAGAGATGTTTCAAGCCAAGAAGCAAGGAATGAGGTTGTTCATATTGGAAACACTGGAAGAGGGGCAAGCTTCAATCTTAAGGTAGCTGACAAGTCAAAGGTTCCTGATGCCCCTCCACGAGAAGAAGAAGTCATTGCAAGCAGCGAGAAAAAGCTAGAATTTTCAAAATTGAACAGCAAAGATATCATCAATGCCTTTACTGCAGAAGGCATGGAAGGGGTATTAAGCAGGCCACAACTAAAGCGCGCCTTTCTTAGCCTTGGATTGCCTGAAAATGACCTAACGTCTCCAGATGCGCCTTTTTACCAAATTTTAGCAAAAATAAAAAATGAGAAAAAGCTGTATGATATTAGAAAAGTGGCTCTTTTAGGATTGCTATCCCTTTTAAAGGATTATTGGGAGTTCTCTTACTAGCTAATTCCTTATTTTAAACTAAAATAAGCTTAACATGTTCAGTAAATATATAATTTGTTCTTAAAAAGAATATAGGAAAAGGCTCAAACATAGATAAAGCACGCTTACTGTTTAAGCAATACGATTCAGGAAGCTTAGGAAGCCTAGATACAGGAAAAGTCGAATTAATGGTCAACGAAATCATTGATTTATCAGTCAATATTATCCCTGATATTGCTATAGGAGAAGGCGCTGGATATTTGACGAGAGAGGAAGAAGACGCATATGAAGACCGCTTGCGTGCTCGACAGCAAAACACATTTAATGAGGTCAAAAGGATTCTTATTAGTGAAGGCCAATTGAGTGAGTCTGATTTTATAGTCAAAATGTCTGATTCTAAGCTGCCACTTTATAAGTTGCTATCAAGTGTAGGGACAAGAGCACTTATCAGATCTCTATCTAATGCCTTAATCTTAATCTTAATTATGCTCCTCCATTTATATTGAAAGAAAAATCCTATTCAAATTTAAAGGGGGTTAATTTTTTTTAAAAACAAATTAATTCAATTAATAGAATTATTTAAATAATATTCTACTTGAACTTTTTCTATTAAATTAGGTCAAAACTAATTTTTTACTATTAAAAAAATTGCTCTAACTTAAAGGTGCTCCAATTTAAAACGGCAGAGTTATTGAAAAGTCTACTTTAATTTTGAAGGACTACTTCCACTCCTAATACTTCTTTGCCTGCTCGCCAGTTCATACAGAGCTCACAAAGGTTGCTCCTGCTGGGCGAGGGGCTTTCACTTGCTCCCCGGCATAGCTGGAAATTGGGTTTGATTTTAATTAGTTATTGAACTTGAATTTTAAAGTAGTCTTTAAAATTTCGCCTTTTCTGTCGTGGTTAATTAGGATACAACATCCAACTCGCTTTTGGATGAAATGTCAAACACATTTGACAAGCCAAAAATAATTAAAATTGACATAACTTGGATTTGACATTCAGAAATCGGCTCTATTGAAAGCTATAAAGGCGGATTAAGTATAGTTGAATGAATTGTATCAGCGCATCCACAAGGTTGCCCACCATTGACAATATTGACAATGATTGAATTTTCTAGCCAACTCTCGACAAAATTTTATTCTGAAGTCCAGGGCGTAACTCCTAGTTTCACGTTTGGGAGAAATTCCAATTTGCCAGGAAATTAGCCAATTGCTCTCCTGGAAGATTTCTTTTCAATCTCGTCTCCATTCTCCTATGATGCAAGACCTTAATCTAGAGTAAAGCATGCAGTCAACTAGCACTTCATTGTACTCCACCAAACCAAGTAAAGCCTCATCGGATAAACATTTCCGAACGTCATCCTCCCTTCCCCGAGATCTCTGCACACATGTAGGATGTCAGCCACAGGAGTTAAAAGGCGGGTTCGCCATTTAATGTGCATCTATCTAATACCAACTAAATATTTTTCAAATCATTTGAATTTACTTACTCCTCCTCCGCGAGCGAACAAAAACCATTAGAAAAATCTCTATTTTTTGACCAAAAACCCACCCTCCGTGAGCGAGCAAAATTTTTTATGAAAAAAAATTGATATATAAATGATAATTAGTATAATGAAATCTCTAGCTAATTCTGTTTAATTTTGAACAAATTGCGCTTTAAAACATAAATTCTATAAATTAATTAGTATTTGCTTTCCATTTTTTATGAATTAGGATTTTTTAAAATTTCCGATAAAATTTATATATAATTTTTTTAAAAAAATTAACTCCCCTCCGTTAGCGAACAAGATTTTTTTGTTCGCTTACAGAGGGGGGAGTTACTAATTAATCTGTAATTAATATATCGTCCATATTATGCTATGTGTATTATCCCTATTCACAATAAATCCCATATTTTATAAGGAAAATACTATTTTTCAGTAATTTTTAAATTTATTATAAACAGCTATACATAATTTGGCATTTCGCGCACGTTCCTCGTCTCCCTGTTAACCCTGCCTCATTTTCTTTTTCTTTAGTCTCATCTTTTTTCGACTGCTGATTTGGCACTGCATCTTTCATATCATTACTGGGTATCCCTACAATTAACCCTGACTCAAAAACCACAGCTTCTTCATCTGAGCTTGAACTTTCAGATTCTACCGTTGAATCTTTTGGATCTACAATATTGCCTCTAGCTTCTTCTAAAAAGGTGTGGACAGGTGAAAAACTTTCTTTATATTCTCCATCTATATGGACGATTCCTGGAATAGTATATCTCCTAGGCTTTTTTCTCGATTTTTCTATATCTAGTTCTTCTTCTTCGTCAAGCTTTTTTTCTTCAGATTTTTCTAAATAATTTTCATCAACTTTTACTATGTGCCCTAACTCTGCATGGTGCTCATCTATAAATTCTGGCTTTTCAAAAGCCTCAACTGGCTTAATTTCTTCATCGGATAGCTCACTAGCTTGGATTATTTGGAGGAAACTGCTTTTATAGTCAGATTGAAAAGTGCTGATATTGGTTGTTGAAGGGACAATTTCGGTACTTCCAAAAGCCCGTTTGTGCCTTTGTAGCTGAAATAAATCGACACTTACGCAGATTTTAGCAGCTTTGTCAGGAGATTTTGCAAGAACTAGCTCGAATTTAGTAAACGGCTCAAGTGTGCTAGCGATTTGTGAAAATTCTAAAGCAGCTTCTCCAAGCTTCTTTGTGGATTTCCCTCTGATTTCTAAGACTTGGAAACTCACATGCTTTTTCACCCAGTTTTTGCCTCGTTTTATCATATGGACGATGAAGGAAATGGGGTACTCTAGAATTACTTCGCCATTTAATGAGTTATATGGCATTGGCTGAGTTTCTTGCTTTTGCTTGCCCCTTTTCACTAAGATTTTTATCAGGCCTGTTTCCCCATATTGCGCTTTGACATAATGAACTTGGATATCAAGATTAAATTTGTGCTTTTTAGGAACAATTCTCTCAAATGTTTCTCTTAGAGACATTTTGATTTAGAATTATTTTCAACTAAATGCTAAAATAATTTGTATTATTAGCAATAAATAAAACAGCAATAGCATTTTTATACGAATTATTTTCCTTTACACAGCAAATCAATTTTTATCGCGTTGTTTTTTTATATAAAAAAATCTTTATATCATTTTAATCTTATATATGTAGACAAAATCGCATTAGTGAAAAAATCAATACTTTGCCTATTTGAAAATTATTCTGTGGATTTTTATAACCAAATTCTGTATTTTTGTCTCATGCGTTTTCTCATTATCTTAATATTAGATGGACTATTTAATCGATACCAATCGCGGATCTCTACGGTCAATTTTTTCAAAACACTCAACTAGTCATGACAACCCAGTGATTACATATAACGAGCTTTTCAAGTTTTGCACTGCTGTAAGGATATTCCCTGATTTATTATCCTCATTTGAGATTAAGCGGCTGGTCATGAAATCCTCCAATTCTCATGGAAACTCAGACAAGCGAATTGAACTCAGTTATTTGCAGTTCGAAAAGCTTTTAAAATCAATAGCAAACCATTGCTTTACATCTGGATCAGATGGAGAAAAGCTTAAGTTGCTATTTGCCCATATCAAAAATTCCTGCAAACTCAACTATCATGTAGACTTAAATATTGCAGTGGATAGTTCGTGCTTAATTGAAGAAAATTCTTTATCCAACTCTAATTTGAACTCGTCTAATGAAAGATCACAAAAGCAGAGAGAAACTTTAAGAAAATCTTCCTCACTCCTTCTCTCTTTAATTGGAACAAAAGCAAAATTCTGTTACAATTTCAAAAGAGGATTAATTTTTTTTAAAAAAAAATTCTATAAAAATATTAAAATTATGAAAAATAATTTGAATTTTAATTTATTTTTCATTCAGTATGAAAACTGTTTAAATACTTTTATTGATTAGGTATGCAACTTTATAAAATTTAGTGTTTTTACTATAAAATTTTTATATGAAATCAAAAAAATTTTGTTTCAATATAAAAGATATAAATAAAATGGCATTCCCTTCGAGATAAATTAGCTTTGCTAATTTTCTCTCCCTTATAGAATTTTATTTATGGGGTTTGGATTCCACTCAAGAGCTTCTATATATTAGCATCGGTTTGACTTTGGAATAACTGGAGGAACTGCTCCACAGTACATCAAGAGCCTAAGGGTTTTATCACTTAGTGCTTCAGAGGAAGGTGACAGTTAGGCAAAATACTTGCAGGAACTGAGCAGGACAAAAGATGGCATCGGGCCTGGTGAGAAGTGCTGATCGTGGCGATTGATAGTTTTTTGGAATAAACCGACCTTTTGGAGCGGAAATACTGGTGACGTCACCACTTTGGCTCTGTCTAATAGTTTTTGACGCGTGGCATTGGACATTTAAATATTCTAATTAGCTAATGACCAAAAATAAAAATTTTTACCGAAAAGTTGTTCCAATTAAAAGGGGGGGCAGTCAGGGCCTAAGATGAAAAGTAAATTTTAAGCAGAAAATGTGATTAAAAAAAGTCTCACAAAATGCGCATCTCTAAAGCTACCCTCTGCAGACCAGCCAGGCAACCGAACACGAATCGTTTCTCCTAGAATCATGAACCCAACCCCAAGAGTTGTAAATAAAAAAGTAAAGCAGCTCTATCAAGCAATTTCTCCAAGGCACCTCTCAGCTAGAAAGCTAGCATCAAGATCTCCAGATTCCAAGCATGAAATAAGCAGCTCTATTGACCAGCATTCGACTAGACTTAGCAAACCATTGGAAATTCCTAAACTGGGTAGTCCTCTTTCATCAAGCCAATTTGTTATATCAAATTTGCCTACTGTTAAAAATAGCACTCATAATAAATTAAGCAAAGTTAAAAGTGCATTTGATGATTTTAGGAAAAAACACAAAGAAATAGTAGCAAAAAAGCCAGCAGGGATAAGCCCAAAGATGCTTAGGTTTATTAAAAGTTCACATAAAAATAGGTTTGAAAATGTAAAAGTTATGTAGAAATTTGTGACAAAGCTGTTTTTCGAGCTATGGAGGGTTAAGACGATTTATAGTGCCTAGTATTATAATGATTAGAATAATTTAATTAGATAGAGATCGGAAATATTAAAATAATTAATCACTTGTGACTGATTTATTCACAGCATGGCTAAATACAGCAAGTTTGGCCTTTATTGACCCCACAAGTAAATTATCGATATTTTCTTGCTGAGCAAGAGCTTTAATATTCATCGGATTCGTAGAAGATACCAAATGCTCTTTCAAAATTGCTTGTTTTTCAAGCTTCGAAACTTTTTCTGATATGATTTTCACTTTTTCTGTGTCTGAAACACTCATACTGAGCACATCGTCTCAGTTTGCCTTTATTTCTTCAACAGGCATATTTTTTTCGTTTTCTTCTCTTAATTTTCTTTTTTCTTCTAAATAATTACCCTTATAATCTCTTATACGATTTTTAATAAATTAAATTTTTTTTTCTGTTTTATTTACACAAAAATGGATAATTTTTTTAGCAACTTTTGGAGTTTCCACAGTCTTTGACTGTGACTGTATTTTTCTCGGCTTTATTTTCTTTTTCTCTAACTCTACAAACGACTCAGATCTCTGATTGATTTCTGACAAAATTCTATGATGCCTTGCTGGGTTTTTCATTTTTTCCAGCCTTTCCTGTAGCTCTAGCTGCTTTGTTTTATCGACTGTCGGCATAAACATTTCTTTAATCAACTCTGCATACCTCAATCTTTTTTCAATTTTTTGTAGCCTTTCTATATTTGCTGCATTTTGGGCTTCTTTTAGCTGTTTTTCCTGCTCAAGAATTTTCGCATTCCACGTGCATGATGAGCTTCTTACTTTATTTTCGATTTTTCTTGAATTTAAGGCTTCTTCGTTTCTTTTTGTATGCTCATCTCTCAGTACATCGTATCATTTCATATGCTCAATTATTTTTTCCTGATTTATTGATCGGTTTACAAGTTTCCGCTTGGCAAGCTCACTTTTTCGTTTTTCAAGCTCTGGGAGTTCGTATTCGCATTTAAATTTTTCTTCGAGTTTTACGTAGAGAGGCTTGACACCTTTGATTGATTCGTAGTCATTATTTCTGCGGCGAATTTCGTCAATTTCTTGTTGACGCTTTGCTTTGAGTTCTTTCATTTTTTCGAGTTTTTCGTAGTATTCTTGTTCTTTTTTGGCTTTGAGCTCTTCCATTTCTTGCTTTTTGGCTTCACTTTCTTCTTCGAGAATCATCATAAGTTTTGATTGCTCTTGCTGCTTTTTTTTGGCTCGTTCTTTTTGCTCTTTGTAATAGGCCTTTATTTTTTGGGCAGCTTCTTCAGCTTTTTTTCTTTCGTTTTCGAGATACTCTTGCCGAGTTCTAGCATTTTGAAGGTTCGGCTTATTAAGCTTGTTTTCGTTCTGAATAGAACCTATATTATCAAGTGTGCTTATGGACTCTTCGATGCTTGACAACTTAGCTTCTAATAATTCTTTTTGCTTTTTTATTTCTTTCAGTTTCGCTTGTCTTACGTTTTCGTCAACATTACTCGAATTTATCTTGCTAAATACTCCTCCGTGAGAGTGCTAATTTTATTTTTTTAAATTATTTTATAGTAAATTTTTTTTTCGATATTTAAGTTGGCAAAAATTGGAAATGATATATTTTTTGTAAAATTTATACTTTTAAATGCAATCTGTTTAACAATAAATAGAGAGATTTCATTATACTAATTATCAAATTTTTTTTCATAAAAAAATTTATTTGCTTAAGGAGGGCGAGTTTTTAGGCAAAAATTGTGATTTTTCCAATGCTTTGTTTGTAATGGATGGGGAAAGTAAGAAGATTATTGATAACTGTTTGGAGATCATCTGGGGATTTGGAAAAAGGGATCGAGGCTTGTTTTATGTGGGAAATTATTTTTAATGCTGATGAAGAGAGCGAGCCTTGAACAGATTCCTGAGTCTTGGCTTTGGATTTGATAGAAGACAGGATATTAGACAAGTAATTTGTAACCATAGTTAAGAATAATTATTTATAAGCGTTATAATGAGGTAGCTGTTGCATGCTATATAGAGAAAAATTACATTGTAAGCAGGCTTTTAATAAAAATTCAATAATCCCTAGCTATTAAAAAGTATATAAAACTATGCCAAAACCTATATGAAATATTAGTTATTTGTCTTAAGAAGAAGAAGCAGCTACTACAATCATGTTTACTAGCACATAAAGCATGATTAAACTATTAAACCCTACAATCGCTAGTGAAATTCTCTAAATAGCTCTTACCCTTGACGAAAATTTCACATCATACGGTGAAGGTGTTTCCACCATCTCCCTTGCCGCTATATGCATAAGTGGTATCGCAATTGGTACTAAAATAAACCCAAACAGTCCAACCCAGTTCAAAATAATGCTCTACATAGCTCTTACCAAATCATACACAAAAAATGCAATTGAGAATGGCAAAACTACACACAAAAATCTACAAATAGCTACAGTTTTAAAAGGCAAGTTCTTGGTCTCTCCAATGCCATAACGCATAGTAAGCACATTATCAGATAATGGAATCGCCATAAGTGGGAAGCTTGAAAACACATCAAAAGCAGGGAAAAGCACTATAATATACGGTAGATATGGTAAAATCTATTAAAAAATCAAAGTAATTTTTCCTATAAAAGTAATGATAATTTCTATCATAATTTATGTCTACCCTAATATACGCTATTATATAAGTCCACCATGGTCTATCACTTTGTGAGTACCCAGCTGAGTACTCTCTAAATGATATATTAACTTCTCCTTTTACATCATGAATAGCCATCGGGACAATGATCCCTAACATCGCATATAATGTGAACGACGTCGCTGCTACCATGATGATAATTCTTTTCAAGTTTTTTACCCTGCTTCTCACGAATTCCGCAATGCTTGGGAACTGGATTTGGTATACAAAGGCAAAAAGAATAATAGAAGCCATACTAGACAAATGAGTCCACACAGCCAAAGGCGGGTCGTCAAAAGATTCATGAACATCATGGTCGACTTGCTTTTGCTGAATTAAAAGAGCTATTGACGTTATAAGGACTAGACCAATAATAATAAACCTCATAATTGTCAACACACTTTGCACCCACCGCTGCTCTTTCATGCCTTTAATAGTCAAATAAGTCATAAAAACAGCATAAATAATTAGAAATATCCAATAATTCTCATAGCAGGAATCAGAATAGCTTGAGGTTTCATAAATATCACACTTCTTAGCCCATGGAAGCGGGATATTTGAAGCAAAAGAGCTCGCATTACATTATATTAAGGCTTATTTCGTTTAACGTTCCCTACGGGGCTGACAGACCCCAGGTCTTCCCGCTTAGCCTTCGCCGCATCGGGCCCACAAGTCTCTGGGGGCATCTTACTTTGATCACCAGGGTGCTTCTTGGGGCAAGTATTGCCGACTCCGACGGCTCATGAGTGAGCTACTTCACTTGCCATGTGAGTTGCCTGCTCAGAAAATCCAAAAAATGGATTTTCTGGCCGATTTTCAGCAAAAAGGGAGAACACACGGCCTGGGACGTAACACCCAGTTTCACACTAGGGAGTTGCCCGATTAGTCCGAAGGGCTTTGTTGGGCTTCCCCTTTCCAAACAATGTGCCTTCCTTCCTCACGAGGTAAAACCCATCTCGCTAGTTGAGCATGGGCCAGGCTCTGCCCTGCAGAGTTGCTTACCTGGCATTGTTGCCCATTTCCAGAATGGCAAAACCTTGCCGGATATAATTAAAATATCCTCGAAGCTCCATGACCAGGCTGAGACGCCATATTTTAATTATGCAAAAGAGCTCGCAAAAATAGAGACGTAGCCTAATTGTGCACCTTGGAAGTAGAAACTTAAGATTATAATATAAAAAGTCGCCCATTTCTGGCCAAATAAAATTCGGATATTTTCTGTGACGTCGAACCTTCGACTTGTGATAATTGGACGTGGGGTGCGCTCTTTTTCTAATAAATCTTCGCCTGCTTTTTGGCCTGTGAGAATTTGTCGCCATGTAGGTGGTTTTACCTTTTTTCCTTCTTCTCGAAGCCGAACTATGACTTCTGTTCGGCTCATTACTTCAAGGAGCTGCCGAGCTAGATAGTAACTCTGATACGCTGTGAAAATCATGTAAAAGAAAGAAATCAACCACCCACTTGTCTTAAATGCATGTGGAAGAGCCAAGAAACCAGCTCCAACAACGATGTTAACTGAAAAGAAATAGCCAGTCGACAATCCAAATTTATCTGGATTGACAGAAGACGGCTCTATTGAGAAATCCATGATGGACATTTTTTAATTCACCAAGCTATTTAACAAATTTGTAAATGGGTTCTTATTAATTAAAACGTTCTCCATAGTAAATTGTTGTAAAAAGGGGAATATGGAAAGAAATCATATAAATTTTGACTGAAAATTGGTAGTTAAGTATCTAAGGATTGATGAGAAAAAAAAAGAGGAAAAATAGCTGTATTATAAATATCATCTGTGGAAAAAAATAGCGTAGACTAAGAAGATTTAGGATAGTAAAAACATTATTATATAATCTATGATAATAAATTATGATGCTTTAAAGGCTAAGACCTATAGTATCATATAAATCTCCTATAAATAGAATAACTGATTTTTTAATATTTTTATTATCTCTTGATTTGTACACCATATAGCCATCTCCTTATGAATTTTCTATTAAAATCCGCTTCATTATAGTAATCTTTATATCTCTATTTTTCTTTCTAATATTTTTATAATCAAAAAATAAGAAATGTCATGCCCTTGCTTCATTTGTAAAACTCATGAGCCAGTGCCAACTCACACACACTTTGTCAAGTCAAAGTTTACCTCAGAAAACTCTTATGGTTTGGTGTCAATCAGCAATGTAAGCTCATCTCCTTCATCTGCATTAAAATTCAAAATTAATAAGACTCAGGCTGCGTTGGATATGAATTTTTCAGCTATTTTGCCTACTTGGATTATTGAAGACGTTCTTTTTATTGAAGCTTATGAAGGTTCTATTTCTGATTCTCTAATAGGCACTGGAAGTATTCCATTAGCATACCAAGCATTTGACGATTCACTAGTAGAAGTAAATTTGGACTCTTTTATTGATGAACCTATTACTGTGTCTTTTAAACTGAGTTTTGAAAGTATTCTGTATTATATTAAATATTATTGAGGCTTTTCCTAATAAAAAAGTACTTATAATTATTGAAATTAGTATAAATGCAAAAATATCGAAAACCCTTCTTATATGATTTTTCGCAAAACCTCAAGACTCGACCCCAGCTATAAATATACACTAGAAATAATAAACGGTGAAAAAACAGACGAAATTCGTATAAAAGATGAGTCACAAGGCTATAAAGATGAAGTTTGGCACCATATATCCACTATTGAGTCCTTTGAAGTCATGAATCTTAATTTCAAAATGACAAATCTTAATGGGACAGGAAAAGCTAGGAACTTTGAAAGCTCTACAACAATCCAAAAGAAAAATTTTAAAAACGTTCCTTACTTTTTTACCTTGAGGTCTCCTACAGTACAGTTTTCTTCATTCCTTACTTTTTATTTGGTGCCTTTTAATTCCCAGTTTATCACATGCCCAACAGGTTCGTTTGAGATCAAGTTTTTGCCTCAGTCTAATAGGTGAATTAGTGATTTTATAGCAGAAAGAGGCTATTTTCAGTTTCAATTGATGACTTTGCTTGTGCAGCATCAGGTTAAAGGAGAAATTCAGGTTGAGGAGCTTTCACAGATTTTGGAGCATCAGGAATATGCTTTTAAGTTTGATACTAGAGATATCAATGACAAGCTTGTGGTGAAATTGTTTTCGTATAAGGAAAATCAAGAAGTCGCATCCCTTTGCTATGTAGGAATGATTAAATTTAAAGAAACTCCAGGCTTCAAATATAGACAAGACTACCAATGCATAGTCCAATTCGGCCCATTCACATTAGACGTCACTCTATCCAGCGAAGAGTCCAAAATTGAAGAAAACCCTCAGAAATTCGAAACTTCTGTTTCAGAATTCAAAGACCCAGAGCCTGCCAATTTAACCTATAAAGACAGAACTTTTTTCAATGTCCTTGACCTAATGGAATTCAAAATCCATCAAATTTCAAAAAGAAATAGCTTGACTACCACCCATATAAATAAACTTAAAACCCGAAATGAGCTCCTCCGCAAGCAAATTTTTGATTTAGAGCACTCTCACCCTATAACAGAATTTGATAATATTGTGCAGCAGTCTGCTCTGAAGCCTAAAAAAATGTCAAATTCTCAGTCTATAAGTCAAATTTTGCCTGGAAATAGCATCAAACCTTTAGAAGAAACAGCTGCACCTAAATATCAAATTTGTTCATGTGGGAATCGAAATCCAAAATTTAAAGGATATTGTGAAAATTGTGTGAAAACTTTAAAAGATCAGTATGAAAGAGTACTAAAATGATATAAATGGCTATGTGCTATTCAGCTATAATAATTATCATATAATTATCTCATTTTATATTAAAATTAATATAGGGTGTTATAAAAAAAATGGTAAAATTAATTTAATATAAAATACTCCCATAAAGAACAAATTTGATGAACTTGAGAGAAAATACACTGGGATTAATGCAAGAAAAATATTATTTGAAGGGAAAATAATAAAACTGCAAGAAAAATTGAAAAAACCGGTAGATATTGAAGAAGGGGATACTGAAGAAGTCAAACAAATGATGGTCCAGCTGACTGAGCTACAAAATGAGGTAGAAAACATGCAAGAAGAAGCCAGAAGGAAAACTGAAATAATTGAAACACAGAAGAACGATATACAAGTCAATTTAAGTGAAAAAGAAAAAGAGGAAGGAAAATTGCAGAAGAAACTGAGGGAAAGCGAAGAAAAAGCTGAAATAATAGCGCAGGAAATTGATGAGACTAATAAAAGAATGGTGGATAAAAAGGTGTTTAATGACAAGTATAGAGGAAAATATTTGCCGACTGCGTAGAATTATTTAAATTAAAAGATTTTTATTGAAATATTATATAATTATGCAGTAGATAATTATATATTTAATCATCATCAATTTCTGACCCAGACTCATTTTCCTGTATCTTTTTCGCTTTCCTTAATCTATTAATAATAAAATGGTGGCGACGAAATATCCTCTTGATGAAGACGCGTCACTTTGGGCGCCAAATTGTTTTTTAGCCTAAACCAAAGCTCAGGCCCTTTAATTTTAATCCTTAGCTTGCCGAGAGCGGCAGTATAGTGTAGGTCTTGGAAGCAGCTGGTGGCTATTCCAGAGTATTAATCATCCAGATGGCTTTCTGGCAACGGATTTTCCAGAAGGCGATGCTTCTTTTTTCCTGGGTGTTAAAGACGTCCGACAGGAGGCATCGGCTGACCTTTGCCTTATAGCACCCATAAAGCCTGAAGAGAAAGAGGAGTTTTTCTAACCTTTGAAACTCAGGGATATCGATGCAAATCCTAGGGCCCAGGAGAAGACCACTGTCGAGTTCTCCTCCCAAGCAAACTCTGGTGGTCGAAAGCGTGGGAGGTATCAAATCTTTTAGACTTTAAGCCAATTAATCTTATCTTAATCCATTACTTACAAGTATTTTCTCCAAAATCAAATCCAGCTTACTATAAATCGGTATATCCTCATTGCACACCAAATCTGACAGCCTCCCCAAAAAATCAAGAAACTCCACAAACTGCATTTTATAGTGAGCCCCATCCGAGTCCATTTCATTTAATATGCTCATTTTGGAAAATGCATAAACCTTTATAAGCTCATCATCATTAATTATGATTTTTGCTTTGTCCACAAGTGCTCTGATTGATTTAAATGACAGCCATCTTCCAAGCCTTTCTCGATATTTCGTGAAAATGTTCTGGAGATTTGATAAATTGGCCTCAAGGATGTCGTTAACTTCAAGGTTGTAGAGCTTTTCTTTTCTGAATTTGGCAGCTTTAGCAGTCATTGCGTATTTAAATATATGGTCGTTTAGTAATTTCTCAGTCATTTGAGCAGGTGTTAAAGGAAGATCTTGGTATAAAATTATTTATAATTAAGTATTGGTATAAATATACTGGAATTTATTTTTTATAAAAATTAGAAAATAAATAATAATAAAATAATACATAATTAGTCCTGCCAAATTTATTTGCAGAGAGCCAATCTTACTATAATTTCATAAAACTCGTATCTACATAGCTCTTTATCAGGATTATCATCCAATTTTTCTTCAAGCTCTACATTTACAGCTATAAAAATTCTATCAACGGCCGCTTTATTTAAAAACTTTTTATCATGCATATCACATTGATCACAAAAATCGCTGAAATCAAGCCAGCCAATACTAGGATAGTTACTACTTGCTGATAAATATAAAAAGATCTCTTTAATTTCTCCAAAATTTGCTAGTAGAACGCTATAAACATCGTCTAACTGTTTAGTGTCTCTAATAACCCTTGGGAGTTTATAATATTTGCTATCATAATCAAACATAATTTTCCTGGTTTGGTCAGTATCGTCTATATAATTCCTAAAAACAGATTTATTTTTATCAAAAACCCTCCCTACTTGTATATTTTCTGCTTCACTAACAGAAAGCTCATATGACCTTAAAGGTATATTAATTTCGTTTACACTGGCTCCTTCCCATGTTCTTTTAGATAGTTCTTTAGTAACACACACATCATTCCCATCTAAAATAAACCACAAATAATGCTTCCCAGGTGGCAAAAGTAACGAAATTTCATACTTTCCTAGGGTTTCGTCTACAAGTTCTAGTGGGATTTCTTTTCAGTCGTTAAATGAAGCTTTTAAACAGATTTTGCAGATTTCTCTGATTTTTTTCCAATTGAAGTTATTAATATTTTCAACGTTTTTAACCTTTTCTAACTCCCCCCCCCCCCTCCGTGAGCGAACAAAACCATTAGAAAAATCACCATTTTTTGACCAAAAACCACCCTCCGTGAGCGAACAAAAATTTTTTTAATAGAAAAAATTTTAATGGAAAAAAATTTTGATATATAAGTGATAATTAGTATAATGAAATCTAGAGCTAATTCTGTTTAATTTTAAACAAATTGCGTTTTTAAAACATAAATTTTGCAAATTAAATTAATATTTGCTTCCCAATTTTTGCAAATTAGGATTTTTTTTAAATTTCGAAAAAAATATTTTTTATAAAAATTTTATATATAAATTTTTTTTAAAAAAAAAAATTAACCCCCCTCCGTGAGTGAACAAAATTTTTTTTGTTCGCTCACGGAGGGGGGGGGGGAGTAAGCTGATTTTTAGGTCGTAAATGACCCATCTTTCACATATCCAGCAATGTGGAGACAAAATCCATTGGCTTGAGCCTTTAACTTCTCTTTTCCCCAGCATTCTGGAAAATATTAACTCATTGGAGTGTCCGAATAGTCTTTTATCTGCATCTTTGGTAGGACTTTCTATGTTTAGCAAATTATCTTTGTGTGTAATTAATGATCTCCCCATTCTATCTCTCAGTCTAAGATTGATTTTTGTGCTTTGATCTACAGTATAATCATTTCTTTTTAAAAATTTCATAGGATGTGGAACTGATAAAGCTGAATTTGCTTTCATCCCTACAGTTTCTTGTGCCCCTAAATGAAGTATCATTGAATTCAGCATTTTTCTCGAAATTTTATTACCAGTAAGATGCAGTCCAATCAGGGTGTTAGACTGTTTTAAGCCGTTAATAATAATTCCTGCATCAGTGTCTGTGATTTTTGTGTGAGAAATATTAAGATGTAATAAACCAGGATGCCTGCTAAAAATCTGGCTAATATAAATGCTTAATTCAGAGTCTGGGGAGCTTAAATTGTTTCATGAATAATCTAAAAATTTTAAGCTTCTATTTTTTCTTAAATAAGCTAAAAATTTTTTAGTGCTTTCAGAAGATATTTGGTTTCATGATAAATCTAGCTCTGTCAAAATATTTTTTCTTAAAACTCTGCAGACTTGGTCCATTGCTAAATTATTGAGCCCTAAATCTGAAATATATAGTTTTCTCAAGGTTCTTGAGAGTGGTAAAGCTTTGAGCGCTTCTACAACATTCATTGGTGTAAATCTACACGCATTTAAATTTATTTCTGTAATTTGAGCTGAAGCTATCATTTTATTTAATTCTTTCGCAAAATTCGAGCCTATTTCGTTTCTGGTATAGTAAAGAGATTGGATATTGGTATTTGTAGATATGCCTTTAAGCAGATTTGCACCTCCTTGATCAGAAATCCCGCATTCATCCAAATGGATTTGCATTAAATTTTTCATTGTTTTTATAGAGTCACTTATAGCTCTGCAGAGCTGGTCATTCATTTTATAGCGATTTAATATTAAAGAATGCTCTTTAGCATGTGCGAGCACTGGAAGTGGAGGGATTTGCTCTTCAGTGCATTTTTTACTGAAAACTGATAAAGAGGAGTCTTCATCATATTCATTTTTAGATCGGCCATATTTCCGATATGCATCATAAGCATTTTCTTTGCTTTGAATTTCACTATACAAGCTTTCTATTAATGGAGTTTTAGTGTTTTGTAATTCTTTTCGGAGATCTTCTATTAATCCTTCATTTTTTTCAGTATCCTGAGTAAATTCATTAGTAGATCTCATTAAATTTTCAATTGATTTTTTCTTTTCAATTTTTTCTTTTACTTTCCTCAATATTTTTCCTTGGATTTTTAAAGGTGAAATAGGCGGATTTTTTAATGTTGGGGTAACTGAAATGTGCCTAAGCGAAATATCAGAAAAATTAGTGGGAGAAGGATTGCTGTATAATGAATTATCCTTGTGAGGGGATTTTCGGATACTTTCCAATCTGTCTTCAATTTCAGTTAGAAAAAAATCAATTTTCCTTTGTAAAGAAATAGCGTCCTTTTTACCACTTTGTCAGGACTCGTCGTTTTGAGTGATAAATGAAGGCTGAATGCCTGGAGACTTGATTTCTGGTAAGTGAATGTTATCTTTCGTTTCCAAAATTGGAGAAATAATATGGGTATGCTCGTTTCTTAAATAAAGAGGACTATTTCTCTCAGTTGCCATAAATTATTAATTAATTTTTCACAATTAAAAATGGAGCTCATGAATTAGGGTCCTTGTTCCCTAAGGTCATCCTAGTGAGGGAAGTTCAAACTTTCTGAAGGATATTGGCGCTGGAACTGCTTCGGCAGTTCTGCTCGTGCTTGAAAACACATTAAAGGAAAGAAGAGAGACACATCTGGGTCATAGGCTACTGCAACGGTTCGACGGTTAGGCCAATTCCACCTACCGTTGTTCAGAGCTGTTAGCCAGTGATGGAATTCAGGGAGGATGGGCTTGTATTGCTAGATCCTAAGCTAAGTTGGGGTCGGCAAAGTGTTATCGTAATCTTAAATCTTAAATCTTAAATCTTAAATCTTAAATTAATTTTTAGAGTGATTTTGCTTTCCGAGGTATCTATTGGCAATGACAAATAATATTGAAAGAATTTTATTGTAAATAAAGGTGCTATATATTTTCAGTTTATACTGAAGCATAGGCTAGAGATTTTAATAAAATTTAATTTAATTAATTAATTTCATATATAAGCAAAAGAAGATCATGGAAAAAACCTTACTCCCCCCCCCCCTCCGTGAGCGAACAAAAAAAATTTTGTTCGCTAACGGAGGGGGGTTAATTTTTTTTTTTAAAAAAAAATTTATATATAAATTTTATAAAAAATATTTTTTTCGAAATTTAAAAAAAATCCTAATTTGCAAAAATTGGGAAGCAAATATTAATTTAATTTGCAAAAATTGGGAAGCAAATATTAATTTAATTTGCAAAATTTATGTTTTAAAACGCAATTTGTTTAAAATTAAACAGAATTAGCTCTAGATTTCATTATACTAATTATCACTTATATATCAAAATTTTTTTCCATTAAAATTTTTTCTATTAAAAAAATTTTTGTTCACTCACGGAGGGTGGGTTTTTGGTCAAAAAAATGGCGATTTTTCTAATGGTTTTGTTCGCTCACGGAGGGGGGGGGCGAGTTAGCAAATTACACAAAAAAGCTTGCAAGAGTCCTAATTATCGGAGGGGCAAGTTTTCTATCAGTTTATGGAGGATTTGCTTATATAGCCTACCAAAATAGAAAAGAGTACTCAGATCTTCTTCAATCTCTTCAAGAAAATCCTCCTCCAAAGTCTCAAGCTCCAGACCTTGATATAGGTGACATATTCTATTTTGATCATGATTGCATCAAAAGTTTTTCGGTAAGAGACATGAGAAAATGCGCCGTCCATAAAATGTACCACAGATCTGTATCGTCTGAAGAAGAATCTGCAAGGTACAGACAAGGAAAATGGCTGAATTCAGCAATAGTCATAAAATCAAAAGACGAAACCAAAATTTTTCATAGCTATTATGGAAAACTATACCAAAATAATTATAATGAATTTGTGAATCTTCCTTAAATCTCAAAATTTTGCAATTATGGCATGTGGTCTGGGCTAACTGGGCTTCCCCTCGACCCATAGACAAGAAGACCGGCGGCGCAACACCAATTGAGCACTTCTGAAGAGCATTATGCTGCCTATAAATGGCAGAGGTCGTTCCAAAAAGAGGTATCGGACGCTTCCCCTACCTGAGCACTATCAGGGGTTAAGAGAATACTTTACTGAAGAATTTCGGTCCAAGCAGGTTTGGGTGAGTCTCCCGAAAGATGTCGACGTCACCATTTTGGTGACGTCGACAGAAAAGGGCGTTAAGTGGCTTTAGTGATTAGCACCACACAAGTATGAAGCCAAACTGGATCATGAGCTGAAATAAACCCTTTTTTAACCCTCTCTAACTTAATCTCTCTCCTTACATCTCACAAATCAGTATGAGAAAATTGGAGACTGGTATTCCAGAGCTAGAAGCTAATAGTCACGATTTTATTGAAGAATTCAAAGATTTAATAGATATTGTAAATAATTCGTGGCCAAATCATTCTGCGGATATTTTTAGAGATACAATTGATCTAATTTTGAACTTTTGAATGAAAGTTGGGATCGCAGACACAGCAAAAATTTATTTATCATTAAAGCAAGGTATAGGAGACATGGATCTTGAAAATCCAACTTTACTTAATAGCACTATTGCTAAATATTCTAAGCCAATCTCAATTAAGTAAATTTCGTTAAAGCTTTTATATATATGAACTTATAAATGATTTAAATAATCAATAATTAATTAAGGAAATTTAATTTAATTTAAAATATTATATATACCATCGCTTATTAAATTAAGATAATCTGTTAAGGTGCTAAACCCCCCCCCCCCTCCGTGAGCGAACAAAACCATTAGAAAAATCGCCATTTTTTGACCAAAAACCACCCTCCGTGAGTGAACAAAAATTTTTTTAATAGAAAAAATTTTGATATATAAGTGATAATTAGTATAATGAAATCTAGAGCTAATTCTGTTTAATTTTAAACAAATTGCGTTTTAAAACATAAATTTTGCAAATTTAAATTAATATTTGCTTCCCCAATTTTTGCAAATTAGGATTTTTTTAAATTTCGAAAAAAATATTTTTTTATAAATTTTATATATAAATTTTTTTTAAAAAAAAAAAAAATTAACCCCCCTCCGTGAGCGAACAAAATTTTTTTGTTCGCTCACGGGGGGGGGGGGGGAGTAAGCAAATATTAGCACACAATTTTAGTAATTTTTGGTTTTTTAGAATTTTCATATAGTTTCTACAATTATTTTATATAGATATATAATAAATATACAAAAAATCAGGCCAATTATTAAATAAAATATTTATTAGTTGACCTCTATTTATGAAGCTCTCAATGCTTAAAAATTAACTAAACCATTTATTCAGACGTATTAAATCTTAAGTTTAGCCTCACGCAAATTAATTAAAATTTAATGGCTGAAAATGTATTTCAAAGGCGGGAGCTTCATATGAGTCCTATCTTCTGCTGAGACTGCATATAAGATAAGACAAACTGAAGTTTTTCCATCTGTTTTGTCTTCACTAATTTCTCTATATAGCTCATAAACTTCTTTCTTGAATATTTCATCTTTATTATTCTTAATTAGCTATTCTAACCCGATCCTAAAATTTCAGCTTGAATAGGCTAAAGAAATAAGGTTAAAATTTTTTTAAAATATCAGAATACAAATTAAAAGAAACCTCTCCTTCATACCTGCCATATATTTATTAAACAGACATTTAGTACCACAACCAATCTGTATCGCCAAAATCTTGTATTTTTCTTTTAAGTTCTCAATTAATTCTTCTATCGTGCAAGGCCCATCCACTACAATTTCATCCCATTTAGTAAAGCCATCATTATATGCTTTCTTAGGAGCTGCCAAAGTTTCATCATAATCTACAGATTTAATCATTATTGCAGGCTGAGGTTCGAGAAAAGAAAAATAAGAAATGGCCAAGTTCATAAAGCAATCCCTCATTTTCTCTATTTCAAGCCCAAGAGTATATTTAATAAACTCAGCGACCACAATTCCAGCAATAACTGCAGTGGTTGTTGCGAGGGCTGGATTATTTTTCCAGCGATTACCTTGGTTTGGTGCCTTTCTATAGTAGAAATTCGGTAGTTATTTGCCCTCAAACTTGAAGCATTGTGGATAAAATCGATATGAAAATTGCTGTCATCATCTTTTTCAAAGGAAATTGGGGTCATAGGCTTGATATTTTCTAGTGAAAATCCTTTGAGCCAGCTTATTAGTTCTTCTTTTAATTTAATTTCAGCTTCTGATGCAGGCCGCTGCTCTTCATTATCATCTATTTTAATTTTTCTTGGGATAAATTCCTTAACCTGGACTTTAGACGCAATTTCTTTTATGTAATTTCTGTCTCTATTCTGAGGGATATTAAGGTTAAAGGCTAGCAAATTTGCATAGGATTCTATAAAGTCTATATGATTTTCTTTTTCTGTGTCAAAAATACAAGGCTCAGGCAGCCTCCTGGTCCCTGTCCAAAGATCTTTACCATGCTTGTCTTTTGTGCCGGGCGGACATTGATGTAGTAAAGACCTTATTTCTTCATAAAAAAGCTCATTAAACTTATGTCTTGCTATTATAATACAATCATCAAAGCTGCTTATCCCAGAAAGTTCTAAAAATTCTTTTAGCAGCTTTAACTGGGCCATCTGCATATCAAAATGCCCAATACTTCCCAATTTTTGTAAATAAGCCTCTGGGTTTTCTAAATATTTTATTCTTACTTACTTAATTATCTGGTGTTTAAGGTGTCTAGTGCCGCAGCCCAAAAGGGCCTATGGCAAAACTAGTGACGTAGGCGAGCCATCTTGGCACGGGTCAGCCCCGTCCAAGCCTTCTATCAACTCCTGCTTCACCGGCCTTGCTGCACGTCTCTCACCCGGCGCGTTGCCGTCGCCCTTGTCGCTCGACTCAGCTCCTGCGCGTGTTCCGCCTAAGGGTCATCCTCCCGTGGGGATGTGCTGAGAGGTAAAAGCCCGAAATCTTGAGAGGACTGAGGAGTGGTTCCTTTGGTTATCCCAAAGTTAAACCACTATTGCAGTCCAGAAGTTCTCGAGTGAAAACCTAACCCTATAAATAAAATTCCATGAGGGAGAGAAAATTAGCAAAGCTAATTTCTCTCGAACCGAATGCCATTTTATTTATCCTAAATATTTATTCAACTCATCAGGGCCAGAGGTAAAGAAATCTGACAATTTTTCTCTTGACCAATCAATACAATGAGAAATTTCATATGGATAATGCTTCAAAGTGCATGATTTAGCTTTCGTTTCTGTTGGCTGTGGGGTATCTTCATAGCTTTGGGTCAGATATGGAATGATTGCTTGGGAGTTTGCTTTTGTCCCTTCTGTTCCGCTTTCAAAAAGTGGCTTTTTGTAATAAACACATTTTCGGTCAATAAAAATTCGTGCACTGGCATTATCAACAGCCCCAAAAACTGCATTTAATTTCTCCCAAAACCTATCATTAAACAAGTTTTCTGTTTCTGGGCAAGCTCTGTTTTTCAAAGCAGTGACATTTATTTCTGGGTTCATGATTTTCGCTATCCTTGTAGCACATTCACTTTTGGATTGACCTACATTGGTAATATTGAATAAAAACTGCCTTGTCAGGTTTGAGATTTCTACATTATCGTCGTCAGTGACTGTAAGCTCTCCAGTCCCACAGCAAACTCCGGATAATGCAAAAAGCTTTAAAAATTCGCAGCCTAAAGCACCAGATCCGACCATAAATAAATTGGCTGATTTAAGCTTGTTTAGTCCTTCTTCTCCTATAATTGCTTGGAGATCGTGATATCTTGAGTCAGAAATACTTGCAGATGGCTGAATTAGCTCAAACCAGTCCATATGTAGCCACTGCTGGATTGGGGTAAATTTTCCTGTGAATTTTATGACTTCTTGAGCTGCAATTCCGCCAAATATTGATGTGATTGGAGAAATTTGTAGCCTTGCGTATTTTGAGACGTTTTTAATGACAGATTCATCAATTGTTTCTAATGAAAAGTCTTCTGAGGCTTCATTAATTTCTCTTGCATAAGCCACACAAAGATTTGCGTGGTCCTCATTATGGATTTCAGGAAGAAATCCGTGGATTTCTTGGAATTTTCTGATAGCAAGCATGGCTAAATGTAAATTGGCAGGTCTGTTTTCTTTTAAGTAATCAACATGCATAAAAGGCTTTAATCCTTCAGGATTTTTAATAGAAATTTCATAAGGCCGGAAATCATAATGGAAAGGTTTTCTTACTTCTTCAACTGTCCCATATTTTATATAATCAGGGTAATCTGTGGTATCTTCATCTATAGAAAAGCTGTGCGGGTCAATATAAGTGACCTTTCGTTCTCTGCCATCATTAAGAGGAGTCATTCCTTCGACTTCTTTGAACTTTATATAGTCATAATTAAAATATGGCGTCTTCATCTAGGTATGGCCTCACGGCTCATATTTTAATTATATCCGGCAAGGGTTTTTCTAGCCTTGAAATGAACAGCAATGCTAGGCAACTAATTCTGAAGGTACGCAGAACCTAGCCCAAGTCCAACTTCGAAAACTGGTTTTTACCTCGAAGGAAAGGAGGGTTCAGATTTGGAAAGGGCAAGCCCAGCAGAGTCTACAGGTAATACCTAGACCAATCGGGCAACTACCTAGCGTGATACTGGGCGTTACGTCCCAGGATCTGGACTTCCCTTTTGCCGATAGGCTACCATAAATTCCATTTTTTGGAATTTCGGAATGCCAACTTCATCTGCTACAGCCTCAGGAGGCCATACAAACCCGTAGTCTGCCCACTCAACACTGAAGCCTTCTACAAGAGGCAAGGAGGAGGCCTCAGTACTCTCGCTTTATGCGAGAGGGAGGTCGCAAAGCGGATGAATCCCACAAGGGATCCTCGGTGATTGCGTTAAAATTAAGGGCACGAACCTGTCTTTTTAAGTTAAGTTAAGTTAAGTTGAACTTTATGTAGTCTCCGTCCTGAAACCAATGCTTGTCCTCATCATTTAGCTTCACAACTCCAGGATTGCTTCTGCTTATATTTCCAACCAAGTACGTTCTTAAGGCTGATCCATTTTTGTCAGAAATTTCAAAATTATCCCCAAAATCTACAAAAACGTGCCCAGCTGTCCCCCATGTTTCGACAGACACAAATCCAACCTGTGGGCTTAAGTCTCGGCAAATGGAGTTAACCCTTATAAGTGTGGCACTATCACTTTCAGTGAGAAGGACTAAAGAGTGTTGAGAAATGACTTCTCGAGTAATTTCTCCTCTGTGGATATTTACTGAGACATTTGGGTTGAGCGCTTGAAGCTTGGAGATGACTGATTCAGCTCGATTTTGGCTGACATGGGATTCATTTATGAAAAAATTGGTCCCTAAATCGGAGAGAGAAATTATAGCATCATCATGCAAAGTGACTGTATGGAGGCCAGCTAATATTAAGTTTTTAGCGACTTCAAGACCAACCCCACGGAGTCCAGAAACTAAAACGCGTAAGGTGAAAAGCTTTTTTTGAGTAGCCATACCGATGGCAGCAATAGAGCGTGAATAGAGATTATCTTGATTTGACATTTATTAATAAATTGTAGAATCACTTAAATATGAATAAAAAGTTTGAAAAAATGCAGAGTACTTAAGCTATGTAATGAAAGTCAGCTTGTGAGAAGTTTGCATAAAGGAAATAAGATAAGTAGAGACTCTGAAATCTCTTCTGTCATAATTTAGAAATGATCTTGGCTAATGCTTAGTTGGATTAATATCAAGATGAAAGCTCCATACGATTAGGCCTAAAGAATAGTATTAAATTATGATTTAAGCAATTAAGCAAAAGAAATTTGATTTTTGACATTGGCTCCACATGCTTAAAACTTCTCACGTGTGGAGTCGGCTCATAATTTCATGAAACGCAAACTGGTCAGCAAGCGGGGAAGTAGCTTTAATTTCTTTTCAATAAATGCTTAATTATATTTACCGAAAACTCTATTATAATTTCTGAAGGACTGCTTAAGTCCTTGACATGCCTTAATTCATAAATTTATTTTATTTATTTTTCCTTTTATCCCATAGCATACTGCTGAGTCCACTCTCTTGCCCTTTGGTTATATAAGTCCATGTTTTGAGCGCACAATGTATTAATTTCAGTTGAGAACCCGTTTGGACTAGGGTTATACAATAGTGCTATCACATAAGAGATTACAGTTCTTACAGTGACTTTTGGCTTCCATCCAGAATTAAAGATTTCGCAGCAAATACGGCCATCAGAAGGATGTACGTTCGGGTGGAAAATTTTCGTTTTGAAATAGAAGGTCGGAGGGCTCGCAGGGAAATTTGAAGGGAAAGTTATTTCGAACTTGAACATACCACCTTCATAGGGGCTCTCATCAGGACCGTTTAGAGTTCCTCTCCAGTGAAATAGTGATTGATCTACTAAATTTACAGTGATGCAAGGCTCAGGTATTTCTAGAAGATTGTTAAATTCATTCGTGAGTCGCTCCATTTTATTTCTATAAATTTAAAATGGTAATTGATTTTAGGTTTTTATAAATTTTGATTAAAGATTGAATAATATGAACTTAATAGTTTCAAAATTTATTTTGACTTGGACAAAAAGTAATCAATAAATTTGAATTGTTTAATTATAAATTATTAAAAATAATTATCAAAAATATTTGAAAATTAATTATTTCTTTAGCTCTGTTCTCACTTATATTATTGGTTTTAAAATCTCTATCTTGGCATAAAATATATGAATAGCTCAAAACTAAAGCTTCAGTATTTAATTTTTGATTAATTAATTTAGAGAGTTACTTTTTTAAAGCTAATTAATCATTATACATATAGTAATATTTTACCTATTAGTATAATAAACTCGCACATGAACTAATAATAAAAATTAAATAAGCCAATATCTAATAAAATGATTATTTATTTAATAAATTTTACATGCTGCAAATTCCAACAAATTTAATTAGTTGTGTTTAGAATCTTAACTATTTATTTAATCTCAGTTTCATATTTGAAATTCGTTATTTTTGCAAGTTTTGCCAATGAAAGTCTTCAATAATTTTCTCTCTACAATTTTTTTATAATAGATTAAATGCTCTCTATACTTATTTTATATTATAATAACCAGATCTTATTTAGCAAAATCAGCCGTATATCGCTTTGCCTCTCTTTCATAAGCTGATACATTGGCTCTCATAGTATTGCATGCATCATTAACGTATCCTTGCTCAGGGCACGGCTCAGCTAGTAAATGGCAAATAGCACAAAGGACAGCTCTCATTGATATTCCAGGTCTCCAAGCAACGCTTAATATTTCGGAGCATACTTTACCCTCAGAATTCACATTTGGATGATAAATCCTTGTACGGAAGAAAAACTCAGGGGGAGATACTGGGAAATTGGAAGGGAAAATTATATCAAAGCGGAAGTTTCCACCTTCAAAAGGAGTTTCTGGAGGACCAATTAATAGACCATTCCAGTGCAGCATGTCTTGACCTAGGTTAATTTCGATTCCTTTGATAGGATTTTCCATGAGTTTATTGAATTCTTGTAATATTCTATCCATTTTATTATATCAATTATTTTTGATTCTATAAATTTTGTAAATTTTTGTTCTATTTATGAATTTAATCAAAGAAGAAATCTTTGTGATGTAAAAATATGAATATTTCTCTTTCGGAATTATTATCAAGATAATTTCCAAGTAATTATAATAAAAGCATTTTTAATCATAGGAAACTGTTTTTAATTTTATGTAAGAGTTTTGACTAGTAGAAATAAGGGCTGAAATAAAAGTAAGGAAAAATCCATGATGAAAATTAAGTGTTCAAGCTAAAATTAAAATATTTAAGCTTTTATAAGAGACGCTAAGTGTCTTCTATTTACTTTTGGAAGGTAATAAGAAATTAAAATTTTATAGTAAATTATTATAATAATAAATTAAATGAATTTTAGAAAAATTAATGCACCATATTTTACCAAATACATTTATAGAATCTTGGAATGAATTGAAATTTATAATAAATATAAATGCCTACAAGAAAAGGCTCACTTTCATGAGCTTCAAAGGCAGCTATTTCTATTATTGAATGCAATAAAGATCGACTATGTATCGATCCAAATTCGCCAATAGGCAAATTATTAGCAGATTTTGAATCAAGCTTGGAGTTTTTACCATTTAGGGAAGAAAAATTCGTAGTTAATATTCTTGAATATATTTCTAAAAATTACGATCCAAAATACTTCGAAACAGTTCAAGATTCCAATATCAACGTAAAATATCTTAAAAAAAAAGATGAAGAAACTTACTTTTTTGAACAAATAAAAGCTAAAGAAGCACCTTTAGTTTTACTTAAAAGGCATAGTGAGGATAAACCATATGCTTATTTTGAAAGAAACAATGGAACTGTTTATTTATTAACAGCGCTTTTTACTCAAAACGTGTTGAAAAGATTATATTGCAATTTCGGAAACCAATGGAAAAATCTCAGTGAAAACCCAGATGATAAAACACCAATAAAATTCAGAGAAGAAACTGTATACATTTTTATAGCCCAGGACGACTTATAGCTTACCAGTGTATAAGTTTGCCTAGCCAATTTAATTATTAACCTACTTTATGAGAAAGGGCGAGCTATAAGCTATCCTCGGATATATACAAAAATCAATAAAGAAGATCTTGATAAAGAAAAGGTCGATAAAATTCTTCCGTCCGAATGAGAAGGACATATAAAAGAAAACCTGCGAGAGTCTATAACAATATATTCCGTTAGCACAAATCAAAACCAGGCTGGGATAAAAATACCAAAAGATATTGAAGCTCAGCAGGAGTTAAAGCAAAAAATCCAAAATAAAAATGATGAAATACAAAATTATAAAGATCAATTAGAGAAATCAAAAATTGAAAATGAGAAATTAAAAGAAACCATAAAAAGTTTAAGTGGCGAAAAAGAAAAAAATATCGAAATTCGTCAAGGGCTAATAAATGAAAATGAGAAATTAAGAGATCTCATAGAAAATTTAAATGTGAAAATAAACGAAAAAAATGCTGATATCAGTAAAGAATTGCAAAAAAGTAATTCAGCCCAACAAGAATTAAGCAAAAATATCCAAAATAAAGAGCAGATGATAGAATATTATAAAAATCAATTATTATAAATACATAATTACTTAATAGGTTGGAGTGTTGCTCTCTCTTTTCTTGTTTTCATTTAATGCCTATTCGATTCTAAATAGGCAAAATATCATACATGGAGGATACAAAGTAAGAAAACCCTACCTTTTTTTAAATTATACAAATTCACATGTAAAAACCTACCTCATAAGGCAAGGAACAAAAATTTATAAATTGAGTTTTTCTCTCATCCCAAGCCATTTTATTAAAGATCAATTATCATGTTTGGAAAATGCAAACGAAAAATTGCAAAAAGAGCTAAAAATAATAAATGATGAATTAAAAGAAAAAAACATCAAAATTGATTCGCAAAATCAAGAAATTCTAAATAGAGACGATATAATTAAAAACTATAAAGAACAATTTGAGGAACTTACAAACGAAAGAAATAAATATCAAAAAGAAATAAAAGAACTGAAAATTGAACTTCAAAAAGCAGTAGATGAAAATATAAATTTGTCTGCAATTAATGCAATTCTACAGAAAGAAGCTGAAACCGAAGCTCAATCATTAATCCAAGTAAAAGAAATTTATAAAACTCAAAACGAAGCCTTAGTTCAAGAAAGGGAAAATCTTCAGCCTCAATTAAAAGCATTAAGTGAAGAAACTAAAGAATTCAAATCAATAAGCCTGCCTCCTAGGATTATAAGACGTCCAATAATTTATGACGGGAAAAAATCAGGGATTCCTAATATATGAATAGAAATAAAATGGTAATGTTGACTAAAATTGGACTCCGATGAGCACTCCCTATGGAGTAGGTAGAACCCATCATGATGAAGATAAAAAGAGCCTTGTCTATTTTTGAAGCAGGCCATTAGTTTGGAGACGCCTTGCCAAAGAGGGAAATTTTGTTTCTACCACGAAGGCTTTCCTGTCCCTGCCAGTTTGGCTAATGGCCTATCCACTTTATTATCTTATAAATATAGGGAATACCTGCTATCTTAATTCACTTCTTCAATTGCTTGCGAGCAACAATGAATTTTACGATAAAATCCAGCCTATCGAACATGAATTATTTTCTTCGTTATCCTCACTATTAAAGAGCATCAGAAATCCTGGATCCTATAATAATACCGATCAACTTGTTAGGTCCTTTAAATACCAACTTGGTGCAGAATTCCCAATGGTAACCTTTATATAGCTTGGAAATTCATCTCAGCAAGATTCTAAAGAAGTAATGGTGATGCTGACAGGCATACTATCAGAATATATATTTTTTATAAAAATTGCATTTTAATGGAAAACTTGTGCCAAATTCAAAATTCATTTTTCTTTATAAAATAGGATTTTAACTTTAGATTTTATAATAATTTACTATATAATTATAAAAAAAAGGTATAACTAATATAGACTCTATTTTTACAACTATCTATAAACAAATATTTAAATGCCATGCTTGTGGAAACAAAGCTAATAGGGATGATACAAATATTTTTATTACAGTTCCCAGGGGTAAATCTCGCTCTATACAAGAATTTTTACCAATTTTAAAACAGCCAAAATATTACACCGGAAGTAACCAATTATTTTGCGAGAATTGTCAAAATATGCAAAATATCACGATGGAGTGTGAAGAAATAATTTGGCCATCTACAGTTACCTTTTACCTGCCCTCGAATAATGGGAGTACTAAGATTAATGAAGAATTAAATATTGAAGGAACTATAATAAAAAATACAATCTTGCAAGCCTAATGCAAAATACTAACCTATAATTTATAAAGAATTTTGTGGCGATTATAATAGCAATTTTGATATAAATGTAAAATATAATACTTATAGATGGTATGGATTAATAAGCTTTATAAAAATAAATCGAGTATTTTTTATACTATATTTACTTTGTCTCTATTTAATTAAGAAAGTATATGCCATTATGGAAATTCACAATTTGGACATTATAAAGCATATACGTGGGATACCAAGAATTGGACTGAATATAATGATTTCAGTGCAAAAATTGATAAAGTCGATGTGGCAAATGGCTATCTAGCCTTTTATGCAAGGGCTGAGAGTTAATAGCTCCCCCTCAGTGAACAAGCAAAGATATTGGAAAATCATTTTTGCCTAAAAATCCACCTTCAGTAGTGAACAAAGAATTTTTTATGAAAAAATATTTTGATAATTATTATAATGAAATCTTTAGCTATTTCTGTTTAATTTTAAACAACTTGCATTTTAAAGCATAAATTTTAGAAATTAAATTAATATTTGCCTCAAATTTTTTGTTTGCTCACAGATAGGGAGTAAGAATAATAATTCTTAATTAAAATTATCATAAATATAAATTTAAGAATCTTAATTTATTTATTATTATTTACATAGATCAATTCATTTTAATTACATGACTTCTTGAAAAGCCTATAAAATAATTTTTTAAGCAATATTTATTCAGTCTCGATCCTAATTTTTTAAGCAGCTAATTATTTGTTAAAAATATAAATTGCTAATAATAGATTATCTCTAATAAAAGTTGCATTTACATTTATCTTTTATATATTTCTATTAATAAGTTTTAAGACTTAGAGTTATTTAATTTAATCTTTAATTTAATTATAATAAGTTTAAAATATAACTAAATTTTATTATTATCCTAGATCTCATAAATAGTTTGTAAGAGTTAGCTATTTTAATTTTAATAATATTTTTAAAAAAAGGATTTATATGGCGATTACAGGCTTTTTGTCCGAAAAGAGCTTAATTATTATTTTAATTTAAAGTGTAAGCGCTCCACCATTTTTGGCTAGGTCATCAAAATTAGTTCTTAACCAAACTGAATTGCTAGGAAAAATGCATCTGAATATTTTGATACTCTAGGCGTATTGCCAGTACAGTCATAGCAAACCTCGTTGCCTGGAACTTTACTTGAAATATATCGATGCGCAAAATTATCGAGTATTGACCAAATAAATTTTAATTCTTAATTTCAGCTTTTGTGGAAATAACAAGAACATCTTTCTTTGATTTTTTCAATTAATTTTTCAATTCACAACTTTCTATTGTATTACTAATAAAATCTAATTTTATTTTTACAAATGCTTCTAGTACTTCTACGTTCCTGGTAACTTTGAATATTCAATTAATTATCAAAATAATCATTAAAATGGAAGTTTGGCCTATTTTAAGAGTTCAATAAATATATAGTGTAAGACACTCAGTTTATTAGCTATTTTGGGAATTAAATTATAAAGAGATTGCTTGAGGTGTTTCATTTTAAAGACTTGATAAGATAAATATAAATATTATGAAACCATTAAAAAAGGGTTAAATAACTTAACTTGAATTATCTTCAATCCCATTCTAAACGCATTTTTCGTAATTTCATGCAACCCTCTATCCAGTAATAGTGTACTTTTGGATCCAGATAAGCATGCATGTTGGCGTTAATGGCTGCTATCATCAAGCAGGCCTTCTTCAAATAAGAAATTCTCATATTTTTATTACTATCTACAAATTCAAGAATTTAATGCTTAACTGAATCGCTAAAAGCATTTGCTGATGGTATTTAAGAACAATAAAACAGAATTTCGGTCATATATCAAAAATTAAAGTGCTCAAGGAAATACGATAAATAAAAATTAATTTTTTGATTTCATGAGGGTCATACTTTATGCATCTTAAATTTTACAGAGTAATATTAATTAGCAACAATTTAAGAATTTTAGAAAAAATAGTCAAAACTTCTTTTAGCTCAAACATGATTATTAAAAGAACCGAGATTAAATATACTGCATTCTCTTTTATGGATGTAGGATTAAATTCCGGATGTGGAGTCATTCAGATATGGAGAGGACTATCTCCCATGAAAATGTTAATAAATCATATCATTCAAGCTTATAATAAAAATATATAAAATTTGAGAAAGAATATTTATTGCTGTAGAATTGAAATTAAAGTAAAATTTGATTCTTTAGCATAAGTCAAATGCTAGGAGAATGCCCATCAAATAATTTACTACTAAGTTCCTATGGTGAGAGGTTGAGAAAGATCTTATATTTAATTACTAATAGAGAAAATTCTGGCAGGCCCATAAGCAACTAAGTCCATGCTGAAAGAAAGCTTAGGCTATATTCGTCCCATGTATCTCCGCCACTTGCTTGCGAATAAGCCTCCACGGTGTTGAACATCTTAGACAGAGCTTGGAGTTTGAGATGATGGACCATAATGCAGAATCAATAGCCTAGCTCGAATATTTATGAAGCTAGGCCCTCCATAAGGGCCGAAAAGCAGCCTGGCTTCAAAATCATTAATTGGGATATTTTATCTTTGTATTTATTAAAATTAGTTCTCGTGCAAAAATTTGCTGTCCTTTTGTCATTTTAACATATCTTTTTGCTATAAATTCATATAAAAAGTTTGCCATTTCTAATTTTTAAAGCCATGCTTCTATAAAACTTAAAAATTATTAATAATTTTAAAGAATGAGTAACAGGGTGTTAGCAGAGCAATAGAAGTCTATAAAAATTGGAAATATTCATTATTATCAGAAAAAATAGCTGATATTTGTAATGTACCTCAAGAACAGCAGATGATTACTTTCGAAACGAGAACATTGAGTTTAGCACAGCATAGAGACAAAACCTTAGGTGAATTGGGAATGCAAAATAATAAGATAGTCAATGTTATGCATAGGTTCATTGGAGGCAAAAAGAAAAGTTTGGATATTATTTGAATTAATTAAAAATATTTCCTCAATAAATTGTATGCACTTTTTATCAATTGTTTGACGAAAACTAACTTCATATAATAAAAAGATAATTAAATCAGATAACTGGAAAAAATCAAATAAACTAATTATTGGAAAAAATCTCTATTCTTTTGGGTAAAAACCCTCCGTGAGCGAAAAAATATTTTGAATATAAGTGATATTTTTATAATGAAATCTAGGTATTTCTGTTAATTTTAAACAACTTGCATTCAATAAATAAATTTTAAAAAATTAACTTAATATTTGCTTAAAACCAGGATTTATTAAAATTATTTATAAATTTTTTTAACTTATTTTTTTGCTTGATAGGAAGGAGGGGAGTAATTGTTGCTTCTTTAAAAAAGATCAAACTTTGCCCGCCCTAATTTATATCAGATCTATTGAAGCTCTAATTCTTAATTTAATAATTCAGCTTTTGAAACCCTGTTTTTGGTTATTTCTTATCCATTTTAAATTATCAACAGCTGAATTAATTTTTAACAAAATTCTACAATTTAGGACCTAAATTTTAGAACTCTATAATTATTAAATGTCAACCTGGACGATAAGAATTGAAGATAAGGAAGGAAATTCACGCTCAATGCAAGTAAATAGCTCTTGAACTTATGCTCAACTCCACGGAGAGCTTTTAAATTGCTTCAGAATCGAAATGCAACTCCAACTGTGATTTATAATAATAATACTGGGGACAAGTATTTGAATTTGGAGAGATCAGGTGGACGCACTTTGGAACAGCTGGGCTTTCGGAATAGCTGCTTAGTTAAACTTCTTGAGAAAATGAGAGGAGGAAATTAAGCTAATTTATATTTATAAGTGTGAGTTTTAATATAAAATTAAAGTTATCATTGATTTTTTATCAAAATTGCATTTTTAAAGCATATAAAGGACTAGACACATGCGCTCTCGAGTTTATTATGCAGGATAATTAATTAGTTAAAAAAATGAATAGAATTCATCACTTCAGTTTTGACGATAATGCTCTATTTTGACAAAATTTAGTCTTTTTAGATTTTTATAAATTTATAAAAAGTCTTGCAATTATGCTTACCTCCAAGCAAAATTGTTGTTTCTCTAAAAAAGATCAAACTTTGTCTATCCCAAATCAATTAAATCTCTAGTTCTCTATATTAATACCTTGCTTTTAAAACCCTGCTTTCATTTATTTATTATCCATTTTATCTATTAGCAGCTCAATTAATTTTTAAAATTCTACAATTTTAAACAAAGATTTTAGTATTTTATAATTATTAAATGCCTACCTTGACTATAAGAGTTGAAGATATGGAAGGAAATGTACGCATACAGCAAGTAGATAGCTCTTGAACTTATGCTCGACTTCACGAAGAGCTTTTAAAATTGTTTGAGAATCCAAACTCAACACCGACTGTGATTTGCAATAGTAAGTATATGAACTTGGCGATATCAGGTGGACGTACTTTGGAAGAGCTGCGCTTTGAAAACAACTGTTCACTCCAACTTCTTGAGAAAATGAAAGGGGGAAATTAAGCTAATTTATATTTAAAATTATGAGTTTTTACATAAAATTAAAGCATCTCGAAAATGGGCTTAGTATTGAATTTTCATTAAAAATTGCATTTTTATAAAGGAATAGGTAATATGCATTCTCGAGTTTATTAGAATTAAATATTAAAAAATAAATAGAATTCATCACTTCAGTTATTGACGAAAATTATCTATGTTGCCAAATTTAATTTCTCTAGATTTTTATAAATTTATAATATCCTAGACTTGACTTTCTATGTAATAAATTCTCCTTACCTTTCCTTAAAAACATCAAATTTATAAATAGATTTTACCACTCATATAGCACAAATTCATGCTGCAGGCTTAGAATACTTTTATTAGTAATCTAATATGTATTGATTATATGGTGTTACATTTGCTATAATATTAACAAATATGGTAAAAATTGCATACAATTTAGAATGCAAAGCTTATATAAATTTTCAAGAAATATATCTTATCAGTGCAAAGGGTAAGATAATAAATCCAAAGCGTCATGTTCCTTAAAAAATCAAAATTTTAAATAGACAAAAGTTGGCTTTGGTATATATAAACTTTGCGAGCCTTTTTAGCTTTATATAGATCAATCCTGGATATTTATCATCTGTGGCCCTTTTGGATATCTCAGCTAAGCCAATATATATTGATTTGATCACACCTGATGAATCAAATTGGATTAATTAAGCTAAAAAATAGGAATTTACAGACTATTCTCATTTATGATCACAAATCAGATTAAAAAGATAATGATTAATTTTAAGAATAACATTGGTAGAATTAGAAGCCAGAGATCATCGTATTATTGAACTATTATAAATTATATATAACTTATTCACTTTTATAGGTCGGCCTTATTAAAAATGCAAATACTCTAATGAAATTCACATCTTTTGCATCCTAAGATTAAAATATTATTTTATCAAATTAATTTTGATAGATTTTAATGAGTTTTCATTTTGGTTGAGAAATGGCTAGAAAGGAAGGTTTTCAATAATAAAATAATTAAGGAAATTCGCGAATAATGCATATCTATAGATAATCCATCAGCTATTCTTTAGAAACACATATAAAGCATGAATCGCTAAAATATGTTTCAATTAATAGACTTTTCTGGACATAGCATATGATTAATAGTATCTCATATTCAAGCAATTTACAATTAGTCTGGGGAAGAGCTCTATCTCCCTGAAGCTTCTTACACTGAGTTTTTTTGCTTATATCTTTTTATAATTAACTATCTCCAAAAAAAAGTTTAGCCTCTTCTGAAATTTGATCCCCCAGGAGTGAAGGATATATAAACAAATCTAAATACCATTTAGTCATATTAATATATGAATAATTATAATTTTTGCGTATGCATTTCAGCAAAATTAAGCTTTCTCAAATATATTTGTTTCATTATATCAACCTTAAGTTCGCAAAACCTGACCATATAATTAATTTTACTAACTTGGAATTGAAAATTTGTCCATAAGTTGCAACCAGCATTTGAAGGTTCAGCAGATAAATGGCTTTAGACAAACCTTTAGTATGCTGTACAATATAAAAAGAAGAAAATGAGACTTATTTTATAATTTTTTGCTCCCAAATAAAATTTAATAATTACACTTTAAAGATTAAATAAAGCACAATTAAATTAAAAAATATATGCAGCTGAAAGAAAAATAAAGATAATTATATAGAATTACCTAATTTTAAATAAAAAAGTATATAAGCATGATTATAGTCAGGAGGATCTTCTGTCACAAAAGCGTCATTAAACTTATACCATTTTCCATTATCACAAGTATAAGCAATATAGTGGCCACATTGCCCGCCTCCATAATAGCATATTAAAGCATATAGTCTATAGTCACTTTCCTGGAAATTTATTTCTGTCTCAAGTTTTCTATTCTTATTCGAAGTATCAGTAACATAAAATACCAAAATTTCTGGCATTTCTAAAGAATCTACTGCGATTGTAGAGCTGGTTATTTCCTGACAAACTTCGCATTGCAAATTTAATTTATCTTTTTTGCTTTTTATGTTTTCTAAACATATTTTTGCATTTTATTTATCCTTTGGAGCTATAATAAAAAATAATGATTTATCTGATTTTATAACTTTATGGCCTTTCTGGCATGTAAAAGTTTGGTTTTTTGTGATCTGAAATCTTTTTTCCTCATGGCTAAATTCTTGTATATATATATCTATTAGAATATTATAAAGCTCTTTACAGTCGTTCTGGGCATTAAGTTCGTACTAAATATTGTTTACCGTAGGAAATTTTTCTTTAAGTGTATTTAAAAAATTTATAATGCCTGGTTTAAAATCACTTGATGAGATACGGGAAAGCATAAGGTAAAAAATTATTAATAAATTTCTGAATAAAATGGTGTTAGATTTCGATATGAAATCTACAAAATTTGGAGTGCTTGCTAGAACTTGGAGTACAGAATTTAAATAGCAGGTATTTCCATAGTTAGGAATTCCACTCTTTCTAGAGCATTGATTTCCAAAAGACAAATTTTCTAGCTCTTGATAATCTCTAGAGTCCTTTAGCTTTTTGTTTTGTTTATTTTTACGATTTCTCAATCATGCTACTAGTTTTGGGAAAAAATAAATAATAACTAATATTGCAACTATATATCCTCCTCTTTTAGCAAAATACTTAATATCATAGCTCATTTAATTTTCATAGAAATTTAGCTTAAATTAAATATTAAACATAAAACTCAGAAAGCAAACATATCTGCGCTTTAGGAAATTTAGAGTCCAAATTTAATAAATTAAACTCAAATTTTTTATATTCTATTATAAAATGGAAGCGCTAAATAAACGAGAGCTTAGAAAATTATTTAATATATGTGGTGCATATTACCTTGTAAAAGTTTTCAATACTTTATGTATTGGCTAAGAAAGCCTAAACATATCAATATATAAATGTAATTATTAAATCCAAATTATGAGAAACTAGAATTACTTGATGAGATTAACAATTATAACATTTGAAATTCTAGAGCTGAGAGAAGCTGCAGTAGCAAGCACCCCAATATTGGACTCCAATAGTGTGAGCATTCATATAAGTTAAAAAAACACTTTGAAATCAGACTACTTTCAGAGGCTTCTTAAAGAGAATGATTGTAAAGAACTATTTATTATCATTATAAATTTATGTATGGAAAATTACCAAAGTGATATGCTTATAATAAACAAAAAACAAGCAATATTCTGTGAAAATGGTAACAGGTAGAATTATCTGAATCTCAATTATTTTAGATAATAAAATATATATAGAAGAATAGCTAGATAAGCTTTGAGTGCAAAATTATCAGATTCAAAGATATAGTCAGAATCAGTGTCTTGCATGCTCTTTCCCGATATTTCAATGTAAAATTTACCTAAAAGTTGGGTGTAAAATCAGCTAATTTTTGATAATTTATAAATCATTCCATTAATATAGATATAATCGAAATATAGAAATTCAATTGATAAATAAATATTCTTAAAAATCCACCTTAATGCATATGTGTAATATTTTTCTATTGTTTTGATAATTAAGCTCAATTCTTTATTATAGAGAATTAAACCTAAATGCAAAATAATAACCTTTGTTTAATAATCTGATAAGCTATGTTTATATAAAATCTTACGATTTCATATCTCCAGCAGCAAATAATTAAAATGTCTATTATAATTCTATAAATTTATATGTCAGAAGAGCTTAAAAAAGCAGTTTATATTCTTGCAACGATCAATCAGCATATAAAATTTCCTTTCAAAAATCCATGTTTAAGCAAAATTTTTCAAAATGCTTTTACCTCAGGCATTGATAATGAAGATCTTAGACTACTTGAAAAATACACATTGCCATTGCCAAGCTTTGATAGCGCATATCATATTGTAAAGGATATCATTAGATTCCAGAAATGAGAAGATATTTTTGCTTGGCCGAACAAATTATTGCAACCATTTCAAGTATCTGACATACCTAAAAAAATTCAAAAAGTTGCATTTTTTTGCGTTTGCACTAATAAGGATTATATAGAGGAAATAGAAGGCTACAACTTAATTGTAAAACTTGTTCTACCTGAAGGGATTTTACAATGTAAATACTGAGAAGAATGAAAGAGCTGCTCATCTTCTCAGGAAATGGACAAAAATAGTAAGCCTAAAATCTATTCCGCAATTTTTGGCTTTGTTAAAAACTGAGGAGTGATTCCAAAAAATGAAGAAACGGCAGAGAATGAAATAGAAAAAGTGGAAGATGAAGAAGCAAGAATAGAAAAAATTGAAGATAACCCTCAATATTTTGAAGAAAATGATACTAAAAATATAAATGCGGACCAAATAAATGAAAAATTCAAACAAATAGAAGAGCTATCTAAATGCAAACAAAGCAATGAAAGCAATGAAAGCCTCCAAGCTGAGCTAATAAGAGTAAAAATTGAAAATAAAAAAGCGTGCAATGATATAAGTGAAATAAAAGCAATGATAGAGGACGTGAGAAATTCTTTGAATGAAAAAATAGATGAGACTAACATAAATTTAAAAAAAGTTTAAATTATTTAAAAGAAGGACTAGATAAAGATCAATTATTTATGGAAAATGTCCTTGAAAATTGCCAAAGTAATTTAAATCAACTTAAGTATTACAGAAATAGCTCAAATTATGCACCAAAAAATAAAAATCGCGATTTTTCTTTAAATTTTAATGTTGTTTCTGATAATTTTCAATGCATCAATCAAACTGTTCAAGATTATATCCAAAAATTCAATCAACTGGAAATTAAATGCAATTCATTAGTAGATATATGCAATAAAATGATAATTGAGAATGATAGCAAAGATTCATCATTAAAGGCGAAAATTGATGAAATTGAAGAAAAGATCAAGAAAGTTTCAATATCAAATGGAAATGAATTAATTTCAAGCCCAAAAAATGCTCCTGACTTAAAAATTATAAATAACAACACTCCAAAAAGGAAAAAAAGGGGGTTAACCAATATAGGGAATAGTTGCTATCTGAATTCAGTTTTACAGATCTTTGCAAGTGTTCAAAATTTCGTAGAAAATATAAGAAACATTGAGAATGACTTATTTTATTGCTTAGGTGATGTACTATCGTCGATAACAGATCCCTACTCTATAAAAATAGACGAAAAATTAAGAAAACTAAGAAAATTGGTTACTAGCGAATATCCTATGGTAATTTATATATAGTTTGATGGAAATAAAGAAAATAGTTGCGAAGAATTATATACTATCATAATAAATATATTTATGGAATTTTGCCATAGTGAAATGTTTTTAATAAACAAAAATCAAGCGATAATTTGTGAAAATAACCACAGGTCAGAATTACCTGAGCATCAACTATTTTTAACTATACCCGATAATGAATTGTCATTTGTAGAATGGCTAAATCAGCTTGAAAATGAGAAAAAATTATTTAGTGGAGATAATAATTTATTCTGTGAAACTTGTGGACAGAGATCTGACTCAGAGATTGTGACAGAAAGAATTGAGACTCATGAAATTTTAGCTTTTTATAATGGCAAAAGTAAAAATTTGATTGAAAATGCTCCTAATTCTGTTTCTTTAGGGGAAAATCAGTATGAAATATTCGGAATAATTGTGTACAGTGGAAGACACTACATAGCTTATACAAAAGAAGAGGGAATTTGAAATGAGTATAATGATAATGAAGTCACAGCAAATAAGCATCCAAATCCAAATAATAGCTATATGCTGTTTTATAAAAAAACTTACAATTAATTAGTTTTTCATTTATCAAATTTTTAATAAATTATATTTATTTAATTTAAACTATCACTACAAAATTTATAGTAAATAATTTTTCATCGTCAAAAATCATAAATTATTATGATTTACTTTCCATAATAATTATTTTAGAATAAATTAAACTGCATAAGTCTGCGTCCACATCCTAGCTACATTTTCATATGCTTCTTTATCAGCATTTCTGATTGTCGTGGCATCATTAAGGTATCCATCCTCAGTGCTAGGTTCACTCATGAGTACACAAATACTGTCAATGATCGACTCTACTGTTGTTGCACTTTGCCACTTGTAATTTAATAGCATCGTACAAGCTTTGCCATTCGAGTCCACGTTTGGGTGGAAAATAATCGTTTTGAAGTAAAATTCTGGAGGACTTTGAGGGAAGTCTCGAGGGAAAAGAATCTCGAATTGGAATCTTCCACCTTCAAAAGGAGTTTCTGGAGGTCCTATTAGTATCCCACCTCAGTGATAGAAATCATTGTCGATTAAATGGACTGATAATCCGTCGGTTGGGTCTTCACAGATCTTTGCGAAATCAGCCTGGAGCTTTTGCATATATGTAGAATTATAAATAATGAATTTCTTTATTAGGGATATAAAGAAATGAAAAAGTTTAAAATAAATGAATTAGGAAATACATACTGTGTTTTCAAGTCTTCATTTTTATATAATAGAGTCTCAATGTCTTTTAATAGGTATTTTTCTATGAATTCTAACAATTTGGCGAATTAGGCTCAAAGTCCCTTAATTTTTTAGACTCAGGAATTTTGCCTAATTTGATTTTTCCATAAACTCGTTCTTATTATATCTCCCTGCTCATATTTTCATCTTTATGCACACTTTTAACTGAGAATTAAGGATTCTACATTTTCTGTTAATAATGTCAAGTCAAGATCATCTCTATTCGCGCTCAATCGCTGCTATTGGGATGGCGACTCAAAAAAAGCTTTTCACCATGCGAGTCTTGATTTCTGGTCTCCGAGGAGTCGGTCTGGAAATCGCTAAAAACTTGATCTTAGCTGGCCTCAACACAGTAACTTTACATGATGATTCTGTAATTTCGCTCTATGACTTAGGGACCAATTTCTACATAAATGAGTCTCATATAAACCAAAATCGAGCTGAATCAGTCGTCTCCAAGCTCCAAGAGCTCAACCCAAATGTCTCAGTTAGCATCTACAAAGGAGAAATTACCCAAGAAGTTATTTCTCAACACTCATTGGTGATTCTTACAGAAAGTGACAGCACCACGCTCAGAAGGGTGAATTCCATTTGTAGAGAGCTAAATCCTCAGGTAGGCTTTATATCTGTTGAAGCCTGAGGAGTGACTGGACATATTTTTGTAGATTTTGGGGATAGTTTCGAAGTTTCTGATAGAAAATGGACAGACTTGAAGAGCTATATTATTACCAATATAAGCAAAAGCAATCCTGGAGTTATAATGATAGAGTTGAGGCAAAGACAAATACTTCAGACTGGAGACTATGTAAGGTTCAAAGATGTCGAAGGAATGACTCCTCTTAATGATGGCAGAGAAAGAAAGGTCACTTATATAGGCCGGGACAGCTTTTCAATAGATGAAGACACCACAGAATACCCAGATTATATAAAATATGGAATAGTTGAAGAGGTCAGAAAACCTTTCCATTATGATTTTCGGCCTTATGAAGTCTCTATAAAAAATCCTGAAGAATTAAAGCCTTTCATACAGTCTGATCACTCAAAAGAAAACAGGCCTTCCCATCTGCATTTAGCTATGCTCGCAATCAGAAAATTCCAAGAAGTTCATGGATTTCTCCCTGAAGTCCACAATGAAGACCACGCAAACCTCTGTGTGACTTATGCAAGGGAAATCATTGAGGCTGCTTCACAAGAGATTTTTATAGATGCAGTTGACGATACCATCATTAAAAGCGTCGCAAAATATGCAAGACTGCAAATTCCTCCAGTTACTTCTATATTTGGAGGAATTGCAGCTCAAGAAGTCATTAAATTCACAGGGAAATTTACTCCAATCCAGCAGTGGTTACATATGGACTGGCTTGAGCTGATTCAGCCAACTGCAAGCATTGTTGACTCAAGATATCATGATCTCCAAGCAATAATAGGAGAAGAAGGACTAAACAAGCTTAAATCAGTCAATTTATTTATGGTCGGGTCTGGAGCCTTGGGCTGTGAATTGTTATTGTAAATCCCATTAATAGCCCCATAAGTAGTTGAATTACCCGCTGATTTTCAAATTTGGTCAGACCAAATTGCTAGCAGGTAATTCACCCACTTATGAGACTATTCATAGTAAATAACTATACAGCTTTTTGCATTATCTGGAATTTGCTGTGGGGATGGAGAACTTACTGTCACTGATGACAATAATGTAAAAGTCTCCGATTTGACAAGGCAGTTTTTATTCAACTTGACTAATGTGGGGCAATCCAAAAGTGAATGTGCTACAAGGATAGCGAAAATCATGAACCCAGAAATGAATGTCACTGCTTTGAAAAGCAGAGCTTGCCCAGAAACAGAAAACTTGTTTAACGATAGGTTTTGGGAGAAATTAAATGCAGTTTTTGGGGCTGTGGATAATATAGCTGCACGAATTTATATTGACCAAAAATGTGTTTGGTATAAAAAGCCTCTCTTTGAAAGTGGAACAAAAGGGACAAAAGCGAAATCTCAAGTAATCATTCCATTTTTAACCCAAACATATTCAGATATCCCATGGAAGCATGAAAAGAAAATCTTAACGGATAATCTATATTTTCCATATGCAATTTCTCACTGTATCGAGTGGTCTCGAGAAAAATTGTTAGATTACTTTACTTCTGGTCCTGGAGAGCTAAATAAGTACTTGGAAAACCCTGAGGCTTATATGCAAAAACTACGAAGCATGAACAATGCTGGAACACAAGTTGTCCAGCTAAAACAACTTAAAAAATATTTAGAGCTTTCTAAAATAAGTAGCTTTGATGATTGTATTGCTACCGCAAGACATAAGTTTAATAAGCTGTTTAATGAAAAAATTAGAACCTTATTACATCAATTTCCCCCTGGTAGTGATTTTTGGTCAAGGACTAGGAGATTGCCTGAGCCTTGCATTTTTGACACAGAAAAAGAAAATCATATAGGCTTCATAGAAGCTTATGCGAATTTGGTAGCCTTTAACCTTAACATCCCACAGAATAGAGACAGGAATTACATAAAAGAAGTAGCGTCTAAGGTCCAAGTTAGGGAGTTTGCCCCAAAAAAAGCCTATATGAAATTAGACGATAATGAGGGCCAGCAGCCAATCGAAAAATCTGACATAGAATTAAGAGAAGAATTGCTGAGTTGGGTCGAAGAATTTTCATTAGAAAATGTCAAGCCAATGACACCAATTGCATTTGAAAAAGATGATGATACTAATTTCCATATTGATTTTATCCACAATGCTTCAAGTTTGAAGGCGAATAATTTCAAAATTTCTACAATAGAAAGACACCAAACCAAGGTTAGTGCTGGAAGAATCATCCCAGCTCTGGCTACAACAACTGCAGTTATTGCTGGAATTGAGGTAATTGAATTTATTAAATATACTATTGGGCTAGAATTAAAAAAAATGAGGGATTGCTTTATGAATTTGGCAAGCCCGCTTATCCTTTTTCCAGAGCCTCAGCCTGCAATAGTGATTAAATCTGTTGAATATGATGAAGTTTTTGCTGCTCCCAAGAGGGCATATAATGATGGCTTTACCAAATGGGATAATATTGTTATTGATGGGCCTTGCACAATGGGAGAGCTAATCGGCACTTTGAAAGAAAAATACAAGGTTTCACCATTACAGATCGCCTGTGGAAAGTTCTGCTTGTTTAATCACTATTCAAGAGATAAGCTGGATTGACTATTTTGGTATCATCCTTCTGCTTGCAAATTTTATAAGGGTTTTAGGGTCTGCTCTTTAGTGTTGGTGTGCGAAAAGAATTTGCATGCAGATGGATTATAACAAAATAGTCTATACATAATAATAAAGATGAGCTGCTTAGAAGAGAAGTTTATGAGCTATATAAAGAAATTAGTGGAGACAAAACAGGGGGTAAAAAGTCGATTGGTCTCATGTTATATGCAGTCTCAGTTGAAGATAAAGCTCTAATGATGTTTCCACATTTGAAGTATATTTTCAGTCATTAGCATTTAATTAAAATAAAGTTATTTCATATAAACATGATTGCTACATTTCAAAAGCAGCACTATAAATTTAAAATTCACATCCTTTTAACATTTAATGTAGCAAAGTATATATTGAAGTATTATTTGGCTTTTTATTAGTATAAATATTAAACGATTTTTAAAGTTAGAAAATTAAATTATTTATTACCATATTTACTTAATCCCATTCTAATGGAACAATTCTATTCAAGGCTCTCAAAATTTGGGAAAATATCGTGATCAAACAATTTTCGTGTGGCCGCCCATGAAGGCCAACTCCTCTGCCTCACTCTAATCTAATTGCTATTATTAATAATGATTAGTAGAGTTATGAGTAGTTTAATTCTATTTCTAGCATATTGGCTATATATTTTCAGATATATCACTTATTATAGAAAATAGAAATTTCATATGAGATTGTTAACAAAATTATTAATTTATACTACTACTTTTTTCAAAATTTTTAACCCATTTTGATCAGGCGACGGATAGTTCAACTAAGGATGGACGGAGTTAATTTCATAAATTAATTGTAGATTTGAAATGAAAATTCCTGAGGACCAGAAATACTGAGATTTATGTGCTTCAATTTGCTTGATTAATACTATAGTAGAATATCTTTATATTGATGATGCAGGCCAAATTAGCAATTTAATGCAAATAGAGCAAGCTCTAAAAGATTCTCAAAAGTTTAACTTGAAAGAAGATTCAATAAAACAGCTGTGAGATCAGGCTAAAATGAAAAAGATATGATTTGAAACTGGCTCAACATTATTTTGAATGATAGTGATCTATGAAATTTGCTTTTTTATCAAGAACAAAATAAAACTTAGATTTCTTTGGTAAGCTATTATAAGTTATGCCTAGGGCAAAATATTGAAAATAAGTTATTCCTATAAAAATGATGTTATATAATTATTATAATAACGACTTATTAAGATCAAATTTTATTTTAAATCTGCATTTTTTGGAGTAGTTCAATACGGTCTTGGTCTAATGCGTCGCTAATGAAATTGATTTCTTTTTTAGAAAGGGTGTAGTTAGGGTGTTAGGGTGGTTAGGGTGTTAGGGTGTTAGGGTGTTAGGGTGTTAGGGTGTTAGGGTGTTAGGGTGTTAGGGTGTTAGGGTGTTAGGGGTTAGGGTGTTAGGGCTGTTAGGGGTTAGGGTGTTAGGGGTGTTAGGTGTTAGGGTGTTAGGGTGTTAGGGTGTTAGGGTGTTAGGTGTTAGGGTGTTAGGGTGTAGGGTTAGGGTGTTAGGGGTGTTAGGGTGTTAGGGTGTTAGGTGTTAGGGTGTAGGGTGTTAGGGTGTTAGGGTGTTAGGGTGTTAGGGGTGGTGTTAGGGTGTTAGGGTGTTAGGGTGTTAGGGTGTTAGGGTTAGTGTTAGGGTGTTAGGGTGTTAGGGTGTTAGGGTGTTAGGGTGTTAGGGTGTTAGGGTGTTAGGGTGTTAGGGTGTAGGGTGTTAGGGTGTTAGGGTGTTAGGGTGTTAGGGTGTGTTAGGGTGTTAGGGTGTTAGGGTGTTAGGGTGTTAGGGTGTTAGGGTGTTAGGGTGTTAGGGTGTTAGGGTGTTAGGGTGTTAGGTGTTAGGGTGTTAGGGGTGTTAGGGTGTTAGGGTGTTAGGGTGTTAGGGTGTTAGGGTGTGGTGTTAGGGTGTTAGGGTGTTAGGGTGTTAGGGTGTTAGGGTGTTAGGGTGTTTAGGGTGTTAGGGTGTTAGGGTGTTAGGGTGTTAGGGTGTTAGGGTGTTAGGGTGTTAGGGTGTTAGGGTGTTAGGGTGTTAGGGTGTTAGGGTGTTAGGGTGTTTTGGGTTGTTAGGGTGTTAGGGTGTTAGGGTGTGTAGGGTGTTAGGGTGTTAGGGTGTTAGGGTGTTAGGGTGGTTAGGGTGTTAGGGGGTGTTAGGGTGTTAGGGTGTTAGGGTGTTAGGGGTGTTAGGGGTGTTAGGGTGTTAGGGTGTTAGGGTGTTAGGGTGGTTAGGGTGTTAGGGTGTTAGGGTGTTAGGGTGTTAGGGTGGTAGGGTGTTAGGGTGTTAGGGTGTAGGGTGTAGGGTGTTAGGGTGTTAGGGTGTTAGGGTGTTAGGGTGTTAGGGTGTTAGGGTGTTAGGGTGTTAGGGTGTTAGGGTGTAGGGTGTTATAGGGTGTTAGGGTGTTAGGGTGTTAGGGTGTTAGGGTGTTAGGGTGTTAGGGTGTTAGGGTGTTAGGGTGTTAGGGTGTTAGGGTGTTAGGGTGTTAGGGTGTTTAGTGTT